AATATACTACAGAACATCCTTCACAAGTGAATTGGATTCGACAAAATTGGTTTGTGTGAACCAAACGTAAACGTAGCATGATAGAAACTTATCAATGTGTTCCGCACAGTTATCCTGTGGGCTATTCGGGGGTGCGTCTCTAAGCAGCGGCCATTCTTTATTTACAAATCTGTTTCAGTCATGTAGTAATTCACAAGAATAGGTTCAGAATTAGAACCCGTTATAATAGATGTGTAGAGCGTAGTGTCAACATGGTGTAGACTATTATATTTGATACCATAGAACTTTTTTATCACAGCAAACTTAGTAACATTGCATTGAGTAAAACATGTAATTTAATGCATTCCTGTCGTTCTTCAATGAAATTACTAGAACCTGATTTGCATAAGTAAATATCAGGCCACGATGATCATGATGCGTATATCCAATCGATAGCCTTATTCATTTGCGGCAGCCAATAGAATTGCTAGAATTCGCGCGCTATTGTAAAAAAATAATATCTGTCTTCACCTACTCAAATTTCATCATTCAAACATCCTGAAAAGTTTCATATCATCACTAACAAAAGAAATCTCAACGCAGAAAGAATGCCTGGCAAAAATGGGCTCGAACCAACAAGATTTTAACAACCAGGCATTCTTAGCCTACGCCGTCAACGGGAAAGACACTACGTATATATCGAATGGAAAGTACGACGCCCTCACGGACTGTAAAGACGATGGCTACGTCAAACGTTTTATAAATTTCGATCCTAATAAGCGTTTGAAAATAAATGTTTTCTCAACAACCTTTAAATACCAAACTGCTCTCTCGCTTCTGCGTTCTGCTTATTGCATGCAACGGGGTTCAAAAGAATATGACGTATATAGAAAAAGTCAGCATATATAGGCGTAATTACTAATTTGCATATCGACACTCTCATATGATTGGCTAAGACTTTACTACTGCATGCATGTTGTAACTTGTATATAAAATAGTTGCATGTGTATCATCACAGCCATGCACTTGCTATTTAGCATAATTACGTGCATAGTTTATTTGCATTGATTGACATTTGCGGGTCATTATTATCATATTTTTGGCGGGAAACCTCTTTTCGTTGTCCGGTAGTTCCTTGGTTCTCGATCCATTGAAGTTTGTATCGTACAAATAAAGGACAATATTCAGCGTTTAATTATATAAACGTAGATGTCGCGAATCGCGATAAAGAAAAGGTCACCTTATATGTTTTGGCGCCAAGATACACCCACGCAAAAACAGCAAGAGCCATCGCTGTGGTTAGCTTGGAAGTTTAAAATTAGTCTTTTAAAGACTATCAACAAAGGCAATTCGATGTTGACTCACTTAAGGCTGGGTTTTTAAACGTAAACTAACGGGTTAAGTGCAGTAAAGAATAGATATATGCTGACTGTATAACACTAGCTGATATTTATTTACGTGTTCGCCCTAGCGCCGTGTCCATGCACGTGCTCGCTGGATTGAACGATTGTTTTCACAAATAATATCGCCGAAATATTAGCAATTTCTGACAGAATTTTAAAAAGTACCATATTTGCCGCCCAGACGGTTGTGTTCTGTTTCATATTTTACACGAAGTGCAACAATTTTACACTAAATGCAATCCCTTTAAATCCACGACTCTAATCTCCATGATTCTACACTAAGGCTATTTGCGGTTTTGTATGGGGGTGGATTTTGATCATGGATTCCCCCCTATTCATATTCTTAGCAAGCCCCGGTGTCTGTTCAGACTCTTTGTAAAGAATTATACTTGCCATATAATGGATAATATATCATCCTACAGGCTTACCTTTTCTCAGGCAACCAAGGCTAGGTCCAATGACAGTGTTATTAATCCGTCTACTTACTGTCTAGTGTCTACAATACATAGTTGACAATATATTATTGTATTATTGTACAAGTTTTCGTACATGTAAGTAAGACAAGTTTCGCCTTGCATTTTGCCGAAGAGCATGTAAAATCTGAAACAAGCATACCTTCAGAATAGTAAACTGTTTCAAACAACCAGCTTCCGAAAGCATATGATGCATGTTTTAACTGAGGTTATTTAAAACCTTTCTTGTCCCTCTTTGATGATTGGCTTAGGGGTATACATGTACGTTAACCGTAATTCTATTGGTTGAGTACATTGAGAATCCATAATCTCATTGGCTGGGAACATTGCACGTGTGCTGGTTGGGTGCAAGTTACTTCTCTGACTCTATATCGTGAGTTATATTTCCGACGTATTATATTTCTGACGAAATTGTAAAGTTTTAGTTCATTCAATTGTCATCCTATATATTTTCCTCCAAATCTAATATCTGTCTTCCATACAATTAATCATTGAAGTGATTGAACCATATCTGCGTTTACAGAAACCTGTTGACATAGGGAGGACACTATGTACTTCACGCAAACAAGCAGTTGTCTTTCTTCCGGCCTTTTTATTGAGGATGTTTTAAATGCCGTTTGTGTGTACTTTTACGCTTTGACATATTGAAACATTCATTTAAAGAGTTCGCAACGGTTTAATATATGATCTGAAGGTAATGCCAGATCTTTGTGTTCATAATTTTGTCGTAAATCGTAATAAAGCCATTCATTAGTCGGCCACTGTGCAAATTGACACGGGCTCAGAAATTTGCCTCGTTGGGAGAAATGCTACATATAAATTCACTGTTCCGCGGTGCATGGACTATGTCAAGCATTAGTTCTATCCACATGCCACATTCGCTCCACCCACGTTTTTTTGAATTGATATTGTCAAAGCATTCACAATTTTCGATAGAATTTAAAAACTACAAGTATGGATTTCTCCTTTATTCTTTGTTGCTATTTTTTGATAACCTTTATCCCAATTAATCTCGCTTAAGCGTTTCATGATGACATGTCGCAATTACACTAATACACTTGTATTGCATGCACATCAATACTTCGAAATTCAGAAGTGCGAAATAAGCTTCACGTCTATCGCAATATAAATATAATGGAATGTTATTGATACACTACTCTACTCGATTTTCAATATTCTAACAACATTTGACACCACTGTCTTATATCTATAGGCTACTGGCTAGCAAGTCTATATAGGAAAGTATATTGGTATGTTACACGTTGTTGTACAGATCAGAATGTACAGATGAGATTTCCCCATTTTACCGAAAGTGCATGGATTAGCTAAATCAAAGAGTCTTTAAACATACCTTACCGTATGCAATACGTTCTTGTCTTTTGAATTGTTCTGATATGTTCAGCTCTGAGTCCCTCTGACTTTGTTGACGAGTTTACCGTGAGACGTGTTTATTCCTTCTATTGCATGGGAGACTTAACGCCGCATGTAATATTGGTCGACAGACTAATTTAATTTACACAATCTGATTGGACCCTGCTACGGAGTAGAGGAAGTTGCAAATAAGATCTTGCTGCGCCCGCGAAGTGCTATACTTATAGCTCTTACAGTTTTAAAAAGCAAAATAAGGCAATCTTAAGCTGGCTAATAATATGCGTTGATTTTGCGTTAATCTTTTTTATTTAGCGTTCGCAATAGTTAATAGTATATTCCATAGCCATGCGAGTCATTTGTTGCGCTCTACCTACAGGCTACAATTATGTTTCAACTTCTAACAATTTCTTTCAAATTTTAGTAGAAGGTCAACCTCGTACCTAGGATTAAATGCGTGGTTGGTTCATAGTACATAATCTAAAATCGATAGTCTGGCTACCGGGACTTTTTATATGGTATATAAATATATATATGAGCTTTCATGTATTTATAGTACTCTTCATCGGCGTACATATAGCGTATGTTTGGACAAATTCACTTCTAGTTTTCTATAAACTCAATTTCCATCCCGCATGGCAAACTAGTTTCATTCAAATTCAAAGCAATTTTATTATTTTATGAGCTATATCATAGACTTGAGGAATCGTGTTGACATGCAAACACTTGTCTGGTACTTATGCGGTACTTGTCTTTCGCGTTTGTGCATGCTGTGAATGTTTGTCTGTGAATACCATATAAGGCTTTTGTGGTTAATGCAATAAACGAACGAAAAGTAACTCCTATTGACATTCAAATAGCGATAATGACTCTGTGTCGGAAGACAAAAGACAGATATTGTCTCATTTTAGCTCAAATTTATTGCTTGATCGGTTCAGGAAACGAAACTGGGTTTTTCATAAGGAATAACCTCTTCTTGACATGTACAACAAAGGAAAGTATTCACACCATCAATTGTCTCTCTTTCGCTTTTGCTGTGAATGGCGTTTGTGTAGGTGCATATACCGACCTCACATGTGGCTTGTTGCAATAAACAAATAGGTGGGCGTTCTTAACACCTAAGTGAAATAATACTCGTTCTAAAGTGTTCACAATTGTTTTTTATTGGAGCCGGAAGTCGGCCGCTGTTGAAAGACAAATTCACTTTACGGATTTATTGGTCTTTTGAGGTTTGCGTGATCGCGTGTACGCGAAGGCTGGCCTGGCTAATTTGTGCTAATTGGTCATTTTGTATCGTTATATATCCAATTGATATACAACGTACAAATATATATGTCTTAATACTGCTTCCGCTGATCTAAAAGCTACTGGATCACCCAGTAATCGTCTGGGAGCTAATTACAATCGTTTAGATGCGATTAATCTGATTTTTTAGAGCAGCATTGCTGATATGTTAAATCGCAATTCTTGGTCAAAATTAGACTGTTCCCCCAATGCATCATCATATAAACGTTTTAAAGCTTGTTTGAAAGATGTTGGAAGCGTAGTTTCTCTGGTAGATAAAATTAAGCAAAGTCGTTTATATTGCTTGACGGTAAATTATTAAATTTAACAGGAATTAAAATATCAGCTTATAAGTACTCTGGCTTTTTCCCGTGATCCCAGTATAGTTTCAGATCCCCCGGTTGGTTTAAAAATGTGTACAATTCTCGCTCGATTATATTTCTACAAAACTCATCTATGCGACCAATTGAATTTCGCTTCTTTCAAAATTCAGAAACTACAATCCTCGAAGTCAGCGCGCTCGACACAACTGACACCCCAGAACCAGGGTGTTGTGAAGAGACACCGTGCCTTGAACCACGGCTGGAAGAAGACGCCGCGACGAACGAACAGAGCTTTTCTGAGGAACAAAAAGACAAAAAGAAAAAAGAGAAATCTTCGTTGAAATCAAAACCACACAGACCTCATCATCTGAAAATACCGAAAGCTTTGCAAAAATCGTTCTCGGCTCAGTCAAATGGAAATCAACAAGCAAAATGTATGTTAAGAACTGTATATTACCGTGAGGGAAGTTCCTTATTTCAGATTCCTAGGAGAAAGAGACCGTTTTGGTTTATTGAATATTGACGCATGTCTTTCGTTGCATGCATTTGAAGCCCTGTTCACAACATGCCAACTATATCACGTCTTCCCAATTCAGGTCCACAGAAACAGTAGTTTTTTCTTCAGTTTAGTTGTGTTTGACTGCATGTAGCTGTACCTATCAGAACCTTTTCTATATGTACATTGGACTGTGGATATACATGTTAAAGAATGTCGTTTAAACATGGATATGAGGGCTTTGTTTTAACGGGCTGTTATTGTTATATTCAACTCGAAATCGACTTTTTATTCAATATTCATTCTCATTTCATGCGCTTCACAACAGCCATCGGCGTCGCTGTTTTCCTTGTGGAAAAAGTTGGTCGTTTGTTGAACCTCGAATATGGCAAAGATACAACTGCTGGTTTGATCTGTAAAATGATGGTGGAAAATCTTGCGATGTCTTCCCAGGCAAAAGATGTATTTTGCATCTGGCTTGTTTCGCCTTTACTGCGTAAGTCGCGGCAATATCTGTTACAGATACTCTTGACACAATGCATATAAAGGTTCTCTATATATGACATGATATAGGGGATCGGGCGTGTGAGAGGTGATTATGTTTGCTGTCTGTAATTTTAGCTATTTATTGGACATGAGACATAACCTCAATCAATCTCAAGAGTCATTATGTGTCGGCGGCGATTATGTCAGTTTTGTATTTGTATATGAGAGCTAGAATTGGCCAAAACAAACAACCGGGTCAATGTCATCTTTGTTATCGTCGTTAGATCTCAATTGTGACTTCTTTATGCTTAAATAGGATAAATTTAGCACCTCTTTAAAAATTTTGCAACGTGTGCTATAAATTTGCAAGAATTTGCTAGAAGTAAAACAATGTTTTTAGAAATTCTTAAAAACTTCTCGTGTTATATTCAAAATCAAAAAAACGTCAGTACACGCAATAGACGTGTAATCTTTCTTTGACTTTACACCCAAAAAACCTGCCTTTTGTCAATATTTATATATAAGTATTATTATGATGTCTTTGCACGAATAAACAAATTGAATTATAATCCTCTAAAGTTTGTATAATTTTGTCCGAGTCTGCATGATGTCTGTTATATGTTTTAGAATTGCAACTTAAAGACCATCACCAACCGCTTAGAATGCGCATGAAATGGCCTGATCTTTTGAAAAGATTCACAACTGCTTCGGATGAAATGATTGCAAAAGGTGAGTCCCGACCACAATGATGTTTAAAGCCCGCCTCACACGAGAGCGAGGCAGTTAGCTCAACCCGAAAACCATCCGCACACGAGAGAAACTTGCCTCTCGAGGCGAATTCGGAATTCCTCACGAAAAACCATCCGCACACGAGAGTAACTTGCTGAGCTAACATCTTACGTATAGTCCTCGTGTGAGGGAAATTCTTGCAAACCAATGCATCGCTGTGTATTTGTCATAGTTTTCGCATACAAATCTAGCTACAACACTGATGTTTGTCACAAAAACAATATGAATCTTAATACATGCTGCTATTCAATACAGATGAACCTATATTGAGTTTTCAACGCAACAGTTTCTTCTCCTTACAAGAAGAACGAAAGGTAATTGAAATGATCATATCATTTTCGTTTATCTGAATTAAATGTTGTGCGCGCGAATTGCCGACATATGCATGTTAAATGTCAATTAATGTATCGCTCACCTTGTCATTTTGAGAGTTTTTCGAATAATTAGGCAATTGACCGATTAAAAATAATATTCAAATATTTGAAGGGCATGGTGGAAGGTATTTCAAACATATATGCATGAAGTTCTTCCCCAGTTAAGAGTGTTTTACTCATTTTCAGATTATTTTAGCGTTTGGACACAATTTCCATAATGACATTGCTGCCCGTTGAAATTACTTTCTCTTCAAACGAGCTAGCCTGCTCGCAGACAGTCAGCGAGCAGGCTACAAAAGAGCATAAAGTTTAAAATATCAGAATAATCGTGGTACTTACGATAACTTCCTTATTTATTCATAGATTACTGATGAAAAGATAATCAAACGCCTTTTTGAAGAGGTACGATTCACTCGAGGTGTCGAGAATACTGCCTCGGCAAACTGTATATAGTCTCCGACAAGTCACACAGAGCACTAGCGCACGGTTCACAAGTACATAGCCAATTCTCTCTTCCTGCTTAGAGACGAGTTTATTACGTCAGTCGTTGATTGATGATTGATCGTGTCAACTAAACTTCCTGATTACGATTAATTTACATTTGAACGACTGAACCGCGTTTTCATCCAGAACTTCCTAGAACGGCGGCGATAAAAAGCTTACCTTACATCTGCTCCAACACATTCATGCGTCACTCATATTAATAGACCTTTTTCATAGCGACTCAAACGTGGATGTTACAGTCTGATGTTACACGAAGTTTGATTGGCTCGATAGTTTTGTGGAGCCAATCAAATCTCGTGTAACATCAGACTTTCCGCGTTTGACATCATTATAAGAAAGGTCTATTGGCGATATTTTATAGGCCAAACACAACGTTCTCAATGGATTTTATCCACTTACAAGAAAAGAAGGGGAAATGTTCGGAGCAGTTTTGGCGATAACTGAATACGGAAAATACAGCCCCCAAATTCACAGAGTTGGTTACTTCAGGTAATAGGCAAGCCTATAAGTCAGTAATCATGTCAGACGCAACCTTATCGCAACCATCTTGTAAGCACAAGGTCTTGAAAAAAGGGGATTAATCTGTGTCTATTTAACACAGTCATTTGTGAATTAGCTTTTGTCAACTGAAATCCTCTTAACACCATGCTATTAACAATGCTATTAACACCATTATGTGTGGCGGACAGCTTACATAAAAGATTAAGGGGCTGTTTACATGAGCCCGGTTACCCGAGATTCAACGAAGCGTGAGAGGACTTTGAGGTATTGAAATAAGTCTTTATGACACCAAACAGGCACATGCTATTGTTGTGGTGATTATACGACTGCCAGGATCATGTTATCTGCTCATTTCAATACCTCAAAATCATCTCACGCTTCGTTGAATCTCGGGTAACCGGGCTCTGCAAGTAAACAGCCCCTAAATTATTAGAGAAACCGACGAACAACATACATATATGGATCAAGCATTGAAGGACCTTGAAGGACCTTGAAATTATAAACGTGCGTTAAAATTCCTTGACTGATGATAGCGTTGATCTGTCAACGCATCAGATTAAAATATCATTGTGTTTTGAATTTTGAAATCTATCCATTTTTTGATCGTCGATGTTTACTAAACTGTCTTCAAACGTGACCTTGAAAATACTTTGCTTAAAATCGACCCGTTCAGGCTGATAAGATCCCGTACTCATTTTGAGTTCATCTCGAAAAATTGTAGAGAAATTCTTATATTTCAGCCGTTTTTGGAAAGATAAGCCGACCAAAATATAGACAGTAACCTTTAGTTAGAATCAGAACCAGAAGTTGTTGTTAGGATATTTCCGGTAGCTCATGTATCGGACTTTAGTACCTTTGGGAGCGGATAAATAACGAGTTTATTGTGTTCATATTTTACAGAGACAAACTTTCAGATCTTGTTCCTTACTGGTTATATAAACCTGGCTGGCAGACAATTTTGGGTCGCTCAACAAAAACGAGCATAGAACAGAATCTCATCACACATTACAAGGAACTTACAGAAGCGACTTCGAACTATGTAAACCCGGGTAACGGCGGCAAGCTTTTCCTCGAGAAATGCTGGGATCTTCCTTACTATGGGTAGGTAAAGAAAATGTCTTGCACCTCTGGCAGTGGGTGAAATGGAGCAAAAAATCCCCCACTCCTGGGGGGGGTGTGGAAATGTATTGACAAACTTTACTTTGTTGTCTATAGGAGTGTGTTTTTCACGGGTCAAATCGCAAAACAAGTTTCTGGGTTAACGTCGTTACTAGATCATCCTGACATACCCGTTCGTGTGGCAATTAATCGTGATGCAATTCACGTTATTAATCTAAAGAAGAACGTAAGTTTTTCATATATATCACTGACCTCGATATGACTACTGAATGGGGTATTTTCACACGTGTACGAATTGACTGCCACCAATATGCTCTCTCCTTACCTTATCTGTTCGGGGTTGAGAAAGTTGAGAATCTCTCCCATGCAAGTTCCTTTGCCCACTCTCGGAAGCTCTGAATACTAGCTTTTCGTGAACTAGGATTTTCAAACTGCTTTTAAGGTTATTTTACTTGGTCTCTCGTATGAAGAATTTTCCTGGGACTACACCCAGTGCCCTGACTCTGAGAATGATCCAGATTGCTTCGACACCTTCTGGTTGGAATTTGACTCCGACGAAGGCGATAGTACTGCTATCACTCAATTGCAGATATTTTCAAAACAGGTGAGAACCTTGGGTAATATTCCTTAATTCCTAGAAATTTTAATGTCCGATTCCGGTGATCTTGATTCCTCTATATCTGCACTTTGGAAAGATTTTCTCAAATTTTGATTATGTAACCTTTTATTTAAACATGATAGGTTCGGACTATAGGTTCGTAATCCAAATTTTGGTATTTGAAATTAACCATTTCTGGTGACTTGAACTGGCCTCAGCCAGTTCAATGTACACGCTTTCAGAGTTTATAGCTATGTTTGTCACGTTTTTGTGGCGCTTTTGACGCTCTGAAGATCTGCTTTTAGACGCTCTTTGTATCTCGTTAATTTTAGGCAATTATGATGGACGCAATGGTTCAGTCGTGTGCGTTTGGACCCATGACTTTATCGCCCGTTCCTCAAACCAGGTAGGATTGGGGACAATCATAAAGGCGAGGCTGTCTGTAAGATCGAAAGTATAGGTATATAGGGTGGGAAGGGTATAAGATTAGTTGGTGGAGAGTCAAAAGGTTGGGGGTAAAAGTTAGGAAAGGTGGAAGGAAATGAATGAAGAATAGGGGTGGGAAGAGTAGAGGGTCAGAGGGTAGAGAGTCAAAAGAATAAGGTGGAAGGTCTAAATATAGTTGTCATGTAGGTGGTTGGGTTTGGGTTTGGGTTTTTTAAATACGGATGAAAGGTTATTTCAATCTTCTAAACTAAGTTAATTCTTTTCCGGCTTTGTTATTCCAAATATTTTTGTTAAAAAAATGGATGATATTTTTTCAATAGTAACGCAGAACCGGGCTCAGTCACACCAGAGAAAAGTAAGTTAATTATCGTATATACTACATCCAATATTGAAGTTGTTTTGTAAAGTTTGTTTCGACTTCGAAGTTTATTATTTTTTAAACTGAAACTTGATGATTTAGATCGTTACAAAATACGAAATCGGATGGAAAGAGTTAGTTTATCGACTTACGATAGAGATGGTAGGTACTTTAGCGAAACTATGTGCATGGAACTAATGGACGTGCACGGTAGATGGAAATCCAAATGTATACTTTCAACATTTAATATAAGATTGCTTATATTAAGTAGGCATATGTATATTCTGCCCCGTTCCAAGCTAATACACGCAGTGTTTTCTACAAATTCACCATGCAAAATTTCAAAAATATTATTAGCTATAACATTACTCATGCAGCTACTTCAGTGCTGGTTTGTCATTTGTGTTCATATCTGTTCCTATAGGTTTTGAACTACACCGTGGTCGGCGGAATAACTTTTCCATCACCACTCTGTTCAGAAGGCAACACTCAGTGACGAGCTAATGCTTTTATTTGTAATGCTACCAGACGATGTTTGGGCGACAACAGTTTTGTGCCTATATGGGCAACACAATATAATACCCCAGCAAAACGGAGAGAAATCAAGAACTGAAGATAGAAGATTTTTAAATTGACATAGAAATCAGTTGTAAATAGGTTTAGTAAGTAGGTAACATGATGTTAATAAATGTAGCTATTACAATTGGCAATAACAGGGTTCGAATAACCGATAATTGAGTCCTCAAAAACCGTGTTTGAGGGCTTCGTGTTTCACGCCTTCATGTTTCAGGCCTTCGTGTTTCAGGCCTTCGTGTTTCAGGGCCTCGTGTTTATGGCTTAGTCCAACACCTTTTTCTCGCGATTCTGTTCTTCTGAGTTTTCTTGTACAGAAGATTTCAAACATTTGTTGCAACCTGATGTATCGAATTTTGTGATAGGTGCCCTGAATTGTGTGGCACTTTCCGAACCCTTGTTATAAATGTGTATAAATATAGCCGTGAATATATATAGATATATATAATGAATAGTGTATAATTGATAATGTAATAATTTTAGCACTTCAATTCAATTTTATTTCCCTACAACTTCGAAGGTTTATGGTCATTGATCAAGTTGATCCCAGTAATTAAAGATTTGTCTTTGATACTACTGTATCTATTTTTTGGCAACAAGTCAGGTTTCATGCTCTATATTCTATCATTTTAAAGGCAGGGTTAGAGACCGGTCGTCGGTGATATAAGCCTTAGTTACTTACACACACGGTGCAATTTTTCTTGGCAAACTTCGTAGTTACCAAATTTACATCTTTCAAAAGTAGAATTGCACCGTGAAGAAAAAGAAAAATTGCACCGTGTAGCAGCGCCTTTATAACCGACAATAGATGATCGGTGACCTAGATATTTTGAAAAAATAATTACAGACATTGCTGAGGGCAGAAAAAGAAGATATATTTTTTCTTTATTTTTACAACACCGGACTCAAGTCAGCTTAAACCGCGCCATGAGTGACAAATGATCGGATGGAAAAATACGATTTGGCAGCAATCTCATCGTATCAAAGTCCGATTTCTTCATGAGCCTCAGTCTTCCCAGCAAAGTGAGTTCTCCCTTTTGCACGTGTTTCTTGTGTTCCGTAGTTTGCGCTCCTCTCCCCCCTGTAGCCGTGTAGAATATATAATCAACATTACAGCAAGCTTTCGAATGACATGTTGTAACCTCGGGCGTCCCGTCAGGAAACCGATGCATGTAAACACTTGTGAACTGCCAGGGAATCGAAAGGCTCCCGTTTTTGTTGTATTTTAATTTCTCACTCTCACAGCCTTTGTCTCCGGAGGATGTGGTAGACACTGGAGTGTCGTGGTGCTGCCTCTCTGAATTATTAGTCTGGGGGTTGAAATCGTTGAAATCGAGGCTGTTTGATTCGGCCGTTTTATGGCGAGATGAATGAGTGTTTGTTCGCAAGTCAAAAACCTCCGATTCGCTTACCGACGTCTCCCTGTCTCTGGCACATGCGCACCTGTCCTCGGATTTCTCTCTTTGTTTTTCCCGCCATTGGCAGCCCGCGGTTACGCCAAACTCCCACGGGAGCAATGGCGTTCGTATGCGCTTCGAGCTCGGCCCACTCCTGGCCTCGGATGACCCGAGCTGTCCAGATATGACCGCCGGGCTTCTGGCAGAGTACTCCAGTTGTCCCGAGATCAGGAAATGATAAAGCGGACTGTAGGGCATACTGTTCATATCCCCACATAGTATGATCGGGCAGCTCGTTTTTGCTTTCCCGTTTTTCGACAATACGGCAAGCTCGTTTATCTCGGCAAAAAGATACGCAAGCTGTGCGAGTTTTATGTCGCCTCGTTTTTTGTTGAAAAGTAAATGCGTGTTTGCGATGCAAAGGAACGAATTCTCCGTTCTGGAAGTGTTGGCTTTCAAGAGTAAAACAATGCCCACGTTGTCTTTATCCAAAACGGACACTTTAGGTGTGTTGTATTCGACCAGTTTATACTTTACCAAAGAGAACTTCGCGTTTCGAAAGAATATCGCACATCCATCAGGCTTTCCCCCGGTCCTCTGGACGAACAATCCCGTATAACCTGGCAAAATGTATATAACGCAAGTCAATAAGATGATAAACACGCCAGACATGGACGCTATAATTAATTTCAAGTCTTAACACTAGCAAAAGTTAAATGTTCTTCAACTAAATTGCATGCAGACTCAAAAGACGATACAAGACCATCGTGAGCACGGAATAAGTAATTATTGTTTTAATACGTTCAACAAATTAAATACCTGCTTCGTGCAGTTTAGGCCGAAACCAATTTTCGTAATGACAAGCGTCGACTTCTTGTAAACACAAAATCTGTCAACATTGAAAAGAATATTCATATATCTGAGATTGTTTGAAATCTATGGTCTCTTGATCCCGTGTGCATGGCGTTTAGGGAATGCTGAGAATTTGCCCAGTTACACAATTGAAGTGGAAAGCGAAAGCGGAGATCGATCGAGTCTCTATTTCGAAGAATTTACCAGGATTTACCAGGAATTTTGAGTTCTTCCCAAGGCGTATTAAAAATAAGTAAAATCGTTTGAAAACAGAGGAAAATTTCTTAAGGATGCATTGCCAGAATTGTTATAGTAAATAAAACATTGTATGGAATATTTTCCCCCTTACTATAGCGATTATGAACAATAAATGTCCATTTAATTAGATGCATAAACACTGAAGGTATTACAGAATCTGTCCAAATTGAGATGTTTGGGGGATAATTCTACAAGTTTTATTTTATGTCAGTCAGGATGAACAGTCCGCTTCCAATTAAATTATAATAGCTGAGCAATCGACTTAACTAAAATCAAACAAAACTAGGCCAAAAATTTGGTTTGATCAACAGCCGGCGTCCTACAACTTGGGCTTATTACCGGCAGTTATTTTAGGCTCAGCTCGTGCGACACAACAATTGACACAGTTTTGCCACTGTCACGTATTCCCATGGGGAGTTTTCAAGTTCTAAATTGACCCTGATCATCTCAGTCCCAAAGTTGAACTTTTGATTTTTCCACACCGTTACCTCGCACACCTTGCAAATACAACCTCAAAAAACCCGCAAACAACTTACTTCTGCATCATAACCAAGCAGCTCTGACAGCAATTTTTCCTTGCGGAATTCCCAACCTAAATCTTCATGATAACATTCCTCGTAAAGAAACATGTTTTCGTACAAGAGAGAATCGGAAAGGATATTATAGGTCACGATGGAAAAACTGAACTCATCCGGACGGCATTGCCCAGCCTCGGGTATTAAGGCTTGCCATTCGCGACGCATGGAGAATTTGTTTCTATGCGAAAAGGCCTTCCCTCTCTCGTCTCTGTGGCCTGACTGGCCTCTCTCTCTCGTCCTGAGCGAGGAGTTGTTTGTACGCATACCATTTTGACTTTGCGTGAATCTTGCATTCCAATGTCGTTGCGCTTCCTGGAATTGCAGCGTATTACTCGGAATTCCCTGAGGAGTGGATCTTGGGTAATGATTAAATGCACTTCGAAAACCAGATTGGAAAAACATTGGATACGAAGCAATTGGCCTGATTTGCCGGGCGCCAAACGCAAAACGGCTCATTGCTGAAGGCAGAAAGCCTTGATGGTGGTTCCGACCGCCTAAATGTGGCCGATACTGGCCTCCGCGGGCCTCAAATGACTGACTTTCGGGATTAATTTGATCCGTGCCAAATGATAATTGCGAATTGTTACGTATTATTGCTTTGTTGACACTTTCGCTTCGATCATATCGAAACTGACTTCGCGGAAAAGAAGCGTTTCTGTGTCCTACAGGAACGCGAGGGCGCACAGAAGGTTGATATATTTCGTTGTACCCTCGTTTCATTGTCAATGTTGATCGGATAGGCAGTGATTTTGGGCTAAAATCAGTAAAAATGTGTGATATTTAATAGTTCGTGCGTCCGCCATATTGGATTTTCCCTACCTCGACTCAGGCTCCAAAATGAACCGCGCGCGTGCGCACGCATTAGATTCAAATAATTTTTGGCTCGCAATAGACGCAAACCGGCAGTTTTCTATTATTTTGTTATAGTATTAGTAACAGAGGAAAATATATCTCAAACCTCGCTGGTTTATCGTGTTATATATATTCTCTCAAATGCTCACTGACGAATAGCAACGGTTGCTGACGCAATCCTTTACTGCCAGCAATTACCAGCCATTACCAGCTCACTAATTGCGACATCAATTATAACGGTGTTGTCTTGGAAACTGAATAAACGGACTTTAAAGTTAAAACATTTTCACGCAGCATTGTATTGAGATTTTTAAAAGAATTCAAATCGATTCTATAGAATCTATAGTTTATAGACCTCAATATAATGGCGGATAACACTTCATTGTTAAGCATTTCAAGAAACTTGGAAATATCCCAAAGCAATCGGAAGAACGTTCCGACTGAAAATGAATCGTATTCGATGACAGGTTGTCCCGACGAGAAACCATCGGAAATTCTCCAGGAAAAGTCTTTGACGAACACGGAAGTAGAAAGAGGTGAGCTCAAATTGCTTTCGTTTAAAACTGTTTATATAATTATAAAAGAATAAATAAAAAAGAAATATATAAAGAATTGGATGCAATTTCGGCAAGAGTAATTAATGGTATTCAAGATTGCTAATGGACGTAACAGAAAGTACACTAGTTATTTAAATATGAGATAGAAATTAAAACAATTCATTATTCATGCATGTCTTGCTTTACACGAATTGTTATGAAGATGAAAGGCTATGACTCTACCAACATACAGGTCAAAAACTTTTCAACATGCCGATGAAGAGTGCCAAGAGAGTTATTGTCAAATATTTCTAAACTAGCTTCTAGTCTGGGACTGACTTTTGTTAGCATCTTTCAGATACAGAAGTCGCAGGAAATCAAGACGAAGAGTGTTTAAAAGCAGAAAAAGTGATCAAAGCCTTGTTGTCAATTTGTGATGAAGTTCAGGACGACCGTGAGCCGATAGAAGAGAATGCCTCGGTTCCTTCCGTTCCAGCTTCGGAAACCAGCGTTTCTTCTGATCCTGTGGAGAAAGGTGACGGATCAAATTCCGAAGACGCTGCAAGCTCTTCATCAGTTGTGGATGGCAACAGGAAAAGGCGAAGAAGACGGCGAAGAATCCGCAAACGTAAAGGTACAGTTAGATAGATCCATTCACTTCATTCATGAAGAAGCTAGCTTGAAGCTGATCGGCTTGTTTGTCTTTATGAATATCCGTTGTACTCTTGGTTGAACTGAAAATATGGATTATTAAAACGTGTGCGAACATTAGCTTCATCATCTCGTCAATCCGTTTATTAACTAATTAGTTAAAGGTACAGATACCAATGAGCTCTCGACAACGGACATCGAAGTTCAGTCGACAGCCAGCGTCCCAGATTCGCCGTCCAGTACAACATGTTCCTCCAGCTTCGAGTGTGCGGAGCCGAACCAGAAAAACGTTGGAAGAGATCAGTTGAGCGTCGAATTGATGAAGGGAACCGATTCGGCTATCTCGCAGGATGAAACATATCAAGATTTCATCACCCAGGATTTTCTTCTGGATCATGAACAACGAATGATCAAAGAGAATCTGTTTATTGAGCATGAGGTAATTTAAGCAATTATACTTAGTTTTAATGCATGATCGATTATTGTAATTTTCTCTAGTACTAATAAACGTATAATACCTTCATAGTTGAGGAATTCCCTACGCATAAAAGTTACCCAAAATAGCTCCCTGATGATTCAAAAATAGATGTTAACTTTACCTTTCGTTGGCGTAGAAACTGGCGAAGGAAGTTTCGAGGTTTGAACTCGAACTTAACGCCCAAGTGGAAAAGTCAGAAGCCATGGAGCAGTCTTTACAGGATCTCAAAACTAACAACAAACTCTTGGAACAAGAAAAGGCTGGTCTGTTGGGTGATATTATTGAAAAGGAGGGTGAAATAGCTTCTCTGAAGGAACAAGCGTTATCTTTGAAGGTGATTTGCGATGAGCTTTGGATATGGAAAAATGAGAGCGAAGAAAAAGCACCGTATATCGAATTGGATCATCTGAAAAGCAAGCTTATATACAAAGAAGATGAGCTTGAATACGCCAAAATGAAACACCAAAACGAGTGTATGGAATTGGCAAAAAATCACGGTTCATATTTAGCAGATATCCTCACCGAAGCACAGGAAATAAACATGACATTGTACACGGCTTTAAATTCTGGTGAGACGAAGCCGGAAATCCACAAGACCAGAAACGTGCTTCAGCTGTTAAAACAACTAAACGAGGATGTTTTAACTCTCTCGGACAAATCCAATGCTTTGGAAGTCAACGTTAAACTACTTCGGAAAGAAATTGATGGGCAAACCAGGATGATGTCGAAATTAACGAACGATAAAAAGCTTTTAAAAGGCGAGGTCGTTCAGTTGAGCAATCAGAACAAAGAACTCGTGAAGGAAAGGGCGAAACTCGAGCGAGAAAAACAAACATTGAAAGCTGAAGGTGTGAGAGCGAAGAGCGCGACGCAGACGTTTAAAGCTCGTGTGGAGGAACTCAAAGCGAGTTCTCGCTCAGCGAAGAGGGAAAACGAGATTGCTCAACGCGAGAAACAGAACATTGTGGCCGTGCTGAAAAACCTTGGCGTTGATTACAAGAGTTTGATGTTAAACCGAAAGAGTGATATGGACAAAAACAAGCAAGAAAATCCTGGAAGTAATTTCGATAATGCAGCGGCGAAAGTTGTAGAGAAGTTGCAAAGAGTAGTTGTAAACACGGACGTAGTCAAGGACGTGAAGGGACTCGACGCTACAACAAACGGTGTCCGTGGGGAGCAAACGTGTATGTTGAATGATATTTTTGCAAGAATAACCAAGCATGGTCTCTGCTTGAAAGAGATCTCAGAGTTGAAAAGCTATTCGAGGAACTTTGAGATGCTTTTTCAGTCGTTGTATTGCGAATGCGGTTGCTATGAAGATCGGGTGATGGTGAAAAACGTTTCGGAGAACTTTCCTCTGTTTGTTCGCTCTATTGGCTTTTTTGGAAAGGAGAAAATCTCGAAGAAGGAAACAATGGGTGAAAAGACGAATGATTTAAATTCGGAAGCAGATGATATGACGATCGCGACAGAAAATTTTATTGACAATATCGAGAAGTTAAAAGCTGAGAATCGCTCGCTCAAGTTAGAACAGACCAAGCTAGAGACGTCCTTGGAGAATTATAAGGAATTGGTCCGTGGCTATTCTCACATCGTTCAAGATCTGGAGGACCGTGTTGCCGGCGCCCGTGAGATGAGGTACATAAACAGTGTGCTCGATAAGTACAGCATCTTGCTCAAACAACGTAAAGACTTCCCGGATTTCCAGATCAGATTGGGAGTTCACATGGGAATCAACTTAATCCACGCGATGTTTCAACGACTGAAAAGTTTCGCGGGAAATCCGTTTAATGTCAACACGAGGTAAATGATACCAATACAAATTTTAATTGATTACTGCACCCACTACTCTCCCCTAGGAACTTAATTACTGCACCGCACCAGTCCCCTCTGGGAGCATAATATGTCACCAATGAAAAGTTGAAAATTAATGCACCCCACAGCTCTTCCACAGCTCTCTTCGATTAAAAAAATTGATGTGAAAATTTGAGTTAACCCAGGGTGAAGCTAACCGGCTTTTGAACAACCGTCCCATCTCATCTACTTCCTCATTATCTTTGATTTGTAGTGTCCCCTCAAGCGAGCCCGTGCCTATGAAATCTACCGAAGAAATGAACAAGTATATGAAGGAAAAGCTTGCGTACGAAGAGTACCGCTTAAGCCTGCTTAAGAACACGTTGGCGAAGAAACGGAAAGAGGCAGATGAAATTGGCATTCGAATCGATGTGGTTCTCTTCGGAAGAGAAGAAAGTCTTTCTGCTGAGTCTCTGGCAAAGGAGAAAGAAAAAGGATCGTTGCATGCGGGTTGCAACAGTCGGGTGAGTGAAAACGGCAAAGATTTTGATAATGCTTTTGGATCAAATGTGTCCACCATTCTTAGCGACGAACTGCTCGCTGTCGTAGTCAATTTGGTGCAGTGCAAAGAGCAACTTCTTCTTGGCGTAGAGGAATCTGTTGAACTTGAGGAAAAGTTGGATAAGCTGGGCGAATCGTTTCGCGAATTTATGGACGTACTCGAAAGCAAATGTTTTAGTGAATGCAAGAAAGCAGACATTGAACTGGAAAATAAGCGAAAGGAAAACGAGTTTTGTTTCAAAGAAGCTCGCGTAGGGCTGCTGGAGAAGCAGATTGCCCTGTTGAAAAGCGAAAGGAAGGCTTGCTTGAAAGCTTTAGACAGATACGAAAAATCCATGGAGACCGAATCAGCTTCAAATAAAATGGCGACAGCGTTGGCAACAGTTCTTTTGGCTTCAAGCTTTCCGAAACCGCCAGAGCCGAAATGTGATTTACAAGCTGAAACTGTAGTAATTGGAACGAAAGTGCAGACTGCCAGTTTAGGACCGTTTGGTAATGGCACTGGAATTAGATTCAATAGGGCAGGAAGTGATGTATAGATGTAATAAGCGGATTGTGTTGGAAAAACTCCTTTTTGTAAACATTGTAATAAAGTTTGATCAAGTTCTACTCGTGTAGAAAATGGCGTATTCGACCATGGTCAAGTGTACCGGAAAACGGCGTATTCGACCATGGTCGAATTTACCGAAATTATCTTTAAACTCAACCATCGTGCACGGAAGTAAGGGGAATGAGAATTTTAGTTTGGTAAGAAAAGCGACGAAGTTTTCATTTATTCATAAGTTATGGACTATGGAGAACAATACAATAGAACAATGTAACAATAGAATCAGCCAATCGACTCCTTTTGTTTGCTTGGGGTAAAACCTAATTAATTAAACTTTTTGTTTAATTAATTCTCGCGTTCTTTATATATTTTTTTCAGAGAAAATATTCAGGATCAATTACAATAAATCGTGATTTTCTGGACCAATTTTTGTTCAATTTATGGAAATTCCAGCCTTACTTGATGGAAATGTCAATTTGAAAGTGGATGCACTATTTTTGGCGCGCTGGCGCCATTTTGAATACTTCTTCAATAACAAAACATTTCAGAAATTTCGGTCATTTTTCGTGTAAAAATCCAGACAGATAATGTCCTCGGGTCAGTTTGAAAATGACGAGGTGTCTATGGTCGATGTGTTGGCGGAAGACAACGAGTTAGAAGAAGAAGCTAATGCAGTATTTGGCGACAGCGATGATCAAAATTGTACTTATGACAAGGTATACGTACGATTTCGGTCGTTTGAATCGATCAGAACTCATGGACGTCTTTTTTCATGATGTTCATGCTTTAGGCATAGACGTCTGTCATGCAGAAGTCTGTTTGTAACTAGTATGCTCATCAGAGTGATTAACCCCCCTGGAAACATTGAAAGATTACATATGTTCGGGGGGGGGGCTGGGTTACTTCTCGTGAGTTCATAGCAAATATAAATCATGGTGAATAGACCTCTCTCTTAGTGACATTAAATGTGAATATACCAATATAGGGTTATGTAAGACGACAAGCACTCTATGCGTGCCTAACCTGCACACCAGCTACACCTGAAAATGATTCAGCAGGCGTCTGCCTGGCCTGCAGCCTTTCCTGTCATGATGGTCATGAACTGGTGGAGCTTTATACCAAAAGGTAATATAAAATTTTGGTAGTTTAGTATTATATCTGAACAAGATAGTGTCCACTCAGAAAAAAGTTGTTTGAAATTGCAGATGTTTGCTCATTTTAAAGTTTCTTTATCCAGGAATTTTCGTTGTGACTGTGGCAACGAGAAATTTTCCAACTTTGAATGCAAATTGCAGAAGGTATTGCCTTATACAGTAAAACACTTTGTAATTCTGTTTAATACCTTGACAGTTGAATCAAAATTATAATTCTCTTTTTTAGAACAAGGATGCTGTAAATGTACAAAATAGATACAATCAGAACTTCAAAGGTCTTTATTGTTCATGTCATCGACCTTACCCAGACCCTGATGATGAGGTACATATGGCACTATACCCATCTTCTATCTTCCTGAAATAGTTCCACAACCCTTTTCAAATATTCCTAACCTACACCTACAAAATGAATTGTTTTGAATGTCAAAATGAGGAATCTTATCTACATTACCATGGACAAAAACATTTTGAAATTTTTCTCATTATGACTTTAGATTGAAGATGAAATGATACAGTGTATCTCATGTGAAGATTGGTACCACTCAAGGGTATGGTGCTTTCTTTAATGATTTACAAAGAAGAAACAGATCTATAAAATTGGTTTTTAAATGGTGTTTTACCACAATAGCATCTTGGTAGTCTACCACCATTCGATGGTGACTTCAGTGAGATGATATGTGACCAATGTATGAAGAAAAGCAGCTTTCTGCAAGCGTATCTACCACATTCGGTACCAAACCAACAGATTTGCACCATTAAGAAAAGTGATACCAATGAAAATGTGGATATTGAGGGTATCAAAGATGTGACAGAAAAGACTGCAGATAGCATGTCCTCCACAGCCAATATTGTTAAAGCCAGTCCTGGAAAAAAGGTACCGGTATTTACTATTTACTGCTATTTGCAATCAAACGCACCGCGAGCCGAATTTTTACCGTTGTTTATTAGCAGTCAACGTTACTTTAACCTCTACTCACAGTTACATAGGGTAAAAATTCTGCATGCGGCGCGTTTTATTGCAAATAGCAGTATGATTATAGTTAGTACTGTGAAGTGTTTCAGGAAATTTTGAACAGATATTCATAGCTATGTTACGTTCGCTAAATTCCCTTAAATATAACAGTAAAACCTTGAAATCCTCAAATTTTCACACTAAAACATCTAGACATCACCCGAAAAAGCGCCAAAGAGAAAATTGAGCGAAAATGCTAATGGAAAGCAGGCTGACATTCTCGGTGAAACATCATCCAAAAAAATATGCCAAGATGAAAATGACAGCAAGGAGAGTGCTGAGAAAAGCAACGACTCTGACAGTTGTGTCTATCAGAAGCTTCTTGAAAATTTACAAAAGAAAGCTGAATGCACTTACTGGAAAAATGGGTGGAGGTCAAAGTTGTGCGATTGCCAGTCATGCAAGGTATGATATGACGAGTATCAAGTATTTACATATCAATATTTAATTGAAAGTGGAATTATTAAGACTTTAATGTACAGTGCATGTTATGCATCTCAAAAATTGTAGCAACAATTTTTCAGGATATGTACAAAGAGCAAGGTGTTGAGTTTCTAATGGATGACTCAGATACGATAATAGCGTATGAGGATCGTGGTCAGTCTCGAAGAGATCAGCAATCCACTTCATATGATTCCAGTTTGAATGCATTAAACAGTCTTGGCAGGGTACAGCAAATTGAGATTCTTCATGGTAAGATTTTTGTAGATCCATGAATCCAGCTTTTTGCTGAAGGGAAGTGTGCCCAATGTGCAAAGAGCTATTGGCCTCATTTTTGCTATTATTTTTGTTTTCTCCCTGTGTTTAGGTTACAATGATATGAAGACACAGCTGACAAGTTACTTGGCAGACTTTGCTAAGGAGGGGAAGGTATGTATGAAACTTCAGGAGACAAACCTATGACATTCAGCCTCAGAGATCAGTTATTACATGGAACATGTAGGGATGCCAGGGCTGGTATTCTTCATCGCATCCTCTCCAACCAATTTGGCACTCGCTCTTACCACAGATATATATTTATAAATTTCCTGAATGCAACTATTGGTAGTGTAAGCTATTTCAAGCCTCAACCTGTACCATTACGCATAAGCCAATTAAAACTTTCTGCATATAACCAGCTCAAATTTGTTGTCAGCAGTATCTTCTGTTGTAATATATTTACAAGTCTTGTTTCTTGTTTTTTAGACTGTCACAAAAGAAGACATCCAAAGCTTCTTTCAAAAACTTCAAGACAAAAAGAAAAAAGACTCTGGAAACATTCCACATTACTGCAGATGATAAACATATTCAATTATTGTTCATAGACATAGTGGTATTTATAGTTTATGCCTAAAAATCAGATAAAACATAGAAGATTATATCATAGTATTATGTCTCAACTTGATAAGTTTCCCCAAATTTAGAACCTGCCTTTCAATAATAAGAAATTTTCAGTTTTAGGTCACTATATTTTATATGTAATTATGTATAACATTCTGTTGACTGCTTTAGATGTTTAAAGTCATTTGCAAGCGTTGTTAATTTCAATTTTGTTTCCCAGAAAATTCTTCCCTGTAATAAACACTTGTTCCATTGTTATTCACAGAAATTGTAGTTGTGACCAAAAAAAATCTCCAGGCAATTATCTCCTTAGTTGTATTCATTCATTTTCCTTTCCTTTTCAGTTTTTACACACTCTGTGAGTTCATTTGAAGACCTTTTATTCAGTTGAGACACCCCATGATTTGTAATCGTCTTTTCGAACATCCATATTCCCAGCAAATTTCTCCGCACTTTGGTAGAACACTGAAAAAGCATGTGGAAATAATTCTGTAAAACGCTGATGTCCTTGGATTTGCGTATGCTCAGTCTTTGGGTTAAAAATTTTTCCAATACACTCACTTTCCAATACGGACGGGTAATCTTTGTGCATTGATTTCCGATAATCTAGAAGACAAAGTATTCGTCAAAATGAAATTGTTGCCGTTTTCATGTCAAACGATCAAAGCAATGAAAACACACAGCGAATATGTTGAATTTTTAAAATAATCATTTCCTGATTGATAGAAGTTTAGTAATCCTCTTTAGTCATCTTAATTGTCCTTTACCTTGGCTTGTGTTCATCTTATGCCAAACTCTGTACGCGCCGACAAAACACCCAAGTTCCACAGCAATCACGAATCTCGTCAAAAACCTTCTCGCTTCTTTGGAGAGCATTGATAAAATGACTTTACATAGCAGCTAGGTTGTACTTAAATATTAGGTTCTGGGTTGTCCTCGCACCTGAGTACCAATTATTTTTCGTTAATGAACTGAGATGGCCAGTACAGGTGATGCAAGGAGTGCAAAGGTACACTATTCAGTCTATTTTTTTAGCTGGAAAAGAGAAGTTAGGCCTTAGGTAATGCTCTCTCCCTGTAGCTGTACCAGAATGATTGCTAATGAAAACACAGTCATTTTCCTATTGATCAACAATAGCTGACTATATTTCTGGGAAACACATATTATAATTAGAATGATGGAGTGGGTCAGTGGGTAACTGTCATATCTTATAAATAAAAAAATCAGGAGTGAAAGCTGAAACACAGAAACAGGTGTATCTAGGTACTGAGTTGAACTCTGTTGTTTGTCCTGATGAACCAGGGCATGATAATTTGGCTAAATACTACTACAGAACCTGTTTGGCAAAGTAATTTCAATTTAGTTGATATAACTAGCACCTATTTGTCACAAATATTTGCCAACCCAGTAAAGTGCATGCTTCAATACTTCAATCCTCAATAAATACACCTTAAACTCTGGTAATCATCTCATTTGTCTGCCAGAAATAAGTGGACAACAGAAAAAGGTACCTTAATTAGTTAGATTTGAGCTTGAGTAAGCTGGGTTTTAATCAAAGAGGGGGGGGAGTGCAGAATCTACGAACAATGGACAACCCCCCTATATCTTCTATAGACACGTAGAATTACAAAATACGCATGCTCACAAAAGTAAAAAACAAAAATATTTCCACAAAATGGCGGATTACACAACACCAGCCATGGGCAACTATCGACGATATTTGAGCCCTTCTTTGGGCGAATTTGATGTGAATTTAATGATGGAAAAGGCGACCGCCATCAGCATTAACGAATTAAAGGGTTCAAAGGGAAGGATCAGTGGTGAAAAGGATTCGTTTGTCGTTGAAATGCCGGAGAACAGTGAAGGAGTTCAAATGTTCAGACAACGAGTACAAGTTGATACAAGAGGTATGTTTTCAAAAAATCTGATTAAATTTCATTGATGATGTGTCTTGAGAGGTGTTGCATGGGTTTTATAGAGTAAGCGATAATTTATGTATGTGAGCGATTAAAAACGACGGTCATTTTTTATAAATATAAACAGAATTTTTATGGTATATAAAACAAAGGGGTCATTTAGTAAATTTTGCAATTTAGGTGGTGCCGTTTCCTCTCAAAGTGAGCATCAACATAACTTGTTGGTAAGAATATAGCATTTCTAGATTGTGTGAAATTAGGTGCAAGACATATTGTAGGCCATGTAGGGTGTTTAATTCCTATATCCTTTCAAATTGTCAGTGTACATTGTACAATGTACATTGTTCATTATTCATTAATTCTGAACTTATCATGATATATAAATGATGGTAAACACAATAGAACATGGTTACCTTGTTGATACTAGACATACAGTTTCAGTTTATTTGATGTTAAAGTGTGAAGAAAACACCTTAACTGTACTTTGGACAATTGATTCTATATTTTTTTATGTAAACAACCCTCTCTAAATATTAGAATCATTACAGCAGATACCCTTTTTTATTACTTAGAGTGTGATCCAACCCTTCAATAGAAAATCATCTAAAGTCAAGAAACTTATCAATGAGTTCCTCAAGTCTGTACTCTCCGAAAAACAGGTGTGATGACTGACCAGTATGAAATGAACTTTCAGATGAAAACACCTGATGTTTTACTGTTTTGTAACATTTTTATTGCAGAGTTGGAGAATCATTTACCTGGGGTGTTTAAATCTTCTATGTACAATCTTCTTGTTTTCATATTGTAGAATTTCCAATAGCATGGGTACGGTTTATTCCTGAGCTATTATATATACATGCAAGAGTATACAAACATATAAATGTTCTCCTCCCCAAAACTGCCTGCAACTATATATTAAATGCAAGGTTTCTTACATTGTTTTAAGCTATGTGATAAATTTTGTTAATCTAATGATTGAAAATGTTTGTATAACTGTATATCTTTAGCATTGACAGCTTTTACCTATCTGACAGTGTTTGATTTCCTCAGGTACTTCATTTTGTTTTGCCAAACATAAAATGAAAATTAATATGTACCCTTCTCTACTTGTAAAGTAAGATATTATATTTTTCATTTTTTCTGTAGTTTGCTGACTTGCTTTCTTTCTGTATGGATTTCCTTGCAAAATCCCAGCTCAAATTTTACTTTTGGGTAAGATACTATTTTATAGATTATGTACTGTATGTAAAGTGCAATGTTTCTAACTGTAGCATAATTATTCTTAAAGGTTTGCAAGGGTTGAGGTTTTAGCTGTCTTTGCCTCAACCATGTTGGCAATTTTTGGAGCTTTATTTGTTATTAAGGAAAGGTATGTAGTTATTCCTTGAATAGTTGGTGTGATAATATGGCTTTTCAATTGTTTAGTTCAATCTGTTTAATCTTAATCTGTTTAACCTTAATCTGTTTTCAATAATCTTTTAGTATGGAGAGAATATTAATACCACCAGAGGTCAACACGTAAGTAGTATAGCAGTGACTATAAACTGACTCTTTAGCTGTTGGCAGCACTTACTTGGGCTTCCTATTGGATTAAAGGAGCAACAATCGGTGATAGTGTGGCATTTTCCTAATCCCTCTCTCAGTATACCCTCTTCATTTGTTTGATAACCAGCTTGAAAAACCTGTTTTGGCTTTGTAGTGATCAGTTAATGGTGGTGACATGTGTAGGCTTGATGGTTCACTTAGTCGTAACATATGGAACGACCAATAAACCATTCAACCAAGTTCTCAAAGGTTTGTTAAATGTAATAATACTGAAGCATATATAGGCACAACATGGGAAATTTTGCAGTCACTTCTAGATTTAAAAAATGCTTTATACATAATATAATTATTTTATTTATGATACAATTATTTGAACAGCCTCAACATCAAATTGGCTTCAAGATGCCCTGATGGATGTAGGTCACAGGTTAGTGATCACTTGTTTTTCCACTGTGCCTAATCCACTGATATTTGGATCTGCTACAGCTTGAAAAGTGTTTCTCTACTTTTCACCAACCACCTGCCATATAGCCATAGTTAAAGCAATTCATTATAGAAGTGACAAAGTATCAATCTTAAATTATTGCAAACAGAATAAGAACTAATAGGGCTGGTTGTTCAATTCCATTGTTTTCTGTCATTTTATTCACAAACACCAGAATTATTGTGGGTCTCTTTCAGCATTTGTGGAGTTTTCCCACCTTTGGGAAATTTCCTGATTGCAAGGGTCAATCCGTTTGCTTTGGTTGCTCTAGTCGGTGCCATTGCTGTTGTTGTTACAACTTTCTGTATCGATTACAAGTAAGTTCTTTGTTTTGTGCAAGGACTAAAAACGTAAAAAAAGCGACTACAATTTTTCAAATACTGTATTTGAAATAGTCTGTATGTGAAATCCTACAGTTATCATTGTTTGTTGTTTTTTTTGTGGGGAGGGGTTATGATTCAGGCTAGTGCTATTGAATTCAATCACAAAGTCAAAATGAAATGATGCATATTGTATCTTCTGTATGAATGACAGTTACATAAAATTTGTGGGTTTTTTTCATTATTTCTTAACAGAAATTATTATTTGGCCGATACATTAGCAGCTATTGCCATCGCTTTGTTGACGTGGGCGACGATGCTTCCTCTCGCGATATACAGTGGTCATGTATTACTACAGGTTGGAAAATAGAATATATTCAATATTTATAGGAGGGGCGGTTGGGTACAGGGGGTCCCCAACCCCCACGCTTATTCCTTCCCGTCCATGTGCGACGGAACCCCCATCGAGTATGAAGTATGAACTAAGCGAATCAGGGGCTTTGGATTGCTTGGTACACGACAAAAAACGCTCAAGTTGTTCCCGATTGATGAGAACAGGTCTCAACAATGTTGTGCTGCACCCCATGAACAATGTCAACAACATGTTGCAATATTGTTAAGCGTAACAAGGTAGAACAATGTTCACAACGTTGTTCATGGGGTGCAGCACAACATTGTTGAGACCTGTTCTCATCAACCGGGAACAACTTGAGCGTTTTTTGTCGTGTATACGAACCCAATAAAGCAATATGACATATGCCTCTATCTTTTAGACATGTCCTCAAGTCGTAATGAATCAAGTTGATAAATGCATGAGAGAGGTACTGTATGTTGCATGAAGTAGTGCATGTAATCATAATTAATTCAACATCTCTCGTGTATAGAAATATATTTTACTTTATACATGTTATATTAAACGTATTTTACTGCGCCGTGATCAAACTTACCAGATTGAGCGTGTCTTTTCACTTGAAAAAAGTCAACCTTCGTTTCTAGTTAAAAAAAGTCGAGCAGAACCGTTATATCTTTCAGCAAACATATCTTAGCACTATCAACAAAGGTCCAATATTTCGAGACGTTGTTTTCGTGTCAACTTCATCTTATATCTCTCCCTTGAAGAGTCTGTCATTAAAATATTTATAATATTCATTAGTGACTCGCTTTTTTAGCACCGGGAATGCAATATAACTTACCATAATGAAAAAGATGGCGGCATGTCGATTCTGAACACAATTTCCTGCGAATTTAATTTATATCAGTCGAGAAAACAACTTTATTAGGTATTATTAAACAAAATTAAAGTTTTCCAGAAAACTGTCACGTCAGTTTAATGAGTGCGGGGTTCTCTTAAGCGAGTTTTGTTCTTCGCTAGTCGTCGAATTTTTGTCCACAAATGCATGATTCTCTACATGAATCTCTACAGCTGTAAGGCTTGTTTAGAGAAAGTGGTTCTCCTTTCAACACGTTCTCGTGCGAAATTGAGAAGAAATTGCAACGAGAGAAGTTGCAAAATCATTTGAATGATAAAAGAACTGACAGGATATTCAATTTTTATCTCTTTGTAGGCTTTAACACTCGATGGGGTTTTGGAGTTTAGGAACGAGCATTTTTGGACACTGTCGTTTGGAACGCTGGTAAAATATCGCATTTTTTACAGGCTTGCTTTGCAGCCATCGGAAAATATTGATTATAAGTTTTTACTACTCATATTAGCTACTAGAGAACCAGTAATTATCGGTATAAGCATTTATAGGTTGGTTCGTTACATGTTCGTGTTAGAAGAGACGCCGATGAACAGGTCAGTTCCGCAGTATAAAAGCTCTTCTTTTGATGAATGCGATAAAGTGATTTAGCTGAGAATGATGCGATCTATTGGCCCCTTAGTTCCCTTAGTCTCAACTTTGATGATATCTCAGCTCGTTCCTATCGATCAGAAGTAGAAAGTTGCAAGTGTAGACAAACTTCAATATGATACTATTAGGGAAATCGACTGCGCCAATAGCGCTCTGTACATCATTCTATTTCTTCACAGTTGGTGCTTGCCCATGTGACCAATAAACTTGCTGGTCATGTCACTGATTTAACCGTGCAAGTGTTTAAAGAGGACTGGAGTCGAACCGGAAGCGCAATGACGTACACGATGCGGACGAACCCCCCTGCCGTGAAATCGCACGAGCACTCGCATCGACCCCCGGTCACCTAGTGAAGTTTGTGAGACTGATTGAAAATCGACCGAATATAATGAGGGATGTCGTCATTTTTTCTGCAACTGAAAATATCACGTCTTCCTGAAATACTTTTTAATATTGACTTTTAAAGTATAGTTGCTCAGTGAAAAACTGAAATGGTTTATGCAAATATTTGTATTTAAAGTTGCTCTAAATTGAAGTTACATTACCACAGGTATTGTTCCTTGACCTTGTCTTTCCAACTAGTTCTGTGTGGGAGCTTACAAACACAGGAAAATCAAAAACTTTTCCTTGTGAGAAAAAGTTCCGCCCAGCAAAGAAGTTGCATTATCCTGTCACTCCTGTTTATTATTAACCGTTGCGTAATATGGATGTTATAGTAAGCAGAGATTAATTTGCTGGGGCTTGATTGAAATTTATCATTTCTTGGTACTTGCAAAAACTCGTAAAGCCTTAAATTAATATTAGTAGCTGATTAAAACGGAACAAGCAGAATGCTTCGACGAATAGAGCAATCGTCGTGACTTGCAAAAATAAGCCGTTAATGTCACATATATCGATGAAATGAATTGAATTGATTTAAACAACTGATAATCACTGATAGCAGTGAATTTAACAGTGGAATTTAATTGTTTAATGTAAAATTACGTCATAAGTTGCGCGTACCTGTTCCTGGTAACGGGTGGGCGAGGTTACCAAGCTTGATAAACCGCTCAGTGAGATTATTGCGTACTTTGAGAGAAGTAAAATGGCTTCCTTTTGAGTTATTACCCAACCGAATCACGATTTTAAAGCAGGTTAACCTCACCAAAGTTCATGACTCGACAGTTTACTGTATATCCTATGAAAGTTTGCCTATCGGTTCATGTTTTAGCGACGTTTTTGGCGCTATAGATACGAGTTTTGACCCGAAACATTTTGCTAATATTGAGTACCGATTGATGACTTGAATGGGTGCATTCCTTGACAAACCGAAGATAGAAAAACGTACAAACTCTGGCAGAGGTAATGGATTGCGATATGCTACCTCGGCAATGCAGGGTTGGCGTGTTGAGATGGAGGACGCCGACACTGCAAGAATAGGACTGCCGAACGGGTTTGACTCATGGTCGTTTTTCGGAGTTTTTGATGGGCATGCTGGAGCTTATGTCAGCAAATACTGTTCAGAGCATCTTCTCGATGCTATCGTTGGGAGCGAGATTTTTAGAAAGGCGGCCGAAAAATCACAAGCGAACGGCAAACAGCCGTCCGACGACCACACGGAACTCGCCAGAGAGGCTGTGCGGACGTCGTTTATCGAGTTGGACAAGAACATACGAAACATTATAGACGAAGGGGAGAAAAGTGGTTCGACCGCTGTTGTCGTTCTCGTCTCACAATCGCATGTGTACTTTGGCAATTGTGGCGACTCGCGAGCAATTTACTGCCGAGATGGAAAGCAGGCGTTTGCAACTGCCGATCACAAGCCTGTAAATCCCGAGGAGAAGAGCCGAATCGAAAAGGCGGGAGGAAGTGTTATGATTCAACGAATAAATGGCTCGCTCGCCGTTTCGCGAGCACTTGGCGATTTTGAATACAAAATGGAGTCGAATTTATCCGCCACGGAACAGCTTGTTTCCCCCGAGCCGGAGGTTTCTTGCTTAAGACGCGAAAACGGCGACGAGTTCTTGCTGTTGGCTTGTGATGGAGTCTGGGATGTTATGACCAACGACGAAGTTATTGGTTTTATCCGAGCGAAAATGATGATTTCCGATGATCTAGTTTTTGTTTGCAACGAACTCATGGATACGTGCCTCGCTAAAGTAAGTATATTTGCATTGTAAAATCAAACTTCACCGTAGTCCGCTCGATATGTGGCTAGTTTACGCTTTGAATATTACGATCTGGAGATCCATTTCACGAATTTCAAAATGTGTTATTTAAAAAGTCATCGATTTCATGCGATATTTTGGCGGCAAGTTTTGATATTTTAGTATTAGAAAGCGCCAATTGCCTTGCTTGAAAAATATGTAAAGCTTGTATCTTTTGCAAGATAATAGGAAGTGATTTAATAATCCGAATGATCTAATCGTGTATGGCTTTTTGCTCCGACACAGCGAGACGATTTGCCGCAAAAATTCTGTCCATTTCTATAAAATATGTCAATTTCGGATTCGCGGTGTACGATTTCGCAGAAACCAGCACGCGTTTCCTCGAAGTGGGTTATTATGTCAATTTGTTCAGCTCATGTGACCCGCATGAAATGTCTCGGGGTTCGCTGTAATTGTGTTCCACTTATTTCTCGGTGTTTTCTTAAAAGTTCTATCCTTATCATACGAAGGAAGTAAAGCAATTCATTAAATTTGTATAAATATGCTGCATTGCTTGCATATTAAGCACTTGCAGTTTCACCTGTTCCATGCTATTTATAGGCATTTGTAATTTCCTATGTTGACCTTGTTGTCAAAAAGCATCTTTTATATTCCATTCATAGGGAAATGGCTTTATCAAATTCTGTTGGGGATTTCTTGGTTAATAAAAACGCGTTCTTACTGTAAATTCCCCACAATTAACTTAGGCATTATACATGCAGTTTGATGAATTCAGACTAAAGGCAGTTTTGTCTTTGATATAGCTTTGTTTGGGTTTTCAATTTCTTCTATTGTCAAATCAGTTTTAACTCAAAATGCTTGCATTTTGACAACTACTTGACAAGATCAGGTTTGCTGAGAAGTCAGCTAGCTCAAATGCGGGTGTGGAATGCACTTCTGATCAACAAAATGCATGAGCAAACTTTGCAAGGAACTAAAGTAGTTATTTAAATACATACTAAAAACATAAAAAATGCAGTGAGTGTGCTGAGATTACTGTTTTGTATAATAATACCAGGTGCAATTTTTGCCCTACTCTACAATTTTAGAAGCAGGTGGTTTGGAAGAAAATGTTTTTGGGTTTAGGTTCCATGTAATTACCTGCCAATGACTGATCTACACTGTGTTGCATTAGAACATCTTACTTCATCATGCAAGACAGTTCAATGTGAATTTTTTATTATTTCAGGGCAGTCGCGATAACATGAGTGTCATACTTGTTGCGTTTCCCAGTGCACCAACGCCTTGTCCGACAGCCATTGAAAAGGTGAGTTTTGAAATACTTTAATTTCTTCCCTGATATTCCTCACCATGACATGGTCAAAGTCCATAATTATTTATGTGCAAATTGTGTGGTTGTAGGAAAAGCAATTAAACAAACACTTAGAAGAGCGTGTAAAAGGTAAATGTGAACTACACAAAACTTTTGAAACTAGTTAATCATCATGGGGTGGCAAGATGTTTGAAAAGCATATTTAGTGCATTTTGTGACTTATTGGTTATTTTACATGATGTAATTTTTCCTATAATATCACTTTGTTTTGAACAGACATTTCCTCAAAATGTGATCCAGATGAACTTGACCTAACACATGTCATGCAGACCCTGGCAAATGAGACGATCGAAGGACTCCCTCCTGGCGGAGGTCTTTCGTCAAAGTATGTGTTTGAAAAGCCTAGAAACAAGTGTTTCTTTGATTGTTTGTGTGAAACACAAAAAAATTTGTATACTTGTTGTAAGGATGTCTTAACATCAATTATGCATGCATCATACATTCATACATCATACATTCATACATCATACATTCATACATCATACATTCATACATGTCATAATTTATTATCAACTCTTTCAATCCTGTATTAGTTCACATGAATAAGTCAATATGCATTTCTATAAAAGTATACAGTTCCTTAAAATCTTAATAAGTTACCATGATATTATGCATTTAAAATCAAGAGGTAACTGTCCATTACTATTATTGAGATGCCAATCAGACATTATCTTGTGATTATAAGAACTATATGTTTATATATTCAATTACTTGCATGAGATAACTTGCATACATCATGTTTAAAAGTAGTTTGCAAAATGATGTGATTAATGTGTTTTTCTTGGAATTTTTCCAGGAAAAACTTAATAGAAGAAACATTAAACCAAGTGAAAGGAGAACAAGGTTTAAAAAGTGAAACATGAACATTTCCTCCCAATTTTGTGAGTTGCTATATTATATTTATATCCAAACATAAAAAAAAACGAATGTATGTGTTTCCATCCCTAAACCGAACATCTGTCCTTTTTGTTGCAGATTTTCACCCCACTAAAGACAGGAATGGCATGTTTTGAAACCCTGGTGAAAATCAAAAGAAACATTATTCGTTAGTGTTGATTTGTATTAGCTGTTGATGATGGTTTGAATCTGTTGGCGAGCAGTACATTAGCATCTTGCATCCTTTCTAATTACAACAAGGAGATATAGCGAGCAGTATGTCATGCGTACAACAAGGGAATTCCTAGAATTACTCTCCCAAGTCTTTTTCCCAAGTACTCTGCTACAAACTTACAAAGCACATGTGGTCATTATTGAGATATGGAGCCCATCAATATACCCAAATATAGGTAATCTGTGCCCCAGGATTGGGGCTGATGTCAGCATTATTTGTAGCAGTCTTGCTGATGTCAGCATTATGGTGACATCAGCATTCATGGTTACATCAATATTTAGATAAGACACAATTTAATTCCGTCATGATTTAGTTGAGAAAATGATTTGTGATTCGGCAGAAAACTATCCTAAAACATTTGCTAAAATTTTTTTGCTGTCGCATATAATTTGAAACACATTTGATTTTTTAAGAACACTTATTACTGAAATTAAATTGCTCAGTAGTTGCCACAGCACTATTTACACAACTGGTGTATAAGTTTTTTTGTAGTCCTTATCATTCTAACATGTTCTTTTTAGTGCTTCAACAACGCACTTTGCAAATTTCAACAAACCTAGCAATACGTCATGTTACGCACGATGTAGCGTATAGTAGAGTAACACAGGAGTGACAGGACTTCGCAAGAAACATGGGGCAGTTAACGTTTTTATGCCGGGGGAGTTTCGTTTGTAGAACTTGTTGTTCGTGTGCCATATTACATCGCTATTTTTCTGGTAAAAATTGTAGAAATTATTTATACCAAACTACGCTGCTAATATATCTCTCGCTAGCCTGTTTACAGAAAATAAATTCATTGCCTTGTCGTAGCGAGTTTGTTGTGGTCAAAACTTTCTTTGGTGGTAACTGACTAGTTAAAATTAAATTATGCACATTTGAAAATAAGATATCGAATGTTTGGAACATAAAAATGTTAAAACATTGAAGGACTTCGAGCTTTTTGTTTTCGTCGGAAATACGAGAATACATGAATATAATCCTCAGTTTAATCCTATCCTGACCCTAACCCAGCAACTAATACCAAGGGTGCCTCTTATGTGCTGAAAAATAGTCAAATGAGATGCCCTATCAACTACTGTTAAGTTCATAGGATGAGTACCACAAAAATTTAAACTTTGAAACGACTTCAGGACAATATGCTAAGTGCTAACTAACCTGGCTTTTGAAATTCAAATTCGGCACTATTTTTATGAAATCAATATGGCAAGCTATTGTGTTCGCTAAAATTTCGAAGACAAAGACAAGCTCCTTTTTAGTACGTTCTTTAGAAAATTGAATAAACATCGTGATTAATTGATGCCGGGTTATTATCTTATAACCAAACAAACAAAACTAATTGAGTAGTTTTCATGTGAATTTTGCGGGCGTGCTGAGCTGAGTGGATGAAAATTAACTTCGCTAAAATGCCGCCATCAAGAAAACAAAAGCTCAAAACAATGGCTAAGTGTTTGGCTAATTTATTCATCTAATCTGGCAGCCTTGGAACAGGAAAATGTGACTCCCCTTGGCCGTCGCCATTTTTTGTGGGAGGATGAAAGTACGGCATCTTAGAAGGCAAAAGAAAGCCAAACAACGTATCAATGATGCGATATTGAGCGGTGAAACGGTAATAATAAACCGTACAACACTATACTATAAGTGGGTGGCAGTTCCAGGAGGAATATTTGCCGAAGAATGGCGCCAAACCACACTTAGGATGAGACGACTTGTTTGTATTGGAACTAAATATATATAGAAGGTGCGTTATATATACTTGAAAACCACACGCTAGCAATATCAAATTCAAAGTAATGCTTATGCTTAGATATAGAAGTGAGAATATTGAACATCAGTTGAAGTGTTTTCTGAATTCATCCCTGAGAATTTAATAAACTGTGGACTGCGGTTTGTTATGTAATGCGAATATTGACCATTGAGCCACACGTGTCCGGACCAATGGCAATAGCAAAATGATATTTGGAGCACGTGGCGTGTGGTTGATATTATGAAAAGTAAGCCGGTTTTCATTGAAGTCTAGTACTGATATACCAAATATTTTTAAGGCGGGTTTTCATTTAACATATAATTCGTCGTAATTCACATCTCCGCAAAGAGTTCTGGTAAATGTAATCAATCTCCCATAAGGCCATCACAGAAAGTTATTATCTCTTATTTGAACCAAACATCGGCTCCTTTTAGCAAGACTGAAAAGAACAACCTTTAGCTGATATGAAAACTAAAAACAGTACATCAAAACAGGATCAAATTCAACCGAATTTCTTCTTTAAAATTAAATATGGCGGACGCGAGTTAAGGCCTGGTCGCACAACGTGAGATATACATGGACAATAAAAACCTCGAATCCGAATACTCCAAAAAATCACTTGGGCAAACGTGGGCAGCCTTATCCAGGGCCTTCTCCTTCCCCTACGGGAGGCCCTGGGTCGTAGTTGGGAACCATACTTTTTCAAACTATGCATGGCCAGCATGAGCTATAAAACATATCAGTTCAAAAAGGTACAAACAACACAACATTGACGTTGAATATTTTGCCGCCACATATGGTCGACTCTCCTGCTGGGATATAATTGCTTTTTAAGTTTTGGTAAACCGTATTCGATTAATTATTGAAACACGTTCATTGAGGAGCAAAATTTATTGTTTATTATTTATAACGACCATGTTACATCTCCCAGTTATTTACGTAAAATCTAGTTATGATTGCATGTCAAATCATTAGGTTTTTGTTAATTTCTGAAGTAATTCGTGCCCAAGGTTTGTCGTAAACTTCTCGATAATGCTCTCGTTCCCAGACTTGACAGCCAAGTCATACGCAGATTCACCCGCCTTGTTTGTTATCTTCGTGTCCGCGCCACATCTGGAAAAAAAAATGAAATGCAAATTGCCAAATGGGAAATCCTGCGACAAGAATAGAATCAGGATTCGCCTAAAAAGTCCCCCCGAAAGTCCTAAAAGTCCTTGAATTGAGTAAATAATTAGGACCTTGCCCTTTAAAGTCATGAAATCCTTGAATTCGTAAGAGTTGAGCTGTCAATTTGAAAAATAAACATTTTGAACGTGCTTTAATGGCTTTTTTTGGTATAGCTAATGCCAGTCGCTCGAATTTCGGATCCTAAAACATATGGCTTTGTCTCAGAGTAGTGCGAAGTTGGAACTTTGCGTTCTTTCCGGCATGCTAAAAGAATGTTAATAAATTTTCTATTTTAAACTGAAGGTTTCAGTTGTAATTAATGATGCATGGTACGAAAATTCTCGGATAGTCTACGATATTCTTACCCCAGGAGAACATCGATACATTGCCGGGCATTTGACCCTTGCAGGACCGCCTCGTGCAGGGCTGTGTTGCCTTTGCTAAAATAAAAAAGAAAATGAATTAGCAAATACATTTTGAATATAATAACAGGGACCGCGGAGCAGGGTGGCTCGCTGGGCTTTAGCCCCACCAATAATTTTTCCGTAATTAGTCTTTAATTTCGAATATTTTTTAGTTCGCTCAAATTTACAAGCCATATTTTTAGCAATTTGCATTTTTTGCTTACAAGTATATGCAGTGTATCTTATCTTAAATGCTATTGTAACTTGTACTTCTTCAACGTATATTTTAATAACCAATTCAAAGAAATGAGTATTCTAATTTCCAACGATATCTGTCGTAATAAATCCGTCATGTTTACAAATGGATTGAAATTAGTTATGTTCAGTACATATGTTTGGCCAAAATAAAAAAAAACAGAGACAGAAACGACAAGCACTTGACCATTAAAACAGCGTGGCTATCCATGTCAAAATATTTGACATCATAACCAAAGCATGCATGGTTACATTGTTTAATGTTTGTATATGAGCGCCAAACATGCTGGAAACTTTACATAGGACAAGCATTTGACCATTAAAACAGCGTGGTTATCCATTTCAAAAAATTTGACATCATAACCAAAGCATGGTTATATTGTTTAATGTTTGTATATGAGCGCCAAACATGCTGGAAACTTTACATAGGACAAGCATTTGATCATTAAAACAGCGTGGTTATCCATTTCAAAAAATTTGACATCATAACCAAAGCATGGTTATATTGTTTAATGTTTGTATATGAGCGCCAAACATGCTGGAAACTTTACATAGGACAAGCATTTGATCATTAAAACAGCGTGGTTATCTATTTCAAAAAATTTGACATCATAACCAAAGCATGGTTATATTGTTTAATGTTTGTTATGAACGCCAAACATGCTGGAAACTATAATGTTCTTTTATACATCGTGTTCTAGATATATATATTATTCGCTCCTTTCGCTATCATCGCTATATTTAGACTAATCTAAATTCCATGAGGGCGTGTCCTTTAGTTTATGCTTGTTAACATTACTATAGAAACTTTACATAGGACAAGCATTTGACCATTAAAACAGCGTGGTTATCCATGTCAAAATATTTGACATCATAACCAAAGCATGGTTATATTGTTTAATGTTTGTATATGAGCGCCAAACATGCTGGAAACTTTACATAGGACAAGCGTTTGACCATTAAAACAGCGTGGTTATCCATGTCAAAATTTTTGACATCATAACCAAAGCATGGTTACATTGTTTAATGCTTGTATATGAGCATGAAACATGCTTGCAACTTTACATAGGACAAGCATTTGACCATTAAAACAGCGTGGTTATCCATGTCAAAATATTTGACATCATAACCAAAGCATGGTTACATTGTTTAATGCTTGTATATGAGCACCAAACATGCTGGAAAATTTATAAAGTATCTACTATTTCCCAATAATCCTTAAATTGAGAGGCATTTGCGGCCATTTCAGAGGCCTATGTAAATTTCAAAATTTTCTCTGACAGGTGCGCGGTTCCGAGCCTCAGCAATACGAAAAACGCTCCGCGGTCCCTGAATAATCACCATTTTGGACATTTCAATTTTTATAAAATACAATATATAAAACGGTATTTTGCTGATCATCGATCAATTCATTCCAGATATATATCATATCGCACCTCGCCGATTGATGATTCACTTCAGCACCTTCGTTGACCAATAACGGAATACAATCGATGTGATTATGTAAGACCGCCATCGTGAGAACCGCGACGCCGTCGCCGTTTTCCGCGTTCACGTCGGCACCCTGCGAAGATAAGATGAAGATCACGTGACGTTAAACAGGCTATGGCATTGGTCGGATGTTGTTCATCTGAAGGTTAGTGGAAGTTTCTTGTCACTCAAAGTATACAGTGAGAATGGTGTTCATGCATTTTTGCTTCGATTTGAGAGGCGACTTTTGATAGATGAGAACAAGTGTATGAGTTACAGATACTCAAATCGCTCAAATGAAGGCTGTGCCTGTAATAGATTTATAACCTTTCACTCGTTTTCATCTATCAAAAGAAGAATTCGCGCAATATAAACTTGGTAAGACATAACCTACCTCGCTTATCAGTCGTTCAATCTCCTCAGGACTTCCCTCCCCGGATTTGCTGAGCTCTTTAAACAACGATCTTGTTTCGTTCTGCAAGGAGAGAAAGTGCAAACGGATTGCAATGCGATTTGGATAAGCAAATATAATAACGGTCATTCCTGACGCTCTAGTAATCTCACGAGTTACATAAAACATTATTTATGTATTCAACTGCAACATTAGCTTCCATTAGCCATGCTCTCATTTTCTGACAGTCTGAGTTTGCATTTCTGAGTTAGCCCCCTCCCCGGTATTCATCGTAATCTGTATGCGTTTAATGCCGGTGAAGAACGCAACACCGGGGGGTGGCTAAATTACCGATAATACACTTTCTTTTGACTTTGTTGTAGTGACTTTCTTTTTCACATTTCGTTTTGGAGTTTTCGTCTTTTTGCCTTGAGCGTCCGAGCTGCCTATATTCGGACAAGATCGAACAATTTCTCTTAGCTATAACGTACGGGGTTAAACAAGGTTACACTTATACAGTTCCACTGTAGCGTAGAGAATGTTTTGAAATATATTCTAACAGCGACCTTTTTGCAGTACAGAATAGTCCAGTTGCGGAGTATAACGGCAAGCGACAGCAACCAATCAGTGAAACTAAAATAAGTTCAAATACCAACCGAAACTGTTCGAGCTTCCCTCGACATCAAGTTTCTTTCCAATTCGTGTTGTAGACGAATCTATCAAATAGAATAACCTGATGCATGTAGTCTCGTGGACTCGTATCCGTGCCCTTCAAGAAAATGTTGCCTATTTCGTAAGATATCAAAATCTATAGAGCTCGGTTAGATCTGTTTTTTGGATATCGCGATCTCGCTCAAGAGATTTGTTTAATCACTAAATAATCCTTAATTACTAAAGCGATATTACCGCACTTTCTAAACGAGATCATGCAGGGTAATCAGAACGCAAATATATATATATTGGTGGTTTCAACGCAAATTGAATACAATTGAAGCTTATTTTAATCATACATTTGAGTGGGGGTCATTCTGAAATGTTCGGTTTTGTTTCGACGATTATGCTACACAAGAGTCTACAAATAATACGAAATTGCACACATTTTCAACAAAGCGAAAACTGCGGAAAAGCCAAGACACATGCACAATGAACGACTAACTTAATACAATAGATCTTTCTTATAATGACGTCAAACGCGGATAGTCTGATGTTACACGAAATTTGATTGGCTCCACAAAACTATCGAGCCAATCAAACTATTTCTATGTTATGTGGTTATATGACTCCGCGTTTCTGTTTCAGAATTCGACCTGTAAACTTTATCAGCCTTTTAAAATACGAGTTCTGTTATTACGCCTGTAAATTCTTCCTGTCAATCCTGTGTGCGAATGACAAACAGGAAGATAAATTTGAGATAGCAACAGGAATATAACTATTGATAAATATGCCATAATTTCTTGATGTGCAATGTTTTCCGGGTTTTATTAATAGCTGAAATACTTGACCCAAACGTTTGGCTGTATGTCAAACATACTGCATGAGAAGGTTAATCCAGCCACGTACGTGGGAATGCTGTGATGTGATTGAAAAAAAAATCGTGTTTCATATGAAAATTTCAATTGGAAAGCTCCAGTTTCTTCCTGTTTTATCGCAGTGCAATTTGACCAAAATGAAAATTTCCAAAATTGCTGGTTTCTAATCCTTCCTGATTTTGGAATGCGGAACTGCGGATCTAGCGAGATCTACGGGAAAGAGAGAAGATGGGCGCATGCATCGGACGGCTGAGCTACGAGCAAGCTGAGACAACTTCACGGTTACTTCGTGGGGTTTGTGATAAACACCTACTGTCAGATAAAACTAATGCATTACAATGCCTTGCTCTTTATATAAATGTAATATACAGTTTATTATTGACTTCTTAAACCTGTGAAAAACGAGGTCAAATTAAATGGACTTCCGCAGTCCCAGTCGAAAGAATGAATACATCCATGCGTCGAACGTCATGCAGGAAAGGTGTTTCTGAGTAACTTGTATTTTAAGTTAGTAATTACTGTAAGGCTCCACTTTGTATTAGAAAGTTGTGATTTGTTTTGCGACGTCCGTACGGTTGTGTTCTTCTCTGTTCTCGGGTCACCGGAAATTAGTTGAAATTTCTGGCTCTGCAAAGGTAGCTAAATTTAGCTAAAGAGTGACGAATAATTTCTTCCACATCGCGCGCGCGGTGAACATAATGATCTCCAAATCCTATTCAATTTCCAAGACAGGAAATTCAGCGATAAGACTCATAAGAGCCGTTTCAGAATTTCTGAAACGAAGTGAATTACTGCTGAAACACTTGATACCAGCTTTTAATGCACAGCATGCATTAATGAGATTTATTAATATCCAGCAAATGGATGAGATTCGATGTTTTTTTCCGTCTTCGTGAAATCTAAGACGGAAAATTCAGCGATAAGAGCCGTTTCAGTATTGCTGAAACGAAGTGAATTAATGCTGAAACACGAATTAATGCGGAAATTAGTTGAAATTTCTGGCTCCGCAAAGGTAGCTGAAGAGTGACGCATAATTTCTCCCACATCGCGCGCGCGGTGCATATAATGATCTTCAAATCCTATTCAATTCCCAAGACAGGAAATTCAGCGACAAGAAATTCAGCGATAAGGGCCGTTTCAGTATTGCTGAAACGAAGTGAATGTTGAAACACTTGATACCAGTTTTGAATGCACAGTATGCATGCATGGGATTTATTAATATCCATGCAGCAAACGGATGAGATTCGATGTTTTTTTTCCAGTCTTTGTGAAATCTAAGACAGGAAATTCAGCGATAAGAGTCGTTTCAGTATTTCTGAAATGAAGTGAATGCTGAAGCACTTGATACCAGCTTTGAATGCACAGTATGCATGCATGGGATTTATTGATATCCAGCAAAAAGATGAGATTCGATGTTTTTTCAATCTTTGTGAAATCTAAGACAGAAAATTCAGCGATAAGAGCCGTTTCAGTATTGCTGAAACACTTGATACGAACTTTGAATGCACGACATGCATGCATGGGATTTATTGATATCCAGCAAACGGATGAGATTCTCGATGTTTTTTTAATCTTTGTGAAATCTAAGACAGAAAATTCAGCGATAAGGGCCGTTTCATTATCGCTAAAACGAAGTGAATTACTGCTGAAACACTTGATACCAGCTTTTAATGGATGGCATGCATGCATGGGATTTATTGATATCCAGCAAAAGGATGAAATTCGATGTTTTTTTTCAGTCTTTGTGAAATCTAAGACAGAAAATTCAGCGATAAGAGCCTTTTCAGTATTAGTGAAACGAAGTGAATGCTAAAACACTTGATACCAGCTTCGAATGCACGGGATGCATGCATGCATGGGATTTATTGATAAATAATCCAGCAAAAGGATGAGATTCGATGTTTTTTTTAGTCTTTGTGAAATCTAAGACAGGAAGTTTTAGGCCATGCACTAGGGGCGTTTCAGCTATATGAATTGGGCGAATGCTGAAACATTCGACAGTCGATTCCATATTTGGATCTACAGCATGGGTTCTTGATGAAATGGGGGATGAGGTTCTATGTAAAATCTGAGACAGGAACTTGAGAGATGAAACGTGTTTCTAGTATTGCTGAATGCTTATTCCATATTTGTACCTATAACAGCATGAGTTCTGAAGCGAACAGCGAACAGATGGTATAAAAAGAGACGCTTATCGTCAACCATTTGCAAGCACGGGTTAGAGCGATACGGTGATTTTGACGTTCAAGACGAAAAGAATCGACCGACGGCAGAAGTTAAAATGGTCAGATCATTTGTGATTAACATCCTCCTTGCGCTAGTGTTGTGTGTATTGATACAGCACTCGATTGCATGTGGCGGAGGAGGTGGTGGTGGTGGCGGTGGCAATAACGGTGGTGGCACCAGACCTGGATATCCTTTTAGAAGTTCACAGAGCAACAGAGACAAAGCCGAGAAGAACTACCCGAACAGCCCGGTGGAGAGGTGGGTCGCGACAGCCACCGGAGACGAACTGCCAAAAATGCGAGATGACTTGGCCAATCGTAAAAAGAAAGGTGAAGGCTTTTTTGAGCGTCACGCAAAGGCTTGGTTAACGAAAGAAAACTGGCGAGTCGATAAAGACAACAACAAAAAAGAGAGAGAAAATCCCGCCAGAGGTTAGGAAACGAAGGCAAGGATTCATGTTGTCGTGTAATTCAAAAAGTCAAAAACTTTTAATTCAAAAATATATAGTTGATTATTACGTAACGAACGTTAACATTAAATAGTAGTAGTAGCCTAAGAAACGCATAGTGTACTTATAACGGTAATTCTGTTGTTTCTGACTCATTCTGATTATCAGTATTATCTGTGTTAGTGTTTAGCAAATGGGAAAAAATAATTAAATCATCTGTAATTGTGTGGTGAACTGGTTGTGAGTACTTCGATTTCTTTAGTGAGCTTTATATTATAACAGGAGTGAGCCGAAGAGCAATCTATTCGGTCTAACACTACTCAGTTCGTAACTTCCAACTCGAGCCTCGTTCGGTAGACACTTGAAGGAAATGCATTTAAAAATGCACGTTTTGAGACTGGAAGTGAGAAATTAGACATTGGCCTTTAAGCCAGCTCTTTCTGACGTATATGAAGCGAATAAGCGACAGCGCGCTCAAAGTTCAAGATTTAGATAAATTAAACTAATTGAATCAGCTGTATGCTATATTTACACTCAGCAAACAAAACAACATCATCACCAAGATGATTGCATCAGAAAAATTGACCTGTCCGAGCTCTGTTTTCCGAGTATCACAGACCCGCCACTAAGTCGGAGTCGCGTCAACGCGCCAGTGCCCAGTGAGCTCTATAGATTCTGGTATTTAACGTAATGAGCTTTTTTACTCCCTTGAAGGGTCTTGTCACGGAAACGAAATCAGAATTAATCATCAGTGTATTATTATCAGTGGAAGCAAGTTATATATAACGTACCTTTGCTTGTAAGCTTCAATTTGCTTTGAACGTTGTCCTAAATTAAAAAGGAAGCGATGCAATCTCGAATCTATTCTATGCTTCCTCAGACTTCAAAATGTATACAAGCTTACAGCTTCGCGTCGAGTAAAAGTGACCGTTAACGTAAGTTCCTCTCCATCAAAATCCTCATGAACCGTTGTAGCAACAAGCTAGAAAATATACAACGCGTATTTAGTTTAAAATTATTGCAGAATAGCAAATTAAGCGATAGTTGCATGTTAGCTACCTTGCCAATTCTTGGTTCTCCAATCATAGCTCGGAACTCAGGGTTATTCTGAGCATGCGCTCTCAAATGAGAACATATATGATCCATCTGTTGCCGCCAATAGCCTGGATTGATCGCAAAACAAAGTTACATGAAGTAATTACGATGCGATTGCTTTGGGTAGAATAAATTCGGCCATCTCAGAAAGAACTGATCTGGGTTCATTCGAGAAGCTCAACATCGAATTTGGGTGGTGAATCCTAGAGGAGAGGGCATCCTAGTGATCCTACCCTGCACCTTTTAAAGGTGTGTACTGGAAGAGAGACTTTAGGTGTAGAAATTCTGCTTCAATGTCTAGCGTCCTAACTCTCATTCAGATGGCCCCCTACCTCTTCCAGGGCTCACGGCGCCCAACAATGGCTTCCTGTCACGCAGGTGTTCTACCCTGGCCCTCTCATCAGCCTCCATCTTTTGTTGCTTGTTAAGTGAAGTACTTGAAGGATAGAACAAACCGCCGGTCTGAGTAGCTTGATTCGCAGTCTCGCAAGACAATCGCGGGACGTCCACTGGAATCCATGTTGTCAGCTTGCTTGAACTTAGTTTCTAGGTGCATGTCAACAACAGTTTAGAATGAGAATGCGGTGGTTAGCTTTTCTGTTTAACAAATAAGGCTTTCCCAAGGGTAAAACAGGGAACATTATCGCTGAAAGTTATCTGCTTTGAAGCAACCTTTCTCTTGCAAAGGTCAATCAGGAAACATAGTTCAAAGGAAAGCTTTAATCTGATTGACATGTATGAAACGCGGTCTATATTCTTAACTCTCGTGAAAGAATTAGTGCGGGAATTACTAATGAATCGATCTGTAAGATCTATCTTGACTATTGATTCAGGGCTACAGGTGTAGGTCGTCCTGGGTCTACTTAAAAACCCGAAATACTCTTAACTCTCGTGAAAAGCTCACCTCTTGAACTCTGCCTTTTTCAACCCAAGTACCAAGCACCGAGTCTAATTTGCTGCAGTAAAGGGCAACAAGATTAGGAATGCAACAAACTGACGATGTTAAACTTCGGTGAAACTAGTTCAATATACCTTGCACGAGGTGGGGGGTCAATGTGGCAGGCACACGAAGCACAGAACTTGGAGTAAGGTTGATTATTACCATTACATCTTGAACATGTCAGATAACTGGTATATGGAACGGGCTAAAAAACAAATGCGTGTGAGCCTTATATTCGCAGTATATCCTTACTATATCCTGTCCTTTGCCCAGTGTTATCTTTTAATAATAAAGATATATATCGTAATTCCATACTTAAATTCTTACAAATTGGGGGGACTTAATTTCTTACAAATTGGGGGGACGGGAGAGGAGAGAAGGGTGCTAGTCGATATCAAGCTATGAATCTCAGGCTTCGCCAACAAACACATTAAAAGTTGAACCTTTGATCCGCACCAATCACAGAAGCGAGCCTCGCCACTGTTAACACGAAAACAATTTGAACACGTGATCAGAGCCTCGTTCTCTTTGGGCAGCGGTGGAGCTGAAACTCTAGACGGTTGTTGCTAGAAATTAAATTTTGCAAACATTGCTTTTAGTATGATTGAAATAAACACCCCGAAATCTGTTCTGCATGTCAGGGGGAGAAGATAGCGCCTATTTCTTTCGCTTTACAAATGGGCAGGCAAAAGAGGAATAGGTTTTCTCCTATTTGTAAGGTTCCAAGAGGCAATAGGAGAAATATAAAAATACATTTTACCTTAGATTTTAGTGGCAGTTGACTGTCGCATGCAATACATCTTGTCATGTCGACAGGATTCACCGTATCACAGACTTCACAAACTAGCTTATCCTAAGACGGAAAAGAAGAATAATTTGTTTTCAGTTTGCCGGCAAAAATCTATCACGATAGACTTGAAGGACGGAACTGACTTCACAATAACGTTTCGCTTTTCATATGAAGAATATTTGTTTCCTTCTTTTTATATTGGTTTATATTATGAATGCTGTGGTGATCATAGGGGGGATAGTGCAATAATTCCACTGGTTAAAGTTGTTCATTCGACGCTAATTATACAGACTACAGTCTAAAGAACTACGAAATCAATACTTACAGGTGACCTGGGCGACCCTTTTGGTATCCGTTGTGGCGACATTGCGGCCTCGCAGACCACACACGTTGGAGCATTAAGAGGCACCATGGAATGACAGATTTTGCACAACGCAAGCTAAATTTAATCACACACTATCGATATAAAATATGAAGGCTTAATTAGTCCAGTTTAATTTGTGTTTCATACGAAAACTTCAATTAAAAAGGTCCGGTTTCTTCCTGCATGTCGTAAAACAGTGCAAACCTAACAAAACTAACTTGCAAAAAAATCTCTTGTGTGATTGCTTTTTATGAATTTAATAAAAAAAATTTGTTTTAAATATTGTCCCAAGTGCATGCACTGGCAACCTCGCTATGACAAATCTTCTAGTGCGTTTTCAGAATGAGGATGAATTTTTTAGTCATATTTAGTCGTATTTTCCTTAAATTTACCTTTTCAGAGTGTGGGGGAGGCAGTCGTGAGGACGATGGTTGAGGAAGTAACGAGCCACAGTCGTTACAATATGTCGAGTACGGATCCGAGGGTCGTGGAGCAAAACAGTAAATACATCTAGAAGTAAGCGAGAATTACTAATGAATCGATCGAAAAGATCTATCTTGACTATTAACCCCCCACTATTGATTCAGGGCTACAGGTATAGGTCGTCCTGGGTTTGCTCAGTTAAAAACCAGAAATCCCTTTAACTCACTTGCTAAATTCAGCGTCGGGTGGCGTCCTATCGCGGGTATTCTGGAACGAACCTCCGTGAGAGCGGTCCAACAGTAAACTCAAATACTAAAAAAATAGAAGCAAATATAGAAATAAACTCGAGTAAATAATTCGAATTTACACAGTTTTGTAGAACATTGAAAGATAGAGAAACGCTTAGCATTACAATGGCTTTATACCTCGGGAGAACGAACGTCTTCGCGTTGGCCGAATCTAAAAGCATTTAAACATGACATTACCACATCATTTTTCGATTGTTAGGGATTTTCTCCAGGTTTCGACGCGCGTTTGCGCACATCATTTTAATTTGCGCACCTCATTTTAATTTGCGCACCTCATTTTAATTTGCGCGCACAGAGTCCAGATAAAGCTGTTTTGCAGATAAAGCTATTTATTATAATCATTTATTTACCTGTCGCTTTTTAACTTCCTCTGTCCACTGTTTGTTGATCGTCTTTCCTCGTCGTAATTTGTCCAGCCATTTTGAGATTGTTTGCTCAGGGAAAGATTTTTCAAAGAATTTGATAGATTGCCAGTTCGCTGCAAGAAAAGGTTGACAGTTATTTTTTCCTAGACAGACAACCACAGTTACAATTCACAGTTCCAACTATTCTGAATATGTCCATCCAGCAACTGATAAGTTCATCTGCAGGGATCTCGCAATCTGGGAGTTGAAGCTAGGAAAATATCTAATACAACCTGTTTGCCTTGGTGGAATTCTTCGGACATTTCTGCTTCATCATGTTGATCTTGAATTGCCTCTTCCACCAGAAACATCTTTGTCACAATAGGACTCTCCCTTGTTCCATCACTAAAAAATTTCAGTTTGGTTTCGAAGATTAACAAACCAGCTAGAGTTGAGATTTCTACAAATGTCTATGGGTTGGGACCCATCAGATGTTGAAACAAACAAACACAGAAACAAGCCTATTAAGTCCTGTGCAATTTTCATGTGCAATTGTCAAAAGTCATGTGCAATTTTCTATTCAATTAATGCCATTTTCTTGTGATCATAGCTGATAGTCAGAGAAGACATCACTAGCTGTTACAAGCTACATTTTTCAATCAAACCTTGATGTTGCCATAGCTTTGACCGTTCTCTTCCCTGGCCCAAGAACAAACGGCTTGTAATATTTATATGTATACTTTTCCCCAATCTTTTGAAATGGATCTGGCTTCGTTCCATTGACGGTATAGTAGATCAACGAACCAGGAGTTTCTATATATTATTAAGTAAGAACTTAGTTTAAAAGATCGAACTGTCCCTAATAACAATAGGGGCCGGTTGTTCAAAGCTAGGTTAGCACTAACCCTGGGCTAAATTTTACTTGGCTGTTTTGGTTTATATGCTTCTGATATATTGATATGCTTATGATATATGTTCATATACTGACTACTGAGAAAGACTAAATCTATAAATAATTTCAGCAGTTGTCATGGTAATGTAAACAAATGCATTGATCATTATATGAAGCACAAATTAACAAGTACAATACTACTTAACCCACAAACATTCAACTCTCGTATCGCGAATAGCTGTACATTAACGACGATCTTTAAAAGCATTTGCAAACATTATAAACATCTAAAACAGTGTGTAGCCTAGTTTCCGGACACTGAACTTGCATCAATCGATTACTATACATCGTTGGATTACAAGTAGACGGTTAAAGCTTTTACAGTTTTTATCCATTAACCATCACCATTTTATCGCAATAGTTGAACCGTTATCTCGTAGTTATAAACAAAACAGACAGCTCTGAAATTCTCGCTAAAAAATTTCAGGATTTTCACCTACCTGAATGTATTTCGATCGGAGTTCTTGTATCGATCATATTTTTCCTGCTGCTTGATGGAGGCCGCAGCGGCACAATCGTAGGAACTCTAACCATCCCAGCCGTCATGATTACATGTAAAATATATTTGAAAAGAATTCAATAGTTTTTACTATCAACAAAACATTCAAATTTCAAAATTTGAAAACAACAACGTACAACCTGCGAACAGGCAATACTATAGACACTGATCTCCTTTATATTACTGGAGGATGAAATCGAAACTAAACGAATAGGTACGCTAGCGTACGTACGTTTCTGGGTAAGCATTCTTGCATTTTTACTCCGGCGTCAGCGACGGAGTTGAAAATTCGCCTCGGTTTTGTTTTGTTTTTGTTTTTTTTTTTTTATTTTTTTTTTTATTATTTTTCGTCGTCGCAAGTGTGTAATGGCGCGAAACATTCTAGTATTTAAATGTGTATGTGATTGGATTTATCTATGTCCCAGTCTTATCTCCCAAGAGTTGTGGTGTACAGCTTTGGCTAATTTTCCGATGCGCGATTCGATTTCGCTCGCATGATACGGCAATTCCTCCAAGAGGAACAAATAAACCGTTCTTTTCATGCTTTTCGATTAAGTTTAGACTGAATTGGGGTAAGAATATATTTAATACGTGTAGATTCTGGTCCTATTTTAGTAATATCGCTGCTATTTCGCCGTTTAACAAGATGATGTGGTCGTGTATGGGCGCTTTGACTCGTCGTAGTTTGCACAGGATTGAAGATTTAATATAACTATATAAGCGCGAATTCCAAAGGCAAAGTGTAAGACAAAGCGAATGTATTATACCATTTATTTACATTCTTGAACGATTTAACTTTTATACTTTTTAAAGTACGATGTGCTTCTGAATTTCGCGATCGAACATTTAGGTTCGCAAGGCATCTAAATGCGAATATGAACTGTATTGTTTATGTTCAGAAGCTCTATATTGAAAACTGGCACGTGCGCCGGAGTTAACGCCAGAACAGGCGTCTTGTTTTATAAAAACTGTTTAGAAAAACCATTTAATGTAAGGGTCATAAACGCGCTTTGTCTGAAAAGGGAAGTTATTTAAGGATAAGTTAAATTTTTTGTTGATTGAGTAGATTAAAATAGTCAGTTGAGACAAAAGAACGATTTTCGTGACTCATTGAAAATTGAAATCATTGATTCCGTCAGTCAGATAAAGATCTATGATAAGGTGCGTAGATAAAGAGCTATCAAAATCATTGCTGATGAAGGAGTTTTTAGCAAAAAACCTTTACCAATGGAGCAAGCATACTTCTGAGCTAGTAGGTTTGTAAGTAAAACGCAATTAATGTGTAGTGTGGTTCATTTTCAAAATTCAAAATTCAAAATATATTTTTCTTTATTTCTTTCTTTAACTCTATCTCACACGAAAATAGCTCGGTTTTTAGTTATTCTACTGATATATCAGTCGTACAGCCTGCTTTTTAACTTTACTAATGTTCTGCAACACACGGCCTTATTTCTTTGTCTCAAAGTGATCAGATCTTGCTCAGCCAGCTTAGGTGACCATGCAGAAAATAACACTGTGTTTTTCGGGTAAAATGCAAATCTACCTTATTAAGGCAGAATTTTTGCAGGTCGTAGCCTGTCAAAGATTGTGCCCCATTAAGTGAGCAAACAAATGGTTTATTAAAAAAATTGACACGGCATGTGATTAATACCCCGCATTTTTAATAATTCAACGTTGAGTCAGCGGAATGCAGATGATAAAAGTTCTGTACGACACGATGGCCTCATTATAGCCTTCCGTTTATGGGCAAAGCATTGCGACAAAATGAGCAAGGTTTTTGAATTAGTAAGAAAAACGGCTTCCCGTGTTTACAGATCGCGAAAATATGAGGCCGAGGAATCTCATCAACTTGAAGACCAGGAAATCGTAAAATATTCATCCTCGTGTTACAACTTGTACCAGGTAGATTGTTACTTTTACTTGCTCGCAATGTAGATATTTTCTAATTTCTAAAATTGTGTGCCGAATATCACGATGAATTGTATGCTGAAGGTTTATGCACTTACTAGCGCCCATTGTTTGTTTACTGAAAATTTTGAGCGGATTCAGTTACTCGTATTTGTCAATTTGTGCATGCATTCGTCGGCTCTCTCTCCGACGTTGTTTGCAAAAGTATTCATCATTGAATTTAAGATTGTATCATGAGTTCACTTTGCGCCTATCAGAAGTCACTAATTTAATGTTGGCGTCTCATACTGAACACGCATTGTAAACTTTTTAAATCAATCATTTTTATTTTGTTTTTCTACTTAAAGTCTATACGCTGTCGCTACAGTAAAGTTTTTAATCTTTCACGCAGGCAGACATAAACTAAATTTACTCTGTCAATTTGTGCTGGAACACCTAGTTCAAATATCCTCAAAAGATAGCCGGAGATTGAAACCGAAATAAGTTTGACAAGAAACCGACATCAGCTACGCGACTTTTGATAGACATATTTTCTGAAAGAGCGCAAAATATATGCATCTTTCAGACAATGATTTCTGTGTTTTCGATGAAGGAAATTGCTTAGGTTTTTTGGCTAAAACGAACCTCTCTCAAAGCGGATCTGCACGATCTATCTAAACCGTTCGTATTAATGGTATTTTAGCGTCCATTGTTTTCTCATTAACCTATGAACCGCCGTCGCAGGCTCGCAGCCCAGGTATTTGCGTACGGCTTTCCCTGAAATAAATGGCTCTAGATTTACCATGTACAGATCGAATATTCTCTTCTCTCGGTAGTATAAGGCATACTCAACAGTTCAGGCTGGGCGAATATAGCTGCCTGTAGTTTCTGCTGATCAGTTGAATATTTCGAAACAAAAATTTTCGCAGTTCGCTGTTGTTCTCGTATTCCGTATTCATATAGCAAACCCCCCACTAAATTTGCGGTTTTATTGATCATCGGGCAGCAAGGCGAAAAAAAAACCCCCGTGTTTTTAAAGTGATCATATTTACTCGCATGCAGTATGTGGTAATTGGTTCCTACGGAGTAAAATCGATGTGCAAAAATCTTAATTTCCAGTGGGCAAATCTTAGTGGGTAGCGATCTTGAGCAGAATTGCCCACAATACACATTGTAGACTTCATTTAATTCCGAAGTCGCGTGTCAAGAAAGTGTTGGGATTTGAGAAGACTTTCTTCGGATAGATGTTTAAGCATACAGAAAGCTTGCTTTTCCAAAACCATATTTTGACAGATTTCAATTTAAGAACCGAACGGGTTTTCACTGACGCCGCTCTAGCTATTTTGCATAAATCGGTCTCGAGGAAATAACAAATTTTAGTAATTATGAACGTTTAAAAAACGAGAAGTGTGGACATCGCTGTAAATTATCAGAAAAATTTTCCATCCTTGAAGGTTTAGAGAGGGATATGCCGTATCTACCTCCACCACCCAGCCTTGCCTACTCCCTCCCCCACTCCGCATATCGAGACCTGCTTGATTAGAATGAAAATGAAATCGTCGAAACGAAACCATTTTTCAGATATAGCGGTTTGTATAAGGACTCGCGGTGACAGTTTTTTTTTTCAAATCTGATTTCTGTTTACTGTAAGCCACAGAATGAAATTGATATCAGACGGACAGTCGATGAATAAAAATTATTTGATTTTGATTAGTTTTTGCCAGCGTGTTGCAAATGACGTGTTTAATTCTGTATTTTACCGCATGCATGTCATAAAAAAGTTATGAGGATTAGCAATCGTAATTACACATGAAACAGCTGCTATGCCAGCGAACCGAAAAGTCTCGGTTTAAGGCCAAGAAAATTGATGAAAGTTTGTTGCGAATCTACCTCGGACAGTGGATAAAGGCTAGTTTCCACTTATGAAAAATCTCCTTTGGATCGGAACGGACAGGAAAATTTCCTTTGTCGGTTAGTTCCCAGGCGGCATGTATAAAAAGGAAACTTTCCTGTGCCGTGTCCGATCCAAAGGAGAATTTTCCTGAATGGAAACTAGCCTTAATACTCATATGTGCACAGTCCACAGTGCTGTGCACAATCAAACATTTTCTGTTCTTCTACAGTGGATTGAGTACCGCACGCTACAACCAATACTGTGAAATTACAGCGACTGATTTTTACCAGAAGCCTGTAACTTTATAGGAATACGTATAACCGAAGAATACGCACAGTTTTCCTGTAATTTATCGATCGTTGCAGTGACCCCGCGGCAAAACAATGCGTTATCTGTTGCAATGCAGGATTTGTTTTTAATAACAACACTTTATCTTCTATTCTTAAGAATTACAATTAAAATGCCCCACCTGTGTGGAAAGGATAAAACGTTAGATAAATGTTGTTAGGTGCAGATATATAGGGGAGGTTATGAGACAACTCAAATCATTACCTATATTGTGTTCGATGTGTTCGCTATCAGCGAATGAGAAACATGGCATTTAAAACAGACCTCAGTAATAGTGCCTGACTGCTGAAGTCACTGAGCTGTTGGCATTGCAATAGGCTGCCTTCAGTTGCATGCTCCCCCCCTCCCCCTCATCCACGTGTACACGCACGGAAAATTTATTACATTTTCAACGCTCCTAATTTCTTAAAATTCAACTGTATCTGTAATGTACTGGCGATCCATTTTATATTCGCTTGTGTTTTTCGCAGGTATACTATACAAACTATAGATTTCCACTTTAGCATGCGCGTGCATGTGAAAAACGCCTGCCGGACTGCACGGAACGCTGCTGCCTGCTTCAAAAAGATGTAAAACGCGTACTTGCTAAAACGTACTTAAAATTGACAACTATCGCATATAGGGAACCATGTTCGGATCGCAATTTACTCAATTCCACTGCCTGGCTCGACAGACGAAAATCCGGTGACATGCAGTTGTTGACATGAATGTACAATGATGACAAATGTGTTATCTGGTGAAAAATCAATTAAATGTTTATGAATTCATATAAAGTCAAAATACATGCTTCATCAGATGGATATAGATAATTGCATTTGCATGCATATAGATGATTAATTTAGCGCAGCAAAGTTCATGACAAATACATGGTTTATGAGTTGAAGAATTGATATTTCAAATGCATGGTTATTCATTATCTTTCGTAATTTTATACATGAGCAGTGCACTTGGTAATCATCCATATTTAAACCTGTCTCTTTGATTCATAACTCTCAGCTGTTATGTCTCGCTTTAGAATTTTCAATTTGGGAATGATTTATCTTCAAGATGACAAGCATGAAACATTTGCGAACATTCGTATATTTGAAATTAGATTGATAAAAAAGCATTAAGGCCGGCGCACACTAGAGTTATGTGCTTAGCAAAAAGTCATTCGTGGCCATCGGCGTAAGCCAGTTGCTCTCGTGTGCGGGCGACTTTTCCGGCGACTTTTGGCACGAACGACGAAAGTCACTGGAAAAGTCGCCCGCACACAAGAGCAATTGGCTTACACCAATGGCCACGAATGACTTTTTGGTAAGCACATAGCTCTAGTGCGCGCCGTCCTTTACAGAGCTCCTACCTCACGACTCCAAAACAATTAATAATTTTCTCGCATTTGCAAATGAACAAAATCGTTTGCCATGAAAAAAAAGTTAGCAAGATAGTTGTTTAAAACAAAAGTGAATAATCAATAATGTGTGTTGCATGAATCCTGCATGTGAATAGGATTGTTACCAATGGTTGTTGCAGCCACAAATGCCGTTGCAACGTGTTTACCATCATGTCATCATGTCGAACAACTTTGATGGTCCAACCATTATTAAAACAATATCGTCGTTCATGCATGAGGGTGCAGCACAACATTGTTCACTCCCGATGCGACAATCTGTTCAATTTTTGGTTTTAATAAAGAAAAATTGATTATACTTGTTCAAGGCGTGCATCGTTGGAGACATTGGTGCGGTGAATTATTACATCAGCGTTAGGCTCAAAGATGTCAACGAACCGGACAAAAATGGTAGCACAGCTTTGTTTTACAGCATTCAGAAAAACCACGTGGTGCTGGTGAAGGATCTCATAAAAGCTGGAGCGGGTATGAGCTTAGCTATAGTTAAATATCACAAAAAACAGTCAGGCAGTTGATTCCCATCGAATGTGGTTATTGGTGCGCAGAAAAGAACACAAATATCTCGGGAATGTTAAAATGATATCGCTTTTTCTTGGGAATAACTCGATAGAAAAACTAGCTCTCAATTGTAGCTGAATAAAGTGTAAAGTCACAGATTTGATTTTTCCAGAAAGCCTTTATCAAATCATTTATAGGCACAATTTAAACCATTTAGCTAAAAAAGCAACTATATATACTACTTCCAACATGAAAATATGACATTCTTTTTTCAGACGTGAACTTGGTGGCAAGTTTAGAAGAAGGAATAATGGTCACTCCAGTGCACATCGCAGCCAAATACAACAGATGCGAGTGTTTGAAAATCCTCTTGGAAAACGGCGCTGATGCCAACATCGGAGATTCCTTTGGACAAACGCCGTTGCATACCGCCGCAAGACGGAAACTCAATGAAATGGTCAAGGTAAGGCAGAGGACAGGCGTACGTTGCTCGATCAAATTCACAGCCAAATTTAACCAATCATAACATGGCAGGAACTCGATCCGGAACTAAAGGGAACAGTGGTACTACACTGCAAACTTCTCAGCATAAAAGTTCCAATATAACCAGGGGGCAGCGTGGCAGCGTCTTCAAACAATTTAGCATCCAATGTGGTATAACAACTGCCTAAAATAGACAAAACACTTCTCGACGTTTCGACCTGAGGGCCTTCGTCAGGAGAGTTAGTATGATAATCATACTGTTAGTATCATACTAACTCTCCAGACGAAGGCCCTCAGGTCGAAACGTCGAGAAGTGTTTCGTCTATTTCAGGCAGTTGTTATACCACATTTGCATGATGTTAAGCTCTTTTCAGCAGAAGTATAAGAGAGAGAAAGGGCGCATCTTCAATTGAAAAGATTGCGAGTGCAATTCGTCAATGATCTTTTTCAGACAAGCTAGAATTCCATGCAGCTAACGATTTTTGGTTGTAGCACAAACCTTTCCCTTTAACACAGGTCATTGTGAGTAGAAATCTCTCGTGTATGATATAGATTCTAATCGTGGATGGCAAGGCAAACGTGAACAGTGCTGATCATGACATGGTAACGTCGTTACATCTGACTGCTACCCCGGGAAATGACTGCGAGAGACCGACGGTTGTGAAAACACTGGTATGAAGTAAATTAAATCTATACATATCAAGCTATAACTTGGAAGGAAAATTATATGTTTGATCGCATTTTGCGGTCAAAACGTGAGTCTAAAACGAAGCAATCTCTATTGTGAATTAACTCATAATAGAAGATAGTTATAGTTTCTAAAGCCATTCTGAATCTCGTATAGCCTTATAGATCTATTTCTCACTTCGTGACTGTCTCACTCATGCAGTCTGAGGCTAGAAACAGTGCAAACCAAATATTTGTTGTTGGAATATTAAGCCCCTAAAAATGCAATCAAATTCACAGGTTTTTCTACATTAGACATTATAGACTCAATAAGATTCGTCCCGACAGAGCATGCATGTGTACAGAGCAATATAACAGTGTGAACTCCAGGAAAATATCCATATATAGCCGAGTAATTATCGTTAATTACTCTTCATTTAGCTTGATTGCGGTGCGAATCCGTTTTGTCAAGACAACGAGGGAAGCAGCGTATTTCACGAGGCTGCCGAAAATGGCGTTGATGATGTCTTGGAAATATTATTTGAATATGGAGGTAGATCATACGAAAGCTATTCAATCGAATTCACTTCATAAAATTCGCTGCTTGAGTCAAATATTTGCTTGGGAACCGCTGATAGCTTTATCAATCTATAGTGTATCTATAACATGGGTATATATCTCTCAGAATAATGCAAGATCTTGCTGTCTAAAACCAATAGCTTCTCTTCACTTTTTCCATTTGCTTAGGTGTTGACACCTCTTATAAAAGCACCTCTCTAAATCGGAAACATTTCGATACAATCCAGTTCTTCTTTATAGCTTCAGTTTATTAGGTCACAGCTTTAATACAGTTACTCGATGTGACGAACATGCAAGACCTTATAGTTTCAATAGTGCGTTTCAACCCTTTAATCCAACTCTCCTTGCATTCAGGTTTCCACAAGGGCTCGTATCTTGGCGTGGCGGACGTCTTGAATAAACCGCGAAACGATGGCTGCAATTGTCTACATCTTGCTGTGAAAAATGGTCACGAAAAGGTAGACTACAATTGTAAACGTATTTCTGACGAATCCCATTGGCATTAGTAACAATAGATGTTTATTCTAATTGTAAACAAACCTAGAGCATGCAAAGTGCAAGCTTTGATTTTGACGCAGAACATATTCGAGTCGATGTAAACAGCGATTTTTTTATTTTTTTCGTAGTAATTCTTGTCTAGATCTTGTTGTGTTTTCTGGCAACCGTTGATAATCCAACAAGTCGGTTCACAATCTGACAATCTTTTCCCATTTAGGTGGTGCAAATGTTCATTGATAACAAGGCTAACGTGAATCAAAAATCGGTAAATTGGAATCTTTATTTCACTATCTCTTAATTCTTCACACTTTTCATGATAATATGATCATAGTAAGCTAGCAGGTTCGTCTTTTCGATAAGTGAAATAAAGCTTTCACTTGCAGGTCTTAAGGCTCGTTTACACTTGCGATTTTTGCTTCGATTTAATGTGCGATTTTCTCCTTTCGTTAGATGTGAACGAGTAATTAGTTACGAATGTTCTGAATATAAGAGCTTGTTAAGTTTCGTAATGTTGCCATCTCTCTATCTTGAGTCAGAAGCACAACATACAACGTTTGGAAGCTTTTTCATCTAATGTATTTGTTACAGAATCACTCGTATTTATATGGTTACAGCAATTTGGATTAATCTATCTTTACACAGTTATTTTACTATAAATGGAATACAGTTTTGATAAGAGAATGAATATACTTTTATGGTATGGTATGTGACTGTTCAGTCTGAATATCCCTTTTTGGTTACATAGTTTTCTCTATACTTATTTATATATATGTATTTATATCTGAATCTATTTTCGATTACTGGGGTCTTATTTTTGGTTAGTCTATATGGTTAGTCTTTATTACGTTAATCATCACTAGTCTATTTTTGTTTAATTGGATATATGAGCACATACTTTAACAGAGCTCTTATTTGAACTTCAGTAACTAATTCACTCGTTCACATCTATTGAAAGAGGAAAATCGCTCAAAGTTCATTCGAGGGTAATCAGCCCTGCAATGATAATCGTTAACATTGTCCCAACTTTAGCAACTTACACTTTTTATAATTTTCTTTTTCAAATAGGGCAATGGCGACACTCCGCTGCACATTGCATGTGCCCGAGGTCATTTGAACACGTGTAAAATCTTACTGGAAAACGGCGCGGACATCTGCTCTACAGATTCTTCAAACATGCTGCCAATTCACAGGTACGGAGTACGTTGGTTTCATCACTGAGGATTGTATTGCAAGTTCAGTAGCGTAGCCAGCCTGGCCATTTAGTTCTGCTATGTCGAACATTTTGATGTTCTGCTATTTCTAAAGAAAGATAAATAAGATAATAATGGTAATAACTTTTTGCATATCGCAAAACTAAATCATCAGGTTGGCCACGCAACTGCTAGATACCTAGTTGTCACTGGTCGAATCTCTTAGCTTTTCATGTTTTTCGCTGGTAGTCGGACAAAATTAATTGACGAGTAATGCGTCAGCGGAACTTCGAAAACGGACTGACTTCTGCACATCGTTTTTGACGTGGTATATCGAGTTGCATGAGAACAATTGAGATTTTTAGTTCTGTTTGTCACCAGCGCCGAAGAGCATGGTTCGAAGTGCTTGTTAACAATATTGCATCAAACTATGTGGTCGTTGTTGTTCGCGATTGCCCTAGTTTCTTGGCATGGTAATAGCCAATCCTTATACCGTGTGATGGTTGTCTCCAAACAAAGAAGTTACTTCAGTTGCAAAAGCAGCTGGAAGTTCTTGTGAAAGAAGTTATGTCGTTGAGGAAGAACAGTGAGGGTACGTAACAGAACTTTTTCTTTTCTTGCGGTCCGAATTCATATTTGGCGTTTCCTGCAATCGTTTCCTTTCAATGATACGCGAGCGGTCCGCGCGAGATTTATAAAATATATATATATATATATATATATATATATATATATATAATTTATATTATATATATATTTGTACTTTTTGCTTTAATTGAGTCATGTGTTCACTTGTGGATATATATATGTAAGGTGTGTTTGTTCTTCTACACAAGCATGACCAACCGGGCAAGCAGAAAATTCTACTTGACCGCGGTGGGAATCGAACCCGCGACCTTCGCGGGTTCGATTCCCACCGCGGTCAAGTAGAATTTTCTGCTTGCCCGGTTGGTCATGCTTGTGTAGAAGAACAAACACACCTTACATATATATATATATATATATATATATATATATATATATATATATAATATATATATAATTATATATATATATATATATATATATATATATGTTCCAGTCTTATTTGAGTTCACTGGTGTGAACCAGGCTTTAAGGACAATATAACATGCAGGGAGCAGCGTGGCAGCGTCTTCAAGCAACTTAGAACCTTGACGTTTCGACCTGAGGGCCTTCATTAGTAAAAAACAAAACTGAGTAATTCCACAGACGTAATTCCGTTAAGAATGGCGTGAAGCTCAGAAATATGGTTATTTGAGGTGCATTTTTGAAATTGATGATAACCTATAAGGACAGACGCAAGTAAAAAAGTAGAGAAAAACGAACACGAAAAATTTGTGTTGAAGTATTTTCTGCCAAATTTGGCAAATCTCTTGACCTTTTGCACTTTGACCTATCGCTACGTCATAAAATAAGCACTAAATCGCGGAAACGAACAGGAGGAGACCCTTTTTTGTAAATCATGCGATTGTCACGAGTGCTGATCGTTGATCACGAGCGCGTGATTAGTGATTACCTAATACTTCATTTCGTTTTCTTCAACATACGAATCGCTTGTAAAACGCAGACAATATTACTACCTGAAGCTAACGCAAAACTAAACTCTAATCCTAATACTTAACCTAACCTCAAACATATCATAAAAATACATTTGAAAACGGAAATCTAATTTCAGTATGTCATCCAAATAATATTCCCAGGAGTCCCTGTTACCCTAGTACGCCTATCCTTTCCTAACTAACCAATCATCGGCGATATAGTGTGTGAAATTAAGAGTAAATGTGCCAATGTGGTATATTGTCATATGCAAATTAGCAAATTCGTCATAAAAGGCGGTAATCCGGTTGGCTACGACATTCTAGTTTTGTCTCTGGGCAGATAACCTTCTTTCGTCAGTTTAAATCGAAAAGGAAACTGCATTGAAACTTCTAAGGTAAGTTTATAATCTTTAGTGTTGTGACGGTTGTCTCTGCCGACAGGGCGTAGTTAGTTTAAATGCTCAAAGAAACACAAAAAATATTTTCGTGAACTAAGCATACCGATATATTTAATTTTACTTCCGTATAGCTGGGAGCTACTTAGCGACAAAATCTATTTAATTTTTGTATTCTTAAATCAATTACCTATTGACGAATCTAGTCGAAAAACTTGTTATATATATATATGGTCAATGGTCATGACAGCCAATTAGTCTAATTTAGTTAGTCTTTGAACCCCACAGTTAAGTGAATCTTCTGTAATCGAGTCAGGAGATCACGAGACACAAGTGCAAATCGAGTCAGGATATAGAGATATACGTGATGGTTACCCCAAATTTAGTTCAGTCCCTTGAATTAAGTTACTTTCGATTCGGCCATAGCATTTGATGAAAGACCCTTTTTTTCCAGATGTCGTTTGGCGTGAAACTATCTCTAGCAGTGATGATGACGATGGTATTGGTAATGTGGCTTCCGCAGTCGGAGGCAGGCATTGGCGATTGTTGGGCAACATGGAGCCGCTGTACTGAGTGGAGCCGGTTTTTCACAGGAAAACTTTGGCTGAGTTGTCAACAGCGTTGTTTTTGTCTTGGTTATGCAACTGGAACATGTGTATTGACGCCTTCCACCTGTCCATTTTCGGATAAGGCTTGGCAATGTCAGTGCTCAGGACATAGCGGTGGCCCCAAACCGTCTTGGTGTGGATTTTAAAAGAACCAAACGAAACATATAAGATTGAAAATTACGCATGCAGTCTTATATGAAACGAACTTGTAGTTGAGATCATTATGAAATGCAAAGGACAATAATTATTTCTCTATTGTAGTTAAAGTATTTTCAATATGATAACTGACCAAACCATAACTAACCAAAAATGTTGGTTTACAATATTAGCTTTACCTCACTTTTACCTTAATTAATTTACATGTAATTTTATCAGTGAATAAAGTATTGGTTAATCTTGCTTGATTATTGTATTCTGTGCCTTGACATCTAATAAAATAATAATAATAATAATAATAATAATAATAATAATAATAATATAAATAATAATAATAATAACTTTATTCAAAGTGGTTTCAACACTTAGCCTCAAGGCTACTTTACAGGATGTCCACTAATAAATAATTAATGATATATACTATCTAGGTTAAAATATTCTATATGTTATGAAATACAAGGTTCTATATAATAATATGCTGTATATGGTAAAATTAGTACTAATTATAAAATATCCCCTCCCTCCAAAACAAGTCAAAAATCTATTGTCTTGACTGCCGAATCAAATTGCTTAGACCCAGCCAATTCTCTTATCTGTTCTGGAAGTGCGTTCCACTGCTTAGCTGCATAATATTTAAATGATTTTAGACCGTATTTTGTGCTTCTGACTTTTGGTATAGAGAGCATATTACAGCCACGTAGGACATGCGTATCTGCGCTATTTTAAACAAGTAATATAGCAGACGGCGTGTTTATATTGATAGTATATATTAGCATATTAAAATATTAGCATATTTCCTTTTGAATTTAAACAGTATAAACAGATTAGTGCGACTTGAGTGTTCTCAATTCAAAAGAAAATATGCAAATATTTCGCCAGCGAACGATTTCGCTGTAAGTGGAAATCTGCCTTTAGGGCTTAACGCACACGCAAATAAAAGATTTATTTTGTCCGCACCAAAATACGAAAATTTATGTGTAGGCTTTCAACCAATAATAATATGTAAAAATAATGCGATGAAAAAGAACAAATATACCACTTCTTTAGGTGCTGTCCGCGGCTCATCCTGGATACCAGTGTACGAAAATGATGCCCACTATAAGCATAACTTGACTCGGATTGCAGACGACATTATATATTCATTGTAACTTTATAATTTCTTTATATTCATTATAACGTTGTATATCATGGGTTTATTAGTAGGATTACTTTAATAAGTAGTTTAAGATATTGTTCGTTTGAAATTGTGACAACTATTTAATTAATAAAATTTGATACCTATAAAAATGGATTCTTATGTATGATAGAAGTTTAAATACGTAAGTTCTAAGAAAACCATTTCTTGATATTCCTTAAGGGGCTGTTTAGATGAGCCCGGTTACCCGAGATTCAACGAAGCATGAGATGATTTTGAGGAATTGAAATGAGCAGATAACATGATCCTGGCAGTCGTATAATCATCACAACAATAGCATGTGCTTGTTTGGTGTCAGAAAGACTTATTTCAATACCTCAAAGTCCTCTCACGCTTCGTTGAATTTCGGGTAACCGGGCTCATGTAAACAGCCCCTAAATAATTCCCGTTGTTCTTATTACTCGCAATTCTTTTCAATTTATTGTATGCGTTTCTTCCAGTGTCCAGTACACAATAAGTCCGTGTTTTTTAGGGCAATCGGGTTGGTTGCTTGGGACTGACTTAGTGACCTGAAACTGGGTGGTGTTTAGATGAGGACTAATGAATATAGCCGCACTTGGTTTAATAGTTAGTTTTCACATTTTAAAATTGGTCTTCGTTTCACATTCTATAGGGCTGCATCGAAGGGGCATGTTGAATGTCTGGAGTACCTTATAAACAAGGTATAAAGCTTAAAATAATATGGTTTCACAATTGATTGAAAACATAGTTTGAAATACTTCGTTGAAGTGCGGTGGACAAGAGGAGCACAGTTTTCTCACCAACATACCCCCAAGCCAAACTATCATTATTCGTTTCTAATAGATTAGCAACCAGGCTGAACACATTGTCTCTGTTTCAGGGTCGGAATATCGATGCTTCTCATTACTGCGGTTCAGCTTTGTTGGCGGCGAGCCGTTGCATGCAGCACGAGGCGGTTAAGTACCTGCTCGACGCCGGGGCATCTGTGACGGAGAGGAATCAGATGATGGATACCTGTCTACATGTAGCGGTAGGGAAAGGCGATATTCGCACCGTGAAAGTAATCATGGAGGTAAATCATACGTTCCGCCGTGGTTGGTATCACCAAAGCGAACCAGGAGTAACAGGGGGGGGTTGAGAGCAGATACAGCAATTTTTCTCAGCTAATTCTGAATTAGAAGAGCTCCTACTAAAATTTGTTCATCCAGTGTAGCTTCGTACATTTCAAAGAAGAGTTCCGTTATTTATTAGGATATATTCTTTATAGACTTTGAATTTTACATCACGCTTGTCATGAGCCGTACGTACCTGATGCTAATGCTAAGGACATTATGATGGCGTCGTTGAAACGTTGTAATTAATTTCTTTAGAAATGCAGTGATTCTCTCATGGAACTGAGGGACAAAAACGAAAGAACCGCGCTACACATCGCCGCGGCAAATGGCAACGTCGAGGTTGGTAAAAATGAAGAAAACGTATGAATCCAAATGATGTCTGAGAATGTAACTCCGACACTTTCGTTTTCATCGTTTCCTCTCATCCAACCCATGCAACCAAAAGAGCAGTGTGGCCCTGACAGTGTGTTATTCATGTTCCTAGGTAATGAACATTCTGTTGTCTTACAAACCAGATGTTGTGGCGATTGATGACAGAGGAAAATGCCCGCTGCATATCGCTGCAGAGTAAGTCTGTTGTTGTTGTTTACGTTGCTGCTGCTGTCGTTCTCGTTCTTGTTATTGTTGTTGTTTACGTTGCTGCTGCTGTCGTTCTCGTTTTTGTTATTTTTGTTGTTGACGTTGCTGTTGTTGTAATTCTAGTTTTTGTTGTTGTTGTTGTTGTTGTTTTTGTTTTTGTTATTGTCGTTCTTGTTTTTGTTATTGTCGCTGTCGTTCTAGTTTTTTGTTACTGTTGTTGTTGTTGTTTTCATTGTTGCCTGGGCGTTTGGCAAGATTCACTAACAACACAGTCCAAAATTTTAATACAAATTACCTGAACAATAAATTTTACAGAAACAACAACCTGGATTGTGCGCGGATTCTGATAGAAGCAGACAAGGACTGCGTAAACTACACGGACTTTATGTGGCGCACACCACTACATTTGGCAAGCGTTTATTCTCGCGATAAGAAATTAATACAGCTTCTGTTAGAAAATGGGGCCGATGTCAATGCAAGGTGCGTTCTTCAAGTTTCGGCCCCCGGAGCAGACTGTTGAGGGAGGGAGGAAAATTTCGTGAAGTGCAGGGTGACACTTTTCAGCCTCCCTCTTGCCTTCCCCTGTCTTCTCGCCCTCCGTCCACGATTTCCTGAGGAAAAATTTTAAAATTTGATCATTTCAGGGACGATAGACGTTGGACTCCTTTGCTTTACGTGGCTGCGGCAGGCTGCCCATGTTGTACCAAAATACTTGTCGAGAATGGAGCAAAGTTGAATGAATGGGACAAAAACAGGGTAACAAACAAAGATTCATCATGTCAGATATTTTTATATGTTACCTGGAACTGATAATATAGGGCCTTCATCTGCCTCATAACTAGAAACTCTTTGGTTGTACATACTATTATAAGACATAGGTCCACGATTATCGTCCTAGATGACACCGTTGAGCTTAGCTGCTAGCAGGAATAAGGTTAATGCTGTGAAGGCCCTGTTGGATCATGGAGCTGACGTGACAATCCTTAATGGCGACGGACTCAGCTGTATGGACATTGCTCTAAATAATCGCTTCCATGATGTTTGCATGGTCATTGCGACAAGCGATAAGTAAGTTTGCTATGTTATATCTTACCACGTTTCTTTGGCCGTATTCAAACAACAATTGCCAGCCTAAGGCTGGCCTGCATATCTTCATGGTATACTTCTGCCTGGCCCATTTCGAAAAGTTGCATCTTTTTTTCAGTATACGAAATCAGAGATCAGGTTTCAGATGGAAGCTTGTATATGTTCGCAACTTGCATTGACCAGTACGAGATTACAGCATGAACGTTTAACTTACAAATTGCAGGAAATCTTTCTACGAGAAACTGGAGTAAATGTTTTCTGTTTGCAGATGGAAAGAAGCACTAGTTTCGTGCGCAACGGTTGAAAATTGCCTTGACGTTTCTCCGGAAGTCGCAAAGGTTTGTAATCACAACGTTAATTTAACGACCTTTATCTGATCTCCGGTTTCTCGCCTTGACCGAAGTTCAAAACTGTGGTACTTTTAAGGACTGGTGACATGACTGCGCTTACTCGAGATTAAACACAGAGTGAAATGATTTTTTAGTGTGTTAAAAGTCTTCATCCATTTCAGGTAATCCTCGACAGGTGTATCGAGACCAGTGGAAGAGAAATTGACAAGGATTATAAAGTACATGGCATTCACAGTATATTTGTCAGATGCTTTTCAAATTGCAATCCGAAACATAAATAATATGAGCATGCAGCTTTGCATTGTCAACAGGTTGTTTGCTAAAACTTCAAACACAGCTATACGTGCAGTCCTTGTTCACTTGCATATATATTTGAGAAGCTTTTTTGTACTCTTATTTTAGGTCACTTATCGCTTTGATTTGCTTGACCCTGATCCAGATGAAAAACTAACTTACTACGGCCCATTGGTATGTCCTATTGTATGGAAACGTATTATATCAATTTTAGCCTTCCTTCTTGTCATTCTGTTCACGACTGCAATTCTTATAAATCGTTGTACAGGTGATGAAAAAGTCGAGACGAAACGAACTTCTAATACATCCTTTGACCAAGAAATTACTCCACGTAAACTGGTAAGTGTTCATACATTGAAGTTCAGATATCGTTTGGATCATTTTAAAGAGGAATTTCACAAACTTCCCGGTTAAATTTGCGGTAAAGAAATTTTGTAAGCGGTGCCGGGATGAATCTCCGCAAATCTCTCGCCAAGAAATCTACCATCACCAAGACTAAAGGCCCTGTTACACGGTGCAATTTTTCTTGCAACTTTTGTAATGCAATTCTAGTTGTAAGAGATGTAAATTAGTGAAGAGGCTTTAAAATGTAAGTGTAAGAAAAGCCATGGATTGTAATAAAGACAAAAGTTCGGTAGTTCCCAAATTTACATCACTCAAGAAGAATTGCATTGCAAGTTGCAAGGGAAATTGCACCGTGGGACAGGGCCTTAATATACGCCTTAATATAACATACGTTTTGGTCTTTCAGGAAGAATGGTGTACGATATATTTACTACACTGAAATGTTTCTGCTTGCCTTGGCTCTGGTGTTTTTGACTCTATTCATGTTTTGGGTGCGAAAGCTGATTGGGGAATGCTACGAAAAGATAAAAGCTCAGGCGAACGACACTTCGTTTACGCCATCAGATCTTCCTCAAGCGTATTTTACTAATGGAAGTTTTTGTGCTGAAAAGGTATGGAACATATAAAAAAAACATGTCTGCTTTACAAGTTTTTACAGTGTTTCTTCTTGTGTTCACGATCTAGCCCGGCTTGAGAACTGATATTCTATTAGCCGGCCTTAAAACCTTGACCACCGCTTGTGTTTTAGTTAATTTCGTTAATTCAGTTAATTTTTCAGGTCACTCACAAAGAATAATCAGGCCTAACTCCTAATTAAGATTACCATATTGAATAGTTTTCTTTTTGAAATATAGATCGACGACTATCATCCAATTTTTATGTTCGCTTCCCGTTCGGTATTCTCCTTCTACTTTGTGTTCTGCTTGCTCAAAGAACTAAATCAGCTTCGTTTAGAGGTGAATTTTGAAGGATCCATATTCATTATTATTATATAAGGGATGCTGAGTAGTGAATTTTTCGCTACACATTTTCACGAGCTTTAGATGAGGCTGTGACGACAAAAACTAGGATTCAGAGACTAATTTTATTGCTTCTTTTACTCTCTATCTTCCAACAATTATTTAAAGAGCACAACACATGCAAAATGACAAAAATGAAATAAACATGCACACATCGTATTCTTTAAATGAAATTAAACTTCACGGTTTTAATTAATGAGAGTATATGTCTCATCTTTACCTGGCCATTTCTGTACCCTGAAATATAGTGTAGATGGAAAATGTATTCCTTTTTTCTTAGCGTTTTGAATATTTTCGTGAAATTACTAACTACTTGGACTTGGCGGTATCCATATTGTTCTTGTTGTTCCTTGATATACCAAGCTGCGATCCGATTCCATTTGAACGGCTGAAATTCGGAACAGTCGGACTCTTTGCGTACTATTTCTTGATGTTCCTTTGGACTAGAGGGTAGGTTTTAACTGCAAGAATTTCCAAAGAAACCTACATCTACTGATCTACAAACGTACAGTATATTCCGGCCTTCAATCTGCGCTAGAGACGTCCCGTCACCTTGCCGTCCATGAATTACAGCAGTCTATTACTCAAATTCTCTATCTTCATATCGATCCCTTTTAAAGGTTATCTCGTTTTGGAATATACATTACCATGTTCTTGGAAGTCTTGTCAACGCTCCTTCAGGTATTCCGCTTTGTTAGTTTTCAGGACGAGTCTTAAGATCGGCTGCCTTTTTGTGCTAATCTTCCTATTAATTGTTGTATAGGTCGTTTCTGGATTCGCTTTGCTATTCATTTGCTTCACGATGTCATTCTTTATCGTATTCACGGAGTCTGTAAGCCTAATATATGTTATGATATCTTTAGCAATTCAAAAACTACATATCAAAAGGCTCTGTGCGTATCAAATGACCTCCACAATCCTACATTTGGCCGACATTCCCCCACAACCCAACACCCAGCGTTCACCGTCTTCCACCGTCTGGTACGTCTGCGAGCACCTTTAACATTTCGATCATCTTAATTTTCAGAAAGACGAAGAATTTAATACTCCTGAAAATTCGTTTCTCAAAGTGTTGTCAATGGTGATGGGTGAACTAGATTACTCAGGTCTGCGACAACACGCAAGTGAACTACCTTCGGATATGGAGTACATCGCGATTGGCATCTTCATCGTATTCTGCTTAACGATGGCACTAGTCGTCAATAATTTGCTCGTAAGGAAAATAACTTTCTGTTATTGTTTCAATTAATCGATTTCCGTAATTATCTTGATGATTTTGAGGGGGGGGGGAGACTTGATGACTTGATCCAAACATCATATTGTTTCTATGATTATTTGGACTGTTTCAAATTCTTTCAAAGAACTTACTTACTTCAACTCTGTTTGAATTCAGATTGGTTTAGCGGTTGGTGATATTGAGGCAGTTCAAAAGAATGCAGAAATAAAACTTCTGTCATTGCAGGTAGTGTATATAACCATAACCAACCTCATAGGGATTCTTGCTTTGGAAATAACCTTTTTGGATGGTTTTCTGAAATTGAACCAACCTTTAAAGCCGAAGATCTAGAAAACACTCTTGACGTGTTTCTTTTCAGGTGACCCAGATACTCGACGCCAGAGCGAAGATGTTTACTGGCTTTTTACGGCGAAAATGTTACGTCTCAGAATGCACCGAGCTGCCGAACAGAAATGATTGCGAAGCTGAGATTCGGGAACAGGCATACGTATGAAAATCAACCTTTTTTTTTAGTTTCTGGATGATTTTATCGCTTAGCTCAGTCGCTTTCTAAAGCTTTTTCAAATGTGTCAGAAACGAAAAGCATTTGTAAAGGTTGAGAACAGTTGCTGACATTACAGCTTACTTCTGGTGACCCTGGTAAATGGCATGGGTTACGCACATGTCATGCACGCATCAGGGCGCTTATATATAGGGCGGTGCAATGCCAGTACTTTGGTTCAATCGGGAAACAAGTGATGTTTTAACATTAGAAATAGATGAGCAACACCGCTGATCAAGCAAAACTACTTTTAGGCACCAATCCCCCATCACACGTCGATCAACAAAAGTGCTAGCGTTGCACCTCCCTAGATATAAGCGCCCTGTCACGCATCTTCCTGAATGAATCGAATTTGCCCTTTTCCATTGCAGAAAATGCGAAATCTAGAAAAGATAAAAAGAGAGAGGACAAATGGCACTGTGAATTTAGCATCGGACCAAACTGCGTAAGAATGAAAGAAAACGAAGTACGAGGTGTAAAATACTGGTGATTATTTGCTTGTCACGTAGAAAACAGAGAGTTGTTAGAAGAACGAGAACAGATGTCTAATAGGCTTCGTATTTTCGAGATTAGTTGAACAGAATGTACATATTAATATATATTTTGAAAGACAGTTTGTTTGTTTTCAGTTTAAATCAGTTATTAAACATTTTATCTGTAATTACGGCCCGATGATATGCGCGCCATGCGTGATGGGGCACCACCACCACTCAATAGAACTCGTACTTTTTTCTTCATTATGTTCCTTAGAAATTTTCTGCGATGAAAATGCTCGCGAATTGCGTGGAAACAGATAAGCTTCGGGCGCGCACGCATGCTCAGTGCGTCCGTTGCAAATGGCGTTCGGGGACCCCCTGCGAAGGAAGATGACGGCCAACTCGGTCATGAAAAGCATCTTTTCACTCAAACATTGTTCCGCCATATTATTACAGCCAGTTGTGTGCAGCTCATATTGCCGCACACGAGCGCCTTTTAAGGAACTATGGCTTTGGCGTTGGCCGAAATCTTTTAGGTATGTATAAACTACATTCAACATCGCCTCCTTCGCCGGTCTTAGCATCTCGTCGAACGCTTTTTGGCCAACATTCTCACACCAAGGCGAAATTTTGTCTCGAGATCGGGTGAACACGCTTTGCTGTTGAGAAAAGTGAAAGTTGATTTCGTTATCTTTCCTCGACGCCACGGTGATCTGATCTTTTCTCAGTGAATTGTGAACGCTAACAAGGTCCTAGTTATGGCTAGTTTGTAGCGTAAATCCTGTATTTATTTTATAATAGCTTAGCATGGGAGTTCAAAACGATTTCTTCGTGAGGTTTTTAATATTACTTTAAGTTTGTTTCAAAACAGGCAAGGTTTTTGCATATTGTTATGGAAAAGCACGCAGATTATCCGTCTGCTTGCAGATGTGTTTAAGCTGTAAATATTGGAAGAAAAGGTCTTGATGAATTTTCGTTTGAATTACACTAAAAGTCTATAAGTGACTCGATCAAGTAGTTGGTATTCTTGTACAATGAGCCAAAGAGTATCATTTCAGCCAGTTAGATTATGCTGTATAGCCCTGTTCAATGTTCATATGCAATCAAAGTCAGACTGACTTTCTAACCTAGAATGAAAGTATGAAAGAGCTAATGGAATGTGTGTTGGTACAGTCTATGCACCCAGATATGGTGTACATAAGTGACTTTACCCTTCTGTACCAAATACCATCCAGTTTGTTTCTTGTTATACACCCATTTCGAAAGTTAAAAGTGCATGTGATTATTTGTCATTATGAAAAAGGTTCTTGTGCAATTGATTTATTATATTTACTTGGTAAACACAACTGTAGGTTGTCAAATATAAAAACTAGAAAATGGAATTGTCTTCAATGGGCCAAGAGTTCACTCCAGCAGCACCGCTGCATATCCAACGACTTAACAAAGCCCTGCAGTTGGATGTTCTGCTTAGGGAAGCTGGGAAAGTCTTCACTGAGGATTTGAGGTGAGATTTTCTTTTAACTTTTTGCCTTCATAAACATGTATGACTTGTGGTTGTGGGTTTTTGTGTGTTCGAATAAAACTTATTTGCAGTTTGCCCTGTGGCTGCACCAATAATTGAATCACTTCTAGTCGGCTCACCTGGCAAATTTTGACACATACTGTTATGTACATACCTCTCAGTAATTTATGCATGAAATATATTATGTGATGTAACATTATGTAGTGAAACAGAGGAAAGTGGATTAAGTGACTTTGACAAGGATTATGATCTGGATATGAGTCCACAATATCAACAAAGACAAATGGGAAATGAAGAAGGACACGAAGGTATCACATTTATTGATAAAACAATTCAATATAGCGGTCAACTCATTAACTTGGAATTCTTCCAAGATATAGACTCGGCGCAGACGTAAATTCGCCTGTGTCTGCGGAAAGGCTGTTCGTCATATCCTCCTTTATTTTATTAGTCTTTCCTTGCGCATCTTAAACTGTCAGTTAATGTGCTCTTTTGTGATAATAGACCAGTCGAATCTAAACTCTCCAGCACTGTGAAATGATTCAATGCTTTTCATTGATTCTTTCAGAATGTTCGTGGGATAAGTCAAACCTTTACAATTTTTCCAAAATCAAAAAGAACAGACAGTGGCTGAAGGTGTGTAATTCTATTTAGGAAGTTGTATGTGTTATGTTGCACTTGTGTGGTTGGTGGTAGTGGATCTTTTGGCTTTGCTTTTGCATTTTTGCATGCTGTTGAAATGTTTTACTTTTTTATCATTAGGAGATTCTGTTAAGTGATAGTTCAGAAAGCTCTGACGATGATGAACATCCAATCACTGAAGACGATTTTAAGCAAATGCTTAGACTTCATAAAGAGCAGAAACTTTGCAGAAGAAAGTATATGCTGGACAAGAATGTAAGGACAACTACATACTAATTACTAGTATTGTGACAGTATATCTAGTAATAGAATGGAACAATGCTGTGGGGATATAGTAGTTTTGATACAGAGTAATGGAGATAAGTAAACTCTGGGAACTTGGAAAAGAATAAAGAGAGATAATAAACTGTAAATAACTGTTTCTTCATAAAAAATCTGTTGGATTGTGAGATGCCGTATTCAGGCAGATAGACTCATGGGCATATAGAACAGATGAGTAAAATTATTTGCCTGTAGACATAGTACAACTCAAAGGGGTTGATAAACAATGTACGTAAGGTATGTTGTGCCAGACTTCCAGTATAGTCTACATATTGTCCCAGAAATGTTTCAGTATAAAAATTAAAATATGATGAGGTGCTTTTAAGGTCAGAATAACAAGCATTGTTTTTTACTCCAATTCACTTTTCAGCTTGATCGATACAAGCACTACAGCATTGGCTTGTTGTCTGGTCAAGACAGGTTCCACGAGACCCAGAGACCTCGTGTTACCAAAAAACTGAAAGAGAAACCTGATGCAGCAGGTATTCAAATGAAACTTGTTTTCTTAGTTTTCTTTACCCATTGCAGCACATCTCAAACAAAAACCCTAAATGAAGATGTTTCTGTGAAATAACTCTCTCCAAAGCCCAAACAATGTATATTCCTTTTATTTGTCTTCAAGAAAAGGCCAAACTGAAAAAGGAGAAGTTGAAAGGAAAGAAAAAGAAAAAGGCGACGGATGAGGTTGGGAGTTCTTTTACAAAGCTTTAGTTGCATGTATAAAGGCCCGTTTACACGATTTTCTGCTTTTGATAGATGTGAACGAGTGAATTAGTTACTGATGTTCAAATAAGATCTCTTATACATCAGAGAATTCGTAACTAAGTATTCGTTCACATCTATCAAAAAAAGAAATTCGCAAATAAAACCGCAACATAAATTGCAAGTGTAGAAGAGTTTTAAGTACATCACAGTTACGCTTTGTTAAGTGGTTAATATGAAGTGTTTTGCTACTAATGAGTAAAGATAGTCTACCAATACTGTGGACAGAGTAAAGTAACGTTGATTTGAGGGCGTTAATATGCATTTCTTACTCGAGTTTTAAACGAGGCTGTGTTTTGTAGGACGGTGCGAAAAAAAGTGTTGATGAAAAGCCCGCGAAAAAGCGTCAATCCAGGACGAAAGATGCCGACGTCAGACGACGGAAGATTTGGGCGTACATAGCCCGCAAGGAAATACCGAGGGTAAGGGCTGGTCTATGCTGTCAGGCTGTGATCACTACGGGAATTTTATTGGGGCGGGAATTCTGCAAGGTGAATACACTTTGAAGTATTTTTGCTGGAAATATTTTTCGCGTCTATTTTAGACACAAAGGCAAAAGAATACGGCAAGAAACACAAGCTTACAAAATGCCAAAAAGGTAAACGTTTGGGATGTATTTTAGTGAAAATTGTTTCATCAGTGAAACTTTCGGCAGCTCATGCAGTAATTCTGCCATTTTAGTTGGCTCAGTTGTGTCAGAAGGAGATGAAAAGAGAAGCGTTGAGATCGCAAAAGGTTGGAGCTCAAACCGTCCCTAGAGCGAGACGTCTTGCCAAGGAGGTAATGTGTTTTTGAAAGTACCATGTACCATGTAAGATGAGGCTGCCTTGTGGTCTGTTCAGCATGGCTTCAGTTTTTATTACTTCACCCGTAGATGTTGGTTTATTGGAAGAAATATGAGAAGGTCGAGAAAGAACACAGAAAAAAGGCTGAGAAAGAAGCCATCGAACAACGGAAAATTGATTTTGAAATGAACGAGGTAACATGAAGTATTGCATGCATGTGATTGCGTCCAATAGACAGATAAAATAGCATGAACAAGAACATTTAGACTTGGAACAACAAAAATCATTCCAGATTTTCGGTGATTCCAGATTCCAGATAGGATATTCTAGATTTCCGGTCTTTTCATCATTTCATCTCGTGTTTTCTTGCAATGTTTGTTTAGGCCAAAAGACAGCAAAGAAAGTTGAATTTCTTGATCACGCAAACTGAGCTATACGCTCACTTTATGAGCAGAAAACTGAAAGGTATTCTACGTGATTATCGGCGTTGTGTACTGTACAGACACCCTTCCCCCCGGGCTGCGTGTACATTATCGACCTCTTTATACCTTTCTATTTTGACTGGGTTTCTCAGCACTTACCCTCTAATAAACTCACGCAGGCGATTCATGCGTGGCTTGTAATGCAAAAAGATTGAAACGAACAGCTTTTTGTTTTGTTTCATCTCATAGTCTTGCGTTTCAAGATCTACTTTTTATACTGTGTAAAGCTACAGTATAGTCTTGGTGTATGTGAAGAATGTTTGCAGGCACTCTAACTGGTCAATATTTTCCGCTCCAAGGTCCTGGGTCATCCGATGCTGCCCAGGCTCAGGTTGATGGAATTCTTAAAAAACTCGAGTTTAATCTTCCTGGATCTAAGGTCAAGAATATGGGCGGTGGTGTCGTGATTGATCTTGAACACAACGATGACTATGGTAAGGTTGGCATTTGCGCAAAACAAAGGTTTCCAGCCCGAGGTAGTTCATTAAAGAAAACCTAAATTACATGCAGAGTTTGTTAGTTTGTTTACTTTGTTGTGCCATTAAAGCATTGGAATCGCTGCTAGTTTCTCGTGTTTTGTTCAATGATTTACACTATTATTGATCACATTACCTTTACCGCTCCATGGCTTAAATGACTAGTTAAAATGACATAGTTACTATTTAGTGTTGGTATTAGTACATAACGATTTAGAACGCGTGTTGACAATGTTAAACGCGTGTTGACAGTCATTAACGCGTGTTAACAATCTTATAAGCGTGTTGACAATGGTAAACGCGTGTTACTGAAGTTGAACAAGTGTAAAAGTCTTTCTCTATTCCACAGATAGCGAGCAGATGAAGAACCAGGCGCTGCAGAACGCTCAGCAGGCGTTCAATGCTCACGAGAACTGGGTAAGTAACAGGTTTGTTCATATCATCATCGGCGACCTCCAGCTAAATCATGATTGATTTTTCCCCCATCATAATAGACAAAGGCGTTTGATGATGGAGCAAAGAAACCAATGAATCAACAAAACTGTACGTATTTCGTTTTATTCCGCATAATTTTACATAAATAAAGTAAACACCATTAGTCCAGAGATTTTAAGCTTGTTTCCAAGACATTCCTGGTTCGTACTTGACCTCAGAGTTATACGAAATGCATTTTCCCAGTCGATATGAATACGTGAAACCAGCCGTCCAGGAACTGGAAACACCATCGGCTCAATTTAGGTGCCTGTATATCTCTTCATTTTTACAGTGTTTTGCAGACTTTCTTATTTGTTTTTTAGTCGACCAAGCTTTCAGTCTTGCCAATCCATCGATCAAGGGTCAGGATGTTCCACAGCCTGACATATTTGATGGTAAACTGAAGTCTTATCAACTCAAGGTAGGCTGTGTGCATGCGTTCGTGATGCTGAAGACTGCTTTGTTTGCTAAATTTACCTTTACAAAATGCTGATGAAATTTCATACTTGTAGGGCATGAATTGGTTGGTGAATTTGTACGAACAGGTAATGGTGTTGACATAAGAAATTTTCTGCTGCAATTTTATAGGATTTTCGAAACAGAAAATTACGAAATATATTTTACAATATAAAATGTATTTTAAATCCAAAACATTGCCAAATTTGTTTCAATCTTTTTATCTTGACTTTCTGTAACTATTTTGGCATTGAATATACCCACTCTACCAGATATTTTTGACTCAAAATGGTAGCAAATTGTTTTGAATTTTCTTCAAGGGAATCAACGGGATCTTAGCAGACGAAATGGGCTTAGGAAAGACGGTTCAGTCTATCGCCTTTCTCTCGTATCTTGCTGAGGTATATAAATCATACAGTTATCGTGTGCTTAAACTCGTATTTACGGTTCATATCAGAATTCGTTATAACTTTTTTTTTCTCTCTTGCGGAATCGTAGGCGCACAATATCTGGGGTCCGTTTCTCGTCGTTGCGCCTGCCTCGACCTTACATAACTGGCAACAGGAAGTGACAAGATTCGTACCTGCCTTTAAGGTACGTAAGTTTTATCAACAGAAGAAAACAAACTCTAAATAACATCATCATGCATGCTAACTCTTTGGCTATATAAAAACAATTTTGTCTTCATTGCAAAGTAATTGTAGTAAATCAATTCATTTCTATATCCATTGATTTTTTCACCTTGTGTGTTTTGATAGCTCAAATCTTTTGTCTGCAAGATGATGCAATTGGAGTTTACTTCACTATATTGTCTGTGTGTTGAGTTATTTTTTTTTTTACTTTTCCCCCTTTTGACGTTTCTGTATTTAGGTTTTGCCATACTGGGGAAACCAAAGTGACAGAAAATCCTTAAGGAAATACTGGAACAGGGTAATTGTTGTTGTCAAGAACTGTGTAGACTCAATTTTGTCCATTCATTGTCCGTTAAGTGGCTTATTTGTTGATGCCTAAAATATTCGTTGTTTACTTTGTGTTTTCAGAAACAGAGCGATATACACGACAGAGAAAATGCTCCATTTCACGTTTTAATTACAAGCTATCAATTGGTGCGTATATAAGAAGAGTGTTTAAACAAGTCGTGTTATCATTTCAAGATTATCAATTTTAAAGGCCGGTTTACACGAGCAACTTTTATTTGTCAATTACAAAATATATGTGACGATTTTTTTGCTCGTGTAGACAAGCGAAATTGGACAATTTTTGTGTGGCAAATACATTTGCTGAAAAGCTGGAGTGTTAGCTTTTATATGACAAATAAAAGTTGTCACATACGAAAAATTGCTCGTGTAGATTACTCGTCACAGAAAATGTGGCGTCGGTCCATTCGGTCGCCGCATGTCAAGCCACATGATTTCGACTTTCCAGGCCTCTGCTATGAACTCGAAATAAGGCAAAGATAGCGGCCACAACATATGCATCGCAAACAGCGATCGACAATTATTTGTTATCTCATCTACACGATCAAATACATTTGTCACAGAAAAATTGCCACGGAAAAATTGCTCGTGTAAACCGGCCTTAAGGTAATGACAGTTCAAAGTTGGCAGCATTTCATTTGTTGGTTTCATATTCGTTTCCAGGTTGTTCAAGATGTGCGTTATTTTCAACGAGTCAAGTGGCAGAATTTGGTCTTGGACGAGGCTCAAGCAATCAAAAGCAGTTCCAGGTAAGAAGTGCGAAATGTTTACATGTTTCTCAAGGAACAATCTTGTTATCTTCTACAATCACATCCGCCTGAATCACACCAAAATGAAATTGGTACCTGTACAGTATAGGAATGTTGAATGGGTAGCTACGGCACAATAGGCAATTTAGATTGTTTAGATTTGGGTTTTTGGCTCTTATTCAAAGCAATATTGTTTAATGATTTTTTTTAGCGTGCGATGGAAAATTTTGCTTGGTTTTACTTGTCGAAATCGACTTCTTCTCACGGGTACTCCAATACAGAACAGTATGGCAGAGGTTTGTTTTAATTTTTGCTTCATGATGTGCATTTTTTTCAGTTTCTTGTCCTTTCCCCCCTTCAAAACTTACTCCCATGGGGTTGACTATTCGTACCTGCGCTTCTCTTCCAGCTTTGGGCGTTACTGCATTTCATCATGCCAACCTTATTCGATTCCCACGACGAGTTCAACGAATGGTTCTCCAAGGACATCGAAAGTTCGGCTGAGAAAGGATCGACCATGGATCAAAGTATGTTTTATATGTTTAAGTTACGGGGAGGAACATCAAGGGAAACTATGGGATTGAATGAACTACAACAGTATACTGGGGTGGCTGGGTGAAGTATAGCCGTGTTCGATGATACGTCGTTCTTTCATTTACATTTGCTGAAGGAGTTTTGATTAGGGAGAGGATAGCTCCAGCCCCAAGCTCATTGATGCTCTATATCATTACCCTCACAAGCAATCGTTCTGACAAGTTATGCATTTTTTGTCAGATCAACTGTCCAGACTTCACATGATACTGAAGCCTTTCATGTTAAGACGAATCAAACGGGATGTTGAAAACGAGCTATCCGATAAGGTGAAATATTTTCCAGTCTTACGACACAAAGCCATTGGTTAATGAATATAGGCCATAGTATAGACATATCGCCCGTCGAAAGTTACTCTCTCTCTCTCCATTTCTATGTTTCCATACAGATGTTTCAAAGTTTTGACACCGTGAAACCTAAACATCGTCTATGAACTCTTTTACAGATTGAGATCAAGGTGATATGCGAGTTGACGTCCCGTCAAAAGTGGTTGTATCGCGCCATACGAAATAAGATCTCCATAGAGGACCTCGTACAAACTTCCACCTCAACTTCGGCGTCCTCGTCTGCTACCAACAACCTGATGAATATTGTCATGCAATTTAGAAAGGTGAGGATGATTAAATTAAGAGATTCTACAAGTTCCACAGCTCTTGCATTACCAAAAGATCCCTTCCAGACAGAAGCATAACATTGTATCATACGCTTATCGATCCGATCTTAAAGTTTGATAAATATAGTTATAATCGTGAAATACAAAGTATATCACGAACTATACTTGTGATTTTCACTTTTACTTCTATAAGAAGGTAGAAATAGGGACACTTTGAGGGATGTTAATTTGTAAAGAGTGTTCGAAATGCTAAGGAAATGTTAGCAGATCGTGAGAAATGTTCGTATTTGACAACTTTAGATGCCTCAGGAGTAAAATTGCATTGCAAGTTGCAAGAAAAGTTGCATAGTTTAACAGCGCCCTTGTAGATATTCAGGATTTTGTTGGTTTTTTTGGCAGGTCTGCAACCATCCTGAGTTGTTTGAACGACACGAAGTCACGTCTCCTCTTAACTTATCTGTGAAACCATTTTCGCTGCCAAAACTTATATTTCGAGAAGGTAAAGAATTAGTTGTTTTACAACAATGTCGTACATTCATTCACGGCGATCTTAAGAAGCAGGAAGCTACTGTAAAATGGTTAATTTGAAACTAGCCATTACAAGACGACTGACCTTTCAAAATACGTCTGTTTTAGGCTTGCTTTGCTTCAACTCTCCGGGGAAATCAAAGTAAGTTGTTCATTGAATTTGACATTCTGGGCCTGAGAATCGCATTTGGGTTGTGGATCATCTGAAGTTATAAAAAAGCCATTGCTTTGCGTGTATCTGCCCGTTTATAAGGATGTAATTTATTTTACCATTCTGTTTAGGATCTTATTCAATATGATGAATATTGGATCTGAAAAGTACATTCATAATTCATTGTTCCCGAGGAACATATCAGAACGTAAGCTTATTTGTGCTTCAATCATCCCATGTTTATCATCCCTGCGATTTTTTTTGACAAGTTTCAAGTATACAAGAGCAAGAAGTGACTCGCTGTATAAATATCTTATCACATACAAAACTCGTGTGATCTTTCTCTTTTACAGGCGACAGTTTTTCGTGTTTCTCATTTCTTCGTTTTATTAACTTGGCGCCGTCAGAAGCGTGCTCTATCATGACCAAAGATGTTGCATTTAGGTTTGTAAAATATCGATCTACACGATCAATAAAAACCTATTTAACCTGCTCTACAAACCCAAGATGTGCTCTCTTCAAAATGTTTCTTTTTTCATCCAATATTCGATACCTTAGAAAAACGTCCTCCCCGAATTAAGGTGATAACATGGGTATAATTTTCATCAACATTAATCAATGTTATCTTGTTTAGATTTATGTTTTTATTGCTGTTATTGGAAGATGCATATCGAATTTATCATCGAAGATTATGGAATGTTAGAACTCAAAGCACTAGGTAGCCACAACTATAATATTCTTACAGCAATTTTGCAATCAAAATAATAACACTGCATGCGCTAAATTTGCCATGTTGTTGGGCAAAGAAAACATCGGTTTTGATTGCAAAAATTCCTCGTAATTTAACTATTTTGCTTTGTGCTCAGGTATCTTAGTTGTCAGGATCTTCTACTTTGGCCATCATTTCGCCTCTCGTACCCAGAAATTCGTTTTGGACCAATCACAAAGAAGCTGGTATTCACGGGTCCTACCATGACCACAAACTGTCACATGACCCATAAGATCGTTCCCGTGGTATCCGACGATGATCACAAGCGACATCACGTGGTTAAGAAGAACAGCCCACGTCGCGTTAAGGACCCTAGTTCACCCACTAAACTCGCCCATTCACCCTCGAAGGATCCGCATTCGCCAACCAAACATCCGACATCACCCACGAAAAAAGCACATTCACCCACCAAACACCTTCATTTGCCTGTTGAAGAAGCGTCCAACTTGCATCCACCGCCGAAGGTGAAGTCCCCCACTAAGCACCATCCCCCTGGTGGAGGTCACCATCGGTCACATCCCCACCACCACACGCACCAACGCCATCATCACCATCACAAACACCACGGCAAAGGCGATGGTGATGTGGAAATAGAAGCACCCAAGCCAGAACAAGCTACGAATGATACCATCGTCCCACCAGAACTTGACAAATCGCAGCCGGATAAAATCGAAATTAAAAAAGACGATTCCTCATCGGGGAAAAGCACGACGATTGTTAGATTATTGCAGCCCACGTCTCCGCCTAAGTTTCTATTGGCTTACATTCCAAAGGTACGGACATTTAAGGGGGAAACTTAAGGCCCTGTTTTTACACGGTGCAATTTTTCTTGCAACTTGCAATGCAATCCTACCCTGAAGAGATGTAATTTAGTACAGAGTATTCAAAAAGTAAGTGTAATAAGAAACGTACATGGAATGTAATAAATATTTTTTCGTGATGGCGAAATTTACATCTCTCAAAAGTAGAAAACTGCAGCGTGTAACATGGCCTTTAGAGGTCATCACACAAGAATTTCCCGTATTCACTGACATCTTGATTTTCAGGTTGTGGCTCAACCGGCAGGTTTCTACACATGTGATCGAAGCGGGGCGTACAAAGCGAGCGAAATGAAGAGATCTACATCACATTTCAACAACAATCTTCTGTTGTACGGTGCTTTGGATCACGAGTACCTGGAACAGAGAAAACACGAGTTTTTTCCACAACCCTTGGGCGGTTTTGTTGGCATGGATCCTAAGGGTGGATGGTCTCACATACAAATCCCAGGTACTATAGTTGTAAATGCTCTAGCTTTACCTACAGAGTGATGCCGTGCCACTGTGCCTCAATCCATCAACTGCAATAAAGATTGCTTATAAATCCGTTTCTCTATATTATGTTGGTAATAATTCCGTGTTTAGAAAATCCTAAATACGCGAACTTAAACCTCAAGATGAGGTTAGGGTTTGGATTAAATCTTAGATCATAAAAGTCAGACATTCTTTAAACACTATATGTACATGCATCAGCTAAAGAGATGGGTTCTTTTCAGATCGTGAAATTCTCATTACGGACAGTGGAAAGATGAAGGAACTAGATCGATTATTGACAAGATTGAAGTTCCAAGGGCATCGTGTGCTGATATATTCTCAAATGACAAAAATGATCGACTTGTTGGAGGAGTACATGGCATTCCGTAAACACAAATACATGAGACTGGATGGCTCATCAAAGATCTCCGAAAGACGCGATATGGTTGCAAACTTTCAGACCAAGTAAGCTGAGAAAATTTGCATGTTATTGTCATAAGAAATCAGCAAACGGTTAAGCGAACCATTTTATTTCATGCTAAGAAATTAACAAACAGTTGTGTGAACCTTTTCATTTCATGCTAAGAAATCAGCAAACAGTTGAGTGAACAATTTCATTTCATTTCACTCTAATAAACAAAGGATTAACCATAAAACTGACCATACTTTATGTTTCCATACATGTTCGTTTGCTGTAAAAAAAACTACTGATTAAAAAATCGCACAGTAAACATTTGAACCTACAAACAGAACATACAAACGACCCGCAAACCAACAAACAAACTATTTACAATTTCCAAATTCTTTCAGATCCGATATCTTCGCTTTTCTCCTGAGTACTCGAGCCGGTGGATTGGGTATCAATCTCACCGCGGCAGATACCGTGATATTTTATGACAGCGATTGGAATCCCACCGTAGATCAACAGGCCATGGATCGTGCGCATCGCCTGGGGCAGACCAGACAAGTTACCGTGTATAGATTGATTGCCAGGGGCACAATTGAGGAAAGAATTTTACAGAGAGCGCAAGAGAAAAGCGAGGTATGTTGGTTGGTTGATATGTCGGGTGGGGAAGATGGTACGAAGTAGGTTATGTGGGACAACTGGGGAAAGTGGAGTAGGTTAGTTGATATGTCGATTGGGGAGAGGGGTACAAAGGTAGGCTAAATGGGAGACAGAGAGAAAGCGAGATAGTTTGGTTGTTATGTCAAGTGCTGAGGTGGGTACTTATTGGGTTATATGGAAGAACTAGAGGGGAAAGCGAGGTAGGTTGGTTGATATGTTAAGTGGGGAGGGGGTACGAAGGTAGGCTATATGAGAGCACACGGGAAAGCGAGGTAGGTTGGTTGATATGTCAAGAGTGGACGATGCTACGAAGGTTGATTATGGCAGAGGATGGAAAAATGCAATATAAATAGCTCCTGTTCTGATGTATTTAGATTCAAAAGATGGTCATATCTGGTGGACAGTTCAAACCGGATGCTCTGAAGCCAAAAGAAGTGGTTTCATTGCTTCTCGATGACGAAGAGATGGAGTGTAAGTTCATTCAAAAACAAGCTGAGAAGAAAGCGGACGACCAGAAGAAACGCAGGGAAAGAAAAAGGAAACAGCCTGATCTTCCACCGCAGGTTAGAAACGCTCAAGTTTGTCCCATTTGATAAAAACTAGAAAATGCTGTGGCAATAAGTATACCATGACATACTGTAGCGGCATTGTTCAATACTGTTTTCGGCACCCATGAACAACTTGCTTTTCATTTTGTCTGTAAAGAAGGTGAACTATACCCACCTATATATCCATACCTACCTATATATCTATAATTGTCCATCAAACTACTACTACGTGTCCCTTTATCCGCATATCGTAACAACCTGACTAGACCAACCTTTTCGACGGTTTTTAGGGGGAGAAAAATACGACAGGTAGCGACGTCGACGGGGGGCAGGCAAAGAAACGCGGTCGTAAAAAGAAAGTTCAGGCAGAACCCCCTCCGTTGTCTGAAACGAGCGACAGTCGAGGTCCCTCCGAGATTGGTTCCACCAATGGTGAGATTATCAACATGAAAATGGAAACCGCTGACGTGGATGTTTCCGTCGCTGATGACGTCAGCATTCAGAGTTTGGATGATGGTAAGTTGGTTGAATATGTATGTGATGATACTGATGTTACCATAGGAGATTATAGAACTATTTGTGGTCATTGTAGCCAGCATCTTGTAAACAAATTGTGTTGGAAAGGTGTGCATTATGTACCGTGAATAGTGAGCAAAACGAAGTCATAATTATCTTCCAATGTATTCTTAGTTTCTGTTGCATCTGGAGATGGTCTCACGATTGATCTTACCTCAAGTATCCAAATTACGCCTTCCAAAAGTGATGCAGAAACAAGTCGTGATAGTCCCAGTTCCCACTCGGGATCGAAAACCCGCGGTCGGGCACGTGGCCGAGGGAGGGGTCGAGGTAAGTTCCTTTACATTCCCATTGTGCCGACAAAGTAAGGGTTAGCTCCAATGAGTGCGAATTAATGTTAAATGCAAGACAAGATTGACACATATAGATTTGTTCACCCTGTTGCACACATTTGTAGATTCATATTTGACATAGAACCCTTTCCAATATGACCGGCTAAATATTAGACTTTGCATTCTATGTGTCCCTTATTCACTTTATCAGGTCGTACGTCTGGGCGTGGTCGCGGACGTGGGCGAGCCCGTGGTGCGTCTGGGGCGTTGGCAGCGGCTGCAGCTGCAATGGCAGGCGCTGCAGCCGGGTCAGCGGCCGCATACGCTGCCTATGGCTTCAGCTACCAAGCAAGTGCCCCCACTCCACCCTCCAACCGTGTTAGCCCAGTGGCCTTCGGAGCTGGCCCCTCGCCCTCCTCGGGTGGGGGATATAAACAACAGAACACAGGGGTCGCCCTGCCGTCCCATGTTTCAAGACACGAGGGCAGCGCAAACACACCTCCAGACGGAGAGCAAATAAACGTGACTCGAGTTGAGACTAACAGTTCTAAGAACCATAAAAGGAATGAAGGGAGTACCACGTGATGAACACGTGGGCACGGAGAACGAGTATATCACACATCACGTCAACTAATTGTGTTCTTACTGTTTGATCCAAGTTATCCCTCACAAAAAATTGCAAATGGTCTTTCGACTTCATTTTCGTTTCAAAATGACTCGATCTTCGTTTCAAAATGATTTCAGTGATTCTTGATAAGCCTCATGTTTAGTCAAATTCTGTTGTCTTGTCAATTTCTACGCAACAGGTTAGGAGGGTGGACTAAGTCAAACCGGCGGAGGTAAATAGACTGGGTCAGACAGCGAGAACACCGCCTGAAAGTGATATCAGCTAATTTATGGAACTTTTGTAAAACCTCCATAATTTCAGCATGGAAACATCTTGTGAGTTTTTTGTGCGAGTAGCTTCAAAGCTACAATAGATAGGCCTAATTCAAACGAGATCCTATAAGGAATCCAGTACTTTATAGCAATTTATTTACATAAACCACATTATGCCTAGCCTATTATGTTTTGTGAACTAATTTGAAAGGACTAACACTGTGAATTATCTAAAGCGGAATGAATTACAAAGATTTTTTTAGAATTTTTCGAACAGTATCAAAAATCTTGTATTACCTTTGGAAAAGTAATGTCAGGCAAGTCTTTAAAAGGCGAGGATTTGTATTTGTAATTTTTTAAGCCCACCATTACAGTCGGCGTTCTAGATTTATCAGTCAATCATAAACCCCATCAAAGATTCCTCTATCACCAATACCCAGTGTCTAATATTGCTAAGCGTAATTCAATGCTCAACGACAGATTTTATGCTGGTATTTTGAAAGGTATTGAAGTTAGTTGAACACATTTAAAAGCAATGAGTTTGAAAGGTGGGTGGTTTTGATGGTCTAGTGATGACGCGTGACTGGTCAGAATGGCAAACCGATTTCTAATAAGTGCATATCTTTAGTTTTTCAGGCCTGAATCCTTTTATCCTTCTTGAACAATGAGCAGGGATGAAATCTTAACTGCATAAGCGGCAGAACCTATCGTCACAGCGAGGTACCTATGGGCGCTCTCCTTTAGGCGGCGAAAATGGTCAGACCGGTCGTATTTTGAAATGAAATAGAGTATTCCGTTAAGAATATATAGCGGTGAAACTGCATTTCCCATGCTAGGCAGATATGAATAACGATATACTTGAATGCAGATTTCTTAAAACACTCTAAAATACCAGTAATCTGTCTGTGCTGAAATTAAACAGGAACGGTCTGGTCGTTTTTACCGTATAAAGGAAAGCGCCCGTGATTATAACTACACGGCTTTGAAAGATCAAATTCCTAGTCGGGGAAGGGCAGTGGGGTTTCACAAGAACCCTTACTAACCCCCCTCGATTATTTTATGCCTTTTTATGATTATTTTACGCTTCCCTTACATTAGAGTCTTAAACGGTGTTGATAACCTCTTTCGAAAAATAACCTAATTTTCGAGTTCAGTGCTTATCGGAATTCTTTGCAATGTATGGGAGCTCTTTGGATGGCATTTAATACAGTAATTGAAATACTTTTTGTCGGATTTCTTTCTAATCGCCTAAAGGAAATGAGTTCACATGTCTCCATTACTTTACTCATATGATTAATCTCTAATGATTTAGTACGTAATAACAAAACGAATCCTCGGAATTTCCCAACAAACCACTTTATTTCCAAAGCACAAAAGATTTTTTGTCTTCTTGGAATTTCAATTTTCAAATAGCTTCTAATTGTATTCAAGGGCATAAATGCATGTCAAATTGCTAATGCAGTTATTCGATAGCTCCTTTAATGCAATTAGAAGCTGTTCAAATTCCAAAGGAACTAAACTCTCTTGTATTTTGAGAACAAAACGGATTACTCCGTGAAAAATTCCAAGGTTACGTTTTTTAAGCACCCTGTTGATCTGTGAATTCCTACGATTGCATTAGACACATTATTAAATATGTCATTAACCTATAACTTTCATTCAACTTTCAACTAAGAACTTAAACGTTTAATGGAAAAAAAGCCTTTTGTGTTTCATGATGTTATCATAACTACCTGGCCATCATTCCTGCATTCCTCGTACGCCGAAAAATACCGGAAATAGGAATCAGGTCTTTTTTGTTTACTAATCTCGGACACTTTAATACCGCTTAATTACATTTATCTCTCGAAATATTCTCGTTAGCCGCGCGCTTGTGGCAAAGAACGATATTTTTGCGTGGGGACGCATTCCATTTTTGGCAAAACCGGATGTCTTGCTGTTTACAATTATTCTTAATAAGGTCTTATCTGCCTAATTACATACGGCCCCTGATTGGCTGCGACATCATTATAAGCCGCGTCGCCGAGGCAACCGTTCCAATCACTAATTATATCTCGCCACGAATATGAATAATTATTTTGGCTTGTGGCGAAGCGAAACTATCGCAAATTAATACCTTCGTTTGCATAATTCGAGCTTTTAATGTTCCAGAAAAGCTAGGAAAAGGCCTGTTCTACGAATTTCGAAGTTCGTCTACACGTTGACGAGAGTAGACACATGGGAGTTTGGCATTTGTCTACAAACGAACCGACTTAGTGCATATGCAAATTTGTTTAATTTATGATTCTAGTTTAATCAGTGTGTCTCGTTAAAGAACAGACCCGTTGATTTGAACAAATTTCGACGTTTGCCGCTCCAAAGCTCTAGAAGAAGTCGTGTTGTGGCCGCTAAACATTCACGGTGTTGTTCAAAGGTGAGTTTCGTAAACCAAGCACGTTCAGACAGGAAATTTGAAGACAAAGTCCCTCCTAATGATGCATTAATCAAGCGAGCTTACAATGTTTATTCGTTCGCATATTCATTGTGTGAACTCTCGTTGTTTGTGTTGCGGTAAAAATTGCTTGTCAAAACATGGTTCGTTTCGCTCCAGAACTACCATACACTTTGCTGTTTTGTGCGTAGCTTGTTTACGATGTAATTTTAACGAAGTTTATTCGTTGTGAAATTAAGAAATTCCGTGTCTGAAACAGAAGTCCGCGTGTAATTTAATAGTCGTTTGAATTTAATGAAGCCAGATTACGATTTCTCGTGAATAGGTAAAGAGTAAAGTCAAATACACTTGTTTAGGGTAGAAATTTAGCGAAAATTAGATTTATGTACTGTATCGGTGAAAATAATTTGCTTGTTTAAGGAAGCAACAATGTTGTGTTACCCGATTAATTAGGGGGAAAAACAAAATATAATATATATTTTAATATCTGATAGTTTCTCGGCTATTCTCGACACTTAATAGCAGAGATTATTTCAGCATAGTTCGCTCTAAACCCAACGTACTAGACTCGAAGGAAAGCTAAGGATTGTTGCGTAAAATAGCATTTGTGTTAAATTAAGGCAATGGGGTTAAATTGATTTCATGTGAAAGCCAGCCATTCGACAGCTGACTTTATTAGCCCCCGCGTCGAGAAACGCGGGATTGTCGTGACACGTTTGTAGTTGCCACTTGACTTGTTTGGGTTACCGTCGGGTAGAGCACGCATATCGTTCGAGTGCCACACAGCCGTAATTCATAACATGAACTGCTCGGAATATAACAGACTATAATTTCGAGTAGAGTTCCAAAATATAGCTTTATCATAATGAGAGAGCGACACGACTTCGCATGTCCACAAACTGCTTCGCCTTTAGCGATGGGCATATTGATTCAACTTGCCAGTTACGAAGTCTAAGGGTAAAAAATTGTTTCGATTTCGACCATACTTTTTTTTCTCTCCGTTTACTCGAAACCTGGGGAATTCATGATTTAACTCGAATTCGTGCAGTTTATTGATGTAAACTCGAAGCTCGGTCAAATTTTCATCCACTTCAGTGCGTAAAATTCTGAATTAAACGGGAATTTGAGACTGGGAGCCCCTAGCGCTCTGAACGTTGCCTTAAGATCTTCGATATTTTCCGAAATTGATCGTCATCGACTAGATTTACACTGCTCGTGGGGATTTTTAGGCCTGTCGTTTCTTTATTTTACCAGCGTCGTTTTCACACGGTCGCCAGGAAAACACCTCCACTGCATTCGGATTCCTGTCACTTTTTTTCCGTCGATTAAAATCGTTTTCAATTTTTTGTGTGTGAACTGAAAACAGAAATGAAAGAAAGTCGCATGCGCAGACCACCAATGTACCAATGCTTTTCGTCAGCCTGCCACACACGAGAACTATTTGCTGAGACTGCTGAGCTAAAGATATACATTTCGTGAGGCTGTTAACTCTCTCTCGCAATACTCTCTCGTGTGCGGATAGTTTTCGTAAGGAATTCGCCTCGAGAGGTAAGTTTCTCTCTTGTACGGATTATTTTCGGGCTGAGCTAACTGCCTCGCGAGGTCGTTAGCTCAGCTGATAGCTCTCGTGTGTGTGTACAGCCCGTGCATATGTGTCGAAAACGAGAAACGGTGAAGACATGAGGATTAGCCTAGTTAAATACGGTTGCTTTTGAATAACACGTAACAGAACCACAATGAGCGTGGCGTTTATTAGTTCTAAGCTAAATCTGGTTGGAGTTTTCACAGATTTAGCAGCGGATAACCTTTGAGACATAAAGACAATCTGTTTTCCAAGATGAAAGCAAATTATTCCACAATACGCTTTCGCGTTTAATAAGGAGCTGACGGCAAGGACTTTTATCCCGGGGGAGGAGCAAATCTATCCGGGGGAAGGGGCAAGTCTATCCGGGGGAAGGGGAGAGGGATCCCCAACACACGTAGTTTGCAACATAACGGGATCTGGAATCGGCTTTGTCCCCCCACTGACTTTTTGCTGAGAATTATTACCCTCGGGACTAAATTCTTCCTTTCAAAGTTTTTTCCCTGATAGATATCATTACAACATTCTATTGTGTTAAAAAGAAGATTTCGTGATAAAAATTAGTCAGCTGATGATAGTCAAGCTCAAAACCGTCTTCGTTTCTTTTGAAATTCCATGCAGGATTCGTTGGTTTGGAATATGGAAACACAAGTCTGTCATTATGAGCCTCCAACTATGGCAGACAGACGAATCAAGATCGAGAGAGACGAAGATGACGATGACTCGTGCGAGAACAGCGAGACAGACATCCCTTGTATATCAACTGTTCCTTTCTCTGCCGACAAAAACACCGGCTCGTACTATTATCCGTCGCAAGCTGTGGTGGTGCCCAGGACACCAGTCTATACGACCGTCGGTAAGATGGCTCAAAAACGGAAGACTGTTCAGGCTCTCGCGCAGGTCAGTTGCCGGATGATCCATGCACTGTATATAAGCATTTATTTAGCTGACTAGCATGCTTTCCGAATGCCCGCTCAGACGAGACATTGTACAGCTTTGTTTGTTCAACAATGCGTGTCGACGACTGCTGGACGATTTCCATAAAAGTTTTAAACAAAACCTCAATTTCGATCTAACTCCATCCATACTAGCCTCTTAAACAGTGTTTTATAATGCTGAATAACATTTTCGCTTGATTTGAACCGGTCTTTGTTTAAACAGCCGGTTAAAAAGAGGATTATAAAGCAGTTTTAATCACGTTTGTCTTCAAGTGCATCCGTCCTTGTAGGTTCATTCTCCCTGGCTGTAGCCTTCTTGATTTCATCACCCTCTATCCCATTAATTACATTTTTTATTTCTGTCTACTCAATTCAAATGCTTGGCCTACCATATTTCGAATTCCACGCCAATGCCATCGCTAATGACCGCGGGCATAAATATGTTTTTATATACCCTGTGAAATGCACCGTAATAATTCGTCTGATAAAGTTTTTTTGATAATATTTTACCCTAGGACATTTATAGTAAGACTTTGGTGATAAACTAACAGTATTTCCTCATCTTTCAGGCGGCCCTGATGACGGCTGATGAACCGATCCTATTTGAAGAAACTATTTGGTGCAGTAACGCAAAAATTGCCCTAATTGGTAAGAACATAATCTGAATTATCTGATTTAGTACAGTGCGCTATATTTCTAGTTAAATTGGCCGACATGTATTCCTATGAGTGTAATATACTCTTGTTCATGAATTTGGTAGACACGAAAACAAAACAAGTAATTGCTCGAGATCATCTTAGAAAGAACAGCAACAACAGTTCAACGTCGCCACCACAGGCAACCGACTCCACAACGACAGGTAAGCCTGGAGATGTAAAAGGGACATGTCGCAGCTCTCGGAAGCTTTCATCCAATTGGATAATGCTTTTCTATGCTTTCTAAAGAACGAATCTACGCTATTGGTTGAAACAGAAATGTATTGTAACGTTCAGCCAATGAAAATCATTCTTCCGAGGAGCTGCGACACTACCCCATGCATCCAAAATGCATCGCCCTTTGTGTGAGTGTATATTGGATTAAACGACGTTAAAATTTCAATGGTATTCAAAATCAGTTGCATTTTTCAGCAAGAGAAAATGCTGTATATTATGTTTATGTGTCAATGTTCTTAAGGCCTACTGACAATCACATTTTACGCTCTGTCATATTATTTCTCAATTCCTGTCGTTTCCAATTTTTAGTGAATACAACGAGAGATCTCTCAGCAAGCTCAGCTCCACTATCGCGTGTTTCCAAACCCTGTCAACTCCAACGTCTCGGCAAGGTGGGTAGTACTGCGGCACATCCAGAAACCGGCGAGACCAGTTTGTCGTCAACCTCCAACTCCACTGCCTCCACTTTCACTACCTCGAATTTTCCCGCCAAAAGCACAAGTGCATCCGGCGTGTCGTCAGCGGTTGCTACCACTGCCCTCTCCACTCCGCCCGTGCAAAACCAACTTGCAAGGCACGAAGCACCCACAACAACAACAACTGTACCCCGACCCAGAACCTCTTTGCTAAACAGCCTTCCCTCGGAGAGAGCACGAATAGAGCCTACGAAGGGTACTCTAGACAAGCCTCCGGTTAAAAAGACAACATATAAACCACTGGCTATGGCCCCGTACGCTTCAGTTCGACCCGAAATGAGTTCTTCGTCAGTTAGACCGGAAACCAACTCCAAAATGGCCGTTTGCCTACCAAACTCTGCTTCGAAGACCGAAAGTTCTGTTGCTCGTTGTGTGTTTGTCCCAAGAGAAATAAATTTGGGGGCAATTGAATTGAGACTCGAAGACTGCATCAATGTTAAGGATATCTGCGATAAAGAACTCACGAAATGGACCGCCGAAGATGTGGCGAAGTTCGTACGAGCAACGGATTGTTCCGAATATGCTCACGTGTTTGTTGACCAAGTAAGTGTCGGCCAATCCCTTTTCCTCGGTTATTGACCAATCAAATTGCGCGATACACAGTCTACAGTACTAGTCATGATATTTTTTACTTACCTGCCAGCCTATTGATTTTTGTTCACAATTTCTTAGGAAATCGATGGTAAAGCCCTGACATTATTGAATCAAGACTTCCTTATCCAATGGATGAAGTTAAAACTTGGACCAGCCATGAAATTAAACTGTCACATTATTAATCTTAAACATTCGTTAAACAGCAGTTAGCTTCGGCTTAGCAATCTGTACATAGTGTTTATATTGTTCATAAATTCGTTTGACCATAATGTTGGTAGACGCCGATAACCAATCCAGTTTAAAACTGTGTTTGTGTGTGTCTGTGGGACTGTGTTTAGTGGTGTGTGTGTGTGTGGTACTTTTTTGTAAGTGGTTAAAAACTTTTCAAAAGAGTAAAAATTGTATGGAGAGAAACTAGTATAAACTTTGATAGGTGAACAGGATGAGTCACCTTTGATTTTAACAGGTCACAGACTCTAAATGATTTTCTTTTATACTCAGTGTAAAAGTAATATTAATTAAGATGATAAATTTTTAAATTTCTGATAACTTGTATAGTTAGATACTCGAACCACAATACTGCGGGGTAAAATGACGTATTGCCGTTGTATACGCTGTAGATTCTAATTTTGCAGCACGTGGTCGCCAAATGTTTTGTTCTCCTCCCCCCGTACTGCAATAGCTACCAAAGTCATTAAAGCAAAATTTCCGAAGTATTTAGTTTACGATGGATGCAGGCCTGCGATGGATTTAGCTTAAATTTAGCTAAATATAATAAGCTTTAGTAATATAGCTGGTGTTCTTGATGACTTTATATATTATGTCAATAAAGTATGGGCAGATGGATTCGAATACCGGGGGGGGTTAGAATTAAATCTTGGTCTTGGTTGTATATTACCGAAGTCAAATTTGCAACATGGAAAAGTCAAAATTTTACTTTGCAGCGAGTATTCGAGGAGGCAGAGATGATGTGGAATTATATCGTGAATTGATCAGTTACATGCAAACTTTTGGCAAAGTTTTGACTGAACATATTGGGTATGAAAGCCTGGTGGATTCAGGTCAGTACTGTGATACCATACTCATTGGTGCATATTTCAAATATCACGGATAAACAAATTAGTATTTGCTGGAATTCTGTAATGATAATGTAGCATGTTTCCACTAATGCTACTACAACATTTCTTCAACTTCCACTTTGAAGAGGAAACATGGCAACATTAGCAACATTTTCAAAGTGTTCTCCTAATCTGAGCAGTCTCTCAAAGGTTGCAGTACGATTTTTCCCAGTGGCTTGTGGGCAAAAGGGTGTGCCAAAGATTTACTTTGCAGCGAGTATTCGTGCGGGGCGTAATGACGCCGAGATTTATCATGAATTGATTGATTATATCAAGGTGCATGGTCAGGTTATGTCCGAGAGTGAGCAGCAAGATCCAGAGGTTGATCAGGGTATATAACTTTTGGGTTAACCATGAATCAGTTGAACTCCATTGATGAGTAAAATTGTCAGTCTTTTGACAGAATAAAACACTGATGTACAAGGTGTTTTAGCTTGTACTCTGTCTAACAACATGCATTTCATCATTACCAATAAATGCAAGCTAGTACCCACCATTATCGAGGCTGATCCATACATCTCCAAAGGTAAAAGTATTTCTCTAAAATTTGGAAAAATTTTTCACAGGAGAAAGAAACAAAAATGATAAATTCATTCATGACAGAGACATGGCATGGTTGGACGAAAGTGATGGTAAAATATATTTTATATGTTATTAATGTTATTGCCATTCAATTCTATATAATTTCACTTAAATCTGAAATGGGGGAAGCTCCATATTTGAAAATAATATATGTTTCATTTACTGCCAGCTATGATTGCCGAAGTGACGCAACCATCTCTGGGTGTCGGGTATGAAATTGGCAGAGCACTTGAACAAGAAAAAAAGATTTTGTGCCTGTTCAGACCTGATTCAGGAAAAGGTTAGTCAGTACCAGTGATGTGCATTTTTCTCTGGAGATTAATTAAACTATGTCTTGACTTGTGTGTTCAAAAGAAGGAAAAATATTTGCTGAAATTTGTTGCATAACCACTGCCTGACTGGTTGAAAACATTTGTGTTGTTTAGTTCTATCGGCCATGATTCGTGGAGCAGAGGATGGGAAACAAATGGTTGTCAAAGACTATCAAGGTGATGAGGCAAAGAAAATAATTAAAGATTTTCTAACAGCAAACAACTTAATATGAGCTAAATGCTCAGACATGCATACACTGTAACTAAAGTTGACCATTGGTGCAGGGGACCAAACTTTAGGGGATGAGGGGGGTGGTTGGTGAAGTGGACACTGTCCAAAGATGACATTGAAAACCTATTTCACGTTTCTAATCAAGGGCAGAACTAACCCTTAGCCTGATTAAAATCGTTTTGCTGATATGCAAGAGAATGTTTAATGTCCGTACACTGAGAAGAATCATTTTATTTGCATCATATGAACTGTCGAATCATTGTGTATAACACTCTAAATCAATTTAACAAGTGACTTAGTGCTGTTCACCTGTTTACCTCACTGAATATAATCAACGACAACGTTAAAAATTGAACCGCGAGAAAATAGTTGAGCCGACAAACAATAAAAGACTCCCAGGATTTTCTTCAAAGGACGTACCATTTCTCGGCTAAAAACAAAATTTAAAATTGTACCAATTGTTGTTTCCAATGTTAGACAAACGTTAATAATCATTTCCCACTCAAAAAGTCAAGTTAATGCTAAACCTAGACCATAGTTATCTTATAAACCTTTTTAATTGATTGCGTTTTCAGCCAGTTTATAATAGGTTTTAATGCCAAACGAAGTTTTGTCGACCTTTCAAGATTATCTCATTAAGTAAAAATACCGATTGTCTGAATAGTCGCGTTTTTTTAACATGTTTCGTACTGTCACTTTACATATAATTTTCAAAGAGTCTAACTTATTGCCAACGAATTTTCCAGGATAAAATGTAATCCGTAAAATCAGTTGTAGTTCGCGAATTTCAATAACATGTGTCAAATATCTAAATGGGAATATCGGAATATCTAAGTGCGGTATAATATTTCCCAGAGACGCCATTGCGGAATTTGACGCGATTTAATTACTTATTCTGCGTTTCCAATTAAAACATCATTAACATAACTTGCGCGTCAGAGTGTTAAAACTTTGTTTTCGTATATACATGTCAGGTGTATAAATGGCGTAGTGGGAAAACGTTTGAAGCGTGATTCAGGCAAAGTGATTCTTTTTCTCAAAGCTTCGGTATCCAAACGGTCCACAGTCCTCAAAATATGAGAAGGTATGAAGAATGATTGAAATTCCAACGAATGGCATATCTTTATATATGAAATGAAGTGATTTCTGTTTACCTAATATTGTAACCGTTATAGTCTTATAGAAAAGCAAAGGTTTTGTGACATATTTCATGCCCTTGAATATACTTTATTTCGATATTGTTGGTAATACGGTTCCCAATGCCGATGCAACCATGTCTAAGTACATAATCTGCAAGTTCGCTAATTCCATGCAAAATGTATTATCCAAATTAGGACAATGGTATTTTAGCTTGCAGTGTAACGCTGTATGTGCCGGTGGAAAACCTTAGCTGTTCGATAAATGCGATAGGAATGGAGTACGGTCCAACTGAAACATTGAGTTGAAATATACTGAAACATCGAGTTGAAATATATCTGTCATTTGATATTTTAAAGCTTACTTTCAACATCACAAAAGCCAGGTGGTAAAATGGTCCTGTTTATTGTTCGAAGGTTTTAGTAATCTAGGTTTGTGGGTGTATTTACAACACACTTCTTGTCTAACTTGATATACAGATGTGTAGCATGGTATAATTATGCGTCAATCGTTGAAAGAGATTTATTGAAGTGGATTACTGGAACATTCCGGTGAGTATTAAAATAAATGCGAAAGTTGCTTTAGGAATTGTGTCATTCGAAGGCACCATCTTTATTCGCACACGGTTTCACAATAATTCAGCGCCTTCCCTTCGCAGCTATATATGTATGGGGTATGGGTGATCTCTGCTAAAATTCTCAATCTGACTTCCTGGGAATAGAGTTGTGCGTGTAATCATGTACAAGTGTACAACGAAAATTAACATAGCCGTACCTAACCTGTACCGGATATAATTTTATCTTTCTGGACATGTTAACAAAGGAGAATATTACCAAAATAAAACGAGGCTCGCGGCTCAGTGTATTTGCAAATATATGTCTTGTATAACATTGCCCGAAATTCCTTAGCGTATTGTATTGAGAATTACTTTGCATTCCAAGGCTTTTAAACATTATGTACCTCAATTTTATGCAGTATATTCTAAAGTATGGTGAATTTGTTTGCTCTCTCTTGCCTTCCCATTATATTCTATGCTTTTATGCCATCGAAAACGAATAAAAATAGACTGGCTATTAAGTTTCATGAATATTTACATCGCGTAAAGTGCGGTGAAGATGGACATACCCCATTATTCCACTTTCATTTAAGAGTTTTTTAAGCAACGTATTCATAGCAGAATAAGTAAAACGTTTAAACTAAACCATCCTACTCAAATACAGTTTTTTGTAATGCGAGCATTTTGTATTTAATTTCGATTTTTCGTTTAAACTCCCTCCTTCTTGGCGCTTAAATTGTCGTACAGTAATAACTATTGCCAGACAGCCATGCAGAAAACAAGTCTAGAGTCAAAGGTTAATGAAATTACGGGGAAAATTCGCCAATGTTATTGGTTTAACCTAAAAAAATCGTTGTTTTGTTTCACTTCCCAGCAATTGGGAATGAAGTTAATGGTTTTTCTATATAGTTCCTATAGTAGAGAAACTATGGAAATTGGCCTTCAAACACTTTGGAAAATGTTTTTTAATGTGTACAAATCATAAACCGAACGCAAAGTAGCTACATTATTTATCAATTAAACTTATCACTCGCACGAGAATTGGAAGCATGTTTGTCTTTTTATAAAAAAAAGCCGAGAAACCCCGTTGTTTCCCCCTTTGAAATCTCAGATTCAAGCCAAGGTCATCAAGTTTAATTTTTGATGTTTTAAAAATGATATTTGAGTCTGAGAGAGCGACGGAACTGAGCCATTTGGTACAAACAAAATATGGCGCAATTATAATATAATGTTTCCCTGAAATATATCATTACCTGAATGATATTTCTGTTGCTTTTGTGTTGATATTGTGTTGAGAACAATGTTTAGTGTTGATATTGTGGTTGGTCTCGAATGACGTGCCTGATATATATTTGTCGACGTGTTGACGCATTTTGAGATAATTACATTTTGCGTTTTCCCGCGATTATTAATTTACCGCGCTGGCGTAATGATTAAAACGTTTAGTGGCAATGGCCTGAACCCACTACAAAAGATTAATTTCACCAATGCAAATGGTTATAAAATATATATTCGAAAATTTGAAAAATCTAACAATCAAATAAGTGGAAAAAATACACTATAGGATGGGGTCAAAAAGATTTGTTTTCTCAATCGAAAATTTCTATTATTTTGAAAAGTATCTCATTTATATCCAAACATAGTTATGACAATTTGGTAATGTTTTCCCCGAAAGCAAATAATTTCATTTCCGCATTCTGGCTTTTCCGTTCTTCAGCGACTCCTCACGAGTTGAGAAACTATATCAGTCGTTTCTGGTTTCCTCAATATATATGCAAATTACTTTCACAATTCACAAAGAACTAATTTACATACGTAGACAATATCCGTACAAGCTTTATACGATTCACTTCAAATTTAGTCATCTAGTTTAATCGTTCGTAGTTCCCTTCGACTCACGGCGTCGACTACAAACTTACGAGTACTGTAGCAGCTCAAGAACGTCGATAAATAAATAATATCCTTGGTCTAATTCTTGCCAATGCGATTAATATCCTCGCAGCGATAACAGTTCACGGTGAGTCGTCTTTGTTCTACAAAGCTATCACAACGTAGATATACCTGCATTCGAATATCATAACTTCAGTTGGTCTCGCCATGTTATGTAACTTGTTGACGACGAACAATCATCTTCCAGTATAATGATTTTAGGATCACTGATGTTGAAATATAGCAGGAGATTTTAACCGTGCTCTCGCCGTAAATAATGTAACAAACTAGTTTATTTTAATACATTTCCTGTAGTTGTAAAGTCGATAGTTTTGCACTTCGATAACAATTCCCAATTTTGTCAGTCGAGGTTTATACACAGTAAATTTCCTCAAAACTTCCGTCCAATGCGAACCTTCATCAGTGGCAGTGATAAAATAGCCTGGTTGACGGAACTGTCCGAACTGAGACTCTACCATAATAGGTTTAACTGTTCCTGAGGCAAATATCAATTCGCGGTTTATTTAAGCTAGATATTCTGCGAAGAATTGTCAGTTTCTGCTTATTCTTATTCTCAAGGGCGCTTTTACACAACTTGTCATTCGTATAAAGCTTTCTCAATTCAATGAAATGAAGAGTGAAGTTCCGATAAATTGGCGGTCATTCAGTACGTACATCTGCGTGACTATCGTGGCTCATATACTGATTAATTGATCGAAACGATGTTTGTACGAATATGAAATTATACTTTCACATGATCTCGTATAAACATCCCTACTGTTACAGCGTAATAACTGGTCAACAAAGATCAAGATTGGACTATGTATTTCTTAGTCTTGTTTATGCAGAGCACACAATTGTAAATTTGTAAGCGCATCCGACTCGTCCGGAGTTGTGATAAAATTGAGATGCGTGGAATTATGCTTGCAAAACTCACGAATTCTTTTGAAAATTGAGTAATTTTGAGTTCGACTGTAATTTTACGTGATAAAGCAGCATCGTTATTTTCAAAGGTAAACCATACCATGCAGTGAATTCCAATATTACATACTTATTGAATAAGTACAATTGGACTGTAAATCACGTCGTTACATTTGGGAATGTAAGATCTTTGTTTTGAAAGCCCTTAGTAAAAGGCTAAAAGTCAGACATTCACCCCCCCCATTTCCTTCTCGCCTACTCCCCCCTGGGCGTCTGAAATAATGTCACATTGCACCCTGACCCGTGAATGAGACAATCTCGTACATTGACCTCAAAAGTTACTCGCCCCAAAATTTGTCAAACTGTTTGATGGCGGTCCTATTTCAAAATGATTTATTTTGTTTCAGATGGCATTTTTACCAACAAGCAACTGCACGCTATCATACGACAATGACGGAGGATGTAAGACGTATTTTGGGTGATGGTATCTTTACGTCTTATATATCAACTGATTCTTGTTGTCTGGTTTGGATCCCTCATATTCATTTTTTCGCATATCACTGAGTTAGGTAGGCCTTGTCTTTACTTCCATTGCAGTTGCTGAATTTACCTTAGTTGACTTGCTACAAAAGCATGCCTAAATTATGGTGAGTTATAAGAACAGTGGGCGCTGTGCCTGACCTGTATCTTCGTATCTCCATAGAGTTTTCATAGTAAAATATACTTTAGAAATCACTATCAATCCTAAGTGTGGAATAGAAACACAACACATTACAAAAGTGCACAGGATTCAAACATCTATCAGAAGAGAATTAGATTAAACGACATTGGATCATGTGAAAAGTCCCTTTAAAATATCTACCTCAAATCAAAACTCGTTGGGTGATAAATTGATTAACGTAATGTCTATCTATTAAATTATAATTTCTACAAACGTGTTCATCTTTTAGGTTACCCTGAACCAATAGCGATTACAACAGAAGACGTTGATCAGAATCTTTATGGACCGATTTATGATTTCAGTACGTTCATAATTATCCGAAATTCTAAACAAAGATATAGTTTGCGAAAAAAATATTCCTGAAAATGAATGTAAATATATAGTATTTCTGTGAAATCATCCGAATCCTAAGATCACAGAAATCCATGATTGACTGGATTATGTCAAAGACTTATGACGAGATCTTAACGAAAATGCTCCATACTGAAACATGAAAGGATTTTCTACATTTTCGCCGTTCTTAGAATTTTTTTCTCCATTTAACCCTGATTAACAATTTTCTCATTCCTGTCAGGTAACCAGACTATAGAGAGAACCGCTAATGAAGTCAAGACAAATTCTGATGAGGTCACAAGTTCGGAGGAACTCCCTCTAGAAACTCTACAATGTCCATTACCAGAACCAAGCCGTGCCTACCCATTCTGTCAAGAACACGTCGTGGTATGTTTAAATGAGATTAAACTGCTTCAAAATTTAAAAACCTGTCATGCTCCACGGCCATAGGAAGTTATCTTTGATTTGTGGAAATGGGACTTTGATCATATGAAATGCTAATGGTATAAAAATAAAGTTTATGGCAAGTTTTTATATAAGTCCGCTACAGGCCATCTTGTGATAATTTTATATTTTTTGTGCAGGAACTCTGGGACCACGGGGATCAACATTGTTATAAGAGGTTTGGTGTGGATAAATCAGATGACTGCTCTGTTCTTAGTTACCTAAGTGAGGTAGGGAACAATAGGTGCATCGTTCTTATGACCGCTTTTGACCTGAATATTTCATTCTAGCAGTAAAATTATTCTAACCGATCAAGCACTAGCGTCAGGGGCGTAGCCAGCCCATGCTGTGCTAATATTTTGGTGTTCGTTGACTGTGAAAACAATGAATTTCTAAAGAAATGAATAATGATAATAACATAAAATTATACCATAGCATGACTAAATCGTCAGGCTGGCTACGCCTCTGTCAAGCATCATTGAGTAAAGTTATCATTATCACCTTTTTTTAGGTAGAGCGCTGGTGCCCGTTACTTCCAGGAAGAAATATCACCTCTCGCAACCAATCGAAGCCCGTCAAGGTTAGATTTTCCAACTGTGTGTTCGTATTGTTTGTGTTTATTGCAAGATATAATGAAAAACAGTGCTTAAAACGACCATGGTTAGACTCTGCAATTTTGATCTAACTCCTTTCAACTTTAGCTACAAGTTAGGAGTGCTGAAATTCGCCAGGAACTTGTCCATTACTTCATAGACAGACACCATTAAAGAATATATTTCTTAATCAAAATCTTAGGCCAAGCTGCGGAAAGATATAAAGGGACTTTTTAAAATCCTCAAATATTCCTACTATAAATGGACGAGAAATCGATTGTCAAGTTGGTGGAGGGAATGGACGGCGGCTGTTCAGGCTATTACGAAACGACATAAACAAACGAAACGGATGAAGAAAAAGGTATCTTACTCACTACATGCGTGGCTTTTGTTCAGCCAAACTGCATGGACATGATGCATTATGTGTTTGGTAAATATTCAAATGGGTTACTTTGGTCTGACAATTTATTGATGACGAGAACAATGTAAATTAGACAACTCAGGCTAAGTGATTCTTTGATGTATTTCGTTTAGATATTAGTTTTTCTTGGTTCGTTTGCTGACGTCCCGACCTTCTTCTACGCTGCCACATCCGGGGGCCCGCTCGGTGAACTGGTTCAATGGACTGATCTCATTGCAAGCATTTATCTACTGGGACATGATCTGACTGTGTCTGCCGCTACGAAAAACCTACCACGGTATGCATCCTCAAACTTGTTTGAAAAGTCAAAACATGAAAAACGATTCACGAATAAATATATCTTGCTTCTCTTTAGTTTACTTGGTCAACCAGATAGCGAAGATTGTATACCAGAAGAGAATGCTCGCGCTGCCTCGAAATTTGACATCATATTTACCGATATCGTTGGTGTTGGCCTGATTAAGAACTTGACTCGACCACTTTTTTCAAAATACAAGTAAATATTACTTCATTCATATAAAGTGATATATACACTTAGATAATATGCACCAAAATTTGTCGCTTGACATCACAACTTTCGTTGCCATTTTTATTTCATAGCAAGTACCAAAAGAGCGTATATATGTTTAAAATGTTGAATTTACAAGATCTCCAGAAAACTTTTTTTGGAAGAAAATACCTCGGCAACAGTGCAATGTGCTAAACCTGATGCACTTTAGTATAAAGGAGGCATAAATTTCGCCTTAATTAAAACTGGTATAATTTTATATTCCAGATGTCGTTTGCGGGTCGTTGATTCGTTCGGTACTGATGCAGAGTTCAACCATCGTGGTTATCGAAAGCATATTCCAGGTGGTGGATCTTATTGGGGAAAACTGGATCTTGATTTGAGGCAATTTATGACAATGTTCCGTAAGTTATACCTATGCCTGATTTGATATACAAGAACACCATCTTCTGCTCGTCTGTTTTCATTGATTCTGTTGCCATGATTTGATTGTTTCATTCAATTTTACTCCAGCTCATAGTCCTGACAATACTTTCTTGGGCTTTGTGTCTGGCGTGAAAGTGAACGCGACTGAGAGTAAACGCATCCTCGCTAAGAAACGTGACCAATGTCTTGTGTATGGCAGAGTTTTGGAATACTGGCGGGTACGTATAGGTTAAAGAATTCGTTTTAAGACCATCATGTGCAGTCATGATCTAGGATCCCTATTTTCATACAGCTAGTGGCAATTATAGGTAATAAAACTTTCTCCACAGGGTCATTCAAAGTATCTTCAACTTTTGAAGCAATATGTCAGTGTTCATGCTACAACAATTCGAGTTAACAGCGCCGGGGTAAGTTTTTTACAATATTGAAGATGTAGGGTCTGTTGTCAAGGCAAAAAGCTTATCGCAGATCTATACATGCAAATGAAATCTTCCTAGATCTTTATGAAGGATTAAGTCGACTAAATATATATGTTTCCAGAAATTCTTCTGGTTTTATTGAGATTTATTTTCAAACTTCAAAAACACAATCTTTGCAAAATATTGTCCGTAATGTATATAGTTCTTGAATCAGTCTTTTATGCGTACTGAACTACAACGTATAACCAGTGAGATTACATTGCCTGAAATAAATGTATTTATATTTTTCACTAGAAGGAAACAGAACGCGTCAAGATGCCGGGTTATGTGAAGAACCATGGGATTGTTGGACGCGATGCTTTGATGCACTTGTTACAGCAGTCGAAGGTGAATTTAAATTGAAAAAATATAATGGAATTCGTGATCCACATCGAGGGAGATTGTGTCTTCATCTCAGCCGGAAATTGATCAATTTTTTGTTTGAATATTCTAGATATTTGTCGGTTTGGGATTCCCCTACGAAGGACCTGCTCCATTGGAGGCCATTGCCAACGGTGCTGTCTTCTTAAATCCAAAGGTATAAAAAAAACGTGCAAGACTAAGTTTACTGCTGTATATAGTTCTCTATCAATTCAAAATTTCCCCAAGATGAGGATACGCTGAATGCCCTCTTCAGCACTCACCAACCTACCTACCTACCCACTTAAATTCCTACACCAAATGTTTCTTCTTTCCTTTAAACATCTATTCATTGTTCGCTGTGAATAATTTTGTTTCGTAGTTTAAAGTTCCCAAGAATCGTACGAACTCCAAGTTTTTCAGAGGAAAACCTACTTCTAGATCGGTGAGAAAGATAGCTGAGCTAATTTGGCTAACAGTACATCGTTTCCTGGCCTGTTTCCTAGCTCTGTCTCATTTTTTATAGTTGACATCTCAGAGTCCTTATCTGGAAGAGTTCGTTGGTAAGCCATATGTTTACACTGTCGATATCAAGAACCTGACTGAGATCAATGAAACATTGAAAGTTATTTTAAAGAAGAAGGTACGAATTTAACGATTGAAGCAAACCACATAACGCAAGACCTAATTACCACACAGACTCGTTACTGCAGTAACGGCAATATATTTCACCTAGGTTCCGCCATTTCTACCATTGGAGTATACGTGTAAAGGAATGCTTGAACGAGTTGATGCCTTGATTGCAAACCAGGTAGTTAAGATACGTTATGTTTTTTATTCCAGAAGCTGGCTGTAAAACTCTTTAACCACATTTTGCATAGTTAAATCCTAGTTAACTCCGAAATACAAAGTTAACTAGTCTTTTGTACAACTGGCCCCTGATGTTTCTAAACTGAGCATTCAGCAAATCCTTCTATGAACCGACGTTAACAATTTCTGTACCTTACAGGATTTTTGTGATGGAAAACTGTGGCCTCCATTGGACAGGTTGAAAATTGTTTTGGGGCAACGTGGTGATTCTTGCAAAGAGGCTTGTGTCAAACATGGTATGTTTCAGATCAAAGAATCCGGAGATGAAAGTGTCTTTCTTAATTTTCTCTTACTTGTTTATTCTTAAATATATACTTTTCCCTGTCGATTTTTAGGGCGTGTTTGCGAACCAGCTTATTGGGAAGTGATAAACCAAAAGGCTTTTTTAAAAAAGTAAGTATTCTCTGTTTAATCTTTTGAGTTATGTTCAGAAGTTAGTGATGATTTTCAAAGAATATTTTGGTATGGGATCCGGAAAGGCAACAATATCAGCCTGGTCGCTTTGGGAAACCTTTTAACAGATGTATTTATGATAGTTTTATTGTGTATATTGCTTATCTTTGCATAGGTTACGGAAATGTGAAACGTTTGAATCTGAAAGCGTGCTTCACGCACCGTCGTTTAACGGCAAGAATTCTGTATGCTATCTTCAGGAAAACGTCATGTTGTTTTCCTGCGTTGCCAAGCAACGAACTTTACAACGGCTTTGCCCTTGTCGTGGTTATCGGAAGGAGCAAGTGGCACTCTGCGAAGGATGTTATTAAGGTAGCTCTGGGTGTTTTTCGAATCGAGTGATTGTGCCAACCATGCAGTGGCAGTCAACTCTCGCACAGAGTGGGTTTAGTTGGCCCGGATTTGCGAAGAGGGTGAAGTATAGAAGGATGTTAAAGCACCTTCCCCTCCCATGTTCAAGATCTACGCTGTGAAGGCCCCTTGCACTCTGGTCCTCCATATCGCCCTTGGCCTGGCAGGGGGGTCCCTCCCCTGAGTGTGGATGAAGTCAAGATGCGATAACGGAGAAATCAAGTCGATGCGGACTGTTCAGAGTCCACTGAATCAATAATTTATTAAATAATCATCAATATTGACACAAATGTAGTGCTTTAACTGACCTCTATAGGCACTGCATAGATAAGGTTATAGATCACTATCTATGTAATCAACCAGTAAAGGCTTTGTTTTCACATTTTGAGCGTTTATTACTAGAGATGCCTGGCTGAGCCTTATTTGGGCTTCATTCAAAAATAGATATGCAATTTGGGCTTTGACAATCGGAAAAACAGCGCGCGATCTCGCCCACGGGGCGAACAAATAAATGAACCGAGGGGGGGTGGTAGAGATCACCAAAATAATCTTGACTACAGTTCTCGACGCAATTGAAAATTTTCCAATTTGCAAAGAACGACTCTACTTTGATGTCATTACAAAAACACTCGTCAATTTACCCCAAACCTGCAAAATTCACACAAACATAATGACACTAAAAAATTGTGTGTGAAATGATTTTGCAATTAAAATGCAGTCAAACAGTTTATTAAAAAGGCTTTGTTGTCCATGTTAATTAATCACGCTGCCGTTTCATTACCGAACAGAAATGAATTATTGAACATCTAGTAATAGTCTTCGTGTCTTGCAAGAATTTTTTTCATTATTATGGAATGATCGAGGCTAAAACATGGGTTCTTTTGTCCAATTTGTTCGTAAAACTGCTTCGCGTGTTTACAAGAGGAAAGGCGACGAGAATGGCGAGTTGCATCCGTTGCATGAAACTTGTAATAAATGGTCGAGTTCTTGTTTTAACTTGTATCAGGTACGTTTGAAAGTTTTACGAATCGTTGTTCACCTATTCTTTCCTCTTGATTTCTGATAAAATTAGCGAAAGTGATTTCATGACACCATAACCGATTTTATATTCGTAACAAACGTGATACGTCGTGTATACATGCAGTATACTCGAATCAAATAGAAGCTTAATGTACACTTCATTTATTCATCATTTAATGAAAAATGCATGGTTGAAGTTCTCAGCGCACAGTAGCATGTATTTATTTGAAAGCCTATATTGGTGTGGAAGGCTTTTCAAAACCCTGTCCTGCACATATACTAAGCCTAAGGCTTGTGTCGTTTTGAACAAATTCTTAAATGATTTGCACAAAATGGTTCCAAATACCTCCGTGTGCTTTCCTTCGGTGGTAAAATATTGACCAATTCTGTTTGAGCCAAGTCTTGTTAAAACTTGGGTTAGTGCTGGCGGGCACTATTTTTTACTCTTCATGGGGGGGATTTATTTCAGTTCTAGTGTAAAACTAAACGACCAAGCAGAAATACTACAGGCTAGAGAACTATATATGCACGTTCAAGTTCCTCTATAAAAATCGGTTTTTCTGACGCAGATAACCGTTTGAGATCGTATATAACTGCGCCATATTATCCCCTCGTGTGTGCTATAACTTTGCATGTAAATATAAATTTAATATCATTTCTCATTTCCTGCAATTAATTTTGGACCATGCATGCATATACTTTTATTTTGCAATATTAATTTTGCACATATAAAGTACAGATTTTTACATATATGTAATAATATATATGTATGTGATACGGCAAATTGTTATAATAAATTATTGATAAATCCTGTTATTGTACATCGGCAACTATACTGTGTAATTACTATTTCGTGTAATGAAAATCAATCCAGCATATGTCATCCAACTGTCAAATTTCGAAAATAAACGATTGCAAACTTCGTGCATCTTATTTAATTTACCACGCAGATGCGTATCTATCATAGACATAGTTATATAAATGCTATGCTATATTGTGATATAATCTGCTTATACTTTTAAAGGCAAGTAAGAGTTCATTATTTCGTCTTTATATATTCAGACAAACAGACTATCATATATATTGTGACGTATAGTCACAACATACCCCTATATTCCCAATATTCCTTTATATAGTCCCAATATTCCCTTTGACCAATTGCCGGAGCTTACAGACTTGTTCAAAATGTTTCTTGATCGTGTTTTCTATTACATTAGGCGTGCATTATCGGTGACGTGGATGCTGTGAGATGGTACATTAATGTCGGACACAAAGATGTCAACCAGCCCGACACAAATGGTTGTACAGCGTTGTTTTACACCATCCAGAAGAATAACGTGGTGCTGGTCAAAGATCTCGTGAACGCTGGAGTTGGTGAGTTTACCAACCAAGAATGTTTTGAATATATAGATTAAAGAAAAATATGTGTCTTGTCTATTTCATTTCGGTGGAAATTACTTGTTAGCGGCAGTTCTGATCAAATCAAGATGAAGTTTAACTTTAACAAAGAAATATCCATGTCTATGTGTGAGATTATGGAAATATTGGATAGACGGTCGAACAATCAAGTTTGAAAGATACTTGTCTAGATGAGTATTTCGTGTGCCAAAAGGCTCAACAGTTTTATCGACAATCCAACTAAACCGCATTTTAGCCTACGAAACGAATTTGGTGAAGTATATTCAGTACTTCAAGATTACATTCCTCATTTTTACTTTCAGATGTGAACAAGATGGCAACCTTGGAAGAAGGAATAATGGTCACTCCAGTGCATATCGCAGCCAAATACAACAGATGCGAGTGTTTGAAAATCCTCCTGGAAAACGGCGCCGATGCTAACATTGGAAATTCGTTCGGGCAAACAGCATTGCATAATGCTGCAAGACGGAAGCTCAATGAAATGGTCAAGGTATAATACTAACTCCCATACTAACTCTCCTGACGAAGGCCCTCGGGTCGAAACGTCGAGAAGTGTTTTATCTGTTTCAGGCAATTGTTAAACCATATTTGATGCTAGGTCAAGGTATAATATTCATATTGTTAACGATGCTCTCCACCTGACCGCTAACCTTTCTGCAGGTACCCTTTCAAGGCCAAGGGTAGAAGCTGACCTAATGATAGCTAGAAGAGCCTGAGGTCCCTATTTTAATTCGACAAACCCTGGCATGTTCAAATATACGTTGTTCTGTCCGATAGATTCTTATCAAGCAAGGCAAAGCAAATGTGAATCACGCTGATCATGACATGGTGACAGCATTGCATATGGCTGCTACCCCAGGAAACGACGGTGAAAGAGCGGCGGTTGTTAACACACTGGTAAGACCTTGTTTTGTTGATGTAATTGAAACTAGATTTTTCCAAAGTTCAATTGGTTTTTCTCCCATCAAATTCCCGCACAAATCACGAAAGTTCCTGAGTTAAAACGCCCTTTTTTCGTTTTAAATACACAGCTAGTAAATGGTGCAAATCCGTTCAGCGAAGATAACGAGGGGAATACGGCATTTCACGAGGCTGCTGAGAATGGCGTTGATGATGTCCTCGAAATTTTTTGCGAGTACAAAGGTAACTGAACGTTTTAAAGCTTTAAAGGCTAGTATGACACAGAATAAGTTCGATTAGCGACAGAACGACAGAGGGAAGGGTAATATTACCGGTAGTACAAAGAACTGAAATCTTTTCACCAGGGATGGGAACTTGTAAAAGTAAGTTCAGTAAGTTACTTAGTAAACTTCACTGAAAACCCCGGAACTTGAATATCAGAAGCCGGTTGCATAAAACTCCTAATCACATTTTGCACAGTTATATCGTTCTTAATTTCAAAATACACGCGGTTTGGTTAATCCTATCACCAACTCATTGTTAAAACTTAAAAGTACCTATCATTTTATGGGCCGCCAGCCTCAGAAGGGCATTTCATCTTCTTTCCAATGAGGAAGAGTTTAGTTTCTGTAATAACAGTTTGTTTAAATATTGAAATTGACTAGATTACGATAGCGGTTGTTGCTCAAGTATAGCAGATGTATTAAACAAACCACGAAAAGATGGATTCAATTGCCTACATCTTGCCGTAAAATACGACCATGAAAAGGTATTGTCAGTATGAAATATCTATAGTATATATAATACTTCGTGTTAGCTGCAGCATACTAACTTTGAAGGGGCAACTCTTTTTTTTCATAAAAGCTTCTTTACAAATCATTTATATTTTAAGTACTTGAATTCTGTGTGATTCCTTCTCTGCCACAGCAATTGAACCCTCGGATGTCCTTGCTATATCCAAAGGCGTCCACAGCCGTCCCAGATCCCAACCGAAACCCCCGGCCTTGCGAAGCATCGCAGCACCGTCTAAGGAATACACCTCGAGCGCATGCGCATCCCGATTTAGGCAGTAAACTTCGGTCTCGCCGACCACCACGTGAGTAGGGATGTTTCCGCTTGACTTAAAATACCTCAGAAATTTTCCTTCGCTGCTGAAAACCTAGAGTAGAAAAACTAGCCGTAGTATTGAAAACTGAAAGGTTTTGAGAAAGTTTATTTATTAAACGACTGGAGCCGGTTGTATTAAAGCCGGGTAGTGATTTTTTAATCGTTCTAGAAATGCTTTAAGAGCAATAAAATTTCAGCTTTGGAACCAACGATTATTAAAGAGGATCCTCAATTTAGGAATACAAAGATTTGATCAAAGTTGACCAACAACGGGCGATTTTAAAACGATTAAAAAAATCATAATCCGGTGGATAGCACTATCCGGCTTTCATACACCGGCATCTGTTCCCTAGATACGTAAACTAGCGGGTAAAGTCGCCTGGCGTTAGATCAAGGTATCAATATGTTGTACCTGTACGCTTCTAACCGGATCGCATATGAAGATTTCGTTGTTTTTCGCAACACTCAAGCATGAAATATTCTCAAAAACTCCAGGTTGTGCTGCTCGACCTCCTTCGCCAAATTTCGAAACAAACTCGCCATTTTTGTCGTAAATGTGAACAGCCATTTCATGGAATTCTACAACGAGTATCCTCCCTTCGCTGTCGACAGCGACGTACGTGAAAAATGACGGGAATCTTAGGCTCAGGTTCAGGACCCTGACAGCTAGTACCAACTCCCCTTGCATGTCGTACACGTTCACGCGGCCAATTCCTTCGGCATCTTTCAAAGTCACAACGACATTACCGGTGTTGTCTAGTGCCATGCCTATCATGCTTGCCACGTCATCACCGTCTCGTCGTATTAGAGTTTTCTGGTAGAGGCCGGCTTTCTTGTTGAAAAGTTGAAGTCGTTGTATCGTGTCTTTGCCTTTTGAGTCCTGTTCTAGAACCAAGAAATCACCTAAAATGTAAAACAACGGCATTAGGAAAATGTGAACCTGCTCATTTAACTCGAAGCAAGAAGCCCTTATTGGATAAAAACCAATATATATATATATATATATAATTATATATATATATATATATATATATATATATATGCAACAAACTTGAGTATCTGGCCTCAGTTCATCACTTTAAGGGCGGTCTTGCTGATTCTCATGTAGAGAGATGATTCTCATGTAGTTTTGAATGACAGAACTGTCTATTGTGACATGTTGGTTTGGTTTGAGAATATTGTAATATATAGTGAATAGGTACAGAATAACTTCAAGTGCTGCAGCTCTAGAGAGATGAGTTTAGGACTTGGTTATTCATCCTTGGTATTTTCACCTTGTTTGTTCACCAATACACCTGAAGGATATTCCATTTGTCCATCCTTCTTTCCGAAGTCACCAAAACACCAAGATTCTGGCTTTTTCCATTCCATTCTTCGTCCTACGATCCGTTCGTCCATCCTTGCCTTCTCGTCATCTGAATTCACTTTAAACTCGTTGAGAAAATCAACAAAAATATAGAATGCTTCGTTCACATCTTCCGACGTTTCTGTGCCTCCACTTTCGTCTTTGAGTGAGAAGAAAATTTGAAAAATATTCTCTTTCAAGTCCGAGTTATTCCACTCTTCATCGTTACAAAATGTACCCGCTACGATGGCTATCTTTAAAGCACACAGCTTGTCCTCAACTTTGGAAAGACTTTTGATCAAATCGCAAGCCATTGTGAAAGTTGTTTCCCAAACAGAGAAACCACTAAAAGCATGCTCTGATTTCTCGAAGCTTGCGTAGCGAAGGGCCCAGATTTCGTTCTTGATGTTTGTGACAGAGCCACTCAAAAACGGCTCGGCAGAATGTTCCCAATTGAAGAGCGAGTTTTTTATCATTTCTCTGCACCAACGATACGTCAGGTCTCCGTTGAGTACCTGCTCTGATATTTCTGCCCAATGGTCGCCAACAATAAGTCGAAATGTTAGTTTCAACCAGCTTTCAAAACTTTTAACACACGTTCTGATTTCGGTCATCGTTGCTATAGTGGACTACTCTTTTTAAAATACTTGTAAACAGCATTAGCCATTTGATCGACTAGTCATTCATTGCATGATTGTACGGTAATTGAAATTTCATATCAGTACACACAGTTGTGCAAATACATGATGACTGCGTTTTATTTTGAACTTATAACTAGTATACAGGCTGTTTAGATGTAAATGTGTATCGTTATGAAATTGAGGAAGCAATTTATATCACTGTTGAGATATTTCCGATGTGTAATTGACTGTTGACACAGCTGGCTCTGTGATTCGAAAAATCATTTGAAACGTTTGAACATAGCCATAGGTTTGACATGAGTATAATTTTGACAGCGCCAGTTTTAATTTTGGCTAAAAGTAATGAAATAAAACTAAATTAATATGCATGGCTAGTCATTTCATTTGTGCACTAGCTATATGTCGTCACTGAACACAAATTGACCACATCTTTGTTTTTATGCGTAGGTTATTCGACTGTGCATTGATCACAAGGCTGATATTGATCGTAAATCGGTATGTGCATAATGTAGTGTCAATGAAGCCTGGACTGAATTTGATCAGTATAGTAGTGTAAAGTTGACGTCTGACAGGAAAATTCAGAATACAGACATGGCCCTATACCTTCTGCTTTAATATACCACAGGGTGTTCACCACGCAGGGGTGGGGTGGGGGTTAAATTCACCATGCAGGGCCGTTTACAGGGTGGGGTGGGGGTCAAATCAGCCAAGTTTGGTGCTTTACTTACATTAGCGTAGCCAGCCTGATGATTTGTCCCGCTATGCTAATATTTTGCTGTTTGAAAACCATGAATTTCTAAAGAAATGACGAAACTTACGCAAAATTTACATAGCGGGACAAAATCGTAAGGCTGGCTACGCCACTGCTGCTTTACATGCAGAGACTTGTTACCATTTATTTAGACACATGGGGATACTCCATTGCACATTGCGTGCTGCAGAGACAGTACAAATGCTGTAAATATTTTGTTGGAGAACGGCGCGAATATAAGCATTAAGGACAGCGAGGATCGTGTCTTCCTTCACAGGTAAAGTTTCCTTCCTTTCACTTTCCAGTCGTTCAGTCAAAGAGCAACAGCCACCAAAAACGCATGCGCAGTTAAAAACGCATATAGACTATAGCCAAAGATATACTCTGAACAAATATAAACTACTCTGCTTCAAGTGTTGGTTATGTGTTGCGTATTGTCTTGTTTTCTGAAGTGATATGCATTCTTACGTGTCAGTATTTTTGTTCAGTCTTTCTGGCATACAAGGCTACCGTCCAATTTCTGTTGATGATTTCTTACCTGCGTATAACAAAGGTGAAGGAAAGATCAGATTTGAATAACCAAGAATATTAATATCTCTCTCACCTCTAGGGCCGCCATCAGAGGAAGTATTTCAACCTGCGCTTTACTTCTCGAAAAGGTGTGTTTCTTATTCTTTAGTTTCATACTCTCGAGCAATTAAAAAAGATATTTAAGAAACTAAAGGAATCAAAGCGGAAGATGTTGTAGAATGGATTTCATTTTGACGACCCTTCGGAGCACTACTGATTGGCAAAAACATGAGCGCAGCCCACCTGAATCAGTATTTTCTCTTTCCTATAGGGTGCTGATATAGATGCCTATAATGTCTGTGGTAGCGCACTATTGCACGCTAGCTTTAACAGGCAACACGCGGTGGTCAAGTTTCTGCTGGAGAAAGGTGCCACGCCAACGATGCGAAATCGAATGTTGGACACGTGCCTTCATGTCGCCGTGAAAAACGGCGATGTTGAGACGGTGAAGGTTATCGTGGAAGTAAGTTGATCTCGTTATGAAACTGGAGGAACATATATGACATATAAAGCTGGGATTTCTGGTCATGACTTTTTCGGGAGGTTTCTTTCAATCGATCACAAGTACTTGATAGAATCATCCTAGCATAGGATCGGTCATTCTGACCAAACCTATAGGTTCAACGGCCTGTTAGATCTAATAACCCTCCTTCCTCTCTAGAGATTAATCCTAGTAGCTAGTATAAATCCCCATATGTTTCCAGTCCAAAAAACGGAGCCTGAACATAGAGAGTCTTCGCAAAGTCACTAAACAGAGATTTATCTTTTCCTGGTAGAACTGTGGATGTCAATTGCTGAACTTGAAGGATAAATTTGAAAACACGACGTTACATTTGGCTGCAAGAACAGGCAACGAAGAGGTGAAAGCTTAACTGAACAAAACGCACTTGCTCTTCTTTGTCCACTGTTTCGAACTGGGTGATTCATTCTCGCATTGCATAATCTGCATTGCATGTGTGATGACTGTACTTTGTTTTAAGAACAGAATCGGTTGTAATTTTCATATTCTGCTTAGGTTCTTAAAATATTGTTGTCTTTCAACCCTAACATGAGAGCAATTGATGACCGTGGCAAATGTCCCATTCATATCGCTGCAGAGTAAGCCTGAAAATGAAATTATTTTTTAGTATTAGTTTTGTCTTTTCTAACCAGATAATTTCCCACCTATTAGACACTGCATGTCGCTTCTTTTACTGACTGTTCTGCAAATCGAATATGTTTACTTCAAACTTCTTCAATATGGATAGGGTGCCCCCAAGAAATTTGCCGCCTGCTGAAATGCCTTGACTAAATTTGAACTTTTCTTCTGTAGGAATGGTCAGACAGAATGCGTTAAGCTTCTTGTCCAATCGGACAAATGCAGTGTTCACGTGACTGATTTTATGTGGCGTACGCCGCTGCACTTGGCGTGTTTATCTGGTAATGACTTGGATATAGTAAAGTTTTTGTTGGAGAGTGGCGCAGACCCTAACGCTAGGTACGAAATCGGGCACGTTTTCATCACCAGTGCATGCCACTTTGCCCTTTTAAAACTGTAACCTTTAACTCTAGGTCACGTAAGAGAGATAACTCCGAGAGTCGTAAAATATGCTCAATTTGATCCGTAAACTGTCTACAAAGCGTGTAGATTTTCTGTTGTGAGTCATCTGTTTTCTCTAAGGTATTCTTACAAACTCAGATTCCCCAAGTTAACGAGACTGAATATGCATGCAGTTAGCCGTCATACTTCACGCACTTGGAGTTGAAGGTCTGATTTTTTGAAAGGGCGAGATTCATTGGACTTTCTTATTAGTATTTCTCTGAGTTTATTAATACTGTGTGGTAATATCGGTTGTTTCCATACAGAGACGATCGAAGATGGACTCCACTTTTGTACGTCGCAGCAAAAGGTTGTCCTTGCTGCACTTCGCTCTTGGTTCAGTTTGGCGCGAAAATAAACGAATGGGATAAAAACAGAGTGAGCCAGAATCAAGTTTCCAACGGCATAATAGCTTTAAAATCGTCTTCCCTGCATGAACAGTTTCTGATGAGTAAATTAGCTTGTAGGTACACCACGTAGGTATTTAATACTGCAAAGCTTTATTAGATGCAATAATGTATTTTTGTAATTGCACTGATGAAGGCCCGGGTTAACGGACCGAAAGCTTTGCAGTATTAAATACTTACGTGGTGTACCTACAAGCTAATTTACTTATCTCATGTCACCATGCAAACGTACAAGAATAGTTTTTGATGAGTTCTGCTCGATCAACTGTATTCCCTCCCCTCTTTTTGTCAGATGACAGCGCTCAGTGTGGCTGCGAAATCCAATCAGCATTTTGCAGTGGAGAAACTGTTGGAAATTGGCGCCGATCCTTCTATTTTAACATGTGACGGCCTCAACTGTATGGATATTGCTCTTAACAATCGTTTTCACGATGTGTGCATGGTCATCGCCAAAAGCGACAAGTATGACCATGCCACTACTTTATTTTGTTGCTATTTTGTTTCACCCGAAGAATGATTACAGAACAAAATCATGCATGTTCTACTTGAGTATGGTCTTCATGCTCGGCTAAGTCATTCCCATGCAGGAATCAGGGACCGCGGAGCAGGGTGGCTCGCTGGGCTTTAGCCCCACCAATAATTTTTCCGTAATTAGTCTTTAATTTCGAATATTTTTTAGTTCGCTCAAATTTACAAGCAATACAAGCGCCAAAATGCTGGAAACTTTACATAGGGCAAGCATTTGACCATTAAAACAGCGTGGTTATCCATTTCAAAATATTTGACATCATAACCAAAGCATGCATGGTTATATTGTTTAATGTTTGTATATATGAGCGCCAAACATGCTGGAAAGTTTACATAGGACAAGCATTTGACCATTAAAACAGCGTGGTTATCCATTTCAAAAAATTTGACATCATAACCAAAGCATGGTTATATTGTTTAATGTTTGTATATGAGCGCCAAACATGCTGGAAACTTTGCATAGGACAAGCATTTGACCATTAGAACAGCGTGGTTATCCATATCAAAATATTTGACATCATAACCAAAGCAAGGTTATATTGTTTAATGTTTGTTATGAGCGCCAAACGTGCTGGAAACTTTACATACTATCTATTATTTTCCATTAATCCTTAAATTGAGAGGCATTTGCGGCGATTTCAGAGACCTATATTTCAAAATTTCCCCGGACTCTCCTGGCAGGAGCGGGGTTCCGAGCCCCAGCAATACGAAAAACGCTCCGCGGTCCCTGAGGAATAGGCGGTTTCTTTTGTCTAAGGTAATTGATTTTCAAAATTGTTTGTCCAAAATTGGAAAAAAAAGGAGATTACTTCCTCACTACAAGGGACTATAGTATCAGCCTTTTTGAACAGCCATTAAGTATTGCCATAGATTTCCACTGAAATTTCGTGTTACTTGATTCAGATTCAATTTGTCGTGCATGAATATCAAAAAGTATGACAGGGTATGGCGTAATATATTTGACGCTAACTCCACCTATTCGACTTTATTTATTCATCTTTGCAGTCTCTTTAGATGTGTAATACGTATTTTTTTCCAGATGGAGGGAGGCCTTAGTTTCGACAACCACGATGGAAAGTTGTTTGGAAATATCTCCGGACGTAGCCAAGGTGTGCATCAGCCCCGTAGCTGAGGGGGGTTTTGGTGGGGTTTCCCACAACCCCTCCCCCCCCCGATTAAAAATAAGATTGACATCATGGCGCTACCGGAGTGCTCCAAAAAAGCAACTCCTCTGCAAATTTTTTTGGTGCACATTCACCCATTCATCCTGTTGTCCAAACTATCTATCTAGCCTTCAGCCCAGGGCAAATTTCTCCCTTTCCTTTCCTGTCGATTTGCACAATTCTTGGGCAATACACAAGATCTCACTGCACAATTGTTGGCAATGCACCAGGACATGCCCTATGATAATAATCGTGGACATTGGAATTCATTTTTCCAGGTTATTCTTGACAGATGCATCGAATACAGCGGCAGGGAAGTTGACAAGGACTACAAAGTAATGTACATTTTTATGTCAATGGTATAATCGTGTTTTACTGCCAGAAAAATGGACCCAAACCTGTCCGATCTTTCTCTTGATTAGGTGACGTATAATTTCGAGCTGCTGGATTCTCATCCAGAATTGCACGAAGACTATTACGGTCCGTTGGTAAGCCAGAATGGGTGTCATTCATTAAATTGAGATTTGAATAGGGATTTCATTTAAGTTAGGTTATCCTGGGGGGGGGGGTTAATCATAGTTTTAAATAAGCTATAAACATATCTCAGTAGTCTTGGCTTTGAATAACAGTTTGAATCATTTGCATTGCGAGTTTTGGCTGAAATGGCCCCACAAGGCCACTGATATGCTAAAGTTTATTGAAACTACGATTATCCCTACAATTCATTAAGCGCTGCACAAATTGTACATTCGACAATTTTAATTAAAATAGCCATTTGTATAGATAGAATATTAATTTTCTATTTTTTGATAAATTTTCATGCATATAGATAGAGTTTACATATTTCTGACACTTTTTTTGCCATTGCAGACAATGAAAGTGGCAAGACGCTATGAATTGTTAACTCATCCTTTGACCAAGCAACTTATCGAAACAAACTGGTATGTCTGCCTGCATTGTGCAACTGATATGTTTTAGAACAGAAATAAGTTGAAAACTATAGACCTGAATAAGTCGCTGCTTATTCCAAATTTGCTGTTTATCGAGTTTTTCGGGATTTATTTAGCAACATTTTAGCAACAAGTTATTCTTTCCCAATTTCTATTGCATTTCTTGCGCCGGAAAATAGGCCAAGGATAACCTAAAGATCCGTTTACACTTGCAATTTTATCTACGATTTTATTTGCGATTTTCGTCTTTTGATAGATGTGAACGAGTGAAGTAGTTACAGATGTTCAAATAAGAGCTCGTACACATCAGAGCATTCGTAACTTATTACTCGTTCACATCTATCAAAAGAAGAAAATCGCAAGTGTAATGATAACCAATGATAACCATGCATTTTCTGTTTAGGAAGAGTGGCGTCCGTTACATTTACTACGCCCAAATGTTTTTTTTGGCACTAGCCTTGGTGTCTCTGACAATATTTCTTCTTTGGACGAAAACCGTAATCGAAGAATGTTATGATGCAATTAAGGATGAATATGATCAAGTCGACAAAAACTCGTCCTTTTATAAAAACGATGAAGATTTCTGTCTCCAAGTATTTCAAGCAAAGGTAAATAGATATAACAGATATGGATTGAGATTTTATTTGCATGCATGTCCACGCTAAATATAGTCCTGTCAACCTATAGGCCCTATTTCTGTAGAGCAAAGCATTTTGTAGGTAATATATATGTCATTACAAAAATGAAACAAACCCAATAAACAAACCTTACGCATGCTCTGGCGTGTAAGAGCTCTTTTGAAACATCCGTAACTAATTACTCATTCACATCTATCAAAAGAAGGAAATCGCACATAAAATTAATCGCAGCAAAAATCGTGTAAACGGGCCTTAAGAAATATAATGGCATCATAGGTCTGGTAAGAATCGTAAAATAATACAATTCGTTTTACTTGTCGCATACACAAAATTATGGTTAAGCACAGATCCCAGGGGCTTCTTGCGTTGCTGTTCGCTTTGCTTAACTCCAACGTCAAATTGGGCTTAGGCCGGTCCGTTTCAAACGTCGAACTTTTCATGTGCCGAATCGAATGCAAATGAACTTAAACAAAGACTTTAGTTGATTAACATTAGTTTCGGCACATGAAAAGTTCGACGTCTGAAATGGGCCTTAGGTTCGCTCGCACAAATTGTTCTTTTTGAATTCGAGTTATACTTTTTTTGAGGGATATGAGGGATATACGTTTGATGAAAACAGAATGACATTCCTTCGATATTTTGTCTTCGTGTACTTTCTGTGTTATCTTGGAAAGGAACTGAAGCAACTTAAGCAGGAGGTAATATTTTCTACTTAATGGTTGACGTTTACACTCTAAACAAACTATCATCCAGCTCCCAAACGGATGGCTAACTGAACTATCTCTTTGGGGGCTGTTTACATGAGCCCGGTTACCCGAGATTCAGGGAAGCGTATACGTTCTCATAAGATGATTTTGAGGTATTAAAACAAGTCTTTAAGACACAAAAAGCACTTGCTATTGTTTTGATATAACTACACGAAAGCCAGGTTTATGTTATATATTCATTTCGAAACCTCAAAGTCATCTCGTGTGTTGTTGAATCTCTGAAATGTAAACAGCCCCTTAGCTGGCAGTTTTTAGGCAGAATTATATTTTTCATCCTATTCTTGCAGCCAACTTGTTATTCCATCAACTGTTATTATTACACATCGCAAGCAAGTGACATCTATCGTTAACAATACTAAATAAGTAAATTAACATTTCACAGCGTTGGGAGTACTTTCTGGAACTCACAAATTACTTGGATTTGGCTGTGTCTTTATTGTTCTTGAATTTCGTCGAATGGCCTGGAGGTAAACCTATCCCGTTCTGCCGACTAAAGTTTGGCATCGTTGGTATTTTTGCCTATTATTTCCTGGTGTTCTTATGGACAAGAGGGTATGTATCTATTTGTCTTCAGTTTAGTTGTAAGTCGATCGCAATTTGTAAGATTTTTATTGGGGAGGAAAGCGGCTATGGGACATCAAAATAGGGTGACCAAGACAAAAATCCTAGAATGAAATATATGTGTTTTTATCTTAAGACTTACACGATGCGGCATTTACATAACAATGTTTTTGGAAGTACTTGAGACACTGGTGAAGGTACTGACCTGGTTCTGCAATTATGATCTACGAAGATACTGAAACAACTGACTGCTCCTTGACGTTGTCCTCTTTATAAATGGAGATTTTAACTTACAGGTCGTGTCTGCGTTTGTGTTGCTATTTGTGTGCTTTTCTGTCACGTTCTACATGGTTTTTACTACGAAGGTAAAGTATACTACAGTGTTACACAAGGCTCCTCTATATGTGTACTGGGTACAGAGATATCAAAGTGGTCAAAGAATTGAGATTTAAAATTGCATGAACAGTTTTAATCAATGAAAAACATTTGCACAATTTCGGTTTATAGTCAAGGGATGTTAATTTGTGTGTTCGAAATGCTGAGAAAACGATTGCAGATCGCAAGAAATGTTCGTATTTGACAACTTCAGATGCCTCAGGAGTAGAATTGCATTGCTTGTTGCAAGGAAAGTTGCATATAGTGTAACACCGCCTTTACCTCGCCTAAAGTAATGAAGGATAGGCACACATGCACGTGTTCATAGGTTGCTACTAAATTCTTCAGGAATTTATTTGATGGTGAATTCTTTTATTTGTAAAACAGGAAACCGAGGAGTTCTCGGATTTTTTTGATGCGGTTTTGAAAGTAATCGCCATGGTGATGGGTGAACTTGATTATTCGGGTCTTCGTCAGAAAAGTTGTTCTTTAACCCAGGATATGCAAGACATCGCTATTATTGTCTTTGTTATATTCTGCATTACCATGTCTCTTGTTGTCAACAATCTCCTTGTAAGTTCGTTTAAATATTTGTCAATCAGTGAAGGACATTTTATACCGGGAAGGGGGCTGACTGTTCGAGTTTTTACTGTGGCTAGTGGCAGAATTAAGGAGCTGTTTTTATACAACTGGCCCCTGGGGTCGGTTGTACGAAACCTACTGATATAGCGCTCTCCACCGAATGGTGGGTTTTCATTCGCTCCAAAATTGCCTGTTATTTAGTATAACTTGCTTTTAACCTTAGTTATCTTAAATTGTAGGTTCTCTTTCATAAATGTTAGCTCAAATTCTGTAATTTAATTAATTGCTGAAAAAATCATCATCCAATCATTCCAATGCCGGAGAGCGCTGTCAAGCTTTCGTACAACCGGCTCCCTGTTTTCATAAACTTGCAGCGTTTTTAAGCCGCTATACCAAAGTTAGCAGTTTATTCATATGATTCTCGATATGATATATCGCCAAATCAAATTAATCAGCAAATATTTACTTTAGATTGGTCTGGCTGTTGGTGACATCGAAGCGGTTCGCAAGAATGCCGAAATCAAACTGCTCTCATTGCAGGTAAGGATTCACAACTAAAAAACGTAGTCTGTCGCGCAAGTTGTCGGCAACTAAACTTTAAATTATTAGTTGTTAACAGCTAAGCAGTTTCCCTTTTCGAAAAGGGAAACTGCTTAGTTTCGACAACTAATAGTTGTCGAAAGCCTCATTTTTTGGCGTTTTTTCTAGTGTGTGAAAACTTTTGTTTCAGTTGTCGACTACTTTTAATCTCCGCGCTATTTCGGTTGCTAAATCAGTACTTGAGCGCCAGTGTGTGGAATCCTTTATCGGACTTATTTAGTTGTCGATCACGAATAGTCGTCGACAACTACATCCCAAGTCTGTGCCTGTGGTCGTGGAGAACCTTAAAAAAAATTGCATGGATGAATTGACACAAAGTCAATATAGAAAACCTATAGTTTTCAATGACAGCATCTTTTACGGCTTATATTCATAACTGTGAATGGCCTTTTATCTGGATTCATTGGCGACATGTATGCTTCATATAACGATTATGCTACAATTGTCGTAAAATTCTGCGTGAATTTTATCTCGTTAGGTTAACGAGATCCTTCAAGCCAGAGCTAAGATGGTTATTGCAAGGTTTCGTGCAAAATTTTACATCAAATCTGTCACCAAAATGCCGAACAAACACGACCGAAAGGCTGAACAGCGACAAAAGGAGCTGGTAAGTGCAACAGTACCCGCAATTATTGCCAGGTTTTCCCTCAATTAATATTTTTATTAACTGAAAATGTATGCGAATGATTTCTAAGCATTTGTGATTGTAAAATGTGGCAAATGAAAAACAACTAAAAGAGTTGTATTTTTTTAGATGCTACGAAATCAACACAGAGACGGAAAAAAAAAGACGGAACTGGTTTGTGCATGATGTTTTGGACAAAACGGAGTATAGTTCAAAGTCGTTCTTGTAACCACATTTTCAGCCGAGTAATAACCTTCGTGAATGGTTTTGAAACGGATATTTGATGGTATTGGAAAGCAATGTCCTTCTCATATAAAAGAGATTTCCATGTTCTACTTTTAGTATATATTCATATCAGGATAACACAGTTCAATCGTCATGCATGTGTATATAATATGTATCTTAATAAATGAATGGTCAGACGAAATGAACGAATGGGTAAAAAGATAAACATGAAATTTATCATACAGTATATTGTATAAACTTAGTATTTTCTATGGTCTCACCCCAAAGAAATAAGTGACATAAAAATGTCTACTATGTCTGTCTCACCCTTTGAAGTTCAGAATTTCGGAATATTATATTTTCGCGGAAATTGAGGCCTAACTATCTGGGTCAACCAGTTGGTCAACCTCTGTGCTCCAGTTGAACACTGACTTGTAATATTCCAACAACCGGAAATTAGAAATTCAAAATATCTCGACTTTAGCATAATCTGCACGTTGTCAGAGTTCCTTGCTATGGTGGGTGAAAGTTAGCAAAATGTTTAATACCTCCGAGCTTTCTCGCTCTACTTTGTCGCCTTTTACACCAAGAAACACGTCAAGGAGAAGTCTTAGTTCTCCCGGGCAGTCAAGTAGATTATTTCCTCGTTCAAACAGGTGAGATACCGTGGTAGTTTATAGTGTGTTATATGTAACAAAACTGTATTTAATAATGTGACAGTACTGTATGTATATAATGATCTCTCAACATAGCTGAGAAACTTAACAATCAGCCAGACTATTTAAATAGTAATGTAAAGTTACCCTAGTTCTAAAAGTATGACATCAAATTTGATTGAATATTTAAATGATAAAAACGAAAGCATCGTAAAAGCATTTTCTTCCAATGAATTTAAATTATCAAGATCATGGCTTTGGCTATTCGAATCATATTATGATATGAATTTGGTTTCAATTTGATTATGATGCCTACCTCTATCACCTCCATCCTTTAAAATTGCAGGATGGCATTCGATTGCCATTGCTCCCCTATACACAACTCTCTTGGTATACCTGTTGATTCAGTGATTAGTGTCAGTCTCATTCCCTTTGACTTTTTTATGCTATAGGTCAGGTACCCACTCACAGAAACCTTCAATTCCGGCAAGAGTTATAGAAGAGACACCTTTACATCTTGTTGAAACCTACGGACTACCTTTGCCGGTTCAAGTGAATGAAGTTGCTGCAGCTCATGAAAGTATGGTTTCATTTGAAATGTTTAGTTTGTTGCTATTAGGCCAAAATAACAAAATATTTAATCATTTATTTTACTATTACGTAGGATCCTCTCCTGTCAGTGTGCATTTAGATCCTTCTGGCTGGGCATGGCTGGTTTTCGAAAGAAGGTTGTTAGTTTGGAGATACAAATCCACAGAAAAATCAAAGGTTTTGTTATCAATTTATCTCATTAATTTGACTCTAGCAAGCATTGAACATGTTTCAATTGTAAATCCTTCCTGGAGAAGCATGTTACATTGCATTCATATGATTATTTACATCTGCCTAAAACAGAATTGCAGTTTCACTGCTATATTATTAACAATAATCTCAATAAACTAATCCAGCAACTGCCTAAAAACACAAGGAAACGTTAGTACTTTGTTTTTTAAGGCAACATTTTGCAAAGAGTTTGTTCTCCCACCAACGGAACTCTACAATAGTGCTAAACTTGTGTGTCTGGTTGGGGCTCCAAACATCGACTCCAGGCAGTATGGAGTGCTTGCGGTCTCGCCTGAAGGTCTGGTTTGTTATTGGCCGAGTATGATGTACGAGAGCAGTCCGATTGAAACCGAAACAGAGCTGGTTGGACAAGAATTTCATTCATTGATTGAGTTTCAAGTAATTTCATGCTAATTTTTTTTGTCCACTCTCATGAAATTATGCAGCTGGAGGGTATACAACTCTAGTGTACAGATGGAATCTGCATTAGTTTACAAAATGGCTTACAGTTGTTTTATATTTTTAGCCTCATGGTTATTTACTGTCTACTACAACAAATGATATCTTATTGTTACAAATACAGAAGGTACTGTATATATGTACATAATCAAATGATTACATATTCTGTGTTTGCTTTGAAGATTTTGAATAAGAGCCTGATTTATGCAATATTGATTATTATGCAATATTATATGCATATATGCAATATTATTTTCACATATTTTGGTTTGGTTGAATGACTTGAATCTATATAATTGATTTGTTGAAATATTTGTTATATGTGTCTCGATTCATGCTCGCTATGTAGAATTTCATTCATTTTTTGCATTGTTCTTTTTTAAAACTTTAACACGGAGTCTGTATTAATTAATCTCCGCTAGAAAACCATTTCATTTCATCGTTTTCGTCAACCTGGCGGAGTGCTTTCCGGTTTTGGTCGCCGAATGTCGTCTTTCATTTTTGGCGCGAATGAATCCAGCTCTTCGGTGGGTCAACCGTAATTTTGCCATCATTCGTCTTACTACCTGTATTTACGAAATGTATTTAATCTTTTTATGTTTGGTTTTTTAGCTTTTACGTAAAATAATTGTGGAAAAGGATTGCCAAGGTTCCTTAAGGTGGGATCATTGAATTTCTTTCTGCCAGAACCAATTGGTTGTCTGGAGCATGGCTATTTAAATATATCGTTTTAATTTCTCAGAAACTTTTATGCTCTCTCTGAAAACTCTCTTCGCAAGTGGACTGCTGAAAATCATGGAGGCAGAGGAATTAGCGAAAAGGTGAATCCATATGTAACTTCGGCACGCATAACAATTAAGTGTGGTGCAATTCAGTGCAATGGTTTAAATACTGTAATGTCTTAGTAATATTGTATACCTTGTTTGCTTTCAGACCGAAGTGGAGTGGAATATCTGCGCTCTTTTTGAGCAACAAACGTCTCAACGATTTCAGGTTTTCAAACAAAGTTAAACACTTTGCTGTGTCGTGTTAATTCGTACCTCGTTTCTTGTATAATTCTTTCATTTATTTTGCCACAGATTGGCTTAGATAAAGTGAAGTCATTTTGTATTGACGCTCAAGAATCCAGGTACCTTAGTCTGTTGAAGAAATTATTTGAAATACCCCACTCGTGACTCGTGGCTGTTCTTAGAAAATTCCAATGTAGAAACTGAGTGACCTAAATTTGATTGGGTTTTTTGGATGTTCTTTCAGTTCTGGAATTTCAGTCTTATCAGCGATGCTTGTTCAAAATCCAGAACTTGACGAGGCGCGAATGTATTATTTTCTAGGTAAATTTATTTACACATAAAATTATTAGATGAAATAATTGTTATAAGCTTCGACCATGTAATGACTGCAAAGTTTGCTTGCAGAATGTTGTATGAAGCGCTGCAAAGTTAATCATTTCTTAGTCGAAATTTGTTATTCTTTTTAACGAAGCTTTGTATTTCTACTCATTTTGCTATGGCGCTACATGGATTTTGTTCTTGTTGAAAATAAAATATTATATATTTGTACATTCTTGAACATTATAATAATACTATATCCGTGTTTCTCTTTGAAAAGGAACTCTCGATGTCGACGATGAAAGTGATACATTTGGTCGATTTGTTTCCTTTGTTCAACTCAGATTTGCCGAGGAATACAAGGTATAAAAAGCAGCTGATCAAACACGGCAAGGGTTTAAGTTGACTGTATTCTCAGCACAAAAAGCACCCTTTTGCCGCTGCACGTCTTACCTTCACCCTGGTAAAGTCGAAATCCACAAAGAAAACTAAGCGACAATTTTGGTTTGTATTGTACTCTTATAGGAGGAATTGCATCAAAAACTGGTGGATTTTCAATTGCTTATTCCTGCTTCAAGTAAACATGCGTTTTTGTACAGCGAGAATATCATTGTTCCTTTTTCAAGTGAGTACTCGACTATGCATTGAATGTATTATTAAGGAAACAGAAGACGGTTATATTTTTATATATTTCATATTTCAAGTCAAAAATACCGATGAAGTTTTGAATAAGGTTGAATTTCTTGCCGAAGATGAAGGATTATGGGGATCTGGTTAGTCATAGACAATGATTTCTTTCGTCGTCAAATTTTCATAATCATTCCCTTGAGTACATGTTATTTGTATCATCAAAGTAATCTCATTCATTTGTGAGTATTTTTGCAACAATGTAAGTACTTTGCACCCAGGTTTCTCGGAAAACTTAGCGTTGTTTTTCGTGAGAAGACACGGCATTATCAACATCACAGCTACGACAGAAAATGAATCTGAGAGGTTTGTTTTGCATGGCCTAAGAATAGATGATTTCTCTTATCTTTGTTTAGAGCATGACGGTTATTCCACATTGAGTTAAAGGAGTCAGGAATAGGCTATTAATACTTACGTTGGGTGATCCAGTGGGTTACTCGGTGCTCATTTACTGTAGCTCATGAATCATGATAAAGTTTCCAACATTTCTTTCATAGTGAGACCGAACACCTGGCCTCGCCACATCAGGTACGAATCCGCCGGTGGGAGGAAAGATCAGTAATCAATCAAACAGATTCCATTGTTTTTAATGGAATAACACCAGAGTACTTGTTATTTAGCTCGCCTCTGAAATACCAGCGCAAGAAGATAACGTTGGCGCAGGCGATAACATGGGGACGTTGAGGACAGCATTTTTACAGTTTTGTCAAGGAAATAAGGTATAAAATAAATGTTTATTCAGTATTTGTACTTATATAGCCTAACGGCCTTGCACGACGACTGATGGATGGTTCGAGAAAAAACCTTTATAGTCGATTAGAGAAAAGTGAAGGACATTATTGTACTTTACTGGGTGATGGAATACAGTATTCTTACTTGAGTGTAGACATTGGAAACGCTTAATAGAACAGAGTCTTGAATATGATCTCGAGATCAGTACAGATAGTTCAGATAGTACAGAGGACAGCACAGTACACGTGTAGGATTGTAGAGTACAATACACAGTGCAGTACAAAGAACATGACGGTACACATGCAGGACAGTGAAGAGCACAATAAATAGCACAGTGGAAAGGACAGATAGTGCATATGCAGGATAGTAGAGTACAATACACAGAGCAGTACAAAGGACAGGACAGGACACACGCAGGACAGTGAAGTACACAGTGCAAAGGAATGGAAACATGAACATTCACTGGAAGAGGAACACGTTCAGTTCACAAGGCTCACAATACAAAATACAATTCGTCCTGTTGTGTTTCCCTTTAGGACCAGGCACAAACAATGTGTGAGGAACAATTTGAAGATATCTCACTGTTCGAAGGGGTATCAAGTTTTGACAATGCTGTTGTGAATGTTAGTCAAGAAATTATCGATGATTACCCGGCCTCTGATCCCAGATGGGCTGAGGCTGTTCCAGCCGGTGAGCAACTAACTGGATTTCAACTCTGTCTGTTTACCAAAAAACAAGACCCAATGCCTAATGAATATACTATACCTTCAAATTGTAATCGAAAACCTGTCCCCAACCCAAGCCTGTGGAAACACCATGGTTAGGAATCTCTTTTCTAGTGAAATCTTTTGTTCGCTGTAGATTCTGGTTCATCATCGGCTTCTCTTATCATTATCCATCAACTAGAGGACAAACTTAAAGCTCACGATTACTTTGTACAATTCTTGAAGGAGGTTTTTCTGTCTCAAAAGGTTTCCGCATAGATTTCTTTACATTTGTGTGGATTTAGGTATCATTATGTCTCGTTTAACGGCTTATTCCCAGCATGCTTTCGCTTATCTCGATTGAAAATTGGAAAACAGGGCACTTTATCCAAATTGTCTTGAAGAGATCATCATGTGTCATCTATTTCGTCTTCTTTTTGTTCCAGCTGTCCACGTTTCAACAGTTTGGAAGGATCGTTAATACAAGGCATTCATTGTGTGGTCATGCTGAGAAGCTCAAGTTTGCAATAGCTCTGAGAAGGCAGCACAACAAGTAAGTTCAAATATGCAATGGCGTTCCGCAAGGGAGGTTGCTGTTCGCACAAACGATGCAATGGAACTCTATATTTGTTTATATAACAGAATCTGAGTGGCCTTTTATCTAATATTGCTATATGTCCGCAGTTATGAAGTTATTTTCATATTTGTAGACATCAGGAGTTAATGGACGGTGCAATCGAGCTGGTTATGAAACGCAGAGATCAAGACTCGGCTCCTAAAGGTCTTACACAACAAGATTTGTTTTACCGTGAGGTAGCCTAATCAATTTTGACTTGATCTTATTATATGAACTTTGAGAGATCTGTGATCGTATTTTCGTCTTCAATTCTTTTTATAAAAATATAAAAAAACAGAAACCTTTTTTATGATTGGAAATCTTCTTTATCCACATCAACACCACGCACACCATCGTTTTTTTAGTTTTATTATTGTGTGAAGATGATATTGTATAAATATTTTACTTCAAATTTGATGCGTACATCTTTTTCTAGGTTAGCCGAATTTCAGACGTTATTTCTGGGCTACTGGAATTTGAGAAGTATAAGTTATCCCAACAACCAACAAAGCAAGATTATCAGGAGATCATTATGGCTGTAAATAGTATATTGGAAGTAAGTTGAAATGTTTGCATGCATCAAATCCTTACCTATAAAGTCATCTGTATGCTTGTTTCTAATTGGTCAACAATCACTGAAACGAACAGCAATTGGTTGATTCAAAAACACAGGAACGAATGTATTTATCAATATTTGCTAAAGATTGATTTTATTGTAGCGATAGTAAATGTGGTAATGAAGCCTCGCCAAACGAGTGCGGTTTTGTTTGACAAATTTCTCTAGTATTTTGTCCTTGTGTTTGGTACTTGTGTTATGATGCGCACAAATATTTTTTCTGCAACAGATAAACGACAGTAAGTTACCAATGCCATCAATCCCAATTTCTGCACCTTTCTACTTTAGAATACTCTTCAAGAAGCCTGGCAGTATCGTCAAGCAAACGAACAACACTACACTTCATCTCGCGATGATGAAATATTCGTCGAATTCTTACCTTGGACAGGTATTACAATTTCTGAGATTCAAGCACCTTCTTTACCAGCCTGATTATCTTAATATGCCTACCGCCTCGTGAACGATGGTTTCCTAACGAAACCCATTCATTTTGTTTTCTTGACAGCATCAACCGGTCCTGATGGAACTAGGACTCTTCTTCTTGAACAGGTTCGCGGTGGATCGTTCGACACCCATTAAGAGGTTTTTAGTCTGTTTATTAGAGTCCAAATTCCAAAACATCTCGAATCTCTCTTTCAGCTTGACATCACTCGCGACAGAGCGTTTCCCTTAGCTGAGGACCAGAAGGTACAGTGATGTATTGTTAGGTTGATGTATGGTTGTGTGTATAGATGTATAGTGATGTGCATTTAGGAACAAAAATGTACAGTTAGATGAATGAATGTATAGTTATGTAGGTATAGTTGTAGATATACAGGGAAAACGGAAGTTAAATATCCATTCAAATACGGTACGGTACCGTTTGGTACGGTAAGGAATACTTAGGCTAAATGATAGATACATCTATAGGTATGATAACATGCATTGCTGTACAGTTATGTGATGCTACATGGAGAAGTTGAAAGTCGAGTTTATTTTTCGTTTTGTTTTGATTCAGACAAAAGCCGTGTTAGTTCAACAACTTGTCCATCTCTCGGATATCTTACTTGACGGTTATGTGACACAATTGAACTCTCTAAGGTACATCTTGTGCTCGTGAAAAACCTCTGTCGACTCGCTGGTTTGCATCCACAGTGTCTCTCGTTAGCATGCTGTGATACCACCTGCTAACTGGATTGAAGATTTTGATGTATAGCGGAGGATAATCCTTAATTGTTTCACCTCGGTTCTAGAAATCTTGACGATCAATCCAAATTTGAGGAAACCACTCAAAAATACGAGCTTGATCGCCGTCGAGTTATCTCCCCGTTAGGTAAGAGACGATATGTTTTGAAGAGATTCATAAATACACTTTTCAAACGACAACAAAACGACAGCAAAACGACAACAAAACGGCAACAAAACGACAGCAAAACGACAACAAAACGACAGCAAAACGACAGCAAAACGACAACAAAACAACAACAATGGGTAACGTTGTAAACATCAGCTAACCAGCTTCATATTCTTCAGTTTCTCGTGGCTACCTCGAAGAGGCGCTTTCACTTGCCGAGAAATATCGAGATTTTGACATTTTGATCGAAATTTGTGAAGAACTCCAAGACCAAGATAAACTACAGCACTACATGAATCTGTTCAGCACTGAGGTAAAAATGGTTGAAAGAAACAGCAATATCTGTTGCATGTGTATATATTGTTATGCGGGATTTCGCTGCTTATAATAGAGAGCTTATAAGATATGGTTAACGGCATTGTTCTCTGCAATTGGTTTGGTTTGTAGAATTTCTCAGATTTTGCTTTCAAATGGTATATGGACAGAGGTATGTTTTCATTTCCTTTTATGTATTTTGAAATCTACGATTTTGGATTTAGATGCCTTGCATGCACTTTTCCGTGCAGCTAAACATATATGTGAAATACCAATATATTTAAACATAAAGTTCTTGATACTTGGACCTTGTCAGTTATTGGACTCAAATAAAATGCACCAAGGACTGCTTTGACTATGTACCAAGGACTGCTTTTTGCTATGTGAAGGAAGGCGTCTTTTGACTAGAAAGTCTTTCCAACGAATGTTGCAGGCAAGCGAAGCAAACTCATGAGTCAGCCAACAACACAACATGAGAATCTCTCGAAGTTTTTGTCATCTCACGACCACCTGAAGTGGCTTCACGACATCGAGAGACATTCATTCTACCAGGTATTTTAAAGGTTTTGTTGTGACGTTTGCTTGAAACGTGAAATGAAGTGGAACAAGATGGTGTCCGAACATAAACAAATCTTTCGAGAGCTATCACTTAAATTCCACAATGTACACTAGCCTTTGATGTCGTTCCGAAACCTTGAGTAGTCTATAGCTTTCTTGCATTGTTATGACTTAGGCTTTCGATACACTGAAAGACTTATCTGAAAAAGAAGAGATGTATTTGGGACGGAAAAAGGTAACATTACATCGAGGCTATGAATCATATTTTTGAAACGAATTTTGACTATAATTCTGCCTTTTCATGTTCTCATAGACCTTACTTAGTCTCGCCAAGTTGGCGTTGCTTGCCTCAGATGAAAGTGAAGATGAAAATGTTGTACAAATTTTAGATGGTAATGTATACATGCAGTATCTTTACACAACTGTCGATTCCAGCTGTATATATAGTCTAAATTTTGATCTAGGTGAGATGAATAGACCTTTTTCATTAGCCAGATATTGCACGAGGTTTCGCTGGCTCGCGAGGGACCAATCATGCAAACTTGATGATGATTTATTTATTTTGCTTCCTCGTACAGATATAACAAATCAAGAAACTCTGATTACACATCAAGAAACCATTCCTTCTGAGATACTACAGGTGTGTTCATTTGTTTAGAATTTAGTTACTGCATTGCTTGAAGCCAATTTTAATCTTAAATTCAAAGATGTTGAGTATAGCATATACTGTACCAGTATATTCGACTTTCACTAATTTTATTACCAAGGTCGAGTATACCATATTCCGGTATATTTGACCATCATAATTTTTTTATAACCTGGTCGAGTTCCCATGCATATATACAGGTATAATTTTTTATTACCCTGGTCAAATATAGGCCTAATACTTCATCTCCTCATTTTTAGAGTGTTTCTGTAGACCCGGTGGACATGCCACCTCTCACACCAGATCAACTAATAGAGGTCGGTACAGTTCATCTTTATATGATTTGTAGCTTTAGGGGCTGTTTACATGAGCCCGGTTACCCGAGATTCATCGAAGTGTGAGAGGACTTTGAGGTATTGAAATAAGTCTTTATGACACCAAATAAGGACATGCTATTGTTGTGGTGATTATACGACTGCCAGGATTATGTTATCTGCTCATTTCAATACCTTAAAATCATCTCACGCTTCTTTGAATCTCGGGTAACCGGGTTCATGTAAACAGCCACTTAAAGTGTTCAAGAAACTCGTATTGTTAAACGTTCATTCTCAACTGAGAATCCCTTCCTTTTTCTAGCTTTATATAAGCGACGTGAACAGAAATCGTGATGAATCTGATTTCAAAAAAGCTTTGGATGTTTTGCACATTGCATATACGGTATATGCGATTCGTCAATTTTACCTGATCTCAGTCCAAAAAATGGACCGGTCAGCATGTTCTAGCAATTCAACCGACATGCATACAACAACCGCGATTTTACTTCAATTTTTCAGGACGAAGATCAACGCGATGAATACGAAACACTGCGGTTGAGAATTTGGTGCCAGGCCATTCTCGTAGACGAGTGAGTGACTTATGAAGTATAGTATACGATAGTTCTATTCCATAAAATGAAATTTTTACAAAGATGGCGCTTAGATACATCTAGTTTGTCCTTATACTTCTTATAGGACCGCTTTAAAGGAAACAGGTTTTCTTATAAGAAAAAATTCAGAAAACAAAAAGAACCTTTTCTTGTTATTTTAAAATTCCCCTTTTTCGTCTTTATATCTGTTTTTCCAATTCATCGTTTACAAAGGAAAGTGGTCCAGGGCTGATCCAAAAAGATTTGAGTTTTATCATTTTTCTAAATGATAACCTGAGACATTGCAAAAGTATAAATTCACACTGACGTGCACTGACGTGAATTTAATTGTGTTTATGTTTGTGCATGCTTATGCTTATTTATCATAGACTGCATGCACTGCGTCATGCATATTAACCCTTTGTTTTATTTGTTTTGTCCTTTTGTTTTCTTTGTTTCCTCTACGGCATTAGCTGATATATTTATTCCTTATGTCCTTCCCAAGATTACAAGCGGTATTTTCAAACCTCGTGCTTTCGTTGAATGTTTTTAGCTGGGCAAATATGGAAGCGGACGATCCCATATTGGCCGCAAGGAATACGGTATTCTTTAAAACGGTCGAAGTAGCTTTGCACGAAGGTATGTGTATGGATGCTTGTTAATTCGTTATAGAAATGTAGCTACTGTAGAGGTCGGGCTTCTCACTAATCTAACTATATAACATTGCATGTAAGCAATGGTTTGGTCTTGCCGTTGTATGGTCTATTTTATACCTAAAGGTGCGTTTCATGCGACATAATTCACAAGTTGTAATTCGTTGTGCGAAATCCGACATATTAAAACCGAATAACAACAAATTACGACGAATTGTGTCATGAAAATCAGCCTTAATTAACAAGACTGATCGTTCGTCTGAACGGATTATGGTGAAGAAAAGATAATCTGTCAGTCTATATATAAACAGGAGATGATCCATTAAATTAAAATATCTCCAAAATTCGTTTGGCCAAATCATCAGGCAAATGACTTTCCTCGGTGAAATATTCAGCCATGCTAGAGCTCATTTTGACTATAAACCGCCCTTTCCTCGTTCAAAAAACGTATTTATGTTGCCATAATGCTTCACAAATTATTATAATTGAAGCATATACTATTATGAGTATTTTAACCCGTAGAAATGCATGCAGTATTTAGCCATATAGGGCGCTTTCCTTGAAGCGCCTAAAATGGTAAACCGGTCATATTTTGAATTGAAATACAGTATTTCCGTAAGAATATAGCGGGGAAACTGCATTTTCCGTGCTAGGCAAATGTGAATAACGATATACTTGAATGCAGAGTTGTTGAAACACTCTAAAATAGCAGTAATCAGTCTGTTCAGAAATACAACAGGACCGGCCTGGCCGTTTTTACCGTATATACTAGTAAAGGAAAGCGCCCATATATTTGGCTTCGCAACGTGTTTACGAGAAAATTGTACGAATTGTCCTGTGAATGACCAACATCTGCCTGATTTTAGGGTTTGATTTAGCCTCATACTTGCCGTCCCTCGAAAGTTTTTTAAATTCCGAGGATCTCAAAGCGGTTGGACTGCCCGAGAACTCCACGTTCCAGTATCTATTGCGTGCAGGATATGAACAGATTCTGAGAACGCACAGTGACATGGATTTTGAAATTTAAACTGGTATTACGTTTTTTTCTTTTGTATATCAAGTAAACATTGAAATCTTCTAGAATTTTTTCATTCTGATATACCCGATCATGAATATACTATAGTAAACCAGGCTAGCTGTATATTGAACTAAAATCATTCTCCTAATGTATATATTTTCAAACTAACGGCTTTTAAAAATGCTTCCAGTGTCTGGATGTAAGAACATCTGTGTTTTAACATTATTATTCTGCGTCTAAATTAAATCACATTACCACATGCAAAATCTTTGGTTAGTTCAAGATAGTTTTATATCTACACACAGTTAATATGATCTACACCAGGAAGCAGTCGATTCTTAACCTAGTTGAAAATGGTTATTCTAGCTTTCAGTTATAGCCAAGTATTTATATGCAGCGGTGCAGCCGCATTATGCTGCTGACCAGTCGCACTATACACGTTCCCTGATGCATAACCTACAAAAAACTAGATATGTATATATATATAGGTATATATATATATATATATGAGAAAAGAGTGACACACTGACACTGCATAAATTGTCCCAATTCTTAAACTATACTTTTCATTTACAACAAAGGCTCCTTGAAATCCTCTTTTGACAAGCAATTATTCGCGTGTGTTCTTTTTACTTCAAACGACTAGAAGTGCATGCATGAAGCCACCCGTTCCGGGGTTTTTGTTTGGGTTTTTCGCGCAACCTGCTCAATTGACTTGCTTAACAACAAAGCTTATTTTGATCATGTGTTACAATGTGCTATCGTTGTTGAACAGTAATTGTTCCCTCGGAGGTAAATTGAATTCAAACATAAACAAGGTTAGTGATCAGATTTTATACGCTCGAATCAGTCAGTTTTTTATACAATTTCCCTGCAATGGGGATAGTAAAACGTTAGATTGATCTTAGCACCATAGATAGTCCTAGAGTTTAACAATTTACGTACACAATGTGTCTTTTATTAATGTACATGGAAAAGAAATGTTTATAATGTCCGTTACGATTCATTACACTCATTACATTACATCTCCTGACTTCAGACACAGCTGTTTAAAAACCCTCCTGCATTGTCTTGAGTTGAGTCATCGTTGTTACCCTGGCGTATGTGATCGATTCCACACGCGTAAAGAGACCGGTTATTTCATGCTTTGATGTTCAGCGAATGGGCAAAAATGCAGAGTCATTACTCGTTTTCATCCGCCAGACGGCAAACTCATCTAAAGTGAGTTTACACGCAGCTAATAGTAAATGTTTAACCAGACAAATGCTTGACTGGTCAACCATTACCAGGATCGTCCGTAGCGACGTTAGTTTCACCACTGATCTTCTATTACACTGGATACAGATAGGTATAGACATACAGGGTGTATAAAAAAAAGGTAATCCAACTTTGGTGCGCTGTTGTACGTGAACCACTCATTCTATTAACGAATTTTTTTCACATTTCGAAAGGTTAGGCTTTTAACTATCGAATGACATGTTTTTGATACCAAATGGTGAAAAAATGAGCAAATAGGAGGCTGATAAAAAGTGTTAGTCAAAATCGCATATTTTCACCTCTGACAATTGGGACTAAAACCATTGAAAATTAACTCTCTTTGGGATTAATTGAAGAATTTTGCTTTTGAATAAACTACCCGCATATGCATATTAAGTAGGAATAAATCACATCAGGAGAACATTCCAAGCAATGCGGCATAAAACCAGTGCAAACTGTGACATGTTCGTGATTAATTGCTTTTTTCTTTTGTCATGCACTGCTTTAATTAGGCTCAAAGGTGAAAATATGCGATTGCGACTAACATTTTTTATCAGCCTCGTATGTGCTCACTTTTTCACCATTTCGTATTAAAAACATGTCATCCGATAGTTAAAAGCCTGATATTTCCAAAAGTGAAAAAAATTCGTTCATAGACTGTGTAGTTCACGTACAATAGCGTGTTGAAGTTGGATTACCTTTTTTTGATACACCCTGTATAGTTGCTGTATCCAGTGTTTTATGGAATAAGCAAGTGTAATTGTAGTCGTTTAGAAAAGAAATGAGATTAACATTTTTTACGTATACCCTCTTTTGTTTAGTCGTAATGAAAACTTCACGCACTAAGGCATATCTCGTAAGCCATATTTACATCCAGCTATCAAAATCGTTTGTAATGATAAGATTCGTCCATGAAACAATCCTCATGTCGAGTCAAAAAATATAATCAAAGTGGCTAACCTCAGCAGTTCGCATATGACATGTTATCCTCTCTGAGATGCCTCAATTATGTCGGAGTTTTAAGCTTCCGAAAAGCAACTGGATTAAATCTCTGCAATGCATTGTCGCTTTGCTCGTTCTCCTTCTGATCTTGATATGGAAATTTGAACAAGTCCGCGTACTTACTAGAAGAAGCAATTTTTTTAAATCATCGAAACCTCAAGCCAACGACACAGCAATAACGGAAGAAGATTTGGTTGCTTCGTACAGTATCGTGGAAACAGTAAACCCTGCATTCGCTTGGAAACCTGTAGTTTTACACCTTTCACCAAAATCCTCGAACAATTTCAAAGTGGGCCGAAGTACATTTTGGGGAAGAGCAAAGAGCGACCTTGAAATTATTTCACTGAAGGTAGAGCATATTAAAGACGATGTTTACAGAGCCGTATTTCTTCCAAGCATCGGAGGTTTATATAAGGTCGATATTTATCTAACTTACATTAACGCAGAGCAACTTGAATACTCTCGTCATGTGAAGGCAAGAATGGTGAACGTAACGGGATCGCCATTTTTTCTAGTTGTTCAAGGGCGAACTCCCCCTGGAAATATTACGCGATATTGTACACAGACCGAGAGCGGTACAGCGCAGGGTAGATGGGTGAAATGTGGAGCCCTGTGGGGTATCGAGAGGTAAGCAATCGTTCAACATTACCGAGATTCAGTTTTAAGTTTTTCACTATCACCACCGCTACCTTTGAGCAAAGATGAACCAATCAAATGCGATAGGTTTATCACATTAACCAATCACAAGCCGGCGCAAAAGGTGAACGAAGGGTGGTGGTAGTGGTAGTGAATGTCCTCGAGGATTAATGAATCATGGTCTGTAGAACTAATGGAAATCCGTGCGGATCATGAAGATCAAAAGTACAGTAGAACTTTTCAATGTTGAGATTTATTTTTGAACTTTTTTTATACGCCTAGATGCAGTTTTTGGCAGCTTAAAACTAAATTCGACTTTGACGAAAACCATGGTTACTTTTGGTTACCTTACAATTGTCAACTTCACCATTATCAAGACGACGAGATGAAAATGTGTCTGGCGAAAAACGGTTGGGAAAAAATCGTGTTCACAGGCGATTCACATTCTCGCTTCAGGGCCTATCATTGGGCGACCCGACTCTACGGCACATGCCCGAATTGCTACAAAAACCACGTGAAAACGGCTTTTGATCACGTGCCCAAGATGGAATGGGTGTTCGACGCACGTGGGACCCGGTGGCCGGCTACCTTTTCGAAGTTCATCAAGCAGCCAAACGAGATTTACATCAATCCGGCAACTTTACGTTCGCATTTCTCCTACCCATTTCCAAATTCCACACTTGAAGGTGATCTTTACCTTATGAATTTCGGCCACTGGCTTCTGCGTGAGATGACGTTTACGAAATTCATGTCGGAAAAAATTGCTGCATTTTTACAAGGAATTGAGCATTTCAATCGCACAAGAGGTCTTGCAGGGTCAAAACGTGAGATAATAGGTTCAAACTCAAAACTTAAAAGGCCAAGGAGATTTTTGTGGGTGAATTCGATGAGTCTAAAATGGCGCGAAGATCAGGCTGTTCATGATTGGACGATGACTCCAGCTCCTTCGACGATTGGCTACTTAAATGCTCTCTTGGATCGAGCTATGAAAGACGCGGGTATCCAGGTTTTGGACGCCTTTCAGATATCCAACCCGCGTTTGGATGCCGTCCATGATGGCACGCATTTCGCTAAACTGTTCACCGATGGAGTTTGTGCAGGAGCAGTGGAGAATGCTGTGTCTAATGTTATCCTAAATGCCTTGTGCAACAAGACGTGACGGCTCGAATGTCAAGCTGCACTTTTTCAGTCCTCCCTTCCCTCCCCTTCCCTTCCCTTTCCTTCCCTTTCCAACATCAGAGTGAACGTTACAACAGAAACCGTGAACGACGGCAGTTAACACAATGAAATTTACAACAGTGGAAAAAGAAATGAAAGTCAGGCGTTGAAAGACGTCGTTTTGTGGCCTGATTTCAACGTCTGCCATTCCAAGTCGGGAGAAGTGGTATCTGACACAGCTGTGTTTTTACTGAAAGCAAAACGTTTCCTAATCGTTCATGTAAAGTTGTTCGCTTTTGCCTTGATTGTTCAATGTTCACGTTGCCATCCTCAGGGGCGAAGGGGGAGAGGGGAGGGGGTTGCCCCCGTTGAGATCCTCGCGATCAAATATAATATTGGAAAAACAAGCTAACTCAATTTAGGACGATGTAATTGAAAATACTGATATTTGTTCATTCAAAACGTAGTTGATTGTTCACATAATTTAGATTTAATGGAATTCCCTACGGCATTACATTACAAAATCTTTTGACAATTATTGTTTTTAAATAAGCTCTAGAAAATCTAATTTTACCATCGTCGATATATTACATGTAACTGAATTAATTTAGAAATACATTATATACAAAAGAACATATTTATAGTTTGTGTTCGTATCTTGTCCATTTCCCAATGTCTATGCGTGAAAAATCAACAACCTTTTTTACACCCAAATTGATTTTCACTTTGTCGCCAAAAAAATATAAAATAATGTAATGAAATTATATTACTTCTGTATAAAAAGTGTGAAAGATTAAATTATTACTACTGGAAAAAATCCGTCCTCTCTATTAGATTAATAAATTATTCCCCTGCATAAGTTACTTTGTGATTTCATTTGATTCATATTTGCGCGTTTGTAGATTTCTAGCACGAATGTTAAAATAATCAATGCAGTTTATCTAACGTATGTTTGTATTTCCCTAACTATCGCGTCGATTGGATCCGTATCCTGTAGAAACAGATGACACTTGTGTTTTGTGTTACCACTGACCACCGTTGTGAAAGCGAAGGCGCACTTGCCGTCGGGATGGCTTTGAACACCGGAAATGGTCGCGCGTTCATAAAACGCTTGAGCGGCCTGGGTTTGATTATCCACTATCATCACGCCATTGGGACTAAACACCAGTTGTGCCTTCCTGTAGTGTTGGCCGTTATTCGTGGACTTTTTCATCGCCTTGTCCACACTTTTCTGGAACTGTTTAAGGCACTCCTTGACGTGTTTTGGTTTTAGAGGCGGACTAACTATCGTAGAAATAAGGTACAATATGCTGAACCGTTTTTCTGAACTTTCTTTGCTGTTTTCCGACCGGGATTTTTCTTCTGGTGTGCGTTTCTCGATACAGGGCTTTTCGACCGGTGGTTGAGGAAGCCTCTCTTCGGGGACTTTCCCCGGTGGTTTGGTAACTTCCTCCTGTGGCTGGGTAACTTTCTCCGGCTGCTGGGTAACTTTCTCCTGTAGCTGGGTAACTTTCTCCTGCGTCTGGGTAACTTTTTCCTGAGGCTGGTTAATTTTCTCCGCTGGTTGGGTAACTTCTTTCGGCACGCTTTTTGTTTCGGGTTTTTCTTCCGGTGAACAAGTGTCCGTGGTCTCTTCACCGAGAGTGTCAATTCCCGTGTCTTCTTCCGTAAAAGACTGAATGGTGGTCATGCGGTTCCTACTCAGTCGTTTCGGAAGAAAGCGGCTCGCTTTTTTACGCAGCCGTGGTGAGCGGGCTCGATTCCAGTCCACGTCCGTTGGGCTGGAACTCTAAAATATTGAATAGTGTAATGTTAAAAAGTTATCGGGAAGGTCAAACGGTTGAAGGTCAATGGTGTACAAATTCGACAGTGCAATTAAAAGGTAGCGTTTCGGTTCGTGCTTATCTCAATCGTACTTCCTATGTTTGTCTTTTTTATAATCTGTAATTTCTATAAACTTACCGTCGAGCCAAGACTGACTGTCTCTGAATTGGAACTGACGGATCCCTCTGAACTGGTTGAGCCCCCCGAGTTGGTCCTGGAACGACATTCTGGCGGGTAATCTGACGTGCGGGCTAGGTAGGTCGCTTGGCAAGCCTGTCTGATAGTTTCCAAGATCTGGCTAGCCAATCCGACGCGGTTACAGCGAAACACGTGACACGATGTCCTCGTCTTGCTTCCCTGAAACGCCTTGGACGAGATGTAGCCGAAGTAGCGCCGATCCTCGTCGAAGAGCCCCATTGAAAGGATCCATTCGAGTTGATGTATATCGAGTATTCTGTCCTGCCCACTGTTCTTGAGGTGAATAGCATCTTTATAGAGTTCAATCTTTGCCACTGTATACTCCTTGGAGTCCCTATGATCTAGAACCGAGCTAATGTTGTCGTTCACGACCAGGAAGGATTTTTTCACCTTGTGTGACCCGAGGTAGACAAGTTCGTCGAAGTTCGCGACTTCGTTGTTCCGCCTGCTCCTCGGTGTGCACATGCGCGGAAGTGACCTTGCCTTGCTCGACCTTGGCGTAGCAAGCACCCCCATGGAGGACCATTTCGAAAGCTGAAAATGAAATTAGATGAGTGAAATTGAGATGCGTTTAACGTACAAGAATTCGGCTGCTTTTGAAATATTTTGAATCGCCTGAAGACAACTATAACTTGATTTCGGCTCAAAAGCAGTTACATATTGCAATTTGGTGCTACGTAGCTAGCACAGTCTCGTGAAAAACTACCAAACACCTTTTATAAATACATTATTAATGACTATTGATCAAATCACGATAATGCAAAGGCTTGGCTCTCCTCTCAGAAGCGGACTTGCTCGCTTGCTATGTTTAAAGAGGATTTAAATCTCAAGGACAACTTAAATCTTCGATCAATATTTGGTTTATTTTGCATGCATGCAATTATCAAAATCTTTTCTAATATAGCCAAATTTTAAAGTTGACTAATCAAAAGATAGCAACTCAAATTATTTGTTCAAAGCAAGGTACAATTGATTATAAAAACGTAGTTCTATTTTTCACAGCAAAATATTGTTCGGTTTTAAAGGCAGAGAAAATCATCAACATCTGGTAGGAATTTAAGAACCTATATTTTTTACATGGCTTTTATTTTGAGTGTATATTCAAAGGATTAACGTTTAAAAAAGGTATTGTAAACACCAAATGTGTATCTGCAGGAATTATACGCGAGGTTTTGTTGCGTAATAATGAAGAAGACGGGTAAACGGATTTATTAATCATATTATAATCAAAATTATGTAATGCCAGTCAAGGTTAACTGCAATGAACAGCTAGCTAATCTAAACGCCGATAATTCCATAGACGAGTTTATCGAGTTTGAGTGGTGTGGTGGGTAGACGGATATTCAGGGCTATATCCCGGCAGGAATTCTTCTTTTTTTTCATTTTCAATTCGATTTTAAACGTTTACAGATGCTTAGCGGTAGAAACTCCCTATTTTGTCAAACAAACGAAGTCAAGGTCGATATTAGCTGGAGTGACGCACTGCTATATTTATTGTAATTTGATTACAGGAATATCATCCACAATGCCGGATGCCTCATACTATACTTGAAAGGATTAATGGTTAGGTTTTTCGTAACAACCATCGTAGAACACGCGATTTTCTTCAGTCGTAAATCGAGCAATTTAAGATTGCTTTCTTGTAGAAATGAAGTTATCTTAATCTCCTATAATCACTTCGCAGGTGAAGGTGTAAAATACTTTTTCGAATGTGCAACTATTTTTATAAAAAAGTAAATTGATTTCGAATGTGCATGTCTGGGCTCATTTTAATCTTATTTTCATTCTGTTGGGTTGATCGATTTGAGTGTTTGACCTCTCATATTTGCGCATGCTATACGTGACCTGCTATTACTAAAGAAAATAGTCAACGGACTAGCTATCTTCTATAAAACATCCGGTTTCGAGAAGTTGGGCATCCGAGGTGAGCAGTAAAGACGTGCGCAATGAAGTGCAGTCTCCTCTGGCTCGAAATCTTCAAACCTTAAAACAAGCAGTCGCTTACACAACCTGCACGATTCACCCGTTAATTCAGGCATTAAACTTGTAGGAATTATTTAAGTTAGTTCGAATGGTGTCTAAAAGTACGATTGCATGCAATGGATAACTAAACCCGATTAATTCCATGTATATTTGCAAGGAAGTGGATTATAATCCGAAGTTCATTCAAGTGCAAAAGATTTTATTGCATGAAAACGTAAAAAAAAGGGTGCATAACAAATTCTCATCGTTTAATCCACAAGACCGGTCATTTTCCCCCCCTTAATTCATTGCCCATGCAAGACAAACCAGATTTTAAGCAGGAAAGCAGTCCTGATTAGGTTAAATACGTGCAATTGACGTGATAAAGTTGTATTGATGTATATATGTTATGTACCTATGTTATGTACCTATGTTATATATGTACCTATGTTATGAACCTGTGTTATGAACCTATATTATGTACCAATATCAACCGTCGAGCTAATATTCCATAGCAAATTAAAGGTGCTATTCAATTATGATATCGTGACGAATTCGAAAGATACCTCAGACAAACTTGGCAGGTTTCCGCCGAAAGGAAGCGATGTATTCATACAGGGTATCGTCAAAATCACACATAATCTTAATCATAGTTGACTTATAATTCTTGCCTCGGGAAAGGGTGCATTAAAGGATTTATATTTAGCGACTATTTCATGACAACTCGTAAATTCAATTTATTTCAACATGCCCCCTGAAAGGTCGCCTTAATTCGAGGAACTCTAGATATGGATGGAATGAAAGAGCAGGCACAAATTGCCTGCACAAATTAGTTTTTGTCGATTCTAGTACTGAAATATACATATAAAAGCTCAATAGGTTTGTTTGAGAGAATGAAATTGATCATTTTAAAAAAAGAAGATTAAATTTATACCCCCGTTGAATGGTTTCATTGTTTTTAATAAGATTACGAAACGTCTTTCCCAAAAATCCAAAAACCGCAAACCACAGAGACACCCTTCATTTTCTCACGGCAAAATAAGCCAGTAATTATTACTAAATTTGCAAGGAAATTATTTAATGACACAGCTTTTCAACACTTCTTTTACCCATAATTTTTATATGTGACTCCGAGGAAAAAGAATTGCACGCATAATTTACTTTTGCAATGGCATGCTTTTCCTATAGCTGCATTTACTATAAAGATTATGGCTAAACTTGATATCTTACTAATATACAAGAATAAGGCTTGCGTTTGTGAAACTGCACAGATTGTACGCAATGTGACGGAGGGCCAGAAGAACTCAATGTGGCCTTAGGTGATTCGGAAACATAGTAAATCTATTATCAATTTCCGAAATCGCATCGTATTTGAAGTTGTACTCGACCGAAACACGCTTTGCTATTAAAAATCTTGGCGAGGCTAATCGTAAAAGTCATAATACGTTGTGTATTAAAAGATTACTTGCATGATGGTACAAAAACAACGCATGTAAACTCAACTTTATTTTTTCATAAACAATGCGCCTTTTTGCGTCCATGGAGCATTACCGCCGGATGTGGTATTATTAAAGTTGCCAATATTCTCACGTGGTTCTGGTTATAATTTGCTTACAGCTAGTCCCTGCTTTTAAACAACAACAATCAACAACAAAATGCTCTGGCAAAATGTCAAAAACTTGCTAGTTTTCGGTGTTATGTGTTTTGAGGCAGTTTAAGACCACCATTTTAGGTCAGACATTGCACAAAAATGCAGATGACATATCCCTGAGTGAAGGCATTTTTCTCCTCTTAAAATCACTAAATCCATCGTTATTCGCCCTAAAATACTTCGCACGGCGGCCCTTACATCGTGCATGTCAACTGGAAATGTGAAAATAGCATATGTACCACACCGTATTGTCCTGTATATATACTGACACTGCATGAATAGTATTAACTACAGGTTCATTAACTTTGTATATACCTAACTTTACCAATCCTATGAACCTTATAAAAAGAAATCAACCTGGTTAGTCATCTGTGCATGCGATTATATAGTATCGATTAATTATGGAATGAAAATGATACATCTTATCATGTTTAATTCTCTAGAGTGCGTTTGGTGGCTGACCTTGGTTTTGGTAGCAGGTTCGTTCAAAAGGTCAGTGGCTTATACGACCATCCATACTTATGTTATTTTAATGTCACCGGACAGCAAATGAGTAAATGTTTGAACTTCGCTTGGGGAAAATGACGACAAATACGTGTCGTTGAAATAACAAGGGAATGAGGAAACGTTGTCAAAAAATAACAAATCGAAAAACTGCGTTTCCGTTGAAAAATGAAAATGGGATGGAAATGAGAGTTTCGCAATCTTGTATGACTCAGACGTGCGGAGATGGTTTATTTTTTATAATATAGGCATGTTTGACCAAATTTCCTGGTCAAACCGAGCCTAATCCGAAACATATTATGTTACGTAAACCAATTTGACACGTATTATCCTCGGGACTGTGCCAAGGTGCATCATAATACAAAAGTAGAATTCGATGAAAACGTTTTTTCACTAAACGATATCTCACGTTGGCCTATTTCGTACTAATACATAAGACGGTATTTTTATCACAGAAAACTTACTATATATACCTCTATGAACGATAACGACTTCCCTAACACAAGTTTCTAGTTTCTAAAATAGGGATTATAAGCTAGGTCATTTTCTATAGAATACTGCTATAGCCTAGTGCGGTATGCTATAAACGTACATGATTATAAGACTATCTTCTTTGAAACGTCTGAATGGCTAATCATTTCAGCTAATCTTTTCCGTAAAGCCCTCGCTATATATGGCTGTCATTTCCTTGCCAAGCAGGATATTATTAAGATTAGTCAACAAAATTAGTGAATGAAACGAGGCTAGCCTATGATTACTCTTTGTGTTTAACTTTGCGTCACTGACACAATGGTGGTATATGGTAGCGTATTACTATCATATGGGGTAGGACGTTTTTGCGATGATATATACACCGAGAGTTCTGCTCTGCTACTGTTTTATGGCAGATCAGTATATAGTACTATGTTAATACATAATAGTACTATGTTAATACGGTACCATTATACCTATTGCACTTTTACAGTATCGTACCATGGCATTGTGGTGGTATTATACATACATAAATGATAAATATCAAAGTACCATCATAATACTATAGTATTCTGTTGGTATGGTAGAATGGTGCTGTTCTATTATATCGGGCTCTATTACAGCATTGCTTGCACTATGATTTTATGGTGCAGTGCTACGGTACTGAATAGGTACTGGTTATAGATGATTATGTTCCTGTAAAAATCGTTGACAAACGTTTTCAGTGCCATAGACCGTAGTAAGTAATATTTTACAGAATTTATAGTTGTTGTGATCGTGTGTGGTTTGTGTATTTGCCAATTCTTAATCGACTGTCTATCAATCCGTTTTATCGCATATAGACCAAACACTTGTATACCTAATCTTGCATGTTGACAAAAATTTCTTTCAAACAAAACTAATTGCTGTTTCTTCCATCCAAACCCATTAGTGAACGACGATTTGATGGCCAATTTTGTGATAGCATTTTAAAACATGTTTACTTTCTTCTTGATTAACAAGTTAAGTGACGAAAAAGCTAATCTTTTAAATCGTAAACAAATAGGACTGCCCGAGCAAGGTTAATTTTATAGTCGCCATTATGTACTGCGACCATTGGAATACGTAAGATTTCTATTAGTATATCTTTCCTATGCATTTGACAGTTCTTTTCCAAAGTGTGTACTATCTACAGACATTTTGTCTAACCCCGCGAAACTAGTATAGATACAATTGTTGGTTGCTGGTTTTCAAAATACCATTACGTTCAAGTTTAGATTAAATTTATTTTCTTCAGTGACATTTCACGAAAAACAGTCAGCCATCCATGTGATGAAATGTCAATATATGTAAACATGCATACACAGGACCCTTCTTCAATTTCGTTTGATTCATTATTTATTTTCTTATTCGGTGTTTGGACTACGCTGCAGTTTTATCCCCCCAAACCTTATTAGTCTAAACATATCCGTTTTCATAAACACGAAGTAACGAAAAACTCGCATTAATTTCAACAGTCGTATAGTATAACTATCACAGTATATAGCTATGTGAAGCTTTTTTATAGAGCCCGTTAAAAAAGCTTAGGTTAATATGTGCGAATTACCCGTGCGGTGATTGCTGATAACATATCGCCATAATATTCAGTAAAAATATCGTAATATATTCAGGGCACATTGTAGTACAGTTGAAACATGTCATTGATTTAGAGTTTTGCAAAGGAAGTCTATTTTTCGAGCCCGTTTCAGATTTCAACTGAACACTGCTCAAGTACAGAGACGACAGCCACGTCAGAAACGGCGTGTTTTTTTGTGTTAAAAACGACATTCACGATACGTGTTGAGATCCGGTTTGAAAACGAATGCAGACGAAATAAGCGTCTACGCGTATATTGCGAAATATATAATTAATGATGTACCACTTACCAAATTTGTAGCGGGTGGTCGTTTGAAGTTCCTCACAATGGCGTCTTTGATTTGATCAGCATCAGAGCAATGAATTACAAAGAGTTTCGTGTCCTCACCAGGTTTACTGATGGTGTATCCTAGAGCTGTTTTATTGCTAGAACTGTAGGTTGTTATGCATCCGATGTCGTCTACGCTGTTTTCAGCTAATATTCTCCACGGTGCACAGTTGAGCCCCAGACGTAGTGATTCGCTGGTTACCTGAAAACTGACCGGTTTCGATTGGTCCTTTTTCTCGCGGGCTAAGTAGTCCCCGATGACTTTTTGCACAGACTTCGGGCTCGTTTTCGTCACGATACAACAGCCGACCAATGTCCCGGTGTATAAGCCCAGCCCGAAATCGGTTGTTGGATGTTGGCACTCCATGTGTAAGCTCTGGGGCCTGGGCCTCCTGGAGTTGCCAGTATAGCTTCTACTCCCTCTAATCCTCTGCGGGGGTAACTCTGGCGGCTTCCCCACGCCAAGGGGCGCTCCACCGTAACTATACGAGACGCTTCTATGAAGAACTGGTCTATCCAAGCTTCCCAACGAGCTGGAATTACTGTAAGACCCAACAGAAGTTGGCGATGCTTTTACACGTTGTTCGAACGCAATGGAGGTGTAAACAATGTCTATGGGCTTTGAGGCACATTTTGGCGGAGACATGGCTTCGTATACGTCGTCTAAATCTTCATAGAGTGACTCAGTTTCTGAGGTTTCGTTCGATGCTGTGGACCGCTCGCTATTCATCCTTTGAGCACACCAACCAGTCTTTCTCTCGAAATTCTCATAAACGTGTGAGCTGTTAAAGCTATCCGAAGTATTTTGATAAACGATTTCAGAGTCTGTATTATGATACCCAATCTCTGAGTCCGAGCAAGTGCAACAGCGTTTTTCATCGTTTTTTTGTCGTCCGTGTTGCCGTACGTGTTTTGCCGGGTGCGTATTTTCGTACAGAGCAAAATCGTCTTTCGTGACAATCTTCCTTCTCTGACCGTAATCTTTCTCACAATCTACAACGCTCGAAGTATCAGGTTTATCAAGGCGTAAAATAGGGTTGTCTGACTCCCGCGTTCGTCTGGCTTCGCTAGAAGACGGTTTTGTAGTTGTATCGACAGGTAAACAAGGTATTTTTGTACGGATTTCGGCATAGTTTGTTGTGTCTTGTTCCTTCGGTATCGAGTGCCCCTCACAAATTATGTAAAAATCCTCATCTTCCTTTTCGCGCTCAATACTACAACTGTCGTTAGCGTCTTTGAAGCTCCCAAGTCTGGTATTCACACAAGTTTCGTTCATGTTCAATTCATTGCGTCTTTGACGTGAATGATCGGGGCAAGCGCTCTCGAAGTCCACTTCCATTGTGCTCCCCTTTGTCATGTTGTAACGAACACGCTCGTACAAAACTTAGTGTTTGTTTATACGTAAAAGCGCCGTGTGATGAAATTTTATTTATGGTCAAAAATCCGATTGCTATTCGTGCCCAACTCTGTTCGCAAACATGCCAAAATCGTTTAATATAATTCAGATCTCGTGATGATAAACATTCAATTTCCTCGTGCAGGATACCTTCTGTTTGTGAAAATCAAGAGCCGCCGTTTCAGCGATTGTGTCGTCGTGTGGTTTTTGTCTTAATGCAAGACACGTCTGTCCTCATCGGATCTGTCTTGCCTTCTGGTAAAAAGACGCAATTGTACACCGTGTATACTCATGACCACATGGTGATGAATTGTCGACAAATTCCAACCGTTCCAGCGCGTACACGTCAACGCCAACCGTCGTGTTTCGAGGCTGCTCGAGGGTAGTGGCGGATGATTTTTTGTACAGGGTGGAACCTGTTTTCACTTCCTGTCGGTCACCGCAAAGCAAGGTGGTCATTCCAGCCAGCAACCCATCCTCTTCCTGCTAATTATATATCTCGCCCATATGGATAAAGTTTCAAATTGAAAAAGAACTATTTATAAGAAGCGGGCAGGAGGTCTAGTAGATTACCATATGCTTTTCATTTTACTGAAATCTCTTGGAATAATCCAGTTCAAAAACACCTTACTATTTTCAAGTAAAGAAAGGAGGATGATAGACGTTTTAGAAATGAAAGTTGATATGATAATACAGGCCATTTTCACAGTAAGATCTCTGGCATTTCTGGGTTTTTTTTAAGGAATGTGTTTTTTAAGTATTCGTAAGAAGTACTTTCTAATTATGCTTTGAAAGAGTCCTAAGAAATTGGGTATTTCTCATTGTATGGCAAAATAATCTCACGGCCTCTCCTTAGATAGAGCAATTTTGAGTAATTTGTTCTATGAGACCGTCTAGTCAATTGTCAAGCATTCATATGTTTAAGTTAATGACATTTTGATTTATATGAAATACTTCGACGAGGGTTTGAAAAATGTTGGGATCAAAAACCTTAAGATCCACCCAAGGCATATAGTTTCCTGTCTTGAGGTTGTGAGGATATAGTACAACGCGTGTTTGACCAGAGATATTTCTGACATTTGTGGCTCTAAGACAAAACTGTAACGAAAGGTTGATGAACTAAGCAGTACCATTTCCTCGACCCTCGATTTGAGGCTCTTCACATCTATAACCTCTCTGTCGCAATCGATTCACACTGGATGAGAACAGGTTGGCTGAATCTTGTTTACGGTGTGGGAATTAAAAGAATGCTTAAGAATTCGGTAACTCCATCACAAATTCAGTGCAAATTGTGCAACACTTGTATTTCGTAATTTTGCATAATGATTTAATGGCCTAGTTGTGCAAACTGCATTTAGTATTTTACACCCAAGCGAATATGGTTTTAGATCGAACTTGTAGCTTTTCAACCAAGGGCAGTCATAAGGTTTAGTTGTTAAACCTTCTCGAGTATTTAGCATGACCATGTTGGGGCTTGATCACACGACCTCGCATTTCATTCTCGTGACCTTAATCGCATATTATATGCCTGACCAAACTACATTAAATTGACACGCTTGAATTGACAATTTCAGACCGACTGCACCCCTAATTCACTGGCCTAATGCAGTAAATTCACGTACTTACGTTTATTTAAGTTGACTCGCAATATTTAATACGGGGATATTCGCGTTGTTTGCAGTGCCAGGTCAATTTCTATTTTCATATGATAACACGAAAATGCATGTCAAATTGCCCGAACTCAGTAGATACAAGCCGTTTCTTTGACACGAAAAGAAAATGCAAACAGTACAGGTGCGTGCGTTAGCTTGCAGTGGACCGTATAAAAAACTAAATTAAGCTCTTTAAGTTTAAAAGTAATTTTAAACCGTGGAATAACAATTAATGAAAAAGGTCAGGAAAAGTGCTAAAGATATAGCAAAGTGTTTTCTTCGTTGCCATGTAAATCGGATATATTCCGACTAGTGTTTACTGAAAACAAACTGAAATGACTCATTTTTTTGTAATTGTAGTGATATTTTTATCATTCCTGTCTGTTCTTGAACAAGCTGGCTGAAAAAAAGCAGTGTTGCTCATTCGATCTCGTAACCTGGGAACGAGATTCGTGATTCCTGAAAAATTTGAAACCCACTTTCCTAGCTAGTAGCATGGATAATAATAACTGAAAATCATGTCTTTTAACTATCCATGCTAATAGCTACCAAATGTTCCTTTACCTCAATTTCTTCTTTACCGATTGCAAGACTATTTCACCGCAATATCTTGCGGTTTCAGACTTTTGGATTTTGCAAATTCATGATATGCATATTGCATTAGATTTGTAAACAGAACAATCAAAACGAAGCTCAACATGAATAAAATCTGACGCACACACAACCTTGTGACGCAATCAACTTGAACTTTGAAACGTAAGATTAGCAAAACAAATTAGCAAATATCTTGGTCAAACAAGTACTTTGAACGTAATCGGCAATCAGGATTGCGCGTTATCGACTAACTCGACACATTTTTTTTGTGCGAGAACAATGATGCATTGTAATAAAAACTTTGCGTATATTCGTCAGAAGATATTCTTCATGTTAAACCTGGTTTCCATTTATTCGTAATTGTCGTGGTGAACGAGTCATTTTCACCGATGCGAAATAGTCCAGTTGTAAATTTGTCTTTATTTCTTTATTCAAATCGGTCATTGCTTACTGCACACAAAAAGAAATATTCTATCACATCAGCCACCTTGACATGTTCACGACACTTACGACTTAATGAAAACAGGCATTATCTGCTAGCCTTGCATGTATCCTAGGAGGTATAATGAATATAGCAGCTAAAAAGCACACTTTGCACAGCCTCAGACTTGTTGTTGGCCTTCTTTTAGGCGGTCAGGTTTCCTGTGTAAACAATATTGTGGATGTAATCGTCGTCAAGTCGAATACGTAATTGCAGGAGCAAAGTAACATGAGAAATCTTTGAGTTTGAGTGAACTGAAAATCATCTTATATTCGTTCTAAAGCTTGATTTTGCGAGGATTTTAGGTCATTTTTACCACGAGTTTTTCTGTTAGTTCAAAGGGGGAAAGGACCGACGGAGGTAGATTATTCGTAGATGGGAATTTTTTCGTAAGCATGAGTATTAAAAATAGACATAAGTGCCAAGTGCCAATACCTGATTAACAAATGTGAAATTGCATTGAGTTTGAAGGTCAGTAATTGGAGGTTTTCATCGCGAGTGTAAATTTATAACTACATGAGTTGTTGACAAGACTGCGTCATGAGCAATTATATGTTGCATACTTTAACTTTAATAAAATATAACCAAGGATGTAGGCACAATGTGATACCATACAACTCTCTGACAAAAAAAACCCTTAAGAGGAAAGTTCGAGACGTTTTCCGTCTATTTTTAAGCATTTATTATGCCACATTTGACGAGAATGAATTTTTTTAATGGTATAAAAATAATTTAAAAAGTTTGCAGTTTCGTTGTTTTCTCATATCACGTCATATCTGAGGACGTAATTAATGTTATAGTGACGTCAATTCTGACAAGTCGTTAACAGTGTTTGAAAATCAAAATCACGATTAATTGATATTGATCTTTGCCCACGAAAGACTTGCTGGAAAATGGAGGCGAAGTGCGCATGCATGATGCTATTTTCCAGAATTCCAGCTTTTTTTAACTGCATCTTAATGCTTTGTAGAGCTTTGACGATCTGTTTATTGTAAAGTTTGACAAAAACGTTTCTGATCTCTTCCTTATCTGATTTGGAGTACAAATGCACAAATGAAACAGTTTCCAGTGAATGCGTGTTTTTGCTACGATATTTCGTGCGTTAGTTTCACACTCATCCGGACAGAAAAGGGCTTTCGGATGATATGTTGTCGCCTATATTTTTTAAGTCCACCATTTGCATCCAAAGAACAAAAACCTTGAGAATGTCTATCATTACCGCCCACATAGACTTGACCACGCATGCATGTGAACAGTGAACAGACTAGAGCTGTATAATTGCAAAGATGCCAAAGAACTCCTGGTCAAAGCCTGGTGACGGTTGTGTTAATTACATTGTGGGTACTGCATGGGTAGCTACATCGTAACTAACTCCAAAATACACGATTCTGATTTCTTTAACCTGCCACTAGCTTTAGGAGTTAACTACGACTGTTTTTCTGCAACCGGGATCTCTGATCTTTATGAAGCTTTGCGTAGGATTGAATCGGATTAAACATTTCGCCGTGGTTAATTACTTGTGTTTACGCACCAGTGTTCCAAAGATTAAGTCCCACTCTCCTAGACTTATCCTTCCTGTATTTAATATTTCCAGTCTTGAGGTCGAATGTATTTTGTTTTCAACTCTTAAATCCGTTATCAAAACATTAACTAACCGCATTTGTTGAGCAAATAGGAAATTTAAGACGACACAACGACAACAACGACAACAACGACAACAACAACAACAACAACAACAACAACAACAACGACGACAACAACAACGACAACGACAACAACAACAACAACAACTGTTAGAAGTTTGCATCGTGTGCATAATTTAACCTTCGTAACCTTGATTACGACTTGACTTTCTATCTACGTTGATCGGTTGACTAAGCAACGTCAGGATAGTTTTTGTAGACAACAGATGTGATTGAAAAAACGTATGCAACCTGCAAAACACCAAGTTCTTTTATATAAAATATACCTCCATTGTACGAACTTACCCATAGCTGTCGTGCGTGCACACATGCATGCCCAACACACGTGCACAATACTTTGCTAATGGGACGAATCATTTTTCCCAACTTTCTAATTCTTCAAATACCCAGGTGACCATTAATCTGTTTGAACTAATGTATCACCACCGTATTTGTAAACCGCTACGTCAAAATACGTGCGAGGTGAATAACTTTTATACCAGTCGTTGACAAACAATTTGGTATAAGCGAATAGCCACGCCAACGTTTTATTACTTTTTTTTTAATATTAATACTTTGCTGCAAGTCGCTGACAATGCAATAAATGTTTGTTTGTTCTTCGTTCCCTGATTTCTTTCATGCTACGAAATTCGCCCACAAAAAATGAAGACTGATTATCAATACGAAGTTTGTGATTATCACTAACTCAGCGTTCATACCGCAAATCTATGGTTATATCAGACAGTAAGAGGGAGGGAACCGTTCTTGATACATTCTGGGATCTGGGTTCAGCCTAAATGGTAAAGAACCCACAGTTTAAAAATGCTTTCATATATCTTGTGAATGGCTGAATCTACATCTTATGCATTAAATATGTACTTCCCTAAGTTCCATTGTCATACTAATCATGATTTTCTTGGACAAGAAACAGGAGGGAAAATATGCGCAAAAATGTTTTAACGCAAACGTTCGACTCGTATATGGTACTGTCGCAAAAAAAAGAGACTTGGCATTGTGAACAGAAAGAAAACAATGTCTAAGTTGTTCAGATATTTATTCATTTCCTCTTATAATTCATTGTATTGGAGGCAATTTCTCGTCATATTTCGGTCCTAAATCGTGGCCATTTTCACTGTTAATACGTGCGTGCAATTGTATACAATATTCCTGTGAACATTGATGAATACTTGTTTTCAAACTGCGACGTGATGTTGATTTGATGACTAAGAAGGATTTATGCATTTTGACCAAATTGCAATGCATTCAGAGAGGCAGTTTCAGTGAATAAGTACGCAAAATAATAGTACATAGTTGAAAGTTGATTGGTTAATTGTATTTTGTTCACTGAACTAAATACAACTGGAATGCTGACCCGAAATGCGAAGTTGGGCGAGTCTTCGTGGAAATATCTATCCTTCCAATTCTATTTAATTCAATGATCCCATTTCATTATCAGTGAAGTGACGATTGCAAAATATTTACTCTGACCACGCTCTCTGGTGAAGGGCTCTCAAAATTCGCCAATAAATCTGATCTGAAAGTAACACTGGAATGTGCAACAGTTCTGCGGATAATGTACCCGGAAGTCGACAATCACCTGGAAATTAGCCCATAACGTTTGGACGCATTATGGAATAAACTGAGGTAATAAAGATTTTCCCCCCCACTTTCGTTATCCCCTTTGTTGGGTTTTTAGCAAATATTCGAAACTAAATTATCTGAGTTTACATCAGTTTTATTTCAAACGCTTTGTTTTTATCACCAATGAACAATCTGCTGCGCTATCCAGTTTTAATTTCAGATCAGTGGACCTAACTCAACAATTGTCCCAGTCAGGGGTTGCTGAAAAAATTAATATTCTAAAAGTATGTTAGTATTTACAAAATATAGAATTATCGTTGTTATAGGTCCGTTATTGTCGACGAAGCAGTTTTTGTTCGCGGCCGAGGTTCGTCCTTTCCGAGATTATCAAAGCCCTTAGCTGTCTCCGACTCCGGGGTTAGTCCAGTTGGGGTCATGGATTCATCGGTAGAGCTGCTGTTCTTTTGAGCCCGCGGTCGAGGACGGATATTTTTCCCGCCATTTAGCTCAAGTAGCAGTCCAGTTTTGGGTGACCGCGAGAGATCACGGTTCGAGCTCGATGACGGAGGGGGCGGAAGTTTTGCCACCGGAAGTTGTGATTCGATATCGGGCATGGAATACCGCTGATCATTACCTCGAGACTCCGCGGGCGACTTCGTTCTGATCTCCTGACTGCTAAGGTTTCTTGGTAATGAATCAGACGACTTGCTTTTTAATGCGTTTTTAGTCGCCCTTGTGGCGCGATCGTATTTCATAGTTCGTGAACCTTCGGTGGCCCTTCTGGTGTTCAGCAACGGCGCAGTGGCGTTCAGCAACGGCGCGGTGCTTCGCGTCGTCTCGGTTTCGGCGAAGACGGAGGATTCCGAGTCGATCCTCTTATAGTAAACGCCGTCGACGTCCGGCTGGCTGGCGGACTTGGACCATGGTCGCCGTCCTAGGGATTGCGTGCGATGTTTTTCCGAGAGAGGAGAAAAATTAAATAATCCGTCGCTACCCGACCCAGTCTCATCGCTTGAAATCGAACTGCTCTTCCACATGCTGCCCGCGCGATATCCAGTAAGGACTGGTTCGGCTTTATGTTTGGTGAAGGAAATAGCTCGTTTCTTCCGTCCACCCTGTTCTTCCAATATGGCCTCCTCCCGGGCGATTGCTATCGATTTGACGTCAATGCCAGTGATGGCGACCATGAGAAGGCCAATGTGACACATCGCGAGATCACAGCGCTTCCTGGAGGATCTACTGCGCAGACGAGCCAAGGTTGAAGTGCTGCCCACATCTGACATGCTCGAAGCGCTGTCGTCATCCGGATCTGAACAGCGGTAAAAAAAAATTGTTTTCACGCGCGAAAAAGTACCTATCATACAGGGGGGGGGGGTGAGGCGAATCAACTTCCATGTCGTAAGTTCTCTCAAATGAAGACGCCCCAAATTCTTAACACCTGTCTATGAAATAAGCCCGTTGGTTAGGGGGCTTAAATATATCAGAACTCTATTATTGAAAACAGTTCTGATAATCTATCCTGAATGCACGAGAAATGCAATTAGACTTCCTTACCTAGATTTCCCGTACTTGCCCAGGCGCTCATGCCGTTGGACGAGTTCGAGTCGAGGTTTGGGGCAGAGGTGCTTCGATGTTGATGATTAATCTTGGGAGATTTCGACTTTGGAGTCGTCGTCTTTGATTTGTCTTTCTGAGTTACCGAGCTGGGACCCCATGTTCTGATCTTCTTCTTCGGCATGTGATTGACTTGTGGACCGACGGGCTCCTCGACTTTGTCATCTGAGAAAGGAAAGAAGAATGCATTAGACTGGTCAGGCACTCATTTGTATTCTCTATTCTTGGTTTGCGTATGACGTCATTGGTCGCACTTCTATTACGTTGTCTAAAGCAAATAATATATTGCAATGCGATCCTTCGAATTGAAAGGGGGAAGGGGGTATCCTATACCCTGTTGCCCCCGCCGATAGTAACCAAGGGGGTGAGCCTTTGCCCTCCAGTCCTCGCATTCATAAACAATGTAATCAGTATCGTAAAACGAAAACGTGAAACGAAACTTACAGGAGAAAATCCTTAAGCGACTTAGATTCGGTGAATAGACGGGCGAGTTTGGTAGTGATTCTCCATTGTTACCGTCCGTGGCAGTAGTAGCCTGCACGCCCACGATGTGCTGGAATCCTAAGAATAGAAAAAATTCGGGTGACTCCTTAAAAATCGACATTCCGAAATAAAGCAACTGGGCAAATGAATCCGTGGTATTCAGTATCTATTTCAAATTCATCAACAGACTAAAGTTACTCAGAATAGTTGGTCCAATGATGCATTTCCCATAAAATGGAAAACAGAACCATTCTTGTTTTGCAACGAGCGATAGGTTCTTACCTATAGGGTCGCTGATTTTATTTCGAAGAATCTTTTCCCGTCCAGACCACCTCAATTTCATTCGAAAGAATTTCCCTTTTCGTTTTCTTGGCGATGGTTTTTGATTTTGCTTCTATAATGAAAGTCAAGAGTTTTCTCTTTTAGCTGGTTGTTCCTTTCTTTCGACAGTCATAGAAATTTCGCTTTTTCTGTTATCAGGAATAAAAAACGAACAAACTGAACCTGTATGATTATATTTAACTCCCGTTCCAGTAAATTCATTTCTCTTTCTTGTAGTTCTTTCTCTCTCTTCTTCAAAACTTCAGCGTGATTTTCGTTGGCGTGTTGCATCTTTGCAAGTTCTTCTTCTCTAGAAGAGAGCTCCTAGAAACGCAAACAAACAAACAAACACGGTTATTTTGAATGAACGAGCTTTATCGACAAAACACTGTGAGGTTTGGAAACTACTTTTAAAGCAAAGCGCGTTGAACAAAAGATGAGTAATTTCTAAATTGAAAGGGATATATTTTTGTCTCAAACACTGACTGTAGAGATATTAAATGGCCCAGTTCAGCAATTAAAACGGTGGGTTAAATTGCCTTGTCAGTGACTTCAAACTTTGCTATCAAATCAAGCAATTTCCTATTACCAATGCATGTTTATACTTTTGCAATGAAACCTGCGAACATCAGAATAAATTTTACAAACAATTTTGACCTCGAAGGGATTTTAACTCCTTTTTTTATTATAACCATTCAGCATTTGACAGTCTTTAGCAAGATAATCAGGGCAAAAGGGAAAGCTAAATTGTTAAACAATGGTGTAAGTCGACATGTGTTGTATATATATATATATATATATATATATATATATATATATATATATATATATATATATATATATATATATATATATATATATATATATATATATATATATATGTTCAAAGACGATTTTAGCTGTTTCAGCAATCTTACGAGACAGGCATCATCGCACGTAAGGTTGTTTGTCAATTATTGATTACTTTTACGCTAATCAAATAGCCTATAAATTGTTCATATATTCGAAGGCGTCATAATAGCGAAGACTGTCGGCGTTTAAGTACGACTAATGAACCGAAATGGATTTGGTTTTGGTCTTGTTATACGAGAAAAGTAATAAGCCTTAAAGTTCTTGCCTAAATATATGAATATTTGTAGATGACCGCGTGCTGTAAATATGGTTCCTAATTCCTTGGTCATTCAACGCGGGAAGAGATCCTCTCGTAAGCAGATTGTAACTCGGGCAGTGACTAAGACCCATGCAGAGTTATTATTATTTGGTGCTGAGAGGTTTTAGACAGTCAAAATGACCCTTAACAAGCGTTAGACATTCGGAAACAGAGTGGCACACGAGTTTTTACTTTAAGTATTCTTCATTAGGGCAACTCTTAATAATCGTGATACACAGACATTGTGTCCACATGCTTGGCCATAAACCGCGGTTCATAACTTCCAAAAGGATTTGGAGGCAAAATTCCATAGACTATGCCGTCTTTAAAAGATAACTCGCTTTTCTTCATAAGTATAATGGATGAGCTTCATTTTGAAAAACACTCCATTTTTTTAATACTGGTCAATCAACAATATTCTTTCCTGTATAGTCAAGAGGACCAGCCGTACTTGAACTGACTTATTTCGATGCTAGAATGACTCCAGATTCGAATGATTTAAGATATCACATGATAAAAATATTGTCAGGTGCATTTCAACTCTATTATACTTTAATGAAATTGAATGAAATGGTTACATTTTCCAGCTGGGCGCCATATTTTTATTACGAAACAATAAAAAGTAAATTTGCAGACAATCGATAGATTACTTCTGACCACAAAATTGATAAATTATTTACGAAGCTTTACTTAAAATTAACTCTCTATTTGTTCCCGAATTAACTTAAGCTATCCATTCAAGTTAATTGAAAAATATTCTTCGAATATACGCTCCCTTGTGGAGTGGATAATAGTTTTTTTATTCATTTTAATAGTCTTACAGCGTTGGTAGTTTCCAAATTCAATTTTTTTTACCCTCTCCACAAGAGGGACAGACAGATTACACCTGCCTTATCTTATCGTGTTCTTATGGTCAGAGAAGTCCTTTTCAGAAAAAGGAAGACATTTGGTTCGACGATTTCGTTGAGTGCCATTTGACCGAAAGGTCTGAGCAATTTTCTGCAAAAATCGCAAGTGTAAACGGGTTTTAAGAAAACAAGCCTACCTTCTCTCGTTCCTTTAATTCGGCAAAATTCTGTTTAATTTCAGTCTGCCAATCTTTCTGCATCGTTCGGAATGATTCATGCTCGGTCGCAATGAAATTCGAGTTTTTTATCTCTTCTAAAATTTTAATGATCTTTGAAAATGTCGGCCTCTCGTGAGGATCTTGACTCCAACACACTGCAACAAAACGATCAGGTGGTCACAATCACTATAACCTATACAGCTAAACTCCTCTACTGATGAGTAAAAATTATTTGTCGTTAGTGAGAAATGAAAGCCGGCCGAAGAAGAGAGCCCATTAAGGGCCAAACGTTATTCTCAAAGTAACTTAGAATGCGAACTTGCAAAGACGGTTTTATTTCTTTGGGGATAAAATTGCAAATGTTTAGAGTTAGAAAGGTGTTAATCCTTGACCCTTTAAATATGCCACACCCTATTTCACCGTCTAATAAGTAGCAATAATGAAGTCTGGCCAGGTCGTGGCTGCGAAGGAATTTTCATAGAATAAAAACAAGATGACTAGAAGCCCACTATTTGTTTCCTTACGAAAAAAAACACGGCAATAAACTGACCAGAAGGCGGAGCTGCCACCCAGTGAAGCGTGTTTATTGGCCAAACAATGTCATCAACTAGCTAGGAAGATGGTTGAACGCAATACGACATGCGCGAGACCTCACATCAAAGGCTCCGACTAAAGTAGGCTTTCAGTAATCTAGTTATTCCCGAGTGCCCTACAGTTGGCATTGCAGCCTTGCCCTACCACCACAGATATAAAAAAGTTCTAGTTAAGCTTTAAATATTTGTCTAAGGTTTCGGACGAGCCTTCTGACCGAAATAAGTGGTTTCTGCATACACAACTGGAGTAATATCCAGAATTCGTTTTAATTCGACTATACCTCTCATGAGATCGGCGAATGCTTCTGGGCACGTCGAAGGAATTGGCAGCGTGAGTTTGTTCATTGCAGTGCCATAAGCAATGGCCATGGCCTCGATCCCATGGTACGGAACTTGTCCCGTCAGCAATTCCCAGATTACAACACCATAACTGAAGGGAAAAATTAAAACAAATTCAAAGCCCATTCGCCGGAAAATTTGAGCGTTTGTTTACACAGAAACTGGTGATGTGAAGAGATCATATCTTGCAGTTTCGGAATGCTCGAAATACTTGGAAATTAGGGTTACGCATTCTAGACATTTTAACCATCATTCAACTGCTTTCAGTACAGTTCTTGAAATCGCAATAGTTCTTAGTACACTTGACCTCAAGCACGGCTCACAGGAAATCTCATGGTTAAGCTTTCGAACTCTAGAGGCAATCATCTCGACTCAAAAACTAATCGCACACGGGGGAAACTTGCTTCGCGAGGTGAATTCTCATATAGGCTATCCGTACATAAGAAACCTGCCGAGATAACTACCTTACGAGTACGTTAACACAGCTGATAGCTGACTCAGGTCGTGCATGCACCAGGCTTATATAATTTGTCAAGTGTAACAGCTTTTTACCAGATTAAGATGATCATATATTCATTTTTTTGTTTGGTATAGAGATACTAGTTCGCGTTTTTACACATATTAAACACTTCTGCTCGCATTTCAAACAGTATAATTGCTAACACAACGTCTATTCCTAACAAAAGCATTGTAAATTGGAAGAGGTCTTTCATCTGTAGTGATTGCATGACCAAATAATTCAGAAGAGTGTAAACCACATATTATCCAAGGTCCTCGTGTTTTTCAACAATTTTGATTACTTTACAAATTAGACAAAAGAAAAAACATGGCTTCCACACCCACCTCCATACATCACTGCCTTTCGAAAAAGTCGAGTGTCGAATGACTTCAGGTGCCATCCACGCATAGGTTCCAGCAGCGCTCATTCGTGTCGTGTTCTTGATCTCGCGTGCTAAACCAAAATCCGTGATCTTCAAAACGTTTCCGCTATAGTTATTTTCGTTGATCTTCTTCAGTAGCAGAACTAAACGAGATTTAAGATTACGTTTAGCGATTAATAGGCAAAAATCTTCGGTAGAAAAGTAAATCGGGTCTTGATTTAGCTTGGTGCATTCTTAAAGACAACAATTTTTTGTCCATAGTGATGAGAAAGATCATTTCACTTTAAAGTGATGAGAAAGTTCATTTTCACATCTACCCGGAAAAGAACTTTTTCAATCGCTAAAGAAATCTACCAAAATTTACTTAGGCCAGTATTAATACAGATAGTTCAAGTATTTTTTGGGTAAATCAGAGTTTTATACCAAACTTCGAGTAAAAACCTTTGTAATAAACTCGACAATTTACACTTTTTAAAATTCGCCTTTCCTGTGTCAATTCATATCTTGAATTTCAAGATGGCGTTAACCTTCGGATAGTTTCTTTTTAAACTTAGAGTTTTGAAAAACTCATCGGGAATGAGGAACTTTAAATAGAAGTTTCTGTCATTTGAAAGAACTCGCAGTAGCGGAACATGTTTCACAACTCTTTCTTTGTTTTGATGAAAGTTAAAGTGAATGAAAGTAGTCTTATTGTGCAAATTATGACGTCATAAACTATCAGCGATATATCACCAAAATATTACGCACACCATGCTGATTAGTTTCAGATATTCACTCATTCTTGTGTAAATAACAACGCTTCACGTCACCAGCGTGTCGTGGTTAACAATCAACACAATGTTGCAGACGTTTCAAATCTTTGGGTAACTTGTAATTCCTTGTGTGTCAAACACATGCACTGACATAACTCAGAAACGAAGAACGATTCGTAAAATATGTTCAACCGCTACTTGTTGGGTCCTTACAAATGAAAGAAGCTTTTATAATAAGAAAGCCGGACAACCGGTCCATGACGTGAAAAGCAAGATATATCAAAATAAGGAAGAGGAAGGTTAAGGCAGATTGCTTAATATGGCGTCCATGGAAGTCGCATATTCATGCAAAACAGTGGCGTAGCCAGCATCGGTGGGGGGGGGGGGCATATTCATATATTCATGTTAACAGACTGTAAAGACAATTGATTTGAAAATAAATTGATCCTGCGTATCACTAATATATGAATATACCCACCCCCTCCCCAAATTATCCTGCTGGCTACGCCATTAATGCAAAAAACATTCTCTCGAAAAAAGAATGGTTCAACCAATTGGCTTATATACGAACGTTAAATTTTAAAGCTATTTTAAAAATCTTAAGTATATCTTTGATGCAAAAAACATCATCCCAAAAGGAAGAATGGTTCAACCAATTAGCTTACATACGAACGTTAAATTTTAAAGCTATTTTAAAAATGTTAAGTATCTTTATAAAAAATTACTCCATGTTTGAAAAGACGTAGCAATCTATATCCACGGTACCAAGCCCTATATAATCTCATTCGAATTTCACATGCATCGTTCAAATGGATTAGAATCTCTACGTGCGTGTATAAAAAACGAGAGTGAAAAAAACGTTTTGTCAGAGTAGGATAAAGTCCGTTTGGGTTAAAGGTCGTGTAGTTTTCTGGGTAACATGAAGGACTTAAGCGAAAGTAATTATCAGGATATCAGGACAATGCACGACCCTAATGCTTTGCATAGCGATCTTCTGTAGCCACAACCCATAGCTGGGAATGTTCAATAGTCAATTCGTTGTTTTCAAAAACGTATTCGCAATGTCATTTGGAGTTCTTTGTGCTTTAAAAAAATTTACTCGCTTTTCCAGACAATTCACACGCCCAGTTACTACATTTAAGATCACTTATTCCTTGATGTAACAATAGTAGCCTCGCAATTAGGTCATAAGTGCCTTCACCGGGCGGAAATTGGTTCAATCATGCGTTTCAATCCGTTTGCTGATAATTCAGATAAGGTATATTTTTTGTTAATAGTTAAGTGGCAAATCACGCTGTTAAAGAATAAAGTTGCTATATACTTGTACTTGTTTATGCCGCGGGTGAACTTCTAAAAAGGTTGCATACTTCATTGCAATTGCTACAAAAGTCTACGAGAGTTGGTATGTATTCGATTAGGAACACCCTATTTGCTTGCCAGAAGCACATTCAATCTAGTTCGATCTCAGTAACTTTTGCAAAAGATATTTCATGCGAGTTTAAAATAATAATAACACCTATATGCTTTGACACTAGAAAAGAATTTAAGCACCTCTCGAAGCTTCAACATGCTTGAGCACTGCACGAGTATCTTAATAAACATCAAGGTAACTTTAAAAAGAATAAGCATAAATTCGACATGTGTTGAATGCTTTGTATACGGAGTTATCGAATTTGTATTTTTTACATTCCATAAGAAAGGTTTGTGCCCAACCATAAGTTAAGTAAGAGCAAAGCATTCACGTCCTAGACCCTTGTCCATGACAAGAAAAATCATGTTGCGTTAGACAAAGAAGCAATCAGTACGTGCACTGCAACTCAACAAGTAGAAACCTATAGAAATATTTGCCTGAGCATAAGCCTTCTAATTTTTTAACAGCGAAGCTTTCAAGCATTTTAAAACTATTTCATGAATGTTATTTATTCGCCTTTGCTTACGTAAGTCGTTCAAGTGCACAATAATTAACCCTCACAACATTTTTAATACGTTTTCGCTTTTTGCTCTCTGCGTCGAGCATGAAAGCAATTCCAAGCACGCTTCATACTTCTGGATGTTTCCGAAAATTCTGACGCACTCTTTTAAAGAGGCTTTAATCCTAAGTTACTGAGTGAAACCTCTTGACTCGCTGCACAGGATAGGGCATACACCTGCAATTTTGCATGTATCAAACATTAGTATGAATTTAAAACCAGAAAAGCTCAATGAATTACACGCATTCTTTGAGTATGTTTTCCCATATTTTGAAAATTAAATCTCTCTCTATTAATACAACAATAGTTTTGATAGCACAATATTACCAATAGACACCCTACAGAAAAATTTCAATGCATGTTGCAGTATAATATTTTTTTATGCATTGTGTATTTTTTATTGTCTAATTAACTCGAGATAAATTGCATGCATTCTTGCATAAATGGACTTAACCATGATGCCTCCAAACATAACAGCTGAAATATGTGAAGTGAATTAAACATATGATAGAGGTTTATTGTCTGGTTATATGCATAGCTAATTTGAAAAAAGGAAAATTAAATGCTCATTCTATGCAGCATACTAAACACAAATATTATATTTATCTGAGAGTAGATCCACCCCCATATTTTCGATGCACTACACAAGACATAATGTGGGTGTTATGTGGAATGTTCATATCTAAAAGCAGTGGGGGTAAAGCGCTACCAAAGAAGCTGTTGGGGATATTATTGATATAATGAATAAACAATATATGATATTTGATAATCAACATTTTTGTGGGGGAAAATCAGATAAAATTTTTCTGGAAAGCATGATTCACCTAAGTGAACCTACTCTCAATATGTCTATTCAGGCTCTCTCTCATTACTATTGCATGGATATTTTAATGCTGATTTTATTACTTGCAAAAGGAAAGGTCATAATTGCATATGAAAACCAAAGTTCACAAGCATAAGGAAATTGAGCATTTTCATTCCTCTGTCTATATATTAACCATGTCATGGTGTGAACCAGATTTCTCTCTGTCATATAGCCTAAGTTTGTTTGGTTGATAACCAAGCTTGCCAGGAAAATTAGTAACATCAAAGTAAAAAATCAAAACAGAGTAATTAAATATTGTTAGAATGAAAAAATTTGCCTCCAGACCACAAATTTACAATGCCATGTGTGGGCAGTGCTTGAACATTACTGAAGTGCATTGGCAGTTAATTAGCTGATGGCATTGTTTACTTTTCCTCAGGAAAATTATTTTAATTTGTACCAAGTTAGCAAGGACAAATTTATGCATTATTTTTTTTCCTTAAGACAGTTTTTGACTGTATATAAAACATGTCTAGTCTTAGAGGAATGGGATCAAAAGTTATGAAAGAGGCTGAACTGCTCCTTTCATAACTTTCATGGCCTCATGAGCCTGCAAGAACTATTTGCTTTAGGTTAGGTGCAAAATTGCCATAGCGCACAAGTGTGCCTTAGTTATACAAGCCTAGACTAGTTTTCCTACTATATCACTGGCACCATTGTTTGCTAATCCTATCCAATTTGCTCCCATCTCCTTAGAGACAGCAAATGCCTCAAAGAGCAAGTTGTCTGACAAAGTAGGTAAATAACACAAAAGTAATTATATAATTGTTTAGTTGTTCACTCAGAAGTTCCTCATAGACTAATTTTCACAGCAAACATGCCCAAACCGGGTGGCTTAAAGGTATTAAAATCCCTCTATTTTAGTTTCACTAAATATGCCAAGGAAATACTTTATAGATATTATTAGTTGCTAGGAAATATATTGATAAACGCAACATAGCTGATAGCTGATACTATGGCCTACCACTTCATGTTTGCTCAACCTTGAACGAAAAAACTAAGTTTGCCAAAACTTTGCTTTTAGAATTGATTGCAAAACACAAGGCGAAATACAGCTAGACAGCAAGGTAAACTAAATCAGATTCATCATTTATATAGAAAACCTCAACTTATTTGCACAGTGAATCGTGCTAATCGCCCAGAAAGCCTTCCTAATGTAATTAACAATTAAGAGCGAAAAGTGATGTGAAATCGTGAAACATTAGCCTCTGCGAGTGGCTGTCACGGACACTTGTAAAGGGACGACTAATATCTATAAGTGTTCCTGATTTCTCGGACTATTAATGCATTTGAGTCGATAAACTGCCATCTCGCTTCTCAATAGAAAAGTAATTTGGTGCTTTTAAATACTTAAGAACACTCGCGGGGTTTCTGAATATTACTAAATATATTTAGGAAGTTGAGATGACCTTGAAAAACATACTTTCCTGGCAAAAAGTCGGGGAAAATCGAAGCGTCGCCACATTTGCTGCTCAATATTTGTGAATTTTTTAAGGAAATATATGGAAGGCAGCAAATTAAGTGTCAATTTCAAATTAGAATGTTTCATTCGAAAATCAGATTATTCGATTTTGATTCGATCCATTCAAGCGTGGGGTAGATTTTGAAACATTTAAAATCAAGGTCAAAAGTTGGCAAAGTTTTCAAATGCTTCCTTTTTTTAATTAATTGCAAAAGTTTTGAAGAAGTGCCATAGTATTTTGCCGTGCGACACACATAGCGTGCCTTTTCCTACGCTCATCAAAATAATATAAACTCGCATACGAAATTGCCTGCTAATTGCGTAGGATTTTTTATTAACACTGCTTTGCGTTAAAAGCAATATTAAAAGGCTATTTTTTGTCAAAATAATTTGATATAAGTGGTTTATAAAACCAACCGGTGTATTAAATATTTGTGACACGGGCAAAATGCTACCGACTGTGTGAGTTGGGCATTTTGGAAAAATTTTAATAACAACGGTAGATTGAGGCTTTAAACTTCGGTCAAAGTTGGCCAAAATTATAACAACTGAGGGAACTTACTATTGCCAGATTTCAGATCCCGGTGAATGAGGGGAATCGGGGCTTCGATATGAAGGTAATTCATTCCCCTAGCGAGCTGGATAGCCCAGTCCAGAAGTACTTCAGGCGGAATATTTTTGCCGTGTTGTGACAAAGCCCGACAAAGTGATCCCCCTCGAGCATACTCCATTACCAAACACAAGTTCGGATCTTGCAGACAGACGGCGTACAGATTGATAATATTTAAATGCGATAAAATAGAGAATAACCTAGCCTCTTGCAGCACATTTTCCCGTGTCTTTTCTATCTCCTCGGCCAAATCTTGACGGGCAACTTTAATAGCGACGTCTCGACTCTCGTAGACGCCTCGATAAACTTTCCCAAAACCACCGACACCGATAACTTCGGTGAGTTCGATGAGCGAGAAATCGACTTGTAACGGTAGCCTGGAGTCCTCGGTTTGTTCTGTTATTATAGCATCATTTGTGCCTACATAGTTCGACGGGAATAACCCTATTTGTGCACTCTTCGAGCTGACAACTCTTCCAACCCACCAACCTTCATCACCGCTAACTTCTTGGTCCCTGCTTAAAATCTCGATTCGATCGCCAGCTTTGAACGTCAATTCGTCTAAATCGTCGGCTTCATAGTCATACAAGGCTGTACAAAACATCGGCTCTTTTGGCGAGATCTCTGGCGAGCCAGAATTTCGACGATTCGCTGTGTTATTATCCATGGTTGGCGATCCAAGCCCAGAGTCAGTCGATTCAGGCATTGGCAAAAATTTCGCTCATTTGACGGGAAGTTCCCGCTTAAACTTACCACAAACGCCGGGAAACCGAATGAAAAACGGCCTTCGAAGCTTCCCTATGTGTCAAATCATGTTCGGCGTTCCAATACACGAAATATTTTCACAGTATTCTTCAATTCGGAACCAAAACACGAAATTTCGACATATTTTTGTTAATTTCTAGCCAGCCTGTACACAATAAGCCAGCTGTCACGTGACCTAGACGGCTCGTGATTGGCGGGAGACGCTCAAGGATGTTGAGAACTGCGAAGTTACGGGGGGGCAGGGGGTATGCGTGATTGTGTGAAAATTTAATTTGATGTTTTTGTCCAAAGGTGTTTATTGATTGTCATTAGCAATTTAAATGTATAAGAAGCATTCTATATTACCAGTTCTAGACAATATAGCGTAGAATTTATGAAGCTATATGACGAAACTTTGCTGCGCACGCGTGATATTGTGATGACGCCATACAGTCCACAAAGTTGCATTTGTAAATCTCAGTCTCAGACTTAACATTTTTTTATTCTCAATGACTGTCTTGAAACAATTTTTTACAAACCCGAACTAAATATAGAATAAGGGCCTGGGACAATTGCCTGAGCCGAGCTATTCAATGAAAATCTTTCTCCGGCCACAATAAATGTTTTGATGAATTCAAGACTTTTAAAGTTATTCGAGTTATCCGGGTTAACAAAAAGGACACTCGACAGAATGCGGTGTGAACACTCCGACTTCCTCCTGCCGGTGATTTTGGCAGACTGGGCTCAGATAACAGAGCTGGACGTCATGAAAACACGTTGACATTGGTGTCCAATTTGTCCAGACATCCGTGTTTTCGAAACAACGTGAACTTCGGAACTACCCAAGTTAACCTAACTGGACCTAACCTATCTCTGTGACCACTTGACGTCACATCCAATGTCATCAGTTTCGCGGTCTCGATATCAAATACTCTAATGATTTCATGGGTTTTAAAACTTTCGCGTTTATCTGGCATCTTTCGAAGAACTTCTGTCGGTTTACTGTTGTTTCAAGTCCTTTTGCCAAGCCGCAAACTATTTTTTCAGCAATAACATCTGTTTTGTGCATCATTAGACCGATAAACAAAGACAGGATGCTGCCGAGCGTAGCCGGGGTGTCGCTAGCATTCGCCTTTTACTACGTTGTAAGAACGCGTCAGAGGAAATAAACTTTTCAGTGATGAAAAGCTCATTTTCCAAGAATTTTTTAAGCATATTAGTCACGACGTAAGCCTAGCCCATACAGACTACTTCAATAGTGACAATTTTTGCCGCACCTTTCTGCTATACTGATTAGATCCAGGCCAACGAATTTTTTCTGACGAAGTAGATGAGGTCAGGTCTGGGCTGAGCCCAGAGGCAGTGCTTGTTTGTAGTCTCAAGACAAAACAAGTCAGAGGTCACTGTAATCGAGGCCTCTCATTTTCCAAAAATGGGCATTTTAGGCATGAAATAAACAGCCGCAAATCTCTAGAAACTTGAGAGTTCTTTAACGGGTAAGACGAAATATATCCGAATAATACGATCTTCTGTAATGTAATCAATCCTTCGACTGTGTATGCCGTGACGAAACTCACGTGGAACAAATTAGGCGGTATGACTGCAACTCATGCAACAACTAAATTGAAGAGTTAGACAGATGTATATGAATAATTAAGAGGCATTGAAGAATTAGCAAAGAATTAGCAATGAATTAATCATATTGCTAAATATACTCAAATGAAGCTATCGGTTGCAACTGAATTCTTTAACGGTTAAATAATATACGTGTGCCAAAAAATTCCAAAACTTATGCACTGAAGAAGTGTATTGGAAAATGGAAAAGTATTATTTATTGAGCATACATATAGCAAACTTTTCTACTTAGCACATTTTGACTGAATGATATTGTAAAAGATTGGAACTATAAAACCCTACGAAATTTGTATTTGAATAATTAACACGTTCGTAAGAAACTGCGAGTTGAGTTGTTGTATCGATACGCTGACTCGATTGGTTATCATTATCAACCATTGTCTCTGTGTGGTTTTACACAGGACAACAGATTTGATGTTCACCAGGTACTGGCTGAATCTCCAACTAATCTTGGCACTGATCTTAATCCGATCTTTATCGAACCGTAATCCTGACTTGATTCTTACCAAATCTTGACTTCATTAAAATGTTGACCTGATTTTGTTGTATTTTGACTTGATACTAACATTATCTTGACGAACTGACTTGACTAGCCTAATCCTAAATGAAATTCCCGCTGTAAGCTCTAAATTGTCCGATCTTGCAGCAAGAGAAGAGCCTACCATCACCCTGCTCATCAGTAAACTCTAAAATGAAAACCACGTTGTGCTTTTAAATCTTTTTTAATCCAAAGAAATTCGGCCCTGGACGTCACAAATTCTGTACACGTCTCTCGGCGTTTCAATCTCATGCTTCATAGACATACGTTCTCGGTTCTCACTCCAGATATCCGCAGCTCATTGGAGCCGCATCCGCAACATTCAGCATATATACAATACACAACATAACTCAGTCCGATTTTGGTCTTTTCGAAGGCGGTTCCGCGGAATTTTCATCCGGTTCCGGATCAGTTTTAATCTCGAGATTATCTTTAAAATTACACGAATTCGTATCAACACGATTTCCATCCGGGTTAGCGTATGACGGTCCATCGGATGTGATTGATTTCCTATCTGTTACATCTCGTTTACCAGGATTAGTTGGATTAACTGGATTCGGAGCTAGATTGGGATTAACAGCGGGACATTCCCCGTTATCTACCTTGATCCCGGTCAAGAGATAACCTCCGGTGCCGTCCATCATTATGTGTGGGTGTGTACGCATTGACAAAACCTATAAAGAGAGAGGAGAAAGATGACACCGGTACTTGAGGGGGTTGGTCAGCCTTGGGGCCCGAAAATATATGTGTGTTGGTCAATTTCTGCGACTCTGAGCAGTTTGAGGCACAATATGGTTCTGAAAACATGGAAGATTGATGGTAAAATACTGTACACAATACCCTGGTTTTCTAACACGTTCCATGTTAAATCGAGTCGAGTTTCATAAAGAAAATACTGATCTTGAAAAATATAGTTTTCACTATCACTTTTAAAGTATTTTAGAACGTACAACGTTGAAACAGCACACAACGAGACCGGAATATGATTGTGATTTCCTGACATTTATCTTCTCTCGTCGGCAAATTCATCGTCGTAAACATTTGCAGGATTATAGGACGAGTGAGAAAATCTCATTATATCGCATACCTGATAAGAGCGCCACCAGGTATCAGTTAAATCGAGATTTATCGCACTTTTTGTCTCCTTCAAAGCATCCAAGCATTCACTTAAAACCTATAAAGAACACACGGAATAGCTTTTTTGCTTAAAGAGCATAAGTATATATAATGGTCTCTATATTGTGGTTCTCTTGAGCTATGAGAAGGTTTGGAAAAATCTCAGACCATCAAGAGAGATGATTGGGATTTGCACTGGACAATGTAGTTTCGGTCGTTCTGTCATTACCTCTTTGTACTGACTGTACACAACAAAGGGTCTAGATGGTGCTAAAAACTCGATAAGTCTTAGCACAGCTGTTTTTGCGCGAAACTTGGTTGCGATGATTAAACTATATCAGGAAAAGATAACGAAAAAAATTAGCCGACGAGGTCAAGCATTTGGTTTCGTTGTCGAGTTTCCCACCTATCAAAAGGTACGCTTTTCAACAGTTTTAAAGATCTATTGTCCTCGTCAATCCTGTTAATTTTGCGTGTGAGTTTTTCCTAAAAATAAAGTGGGAAAGATTTGCTTTACAGACGATTTAAAAAATAATAACAAAGCTTTTGTCGTCTCTAGAAACTACGACTTGATCGCAAAGCCAGGTAGATTAGCTTAATTTTCGAGATAAAAAATCGACAGGTGGGAGGTATTCTTTTATTAATGTAGCTACTTTTTCAGTCAATGGTTTATGATAAGTTCCTTTTCGGCTTCGTCTTTGAGGCGCGGGTGGGTTTTCCTCTTTTGCTGTGGAACTTTCTTCTTTTCTCTCGCTCGTTTGCTCTGCTATTTCAGTTGTTCCATCTGACACTGAATCCATTTCTTCATCAAATTCAGGTGGAACATCTAGAAATCGAAAATAAATTCAATGTGTAAATGTTAGCGAAAAACACTTCACTTTTTCGCTATATTGTTTACATAGCACATTAATTAAAAAAAAAATCGCCTTAAATTCATGCGATCTTTTTTTACCTTCTGTTTCCAGACTTTGAAGACGATTGATTTTTGTTATCGGAATGCCACTCAGAATGCCCATTTCATTTACGCCAAGATCAAAGTGTGGTAACAGCAGCCTAAACGAAACGAAGGTTACAAATATACTGTAATTTGGTGAACTGAATTTCATTGAAACCGTATACGTATAGAACAGCCATTACAGTTTACCGCAGTATTAAAATTCATTGTCAAATAAACAGCAGCTAAAACAATATACTTTAGAATTTTTCTCTCACCTTATCGGAAAGTCCCCGTGGTAAAGTTGAACAACATTTCCAAGTCCTATCAAATCAGTCGCACACAATGGAATAGATCAATACATGCTTTACCCACAGATGGTATTACCTACTTATTGCAATTCAATTTCCCCGTTGCTGTTAAAAAAATAATTTTTAGTACCTCCCATACGATGTAAAATGGCGCCGGCCAAAAAGCTCTGCGTCGTTTCCATGAGCAAAACGTTTACATTGCTTCGAATATTAGCCATGGTTAAGATTTGAGATACCGTGTCCATACGTAGGTCTCTATTTAATTTAATAAGAGATTTAGTAAGTGCGTCAGACCTATAAGTCGTTACAGAATAGAAGACTTAATTCATGTCTACGAAAAAAATTCGGTTTAAATTGAATGGAATCGGTAAAAATGCTTCCTTGTTCCTTTTAACTTGCGGCGAGTTGTTTACGTTCTAATTTTCAAAATTATTTCTTTAGAATAAAATAAAGTAACAATTGTGCATCGTGGAACATTCCGAAATGTAACAAAATCATTCCAATATGTAACAAAAGCAATTGTCGCAATCACTGTATCAAAATTGTAGCAGGCGTGAGAAAATCAATTAGAACTTTTTTCGTGCGAAAAAGAACGTTTTTCGTGGGAAAAGAGCTTCTCCACCGGAAAGAACTTTTTCGTGGGAAAAACTTCATTTAAAACGCTTTGCGCGAGGAAATAAAGAAGAAATTAATCAAAATACGGGCTTAAATTACCAAAGGCTGGTTTTCAGGCTCATTTACCATTCAGGCTCAATAGATTATGCTTTTATTAGCTGTGCAACTAACTTACAAGATCTTTGAAGGACCATTTGCGTAAATCATTTCGCACACCAGGCGAAGCGTGGGTTTCAGAATTGTGATTTGTAAGAGATGCCTAAATATATACACTGAAAAAATTAGGATGGACCCAGGGCCGGATTAACCTTTCGCGGGGCCCGTGGCATTTTTTCAGTGCGGGGCCCCTCAATCCCGTAAAGCAACAAAGCCTTTACTCACCGGCCACAGAATTTTTGGGGCTCGGGTAAAATTCTCTTTAGGGGAGTAAAATCCGCAAAAAAATAGCAATTTGTGCTACTGTAGCGAGATAATGCATGACCAGAACATTGGTGTAGAAAATTCAATTTTGGGGGCTATAGCAGTGTTAGGGGGGTTTGGAGAGAGAAAATTTTGAGTTTTAGAGTGCAGCAAATTCGATTTCATGCGTTTTGGGGGTGAGATTTCCGCAAAATCGAGTATAATATTACATTACCTAAACTATAAACCACCTAAGACGTTTTCTGAAAGAGGACTATATATTCCAACAACATGCAGTTTAATTTTATTCTTGTAGGTTTTGGAGGACCCTTACAACCCTGGGCTCAGGGCTAATTTCCCCCTTTGACCACCCCTCTGGGTGGCTCTGCCTTTACTTGAAGTTTTAAATTTCTAAATTTTCCCATTACCCTAAAATTTTCTTGGGAGAATCTGGTTGCAAGGGTGCCTAATTGGGCCTCGACTTTTGATTTCTAAGGCTTCGCGTTATTTATTTCGCTCCGATAGCTTAATATAAGCTTTAAAGGCATTTTTATTTATTTATTCGCCTCGCTTTTTGGAGTCACTTTATTTTATTTTGTGGCCATGAAGCTTTGTGGCCCTTTTTCCGTCTCCCACGCACCGAAAAAAAATTGAACTGAGTAAAGCGCGGGGCCCCCAAAACCGCGGGGCCCGTGGCATATGCCGCTTCTGCCATATGGTTAATCCGGCCCTGGATGGACCACAAAAATTGTTTTGATTGCTACAATGCATTACCGTTTCCTTTTCTTTTTTAAGTATTTTTCCTGAGAAAATTCTGTTTTCTTTTTAAATGACTCACTATTTTCAACTAACTGTTCAATGATGACCTGGTAAAAATGAACAGACAATACAGTTTGTAATAGATAATGGTCCATGGGTAAAGGTCCATTAGTAAATTAAATCTCACAGCAAATATCTACCTCCCCTTTTACACCCTGTTCTTTCAGGTCCATGATAGCATCTTTGGTTAATTTCTGAGAGCTTCCATCATCATTTAAAAATTGGTTATTCTCACCTTTAATTTGGAAAGAATTTGTTCATTAACTTAAGTCCGCTCTTGGTAAGCATCAATTATTGTTTGATAGAATTTCGTGTGAATACCACGAGAGGAGATTCCCATAGGTAGTCCATAGGTAGTTCATATGTTACCTGAACTGGTGGTAGGTTTAAGTGGTTGATCACTGCAGGCAACAGGAGGGACAATGAGTTGACCCTTTTTCCCAACATCAAATGTCGTTCCATATTTACAGCCAATTGCATTATCCAGATAAAAATTTAGCTTCTGCACATTCACCTTTCTAAATAAGTTTTTAAAAAATTTCACTAGATGGAGAGATAGAAATGGGCAAACGAGTTTTTTATATAAAGAATTTCTGTATATATGACATCATGCACGTGCATCTATGGCCATGCTGCCAGAGTATTTGACATTTTTTACTTTCTACGATGAACAACTTCGCTTCTCATATAAGTTCCATTTTGAATAATAACTCTGTTGCCTTCTTCAATCGTCGCTTCACTCATGATCTAAAATCGGGTTCTTATCTGACACACAAATAGCAGTACGAAATGTTTGTAAACATTAGAATAAATGTGGCAAGAAACTGCTGGCAGACCACCCCCCTGAAAGAGATAGAAAAATGGAAAAATAAACGAAATTTTAAAGAAATTGAGGAGGGTAAAGAATGTGGGGAGGATTTAAATGCAGGCGCGTTTTTTTCAATCTGGACGAAGTAATTTTGGCGGTAATAGAATTTAAAGGGACCTTATGCCAGTAAACATTATGTGAATTTTTATTTTTTGGCTGCTTGTCTAATAGTCTTTAAATGCAAGACGAAAAATTGTTTTCTGTTTGTCCTTTGCTTCTCCCACAATGCAAAGATGGTCTGACATACGATGGTTTCATTGAAATTAACGTAGGTTCAAATTTCAATCTATTCTCGTGTTTTCCCACACTACATACGTTGTTAAGTTTAGGCGAGGCGTGTGAAACAAGATTTGTATGTGATATTTAGGGGCAAACATTCAGATTGTCTATAGTGCGGCCAAATTTGGAATCATTAAAAGGGGCTAGGTATGTGCATTAATTTCAATATTGGTTATCTTAAAATCTACCAAACCCAAAGTGAATTCCTTCCTTTTCTATAGCTACATTAACAAGTGCCAGATTTTGAATAGAGTACCCCTTGGCCCTTGCCCTTTAGAGTTTAGAGGACAATTGCAATAACAGAGAATGATTATGCATACACATAGGTCATTGACAGTCTCCATTTTTGTCATGCTTTCTAGACAATCATTGTCCAGTATTATCTTGAAACTTGAGCAAATGTCAAATGCTAAACTTTCTTTTTTAACAGTGTCAGTTGTAGCTGGAGATTATGGAACATTTTACATCATTATCAGGATGTTATTAAACAGGTTAACTACAAATTTGTCCTCTAATTTTTACCTATATCTTTTGAGTTTTGACCGATACATATATTTTCAGAAATATGATATAAACCTGTCACAATTACTATCTTTTAGAGATTACATCAGAGCGAAAGTCTTGAGTCATTTATTGTGGAGTTCAAAAACCTTGCGGTAGGTTAATTGCAACCCATTCACCATCATTGTGTTGGTGTCAGACAGTAGGGTGCCCCCTAATTAGATGGTAGACTGACACAGAAAAACATCCTGGTGAAAAAGTGATCGATTTATATTCAATTGTATGTCGAGAACTTATTACCATTAGGTGAAATAGCCTTAAGTGAGATAGCAAGCTAGCGTGGTAAGCTTTGTAGAATCCCTAAAAAATCATTTGGCATTTCTAGGAAAATTTGGTAAAATGTAAGGAAGATGATATTGGAATGCAATCATTGCCTCTTGACACCTACTCCTTGCTGACCAATGAATTGGAGCATATTGGTTGGGACAAGTATGCACATTTTAGTTTAGTATGAGATAAAAAAATTCGATCTCTATACACATTGTACGTATTTTGCTCTCTGTACTAAATTATCTATTACCCGTTGAAAATGCACCACTACACCAGTTAGCATTGATTAAAGTCAATGAACAAACAATATTAACCTTTTCAACCTAATTTTTAGACTGGTGTTCATCAATGAATCATTTGATGTGATTAAGCTGAGAACAAGGTAAATTAATAGTAATCACAAGGTGCGAATCTTCTTATTTAAAAAAAATGAAAAAAAATTGAGCCAATATCTTTTAACCATAGTGATACAAAAGGACGAGAACATATTTTAACAGTGCATATTCCATCTAAGGTAGGCAGCCCGGTTAGTTGTCTTTTTCCCTCGAACAGTATGTTTGCATATGTTTACATATATCTAATTTATCTGCCTCATGTTGATTGTTGACTTCTGCTAAAAACACATTAAGAATTAAGATCATAATCTTTGTATGTTCACAGTATCCCCAAGTTGTACCAAAATGTACCGCTGATGTTCCCGCTACATTTCATTTCAAAGGATCCAGTACAGCAGAGGTAAGCCCATATGGTGGTATCTGTGTTTAAAACTATGGCACTATGGTAATAACTCTGGTTGATTTATTGGGTACAGGAGGGGCTATGGGCTAACCATATCCTAGCTCTATCCTAAGAGATCTAACTAGCTTTGATAATTTATCAGTTAGTCAAGTTAGTTGAGAGTCAAGTTGTTCTAAAATTTCTAGTCTGACCTGTTTTCTAAAAGTTTATTCACAGAAGGAACGTAGGTAAAAAAACCCTGGCTTGCGAAGTTGTACAGACGTTAGACCTGAATGAATTCTTATGCCTTTAGGACAATATGTTGGAATCTATTTATAACGAATTTTCCAAGGTAGTAACTTTTTAGTATTTTAAAAACGCCATTCGCCTATACCCTGGAGAATTTCAATGAGAACTTGTTACGGTACCTACAGGTTGTTTTATCTTACGATGTATTTTGGAATGTCATGGATGAAATAGATCAGAATTGCTGGATTCTAGAGCCAGAGAATCCGACCAGAGCCGATGCCTCGAGACGAATTGCATTAGGTAACTAGCTTTCCCAGATATTTGCTGCAGGATCCGCAGTCCAAGGAATCCAGACTTCGGCAGTTTTTGCGATCTTTAGTTGACAAAGATTTTAGCGGATTCGCGAAGATATTATATATCGCATCTTCGCAAGATAATATGATGGTCTTGAAGCGCTCTATCTTACATGTCCAGAACTAAACTGCTTCAGCAAAATGAAATATTCTGCTTAATTTTCTGACTTTCATGATGTTTCTATGCAGGAAACAATACATCACTCCTGGTTAGGATCAATGTACAACATCCTACGACTATGCCCGAGTGTCATCTCATGGGAGCCGACAGTGGTGAGTTTTTTGTTGGGCGACTTGGCTGTCAGTCACAGTTATTGTTGTAATAGATGTTTTAAAAAACGTTTGGGATAACGTTTGAGGGTTTTTTTTCAAAATAACCCTATTGGTTCGTTTACGGTATATTTCTCTTTAGTTGTGATGAAGTTGCGAGAAAATATGAACAAAAATCTGGATCAATGGTAATTTCATTCGTAGGAGATTCACGTATAAACAAAACCAAATGACTGAACTGAAAAAACACTCTGGTTCACTCGGGAATTAAGGCTCCAGTCTATATCTAAAGTGCACCGCTTTGGCCAATAATAATGCACACCATGTTGTGGTTCATAACTATCAACTCATGTCTGTTTCGTATTGTTTATATATTTAGGGACCCAGGAAGATCTGTTCTAGTGAACCTTGAGAACCTTCTAGAAGCTAAATTCCCTTCACGTCAGACAAGCCAGAAAGAGGTATTTTATCATTTTTTTATAGCTACCATAATAACTGGGTACCTCAGTTGACCCGCGTCATGCAGTGCTATCTATTTTCGTACAGTTTTAAGAATAACAGCTATCCCTTGCAAATTTTAACATATTTTGAGATTTCCTTTACTAAATCTTCCATTAAAGCAATCCGGATCAGATATAGCTTTGTAATACGGTATTATATAGATAAAGTTCAATAATACAATTTTATTAAATATCGGAAATTATCCTCTATCAGGATTTCAGTCAAGAATGTGGTATTTGCTATGCATACAGACTTGACAATGCCATTCCAGAGAGTGCGTGCGACGATCCTCGCTGTGGAAAACCTTTTCATACAAATTGTTTATATGAAGTAAGTTCTTGCCATTTGTGAAGGTTAAGCAAGCGAACCTTATATCTGCCCTTATGTAGTATTTGTTTAGGTAATGAAATCTGGTGATAGCCCCCTCCCTCCCCTCCCCCCGCACACATACACAAGTGCCTCAAGAACACAGGGCCCCTGTCATATGTTTTTTCTCATATATATATAGTGGCTTCGATCTCTGCCCTCCAGTAGACAAAGTTTCAACATCATTTTTGGAGAATGTCCTTATTGTAACAAGGTACGTATATTGATCTCTGTAAGAAGTCTGGAGCCTGGGCTGTCACTGGCCAAATGGGCGCACTGGCCAGCCAATCAGAAACATTCTTTGTCCACAAACAACGTTACACACGTCATACCCAGCGATGTGAAATAGTTTGAATTTCGTCTTTTGGTGTGTTTGCGCATGTTTGCTAAACAGTTTTTCCAATTTCCTATACCCGACACTCTATTACATCGATTAGCTTGATGTGTCCACCTTGGCGACCAGGCTTTTAAAAACCGCATGTTATAACATATTGTTCTTTTGCTATGTCCAGCCGATAACTGTGAAGGTCAAATAGAAATTGCAAGAACAAAAGGATGACGACGAGCTTATAAAACGATCTTTTTTTCCAACTGGTACGCGTGAGTGCAAGACGATCGGTCGCAGGATTCATTCTAGTTCGTAACTTCACATTTTTGGCGCCATCCACCTCGTGCAAGCCATAATCTCCCGAAAATATGGAGCTGTATAACATGTAAATCAACTTATATTAAAAGATGTTGCTGATTAATTTACCTAATCGAGATTTCAGACTGTTGAAATTCTGTGTGGAATTATTTTATTCTATTATCCCCATAACTGCCATAAGTAGTACATTCCAAGCTCTAAAGTTTTTTCCTCAAGTAAAACATAGTATAAAAAACTATAAATAGTGTACCTTTGCTGTTCTGCAAGGTTTTCTGCGACCCACAAGGGTAACACCGTAGTGCTAACATCGTTTAATTTCGTTCATCGGCGGTGTTGGAATATGCCCAGTTGTCTTGCGCTCTTGTTAGAAGTTTTAACGCCACCACCAAAACAATTAAATTCCAATAACTTTCCAAATTTTGTGGTAAAAAGAAAATTTTCCAACTCATAAATCTTTCATGCATGTGGCTAGGGGACAATGCCGATACGGTTTCAGATGTGGAAAATGCGGAAAATTTCTAAACTGTCGTGCGGTTTTTCTGTACTCTCGGGCGATTTTTAGTAGGACCCTACAAATTTGTATTTTATTTTCAAAGTTTCTAAAAGTTTCAGAGTTTGCGGCCATAAAACAAACTTAACAAAGTAAATTGTCATCGCAATCCCAAAAGTCGCAATCCCAAAAAGTGGATTCGTGGAAACCTTGGGTAATTCCAGCCCATTCCAGCCCAATGTTCCAGCCTTGCTTGATGGAAATTTCAAATTTGAAAGTGGAAGTCTCCGATTGCGGCGTTTCCGGGGGGGGGAGCTCGAGCTTGAATACGTCGATGGCTACCTTATTAGAAGCCTTCGGCTGGAACGATACTTAAAATGTTTAAATTTAAAAAGATTTATTGGATATTCAAGTAGAATTGGTTATTTATTGCCTGTTATGGCTTCTGTAAAAGTTGCCGTGCGTGTTCGTCCCTTGAACAGAAGGTAGCGAAGTTATTTAGGAAAGAGAAATGATCTCGTAAAAAAGTCTCACTTTGCGAATGTTTATGTTCAATTATTCAGTGATAGATAATGCTTGATCATTGTCATTTTATCTTTAGGGAGAACGAACTCAATGCAAAATGTATCATAAAGATGGAGAATAATAAAACAACAATTTTCGGTTCTCATGTAAGTATCCCACATCCATTTTTCTCAAGAGCTTTTTTCGACCATAATCTATAACTTTATCTGTTTGTATGTACAAAACCATTAGAATTTTCATTTGAAAATTTTCTCAGGGTGAAGATGAGAAGAAAGACTTCACTTTTGATTTCTCCTACTGGTCGTTTAATAGTCGTGATAGACATTTCGCTACACAAGAAAGGGTATGTATAAATAACATAAATATATAAAAACACTACGTGGATTTTATTTTTGACTTCTGCCCTTGAACTTTTAATATTGCATTCAAAAAACGATGATACTGTTTTTTTGGGATCAATATTAAATGCTCGATCAATATCTGATATAGGCAGTTTTATTCAAGTGATATGTCATGGTATATATATGATTTAAAAATGTCAGTTTCTTATTTGTGATGCAATGGACTTTTTATATATAATATATGTACTTTTGAAAGACATCTTCAAAAATTGAAGTCTTTGGCAAATAATTTAGATGTAACATTAAAATATGAACAGAAATCTGTTTAATCTACTTGCAATGCATGGTCAATACCAACCTCAATTTGTGTTTGAATTTTTAAAGATATGTTCAGCAGTGACCTGATTGACTTCTCCTGTAATTACTCCAGATTTACAACAATTTTCAGCCACAGTAATTTAACATCCTCTTAGTGAAATAGAATTACATCATGTAACTCAGATTTTTAAGTCTTAATTCGACATGATTGTGTAATTCATGCGTTGGCAGGACATCAGTATGACATTGTTTAAGGTTACAGGTTCAAATCCTAATTGTCATATCAGGTGGCAATTTCTTTCACAAATTTGGAAATGAGTGGGAAGCATTTTTAGTTCTCTTATTACTGAGTGAATCACTATCAGACAATGTTACCCATATTGGTGACCCATATTTTTACTGCTATCAGCTCCAAACTCCTAAGGTGTTTGGAGCAAAGAGATTGAATACACTGAATTTCTTGTTATATAAGTAGACATATTCTACTAAACTGTTGTATTTGATATTTATCATACTATAAATAATTTGTGCACTCACATTTTACCTAAATGACAAAATGAAATAAAGGTGTTGCATTTTCAGATGTTCTCTGTATTTTTCATAGGTGTTTAAAGATTTGGGAATCGATGTTCTCAACTCAGCCTTTGAGGGCTATAATGCATGTATATTTGCATACGGGCAAACAGGAGCTGGAAAGTCATACAGTATGATGGGATGTGAGGTAGTCAATGTTTAAAAGCAAATGTTTCACTTTTTTCCTGAAAAAAATCAAATCCTTAATTTATTTTTGTGTGAAGTAAAAGTATTACCTGAGAATTTAACATGAGCTTGGTATTCTTGTTTTGTCATAGGGAGCAGAGGGGTTAATTCCAAGGATTTGCGAGGTAGGTCATGCTACAACATGCATTTAGTTTTGTAAAAAATATGCTGGTAGAACAAAGGCTGAATCAGTTAAATGTACTTATCAGTGGTAATTTATTTCAGGGTTTGTATTCGCGAATGGGGGAAGACAACAATGGCAAGACAGAATTTAAAACTGAAGTTAGGTAGGGCTTTCAAGTTTTAAATTAAACTGTCTGTGGTCTAAAAATGAATAGAAAAGGCCTTTGCTCAATAATATCCTTTGCATATGAGATCTGATAACAAGCACCTCAACTGTATCATCCCACAGTTATTTAGAGATTTATAATGAAAAAGTCAGAGACCTACTAAGGCCTGCAAAAGGCAAGGATCAATACAACCTGAAAGTCCGAGAACATCCCAAGGAAGGCCCCTATGTGCAAGGTGAGTATAGAAAAACATTGATGCTAGACAGAAAAAGAAATAAATATTAAACAATTTTCTGTTGTAAGGCAGAATGAATTGCAAAATTTGTGGGTGGAAAAGTGCACTATAGAGAAGCAAATTTGTTAATGATTGAATTTATTCACAATGTAGTTATGATTATTGTTCAATGTAGATTTAACAAAGCATTTAGTTGGTGATTACAATGGTATTGAAAGTCTCATGAACACTGGAAATTCACACAGGTATAAGTTAGTACATAGTATAATACAACATGGGTTGCAGAATGTCCATACATTTGTTTTTTATCCCACATCAATATATATATGTATATCAATGTTTTCATGAATAGGGTGACAGCTGCCACGAATATGAACGATACAAGTAGTCGATCACATGCGATATTTACCCTGGTTTTTACACAGGTATGCTGAATAGCCTTTTTACTGGACTTTTCTGAGCTCTTGTCTGTTGGCAAATAAGTGAGTTCTAAATAATCTATTGTGCTGCTGTTTGTTTTCCAGGCAAAGTTTGACACAGACATGCCCAGTGAAACAGTCAGTAAAATACACTTGGTTGATTTAGCAGGAAGGTGTGTAATAAATTTTAGAGAATACCATAACAATGCATTGTGAAAATTGCGAAGTGGCAGCATCTTGCAGACACAGGTTTTTACAGTTCTAAACTTCTTACTCTAGTGAACGAGCCAGTTCTACTGGTGCAACAGGGGAAAGGTTGAAAGAAGGAGCCAATATAAACAAATCCTTGGTCACTTTGGGGACTGTTATCTCTGCCTTAGGTATGCTTGTTTTACAGTTAGCTCGGGCTTTGCACAGTCAAAGGGTGTCTGAAAATGTGTAAATGAAATAAAAAAACAACTTGAATGCAATGCACACCATAGTTAGTTTGATTAAACTTTTACATGTATGTAGAAAGAAAGAACAGTTATTCTCCATTCTAGGAATACCTTTCTTAAATCATAACAACTAGAAATGAAATAAAATTAGTGTTTGATATTGCATCAGACCACTGTTGGGAATTGAATTATGCCCGTTTTGTGGATATTAAACATCATTGTTACGAGTGTAAGATGAAGAAATATCCTTGGTCTGTATTTTTGTAACAGCTGAACAGTCTGAGAAAGCATCAAGTGGTGGAGGAGGCAAAGATTCTAAAAAGAAAATATTCATCCCGTATCGTAATTCCGTCCTGACGTGGCTGCTCAAAGATAGTTTAGGAGGAAATGCCAAGACCATCATGATAGCAGGTAAAGCATCATATTTCCAGTTCACATGCAATCCAGGTGTTTGCATACCGAGGGCAATCTGTTTTCATTTGCTTCAAATGAAATTAGCTTTACGATGAGTTTAGTCATTTTACCACAAACTATGCAGCAAATTTTAAGAGTGATGTCTCCAATGAGGACCAACGTCTCACGAACTGCAGTAATTCTCATGTGCTTGAATGAAGGGTTTTTTAAAAATTTTGTTAGCAATTTCACCCGCGGATGTCAACTACGCTGAAACACTGAGCACGTTACGTTATGCAAACAGAGCTAAGAATATTGTCAACAAACCAACCGTAAACGAGGTATGCGGCTGTTTAACTTGTTTTGTACCATGCCTACCATTTGTTATTGTTTTCGAAATCGAATCACACAAGAAATTTTTGGATCGCCCTACACCGCCCTACGATTCTGTGTATATCATGTCCTTTCTATCTCGCAATTTTTGCATCTTTTTTAACTCTGTTTCTCCTCTGTTTACCGCAGGACGCCAATGTGCGCCTCATCAGAGAGTTAAGAGCAGAAATTGAGAGCCTCAAAGCTATGCTAAAGAAACAGGGAACGGTATGAAAGTTTTAAACTAAATTAAACTCATCACTGTATTCAGTCAGATGCGTTTTACAAACTGTCTATGTAGAGTTCTATGAAAGTCCTTGAATTGCGTCTTTGAATGTGATGAAATCTCTTTAACTATTATAAGTAATTTGTTCCACTCTCATAGGATGAACAGCACATTCTGTGCACTTTCCAAATGCATTCTGTAGTGAAATTTTTCTGGCTAATAGTTTCAGCTTTAATCATGCAGCGTATGTTATTATTACAGGCTGATGGCATTCCAGGAATAGGTCAAGCCGAAGAGACAAGAATGACGGAACGGCTGCATGAGAATGAGGCTAAGGCCGAAGAACTAACTAGAAACTGGACCAGTAAATGGAAAGAAAGTCATAAAATTATCGAGGTGAGAAGAATATCCCTCCTTCAGTAACTTAAAGGTATAGAGTGGGTGTTGGTAATCTGAGTGACAAATCTGAGGAAAAATGTTCTTAGAACGACGTCGGGTTATCCTGTGTTTGGGCAAATCGATGAAATTGCGAGATTTACAGTGTAACTCATTTGAGGCGGATATTTCTCCATCTGCAAGCAAACTCGCTTGCGCGTCTTTTACATGCATGAAAAGTGTTTTGGGGTAAATGTTTTGAATTTTATTTCGTGCAGGAGCGGGCTTTGGGATTTCGTTACGAAGGTGCTGGAGTGAAAATGGAGTCAGAATTACCTCATTTGGTGTGTATTGATGATGACATTCTCAGCACTGGAATCACAATGTATCACTTGACGGTAAGCCTGTTTTTATTATGTATTGTCCATCTGTTTGGATTAGAAAATATTCTTTGTCAGTTATAAAACCAATGACAATGTTATTTTCCCAGGACGGCAGAACTTATGTCGGTAAAGAAGAGGCTAAGGAGAAACAGGACATAAGTGAGTGTTGATGAAACCAACCTTAATCGCGAACGATATATTTGTTTGTTTGTTTGTTTGTTTGTTTGTTTGTTTGTTTGTTTGTTTGTTTGTTGGTTTGTTTGTTCTCTGAAACGCCGTATGCATACACTCAATTCTATCGTCATCCGTCTTAGTTTTAAACGGGCCAGGAATTGACGCGGAACATTGCATTCTCGAAAGCATCGAGGGTCATGTCACGGTCCATCCATTGTCGGCGCTATGTTTTGTGAATGGCGAAGTTTTAGACCAACAGCGACGGTTAAAGCAGGGTATGTCGTTTGTGTTTGTTGCCTCGTCGTAAATAGGGTTTTACTGTTATGGTATAGGGAATTCATCAATTAGGTGTATATGATTTTAGGAGATGTACTCTTGTTGGGAAAAACAAACACGTTCCGTTACAATCACCCGGGTGAAGCTGCGAAACTTAGGAAAAAACGAATGGTTGGTATATTTTGATTTCGTCGTTTTTTTTAAGATATGGATTTGCTCGAAGATTATACGTTTTGACCTAAGCGGTTTTTGAAAAATAGAAAATTTCGAGTGGTGATAAGAATCAACAAAAACTGATTTAAATTTTGAACTTTTGAACATCAACTCCAATGCACTAAAATGAAATTCTCATAAACTATAAAATGAATCAAATTGCGACAAAAGTTGGTGTGATTTCTTCCTCGTTCGAACGATAAAGAATCTCGATAAAAGAAACTTTTTATAATTTTCAGTTTCAGTCAATGGACAATTTATCAAGTGAGACGGACGAAGTGGAAAAGAAGCCTTCCTATCTTTTGTACAATGCGAGGTAAGACGTTTTTTCTGAGCATTGAAAACACATGAACACAAACGTTTGATCACGCAACGGTACTTTTGTCTAGTTTGGAATTAGAGAGGCAATATATGGAGGAAACCAAAAGAATAGAAGAACAAAGGTTTGTGGACGATCTTGACCTTATAAAGTTGTCCTAGTGGTCACGGCAAAATATGATAAATTTGTGTAATTCTAACAGGACTGAAATGGAACGGCAACAAAGAGAAGCGGCTGAGAGACTTGAGAGGGCAAGGTACGTCAGCTGGAAACGGGAAGGAATAGTCGTTCCCATGAAAATGTTCTCATCAGGTTCAAAAATTGCTACCAGAGACCGCTCATTCTATTACGTATTATTGACGCGTTTTCTCTGTATTTCCAACAAGAGCTAGCGATCCTTTAACTCAATACAAACCCTTAACATTCGTCGTGCAGTCCACACCCAGGTCAGGATCGCGCGGTCCGTTTGGTCAGCACCAACATCCCCTTTTATTTGTGTCTTGTACACATGTAGTCAACCCAGTCCATATGCGTTAATAGACGCGCGAATTTTGTTCGACACGCATTAAAAGATCCTGTTTTTTTCACAAAAAAAACGTGGGTGGCTTTCCCTTACTTCACCAAAGCCGTCCCTAGTCTGGGGGTTCGCTAGCAGTCTCCCATTCTCTTAGGCTTTGTTATGCGAGATCCCCGAAGAGATCCCATCTATGATGCATACACAATGCTATCTATATAGATAACACTCTTTCGTCACCATGATTGTGGGACGACAAGATATATTTAATTTCTGTTTACGAAACGGCACAGTTCTTTATTTCTACGAGGACACATTTTGTGGTAGGTCTTGCCGGAATACATTGACCGGGGGGGGGCGTGCTCTATTGGTTGAAGGTGGCGTCAATGCGCATGCGCAGTGTTACTTACTGGAAGTAATGCACAAAGCTTGTCACCGAAATGAAAAGTGAATGCACAACTTCAGGCAAACCAAAGACAGTGTGTTCCTCCTCATTTCTTAGACAAGACGTAGAAATTCTGCAGGAACAACAACGTCAGGCCGAAGAATTGAAACTGGCCGAGGAAGAGAAACGTCATCTTCAGTTGGAAAGACGAAAGACGGAAATCGAAGAAGAAAAGAAATTGATCGAGGAGTTGAAACAAGAACAAGAGGAGGTGGGTGATTTTCAGACCAGCAGAGCTTTCCGACGTTGTTTAGTTAATCTTGATGTCAATTTAATGTTCTGGGGCCGGTTGTATCAAGCCCGTTTAGCTTAAACGGTGGTTAAGTTCAAAATAGAAAGCAAGTCTATCGTTTTATTCAACAAGCAAACTAAATGTTTTTAGCCTCAAAACAACGATACTGTTTACAACTACATATTCAGTGTATAATATTCAAGTTGACTCATTCATGACTCAGAGTGTTATTTAATTTTGACTTATCCACCGTTCAAGCTAAGCGGGCTTGATATAACCGGCCCCTGCAAAGTAGTTGACCGAATTTAAACAAACAAACAAAGCGTGTTTGAATGTTGTTCATCGTTTTGCAGACGAAACGTCAGGCCAAGCGTGAACTTGAGACGATACGAGCGAACATAGCTGAACAGCAAGACGAGGAGAAGAAGAAACTCGACGCTGAAATGGACAGGCTTGCTTTACTGAAAGAGCAACACGACCTGAACGTTGCTAGCAAGGAACAGGAAATACAGAAGATGAAAGACGAGTTGATGAAAAAGTGGGAAGAGGAGAAAAAAGAAGTGGAAAAACAACGGGAACAGATTGAGGTTTTGAGAAAGGAAATTGAGGAGAAAGAAGAAGCTGTGAAAAGAGCTTCGTCTCCTGAAAGGAACAGGAATGGCAGCAGTTCTACGTCTCTAGCAACATCTGATGAAAGCAACAGTGCTTCGCCTGAGATAAGGTTGGTGAGCTTTGCGGCTTTCCATACTGGCTTTCATTACACTATAACCTTTCGAGACATGCAGTACACATACATACTAACATTGCAGTCTATTTAAACACGTTAACCCTGACAACTCGCATAGAGGCAGTAAATTAAACATACAAACTTACAATATACAAATGTATGATTTTACGACAGCAAACTATTTACATATTTAGTACTGATTTGAATACTATAGCTTTATCTAACTCGTAGAATCTAGTAGTTTTACAGACACAGAGGTATTCAAAACAGTTGCTTCATCATAGCTCTGAAGTCTTTTTCTAAAATTCTGGCTGGGAAATAGAGGTACCAGTTCCGTTCACTCTGGGCTTTTGTAAAATACGTCATTTCCTTTTGCAGCGAAAGTTCGTCATCTCAACTTGAGGCGAAATCTCACGTCGAAGTCTTACGAAACAAACTGAAGCAATTAGACTTGGAGCTTCAACGCCATCGTGTTCTGGCGAAGGGAGAAATAACCGCGGCCAAAGATGCCGTGAGGCGTGTCGAACAGGAGACTTTGCAGGGAATGAGAAGCTTGGCCACTGGAAAGACAGACATTGAGGTGGCATGGAAAAAACTAGACACCATCCAAACAAAACACAAGGTTTTGAATTACTGAAGATATTATGCATATATTTTGATTGGGAATCCATCCCTTTCCGTCATTTTGGTTGATGGTTATGCGTTTATTCTAATGATAGAATTTTCATAAGAAATCAGAGGGCGGTTTTCCATTTACTTTGATAAAAGTGTTTTTCCCTAAACGTGTTCCCATTTTACCAGGTTATCGAGGAAGATCTGTTGTTGAGGATTAATGAAATTCGCGAAAAGCTGGAAAAAGCTGAAGACGTTGAAGAGGCAGACTTGTTGGAAAAGGAAAGAGTGATTATGGAACGACGGGCGGCCAGAATGAAGGTAAGTTGTTTTTGGTTATCGGATCAAGGATATTTCAATCAAACTTTTGCTTTTTCAGTCGATTGAAGAGATGTTTGTGGTTGTTTCTCAAGGTCGAGGAAGCTCGAAGGCAAATCGAAGAGTTGGAAAGCGAGAGTCGGACGTTGGATCTTGGTGAAGCCGACTTCAACAAGAAGAAAGAGATGTTGGAAGGTGAGGCGAAGGAAGAGATAAAGGACATCAGAGAGGAAAAGAAAATCCTTCTTGAATTATTGAGTAAGCATCAGGTCGCTTTAAGTAAAGCCAGCCACATGGTTACCGAGACTAAAGTCAAACTCGAAAATTGTTTGGAGAACGAGCGTATCACGATCGAGCCACAGCGAGAACGCGTCGAACTGTTGGTCAGGAATGAGCTTGGTCCGTTGATCGAGATGGAGGGGAATATCGAGAGGCGCTGTGAGGATTTGGACCGGGATAACAGGGAGAGAAAGAAGAATATTTACAAGCAACGGCGAAGGATAGCCTTACTTGAACGACAGCATAATCAAGCTCTACAGCAGGCCGAGAAGGATACTTTAAATAAAGACGAATTGGAGGAGCTTGAGAACGAGAGAGAAGCGGAAAAGAGCTTGATAAGGAAAGAAAAACTCCGCTTGCTCGATATGGAAAAACGACACAAAGAACAGCAGGAGATAGCCGAGCTTACGATTGGTGAATCCGTGGAGGAGCTTGAGAAGAGAAAGGCGAGAGTGAACGCTATTCTCACACAAGAACGATCCAAGCTCGGTGAAATGGAATCCGTTCACAAGGAAACTTTGGATTTTATCGAACGGGAATTGGAGGAGCGCAGCGGTATTTTGCAGCGGGTTAAGGAGAAAGTGGGCAAGGACAAGAGAACTTTAGCAAAACTCGATGCCAGGCAACAGCGGGTGGCGGCCAAAGCCGCCGAGGAACTCTTCATGATGGCCGAAATTCTAGAGAAAGAGATGACTGCCAAGGGTAAGTTTGATGAGCTGGCAAAGATCAAGGAACATCGCAAAAGATTGCAAGATCTCGATAAACAGCTTAAGATGGCTGAAAGGAAAGAAAAGAATGCCAGACTAGGTGTGGGTGATGATAATAATCAACAGTGTGTATTACTTTGAGTAATCTCGCGTGATAAAATAGTGATTGACTTCCCATGATTATTTAACAAATTATTTAACAAATTTTTTGGCTGCAGTCCTGCGCAGATGAAACGCCTTTCTTTCCTGATAAGTTTCCTGACGTGCGATATCTTCCAGAAAAATCGTTCCGCCACAAGTACACCACCATCTCGTTTATTCTCATCACTTTCCAGCCGGTTCTAATTTTGATGAGAGTCAGCGAGAACTTCGCACCATGGTTGTCCCTGAGCATCCTTTTGAATGATGGGTTTGAGCGCGCGCTTTACGACCCCCCTTTAATATTACTACCCCTTTAATTGATTGAACAAAAAGTTAAACGGATTTAAAAACCACAATTAAGCATAGTGAGGGATTAGTGATCACAATCGGTTTTCAACATTTTTTTGGCATGTCAAAATGTCTAGTCAACTTACTATGAATTACACCAGCTATATCTTTGCTTTCCTATCTAGATTTTTCCATTAGGAAAGGGTGGGGAATGCGCCTTAAAAGCATGCGAAAGTTTTTCGAATTGTCTACTCAATCATAATATGGGAAGTTCGGGTTATTGAAAGGATTCCTTTGTTTATTCAGATGCAATATTATAGTTATTAGTTTAGGAGTTATTTTGTGTGAATTGCTAATAGGTTTATTAAGTAGTGTTTTACTTGTGCTCTAAATTACTATTTAAATGGTATATATAATTGTAGTATGGTATTTAAGAGTTAAGGCTGTTTTCCACTCTCGCGTTTTTCATACGTACGTACACGCACGTTAAGTCTAAATGCTTATATAAGTTTTCTTTAAAAAAATATGGTGAGTAAATCGAAAGAACTTAGTTTTCCGCGTATTTTAGTACGCATTTGTTGACCTAGATGTTAAATGATAAAAATTTAAAAGCATTTCAACTTTACGTGCGTGTACGTCCGTGCAAAAAACGCGACAGTGCAAAGCAGTCCTTATAGACAGCATTCAATGTATCGTTTATTTACAAGAGGAATAAAACGCCTCAGAAAACAATTAATTATTCGCCGCGTATGGCATTAATAATCGCTGGTCGATTTTGATTGTAAAATTATTTAAAAATAAATATTGTGTATCTACGTAGTTTGAATTCCTGTGATAATATTTTTTCAGTAACCTAGCCCTGACTCGGGCTGATATCATCGATAGGAATAAATATTTGCGCATTCCAGTCGGTGTACCAGCCGCAACCGCCATTTCGGTAATCCACATTCAGAGTTCTGATTGGTTAGATATGCAACTGATCTATATATATAGTCGTGTTAAAGTATAAAAATAACATTAACGGCCGCGCCTTGGCCTTCCAATTTATAAATGCATTACGACTCGGGTTTATATATATCGATGGTTGTAATACAAAGGAAACAATCCCAATATCCGGTGTTTTGTCATGACTTTTTTTTAGAATGAAATGCCGTGATAGAGATTTCCCCTTGAGCAACGATTTGTTCCCCAGAAGCGTTGTAAGGCTTTGACAAATTGATGAAATGTTTTTTTTGTAAGGAAAGATGTTGTGCTCGAAAAGGGGCGAGGTTTTCCCCGTCACGCACGCATCTGCCGCGTCTTCGCCAGGTGACATTGTCGCTGGGAGATCAACAGATCGCTCGCTCGCTTACTATGTAAACACGATAAAGTAAATATTTAGAAAAAGATAAAACCATTATTTTCATTAAGTATTCGGAAGGGCGGAATATGGTTTCCTATTGCATTCCGCTGGCACTGATTAATAAACTTTAGCTGCACAAGCCTTAATCTTCTATCAATGATTTGATTCACGTAGCGAGCGAACGTTCGTCATAACAATGGATCAAAGCATGATTTATCACGTACATTTTCTAAATATTTTCACTACTTGTGTTGATGTGACTCATCGGCGCGCGGAAACGCTTGCATACACATTGATATCCATATCAACTTATACTAAAATCCATTATAAACAGTAGGGGCTGTTATTGGCTTTCCTCAAGGCTCAAGACCCGAGCATTTCAATTGACTTCGAAAAAAAAATTTTACATGACCCTTTTTTTTTGTCTAAGCATTTTTTCCAAACGTATGTGACTTCGCATGCATTGCCCACAAGGTATCCGCAATTTTTTCCGCAGAACATATATCAAAATTTATTGGAAAAATATCAAGGTCGATGCATGCCCCTTCGGAGCGCCAGTTTTCATTTCCTCTCGTACTCGGGTGTCTGTCAACGCGTTCTCAAATGCATTTGCGCTTTTTTAGATAGCATCAATGGATCAATAGAACAGCGCGTTCACCGTTTATATTGACATTGGATTGTATATCATCTCATAAGTCGGCTGGTCGTGTGTGCTCGACGCAGGAATAAATTGCGCTTGGCGAAGTCGGTTCGACGCAGGAGTAAATTGCGTTTGGCTGAGTCGGTTCGACGCAGGAATAATTGCGCTTGGCTGAGTCGGTTCGACGCAGGAATAAATTGCGCTTGGCCGAGTTCGTTCTACTACGCAGGAATAGATTGCGTTTGGTTGACTTGGTTCGACGCACGGAAATATTGCGCTCGATTCAGCTGGTCGATACGCGTTGTCACACAAAGTCGAGCACGGATTGCAATTGAAATTGAACTTGATCTAAACGCGTCAACACAACGATGCGGTCTTCGAGTTGCCACATTTCGGCCTGGGCACTTTTGCTTCTTGTAGTTTCTATCCACTCGGCGCAAATACCGAGAATTCGAACACCTTTATCAGAGGTGGAAAATTCTTCAAACCCTGTGCTTGAAGTCGTTGAAAGCGTAGAAAAGCCTGACACCAATTTCACGGGAGTATTCCACAGCGAGTACTCCGTGCACTTCGAAGCCGATCCCGAAATGAACCTGAAAGACGAAGAACTCTATCTCTCGTGGGAAGAAGCCTGGCCAAGCACTGGAAGACGTGTCGACAAATTTATTCGCCTGCATCGAGAAGACCTCACTCTAAATATCATCAGGGAAGAAGTCAAGCCGATTCATGAACGCGTCTTGTCCCAGAACACTCAAAGCAAACATCGAGGTAAAAGAAAAATATTTTTCCGAGACAATCGTTTTTATATTCCATTGCGTATATTCGGGCATCGTTTCCCTTTCGTCAGCGTGGTTAAACTGTCGACGGGTTGCACCGGTACTCTAGTTTCACCTCAGCACGTCCTAACAGCGGCCCACTGCATTCACGACCAGTCGGACTATGTCGCGGGTTATAGCAAGCTCAAGGTTGGCCTTCTCCCTGATTTGAGACTCAGCAAAAAGTTTCAATGGATTCGAGTGAACGAGACCTTCCTGCCAAACGGTTGGTTGATGGGCAACGCGAATGTTGCGTCTCGCTTTGATTACGCTCTGCTGAAACTCGAAGAAGCTCACAGAAAACCGTTCTTCGAGTTGGCCGTTAGCGAAGGAAAGACAAGAGCCGTGATCCATTTTACTGCTTATGAAGACGACAAGCCGGTGAATACGCTTTGGTACAGGTACTACACTTTGATCTTTGTTTGTTTATGTACACTGCCATTTTCTTAGACTCCCCTCCGGCTTTCTGTATACAAACTCCCTGATACTGTAACAATGAGTCGCACTTTGCCGAAAAGATCGATTTATCGAAGGGGGGGAGGTCATTATTGAGGGCTTTTGATGACCGCATGTCAACTGTAAAACCTATGTGGTTATAATATTTTGAAATCGCGGTCGAAAAACCTGGATGGGCTTAAGGACTCAATGCAATCTCATGCATGCACATCTTATAAAAACTAACTGGAGGAATGCATGTATGCATGTGCAGTGAACTCAATGATCTTAGACCATATATGTCTAATCCCTGTTTAAATTAAAGTGTGGTAATAGGCTTTAAAATCCATCATTCAAAAGTATCTTAATCACGTTTCTTATGATCTCTCCAGATCCTGCAGAGTTCAGGTGACAGATGAACACGTTTTATACCACTATTGTGCGGCGAAGCCCGGCTCATCGGGTGCTGGCGTGTACACCTGGAGCAAGGTGAAAGGGGAATGGAACCGACGGTTGATTGGCGTCTTCAGCGGATACCGTTGGAAGACGTTCAAGGAATGGTGGAAAAGGGACGCTGATTTCAACGCGGCGATCCGTTTTAACACCCTCAAATACACACAGATATGCGGTTGGATGGGAGATTATGCTTCGAGATCGTGCAAACAGTTGAAGACTCAAGAGACATGATCTCATCCACTTGGAGAAAGAATTAGCATATTACAATTTTATTTTCTTTAATGAAACATCTTTACGAAAAGATGCTCTTCTCTAATTGCATGCTTCGTTTAAGCATATTTTAATCCTCACAATTTCTCGTTTTCCCATTTTATACAACAATACGACAACATTGTTCATTGTATCATTCGCCTTTGGGAAGAAATATAATGTTTGGTATGTCAATTGTTTTTGTGGTTCTTGCGGTTTTACTTTAGCTATAAATAATGTTCGGTTGCTCTATTTTAAAATATTGTCCTCTAAAAATAAAGCACCCCTCAATGCAAGGTCACAAAAGCTGTTTTGTTCCAGCTTTGTTTCCGGACGAGTATATGAAATTGGAATGTTAGATTTTTCCACCGATAACTCAAAATATCGTACTTCATAAATGTATCAGAGCTAGTTTTTGTCATCTAAAATTTCACTTTCGCTTCACCAGCTTTACATGTCCAGCTGTGGTTAGTGGATATTCTTATGGCCATTATATCCACCATGATTAAATTGTTTCTGACAAATGTTTATTAAGGCAAATATACAAAGTGCTTGCATGTCTTTTGAAAATCATTCCGAATGATTTTATATGTGTTTTGCGACTAATCATTTCGTGTGTTTTCATCGTTTCTGTTTTAAAACTCCGAAACAAGTTGCGACGTTGCGTACAGTCAAAATTGCCGCGGTGGTACAACGTTCTTTATTCCTTCCCTACAACCGAAAAACAATCGTTATGTCGTATAGTCAAGAATAGATTACTTCAGTACGGCACAAACTGTACATTCCAGAGGATACAAGTGCCGTTGCATGCATGCATGAAATAAATACATGCGTGTATTCGTCAGTTTTTGTTATGTTATCTTAAATTCCCAAACACGCCAACCACACAATCTATTATTAATAGCGCCTGGCAGGTTGATGACGCTGCCACAAGACGAGGTTAGTGTAAACAAGAAGTTGTGTTCAGAAAGTGGCACGGAATATTGAGCATACATCCAGCGTCACCTCGCTCAAATGAGGCGAAATCTGATGATTTTAAGACGAAGGATAATCCAGCTCATCCTCGGGGCCACGGTGCTCATATTCTACATCCAGTTCCAGCTTTTGTCGTTCACGGATCGGAGGTTGTTTCTGAAGAGGATAAAGTTATCTTTGCCGTATATTCCTGGAGAAGAGTTCGCGACGGAGAGAGGGGGCGAACGTTGTCAGTCACTTCCTTCAACCGACTTGGGTCTTCAGGGCCTCACCTTGCTAACTTGGCGGAGCAAGTACATCACTGAACTGAACTCTTTCAAAGATTACCCTTTGTTTCCAAAACACCCTGCTTCGGTACAGTTCACGGTGAAATCTTCCTTGCGTATCCCAAAGGCAGTCTCGACAGGCGGCTGGCTTTTCGGCTTGCTGTTCGCTCCCGACACGGGAAACTATCGTTTCGCCTTGTCCACGAACGGAGAAGCCGAACTGAGACTCAGCAGAACTGCGGAGCCCGAAGGAACACGAGTTATAGCAAGGCTTGGTTGGTCAGACGAGCAACCAAGGTCAGGAGAATACAGTAAATACTCCACACAAACATCAGTGTCTGTTTTTCTTCAGAGATGCAAAGCGTATTACGTGGAAGTTCTGTTTCACACGCGAAGGAAAGACAGTCACGTGGAAATTGCATGGGAGACGCCGAAATCTCTGAAATACGCGCTCATTCCGATGAAATACTTCGTTCCCTACATCGGCCCACAAGACATCGCCCACACCGCAGAAAATTTGCTCATTTTTGAGGATAACGTCAAGATGACTTCGCTGTTTGATTACGTCTCGAGACAGAAAAATTCCATCGAAAACGAGAACTTGGATCAGTGGAGAAGACTACCGTACATGCTTTCCTCGCATGCTCGAAATATGCCCAAATGTTCGAAGGATTTTAAAGGATATTCGGCGAAGCCCAGACTTGTCTTACCCAAGCTTAATGGGAAATCTACGGAGAATCTAGTCAACGAGTATACCCAACGTTTGATGAAGAGGAGTAACGGGTAAGAACGGACGTTTGTTTCTCTACGATTATTTATTTTGGTATACAGATTGTGACACGGAACGTTTTACAGTGTTTTGATAACAATATCGTATTCGCGATCTCAAGAAAATGCGCAATGCCAACTTATAATTGAACTTATAATTGTGTTAGCAACAGTGGCAGTAATAGACATATCATGTGGAGCTGTTTAGATTTAAGTCGCATGCATGGACCAATCAGTACGAGATTAGAATATCGCTCTTAATTTAGAAAATAAAATGTAGTACATATTTTAAGTGCTATACTTTGCATATATACATAAATAAATGTCTAATGATGTTTAATGAAAAAGCAACTCATGAATTGCGTGGGAAACGTATAGGATTTTTAAAACAGAAAATATGATGGTGGATAATGGCAGCAAAAATAACCCAAGTTTACTGTTCTGAAAAGGGTGTTTTTCTCTCATAAGCGGCGATTGTTTGAACACTAATAACGCCTGTATTCTAAAAGCACACTCAAGCTCATTGACATTGATTGAGAGAACTTAATCTTCTCATAATGTTTTTATGACGATATTTCTACATGAGTAAGAGTTTTCAATGTTTCACCATAAATCCTTCCACTTATTAAGAAATTACTTTTTCATGTGAGTAAGTGTCACAATAATGTGAGTGAGCTTTTTGAATACAGCCGTCAGTAAGTCTAGGTGTATATACTATTGTTTTTCTTTAGGAAATACTCATTTCGAGGTATCCATCATGCTGAGGAGAAATCTCTGGGCGAGATTGGGACAAGATACCTGATGAATCTTGAATTTCAGGACAATATCATGGAGACCCGAATAAGAGTTTCCGAATATATATTTTATGAAAATGAGAAAAGCGATTTGTGTTTTGTCGACGATTTTACGTGGAAGCGTGACGCAATGGTGATCATTATTGCTGTGATTCCGACCATGGAGACATGGTCTCATTACTTCATGGATCATTTGTCGGGTATGAAATTTCCGGCTACATTTTTAACAAAACTTTGCTGTTGAATTTCGCAGTTTAGCTCATTCACAAGTGCTCTTTCAAGCAGTTTGGTTTTCGTAGTCTTTGCCTCTTTGCCTAGTTCATTAAGGTCAAAACAATAAAGTCTATATGGTATATTTATAGCGGAAATGATCCATTGCAAATCTGTTTATTTCAGTAATGACAAGCAAGTTACAGGACTCAAGATTCAGTGTGATTATCGTAACATCTCAACGCCTCAAACACTATTTTCAAACAATAGTAACACAGAACACTCTTGCCTGGCATTCTCGTGTCACGTTGCTGCTTATGAATGGAAATGAGATACGGAGCATCGCGAGTATAATCAAAGCATGTCTCGGACGAATCACAACTCCCAATGCAATAGTATTCTTCACAAATACGCAGGTGCAACTGCCATTGAAAATCCTGGAGCATGTAAGAGAGGTAAGCCAGATTTTGATGTAACAATTGGGGAAAGTGGAATAAACTCAGTTGAGAGGTAAAGATCGAGACTTCGAGACAGTCTGTGCTACTTTGGGAAGACAGGATGGGGTGCTGACAAAATTCATGTGCACGGTCTCTATACCTCGGCTCTATATCAAACTGGACAAATTGTTTGAAAGAATTTTTATGACTTGATTAATTTGATAACCTAGAGTTCGACTTATCACTAGGCGGGGAGGTCCATCAGTTTTTAGGGAGGTGTGTAAGGTGTGTATACAGTCCTTTCTCCGTCTTTCTTGAAATCTCATATTTCCATCCTTTATCCAGTTGACTTTCCAAGAACTGTTTAATCACGGATAGTGTTGTGGGGAAGGGTTTTGTATATATGTATATGCAGATCAGTGCTATATCCAAACTACTATATGCCTTAGTACATTTGCCTTGAAGTACTTTAAGCCAAATACCTTATCCCTGCAGCAAACAATTGAAGGAAAAACGGCGTACATTCCTTGGCCCGAAAACTTCGACAAAGGCTTTCAAAACAACGCCACCGTAGCAAACCCACTGGACGGAAGAAACCCCGACCGACCGCCATCATTTTCTCTTTACGTCTCAGACTTGCTAAAACTGACGGGCCAGAAATTGAAGAGTAAAAAAAGACATGATATGCAAACGGTTTGGAACAAAGGATGGTGGCAAGACTTGGTTAATGGCACGTTGGAAATTTACGTCAGCAAAATGCCAATGTTCTATTACTTTCAACCAGAATTATAATAGCGATATTTCAAGTAGGGTATGTTTATAAAAATACAACAATCATGTATTAGATTCAATTTTTACACGTATTCACATTAAATAAATAAGCAATTCAGTTTTTAGTATATCAACTGGTTAACAGTTGCAAACAACGCGTTTTAAACCTCTTCCTCTCACTGAAAGGAACATTTTTAAACTGTTTTGATCTTTTTCTCTTCGTTCGTTGATCAGAGTTTCGTTTTGGTTCATCGTGTGCAACTTTTCCGTGCACTATCCGGTCTTTTTCGTGCGCTACTGTACTCGTTTTCCCTTCCGTTCCGTTCTTCTCCTCCGAGATGTGTTCCTGTGCATCATTTTCGCCCGCATCGACTTTCTGCGCGTGTTCTATTGTTACCTTTCCCGCGTGCTCAACCGTTCCATTCCCGCGTTCTGAAATACTCGTTACGTGCTCCTCGTTGCATTCTGCGCGTTCTATAACACGACCGACAGTTTTAGCGTCCAAATTAAAAGATCCACGCTCCATTCTCGTCGCGATAAATTTTGTCTTTCTTGTTCGTTGGACATGAAGACCTTGTTTTACGGAACTACTGACTTTACGAGGAACGTGCGTGCTTTCGTTCGCCGTTTTTCGTTGCTCGACTCGTTTCAAAGCGAAAGCACACGCATGCGCGTAATCAAGCGAAGATCTAGAAGAGAGAGAGGTGCATGAAAACTCAATATACTTGTGTATATTGGTCCTGAAATAAACGAGCTCAAGGCAAATATACATTCGATCCGGCAGTCTTCAAATTAAATAATCAATTTAAAATAAAATCAAGTGAATTTGCGTTATGCAAGAAAAAAATCATAGTGTTTTCTTCAAATTGATGATTTAATTTTTAATTTACCATGCAAAATTTCAAGTAAATGCAAACGTTTACTAAAAGAAATTTTAACAGATTTGCGAGTGGCCGACTTCATTCTCAAGGGTGAACTGATAAAGGTTTAACCACATCTAAAATTTTGAAAAGCGATATCGTCGGACGAAGTTAGCCGTCACGAGCAGCAGACCTTGATCCCTTGACAACTTCGTCCTCAATTCTGATCACATCTTTCGCACAGCCATCGGGAGAATTTGATGATATCGCTAGGGTATGCCACAAATGGTCTACGCACTGACGTGCCTGCAATTAGAGTAAGGTACATCGGTTAAAGTACACGCACCCAAGGGGGAGGGGACTAAGCGGGGGGGGTGGGGGTCTGAGGTTAGGGCACCGACAAAAGTATCTATCCACTTACCCTCACGGCCCTAGCTCCCCACCGCCGCAATTTCTCCTCAATTTCTTGGGGTATCATACACGCACCATCCAGGTACGCAATTAGAGTGTCCGCAACCAGATATTCGAACGATGATGGTCGTGATGGTTTCAACTCGCCTTCGACACACAAACACTAAAATTGAACCACTTCATCTATAATCCTCATACTTTGTAACTTAACAGACTAGAGCTTTACAAAAGGAATAAAGGCACAGGTTTGAAACCTTCTACGAACAAGACAATTTCAGACCGGTTCCAAATTTGTCTATAGACATGCGAACAGCGTCTTGCCATTCTTGGATTCAAATTGATGGCGTTTGCCATCTATTGCTTGGCGCGGTCATACTCACTTCGTGAACAAGGACATATACGTAAGGTCTTAAACGAACAAGGTCGATCTTGCTCCAATCAAACTTTAGCTTGTAACTCGGAGGATATTGAGAGAGCTTCTGTTTCAGAGTCTGGGTGTTTTGCCAGTGAATTCTTCGCAGGACTTTTAAGTGTCGTTTTTCTATCTTTAGTGCGGAAAACATCGAGTTATGTTGAGTGGCTGATGATTCTGTAACTTAGTCAAACCTCTGTGTTGGTTAGGATTTTGATGTTTGCATGCAAGAACAAATAGATGCAGGTGAATTAAAACCTGTTACCTTATTCTGGGGTGGTTTGGAAATTTGCAGTTTCTGAGCTACATTATCAAAGTATGCCCCTGCTTCAAGGAACAACCTGTTCACTCCAACATTTTCAGTTGCAAGATCTATAGAGATAGATGTTCAATGAATAAGCCTGCAAATGCATGCAGACAAACCAAATTAACATTCAACCATTCAAGTTGCATTGTCAATTCCACTGCAGACCAAGCAATCCTGCAGCTAGCAGCCTAGCATATCCATCATACCTACCACAATATTTGTCATAGAAAATATGTTTAAATCTCCTTGGCACCATACTTGCTTTGTTAAACTTTTGCAAATCTGAGCCACTGTTACAGTTTGTAATTTGTGCTGAAGTAGTGGATGTTGGCATTGAAGAGATCTTTTCTAGAGGTTCTTTTGGGGGATTACCAGGTGCATATTTAGTATTTCTAGTTTCATTCTCTGTTCTGACTGTGCATACTGTAAGGTCATCACTGGGCAATGGTGGTTTGATTTCAATAGGATAAGGGTCATCTAGTCAACAGAAGTTCGTCGGGTAAAATTTTAAAAATTTTTTCATAGCTATACTAAATGTTCTTATGACGGAGTTAGTGGGCATGCTGTAAAGGGCTGTAATAATACATCCTTTCAATGATTGAATCAAGCCTGGGAGCCTCACTTCCATTAGCTGTGCATGAAATATTTAGTATTGAAAGCAAGGCTCCAAGGTCAATTGCAATGCTATTATTGAAAGGGCTCTTGATCATGCAATTGTTGCAAGCAATAGTAAATATTACATTATTACACAAAGTGCAAGGAATAAAGTGCACACAATCTGGGTTTACATTGCCAGCTGGTGGGCTCAAGGCTCCAAGTGCATTTAGTTACATTTAATTATTAAACTGTATGTACCAGGCAAAGGTGGTACCCAATGAGATTTCTTGCATTTAGCTTTAAACCTGCAACGCCCATATTTCATAAACAAAATACACATATCGTTGCCAGAAGCGTCTTGCGGAATAAATGTACCATTCACTGTAAAGTTTTGCGTCATTTCACACTTGCATGGTTCTGTGGTTGTACCAGTACTGGTACTATATAACTATAGCTCAGTGTTCATCTATGACAAAATTGGGCAGGCTATGTTCGGATACTGTCGTATATCTATCGACAATTCCGAGATATACCGAACATATACCGAGCGACAAGATTTATCTCGACGGATCCACTTCGCGAATTCTTTTCGCTCACGTTATAAGAAGATATGATTCAATCAGATGTTTTGGAAACAAATAGCAGCATATTCCCATAATTTTCATGAATATCCCCTAGATTTTATCTACCTGCAATATTATACTAATTTTCAAATAAAATGCGTAAAATGTTTACGCATATACTGTCGAGTTCGATGTATATGTAGTGAAAAGCACGAGAAGGCTCTTAAATTCTCCCTTGTAGGCAAAACTCTGTTGTAGACATCGTATATCATGGCGGCTTGTTGAGTCAAATTTCGCAGTATAATGGAGTCGGATAGTGTGCCGAAAAACTCCTCTTCTCCGGCTCCTGAAATAGATCTACTGCCAAAATATACTATCCCTGGCATTCTACATTTCATTCAACATGAATGGACGCGATTCGAGATGGATAGGGCGCATTGGGAGGTCGAAAGAGCTGAGCTACAGGTACAAATCTGACCGTATATATTTTGACGATAATTCCTTTAAAACATGTTCATTTGTGGCCGGTAATTTGTACATCGTTGAAACCTAACCCTCGAGGAATAGAGCTGTAGTTTTGTTCAATTCAACCGTATATAATCTGAGTGTATGGTTACGATTATATGACAGATGTCTTATCAAATGTCAGGACAAAATATTCGTAATTTTCTGAGCATTGTATGATTTTAATAAAGTGAATGAAATACTTGAAAAACTTTCAACATAGTACCGGGAATTGATCAATTCCTTGTTTATTTATCCTTCCTCCGATTATATCGTAAAACAAAGTCCACATCATATATATTATTTAACTTATACGATGTGTGCTGAAGTTTCCGCCAACTTAATAACTTAATTGTCTCATCATGACTCTATCATTCGATCATAATAAACGTTGATAAAATTTTTAGCATATGGGAATGTCATGTAGTTTTATACATTTACACATGTATTCAGATTTGAACTATCCACTATAAAAGACCAACTCAACTTATAACATGTTGCAATGTTTATTGACTGCAAATATAAAAAAGTAATTAGATTTAGAATGTATCAAGAATGGGTTAAAAACAATTATATCTCTATGTTTTGTTGAATTAAATGTCTGTTTGTGCTCTATTTTTGCTACATCACAGTACTACGCCTGCTGATAAGTCCTTTGTTAAAATGATTAGATAGAAATAGAAAACAATGCAATTTTCATAACAATGAAATTTTGTGGTCACTGGCTCGTGACCAGAATCCAGACTGCATATAGTGGGCGAAGTCACATCTTAACCTTTTTTGAACAGTAAGTTTGGTGCCCCTGGGTGTTCCTTGCAGCACTTTGCCAAAAAACAAACACATCTGATATTGTATACCCTCTGCTTGTGTAGCTCTATGATATATATGGAAGTTGTTCGAAAACACTTCCATGATGCCTCTTGGTTATATTGTGATAGATAAAGTTTAATAATATTGGCACTTTTCAGGCAAAAATTGCATTCTTGCAAGGAGAACGGAAGGGTCAGGAGAACCTCAAGCATGATCTCATTCGTCGGATAAAGATGTTGGAATACGCTCTGAAACAAGAACGGTATGCAATACTCTTGAAATAAACATGTTTTCAATGCAATACACACCAGTTTATTATGATTAGCTGATGTGATTATTAACTCCCAAATGCTTTGATATAATCCTTTCAAAATTATGTCACAAATATATTTTTCACCTTCAATGGCAGTAGACCCAAGTGATATTATATTGGCCCAGTTATCACAATTTATGGTAACAAGTCTTTCAAGCCAATTTGCATCATTATACAATTGTGCAACTTCTTTGTTGATTTTTTATATGGAGCAGCAAAGTGGAATTATTGGGTTTGCTTATTCCTGTTATTTACAAGAGTAATTTTGTTTTTTATGTACTTAGTGCCAAATATCATAAACTAAAGTTTGGTACTGAGCCAAATCAAGAAGATTTAAAGCCCCCACAGTTTAAAGACCCATCTGGAACAGAAAATTCTGAGACCCAACAGAATAGCAAGACAGGTTTAAACTGGCGTCAAGGAAGGCAATTATTACGACAGTAAGTTTATGGAAATGTGTTTTTTACTATTGTGTACTGGTATTAGGGCACAATTATATATATTTCACAAGAAAATACACTCAATTTAGTTCATTGTTATCTAATGAGTTCTCAGAAGATATCTGATGTTCATGGAATAAGATTGCTGGCAGATTTTGTACATTAAAATACTGAAACTGAATTCATTCTACAAACCACTCAACAAAAATCAGCAAGTTTCAACCTATATTCAAACCAGGAAGTTAATTTTGAAAATGAAAATGTTTACAGATACCTTCAAGAGATTGGCTACACGGATGCAATACTTGATGTAAGGTCATCTAGAGTGCGACCGTTACTGGGCTTGACTGCAAACGACCCAGCAAATAAAACCAAGCCGGGGGAAATAGCAAAAGCCAATCATGTGAATGATTCAGAAGCCACCACGTCCACTAAACCTGGAGCTCTGAGGATTACTGCAGCTTCCACAGCAAAAGACCTGAACATCTCAATCAAAAGGTTAGAATACACCAGTGAACTCTATACAACTGGAACGATAACTCCTGACAAACATCCCTATTTAACTTGAAGCCAAAATAGTTTTTCTGAGTTTTGAGACGAAATACTTCCAGTTTGTTTACAGTTCAATGGTATACACCTAAAAGTCATTTCCAAATGGTTTAAAATAAACATTAGTAGTTGTCAACCTTCTTCATTCATTCTAATCTTCTCCAGTCGTCCTCGAGATGCTGAGAAGACAACAAGCGAGGATGAGGCCATATCAAATTTTGATTTCCTTCAAAATGAAGGCGAGGATGAGAATGTTAATGAAAACGATGCTGATGATGCAGATGATGGCGGCAACGCCGATGATGAGTCGGATGATCGAGATGATGACGTCAAAGAAAGAACAAGAGTTGTGAAAAAAATCAAACAAGGTATATGAATGTATGGGTGCACCATGTTTAGCCCAGCATGAGTGCCCAGTACTGGTGCCCTGTCCTGTGTTCTGGTGCCGAAGTTGTACATGATCCTTTGAATGAATTTGAGCATGGTTCCCAAGAACAAGGACACTGTGCAACAAAGACACTGTGCTCGACACTGTACTCAGTTTTGACTTTGGTCACCAGTGCCAGGCACTCTGTTTGAATGCAACCTAAGCACTGTTCATGATTAGCATATTAGTAACCAGGCAATTGAAAGCCTTACTGGGTCCTGAAATAAGATTTTTCATCAATGTCCATCCTGTGGGTCCTAGCCCCCTGGTTGCTGGAGTAAATAACCCCATTCCCCTCTCTGCATGCTACTGCTGATATCCAGTATGGAAAACTTATAATGTTGTTTGGATTGTGATGCCAGAGATAGTCAAAACATACAATTGACTTTGCTCTGAAAACTTGACCTTTTTAATTAAACAAGCTCAACACAGTCAAAATTATATTTAATTTCATTTTTATCATCTTGAAGTTACTCAATTGATGAATTGAAAATGAATTTTTATTCGTAAATTTCATTATCGCGATTCACTTTGTTTGTCCCAATAAAAAAATTTTAAATGTAAATTTTTCTCCACAAATTCTTGGTAACCATTTCAGACACTAAGGTTTAACAACTTTTGGTGTTCAAAATTGAAAACTGCTATTTTCGTTGTGCTAGGGTTAAGAGTTAAAATCATTATTTCTCCGTGTGTGTTTTTTAGACGGTTTTGAAGAGACCGTGATAGGAGACCCAGAAACGGACCAAGTTCTGGCTGAGTTTGATTTTCTCGCTGATGAAAACAAATCGGATGTTTCCGACAATGATTCGCTGAGTAAAGAATCTTTAAAAGAACAAGGTACCGAACTAGGAGCTTGCAGAGAACTTGCTCGGAGCACTTGCACAGATAACAATATAAAAACAAAGCCACTATTGCTGTGATTACGTTGGGGTTCAAGTTATGCATTTCGACCACAGCACGCATGTAAACACATATAAATCATTTGCCTTTAGACAGATCAAAACACCGATTGGTGCATATCCATTTGAGTGCATCCGTTTTCACAGTTAAAAAATACGAAATCCTGCAAGTTTTAGGCACAGCATTGTTTATATAAATAGTAATATATCATTCTGCCTTATCTAGAACTGCACGTCGGGAACACCCCTACTGGCAATGTAAGTGACAAGGGATATTGATTTCAGCATCAAAATATCTTTATGTCATTGTAATATTATCGTTGCCAACTTCTAGGACGAGTGGGGCGTGGACTCTAATACGCTTGCTAAGTTAAAAGAGCAATATAAGAAAGACGTGAAGCGAAAAAAGAATCAGAAACGTAGGTTGCTTATCGATAACTTTTGAAGGCCCGTTACATTTGCAATTTTCGTTACGATTTTATGTGCGATTTTCGTCTTTTGATAGATGTGAACGAGGGAATTAGTTAGGGATGTTCAAACAGGAGCTCGTGCACATAAGAGAATTCGTAACTTATTACTCGTTTAGATCTTTCAAAAGAAGAAAATCGCGTGGCCGTAACAGATACTGCGATTCTTTCTTGTATCACATTGACTAGTCCAGCAAAACACTGCGTTGTGTCACTGACGACAAAGTACCGTCTAATAACTCTACTAACAAAATACTGTGTTGTAACCGTGTCGAATTTAGGAATATTCTTTTTGGATTGATGCGAGGGACAAACTTAGCCGGACTTGAGCTATCAATTCAGTTTAGTCTTCATACTGTAGTAAAACTTGATTTATATTGTCCTCACTGCTCACAAAAATGACGAATCTTGTACTCGTGGTCACTGCTTCCTAATATTGAACCTTACAGTACTGCTCAGAAGTAAGTTAACAGAAAAAGAAAGGGAAAGGAACGCATTTTAGAACGCGTTCGGAACGCGAACGGAACGCGAACGCAGTGTTAAGTTACTTCTGAGCAGTACTGTACTCCATCATAAGAAGACATTTGAAAACAAAATGAGCTTATATCGTTTATCTGTTTACCCAACACTCAAGGACCTCCAAGAGGTGCCCTTCAAGCGATGTTAGCGAACCTGAATGGCGAGGATGATGCCGTTCCCGCGCAAACTCCCGCGATAGTTGGCCCACTCCCCATTAAGATGTCCGGGGGTCGAGCTCTGGCCGAAGTCCCACCTATGGGAAACATCACAATCGAAAGGAGTGCCGCTCCTGCCGCAGATAATGACGTCAATGAAGCAATGCCTGTCGGGAACACTGTCCGGGAGAACATCGAAGATGGACTGGGGCTTGGTGACCTGGCAGGAATTACGGTCTCGAACGAGGCTGATCCATTGAGTTATGACGTATGTAAAAATATGTTCGTTGCTATTGGTGGGATTTATCACGTGTTACAGGTCAACTGGATAAGTTCAAAACCTTAGTCAGATATACTAGGAATGACGAAAACTGAATGAAATAAAAATTGTAATTTCCAGGTTTCAAATAAAGACGAAGTTAGGAGGACTTGGAGTCCAAAGTTTACGTTAAGAAGGTCAGTTTCTAACAAATTTCTTCGTTCTGAGAAAGCATAATTGGAGAAAGCATATTTATCCAGACAATCCATTTTATTTCGTTTGCAGTAAGTTATACCGTGAGTTGATATCCATGTTTCTGTTTTTTCGACAGTCATTTTGACACGGTTCGTACGATATGTTTTCATCCGTTCGAGAGCGCTGTGCTCACTGGTTCTGAAGATCACACTGTCAAGTTGTGGAATTTAAATAAAACTTTGCCCACGAGAAAGTACGTGCTAAGTATTGTGGTGTGGTATGGTATGGTATGGTGTAGTGTGGTGTGGTGTGGTGTGGTGTGGTATGATACGTTACGGTGTGGTGTGGTGTGGTGTGGTGTGGTGTGGTGTGGTGTGGTATGATACGTTACGGTGTGGTGTGGTGTGGTGTGGTGTGGTGTGGTGTGGTATGGTATGGTATGGTATGGTATGGTATGGTATGGTATGGTATGGTATGGTATGGTATGGTATGGTATGATATGGTATGGTATGGGAAACAATGGTGGGGCGTGGTATAATTGCTTGTTGACTTTCAAAATGTAAGTATTACTTTTATTGCAATCCTTTATTCTAATGTTTATTTGTCATTTTCAGAGGCAATGCTGTCGAAATCGAACCAATACATTCTTTTAGAGGTCATAGGTATGCATATCCCTTCAAATTGCAACGATACCCTCGATTTGTACGTTTATCCATTTGCTCTAACTGCGAGCTCTCTTTCATTCCTTCAGCGGGGCTATTTTATCAATAGAAGTCAATCCAACAGGAGAGACTTGTTACACGGCAAGTGCTGACGGTACAATAAGGTGCTGGAATTTGCCGTCATTAGAAATTGATCCTTACGGGCAGTTTGGTAAGTCCTCCAGCATGCCTAGCAATAGAAATACTATAATATTTTTGTTCACGTACTTTCTTGATATCTTTTGTCCAGATGCTAACACTGTTGGTATCGTTCTGACGGGGCACACGAACGCAGTCTGGGATCTAGCCGTTCATAACCAACAGAATTATCTACTGTCTTGTTCGGCTGATGGTACCTGTAGAATATGGAATCCAACCATTAAAACACCATTAGTCAATACATATCCTGCTACCAAAGGTGAAGCTCAAAGTGCGTTCAGGTTTTCTACCAACAAGCGCGTTTCAGTGTTCAGTCGTAGTGTATATAACAAGCGTTTGTATTCGTTTTTTCAGATCAAGGCATTGCAACTTCAGTTGATTTTGTTCGTAATGAACCAAATCAATTCGTTGTCTCAACGACAACTTCAATGTGTTCAATTATTGACACTGAAACCGGAGATGAAATTGTCGCTTTGGATAGCAATCGAACTTACGGTAAACATAGAGACAACTCTTTATATCCATGAAAATGAAATTGTCCGCGTCAAAATATATAAAATTTCTTCTCAAATTGAGCTAACGTTTTAAAATGCAAAAGAACTTCAGTCTCAGTGTTTGTGTCAGTGGAAAGAATCTTATTGTTGAATCGTGTTTATCGTTTTAGATAATACACCAGCCACTCAAATAAACAAAGTTGCAAGTCACCCGACAATGGGAGTTACTGTCACCGCACACGAAGACAGATATATACGTTTCTTTGATAATAATACTGGTAAGAAAACTCTTGTTTGAAGCTATATAACAGACGAATCGTCCTGTAATACTTCGTTAATTGACATGCATGCTCGTTAACATTATAGCGAGTCGTTTCACTGAGTCTTTTTTATTTTGTTCATTTTAAAGGTAAGCAAATCCATTCAATGGTTGCTCACCTGGATGCGGTCACGTGTCTTTCTGTGGATAGTCCAGGACTTTATCTATTATCGGGCAGTAAGTATTCGTCCTGTGCACTATTGTGAGGGTATAGGGCTCTGTAGCATATGAGCCTTACAAAGATTGTATACGTCATGTTAGGACACTGTTGCTGGACTCTAGGGTAAATAATTTTGATTGAACAATGTATAAGAACATATTGAATCTCTAGGAGGAACTGTTCAGAATTGATGAAGCTATCTAGTATAAAGAGAGTTAGTTTAAGCTAGGCATCTTGTTGTATAATCACTGGATCTGTGAGAGACGATCCTATAGAACCTATAGAATTCCTCTTTGAAAGAACGGTCCAGTTAGCTTTGTCTTCTGTAGTTCAGCCGTCTCATAGAGAGATGTTAGACCTCGAGGAAAGTAATATTAGTTTCTCAAGTGACTTCGACTTTCCTTAGGTCACGATTGTTCAATTCGTCTTTGGAATCTCGAAACGAGAACTTGCGTGCAAGAGATAACATCACATCGTAAAAAATTCGACGAATCCATCTACGACGTCGCGTTTCATCCGAGGAAGGCGTACATAGCGAGCGCAGGCGCAGATGGTTTAGCCAAAGTATTCCTCTGACCCCATATACCCCCTGTAGCATAACCCTGTGGTACCCACTACATCCTCCCACGCACCCATGGAGCTTACGAAGGAAACTTCTCATCTCGGCTGTGCCCAGCGAATAGCTATGAACGTGAGCAGAAAACTGGTATTTATTTTCGTGTCGTATATATACGATGTTTTAGCTTAGTTCTCTAGACGTCTTAATTGCATGGTTCTGCATTCCCTCTGAACTAGGAAAGTCTCTGTCCTTTTGCAGCAAGAAAATCCAATCAAATTACCATTACTTCACTGTAAAAGTTGTTCCAAAATCCGAAATATTGCATGTGTCGAGCGCATTAGAAACATCTATTCTTCTAATGCTTTCGAGATTCGGCAGTGGAACTTATGAAAAAAGTGATAATCGAGACTTTCCTAGATAAGAACATTGCACTATCTAATAGATCTTTCTTATAATGACGTCAAACGCGGAAAGTCTGATGTTACACGAAATTTGATTGGCTCCACAAAACTATCGAGCCAATCAAACTTCGTGTAACATCAGGCTTTCCGTGTTTGACGGAGTTATGAAAAAGGTCTATTGTTAACAGTAAAACATCATTCTGTTAACGAATTGTGGGTCGAAATGCTTTCTCGTGCACTGACGAGAAACCGGTGCGGAATCTCAGCTGTTCACCGACAGTAAATCAAAGCTTGTTCCATACTGCGTGCGATTCGGCGGGGACTGTAAGATTTGAAACAGGGAAACAAGAATTTGGCGCCGTAATTTATTATGTACAATGAGATATAAATACATAGTTACTGTTGTAAATGAACAGTTTAGACGCAAAGCGATGAGCGCTTTCGGGCTTCACGTGTCAAATGCGTTCTCATATTGTAGTAATCCTGCCTGAAAACACTAAATTATAGTTATAATTTTCCATTTGGCTGTCAACAGCCCACTGTAAGCAATAATTTCTAGGTAAATCTTTAGATTAAAGTCATGAATAACATGCCTATATAAATGGTAGTATTACGTTGTAGCGAAAAGGAACCAGCCCTAATATCACAAGGTAAATCATGGAGTCCATCGGTGTCCGTGAACATCTGGTCGCTCGTATTGACGGTCCCAAACCCAGGGTCGATCTGCATGGAAGACAAAAGTTATTCAAAAAACCCTAGTTTCATTAGAACTCGGTACAAAATTATATATACCACCGAGAAATATTACTCATATCAAATATTCATTTATTGATAATACCTTTATCAGTGTATGGGATCACTGGTAGATCGTATGGTATCTTCAAGACAAAACCATTTGATGTTGCATGATTCTTAGCTAAATGAAAAAACTTTTCCGAATGATCCTATAGGTGGAAAAAAAAGATGAATTACAGGAACTGCGCCCTTAGAAATAAATCTATATTAAGAAATAAATCCATGGCATTTACCAGAAACTAGGACTTACAAAATCTTGAGGTAAAAACAGAACGCCAATCTCGTAAGATCTGATCATGAGTTGACTACCGCTCTTTTCCAATGCTCCCCAGGCAGCTTTTGAAAGATTCGCACTATAAAGATGACGAATTTAGGACCGGTTTATCGCCTTCCCTTCACGGATCCAAAACAATACCATACCAATACCAATGATCTTACCTTGTCATAATAAACCAAGCGGCCTTGGTTAGATCTGGTGATATTCTTGCATAGGATTTGAGATGAGGCGAGGCGCGACTTCGGCCCAAACTTTCACTTTGCCAACGACTATGAAATATCAAACATGCACAAAATTTTCTTCGAGATATTTCAAAACACTACCACAGATTTACCACAGAACTTCATTTTCAACTTATACTTCATAAAGGATACAGGAAAAAGTGAATTTCCTGCTTACCAGAAGAACTCTTGCAGATATGGCTGTTTAGACGCGGTTTTCAAACTGTAGGGAAGAGATCCTCCGGCTATGAGAAAAAAAATTAGCAAACCCATTTAGACTTCTGGTTATACTTAAAGATTGCACGTTTTCGGGCGAATGCGATTGATAAGACATGCAATAAGCACCACACTAGGAAAAACTTTTGGGTCTTTATCATCAGCATGAGAAAAAAATTCAATAAGTAAGGTATATTCACATACTGCTTACACGAAGTATGAAAAAGTTGACACTTTTGACAGTTCCACGTGTTGGTGAAATTCGATATTATCACATGTAATTTTAAATAGATCGAGTATCGTATCCTTTATAGTTTCATACAGAATTAAAAATCCTTGAGGAATTGATCAACAGAATAGCGAAAACATTGTCAGAAGCAACTGTGCCCGAGGGTTGTTTCAGTTTCATATTGTGCGACAAAAGACATGGAAGAAACTGCAACAGAAAAGGACCAAAATGTTTTTTCTTCACCGTGGGATGGTAGCGATATTATTTTGGTCGTTGAAGATCAAGAATTTCATGTTCATAAGTGGATTCTAACCTCGCAATCGCCCGTGTTTAAAGCAATGCTAGACGGTCGTTTCATGGAAGCTAGCCAAGACAAAATCACCCTGAAAGATAAGGACCTGAAGGTGATGGAACAATTCCTAAAACTGCTCTACCCTTGGTCAATGTTTGAAGAAGACAAGGTATCTTTCGATGATAAGAACTTTTTGTTGCTACTGGCACTTGCAGACAAGTATCAGTGTGTAAACCTGATCAAGCAATGTATTAATAAAGTAAAAATCACATCAGAAAATGCATTGCAAATCCTGCCCTTTGCTTTGAAGTACCACCAGGCAGTGTTACATGATATATATGATACCATTAACTGGAGTGCTCCAACAGACAAACTTAAAGAAGAACTGTTGGGTTTAGAAAACAAGGATGTCCTCATAGAAATACTGTTAACCAAGTGCTGTTTTTTGGAAGCTAGTGCTATTGGGTTGCATAATGCTCTAATGTCTCTGATGGGTGACTTTATTAACATAAAGACAAAGGGGAGAGGGGGAGTAATCTCAGACTCTCGCTGCAATCACACCATCAATGTTCAAGAGATAAATAAAACGAAAAGTTGTGTTCATTGCAAAGAGAATTACAAGGAGAAATTTCTCAATCCCATCCTTGGTTGCCAGAGTCCAAAGCAATTTTTCAACATTCTTGAAAAAGGGTATGATGTTGCAACTGCTGTTGCAAAAGAAAAGAAAAAGAGTCTGTAAGGTACAGTGCATTAGGCCACTTAAAAACTAGATTATTGATAAACTTGTTTTATATTACTGTTTATTACCTAATGTATGTAGGAAGAGACCTTCTTCTATGGAATACAAAATCACATTTATATTTTCGTTGTATAAAGTTAAAACCTCACATAATTTGAGGTCATAGCTCTAGGCTAAATAGACCTTATGCATAATGACGTATCAAGCTGTGACGTCTGCAGGGAATTCTGGTTTAAATAGTCACAGCGAAAAATTCAAACTTCAAAATTTCCCGCCATGACTATTAAGACCAGAATTCCCTGCGGGTGTCATGGCTTGTAACATCATTATGCAAGGTCTATTAGAGGCTGTATATTCATTATATTCATGTTTATGTTCATGATATAATCACTTTCATAAGAAATCAGTCAGGTATGAAGTGGATATATGAATATGTATCACAGCATTCACACCCAGATTAAGTGCTTTGCCGCTGTATTGTAATTCCTTAGAATAAAGCCCACCACTTATTAAGCTCATATCACACTATAACAATCAACAATTTCATCTATTTTCATCACCCTTAGTTAAATATATGAAAATAACGCAAATTCATACACTTGCAGCTTTGTTTTCCTTAGCGTAATAGTTGTACTACCGTGGCAACCTCAACCCCTATCGTTGCAACCTGTTGTGATAAATGATTCATGACGCCGTTTTTAAATTATTCGGTTATGAAATTATGCTGAGCTGTTTAGTTTCTTTCTGTGAAAAGGGAAACTACCTAACTCAAGCAAGAAATGGCAATGGAAAACGAAAGAAATGTTTTTTCTTCACCGTGGGATGATAGCGATATTATTTTGGTTGTTGAAGACCAAGAACTTCATGTTCATAAGTGGATTCTAACCTCGCAATCGCCCGTGTTCAAAGCAATGCTAGACGGTCGTTTCATGGAGGCTAGCCAAGACGAAATCATCCTCAACGATAAGGACCCGGAAGTAATGGTAGAATTCCTAAAACTGCTCTACCCTTGGTCAATGTTTGAAGATAAAGTCAATTTTGATGATGAGAATTTTTTGTTGGTATTGGCGCTCGCAGATGAGTATCAGTGTGTGAAGCTGATTAAGCAATGTATTGAAAAAGTAAAGATAACATCACATAATGTATTACAAATCCTGCCTTATGCAGTCGCGTATCACCAGACAATATTGCCCAAAGTATATGACGTGATTAAATGCAGCGTTTCAACAGCTAAGCTGGAAACGGTGTTGCCGAGTGTGGAAGACAAGGAGACGTCTGACACGATGCTTTTAACCAAATGCCGCTTCCTGGAAACTCGCGTAGTTAAAATGAAAGATGCTCTGCTCTCTTTGTTATGTGATTTTTTGAGGCAAGGAAAGGAATTGGAAAATACAAAAATGTCATTAAAAAATACCGAAAAGCCATTGGCTGATGCAAGAAATTTGCTCCAGAGGTTAGGGCATATTGCTGCCATTGGTAGTAGAGTTGGTATGCAGAATCCTTCCTATCCTGGCCTCGATGCCATGTTAAAAACTACAGCCGACCATCGATGTCCTCACAGCATTGGAGTTCGAGAGATCAAGAAAACAAAAGGCTGTCTTAATTGTAAAGAAAAGTATAAGCAAAAATTCCTTGCCTCTATTCCTAGTTGTAGGGAAAGCGAGGACACACAAAATTATTTTGACATGCTTAAATCCGTGGATGACGTTGCGACTGCAGTCAGCGCAGTGAACGATCAGGAGTAACTTTAGCACAAATGAACAATGAAAGCAATTGTTCTGTGAAACATTGGTGTACGTATATATTTGATAAATACTTTGTAAGACCTACATTCAAGCCTGTGGGAAAATTGTAGCCGTATGCCTAAGTTTGTTTGTTAATACTTGTTAAAAAATAGGGACAGAAGAAGCTAATATAAAACAGCTATTATGAATTCATGTATTGTACATAATGTAATAAAAGAGCTTGCTCTATCGAAAAGAAATGCAGACTTGCATGACTATATATGAATCTTTAAATAGCAAATCCAGCTTGATGTATTTTAACTAAAGCAGCCAGGAAAATGACCTGATCACTGGCCAAGACCAAAATTCGCCACAAACCGCCGCTGATGCTGACACAGCATAAGGAGGGTCATTAAAAGGAAGTAGAGTCATGCGAGACGTTCTCGGAAGAAGCTGTACGACCGAACATACTGCAACTAAAGGGTCGACTGACTTGACTGAAGAAAAAATGGCAACACAGAACGTCCGAAATGTGTTTGCTTCGCCATGGAACGATAGCGATACTGTGCTAGATGTCGAAAATCAAGAACTTCATGTTCATAAGTGGATTCTCATCTCGCAATCGCCCGTGTTTAAAGCAATGCTCGACGGACATTTTAAAGAAGCTAACCAAGACAAAATCACCCTGAAAGGTAAAAACGTGGAGACGATGGTACAGTTTTTGAAGACTCTCTACCCTTCGTCCATGTTTAGAGAAGCTAAAACACCTATGAATGATGAAATTCGGCTGTCAATAATGGCGCTTGCAGAGGAGTATCAATGTGTAGATGTTATAAAGCAATGTATTGACGAAATGAAAATTACCCCGGAAAATGCATTGCAAATACTGCCGTACGTCGTGAAGTATTATCAGACCGTATTGCCTCAACTGTATGATATCATTAACTGGAGCGCTTCAGCAGCCGTGCTGGAAACAGTATTGCCGAATATTGAAGGACAAAAGGGGACGTCTGACAGAATGCTGCTAACGAAATGTCGCTTCCTTGAAGACATCCTGGTGAAGATGGAAAGTGCTACAAAAGCTTTGTTATGTGATTTTTTAAGGCAAAGAAAGAAATTAGATGATATGGAAAAGTCATTGAAAGATTCAAAGAATAAGGTTTCCACTTATTACAGCAGTATTCACCGTGACACTACATTTGAAACTACAGCCGACTCTCGATGTCCTCACAGCGTTGCATTTGGACAGATCAAGAAAACAAAAGGCTGTCTTCATTGTAAAGAAAAGTACAAAGAAAAATTCTTTGCTCTTATTCCTAGTTGTCCAGGCACACAACATTATTTCGACATGTTTGAAAAAGTGAATGACGTAGTTACTGCAGTCAATGAACAGAAACGTATACCGTATTCTACATTCTAGGTCAGGAAATTCTTTGACAACGGCATACGTAATATTTGTTGACAGCATCATAGGTTTACCCAGTTAACGTCATTAGCGAAATTAGTTATTAATTGTTTTCTCGTATTAGATTTCTGCTTTGATTTAATAAACTTACCAATGTAACCTTCTAAGCTTGTCCTTACATCTTCAACTGAAGGAAATACCTGGCGTGCATGCAAAAAGTGTTTTTTTTCTGTCAGGTTTTTCAAAGAAAAAGGCAATGCTGTATAGTGTAGATTAGAATGCGGGTATACGACTGACACTAAACATTTTGAATCTCAGTTTCAATTTTATCACGAACAATAATTCCTCACTGAACTCTGCGCAAAACAAAAGAACTCACCAGATGTAAATTTGGACTATGCCGAGTCGAAGACGCCTCGTTTTTACTTGTCGATAAACTCTTCAACCACTCGGAACAAAGCCAGTTCGATTTATCTGGCCCAAGAGAACCGATACTGGAGAACTGACCAATCACAGGCCAAGAATTGACGTCATCAAACTCACCATACTGCTGCAACAGCTGAAAAAGACATTTTAAGAGCAAATTAATTGCATTTCAGTTGTTACGAACAACGCGTTGAATAATCTGTTAAAATTTCTAATATTACCAAACCTTTCTCAGCTTCAGATGACCCCATCTATCCTTATTTGTACCAACATGTCTCCCTGGCACTGACGCTATGAGACGAACCCTGGTGAAAAATATATATAGCTGGTTATAATTCGACTTGTAAAGACGGTCGGAAAAGGTTTAAGTTAAGCAGCTGACGATAGGTGGGGGGCCTACCTTGCCTTCGACATGTCATGTTCTGCCAAATGCTGTTTCCATTCCATCAACGGCCCAGGACCGTATTGATGCAAATAACTCTGTTAATACGATTAAAAATCGATGAGTAAGAAACTGCTTATCACCGAAAATGAAATGTTACCGCGATCCTGAACGAACTGTTGCCAGTCAAGTTCAAATAAGACTGCTCTGACTATTTCAGCCAGCATTCCTTGATAACCATGGTCTTGAGAATGAAACAGGTGGATTACCATTAAATCTTTTTGAAATTGCAATGGCTCCATCACGTTTTGGTTTTCTCGGGAGTATTTCGGAAACAAGGGACTTATCCACACCCTAAAATGTGATTTTTTTTAAAAAAAGAGAAATTCATCAACATCATTGTTTTTGAAAGTGTTCATGCAAAATGTTGCTGGTTGTTCAGGAGAACGAAAGTAGAAATATTTATCTTAGAACGACCGGAATTAGAAAAACATTGTCATCGCTGGTTTGATGGTATGAATCATTTACCCTTGTGTTTTCTGGTCCCAATCTGAATGGATAAGATTTGCCGTAGTGATGACCACACGTAGCCCTTCCGTATACAACAGTAACATCATTTTACTACACGGTAAAATAAATATTTGGATTCAAAATTGCCAGTTCCTCGAACAAAAACTGACACAGTATCAGAGAAAAACATGCTCCTGGTTTACCTGTGATGTGTCCCAAAAGAGATTAAAAGTTTTGCCTAAAAGATCGCGCACGTAAGTGTTCAGAATGGAAGACACCTAATAGTTCATTTTCGTTTGCTAAAATTGTGTTTAGCGTTGTGTATATTGGGCGTGGCAGAGGTTGAAACATGAAGAACAAAATCAATATGAACATCCGATTTTGTGCATTTTTTAAAATGATTGTTATCTGCAGAACCTGGAAAAGTTGAACATTTGGGAATGGCTCTGCTTCTCTTTCAAGCTCCCGTTTCTTCTCACGTTGATCACCATGGACAATGAGTAATGGCTTTGATCTAAGGGAATGTGCACTTGTTTGTTTCTCTTTCTTCACTATTAAACCTAGCTTTCTGTCCACTTCACCTACTCCTAATAATAGCCCAGAACTACCACTTTTACCTCTTGTCTGAAGGGTAATGGTCGATTAACCAAGGAATATCAAACATGTAATTGAACTGTAAAAGACATTTTATGGCAGCTGAATTTTTTATTCATGGTAAAAACATTCATGGCAAAACCATTGTATATGTATGAAAGTTGTGAATGTTTTTAATCACCTGTACTGAGGCTTGTAAATCTCCCATTTTGGATGACAAAATATCTATAGTTTTTAAAATGAACATGTGTTATCACAGTTATAATCACAGTCATTATAACATATTTGCCACCAATATCTTATCACCATTCCTTCATACCATTGCCATTATCAGAATGACTGAAGACATTATCTTGGGTCAAAATTACCTCTCAGCCCAACAGCTATTGTACTTGTGTTAAACCTTTCTGGGATGTTTCTAACTTTTGTTAACAAAAATGGGACAATTTGTGTTTTTTCTGATTTATCTTCAAAACTTGTGGTCCCCTCTTCCAGTTCATTGACTTTCATCCTTTTCCGTTCTTGCCTTTGTTCCAATTTTTCTGTGTCACAATTAATAGAGAAGCAACACTTAGAAGTTAGAAGTATGTTTTATCAATAGGCTGTCAGACCTTACAGTCACCTTAACTGAAGAAAATAAGAGTACAGGGTACTCAACCTCCTAGCACCACCTTTCCCCATTAACTGCTCACACACCTATAAACAAAAGCTATGCTATACCTGGGTGAAAGTACTCTTCAAGATGAACTGGGTTTTTCCTATAACATTTTTCACCGTATTTGCACACTGGCTTTTCAAGTTCATTTTCTCTTTTTCTTTTTTCACTCATCTCGCTTTTTTCACTCATATAAAACCATCGGCTGAAATACAAAAAGTCCTTACGTCACCAAAAGAGAGGCCAATCAAATGGCGGTATTTTATCCAAATCTTCCTCAGGGTAATGTTATATTCATGAAATAGTTGCCATGTCAAAGAAACAAAATGGCGTCCGTTTTTGCTTAAGAAAGTTTTAAAGTTGCAGAAAAAATGGCAGAAGTACACATAATCGGAGAGATTGTCGGGGCAAGTGGCTTTCCCTCGCATAATTTATATTGTAAATGGTCAGTTCATGTCGAAGGATCGTGGCGTTTGTTAGCTGGGGCGAAAGAAGGTCAAACACAAGTTGATAACCCTCAGAACGAGGAGTGTGCAAAATGGTGTCATCCTATCGACTTACATTTTGCAACGAACGGTCTCAAGGGCTGGCCGAAGTTTCATTTTCAAGTGTGGTATCAAGACAGCTTTGGCAGAAATCAGATCTACGGTTACGGGTTTTGTCACGTCCCTACATCGCCGGGAACTCATGATATCGACTGTGTAACATGGAGGCCGTCTGGATCTTGGAAAGAACAAGTGCGCTCGTATTTTCTTGGTGGCGGAGCTCAGCTGAAAACTTCTGACGTGATTTACACTGGAGCTGATAGATATAGGCTTAGGACTATTGCAATGGGAACAGTCCATCTACAGCTAGGGATTATTACTAGAAATTTTGACAAGTTTGGCATAGAATGTTAAAATGACACAGCAAATATTATATAAAACGAAAGCTTGTTTTAAAGGTAACGCTTACAGCTATTTTGCACTTAAGGGCTGGCCACGCTGCTGCAAAATGTAAATATGTGTAAATTATTGTTCATAGATCTGACTTCAAGATATTGTATTAAAGTTATAACCAAGTATTTGTGTGGAAAAATTTGTCTTAACTTAATACATTTATCATCTATTGGATTAAATTCTATCGCCTTTGTAATTATATGGTTAATTATAGGGAATGATCGGAATGTGTAAATGGTAAAACCACACAGGTTTACCAATTTATGTGTTCATTTAGAGGAAAATTTACAGTAAACTTTTCTCTTGTATAAAATTCTTGAAATAAATATTTATATATTTGTCATCTACATCCTCATCACATTTCATCATCATCATCCAGGTCATCCTCTGGAAAGTCACCAGTCTCAACACAAGATGGTTTCACAAAGGCGCCATACTTTGGAGGACATTCAAAATATCTTTTTTCCTTTACGCTAAAAAGAGAACAGCAAATACCAATTATTCTATACCTTACAGTAGAGACATATTGGTTGCTAAGGATTACCTTCCATCATTTTTGCCAAACGGTTCATCATATTGCACACCAATCCACCAGCCTGCTGCAAACTCTGTATTACCAACAAACTTCACAACACCCTTTCTTGCAGGTACACCAGATCTTGTAACCAGACAACGAGAGTCAACACTTATAGTTTTTGCTTTCTCTTCTTCCTTTCGCTGCATTTCTTCTTTCTTCTCTTGCTCTTGTGGGTCTTTGTCACCAAACCGACCTAGCTTGTTACGTTTTTTGAATGCTAATACAGAATCTGTGAAAACAAGGTGCTTTAAGTTTAATATATTGAAATTTATTAGTAATCACCACTTCATTAGCAATTACCAACCTGTCTTTTTTTCATATTCACTTTGGTCCATTTCAAACTTGTCCACTTTTGAGACATCATCAAATACTCCAAGAACTTTTGATGGATCTGTGTTGATTACCTTTAAAATAATCGAAGTTCTGAATATTTCTCAAATTGCTCTGGTTGACTTACATTCGCATATTTCATTGTTTTCCACATACATGTATCCTCATGTTATCCTCCAGTGGGTAGGATCCAAGTTGAGCAGAATCATCATCTAGCTTACAAATTAGCTTGTTCACACCGTTGAACACTTCAAGGTTCATCATAGATGCCGTCCCTCCTGTAATGACCTCTAGCTTACCCTAAACAATGTTAGTAAGTCATTAAACTGTAGTACATTTAAAATACCAAAAACACCATATAGTACATTGCTTTCCTACCTTTAAATTGGCAATTGTTATATCTTTTTGGAATCGCCTTTCTGATACAACATCTCTGAGAGAACTACTAATTTGCAAGCTTATCATAACTAAAATAAATACTACTTCCTAAAATTATACAAAATATATTGTCAAGATTTTTTCTTGGGTTTTAATTTTTGAAAAGAACTCTGATGACAAACCTTACGAAAATGCTCAAATTTCATTGGCTAAATAATACCACGTGGTACACGTCGCCTTCAAAATGAAAATATGGCGGGTTAAAGTCATGTTCTGAAAGCTCAAAGCGTTAAATTTCTTTCTAAATTCACCCGCAAATAGGCTTTAGACGATGCGTCTAAGTTGCGAAGTCGCAGTTCAGAACTATTCGTGTACGCAGGGCTTAGTAAGCCGACGGAAAGCGACACGGGCGAGTGTTTCCATTGGGCGAAAAACAGGTTCCCCCGCCAATAGTGGTCAAGATGACTCTTGCGATGGCACTGTGTTCTTGTTGCTTTGTACTGCGAGCAACATGTCTGGCACAAAATATAAGGTAGGATTAAAGAAACTGTGGTCGTTTAGTGGCTTCTATTGCAGGATTCGTGATAAAGGTAATATCTGATTTCAGGTGTTCGGAAACATTGCAAATATTTTTGGAAAATTTGTTCGAGAGGGAAAGGCGACCATACGATTCAAACAGCCAACTCATGAATTATGCCTCAGTAAAGTAAGTAACTTCGCTAAGGCCTTCATTCTCCCCTGTTCTCTTATAATTACCCTCCTAATACACAAGATATGTGGGGGTGAAGAGGTCAGGACTCAGGGTGGAGGGGCCAGGTGCAAGGGGTGTGTCTACAATCTACATCATTAGTAAGCGTTCATAGTATATGGTGAGTGGACTAGCTGCAGTTTAGCTAAAGAGGTATAAAGGCAGAAGTTGAAGACCTGCCGTATTTTGTGATTTCTTATAGGCAGATCCTCAAAGCCTTTACAAATTTTTAACAACATTGAAGGCATCCACTAAGGACAACAAGAATGTTAAACTTCCTGTCCTTTCAACAGTGAAGCGGTCTCAGGTTCAAAAAGCCAAAACTGACCTGATGATATTTGGTGCTAACGAATATCTGAAGGCCGCAGCCTCATTTCCAGAGGGCTTACAGAAACTAAGCGTGGTCAACTGCAGATTAGTACGCTTCGACTTACGCATTCTCGCATTACGACATCTTGTAGAACTTGATTTATCAAAAAATAGACTAAAACAGCTCGATTTCTCTTTGGAGCGCTTGAAACACTTAAAGACCCTCAACTTATCATCAAATTTGTTGACTTGTTTACCATCGAAACTTTGCCGAACTAGCAAGTTGGTTACGTTGGATTTGAGTTACAACAAACTGGCATGTCTTCCCATTGCGTTTGGTGCAATGAAGTCCCTTGTTAATGTGAAGCTGAACAACAATTGTCTTAGTTCCTTACCAAGCAATATTGGGTTGCTAACAAAGTTACAATTTCTAAATGTCAGCGACAATCAGCTTGTTCTGTTGCCATGTTCAGTTGTAAGCGAGTTACAGATGAACACATTGGATATATCTGGGAATAATTTTCTATCCTATGAAGATGATATCGCACACAATTTTCTATGTGAGACATTACAAGAAAGAGCTGCAAAAGTCATCTGGAATAGACAGTAAGTATAAGCCCTTTGTCCTTTGCACTTTGAATAAAAATTGTTACTCCTAATCTAAACCAATGTCTTTCATGTTTTCCTAGATTATACTACAATGAATATATGGTTGGACGGCATCTTTGCAACTTTCTTGATTCGGCAAAGAAATGTTGCACATGCAGAAAGTGGTGCTTTGGTTGTGTTTATGCTACAGGGCAGCAAAACCCCAATGATTTGGCAATCAACTGCACATCGGATGGTCAACGAGATGTACCCCTTGAGCTCTATTTTTGTTCAGCAAAATGCGCAATACATTTAGGGGTGAAGGTGTGAATTTTAAAAAGATCTCATACGATGCAAACTGGATAAAAGTAAAAAGTCCATTCAAATTAGAATTCATATTAACTATTGACCATAATAAAGATGACTATGGTATATTATATAATCAAGATTTACTAAAAGAAGGCCTAAAAAAATGGTGGATGCTGCATGCTGATTTGTCTTAAAAATGTACAAAATGATTTAAAAAATGTAAATAACTATTTTTTCAATAAATCTGGTGTTTGATATTTTTCATTCGCGTTTCAATTTGTTTTTTCTTGAAAGTTGGTTTTAACCATTAGCTAGCTAGGACGGTAAGCAAGTAACTTAGACAGGCGTACTTTTGGTTTTGTACTACCATCATTCTGTCTAAAGGCAAATGGTTAAATTTCTATTGTAATAGCCACCCTGTTGTATGTTGTCCCTAGAGATCTTGCGTCCGCGGATGTTATATTTGTAGATTGGGGAGACGCAATCTCGCTCTATCGACATTAGAAGACAACTTCTGCGAATCATAGCATTTTTAAAAATTCACATATGTACAATTCCGTTTTTCAAATGTTAGTTCCTGTAAAATGATTTATAAAAACATAAACTACGGCGCGTTATGGTCAATAGTTGTACCATCTTAAAAAATAAAGTTTAAAATTCTGAAATAAAAACATCCGTGTTTATAAGCTAACGATGGAGCCCTGTGCCTGGTTGGCCTTCTCTTTAGCTACCCTCGACAACTCGTCAATACTTGGCCGTGTCTCGGCCTCCGATCGTAGGCAGCTATCGACGAGGTTTCGGAAGTCTTCGGAATATTTCGCCGTGATCGGTGGCGGGGGATTGCCTTCCATGATTTCGTTGAGGGCGGAGAACATGTCCGTTCCTTGTATGGCGTAAGCTGGACGTAATGTTGCCATCTCGTATGCACAACAGCCTACTGCCCAGGTGACTGACTTATCTGAGGAGTCTTCGTTAATCACCTTTGAACATAAAGATGAAATACATCCTTACTCATCCCCATTGACTGGTAGTGCCCTTCAAATGACGGGTGATATTGTTCGGTGTTGAAGAAGATTAGAGGGGTTTATTACCAATATCAACAAGGGACATCGGGGTATGTTTTTTTTAGGTTTCAGGTACCGTTGATAACCTTATCACCCACAAAAATCCAGATATCAGCGATGTTGAGCAGTGAGCACTCCCTAGTGAGCACTCCACACCTCAACAGGTGTTCATTATCTAAATTCCCCACTTACCTCAGGTGAGGTGTATATCCCTTTTAGACCCTCATCATCCACAGCCATCGCGTCCATCATTTCATCTTCCTTGTGAGGCATGTACAATAACAAGTTATCCAACTTGAGATTTCCTTCTGAATCGAACGCAATGCACTCCGGTTTCAGATTCTCGTATTCCAAACCACGTGAACGCAGAAACACCAATACTTCGCAGAGTTGCGCAATTGCGCGCCAAATCAATTCCTCCGGTATTGAGCCCTGGGCGTTTCGTAACTTCGTCTGGATATCAGTGAAGGAGTGCGGCGCATGTTCAAAGATCAAAATGTCGTGTTTGTTCTGCTTGAACTCTGCAAAGCACCGCATAAGGTGTGGATGCTCCACGTCGCCCCAGGCTTTCATGGCGCTCGTGAGCTCTGGAGACATCATACTTGGACCGATGCATTTCAACATGACGGTCCGATTGTCCAGCAGGCATTGCGCGGGGTAGATACAATTTGAGATATTCTCGGAATTCAGACTATTTCTGTTGACGAAGAAATCGTTGGTGGATAGTTCCCCAGCCAAAAAGTTGACCATCGGCTTTGGAACTGGCAGTTCGGACGCCTTGCATAGTCTGTCCAGTCCGACCGCACGAATTATTGTCCGTCTGCATGATTCCTGGAGACTTGGTGTAGCCGGCACCTGTTGACTCGGTTCCTCTGGGTTCAGAATATCAAACCGTAGATTTTTCATCATTTCGACCAACGAGTCTGCGCTCTCGGCCATTTTTTTGTAACTATTTTGCCCGTTAGAACGAAGTGCGTGTTTTCTTAACGAGCATGTAATTGGTAATCAAGTCAACACGTCACCAAATTGATTAGAACGTAATTAGTCGTTTAATTGTAGCATAATTGGATGATTGAAAAGGTTTCCGTCTGGCTGTAACTTATGGAGTGGCCTTAAAGCCAGTTTGGACTTCTGGTTCTACCTCAGTTTTCGGTGCGATCTTCATCTTTTGATTCATGCAAACGAGCAAATAGTTATGCATGTTCTTATGTGTACTTTCCCTCATTTAAACAGTCGTAACTCATTCATTCGTTCACATCTATCAATAAAAAGAAGAAAATTGCTATAGAATGGTGGCAGGAATGTCTCGAGTAAACGGTGTCCACTTCCAGTATATGAAACACGCTTTTTACTCCACCAGAGTTTTTAATTTAAATCTTGGTTAAACCGAGAACTGCAAGAATGTGTTGTTCATCTCGGCAGACTCAGCTAAGCTTTATCATCGTTCGTGTTGCTTGCAGACGTACCTTGTCCTAGACCAAAACATACATTATAAGTACGTGATAAACGGCAGAACTGCATTTCTGTGTCAATAATGCTTTGTTCGTCATATGCTAAGATTACAGTCATTATACAGTTATGACTAATTCTTTTAGACATGATTAGATTAGTGCACGAGCAACTGTTTTCGTAATAAGTGCGCCTATATATCGAATGTTGTAAGTTGTAACTTGACTTTTTTGCTCCAATGAGTGTTATCATTTCCGAAGTTAGTTTTTCATCGTTTCAGAAGTCAGATTTCAACCTGTGTAAAATGCAAATGGATCTAGTTGTTGCCGTCAAACGTTTTATTACATAATATGCCGCATTATCTGACCGTTCCCTGAGAGGAAGTCGGAAACAAAAAGCGCTCGGCTTGAGCGTGAAACGGGCATTGGAGCATACAAAAGTATTCATGAAATCAAATTGAATTTCTCCTGTGAGCTGTGGGGCTCCCAAATCTCTTCTAAAACAACATGTTTCATCCACGTCTAAATTTCTAAAGATATGTTGCGCTAAAAGTGATGAAAATGGCCGTGATCTGTGAACAGAATTCAACGGATTGTATTGGCGATCGTTCCGACGGCGTTGTCCTCGCCGAATCGGTGGCAAGCGTGATGGTGACGATTGTCTGTTTCTTTGGAAATGCTTTGGTTTGTGTTTGTGTGTATCGCGATAAACATCTTCGTACTGTGCCAAATTTATTCATCGTAAATCTTGCTATAACCAACATTCTTCTTTCGTCAACGGTTTGGCCTTTTTGGTCGGTGGCATTGACGACTGGGAAATGGTCGTCTACACAAACGGCCTGTAATTTTCAAGGATTCCAAAACCACTGTTTGATGACGTCTTTAACTTTGACGATAGCAGCGCTGGGCTTGAATCGATACATTATGTTAGTCTACCCGTTTCACTACCGAATACTTTTCAAACGACGAAATGCGTATAAGATACTGGTGGTACAATGGTTCCTGTCCATGTTCTGGGCATTTCTACGCTTCGCACATCTGGGAGGATACCAATTCGTGCCATCGATTGGTTTATGTGCAAGCTGCTCTGAGAAACTACCGTCTATTATTGATATAACTCTACTTATTCTAACCAATGTTCTTACTTTATTTTGTTACTACAAAGTTTTTACAATCATAAGAAAACACATCTCGAGCGTGTTGCCACAAGGCTCGAACACACCATGGCCGCCGGCAACCGGACCAAAAGCATATTACTACGAAGAGGTGAACTTCACCAAAACGTCAATGCTCATATTTTTCGCTTACGGTCTGTCGTGGTCGCCTCTTATATTCTTCGCCTTGTTGTTGCTCTCTGGAGTTCAGATACCGCGGAATGTTATATTGACATCTTGGTTTTTGGTTGCATTCAGTTGTGCAACACATCCCATCATAAATATCGCATCCAATAAACGTTTTCGGAAAGAGTTCTATCGAGTGTTGTGCTCTTGTGGTTTTGATTACGAAGCAAACGCGACCACGAGATTGGATGGCGAAATTGTACCAGCGCCAGGGGCCGAAGCTGGTTAAGTTTATGGTGTATTTTCAAGAAATAGTAGAACGTGTAGTTTTGGCGGAATATGTTTTGAACCTGATGTCGAGGCAACTGGATCTGGGTCAAGCAACTCAAGATGAAACTTGTATGTATGAAAACAGTTATGGTTATTTATGCATGATTGTTGAACTAATTGATGGAGATGTTTGTTGAATGAAAATGGTAGCCGAACAGAGATAAATATTGTGAAAAATTGTACGACAATGAAGATTGAAGGATCTTCAGGACCTGGAGATGGAAGGATCAATAGTTCTATTCCTAGCGAATTGCACGAAGTGACATTTTTCACAATCTCAATTGTTACTGGTTGGCTAAGGGCGTTGAAAATTGTATAGAAGCTTTATAGTAAATTTTTACGGTATGCAAAACATTAAACCTAAAATCTTGTTTGCAAAGTTTCTTTTGTTTCTATTTATGGCGCTTACCTCATCGTGATACATGAGCTTACAGAGATCTATCCTCCCGACTGTGAGAAGACAAGTTGAAATTGATCAAAACATGTCAGAACAAGGGTATCATGCAAAATTGTGCGTAGGCGATGTCGATGTTAGGATTATAACATATGAATTTTTCTCACTCTGCTGATTACCCGACAATATATGCGTGTAGTCTTGACTCTCTCAAATATCATTGGTGAAATTATTTTAAGGAGCCGATTATTCACTGATTCGACCGGCTTCTACTGTTTTTTGGCAACGCGCAAAGCTGCGCGCGGGGGGCTAGGCTCTAGTTAAGGAGATAACAAAACAATCTCTGCAAGTATGCTTACTTTAGTCTCTCCCATTCCCGTGCAACCTAACCCTTACCCAAGATGTTTTTGCTTGTGGTTGAAAGTATACTTAGAGTTTAATAGACAACGCTTTTAGTTTTGAAATATCGCCAAGCGGTAATGATGAATTCACTACCCAGTCCCTTTCGGTCCAGCTGGACAAATATACCGTTCACCTACTGAACCAAATTTTGAGTTCAGGAAACTCATTAGTTTAACTGATGAATTTTTGCCAAAACTTAGTTTACTGGATAGTGCTTTTCAACTCTTCGAAAAAACTATAACATCTTTTTTCAGTACTCGTTTTTATACGAATATCGGTACATAGTATAAGCTACGATAAATATTATATATACCATATATATATCTATATATATATATCTCCTTCAAATCCTATGCAAACAAGTTGCAAACAATTCCTAAGTGATATAAATTAAAATGTCCTAGAAACGTCTAACTATACGTGCCGTGAAACGCACGTAGCACAATATGTTGTTATAAATCAGCACTTAAATTAACCTAAAAGTTTGATATCAAATTCTCCAGATAGAGAAGAAAATTGTGCTGGCTATAAGCTTTATACTTGGAATTCTTTTTACTTTGGTTATTGTTTTAGTTACCAACTGTATATTCTAATGTTAAAATCCCGTTTAATCCAGGAGCCCGGTTCAAAAATGTACTTTAAAAGTTCCACGTACGAAAACAGATTTGTACAGTTGATTAAGCATATATGTCTGTACCAAATCTCAATTTTCATAGCCTTGCACTATTTCGTATATTGAACATGCTTTCACACCAGAGACTCTTTGGAACTTAGATCTTTTCCATCAGCTTTATTCACCGACAGACTGTGTTTGAGTTCAGTATCGCAGTACAGACACTTTTTATCAATGTCAAACGAACACGTCAGACAGTAGACACCAGAGCAGTCTAGACCGTGACACATTTTGAACTCAGGTTTCTCGGTATCCTTGCAAATTATACACTGCCTCGAATTTATATGAAAGAAATTGAATATCTTAGCAAGCCACGGGGCTTGTCCCGCGAGAACTCTGGTTATTTCGAGTGATTTCAGTGTTTCCATTTCACGATGGTAGCATTTCATTCTCTTCCGGCAATCATCTCCCAACTTGACGCGATCTTCTAAAATCTTATTGTACAAATAAAACACTCGTTCTTTCTCTCGCATTTGGTAAAGCCTGCTGCAAATGTACCATCGCAGCCGCGTGACATGTGCTTGGAGGGCGATAACCAGGACCACAAGTATTAGAACTATTGGTAGGATTATTTTTGAGATTGAACTCGGTGGATCAACATTTACCATGCAGTCGTGTTCATTTCTGAGATCTAGCTTATAACTAGTTGTTGGGGCAAGTGTAGTATTAGCATCTTTACCAGTTACGTTGTTCGTTACCATGGTTTTATTGCTGGTTTCATTGCTGGTTTTATTGCTGGTTTCATTGGTTTTGTTCATGTCTATGGGCAATTTGCTAATGTTGGTCGATGGAAGATCAGTGTTCAATTTCGCTCTGCGATCGATGTCCAAGTCAAAAATACGAAACATATAGAGATCGGCAAGTATCAGGAACAGTACAATCAGCAATGCTGTTAAATATGTCCTCAAATTCTTCCATAATTCATGTTTTTCACTGTCTGTCAGGTAACCTATTCTTCCTGGCCGTACGTGCTTACGAAGTTCGACCTTCTTCAAAGGTAAAACAGCATTTCTGTCGCAAGAGCTGCGACTTTGATCGATAACTTGAAAGTGTCCGGTCAGAAAGAAGTTGTGAAAACTATTAAACGTCCTGTAGTTCTTCTCGTATTTATATCCCTCGTACAGCACGAGTAGGATTAACAAAGGGAAAAGCATGCTTATTATTTCCAAAAATCCACAACCATCGTCATCACTGCCGACTTCGTCTAGAAATTCCAAGATTTCCTGGAACTCCGTCTGGCAAAATCTTTCTCGTAATTTCTCGTGGCAATCTTGAGGACTTTGAGTAAAACGTGGTTCATCACTACAGGATATATTCTGTGATAATTTACACATTGTAGGGGCGATATTGTAATCTTTCGCTTCGCATTTGAGCTTAAATTGTTCTTTGGTAATGGAACATCTTTGTTCCAGACATTCAATATCCAGAGAATTGTTCATCTTTGATAGTCGCACTCGCTGTTGAGTTACACATCGCTGTACTTTTCCAAATGTTTGTGCAATTCGTTCAACCATATCCGGACGCTCATTATTCACGCATTTTACCGAGTTTCCCACAGTCTTAACATTTCCGACCATATTACACAAAGGCCCTGTTATGGCGAAGTAGCCAAGCAATACATACAATGCCAGTCGCCCGGCTTGCGACCAAGCGCTCGGTAGCAACAGCAATACTAAACACTTCACACGCCTCCCGTCCATGAAACCAAGGCTCACGAATATTACGACATACACGAGAATTGCCACTGCTATCGACAATACGGCGTGGCTGTGGAGAAGGAAATAAACAGCGAGGAAAACGATAAGGGAAAGAAGCAATGCCACGAGTGCAGCAAATATACTACGTGGAATAGACGTTTCGGACAACATGGACGCATGTCCTTCTTTTAAGCCTTTCACAGCAGCCTTGATGCTTTCGGTTGATTTACTTAGGCCGGCTTTGACACTGGTAGGGCTCGACGGTATCGATTCCATTCCCGTTTTTCTTTCGTTCTTGCTTTTCTCGAGATGATTCTGTTCATTCGCGTGCACTTGTGGTCGCGTCGCTGAATTATTCACTAGCTGACTCGGATCTTCATACGCGTGTTCATCGTCAAAAAATTGTCTTCTATACGACTGACAGGCGACCTTCTTCTTCTCGTTAGCGATGAGATCTTTCCCCTCCGCCTTGTTACTTTGTTGTTCAGATTGCGGTTCCCCTACTCGAGGTGACGCGGATTTGTTGTTGTCTGACGTCTCAGTTTTGTCGCCGCTTTTCCCTCGCTTCGCGTCCTTCTTTCTGCTACCTGTGAATGCCAAAAGCCGCTTCGGTTTCCTTGGTGGCGAATTATCGCCCCCTTCGTTGCTCGATGTATTGGCACCAGCCGAAACATTCGAAATATCGTTAGGTAACTCGCTTTCTTTCGAGAGCCTGCACGTGCCTTCTCCTCCGCTAATAATGTCAACAGGGTCTGTCAGCTCGATCTCCTTCACCTCGACAGCAGAACTTTGTGGAAGCGTTTCGTCGGCATCTGTTTTCGTGGCGGATTTAGAAGTTGCCTTTCCTCTTGGCATTTCTCCGTTCGCCAAGCAGCCGATATTCTGTTTGCAATTTCACATAATCCTGTATGTTTGCTAAACGAGAATTATCAAAACATTGCAACTATGGCGTCGTAAAATAGGTGACTGATAAATATATTCATTTTAATGTTATTGTCTTGACATCTGATAAGTGTTGACATCACCAATCAGCTGTTTAATTGTCTCACTCACATGTGCTCATTTTTCGACCCTACTGCTAAAGATGGCTCTTATGAATTTGACATTTTACCTTATTCGTCGTTTTTCCCTATTTCTTGCTCTTTTTTAGCTGTTTTTTGTTTAAAATTCGTGATATCTCTCCATTATCAACACGGGTGATAGTGTAAGTGAAGACAGGCAATCATCGTAAACGGAAGTTTCAAATTCGCTTCATTTGAATACGAGGCAAATAAATATTCATTTCTGTCTGCCTCAGTAATTATTGATAAGATAAATTGTTTCTAGTGAGTTTTTGTGGTTCATTAATTCCTCTTAATTTAAAATAAAAAAGATGCAGCTTGCTTTTATTTGTGTATTTCTGAAGTGGCAAGATTCAATTTGTGCGCTGACTGTTGTCAAGATGAGGAAACCGGCTGTTCTTTGTCAACGGGATGAGTTCCGTAAATTGACACTGTAGCAAGAATGCAATAGCCAATACGAAGCAAGAGATATTTGATTACCTTACTTGTATTAAAATTCGCGCGGTACTCATTTTCGCTCAGCTTTAAATTCGCGCGATTTAATTTCGCGCACCTTGATGAGACTTATTCGCGCAGCTTTAAATTCGCGCAAGTAATTTTCCGTCTTCGTTCTTGTTGCTTTGTTTAATAGAACTATATTAACAATTAACGCATTTATAATGAGCACTTTTCATCAACAAATATCTCAATAAATGTCAGAACTTAATCAAAAAGCGATTACGTTTGATTAGGTGGCTTCAGAATTATATAATGCAAGCAAAATGTATGATAACAATAAAGCATGAGTCAAAATACCGATAAGAACTAAAAAAATAATGTATTTGTATTACTATGGTTCCCACGGCCAAATACAATAACAAAACCAACAATCTTTATTAGTATTCCTGATTTCCTGTATATTATATTGGTTCATAAATGGTATTGCTTAACATTATAGTTTAAACCAAGTCAAACAAACTTTTAGCTAGAGTTCAAATGGATCCTCTTTTCGTTGTGGCTCATCCAATGCGGCGCTCACACCTGATCGTTGCCAACCTTTGACGACAATGTCCTTGTTCGATTGCATGTAGTCATAGAACTGCACTACCCATTTTGCGTGAAGTGGTTTGAGCACGCTAATTCTCAAATCAACCGACACTTTATCAGGTAGGATATCTCTCTCTATTTGGGCTTGGACTTGCTCTGAGTACCATGTTTGCGCTTGGTTTCGAAGGAATGCTTTGCAAGAGCGATTGACCGTTAAATCTAAGGGCTGCAGGTATGATGTCATATTATTGGGAACAGGTATCATCTTGCCGTTGTTGTCGGAAATGATCTTCTTCACGGCATCCGTCCAATGTGCTTTAAAAACATCCGCTACTAAAACCCATTGTTTTGTTGCGCGAAAACCAAGCTCTTCTCTAACTTGCTTAACATAGGGGATGAGAATACGATTGACCAATTCAAGTGCTTTCGTTTCGTTAGACCAATGATTTTCCGTGTGTGTAACGTGGAATTCTTTTGGAAACTTGAATTTAGGGTGACACCGATCTGTTTTCCCCTGGTAGATTAGTTGAATGGGCAGAAACTTTCCCGACGCGGTGACTGAGAATGTCCCAGTAATTTGGCGATAATCGGCGCTATCACTGATGGGCACAAACTTCTCGTTGGTTTTGTCCATTGTATACTTGCTGATGAGCACAAACGGGAGAGGGGTCTGGTCAATGTTTATGATGAGATCGTCCGGGACGTCATAAGCACTAACCACCTCCTTGACAGAACGACAAAATGTGAAGCGAATTTCTTTCAAGAAGCCAGGAGATACGGGTTGTTTTGCAGTTGTTGCTCGGCGTTTACTGAAACCCAATCTTCTGAAAATTGACTGGCACCATGTATTGTGGAATTCCAGGATTCCTCCGTTTTCTTTTAACAAAGACCGATCATTAGCCATTACTATCCCCTTCGCTATGGAAATAGCAATGTTGTAATTGACAACACAACCGGCCGCTCTCATGCTTTTGATCATACTGATAACTTTCTCATCAATGTTTGTGGGTAACAAAGTTTTTGCTCCACGATGCTTCCTTGGCAATTGGTCGAGTTCGGTGCTTTCTTTTCGATCTTTGTAAGATTTCACAAGTCCACGAACAGTAGACTCTGGTACAGAATACTTTCTTGCTGCCGGCCTTATTCCGTGCGCAATTCCCCATTTTGCAATTTCTGCTCGTTGAAAAGCATCATATGCCCCATATTTGACCCTCTTTTTCTTTGGCTCTGGAGCGTCAACAGATATTTGCTCTCTTACTGCAGTTTCTTCGGCAGCATTTAGTTTGCTGTTCGATGATGCAACAGAAATATCGTCCTGGGAAACTTTTTTGAAATATTTTAACAGAGCCATGTGCGTTGATTTCCCGCACAAGCTATTCTCTGTTACCAATACTTGAACGGAAATGTTTGACATTTTAGCCAATTAGTTACTAATAAGGAAGTAAAATCATTCAGTAAAATAATAATAACACATCAAATGACATGTAACACCTAAAGCAAATGCGACTGCTCATTGACTGTTCTGTTGTGTTGGAAAAATGGAGGGCATTTGTGTAGGCTGCAATGAGTTCACAAATACACATGTTTAAAGTGCAAATCATTTGTTTGTAACCGAGGAATCCAGTGTTCAATCCCTGCATCTGAAGACTATCCTGGATGGAAAAGTGGTTCGAGTGTTGCTTTATGTGAAGCGTGCGATGGGAAAGAAAAGTATGCATCTAACTGCACTTATGCACTCGACTCACTTCAAGAAACCTACGATTCAGAAACAGACGACTCTGATTCAGTGAAACACAGCACCAAGGAGACATCGTTTTCCCTGGCTTGCGCATCACGAGGTTTTCATGAATACAGAAAAATTTGGGCTCCAAGGATCAACCAGCAGTTAACAGTAAAGCCAGAATCAAGGAACCTATTCGACCCATATGCTATTGGTCTTTTCACCAAAATCAGAGGCAAGATTGAACCATTATCACTGGTTGGACATTTGCCTCGAGAGATCTCCCGATTTTGCAAGTTCTTCATTGAATATGGGGGCAATATAGAAGCAAATGTGTGTGACATTAAATTCCGTCGATCTCCATTACCACAGGGAGGCTTGGAGATTCCCATTACCGTTACAGTCTTGAAAAACCATGCAAGTCAGAGGATCTACAGCAAAATGCAGGCATTCATGAAGGAATACTACGTGGAACCTGACAATATCCCGACTGAAATTGTCCAGGATGAAGATGAAGATATTTTTGACTTTTAATGTTACCAGGACAACTTAAAACATAAGTGAAATGTGTTTATGCGTTAATAAATGAACCGATTTGCATTATTGACAATGAGTGTCTCATATTACACCATAATTACCTTTTCGCGCGGATTATATTTCGCGCAGTACTAAAAATCGCGCACTCAGCGCTGCGCGAATTCTAGTACTGCGCGAATTTTAATACAAGTAAGGTATTGAATAGATTATTTTGAGATACAGTTTCCAATATCACAATCTTGCCTATTGTACGAGTTAATGGTATTTTTATCTAAAAATATTCTTGCCTAATTACAAGGATCTTTATTTACTGACAAACTATAGTTTTTTCATAGGAACGATAAAATCGTTCATCATTCAGCAACGCCTGCAGTCAATATTAGCCAAGTCTTTTAGTTTGCAATCTATTAAAGTATGTTTTCATTCTTGAGGTAAAGAAATTTTCAAAAGATATCGACACCAGCTGCCATCTGGTTGTAGACCTTCCACACAATACCGAGGACACTGTTTTCTTAATTTTATCAATCTCCCTTCTTCTCGAAATGCTCTGTATAGCAGAACAAACGCGTCCATTATTAATATGAAAACATTGATATATTGGACCGGTTTCCAAGATAGATATCTTTGTTTAAGCCCTCAAATTTGAGTTAAGCATCAAACACGTTCTGCCAGTGGTTTAGATTGCACCAAAAAACAACTACCATCCAGATTAACACCAGAAATCCGCAAGTTTGGAATGGTATTCTGGTAAAATTGACTAAATTCTTCTTTGATGGCCTGGAACGAGAGCTTTATTACCCGCAAAGGGCGCTAAGTTTTGAGACCACCTGAAATATGACTCAGGCAGTGTCGGGCAATTGGCAATATGGCGTCCTCAATGCCAATAGCGGTTGAGCAGTTACTAGAAAGTAGAGTACAAGAAATCTCACGAGATGGGCAAGAAACATATGTGCCGTAAGTTTAAAGTTGTATTTTTTATATTTCAAGCTTCTGGAATAGTTACATTTAACCAGTTGGCTGTCTTTCTTGTCTAAAACATTCGTTTATTAATATGTTGTCCAGTTGTGGGTTGCTGTGGTATTGAATTGTAGCACTTCTGGGGCCGGTTGTATGGTCAATTTCTCATTGTTTCTCACCATTAATCAACACATTTATTCCCTTATCACAGGCAGTTATCCATGACAGAGAAGCTAGCTCAGCTTGCTCACAAGATTGACTTTGGCAAGACCCAAGATGAAGATGAAGAGTTAACTCAAGATGAATCTGATAAACCATTGTTTCAACCATCACTTTGGCCTTGGGATTCTGTCAGGAATAAACTGAGGTGGAGAGAGAATGTAACATTTTTTTGTTGTTCTCTCAAGCATTCTATGTGTCTTTGTATGGAGTCTATGGACCCTGTCCTCGTCTTGTGACCACACCCATACTTTTACACCTCCACCATCTTGTACCATCCTTAACCATCTCTGAACCATCTATGAACCATTCTATGATCAAATCTATTTCCAATCATGGTCACACCCATCAATAGATTGATTTTTATAACCATTGCTATCTTGTGGTTACTTCATGTATAATTTTATATTCTGGCCATCCTTTCCAGTTTTTCTGAACCAGTTTTTTTTTTGACGACCCTTATTTCAGATCACACCTATCTCTCACGCCTCTTATAAACATTTTAAAACCACACCCATTTTCCTATGGCCACCAGCTTTGGTTAGATCATTACATTGTTCATTGCATATTTTTTCATTCCAGAAACACCCTGACAAACCTCAGTGTGTTGCTGGATGTATTGAGCGTCGCTCGGGACAAGAAATATATCTCACTTGATGCTGTCTCACAGGGTGAAGCTCCACCAAAACCTGCGGTACGCCTGCTTAGCAAAAGAAAGGTAAGACAAAACTTCTATACTATCAAAACAGACATCACCAAAATACCAGTATCAACCTTGGTGATAAAAAAATTAGTGATGGTCGAATATATATATATATATATATATATATATATATATATATATATATATATATATATATATGTTATTTACCAGATTGGAAGCCGAATTACTGACTATACTGGTAAGTAATAGTTGTTTTTTCTTGCGGTCCGAATTCATATTTTAGCGTTGGCTCTGTGCTTTTAAATCTCGCGTGGTCCGTACGACCTCATACGGACCGCTCGCGTAGCCAATCAGATTGCAGGAAACGCTAAAATATGAATTCGGACCGCAAGAAAAAAAAAACTGGACTTATTCTTGATCATATCCAGCAAAAATCCATCCATTTCTCTGCTGTAGAATTTTGCTGATGCAAGCAAGATTCTCCTGCTAGGTATGAAAGACATGGCCGCTGGTTTAAACGAACAGCGAAACAAACAGCAAAACGAACAACAAAACGAGCAGCAAAACAAACAGCAAAGCAACTCGAACCAGCGGGACTTTCATATGGAGTTGATGAAATTGCGACAAAAGTGGAGATTGAAGAGATCTGGGAACTTGATCCTTGGCGATCTGTCTTACAAGTCAGGTGAGGAAAATTTGTGAAAACATTGCAAGAATGGTATTCCTGTGATCAAGCAGTAAAAATGGGCGTATAATCTGGGTGTGTCTTTGACATTTTTGCGTTCTAAGGCCCAGTTCATACGTCGCATTTCGGTCGCGTTGAATGCAATTTAAACAATAGATAATGAGATGATAATAGAGCTTAATGAGGTTTATCATCTCATTATCTATTGTTTGAATTGCATTTGACGCGACCAAAATGCGACGTATGAACTAGGCCTAAATCGTAAGGTGGCTAAGGTCACTACTCCTAATATAGGAATTTTTTTGGCTCTTTCTTATACGTGTTCGTTCAAGCTGTAAAAGCGATGTAGTGTAAAACCTATGAGGTATTTCTTTCCTAGCTGGATCAAAGTTTTGGCATGCTGGCGCATTTGAGGTTAAGAAGGAGACAAATACGGAAGAGGGGACGAACAATCTCGATGTGAATATTTCTAGTGATTTACTTGGTGTAAGCGAAGTGCAAGTGCGCATTGTGTACAGAGGTAGGTTGCATTCTTGCATTCTACCATATCTATTACAGCTCATGGTTCAGTCTGGGGCACAAACATACATTTTCCGTGTATGGACTGGGGCACAGGCTATAACCGGACAAGCTGAAACATTTGTTTGACCACACTAGAGATCGAGCTAGACAAGGGTTTTTTTTAGCTTAGGCTTGGTTTCCACTTGCAGAGAAATGGTTCGCTAGTGAAATATTTGCATATCTCCTTTTTGAATTTTAACAGCATGAAATATTGTCAAATCAGTATTTCGCTTGTGAACCATTTTTCTACGGTGGAGCCATGGAATCATACACAAAATCAGCCCATATTTTGTTTGTAATGACGACGGGCCGCGGGCGGTGATAATTTTTTTAATATAGACTCCCCCAGCACTTCGGGAAACCACATCAACTCCCCCTCGTACACCGAAGGAGTCGCACCTTGGCACAAAGAATTATGCATCGCCCAGAACAACTTGTTTTGCAAGGAACTCTATGCCCAGGTGGGAAATTCGGTTTACTGTATGTATCATGAAGTATATCCGCAAATATTCTCAACAAGTTGCGTGTGTTACACTTACAGCTGGCTCACGAATCTTACCACAGCAAGGGACTATTCGCACGTGTAGTGAACAATGTTATTGAAACAGAGGTAAAAACTAGAGTGCGGTTGGCCTTAATTTTCTTCGATGTTCTTCGATTTCGAAGCCGTCTGAAATTTATTGATACATTTACCAACGGGCATTTTTTTCCAGATATTTCCAAAGACAACGATGTCCATCACGCATGTACACAGAACTGATGATTTTGAGGAGGTGAACATTCTGTGCTAAAATGAGTCTTGTTTTTTGTCTGGATTGCTTCAAAGGAAATATTTTACATTACCTAGGGTGAAATGGCTGTCGATAAACCCAGAGGCAGTCTGGAAGTCCTCGACGTTGCGCTTCACATTCTGCTGAGGCAACAACATCGCTCCAGTTGCGGTCACGAGACCCCACGGCCTGTGACGTCAGGGTTTGCGATGAGAGACAACAGAAAATACCGTGTCGCGGGACCGTCTTGTATGGTCTTAAATGAAGTAACTCAATACAATATTAGGTAAAATTAAGATATAACTTCTGTCTTAATCTAGTAGGAGAGGGAAAAGGGAATCAAAGCGTATGAAAATCCAGCATTAACCCTTTATAACAGATGTGAATGGATCTGAGAGTTGTTGTTAATTGTAGTATTTTCATTGTAGCCAAAGATTACTGGATAAATTGATTAAAATCGCCAAACATCATATTCTTACCACAAGGTACCTATTGTGAATCATTTTTCATACACTGTTTAAACTTAGAATTGTTCATATTAACTAGTTAAATTCCATTTTTTCGTAGAATCGCCAGCGCTATTCAAGAACTTTCAGACGAGATACATGATCCACTGATCTCGTGTCACTGGAGTAGTCTCTCAACAGAGAGCTCGTCGTTCGCTTCAATATACATCGGACTCGAGAACAGAGTTGAAAGGTAATGTGAGAAAATGTAAATTTCAATGCCGTAAAAGAGGATTGTCAGTGAGGTTTCTTTGCTGTTATTTTCTAGAACGTGTTTGGCTGTGAAGGTTGATGTTGAAACAGTTCATATTACTCAACATGATGGCGTTGGTGTCACATTCTCTGCCGATGTCCACGAACTGAAGCTCATGTTGAGAAATCAGGTCAGTCATTTGTCTTGTTAGTTGATTGGTTGGTTAATCAGTTGGCTGGTTGATTTGGTTGGTTAGCACTTAGCAGTCGGTTACTGAGTAATTGGTTGGTTTGTTAGTTAGTTGGTTGGTTGCAGTGGCTTGTTGGTTAGCTTAGTTGGTTGGTTTGTTAGTTATAGTTTGTTGGTTGGTTGGTTGGTTGGTTGGTTGGTTAGCTTAGTTTAGTTGATTGGTTGGTTACCTTGTTATATGGTTGCTTAGATGGTTACCTGGTTATTTGGTTAGTTACTTACTTGGTTGGTTGGTTGGTTCGTCAGTTCATTGACCAGCGACATTGGTTTATTGATGGTATGTTCCTATATCTTGTTTCCAGGTGCAACTATTTATGCTTGAGGTGGTGAAGAAGGCAGCACTGCGTCTTGGTTGGAATGTAAGATTCAATACATTTCTCGGAACACGAAGCACCACAGCACGTGAGGAACATCTCGTGGGATTGCTACTTACTTGTCCGGAAAAAGAAAGGTATTTCGTGCACTACATATGCATTTCATTATTTCATTTCCTACGGAAGAAATCCAACATAAAACCATGTTTCAAGAAGTTACACGGTGTTTTTGAATGTTGTAAAGCGAAGATAATTCTCGTTGTTACAAGAAGTAGCGCGCTACTATCAAAACACTTTTTTGTCGATGAAAAAGCCTGTTCACAGGATCCAACAAACCAATTCACTTCTGACGGATGTTCTTATAGTCCGTTGACTTGCAAAGTATATAGTCAGCAAATCAACTAAAGCCAAAGCAGTACTGCTTTATCAATAACAAACTACATTCCATACGTCAGATGTGAATTGGATCCGACTGAACGACCTTAAAACTCTTCCACTTCTTTAGGGAAGTCCTCATCGAGATTTCACCTCCATCGAAGGTAAAAATCAAGGTAAAATCGCCCCAATACGGTGGAGCTTATCCTCGAATCCTGGAAAACGAGCCCAAGTGGTCATCGATTTCACGAAATTACAATACTCTAAACTATGAAAACACGCCAGGAAGGACGTTTTTGGAAAAATTGACGATAATATTGCAGGCAAGTTAAGATCAGGAGGTAGGTGTGGTTAGTTGTGGATATAACGATGGATGTATAGTGTTTCGCGGGTGCAATAATTTGTACTGCTCGAAATTGAAACTGCATGCGAATTAAAGGTCATTCATGACTTATGCCGGTACATTATTAGCCGAAAGACATAATGATATAATGTTAATATTTTAATTATCCTAGACCTGTAGGTCGCATTTATTGACAGCTTAGAAAATAAGCTTGTAGTTGTCACAAGATTAGTTTCCTGATAACGGTAAAAATAATATTACTGGTCGTGAATTTACATTAAATGATATAAAAAAGAAACATGCATATATGATATATCACGAGAGATACGCTTCATTCCTATCAATCACCCGCAAATGCCAAAGCTAATTAACGTTTATAGTATTTTCCATTTATCCATGCAATATCTGAGCCTAATCTCATCGTAAACATGGCGACATGTGCTTAAAAGATTGATTGAGATACCGAGAATGAATTCATTTTTAATAAAACGCATTGCCAAATTTCTCTCCTCATGCAATTACATCACTTCATTAATTTCGTACACAACGGGGCATTTTGTCACTTTGAGTGTATTCAAAATATAATATACTACCGCCTGTTGTGCAAGAGTTATTGCAGGTGAAGTCGATAGATTGTGACATTGGCATGCACGTCTCTCAGACCCTTCTCTGATCCGATCAGGAGCGGTGATCGGTGCAGATCTCAATTAAATGTGGGACGCGTCATCATCGAGTGTTTCTGTAGCGAGGCTTTTGATAGTTGAAGAGACCAGCCATGTTCCATCTCGAAGACTTTTCTATTTAGCCGCACGCCTTCTGTTTCAAAAACTCTTTTTTCTGCTTCCTTCGTTCGACCACTTTACATCCAAAGTGTTTTCCAAGATGGTGAAAACTCTTACCAATTTACACAAATTAACAATTTACAAGTTCCTTTTGACGCAACAAGTTTATTGGATCGTTTCTGGCGGGAATTCTCGAGTGCAGAGCGTCGGGTTATTTTCAACACTCTGCAATCGAAATAAAATATTGACATTTGTGTGCTTGAGCAAACTTGGGCAATCTCATCAATACGCTTCGTTCTTCTTTAGTTCTTGAAAGATTCACTTTTTTTAACTCTAATAAATGCAGGCTAACTGTCGCCTGATGAACGATTGGCGAGACAGATTTTTCGCAAACAAGTTTAATACATCTATAGCCCATAATCACAAGCTGTATATGCATCGTTCCTAAATTCGTGCTTCAAGGACGATCTCTCGTTATCTCGTTCTGTAAAAACTCTTTCCATCAATCCCATGTTGTTCGCGTTTTGACGCGATTATTATGCATTCGATTGACACGTATTTTTATGGCTCTCTTAAACCTAGACTGCCTCGACCAAGTGTACATAACCGCAAAGCGCAGAACGGAATATAAATGCGCTGTCAATCATTGCAGTCTGGGCGCAGCTGCAACGATATATGTGGGCGCCTTACTTTATCTCTCAGATATATCTTTAATGCTGAGAATCGCAACTCTTACGGGTGTACACTTGAGTATATGTTGGCTGTTCTTCAAGTGTGCTGGTTTTGCTTCTGATTGCTGCTCGGAACGACTTTTACATATGCGCACAAGTCATCGAACTCCTCTGGGAATTTTTGCGTTCACAAACGAATACACGCGATTAATTGTTTAACGTCAAAATAAAGGAACTCGACGCAAGGGACATAATTATTCCCCATGGCTGATTCCAGCTCCGTTTCGCTAATCATTATTTTTGTCGGTGTTCTATTGTTCGTTGTTACAGCTTTTATCCTGTGCTGTGTGCTGTGTCGCCTTCGCGGACGATCACCCGATCAACGTTCTTTACCAAAATCCCGGTCGAAACCAAACGATTCTTGGCACGATCGGGAAACGACAAATGTAACAGAATTTTGATGGACGATTGGCAGAGATGAGCGAATTTGATAACAGAGATCTTTTGCTAACGTGTGCATGTATCCGCAACGGCGATATGGAAAAAACTGATATATGGAATAAAAAGACAAAGATTTCGGCGCGACATTTATAAGCGCATCGCGTCTCCGTGTTTTAATAGAAAGGGTTTTTTTAAACAACTTCAGTGTGTAGAAGAAAGTGTTTTTCATCCTTGTGGGGAGGTAAATTAGGCATTGTCACGTTAATCTATAAAAGTGGCTATTGAAAAGCTCTTAAAACAGTTTAATAGTCCTAAATCCACCCAAGTAGAACAATATATATATGTGTTGGCGGCAGGCTTTGTGCTCGTACACAAGAAGGGTGTTTGTCAGCATGATTCCAAATGTTAAACATTAATACTCGAAGACCTTTTGAATCATCTACCTAGGGACGTTTTTACGGTTCATTAAGTCTACAAGTCATATATGTATATATATATAGTTATATATACATATATATTGTATAAAAACCTAGGACTTTTGTATTAAATTAAGAAAGAGCATTTACAAATTCTTAGTCCGTTTGTTTATCATGTACTTCTGATGAGATTAATGCCGACTTTAAACGTTTGCTTTTATGAGCGTGATTTCTTCAACACGAGATTGTTTAAATGCTGACAGTGATTATCACTTTCAAAATAGTTCACTTTGACCAGTGACTTGGATACATTATTCTGTGTTCTGTGTTCTATGAGTATTTTTTGTTGTGCTTTAAAATTCCTGATAGTTTACTTCGCCGGGGCTTGTTTCAATTAGTAGTATAGTCATCCCCCACAGTTCCCATTGGCAGGTGTTTTCAAGCTTGTTTGAAAGCGAGCAAAATTCGGCTTTTTTGGCATGGATAGCAAGAAAGCATGATAGATTGAACGGCCGGTTTTTATGCAACCGGCGAGCGTTGCTATACAAGACAATGACTTCACATCGACTGCCTACAAAACGTAGTTTTGTTTTTTCGTGATGGGAACGACGCAAAAGTTATAATTTCTCATAATTATGTAACATTAGAGCATCCATTTTGTCTCTCAAACTATATGTCATATGCGGTTAATCATTCGTATATATATGGTAGGGCAGGCAGAGCCAAAGGTTTTGAAATTTTTGTATAAACACATGAAAGAAAAACTGAAGATGTTTTTCATCTATACGCTGTCAACAATTTCGTTCAATATTGTCGGAGCTTGACAATGATTGAGTAATTTCGATAACAACCGTGAACATTGTGGGCAGAATAACATTGTGTTCTGCTGTTTATCTGTCAATATTGGAACAACTAAAATTTAACATGATGTGTTTTTGCCATGTAACTTTCGCGTGGAAATAATAACATGTATGTTATCTTGCCCCCGATCGATCTGATACTTCATGTTATTCCTTATTGTGCCTTCGGGTATAGTTTAATTAATCATTTTGTTGTGTTTTGCCCGAAGAACCCTTTCGTTCTTTCGTGAGATAAGTTAAATTTTCAACAATTTTCATTTGCATGTTGTGATAATAACATTCACTCCCCCACGAAGACGTGTCATTGATATTGATAAATAATTTTTATTTAAGAATTATCTACAACAGTGGACTATATATCGTTTCGTGAATATCGCTATATTTACTGAGATGTATGGTTATATAATATCCCTTTTGCATGCACACATCATTTTCAATTATCCGTATACAGAAATGTCAATTAAAAACTACGTATATTGTCATCCGCGAACTCAATTATGTACTCAATTGAGAGAAATCCTTTGAGTTTCGTTTTTCGTATAATCCCTCGCGCAAAGGCCCACGAAGACAGGACGCGATTTAGTAGATTACTTAAATTTTGCTGCTCTGGCGTCCATAGATTTTGCTTTCTTAATTGTTTTCCTAATTTATATGCTTCTGGAAATTAAAAATTCCCGTCGCGTTGCCGCATCGCGTCCGGTTTGTGCCGAGCTTAAAAATGTCAGATTCCAAACTCAGCTGTTAGCGCATGAGCATGCAACGTGGACTCTCTTAAACCGGTTTTCCACTAGCGATATTTTTCGCGCGAAGCGACATTTTACTTTTGTTCCAGAGCTCTCAACTGCAACCATCTGGAACAAATTGCTCAAATACAAAGGAATAAAGTCGCTTCGCGCGAAAAATATATCGCTAGTGGAAAACCGCCTTAAAAGACGATCGTATACAGCTAATTGTACCGTTTGATTGTGGCAAAACGAAGACAAACGTAGCTATTCATCACTGTTCATGTCATATATATCCCTAGTTTCCCATGAATATCTTACAACAAACAGCGGTCTGCCCGCACGTAAGGTTGGAAACTTAATCCGATCCCCTCCTTTATTTGCGAATATGTAGTTCAATTAATTTTCTAGATTCCTAATGTGTAAACATGCATTTATCTCAAGAATTGATAACCATTTATGGTCTGTTGCTTTGTAAAACGCGATAAAACGTGCATTTTTAACAGTACATACGTATATTTTATATTTTTATCTTTGGAAACCTTCCCAGTTTGTTTCTAACATTCAAAATGGTTTAAGTTCTTGGATTTTTCAATATGGCCATGGCATCCTCGTATCCAGCTCTGTAGCGCGAGTCCATGTCCTGGAGACTAGTTTCCAGGCTGTGCGTCGTGACGGTGTGTGCGTGATGTGCCTGCACGAGACGCTCCAGACGAGAGATGATCTCAAAATCTGGTACTGCAAGGCTGTTCACATCCAGACCCAATAACTTCGCTAGCACTTGTCTGAAGTCGAGAAGCTGTGGTGAATGAAAACGGAGATTATGATTCAGTAAATAAATCTCATTCAGATACGGACGATTTTTGCTGTGAAAATAGGTGCGATTCTCAGGATGTTTAAATAAGCACTTATTCATAGAGCATTCATGACTGTTCATTTGTTAGTGAGTCCACAGCAAGTGTGAACCAAATTTAGCAATTTCGGTTTGTAAAATCAAACTTGAAAATGTTAGCTCGTTTTATATTTTGACTTCAAAAGTAGCTCATTGAACTCAAAAGGATAAGTGATCAAGATTTTTTTAGATCAGTGCTGAAGAATCCTCACAATTTGAATGTATGAACCCTGTATAGTACCCTGAAGTACCTCTTGCTCCTCCTACCTGTTTCTCTCTAGACCGTGTCTCTTGCAAAGTTTCCTTGATGCTGTTCAGTTCGACCATGAGTTGTGTCATACTGCTGCTGGTCTTTGCTTTCTCCTCCTTCGCCTCAGTTTCGTTGTGGTGAAGATCACGTTTCATTCCGTGCAGTTGCCTAGTGGTTCTTTCTTTGCTTTTTGCGAGCTTGCTTACTAGGCGCTCAAGATCGTCCAATTTCTGGCTTTGTTCCATGTTTTCTCGCTAAAATAGCAGAAAAAATGAGTTAGAAAACTGTTCGTTGCTATATTTTAATTACCCCACAGCTCTAAACAATTTGAAAAGTGATCCCCTGATATTTTTAGTATAATAGAGTCCCTAAATCCTGACCAGCCGACAATTTCGAAAAGTACAAAGTTAAACATAACTTGGATAAACAAAGACATGATCTTGCAAACTCAAAGAGTTTTAAGAAAGACAAGACGCAATATTCTGAGATAGAGTCGAAATATCACGAATTGAATGCGTTTTAATTGTCTGTGTTGCATGAGTTTGCAAGATGTCTTTGTTTATCAGAGTATGTTTTATTTTAGAGCGTCCCTCGTACCTTTAGTTCGCTCGTTTCCAAGAGTTGTGCTTTGAGATCCGTAACGAGTTGCTGATTATGCAATAACTCCCCGCGATATTTATCGCACTGCTTTTGAAGCTTCTTGAATTTGACGGAAGACTCGTCACGTTCCACTTCGACGCGGCTTTTGTCCCTGGCCGTGTCCTCCAAACTGGATATCTTTTTCTGCAGCAAACCAAGCTGCAAGTCTTTGCTCTGCGCTTGTTGTTTGAACCATTTTAGCTTTCGCTGCAGGTTGTAGATCGCACTGCTTCGGTCATTCAGAGCTTCACTCTGGAAAAAAGAGACGGATTTTTAAAGTTTGTTTTATTTAATCAGCTTGACTTATGACTAATATTTCGCGGACCTTGACTGAGTTGAATATAACATCGTCCCAACGCATACCTCGAGTTTCACCAACTGTTTGGCTCTGGCCAGTAAAGCTTCGCCATTCACGTCAAGGCCAGCATCCTGAGCAATCTCATCTAATTTCATCGTTTGCGCCAAATTCTCGCAGAATATCATGTACTAGAAACAATACGAAGAAAAATGTCGATTAAGCGTGAAAAACTCCAGAGGCTTCAGGTTTTTTTCACGTTCCACCGAGGTTTTTTCACCTTCATCCATTTACCTTTCTTCTGTCCTCTCTGAGCTGGTCGCGTTCAACATCTGATGAAAACAACTCTCCTTCGAGTCCTGAACTTCTTTCCTTCATATCTTTGATTTGACTCTCGGCCTCAACAGCTCTTCTCAATGTTGTTCTGCAGATATTCTGCTGTCCTTCCAACTCCTCCATCGCATTGCGGAGTTTAATCTGCAGGCTTTCTACTTTCTAAAAGATGAAGGGTTGAAAAAAGATAAATTAAGTGTATATGAAGTGTAAATGAAGTGAAATGTCCTTGCCATTTTAGGAGTGTGTGTAAATTGGTTTGGACCCGTGTGAAATGTATTTGTTTTGTCTCTTGGCACTGTATGCAGTTCAATCTTGACCAATTGCACAGTATTACAAATAATTACATCAAAACCATCCTTGAAGTTACTTCTTTCTACGACAACAAAGAACTTACTGCGTTCACATCGCGAGAGCCTTTCGACAAACGTTTCACATGATGTAAAACGTCAGCTTCCGATTCTTCGCATCTTATTATCTCCGACAGGTGGCCGAGAAATTTCGAGAGCTAAACGAAGAAAGGAATTTTAAAGGTCTCATGCACATTGATTATGGTATATCTGACTTAGACGGTTATCGTCCAGGGACACTAAGCGTACCTTAGTCTGTGCGGACTGCTCAGAGTACTTCGTAGTTTCCAGCGACTGTTCCAGGGAATTCAATCTAAATAGTGGGAGTGATTAGGATTACAAGGTATGTTAAAAAGCGGGGAAAAATTCAGAGCCAAATCTCTGAATTATACTTTTATAAGGTTGCGCTGGTTTCAGTCATAATCACACTCGACTCACCAATGGCCGGTTGTATCAAACGCGTTTAGCTTAAACGGTGGATATTAAATAAGTTAAAATTAAATGACACTCTCACATCTTTCTTGAATGAGTCAACTTGAATATTATGCACTGAATATGTAGTTGTAAACAGTATCTTTGTATTAAGGCTAAAAACATTTAGTTTGCTTGTTGAATAAAACGATAGACTTGCTTTTTAATTTGAACTAACCATCGTTTAAGCTAAACGGGCTTGATACAACCGGTCCCAGGCCCTGGGTACGAGGCTGCTTTGACTCACCTTTCCTCTCTGTCGTGCAAATTGTCCCGGGTTAGAGCCCAGGCTTCTTGGCTTGTCTTCATTTTATTCCTTGAGTTCTCCAGATCAATTTCAAGTTCCCGGACTTTCTGCTCCAAGGTGTCTTTATCCCGTGTTAAATCTACTATCAACTGCTGATGTTTCTCCGCCTGCTTTTTCTCGTCACCAACCTCCGCGACCAGGCGCATGATGGTCTCTCTGAAAACGTAATTTAGTCGTCAGGGCAAACTCCTTTAAACTATTAGATCTAACAAAGGAATCAGCAGAGATCGAGCTGCGTCCCAGCCTAGCTTCAAACAAGGACACTTTCACTACCTGCTCGCTTTAGATTCCATATCATTTTCTTGCAGATTATTGGACAAACTTTTCGTCTTTTCCTTCAGTGATTGTCTGTCTCGAACTAAGTCGTTCACCTGGAAAAATTAAGTAGTCATTTCAGTCGTAAAGTTTGATGACTTCACCGTCAATACCTGCATACAACAAGAGCAAATATTAGCCATTTTACCTTCTTCATAAGAAGAGCTATTGACTCAGAGTTACTTTCTGATAGATCAACACGAAGCGTCGCGCTAAGTTGATCCCGCAGTTCTTGATACTAAAAACGAAAATGCAGTGGAAATTTTGTTACTGTGAACAACTTTCAATGTATGCTAGGCGTTGAAACGTCTGATAGGAAATGTCTTTTTGAGTGAGGAAAAATGACCAGAAATTAAACCACAATTCATCCCGAGACATATTTTTCATAGACTCTTCAGAGACCCTAGATTTGACACCCCCTCCTTATCTTCCTAAGTGCACACCCTTCCCCCTTCACAAGGTAACCCCCTCAATAAATTTTCCCCACGAATACAATTCCACTTGTTCTGCTGACCACGCCCATCCCCAAAGATCCCTAATCTCTCTAACCTTGGATTTCCACGAGAGCGCCTTTTTGGCAGCGTTCTCTTCTTCATTCAATCTTCGCTTCAATGATGTTTCCGCTTGCTGCAGTCGATCTTGCTGAGCTTGCATTTCCTTCTTCAATGACGCAATGGTGACGTCACCTCGTGAAGCGGCATTCTCTTTGGCGTCGATCGCCTCTTCAGCTTCTTGAAGGCGATGACGTAACGACTGGATGAGCGCAGTCTGCCTCGCGCCATTTTGTTTTTGAGTTTCAATCTCGCACTGGAAAATGAAAACGAATTAAACGACGCGATAGGACTTAGTTACTAGTGTTCAGATTTGCCTACAATTACTCAATCACTGGACGTTGATATATTGGTATTGAGAGCAACGAAGTAAAGTATACTGGCAATGTCTTTTTATTAAAACCCTGCTCATTTTTATTTGTTGACAAGTTAAAGGGGATTTTCTCAATAATCATGATTTACATTTCAATACCTTTAGATCAGTTATTTTCTGTTCTCTCTCTGAAACTTTCATTTGACAAACTCTCCCCTAGTCAAGAAAACAACCAAATATGCTGCAATTGTGAAACCAGAAACTCAATGCAGTGCATTCATTTTTTACCAACCTCGTCTTGAAGTGTCGACGTTCTTATCTTCTCACCCGCCAAATCAGTCGATGCCATTTCTGCCTTTTCTCTGTAGTGAGTTAACTAGAAAAATACGATTGGAAAAGTTGAGACAACTCCAATTTCCACTAATAATCTACAAGGAACACGTGTCATCCTTTAGGGCGAAACTGGAGTCCTAAGATGCCTGCAGTATTTGGTATCGTATTTGACAGCGCGCAAGCCCCTCGTTATGACAGAGCAACATTATGTTGACCCTTTTACCTGTAATGTTAGCGCTTCTTTGTCTTGCTGCAAACGATTTAGTTTTTCTCGCAAAATTTGAACATTGTCTTCTTCGGGCTGAGACTCCAGATCTTTGAGAAAATTATGAAGTTTCTCTGTCTTGCTACCGCGTGGAAATTCACCCTGAATGAACATACGGAACGAGTGTCAGAAGACTCAAAACTCTCAAAGGTCGACTTCCTCCAAATCAAATCCAATCAAATAAACATATTGTTTACTTGTGTAATTACTTACGGTACTATTTCGAAATCTACCGGCTTCCTCTCTACAGAAAGAACGAAGAAAGCTATTAGTTAAAGTGACACTGTCTCAAAAAGGTAAATGATGAAGAAACGTTTGAATTATCATATTATCGCGCCAATCTTATTTCGCGAGACGACGAAGCCTGGGCACGAGCAGTGTAGCCTTACTGATAAAAAATGTCTACGTTGTGAAATATACATTATACAATTCAATATTTCAACTTCACAATTTCTTTTGAGAAATTTTATGGAATGGTGATAAATTTAGCTTCAAAGTTCACCGAATCATTGCCTAATATGTAATCAATATAATGATATCGTTATTGTACATAAATGAATGGAAGAATTATATATTTTACTCATCTAACAACTTAGCTATTCTCTCACTACGTATACTCCTACCTTACTGGCCGTATGATAGGTTCCTTGAGAAACTTCAGATCAGTCTAAACAAAACATAAACAGAATTACAGATCAACATTAGACAAACTAAACAACTGGTTTGCCCACGGGTCGTTTGGGACGGACTTGCGACTTAGTTCTTATATGCAACAGTTCACGAGTGAGGTAGTGATAGTAAATACAGTTTCTTTGTTGAAAATGTTTGAAGGTGGATCATCAAAAATAAGAGAAATGTCAGGAAACATTGCCTAGTTTATCTTGAAACGAATTTCGATATCTGTGGATTTTAGCTTGTTGTTCGTCCGAGGTCGTTTATAGCTGAAACATGACGCTGGATTTTGTTGAACTGAAGAAGATTTTAGGAGATTCTCTTGGGAAGCTGGACTTTGTGTTCTGCATTCTTTAATCGTCTTGTATATAAGAAACCTACCTCGGAACGTCTGAAATCCACTGAACTGCAGTTGGAACTCTCGGCGCTCAAAGGACGTCGATGGCCATTCATTGTTGAACGCAAAGACCTGTGCATCTCACCTCGAATTTCACTGCCTTCCGAATCAAGAATAACATCTGAATCGCCGAGGTACTTGAGTGAAGATTTACCCTTGCGTTTTGGTTTAATATTCGGAAAATAATCCATGGATAAAGGAGCTACGAATGCTTTTAAACACGGTCTATATCACAAGTTCACCTGTCTTCTCAAATTTCGCCTAAAATCTACCGTATTTAAATTACTATTTTGATGTTATAGCGTCCGTATCCAAGGCAATCGTATCGCAGCAACGAAGACGTGCATAGCTGTTTAATTATTTATTTCTCTCGGCGTGTTCAAAAATCGTCATCAAGACTGGTGTTAAATTGTTTGTCCTTTCTATTTAGCGTCGCGTCGCCTTGTTTTGCCAATAAAATTGCACGTCATTTAATTGCAAAGCTATTTAAAAATTGATAAATGAAAGTTTTTAAAATTTTGTGCAACCGGAAATCTGCCACAGCGTCGGGTGCACTTGGAAATGTAAATCAATGTAACACGATAGCGTCTAGTCTTTTGTGAGAGAGCTCGTTAATTGACATTCTGAACTTTATAGTCGGAGCCACGCAGCTGTGAAGGTCTGAGTTGTGTTGAAAATTTTGTTGTGTATTCGTCAAATTTACGTACAGCTTCGCTAAGCATGGACAGTTCAAATATGAGTCCGACAACTGCACGTGAATTAACCGTGTTGATACAGAATACATTCCAGCAACTTCAGGACAAGTTAAACAAAACGGAAGACGCGATAGTTACACGTCTGAATACCACAAGCAAGGGAATTGATCAGATCGAGAAATCTCTTGTAGAACTCATGGACCACGCCGGTGTAAGCGAACCTTACGAAGACGAGCGAAGCGAATCGGAGATTTCTGACTCGACCAAGGACGAAGAGGAATGAAGATTTGTTAATTGAATAGGAAATATGGCATCGCCGCGTGGTTTTACAGCGTTGCTAGGAGCCGTTAGCGTTGGTTGAATCCTGCAAAGATATGAACCTGTTCGGGTGTTTATACTATAGCTTTATTGGGATATTTTGATCAACCTTTTAGCGAAGACGTTATTTTCTTCCATGGACAATTTTAGGAATGAAGAAATGGGATAATTTTTTTCTGTGCGAACTTCTCGCTTGTGTACTTTTATGACATCGGACACTTCGATGCCTTTATTTGCTTAGTTTAATGTCGGATTAAAGAATTGTATATAGTGTTTAGTTTTTAATTTTTGAGTAATTTTAGGATAAATCTCTATGGTGTTGTCAGTATTTTGTCTACGTAGTTTATCCACCATCGGGAAGTTAGCAATGTTCCTTGGTTAGTAAGCCGTCAAAAACATGGCTTGAAAACAATATTTCCTGGTTTGTAAGCCTTCTAAAACGGCATTGCTTGAAAACAATGTTTCCTGATTTGTAAGCCTTCAAAACCATGGCTAGGAAACAATGTTTAAAACGTGGTTGATAAGCCCTCAACTCAAACATGGCTAAGGGACAATTTTTCCTAGAAACAATGTTTCCCAGTTTGCTCGACCCCATAAAACCGTGGCTAGGACACCTAACATTCTTTCTTGGTTTGTCACGCTTCATAAAACTATGTCCAGGGGGACAATTGTTAGGAAACAATGTCTTTTAGTTTGTCCATCTTCTGGAAAAACGGTTATATGAAATGCACCTGCGCTTTGGAACGCATAAAAATATGCAGAAAACGTGCTGCTATTAAGAATGAAAATGATATTTTGCCACCTGGCTGACTCATTCAGACCACCTGCAAGTACATAAGTGCCAGTCAGTTCAGCTTCTGAGTTCTGTCCATTATGCACAAAACCGTATCGCTATCTTAATTTCTATCAAATCGTGTTAATTTCTAAGCTAATCGACGGGCTATAAAGACTTTTAATGTCAGGGACTCAAATAAATATACAAAATCCTACAAACCAATGAGCAATTGCTGCTTAATTAAGTTGTAAATGAAAACGAAATGTGACCACGAAAACCCGTGATGTGAAGGAGTCTTGCTTATGAAGCTGGGAGGATGATCCTTCGAGGATGATCTCCCGAAATATCTTGTCTAAACTAAATTTCTTTACACGCTGTATAAAAAATATAAATATTTTAACGTGAAACGTAGAGGCTGTCTACAAATTTCGAATAGTATTTCATATTTTTTTTATGAAGCTTTATCCTTCACCATATACAAAAAAGTTTTAAAATGCGGGGTATAATACCCCCGGAACTACAATCTATTGTCAATTGATCTAGTGACATCGAGTGATCATCAATAGATGATATATGGCTTTGAAGGATGAGAAAATGCCGACTAAATTACACCACTTTCGTTGGAGAAAACGACTAATTTTCACCACAGTAAACTCGTTTCTTATTTAAAGATTAAAACTCAAAGCTCATTGAAGATTTTACAGGTGTATTTACTAAGCAATGGCGTCGGTAAAGGTGGCCGTTCGTGTAAGGCCATTGAACCAAAGGTGTGTGGAAATACTTTGGCGCTATATTTTGAACTATATTTTACGTTTCCAGAGGGTTGATGACATATAATCGTAATTTTAACGTAGGGAGGATAACAAAGGTGCTTCTCTCATCATTGAAATGGAAGGGAAAAAGACGAAAATATCGAATTTTAGGGTAAGGATAACATCGCATGACAACTACAGGCAACGTGTTTAGACATAAACACTGTGATTTCGTTTACCTTTCGCGAAATGAAACTTTTGGTTTATTCATAGGCTAGTTCTGTGGAGAAGGTAAAAGAGTTCACATTCGACCATTCGTATTGGTCCGCAGATCGCAGAAGCAGAAATTATTCAAACCAAGAAAAGGTATCTATTACTTTCGCGTGTAAAACATTAGCAAAAATTATAAATAGGACTTCACCGGCTATGTCATTGTGAAATAAAAAGTTTACATTGGAATTATCTTCCGGTTACTCGTAGCAAAAGGTGAAGTCAGTTTACATGAAACCGTAAACAGAATCTCCCTTGTATTCTTGTAATATTTTGTCTATTCCATGCTGTTTTGTCTTGTTTTTTGTTTTGTACGTATATTCTATTAGTGCAAGTTATTTCCGGAATTTATCTTCCAACTGTCACGAGCCGTGAGATGTTCGGCTTTATTATGATACATTGGAGTTGTCATCAAGCAATATCAATTCGATTTAAACACTTGAATTTCGGTCGTTTGTGAAGTTCTACGATATTTTTAAATGGCAGCACTTTTTTGTTTACATTCTAATGTAGCAAATTAATAACTAATTTTGCAGTATTTAATACTTACGTGGTGTACCTACAAGTTATTATAATTACTAAAGTCGCCATGCAATCATACAAGAAAATTATAACTAATTTTGGGTTGTTCTAATTTAAATGAGAACATTTCTCACATGCTTTGACAATTCATCATTGTTGAAAAAATCATGTTAGGTTAACAGTTTAAGTGCAAATATTCAAATTTCGTCAATGACTGGTTTAATTTTATTTGTATACAATGTTTATCCTGTCATTACATCTCATATTATTGAGATTTTCATATGAAATGAATTGCATCATAATTGTAAATCACCCAGGTCAAAGCATTGCAATTTGAAGTCTGGTTTTTTACCATTTGCAGGCAGTTGTGATTTTGCAACCTTTGGGGAAATATGATATCTGTGATGTAGCTACATAAAAATATATGCCCTAGTGATTTGATTAATGATCATGGCAAATATTGTTAATTAAATCCAGGTTTCAAGTATTTTCAACTGAAATTAAATGTACATGTGTTTCTACAGGTGTTTAATGATCTTGGTACAATGATTTTAAAAGCTGCTTTCGAAGGATACAATGCTTGTATCTTTGCCTATGGTCAGACAGGCTCTGGCAAGACCTACACCATGATGGGAGACTCTGTAAGATTTGACCTGTTTATTGCAATTTTAATAGTAACAGTTCGTGTCTTACCATTGCACATTATGTTATTCTAGGAAACAGACCCAGGCCTTATTCCTAGAATTTGTCAGGTAATCCATGAAGACAGGTTATAGTGACTTGTTTTATGTAAATTAAAAAACAAGGGGAAAGATTTATTTCATTGTTCACCATACCAATAGGCAATGTTTTCAAGAATGAAGGCAAATAAAGACCAAGGTGTTTCTTATAGAACAGAAGTGAGGTAAGAGCTAGCCCTGATCTCAAAGTATTGACCTTATCCTGGATTTCTTTGATATAATAATAGTCTTTCAATTAAATTTATCTCTGGGATTAGGCAGAGCATAATGCATAAAGTGTGTAGTTTTCAACATGCTATTTCCCCATTGCCCTATCCAGTTATTTGGAGATCTACAAGGAGCATGTGAGAGATCTGCTTCGTCCACCAGCAAAGGGAATGCAACAACACAACCTGAAAGTTCGAGAGCATCCAAGAGATGGAATTTATGTTCAAGGTACCAGATTGCACCTGAATTAATTGTGGCAGGGGTGAGGCCATTTATCATAATCTCTGTTTTGCATGCCTCTTGCAGACCTCACAAAGCATCTTGTCTCAGACTTTGAAAGCATCCACAACCTCATGGTTGAGGGAAGTAATGTTAGGTGGGTAGAATTTCTAATGCAATTTCAGAGTAACCATCTATTGGGTTGTCTGGGTTGCAAAACCTGGATTCCCAACAGAGCAAGGTGGGATCGCTGGACTATAATCTCCAAGACTGTTCCTCCCAATTCAACTAGTACCATGGTTTCTCATCTGACTTTTTTTCTTGTCTTAACGCACCAGGGTAACAGCAAGTACAAATATGAACGATACCAGCAGTAGATCACATGCAATATTCACCATCAGTTTTACACAGGTACAGATTCGAAATACAACCCTGATGGATATATAAAACGTTCAAAATGCACCAGGTTATTCAGTTCTATTTGTGTTTAAATTGATGTTCTCATTTCAGGCCAAGTTTGACCATGACATGCCAAGCGAGACTGTCAGTAAAATTAACCTGGTGGACCTCGCTGGAAGGTTAGTTTTATATGAGTCCTGGGGCTGGTTGTTCGAAAGGCGTTAGGATTGAAGGAACATATTTCAATAGTGGAATTAGATATTATGGATAACGAAAACTGAAACGCAGACCAAGCCTTTCACGAATAACATGTGTGACGTGCTAACTGGGAAGTCTACGAATGTGCTCTAGATCTTATCTTCAAATTTTTCCTGTCTAGTGAACGCGCAGATGCTACGGGTGCTACTGGTGATAGATTGAAAGAAGGTGGTTTGATTAACAAGTCGCTGGTCACATTGGGAACAGTCATATCACACTTAGGTAATGGACATGGTTGCGATGGGTTAATCTGTTTTTTATGGGTAAAATCCTCGTCGTTTAGGACATATTTCAGCCTTAAAGCCAAGGCCAACAGGTTTCGAATTTTATTTAGCGTCGAATTCTATATAGTGAAAATATATTTTATCGATAAAATGACCTCGACTTGCTATAAGTCGCCGACTCACAAAACACCCACACGCAAGCTTGACCGCGCGATAGTCATCGCATCTGGCCTTCGTAGCCATATGTTCAAAAGTTTCCTCACAGCCTCCGGGAAAGTTTAAAAAACCTTTACTTGACTCCCTGAGGCATTATTTTTCAAAATACTTCGTGATTGGGAAAGGCTACCGATTTTTAGGAATTGATTTATCTTCACTGCTTCAGACTTTACATCATAAGAAACAACGATACAGTCAGTAGTTTTCAAATGACCCTAATGTCTTTCTTTGGCCCCATTTACACGAGCCCGGGCTGATTTTCAACCCGGGTTGGTGCGCCACAGGTGGTTATATTTTTATCGTGTTTACACGGACCCGGGTTGAAGACCATTCTCGCCAACCCGGGTCAGCAATTCCCAACCCGGGCTGGCTAGGGAATATTTCCGAGTGATAGCCTGGAGCAGAGTGTAAATTGGCGGACAATGACAACAACACTGGCGATAAACGAAGGAAAGTTATTGTTTCTACCTCTGCAGTTTTGCTTCTGCTTTTAGCAGCCATTCAAATGCACGGTGTGATGCTGTTGTTCATTATCTACAACAACATCGAAGTCGAAGTCGAGTTGAAGTCGACGTTTTTGTAGTTCATCTTCGACTTATAATGTTTTAAACACAATATCAAATGTTCGAGCATTTTGGGTGACCACCGAAACTGAGCTGTTGCGGGTTTTTTGAGACATTTTTGTCCGGTTTTACTTTTGCTTGCCATACTAGCGGAGAGAAGTTACGCGCGCTCAATGCAATATGATATGCGCGTGTGACAGGATAATTGCTTCCAAAGTCCATATGTCGCAGTTTATACGAGCCCGGGTCAAGCCAACCCGTGTTTACATGAGGAATTTAGCACAATTTTCACACCTTTACACCTAGCCAACCCGGGTCAACCCGGGTCTCGAGAAGGGTTACCCGGGTTGGCGAGGTGTGAAGTCCCAACCCGGCTATCGTGTAAACGCAACTAGTAATTTATTCGCAGACGGGTTGACCCGGGTTGGTGAGCCAACCCGGGTTGGCAGCCAGCCCGGGCTCGTGTAAAGGGGGCCTTTGTGAAACATGCAAATACCTCAGACTTTCACCCCATTACAATCTTCCATGTGTAAAAGACAATAAACTGATGAGTGATGTAGTCGAGGACTTAACGTATCATTCTAATACATTATGCTTTCATTGTCATAATATATAATGGTGCGTTCGGGTGCAGTAACTACAGTTTACATATTTTCCTGTCCGCTTGACGTGTATAATCAATAGAAGTTCTATAAGGAATGTATTTGCAGCCAAAAACGTGGTCTTATGAAAGCTATGAATTTGGCTTATGTTTCAGTACGTTCTGCAGGACCTTGGCAAAACAATCAAAAATATTTTCGTCGTTTTATTACTCTGTTGACAAAAAAAATGTTGAATGCCATCTGTGCGATAATGACTCTTAACACACGTCTATTAAAGAGTTAACGATCATTAATTATACTTTTCATAATACACAGACCATGGTTCCAACTTATCAAAACAATTTTAACAGGGGTTTAGCAAGATCTTTCAGTTATATCTATTTGGCAACTTAAAAGTAAATTGTAAAGTGTCTCAGTATATAAACTGAAGCATTTCTGGCTGCTTGGATGTCGAATCCATGCCCATGGTTAGCTGGCTATAGTCTATAGGCCTACAAATGCCAAGGTTATTAGGTGCGAATGAGATTCTGGCGTAACCAACAGGTGTTAATTTCATGTTTTTTCTTCAGCTGATGTTTCTATGCATCCACAAAAGAAGATCTTTATTCCGTACCGGGATTCTGTGTTGACCTGGTTACTAAAGGACAGTTTGGGAGGAAACTCTAAGACAGTCATGATAGCAAGTAAGTTGGTCGAATACAAGTTTCTTCCTAAATCTCTTCAATACATTACGGTGATTACACCACACGCTACATTGATTTTATGAGATTTTACGTAGACCATGAGTTTCACAACTCACCTCCAGTAGTGGGTAATAGAAACACTTAGTCAGAAATCAACCACCACCCCCCACCCCCCCTTCTGCCCAGCTTCTCATGACCAGTTCATGAGGATATTCTTACAGACCTTATACCTGAGATTTATACCTATAACCTTTCATTATTTGGGGCAATTCTAACTGCTCAGCAGTTACAAAAAATCCCTCTATACGCGTTGTGTCGTTTATTTTTAGCCATTTCACCTGCCGACATCAATTATGCTGAAACTTTAAGCACCTTGAGGTACGCCAACCGCGCGAAAAACATCATCAATAAACCAACGGTTAACGAAGATGCCAACGTCAAATTAATACGAGAACTCAAGGCAGAGATTGATCGCCTCAAAGCCATGGTTAACCCGGTAAGAAAACCAGAACGTTGTTCTTTTTCATGCCTTAGGCGAACTAGACTGGAAACATTGTCTCTTAATTTTTACCATTCCGACTTTTACCTACAGGAAGCCCTAGGGACAGCAGAGCTGGCGGCCGCAAAGAAGTTATCTGAAAACGAAGCGAGAGTCAGCGAGCTCACTGATAAGTGGAAAGACAGATGGAGAGAGACACAAAAGATTTTAGAGGTAAAGGCCCTGTTTATTACACGGTGCAATTTTTCTTGCAACTTGCAATGCAATTCTTCTTTTGAGAGATGTAAATTTGGCAACTACCGAACTTTGTCTTTATAACAATTCATGGCTTTTCTTACACTAATATTTTGAAGCCTCTTCACTAATTTACATCTCTCAAAAGTAGAATTGCATTGCAATTGTAAGAAAAGTTGCACCGTGTAACATGGCCTTAAGATAAGGATACATCTTATTCATCGTGTTATTTTCACTTTTTATAACCCCCTGAACACAACGTGATCGCTTGAGCGTAGAAAGTGTTCTTTGGGTGACATTGTCATTTATCGATTATCGTGTGGTGTTTTAGGAGAGAGAGATGGCTTTGCAAAGAGAAGGTGTTGGAATCAAAATGGACTCGGGTCTTCCCCATCTTGTTGTTGTGGACGATGATCTTTTCAGTACTGGAATCGTGGTTTATCATTTGACAGTACGTTCATCCTGTTAATAACCAGTTATATGTAGCTACTAAAGTTGTCTGTACAGTCATTATTCTCATTGTTGAAGCTGTTTAACAATATTTTTAATCAACTTTCTTTAAGATTACTTTAGGATTTTGCATCATCCCATCGAGTATATGTAGAGAAGAGTTAAATAAGATTTTCTTTTTATTGCATTCAACAGGAAGGTCGAACGACTGTTGGTCGGGAGGACGCATCACAAAAACAGGATATCGGTGAGGACATGTCTTCCCCATACGAATCAATACTACGCTCCACCATAGCTTTACCAAACCAGTCAGGTCACGCTTTTAAAGCACAAAAATAGTATCTCTAATTATACCATGCCACATACGATTCCCTACCTAACCATGCCATATCCTATCATATCACATCTTAACATGCTATATCCTACCATATCATTTCACATCCTACCTTGTCATGCCTTACTATGTACCATGCCACATTTGACCATATCATATCATGCCATCCTACATCCCACCATATTAAACTTTACCAAATTGCCCTGACCATGCACCAAACCATACGGTGGTGACATACCCACTGCTCCGCGCCACACCAAACCAATTCTCGTCTTTCATATTTCAGTAATAAGCGGTCCAGACACGGACAAAGAACACTGTTTTATCGAGAACACATCAGGCAATGTTGTCCTAAATCCTCTATCTTCCCTCTGTACTATCAATGGCAACAAAATCGAAAAGCCTGCCAAACTTTACCAAGGTAAGGATCTATGGGCACAATCATTGATTAACAGTTTTCACTCCGGTCATATTCTGGCATTATTCTGCCCAAAGAGATGAAAGTCTTTGGTCAAAGAACACTGTCAGCCTTGGGTCAATTGGGTGGGCTTTCAATATTGTTTTGTCTAAGGAATTACACTGGAGATCTTTGTTGATGTTTCAGGTGATGTTGTCGTTTTGGGGAAGACAAATCTATTTCGATTCAATCATCCACAAGAAGCTGCTGAATTAAGAGAAAAAAGAAAGGTACCACAGCACCAATAGTGCCTTTGCATGATTGTCACTTCTTGAAAACTGTACCATTGTAAAAATTACCTATACTTGTATTTTCAATAAGTTTGAGAGTTGAGTTATTTTTCCCCCATTTCCAATGCTTTTCAAAACATAACCTTTCACTGAACTTGGTATTTTTATTTCCTTTTTCGTTCAGTCTATGAATAAGAATGGTGTGAATCGTGTGAATATGGTGTCCAAGTTTCGTAGCGAGTCGGATTTGCTGAGGGGTTTCATCACAGGGTAACGCTTCTATTATTTCGTTGCTTATCAACACGGTTGCTTATCAATGTTTTTGTCCCTTGCAGGAGCGAACGCGAAGAGAAACTAAGCCGGGAACTAGACCAAGCAAGGTAAAAATCTGGCTTCCAGACGAGACAGGGCACCGGGATTGCGGGACAGTGGTTGTATACCTTGCTGTAGCGTGCTTTAGAAAGTAAACTTAGATTCTAGTAGTTTACATTGCTAATATGCTGTTTTCTCAAGTATATTTTCGCACTGAACACGAGATAAACACGATATATACGAGATATCTATTTACAAGACATCTCTTTTTTCCTCACAGAAATCTCTTGGACAAACAAAAGCAAGAGGAGTCGTTACTTTTGGAGAAGGCTAAGTGAGTTTAGATTATCTTGTGGGGTTTGTCTGAATGTTGTTGCAGTCTGTACGAGTTTTGTGTTTGTTTTTGCAGAGATGAATTGGCTGCCCAGATTCAGGAAGAATCAAAACGACTGGAAGAAACAAGGTATTGCCATCAAGTGTGGTTTTTGGCGGGAAAAGGGTATTCGCAATAGTTTGACGAGTCTTTCATTCTTCAACAGACACGAATTAGAACAACAGAGGGCAATTGTTAGCACTCAGACTGAGAGGGCAGATAAAACAAGGTAAATTCATAAATATACAGTAGATGCAATTACAAAAAAAAACTGACAAAAAAGTAAATTTTTCTCTGTTTATAATATCAAACATTGTTTATAAGAGTCGAGTACGAGAAATTGGAGGAAAAACATCGAATCTCGGAAACGGACCGTCGGAAACAGGAACTGATCTACAAACATGAGTTGGAGTGTCGTATGATGAAAATCGAAAGCCAGAAGGACGAGTTGGAGTCGCTTAAAGAGCAATTCACAACCACCGAAAGAGTTAGGGAACGAGAGATAGAGGAGGTGAAGGAGAGGATATTTGAGGAGAAACGAGCGAAGATTGAGGAGCTTGATAACGAAGTGAAGAGGTTGTTGTTGCTGCAGTCAGAAAGTAAGATTACTCGCGATGCAAGGGAAGAGGAAATGATGAACTTGCAGATGATTTGGAAGAAGGAAACTGGAAAATTAGACGATGAAAAAGAGATTTTAGGTTCACTTGAAAATGATCTTTGTTTGTTGGACAAGGATGTTGAAGAGGTGAGTCCTTTTTGTAACAAGGATACATCCATTTGTTTGATAATCACAACCCGTGTTGGATTGTCTATGGTCAGACATACAAAAGCTTATCTTGACGCAATTCTTTTTCAGGGAAAAACCAAATCAGGAGATTACGAGCAACTTGAAGAGGAGAGAGTTAAGCTTGTGAGAAAAATTTTAAAATCAAAAGAACGCATTTCGTACTTGCAACAAGAACGGCAAAACGCCGTATCTCAGTTACAAAAACATCTTCAAAACGAGCGGGAAGTTTTGGACTGGGAGGTTATTGAATGCCAGAAAGAGCTACGAGAACGAAGACAAATGTTGGAGGAACAACTTAACGAGTTAGAAGCTGAAAAAGACATCGCCGAAGATAAACTAGCCGAAGCTGAGATGGAGTTAAGTAATAAGGTCGCTGACCAGGATAGGATTATTCACGTCGCACAGGAACAGCTTTTTAAACTAGAAGAAGAGGTGTTGCAGGCGATACGAGTTGACGATGAGGAATTGAAAGCGAAGCGGGCGAAATTTGATGAAGAAAATAAGGTTAGGACTCTCGCGATTGCTGAGAAGAGGCGCGAGGTTGTTGAACTAGGAGAGAAAGTTGAGAGGTTGAGGAGTGTTGAGGAAACTGGAAACGAGAATGAGGCGAAGGAACTTGAAGCTCGACTTGGAGAGCAGAAAACAGTGCTTCAAGAGATGGAAGAACAGTCGATTATCGAGGAAAAGAAAACAGAAGAACTGTTAGCGATTGCAAGTAGGGATTTAAAACAAAAACAGGCTAAAAATGAGGTTGATTTAGAAGAAGAACGAAGTAAAATTGAAGAACTTAAAAACGACAAGCAAAATACGATTAAAGAGTATGCGAAGAAGGTTAGCCATTTTAAGGCGATGTTGGAAGACGCTCAGAGTAAACTCCAAGAAGATAAAGGAAAATTGAAGGATCTAGGACTTGAAGAGGAAGCACTACATCAGAAACTCGAGGCTGGTGTGATTTCGATTGCACGGAAATTAAAGGGCGTGGAAACACCGCCGGAAGTCGAGAATTTGATAAGTGATCTCGAAGTGGTCAACATCTCCGGTCGGGCGGAGATCACTGAGAAGGAGGAGAGCATGAGCCTGGAACTGCAGAAGATCACGAACAGTTGCAAGGTCTTGGAAGACAGTGTCATGGCGGATGAGAACGAGAAAGAAAAAATCGAAAATGACCTGAAAGAAATGCGAGAGGTGTTTCAGAAAGATCGAACTGGAGAGAAATTAGAACTGATGCAATTTGTGGAAAATGTTGAAGGCGAGAGAAGTATAACTGTGAAAAAAAGGTACGATGTTTTGGGGGTGAGTTTCCCTCTTTATGTAGTGTGCGATGTTTTATATTTTCAGTTTAACTCTCTTTACACACTTTGGTTAAATTTGATCCGAAAACCCCGGTATTGAGATGGTGGCAATAGTGAGCTTAACTTAAGCAAGTGACGTTTTTGACAACACGTACGTTGACCGGAAGTAAAGTTTTTGTTTTTCACCAATCACAATCCTTGACCCAGTCTTTTGACGTTACTCACGCGTTTGTGTTGTCAAAAACGTCATTAAGCTCACTAATGTCCATATACATACTGTATACACGAGCTAATCTATGAAACTCTGTGTTTTTTTATATCGTACACAGTGATACGGATTCCGCCATGTTTTTGGAGATCCAGCGAGCTCGCAAAGAACACGAAGAGGTCGTGTTGAAACTGGAACTCGAGAAACAGCAGCTGCTGCTCGAGAACGAGCGACTGGAACGCGAAAGATATAAAGAAAAACAACTGGTCGAGCAAGAACGTTTGGCCCTGGAGCGAGAGAAGATGGACGAGATACAAACTGTGATACGAGAAAAGGAAAGTGAACTCAGCCTTATGAAAGAGGAAGCTCAGGAGAAAATCGTCGAGTTGAAGAAACAATTGGAAACTTCTGACAGGTAATGATGAGTTGTGGTGGAGGTAAATGGCTGGTCAGGACGTAGGAGAACATGGACAGAGAGCAATCCGGGGGCACGGCTAAAAATGGTTTTTTACTTCATCTTTCGCAACGTTCTCAGTTTCGTCGTAAAATAATCGTGTGCCTTTGGGGAATGATAAATTATGAGGTGAATGCTCTTTGTCCAATAGTCTAGTGCATCTTCTCAACTCCAATCTTTCACGTTATCTTTCAGAGAGATTGCTCAACTTCAGCACAAAGTAACTCATTATACAAGCATGATTGTGAGTATTCTGTGTGTAGAGCTGTCGAATTCAATCGAACAAAATCCTGTTTCTTAACCCTATATTTTAATATTCTCTTTGTAATTTCCTCCACGCCATTCCAGAACTTACCAATTCACAGCGAATTTGACGACGAGGACGACGAAGAAGATCCTGAAATCGCAGGCTATTTATCACGAGACAACAAGGTGAGGCATCTTTCAAGAATGTGACTGCTTCTTCAAATGACATTTCACGAAAGAAACTTTCTCTTTTCCAGCGTCGACGTGGAGGTAGCGTGGCCAGCCTGGATGGTTCCGTCACCCCGCCCTCTATAACTCCCCCACCGACGCCCGTATCGAAGTTCCTAGCCTCTGTGATTCATAATAAGCGAAACGCGATCCACGTGGAAATACCGCGTTTCAGGATTCGAGGCATAGGGCGAGTCTCCTATCACGTCTTTGAAGTCAGGGTAAATATATCTAACCATGGTTAAATTTATTTTTTAACCATCAATATATTCTCTCATCACATCAAATACACACGACCATATATACCCACTAGTAATGCACACAAAACACAAATGTAATTTCCTTGTGATTATGATTTAACTGATGCCTTACAAGTTTCAGATTTCGTAATATTTTTCTACAATTCTCACTTGAATGACCATATTTCCCAAGGTTACGGTTGGCGATGAAACCTGGACAGTGTTTCGAAGATATAAGAAATTCCGAGAAATGCACAATGATATTAAGCACAGACATCCAGAGGTAAGATTGATTCATTCAATGATCACATAAACTTTTGATCGTCTTTAAATGTACATGTAACGTTGATTGTTTGTTTCTTAGATACGCAACATTAGTTTCCCTCCGCGAAGATTTTTTGGTAACAGAAATGAATCCTTTGTGATGGTACGCAAGGATATGTTAGAGGTCAGTCGATTGAATGTGTTAAGTTGGTTTCACCCAAAGGTGGATTTCTAGGGGCGTGCGCAGGGGTGCTCCAACCCCCCCCCCCAAGTTGTGTGTGGAACCATTTCCACCGCATTCGCAAATGATTTTCTTTTTTTCAACCCAGAGCTACCTCCGTGAAATGTTGAACGTGTGTTCAACGCTACGATCGTGCCATCTCAATGTTCCTGAAGGACAAACTCTGACAAAGTGGGATTTGTCTTTTTTTCATAACTTCTTTAAACAAGGTATATTTGAACAGACGAGAGCGTACAATGCTTCATAATGTGTGACTGGAAATCAGATCTTGTGTGAACATGCGTTGTTTCTCCTTCGAAGACGAGGTTGCAAAAAACAACCAAGTGAATACCTGTATCAAGCCCCGATATTCCAGGCTACAAAGCCATAATGGATGTCTTTAATCGACCCCTGCCAACCTGATTGCAGGCAAAAGGTCAGAAAGAGAGGGTTTAGCCAAATGAATAATACACCCAAATACACGCCCACCCCATATAACCCATTCATTTCAAATCAGTGATTTTCAATCAAGCTAAATCGCATAGTACATACATAACCAAAACAACACGGCTACGAAAACTGGGAAAGATTATTTGTGAAGTCAAGTAGGAATTATATATATAATTATTATAATTGAATTTATATTTAATCGCACACACGCAAGCGCACATTAACACAAAATTTATTTATATGATTATTGATGAACAAAACGAGATATCGAGTTTGGGAGGCTGGTGACGAGGCTAGTGGACTACTAGTTTAGATAACAAAGGTTGCAGATTGTAGGCGATGAACCCATTGACATATATGTATACCTGGACTGCCTGCTCGTGCACTTTTATCAGCGATGAATGTGGCACGTCAGATTTACATTTGCTGACGAAATATATTTAACAGTTAATGATTAATGATGGAAGTTATTCTGCGAACTCGAGTCGTATATCGGCTGATAGCCGACGAGGCGCGTAGCGCCGTTTTATTATATACACAAACTTTGTCGCTCTTTCGGTGCATTTGGTGTGCTATTATCAACTAGGCTTGGATTTCTATTTCACTCAACTCCCAAATCTTTCCGCCATTTTGTTTACTTTCTCTACTAGACAGATATGAGCTAATATCTGTCTAGTAGCCAACCAATGAAATTGCAGCATACCTCATATCTGGCGCTTGTGTATATAATAAATATATTATATATGTCAATGGTGAACCTGACAATTCCTCATTAAGTGCTGTGAAATATTTAATGCATCGAAAATGTAATTTGAATTGTAAAAAGTGTGTGGTAAAAATATAAATGGAAGTCTATTATTTTAATATCCATGTCACTTTTTGCTGTACAGTTGGGTAATATCCAGAATTACCCAAATGCACTGACGACGTCAACACGAGATCAACACAATTTTTACGTATATATTACAAACGCGGTAGTTAACACAAATGAAAAAGCATTAGTTTTTTTATTTACTTTATGTTTAAACATTTATACATGCCTAAAGGCGGTGTTACACTATGTAATTTTCTTTGCAACTCGCAATGCAATTATAATTTTGAGGGATGTTAATTTTTAGAGAGTGTTCGAAATGCTAAGAAAACGTTAGCAGATCGTAAGAATTGTTCGTATTTGACAACTTTAGATGCCTCAGGAGTAGAATTGCATTCCACGTTGCAAGGAAAGTGGCATAGTGTAACACCGACTAAAGTATGCTTCACAATAAGTTCTCCCTTGAATCAATAACACTAATTTTATCCATAGCGTGCACAAAAAAGTAACTCTCTATCGTGTATGTATGAGCATGTCGTGTTTACGCTGAAAAATAGAAATTGATATTGAAATATAGAAATTATAGAAATTTCACACTTCATTATTCAAATACCACAAGAGAAGATCCTCTTTTAATTTCATCAAACGTTTACTCCGTAACTAACCAATATCATTTATATGGAATCCATATATAGAGTCCATATAGCTTGGATACGCTTTCTTGAATGAAATATCGTGCGTTATTCAATAAATTTAATTAGATGATTAGAGCCTGCACTTTAGCGAAGCAATATATGTTAAATTGTTGATGAAAAGCCTCGTGAATACTCAAGGAGTTGACAGGAAGTTTTAAAAAAGGTTTGAAAGAAAACAATATTCCCTCGTGTGTGAATCTCATTGTACAAGATGTAACGTTATTTCCTTTTTACGAGCACGCTATATTACCCCTGACTGTCACATAAATGCGGGATTTGAAATGCAGTTTATTATTCAGTCTGTCATCGGCACCTGTGTAGGACAATTCACATCCAAGAGTTGTTGTCAGTTTCAAGTTTTCTAAAGTCAAAAGATGAGTTTTACTGTAACAGGGATTCAGAGAAAAAGGTATTTGATGACCCCTTGCTTTCTTTTTTTACTACATGTATTGACAATTGTTCATCTATTTTTTAACAAAATTGCATGTTTTGCATACAGGCAGACTTTAGTCGTTGCCTTTGGTATATTTTTTTTCAGCAAATTACGAGTAACTTGTAATAGTAGAAACATCACATTCATTCGTTGTTATTATTGTTATACCTTCACGATATGAAAGTCGTTTTATAAAGAAATCTTTTCATCTTTTTTAATCGTATTCAGCCGCGGCCAACAAAAACAAGAGGACAGTTACAGTCGAGATTTGGAGCAAGCTGTTGACGAGTTTGAAGAGGCTTTTGAACCGACACGCAGCGTCGCCAAACAGCGATGGGACGCGGCCGTGAGCTCTACACGAAACATGGTCATAGCTCAAATAGACTTGTACCAGTACAAACAGGAGGAGATAGACGTTGAAGTACGTGACATGAAGATATACGTGAAAGGACGGCACGTGACCGAGCGGGAAAATGGCTACGATGCGAGCGAATTCGAGCGCTTCTACGCCGTCCCCGAGGGGGTGGACCCCAAGATGGTGAGCACCCGTTACGCCGATGGTATGCTCAAAATCGAAGCTCCACGTCCCAAGCGTGAATCAGCGCCTCGCAAGATTGCCGGGGGGGAGATAATCAGCGACGACGAAAAATTCGAGATCGTCTTGGATGTAAGAAACTACAAACCTGATGAAATTGAAGTGAAGGTGAGCGGAGATGATTTGATTGTGACCGGAAAACAAGAGGTCGAGGAAAAGGGAAGAAGGGTGACAAGGCAGTTCACCAGAAACTTCAAATTGCCGCGTGACGTGAACATCAGGACGGTGAAGTCTCGAGTCAGTGTTGACGGATATCTGTACGTTTACGCCAGGAAGGAAACGACTTGGGATGAGGAGAGAGTTATCAATGTTTTGGTCAATGGAAGACGATCACCCATCACAAAGACCCAGGCTTACTACACAGGAGGGGAAGAAGAATAGTGTTTTCTTAACTTAGAAACTGCACGAAAAATCGAAGTAGGAAATTATATTGCATTTTAGAAGCTGTTGAAAACAATTCTATAACTGACTTGTAGAGATTTTGTTACGTTTGTTGTTAGAGATAACATTGACAGTTATATTCTTGGTTTTATTTGTGAATTGGCGAGTAAAACTTCAAATTATTGTCTTTTGTGCATTTATTCCATTACCTATCTTACAATTTACATAAATACAACAATTTTATTACAAAGATTGCGAAGAATAATCGAGACCGCTTGGCTTAAGCAGTGTTAAAATATCAACTCAAATCGTAGCATAAAATAATAGCCTACTGACAATTATCTACAACTGTTAATCGATAGGATTTTCCCGCGCGCGACTGTGAGAAATATCAGCAACATTGCATGTCTTCAATATCTGGCTCGAAGGATCTTTTTACGCTTGCTAAAAAGAAGATAGGAATAACTCGGAGTTTATTCTTCTAATGGCAAAAATTTGATAATTTTCAGTGGTGATTTTGAATACCTCTGTGTCCTAAGGGTTCCTTGCTATTGAACTGTTTCATTTGATAATTTGCTAAGTAGATGGGTTCATATTCCTATAAAGGAATATTGGATTCACACAAATTGTTCAATGCGGTTTCCTTCAGTCAAAAAGGTTGTAATATTTGGGCAATCATTAATTCAATGTACTATCATCGTCTCGTACCATCAACTGTTGAACGAATCCCTCATTAGGATTGATACAAAATCTCTTATTTTGAACATGGAGAAACGCCTCCCTGTCATAAATGAGAAATAATCAAATCACCAACACAACAGGGAGAGGTGAAGGTTTTGTAAAATGGTTTTGCATGCTACCTGTACGTCAATCCGTATGTCTCCATAACGTAAGCTATCACTAACGCAGCACTGTAATTGAAAATATCAAAAAATTTCATGCCATAAACCGATGTGACGGTTTTTATGATGTATAAAGCATTCATGAGACGTTTTTTATCATGGGCTTGTAATGATAAAATGATGGTACCTTCTGGAAATCCCAGTGTTTCCATGAATTAAGACCTTCCCTGGAAGGATTAAATAAAGATTATTGTGTGCATCAGAATGCTGTGTCTCACAGATAGTAAGATAAAGTATATCAGTAAATGCCAAGAGTTTATAAATAGATGGTTTTTCTAATGAACTTCACTGTACCATTTGTTTGTTGGCATTCATTGAGAAATTCTTTGACCTTAAAAAAAAATTGGTTAATTTTTTTTTGTATCACCAATTATCTGACAAAGTCTGATGAGATGATTACAGAATTTGTATTTACCAAAGGAAAGTGTCCAATGATATTTTCGGTCATTTTGTCAGCAATATTAATCACAAGATATCTGTTGAGAATGATAATATTTTTTCAAATGCAATGGATAATGGCTTATTGGTGTGGGAATAGCGTGAAAAGGTTTTGTGCCAATTCAAACTTTATCCGATGTAAGACTTACTTAAAGTTGTTAGGAAAGTTTGTCTTTACAAAGTTAGCCTCCAGGTCTTCTCTGATACACACAATGTGTGTTATACCTTTTTCCAAGAGAAAGTTCAACTAGTCAAGAAAGATGGTATTAGGTTGGCATGTGAAACATTAATATGGAGTGCTTTGAATTTGCTGTACTGATCAGTACCTTGGATTTTACGGCTACAGAATATGGTCCGAGAAATATTCCAGGCAACACTTCCTATATAAGTGATCAAATTGTTTGTTTGGTTTTGTGGTTGAGATGTTGCCTATTATACAAGGCCAGGGGTGGACATTGGTTCATCTGACAGAGATGCAGATTTACATTGAGTCAATGTCTTAAATCTCTCCAAATGAACTTGCAGGATTTTCGTAAGAATATTAGAATAATAATCGTGAGGCTATCTGGCATCTGATCGAGGTGCTCATTCTAATGTAGTTGAACGTGAATCGTTTTAATCAGGGAATTTGTATCGTTTACCTGCATTTCACGTCTTTTGCTGTAATACCAATCCTAGGAAAATAAAGTGGAACACATGAGATGATAACTTCAACATATTCCTTGTGTCTGGTTTAGCGTATTCGCTCAGAAATACGAAATTCTACAGCATCCAGTGATCCAGAGCTGTCAAAAATCATATATTTTTTCATTGTAGTACCTCAGACACATCCTTTTCGGGTATTTCTGGAAAGCTTAAAGCATCCATGATTTCAGAAAAATTATTCACACATAATCCGAATAACCATTTTGCATGAAAAACGGCTTTAAAAATCCCTAAATAAACAATTACGCACAAAAATAGACTCCATTTTGTATTGGAACTTTATTCCTAGGTTACTATATCGTATCATCTCGCAATACCACCGGCTCTTGTACCTCATTCAATGGAGGTCAAAATTTCACTTTTTTCTTTATAAATGTTGTATTTATGTTACTATTTTTGTTGGTCTTAATTTGCAATTACTAATATGAAGTCTAGATTTACTACAATAGATATATGTGCTGTGATTTCAGACGTCAAAAGGTAGATTAACTTCTGCAGACTTTTAAAATCTGTGTTTAATACTTCAATTGTATTTTATTATTATATGTAATTTATATATACAACGTAAAGTAAAAAAAGTTGACGCTCTCTTCAATTTCTGAAGTTTTTTAGGGATGAGAGTGAACAATATATATGATATAGACAACAAGACCTATCTTATAAGGCTGGCAAAGTAAGTGAAGAAATCCAATTGAAAGTTTATTGCCAATTATTGGCATTTGGCACTCTGTGATTTTCATTTACACTACCAGATTGAGAACCATAAAAACACTTCAATTGCTCTTGTGTTATTGCACCACAGTTCAGATTACAAATTAATTTGTTTCACCATTTTATTCAATTCTAGACCAGATCTCAAGGTGGTCTTGTTAATTGAATCTGGATTGCGATTTCATAGCACAGAGTTTGAATGGCCAAAAAACACCTTCCCATCTGGGTTTGCCATGAAGGTACTGAAACATCTGACATGGGCAGGAGCAGATGCGTAAATTAAGACTAGTCTAAATAGACCTTTTCAACTTGCATGCAAATTAACCATTTCAGATGTTGGGACCATGGGATAGCCAATAAAACTTAACCATTTTAGTGAATTGAAATGGGTTAATTTGCATACATGCTAAAAAGGTCTATTAAGACAGGATAAAAGATAGTGATGGTATAGTATATTTAACCTTGGCATGGTCAAATATATGGAATTCGACCTTGGTGTGGTATTTCATGCCATATTCTGGTATATTCAACCATGGTCAAGTAAACTGTTTCATGGTATATTTGATGATGGTCAAGTATACCATATTTTGTATATTCTACCATGGTGGAGTATACCATATTATACAATGGTCGAGTATACCATATTTCGGTATATTCAAACATTGGATTAGTTTGCCAACCAATCAGTTACCTCATTGGATGATAATGTTTTACAAGTAAAATTGTCTGGCGTTTAACAAGAGTTTTTTTCACAGATGCGTAAGCATATATCAGGAAAACGTCTTGTGAATATTTCAATGCTTGGCATAGACAGAATTCTGGATTTCCAATTTGGGTCAAATGAAGCAGCCTACCACTTGATTGTAGAACTCTATGATAGAGTAAGTAGCTAGCTTGCTGTTATGATCCTGCATTACTCTTTGGTTATATATACATCTTCCTAATTTTGTTGTTCTTTGCTCTTCCACTTAGGGCAACATAATCCTTGCTGATTTTGAATACACAATTTTAAGCCTACTGCGAACACGAACTGATAGCGAAGATGTAAGATTTGCAGTTAGAGAAAGATATCCATTAGAAAATGCCAGGCAGTACGACGGACTCATGTCAGCTCAAAAGTAAGTAAACACATATTTAGTATAAGATAAAAATTTAGCTCAATCTCTTCTTTCCATACCATGAGCTTTTGGTGAATCACATATGGTATAGGCAACATTGTACACAATTGTCTTATAGTTTACGTGAACTTCTTTCCCAAACAAAAGATGGTGATGTTCTGAAGAAGATTCTAAACCCTCATTTGGGTAAGGTTTCATTTCAATATACCAATATACTTCATTAAATTCATTATAGGCCTCCTCTTAGTTCAATACTGTTTTTATTAGTTTTTGGTCCAGCTTTACTTGATCACTGCCTTAAACAAGCTGGTTTTGTTATAAATGCTAAAATTGGTAAAGATGTTGACATTGACAAAGGTATGTTTCAAATTATAACATCTTTGTATATACCCTTGTTTAACTGCAATAGTTGATATACTTCATCGCGTTTTTTCTATTCCTAAGACATTCCCAAGATAATGGAAGCACTCAAAAATGCAGAAAAACATTTAGAAATGACTAGAAACTCGCCTTGCAAGGTACCAAAATAAATAATTGGTATTTAGCTTTGCAGACTAGCTCCGTCTTTGTGTATAGTTGAGTCATGATAATTTCTCTTCATCTTCAAGGGGTATATAATTCAGAAACGCGAGAACAAAGCAAACGCGAGCATGGATGGCCACGATGATCTCTTAACGTACGTTTTTAGCACAAAACTGGAAGTCCAAATCTGCATTTCCTTTCCGATTTTAATTTTACTCCAGGGCCAGAAATTATTCATTTCATGCTATATTGTATATCGCTTTAGTTACCAAGAATTTCACCCGTTTCTGTTCGAGCAACACAAAGATTGTCCTTACCTCGAGTTTGATTTTTTCAACAAGGTGAATGTTAAATTATAGTTAATTTTGTCAAAACATTCTACCCCAATTTACCTTTTAATATAAATAATTTCTTATCATGTAACGGAAAGGCTATTTCTTTGGCTGATAACTTTGATTAGATATTTTCCATAATCTTTATTGAGCAAAGGAAAGGTTAAGGTTGTTATTTTGCCCTTCGTTTTAGGCCGTAGACGAATTCTTTAGTAAGATTGAAAGTCAGAAACTCGACACAAAGGCGTTACAACAAGAGAAAGCTGTTTTGAAAAAGCTAGATAACGTGAAAAAAGACCACGAGAAGCGTCTGGATAGCCTGCAAAAAGCTCAGGTTAAGACTTATTAATCTGAGTTTTTGATGATGAAGAATATTGCAACGCTGATTTTATGCTTTTCAACACAGGAGGAGGACAAGGAAAAAGCAAGATTGATTGAAATTAATTTACCTTTGGTAAGCAAACAATTAATGACAATGACATTGCTTTAAACCTTGTCTGTTGTAAATTTCTTAAAGCATACTAAAATATATTTCACAAGTTGATGAGTAGTTTCAATGAAGAATTTTTTATGTCAAGCAATTCTAATCCTTTTCCTTGTTTTTAAAGATATTTTTGTGGTTTTTCAAAGGTGGACCAGGCTATCAAAGTAGTGAACAGCGCTATAGCCAATCAGATTGACTGGGCCGAGATTAGCAGTATTGTTAAGGAGGCTCAGGGACGGGGTGACCGTGTTGCCATGGCAATTAAACAATTGAAGTTAGAGACCAATCATATCAGCATGCTCTTGAAGTAAGTAAGCGCTTTCTAAAATTTGAATGTGGTTTACCAATCGAACTCTGTGCTTTCACCATAGGTGGATTTTTCCAAGGGTGCACCCTAGTGCTCGCCCCTGGTGTTTGGCCTTGTATTCCCCCCCCCCTCCTTATTGAAAGAGTTTAATGGGACTTATTATTTGTAGAGATGAATTTGATGATGATGATGATAGCGGTGAGGATGAAAATGACAGTACTAAGAAACACAAAGTAATTGATCTTCCATCATATTGTATGAACAATGGACGTGTTATCAAGACAGATTACTTTGACTGTAATCCACGAGTAACTGTTTATTTTTTCACCCAAATTCATTTAACGTGATTAACAGTACCTCTTTCTATCTGTAGAAATCAAACGCGCTCAAAATTGACATTGATCTTGCTCTGACGGCATACGCGAACGCACGAAGGTGAGTTATTATTATTATTATTATTAAAACTTTATTTCATGAGGGGTTCACATTGTTACCTTAAGGTATTCTTCCCAATGGCCCTCGAAAGGTAATATGAAAGGTTTCATCGCGAGAAACATTGGCAACGAATGATATGCTTGCATACAGTGCAGCTAAAATCATTAACATGGTCTACTTCATTGTTTAATTGAAGAAAAAAGGTTTTAAGCTTTTTTTTAAAAGAGTTAGGTGAATAATTTTCAACGATTTTTAACTCAGAAGGTAAAGAATTGAATAGACTTGCACCACTATAAGATATCTTAGATTTAGCCTGCTCGGTCTTGACTAAAGGGATCTTTAAGTCAGTCATTGTCGATCTAGTTTGAATTGGATGACAGTCGCGAACGTAAACAAACAACCTTCTAAGATCTGGTGGCCAAGAAGTTTTTAAAGTATTGAAAACCATAAGAATTTTTCTCATTTTTATCAAGTTGAAAATAGGTATCCAATTAAGTTGGCGGAAAAGTAATATTGAAAGTACTTCGGTTGGTAATTCAAGAATTAGTCTTGCAGCTCGTTTCTGTAGTTTTATGTGAGATATTTTCCCCAGCATTGGAGATGAAAATGGAACGACTTTTATCGTGAAATTCCGAACCTTCAATGATCGGCTAAGATTCCCGATGTTTCCAGGTTTTACACCAAGAAAAGACAGGCTGCGACGAAAGAACAAAGGACAGTTGAAGCTTCAAAAAAGGCGCTCAAATCTGCGGAGAAAAAAACGAAAGAAACTTTGAAGGAGGTCGCGACGACAACCAGCATAAGAAAGGCAAGAAAAGTTTATTGGTAAGACGGCCTCTCTTTATATGACATAGCTTGTTCTTTCGTGCATATAGCTACAGTGGAACATTTCAAAGTTCCAATCAAACTCACCTCGGTTACTAGTTCGACCTACGTTTTATTGCGCTGTAGGTTTGAGAAGTTTTTTTGGTTCATCAGTTCCGAGAATTATCTTGTGATTGGTGGCAGAGATCAACAGCAGAACGAACTGATTGTTAAAAGACATCTAAAACCTGGTAAGTATCGGAACATCCAGTGCATAGAGGCGGTCAATGGATTCAGCTTGGGATATATCGACACTTGTATGTATGCGGATTGATATACCATACTTGATACAAATATAAACAAAATTCAACTTGGGATCTTTAATTCACTTTATTCACAGGAGATGTTTACGTTCACGCTGATCTCCACGGAGCTACGAGCATTGTTATTAAAAACCATACATCAGACGGCGTTCCACCAAAGACGCTCAACGAAGCTGGTTGCATGGCGATCTGTTACAGCAATGCATGGAATGACCGCATCATCACCAGTGCATGGTGGGTGTACCACCACCAGGTCTCTAAGACGGCACCCACTGGGGAATATCTGACCACAGGAAGTTTCATGATTCGTGGAAAGAAAAATTACTTACCACCCAGCTATCTCATCATGGGTTTCGGATTCTTGTTCCGTCTAGACGAGACCTGTGTCGGGAAACATAAAAATGAACGGCGAATCAAGATCGTAGAAGAGGATGCTGTCTCAGAGGTGTGTAAAAAATGAATTCTTGTTCACACATTGCACTGCAATAGCATTAAAATATTTGGCCAAAATACACTTAGCCATTAAATTCACCAGGTAAGATCTATCTGAGCCCGCTAAATATGCTAATTTATACTCACAAAATTTCGTCCTGTACTGCCGGGTGATTTTTTGGTGATGCTATTCTATGAAGTTATTTCTCCATACAAAAGATTGTTGATTAAGTATGTTGAATATCTGCGAGCCAATACTGTTTATTCTATTTTAGACCACAAGTACGTCTGTTGAGGATTCTTCACTTGCTGAAGACGTAGAACTTGATATTGGAGGGGATGGTGATAACAGCGAAGACAGTGATACCGAGGAGCCTGTTGATGGAGAGGGAGACTCGAGAGCTGAGGAGGATGCTCAGGGTAAACTGGGAATAGATGGTGAGCGTGAATATGAAGAAAAAGGTGATGATGAGGAACATAAAAGAGACGAGGATGTTGATACGGTAGGAGAGGGTGATGACGAGGATGTAGGTATAAGTGATGATAAAGAAGAATACGACAGTACAGAAGGGAGTAAAAAAAGTACCATAGAAGTGGAAAACGCTCAGGAGGATAAGGATGATAGTGAGGATGATGATGGTGTACCTAGTTATCCCGATACGTCCATAGACTTCCAGTACACTAGTGGCGGGAAATTTCAACTGCAACGAGGCACGAGTACCACAAGTTCCCAGGCTACTGAAGATTTTGTCGATCTTGGTGATGGCGAAGTATTGGATCTCAGGTCCCTAGGGAAAGGTAGCGAGACGCGGAAACAACGTTTGACCGCAAAACAACGTCGACAAATGAAGAAGAAAGGCGGTGATATCGACAAAAACGATGTTGAGACTCTGGAGGAAGTATCTCCGGGGCCTGGGGTGAAGGTAACGAAACCTGAAAGTGATGCTGGGAAAAGTAAGTCATCGCCAATCACACAGCAGAGTGCGGCAAAGCGCGGGAAAAAGTCCAAACTAAAGAAGATGAAAGAAAGATATGGCGATCAGGACGAGGAGGACAGGGAACTAATGATGCAGTTTTTGGGGTCAGCGGGTGCTCCCAAAGAGAGCAAACGAAAAAAGGGAAAGGACAGTAAAGGTCGTAAAGGGAGTTCACAGAACAGGCAGGGAGAGCAGAGGATGACTAGGAATACTAATAAAGTTAATAATACTATGAAAACAACAGTGAATGCTGTGGATAAACAGAGTGAAGTTGAGAATAAGGCTTTGCCAGCAAATACTGGGCAAGTTTTGGAGAATTTTGCTGGTGATTTGGCGGAAGGATTAGAACAAGATGGAGAACAACATGAAACAGAAGTAAAGGTATGAAAATATCTGAGTTTTTAACCATATTTTTTACTTTCTAAACCTGTTTATTATATTTTTACATAGCTGGAAGAGAACGATGAAGTTGATATTGAAAAGGTACATTAACAATAAAAAGAATTGAAAAATGACTAGAAATGTTTAAGATGGTTCGCCTTCAGTTAGTTCATAGTCGAAAAACAGACCTAAATATAATATATTTGCCCGTCTATGAACCGGGGTCTTTCAGAATTTACATCAGGAATGAATTTACTGAGCTCGTGCAGTGATAGCAGAAATTTGTTTAATGAAAACTGTTGTATCTAGGAGGAAGTGGGTTTGCTGGATTCTCTAACCGGATGTCCTTACATTGATGATATCACGTTCTTTGCCATACCTGTGTGCGCACCGTATGCCGCTGTACAGAACTACAAGTAAGATTTCAGACGCCTGTCACCACGACTGTCATGAACCACTCTATATAGTCGACATTTTTGCTGATTTTAGATTCAAAGTGAAGCTGACACCAGGAACGGGACGCCGGGGAAGAGGTGAAGATTGAAATAGTTTTCAATGCATGCAATATGCAAGTCTCGTTGTTGGAACGCAGTTTCACTATAACTTACCATCAGTGGTGTATTGAGGCTCTATCACGTTTACCCTTAAGGCCCTGTTACGCGGTGCAATTTTTCTTGCAATGCAATTCTTCTTTTGAGAGATGTAGATTTGGCAACTACCGAACTTTTGTCTTTACTACAATCCATTGCGTTTCTTACGCTTTCATTTTGAAGCCTCTTTACTAATTCACATATCTTAAAAGTAGAATTGCATTGCAAGTTGCAAGAAAGATTGCACCGTGTAACAGGGCCTTAAGTAATTTCCTACGAGTTTCGATATTCAAATCCAGTTATCCCTGCCTGAGGTCTTGCTGAGGTAACGCTGAAATCTTTTAACAAATAAACACCAAACGAAGACTGTGATCCCAGTAGTTCTAGGATTGCGAGTTATAAGACAGGTTGTTACGCTTCAACCAGGCGTTCAAGTTGACTTTATTTTATATAGCGGCTAGAACAGCCCTACATTCCTTCATCCAGTCTCGGGACACTACAGCTCGCGAGAAAGACTTATTAAAGAGCGTCAAGGTTTGTAAAACAACGATACAAAATTTAAAAATCTAAGATCCACCTCGCAAAGGCTATCTTAACTAGCTATTTGGCATGAAACAACTCTAGTAAAAAATAGTTTAACATAAGATAGCAGCTTCTTCGAATAACATCCTTTTTAAAACACTGCTCCTTTTATAGGATGCAGACCTCTCTCGTTACATACCAGGCAAAGTGAAAATTTCTGCACCAAATTTACAGAAGAGTAAAAAATAACTTGGAAAACCGAACATTATTGGCACTGGAGCTACTGCATGTGGAGTGTATATTATATGGCCTCGCTGGACGACAATTCATCTAAGGTTGGTTGCAGCTAAACAGTTAAGGGAATCGTTTAAATTCATGCGACCGTCGTTCGTGACTCAAACCATGCTTTTTAATGAATGATAGCTTAAAAACGTTATTCAGGAAAAATCCTCCCGACCTATCCGTGGGAGTCCTCGAAACGCGAAGCTATCATTTTGTTCGAATTTCAACGAGACAACGACCTTACGCAGACCTAAACTCATTACGCGTAAAATAATGTAATATTCTACACTATCATCCGAAATTATCCAATATTACCCAGCATTAGCACTGATTTAGACTATCCGCCATGTTGCTATAAAAAGCGCGCGAAAATAAAGTATTCACCTCCCCCTAATAAAATAATTTATTCCGCTTGAAACAAAGCGGAATAAATTGAAACACTGACTCGTGAAACAATATTACATAATAACACATTATGCAAAAACGAAGATATATTAACTTCATGAATAATGATTAATTAATGTATATTTGCATTAAAAACATATTGCCATCCAATACTTTTGTTCAAGTCCCTAATCATTGTTGTAGCTCTTAAATAGCATAAGAATTTCCGAAACGTGGTTGTCATTAGATTTATGTTGAGCTTGCTTGGTAAAAGGGTACAGGCCTATTCAATTATATTGCATCTTTTCCCAAAAGGCCCAATATAGCCAAAGTTTTTTGAAAAAGCCTGAACACCACCTGTTTCGGGTTTCAGCCCATTTTGTTCTACTTCAATCAAATCCAGCGTTTACAAAAGCTTGCTGTTTGTCATCCGCATCGCCTCAGCTGCATATCTTTAAAAATAGAGACAGTATAGATTTTCCAAATGCGTTATCTAAACCCCTCATTCTTCAATGTTTTGCGAAAAACACCGCTATGATAATTTCTCAGCATGGTACCAGCAACACAGACAAATCAATAACAATTATTATTATAGAAACGAATTGAAATATATTTTTAGAGATCCAATGCATTAATTGTTAATGTGTGTTGACATACAGCGCTATATCAATGATAAACATAATTTCTGGACAATGGACGATACGGCTGGATACCCATGCACTGGACCCACACCAGGCGTGTCCATTGAATTCCACCGTATCATTTTATTCTTCACAAATATTTTTCTGGTATTCACTTCTAAAAATCGGCAAAAACTATTGGTATTTTCAATCCCGAAATTCCAACATCGATCACGCTTTTTAATGTCTCACTTGGCCTGCTTTCTGTCTTCATACGGTGTCCGCCATAAGACATCATATTCCGTCTGAATTGCCAACTCTACCAACAATTCTTCATCCCTCCATTTTCCCAAACACATTGGATCCAAGCATTTGCGGATGCAGAATTGAGGAAAATATCATTCCGATGCCATTTTCATTGCCAGGAGAGTTCCTCCTTAAACTTTTGTGTCCAATTTTTAGCATCTCGATATAGTTGGTCCAGTAACCAACAATTTTGTTTTAAATATCACGAGCAACGGTTGACCACCACGATTATTTTATCCCGGAGCCTCGTCTGTGTTACAACAGCACTCCGACTTTAGCAAGTATCCATGTCGATGGCAAATCATATCCATGCTGATAACACAAGTCGTAAGTCAGTAGTGCATGGTGAAGGTTTATAATGATCGTAGTTCATCAGGCCCGTTTCGCATACCAGCGGATTCTCACAATCTCACACGACCGTTAATCGCGACGTAACGACGAGTCCTTCGATCACACGAGTCTCGTAAGTATGCGAACGCGTTTTTGTTTGTATCAACGGGGTTCTCACTTGCTTCGACAAATATCGCATCCACATACATAGCACAATAAGAGCGACCGCAGCGCTGAGAATAAACGCGGTAACGAACGCCAATAAGACAACACGCATTGTTGTTACAAGATTATAATTGTCCTGCCCCACTGTCGCCTTTAATTTCGACTAACATATTACTCAGGATTTCCCTCTGAGCTTTGTGTAAACACGCTCGACACAACTATATAAACCCTCAACATGTCCCGCTTATTAATAAACAGTGAAAATTAAATTTGTCCCAGCGAAGAGATAAAGGCGAGCCTACAATTATTTGCTGCGAAATTATATGGTAATTTCTGCTGCACTTAACCGCAAGACAGTCTGTCAAAAAAAGTGTTGGATGAGAACGCATCGGGAGTCGATGGGACTAAAATAGGATGTGTAATTCGTAAATCATCTAATTAGAAGGTTTTTAAATACTTTGCGACCGCAAATTGCAACAGACGAGTATGTAACGGTCGTTTGAGGAAGAATAAGTTGGAATATGTTTTATTCCGCAGGGGCTAGACTGGCCGTATTATTAAAAGATAAGATATGTTCCGGGCGATATCAGAGGGAAAATTCATAGCAGAACCCTTTTTTTTTTCTTGTAACAACAGATTAATCTAGAAGATTCTGAGCTCGTCTCCCGTCGTGAGACGAGGGAGATAATAAAAATTTCGACAGATGAACTGCATATTTCTTCCTAAATTCACATAAAATGCAGCTTTATGGCGGGCAAAACGAAACTGAATCCATCCTGGGCTCAGGTTTTCTAACGGTCGATTTACTCCAGTCCATATCTGTTGTAACAATACAGGACAGTCGTTACGAAAATTGTCGTTTCAAAGTAAAAATGATCACTTTACTTAAGAACTGACCAATCACCGAACGACATCTTCATGTATTTATTAACTATTAGATTGATAGGTCTTAATGTTGTCTCGAGACGGCAAAAATATATTTTGCTCCCTGCTGAGCGTGATGATTGTGATCTCAGCTCTGCATGGGGTTACTTCAGCAACTAGATTGCTTTGAACAATCATTTTGGGAACAACCCGCGTCTATGAACCAATTTATGATCCTACGCTGTCCATTCATTTCACGATAGCAATCTCCTGAATTATCAAAATATTTTGACTACAACTTAGGTTGCATTAAGAACGAGGTATTCGTTGATAACGTGATACACACACGAGACATTGCACTCAGATTTTTGGCGTCGGGACAGGGCAGTGTTGCCCCCTTGGTGTAGTGATGATGCTTTCCTGCTGACTCTAATATATATTGTGCCAAGTTGAAATATCTCTAGCTTGAGGAGTTGGCTGCCCCCTGCCGATTCCCCTCTGCCCATTCTCCTCTGCCCATTTCCCTCCTCCTAGTAGTTCTAGGCATGTAATATTTGAAAGAAGGAACGGTTAAACTTTCTTGTGTTTTAAGAATGAAAATGTCCTAAGTTGATCAGTTGTAGGTCTTGCGCGTTAAAAAATTTATTCTGTTGAAAACCTCAAATCGTTAACACAACTGTGTTACTAATACAAATTAATTTATAATCTAGGGTTTTGTGGGCTCGAAAAGTCTTGTCAATCCGTAGTCCGGATTTTCTATATCAGCCAGAGTCGAAGGTGTTTCTTTGTTGATGACAGGCAAGGCGGGAAGGTTTAGTATAGTTATATCATTCTGAAACAACTTCCCGATTTCTTTCTAAATAACAAGAGCATAAAAAAGAATGAGCTTTTAATCATGATTTGAAGCGATTGACAAGTAAAGCTAAGGAAAACGAGACCTCAAAAGGCTCGAAATATGTTCAGAAAATGACAATGATTAAAACAAAACTGAACAAGAAAAAATAAATATTCTGTCTTGTGATGAATATTGATAATTGTATGTAAAATTCTTCTCCTGGCGTATGGGATTACATGCAATATAGACACTGCCGTACTTTTAGCCAGCTGTGTGCCAACGATCACAGTTACTCCTGTCTGCAAAACCTGTAGTTTCCATACGTTAGAGGGAGGGGGGTGAAGGGAAGAACCTTCATCGACATAGATGAGATCTTATAGATAAAACAACTCACTTACTCCAATAAGACCAGACAGAAGACCTCGAAATATCTTCCTCTTTTGCTTCTCCGTGTGGCTGTTTTCAGACAGCAACGTGAGATCGTAATTCTGTCAAACAAAATGCATTACGGTCAATGACGTAATTGAACAGCGGTGCAACCGTAACCGTTGATAAGAGAAAGATAAAAACCTAATAACACTTAAATGGGCGGGTACGGGGAATTTCTTTACCAAAAGTAGTGAAATTATTCGTTCCGTAGATATGTTTAAATGAAGACAGGTGGCAGATACATTGGAGACGACCTCATTTGCGTTAAAAGTCACGCAATGTTTGCTGAGGAATTGAAAATGCCATTTCGCATTGATAAATTCATGTTTGTGTAACGATTGTGTAATGATTTGACGTATGTTTGTGTAATGATTACACTCACGTCCAAACCGTACGCCCTCATTTCCCACCACCTGAAGTCGAGTGGATTTTCAGCATGTTTTTTCGCACGAGCGTATAAGCAAAATCGCCTTGTTCAAAAAATCAACTTGATCAAGCACCGATCCGAACGCAATAAAAATTCCACCATGATAACGATGTTTGCGGTCTGACTTAATACGATCCGCATTTTCGTGGTAAGTTTATTTCCACATTGGAAAAATTTAATATTTAATGCGTGCGTGTTTTCAAGGCTGTTCAGTCTTAATCTATGCATGTCGATAACTCGTAGGAAAAAAATATATGAAAATCCCATCAATTTGTGGCGGTCTTGAAAAAAAAGGTAGTTTTTTGCCGGCGTATCTTTCGGCATAGACTCCTATCTACAGTTGTTTTGTTTTGTTTTGTAAAAGCGAAACACACAGTATTTATTATTCTATATTTCCACGTACGTTCACTACGGCAGGATCCACGTTTGGAACTTGCAGAAGAATATCCTTTAAACTTGGAAACAGAGGGCGCTGAATAAGTAAAAATATATTTATAAGCAGGATATCTTTTGCTCGCGACCGCATGCGCGTCTTACGAGACTCTTCGCGAAGGCTGGATATTTTAAGGGGGGCTTCTACGGGGCGGGCGTGCGGGAGCGGTACTAAACGCAATATTCATGACTGACCAGGATGTCGTAAATTGTGACCGCGTTTCGAATGAGTTGTGCTCCTATTTCGACGTGATGGCCCATGAGTTGTAAACCCTAAATGACAACAAGTACAACATTTCATCCAGTGTATTAACAGATCAGTGGCTCTAATCGGAAAACCCTTACCTTAAGACATAGCGTGAAAATCTGATCAAACATTTCCTGGCTCATGGCAACACCTGTGGGCGGGTTTTTCACGATCTTAAAAACACACGTGTGTACTACATTAATACCACATCCAATACCACATAATATGTTGTCATATAAAATTCAGTATTTTGACGTCGTCTCTCGTAGTCACTGACCTGTTTTACAAACGGAACGCAAAGCTTTGCAGCTTTGACAAAACCAGCTGTGTCCGGCCATTGCAAAGATACGAACGGCAGGAAAAGGAAAATCTTGCATGTTTTCTAAGAAAGAAATGTTTTGCTAAAGAGTTTCGACTGAATTCTTATGGTTACGCCAGCTTCACGAACGAGCAGTTGCATTCAATGCAAAAAACCTGCACTTGTCATTTCTACCAAAGGCTTTCTCCTGTTTGGACACCAGGAGCTAGTTGTACGAATGCTGGATAGCGTTATCCGCCGTACAACTAGCCACGGATCAATAAGAACTACATGCAAGACATGGATTTCTATAGTTTTCTACTGCACCTGTGTGGAATGAAGCCTTAGTATACTTACTGGGTGTCTCAGTAAAAACTGAGGAAGTTCTTCCAACATGTCCTCGGAACAGTCTGGCTTAAGCAGAACTTGTCCTACAACAAGAATTTATACTCAGTGTTATAAGACCATCGTAAAGCGCGCGAATTTCTACGATTAATTTCTTCGGACACTGCCTATTTTAAGAGCTCGCGACGCTCTCAGACTTCCTCGTTTATAGAGAAGCATTCTCAGAAATATGATACATCAGTACAATAGTTATCTATTTTCGGTTTTTCTATATTTCCGCACCTGGTTCTTCGGTTGTAAGCGGGGAATTGCTTTCAAAATGAGTCGGTCTTTTCATGGTGCACATTGAAACTATATTAATAGGATTAGAAACATTGAGTACGTTTTGAGCTGGTTTGAGAAGATTTTCATGCAATACAGAACTCGTTTGCATACAGAATGCTTCCATAAAGTTTTTTGTCAAAAGATGAACCAGTTGATTCTCGATGATTTCACTGTCTTTATCAGCCTCTTCTTCATCGTCGATATCAGGAGCCTCGATGTATGCAAGATGGGGCCTAAAGAAAAAACTAAAGGGTTAAGGTCTAAGAATTAAGTCCAATGCAGTGCTTTGGTAGAGTAGAAAAAAAGATCGGTCTTTTGCGCAAAGCATAATCTGGACATTGACCTGACAATCTCTCTGCTACGAACGACTTCCCAGTCTTTGTTTAAATGCTAAAACAGACATACAAAAAAAACACAATTGGAATCTATTTACAAATAGAATAGATTTCATACATTTGGTTACAAAACCCCCCTACATCGATCATCAGAGATAACGCCGCAACCACCACGGGAACGACCGCTGACTCGTAGTAAGATGGCGGGCACACTCGACAGTACATCTTGAAAAATCCGCTTGAAACCAGGTCAAGGAAAATTACATATTTCAAAAGTCATATTACGAAGTTTGCTATTGTTAAAATTTTCACTATTGTGACAAAAGGATATGAATGAAAATTCGCAGCCTGTAGTTTGGCACATATCTCCACGGTTCAATGACATAGGTAACGATATGTTGGCCAAGTGATGGCGCTCCATAAAAGCCTTCTCCCAACCGTGAACAATCCGCAAGCGTCATGGCACTTTAATAAATAAAACAAAAACTTTCTGTACTCTATGACCACTGAGCTTTATAATATTGAATTATTATATAGGTCAGTGACTATGACCATTTATTACACCATGTTGACAATTTGCCGAAAAATCTATCGCGTCGAAATTATCACGCATATTTGGGCTGCCTATGCTATGACTGACTGGATGGTAAAATTGTTATGTGCTATGCACTTGTTGCCCTGTATTGGACGCTATATAGAGAACTGTCATTTGATTAAGCTTTTCTTTTCAATTCAAGTACCATGCTTCATTCAATTTAAAGAGAAAGGTCTTCATGTTATCAACAGGGGACCGCTTTGGTTCTGCCTTGGGTCTTTCTTCACCATCTCGTGCGTCGAGACCTGCGATTAAGAAATGGACAACTTTGCTGTTTCGCTATTCGCCATTTATTTCAGAATACAAGCGCACGTAAACTCACCGAAAATGGCTGCTTTTTCTGATTCGTGTATGTCCAATGCGGGTTGAAGATGGTGAGGGATTTTCACACGCACAGCTGGATCCCAAATTCTGCTGAATACCCTAGAAATTTATGATAGACAAGTTGGCGAAGTAGTCGGAGTTGCAATCTTTAAAGTTACACAATCTGATATCCAAATACAAATTTACTATCCACTAGCACAATCGACAAGATTCATTTCAAGTTGATCGATACATGATTCTCAATCGATACTATAGATTATACATGATCGATGAACCTGTTCAGATGAAATATATTTGACAACAAAGGAAGAACTGAAGATGTCCCTGGATTTCTTGGCACGTCTTCGTGTCTCGTCTTGAATCCACCATTGATTTGTGCCTGAAAATTAAGACGACAACTGATTTGACCAAACACCATCCTTGCTTAAGAGGGTAATTACCTACCAGGGGCCAGTTGTATAAAAGACAAGTTAACATTTAACTGTAGTTAAGGACAGAATTGGCCAATCAGAGTTGTGTATTTCTGAGTTAAATAGGATTTAACTATGCAAAGTGTAGTTGAAGAGTTTTATACAACCGGCCCCTGAGCACCATACCTCCAGTCTTTGAAACCGAGAGCATTACGTTGGTTTGAGCTAACTAAAGGCATTCACCTGAGAATCTTTGGGTATCTCGATACGTTTCAAAACAGCGTGGATGTATCGTTGGCACATATTTAGCTGTGAGAGAAAAAGTGAAAATACTATGGCATGTCTTTTGCTTCGTCTAATAACAAATAGTTAATCCACGCGCTTATTTCATAAATCCGTGGGAATAAACGTTGCAATTTCTATGCGTTACCGTGTATCGTCTTTTTTGCGTTATGTGTTCGTCTAATAAACAAGAAAATATCAAGTATTCAGTATATTTTTAACAACTGAGTATTGTTTTAGCGGAATGACGTCTTTCAGACCAAATATCTAAACTCATTCCCGTAAGCGTAAGCGGGAGAGTTTCAATTATTACAGGTTGATACAGAGAGTCGTTATTAGACCAGGCGCAAGAATGGAGTATAGAGAAAATATTGAACTGGTGGTTGAGAGGGATTCGTTGTGACTGGAGTGGAAAACCGTTTTACCTTCGTTTGAATTGTACAGACCAATAAAGGATAAAAATGCTTCAGGTGAAGACAGCGCCCTGTTGTTGTAAGAAACAAAATCAAAGATCTAGATACAGTGCGATTTGACTTCCGACACACCGTACAATCAGTGTCGGAAAATAATCAAACAAAATAACTGATGTCTCACTGTTCCAATTCGGGGCTCATCCAATCCTCCCTTATTGGAGCCAAAAGTTCATTTATGTATTTCTCTTGTTTCTCGAAATTGACATAACCATTGCTGAAAAATAAAATATCCTGTGTATACCTGGGTGTCTCCTATGTTATGTTATGCTTTGCTATTTTGATAGCCGCATACCTTACCTTATAACAACCAAGCCTTCTGCCAATAGCGATCGCTCCAAGCTCGTGCAGCTATCGTTGTCGTACGACATTTGAATGTGTTTTGTTAGATCATCAAGAATATTCTGAGAGGAAATATCATTGTTTACTAGTTGGTGGAAGAATCTGTAACGTTGTTAACTGCCCATGTTGAAAACTGATGAAAGGACAAAGTTCGTTTATCCCCACAATTCAACTTCATATCTGGACGCGCACTATGCCGTTAACGGACCAACGGTTTAATCATGTAAAGGCCCTATTACACGGTGCAATTGTTTTTGCAATTTGCAATGCAATTCTACTTTTGAGAGATTGCAAGAAAAATTGCACCGTGTAACATGGTCTTAAGTTATTGCTACTTACAATCAACAGTTTGTAATGCGAGAGACAGAGTCTAATCCATACCGAGGCTGCTGTTCGTCTGAACTCGAATGCTTTATGCCCAAACTTCACCGTAAAAAAAATGGTTTTAAAACGCACGAATATCTCAACTAATGACGAGGACAGAAGAACTTCACTAAAGCACACTTTACTTACATCTTCTTCATTTGGATGCTGATACGAAGCAGAGTGAAATATCTATTTAAAAAAAACTTATGTGAATTATTTTGAAAACTTTAAGTGAATTGCTTTGCTAAAAACTGACTAAACAGCTGACTTTTGCGACCCAGGAACTTCGAAGGTGATCAGAATCAGAATTGTCCTCCCTGACAAGGCTTCAATGCAAAACATCTATACCGGTATTATACCTTGTGTATGACTTTTATAAGTAGCTCAAAATCGTATTGAAGAAACGGAATGAACGGTTCCAGACACGTGATTATTGAACTTTTTATCAGTAACGCCTGGAAAGAATAATGAAATTGATCTTTGAACCATAGATTTAGTAAATCTGTTTGGCATTCCATGCATATGCATCTCTAGATAATCCTGAAATAGAAGCAATTCATGATTTGTTTGTCATAAACTATGTGGATGATGGACTCACGGTCGCAATATACACACCTCCGTTTCATAATCGACAAGATTCTCAATGCATTTTTTCGCTAAGTCGTAAAAGCCGATTGTTGTGTTATCCATTCGAATCTGGCATCTAATCAACTCCTGGAAATAACAAAACCCAATACGATCATCAAGGCGAGAAAATGCTTTGAATTTCACACGACCCTCGTTCCTATCCACGAGGATCGACACTGCGATTCTATCATTGTTTTTCGTTGTTTCACAGTTCTCCCTCACGCATCTCGTACCTGCAAGTATTCAGCATCGTTGTTGAACAATTTGCTTATCACGGATTGCGCGAAACAGGTCAAGCTGTCCCATTCATAATATGCAGCGCTTGTTTCTGTCACTAGTGAAAAATGAAAAGAAACTTGAGAGATTGGATCGAGAAGTAGGGGGAGGGGGGAAGTCAAGCAATAGGGATAGGAAAAAGTCAAGTAGTCAAGCGATTAAGGGGTGGGTTGAGAAGTGGGGGGACAGAGAGAAAGGTCACCGCGTGATTGCAAAACAGAATACAAGAGCGACCACCTGTTGATGACGGTGTGTTAGTGAGTTTCAGTAACCAACTCGCAGCGTGGTTGAAAGCATCTGCTGGATACAAGGACGTGATGATTTGTACGATATCTTTTGTGCTCCTTCGAAGACCTGACAGAAAATAAAGAAGAATGCATTCCCCATTAAGATGAACCTTGAAATCCTCGGTTTCTTTTGGACGTCATTGTCGTGAACAAGTTCTCTTCACCGATGGAGGGCGGATGTATGTTTTTCTTTAATTTTTGTGTTAAAATCAATTTGAATGATGAGAACTAGTGAATTAGTTATCAATGCACTACAAGTCAGTGTGCCCCATTTCAATATTCGTACAAATCATACAAAGAGCGTGTATTTGTGGGGCGACACTACCGGCTAGCCACGTGTTGGTTTTGGTGTGGGGATGTGCCTGGTCGAATCTGGTACCGTAAGCAAAAGCAGCTGCCCTCTTTTTATAAAATTGTTCTGTTCCAGGGGGGGGGCACGACTGCGTCTGTTCACGATACCAGTTGCTAAGCGGCGAGTCATGACGAATAGTTCTTGCGCCAAAAACAATAAGGATGAATTTTTGTTTGTATTTTGTGTTCACGGTACCTTCAAGCTTAATTACTGATCCAGTATTGTCTATGGATCAGTGGCGCACACACCTTCGATAATTGCCTCATTTGGCCAGGGACCCACGCTCGCATGAATCGACTCGTTTTGTCACGTTAAAAATATTGGTGAATCGAATATTTTCAGTATATACAGTACACTCTATAAAGAGCTTTGCATCGATAATATCAAACAGGCCTTATAGGCTTATACTTTAGAGAAAATTATACTTCAGAAAGCTAACCAGTTAGGTTTGCTTTCTCTAGCATAAGTCAATCTAAAATTGCATACTTGTCCACGCGTTGTATTTCTCTGCCATCGAGCCAAAATCTGTGTCTGGATATAATATTTTACTTGAGTTTATTGCAGGCTGTAGACCCTGTGGCAGATGGAAAGAAATCTTCCGTTGAATCTTAATTTTAATCTTTACAAGGGTAAGTCTCAAGGTCGGACACGAAATATAATTATGCACACAATTCGTTGTTACCCTTGAAATTTTTGTTTTTGATATTTCCAAGATTTGCGGAATAAAAGAACAGAATGTGGGATTCGTAGAAATCGCTTTATTTTTTAGAAAACTTGTCCATGTCTTGGTTATCGTCTCCGAAGTCAGCTGGAAAAGAGAATAGCAGAGAATTGTGATGCATTAAAAATTTTTTTTTTCATTCATAACCTAAAGGACCTACCATGTTCTCGTGTCGATACAAGGATAGTAACGCTTCTAAGTAAAGATGAAAATGAGCTGGTTCGTCTACTGCTTCACACCCAGGAGCGCCCTGGAATGATAAAAATAGGCACGTCTGATGTAAATGCAATTACGTAATCAAGACAAACTGCTCAAATGAAGAGAAGAGTTCTGTGACGCTCCCTCTGAAGGCTTTGTTCAAACTTACCCAGAGTTTAGCGAGTTGTGTCTCTCCCATCAAAGAGAGAATGCTACAAACTCGATTGAGGAACGAATGGTTTTCATCATCGCTATTACCGTCATTGCTTTCGACCAGACTTCTAAAATAATGAATGAAAATTGATCTTCTTTACTATAGTGTTAACTTGGTACTGGTTTTAACAAATGCTGCATAATTGTAGTGTCATAATTGTAGATGTTTCACTGACCAGTGAACTCTAAAACCGATAGGTCTCGGCTTTGATTTTCTTTCGTTCAATATGGCAATAATATGGGTCTGTAAACAAACCTGATAGACGAGAATATCAGCGTCAATGCGTCCGTACTGAACAAGATGAGCAAAGGAGGACGTTCAAGCAGTGGCCCCTAAGAGAATGAACGTTTATAGTGGAACACTGAAAGCAGACAAGATGTGTCGCGGGACTATGGTCTAAAACAGGGAGTGACTGATGAAAGGGTGCATCACCACTGATAAACCTTATCTGAAGTAGCTGTTGGAATATGTTTAAAAAAAGGGAAATTGTTCCTAATGGCCTAATTCTCCCCTCTTGACCTTCCTATGCATTTCCTAAAAGTATGTTTCCCGCTTCAGAAAACTGAACTTAGTCAAATGATCCAATCTTGCAATTTTTTGCACCTTTCGTCCTGCGATGCTCTCTAAGCATTCGGCGGCCCTCATCCGAAGCTCATCCTCTTGCAACAACAGGCAGAGCGTTTGCAGTAAAATCGCTTCTTCTTGCACCAAGTATTTGACATTCACCCATTCAACAAAACCGCAAAGAGTTACCAAGACTGACTCGGCTAGAGTTTTCTGAATTACAACCTTTGAAAAACAAACAAAAGTTCAACAAAATACAGTCCGAGGGTAGTTCACTATTGAATTTTGACCAGGATATTTCAATGAGTTTAAATATACCTCAGTATGTTTTGTTTCCGTATGTTTTTGAGTTATGTTTCCATATTGTGTTTTCTAGAAAAAACTGAAGACTATAAGTATTTTGTTCTTCAATAGAAATGTTCTATTTAATAGTTCTATGGATGAAGGTGCAAATTGACAGACAGAGAGCTTTACATGGTTGTAAATCAACAAATGAATATACAATACATGTTATGTATATCATTTCATTTACCATTTCTTTCATTTTCTCTGCAGTAAGTTGCAATGTCTTCACAAAAAACTTGAATAAATCTGCCAGAATGATATTTATGGAGGACATCATGTCTTTTCTCCGTGGACCTGGTAAATCTCCATCCATTTTTGTCGATTCCTCCGCCAGGAATAAAAGTGTCCGTAGTACTGTGAAAAGTTGTGAGGGCTGGAAATGTGGATATTAGAAAACATGATGAGAAGAGCTTGCTAAGATGTAGTCATGAAATTCTATGTAGATTAACCATTTGAAGTTACTTCATTAGGTGCATGTCTGGAGTATGGTATGGGTGCATGTCTGGAGTATGGCATGTCTTACCCCTTTTTGGGATATTTCACTTAGTGTTTTGATGACATCTGGCCAGTTTTGTGGCCATTCTCGCTTCATGATTTCAACTGTGAATTTTGCTATTGCATCTTTTATGTAGGATGGTTCATCTAGAAGTGAACTGGTGCACTACAGGGAAACAATTTTCAGGTCAGTAGGTTAGCTTAGTCTATGTTGGAGAGTTTAGCAAACTGGTGGAAAATGAAATAAAAAGATAGCTTTCTTGTTAGAATAAGATTGTCATTCAACCAACCCTATAGGCCTAACTTATATTGCAGCATTTTGGTTATGCCGAATTCAATTCAAACAATAGATAAATAAAATGAAGTTTAGGTTTTTTAAAGAGGTTTATCATCTCCTTATCTATTGTTTAAATTGCAAAATTACTTGATATATTGTCTATATTTTATTACCCCTTCAGTTAGGTTTAATGATAATAACTTCAAGTCATTCTTTTCTTCCTCAGGCATTTCATTCCAGTTAAACCTTCATAAAAATCCAATATAATATTTCACCAGTCACTGCATAAAACATACCAAACCACAAATACTGACTGACGGTCATATGCATACAAACTCACTTAACAGCATGATGCATGAGTTGCAGCCCAAAATGCTTGACCATAAAATTTGCATGATTGCTGTACAGATAGATCCCGCAGTTTGTTAAATAGCTTTTGTTGTTCTTGAATTCTTCACAGTCCTGGAATAGCAAAAAGTGCATGTTTGTAATCTGGATCGTGTAACGTTTGGAATGGACTTATTCAATCTGGCAAACAAAAAAGCCATGTACCCTTGTAGCTTGCATACGCTTGTCTTGGGAAGAATTCGGACTCAATATAACCTCTACAGCTTCGGCCAATTGCTGCGAAATATGAACAACTTGTATATCCTCTCGCTTGCCACACAACATCGCCATAGCGCAAAAAAGGCGAACGTTTGCAGGTTTCCTACTTTTGTCCACTCCTCGACGCATCCGCCATCTTGAGGTTTTTGGGCTCGTTGTTTCCACTTTGTTGTAAAGTATTTCGAAAAATGAATAAATTTCCTTCTGAAGTCGAACGGCCGTGTTCGCAGTGAAGGGCCTGAAAACGACAACAAACATTGCTACAAACTTTAAAAAATATTTTGGTTTCCACCGTAAACTTGGAATTTTTGCGTGAAAACTGATTTGTTTTTTTGGAAAAGCTTTTCATTCATACTGTATACCTCGTCGTTCTTCTGCAAAAACTGTTGGGAAAGTTTTATTGAAAACCTGGTCCGCTGTCGGGAAATCGTTCGATCGCTGCCAGGGAAAGCTAATTTCAAAATATATTAATATTTACTTAGCTGATGGCATTGTTTTGCAACTAAATTTTAGACGATGTCTGACTTTATATCAGGATCAGATGCGCAGCAAGATTATATCCTCGTCAGGACTCTTGGTAGGGGAGCATTTGGAGAAGCAAATTTATATAGAAAGATTGAGGTGCGTTGTATGCATCACGGCGATCACGCATTTCTATTAAATATGTTTCACTCAAATTGGAGTAGTTGATATAATAGTATGATAATAGTACTGTATAGTTTGATCCGTGCAGAAGTTCTCTGCTTAGTTCTATATAGAAGCAGTTGGAAGTTGTTTGAATGATAAGTTGTATTGAATTTTGTACGATATTAAGGCTTTTTGTACTGCATTATACAGTATGTATTCTTCTATCTTGTTCAAACGTACTTAATTATTGATAGTCTGTGAATTTATCCAGACATTGGAACAGCTGGCGTTTTCTTCACCGAACAACATTGTAAAATGAACCTTTCTAAATATGTTGACAACTACACCTTTCAGACCTGAATACCCTGCAGTCACAATTCAGCAAGCTCTTGTTTGAATATCTTTTCATGCAGTGTTTTAAAATAAATTTATTTCCTGCAATTCCACATTCCATCCTCTTATGAACATACAATTGCATTGGCACAATCCTGTTTGCATTTTAAGGATAACAGTCTTGTGGTATGGAAGGAGGTGGATTTATCGAAAGCAGATGAGAAAGAACGAGTAAATGCAATGAAAGAAATTGAGATTCTGTCGTTATTAAATCATGCAAATATTGTTGCGTATTTTAATCACTTCATGGATGAAAATCTGTTGCTCATTGAAATGGAGTATTGCAATGGTATATATACTTTGAATTCTTCAACCAGAAAGCCATTTGACCTTGTATGTCAAGATCTAAAATGCAAAAAATGGGATATCTGAGATACAATTGAGAGATACAATCTGAGATACAATCTGAGATACAATTATCACTAAAGTTAGGATGTATAAATCCATTTTGTAGGTGGAAGTTTGCATGATAAGATAAGCAGAGCAACGTCCTTATTTGAAGAAAGTGTAAGTCTGGCTAAAATGGCTGGAGTAAAATGTATATTTGTGTTCATTTCAAACCAGTTTTAAAGTGTTTCCAGAATGTACGTATCTCTACATTGCAGGATGTTATCCATGACTTCTACCAGTTAGTCAGTGCTGTGGCACATCTCCATGACAATGACATACTACATAGGTAACTTGCATCGGTTTGATTCAGACTAAATCTTCCCCAGCAAGCAGCACCTTAATTTGATAATTTTGCTTTTAGAGATATTAAAACACTAAATATATTTCTGACAAAGTCTGGTTTGTTAAAACTTGGTGATTTCGGGATTTCTAAAGTTCTCGAAGACCCACAAGAAATGGCAGAAACCGTAAGAAATCGATTTGTCAAAATCTCTCTTAGGGTTGGCTTACAAACCACAGCATGAGTTCAAAGTTGTTCTAGGTATCCGTTCTAAGACCAATTCAAATCTTTTTAGGTAGTCGGAACGCCGTATTACATGTCTCCTGAACTATGTAAAGGAGAAAAGTATGAGTTGACAAGAAATATTAGCTAATTTTCGGTGAACTCATTTCGAAGGAGTTTTCTATTTCTTAATTAATGCCAATATTGTCATCTTATAGATACGATTCTAAGAGCGACTTGTGGGCTGTTGGTTGCGTTCTTTACGAGCTGTTAACTTTGAAGAAAGTTTTCGACGCAACGGTAAGTCGTTTTTACTTGAAAGTGAAGGAGATAGTGAACACAATTACAATATGGCTGTATCTTTCGCAGAACCAACTCAAGTTAATCTGGGACATCGTCAAAGGAGAATACGAGGACATAGATGAAAAATATACAAGTGAAATTAGAGATCTTCTAAACAGTCTTCTGTATCAGGTGGTTTTTTAGCTGAAATATAAAGAAAATAGTCTGGTCTTTTATTTCATGGAAAAAAATTCAAATCTTCTTAGAACCCAGATGAAAGACCTTCTGCAGACGAACTGATGAAAAATCCCTTGTTGATTTCAATCCAAGGGTAGGCTGATGACTTTTTGCAGCTATTCAAAATTGTATTTCATTTTACTCCTTTGTATTTAGGGAGATGTCGGGGAAAATCTGGAAGTTGAACACGTCATCGAGGCGAACAAGGTTCAGATTTTTCTGGGTTAAACTTCTATTGTAACTTTGCTCTCAAAATAATTACGTTCGCGTTCGTGCCTATTTTTAGGCTGATTTCAGCTGTCGAGCCAGTTCTTCCAGTGATATCCTCAAGAATAAGTGAGGTAATATGGCAAATGTATTTCATGTATTTTGTCAGTATGGTAAATGGGATAAGCTTAAGTAGCAAGTAAAACGGCAGAGACAAAATTGTGATGACGAACTACGAAGACCCTTTCGTGGAAACAACAATTGACATCTGATATTGACTCGTTGACCCCTGCTGACAGGAACAATAGCTTGTGACGATATCGTATGTTATTGTACTTTAATTCCTTCAACAGGTGTTTTGCTGGGGCGGTGGAAAACAAACTCCTCAGAAAATCGATCTTTTTCAAGGAGGCAACACAGTTTTACAGGTATAGATGTAACTGAATGTATTATGTAACTGTAAGTATCCGGCGAATATACAAACGAATATATCAATTTTCCTTCTATATAGGTTGCAGCAGGAAGATCTCATTTTGCTGTCGTAAACGTGGAGAAAGAAATTTATACTTGGGCTGTGAGTGCTAAAACGTTATATTTTGAAATATTGGCCGACTATGATCCAGTCAACTTTCATCAACTCTGAACCAATGCAGCTTTTGCTGATCTCGAGTTGAACTTTAATGGGACTTTTAAGCAAATTATATAGTCAGACCAATGCTATATATAAACTTGGTTTATTGTAAAGTAGTTTTCAACCCACCAATTCCGGCAATTCGCGCGCCACCTCGACGCAATTCTATGATCTGAATTTTCAATGATTTGTTCACAGGCAACTCAAGGCATGGGTCAAATGGTTGGGCAACTAGGCCACAGTTTAAGAGCCTCGTGTCGTACTCCAAAAATAGTCGAAAAACTTCATGGGATAGCGGTAAAACAAGTTGCCTGTGGCGAAGATTTTACTGCCTGTCTCACGGGTTAGTTATTTGGATCATTTTGCCTTATCGAAGTCAAGCAGTATAGTGTCTTTGTCAAACAGTTCCCTCTTTGCACCAAGGCTAAGTAGAAATGTAGAATTTTTACTCTACACAACCACAAGTATGATATAATCATAGGATCCTCAATGGTTTATTTCAGACGAAGGTAAGCTCTACATGTTTGGCTCAGATTACTATGGTTGTTTGGGGTGTGATCAGAAGTTTGGGGAGGAGGTTTGCCAACCGACAATCGTGGAATACTTCATGAAAGATTCGATCAAACAAATTTCCTGCGGGGATTGCCATGTGGTCGCTTTGGCAGGTAACGCATTTCACTGACGAACAGTCAGACAGATGAATTATTTGAATAACCTATTTTATGAATTTTTGTCAAATGTTTAGACTTGTATCATGGCGACGGTTTATGGCCATATTAACATATAAAAAACCAATATCATAAGAAAATTATGTAACAGTATAGTCGGTATATGCTTTCTTCGGTATCCTCCTTGAAAACCCACTTCAACAAATAATCTTTTTGGAACAACATGCCCCGAAATCTCGTAATTAACTTTTATATCATTTTCTCAGATTCTGGCGTGTACTCTTGGGGATGTGGTGAACAAGGTAAAAGTGTACTCGATCTTAGTTAAACAACTTATTTCAAGCAGAGAAAAAGACTGACGGGTGGACTAATAACCTATCTATTTTCAAGACGACCTATCTATTTTCAAGATGTATTTATTATTATTCAGGTCGTCTTGGAGTAGGAAGTGAAGAAGATTATGCAACGCCACAAAAGGTTTTCATTGATCTCCGAAGCTTTGTTTTTAAGCGCCCCATTGGAGAAACTGTTACAAATCCTAGTTTTATTATAGGTCAACCCTCCTACAGACAAGATCAAGGCTGTTTATTGCAGTGCTGATGGATCACTCTTGTTAACAACTTCAGGACGAGTTTTGGCGTTTGGGAACAACGAACACAATAATTTGGCATTGAATCTTCCGTCGCGTCTGAAGAAGAGAAATACTAATGTATGTGTTTTGGCAGATCTTTGTTTGTGTGGCTGATGTTTTTGCCTGCATTTGTGCATGTTTCCTGTCATTGTGTCATCGCATTTCAGGGTTCTTTTCATTTTTTAGAGTTCAGGAAATGTTTATTCTTCAAACGTACCGACCGTCGCGAGATCTTTAACTAGGTAGCTATCGTATTGTCACTATTGTGCAGCGAAATCAATCTGTTTTTTTTCGTCCGACATGTTTTGTTATAACAGAATCTATTTCAGCTTTTTGATATCTTATTTTGTAGGCATTGTATTGGTAGCATTGCTCCTGGAAAAACGCATTCTGCCTTTGTCGATGGTACGTACAAATATGTAGGCCGTATCACGATAGTGTTATGACCAGGGATTTACGGTAATGCCGCGTATACAGTTTTCTGTTTATTAAAATCAGAAAATCTTAGAACTTTTTTCAGTTCAATGTCAGATAGATATACGTTGAAACGCTATGATTAAGTCAAGATAGTGGCAATTGCCATTGAAGAATTCCTGAAGACCATAATAAACAGTTTATATTTCTTTGTTTTTCCGCCTAAATGCGCGTTGTTTTTCGCGTGGCATCACTAAACAAGCCATTAGTTCATAAATTTGGTATGTCATATCTGGATTTGGATAGTAGTCTCTGGATCACCTGATGGATATTCTTTTTTTTAGTATATGGACATCTGTTGACAGTTGGGGATAACTCCTACGGGCAGTTGGGTCAAGGCGATTATAAACGTCACGAAGGACCGTGTCGTGTTCAAAGCAACTTATCAGGGGACAAAGTTTTGCACGCGGCTTGCGGTGATGGCTATACCATTGTTTGCACTGCTAGTGAGTGACGTGTTTGTTTCTCGTTTTGTTCACAAGTTTTTTTAAGGTTCTTGGCCGAAATTTAGTCTTGATTGCCTTCCATGCAGAGAATCATGTATACTCCTGGGGTAGAGGTGACAATGGATCGCTTGGCATACCCGTCGCTAGTTTGGGAAAGAAAACAAAGGATGGCATACCTGTGACGTCATTACCCAAGCCCATATTTGGCTCACTTCATGCAGTCACAAGCTTGGCATGTCGCTATTGGCATACCATTATCGTGGCGGGTGAGACGATCTTTAGTTTTTGTCTTCAGCTCAATTATAGAAGAGTGAAATTCCAGTGGACAATTTGCATGTTAGACTATTTTTTCACCTTGGCAAAACAAAAGAAGTATAGATACTCCTGGAGAGCTGACTAAAATTAATAGACCAGCAAAGTTTGGCAACGAAATGTTGTAAAATTGGGAAGATATCGCCTTGCTCTTTCTCAGTGTGCACAGAAAATGGTACTGAAAAACGAAAGAAAATGGAAACAATTTTCATGATCGATAGAAAAGTATACAGATTTTCAAACTTTGCTAGGCTATATATTGTAAGCATTTTACAAAATTTCGTTAGCAAACTTTCCATTTTTGCTAATTTCAGCATGCTTTTTCCAGCTATGGTGGTTTACCCTCATATTCCTGATCAATATAGTTAGTCAAATATGCAAATTGTCCCGTTTACTTAATGACTTACATGTTTATAGTCCGTCTGAATATCCACTTATATTGTTCATCTCACTGCAGATCGTGTTCTTGGGAGTAGGACTATAAAGACTCCCAGTGCGACGAATTCTCCACGATCGTGTAAGTTATGAAAAATACATAATACGTCAGCACATGACGACATCAACAACTAAAAATACTCCTGTTAACATTGAGCTAAACCCATATTTCTTCTGCATATAGTACAGATCGATTCAAACGACAGGACCAGTGATATGGGTGACTCGTTTTCACACAGTCTAAGTTCGCTCTCGTTAAGCAGCGATGATCCCTTTACCAACAGTCAAGATTCGGGGGCGAGGAATATTTTGTCCGATGATGAGGTGGAAACACCGAGATGGTTGCAAGATGTACGTATTGGGCTAGCGTTATACATTCAAGTGAAACAAACCCCTTTATTTTGACGTGGAAGGGTTGATGAAAGGTTGTTTGTATGTGTGCGTGTTCCCTCGAGGGTGTTATCGTAAACTTGTTAAATCATAAACTTGTTGTTTGAATTTATCTCAAAAGATAACATGCTTTCACATACACCTAGGACTTTGACGACGCCGTAGCGGCTGAGGGAAATATCCCCGCTAGTAATAGTGGCGAGGCTCGGAATTTGTCCGAATCGGAAAGCACGGTCCCTGATTGGCTGAGAAAGGTAATGGAGTGTCGATAATCTGTGTGTAAAGAAATGAATGAGTAATGGCTTAAAATATACATAGCGGGGCTAAATTATCAGGCTGGCTGCACCACAGGTTAAAGTTCATAAATCTCGAGGTTTAAGTAAAGGGAAGTGGAACGTAATATTTTGGCACACTTCAACCAGCCTTAATTTGGCCTGAGAAAGGAACCCTGTTGTTCAAGTTCTGTCAGAGCTTCCTCGTGTATTCTCGCATTTTTTTATTGAACTTCCCTTGCAAATGATATTGCATTCAGAGCCTACCGAGACATTGTATTTCTAGAACTAGTTATCTTTTTAGGAACTACAGGAAGCCGACAATTTCCTGCCTAACAGTCCCCGCGTCAACGATAATGGTAACGACAGGTAATTGAAGACGGTTTATCAACTAGAGGTCTCTGCATGGTTCTCATTATTCACTGATAGTCGGCGATGTATTGTTTCTGGCTGCTGAGGAAAGAAAGAACAAACAACAAAGCCCTTTAAACTTCAGTGATCACCGACAATGGCCATCGCCGATAATCGGTGACCTATGAGAACCAGATTTACGGGAAACAATGCAAATACGAATGATCAAATTACTGCATGTTGATAACCTTCCAACTATTTTTCTTGCGTTCTTTTTTCAAGGCCACAAAACATGGATTGCGGAAATGCTTCTGTTGCCGTTCAAACTGAATTCGAAGCCGGAATTCAAAGCCCTGTTGCTTTAGGTATGACTGTGATACATGCTAGCCCAATATAGCCTTGTTCCCTGGGAACGTGGCTGAGTTCAATATTAAGGACCTAACACAGCGGCAATCATCACACTAGTCGTGGGGGCGGGGGGTCGCCAGGTAATCCTCTCATCGGCCTCCACCTGCCGCACCATAAGGTCCACACCTTTCGACAGCATCTCAAGTGAATAAATTCAAAATTTTCAGGTTCCTTGGGCGATGCGTCTCGAGAACAATTGATAGATCTGGTTGCATATTACAAACAGGAAAACACCATGGTATTGTATTTTCCTTTCAGTTTTAAGTGCTGTCGGTGTAAGCAGAGCTTAAGTGTGACCAAAACCTGATGTATTTTGATTGGTTTACATCAATTCACCTCGTGAATTCCATTCTCCTTATTCAGCGTCTCCATTGATATCTGTTCAAAATAGATATTACACTCATGCCCTTGTTTAGACTTCAAAATACAAAGCATATAAAATAGAAACTAATTTCCCTAGTTACGTCGAGTTGCCAACTGATCATAGTGCCAGTTTCCTGCTTGAAATCCATATTATGATACAAAGCCAATATATTTGAAAGGAGCTTTTTACTATTCCTGTATAATTTTACTACGCTATCTCTATGCATGTAATCGCGGTTTCTGTAGCGGTATCTTAATCCTGTTATCTCGACTGACATCGCTGCCATGAGGTGGAATTAATTAAAAGCTGGAACATCTATATTCATCAAATTCCAAACGTTTTAGGGATACTGTCAGGTATATTTAGTCAAAACATCCAGCCTTGATCTATCATCATTAAAAGAGAACAATGCATCATCATAGACAAGCGCTAACATCCTCTTTGAGGCTTGTGACTTATGATTTCCATTCATTCGTAATTATCTTGAACTTATCAAGGTGACTCGGGCAATTATGAATACATTTCATCATTTTCATGGGTATACTATTACAGTCGAAATAAAAATTGAACTGCAGAGAGCATGCAAGAGCAACAAGACTATTTTTGGCGTTTTCGAGCAGTGGTTTTTCGCATCAGTCACGGACATATTGAAACCAGCCTTGGATGGGCAGATGAAATCGGACACTGTGCATGATTCAGTAATGATTGATGTAGGGCGGACTTTCAAGAGTTGAGGTCATTCGTTTTCGCCTGAGATCTGTCGCTTTTTCATTACATCTCACTCATGGAAGTGACGAACGTTGATATTGAGTACTGACAGGAAATATCCCCGTTTCGTTTTTCACAAAGTAAACCGTATATTGAATCGGTATCTTTTATTAATTGTATATATTTCATTGGAAACTTGCGTGATGACAGTGCTATTTATGGCGATTACCAGGTCTTTTCATTAGGGAAATTTTGAGTTGGAGAAGGGGATCCTTGGCCGGAGGGAACCTCCCCTCCTTCGTAGCCGTGAGAATACACTCTATATAAACCCAAGGCTTCGCCTTAAAGTTGTTTTCTCGCAACAGTCATGATAAAGAATATCGTTACTTTCATTTCCCTTCCTTGCCAAAAATGAAATGTATTTCAAACATTCAGTATATTTCAACCATTTTTCAGCTCGTGCGAAAGAATTTGGAACAGAGAGAGACGATTGAGGGCCTACAGCAAAATCTCGACCACCTCTTGACCAAAAAAAGTAAATTCAGTCTTTCTATTTAACTGTTCTAATAATATTAAATAAATACTAAATCTCAACTATTTAAACATATTTTATTTATTTATTATATAAATATGAAGAACTACATTAGAAATTTAAAAGGTATAAACTATTTTAATTTTATTTGAAGTATTTATTAAATTATTTATAATGTAATATTAACTAATTTAACTTATAAAACGTTTTTGTTGTGTGACATCAGATTACACTAGAAACCACACGCCATCTTAAATTGCAAATTGCAATGAATCATTGTCTCTTTCGGTAAAATGCTAAGTGTTCATTATTATTTCAAAGGTATGTAAATGAAAATGCAACACAACAAGCTACATTTCATGATATTAGAGTGAAATTGCATCGCGAAACGTTGAAAGTAACCATGACAATATTGCTACATTAGTACGTTCCAATAACCATCTCACTATGGTGTCAAAGCGAGGGCTGTCTAAGGTTTTCGTCATTATCACCACAATAAAGAAAGTGCTTGGTAATCGTTTTCTTAAAATTAATATGGATTATTTTAGTCATTCTTTAACTATTCTTTGAATATACTGTTCCGAGGTCGTGACCTCAATATGACTGGAACACTCTAAGTTGAGTGTTCGACCAATCAGATCACAGGATTTTATTCCCAGGGGCTGCGTGGAGCCTAGTACTCGTCGTTCGAGAAGGCATTTACAACTTGTGAGTGAAATCGACAACTGTTCGCAGCTACGCTCTGATTTGTACTTACGAGTAAATGAAAAGGTACGTTGCTTTTGACTTTATCGTCGATAAATTTCACTATTCGTATGTCTGCCTGTCTTATGGTGCCTTTGATATGCTATATTTCATTTGCGTGCGCCCTTTCAGCTGTCTTTTCCCAGCGTAAAAGCAACTGTCTCTGTTCATTAATGCTGTACTATGTCAATTTCATATATTATTGTAAACTATTTGCTGACACTTTCGACACCTCTGAGATGACTATGGCATTGATACTCTGTGTTTTAGTATAATCTTACAAGAGAGGAATTAAAATGGCATATATTTTAAAGCTTTTGCCAGTTATTAGTCGCAATACAGAACGAAGCAAACCGCTTCGGTCTTGTGTTTGACAGCTGTGTTTGGACTTGCGTGAAATTACTCCAAAATCATTAAAATATTTCTGTGGTATAATAACCTTGAAACGCAGACTTGTCGACGTAAACCTCGCGAAGTTAATGCTAGGACTTCGCTAATACCATTGTTGCGAACAAAACATGAATAGTGTAGTATTTTAATAACGAAAACGGTCATATTCTATGCACTGTTTGAGGTAAAATATCTGTGACAGCCGCCAAAGGGCATGTGTATAAAAACAATGCTTGTGGTTTAATATGAGGGAATTATTTAGCCTATCCTTTATGGTTGTTTAAGTTAATGTAAATTTCGCTTTGAAAATTGCTTTAGGACTTGGGAGGTAGAGATATATAATTTCATTTGCTATATACGTCATTTGTGGATGTTTTTATAAAATTGTGTTCATGCATGAAGCCCTTTGTCAAATGACCAAAGCTAAGTAAATAAAATCTACTTTATTGGACTGAATCTGGTTTATTTCTTTATTCAGTGCACACACCGGCCCAGCTAGCAAGGCTTCTAGCCTTGTCTATCTTCGGGGTTTCAAAACAGTGCAACGCTGAGCCATTGTGGAAAGATTAAAGAGAAATGTTTAGACTTTTGACTAAGTTCAAAACACAGTCGCTCAACGAAGTCAAACCGTACGAGAGCAATGTAAGTTTAAATTGTTGGCTACTCTACGTTTCTATCTAGCTCCCCTGCCAAATTAGTACTTTCAACCAAATTTGTGTAGGAAGTTTAAAGCCATTGTTGTCTTTTCGCTTTCATTCAGGGGTCAATCGTGTCAGTTGGTCAAGGGGAAATACTAGAAGACGACGGGATACAACAGCAAACGTGGCAGCGTAAGTTTTTCAACAATAATTAACCTACTCAATACATAAATAGATTTAAAAGGAGCTGTTTTTGTTTTGAAGTTCATTGAGTCGCCCCAACCTGTCGGAACAGGTTGTAAACTAATATATTGCATTGTTTTTTGCGTATAGAAGAGGTTTGTCGAACAGAGAGTGAAAATACTGACACAGCATCTAAAGATTTAATTCGCACTCCTTTTCATACACGCATGCCAAACGTACACGTACGGACGCTTCATTTCCTAAACGAACCGAATAAAGAAGACGAAAGCACTAAAACTGAGGATAAAGAAAACGGGGAAAAGTTGGCTGGCCAAGGCTTCCCAGCTTCAAATCGAGGTGTATTTGCCGAGAAACGAAAGTGGTCCGACGTGAAGCGTTCTCGTTTTCCGAAACAAAATTTTTCAAATGATAGTTCTTCCAGTGATGATGAAGTAAAAGAATTGTTTTCTAAGCAGCATCGAAGCTGCAATTCCAACCCAAATGGCAACGATGATATAAGACAAAAGTCAAGCCCTATTCGCAACGCGAAAATACGTCCTTCCGACAGTCATACAAGAAAAAGACACCGTATGACAGCCCATGAAAGGCTTTATAGTCGCCCGTCTCTTGACTTTGAAAAGATGCAACAGGTATGTACAATTATAGCTTTTAAACGTTAAAGAATGCATTTTTGAAGGTCAACTGCATGCAGCCCACATGAATTTGCTCACTTGGAGGTAAATGGATCTTTTTTACTGACTTGTTTTTTTCTCTTGAGTTATGGTCTTGCTGTGTTGTGACGTGCAATGAATAGCATAATTTGAGGCAATTTCAATCAGCAAGATCGGCTTGTACACTGTAACCTACATTCTAATGCGTGCCTCATAGCTTGATTCTTGTCGGATTAAGCAACAGGATCTTGTAATAGCTCATTTTTGAAACGTATCTCATTGCCTATCATTATTGCAAGCCGCGACAAAATCATTTATCGCTACTCTCAAACATCTCAGGAAATTTATCGCCCCGATCACAACATTTGAGGATACGTTTTACTATTCTACTACCTTATTCATTATGCCTGCTTCTGTTTGCCAAGTCTTAATTGCGCATATTAAATTTTTCATTTAAGAAAAGTTGATGTAACCATGACTTCGGTAAACACACAAGAAAGATTTTAAAAATTGTTCATGCGTCTAATCCTTTCGCGAATTCCTGCTGAAATTTTGTTGATTGATGGCTCGCTTTTAGTCATGATGAAACCGCTTCAGTGTTCATTCTTAAAATATCATAACTATCTGGCTTCTTCCAAGCATAAAAAAGGGACAAAAATTGTGAAACAATCCTCGTACTTTGCACCCAATTATCGTATGACTGTGTTAATTTCCATTGGCATTTCTTAGTGTTTTTTTATATCACCACTATTGGAACATGTTCCTTCCCGTTTTTCATTATCTGCAAAGAAACGCCTCCACAGCTCCACGTATTTGTTTTTGTCGTTTATCTGTGTATTTTTGTTGCAAAAGAAGTCAAATCCTGTTTATATTTTATCCTTTAGCGATAATCAATGTAGAAGGAGCACGCGCGATGCATGCAAATTAAGTAAAATGATTGAACAGCCGACCGCGCGTATTATGCTGTTTTGCGGTCAGTCTGGGTATAGCATTATCAGTCTGAGCATAGAATTATTCAGATTTCACTAAAACCCTGGGTATATCTATATGGGTCGATCAGCATTGACAGATGAAGAGCTGAAATTCATTCTTCATGTGCATGGACTGTCATTGAAAGGTTTCACTAACTGTTAAAGATCTGAATCCTTTTTGTAATCAAGTTAGGCAGCCTCAACAGTGCTTTATTTTCATTAGAATTACGCGGGCATAGCAGGGGGGGCAAACGAAGTCGGGTGTGGGCAAATTACAACTAATTATTTTCTGATGTTCAATTTTAGAAAGTTTTTTGGAAAAGAAGTGCATACGGCTCAGCCAGACCACGGATTGTTAAAGTCAGGGTAAGCTTGGGTTGGCATTACTTCGAAGTACAACAGGCTCAGTGACGGGTGTTGTAAAATTGCTTACTGTGGAGTATCTGAATGTGGCAACCCACAAATCGCGGTCCAGTTTAGGCGGAATTCTAAAATGAACTGTTTTTGTGAAAAGGGTTATCTCGAAGTTTGGGGGTCAGGCCTTAAAGCCAAACAACAACAGCGCAAATATTATAAAAAACCCAGATTAAGAAGGCTTAGGAGACAAACTGTTTGCACGTAGGTTTAGATATGATTTATGACTCTTTTGATGGTGCTAATCTTCTATTTGAACGTTCTTTGAAATGGTTATAACGTTGCGAGAGACACAGAATGCAATGCAATATTCATCAGTTTTAGAGCTTGGTGTAATCCTGAAAACAAAATAAATTGTTTGCGCGCAGGATTGCGCGTGATTTACGATGCTCTGCTGTGCTAATCCTTTGTTTAATTTGTTGCAGAGTTTTGCAGGACACCCACATCTTCTTGATTCTTCACTGATGACATTCCAACCGATCCAAGGGATTCAGGCATTTAAACTACCCCCCGTGGAGGAGACGAGGTCACTTGCCTATTAGGATCCGATGTATCCCGCATGTAAGCCATATTACAAAGTATCTTTTGCACATATTCACCACGTTTTTCCTATGAGAACATGTTCTGTTTCTAAAAGCACTCCTTCCCCTCACCCCCGTTCCGTTTTTGTCATGCCAAGTGCGAAATTCTCATTAGGATGTCACATGTTCAAACTCCTTGAAAGATTTTGTAAGCAGTGCGTAGGAGTGTCACGAAATTCCTTGGAACACTTGGAGGAAGTTTATCTTGCTATATTTTAGTCACGCAGCTGTACTAACGAAACATCCTGCCCGTTTCAGATCCCTTTAAAAGATCTGGCTGGGATGGGGGTCAAATCTAAAAGATTTCTTGCAGCAGATTGCCTGGTGAATCTTCTTTTATTTATGAAGACACCGCTGTTATAATATTGTTTTCTATGAAGCGTATTCTCAAAAATTTTTTTAATGTTATATACACACACGTATATATACGCTCAGCTGTGTTTTCGCCAAAACACTTGTGAAGCAAATGACAAAGTCTTTTCAGCATTAAATCCCACTTACCGGTCGTTGTCAAGGTTATAGGCAATGTCAGACGACGAATATCTATTACAGTTGATTTGTAAAGGTTTTTATGCAAATCGAATGTGATTGAACTATGAAAATTGAATGGTTTTAGTAACTGTAATATCGCATTGATTTCCACTACCAAATATAGGAATATATTGTGTTCTCGCTCTGATATCTATTAGTAGATATCTTGCCATGTAAAACTACATATTGCAGAAAATCGCTTTTATCTATTTTTGGAAAGGCTTCTTATTTGCTTCTTACAAGTCGAATGGACGACGTGATATCGTGTTTACGTAATGAGATTGAACCTGATAAGTCTGGTAACCAGTCAAACTGCAGTGCAGAGTAATGCTCATCAACATTTCACTCGTCCATTCGATCCGAGATGGAAAACACAGCTGAGGTTATGTGTTTACACGGTTCTTTGCGTCGACAATGCAAAAACTCTGCGTGGCAAATATGTTGCCAAAACAAAAGTGCAAAACCACACGTCGTTTATTGACTTTGTACACCAGCTCTTTGACATTTCAAAGAGCCACCGCATTGTTTTTCACGAATTTGAAAAATGTGTATCTCATAACCACCTCGCCTGCGAACGCTTTGCGTTGTAAGGAGCAAAGAGCAATGGGCACCTATTTTAAATACAATAGTTATGAAATTGAAATGAAACCCCTAAATCGCTTTATTACGGTATTACTTACTTCCAGAATGCACAAACCACAGTGTTACTTATTAATTTTATACGAGCAGTTTTGCCATGTTATATTACAGTAGCCTTTGGTAGGAACGAGATTAGAATGTTAGACCATGTTATAAAATGGAATTTAGATTGTTTTAAAGGATTTAATTTTTGCCAAATGTGAATTATTTTTAATCATGTATATTTTAGGTGTTCGCTCTCATATTGAGAACATTATTGATTGTATTATTGATCATATTATTGATTGATTAGATATAACCTTGTATTATTCGCACACAAAGTATTTATATATATATCTGCTGCATGTTTTATATTTAAAAGTATACTATTAGAGTGTTCTACAGCATTTGTAAAAGTCCAGAGTTTTCACTGACTTTGCAGTGTGGTATAGATGATATATTTATATAAAGTTTAAAAAAAGTAAAGTTGTAATATATTAGGCAACTATTGTATAAACTAGATTTGGAATAAAACGATTTCGGTGAAAGCTGCGTTCTTGCTACGTGTTTTCTACAGTTTTAAACATAGATCTGCACAGCATTTAAGATTGACATTTTGAATAGAATAACCGGTTTAGAAACAAAATCAAGACAGACTTCTTGTTCTAACGCTAAGAATGCGAAGCGAATTATTATCGCTTCACTTGGGTTTGCTGTGCACGTTGCTTAGATACCAACTATAAACCAACATGGCGGCGGAAATTGAATGTTTGAAATTTTAGTTTTAAAGTATAAACGCCTAGTCAAGATTATTTTCTTATTTATTCCCGTTTGCATTGAACAAAAGTATCACAATGAATAGCCTATTGACTACCGAAGAACGAGGTAAAATAGCCATCTTCATATGAACAACTATATATAAACTTTTAAAACCTTTTTGAATTTGTGTATTTTTTAATACGTTAGTACACTTTATTCAGTGTACATTACTTATTTAAACAAATGCCCTTTCTAAGTCTCATGTTTATGTCTTGCAATACAGAGCAGTCCAAAATCAACCCGTCTGTCATGGCATTTGAACAAGAATTGGAAAATGTTTTGCTGAAGTTTGCGAAACGTAACTCCGATGGAGACGGTTATCAAGTTAGAGATAGAACTGGGAAAAGGTTAACTTTTTGTGTAACGAATAATATTCTACAGCATACACCAATAGACAAGGAATTACAAATTTTTATGTACAAACTTTCCAATGTAGGAAACTGGATTTCTCAAAGCTTTTCAAAGAGTTCAAGCCTCGTCTGCAACATGAGTACTTCGTGGAGAAGCTAATGCAGATTGGTAGCTTTCTATATTCAGTAAAGGTTTGTTGGTCATTTACAGAGTTTTACCACAATGCTTTAATTTGAAGGCATTGACCAATTTTGTTGAAACCTGAAACATTCTTCTTTGCGTCTTTGTACTGTAGGCCTTTCGGTTGGCAAAATTTCAATGTTTCACTCGTTATTTGCAAGAGATTTCATCGGATTTTACATACATTGAATCAGTGGCTGAAATGGATTTTCAATCATTTCAAGAAACTTTCTTTCAAAATGGCTTGGATGATCCTCAGTCAGTCGACACTGTAAGCTCAGATATACATAATCTATTGTGTGTCTGTCCTATTCTTTATGTAATGGATTGTGAATGTGCTGATACTGGTGTTGTTGTTGTGGGGTAATGCTTCATTCTTCTCTTCAAATTAGCCAATATTTGTAAATTTTTAGATTAAAGTTCTTTATGAGGACACAATGTGTTCCTACGAACTTCTCTCTGAGTGTGATCCAAAACTTCAGGTATTTCCAATTTGCCTTTTAGTATTAAAGTAAAAGACATACAGAGTTCTCTCTAAGAGTAATAGTATCAATTGTTATATATCAATTGTGGCAATTACAATACAATGATAGAATGATGTACATTTGGATGAATTTTAGAACACAGATTCTCTATGTCACTGTTTGAAGCTTTTGAAAATTTTAATGCTTACAACACAACTGGCCTTACACCAAGAATCATTTAGTTGGCTTGTCTACAATGGTATGAGTAAAATCCTGCATTTCCAGGCAAATTCTATTAAGCTGTTAATAGTTTTAATTGTACAACTGTTTAAGATAATTGTTGCTGAACTTGTATTTCACAGGCACCATTCACATTTATACCATCTCCAGACAACTGATGGTCACTGGACGAAGCAATATGGTAAGTTTGACCAAGTGAAGTTTGAATGTGGACCTCTACGTTTGGAAAAGAAGATCTCATGTCAAGTTTTTATCCAGGTTCTTGAATACATGCTTTGGGCTTGCATGTGTACTGAAGGTTCGATCCCATTGCTAACGTTGAAGTATGTTCCTTGGCGAAGCACTCTCTACACGACTGTATGCCTCTGTTATCTCGACTGCAAGGAATCACAACATGCTGAGGCGTTTGCTCGCCGTGCGATGAAGAAACTCACGGAGTTAGCAGACATCGAGGCAGCGAGCACCTCTGTATCAACTCCGGAAACCAAGGCCATCTTCCAGGCTGCTAAAGTCAAGATTAACGTGCTCATATTTCAACGAGTCGTCTTCGAAAGTCGAAAGAGACCTAAGGGATTGTTGCGGCCGAAGTTTCGAGCGCCTCTCAGAGAAGCTCTGCATGTAAGTGAATTTTGGTCGTGTGCATGAATGTTCGCTAAATATAGCGCTGCATGCCATGAGATTAATCCTAACTGCCTAACTTGTACGCGGAGTTTATGCACAATTCAATTGAATCCAGGAAGAGTTGAGAATCGTTATATTGGTCCTCCAGCAGGAATTGAAGCTACGCCTTTAATTGCGATGCGGTGATACAACTAAGCTTAGTAGTGATCAAAGGATAGGTTAGTGGTCAGACTGGTATCCCACAAAGGCTTGAATTGGGATCGTGTATAAATTCCTTTCGCAAATAAGACCTTTAATTCTGCAGAAATTATTTCTCATCCAATGACGTGCTCCAAAATCGTAATTGATTTTTCCTTCCCGAAATGTACCTGCAATCATGGAAATAATATAGGTAGACTTTGCGTTGGACACGCTACATGACCACAGTAATTGTTAAAGATGTTAATTTAACGGTAAATAGCTGTTCCCCCCTTTCCCCTAACACACAATGTTGATTGAAAAGACATCCCAATGTGATATCACGCACCTACCAACATTGTTCAAGGGGAAGGGGGGTATTTTATTGTGTAGTAGAGAAGTCTATGAATTAATTTCCATGATTGTGTCTCTCAGAGGTCATAAGTGTAAAATGTGTGTTTCACTTTTCCACAGTCGAACTGGCCCAGAAACCAAACAGAGAGACTGCTGGCAGATCTCTTCGATGGCATGGCGGCGCAGTTCTTCGCAATTCTTCAGACCCTTGGTGAGCCCCACCGACGGACCCTCCAATGCAAAGCACCCACTGGATCCATTGATGACATCACGCTAGATATTTACCCAGAACTCTTCGTTGCCGGCGTGGATCTTATCTCCGGTGGTAACAATACCCGGTTGACGCGTTTAGATCGGGAGGTTCATCCATCGTGTATAGAATTGTCCAGTGCGTCTCTTCTTGATTTGTCCGAGCAAGGTGGGCACTAGCGAGAGACAATGAACTATAAGTAAACTGGAGTGCTAACTCAGGGGGATTTGGGCCAGTCAGCCTTTTTGATATACAACCGAAGGTTTGAGGTTAAATATTTCGGCGTATTTCAACTTACTTCTGGTAAATACAGGCGCGTTCGTCACTAGCTAGCCTTCCAGCTTATAGGTTGTTATAGTTCAACGTTTGAACGCAATCCATCGACCTCTCTCTATTCTGTAGGTGTCGACGGAGTTCCTCTGCCGTTCGTCGTGACGTTCATAAAACTCGCGTTTAGTTACGAGCAATGGGAAGTGTTCGAGGTCTTACAGCAACCGCTGATGACATTGCTCAAGACGGGAGCACAGGAGGTGATCCAGGCTCCAGCCTTCATCATGACCCTGCAGCTTTTGGCTGCCCTGGAGTCATTCTTCAATACCTCAGGACGAAAACAGCAAAAGAAAGCAGCGAATTATACTGAAAATCCTGCAAATGAAAACCAACAAGGTACTGCCTTTACATTTAATTAGGAAAAGATCCTGTTTTTTTTTCAATCCTTTTTTCGTTGCTTCCCAACTGTTTAGGCAATAAATCTTCCGCATCTCCCGTTGATGAACTACTGGCTGTCGCGAACATTCTAAATGGCTTCTCAAGTGAATTACCAAAGGTAGACAACACGATGGTAGAAATTTATGGACGGTGAAGGACTCCCTTTAGGTTTGGTCCACGATTTAGAGTATTTTTTGTGTTGATAAATGTTTTAGACGGCTTTGGTTTATGTTGACGTGGATATCATCATCGATGCCACTTTGTTTCTTTGGAGTCGCTGTAAACCTTATTTCCAGCGTGTCGTATCTTCGAATCAAGAACATTGTCGTCACGTTCTCAATGATAAAGACTGCGACAAGGTAGCTTTAAGTCTCGTGTACACTTCTGATTTTTGCTGCGATTTAATGTGCGATTTTAATTTCCGAAAAACGGCGTATTCGACGATGGGGAGTCTACCCGAAAACGGCGTATTCGACCATGGTCGAATGTACCGAAAAACGGCATCTTTTTCTTTTGTAGTGGCTGTTCATTCTTCTTACCATCGACAATGTGCTGCACTGGAGCGGTCTCTCGGACGTCGACCCGATGGTTGCTGCTGAAGTGGCTTTGAAACTTGGGCTGCTTCTGGAAAGCAGAGCCTCGGCTATCGCTCGCTCGAACAATGATCCTGTTTTGCCATCAAAAACGGTGGGTATTAATAGAGGTCGTGTCTGCTTGGGGCTATCCTGGGTAGACTGAGAGCGACTCTCTCTTTTTCAAATTATGCCTGAATCCTCGTATTTTGATTGCCTCCCAGTTTAAAACCGGACTCCAAAATTTGGTTTATTTCCTTCCTTCTAGACCCAAGTTAAAGAGGCCGCAAGCTGTGAGCAAGCGAAAGTCAACGATGATGCCGATCGGAACGACGAAGACACTCGGGCCGAGCTTCGGAGTAAGCCGTATCAAGTCGTCTTCCCGAACACATCCCTAGACCTGTTGTACATGGCTTTTAATATTCTCGAGTCAAGCTTCGACCGGGTCAGCGAGGCAAGGGAAAAGATGCCAAAGGAGTCTGAGGGTGAATCGCAAGATTCGGAAACGCGCCAGAGGACAGACGAGAAAACTTCAAACGGTTCGAAAAACGAAACAGACATACAAGTAATCCATCTGGAACTGTTGTGGAACTTGACCAGAGTACTTGCCAAGCTAGAGTCTTCACAGAGTGCATCACAGATGACATTAGCTTCTGAAAAGACCAGAAACTCAACACAAATGTCGAAGTCTCATGTAAAGGGCACGAAATCACAAGGCACTTCTTGGACAGACGACATGGTGAGGAGATACAAAAAATTACCATTGACCCGAGCTCTCTTTCTGATACACACGACTCTCGTTGGGGATATGAAAAATGAAAATGCGGAGAAGAACCTTCAGGTATGGAGGCTGCATCCTCTAGGCTTGCAAGTTTCTGCGCATGTTCAGTGTAAATTGACGCGAATAACAGACTTGCTCTTTCTTTTTCTTAGGAATGTTATGATTTAATCAAGAAATCTCAAACACAGGAGAAAATGTTATCGTCAAGATGCAAGACTCTGCCTACTGAGAACATCGAAGCTACGGCAGTTCCCAATCCCCCAATCTTGGTGTCGCGTAGTTCGTCCAGAATTACTTTGAAACCAGCCCCCTTTAAACCTGTCTGTCAAAAAAAGGTAGATATTCGAAGAATATAATATTTTCTTTTCCTACACACGAGCTAGGTTCTTCAAAACTCACATGTTTACTCTAGGTCTATTGGTATCGTTTGTTCGGTTGTTCTGCCAGCGGTAGCAATGTGAAAGTCAGGTTAAATGATTCTGATCTCGTGGGAACTGGAGTGGAGGTAAGCGATGGTTGTAATTCATGAGGTGTATATGTTTTTGTTTTCAGAGGAAAAATATTCGTTTGTGTATTAGTAATGACAATTGATATGTTTAAGAACTTTTCTTGAGAGAGCATTTTCTGGTAGACTAATAAAGCGGACTAGTTTTAACTCAGTGTTAATCACCAGTGACTCCAGTGATATACACACACCAGGCTAACATGACGTTGTATCTTCTTCAGGTACCAGCTGGTCCAAACTGCAGATTTGACGTGACGAATCTTACCGAAGGAGAGCGATACGTGTTTGCTGTTGCTGCGTACGATAAAAATGGCGACCTGATTGGCGGAGGAATTAGCCCCACGAGTCATGCGTGCCCAGTGTCGCATCCTATGCCAATCATTATGGCTTGGGCATATCTCACGCAGGTACACCATTTTTCCTCTTCAATATCACATCCAGATTCATTGTTATTATTGACCTATGTTATAAACACCTAGTCTATTAAACGTATGCCAAAGCATGAATAACGGGCATCCTGGTACTCCATTTTCTTTGCTTCACTGGATACGCGATCCATGCATTTTCATTCCCTCAAATCATCGTCTATCAGTCTATGAATCTATCATGCAGGGAAATCATAGTTTCACATGAGTCTACCATGCTTTAGGAGATATAGAGAAGTTCAAAATGAGATCAATAAAGCGTTTGTTTACATCACGGATTTCACATCACCTCCAAATGTGCCACAAGATAACAACAAGTCAAAGCTGGAAGATTAAGTTTGTTTTTCTGTCATCAAGTCTTCATGCTGTTTCTCGTTTTCAGGCCGCGTTCAGCAGCGGTGTTTACGAGATTGCCAGGGCCTCGGCGCAAGTTCTTTGGAAGTATTTCATTCCGGACAACAGCAAGTCATTCGAGAAGCAACTTTCTCATCCTGATGGCCAGTTGAACTTGAACGTTCACGAATGTGACGAGAAGATGCTGAATGAAAGTAACCACGCGCTGGTGCGACATTTCTTGCAGACTATTTTCATCTCAGTGGATATTGCAGTCCATGACGGAAAACTATACTGTGACTCATTGTGTGATTATGGAACATTGCTGCCAGGACAGGTATATATTTCCTCGAATCCATTGCCAGAAGCGTTTGAATGTTTCTGACCGCTTTTCTGTCGTTATCCTACTTTCGTCTCAAAAACACTCCAACGACATCTTCTCTTTCTTGCTTCTTTTTAGATCCTACGATTGCGACAATGTGAAAAAATGTTGCTCGCGTTACGAATCTCCTTGTGGTTGAACGACAACGGCATGGTTTTGCAAGGTCTCACGCGATGCTATGGACTAGTTGCTCCGCTTCTACAACAAAAGATACCTTCAAAACCTGTACTGCAGGTAAAATAACATCCACCTGAAGCTGATTTCTACTACAGCATTGACATGATGCACCGAAGTTGATTCGACTTGCTTTTCTCCTCCCCATTATCTACGACCACAATCCACTTCAACATAACACATTATACCGTGAAACTATTATACCGTATCCTATATTTGCATCAAATGTGGTATAACAACTGCCTAAAATAGACAAAACACTTCTCGACGTTTCGACCTGAGGGCCTTCGTCAGAAGAGTTAGTGACTCTCAGGTCGAAACGTCGTGAAGTGTTTTGTCTATTTTAGGCAGTTGTTATACCACATTTGATGCTAAGTTGTTTGAAAACGCTGCCATGCTCCTCCCTGGTTATATTGGAAAGTATCCTATATTGTTATAAACATCAGTTGCCAACCATTCTGCATGATGCTTCTTTTAAATCTACCAATTTTCCCTTAGATTCTGCTACATTGCTACGCCATCATTCAGGAGATTCCTACCTTAAGTCGTTTCCGTAAGAACTCGATGACTTACGATAGCCTGTACCATCTTATCGCAGTCATGACCTATTATCTAACAAAGGTTAGTATCACGGTACCTTGAACGTTGTAATCCAACAGACTCTCAGAACAATCAGTTCGGGTTGTGTCGCAGCTCCTCGCAAGAACGATTCTCATTGGCTGAACTTTACAATACATTTCTGTTTCAACCAATAGCATAGCTTCGTTCTTTAGAAAGCATAGAAAAGCATTATCCAATTGGACGAAAGCTTCCGAGAGCTGCGACATGTCCCATCAGTTCATCAATTCTTAGCTGTTCTTTTTCATGTTTATTTACTTATAAGACTCTTCCAATACTGGGCGAGCATGAGCTAGCGAATAAGATCAAGGAATATGGTCGCAAACATTTGACCATCGATACACCGGCAGAAATGGCGCCATCTCTATCGTTGACGATTTCACAAGACGCTGTGAACAACAATAGCCAACAGCAGGTGGCGACAAAATCAAAGAAGAAAGCAGGCAAGGTAGCAACAAAGAAGGCCAAGGGAGGGATTGCTAAAGTCGGCTCTGTGAAACCGGAACAAGCGAGTAAAGTTGGTACTTTTCAGAAGAGCGAGTTCACGGCTTTGGAGAGTGTTTTCACCAAAAGGAACTCAGCAGGTACAGATCAGCAAGATACAAAGAAAATTGGTGGATGTGAAAGAGTGACTAGTTACGAATGCTCTGATGTAGCTATAAGAGCTCTTATTTAAACATACGTAACTAATAGATTTTTCATAATGACGTCAAACGCGGAAAGACTGATCTTACACGAATTGGCTCGATAGTTTTGTGGAGCCAATCAAATTTCGTGTAACATCAGACTTTCCGCGTTTGACGTCATTATAAGAAAGGTCTATTCGATCGTTCACATCTTCAAAGTCGGTCCTTTTGTCTTGAAGTAAGCATCCAGAAAAAGTGAAACACACTTGTTGAAACACACTTGTTAGATGTTATACCATAAAGATTTGTGTGTTTTCATTTCCAGTAAAGTCTATTCTGTATTCCCCGGCGACTTATTTTAAACTAATTTTCTTATATTCTTCTCCGTTCCAGCCATTTTGAACTTCAAGAACGACTTTGAGCTAATCGGAGCAGAGGATCCCGCCATTCTTACAAGTTACGTGACAGCTCTCAGTCCAAGCGAGGGCTATAGAGAAGGTACTGCGTTGCATAGTCTCTCTCGGTGACCATGACTTGAATATGAGCGTTGACTCACATCGATTTTATTTAGTCCTGAAGTTCAAGCGACGCACCAAATATCTTCAGTATTTCGTGATGGTCGCCGAAAAAGCCCTGGCCAACGATGCTTTCGATAAAGTACTGGAGTGGTCGAATGACACAGAAATGTGGCTGAATAAGTAAGACAACTCTTCTTGATCATATCCCCGCTATAGGCGATCACTTTCATTGAAAGAGATTTATCATCACAACTGGGAGAAGGATTCCAATTCTCGTGTATTTTTCAGACGTCATGATATTCTGATGCCAACGGAAAAACCATCAGCGGCTCGGCAGTCGTCAGAATTTGATGGCGAAGATCCAAAGAGTAAGAAATTTGCCACAGCAATCGTCGAATATGGAAAGGTTGGTAGTATAGCGCTTTTTAAAGGAAAATTGACCAACCAAATCTCTTCACTAGAATTTTCAAGTGCATCCAATGGACTTTTCTAGCCAATAGACCTACGGGGGGGGGGGTAGAGAGGCGTACGAGGCAGCTGTCCCCTCCCCTCTCCCGGCCCAAATTATTTATGTTCGCATTATTATATAAGATCAGGTCGTTTAATATTTCCAATGTATTTCAGCCGACGGTCAAAAGAAACACGAAATCTATGCGACAGTTGCTCGATACGTTGGCCGAGGTGAAGGAGCCTGTTGCTGAATCAACCTCTCCCACGAATGCTGAAAAACCTGTCAAACCGGCCACCAAGAGCGCGAAGCCTACAGGTCCTGTCAAACCATCCCCACATGTACCTCGCATCATTCGTAAGGTAGGGTTATAACTGATCTGCCACGACAGTCATGGAATAATTAGAGGACTGGAAGAGCCACTTGAGTCGGAACCTTTTAATGTTAATGTAGTCGGGCATGTCGCATTGCGCATGCGTTCCGCGATCGTTCTAGCTAGTTGTTGTTATCGTTGTGTGATATGTTCCCCATATTGTTCTCTGTAGAGTCGAAAGAAAGTCAGAACAGCCAACGAACAAGATCTGATTCGTGTATGTTTAGATCTTATTAATACATCATGTTGTCTAGAACAACCGCATTTACACTTGCAATTTTTCATTTACACTTGCAAATTAGAAGATACACTTGCAAATTAGAAGATTATTTATGAAGACTAGATCAGGTAACAGGTTTTTTACACCACATATTACAGGCGATTGAAGCTTTGCAATCAAGACTACCATCATTTTGGAAAACTGAGGGAAGAAAACGCCGACTACGGGCAATAACAGCAGAAGAGAATCCTTGGCGATGTCAGGTAGGATGTTGGATGATCTCATTCCTGCTTAAACTTTTGCCATTAAATGCATGGGAGGAAACCTCGTCGATCTCCGTACACGAAGATACGACAAGTTTTACAAATGTCTTATTCCTTAAACATGCGAAATATCTTTCACCAATCAATAACAAACATATATTTGCAGATATAACTCGATATATCCTCCTCTTTTGCAGTGGAACATAATTCGAGCTTTGGCCAATTTCCAGGTGTTTTTGAAGAACGCCAAAAAGATCATAAGCTGCGACTCCCCGGAATTCGAAAGGTGGTGCGACCAGAATCATATAAAGTTGTTTGATAACTGATAATTTAACCTCACTCCCCGTTGATAAAAGTTGACTAAATGTTGCTTCCACTTACTTCGTAGCAACGTTCACGTTCTGGACACGGAATGGTTTGGTTTTGACGTCAGCGGTATTCTAATACGTGATCGAAATACAATCTTAAAAGACTCCACGTCTTCCTTTAACAATCTCCTCGTCTCAATCACTCAGGGAACCGAACGACGCAGTCCTCTGAAGAAGAAGTAAGTTTGCTGCGACCTTCATTAAATTCGTCTCTAAGTTCAAATAAATGTTCCTTTTTGAAATAAGTTTGCTTCAACCTTCATTAGATTCGTCTCTAAGTTCAAATAAATGTTCCTTTTTGAAATAAGTTTGCTTCAGCCTTCATTAAATTCTTTCTAAGTTCAAATAAATGTTCCTTTTTGAAATAAGTTTGCTTCAACCTTCATTAGATTCGTCTCTAAGTTCAAATAAATGTTCCTTTTTGAAATAAGTTTGCTTCAGCCTTCATTAAATTCGTTTCTAAGTTCAAATAAATGTTCCTTTTTGAAATAAGTTTGCTTCAACCTTCATTAGATTCGTCTCTAAGTTCAAATAAGTGTTCCTTTGACACAATTTTCAAGTAATCCTGGTATTGATGACCAGGGTCCAGTTCTGGTATTGAGTAATGCACACACCAGGATTGCAATCAATTCGTGAATATCAGGATGTAGTTTTTCTTTTTCGTCTTTCTTTACTCAATGCTTTCTGCTACCACATGACGTTATCATGGTGTTTATCCAGGGAACAACAGAGAATCGATGACGAGACAGAGTATCTCAGATATGTGTACAATGCAACCAAGTATTTATCAAAAGCTGTGGTAAGTTCACTGCACTCTCTATCTCTCTGTTACTGGACCGTTGCAATTGATACAGTATATTTCACAAATTCAACCCCTCATCGAACAAGTCCGCAAAATGTGCGGTCATAGAAATTATTTCTGTCAATAATCTTGCCAATAGACCTTTCTTATAATGACGTCAAACTCAGAAAGTTTGATGTTACACGAAATTTGATTGGCTCCACAAAACTATCGAGCCAATCAAACTTCGTGTAACATCAGACGTTCCGCGTTTGACGTCATTATGAAAAAGATTTATTGCTCTACGTATCGTTGTGTAGGTCCTGTCCTATCGTTGCAAATGTTGGGGCCTTCTTCAAAATGCCTGTACTCAGTTATGGAACATGAGACAGAAGCTGTACGAGTATGTCGTCAATCCAAACTCGCAGATAACCGACGATGCTCTCTATGAGATCACCTGGAGTGCGTTTTATTTTGCTGCCGACATGTTGCTTGATATGCTTTTGTATATAAAACAAAACAGGAAAGAGACTTCGAAGAATAAGATGAAGGTAATTGGATGACATTATGATGAGATTTTTGTTCGTTCCTATTCCCCACAAATAGTAGAGACCAGGTATATCTAGCACTGGAAAACACCCACCATGTACTGACAGACATCCACCATGAACTGACAGACACCCACCATGAACTGACGGACACCCACCATGAACTGACAGACACCCACCATGAACTGACAGACACCCACCATGAACTGAAAAACGCCTACCATGAACTGACAGACACCCACCATGAACTTAAAGATATCCACCATGAACTGACAGACACTCGCCATGAACTGACAGACATCCACCTAGCAGACCCGAACATACCCTGGGCAGACCCCCACTCATTTTTGGCTATCCATATGTCTACCCACTTGTGATAGACCCCCCCTTCACTTCATCAACACTATTTTTTCCTTTCCTCTTTCCCCAGGTTGCCGAGGACAAGAGTGGCACATCCTTTTGGGGCTATATCGAGTCAGAAAAGGGAGGATCTGATTTAATTTTCGAGAACTACCTCGATGATCAGACCACAGCAGATGTGGCTTGGATAAAACGTGTCATCCTGCATTGCATAGAGGTCTTATTTTACAAAGAAAAGTGGGAAAAACTGATTGATATCATCTTCAGATTTAACGCTCTCTCCCTGTAAGTTTGTCAATTCATTCTACTTCCCCAGGTCAAAATTTAGTCCTATAACTTAAGTAGTAGAAGATGATGTATGTGTGTCCAGGCTCGTATATTGCAGTCAGTGACTTCATTTACTACATACACTCAAGCTTGCGATCGTGCGCCACTGACTGCATTATATGAAACTGAACATATACTTCAGGGCTACCTAGGCTTAAACTTGTCATTGTACTTTGATTCCGTGTAGAGGAAGGTATGCAGAGAAGGTGCTTCCATTGGTCGCATTTGCTCAAGGAAAACTCTTGGAAAAAGCCCAGGAATGCGGTGGAATCTCGAGCACCCAGCCTGAAGTGACGCTCTCTGCTGTCAGCGGTAAACCGGAAGGCCTGAAAATCAAGCTGAATGCCAGCAACGTCAGTTTTGATCCGGCCGTGCATATCGACCCCAAAGGACACGACGTGTACAGCGACGATAACAATGCACAGCGGTTGTTCTGCGTGCCCGTAGATAGGACAAACACGCTACTACTGCTCAAGGAGTCGGTCGAGCTGAAGCACTGTGCCGCAAGAGCCTTGCAACACAGCAGAGAGCTGTTCTTGCGTTATCTTGCAGGATTAGGTGGGTCATTCATTGACATATGGGGCTATTTTGGAACGTAGTGGCTAAAGACATAAGTGAGGGGCATTTAAACTAAGAAATGGTTTCGATACTTTGAAGAAGACTGTTATTTGCTTGTCTTGGGTCGTAATCACAATACGATTTATCATTTTAGGTCAGCATTTAAAGAAAAGCCCGTCTCGTGTTGGCTTCGTTTCGTCAGACGACCAGGGCTTGACTGCAGTGCCTTCCAGCGTCAGTGAGCTGAAATTTGACAAGATCGATGATGTTAAGAAATGTGCACTCAACTCGACCCAACTTGCTCTTGTTATTACATCCTATGATAAAACTATTGGTATGTGTTCGCAAAGAATGGCAAATTAAAGTCCATAAATAACCCGGAGATATTTGTGTCCAGTTACATTTTGCGGTCTGTGACGTGTAGGAATATGGTCATCTGCTTGGGATTCTTCTGTTTTCACCAATTGGCTTTTTTGTTGTACTTCATAGAAATGCTTCAGTTCCATGGCAGAAGAGCCCTGCTTGCTCAGGCAATGTGCGAAATTGGAAATATAATGCTTCATATTGGAAACAAAAGGTTTGTTGTAGAACATATCAATACTGGTTTTGCGTATCAATAAGAGATGATGATGCATATACACAGTAAACCTTTTTGGCAGTACTTTATGCGATCATATCTTTGCATATAGATCAGCACATCGCTGGTGGCAGACAGTCCTGGACACGATTCTGTCCCCAGTCTCTCAGTCAGGACACGGTGAGACAAGCCATAATCGTTACCACGACGCTGTTCACGTGGAACCCACGCTTTTATTAAAGAAGCGTGGCATGTGGGGATGTTTGCTTGCTTCCGTCACAGCTGTGAATATTGCAAGGTAAACTTTGCTTCTTGTTTTCTTCCTTTCTGTCTTGAAAGGTGTGTTATTGACACTCAGATGCAGGCTTATTATGTCATTTATTTGCTAGTTTTGTTGTAGAACAGAACTTTATAGTTCTGAATCAGCAATGATGCTTGTGTATTTCTCTGTTAAGATACATTCAAACAGACAGCGCTGACAAACGGCTTGACTCTTGCTGTATCGCAGCATCTTTGCTGAAGGTAAGGCAACGTCCATCCTCGACAACGTTCATCCATCGATTTTTGCATTTTCTTTTTCTGTTCCTTGTTTTCATATCGTCCATATGCATGGTTGACATAAGAAGAAACATCGATGTTTCTCTCGATGTAACATCTCCTCTATCTTCATTAAGGCCATGTTTTCATCCAGTTTACCTCACCCCACATCGTGCTGTGACTTCGCTCTATATGACATTGGAAACGGATTTCCAGTCGGTACATTGATACCGGGAATTAATCTCTTCTCTGATCCGTTCCGATGCGATGCTAAAGTCTTGTTATCGTCATCGGTGTGGTTAGCAGAAGAATTGATCGACACGGGACATTATCTTACGGTAATTCTTACTCATAACCTAGAGCAAACTATGGTCTGATATTCTATGAAGATAAACTCGACCGCAAAAGAACCCTTGGGCTTGGATCTTCGAGGTCAATAATCTTGAATGTATTTTTAATCCTAATTTTTAGGTCCTGCCAGTTCTTACATTAGCTCGCTACATCTCAAGTGATATATTCGAAGATGAACATTGGGTTACGAAAGTTCTCATTCTAAGAGTAAGTAAAACTTGATGTAGCTAAACTTGTCCTGCTCACTCCAGATCTCACTTCCGGTCAATCATCTCTCGGTTTCTATAGATCCGTGCTCTAACCAAAGCTGGTATGTTCTCCCACTCCTGTCATGTTCTCAGAACCCTTCTGCTTTGTAAAACGGTGAACAGACCACAGAAACTCAAGGTACCGAAAATGGAGGAAAACTTATATATTTACTTTTCCTAAAGCTTTTAAACAATCGATGAACGACATTTCTTTCAAATAAACTGCCTGAAAATGAGCAATTTGTTTTTTTCTGTATAGAATATAGATAATTTTTACAGCGACAAACCATTGACAGATAAAAGTAATCTTCAAGTAAGGATACCTGAATTATCTTTTCTTCGAGTTCATCTCGACTTGTAAACAATGATTTCGTTTTGTTTTATTTTTTTGTAGGCGCTTACAACCATCATTTCCAGTCGTTTATCTCCTGCCACCGTCCTGTCCTATGGCACAGAGGCGTCTCGATGCTTGGTTTTAGAACAAGCCCGTCTCCTTATTGAAATTGCTGCATGTGTTTATGATATTCCATTTGATGTAAAGTCACAGTAAGTGATCTGCTTCGATGTACACTGTCTGATAGATTGAATTTATAAGATGGTGTATATGCTTGGAAATCTTTCATTATTTAGTCCTTTATAAATTTTCTGTCATTTCGTTCGCTCGTGTTGATAAAGATTCTGTCACATTGTTAAATGATAGTTATCGGTCTTATATAGACTTGTGGAAACATTGAAAGGAGAGACTCTTGAAACAGACACATTGGGTATAGTATATCTCTATTCTAACGATTAACTTAGTTTAACAGCTAGTCCATTTGTCATTATTTGCTTTGTTGTGCGACGAATCCAACGTCTTCATCCGTACAAAAGTTCTGGGTAAACGTGAACATATAAACATCGAGCAAGGATTTTAGACAGTCAATTTCAAGACCAACTTTCATCGATTTGGACCTGACCAGTTTGAATGAGGTGCTTTCTTTTAATTTACGATTCTAGAAACATCTAAAACATCGAATAAACCAGTCGTCAAAATATTTGACGAAGACGTCAACCAAGTCACGATTAAGGTAAATGTTTTTAAATAAATTTTGACTCAAAGCTGTTTTTCGTTGCTTGAAAAACCTACTTTTTTGCTCTCTCTATAGAGTTATCTCTTAGCTGGAGCAGAGCTGTTACTTGAAGAGTTACGTGCGGAAATTTTGGGACCTCAGAAGAATTTGGTAGATTTCCTTGATGCCAGAGGTACCGTGCCGCTTCATTTTGATTGCTAAGCTTTTGCTATACGCATTCGTAGTCATGAGGTGACATACTCTTATCCTATTTCAGGTCATCTGTTCAAGCCAGTTGATTTCAAGACTTTAATCCTGGTTGAAATAGAATTGGCAAATATTCTTCATCAGCGCTTTGAAAGCCTTCGCGCGGCTAAAAGCGTTTACGAATGCATGAGAGCTTTGGAGGATGCCAGTGTACTTCTGGAACACGACGCGACACGGTATGAACACTTGTTGAGCTCAGTGATATGTCGAAACCAAATCTAGAAGATATAAGAAATAGAGTCACTGCCTTTTTGCAGGTTTAGTTCTGCGTGGACAGCTTTCTCTCGCTCTCCTGAGCCTTGCAAAACACCCGACAGTCTTCGCTCCGATGTTGGCTCGGTGAAGTCCGATATCGATGCGAATCTCTGGCTGAATTGTCGCATAAAGATGCAGGAATATCTGTTTTGCGAAGGGAACAGTGTTGGAAGAATTGCTGGTTTTAGTCGGAGTGTGGTAGCGACGACTGGTTCCGCTGAACAGCATTGTGAGCAGGGCTTGGACGAGAGCGATGCATTTGGGCACAGCGAGATTGTAGCGCAGTTTCAGTTCGGGAATTTATTGTTGAAACTTAAAAGTGGCAGTTTAACTCAGGAAGATTTTGATACGTTGAAGGTAGGGTTGATCGTGAAAGTGATGTTCAGGAGGGAGGGAGGGAGGAAGGGGAGGAAAAATATGAAGGAAATATGATGAGGGGGAGTGAAGGGAAGGGTGATGGCAAGAGAAGTGGGAGGTGTGGGGTAACAGGGATGGATGGGGGAAGCAAAGAGTAGTGGTGGGAGAAATGAAATTGACAGAAGACAAACAGGGGAGTAAGTGGGAATGAAGCTAGTTATTTAGGGGAAAGAGGTGGGTGTGACTGGCAGGAATGGAGGAAGGGATACACATGCAGAGTGGGAATAGAAGGTAAATAAAGAAGGGTGGATGACTGGCAGGCAAGGAGGCAGGGCAGAGGAAGGGATTTTCTGTGTGCACAATAACTTTTTCTCTAACTCTTGCAGGATACCATATCCATGCTACAAACCTTACATCCTCTCTCAGTCAAAGGTTCCTTACTTTTGGCTATAATGTTGATCTACTGTGGCGATATTGCTGGATCGTTTAGTGATACGCCAGGTGAAAGTTATGAGAACTATAAGAAAGCTGAGACTATCCTTGGTCAACAGGTAAGAACCCAAAAGAAAATCAGAGGACAAACTTCATGAATAAACCATAAATGGGCCACCTAAGGTACAACAATACGTTCTGTTTTTTAGATTCTTGCACTTGGAGGTGACCTCCACAACATCGACAACGAAACTTCAAGATCTTACAAAAACATCTACTTGCCTCATAACATGCTACTTGCTGAAACCAAAGTACGGCTTGCCCGATCCCAAATCGCGACCATTGACTCATCAAGCGAGACTCAACCTTTACTTGAACTACAGTCCTTCGTGATGGAAGCACTTGGAATAGTCACCGATGCAGAAATGGATCAGAATCCTTTAGAAAGCGAGTTCCTGTTTCTTTTAGGTAAGTCTAGTGAACTTGGAGGATAGAGTCGAGCACTAAGGGTTAAAAAGGGATTCATGGTTGAACTATGATAATTCCGTATTCTCAACTCTATTCAGGAGTGGTTCAAAGTTTTCTCTGGGCGAAAGGCGAATGTTCTGACATCATGGTCATAATGTCCTTTGTTGATGCTATAAAGAAGACGTATAGTTTTGATCATAATCTCGAGTAAGTAAAAGGATTTGGGTGTGCTGTGTTGGGTGTATGAGAGGCTGTAGTGCTTAACTCGCTCATAAGAAATAAATATTTTGTTTATTTAGTTTGATGAGAAGTTGTTACGAGCAGCTTTCGCTGTTTTATCTTGCGAAAACGCAAAAGATCCGAGAGGATGTTGTCAAACAACAAGAAACAAAACAGCAAGAGAGTCAGAGAACCAGTTCTCCGGGCTCTATTAAGCTCTCGCGAGCAATCACGAAAGCTGTGCGCAAAGACGAGGGTAAAATGAAAGAGAAGCTGGAGCAATTAGTAAAGCGGGAAACCAAGAAAGAGCTCAGGGCTATCTGGACTGCTGCCCGAGCTATGGCCACAATTTCCGCTGTCATCGACACTCGCGGGCAGCTTCACGGTAATGTCACCGGACTTTTCATCTCCAAGGCTACCGGGCGAAAGATCCCACTTTCGGTGATTCATGATGTGTTAGGATCAGTTTCGATCAAGAGTGAGGATGGATATTTCATTGAAGAAGACGGAGTGCTTACCATGGAGTCTATGGTGAATAGTTCGAATATTGTCCAGTTAACATGGAACCATCTGCTAAGTCACATCGAGTATCTACAACGGCAAGTTAGCTACCAGTCTCTCGGGGTGAGGACGCAAAGTGGCCCGTTATCCCGCTGGCCAATGCTACTGAAGTTGCACCAATTGCACGAATTTCTCGGCTCGGAGTTAGAGGTGTACGTGAAGAAAGGTTATGGCGTGAAATGTTCACCGTTGTTGATGTTACCTGAACTTCCGTTGAAACAGAATGAAACTAATTCCCGTGCAAAAGGTAGGCATGGAATTGCATCAGAGTTGGAAGAACGGAGATCTATTTCCCCCAATTTCATTGGCTTTTGTCTTGTTTTGAACAGACCACGTGATTTTGCCTTTGTTTTCCAGGAAAGTCCGTGGATGAAGCTGGGGAAAACGAAGTGAGTATCAGTTGGGTGTCTTCAAGTCCGTTGTCAAGATTAATGAAAAAGACGGAGAAAGAGAGTGATCACGTGGAGTGTGTTTATGCATTCAACAGCAAAGCTGTCAGCGGTCCACTCATAGCAGGAGTTAATGTCGGGAAGAAGACAATCCTGCGGAAGACGCTTGTTGACGTGCATGAACAATTGCAGTGTTTAGTGGAGATGGCTGAAAATGACCATGCATTATTACAAAGTAGGTGTCTGTTGTGTTGATGAGGTTATGGTTTGGTATGGTATGGTGTGTTGTGGTATGGTATGGTGTGGTGTGGTATGGTGTGGTGTGGTATGGTGTGGTATGGTGTGGTGTGGTGTGGTGTGGTGTGGTGTGGTGTGGTGTGGTGTGGTGTGGTATGGTATGGTGTGGTGTGGTGTGGTGTGGTGTGGTATGGTGTGGTGTGGTGTGGTATATTATGGTGTGGTATGGTGTGGTGTGGTGTGGTGTGGTGTGGTATGGTATGGTGTGGTGTGGTGTGGTGTGGTGGTCAGATAAAGTAATTCATTGCAATACCTCTATTCCTTCAGCCAAACCAGCAAAGCCTGACCATCCTCCAGTGTCGAGTGGCACACCTCAGACGCCAAAAAAGAAGAAAATCAGCAGCATTAGAATGTTGTCAGGTCGCGGTCGTCGAGACGTGGAAGTGCAAAGCAGCCTCAAAGTATGTATGAGTGCTATCAACAAAATGATGAAACTATCAGTTCTCTCCGATAAAAAGGTAAGAAGCTATTAAATATCGTTTTCTGTTATCATTCATTACTGCAATTTTTATTTTCTAAAAGGACCTGAATAATCTCAATTAATTTCAGGAGATTCCATTTGATGCGTCCTATTCAAATATTCGTATCCTGGAAAGTGCGTTCAATCCTTCCCGGGGATTTATTGGCAAAGTCCCCGATAATGTTTACCAGTGGATTTCATCAATGTTTCCTTGAAACCAACATTCTTGTGATGTTGTTTCAACTTTGTTGAAAAGTCATGTTTCGACTTTGTATATTTGTAGATTTTATTGAATATTTGTTGAAAGATTTTATATAATATTCCTGAAATATGTAAAATAGGTTTGTTAGAGGAAGAAATGTGTTATTAGAATCGAAGTTTTGCCAGACTTCGTGTTTAATCCTTTTAATCTATATCTTAATCCAAATACTAACCTAATCCCCACCGAAAAGCGCGGGAGAAGACCACACGCGCGGAGTGCGCGAGGACCGCGAATGTCCACGACTCCACGTGAAGAAGAAAACATGTCCTTTTAAATCAACGTGAATGCATGCTTTACAGATTGATGTAAAATAATAACAAACAGCTTAATCATGAGGCGAGCAAACGCAGACAGCTCACATAACATAACCGTATCGATGGTGCACGACTTTTTCAACCTATCCGCTCCAAGACCACAAACCGATGTCTGTCCCAAAGTAAAAGGGAGACAGGCTGATGAGTTTGATGGGTCCACTAGAGAGAACGGGATTAATTTCAAGTTAATGAAGACAGAAGATCCTGAGAGGTGAGTAATACTGATTTGAATGTCGTTATGATATCAATAAATAACATAACATGAACTCACAGATAGAGGGAAGAGTAATTTGCATTAGCCTTAGGAGGATACTAGCCACAAGAGGATATATGACCCAATTCATACACTAGTTGGAATATCTATTCAGGCATATTTTAAAAAATCATTGTCTGCTAGGAACAGGTGTTTGAACATTAATTCTAGCATTTCCTAAAGCTTCTAAATGTGCAGAAAAATAGTGAATAAAAAAGGAGAAAAATGGATGGAGCAATGATTGAATCTGCTGTTTCCTAATAGCATTATGATCTCACTATTAAATTACCCCATGCATATATACCAAAATTGACTCTCACCTTGTTCATAAACATGACTTTCCTCGTTCTTACTTTCCAGCTATAGTAATGAACCAAATTTACCAACAGAAGCAGATTTTCCAGAGCTGAATGAAGAGTTGGAGAATCTCAATGTTGAAGACAACACACCAAACTCAATGCCTGCAAAATTCGAGGAAGACGCACATATATTTAGAAATTACACCTTTGAACACACTTATCCTACACAGTTGCCTATTACACAGTTCCAAAGTGAGGTGCTCAGTACTATTGAAAGCAATTCTGTTACTGTTATCCAAGGTAGAGTTACTTTTTTCATCATCTCAAATACTAGAAAGTTTCAAATTACCTAACTAGAAAGAAAGTTCGTCAATTAAAGTCAAGCCTGACCTATTATGGTTTCACATCAAGTGTTTTATAACAACCGCCTAATTTACACAAAAAACATTTCTCAACATTCTTTTACTTGACCTAAGGGTCTAGCTTTGCCAGGAGAGTAGTATGAAAGTAGATTCCCTGAAACAGAAATTTTTCTGCCTTTTTGAATAATCGATCAATATGCACATGGCTGCATTTGCCAACTGGCTATTTCTAGTGTAACAGTTAAATTTCAATTCTACTTGTCTTCCCAGGTGCAACTGGATCAGGGAAGACCACTCAGGTGCCACAGTACATCCTAGACCACTACATAAAACAGAAACGTTACTGTAATATCATTGTCACTCAGCCCAGACGTATCGCTGCAATCAGTATTGCAAAACGAGTATGTCAGGAACGTTCATGGGAACTGGGTGGCCTGGTGGGGTATCAGGTGGGACGAGACAGGACAATCAGTGATGATACTAGGATATCATATGTCACAACTGGAATATTACTGCAGAAGTTGATCTCATTAAAATCTCTCAACGAGTTCACTCATGTTATTTTAGATGAGGTAGTTTTTTTTGTCTTAATGCATTACCTTACTTCATTAGTCTGAACACAATGTTCTGAATCGGTTCAGTGCTGGGTAATGGTCATGGAATATGCATCGCCACTATCCAACCACAGTATTACGCACTTCTGGCTAAGGTGGCATAGTTTGTTGAAAAATGATGTGAAGGCAATAAATATTTGTTTATATAGATACATGAACGCGACCAGGACACAGACTTTGCTTTGCTCATTGTGAGAAAACTTTTGAGAACAAACTCCAAGCATGTTAAGGTGGTTCTGATGTCTGCCACGTTAGACAGCGATATGTTTTCCCGATATTTTTCGCTTCCTATCAACGGACGTTTGGAAGGAGCCCCAGTTGTTACAGTCGAGGGAAGGTCATATCCCGTTGAGGAATATTATTTGAACGATATCATTCATGCTGTACACAAGGTGCGTGTATGTAAGATATGTACTTAAAGATTTGTATTTTACACAAATTCTAATCTTAGCTCATCGTAGAGGCTTTCAATATTTCTGAGTTTAGGCTGTTGCTCTATTGACGATGATGTTAAAATCGTTGCAATATGTTACTAGATTGCTGCAAATCTACACTTAAGTCTATATGTTGGTTCTACAATAGCTTTTTGTCTATTTCTTCAGAGAAGTCTACCACTATTAGACCCGGGTGAACCAGGCATTGAAGAGGAACAATACCACACCGCTGCCTGTCTAATTGGCCAACTGGATGCCTGGGAGATTGATGCACAGGGCGCGACAGATCACGGCTTTGCTGCCGAAAGAGGGAGCGTGTTGGTATTTCTACCGGGTAAGGTGTCCCCCGGTCTGGGCAGAGGGGTGGTTTTACGTCAGGTGTACGCGTAAAGTACCTATTTTTAATAGGGTAATTTTTTTAGGAAAAGAAAATATCAAAGATATGGACGGAATTCTTGACGATGTTTGCCGAGAAAGACAGTAAGTTATTTTAAGACCGCTTTCACGAATAGAAATTACGACATCGTGTTAATAATAGTCTAAGAGTGTAAACTTTACTTGAGTTTTCTAAGGACGGTTATCGTCCACCAGAGTGCGTCGTATATCACGCGAGTATTTCATTCAAATTTTACCGTATAGCATCTGGATCTTGCCCCTGCATTCTGAAATTACCAGCGAAGAGCAAAGTCGGGTGTTTCGGAAACCGCCAAAGCCAGAGGAAGGACAGCCAAGATACCGAAAGGTGTGTTTTACACAACACATTAAGGACCTGTTTACATGAAGTGAGTTATCCCGGCTAGGCGAGGTAAAAAGCGCATCACATCAAAGGCTTAACCTCATTAGTCTTTCATTATATGCAGTTTTCACCTCGCCCAGGATAACTCGTTCCATGTAAACAGGCCCAAAAACTAAAGACGCCATCGCGAAGAGTGGAAAAAAGATACAATAAGTTTCATTGCGATATTCAAGAATTCAATGGAGCTGTACTGTCATAGTGAGAATCATTTGTGTTTTTGTCTATCATTAACTTCATGTTACAACATTTGTCAATTTTTTTCAAGGTTATTCTGTCGACAAACATCGCTGAAAGTTCAATCACAGTACCCGATGTTAGATATGGTAAACCACTTCTGTTTACAACATGTTTACGACGACAAATCATATCGATATTTCATTTCAATATACGCTTCTTTTCAGTCATCGACTTTTGTCTTGTCAAATGTCTTTTCTGCGACCCTGAAACGAATTACCAGAGTTTGAGAATGCAGTGGTCGTCTCATGCCTCGGCGACCCAGCGAAAAGGTATCAATAAGATCAGAGGCCAGTTGTGTAAAACTCTTTAACTACATTTTGCATAGTTAAATCCTAGTTAACTCAGAAACACACGATTCTGATTGGCCAATTCTGTCTTTAACTACAGTTTAAGTTAATTAGTCTTTTATACAACTGGCCCCTGTCGTTTAGTACAAAATTTTACGAACCGTTGTGACATGTACTCCAGCAAGTTCCAGTGTATATTCCAGTGCAAACGTGTTTAATCACTTTATATTAGGTCGAGCTGGTCGTGTATCTGCAGGAAAGTGCTTCAGAATGGTCACAAGAGAATTCTATGAAAGATGTATGGATCCTTACTCCGTTCCGGAGTTCAAAGTACGTGAATATTTGCAATCTTTTTCACAATCAAACTTTGCTGAAATGTATATTCCGTGATTGTGTGTAATATGCTGAGATTGTTTTTAGCGAGCTCCGTTGGAACAAATTATTCTTAAAGTCAAATTATTGGATCTTGGTTCCCCAAAAGCCATCTTAGCTTTGGCACTTCAACCTCCTGATGTCCGTGATATTGAGAGAACAATCCTGATTCTGAAAGAGGTCAGTTGCCCACTGAATTTGCCCATTTCTCTGCCCATTTCACAATGCAATAGTTTATTTAGTAAAAGAGGTAGCAATAATTTTCAGTGTTTTTCATGCTGACTGCAAGCAAAGAATCTGCCCAATTCTTTCCAAAGACATCATCGAAGCACCTTATTTGAAATCGTTTGAAATAAATGTATTTTCTTATTTCAACAGCTGGCTGCCTTGACAATCAAAATGAGAAATGGTTTGGTTAATCCTTACGATGGAGAACTGACATTTCTTGGCCGTGTCATCGGTGAAATGCCTTGTGATGTCCGAATTGGGAAGTTGCTCGTGTTAGGGCACGTGTTTGGCGTTCTGGAGGAAGCTATCGTTATAGGTTTGTTGCAATCTTGATTATAATATAACATTTATAGTACGCGCGTGCTGATTGGTCAAGAAGCGTGTTTCTATAACTATATAGAAACACGGGAATTTTCCCGCCGAAATCAAGAATTAGATAAAATTATAATGAAATTTAGTGAAGGGTATTTACTTAAAGTTTCCGTCGTAAATTAACCTGGAGGATTTTAGTTGTACTTGCACGTTTAACCTTTTCGTATATTTATTTCTACCTCAGGCGCTTGTCTGAGTCAAAGATCATTCTTCTCTCAACCGTTTAAGCAAGAATTGCTCTCTTACAGGTAGGGCTACAGTATAATTACTTATTTCTGCATGTCTTGTTTGACGATTCTTTCATGAACAGAGATCCTGCATTACTGCATGCATTCATATTTTATATAGGGCGAAAATGATGTGGGCCAACTCGTCACAGAGTGACTGCCTTGCATCGCTTAATGCTTATAAAGTAAGCTCTTGCATTCACTGTGGTTAAAGGTTGACATTTTCTCACAAAAAGCAGTGCGTTCAGGGACCGCGGAGCAGTTTTTGGATTGGGGGGGCTAGCGAAGCCGAAAGAGTGAACCCTCGGGGGGGGACCATACTTATCTGTTTATATTTTTCTTGTAAACACTTCAATGAAAACATTGTTCACCAACACGGATAGTGAACACATAATTATGATTACACAACTTACTATAAGGAGTTTTTATTCGTATTATTATGGCCATATAAAAATCGCTATAAAGGAATCACATGTATTTTGAAAATTATTGGGGGGCTAAAGCCCCCCAGCCCCCCCCCCCCCCCTCCGCGGTCCCTGGCGTTTGATCTCATTTTGTTCCTTAAGGAATGGCAGAAACTTAAAGGAACCCGAGGTTTTGGAAGGAAGGTAAACTTGGATGTTGTTTAACCTTCATTGATAGTTATCGTTGCTCAGGAACTAATCTTCTTGGGATGACAACTGTAATCATATTCATGCCGCTAACAGTGCAACTGGTATTTTTAAATCTAAGGGCGAAATTGGCTGGTGCAAATCCAAATCTATTCAACGGAACAGAATCGTGGAGGTATTTGGTCCTATATATTTAACAGTTATTCTGCGAACTCGAGTCGTATATGAGCTGATAGCCGACGATGCGCGTAGCGCCGAGTTGGCTATCGGCTATATACGACGAGAGTGAGCAGAATAACTGTTTTATTATATACACAAACTTTGTCGCCCTTTCGGTGCATTTTGGTGTGCTATTATCATCTAAAGCTTTGATTTCTATTTCACTCAACTCCCCAAATCTTTCGGCCATTTTGTTTACTTTCTCTACTGAGACCAGTGACTGAGACAGATATGAGCTAATATCTGTATAGTAGCCAAGCAATGAAACTGCAGCATACCTCATATCTGGCGCTTGTGTATATAACAATGTGCTATATACGATTGTTTGTTGCTTAAAAAACAGCTGGACGGTCGTGTTTAAATCCTGTTGTATATCGTAGGTGGAGAAGGTTGTCAAAGAGCTCACTGAGAGATTACAAAGATTCAACATACGCACATTCCGAGGTTTGCACCAAAGGTATGGTCCGAATGCAAAGCTTCGCAATATTTGTGTCCTGAAATTTCTTCTTATTTCGTGTCTTTTAATTCGTCAGGAGACGTGACCTCATACAACACGATGAGCTGATAATAAAGGTTTGCCAAGTTGATCGATTGCTTATTTCTTCGATCCAATAATATATTTTCTTTGCATGTATGAGTTCCCTTGTTGTGTTAGGTAAACGAACATTGCAGCACATTTTAGGTCGTGATATGCGGCAGCTTTTATCCGAATTATTTCACGTCTGGTGAAATTGATGAACGCGAAGCTCTGAAGACCATGTCAGGACACGATCCTTTCACCACAGTCATGGTATGTCGCTTTTTAAAACCATTTGGCACTGAGTTTACTAGTATTGTGGACAGTTATATCAATCCTGATAACCATGCTCCATATAATAAGACTGTCTCGTGTAGATTTATCACTTGTCACGACGACACCGGGAACGCAGAGTGCAACTGTGGATAGATTATTCCTTCAAGTTTCTGAAGAAAACCTGTCGTTTTAATTAAAGGATTGCCCGCAGACGCAGAGAAACTGCTTGTTTTTTCTTGACTTGTTTTTACCGAATGTTTGCGATCTGTAGGTGAAAGGTCTACCAATCTACGGACAGCATTATAGCAGTGCAATTGCAAGATTGTTCAGGCCTTGTGGCAAAGGAAAGAACCTTTACTTTGAAGGAAGAAGGTTTGAGTTTCTTTCAGTTATTGTATAAACCTCGTTTACTATCAAAAACCTATGTACAGATTCCTTATATTAGAAGATGCTTCGGCATCTTTTTAAAAAAAGTAGCTACGTTACTAATATTGTCCTTTCGTGGTTGAAAATGGGTGTTTGCTTTTTCAGAGCTTATATAGAATTTGAAAGACCACAAAACTCGAACAACGTTGTCTTACAGGCGGTCTATCTTGCTTTGAAAATGAGGTAGAGTAAATTTAGGAGTTTTACTGACGTGACTTTGAAATCGAGTGGAAACACGGATGGAAATAAGTGGCGTATTAATTTTCACGAGAATTTCTCTCGCCAGGATAAAAATCTTAAAAAGAGCATGTTCTGATATGAAATACGCACGCAGTAAAACGCTATCGATGCTTTTCTAGGCATCTCCAAATGCCGCTGGCATTATATATTGCGGAAGATGGTCAGAAACGAATGATTGAGAGTACTGCCAAAAGTGTAGCCGCACATCGCTCGAGAGCGTTGAGAACTGACAGGTATTGAAATTTTCCGTAGTTTTCCATGCTCTTTTATTCAATAATAAAACGTCCAAAAACAAAAATATTATATTTGATGACTATATTCTTTGCTCACGTTTAGAGTAAAGGCTCCGATTAAGGATTCCACTGGCGAAGTACCACAAGAGGTATGTTTGTATAAGATCTCGACTTGAAATTACCATTAGATTGTTTAGGAAGCGTGGTGTGTCGTCGATTTCATGCATATTTTTGGTTATGTTGTTATGTTCTGAATTTTGTGATTGTTTCTGCCCAGTTTACAAACTCTGCAGATAATCTAATACATGCCTTTTCTTACGTATTTCCCTTGCAGATAGAGTTACCAGACATTGACTTTATGGATCTGTGTGTTTCCGAGGTACACGAAGGTCATCAACTTCCTTTTTGGGAATACATGGATTGTTAGAGAGGGTTTACAATAGGATAAGTGCGAGGGCATAGTTTAAGTCATTTTCAGCGGTATCTCAGACTCACAAGATCGTACATACGGATACAATGTACTTTAGGTTATTGATGCTGGCCATTTCTGGGCTCAACCGGGTGAAAGCGAAAATGCAGCCAAGCTTCTTCAACTAATGTCTGATATTAATGAATATGATGGAGCGCAATTGGAGGTCTGTAAAGTTCCAGCGACAATCGTGCGAAATAGATTCCTACGACTTAGATTTTCCAAATGTTTTCTTCTGCTCTGAAAATACCCTTGCATTTCAGCCAATGCCATCGTATGTTCCACCCGGTTCGCTTTGTTTGGCGCTGTTTCCTGAAGACGAGAAATTTTATCGTGCGGAAGTCATCTCTTGGAAGAACGGTCAAGTTGAGGTGAAATACGTGGACTATGGAAACATTGGTTGCGTTCCTATTCATTTTCTGAGGAAAATACGGAAAGAACACACTAAGCTACCGTTTCAGGTATGGACACTTTGAGAAGAGAGAAAGATAGGGTTAGCTGGGGAGGTGGGTGATGGGGAAGGGATATCAGTAAGAAAGAAAAGTTGGGAGGGGGGTAAGTGAGGGAGAGGGAAGTGAAAAATGGCAGAAGAAGAGGGAGGTTGTGTAGGGGTGGAAAGTTAGGAATTAGGAGGAGGGAGGTAAGTGATGTGGGAAGTTACAAGAGGTTAAAGAGGGGCAGGGGGTAATTTCAGAGAGAAGCGAGGTAGTTGAAAAAGGAAAGGGAGTATTCAGACCAGGTGTCTGGGTTGGGGAGGTCAGCGTGGGAGGAACAAAGAAAGCAAGGAAGGTAACTGAAGGCAGCAAGTGAAGGAAACGGAAGTGCGTAAAGGTGAATAAAAAAGAAAATATGGAAAGAAGGATGAGTCAGATAGACAATGCCGAAAGTATTTCTTTTTTGGTTTTTGTCCAGGCATTTAAATGTCAATTGTGTTTTGTCCGTCCGACCTTTGGAAAGTGGGACAAGGAGGCGAATGAACGATTCATGGATCTAACTTTAGGAAAGAAACTGGTGGCAAAGGTGAGAGATGAACTCAGAGGCAAGGCTCAAAGTGCTGAAGAGACTTTGAATGTTTATCATTTTCCCTCTTCAGATATTCTGCAAACTTCATGGAACACTCCATGTGGATCTCATCGATACGATTACCTCAGAGGAAGAGGACATTCATATCCACCAAGTATTAATTGCTGAAGGTTATGCCCAAGAAGCTGACGAATCGTACGATTCTATTGTAAGTATTTCGTCTAATTCTGTCTTGAACAACAGTAAACATACTTCAAATATATAAAATCTTAGCTCAAGATATGGGTTGTGCAAAAAATAACACTCAAAGACTCACTTTTCGACTTTGCTGTTTTATATCTGTGTTAAGTCGTTGACAGAAACCCTAACTCCAGTATCATTTTACTTCTGTTAAACTTTCGTTTCGGTCTCGGATTCCATAGCGTGCTCACGAAGACGCAAGGGCTCGCTTGGAAATAAGAAACGGCGAAGGGTCTAACAATGACGACAATGACACATCAGGTTGGCTCGAGTCAGATTCAACTTTGGCCGAAGCGCAGTTGACTGGGAACTACGATCGTCAGGAGGGAATGGTTACCAAGGTAACGAAATCTTGTTAAAATATTGCAAATCTTCATCAATTTTGAAAATAAAATGAATTTAATAAAATCATTCAAACAAGGTTTTGTACAACCGTACCAAGTTTTGAAAAGCATTTTCAAAGCTAAACTTCTTTCTCTTCTAGGTATCACTTAGTGGTCCGTTTAATCCATATGAGATGCAGTTTTACAGTATGACTTGTATTGGAAGACTTAGGTAATGGGTAGTTGTCTCTATGAGTATAACAGGATTGATGTGGATTGTGAGAGTTAATGGAAGCGTCGGCAATTAGACATATTATTCATTTGCAGATTTACATGAATTATTTACCTTTGTGTTTTATCATCCTTCAGCTGTGAAACGCGTTACCTAAAAATACATGTGAATTGGTTTCAGTACCTTGTGTGGTTCAAAGATCTTACTCATCACCCAAATCTTCATTTTTCAGAGCTGCAAAGGTTGAACGGGACTCGGTGAACAGCGTTGCTCTGAATGATGAACCACAGGATAAACACGACCGTTTTCTGGTTGCTTCAAACATCGGTATAAATGCCACGGGGACGAGTATGATTGCAAGGTAAAGATATGACTTAAACAGCGACATCTTATATAAAATGGTAATTTTGTTTCAGTGCATAACAAACTAGCGAATCATTACTTACGAAGCTTCTTTCTGAATGATTAGCTCCAAGTTGCTTTTTTCACATCACAATGTACAATACAATGAATATTCACATATATTATCATTTATGACGTGTGTTTTCCCAGATGTTGAAGTTCGTCCGTTCAACCACAGCGTTTGCATTCTGTGTTTCTAGAGAGACAACGTTGATGCCAAATATTCACGGCTTGGCAGCTGTCGTTGGCCTCGTTTTCGCTCCTTGCGCTGAGTTCAGGACAGATAAAAACAAGGACCGCTATACGGGTGCGATTATCGGCTTAGGTCCAGACCCCAGCACCGGGGAGGCCTTGCTACCTGATCATGACATTGAGTTAACTTTTGATTTCGGGTTCACACAAGATGATTTGGCGAAGGTATGTACACGTTGTTGGTTGTTTGTGAATTGCATTGGGCCTCTTTTACCTTGTAAGAATAACCCCAAAAAACTAACTCCAAATATGACTTGGAAATGGCAGTTAGAGATCTACCGAAGTGGTTTTAAGTTAAAAGTCTCTATTTTCATGACTTCTCTCCGTTTTAGATCAACTCTGTTCGAAGTGCTATAAATATTGCTTTGGGCTCGAATGAATTCGTTGCTGAATGGGGATCATCCGCTGTGCAGAAACTGCAAACGAATTCCAGACGACTTTTACTTGAGTAAGTCAGTGAAACGCTATTACAACTCGACGATAACCCCAACCCCCCCCCCGAGTGGGAAAGAAATTTAAGCAAATGCATTTGGTTCCTCTGAGTTTTGAGCAGAAATACTGAACACTGAATTTTTTGCTGTATGAAGCTGTTGAGAAACTCTATTTGGTATAGACGTTTCAACACTCTACTAAAAGACGAGCATTTAAAACTTCAGAAGTATAAATGCCAAGAATTTGCCGTTTTTGGCCGAATTGCAGTTTTGTTTTCATTTTTAAAATAATTATGAGTCTTGAAATTACACCAAATAGCAGAGAAACTATTTTGCTTCAGGCAAATATAGGAATGTTTATCACCAGTTATCACTCCAGTTGTATTTCCTTTGAGTTCATCTCATGCTGTTTTAGGTTTAACCTCGTAGGTCTTTGTTTCAGGCTAATTCTGAGTTCTCGAGACGACCGGGCAATGTGCCCTAGCGGAAAATCGTACCAGTGGAATCAGGTAATAGCACGCAGAGAATTCGCTTGTCCTTGAACGATGTAATGCAGCCTATATTTCGTAGTAAACATATATTTGATGACGTATACACAGTTTGCAACTGCTATCCATATTAGATGCCATATTGGAATGACTCAACCAATCCTATTTTGTCTTGTAAACAAGGCTTTCATGTTTACTAAATCCTAAATACATGAATTTAATTAATCCATGAGATTAGGATTAACCATTGACCTAATTTAAGATCTTATCCTAATCTAATCTCAAGGATTAAATTCGTGTACGTGAACTCATTTAACATGAAATTAGTATCCTTTACAGTGAATTGCATTTGTTTTTTGCCCGCAGATCGACAGCGACGATTTATTCTCTCCCTATCATCAAGCAGAGCTCGAAGATGACCAACCAATTCTGTATCCGCTTCACTATGGCGTTGCTGTTAAGGAGGCTACATACGCTGACACGACACCTGATCACATCGTTCAACGAAGAATGCATGTTCAAATGCTTCACGAAAAGTCAGGCGGGTAGGTCGTTAAAAAACATCGCTTTAAAATTTCTCGGCCTTCGTGAAAACATCGTACTATTAGAGAGGCTCTGGTGGAAAATCGCTTAAAATTTCTTGGGCTTTGCGTAAACATGAACCAATAAAACGCGATATTTCTATCAGATCAGCCAATCACGAGCGCAATAGTTCAGCGAGGGGAGGGAACATGAACCAATCAGATGCGAAAGCTCTATCAGATTAACCAATCACGGGCTCAATAGATTAGCAAGTGGTGACGGTATAGTGCAGTAGTCAACTCTGGATCTTGCTATGATAATTTTGGGGCAGTGAACTCTATGTGAACTGAAACGATAGCTTATTTTTATGCTAGACGCCGGGTCACTTATTGTTCCAGTCTTTATAAATTGAAAGTGGTTTATAATGCTAGTGTGTCCCAAAAAAGTGGCCACTATAGAAGTTGAAATGCATTCAGTTGTAATTGTTTTTGAGTTGAAAACAAAGTAATTTGTGACTAAAATTATTTTGTTTTAAGAGTTCACTTCATGGCTGGGTTATAATTACGCCCGATTTAGACGCCATGTTTACCACGGGCCGGACAAAGAACTGACTTTATGCGGTGCGAAAATCGGGCCGGTCAGGATGTGATGGGAAACCCCAGCCCTATACTAGAAAATTGTCACCAATCAAAACAGCTTGTTATCAAAGTTGAATTCCGTAACTACTTCCTGGCTTTGTGTGAAAATAATAAAACCATTCACAAAAGGCCACCTACAAAATTCTACTTTGTATAAACCCTTAATATAAGGTCTGGGCGTTGACGTAGTTGTGATTGTTTTAATCGGTTTAAAAAACCACTATAGGTGGTGACACTGAATAACGCTATTAACCTATATGTACATAAGTTTGTCTGAGGGGAAACTAGTATCACGACCTCTAGTCGTGCAACTCAAATTCACTATTCAAGGTCTAAGGTTCACACGATCCAATTTTGTTTGATCCATTTCACTTCTGATGGATGTTTTATACTTTGTTGTCTTGTAATGTATATGAGCAGCAAATCCACCGAAGCCAATGCACTACTGCTTTATCAATAACTAACAACATTTCATACGTCAGAAGTGAATTGGATCGTGTGAACAGGCCTTAATACATCTTTTCCACGGATATTTGTTTTTTTTTCAGGTCATCTCAACCATTCCCCGAAACGATTGTGTGTGTGTTGTGCAACGTACGATGCCGTCATCCTCGTGGTCTTCGTATGCATTTACAGACGAGAGCACATTGCTCGGAAGAGAGAATTCTATTTGATGATAGATACGTGTTCAACCACTAGCTTATTGGCCTCCTTGTATCCTTCGTGTGATATTCCGTGAAGTGTATATATTGTTCTTTGTTATCTAAAGTGTCAAAGTTGATATATTTTGGTTAACCTGTGAATATTTCACTATATTATACGCGTGTTTTGGAGAGTACACGGTTCCCATTTATAGCAGACCACGTTTTGTTTTTAACCCGAAAAGGCAGGGGAATCCAAAACCACAACTAGAAATAGCATCCTATAGAATGAGCAAAACGTCGAAAGTTTGGTTCCAAGCAGTTGCATGCATGCATGCATGCATGCATGTGGTTGCACAAATTTGATCAACTGTACGACTTTTTCACTTTTATAACATTTGGAAACTTAGTTTAATCTTTGTATGAAGTTTTACCCCGGCGTTTTAAGATACTCTCCCTAGCTGTGGTGTTGGGTTTCATCATAATAGGCGACTCGATCAAAATTCAATTGCAGAACATTTACCTCATTTTGAAACCTAATTAGTGCCATGTTTTTTAATTTCACCTCATAAAGTATATATTGCTACTTCAAAGAATGTCGTTATCTCTGATTCACGACACTGCATGTGCATGATGAGAATTTGTGCTTTTTTTACTTTTTTTTATAAGCCGTAAGATGCAAAACGATAAAACGTTGTTTTTAGTAAGGACGCATGCAGTCACGTTTACTGATAGAACGTTTTTCTGATAAACATTAATTGACGTGGTCTGTTGTTGAAGTTTGAAATTGTTGAAATTGAATGATGCAGAGTGTATAGCTACGTAAGACAACACTCATAAAACATCATTACAATATCGGACTGTCCGTCAAGTGCATGACATAGATTAATCATGTATAAAAGAGAGTATATAGATAAATGACAAAAAAAGTTATTATGTTCTGTTAAAATGCTGTTGTAACTCCAGCATTTAAAAATATATATAGACCTCGCTGGTCCGGACCCGAAATCTTGAAACAGTATTCTTATGCAAACCTTTGATGCATTGATATGTAACACGTACACTGTCATTCAAAGATATTTCAAATTCTAAAAGTTTGTTAGAAACATACCGTTACGTACTTACCCCGTTGTTTTCGTAATTGAATTACAATGGTGTTTTTACAAAGGCAGCTTTTCGCACGACCCTTGAACCGCACACACGTTTGAGATTTTTAACAGTAAAAAGCACTAATATTATAGGACTTTCGATACACATCAGCGACGCTCGAATATATTCGTGAAAAGATGCCTTGAAGCCTTTTCCTACGAACCATACTTGACCTCCTATAACAATTGCAATTTTGTTTAAAGTTATTACGGTCCTACAGGGCCTCGTATTGAGCGCACAGTCGGCAAAGTATTTGAACACTTGTTAAATTATTTTTGCTCTCAAAAGCAGACGAATGTATATCCCAGGCATGGAGAGTAATCTTGTGATATTAATTCTGCACTCTTCTTTGAAAATTCTCAGTGGGTAATAGCTGTGTCCTAACCACAAAATTAAAGTTCAGCTTTGCTATTTTTAGCCATTACGACCTCTTTGTGAATTCACTGGGTTTTTGAGCTTGACGGACTAACCGTTCTCGAGTGTTGCGGATATCAAAGGCTTCTTTATATTCTGGCGGCGTCCGTCGACAATTGCATGTCAAAATGGAAGCTGTGTCACTTCGTCATGCATTATGGCTTAGGTTTTACGGCAATGTCCGACAAGTACGTCACGTGGAAAGAAACCGTTTACTGTGGGTTAAAAGAAGCTGTTTTATATATCTGATGCATGAATTTCAAATTGAAGAAGCAGTAGTTTGTGTTTCTCTAAAAAGGATGTAGTGAAACTTTCACATTTCGTGCGAAGGTAATCTTTCATCAGGAAAGGCAAATTTCAAATTAAGTTCAAACACAAGTCATGGCAACCAATTGGCGCACCTATATACACTTGATCTTTCATTCGAGACGCACACGCGACGGTACAACATTAATTATTATTTTAAGATTTCTTTCAATACAAGAGCACAATCAATTAGACCAGCTATACGCAGACAATGCGACTGATTCTGCATGCGCAGAATCGAAAACTTTCGTATGCAATTTTGAGGTTTTCTTGGTAAGCCAAGAATATTGCTTTAAATCTGCTGTCGTTTACGAAAATTATTAAAAAAAGATATCGCGTCGGCAGTCTCAAGTAGGAAGACACTACGAAATACCAAACAGCTTGAAAAACATCACAAACAGCCAAAGACATACATGCCACGATGGCTGACCTTAGTGCATTGGCGGTTTCAAGGTTGCTGGGCAGGTGTGAATTGAGCCTGTATAAATTTACTGAGCATTTATTATTTTATAACTCGATCAATTGAATCCTTAGGGAGTCCTTCGCATATTGTCATCGGTATTTGTGAAGATTTAGGTGATGTTGAATCATCCACGGTGACTCAGTGCCCACAAAAAGGGGACACTATTCAGTTCAGAGTTTCACCGTGCATAAATCGTGAACAAAAATGTCGGTAACAAGAAAACAGAAAAACTGTTTTTTATGTCTGCTCTGCGATGCAGAAATAAGGTTATCAAAGGTAGTTATCATTTTAGGGGCCTTCGTAATGCCAATCCCCTGGCTTGCACCAACCTCTTGGATTTCGTCAATCCTTTCAAATTTATTTATTTATTTATTAAGTCATTAAACGAGATTAATCATGTTTTATAAAACAAGATTTAAATGCCTGGTTACCATTTGGTCTGTGCAGAGTTGCAAAAAGAGTTCAACCTTCCTCCGGTAGGATTTCAAGTTTTGAAAACCTTCCTCAAAATGACGTTACGTCACCGGCATAAAAAAATATTTGGTTTTTTGGTACATGCATGTGATCAATTCGAGTGAACCTTCCTCACAAACCTGATTCGAAGCAAACCTTCCTCGCGGGTGGTACCCGCGTACCCGCAGCTTTTTTGCAACTCTGGGCCTGTACCTGTCCGCCTTCGACTGCTGACAGTGGTTTTCATTTATCTTTCCCCTGTGTGTTGTATGCAAAACATGTCGGTGCTGATCACAGAGATATATTGACCAAGTTTCACATCCGCCGCTTGCTGTTAATGCGATGAGCGACAGCCATATGGAAACTAGGACTTAGATCCGTTAATATCTCTTCACGAGATGACCACCGAGAGGAAATGAAACCGAGCCGATTTCAGGTTTAGCTGGATGTTAAAGACAAATATTAGCAGTGGTTGATGTCGTCATGTCACGTCAGCGCGTCAAATATCGTTATCGTATATCGGAATTGCCCTTACAGTTCATCACGTCAGAGGATTACGATGCGGTAGGGTTTAATAACAAAATGCCCAGCGATAATAATTTGAAAACACTTGAAAAATATTTCCTGTAATCATGCATAAGATAATAATGATAGCATTAAAGATTCATTCGAGGCCATGATTTTTTGTACAATTTGTACCTTAGATTGTTTATGGAGCATGGTTGAATTTTTTGGACTTGGTCATCGTGGTAAGAAAATTTTGTGCTGGTCGATGGAGTGACGGATATTGAGAAGAAGTGGCGAACTTTCACCACTATCGGGTTACGTTATTTCCGTGGGAGGCTGGTTAGGAACGGATTGCGGAGGCTGCGATTTTTGACTAAATTAACTTTATTTTTTTACAAGCACAGAAAGATGTTGAACGCTAAAAGCGTCTAGTGGTAATGGTGTTTTTCTGTTGGCGTTGTTAATATTGGGGATATTTGTTTTCAGTTTGTTTCATACTTATATTGCGATTTTCCATTGAAAATTTTGCGCAGAAATGCCGCCCAGCTCGCCGCTATAAAACTGATGACCTGTTTTTCATCTTTGGCCGTACTTTGGTAGAGTTTGTTCAAAGGCACTGTTCCCCAACCCAGAACGAAGAGCCCACGTTGATAATGCACTGGATAATTTGATAGTTTATTGTAATACTAATTTGACAGTTCTGCAGCTAAATATCAATTTCTATTCTTGAATTCATTAATCATCTTCGACAATTCCTATTTTTTATTGTTATGCTGATCAGAAGTTGCCCATGTCAAATAAATTATGCATTCTCGAATGTATTTTCACCATTTCAATTAAGATAAGAGCGTTTTCTCCACGCGTATCACAGTATGCTGAAATTAAGCAATTCTTGACGCGTTTATCGTCAGGAAAAGCAGAACGAAAGATGAAGAAGATTGGGTCAAACTGAGCCAGATCTTTGCATCTGATTATTTTACGCCAGCCGGACGACTTCTGCCGGATCGCCGTTTTAGGAACTTTTGTTAGGCAACGACTTGTTTCCCAAACGTAGCTGCCTTGTGACAGGCAAAGATATGAGAGAAAAAGAGGTTCCTTTTAAACAAATTTACCAAAATCTTGACGCTCGGTCAGGTTCCGGTTCACTCCGTGTTCTAAGACGCCTCACGTGACCAGGATCGTCCAATTAGAAAATCGTCTACAAATTTTCGGGAGGGTTAACAACTCATAGGCGACCATTTTTCAAAGCTTTAGATTTTTGTTGTGTGTTGAAAAATCTGGCCATTTCTCGACTCAATCAAGGCAAGCGGCATTGAACATAACATTTTGGCTGTCCGCATCAACTGGGCGACACATGTGTGCTGTGTTGTGGACAATTTACTAGCGAACAGAACCTGTAAGAGTTGAATGTAGCGAACGAAGTATTCTCAAAAGGAACGTCGATTTCGAATGAAGAAAACATAGAGATTGTTGACTCGCAAAAGCGGAATGAACGCTCTATAAACAAGTGGAAGGATACAGTTTTCTTACCCGGTTGTCAACAAGCCGATTTGTGACAACTTCGCGTTGTAATTCCTCTGAAGATGTCGGCAACTCGAGCACTACCGACTGTAAACGAAGGAGGTGCACCGCTATTAAAGGTGAAATTATACATTTCCTTTTGTTCGGCTTGGAACTTAGATTATTTAGCCGTTTGGGTCAGTGTTTTGGGATATTTTTCCAACGAATTTCGCGTGTCTTTCTCTCTAGGAAGAACCACGGTCCTCGAGTTCTTCGGGTCGTTCCCGAAACAGAGCTGGCACAGGAAGCGATGACATACATATTGGCAACTATAAACTTTTAAAAACTATCGGCAAAGGCAATTTTGCTAAAGTTAAACTGGCCAAACACACGCCGACGGACAAGGAGGTATAAGAACAAGCCCTGTAGTCAAAAAACCTCGACGTTTATAACCCTACGACATATTTTTGAACGTAAACTGGCGACAACCGGCTTATATTAAATTTGTCAGCATCGCAATCTAGGCTACTGAAATATATAGTTTTGCCTCATTATTTATGCCTCTGTCTTTAGGTTGCGATCAAAATCATCGATAAAACCCAATTGAATCCCAGTAGTTTACAAAAGGTACGTATTTTATAATGCTTGCTTTCGGTAAACCAGTTAAAATACACTCCCAAGTACTTTCTAATGTGAGAAGCGGCGAACTTTTGGCACGTAAATCATTTTGAAAACATCGCAATAAACGAGATTTCGTAACAATTTCAAACAACAGCTTTCAGTGCAAAACTTCATTCCACTGCCCAGTCTCGTGTAAGCTATCTATTGTGCCAGTTTTTCAGAAGAATTGTTATGAATATGAGCATTTTTAAGACGACGGACGCGGAACAAAAAATACCTAATGAAAGAATTTTCGTCCGTCTTAATTAAAATCTAATGTCTCAAAATGTCGTTCGTAAACGATTGATGTTTTTGTATAGATAACACCATTTTAAAAATCCACTTTTGAAATTAAGTGCACTCGTTTGAAAGAATATACATTGTCTTTCTACGTTCTTGGTATAATATATTAAGTTAGGCATGCCAAAAATATAGGTTTTGAAGCTCTAGAGTAGGAAATATTATTCGGCTATGTTGTCAAACATGTAGCTATTTACAACGTTGGCCAATGCCCGTTGAAGTGAATAATGTTTCGGTGACAGATTTCTCTTTTCCGCACCACAAAAAATAGAAATCAATTGAGATAGCTCATGAACTCTTTATAACATTTGAAGATGCTGCTATTTTGTTTTCAGTTTAATAGTTTAAGTGTTTTTGAGGGACAAAAGCAGGCTATTGTAAACCAAATTTAGCTTATATGTATAGCAACGTTTTTTATGCCCAAAAATTGCAAAACATTATGTCTGTCTAAAGTTTAAATCATCAGCAATCAGATGATTTTTTTGGGAATCTGATTTTATGTCCCCAGATGTAAATCCTTTGCCCATGAACAAGATCCGCCTAAAAAATCCGAAATCTGAAATACAAGACTGTAGTTTTGTTTCATGGTTTATTGAAATTTGCTATAATGCTTGGGATAGCCTGCCTGGTGCCTGATCTCTCAATTTTCCCATGGAGATTACTTTGAGTTGTTGCATTGTTTTGCATAAATTGTTTGTATCAAAATTTGTCAAATCTATTTGGGGTATTGTAAAATCTCTTTCACCTTTCAACAGTTGCAAACAAAAGTAACAGCTTTAGTTGAATATTAACTTAGGTTAAGCATTAACCTGCCTCCCATAAGGAAAAGACAGTTCCAGATAATTTGTCTCCCACAAGTATTTTGTCGTCTGTATAGAATAGCAAGGTGAGCCTTGTGACACGAAGCATGATATAGTCTCTGCTTCCCCACTGACAATTATAATTAGCTCACTTAAATTATACCTAATTGGCATGCAAAATTCACTTGGTTAAAATCTTGAAAAATCTGTCATTATTATCATAAGAATATGATGCATTTTGAACTTTGTTTGAACTTCTGAAATATAGATTATTTGTTAGATAATGGAAGTTATTGTGTTTGTAAAACACTTTGTTCCCAAATGATGCATTGCATCCAGTTTTGTGATAAAAAGTAGTTACACTTCTGTACCAATCACCAAATATAAAAATAGAGTTATTTGAACACAATTTCCAATTAGATCAACATTTACCATGCCCAAAAAAGAGGTGTCCACAGTTTTTTTCTCAAGAATGTATAACATATGATTCACAAGTGAAACTTTCCTTTTTTAACAGATTTTTGACTCTAACCACCTTCTAAATTTCTATAATTCACTCCCCCCCCTGCCCTAATCTTTACTCCTAACTGGACATGCATGCTCATACAATATGATTGCTATTGCACTTTTTAGCAAGGTTTGCAAAACTAGAGGAAAAACATTTAAAGGAAGTTATTTAGGATGCAAGATTGTGCTAATATTTGCCAACTGAATTAACCCACAGACAAAGCTGTCATCTCCTAAATATAATTATTTTATGATTATGCAAATCTTCCAACTTACTTGTATTCATGTTCATGTGTCTTGCTGTTCTTAAAAGTTACATGCTGAATCTTAGTACAGTTTTCAAATGTAATGGTTAGATTAAAATGAGTATACCTGCAAAAAAGTTTCTATTTTATAAACTTTTCACTCGTTAAGCTTGCTTTCTGGTGACAAGCATAATGAGTACTGTAAACACTTTTTGTTGGGTTGGCCTTGGATGTGCATTGCAATTTGAATGAGATGATAATTTTTTTTTGAACAGCATTAGCCTAGAAAGTCAATACCCTGATATGCAAAGTTTCTATTCATTACTGCATATTGTGATAATTTATTCTGAAACAGGCTTTAATTTCTTTCAGCTGTTTCGGGAGGTTCGCATCATGAAGTTTTTAGATCACCCCAATATAGGTTTGTACACATAATCCCTAATTCTATTGACAGCATTGTCATTTTTGTCTTGTACAAAGAGAAAAGCCAAACATGGATGGATTTCTATATTAAATTGAAAAACAACTAGCCCCAAAACATCACAAGTTGTCAAACATTTTTCAGGCAATTTGTACCTTCAAACCCCCAAATACATATGACACTTTCATAAACATGATTTTAATGTGTTTTCTAACCTCAATTATATTTTTATTTCTAGTGAAACTTTATGAGGTGATTGAAACAGACAAAACGTTATATCTGGTCATGGAATATGCAAGTGGAGGTAACTTAATGGAAATCTTTTTCTGATTTACTGAATTAAGTAGTTTATGTTTCTGGAAGAGTTTTAAAACATCCTTTCCCCTCCATTTATTCATGGCTTTTCCAATGTTTACATTAGTTGTGTGTAAAAATCACCAATCTGTCCTGAACACACTGGGGCAACTCTTATTTTATTACTTTGAAGTTTGTTTTTTTTTTTGAAGTGTGTCAACAAGCCATTGATTGGTTGTATAAAACATTTTAAAATTTTTTTTCCCTTTGTCTCAATATTCAAATTCAAGCTGCAGTGTTAATAATTGAAGGCTTGTTAGTTGTATTAAATTATTTATTCATAAATTTTCTTGACTTTTAGGAGAGGTATTTGATTATCTTGTTGCTCACGGAAGGATGAAAGAGAAGGAAGCAAGATCGAAATTTAGACAGGTTCAAAATTTAGACATTTTACTCTCCCAGAAATATTATGTTTTAAATCAGGATTCATTTTTCAGTGTGCATTAGGAAAGGTGTTGAGAACATTGTGTCACAAAAAATCCTATTCTTGTTCTTCAGATTGTGTCTGCAGTTCAGTATTGCCACCAGAAGCATGTCATTCATAGAGATTTAAAGGTATGTTTAAGTTTATATTCAGTTAAACCGATTAGCTCAGCCATAGTAGATTTGCTTTAATTCAGTGTACTTACTATTCCATCCGTAACTACCTAATTCATTTGCCTGCTATCAACCCATTAACTTTCAATGCACTCAGATGTGCCATAATGTAGTATTTTTACCATTTTACCCTGTCTAATGTAAGATGATTTTTCTTCATTAATGAAGAGTACTGCTAAAAAGTTTAAAAAACTATCTGTCAGTATCACTTGTTAAAAATATGCTGTTTTTGAGTTAAAGAAGTACCAACACCTGGGCAGTTTGTGATATTTTAGATATTCTATCCATTATCGGCCTAATAACTCTGCCAGTGTCCCATGTTAAGCTATTAGCAGGCTATGTCTTGTGACCCATTAACCAAGTTATTGCACTTTGTCTGAACTTGACTTTACTTATCAATAAAAGAATACTGTGTGACCTTATGCATAAAATCGACGTTGTATTTTCATGGTAGGCTGAAAACCTGCTGCTTGACTCTGATATGAATATCAAGATTGCGGATTTTGGCTTCAGCAATGAGTTCACACCTGGCAACAAACTGGACACATTTTGTGGCAGTCCACCCTATGCTGCGCCGGAGTTGTTCCAGGGCAAGAAATATGACGGGCCTGAAGTTGATGTCTGGAGTTTAGGAGTTATTTTATATACATTAGTCAGTGGTTCTCTTCCATTTGATGGACAGAATCTTAAGGTAAAGAAGTGAATCCTGCTTTAAATAGTGTATGTAGATGCCTTTCCTAAGTTTCCTTAAAAAATACTTGACCATGACATTGTGCATACTTCATGAAATACTTCACCTTGGTTAGCATTGATTGGATCATATGTACTAACAAACTAATTCTTCTCTTACAGGAACTAAGGGAGAGAGTTTTACGTGGAAAATATAGAATACCTTTTTATATGTCGACAGGTTGGTGGGATGCACAATATACATCCATCCATGCTTATCATGAATAAATATACTTTCAAATCCTAAACTTGGAGATTTCATCATAAACCTTTCTTTTTCAGATTGTGAAAACCTATTAAAGAAATTTCTAGTTTTAAATCCAATGAAAAGAGTTCGCCTGGAGGTTCGTGTTTATCTCTTTCCAATGCTTAACTACATATGTACAGTATTATTTCCTGTCCACCGATCGGATTTCGAGGGATTTGTAAATGCGATTAAAACTAAGACATAATTCATAAGCCATCCTCAAACGGAAGCCTGCGTGTACTTTCGATTTCACTCAAATTCATGCATCTATTTTTGAAGCAAATCATGTCGGACAAGTGGATGAACATTGGTCATGAAGATGATCCTCTTAAGCCTTACATCCAACCGTCGCCTGATTTCACAGATGAAAAACGTCTCGGTAAGGAAAGAATGCATGCGTTATGCAAAAATTTTCGTTGCTAAAACATTAATCGTGCCTTCTCGAACGTATTTTGAACTTGTATATTGACTTCGCTGTCTTGCATCTTCAGATATTATGATTCAAATGAACTTCACGAAGGATGAAATACGAACGTCTTTGTTGAACAATCGTTATGACGAGGTCATGGCAACGTATTTACTTTTGGATGAAAAACGGGCGAACCTTTCGGTGAGTTAATAATCTTCACTTGAACCTACTCAGTTATGCTAGTTTATTAACTGTTCTGGAAGTTTTAAAACGATGTTCGAGAAATGTGAATCTTGAAGTGCCTGGCATTGTTCTGAAAGCATCTTCATTGTGCATTAGCTATGCATGCGACCATGCATTACCAATATTGCACCTCAAGATAATTTACTATTATCTTTATATCTTTTAAGGGCTGCTTTCTACTGTCTCGTTTTTCGTACACGCACGTAAAAGTCTTCAAAGTCCACGCGACAGTGGAAAGCAGCGCTAAGTGTTGTTTTTTAATTCTCCCCAATTCTGATGTGTGGACAACAGAGTCGATATTTATTCGCCATTTTCACGTCGTCTTTGATGTTCATATCCTCATGCTAAATCTCCCTAATAATACTTAGCGGCCAACTTCTTAAAATATCGCTCAGTGTTTGCATGAAATAATTCAAGATAGAAAATACTCAAATGTAAATGGAGAATTCTAGGCTTTAAAGGGTCTTAATTTCGAGTGGTATTATACACACTTCAAATTCAAGCCAGGAACAGTTGATGAAAAAATGAGTCAACTATAGGTCCTCAGGCAGAAATCGAACCTACGCTTTTGCGATGCCGGTGCAATGCTTTTGCAACTGTAAATGTCGAAGCCTTTATTTCATTCTCTTTTCGTTCAACTTGCTAGATAACGATGAACGACTTGATAGCGGCATCGCATTCCTCGTCGCTCACGACGCCTTCTCGGGAACCTTCGTCGCGCTCGGGTGGTACCGGACGGAGCAAGAATGACCGTCATGGCGCGAAAACTAATCGAGAGTTGATACGAAGGCATTCGCACGGTGACAGGGTTCCTAATAAGGCTCTTGTGTATAATAGGTAAGCAAAATATTCATAAAAAGAAATTGTTCATCGCTTCATTGGTGCTTCCAGCAATGAAAAGTATGTGGCACTGTGGGAAGGTTTTTAAGCCTTTTTGAAGGGAATTTTATTCAATTTTTTCCTCTCAAACTCCTCCCGAAACATGAAACAACACTTGTCATTTCTCAGGGCAAACAACGCTGGTGACAAGGGTGGTCAAACGTGCGACAAGACGGAATCAAATAAAGACGACATGGCCGCTACGAATGATAGAGTAATCTTGGGTCAGGCTTCAAATCCTAACAAGGACGAGTTCCCTGACCGGGGTACCAGAAGGATAAAAGGTGGTGGAAGGGTAAGCAGATGGATAATAGAGAATTTAATATGGCATTGATTATTTAGTGTCAGAAACAGCCTTAAGTCCTTGGCAAACGAAAAGTCCATTAAAGCACATTTCAGTGAATTTCTTCCTCTCGAATTTAAAGCAGCGATAGGAAGGCAGGGGGGGTGTACACCCCACGGGCGCTGGGTGATCTAACCTGTCGATACCCTAATGCCCCCGTGTTCTCATTTCAGCAACATAGTCTACCTCCCGAGAAGATTCGAAGGAATACCTACCACGATAAGAAGTCGAGCGCTGTACCAGATAGATCTGGCACTAGCATGAGTGACAACCAATCATCGGCCGTCTCGTCTCAAACCAACGGCAGTAGGACGAGGTAAGACGGAATAGACGATTGAATAAGGTTGATGATTCAAAAATATCACTGGGGATGACAGTGAATGAAGTTGCCATGAAGAACAATCGGATTTGAATCCTCTTTGGGAATATCGGTGTTTTTTTATTGCGCGTTGGCCTCGAATAAAGATTGCCGTTTAATACCAAACAGCGCATCTTGAGTGGGAGATATTAAGGTCAGATAACTGATATTTAATGTTTTTGATTTCAACAGCAAAGGCGGTCCTCCGTCGTCAAGACAGAAGCAACCAACATCGCTTACCAATCGCATGGGACCTGTGCGAAGGTCTTTACCGCCCGTTGCTGTGACGAGGGAAAACGATAGACTAAGACCCGGGTAAGATTTCATCCTTAAGAATTTAGATTTCGGAATTGTGTTGAGTTGTACGACTTTGTACAATTTGTCCTGACTACAAACGATGACTATAAAATATGTTAACGATGGAAGTGGGTTCGAGCAGTTTTATTTTAACATGCTCTTGAGAGTATCATCTGTCCAATCTGACCTCTTGGGAGGAACCTAAACTAAACTTACCTGATGCATGACATTTCATCTCTCCAGCCACAGGAGGAAACTGCCAAAATAGGAATTAAACTAACTTTCATACTGAATAAGACAATTAGTTCCAACTCTTTCCTCACAGTATAATAAAATTCTGTTTATCATTTCTCTAGCTCTGCCCCAGGCACCCGCGGCGCCGAACCAGGAGGTACAGCCAACAGTCGCTTTGGTCACCGACAGACACCGCAACGGAGTACGTTTCACGGTGGACAAACACGACAGAAACATTACCAGGAGAATGGACCCGATTCTGGCCTGCCTCATGACGTCACCAGTCCAACACGAACCTCGTTGCTAAGTAAACTGACGTCACGGTTTAGTCGAAGGTTCGTTCGGTTTAATCGAAGGTTTGTTTTGTTTTAATTTGGTTGTTGTTTTTCCGCCTCTGAAGGAATGCATAAACGAGTTGTAAGAATGGCCACAAATCGTAAGTAACATTTGATTCGATAAATTCTTAATCACAACTAATCATACTAATCGCTTAAACATACTCTCGCCATACTTAAAGCAATCGCGATAATCTTAACCACATAACCTTGGACTGCAAATCCACTTGCATCCTCGAATCCAAACATCCGTTCGTACGCAGTCACCGGGACTTATCTTTGACGAGAAATAGGGATAAAATAGTACTTTAGGGGTAATGGTTGATGAGCGGTAGTAATGATGGATTTAGAAAGAAAGCCTATTTGGTTCCAGTTTCTTTGCACTTGATCTCCTATTAAGCATTTTTGATCTAATGCACGTTTCAAAATATCATTGGTTGAGATTTTGTTTGTACAATATGGAGTCCACATCTCCCAAAAAAGTTTTATTTCAAAGTAAAAAGGGCCACTAGGATAGAGTTGGCTGAAATACGAAGAGAATTTGAACGTTTCCAAGAAAAAGCCTGACCCGTTAATTTTTAAATGTTTTAATGTATAAAAAATTAACATCGGGTTTAAATGAATTAACAAATAGCGTGTAGAACCAAATGGCGTGTAGGACTAACAATTAATCCAGCTACAGTGTTTTATTCTAACGTTTTGGCATGTAAACTGCACGAATTAAAGCATTTTCTACTAACAATTTGATTTAACAAAATGATTTAATTGAATCAATCAACTTAACCAATGTGGCTTGAAAGCAACGAGTGTGTGTGAGCGAGGGTGAGCAGTGGATAGGAAGGTTCATTGAGGGTGAATGTGGATGAAGTATGGTTATGTCGGGTACACATGTTTACTGGAAGGGGTAGATGAAGGTTGAGAGTTAATAAGCCACTAAGATATTTTTATTAAGAAAACTGGTCTGAAATAAACCAAAATGTTAAAAATATTTTAAAATTTCGATTTTATATAAAATGTAAATACTCTCCACGAAATCTTTCCATCCAAACCACACTCAACCTCTCTACCTTTTCTGTACGTATGGAATTCTGCCATTTCTGTGAATTTTTCGCCGTACTTTTTGCACCGAGAAATTTTCCAAACTTCCACAAGTATTTCGTTTGCACTTTGCACCAAAAAGAAAACTTCAGAGCGAAATCTCCACAACCGCTAGATATCAGTGACATTGCAACTGGCTCATGCCTTTTAATTCTGTTTCGATATGTTTAGAGATTGCTTTTCACTAAAATTATTATGTTTTTTTCATTGTGTAAGTCCCGACAACGTTTCGTCTGTCCAAATTAGCCCGTCCTGTAGTTGCCAGTTGCTATGTCACCGATGTTTTCTCGTGTTCGTCGTGTGTCGTTTTCGTCGTGTATCGTATCGTGACGTGTCGTGTCGTGTACATTGTTTACCGTACGTAAGGGTCTGGTGGGGACAGGACGTGAAAGAATACGCGCATTTTGTCCGACCGTCAAATTTAGCCTTTCGAAATTGTTCGAATGATGTTACCGCATGAGTTTGACTGAGCAATAAGTTAAGGTTTACTTGTGAGGTTTTTACTCATCAAGTAGTATTTTTTTTGACTTTTCACCATTTCTACATTTTCTTTCGAAATTAATACAGAATATTTCTCCACGAAGGTAAAACTAACATGCCTAAGGAAGTGTCAAAATAGATAACGTTTCCTTTTGTTTTGAGTTTGTTTCTCTCGCATTTCTGGTTTCCTGTGGGTTTTAAATGAATATGAGCTAGAAAAATCTGAAACATGCAAAATTCGCCGGCGATTTACAAATTCGCGGGTCCCGCATTGTTATGAGAAGAACCGATGAGCAACCCAACTGGAGACGACCTTTAATGCAATACTTTGAAATTTTATTAACAGAGGCTTGAATGAAGTAGGGAACGAGAAACCGAGAGCACTTCGTTTTACCTGGAGTATGAAGACGACAAGCTCAAAGGACCCGCTAACGATGATGGACGAAATCAAACGTGTCTTGGACGAGAATCGCTGTGACTATGAACAGAGGGAGAAATTTCTCCTAATTTGTGTACACGGTAGTCCAGCCGAAATGAATAACGTGCAATGGGAGATGGAGGTCTGCAAACTACCACGGTTATCTCTGAACGGTGTGCGTTTCAAACGAATCTCTGGAAGTTCCATCAATTTTAAGAACATTGCTTCGAAAATCGCGAACGAATTGGAACTCTGAGGCGAATACGAGCAATGTAGCAACATGTAACAATTAGTCGCGTTGATGTTTCGTTCAATCAACTTTGACGATGAAATCATATTGAAATTACTGGAATACCTTGGTTCGAGGGAAGAAATTTGAGAGAGATCTCTGGGGGGGCAGCTAAGAGATGAGTGAAATTTCAGACCACGCGAAATCTGAAATGCCCAAGAAATTCTAGGATTTGGAAAGTGAATTCCTGAAAAGGATCCAGGAGTCGTGAGTGGACGGGTGGGTGCACTGCAGTATATCGCGAAGAATGTGGAATCTCGTGAGTAAATACGATTGAAGATTTTGATGAATACTGACAGAAAACTCTGGATGAGAAGTAACAATATTGGGTTTTGTCAATATCTATTTGTATTTAAACAACTATAAGGTTTTTCGTGCATTATATGCGAAGAACGTTCAGAGAATATTGTAGTCAAAGTGCAGTTGTACTGTAACTCTTTGCTCGAAAATGTGGTGTAAATAGTATTTAATTTTTCCTCTGGTTTTTCAAAGGACTCACACTAACTGACAAGACTTGCACGAAGCGACTGCCGTTCTTGAATTCGAATTATCGAAGATGGATTTACGCGAGCGATCTCGTGATTTTTATATTAATTCAAATTTTGATAGCCCACAAACAATCTGTGAAACAAAAATAAAATTTTGGCCCATTGAAGGCGCTCTGACCTAGCAATGTCTGAAATTATTTCATTTGCGGAGGTCTACCCACCCTGTTCTATTATTTGCGCCCGATAATAATCTCCGATAATTTGAACACAAGTATGGCATGGATGAGGGAGTATCATTGAGCTCCGTATTTAAACTGGAGTGAGAATATGCATCCGAAAAGTTAAACTAAAAGAGAGAGGTTGGACAATCTTGTGATTTTCCTTCGTTCGTGTTTTTACTTCGATATGAACAGTAAAATAATCGTTCTGCAATCTGTTAGTTAGGCTGGTTTTAATTTTGTTTAGGTTTTCGTAGCTCAGTTGGCCGAATATAACAGTTCTTACTCCAGGTATATATATGGAGCTCACATGAGAATATTGGCTTACGGAGCTAATATGGTTGTTGATTCAACAATGGCTGTAAAATGTATAGCATTTCAAGTAACTGTGAGTTTTGAAAGGAGAAAATTTATTTTAACTCTTCCATTCTCGCTGGTCGAGATTCTGCCTCTGTTCTGTTATCTCATCCCGTGCGAGTTCTTAAATCAGATGCATTTCACATTTCAACTTTGTTTATCCCTCTTATATGAAGACTATAATATTATATCCTAACTGTTTTGCGGTCTACCTTAATCTTGGGAAATCACCTTTGGTATCGGGGGTCATTTGGGCAGGTCTGACCTGACACTGGGATTACTTGGCTTGGGAAATGAGGATCACTTAACTCGCTTATCATTCGGCTCATAATTATAACACCTGGCTCAGGGATTACTTAGCTTGGAAATTACTCGACTTAGGATTTACTTGGTTTACCTGGCTTAGGGATTTCTTAACTTTGGGATCACTTCACTTAGGATTTACTTGGTTCACCTGGCTTAGGGATTACTTAACTCGAGGATTACGTGACTGGGAGCCTCGAAAATCATTTCCAAACAAACTAGTTGACGTCACCGGTGAAAAAGAGACGGCGTGTATTTGTGAGGAAATTTCTCAACAACTATATTCATGTCTCCTTGACGTTTTCACAACAAATACGACCAAATAAAACGCAGTAATTTGGTTTTACACAATTTTGTTTTATGACGTGCAAATGTATTATCTTCAAGAATAATATTTGATCCAAAAATGAAATAAAAGTATAAAATACTACTGCGCTACTATAAGAACTATTAAAATGATGTTGTATAGTCAATATTACTATAAAAAATACTAAAGCTACTACATACGAAAGATGTAAAACGTTTGAAACCAAGTTTAGTTCGGACACATCCAATTTTGAACAGGTATTATTACCGTGATGTTTACAAACAAATGTTTCTCGTATGGCGACAATTTTATAAACAAAATGTTGTACTGACTCCCCAGATTTCTTTCAGACACCCTACCCGACCGAACTTCCGTGTTGAAAAAGAAGTATTGAAAATATCCAGCATTCATGCAGAGAGAGTTGGGGCAGCCTTCGTTCTCGCAAGGTAAAACTCCATCCAATTTGCGCGTTATGTGATAATTTATAATTTTCGCGATTACGCAACCTTGTATACCGGTCTCAGATTGTTGTATGAGAACCAGTAAACATTGGAACGCTTCATCGCTCCACCAGGCCGAGTTTAGCCAAGCGATTTAAGATTTCATGGTTTCCAATCAAGCGTGCATTTTTTCTGCATGGCGTGTGCAATTATCTCTGTTGGATTACCATAAGATCATAATGTTTCCCGTCTGATCTTATCCCAGATTCCATGTTTCGGTTCTTCATTCGTTCTTAAGATGTTTTAAATAAAGTTGCAAGCTTTTTACGCTTGCAGAAAAGAAGTTGGAAACGCTTTGCTGAGTTAAGATGTTTGGATGTTTAATGTGAATTTTACGGTGAGGGGGCAGCGTTAAGCGTAAGTAATAAATTGTATATTCTTTGCCTATTCAGTTCAATGATTTCCGAGCTTGATTGAGTGTATGCTTTGAGGCGTATTGGATACTGTCAATATATGTAAGTTAAATCTTTGATTTTGTTTGAACACTTAATTCACTGGCATTTGTCCTTAAACAAATTACAAGTCTCAACAAATATATCGAATTTAAAATATGAAGTTTCCCATTAATTCCTGTTGGTTCATACAAAATTAAATCACTGCATGAGTTAAGGATTAAGTTGAGAACTTCACTAGATTCAGTGTAAGATTCTTAAGCTAAGTCATGATCATAGAGAAGGCAAATATATTAAGCAAATATATTCTAGATTATAAATTTGAAAAAACAAAAAACTATAGCTGCAAATTTGCTTCACATCGTGTTATTATTTCGTACACATTCTCTTACTGTGGTTTGTAGGATCAGTATTGTCAATAACAATGAATTTGTGGATTTAAGGCGCGCGGAAAAGCTGGACATGTTCAAAAGTTCATCATTCTGCCTTTTAGAAGTTTTCAGTTTCTGAAGACATGATCGAATTGTGCACTCGCCATCCCAGTTCTTGCTAAAAGGGACCTAAATGTGATCTCGCTGTATAGAAATCTTTGTTTTCCTTGCAAGAAATAAACTGCACACTCAAGATGAAGTGTGGCGATGGGAGGAAGATAAAATCTGTTGACCGCAGTAAACCTAAAGATACCAGTCATAGAAATAATAGACATCTTTGAAGACAAATTTTTATAAGGGAAGAGGTATCAGTACGCATTCTATATCTATTATCTCTATGATACTAGGTTATAAAGTCATGCATTTTCCGATTCTCTTTGCAATTTGTGTTTTCAAAATCACAACTTTACAGTTTACACCACCTTGTGACCGTCATTTTTGTTTCATTTTTGTTTCTTTTTAGACTCGTTGTCAAGTAGAACTTTCTGCGAAAGCTATAATTCCGGTGGAAGATGAAGTATAAAATGAATTCTCTTAAGCTCAAAAGTCCGTTAGATAAGTATATTAATGGACAAAGGTATGTTCCTTTTGGTTTCTAAATCAGAATTTGGAGCGTCTCTTGATCCTATCATAAAAATTATTGGATAAATTTGCAATGCACCAATTCTCCGTTGGACGTTTTCCGATTAATGTCGACGATCTTATGCTTCGAATCAAAACTTTGATCATTCGTAATTTAATATATTAAAATAATAGAGCTAGGAACATTCACTAGTTTTCTATAAAGCACACTTTATATTTGACGCAACTGACGCGATACGCACAACAGAACTGTCAAGAAACTGACGGAACCGACGCTTACTTCATCACAAACTACTGCTGATGGAAATGACTTGTAATGGAAACAAACTTTCACGAGACTTGACAAAAACGATATGACTGTCACTACGGACAACGTTTGCCTTCGTGTTGACTACAAAACGCACAAACAAAATCACAAAACTGTTCTGCTAGTACTTATTAGTGATCAGAACTGACTGGAACTGATGTTTTACACGACAACGTTACGTCTAGAACGAGAAACGACGAAGTTATAGCAAGACACATAACGTTAATCGAGTCATGCCAACCAAACGCATAACTAAAAACGTACCAAAGACTGACTAAAATTACAATACTAAAGCAGAACAAATACTAACACGACAACGTAGCACCGAATTTCGAGTACAAAAATGTGGAATGGTTTAAATTGTTGCCAACGAGTGATAAATGAATCAAAACGTGACGCAAAAGCAGTATTCTAGCAAATATTTCGACTGAAAATCAAACAACATTTAACTTACGATACTGAACAGAGAACACACGGTAATTTCAATTACAACGACTTCAAACAAGGACAAGACAGCCAAGCAGTATATTCTTCTGCTCAAAGTGTGCTTAAAGAAAACTCGTAACTTTCAGCAATCATATTGTACATTATAAGTTAGTTTTAAATATGCTATGTACAATACGTGTTATAGTCAATAATTAGGCTAAAGTAGGGTGCGTTGAACCAATGAGAAATGCTCTCAACCTATAAACCTATAGGGTTACTGATTTAGTATCATATGCTAAAATTACTAAACCTGTTTTTGACGAATCTGACAGGTGGGGTGAGATGACATTACCGAACACTGACGCAACGTAACGACGGAACATAACGACTCATACCGATTGTGACGTAAGTGACAAGGTGACCAAGGTACATGCAACGCAGATTACTGACCTACGACAGACGACTGACAGAACTGACTGACTCACTGTCATGACTGACTGAAGACTACTGACGATAAATTAATGAAACAATTGCGACTGTTCGCTTATCATCACAATGAGGTCAATGATCTCTAGAATTGGATAGTCGCGATTTTTTTTCAATAACCATAGTAAACATACAGACGATACGATTGAATTCACGCATTACTGAACATCAACACTAAACAAACATCAAGTTGACATTTACGACTAACCAATAACCAAACAAATATACATCAGCTTTGAAAGAATATGAGAGTACAATGACATGTTGACATAGCCAACCAACCGGTACCAACTTTTTTACGTACAAACTGACGTTGACTGACTTATCAATGAAACAACTTCGTTACTACAAATGTACAAAACCATACACTTGCCTACTACAGACGTATTTTACTAACATTACGCTACACCACAAACTTTGGTAGTATTGACTACGAGGTATATACTATATCGTTCGTACATTCTGAAAATCACTGTTACCGAACTGCAATCGACTGACTTACCAAAAAACAACGAATTGACAAAATGACAAACTACAAAACCGAATTAAGTTACTTACTGAGAACTGTTACTTAACTTACATACAGGCAACCAATCGAATTACTGCACTACTAACTGACGTACCGGTAAAGAACAAACTATATAATTACTGGTTAACTTCCAACAAGCTGCAGACCAACTTACTGACAAACTGTACCAAATACTTCTGACGAACTACCAACTAACTGACTGCTATACTAGTAACCAACTAACTGACTTGATTAAGAAAACTTATTGACAATATACCAATTGAATTATTCTGGAAAAATCAACTAACTTGCTGACATGATACCAACTGACTTACTGAAAATATAATAGCTGACTTACTGACAAATTGCCAAATTACTTACTGAAAAATACCAACTGGCTGATCACTAACTGACAAACCGCGAACGAACTGACAAATTACCAACTGATTGACTAACTGACAAACTACTATCTAACCTACCAAACAACTTACTGACAGTCTATGCAACTAACTTGTTGACAAACTACCAACTGGCTGACTAACTGACAAATTACCAACCAACTGACAAACTACCAACTAACCTACCAAACATCAACTGTCCAACTACCAACCAACGTTAATTACTTTCTAACCGAAACTGCCAACTATTTTTATGACAATTGACCGACAAATTCAACAGACCTGATGCCCATGATATGCTATATATCACTCTATACTAAACTTTAACGACTTATCAATCTCTTACCGACAAACCTGATAATCATCTGACGAACTGCACCAAATACAAACTTACAAACAAACTAGAACTGACTAACAAGAACTAGTAGATCATACTTATACATACTACTTGATTTTGCTCACAAACTGACGGACTGCATTGTTGAACCAACAAAATGAACTGTAAACATTAGCATATGTCACCAAACACTAACAAACTACTACATTCACAAATCTATGGTCAACTGACGAACATCAAAACTATAGTGACCTAACTTACTAAATATCAACAAGTACACCCTTCCAAAAATTACGTCAATTGACCCTGAAAGTGAAGCTGTGCTCGCATGAACCTCCAATATCCGTCATGATTATTTGTGACGTAATTTTGGAAAGGATGTGCTTGGTAAATCGACTGTACCAACGACCAACATATACTATCAATGTCATCTCACTCAGGTTCATCGAGGAATTAAGCGATTTTTAGCAAGATTTTGCTTAACGCATCGTATTAACGACTACTGTAGCTTAATGACAGGCATGTATACTTTTGCATTTTTTTTAATCTTCCAAAGGTTCGAGTTAATTTTATTGGACAAACTGTTTAGATTTAGAACTTTTACTATTGTAAAAACGTTTATAATTTGATAGAATTGGAAATGTATTAACGATGTCCTTTCTGTTTATGAAAAGCTGTAGCTTTTGTATTAGACTTAATAGTAATACGCTGAAGTTTACTATAACTGCAAATCAACTCTCGGTCATATGTTTCTTTGTGACGTCAAATTAGATCGTCGCTTACGTCAAAGCGCGTGCTTTCGTCTTATAAAAAACCATAAAAACACCGCAATAAAGAAATTATTCTTGCTGAAAACATATTGCGGGTTCAAAATGAATTCGCTTCGAGTCGCCATTGACAATGGGTAATGTGATGTCAAGACTTGCAATTATATTACGAGGAAGGAAAGTCACACCTGACCAGGTATTTGACCGGTGAAAAATCCAAGTTCACGTTAGGATTTTGTTCATTGGATCTCTTTCTAGTTTACGAAGTTAAAAACCTAATAATTGTATAGTACGTATAACGTATTCCTTTCAAAAGTTCAACATTCCCTATGATATTTTGATGACTATTGACCCTTTATTTTTCGTGATCTTTAGATGCAGATTCATGTATCACACAGGAACCTAACTTTTGAGAGATGTAATGAAACCGAACGCTTGGTAGAAAAGAATGAACCAGGTGAACTACATTGATTGAATTTCTCTTCACACTCATTATAATCCTCGACTTTTACCATTGGATTATAGCTTTTATTTGATGGATTGTAGAGGCGCAACAGAATCGATCTCGAGCAAACACGTTTCTTTTGCAGAGCGATGTAATAAAACAAGCACTGTGGTTGACTCTTTACCACGGAGTTATCACACCATTATGGCAGGGTCACCGGACCGAGAAGCGACTGGAAATGATTGCTTGGAATGTTCGAGTACTCATGAACAAAACTCGCATATGATATTCTCTACAAATGACACTAAATCCGCTGGGGAAATGTTACTTGGTGCGGAGAGTAGTGCAAGAGAGGTGAGCAGCTGTAATATGGAAATGTTTTGTTATTAAATGTTCTTCAAATTGTACAAAAACCGTCCGTTAAATATCACTTCGTTTTAAACAGGTATCATTTCCCGAAGGTTACGTGAATGGAAATAGCGTTAACCAGCCTGATGTGACAAGCTGTGATATTTCTTCAGAAGACGTATTAACAATGGAAAACGCTGAAGACTCAACGTACTACGACTGTCGTATCACAAGAGACAACCGCCCGTCACAGGGCGCTGATGAACATGGCGGGAACTTTGATTCATTTTCATGGATAAGTACGGACGGATATAGTACAGAAGGGACGGTTGGTTCAAGATCATTTGGGGATAGAGATGATGATATAATCGATAGATTACTTGTTGACAATGTTGATGACTTTGGAATTAATTATGGAAGGTTAAACGATGTCCCAAAATCTTCGCTGACTCCGTTAAATCTCGAAATTTTAAACACCGCTGGTGAGCTGGATAAACACGAATGCGTGCGCAGTTACGTACAGGCATGGTCACCGCTGAACCTACCAACCGCTGCAACATATTCAAATTCGTTACCAGGTGCATGTGTAGATTTAGCTCTTGAAGATAAGGCACAGACATCACCGGAGTATTACGACAGATTCCAATCTGAACACGAGGTCGAACGAAGTACTCCGAACGAGCAACGAGATCTCGACGAAGTCGATAGCCAAGAGTTTTGTTTATTTTATCAGCGTGAACACGGACCAGGCTTCAGAAGTCCCTCCAACAACTGGAATCTTTTAAAGAACGATCGCGCGCCATGGATAAATACAGAATCAGAGGGGGTTGATAAGATGGTAGGGGGAAGAGAAGGGTCTCTAGGGGATATTGAGGACAGTGACTGGCCCAGAGGAATGGCTGACACCTGGCAAGATTCGAATAAAGGATTAACTATTTGTTCACTATCGACAATACACGAAGAGAGTGACGATGCAGATAAGATTGCTCAAGACTTTTGATTAACCAGTGAAGTGAGTGAACGGTTAAGCAAACGACAGCTTCATAAGAAAGAACATACGTTATTCTATACGTCGAAAAAGATTTATTTATTGGTCTTAAAGCAATTTCTATCGTGAAAAGTAATATATTTAATTGTAAAAAAATGTAATCTCTGACTGTTCCGATTCAGGTGCGCAAATCGCCGCGCTCTTTAGTTCATTTCATGTTTTCTTACACGAAGTATGGGCATGCATGAAAAGAAACTTTTCAATATGGCGGTGGTGCAGAGGAGTTGAAAATTTAATTGTTAAAAGCGTTCCAAATGTGACCTGATATGCAATCATGGACATTGATCAGCAATGTCCAAAATGCAAGACTACTAAATATAGAAATCCAAAGCTTAAACTCTATGTGAATGTTTGCGGACATAAATTGTAAGTATGTTTTAGTCTTGTGGTTTTGTCACCTCAGTACTTAGTAGTCAATTATACTAATAGTATTTTATCAGCCTGGAAAGGGAGAATTCCATGCAGGCATAATTCTAGGCTTCTGCAGACTAGTACTTTACAGCTTTACAGAAATTGATGAACGCTATGGAATAAACTTTACAATGGTTGACAAACTTGATTGAGGGCTATGGCATCCTGGGGAGGGGGGTGTAAGGCAGGTGTTGATCAAGTGTAAATTATTCATATTTCAGATGTCAAAACTGTGTTGACATTCTCTTCATCCGACCTTCTGCTGCATGCCCAGAGTGCGGAACTCCGTTAAGAAGAAATGATTTCAGAGCTCAGCAATTTGAAGACTTGATTGTGGAGAAAGAAGTTGATATTAGGAAAAGAATTGTAAAAATGTAATCTTTCCATGTATATTTTTGAAAACATCTAGCAAATGAACATGGTCAAGTTTATTGTTTATTAACTATACTCTTGACCCTGACTTCCTGTGCCCTTATGCTGGCCTTGTTTTCCTAAAAGTTGTATTTTCCACTTCAGTTACAACAAGAGAGAAGATGACTTCTCTCATGAACCAGATCCTTTACGCTCGTATAATGATTATCTTGAAGAACTTGAAACAATAGGTAAAGCCTTCTCATGTCTTTCATTTTATTTAAATTGTGCACTTGCAAGGGTTGTATTTTGCATTTTCTGTTGTGATTTTGCTGCAATTTTCACCTTTTGATCGATGCAATGGATAAAAATCAGAGAATTTGTAATGTGAACTGATTTCAAACTTTGCTGATCAAATAGATTCCACAAATGAGTTCATTCTTTCTTAGTTTGGAACCTTGCAAACAATGTTGAACTGGAAGAGACAAACAGAAAAATTGAACAATATAAAAAAGAAAATGAAATCTTAATTAAGAAGAATGCTGTGAAGAATGTAAGATATTTTTATGATGTTTGCATATCTGATTCATTTTTGCATTTGCTGAAATGTGCAAAATTTGCTGCTGCTTTGCTGCTAATGAACAGTTTTTTTCTCAAATTGTAACTAAAATTCTTGTACTTATTAGAGTCGTGATGAGGAGTTTGTCAAATCTCAAATCGAAGCTGAAGGCAGAGAAAGTGAGGAACGTAGAGCGCATTTTGCAAGTGCTCTGAAAGAAGAGGAACAGTCGAAATTGAAAGAAAAAGAAGCATTGCTTGATGATTTGGTATATGTGATCATTTTTCTTGCATATAGGTATTAATTCACCCCTGAGTACCTCCCTCCCCGGAAGTGAGAGTAGAGGGAGGCAGCAAGGGAGGGGGGGAAGAAGGGAGTGGGAAAGGAAATGAGGGGGGAGTGGAGAAGAGAGGGAGGGGAGAGAGGAGGGAGGGAGGAGGGGAAGAAGAGAGTGGGAAAGGTAATGAGGGGGGAAGAGAGGGTTCTTTATCTTGACTATATAAACATCCTGAGCTTAAGATAATCTGGTAATAATCAATTCATTTTCTATAAACTTCTCTATCTACTTTAACTTTCAACAACTTCTTCCTGACCACAGTAAAATTTGTGTGCTACAGATAAGTTCTTCAAAATCCGTCGATGAAATCGTCGCAAGCCACAAGCAAGTCAAAAAACCATCGTTGTTCTTTAAAGCTGCGGAATCGCACGTGTTCAAACTGGTAGGTCGTCATTTCTAGGAAAGATAGTACAATGCGTAAACACTCGTCCTTTCATGTCGTATTTACAAAACTTCTTCGTTTCAGAACAAAGAGGAACACGTCCCGTTGGTTTTCAAGGAAACTGCGCCATGTTATGTTTATAAGCCGTTGGAATTTGAAAACTTCGGACCACAGCCGCCAGTAGCTGCTGTCTTGAGGAGTAAAGGGTAGGATAAACCAGTCCAGAAGTATTTGAGTACAGTTTCATATTGCGTCACATCAAAATTTACTACAAATGGTAACGGTGCGTCTTTGACTGCGATATAAATCTGGATAGAAATATTTTCTCTTTCTTTCACTCTGCTAGGGAAGAACTTATCGTTTATTAATTCTTTTTCAGGTATTTGTCGAACATCCGTTCCGCTCAGGTATTGGAGCGCGCTGGGGGGTACTCAGAAGAAATCGCCTGCGAACGTGCTTTACAAGAAGCATTCTCGGCGTTGTTCACGTGATTGGCGAAGAATTCAGGCGAACCCATCCCTCTGGTGTTTGTTCAATATGGAATTAGTTGTAGGCTGCAGGTATTCAGAGGGGATCGGGCCAACTTTCCGTGAAATTGCTGAATATTGTCTGAAAAATCTGGGCTGTATTGGCGTGAAGAACAGCGTACTTTGAAATGATCAATATTGTTTCCGATTCTAACCCAGACATTCTCATAATTGTTACCGGGATTATTTGATCAGTAATTTATGTTAATAACACTAAGTACTGCACATTTTGCAGTAAACCGTGATAGCAGTACTAGTTGCAGTTCATTGTCTCGAAAGAACGCTATATTCTAACTGGGTAGTCTTCTTGCTATTTGTTAGCTAATAGCTACGAACATGTACTACAGAATTTTCTTTTGTTAATTGTCATGATTTTTAAGGCATTTTTCCATGCATCTAATCAAAATTTTTATAAAAAAATGGTTTTCCTGTAAATCCTCAGGTTCACGAACCTTGTGATACGTTGGGTCATGTTGTGATGGTGCCAGAATATCGGGAAATATAAATATATGTTATTTACCAGATTGGAGGTCCGTATAGGGAAATATTTCCCAAGGTTTCAAAAACAGCCCGAGGCCGAGGGACGTTTTTGAGACCGAGGGAAATATTTCCCTATACGGACCGACTAAACTGGTAAATAATAGTTGTTTTTTTTCTTGCGGTCCGAATTCATTTTAGCGTTGGCTCTGTGTTTTTAAATCTCGCGCGGTCCGTACGGCCTCATACGGACCGCTCGCGTAGCCAATCAGATTGCAGGAAACGCTAAAATATGCATTCGGACCGCAAGAAAAAAAAAAGATATTTTTATTTATCCAATAGAAAATATGGAGTTTGAAAGTGGAAGCGCTGACCGAAAATAGAAACAAAATGGCGTCCACCAAGGGGTGAAAAGTTTTTCAACCAAGGCAGAAAAATAAGCTTTAAATATGCCTCCGACAATCCAATCTCAGGAAAAGAAACGTGCAGAAGAAGGAAGAAGGTAGGAAGACTGTATTTCGTGTATCTTGTATGGCATCAATAAAGTATCTCAGAGTAGAAATAGACTTCAATCCTGAATTTTTGCGTTTACAGGTCATCTTCGCACCAAATATCAAAGTAAGTATGTCGAGTTGCTTAACGGCACAGTCATCCGAAGCGAAGCATAATTGGCTTAAAAATGGTTGTACAAGTATCTCCTACATCAAATAACTTGTGTTTTCTTAGGCCTGAGTTTGTGTGCAGAGTAAAATACAACAACCATTTGCCAGATATCCCATTTGATGCGAAGTTCATTGCTTATCCTTTCGAGGCAAATAGGTAAGAATCATTTGTAAAATGAAGGAAACCATGATATGTATTCAGGATGCATTTTGAGTTTTCAATTTTGTACAAATATTTTTGTAAACTCTTGATGTCTGGTGGACATTTTATTTAGGTTTGTTCAGTATAAACCCACATCTCTTGAAAAGAACTACAAACATGAATTACTTACAGATGTTGATCTTGGTGTGAATATTGATTTGATTGACCCTGGCACATATGCAGTAAATCCAGATGGTACAAGAACTGTTTTTCTTATTTTGACCAGCTTCAGTGCTTGCATGGTGTTGAAGTATAAATGATGTTTAGTTGAATTATAAATTTTACAGTCAATCTCCATCCAATTGATGAAAAGTTACTTGAAGAAGAACCAATGGGTTTGACAGATCAAAAAAGGTATCACAGCTTGAAAAATATCTTAACAAGATGCCTGTGTGACGACGAAAAATAATAAAAAAAAACAAATAAAAAAAACAAAACCAGGGCAAATTTTCAACTCTGTCGCTGACGCCGGGGGAATAATTGTGAATGTTTACTGTAGATGCTGTTCACTTTATACATAGCCCCCTTTTGGTAATTTTTCAGGTCACGGCAACACAATAAGACTGTTTCATGGTTGAGAAAAACTGAATATATCTCAACAGAGTATAACAGATTCCAAACCAGCAATGACCAGATGGAAACAAAGTAGGTTGACTGCATCTAATAAAATAATATATTACTTCTGCTTCTCATCCTGTAATACCCCATAATGTGGTCCTAACATTGCAGAGCATTTTAACTCTGTCTTTTAGCAAATAATTCTACATTGGTTTTGATATCTCAGGTTTATTGATGTAAACACAATTGTGGACTTGTGGTGTAAACCAATTGTCAATTTATTTTGATACTTTAAAACAGGGTTGGCTACAGCATGAAAAAGAAATTTCAAGGTACAGATGTCTACAAGGTAATGTGTGGAATATATCTTTCTATATTGACTTTGAGTTTGACCATGCACTCATATTTTTTGTGCATATCAACAATGAAAAATAGAAATATGACCAATTTTTCAAAAATCTTTCCCAGGATCGAGAAAGTCAAGTTGAAGCAATCCAAGGCACCTTCGAGTCAGCTAAACGTCCAGTATGTCAACTTTTTTGTCAACTCCTACCACAATTTGAGAAAAGCATTGAACATCTTCCTTTTCCCTAGATCTATCGTCATCCAAGCAAAAGGGGCATTAAACCAGTTGATGTTTTACCCGTTTTTCCAGACTTTCAGGTATTTCTTTTCTTGCACAGTAATCAGATATCCAGTAGTGTGAATGCATTGTCCTCCTACTGGGAAACTTGTGCTTAAGCAACCATTTGTTGAAAGGTTCTGAGTCAGTGCTAGCTGCTGAATTAGGGTGCATTTTTACCAAAGTTAACTGGACTCCAGGGTGTGACAACGGTTTATTTTACCTTCAACAGATGTGGTCCCAACCTTGTGCTCACGTCATATTTGACACTGACCCAGCCCCTCGCGGTGGTCACGAACCAGCAAAGCCGGAGGAAATGTGCCAAGCTATGATTAGGTAGTTAATACATGAAATCTTGAAATCTCCAATAATACTATCTGTGATTCAAGCAACTTTGTATTTTTGTGTTTTCCAGAGGTATGGTAGACGTTCAAGGAGACCAATTTGTTGCGTATTTCCTACCAGAAAGTGAAACTTTGGGAAAACGCAAACGTGATCAGGATGAAGGAAACGATTATACCGAAGGCGACGAGTAAGTCTTAACTAAATGCATCTTTGTTATAAGATATTGCTTCTTCCTCTTTCGCGTCATCCCCGGGTGATGGTTCAGTACAAAACTCAAGTTCATCATCTTTAGATATCATTACAAAATGGCACGGGAGTATAATTGGAACGTTAAGAACAAAGCATCGAAAGGATACGAGGTAAAAGACTTAGCTTTATATTATTTTAGTCCAGGGTTGCATCAACTTGTTCTGCATTTACCTTGTAGGAAAATTACGTTTTCGTATTTCGAGAAGACGGAGTGTTTTACGATGAACTTGTGACGAGGTACACGTGTTCTCTTTCGTCACAACTTATGAGTTGTCCCTAAGTTCATTTTGAAATTTAAGTTCTCAACCTTCCTCTGCTGTACGAAGATCTCCATCAAAATAATATAGCCTACCATTGCTCTTGATATACTGTATTTTATCAGATTATAGGATATATGCCGTAAATTGGCTAGAAAACTATCGTCTCAATATCTCAGTTTCTTTCACCATATATATTTTCTGTTCCTAATAATAATAATATCTATATCCAAGTGACTGGTCATCTAGCTCGGACTGCTAAGATTTGATGGCCGAATTCACTCTGTGTTTCAATTGCTGAATGGGAATCTTTGTTTTACAATAATTCCCCACAGAATATATTCGATATTTGCAGCTTCTTGTAACTGTGTTTGGAACTGTGTCTTATTTTCGTTGGTATTGCACAGGGTTCGTCTGAGTAAACGTCGTACGAAAGGTGGATTAGGTGGGGTGAAGTCGACCGTCTCAAAACTCTTGGTTAAACATAGAGAGTTAACGGAACAAGAACAAAATTTACAGGTGAGGTAGAGGCGGGTGGTGGCCAAAAATATTAAGTTCACTTTTAAATTATTATCGTTTCTCTTCTTATGAAAATTTGATTTAAAATATTTTTTAGAATGCTCGTCTTCTGCAACTGGAGAACGTCGTTGTTGAGAACGAGGAGGAAGATGAGGATGAAATTGGAGAGGGAAATGATCAATCTGGAGATGAAAATGGGGATGACGAGGAAGCGAAACAGGAGGAAGAAGTGGGGGACAACGATGAGGAGAACAACGAAAAGAAAGCTGAATCAAGTGCTGGCGAGGAATCGGTAAGCATGCAGGGCTGGAGTGCTCATGGCTGTGCCGTGCGAAGTCACACAGAAATTGGTGTTAACATTTGTTTGCACTTTGCAGGGTGACGATAGTGATGAAGGGATATTTGGGGATGATTCTGACTAACTATGAACACACAGAGACGCTGTGCAACAGTGCAAGTGGAATTGGTAGATAAGAGTTAAGTTAATCCGCAGATACAAAAAATCGTAGTGTCATACGCATATATCCAGATCTTTCCGTATTGCCGTTTTTACGAGGAGTGATTTGCGCGAAATCTTTTGTTTTTTGAAGGACCATATATAGTTCTCATGATTTTGGGCAACCTGTAAAATATGTACAACTAACGGCATCTTCTAAATTAGACGAACTTAGAATATAATTTTTTAAAATTAAGTGAAAGAAATTCGGTATTGCACTTTTGGCGCAACGCGCAAGTAAGGCAAGAGTCTGGAAACTAGTAAACTGTAGTTGCCAAGGAAACGTGTAATGGCGGCCGAAAATAACAACAACGAGAACGATTTAGAAAAGAAGTTTTCTACCTCGTTTGACAATGAAGGCATTCCCTTATGTTTGGAATGGAGTGCAGAGGATGTAGCTGAATGGATAGAGTATTTAGGCTTCCCACAATACAAGGTAAGCTTTTTATTTTTGGTGGTTTTACAATGAATAGCGTTAACGATCAAAAGGTCTTTTTAATATTTAACGTTTGTTTTCACTTTATACATTGAACAGCGATGCTTCTCAGATAATCTCGTGAATGGACGAAAATTAATAACTATACATGCTTCATCCTTGCCTCGCATTGGTATAACGGATTTCGAAGATATAAAGGTGAGGCTTCGTATAATTTTCTTCAATTAGAATGTCCATTGGCTTAAATCGAATCAAATTTTAATCACGTAATGCAACATTACTTGCAGTTAATTGCAAAAAAAGTTCGAGAGATAACTGGCCTTGAGGAACCCGATTGGACCAGAAGCATTACCCTGCAACATCGCGAAAGACTTGGCCTGTTTCTTGAGAAACGAGCGCTTACTGGTGCTGAGCGAGATGCAGAAACGTTTGCAGAACTTCACCGGTTTTTAGATACCATGGAGGCACATGCTCCAGCAAAGAGAGTTGTTTATCCTGATATTAAAAAGACTGATTCGAAAAAAAGAGCTGAGCCAGTGGCGAAGGCTTAAGTGATCATTGAAAGCAAGAGAACACTTATGGCTTTACTATTGATCAGGCATTTGGTGATCAGCAGAGCTTTAAAAAGAAAAACTATTAGAAAAAGTCTTGTCAATTTGATTCTTGCAGAGCATTTAGGCCATGTACAAAAATCTATGTATTTATTGAGCACGTTTTATTTGTTGCTTGCACTTAATTTTTATTTTATAATTTATGTTTTTAATAAGGTTATATATTTTGTAATTTAAAAATTGGCAATTCCCAGAGCTTTGCTCGCTGTAAATGCATTTCCATCCAAGGAGGAAATGCTACTTCATTTAGTGTGTGTGAGTGCATGTGCACGAAGATGGGGGTTCCCTGGAGACTGGAGTGATGTGATGTGTTCACATTAATTTGAATGCCTAAATTTATACACCTATATATATTATGACTAATTATAGAATCTGTTGACTAAGAAGTGAACATCCTCCTTTTTATAACCAAATTTGTTATAATATGGAACCAGTGCTTCATTGCAATCTAAACTGATCTTGTAGCAACCAAGATTTTTTGCAAGTAATGTTAACGACTCAACAAGGCTAAAAAAGAAAACATGTCATGTCAATACAGATATATAGTTATATAATCTGTTGGAAAGGGTTGTAAAAAATTGGTGTTCCTCTTTCACTGAGTGTATATCATCAGGCATTACAAAGGTAATGTTCAATTAGGTTTAATTGTGCAGCAGTTCTGCTCATAACTATGCCAGACCCAAAAATTAAAAAAAACTTATTAGAGATAAGCAAACAGCAATTTTTTACATTGCAACTATACATAGTCAACTTTAAGGTCAACTAAGTGATTAATCAGATAAACTTACACTTTGCCAAAATGTTTTCCTCTGCATTTAGTGTGAACAACAACCTCTTCTATACGACCTCTCTGTTTTAAAGATTATGTAATTGCTGTTGATGCAAATATATGCTAAGCAAAATATTCAGGTACAGTATATTCAGTTTCATTTCAGTTCAGATATCCACATAGCCCAACCCACAGCCCACAGGGGGAAAATAGTTAATTTGCTATTTCAAAATTCATGCTTCTTACCATTGCAATTTCATGAATGAATTTCTGCTCTAGAACTAGCGATGCTGCAGCAACTATTTTTCCTTCCTTTGTGTTTTCTATCACAGCAATGTAGTATGTGTTTGGACATTCTTTCATCTCTCGAAACCTTTCTGAAGATGTTACATATTAATATTTTGACAATTTAGGAAATTTAGATGGGAATTTTTCTGATGATATCTTACTTCCATATTTCTCTTCTGTAATGTCACCAACTTTTGTAAGTTGAGCAAGGAGTTCAATGTAGCCTGAAGAAAACAGTTCAATTAAGTACTTTTAGGAATAACAGGGTAAAACGTACAGGTTGTTGTTTTGTCATCGTACCTTTACAATAATCATGAAGGGACAATGGTCTCATGATAAAATTTTCTCCAAGATTTGAAGGTGAGACTGATATGTCAAGTCTTTTCTGGCTGTCATCAAAATTTATAGACTTTAGAAGTTTCTCATCAAAAAGAAATTGTTCACTGCATTCACCCAAATGACCCAATGAATTGTTCTAAGAAATATTTATACAGGGGAATTTATTATTAGTAAAGCGAATAATATCACAAAACAAAACAAAAAAATAATTATTCTATCGCAAATATTTTATGCGATAAAACAAAAGTTTAAAATTGTATTTTCGTTTTGTGATTTATTACTATATACAACATCTACCTATTTTATACATATTATCGACGTGGCAATTTTCAAATAGAAAGTAACTGTGCCGCCGAATTATTTTAATTTTTTTTTGTATATAGTTTGTGATATGTATAAATACATGACAATTTTAAAAATAATTCTCACTTCTGCCATGGTATTTTTCTGTTTTCACATTCACGCTTGTCAAGTCAGGGTACTTGCCAACTGTAGTAAATAGTAATACCAACCTCGTACCCAGGGTCTTTACTCGTGGGGGGGAGGTTGTAGTAATACTTGCCAACTTTTTAATATTCTGTAGAAATCCCGAGCAAGATCCCAAAATATCCCGTGATCTCCTAAAAAATCCTGATGTTCCCTAGTCCTGGTCACACAGTTTAGGGATTCCTGGGCTCAGTGATTCGGACAAGCAAAGCACCGAAAGAAGCAAATAAGCGTCGATTGAGCTCGAATATCAAATAATTGTGCCACACTGTACTTGATTTACTGATATCGCATGCATTACATAACATATACGACAGGTATGGAGTGAGTATGAATCAATTTAGAAGAATGTATCAAATGTCCAAGAGTTTAATAAAAAAGAAGGACAGTGCACGTGTAGGTCAGAGCTAGGGGTATTGCTAAGACCTTTCTGATTTTTTCCATTGGTCATCGCTACCTCAGTACAAGAACTGCAGAGGCCTTTGTTTGCAAAGTTGTAACTATAGCACCACTAGAAAGAATAGTTTAAAATTAATATATTGAATTTAATAAATAAAAGTTTTACTTGAAGCTTCCATAATCTTTTCAGGTAATACATGATTGTAAGAGCAATTTGAAATCAGAGTATTTTGATGAAAAGGTGCCAAAGATACTTGAGATATTTCAGCAGATCTTGTCAGTCATTGGTCAAAGGCATGGAGTTAAGGGAGATAGTTTGCCGTCTTGAGGATTATGCTCCACTGCCATTAGCTGAAAGCTGGGATAATGTTGGCCTTCTGGTTGAGCCACTGAAGGCGAATCATTTAGTTCGGTCAATTCTCTTAACCAATGACCTCACAGAGGCTGTTATGGATGAAGCCATTGAGAAGAATACAAACATGATTTTGTCCTACCATCCTCCAATATTTTCACCCCTTAAAACATTGACTAGAAATTCTTGGAAAGAACGAGTGATTCTGAAAGCTATCGAGAATAAAGTAGCAATATATTCCCCACATACGGCATTTGATGCTGTCACAGGTGGGGTGAATGACTGGCTGGCAAGTGGTTTAGGAAAAGGGATGGTGAAACCTTTAAGAAGCACACTTGTTGATGGAAGTTTAGGTACTCATATGGTGAAATTTGTGTTTCCTGGGGCAGATGAACTTTCAAACAAATCCTTAACAGTGGACGAAATAGTGACTAAATTGAAACAAGCTGAAAAGAGTATCAATATCAATGTCAGAAAACATGTGTAAGTGTGTAAATTGTTTTTCATAGAAGAAATATATAGTTTTGTATTCTATTAGCAATACATAAGAACTTCATGCCCACCCATGGTAATCAAAAGAATATAGTCAGTACAATCTTAGCTCGTAATCCACCAAAAATTATATTTCTTGTTTGATGTAGAGATGATTCAGATGTGAGTATCAATTGCAATGCTGTTTCCTTGGGGAAAATCATGACATTCTTGAATAGTGAAATCCCAGAAGTTTTGAAGAGTACTAATGTTTTCAGTCTTGCCAAGGTAATATTTATAGAAGGTCATTGTTTAGCTTGAATTAATAAATATGAGTGCATATTTATGTATGCTTTTTAGATACCACTTCAAGACACTGGTGTTGGCCGTTTATGTACTTTAGAAGAGGCAGTATCCGTTGAGACCCTTGTGAAACGAATTAAGGATCATTTGAAATTGGATAGAATTCGCTTTGCATCAGCAGTAAGGCCAAGCTGTCAAAATGGCCTTGTAAAAACAATTGCTATTTGTGCAGGGTCAGGAGGGAGTGTTCTTAAAGGCATCAAAGCAGATATGTATTTGACCGGTGAGATGTCACACCATGACATATTAGATGCAGTTTCTTGTGGCATCCATGTTGTCTTGGGTGAGCATAGCAACACTGAACGAGGATTCTTAAACATATTCTCCCATGTTTTATACAATATGCTTGAGCATAAAGTAACCATTCATGATTCAAACATTGATAAAGATCCCATTCAAATAGTGTAATGTATGCATATATCTGCCAAATATAATAAAAGATGATTCCTTTTATTCTATGGCCATATTGGCCCCTGTTGAGCAGTCTTGTACCAAAATCAAGAGTACAAGATTATCCCTAGGGATGAGTGAAGGGAGGCTCTCCCCTTTACCCAGACGCCCACCCCTCGCCTTTTTCTAAAAAAATTCAAATTTGAAATTTCGCGTGCGCAAACATGGCGGCAAAAGTTGGCATAAGTAGGTAAGTTATTGTTCATTTATCTTCAAAAAAGACCATAAATTTTAAAACTTTCGTGTATTTTTTGAAGCTAGTTAAGCTTGTCCATCACTAGAGTGTATTTCTCGGTTTTAGCTCGCGATATAAAGATGCCTTGGAGCAAACTTCGGCTTACAACATGCGACTAGGCTTTGAGCGTAAACAAAGAAGCCCATTTCTCGATGCTCAAACCGGCGTAGCTCAAGTTAACTGTCATCTATGGAAAAGTAAGCTTTCCAGGCGGGCTCCGGCTTACCCATATCAAATCTGTAGTTATCCTGGTCGACGGTGGAAGAGGAAACCTCGTCCGCAACCAATCGGAGATGACGGCGATCCTGCCGCCGAAGAGGCATCTCAAGGTTGGAAATTTTAGCGAGAAACGAAGTTGTGTGCTGCTGTTTTTGTAGAAGAAATAGTTCTATTTTCTAGGGCGTATCACGCGAGTTGTAGGTGAATATTCCGGTTCGTCAGGTGTATCAATTTCAAAATTAGAATTTAGAGAATATTTGTTACTTTTGTCAGCCATGTTGAATTAGGAGTACACAAAAACTCCATAAAAAGTTCGGCTTATTCTGTGGTGAAACGCAGGCAAACAAACAAATTTTCTTTTAAGAAGTCGTCTGCAAGGTTAACCTACTCGAAAGAACGTTCGGTTTGAAGAATATTCGTCTGTTACATAAAATAATTGATGCTGTCAAATTTTGTTGGCAATGGTGGATAGAAAATGGTCAGGCAGTCAAAGACAAAAAATCATATATATACCAAATCTATCAAACTAACAAGCCTTTGCCACTGATCATTGCTTTTCAAAAAGAAACAAGATGTTGTTGCCAACAAATTTCCAATATATTTGTGCCCAATTCTAGTGATGACTTTGCCACCAAATGACACTACCTTGAGTCAACCTGCAATGCCTGGTGTAGAAGTTAATAGTAATTTTGATGAAATGGCTGAAACAGCGGACGTTGAGCCAATTGAAGAGAGCGAGGAGGAGAGTGAGGAAGAGTCAGACCCAGATGATGATGGGGGATCAAGGAGGGCAGGAAGATTTGGCCGATCATCTAAAAAGGGACTCTCAGCAGGCATGCTTAATTATAAGGTAAAATGTTTATGTGGCATATGTAGCACTTCCCACTCTCACTTAGTTCAGTTATTTAATAAAGATATTGTTTTTACTTACTTCAGATGATGAAGGTAGACCCAAGCACTCTCAAAATAAAGAATTACACCAAAGAAGATTTGGCAAAGATGACATACGAAGAAAGACAAAAACCCTATATGTGTGAGAGTAGGTCACTGTTAAACATTCTTCAACACCAGCCCTTTAAGAAACATGGACGTTCTTTCTAATATTTTTCTGGTAATTTGTTTAGTTACATTGTACACAGGCAAAAAATGCTGTACCTTGTACACAATAGTATTCCCATTTAAGCATAGTGTTAGTTATCCTCAAGATTCAATTTATTCCTTAATTTCCATTTTTATCAATTAATATGATTCAAGAAAGCCAACTTTATAGTTGAATATCCTGCATGGGCACATGAATACTTCGTAATTGAATGTTTATTGTTTCGTTCATTTGCATCAATATTAAGAGAGTAATTTAGTTTGTCAACATTTTTAGTTTGTGGAAAACGATACAAAAATGGTCCAGGCCTCAAATATCATTACACACACTACAATCATGATCAAGATGGTTCTTCTAGTGAAACAACTGAGGTAAATCATCCTCAGGCGTTACCTGGCTCGCCTATGATTGAAACAAATGTTCAGCCATATGTCACAACTACGACCGTGGCAGTAACTAAAGAAACTCGATCAGGCATTGCAAATCCAAATGACTACTGCGATTTCTGCCTCGGGGATGCGACCAGAAACAAGAAAACACTGTTGTCTGAAGAGTTGTTGTCTTGTGCTGACTGTGGACGGTGTGGTGAGTTCCCATCTTTTGACTTCTTCTTTGAGATCTCATCTTCCAGATCTCAGAGAGATTGTCAGGCAACTTTAATGTGTGATTTGTGGAAATCTGGCTAAAATGAACTTAGAAAAAATGTATCCAAGCAAGACAAGTGTAAACATATTTGATTTTTTACAGGACATCCAAGTTGCTTACAATTTACTGCAAAGCTCACGGCTAAAGTGAAGCAATATCGCTGGCAGTGTATAGAATGTAAATCATGTACTTTCTGTGGAACTTCGGATAATGACGTATGTGTGATACAAATATATAAACTATTGGACACTACTAGGCACAAGTTTCGAACACTGATCGTATTTTTCTTTATAAAGGATCAACTGCTGTTTTGCGATGATTGTGACCGGGGCTACCATATGTATTGTTTGAACCCCCCGATGGACACGCCACCGGAAGGTAGGAGATCTTGCTTGAAGTTAAGTTGTTTACAATTCATGCGAGTTGTTTATTACTTTCTTCATGACGATGCGCTTTTTTTAGGGAGTTGGGTTTGCAAATTGTGTGAGGAAGACGAAAACATGATGGCGAGGAATTCGTAAATGTGGATTGTACAAATACCTCTTCAGTGGCAGTGCTCATTCAAACATTCAATATTCTCAGTAATGAGAATTGATAACGATATTCGTAATTAGTACAGCTGATTTTTGAAGTATCAGTTAATTTTGTGTATAGTTATTGCGCTATAATAAAGCCTCACTTACAAGGAGACTTTTACAACGCGATTTTATCCATGGAACCAGGTTACTCAGTACATCCAGAAGTGATTAGATAGCTAATATATCTACGAGTCGGTCCAAATAGTCATATTTTGAAATATTAAGTAAATTATGTTAACCTTTGATGCTCCAAAAAGACAACCCAAATTTTTAAGAGTCAAAGACTAAACGTGAAATCACGGATTAAATGTGTTTCTTGTCGCTTATACATCGCCAGTTTACACCATACATGCGATGGGTAAAAACGCGGAATCTCAAAAGAACGAAGAAACTTAACCCGGTTCATAGAAAAGTTGGACAGGGCCAGGGGGATCGCATGACTATATGCCGGGCTTAATAATGACAGTTTTCCAAATCTTTCCTACATTAAAATAATAGTAAATAATATTACACCTGTCGCTCCTAGAACTATAATAATCACGCCCTCGCAGCTGCTCTTGAAAAGAACAACTGAAGCTTTCAAGAGGTCTGTGTGAAACGGATCAACACAAAAGCGAAATTCCGTGATCAAATGAGCATAAAATTCAAACTTCATTAACTTATGTAACTGTGTACGTATTTGAAGTATATCACCGGCGTTATACCGTAGATAAGATCCAGTACAACAGGTAATGATGGTTTATATCAAACCTATGTTTAAAGTTTTGATAGACAGGAGGTGTTTATTTAACCAGTCATCGGTGATGGTGTTGGGCTTTTTTCTCTTTAAAAACCCTTTTTGAATGACTTAACTAGGCAATTCTATCAAGGTTAATCTTTAACAATATCTATTAGATATTTTACCAAAGGTTGAGTCAAATAAGTGCCTTTGTTTCCTTGTCAAAAACTTAACATGTAAATCGCAGAGGAGGGGGGGAGGGTGTCTTTGTCCTCTTGTGCAGTCTTTCATGCAAAGGGAGGCGGGTAGAAGTTGTGCTTTACTTTGGTTTTAGGCGTTCGACGTGGCAACCGGAAATTAATTGTATACAATCCAATATGGCTTCATGTTTATGATTAACTTTGCTCCAATATAACTGCAAGACCTTCGAAGAAGATGAGCGAAGAAAGCATTATCGCTGAGAGCTACTCTAATTTAAAAGATGCTATTCTGTTGGGACGAACAGACATTGTAAGGGGGATCCTGTCAACTGCAGCGGAGAGTAAGTACTTTGTAGTTTGTGCTCACTTTATAAAACAAATGGCAAGTGCAATTATAACATAATAATTTTAAGATTTTTTCCTTCTAGTTTATAGTTTGTGATAGCACTCACAATTCTTGTCATTTTGGGGGCTGCATTTAATAGCACAAAGTGTTACCGTATTTATGAATACTTCAAACGTGTTTTGTACAAAAGTAGATGTGTGATGTGTCAAGTTATCAAATTAGTCTCGTATTTTGCTTATACCTCCAATTATAAAAGTATGACTTGTGTATGCCCAACTCTATCGGTCTCAAAATTGTCTTTAACTTTTGTAATTAAGCAAAACCTCAGCATACCAAAAGTTGTTTTGCCTAGTTCATCATGCATTTGTAATCCACAAATATACCTCAAGTGCTCAATGCATTATCTTTTGAAAATGTGAGCAATTTGTGCTCCATTCCAATAATAAAGCTCAAAATAACAGCATGAACTGATGTGGGATGCATGTGAATACATGCATTATCAGCAGGCATTTAATAATAGTAATGAAGAGAAATGACCTGTTTCTCCATGAGAATATTTGTAGATTTTTATAGGATTTTGCAGAAAAAAATTATATAGTTATAAATTTCAGCAAAATTTTGCAGTGATCTTGTTAACTATACTGTCCCATTCTAGACTACTGGTATAACTTTGAAAATGTGTGAAGTGGACCACATCTATCTGATTGTGGAATATTATGCCCTGTTTTTCAGGCAGGTTTGAAAATGGTTTCTTTGAAGATGATGAAGAAGAAAGGGATGGAGAAGATTTCCGAATCAGGAAATGGGATGAAGATTATGAGGATAATCCATACGACATTCTACGTGTCATGTTGAACTTTATTGACAATGATGCTGGCACTGCCTTGCATCTTGCAACCAAGGTAAGCATAATTCAGGCTAAGAGTGGGTTGGTGAGTAGACAGATTGGTTAGCTGGATTTGACAAACTGCTGGTATGTTGCTCTCAGCACTAGTAATAAAAAAGACCTTTTATCCCTTGTCAGATTTTCTAAGGATAGCTGTGACAATCAGGAATGTTCTCATAGATAATGACTTGTACTGACTTGTTTGCACTAAAATTAACAGTTCTTCCAGGTAGTCTAATCACAACAGTATTAACTGAAATACTTCCATTACTTACAGCTAGGTAATGCTGATATCACAAGAGCACTGCTATCTGCTGGGGCCGACCCGACAAGGATTAACAAAGAAGGAGCTACGCCATTTGAATATTGTACTGATGAAAAGATCCTCCGAGTTTACAATGAACAACTTCTTGAAGCTGCTGCTCACAGTCAGTAAGTCTCTGTAAAACCCACAGAGAGTGCCATACTGATGAAATACTTCATGTTAATGTTCAATGGTTGTGCTCTCACAAATGAGTCAACTATTCCAGAATAATTGCAGCTGTCATCAGAATGGAATCTTTAAAATTTGCTTAACAATTTGTTCATCCACCTCAGATTAACGAAATTGGAAAGGTTACTGAATGCTGGTGTTAGTGCTAATGCTGGTGATGGCACAGAGTCAAACAATCGTGCCATCCATTGGGCGGCAACGTTCGGTGGTCATGAGGCTGTCAAATTGCTTTGTGGTGAGTTTTACCCCTTGTTTGTTTCTAACAACAGCTAATGGTAAAGCACAGTCCTCCACAACCTTGATGTTCCACCCTAACCCCAAACTTAACCCCCTACCATAATCCACACTGAAATACCAACGCCTACTCGAATCCCTAACACTAACCTCCCACCATAACACTAACCTCCCACCATAACACTAACCTCCCACCATAACACTAACCTCCCACCATAACACTAACCTACCACCATAACACTAACCTACCACCATAACACTAACCTACCACCATAACACTAACCTACCACCATAACACTAACCTACCACCATAACACTAACCTACCACCATAACACTAACCTACCACCATAACACTAACCTACCACCATAACACTAACCTACCACCATAACACTAACCTACCACCATAACACTAACCTCCCACCATAACACTAACCTCCCACCATAACACTAACCTCCCACCATAACACTAACCTACCACCATAACACTAACCTACCACCATAACACTAACCTACCACCATAACAATGGCCTTTCTTCCTGCAGAGCACAACGCAGACGTGAACGCAAAAAACCGCGACGGCTCGACCGCCTTGTTTGATGCAGTGAAACGAAGAGACAAAGCAATTCTTGAAATACTCTTGACGTATGGCGCAAGGACGGACATCTCTCTTACGCAAGGGTAGGACGGAGATTTTTTTTCCATGAATCAGTCTCGTCATTTATATATGGCTGGAAGGTGGGTGGGGACTGAGGGGAGGTTGGGGGGAAGATTCTTGAGAAATCCCAAAGTGGAAGAGCTTTTGAGAATCCACCACTAACTGACCAATGAACACATTCTATAACCTCCCAACATATATCATATGTTATATTACTTGTTGACCCTTACATCTTCTAAAAACACAAAAGAACTTGTCTTCAACAGCCGCATTCTAAATATTTTCAGTCTGACATAAAGCATGATTTATTTGTAACAATTTTGTGACCTCGTAAAACACGTTTTTAAGTGAAAAATGCCGTGCGTTTGCAGTTAGGATGGTAAAATAGAGATACCATTTTCATTATAGTACACCATGATATTTTTTCTCCAATATTCTGCATATTCAGGAGTAAGTTTTGTGACATCTTCGCCAATAAATAGATAGAATCTTGGCCTATTTTTACACTTTTTCATGGTTGAAATTTTCGCTTTGACGTAATCTTCCCCACATCCCACGCGTTCCTTGTCGTTGGTAAAGTACATGCATGGAGCCAAATAAGTTCCAAAGATCACATACTCGGGACATTTGTGGTTAATTATTGAGTACGCTGTCATAAGTGCTTGAAATATACCAGTAAGTAATTTATGTTCAGCCTGCCTCGTACTTCCATCTTTTGGCTTTACTCCGGAGATTATCAGGTTTTCTGATATTTGATATGCTGGTTGTTCCCAAAGAGTTTCATTGTTTTTCTCCAATTCCCTGAGAGTCGTAGTTAAAAGTTTCACCGTAGAGAGGGGAATCGTATCGCTCATCTCGGAGAGGTAAAGGAATCCAAACTGCTCCGTGTAAAAAGATGAGTTGATGAGACGAAATATTTCTTCCGCTATCTGGTCTGCGTTATGCTTATCATTTTGTCTTCGTTTCACTATATTCCAACCTCCCGGAAATCCTCTTTTATGAGAATCACGCTGTTTCTGCGCGAGATAGCCGTCGCTGATAACCACTATCTTGATAAGGAGGGCAGTCCCAGGCAAAAGTGCACCAATGGCATTCATTTTCATTTTTTTTCACGAGAGCTTCCAGTCAGGCCTATTCTTTATAGGCCGATGTCTCATTGAAGCGTTAAACTTATTATGATACTGAAATCTCATTAAAAATTAATTAATCGTTTGAGTGTTGAACAGACACCATGAATGTTAATTGTAGGTGCTGAATTTATCATGCTACGGTAGTACGGTTTTCTTGGTTCGTTGTTAACGAGTACATTGACAGGTTAAATGTTTAAAAAGATAGTTTGAAAGTTTGACATTCTAATGCCGGAATATATGACAGTTTTAGTCTAATGCTTGAATAGGTAGTTTGACAATCTAATATTTGAATAGTTAGTTTCACAGGTTTACAATCTAATCCTTGGATAGTTGAACAGTTTTATGCTTGAATAAATAGATTGACAGTTGAATGCTTGAATTGATAGTTTAACAAATTAGAAATAAGCGGTTAAAATTACTGAATTTCAATTTATTGTTGATATAAAATTACATTTAATTTACTTTTAATCAAGCACAAAGGTAAAAAGGTGTTATACTAAAAAGTGAAAATTTCAGTGTAAAAACATTGACACACTTATCACATATTGATAACAATGAATGCAGCCATAGAAATAATAGACGTACTGAGTTCTGTTGTCTATTATCTCTGGATGCAGCACAGCACTGTCCACTCCTGTTTTCATCAATTGGGATATATGCCGTGAAATTAAAACGAAGAGCCGTGCACAGTAGTAAAATACACACGTAACATTGCCACTTCATGGGTTGCCAATGATCCGGTAATAATCAAGGGGTTTTTTTGAAAAATCTATTCCAGATCAAATAAAGGTAAAACTCCCGTCGACCTGGCACCAGACAATTCTGAGATAAAAGATCTGCTACTGAACCCTCCCGAGAAAATCGTTCTCACTCCTGAAAAATCACACAATGAAACGAATGGTCCGTTAAACGAATCAGGTGAGTAAGTTGAACACCACGCAAGACGTGATATCTTTGATGACTAGTTTTTTCCAATTTACTCCCGTGTGTAAATTTGTGGGAAAATTCTCTTCACGGCCAGCGTCAAAATCAACTTTCTTTTGTAGATGTTGTGGACCGTGACAGTATCAGCAGCCTGAGTAGCCTGGGGGAGACTAAAAGCGACGTCAAGATCACGGAGAATGGAGAAGCTGAAAGCGCACGTGAAATCGACCTGACCCTACTTTGGCCTTACCCTCAGCAGTTGACCTTGATCAAAGGCAGTCGATATTACCCCGAGGCGTACCTCAGTATTAGAATACTGACACATAAGGATGAAGGTAAGAGTATACCTTTCCCTTAACGTCGCCTCATGGGAACACCCTCCCACCTCATCCCCGTATCTCCATTTTGATGGTATACCAGGTGAAGTTAAGGCGGTATTGCCTGTGGATAGCTTGCTATTTTGCCATCGCAATACTGTTAATCTGACCTTATTTTGACTGTCTCAACTACTAATACTTCTGATGCCAGATTCTGCAATATCAGTAGAAATAACTTGCCTTCGCTCACAGTCTTTGACCAAATACATCATTGCTGCAAAACACTATCTTCTAGATCCATACAACATTCAGGACATGTGGCGTGCTGTTGATGAATCCTTCAAGAAGCTTGGCTTTTCACTCAGAGTACTTTTCGTCTCTGATGAGGATCATGGCGTAGTACCAGGATGCATTACGTGCTCGATCTCTCCTTTGCTGTTCTCGAAAACTGAAAGTTATTCCATTCATGTCTCGTCTCAAAGGGTGAGCATTTCCTTATCTGCATGCGTTGCATGTTTAGTTTTTTCTGCCAGGTCTTGGAGCAACTGATCTCTGATGTCATAGCTTTATCGTACTGGATGGTCATTTTCTCTCGTCATCTAGATACGTCTACGTGGCAGCGAGCCTCGGGCTCTGTGGTACAGCATTAACACGTTGCTGCAATTGTTCAGGTTGTCGCACGGAGTTGGTATTCCACAGATGCAGGTATTGTACCTACAGACTTGTGAAGGTTTTGGCTTCACATATCCGGCCATAGATGGCGTTCCAGTTCTTTACCGTTCAGTGTCCAGGTAGACAACAGATATTCGTGTTGCGGTTTATGATGATCGCAATATGAAACTGGACATAAATGCAACCGGACTGCCTAAGATCATTACAGTTGATTTTGTTTCAATTCTTGATCTGAATGAATTAATGTTTTTCTAAGATGCATCTGTACTTGTTTTTAGATTAACGATTGGCCAGACCTAAAGTACAGGGCATTCTTAGTGGATAGTGGTCATGGAAGAACCCTTAATTCAGTATGTTTGAAGAGTGTAATGATCACCCAAGCCGGTCATCCAAAGATTTAAAACATTCTTGTTTCATATTTCTAGGATTCCTTGTTATTCTTAGTTGATGTTCTCTCAAATCTTAAATACAATCAGGTGTGTATGATTCATTATTATTTAAATCTTTAACAGTCAAACAGTTATTTAAATCATAAAGTTCAATAAGCTTTTCATTTTTCATTTGCTATCTTTTGGGATCTTTCCCTCACACTATGCTCTTTCGTTTGCCTTGCTTGATTACAGCATGCAGTAGCAGCTAGCACCAGCTGGTAGTTAGGAAGCCACTTAGGCGCAGCTATGGAACCTGGGCTTCTGTGTCGCGATAGTAATCTTAATGTGTGCTGCATCAATCATCTTAGAGTGCAGCTTTTCTTTCGTAGATGGTTTTATGTGTTCAAAATGGTTTTCTATTTGAGAAACACGAAGAGGCATGTAAGGATTACTCTCGATACTCCCAAAGGTAACGCAACTTGAATATATCCCCGAGAAACTTGTAGTTAATCCTTTAGTTACAAGCAATGTTTTATTCCACATCAACTAGGCTTAATTTTGCCCTCGACACATCCTCATGCCTGTTTCTTTGTTTCTAGCGAAATTCTAAAGCTAGATCGATATTGTCGGAAAAGATACATTGAGTTGATCCCCTTTATGGACCATATATCCGATTTCGGCAGATGGTAAGAAAGGAAAGGCTCATATAACCAGCTTACTCAAACCACTCACAGCATCTTAATTGATGTTTCCCTCTCAGGTTGAAACATGATAAATATAAAAATCTTGGAAAGTCTCCGGCTGTCAACTGCACGTCTGAGGGGACAAGGTACTTGGAATTATAATAAATTATACATTTTATTGTTGTTGAAAATATTATTGTTTATTATTTACTGGTATATGGTCTCACAGAAAGTTTAAGTCATGAAGTTACCCAACTGGAACACCCAGTCCAGCTTGGTAAAATATACACAGTAACATAACATTTGTCATTTAACCATGCGATGAGATATCTTATGATAAAAATGTTCCACTGATGCCAAAATGCTCAAAGTCCTCAAGCCATCCAGTTAATCATACATCCTTTTAGTACGTCAGAATGTTTGTGCCCAGAGAATGTTGAGACTGCAAGTTTTGTGAGGGACCTGAACTCTCAGCTATGTACATCGTTTCCCACAGCAAGGTAAATTCCTCTATATTGAAAGGCTTTCTTTTTATTCAATAAAAAATTTAAAAACTTGATTCGTATAACAACACTGTAGGTTCATCCATGTCGGGCTGAGCAATGTGACTGATTGCGATATCAAGTCTAAAACTTCAACAGACAAAGATCTTCCGATAATAAAACATGCCAGAAATATCAACGAAAACTCCAGGAAACACAAGAAAGCGTGTATGATGTGGACTAACTCGTTTCACGACTATTTGAAGCATGGACACGAGTTACCGGAAGGCATGATTGCTATGGAATATGGGGGAAAGGTACGATTCCCAAATACTCACTGAAGTTCTCCGGTAAACCCTTTTAACCTGACTGATCAACTGTTAACCATACCATCAAATTCTTCCGCCTGGTTTTCGAAGTTTTTATAATGATCTTTATTCATTTCAGTCTTCCTACGAATTTGGTGTGTTTTGTAAGCTCTGCTCTGATTCTGGGTAAGATTTTTATCCTCAATTCTCTTCACTTTCGTGTTCTTTCATCATATTTGATTTTGTTTTCTTGCTTGTTTTCACAATTTAGAGTTCCGTATTACGTATGCCCAGGCACCATGAACTGGACAAGGTGAGATTTCACTCTTCTGTTGCCTACCGTGGTCAGACCAGAGCTCTGCAACACTTGCTCTAGAAAACTATCTTCTCTCGCATTTTACAGATGTGTGATGCAATACGTACTGACTTTAACGCGCGGTTTTATAACTCCATCGGTCATCTAATCTTTGTCTTGTTCATTATTTCCCGCTAGTCTCGTTGGAGCAGATAGTATTGACTTAATCGACGATGCTGTACAGACCGCTGTCCTTTTTAATGCTCTGGGTATACTCGTCACAGATTGGTCAGCATATGGTCACGTGTCTCCAGTCGAGGTCAGCTTGCCTGCATTCGCAGCTGGTGGGGCGCTTGCTTGGAACTCGAAAATAAAACAGGTATGTCCAGTTTGGGGGTTCTAATCAGACCCATGCAGGCAAATCCATGCCAGATTTCGACCTTCGTTTCCCACTGGAAGTCGCTTCAAACTTGTTTATACTTTCCCAGGAAAGCGTGGTATCAACTCTTCCCAAAGTTCTGAACGTACACGTGTTCCAAGACGAGGCAGCCGTGATAGGAAATGTTCTTCAAAATTTGACTCAGGTTCATAGAATTCTTCAACCCCGACCAGTGCCGACGGATGACGTAGCACAACACGCTGTTTATCCGGGAAACAATGCTGACGATGCTAGTCAATTACTACAGCTGTTCCTGTTTCCAAATGATGTAAAACTCAACAACCTCGACAGCGATAATATCCAGGTTAATATCCTGCTGGTGATATTTTTCATGCATGTCATCTCCTTGAGAAGAGTTAGCCTTTACGGAAAAGCGTTTATCTTTAATATATCAAGTGCTTTATTTAGAAAGCGTCTCGATGTTTGCGGAAGAACCAGGCGTCTTTAGCCAAGACTCAAATGAAATGCCACCGAGCTTCGACCACCGTGAAAGCACTTCACCTGGTTTTAGATATGGCGTTGTACTCTTGCAGGTAGGTTTGTATCAATTCACTTCTTATCTCATTTCGTCATTTTTATATTCAGAAGTACATTGTACGAATGCAGCCGCATGTTTCAAGTTTTGATCAGCAAGACTGAGATCCCATATGAAGACCGTTCATTACTGTTTCACTAATCAGAATGTTTTTAACTGTCGATAGAGTTGGACGTGGATTGCTCATCGGGAAAAGTGATAAAAATTCTGAAGCAGGATTCACTGCTACTTCATGTTTGCCAAGCATAATGCGAACAGATCTTGCTAACAGGTTAGTTAAACCATACAACTTATTGCCTTTGTAGATACCACGATGTTCTCTTTTCTAACCTGCTTTTCGTTCTTACTTGCCTTTTACTAAGCTTTCTGTCGTGTGTTTTTTCAGACTTTTAGGGATCATTGAAAATCACCGTCGCATCTGGCCATTAAACAATAAACCTGGAGGAGTGGAGGAATCGGTCAAAATTCTACAAAGAGTTTTTGATGAAATTGTTCCTTCATCAACTCTGTCGGTTTAACTGTAGAAAATTTAAATTTCATTCCCCCAACACGAAAAATGAATACTTTCGGAATTTCGACAGCTTGCACGCAGAAGTGGAAAAATTCAACTCGCTAAAAAATACGATGGCATGTTGCATAGGACAACTTTTGTTATCTCTTCATAAGGCAATCGAGTAATTTAAACTGTCTTGAAACGGTTTACATAATTCACAAGTGATCACTTAAAACGTTATCCTGTTACCCCAGGGTTTTCAAATTTTGTTGAAAGGTTGTCGTATTACCTACGGCGAATCTTAGAGATTTAGAATATGAATGAACTTTGTCTTTGATCGCTCTGGAGTTCGTTGAAAACGAATGCGACAAAAAACATGCCGTAGAATTTGATTTAGTTTGTATCTAAGTGATCTACTGTATTTATTTGTAATATTTAGCAGATTAATTTGTTTCATTAATTGTCTAATCGGCTGAAGTCGGATTAAAATCCGGATAAAATCAGTCTGATCCCAGTTAGATATTGAAATGTTGTCGTTTGATCTGATTTTGACTAGATATTTCGATTTCACCTCAACGCAGAGGAAGGTAGAACAAAAAGGCAACAGTTTTTAGGGTCGTTTCTAGAGAAGAGTTCCCTGAACCAGAACCGATTCAGTAATCTAATCCTGATCTGAGCAGCTAATTTAAAATTAAACGAGACTTACCGTAAGTTGAAGTTTGATTGTAATTCTATGAGTACTTGGACACGGAAACTAAGGAGTCATGTGAGATATGCGCACGCAGATCGAGCAGTCAGTTTTTAACGCAACGAGAGATTACAACAGTACCTTCAAAGGGAGGGAACAAGCTCAATATACCCAAACACGAATTGTGTAATATGGGCGGGTGACTCCTTAGTTTCCGTGTCCAAGTACTCATAGAATTACAATCAAACTTCAACTTACGGTAAGTCTCGTTTAATTTTAAATTCTATTTCGTCCTTGGACTACGTCACTAAGGAGTCATGTGAGATGTTCAAAGTGTTGTAATCACGAGTGATAACAATTTACCACAGAACTCAAACAACGAAGTAACTTTATTCCAATTTTACTAGAATGCATAATTAACTTGTGAAAGCTTGTAATAACGATGAACCAAAGTCCTCTTCCAACCGTAATGGTTTGTTATAATATTTTTGAAAAGTTTGAGCGTTAGACCACCCAGCTGCTTCTAATATTGTATCAATAGAAATAGATGTGTTAGTTGCGGCTGACGACGATGCCGCTCTTGTACTGTGACCACAAAAATCATTTATTCCGGCCAGTTTTAGAACTGTTTTCAGCCATCTCGAGATGGTGTCTGTGCTCACTTCTTTATGTGGTTTTTGGAAGCTAATCAACAACTGTCGGGAGTTTCCTCTTAAACTCCGCGTTTCTTTCGATATACTCTGTTAGAAGCTTGAATGGGCAAAGCGTGGGATCTGGCTGATATGGTTTAACCATTAGGGCGCCAGGTGTTTTCCGGGTCTAGATGTTTTTAACAGTCTTTCAAAATGGAACACATATTTCCCGTCTGCGCACGACATACTGTCAAGTGACAAGGCTTTAAGAGTTTGACACCTCTGTGCCGAAGTAAGAGCAAGAATCATGACCAGTTTTAGCGTCAACGTTTTGAGGGTTAAATTTCTGGTTGGCTGAAGAGTTCGTAGGTAGTCTAATACTATTCGAACATCCCAAATATCATTGTGCCTTGGTAAGGATGGTCGACTTTCAAATACCCCTTTCAGGAAACGACAAACCATCGGGTGTGTTCCAAAGTTGGTGTTATTTGATAAAAGTATGATAGAGGACAGAGCACTACGTGCTGTATTTAATGCACTGTAACCAAGACCCTTTTTAAACAAGTCTGCGAGAAAATTTATCCCTTCTTCAACAGTGGGTGCAAAGGGATTGATATTCTGTTCACTACAATATTGTTTCCATTTTCCCAAGTATCCTTCATATTGTTTTCGCGTACCTGTTCTCCATGCTGCTTCAAGGACTTCTTTAGCTGTTGCCGAAAGGCCTCTGTTTTCAAACTGTTCCCTGATAAGTGACACACAAGTAGGACTAGTTTCTCGTGGAGAGGGTGCTTCTCCAATGGGTTGCTTGGGAGGTGCAATGTTGATGTTGTGCTGGGAAGTATGATGGGTGACTGTATCAGCATTCGGATTGCCACTGGCCACCAAGATTGGGTTGGCCATTTGGGTATAACAACTAGGCCCTCGGATTCTTCCTTTTGGATCTTTTGTAGGACCTGGCTAATTAAACAGAATGGTGGAAAAGCATAAAAATCATATTCAACCCATGGGTGGTGAAAAGCGTTAACTGCTATTGCTTCAGGATCAGCAGTGTATGACATGTAGGGCTTAACTTGGTAATTTATACGCGATGCGAAAAGGTCAATGTTTGGCTTAAAATTAAGCTTTGCACAAGCATTGTGAAACATGTCTTTGTCTAAGCACCACTCCGTGGTACGCCTAGTTTGTCGAGACTCGTAGTCTGCGTCAACATTATCTTTACCAGGTATACGGGCAACTGTGATCCATACATCATTTGCAAAACACCAGTCCCATATAGTTTTGATAAGACTGTTCAGCGTTGGTGAGTGGCTTGTTCCCATTTTATTTAAGGTAATTTGAACAGTAGTATTATCTACTAATACTTTAACATGCTTTGTTGAGACCAGTTTTTTATGTGCTTTGAGGCTAAAAATACTGCTAGCAACTCTAAATAATTGATATGATATTTGCTCTCTTTCAGAGTCCAAAGTCCTCCTGTTTTAAGATTTTCAATTGCACATCCCCAGCCAATTTTTGAGGCATCAGTGCACATAGTCACATTTGGTTCTGGTTTATAGATCAGATTGTTTGCTGTTTCTATATTATCTGCCCACCATTGCAGTTCAGATTTTGCATTGTTGGATAACTGCATTTGTGTGTCAAAATTATTGTGATTAAGTTTTAGGGCCTGAGCTTTTTCGCCCTCTGTAATTCTAAAATGAAGGGGTCCCTGCATAACCCCTGGAAAGGTAGAGATTAACAGACCAACAACCTGAGCAACCTCTCTTATAAGAGGCATATCCTGAGAAAGAAGGCAAATGACTGCCGACTTCAACTTCTTTGCCTTTTCTGGTGTTAGTGAGACAGTCATTGTTATAGAATTGAGAATGAACCCAAGATACACAATTATTTGCTTTGGCAAAAACACAGATTTATCAGGATGAGGCACAAAATTCAATTTGTCTAACACTGTTACTGTGTCAATGACATTGGATACACACTCTCTATTAGTGCTACCAATCAAGATGGAATCATCAATATATGGTGATGAAATATGTCCCTTGTTTCTTAAGAATGAGTATACTGGTTTTAATAACTTTGTAAACTTTCTAGGGGCAAGAGCTAGCCCATTGGGGAGGCAAGTAAATTTATACAATACCCCATTCCAGCAGAATTTTAAATATTTTGGTGCTTGGCACTTACACGCACTGAATAGTAGGCGTCTTTTAGATCTACAGATGCCATATAGCACTGAGGCTTCATAAGCCTAATGGCATTCCAAATGGAATCCATTTTGAAATGCCGGTAAACTACATGTTTATTCAAACTTTTTAGATTTAAAATCATCCTGTATGACCCATCAGGTTTGGGTCTTACAAAGATTGGTGAGATGAATTCATGTTCTTCATGTGCAGAGTGAACAATGACGCCTTTGTTTAAAAGCTTTTTAATTTCCAGTTCAATAACAAGTTGCTCAGCTCTGGAAAATATGTTCGCTTTTGGTGCCTTAAGTTGATGAGGTAAGGAAGAAAATTCTATTTCCCCCATGACTGTCTGTAAAACTTCCGAATCAGAAGTGAGTTTGCGCCACTCACAAAGTTTGTGACTTAATTGGCCAGCTTGAAAGTTATCTACTCGGTTAGTAAAATATTCCACCAATGATGGAAGGTCTGTCTGAAAATTACTAACCTGTAAATTTTTTAAAACTGTCGCCTCTCTTTCTTTCTCCATAGTCATTGGTTCTGTTGATGCTTGGGTGCTGGGTTCTTCTTGGTTTGAAAACTGGATCTTGGTGGGTGCTGTTTCCACTGCCGGCTGTGGGATAAAAAATGCCCCCTTGTTGCCTTACTTCCAGAGCTGGAGTTAGTAGCACCCCAGTGGCGGCCATATGGTTTGGGTTTATCAAACCGATGTGGCACTGTTACTTTACTAATTTTGTTGGAAGCTCGGATGTCATTGAGCTGTGTTTGGAGGTTATCTCCAAACAAATACGTTGTGATTGGCACATGTGAAGCACAGAGGCTACTATAATCTTTATGTAGATTTGGTTTGATAGCGTCGCGTCGACGCATAGAGAGGTCGCACATGGTGTGCCCTAATAATGCCAAAGCGTCGGTATTCATCGTAATAATCTGGGCAATATCAGGCGAATCATCATGACGCATTTGCAATAATTTATCAGTCGTCATTGAAAGTATCGAGCCGACTTTGGCTAGCAATTTTTGTGTGGTGGAAGCACGGAGGTCATTATGCTTAGTTTTATTATCAAGCTTGTCCCATATTTCTGCATTGACGCGAGGGACAACAATCTTTTCACAATTCCCTGGTCGAGGGTATTTATCCATTTTTTCCCTCTGTTTTGCGTCAATAAGCTTCGTGGACCATCTTTTGTTGACAATATCAGCAAGTTGCTGATTTATATTGCCTCCAACCTCCTCTTCTTGTTCCAAATCCTGAGAGATTTCTGTCAGGAGAGCGTCATGCTCGAGTCGAACATGTGTATCACTCATTACACCCTCATTTGCCGAGTCGGCATCGGGTTCATTGTTTCGAAGCAATCCCTCTGCATCACTAATGTTACCGTCCGTTTCTGTTATATTTTGGGAGGCTGAACGTCGTTTTTTCTTTGGTCCACCATTTGTATCAGAGGTTTCGCTCGGTTGTAGTCGCTTGATGGATTTTTCCATGTTGAGCATGGCTGTGGATATGGTCTCCAATGTTTTTCCCAATCCAGATAACACTTTTGGCATCGATTCTTCTTCCGACACCGCTGTTTCTTTCTCTTCTAGTAATGCCATTTCCAATTCGTCGCCAGAAGACATAATATCAGTAAATTTTCGTGAATTTATTTAAATTTCTCCGCTTCGTTTGCATAAAACAACCGCTCGCTCGAAAAACTACGCGGGCAACTGACTGCTCGATCTGCGTGCGCATATCTCACATGACTCCTTAGTGACGTAGTCCAAGGACGAAATAGAATGGAAGATTTATGAGAGGAGGAAGTGACAGATCAGCAGAATTTAAATACAATCAAAATACAACAGAAAGTCGCTGAATCGGGCAATACAAGGAAATTTACATGGATGATTGATGTCGATCTCCGCTTGTAAGAATGATACCGCATTTGTTTACATGAAAAACACGAAAGTCGATACATTATAAAATTATCGTGGTGTTTTATGATGAACTGTAAATTCATGGTATTCGTATAATCTATATAATGCTATGTAATCGTAGTATATTTCACCACTAACCATTTAATACTAGCATGTCTCAACAACATACGTTGTGCTGTCACGCGCTTGTAGTAGAAATTTCGTATTCGGACTAGCCTTTGGTGTGGTTTAAATGGCCTCGTTAGAAAGCGGAATAAATCCACGTGTTTTAAAAGAAATATGGCAGGATTATTTGAAGAATAGCAATGAAAAGGTCAGTCGATACTGGTGCATATCATTCCTAGTTGGCAGTGAGTGCAATCATGCAGATATAAACAAATAGAACACAAGTACTGTTTATACACAACGTATATATACAAATGATGATATATAAATAGGAAATATAAATACTAGTATACTTGATACTAGCTTTTGTAAATATGGTTTTATTATTTATAGGAGAAAGAAGAAAAGCTAAGGCAGTTTCTTGGAGAGTTGAAAGGCTATCAAATCTCTGATGAGACACAGTTTTGTCCTGACAGGTAGGATACTGCTTGTTATTGGTTAAGGTGGTCTTCCACCCTGATTTCAATTATCAATAAATTAGCTTCAACTCAACTACTTATGCATGAACCAAAGAGGTACTGGTATAGTGATGACAACAACATAGTTGTTGAACCATATGTTGCCATGGCAACCAAGAAAATGACCCCCAACTGTGATTTTAGTCTCCATTTTTCAAAAAGTATAGAGAAGCAAAGAGGGGCTAGAAAAACAAATAAATCTTATTTCTGTATTCACTATAGACCAATCTAGGGGATGAACCTAAAAACCCTTCCAAGATTTAAATTATTTCATTAAGAAACAGCAGATATCAATTTTTACAATGCAGTAGAGTGCATCAAATCCAGTTATTTGTGCCCTATTAAAAATATATATGCAATTTTAGGTTCAGGAACAAGAAAACATATCTATCTTACCACATAGAAACTTTCAGGTCATTTCATTAAATAGTTTTTGAGTTATCCTTTTTAAAAGATTTCTGGATGGCGGAAAATGCTATTTTGAGAAAACGAGCAATAAAGATGACTGAGAATATATATTGAATACAAATCAAGAAATATACAAGTATTAAAACATTACCAAGTCAATATAACTAATTTAAGTCAAAATGCACCAGATGCATAGGTTTCTCCTTCTTTTGCCACTAATTTGTCCCCTTTCTTCTTTTTTTCTCCCCGTAGCACCTTCCGCCGTTTCTTATTCTTGTCTTGACATTTGTAATTTCCTTTCCGTACACGCAGTTTGTCAGAATTCAAGCACTCCTCTGAACAAAAATTGCCAGATGCAAGGCCCATATCCTTCAGCAGCTCAATTGCAGCAGATGCACCAGTGTTGAAATGGGCAGCAGCATCATAAACACCCAACGAAAACACATCCGATCCAACGAACACTTCTTTTGGGACACGATTCCAAATCATGGCATTGAATGACTCATTTTGATTTTGAGTTTTTCCATCAAGGCATCTTTGCAGCAGACTGGACTCACTTAGTCTGTCAAATATTGGTTTAACATGGCCAATGACTTGCTTAGGGAGGCCAGCACCATGCTTGTACTCCTTTGTGGCATTAGCCTTATCCCGCTTAAAGCCACACCAGCTATCTTTACCATCTGGGCAATGGATATGGTAATCATCTTTACCAGATGAAGCACAATGACACAGAGCAGCATATATTGCTTTCTTCATGGATTCTATGTCTTTACAATTAGTTCGAATGGCTATCCCATAATAATTTTGTAATTTGTCAATCATGGCATCCGTTAAACGACCTTTTCCTCCCAAACCTTTGTTCTCTTTCTTCAACTTTCGCAGTGCTGTTCCAACCCTTTTTTGTACATGTCCCACACATTCCTTTTTAGTGACTGTTACATTGTCTTCCTCATACACATCCTTCACAGCAGCATAACTCTTGCTATCTCCATCACCGTAAAATTCTGAATAACGAAGCTTGTTGCTCTCCACCGACCGATAAAAATTCTCAAAGCACCTTCTGGTTCCATTGCAGGTGCAGATCCTTCATAGTTTGCCTTGCACTTTGGCTCATGTTCAGCTTTCAAAGATGCAGTTTCAGATGTCTGTGGCTTCGTGTTGAGCTTCTTACAGGTATGGCACACTTTGCTTAGTGGTTCCACATCTAGAATTTTCCCCGTATCCATGGAGATTGTGGCGACGCAACCATTAAGTGATGAAAATCCTCTCCTCTGCCAAGTCCCATCACACGACACTGCACAATCCACAACTTCATTTGACGCTGTTTGTTTCAGGTCATGGATTTCTTTAGAAGCATCTACTACTGTTTTTGCATACACAGTCTTAGCACTCTGGAGAAGAGCTTTGTTGTGCAAAGCATATGGAGTAGGTCTTGGTGGTGGTGGCATGTTCATAAGTCCACAAAATCGCTTAGCTCCAGCACGTCCACAACCAATAGATCTCATGGCATATACCATCCTTCTGTTCACTTCATAGAAGTTATTAGTAAGTTTCGAGGTGTAGAATTCATTTGTCCACTCACAGGAAGAACACCTCAAATACAGATATGAAGCACATCCCATCCGCTTGTGTGGATCCTCGAGAAATTGAAGGCTAAATTGTAGACAATTTGAACACGGCAAGAGCTCAAGTGTGCCTTTTAAAATTTCCAGATCGACTAAACGAAAGCCAGAAACACTCCCCTCTTTCGTTTCTGTGTGTGCGGTCGAAATCGTTGCGGAAATTTTTTGAGCAGAAGCAGACGTATTCGATTTGGTCGTCTCACTTTGATCGGGAATCTTCGGCTTTTTTGCTGCAGTTGTAAACTGGTTACCAGAAAATTTACGCTTTTTACTGTATCCAGAAGATTTCTTTCTCCCCATCGTCACAAAAATGAGAATAACGTCGATAAAGAAGAACTTTTTGTTTGGATTTTTAGTCGTTGTGTTTGTGAAGCTCAAAGCTTTGATTGTCTGCCGGAAGATAACTCGTGGTTTTCATGGCCTATACTTCATGTCAGCAGCATATAATCGCACACCAAATAGCTAACTAACTGGGGGAGGGGTAAGCAAGTAAATAAATGCAAATATATCGCTTCAAAGCAAACCAATCAGGATTTTTTTAGGACAACAATGCGTTGCTAAGGCCGTTGTCAAGGGGAAAAATCTTACATTCTCTCACTAAATCGCCAAAATATTACATTTCTACTTAGATTTAGTGGGTGAACAATACATCAAATGAGAGCTTATAAATCAGGGAATTTAAAAATGTAGCTTTCAAAAATTTCCTAATTTCTAATTTTTATTTCAAATTCTGGGTGGAAGACCACCTTAAGAAAACAGTACTTCATCTGATAAGTTATACAGAATAAGTTACCTAGCATTTACAGTGAAGCTATGTTTTTATACTTTAATACATCAGTGTTGTCAGCAATCCACAGTCAATAGAACATTTCATGCACCAATGACCACCAAGCACATGAAAATGTTGCTCATGAATTTTGTGGGAACAGTACAGTATGTCTCTCAATGCTATATTGAAATGTGTAGCAAAAGAGAAGCATTGTACGTGAATTGACAACTTTAAATGCGAAGCACTGACAATTTTGTGGTTTATTCCTAGTTTATCCAGTTTTCAAATATTTGTACAGATGTTTATAATTATGTATGTCTGCAGACAAAGAAGTGTGCATTTTTTGTTTTGTCATATTATGAAAGTTGGATATTAGTTACATTGCCTGATCAGTGCACAAGTATGGTCTGCAATGCATTTTATTAACAAGGTGTCTTCTTTATATAGTGAACTGTCGAGTATAAGTAATCTGCTTGGCCGGGAATTGTTAAAAGTTGTCAGTCATCAATGTGAAATACTTGAAGATGACGCAGCATTTGTTCATTTCCTGCAAAAAGGCACAGGGCTATATTTGCTGCAAGCCCTAAATATTTTAGCTGAGCAAGTAAGCTGATTTTGTGTGCATGTTATATTATGGTATGTGGTATAGTAATTGGTATCATATTGTATGGTATCATATTGTATGGTATTATATTGTATGGTATCATATTGTATGGTATCATATTGTATGGTATATATGGTATGATGTGGTAATTAATTTAGTGTTATTGACTTATTTGTTTTTTCTTAAAAAAATAGATTGGCAACTGCAATACAGAAGTATCCAATGTTCTAGTCTCTGTTCTTCCCTGTCTATTGTCTTCTCTGTTTGAATTGAAAGATGATGATGGTATGCACTTGCTTATGTTTCAGCATGTTCCAAACTCATACATTTTTGTGTATTCTAATTGCACCATAGCAGGCTCCAAACCAAATTAGAATATTTCACTTTTGCTTTTCATAGCTCTGGCATTACTCCAGAAATTTACCACACTCTACAAAAACCTATTAAGCGGTAAAAAGGTTCTCCCTGACTTGTATGAAACAATCCACTCCAAGCAACCTGCAGAGGACGATCTTGACCTCTTGTCCCTGATTGCACTCCTGCTGGATATCATATGTAAATTGAGCGCCAAAGGGCGCTCACTGACTGTCGCGGAATCAACGGTCAACGTTTCCGTCAAACTCTTAGCATTCCTGCATCTTTTAATGAAAGAAAATAATTCATCGGAGAAGTCTGATGATGATCTTCCCGAATGCACTTGGTCACCGGGTGTGAAGCTTGTTTGCGCGTGTATGTCAATGTGCTCACTGCAGTCTTTTTTTGCTGCTAAAAACACCTCTGACTTGTTCGCCCATCGAATAGACCGGAGCGAACAAATTGAAAAGCTTATACAGATCTTGGAAGACTCGAAAAACAGTCTTTGGTGTAGTTCTGATTTTAAAGAACAACATCCTTGCTCGACAAAAGTGTTTTTGGTTTACCAGTTGTTTACAACGTATTCTCTGCTCGGATTTCTTCTTGTTTTACTTGACAACGGCGTACGTGGGGAAACAGCTTCGTGTTCTGGGATAGATTCGACAAGAAAGGTTCACTATAAAGATTATTTGAAGACGTTTATGAAGAACAACGCTAGTGGATTCATCGTTTTTGTCATTGCTTCTTTAAACAAAATCGTATCGATTGGAAATTTTGATTCCAAATTTGAAGAACTACTTAAAATGCAAGCTACGGTTGTGTTAAAAACGACTGGCCAGCTTGTCTCATCTCTAAAAAGAGCCATGATGGGTGCGGGTAAATCTGATAGCGAAAAGATGACGTTTTGGTTCGATGAGCCGGCAGCGCCCAAGACGCAGTCTCAACAACCCAGGATATTTTCTCACGTCACATCGACTAGCAGCTTTCATAGAACAACCGAATCAAGCAGCGACGAAGACTGGGAACAACAGCAAGGCTTCGGCAATCCTCAATGTCATTATTATTCTGGCAGAGGCAAGTTTAGAAAATTGGTCTCATAGAAACTTAATTGTTTGCGAGCGCTTCTACCTGCAGTGAACTGTGAACTCGCTATTCCTAATAAATTCTTGAACAAGAAATATGAAATTGGTTGTGTAAGGAATGTTTAATCCTAACGAGTTCATTTTGCGTTTTCACTAAGATAATAGAGCTGTATCTGCTGCATACGCATCGCATGATTTTTTTATGGTTGTTAGCCGTAATCTCTTAATTCTGGTCTTGTTTCGTAGATTGTGCCACTTCTCGTCTATGTTCCGCAATTTTGACCGCGTACAAGGAAAGTGCGGTGGAGGATATCGATGTCGTATGTCTGACTTCTCTGGCTCGCTGTGGAATCTGTCCATGTATGGATGTTTCAAGTACAATTGTAACGTTGCTCTCCAGGTAAGTCAGGTTTTACATTGCCAATAGAAATGAACCACAATGCTCGGCCAGATTACATTTACATCTTGCATGTATTTTATCAGTTGATTGATTGGTCGGGTGGCCGCAGGTAGTTGGCCATTTGATTGGACAGTTGACCTGACGATTCGTCAGTTAATTGCCATTTTATTGGTGAATTAGTTGGTCGTTCGATTAATCAGTTGCTTGGCTATTTGATTTGTCATTTGATTGGTTAAGTGGTACGTCAATGATGTGATTGTGCGATTACTTGGTTATTTAATTGGTTGCTTTCTTCGTATATAACACATGTAATTATTTTTTGTTAACTGGTAATGCTTTTTCAAGGCTTGTAAAAAGATCACCAAACGTTCAAAGCCTTGCACTGCGTCTCTTTGGTAAAACCCTTCTCCAACAAAACAGCCAAAAGATGAACAACAACAATAGGAAACAGCTCGATAGCTCAAGAGAATCGACAAGTGCTGATGAAGTTTTTTTGGCAAAGACGACTTATCCACCCATAGATCATTGGCCGTGTTTTGAGCATCTTTCACACATCGTTATAACAAACAAAGATGAATTAACTGTGAGAATTCTGAAATACTTGAAAGCTCTTTCAAAGTTGGCCGCTCCTAACCTTAAAGAGGCGTTATTCGTCAAAGTATTTGTACCGTTTGTACTGACGTATAAAGATGTGAAGAAGACGAATATTTTGGGTAAAATTTGTCGTAAAATGACCGTGAACGTGGCTAATCCGTACGATTCGGGCTATGGAACTCCATCAGAAGGAGGGGAAAAAACTGAAAAATCAGAATCCAAAGTAGTTCAGGAGTCCGGTTTCGATGACGAGGCATTGAAAGTCTGCCTGACCGCAATATATCTGCTTTTGGATAAAGAAGTTTTGCAAGCTCGTTTTATGAAATTAGGAGGAGTGAAATGTATTGTTAATTTTCTTGGCGACGAACCATCTCATCTTATATGTCTTGGAATTTTACGGCTTCTTGCAACGCCGTGGGGAGACTCGCTGGATGAGACAAAGGAAACAGAAGGCCCTGCTCAGATTGCAGATTCCAAACAAGCTGGGAAAGCAGAAGTCGTTGAAATCTTGTTGCATTCGATGCTGTTGCTAGACGCAAGACAAGAGAATCCTCAGGTTGACTCGACCGTCAGTGAGTTTGCACAGAAGATTCGCATTAGTTTGCGCCTGCCAAAGGTGAGCCAGTTGTTGTGTCAACTGTGGAGAACCGGTTTTCGTGTTTTAAGGAAGAACGCGTTGTTCAGAGAGAGTTTTCTCAAGTCCGGAGGACACGCGTATGTCGTGACAGTTTTGCAAGTGATCAAGGAATGTCTCTACAAAGCAAAGTCCAGGTCTGATGTGCATCTTAAGGATCAGGTTGTGTCTTGTGTCATGCTGATGGAGTGTGCAATGGCCGTCGGCCTGGAGTTTGGTGAAGAACAGGTCGATGGAGTTCAGGTTGGATGAAGTTTATTTATAATTTTGCATTGGTTATTTCCAGTGGATCTTTCTTTCGGTCTTTCTCTGACATGGTTTCTATGTTTTTTGCAGCTGTCACTTCAAATCGATGAAACAGTACGAATTATTCAACGTCTTATCCAGAAAGACAAGTTTCTCAATGAAATTGCGGGGAAAACGTTTTGCCAAACTCTTTTGAACCTTGCCATTGGTGCGGTTAGCGAGGATGACTCTCTGAAAGCTGACTTACGCGATTCTGAGAAGCTTTTGTTCGACTTTGGCAATACAGATGACAGTGATAGTGAAAGTGAAGTTTCTCAAAGTGGAAATACAAAGGTAACGCGTTGTGCTGGTGGAGGCTGTACGAATGCTGCCAGGATAGCATTGTCCACTGAATAGTGATTTTTTCTCAACTATTAGAAATGATAGTGCAAGTTGAACTATTAAAATGAATTGGTAACATCTTGTTGGCAACATCATCAATGATTATGTGACTTGCACTACCTAGTTTTTCCTTCCTTACAATCCTCTGCAAATGGTACTTAGCTAACTTCAATTTTTAGGTCGTCGGTCATCGTATGTTGGGAGCGAAAGATGTCGAGCCTGGATACGAAGGAGATGCCGAGCTGGAGACTGGGCAGAGTGATATTTCAGGCAGAGGAAGCGGAATGTATATGACAAGACCTAAGAAACCACGGGATAGACCGAAACGACAAACCCACACTGCAGATCGTTATATTCTATACCCCAGTATGTTTGAGCAATTGATATACTTCATTGAACATGATGGCAAAATTACAGTGTAAGTTTAACTTTTTTGTTTCAAGCTTTTAGTTCAAAGTATATCCGAGCCAGTGCTGATAGCGTGTATTTGACGATAAGGAACTGCCTGGTATTTGTAACTGCTCAAAATATTCCCCTCTTTCAGGAAGGACAGACCACTTGTTTTGCAAGGCCTTGAAGGAATGATCAGCTTGGCCTCATATTCGAGCAGAAATCGTCACATTTTGTGTAAAAAGGTACACACATCGCTTTAAAATGGTACTCAACCTAAAGGCTCTACCAGCTGACAGTCCAGAATTAGGGTTTTCCTTTCATTCTCTTTCCATAAAGCAAAAATCTTTTCATATTTTTCCTTTTAGGGTCTTCTTAGTCTTATTTTCAGAAGGTTCAATTCGTGTTTGACATCAACAGACGCTAGCATTAGAGGTATTTAAGATGAACACTTTTTTAGTAAGGCTGTCTTAGATAGTTCGAGGTATCTTAAACGTCTCTTTTGTATTCTTTTTATCTTAGCTGTTCAAAAATCTATTCTTGATCTCATTGTGGTGTTGGCTGGCTATGAGTTCCACTGTGAAGAACTAAAGATGTTCCTGCAATTTCTGCAAAATGAAACACCAGCATGGGTAAGGATCGGGTAACAGTTCACCTCACCTCATAATTCACCTCATCCATACGCAAGAAACGTGTTTCTATTTTAATTCTGCAACAACAATTTTGCCACTTCAGGGTCTTTTACTTCGAGCTTTAAACAACATCACGAAACTGTCCGTCGCTTCCCGAGGACCCTTATACACGCACAGGTTTCCCGCCAACGCTTCCGTAACCGAAGCTTCTCCGGTACTCGCCGATAACGGTCAGGGCTCACAACATGGTAACGTTAAGTTCAACTCGCCAAAATTTAATAAAACGAAGCTGAAACGCCGTGGTGATGGGAAAACATCCTTACAAAATACTTATCCTGAAACATTTCCGTTGCCTTGGGATTCAAGTGCCTTCGAATTAAAAGTAAGCCAAGGCTTATCTTGGCCTGTTGGTAGTTTTAGTCTGGCATTTTGGCTGTACGTTGACAGCGGTAGGCAACACGTAGAACGTGAGTATCATACGAGGCTCACACGCGATAAGCATCACTGGAAAAGTAGGAGTTATGTGAAGGGCATGGCGAATGATGACGCAGATAATGTTGCTCACGTGATGACGTTTGGCACCAGGACAGCGTGGTTCGAAGTTTGGGTAAATTTTAGCAAAGGGACATTAATTTGCAGGTATGATTGCTGGACGCCATAAACAAGACTAATTGTTAACAGTCCTAATCCTGAACACACTCGGCGGTAGTTCTAAACCGTTCTTTCAATCGATTTCAATAATAATTTTGAATGAATTGAGTTGGCTAAAAGATTTTGCAGTTCTCGATCAAAGATAGGAAGTTTCATTATCAGGCCTGAAAGAGGAAAGAGCTCTATTGGTTCTTGTCCGTTTTAAGATGCATGTGCTTTAATGCTTAAGAGTCTAGTTTGCCAGTTAAGATCTTTTCTGAGGTCTGCTTAGAGGCCTGCTTTAATTTTTGTTTAGGACCTGAATTTCTTTCTTTTCACACAGATGGTTCTACGATGATTCTGTGACTGAGGCTAGTATTGCGCGGGAAATTGCTCCGCTAAAATTTCCTGTAAAACTTCACAACTGGACTCATATTGTTGTCTCGGTTCAAGCTGGACCTGAAAGTGACGTCACTGGCGGAAAGGTGAGTGAGTGACTGATTATTAGTCAGTGTTTTACATTACGTCATGACTCATGCAATTCTTGTTTTCTGTACTTTCTTAGGTCACGCTACTCGTAGATGGCTCATGTGAAACGGTCAAGTCGTATCGCTATCCCGGCATTCCTGTCAAGAAGAACGATACTGTCTCTGTACTTGTTGGTCAGCGGTCGTTAGATAAGTGTGACGAAACAACAGCGTTGAGGGAAAATATTCATTTACAGGCGTATTTCAAGTTGGGAAATGTTGCCACATTTATTGGTAAGATCTTTTGAACACAGAAGGGGAGAGCTTCTCGTTATCCATATCAAACTTTCCTATCAACCGTGTATTTTATAGGTGAGTTGAACAGAGATGAAGGACCTCTCACAGCTCTTATGTCCATGTTAAACGCATCTTCTAAGAATCAAGATAAGCGCCGTACACTCGAGTTAGATGAAGCTGCGTTTCTCAAGCTGCTTGGAGCAAATTGTCAGGCTTTGGATTTTCATTTTACCGAAAATACATCTCAGGAATACAGGTAATTGTATGAATGATTGAATTTCGAGAAACTCCTGTGTCCAGTTTCATATTGCGGTCTGTGACGCGCGCATTCCAATGTTATGGATCAGATTTACACATTTCTTTATATTATTTCTATGTATTTACATCAAAATATATTACATTTTTCAACTAGAAATACATGCATGCAGCAACCCTCGCTATTTCAAACCAAGCAGGTGAATTGCTGAGCTAGCCAAACCTAAACTTATATAATGGAATGACTTCAATGAGTCGACAGCTGATATTTATATTATTTATATAGTTATATACGTGAAGTAAATACTACCCCTTTCTCTCCTGAATTATCACCAAAAAGCAGGCAATTTATAGACTCTACCAACTTAAGTAAAGGTTCACAAACGTGACATGTTGTTCTTCGGATGTATATAAGTAGCAAATATTTGCATTTTGCAGTCAACTTTAAACGCCTAAAAGTGACATTTGTTTTACATCAAAATTCAAAATTACACTTTTAAAAACCCTTATGAAGTTAAAGCAATGTTGTAATAGCTCTTCGTAATCGGTTATTTCATTTCAAAACGACATACCAAACTCATATACAAATAAGTTACATCTTTATTACAGTAAATGCGGAAGAAACAAAATAGACACCTACCTAAAACACTTTGTAGCTCATAGATTATATATCGCTCCTCATTCATCTCTCGTCTGTTTCTGTATCGGTCTTGTTTATCCATATTTTTGCTAAATAAGTTATTTACTTATGTTATATATTTCAAGATATATTTTAAACGTTGTTTCGACCAAGAATTCAAGAAACGGATTTTTATAAAATATGACAACAAGTTCCCGTCCTTTCCCGCCATTTCAAATCACCTGACCTGAAAATATTTGCTCAGCCAATCAGAACGTTGCTAGTGACGTTGCTGAGTACCAGTCTTTACTCGGCGGAGCGGGACCGCAATATAAAACTGAACAAATGTAGGGGCAGGATAGTGAATTTTCAGCTGTTGTAAAAACGCTTGAACTTCTGAAGGGCCATAAAACTACAGATTTGGAGCTAACAATCAATAAAGAGATTTCCTAATTTAGGAATACGAAGGTTTAATCAAAGTTATACCAAACAACGGTCAATTTTAGAGCCACTAAAAAAATGCTACAGTACAACCGGCCCTTATGCTATCTAGGTTCTCTAATATTCCATTGTTTGAACGATCTATGTAGTAATCACATTGATCTGAAGAGTCTGGAAAGATTAGCGGAGTGCAATGTCCAGTCCTTTTTCGCTGGTCCTCACGGCGAACCAGTGCTCGTGGATGAGCAACGGTGGAACGATATCAAGAACTCTTTGAAAAAGCAACTACTCTTGGTCTACTCTCCAGTTCACCCGGAAAAATTCCTGGAATACAAACTTGAAGGAACTAATTGGACCGGAAATACGGCATATAGTGATTGCGTCATGACTGGTGACGTCATTCGTAATGTACCAACGCCGGTTATTCACAGAAAACGTCTGGCCGAAGCTATCCACGGCATTGGAGGGATCGTAGTGTTTCTGTTTCTCTTTGCAAAGGTATCAGGCATCCGTCTCGAGATAAAACTTTCCAATCGGATATAAAGTTGGTGATGTGTATTTCCCTGCACTAATTTAAAAAGACCTATCACCACTTGGCAACTATTTCGTGGTTAAATAGCAGTTTACTCCTAATTTCAGCATTTTCTTTTTTGACTTTTTTTCTTGCGATCTCCAGACGGTCGAAAAGACGGACGATCAGAGAGCACAGGCAGACGCTCTCTCTGTCATCTTCACGTTGGCAAAGGAGAATGTTACTTACGCAAAAGAATTGGACGGACTACTTGCCAATAAAATGATTCTCAAAGTTTTACTATCGCCAAATTGTATACCGGGTTATCATTTTGCAAAGGTACGTGTCTACACGACTTTCTCTCTGGGAAGCATGGTTGAAAGAACATTTTCGGAGCAAGGTTTATTTTTCATTCGATGTCTTTCGTTCAGGTGTTATTTTATGCGGCCTGTGAAGGCGAGGTGTTTCGCGAGACTGGCTTGGACGATAAACCATACCTGGTGAACTTCAACACGGATGCGGTAGTTAGTAATTTTGAGATCTTGCGAGATTTTCTGCTCAACTGGCGGATTTGGTTTAACTCTGGTTCATCTTCGTCGTGGGAGATGATCTTACACGCTTTGGAAGCACTCACGAGCAGCAACCATCGCTGGTCGCAGTTCAATATTCGTCAATTTGAACGAGCCGATGCTCTGGGTGCTCTTCTACTTGGCTGCCAGGTAAGGCAAAGGGTCAATCACCATTGATGCCGTCGAGTATAGATATTTGGATGTCCTTCTGTAAAAATTTTTAATTGGAAGAATGGCGCTATCCAGAAGTGAAGTTTTACCACTCCCCCCTTTTCCCAAGAGTCGCTAGTTGGTACTACACGGAGAAAACGGGGGGCGGGAGATTGAATAAGAGTTCCAAATTTCCAGCATTTCCTCTTGTTCCCTGCAGGAAATTCAGGGTGAAGATCTGTCATTCTCATGGACGATCACCAGCCTTCATTTGAAAATCATCCAAAATCTACTTGGATGCTCGGCAAATCCTCAAGTTCTCAAGCGTATCTGTGAGTTCCTGGTCGCAGTTCACCCAACGTACGAGACACTGGTTATTCAAGCACCCGGGAACCTTTACTTTGCTCCAATTGCAAAGCTTGAAGGTAAGGTTAGAACATTGGAAATTAATTATTTTAGCACTAGTGTATGTTTTAATTTAGATCAGAAGAAAGAGCGAAGTTCAAAACCGTAGCTAGAAAGAGCATCTTAGAATACGTTTTAGTTAAATTAACTGTTGTTAGCTATGACAATATAGCCTAGCAAATTTTAGATATTTTGTAACATTTTCAGACTCTGTAGAGAAAAAGTTTTCAATTCAAAGATGGTGTGGAACCGCACCATTGCGATGCCAATCTATAAGTGATATAATCTATAGGTGATATAACCTGTATGACCGAACGCTATGACGAACCAATTATAAATGTTCACTAACCAAATTAGTTTAACTCTTATTTGTTTAGATCCTGACGAGATGTTCCAAAACGGTGAAAACGAGGATCAGCAAGAAATTGAAGATGGAAGATCAAAAGCTCACACCTTGCTCTCTGAACAAGCCACTGAAACTTCAAGTATATTCAGTTCCAGCGATAAACGCACCAACGTGTTGGAAACAGACGACACGAAGGATATGATCATCACCGTCGGGCATTTACCGACCACCTCAGAGGAGAATACCCGCTTGGATTTTCCCTTGCAATCAGCGCCAGAAATGAATGCTCCTGAAAACACCTCATCCCCTACGATAGATAAAACTGACAACAGTGAGGATCAGCCTACGTCTAGGTGAGTATTAAATACTCTTCATTTTCGTAGCTCAGAAGGCTAAAATCCGTGCATTTTATAACTATTAGTTTCTCTAATCATCCATAATTCGGCAATGAAAATGATTTGAATCAACTTTGCACAATATCAGTTTTTAAAATATGGTTAGAAAAAGCTCCCTTTTGACAAAGCATCGTCCACAGCAAGTTGATGCATAGCAACATGGCAATATCAGCTTTTTTTGGTAGAAACTTTTCAAATTTGCACTAGAAGACCTTTGCTAATGAACACCCTGCATTTTGCGTTTGTTTCTAGACCTGACGGCCAGAGTGAGCCAATCGCAATTAACCCACGAGAAGCTCGTAAGAACGTCGCCGGTGACTCGTACGACGTCGTATCATCCTCGGAATATTCTGCTTCTAAATCGCGTTCGTCGCAGGCAGCGAATTCCGGAGAAGACTACGTTGTCGTGGAGAACAGACCGGGCTTCGCCTCGACTATGACGACGTACAGGCATTTCAAGAAACAGCGGTCGGAGTTGCAAGAGCACGCAAAACTGGACGATCTCAGAACTGGACTGCTGGAATTAATCAATAGCGCGCTTCTGAATCTTGCAGATATTGCTGTTGATAGTGTCGTTGGAGAGATATTGAAGTTTGAAAATTTCTTGTGTTTTGTCAACTATCCTTTGGCCAGAGTTCGTACACTGTCTGTTGAGGTTAGAGATGAATTGAAATATAATCTACTATGTATTGTATTTTCCTGATAGTTGATAAGACTTATAGATTATTGCGAAAGATGTCTTATCATATATTTTCTCATACAGCAGGCTTTTTTTACATTTACTTTGTCTCGTTTTGAACTCTCTTCTTCTTCTGCAGATTCTCAGAAAAATCTTGGAGCGAGGTTCACCTCAAATCCTGGCGTCCTTTCATCAAATGTCAGGATTTCATTTACTTGCCGTACAGATCCACCTTCATCCCATAACTCAAGAACTGGCAGAAGCTTGTTTTCAATTATTTTTCCAGCAGCCAGTTTCCATAAACCAACCGTACGTATTTATGCCTTTTTTCTTCTGTTATCATTCGCATGCTGGTCTGCTGAGATTCTGTTCAATTGAAATCAAATAATCCCAAAAATATTTTATTCCAGAAGTTTCCTTGACAGTATTAAACGCGGCGGTGATCTGGCGAGAAGAGTGAATATCCTTTCTGGAATACCGCTGTTGGGTATGTTGGAAGGCGCCGTCGCATGCCCCAGAGTCTTTCAATTTCTGACCCAGTCCCTTGTGAAAATGCTCGACGTCGTGGAGGACTTTCTGCTTAAAGCCGCCGACCATGGATTACTGAAGACCTTCGTCAACGCTGTGAGGGCATTGTGTGTTTGGAATATGAACAATAGGTAAGGGTGGAGTGGTTGGTTTGTAAAATAACTCTCATATTACTCCAATTCCAAGTCTTGTAGTCCACCCCCTGTATTTGACTTTGGAAAGGCAGCACAAACCCTGGATCTTCATTAAACTAACGTTCCGTCTCTTGTTGTAGTGCCAGTGACAAAACAACTTTTCAGGCAAACTCTGGTGTCGTCTTGGATAATTTACAATATCTTGTCATGGCAATTGTGTATCGTGCGTTAAGGTATAGCAAATATGCGAACCGCCTTGTGGAAATGTGATTGAATTTTGGTATATTCTTATTTCTAATAACTTTTCTAAATCAACGTTGTTGTTGTGTGATTCAGGATGTGTGGTGATCGCTATTTTCAAATATTTGACGACCTACTGTTGGCATTAGATACTCTTCAGTACTGTGGAGCAGACAATAAAGGTGAGTGAAACACAATCAGCTCAGTCGCCGGAGCTAAATTCGTGCAGTATGAAACAGACAGTTAGCATTATAGACTGAATGCCCTTCTGCCGTTGAAGCCAAATAAATCGATAAAATAAACCCTATCAGATTTCACTCAGTTTCTTTAAAGAAAGTTGGTTATATCATATCTTATTAATCACTTAATTATTTGGTGTTATTTACTGTAGGTTTTAGATTGCTTTTAGTCCAATGTTCACGATTTTTACAACATTGTGCGCTGAAGTTTTCCTTGGAGTATCTCGAGTATAACCAAAAGGCAACGAAAATTAACCGACGCAGTCTTAAAAAAGCTTTGAGGTATTGTAATTTCCTGTTTATATTTCCAAATGCGTCCGGGTAACTTAAGTTTATCAAAATTTCAATTCTCAACCTGCAACATCATGCCCTGTTCTTCATGCCTATTTTAGACTTACATTCAAAGCAACGAGTGGAAATGAAGATGTTTGCTTTCTTGGAGATATCGGTCGTGAGCCTTGCTGGGGAACACTGGATCCCTCAGCATTTCCTGTGTTGTGGCAGACCTCAAAATACATCCAGCTTCCTGTCGACGCAACTCCATCCGAAATAGCGAGCCGATTTCATGATGTTCTCATGAAAACAGTTAGTTTGATCTGTTACTCAGATCCCTGGCCTATTGTTGAAGCTCCCTGGGACTTTACGCTCAATTATTCTTGTTTCGCGTTACCATCACCGTTTGAGAAGTACAAGCAAGCTGATTCGTGTTTTCTCGTTAATTCCAATGAGATATTTACACAATGGATCTTCTGTTTGTTGTTGGAATTTCACGATTTCTCACTGGTAGGTTTTTGCCATACCGTAACATATTTAATCATACTTGAGATATAACATACCTTACCTATTACCATATTATACCATACCATACCATGTACCATACCATACCATATCATACCACACAACACCACACCTTACCATACCATACCACACCATACCCTGTCGTACTAAACCTTACCATTAAATATTTTTAATTCATAGAATGTTGGTGCTCAGGATTGTAAAACCTTACCATTAAATATTTTTAATTCATAGAATGTTGGTGCTCAGGATTGTAAAAATAAATGGCAAGAGCTTCTCTTGTACTCAAAAGATAGGATCAGACTCCAGGTGCGATAACTGCAATGCTTCCAGTAAAGCTTCCCAAGCTGACCACGAGTTTCCCTAATCCGTTTTTCCTTTCCTCTTAGCTCTGTCGTCTTTTTATCTATCTTATGGCTCCAAGCCAGGAAACCAAGTTCAAATTCTTTGCTCTGCAGTTGACGAAAATGAACCGGTGTGATTCTTTATTTCGCAACATGTTAAGTGGAATTACAACCAAGGTTTGTACTGAGACCTCATTAAGTCATAACATCAACTACTTCTATATACCTTACCACATTATAAAAGAAGTGACAAAACCAATCCATTACCGCATAAAATACCGTCTTTTTATTCCAGCAAAAAGACAGAACTATGGCGTATATCCATGCTTTCTTGCGGGAACCAGACGATGAGTTTAGCTCAGAGGAAAAAGAACTGCGAACGGTTGTGGAGGAGTTTTTAAAAAACGTGGAAGAGCAAAAACGCGATAACTCTGAGAGTGAAGCTTTTCTACAGGTGATATTTTGTATTACGTGTTTTCTAGACAGGTATTAACACTCACAATATTTTGAGCAGTTGGCTAAAGTACTTTGTTTTCAACTTACTAACGATTCATTTGTCTTCATCTCTCCACAGAAAGAGGAAGAATGGAAAAAACAAGACCACAGCAACAAAATACAATGGGAAAACAAGAAAGAAATTGAACGAAAACGGTAGTTATCATCTTTGGTTTGTTGCTGATCTACCTGAGAAAGATTTGCACGTATTAAAGTTTCGTGAGGTGTAAAAAATTCTACCCGCCTCTCACGTCCATTTATCTTTAGGGGTGACCAAGAGTTCAACCAACTTTGTGCACGCATAATGTCGGATGCAATGGTGGTTACAAAAGTATCTGTTGATGTTCAAGACAAACAGCGGCAAAATTTACTAAAACATGTCAAGACCGCGTTATCCAACGACGTTCAGAGTCATAAACTGTGGCAGATGCTTATCGTTCAAGTCACACACGAGAGGTAATGGTATTTGTTAGAGCTTCAAGAGGTATTCTAGAGCCAGTTGTTGAAAGACTACTTGACTTTTAACTGTAATTAAGGACAGAATTGGCCAATCAGAGTCGTGTATTTTTGAGTTAACTAGGATTTAACTATGCAAAATTTAGTTAAAGAGTTTTCTACAACCGGGCTCAGGGCGTATGATGTGTACTCTCAAACAGAGCTCCTTCAAATCGTATTTTTTAATGTTAAGTGTTTCATTTTAGAGCTATTTGGCATGACAAGGAATTCTTCCCGAAGTCCTGGCAACTTGATAGAACCGAAGGTCCCTGTAGGGTGAGGTGTCGTTTGCAACGCTGTCACTTGGGTATTGATGAGAAATTTATCATGCCGGAACATCGGAAATCCCGTAAGATGTATTTTCTTTTCACTATATCATGCTCCACAGTGGCTTGGAATTAGTTCTTCCTAGCGAGAGTCGCAAATCAGATGTGTAGTGTGCCTTGTCTTCTAAATGCTTTATATCTCGAAGATTCGTCGGGAGAGGGAGAGGGTGGGGTTAGGGTGCACGAGAGGAGCTGGTAAGAGGGAGAAAAGGTGGGGGAAAAGCAAGGAAAAATGAAGAAGTTTAATAGCACTTCTATCTACGTATAATACAACCTTGAATCTCTTTTATGTTTTTATTTTTGTATAGAAACAAAAGTAGTTCCCTTATCCTATCTTTTTGATGAGCCGGTTAGCGAGTCTGCGTCCAAAAATGTCTATCATATTTTCAACACCACTGACACGATATGGTAAGCAAAATAATTTTTATTTTGATCTCTGTTGAATCATCTGCATGCTCAGCTTCTCCAATTGTTTTTAAAGCTTCCTGTATCGCTGTAAAAGTATCATGCCTTCAAGAAAGGTTCCGGGAGAAATCCTGATTGGTAGGTAGAATATTGATTTCTAAGGCGATAATTCATTTGATACTTTAAGTTTGGGTCGGACAAATGCTTGTGGTGAGATGTATCTAATGGCGTTTAATTGAATGTGCAGTTTATTTGAATTGAAGTAAGGAGTCATCTAAAACAATACAGAAATGGTCACGACTATATACAGTAGTAGACACAGATTTTTCTTCACGGTAGATCACTGTCTGACCATATAAATTAACTTATTATTTGTATGATCACTGTCTGATCATATAAATTAACTTATCAATTGTATGAATTGTAGGAGAAAAACGAGTGTATTTCGTTGGAGAGGAAAGCGATGCTGACGTCAATACGGCACAGGTAACCTTGATGATTGACTGTCCAAAAGATATATGTTGGAAATTGTTTATGGTTAGGACCGTATAACGCGGTTGTCTAGTCTCTCGTGGGCAGGGCTGGACCAATTAGTCTGTTTGTATTTTTCTAGTTTTTCCTTGATGATGAAGATATCACATCAATCTCATGGCTTTTCCAAGAGATTCGCGAAATTCTTAGAAGGCGTTACGCTTTGAAGGTATTACAACAACTTTATGCTACTTTTACCCGGTGGTAAATGATAAATTTAGGTGATAAATTTGTTGATCAATCAATCTTTTACCCTTCATACAGGACAACGCTTTGGAAATCTTCCTTACCAATGGCCGAACATTCCTGCTCGCTTTTGAAACCACTAGAGACCGCGAGACTGTGTATAAAGAACTACTCGCGAAAGATCTTCCAAATTTAGTCACAACCACCGAAAATGTAGCTGATCTTACTCAGAGGTAAAAACGTCGGCAGGTCAGTAAGTTGATATTCGTTTTGAAGAAGTATAAGAATTGTCGTTTAATTTTTAGATGGCAAACTGGAGAACTAACAAACTTTGCGTATTTGACTGAACTCAACAAACAAGCTTGTCGATCTTTCAATGATCTTATGCAGTATCCAGTGTTTCCACTTGTTCTGGCTGATTATAAATGTGATGTGTTGGATTTGACTGACGTCGCAGTTTACAGGTGGGATTTCAATGTAAATTCTTGATAACTAATCTGTTCTGAACCTTTCTTCAACATAGGGTAAACTGTCTTTCTCATCCAGGATAGTTTTTTCTAAACCATTTTCCTAGAAGCCGAGTAAGAGTAATCTTCTATAAACCATCCATATTGTCTTTAGAGATCTATCGAAGCCAATTGCAGTTCAAAATCCCTCCAGAGTTCCAAAATATCAAGAAACATACAAGGTAGGATCCAATAGATATGTTCAGCAAAAGTTAATTTTCTAGAATTCTCATAAAGCTGTATTTTTGCAGAGCTTACAAGAACAATATGACATCACAAAGAAACTTGATCCAATGAACTGTATCCCTCCATATCACTACGGATCCCATTACTCGAACAGTGGTACTGTGCTACACTTTCTGGTCAGGCTGGTGCCTTTCACAAAGATGTTTCTGGCCTATCAGGGTAAGTCGCTCAAAGTGATACATGTGATGAAGCCATGATAGCATTGGATTGATGCTTTCAAATTTCTAAAATGCAATTCTCACACATTCCTGTGTGCTGCAGAGCAGGTGTTCACATTTATGCATATCTCATCTTAGTAATTTGGATTCAAATATAAATACAGTTTCTCCTTTTATCATTTATTTGACTAGTGCCACATTTGCGCACTAACATCGTACTGTAGTTTACTTTGTATGCTTTTCAAAATCCTATTTCTTCATGAAATCGATGTTTTTCTAGACAAACAGTTTGATGTTCCCGATCGAACTTTTCATGCCATTGAGACAACTTGGAACCTCTCGTCGTTTGCCTCGGCTCCAGACGTGAAAGAGCTGATTCCTGAGTTCTTTTTTCTGCCAGAATTTCTTCTCAATTTAGAAGGTAAGATTGCCGGGTGGTGACTGCTCAGCATCACAAGTTTGGTCGAGGTTTCAAGTCACAAAATCTTACATTTCTATCTTGCCAGGCTTTGATTTTGGTCTTAGACAAAATGGCGAACGTGTGATGGATGTCCGTCTTCCTTCATGGTCTTGCAAGGATCCACGTTTGTTCACCCTAATTCACAGACAGGTGAGTTATATGAGTTTTATATCTTGCTGCCAAAGGTGACCGGGTTCGACTCCTGTGATATTTATGTGCAGTTTAAATTCTTTATTGGACTTTTACATAAGGGAACGTTGCATAAAGAATATCCCTATGAGAAACCTAGGCAGCACCTTAGAAATGAGACTGTCACAGAGCTATCTAGTTTAGGCAGAAAGTGCCTTAAATTTTAAAATGCCTTAAATTTTCAACAGGCATTGGAATCGGATGTGGTGTCCTACAGGATCAATAAATGGATTGATTTGGTATTTGGTTTCAAACAAGAAGGCCAAGCTGCGATTGAAGCTGTCAACGTTTTTCATCCATCAGTAAGTTCAAGTTGCGATTTTCCACATGCTTTCCTGTAAACCCATTGATTATCGTATTCTTTGCACTTTTAGACGTATGTCGGTGGTATTGATGAGAACAGACTTCATGATCCAGTACAAAGAAAAGCGGTTCAAACTATGATCGAGACGTATGGACAAACTCCAGCGCGATTGTTCACTGAGCAACATCCAGATAAGAAACGATCCGGTTTAGATCAGTATACAACGTGGAGTGGGACATTTGTTGGAGAGGGCGAGGGCCAGGGGTACTCCCAGAAACCCTTTGTCGAACGAACCACCCGAGGACAGATGCAAGGTAAGGTTTTTACCTGATGAAAATTTTTTTCCAAATTATTTAAGTGTACAAGACTTCCAGTTGTACTTAAATAAGTCGGGATTATTTTTGCCCGAGAAAAAGGAACAGTTACTACTTTACGACTGGAAAGAGATGCTTCAAACCACGGTTTTCAAACTGATTGATTTATTCAGGTTCATCAATCATTGAGATCAACACGAAGTATTTCCAAAAGGAAAGTGCTCCTGAACATCTAACCCACAACTATACTTCGCCAACTCTGTGTTAAGATGATAGATCCCAACTCTGTGTTAAGATGATAGATCCCAACTCTGTGTTAAGATGATAAATCCCAACTCTGTGTTAAGATGATAGATCTTGCTCTATGATTTCAAGGTAGACATTATCAGTAATCAGTATTAAATCTTCACTCCTGTCATCTTCTAGATATTCCAAGTCCAGTGACCACAGTTTATGGAATAAAGTGGGGTCAATACATTGGATCACCAGCCTATGATAAACCTGTCGTCTGCTGGTTGGATTCGTTTCCAACCCCTGTTTCCCGCTTAGTATCGTCTCCTCACAGCAATCTCTTCGTTTTGCCGCCTAACTCTACCCACGTGATTGTCACGAGGACACGTAACCGCACAATGCATATTCTATGGTCAGCGGTATTGAGCTGGAATCACGTGGATGATATTATCCGCATCTGGGACATCAAGAAAGGAACGATGAGCAGCTTCAAGGAAAATATGAATTTCCACAAGGTAGAAGAGACGTGGACTTTTTCATCTGAAATTAATCGCACACATCTTCCCAAAAGTATAACTTTCCTTTATCTTTAAGATTACAAGCTGCGCCGTCTCTGGTCAATGTAAATCTTTATGGCTTGGCAGTTCAACTGGGTGTCTCCATGTTTGGCCAACACGATACGATAGGAACAATGTGAGTTATTGGAAATTCAAATCTGTCCTTTCTATGAAATTCACAGCAGGTTGATATGGCAATTCCTATCGCTTTTTTACAGGAATGCGGATTGGAAATCCTCGGTAGAAAAATACGCCTTCAGGGTCACGAAGCAAGCATCACTTGCATTGAAATATCGGAAGCATTCAGCATCGTCGTTACTGGGAGTGAGGATGGCACGGCCATTATTTGGGATTTGAATAGGTGCGTTCCTTTCCCCCTCTTCTTGATGCCAAGTAAGGCAAGTCTCCTAATTTTAGTCCAGCGACGATATCATTCTTAAGCCTTTCCTAACTGACGAGAGCTTGCATCTGGTAGACATGTTACTTAGTGCTCACAAAACTGATGTTTTTTCTTTGAAAATTTTCCTAGACTGTGCTATATACGTTCGCTCGAAGATCATTCGTCTTCTGTGAGTGTCGTCGCTGTAAGTCCAACTTCAGGGGATATCGTAACTGTGTCTCATACCGGTGAGTAACACTACATAAAGAGTTGAAAATCAGCTTCCCACTATAACTGTTAATACGGTCTGACGCCAAGTAATATTTGTTGTCTAGGCAACAACAACGCAAGTGAACTGAGGTTATGGTCAGTAAACGGAAGGCTGATAAACAAAATTGTTTGTCAAGAGACGATCAAGTGCGTTGCTTTCTCTCGGGTTCCCGAAGGCGTGTCAGTAAATGCCGTAGCCGCTGGTCTGGTGAATGGTGTGGTCAGGTTGGTGTTGCATACAATATATAAATATAAGCTTTTCCATATTTTCATCTGTTTCAAAAGATTTGAGTAATAACACAAAATACCTTTTACGAAGAGGTTTTATGATAAGGTAGCGTACCTGATATACAGTCTCCCAAAATATGACTTTCGAAAGGAAGACGTTTTGCATTTTCTAATTGTCTTTACTAAAGGTTATGGAATACCTGGACTTTGGAACATATGACTGATATAAAAGATGAAACATGTCAATTGCCAATAGTTAGGTAAGTAATATCAAACATTTGCTGCTTTTAGGAGTGATATACCAAGCCTTATGTGTAAATAGTTAAGTTTCCTTCTGCAGTACCAACAAGTTAGCCAGAGGTATTTCCGAGGGTAGAAATTTTGCGAAACTAATGATATTTACTTTTTCTAAATTTTAGTTTGGCATATTCGCACACTAGTCTGCATTTATTCACTGTGAATTCCCGTGGTATAGTGCGAGCCTGGGGGAGAAGCGAGCGAGCATACAAACCTCGGATATTGTCGGGGTTAATATACTAATAATGTATTCAAGAGACATACGTTCGTGTTGTAATCGTGAATTCTGCATGCCGCCTTGCCTTCGGGCTTCGGGGAGAAGGAGTATTTATTTAGACTAGGAGATTTGGGATAATGTATAGTCAATGTGAGTCAACGTCTTCACTTTAACAACCTGGGATTGGTTCGGTCTTACTCCAGACGGAAAAGTTTTGGCGCGCAAGATTACTGCTTTTTCGTTAATTAAATATCTCAAGGCATTTGAGACATCCGAGTTCACAACCTCAACTTGCAATCATTCGTTTTAAACTTGAGAAAAAAAAACGCGTGAAAATAATTGAGACACGCAGTTTGTCTTTATCTTCGAATATATTTCAAGGGGTGAAGTTTTTCATTTCATTTGCACAAACTTTTCACTCTGGATTTCCCTATGAGTTATCTTGACACAGATGATGTCCAAAGTCCAAAGATGGCATATTGTCGTTTTCATCCATTATATCTTGACTTGTAGCTTTGTACTGAGACAAGAGGAAATTGGACGACTGAACTTGTACGTTGCTTGGTATTCAATAAATATTGTCACATGCATTTCGTAAGATGCATTCTCTCTGGTTTTTCCTCTTACATGCTTCTGGTCTGCGCAAATTTTGCGCAAATTGCTACGAAATTTCGGTCGCGTAGCAACGCTCATTACTTACGCCAACAATGGGACACGTCAGCTGCTGTTGTAATCGACGCATGCGTCACAATCGAGGTCTTCAATGAAAACATGGCAGTAAGCCACGTACTGATTCAAATCTTACAGATATATATTGTATTTTTTAATAAATTTTATGGCATTTCTTCCATGAAATGCGCTGACATAAACTGCAAAGGTTAGTACTATTGGTACATTTCAATTCCTCATTAATTTCTATAGAAGAACTATTTTTACGTAGCCTCGAAGATATGACATATATGTCTCAAGGTGTTCAAAGCTATTTCTAAATAAATTAATATTGAATTAAGCTATATGGTGGATGGTATACTGTTGACCCATCCTTTTGTAATTAAGCTATACAGTTGATGGTAAACTGTTGATCCAGCTTTTTTTACAGCTTGAGATGTCGAGGTTTCCTTGATGTAAGCTATCCTAGATAATTGCTTGTTGTAAAATATTGTGAGTTTTATGTTCATGATTGTATTTTTGTGACTCTGGAACTCTAAATTCTTACATTGTGTTTGTGAAATTTTATATAAAAAAGATCTTCCAGTCTGGATTATTCTCATCTCTTCAATGCTTTATATAAATATGAGTTTAGAGTCTTATTTATTTATCCATTATTTATTTTGTCTAATTACCATGTGGGACCTAAAGGATATGTCTCTCATTGCAAGACAAGTTCACTTGATTCATTCCTAATCCTCATTTGACCTTACTTTAACCTTGAGCTATATGTGTGGTATCATACCAGATCTCATCTGGATTAAGTGGATTTAGGGACCTGTACAAGCGATTTGATTTCTGTCTAACATGGGTCTATTTTATTCCAGCTCCAATATCAGTGGCTACTGCAGTTGATGACTATGAATCTACAGATGAAAATTATATAAGTTTTAAGAAAGGAGATAAGATTTTCATATTTAGTAAATATGTTGAAGTAGATAATTCTATTTGGAAAGGAAGTTTGGTATGAAAAATTGCACATTTTACTACCAGTTGCATGCCTATAGTGGAAACTAGTGGAAAATTTGATCTCTTTAAACTTGTATTGTAAATTATCTTGTTTACAGAATGGTGCTTCTCCAGGGCTTCTCAGACGGGATCTGCTCAGAGAGAGTAAAATACTAATTGGTGATGATAAATTGGTTGAATTAGCATCCAATAATTTGGTTGAATCAGCATCCAATAAATTGGTTGAATTAGCATCCGATAATAAGGTATGCTGTAACATTGTAGGAAGTATTTTCATTTGTTTTTTAGTGTTTGTCTTCATTGCGATCCTATTTCTCAGTAAAGTGGACACTAAATAAACAATGCCTGCTTTTTCAAAATGACAGGTAAATCTACATGGGAAACAGCCTGTGGCATCCCAGCAACCATCAGATGAATTAGGAAGGCAAAACGCAGATGAGCAATCGCAAGACAGTCTCAAATCACCAGTTAATGATGCAAACAATGAGGATACTAACAAAGTAGCTAGCAAGGCTACAGAAAATGAAAGGACAGCCCAATTCCCTGCTGAAATATTGGAAGGTGGAAGTTCACACTTAAAAAGCCTGGATGATGATCCAAATGGAAATCAGGATCTGGATAATGAGAACAATGATCAGCAAATTGTTGGAGAGGCTAGTGACACAGATGGCACTGATGGAGTGCCCAGAAGGGAGGTTTATACTAATCCAGATGGGGTGCAATATGATGTGAAAATAGAATATATGGATCCGTCAAATGAAAAAAGTTATGTGGAAGTTGTTGACGTAACCAAAGAAGAGCAGTCCCATGTGCTGGATAATGTTAATGAAGAAAACCAAGGACAAGGACGTGATGATGGTGAATCCACTGGGAAGGAAAAAACGGGATTCTTAAGCAGCGTCAGGCATCTTGTATCTGATTTTGCAGATAATATTGTCAAAGATTTCCAGGGAGAAGAGAATAAAAATGGTGGGTTTACTTTAGTGATAATGCATAATTTTTATTCCACATACTGGCACTCTTTCCCTTACCTGAAACTACCATCTTAGTTAGAATCAACTTACTCAAGCAAATCTGGATTCTTACTTGTAGAAGCAACATAAAGAAGATTGACCTTCTTGTTTTGCACTGCTACATTACTATAATATATAAAAATAGTTGGCTATAGACTTTTGGTTCTATCCTGTTAGATAAAGAAATCAATGTAGAACAAGGTGAACACAAAGAAAATCTAGAAAGCAAACAAACTTTGGGCAAGCCTGAAATGAAAGAGGACACTCCACCAGGCAGCACCGATGATGAACTAAACAAGAAGCCATCAGAGTTCAAAGGATTTCAGTCAAAGTTTGAGCAGATGAAGGCAGCACGTCTGGAAAGAATGAAGGAAAGTATGGCTGCTGATGATACAAGCATTCCAAGGGCAGAAGACGAGGAGGAGGTGTTAAGAAAACAAGCGAAGAAAACCGTTGAAGATATTCCTGGATTGATTAAAGAAAGCAAGGAAGAATTGGAAGATAAAGTGGCTGGCGATAAGTTAAAAGACAAGGAAACGACTGCTGGGAAAAAAGTTGGTGAATCTGAAAGTCAAGAACCACCTAGTAAAAGTTACTCAGATAAAGGTACACTAAATGGCTTGACTGTGTCTTCATAATTGTTTGTAGAATAGTTTTTGAACTACCAATAGCCTGCATAACAGGCTCATAGGAGGGTAGTAGGGGACTTTCGTGGAATTAGGAAGTCAATGGTATATGTATCTGTAATTGATAAATTATCTTTTTTGCAGTATTGTGTAGTTCTGTGGCTATTAATGACCGCGAGGTCTGCATGGAAAGTGGGAGTAAGGAACAATGTTTACAGGATAACTGTTGTTTTGATGAGACTGCTGCACCTGGAAAACAATGTTTTTTCAAACCAAGTGCCCCAGGTAATTATGTGCTATTACCTTCATTGTCCGTCTTTGTAGGCTCGCTTGGTTTGGGTGGTCAATTTTGAGAGGAATGGAATTTCAATTCTGTCGTGTGATTTTTTATAGAGTCTGGTTTCACCGATGAAGAATTACAAAAGTTCAAAGAGAAAGAAAAACCTGAAGCTGAAAAAGAATCAACGGCTCAAACTGATGGAAACACTTCAAAAAGCAGCGAGGTTAAGACTTCGACCATTTCTGAAGAAGACAACAAGGAGATTTCTGGGGAGGCAAATGAAGGTGATAGTGGAACAGACAATACGAAGAAATTGGCTGGTGATGACCAAGGTGGTGATGGAGATGAAGACGTTGCTAAGAATACAGAAACAGAACCCGAGCAGGAAACTGAGAGGGAAGTTGAGAGGGAAGTTAAACAGCCTCTAGCAGGAAATGATGATGGACAGACTGAAGGAAGCGACGTTGATAATGGACATGAGGACGGAGATAAAGTAGCCCCGACTAATGTCAAGAAAGTTGTAACCGAGAAAGAGGAACGGTCAGAAACCGATGATACCTCGACTAAGAACAATTTGAAGACTGTGTCACATAGCGAAGACGATAGTTCCAACAAGGATAAGGCTAATGTAGATGCGAAAGAATCCTCGGATGCCAGTGCTGAACCATCAGTCCGTCATGGAAAAGTATCGGTCAATGATGCAGGTACACACAATGAAAGACGAGAAAGTTTACAAAAGAGTATGGCTAATGATGAAGATACGGCAAGTGTGAGGTCAGCTCATGATTCGGGAAAGGACTTAAGTTCATCTCAAGATGCGAATGGTGAAGGGGATCAAGATGACCAAGAAGTTAAACATGATGAAGGACTGAAAGAGGTGGTTCAGGATAGAAAAGAGGATGCCAGTGAAATGGAGAAGGAAATGAAGGATGATATTGATGAGAAAGATGACATGGAAAAGGAAGTAGTGAAAGATGAAACTGGAGTAGAAGAAGAAGATGGTGCTGAAGTTGAAGCGGAGGATTCTATGGAGGAGGAAGATGAGGAGGAACCCGGAGAAGAAGTTGATGAAGATGTGAGTGAAGGTGGAGAGCCTGTGAAACCGAAAGAAAATTTTGAAGTGAAAAGTTCATTGAACAAAAAAGAAGATGAGACTGAAGACAAAATTCGAGTTGATAAAGAGGAAGATGCGAGTGAAGGAGGAGAGTCTGTGAAACCTAAAGATCTTGAAGTGGAAAACTCATTAGGGGAAAAGGAAGACAAAACTGATGTTGATAAAACTGGAGATGGTGTTGATAGTGCTGATGATACCAACTTAAAGGAAGACCAAGAAGAAAAAGAAAGTATTACACATCAAGTGAAAGAAGAGGGAAGCCATGAGGAGGCTGACAGCCATGAAAACAAAGATAAACAACAAGAAACTGGGACTCCGCAACAAGACGGAGATCTTGGGGCTAATACTGCTGATTCGCAAAACAATCTGACAAATACCGGTGCTTCTTCGCCGGACGAAAAGTCTGAACAAGATGAGGAAGACTTACACAAGCAGAGTGTTGGTGAAAAGGCAGAACATCGTCCTGATGCCGAAGGAATCTTTGCTTCAATAAGAAATCTCCTGCCTGGTGGTGGTTCGAAAGATGATACCGAATCTGAAGAAAAAACCACATGTGATGCGTCGACTCTTGATAAGGCTAAAGATTCAGACAAGGAGAGTGATGGGAAGATTAGCCCAGAAAATGAAGAGGATGATAAGACTGGAGAACACGATTTGAAAAAAGATGTTGAAGAACAGATTGACAAAGACACCCAATTTGATGTTGAAAAAATTTTCGCTGGTGTCGAAACGCTTCTACCTCGTGCTGATACAGAGAAGGACGAACAAGATGAAAGTTCGGAGGATGGAAAAGACAAGAAGGAAGATGAAACTCGGGTGAATTCCGAGTCGCTTCAGATGGATAATAAAACAAAACCAACTATAGCAAGTGATGACTCCAGTATCAAGGCTTCCGGTGAAGGTCAGGATGAGGGAAAAACATCTGAACCAAGGTTGGTGAAAAGTTTGAAAGACGTTCCCGATGATGAGTCTTCAGTCGTGAAGGATACTGGGTCTGATACCGATGTTCCTTCGACTCGTGTTGTTACTGAAGAGAAAACAGCAGACTCGGGATCAACTCTCTTCCAAAACAACACCGGAACAAAAGTGTCTCTGGAAAAGACAACGACAAGTACAGTTGAGACGACAACTGAAATAAGAGAGACAGACAAGGAAGATGAGGGTTCGAAAGCTGAGAGTAAAGAAGGGAATGAAGGTGCGACGGTGGGGAATAATGAGACGACAGTTGAGGGGAAAGTGGTGAGTAGTGGGGTCGAAGAAATAAGATCCGAACCTGATGTTATCCCTACCAAAACGACCCCTGTTGAAACGCCTGGGACGATGGCCACAGGACATAAAGCGTTTGAAAAGAAATTTCCAAATATTGCCTCAAAATGGATGAAAAATAAACTGGCGAAAGGAAAGCGAATGGCGGGGAAAGGTACAGAAGACGAAGGATCCGGGGATAGGAAGATCGACGGAAACCTGGACCCTGGTAAGGTGGAAGATATCCAGGAGCCCGAAACAAAAGATAATAAAGACCTGCATTCTGGTACCTGTTCCAAAGATGGAACCTGTGATGGAACTGATACTTTTTCCTCGAGTATACATCGATCTATTTTAGAAAATGACGGCGAGGATGATGCAATTTTCGAACCAGGTCCTCCTCCGGATGATGTGCCGGAGGGAAAAAGTGTAAAGACGCGTTTCCTAGAAACGTTGGGTGTCGCTGTAAGAAAGTTCAAAGAATACCACACGATTGTTGCAGGGTACGGCTTACAGATGATGAAACCACTCAAGAATATTGTGAAGTCTCTTGGAGAACAGATAGGTTTAGGAGAGGTAAGAAGCTAATGGATATGAACTAATTTATATGTGATAATAGGAAAATGATCTTAAAGAGGCTGAAATTAATCAAAGCCCTGGAGAAGTCAACACTCTTATGAATGGGCAAACCAAGGTTTTATGCAATTAATATGTAGTTGAGTGCAGTTTATCTGTAGTTTTATTTTTAGTTTTATTGCTCACTTTTTAGGCTGAGCTATTTTTTATACTGACGTGTTCTATCATCCCAGAGATATAAGATATAAGACTACCCAGCAGATATAATAGACTACCCAGGAGAATGCTACGATATTCAATTGATAAAGTTGTAGCTGAATTGAATCTAAAAGCGTCTTTCTTGTTAAAAACTGACCGCTAAAATATTACTTTTTAGACTATAGAACACGTGGAACATGAATTGAAACACGGTCCACAGGGTGTAGTTGCCCTGACTTTTATCATGATTGCAATCACTACATACTTCATGTTCAGTGTTTTGGTAAGTTACAACTCTTTCGATTTCTCATTAATTTCAAGCATTTAAACATTGGGTTTCGCGTTTGAGTCGCAACTGAGTGTCTTTGTAAAAGCATTTCATTTTATTTTTAGTGTGGAAGCAAGGTACCGCCCGCCTATGGACCCAATCTAAAAGGTATGTTCTTTTTACCTTTCTTCCCGAGCAAACCTCTTGTCCTCGTTTATTTTCAATTTACTAATTTTGTTTTTAACAGATGTTTTTAAGACGTACGAAGGAAGAATTCGTATTCTTGAGGAAGAGTGCTCGGGGTACGAGGAAAGAATCGAGAATTTAAATAAAAAAGCCAATGACGATTGCGAAAATGTAAGAATTACGATTTTTACTGACAAGTATTTGGGTAATATAAATTACGATTTGTGACACTTTATTCGATGTAGGATTGTTTCTAAAGAGTTGAAGGGGCGTAAACGTTTTTCAAGTCTCAAAGAGGATGTAATAAAATGACTGTAAATATATTTCTGTTTTTCACAGAGCTCTGAACTTCAGAAGCATCTTGATGATGAAAAACATGAACGAAATAAAGCTGAAGAGCAGATTGCAATTTTAAAGGTGCGTGTTAATTGTATGCTTCTTTGCCTATCTACGAGTGACGAGGCAATTATAACACCGTATCGTGGGCAGATGGATATGGGGTGTGTTGAAAAGGGCACCCCCCCTCCAGCCTTATTTGTTTCATATTTTTATAAAAGCTACTGTAATTCATACCTTCATGCACCTTGCTTGCGCAGGAAATTGTCCAAAATATGAAAGAAAAAGTCGAACTGTTGGAGGAGGAATCTTCAAAGTTGAAACAATCGTTGGTTCAAAAGACTGAACGCATTGATGCCATGGAAGAAGAGGTATGCTCCACATATATCTGTGTTTTCAACTCAAATCCTGTGGAAACGTTAGCATATTTGAAAGTTGGAATGATTGTGTGCATGACTTTAATACTGTGAGCATACTAAGTGTTGCTTAACAAATTCTTCATGATAATTTTAAAACATGCCTTATCATGCTGCGAATTTTCTCGCTTTTATCTTAGCTTTCTGTGAAGTCACAAGAGAATGAAACGGCTGGAGAAAATATCAAAGTTGTAAGTTCTAAACCACGGATTCTCTGACTACGAGATATTTATCATTTATAAACCCGGAGTGGGGGGTATTCGGCGAAATTTTTCAACAAATTTCCCGACGAATTTTATATTTTCTGAGCTTGTAAAATTGCCACAAAATTCAGTACAAAGCCTCGTTAAAGTATCTCTTTAAATCAGTAAAAGTAATAGGACAAGGCGTAAAATAGATTATTGTCGAACGTATTTTAACATTACCTTAACTTTTCTTGTGTTTTCTACATTTTTCTTGTCGAAAATACGGTTTGTTTCCTCGTCAAAATCTGCCATTTCTAAATTTCGAGCAAACGACAACGCTGTTCCCGCCATTTTTGTCCTTGCGTGTGGTCTCGCGTGATATTCGCGAATCGTGTTCATATTCTTTATTTCTTATCTCCGACATTCATTTTTCGTAGTTGGAAGAGCAATTGAAAGAAAAAGACGAGGAGAAAGTTGTTTTAAACGACAATATCGAGGATTATAAACAGCAATTATCTAAGGCCGAAGATGACACGGACAGGGTAGGTGATTTTATTAGCCGGTGGATCTCAATATATCTGGATTTCTCTGGACACTCGCTTTCTTTTATTTGTAGCACAAGACTATGTTGCAGGACTGGAATGACAGGTATGTTAACCTGTTTGTGAACTTGTTTCTAACCTGTTTGTATTGCTATAAGTGTATTGTTTTATGACTGCAAAAAGCCACTTTTTGCTGCGATTTTATGTGCGATTTTCTTCTTTTGATAGATGTGAACGAGTGAATTAGTTACTGATGTTCAAATAAGAGTTCTTATACATCAGAGCATTCGTAACGAATTACTCGTTCACATCTATCAAAAGAAGAAAATCGCACATAAAATTGCAGCAAAAATTGCAAGGGTAAACGATCCTATAGAAATCTTGTCCCATCTGAAATGTGTTCATTACTTTTTCAGATATCATGAACTGCAGCAAAAATACGACGACGTGTCTGTAAACAACCAGACGCTGCAGGAACAAATTCATTTCAAAGACAACGAAATTGAGGTGACTGACATTCAGATTTCGGTTGAAATATGTATGCATCGTTATATGAGCCGAACTGACGCTCGGAAGCTTGAAAAATCCGGCTCAAATGCTCTGCTATGACTTTCTTTAGGTTCTCCGTGACTCGTTGATTCAGATAAACGGCAATATTCATGTAAACTCTGATGAAGAATTATCTCAGGAAGAAAGTATGTTTATTTTTGTGACACACTACCGAGGTTCAGATTTGCCCACTACTTCTACCACTATAAGATAATGTTAACACTGACAAATATTTCTTCTCAGTGCAAGAGGCAAGATCAGAGAAATTTAAAGAGTTAATGGATGTCTCACAGGTAAAATCACGATGGTGGTTTTCGCAAAATACATCCCGTTAAAGATAGATCTACATTAGGGTAGTTCTAAGCCAATATCTCAAGAGCTATATTAGATTACTGGATGCATGAAAAGCATGCAAGCATCTCTTTTGTTGTGTTTTTAGATCAGAACGGATTACAAACTTTGCAAGGAGGAAAAAGAAAAATTGGAAGACGATGTTAAGGCAGAAGTTGACAAAAGAGAAAAGTTAGAAGGTTTGTTTGATTCCCAGTACTACACATAAAAATGACACATCGGAACTTTGGCTGGTTTGTACTCGTTCTTGCATTGAATGCCGTGCAAAAAACTTTGATTTAAGTACAGAAAAATAAAACAAAGATTTTTAAAGTTTTTGCCGCATGCAACATTCAGCCTTTTCAGGGAAGTTTAGAAGTTAAACCTTAATATCCATAAAGCTTTGACACTTTCTTTCATCCTTTCCCTTCGTAGGTGAAGTAGAACAACTTGAGATCGATCTGGCCAAGTCCAAAGCATCGGAGGAGGAGATCAGATTTAAATATCGTGAGGCAGATATAAAGCTGAATGCACTACAGGACTACTTCAAGAATATGGAAAGCGATCTACACAGGTAGGATTTGCTCTGATTTATGTACCACGCGCTGGTCGTCGAGCTTGGGAGTCGATAGACATTGACAAGCGTTTCAATGTTTTGCAGGAAGTTGACTGCAGAAGAAGCCGCAAGATTGGCAAGTGAATCGGAACTTGAAAGAAAGCTTCGTGAAGCATCGACCGCAGTTCAAGATGTTGAACTTTACAGGTATATGGGTCTATAATAATGTTGTACTATTCTTTGGTATGGGTGGATTATTAAGGGGTTTAGTTTGCTTCAGCACGGTAAAATAACACTGAGGATAGCAGTAGTGTGTATGCGAGGAAGGGTATTTTTCCTGATTCCTGAGATTCATGGGTATATTTTCATAATGAGGTCTGCCATATGTAAAGTTGGTTTGGGTGGAATAAAAGTTTGACCAAAAATCTCAAGACTGCCCGGGCTTAAATTTATGTAGAAAACAAGTGGACGAGTTGAGAAAAGAAATCGATGAAACTCAACAGGCGTTCAGATCACAGGTGTGTAAACGATGTTTTGAACCATTGCTCGCGATTCGTGTCTTGATTCGTGCGATTTATAGGATTTGAAAACTCGAATTTTCATCACCTTTTTTCTATCGCAGATTTCGTCTACTGAGGAAAGAGCTCATGAAAACTGGGTAAGTTTCGTGTTCCTTCATCATAAACACGTCACTCTTGTTCATTTTTGACTTTGTTCTTGTGAGTAATGAATGTGCTGTGATCTTTTAGCTGAAGTTCCGAACGGCAGAAAGAGAGTTGGAGGAAATAAAACGTGAGAGAGATGCTTTAAGAAGAAGATTGTATGATGTGGAAACTAGCTCCAAAGCCACAACTCCTTTGGAAGGTAATCTCGTGATTATTGCGATGTGTGAAGGATGGAGCATGCCCTAGCTGTTTGCTAATCTGGTCGTTTCTTCTTGTGTTGATATCACTCGCATTCCTTCGTTTTCATATAGAATCTTCGTCATTGCCTGGAACTGAAACTCAGGAATCGCCACGTCCTGAGTCACCCGCAACAAGTGTGCGCTCTTCGGTAAGTCGTTTGTTTTCATCTAAGATCATTTAAAAACCTTTGAGTGCAACGTTTCTAAGAATGAAGCCCTATAGTAGTGTCACGGTCAGACTTGTTAGTTATTCAAATTCTCGCATAAACAATGTCTGACTTGCAAGAGAAGACAATGTCTGCGTTATTGTATCGGAAATTTGAGCAGCGTTTTTGTGTGTTTGTAGAAGAGAAAAAACTCCAACCCTCGAAAAAGCCCGTCAGGATCGCCTTTGGAGGAGCGAAAGGTAAAATTATCTATAAAGACGGAGATATCGATAAAGCGAAACCAATCAAATGTTTTGCTTACCCGCTGTTTTAACTTCAGAACAAATTGACTTCAGAGCGAATTTTAGTTCATCTTCATGAGTACAATCCGCCACGCTTGTGATGTATTGGTCTTAACATATACTTTCTTCAGGACCGCGTTCGCCGTAAGACTCGAGACAGGAATTCGCCGCTATCTTGGAATCCAGACGTGGGACCTCCCCCCAGGCGGCGTGACAAAGATAGGGAAACGCCCCCACCTCCTCCTCTGTGGGACCCTAATATGGGCCCACGCCGCAGGGGGCAACGAGATTCACCTGGTATGGATGCTGAGCGTAGGCAGAGGGACAGATATACACCTTCCCCACCGCCGCCTCCTGACGCAGTGATTCAATCCTCGAGAAGAAGACGAAGGGATAGGCCTACACCTTCATCATCCCCACCACCACCACCACCTCCTGGTCACATGTTATCGCCAAGAGGTATGGGACCACCTACAGAAAGACCACCACCGAATATCCCAATGAGAGGTGGACCTCCACGTATGATTTCGCAACCCGTTGGAGGTGGAATGAGGGGACCTCTGGAAAACACACCTCCCTCGGGTTACGCGAGAGGTGGGGGGCAAGGCGGGCCTATGGCTACAGGGATGCAAAGAAAACCACCAAACACAGGGATTTCACCAGGGGCAGCAGTTCCTCCCACCAAAATTTCACCTCTACGAGGCGTACAGCCCCAAGGGATTAGCCCCAATGAGCAATCGACACAGTTTGTTAATAATAGTTTACAGAACATTTCTCCGCGCGGGGACTCGGAACAACCTCCACCACCGCCATTGTTTGCTAGTAATGGACCCTACCCAAGACCCCCACCTAGGAAGATACAAACGCAGCCTTCGTGATGGTAAGTAATTCTTCCAGTTTTGTACGATGTTGAACTGAAAGATAGTAGCCCCTTCAACCATTAGTCTATCACCTAACTACTTAATTGCCACTTAGTCGAGGCAAGTCAAACGTGGCAACTTTGCTCCTAATTAACAAAGTACGCTTTTATTTTTTTTTCATTTATTAGGCAATTCAATATGTCCGTCGAGGGACGGAATAATAATAATAGGAATGGCATGGAAACATGAAGAATAAAACGGTGATAGATTGGCTATAAGATATTATAATAGATAGAGACAATATCAATGAATACAGACTGTTTATAACTTTATATGTACAAATTGGTGTGCAATAAAACCAACCTTGTGTCTCCTAATTCATTGTCAACTAATTCCAACTCATAATTTAATGGTTAAACGGGAGAGTTCATTTCCCTCTCTGACGTCACCTGAAACGCCAAGAATAGCCAGCAATCGCCTATTTTCGCGCTTCCCATCGCCGAAATATATTTCCGGCAAAAATAATAAAATCCAAGATGGCGCAGGGTACAGGTAAAATTTTGATTATATTTTCCTTTTTTTTACCGGTTTTTCACAATAATTTGAATTTATTTTGATTCCTTAGCAACGAATGTGTGCTTATCTTGTTAAGTGAATGATTTTCTTTTAATTTTGAATCCACTTAGGCAATGGTTTTGGCCAATATCATTGTAACTATTGTCAAGCTGACTGTACGACTCTGCGGGTGAAATGCGCTGAATGTCAAGATTTCGACCTTTGTGTTCAGGTTTGAAAACGTCATACGAAACAAAGTTGAATGCTAGCTGTTAAATATATCCGAATAAAGACGAAATCTTAAGAATTTAATTTTGTAGTGTTTCGCATCGGGAGCAGAAATGGGCGAACATAAAAGGGACCATAATTATCAGTTAATCGTAAGCTATTTTGTTAATTCATTTCCCTGGATTGACGGAAATAGATTAGTAGAAATCTGTTTATATACAGACTTAACTCCCTTGACATCTGTGAAGCCCTCCCCCCCTGGAAAAGGTCCCCCTTCCCCCCATAAATGCCCCAGTCAAGTCCTATTCTAGCCCACATTAATTTTTCATGATTCCTAAAAATCTTCTTTAACTATTCACCTTAGCCATATAGCTATAAAATTTGATATCTCGGGAGACGTATACTTACCGCTACCCCTCTCTACACATTAGGACAATGGTACCTTCCCTCTGTTCTCGGAAGATTGGTGTGCGGAGGAAGAAATGCTTCTCCTAGATGCAGTAGAACAACATGGTCTTGGAAATTGGTTAGACATGACTCTCAGACTATCCTTTTAGTTTTGTATCATGTTCATGCTTCTCTGTATTTAAGAATCATTTTAAAACATATACATATACTTCTATTAATGCTATTAATAATATCACCATTATCATCAATCACCACATCCCAATCTTCACCAGCATTTCCAAATATTTCTGTATATACATATCCATAGGGTGGACATTGCTGACCATATAGGAACAAAGCCATTTTCAGGTAGAATTTATAACTGTGTCACATTCTAAGAAATATCTTTCCAGAATTCCAGAACATTCTTTGCGCTTTTTTGCAGAAACCGAAGATCATTACAGTGGATGTTATATTGAAGGCCATGTGGGGAAAGGTGATGCATCTTTTGCACAATAAACAGCGGCTGATTCCAGCTACGTAGTGACTCAATTTTTATCCAGACAAGAAGAAGTGAAACATGCACCACAGCTGTGTCTTTGTGCATTAAATTTCTTAAGATTTAGACCCACAGACAGTTCAATACAGTTTCATTCTTTGGTTAACATCTTTTCTGTTAAATATCAGCATCACAATTCAAGGTTAGTGCTACCACCAGGCACCAGTATAATTCATATCTTTTTATTCTTTCAGCCACAATACCAGAGTTTGTATGTAAAATCACTGATCACACAGCAACATCCACAGGTTAGAAAATTGTTACATCTTAATGTCACTACACCACCAATACTTCACCCCACCACCAATACTTCACCCCACCACCAATACTTCACCCCACCACCAATACTTCACCCCACCACCTATACTTCACCCCACCACCAATACTTCACCCCACCACCAATACTTCACCCCACCACCTATACTTCACCCCACCACCAATACTTCACCCCACCACCAATACTTCACCCCACCACACTAGACTATGAACATGAGGACATTTCAACTATTAACCAGGGCATTTTCTTCCAGGTGAACTCTCACCAACCCTCACTCATCCTCCAGAAGTCTTAGAGATGACATTAACAGAGCAACAGGATCTTGGTTACCTGCCATTTCGAGATGATTTTGATAAGGTTTGCATTGAAATTTCCAGTTTTGTTTAAACACTAGCAAAAACATAAAAAATTGGAATTTTTAATTCTGTCTCATGATTTAACCCATTGTAACTTATACCCATAATAAAGACTCTATAACAACACTTGTTGTTATGGTTTTTTTAGGAACATGACAATGATGCAGAAACGTTAATTAGTAACATTCAACATTCTCATGAAGATGATGAGTTGGACTTGGGTAATGTAACTTAATTTCATCCATAGCTTGACCTACATTTTTTGTAAGGTTGATCTGAATGAAACCAGAAGAATTTCTTTCTTTTCTGAAATATTAACTTATGAATATGTTGTAGCCCAACTAGTACTGTAAGCTATCTATAAGAGTTTTTGCATATCAGAGAAGCATCACACAAATATATTCAACTGAGTTAACCATATTTCCTTAGCTTTGAAACATGCGTTGTGTGACATATACATTGAACGGCTCAAGGAAAGACAACATCGAAAAACGTGAGTTCCATAAATTCATGCATGTATTACCAGAATTCATTAATTTAGAATGCTTCTTAATCATTTATATTGCACTAAATTTAGGATCGCCAGGGACCATGGGCTGATTACAAGCAAGCACAAACTCACAGGTACTTATGTCAATTTTTCTCAATGGTAAGACTTATTCCTAATGGCAACTAACAAGTAACAAGTGTGAATATCTTTCCAGCTTCAAGAAGGAAACTTTCTAAGGAAGACAGGTAGGATGATAATATAATGTCTATTTGTAATTTCCATTGGGATAATGTGATGAGGGCAGATATCGACTTCTCTGGACAAAAAAGATTTTAAACCAGCTCCCATTTTAATATCTATAATTGCATTGTAGAGATTTTCGTGATGCTGCCAGAGTATTCGGGCGTCTTCAGCCAGCCGAAGACTGGGAACGATTCTTAAATGACCACACTAGTACGTACTGATCTGTAGATTACATTGGACTGTTATTATATTATATATATCGTACTTTAAAAGAAAGTAAATGTGGAGTTTTGCTAAATTCTTTTTCTCTCTGGTTTCAGGACAAAGAGAACTTCAATTTCGTATTAAAGAACTGATACGATACAGGAAAAATGGCATTACGAAATTATCAGGTAAAATGCTTTTTAGAGGCGTTCAATTCTCTGTTGAAAGACGTGATTGTTTGTTTTCAAAGACGTTTTTGCATCTTCCTGGCTTTTTTAAATAGGTTGTCGCGAGTATGATGAACTAAAATTGAGACGAGAAAAACTTAAAGAAAATCGCAAAAAACTGGTGCGTAATTTTTGCCACAAGCCATTGAAGTTCAACTTGTTTTTTTTTCATTCAAATTGTTGTATCTTCGTACAGGATGCTTGTTCCCCCAGGAGAATGAACGTGGCGACAAAAAAAGAGTAAGTCCGTATCTGATAGTTTACTGCATGGATATATCATCTATGATTACACCTACCAAAATGGAGGCCAAAATGAACTTCCAGACGCTAAGATCTTAGAAAAATACTGATTTACGGATCTTGCTGTTAGAATACTTTGAGATTGGTTAGGAACCGAAATCAAACTGAAGCTTTATACTCCATTGAAGCTCACAATTTATTAATTTAGGCTTTACTTTTGATAGGCATAGTGTCTTTCTCCAGGGTATATTCAGATAAGTTGGTATAGAGCTATCACTATACCCTCAATCTTTGGAGATACATAGAGCTTTTAGCACTTTTCTCTGGTTTATTCTATCCTTGTTCTTTGCAGCCTCAAAGTTGATAAGAAAAAAATGGAAAAGAAAGGTTGGAAATATAATTCTTATTTTGCCCCGGAAAGAACTACGGAAATTCAAGTATTTTTTAATGTTTAGAGTCCTATACCACCGCATCGTTTTCGGAACTGATCAATGGTTATGTGGGCTTCGAATTATTGTCTATTCGTGAGAAACAGGTTCGTTCAATTGATATAGTCAAAGATTGGTTGTCTACTCTGGCAAACTGTTTCTCCATATGCTATAATTCTTCTGTTCTAGCTTTGCAATACTTTACAAATAAAACCAGCGTTCTACCTGACGATAAAAGGCATTGCTTTGAAGGTGGGTTAATAATTCAGGGTTTCCTGGCTAGCACTAGTAATTTAGGCGATCCCCCTCTAATAGGATGTAATTAACAACAGCCTTATTGTGTCTGTGTCCTCAAATAAACTTTAGCAGTAGCGTAATCAGCCTGATGATTTGTCTCGCTATGCTAATATTTTGGTGTTCACTGACTGAAAACAATAGATTTCTAAAGACATGAATAATTATAACTCGAAATTTACAGCGGGACAAAATCGTCAGGCTGACTACGCCACTGAACATTAATTAGTCTTTGAAGTTCAAAAAAGCAATATTGCATTGTTTTGCTATGGTTTTGCCATGTAGTACCATTGACTCAGCGCGTTTTAAAAAACAATCTGGCGGATTTATTCACCTGTTAAAGCTAGATTAGGCCAAGGTTAGGGCTAGTTCATACGTCGGTTTTGGTCGCGTCGAATGCTCTCAAACTCAAACAATAGATAATGAGATGATAAACCTCATTAAGATTAATCTTCATCTCATTATCTATTGTTTGAATTGCATTCGGTGCGACCAAAATGCGGCGTATAACCTAGGCTTAAGCACAGAGATGGTGATATCAAAACAATGGAAAATGAGCTGAGATCCCTCGTTATCCATTGTTCTTTATGCGCGCCACCCACGAGAAGCTCAACTGTTATAATTAAAGGGCGTTAATTCAGGCTAACCCACGTGACGAGCGAGTTATCGTTTTCAGAACCATTCATTGCGAAGACGGGGCAGTTCTGTTAAGACTCGTTATCCTCCGTGCGTTGGAAAATCGCAAAGAAAACGTCTTCTGTTGTTCTTCAAAGAATGTGGATGGCTTCAGAACAGCTGAGACTAAATCTTATTCACACACTTGAACAATAATACGGCAAGCGTAGGTTCTATAAGCGCTTTATACGGAATCTCACAGACTGTGTATCGTCGACTAGCTTACCTTGTTGTAAACGGGTAAGTTTTTATCAAAGTAGATTATTGTACTATCCAAATTTTATTTAACTTAAATGAATTAGAACAACGCGGTTCGAGGATCGACAGCGAGTTTATACAATTGATGGTGTCGTGCATATATCGTTTGAAATACCACTTAAAAAGTCTATAGAATTATAGACGTTTCTATAAGGGACTGTTTACGTTATTCCGCTTAGAAGAGGTTAAACCAAGTGTGACATGAATTTTTGTATTGGAGTGAGCAAAAAAAGCATAGAAGTGTCGTAGTCATCCCGTCAATAATAGCATGTGCTTGTTTGGTTCTTAGGGGCTGTTCACACGAGCCGTCTGGTAGTCGTGTAATCATATTCACAATAGCATGTGATTGTTCGGTTTTAAAAAGACTTATTTATTTCAATACTTCAAAATACGCTTCGTTAAATCTCGGTAACCGGGCTCGTGTAAACCAACAACCCCATGTGCCAACAGCTCATTTTATTTTAATACCTCGAGATCGTTTCACGCTTTGTAAAACCTTATGCAGGTAACAGAGATCATAGGATGCAGTCCCTCAATCTTACTTTATAAATACAAAGCTGTGTTAAAGGCGGTGTTACACTATGCAATTTTCCTTGCAACTTGCAATGCAATTATAATTTCGAGAGATGTTAATTAGTAAAGAGTGTTCGAAATGCTAAGAAAACGTTAGCAGATCGTGAGAAATGTTCGTATTTGTCAACTTTAGATGCCTCAGGAGTAGAATTGCATTGCAAGTTGCAAGGAAAATTGCATAGTGTAACACCGCCTTAAGCCTAACATGCACATATGTAAAATGTTATTAAATTTAATGTAAGTATTTTTGTAACATAAAATGCTCGCTCAACATAATAAGACGCCTGGATTAAATTAAGGCTACGATCACACAGGACCGTGCTAGAATTCGTCCAGTTTCCTCGTGTGCACACGTAGAACCGTTGAAATTTTCAACCATTTTTACTCTGTAAACACCTGAACCGGACGAATTAGCCATTTTCCAATCGTGCAGGGTACTGGGTCTAGTCGCGAACCGCAAAGCATCTATGGACTGTTTGGAGGACAAATGATTAAAATGACTATATGCATGTTCTGTCCCTCCAAACAGTCCATAGATGCTTTTCGGTTCGCGACTAAACCCAGTACCCTGCTCGATTGGGAAATGGCTAATTCGAGCACGTTTGCAAATTCCCCTGTCCTGTTGGAATATAGCCTTACAGTGAGACCTTCTGTGTTCACTGAGAATTTGTGCACTGTATATAAATTATTTTCCTGTAAGTAAGAAAAAAACACGATCTACTTAAATTAATTTGTACATAGAAATCTAATGGAGAATAGAATTCAGACGTTTTCATGTATAGTCGATGACATTTTTGCCAAGAAACTCGAGCGTTGTACCCTAGTGGCCAGTTTATTGCCTATCCTTCTAGTCTTGTTCCAGTTCCCCCTTTAGTTCTAATTTGTGCCTATAGAATCGGGCCTACGGGTATAACAAGCCTTCCTATCTTCAACTGTGCATGGATTAGATCATACCTTGTTAAAAATGTGTTTTATTGAATATATGAATAGTTTGTGTTATCAAAATTTTATCTTCCAAAATGACCCGTGCTGGGCTGGGATTAGTCAAATCTTAACACGCAGAGCGAAGATTATGAGAGAAATATGATATGAAAGAACTCAAATGTTCATGATTCATCACGTAGCCCCTGTCTGCCGTGAGCGCAATGAATTCCAATTGTCCATGATAGATGAGTCGGTGTACAAATTTCCCCAGATTTCCTCACGGATTTAATATGAGGACGGTGAGAATAGCGTGTATATAATAAAGGAATATAAAATGCCTCGTATTTATTAGTACTAGTGTGAAGCGCTATTAATATAAAACTGTAAGTCCCGTTTCAGACGTCGAACTTTTCATGTACCGAATCGAATGCAAATGAACTTAAACAAAGGTTTTATTTTTCATTAAGATTAGGTTTAACACAAGAAAAGTTTGACGTTTGAAACTGGGCTATGTATTTTTTTGCATGCTCGTTCTGTAGCGCGTTATGCAGTTCAGGTGACGTTTATTTTACAGTGAGACCTTCTGTGTCCACCTCGATTCTGTGCACCGTATATGAATTATTTCCCTGTAAGATAAGAGACATGATTTAATAAGAAACGTCCCTTTGAGTGAGCTCAGTGCCTTTTGTTTTATCCTGTTCAACCCAGCCCACGTGCATGAGCAGACCTTCATTGTAAGTTATCTCACCTTCGCTATGTCTTGTAAGATTTTTTCAATCTTCGTGTGAATGTTTGGTTCTTTAGTTATCACTAATAAATATCCGCCACCCCCCGCGCCGGCAAAACAGCAACCTGAAAATAATATATTGTACTTCATAAAACTGACCCATATAAACGTCTATGAAGATCGACAAATAAGGATTGCGAACCTTCAGACTTGAACATACCGTGTGTAAATGGTGTGATGCTGTTAATTATCTCGCATATCTCCTCTGTCTCACTACCTAAATTTACATCAATTATACTTTGGTGAGTGCTTTGGCCTCAATATTTTCTTCAATTGGAATAACATTTGTAAATATAGCGACCATAATATAATCATTTTCTTTTTTTTAAGAAATATATACACTGAAATCCATTGAATGACAAAGAGAAACGAGGAATATTAACCTGGCGCCATGATCTTCTTTTGTTCTCTATAAACATTCAAACAATGACCCATCTTTTTAAGATCACCTGGGAACAACGACACAAACGTAAGTTTGCTATTCTCATTTCAATTCTACTGCCGGTTATTGCTATGTCGTTTAACACCCTCTTCCTACCTTCCACCCAAGCTTCGGCGCATTGCTCGGCATTTTTCGTGAGGTTGTGAACATTGTTTACGATCTCTGGGGTTCTTGCACGCCAGCGAGCGATGACGATCTAAGAGAAGGTAAACGAATCTAGTCAATTCTGTTTGTGAAATGTTACCACTATCTGTGAAAACCAAAGAGTAAAAAACCTGAAAGTGAAACCTGAAGAATATCCTTCGCTAATCTTGTTTTCCCCGTATAAATTAGCGCCATATTTGTGATAACCTTCATCAGCGTTTCCTCGCAAACATCCAGAATTTCTGGCAGAATTTCTAAAGGTTCTCTAGCAGGGGACCTTGTCATTTTCACCCCGGGAACAATCCCACCGACTTGGTCTTGCCACCCACCGCCTATCGTGAGCATCTTCTCGACCTTCATTACGAGATGTAACAATTCTCGGTCGTCATAGCTACGCGACATAATCCTCCATATAGCCGCACAAACAACGCCGGCTAGTATGCTACTCGTACCCATGCCAGAACCGAAGTGGAGATGTGACCATGTGCGGATTTCAAAACCACAACCGTGTTTCTCTTTTAGTTGTTCTGCGAGGGACTGGCTCGAGAGAAGCACCACCGTGTTTGTGCAAAGAAACGCTGCCTTGATAAGTGCTCCTATATGAGAAAATTATTATATACAAAGGTGGGTAAAGTGTAAACCAAAATTAGAGCATTGGAAGCATCGTTTCCTAGCCGTGTTTACTGAAGACAGTGAAATCAGGACGCACTGTTTCTTTTCGATGTTTTCTGAAAAAAACACGAACTAAGGAACATTGTCTCTTACTGCGTAACTAATGATTTGAAAGTTTACTGTTTGCCTGTACAATAATTCTACACGGTTGTCTGTCCAATTGCGAAAAACTTTGCCCACCTGGTGCGGCTGGATTGCAATAATCCTTCATGTCGTCGAAAGTTTTGCATCTCAAAATTTTCGGACCGTCTTCTCTTGAATTTTCCACAACAATGAGCAACTCGAATCTGTATGTACGTAATGGTTTTCACATGACGTAAAATCATCATTTATTTTCGCTTCACGGCAGTTAACAGACCTTAATTTATAGCTTTCTCTAGTCAAAGTTACACCAATATGGCGAACTTGTAAAGTGAATGAAAATTTTCTATTTAATGTAGTAAAAATGATAACAGGAAAATTTCGACTTTGAGTGAGGCATCTTACTCTGGAATTTTACGGATCTTTGCTCCAATAGGCCTCTGAAAAGGACAAAATATAAATCACAAAAGAAAAAAAATTGTATATACAACAATTTGGATAGGTTGATGAGGATATTACGTTTAGTATAAGCAAGTTGGTTAAATTGGCAGTGAAGACTAGGGGCCAGTTGACTTGCCAATCAGAGTCGTGTATTAACCACGATTTAAGTATGGAAATGTAATTAAAAAGTTTCAGTATGCAACCGCCAACTTTCGAGCCAAATAGAAGCCGAATCATTGAGCGAAATTGGCGTGAAAGATGGCGATCGCGTGAAGATTCTAGTTCACATATAGAGTTCACTGTCATTGGAGTATCATTTCTTACAATTCCATCCACTTTCACAGCGACATTGGTGACGACTCCGCCGTGTTCGTTCGTAATGGGCGGGGTATCGCTCCATCCTCCAGACATATCAACGCGAGCTAGGAGTAAAATATGTCAATTTCATGTCAAATCTTATCCCATCCTTTTCGTGTTCATTAAAAAAATTCGTTTCGCAAGTTTGAGGCTAACAGCTAACCCCTCTCCCCTCATCCCTTTTTCCCGCGCTACGAGCCTGTACGCATTACCTGGTGCTTCAGCTATCACCCATTCCCCCTCGCTTGCTCCGTCACCATTATTCATGATTATTTAGATACAGCACGGTCTTCGCCACGGTCTGTAGCACATGTACATAAAGAAAATCCCTTTCAATTTATCAGAAAAATATCTTTATACTTTTTGTACATATATATTTAATTTGCAACAATTTTGAATTGTAAGTAGGGAATGAACGCGAAATATCTATCAGCATTTTTGTCCCAACAGGGATATAATAGACTTAAAAGTCTACTTAAACAATTATAAATCATATAATTTGAATAGCTCTTCTTCAAATTTCCGTTAAATGAATTTGAGGCTAAAATTTCGACTTGAGAATTTCTTCTACTGCATGGCTAACCACCCAATTGGTGCATAGCCGTTTTAAACGTATTATCGCTTTATCGTTTGTATACGAAGTGTGATGTTAACAAGAGTAATGTTAAGTATGTTTATTATATAGCATAAGTAAAAGTTTCGTACCGGCAATTTGCTCTATACAAGGCTATGCTGTTGATTTTCTTGTTCTCTTCTCATCCACTCACATCAACATATGTGAAACACTGAATCTCGCTGGGCAATTTCTCAAGCGAGCTTTTTTTTCAAGCAAACATGATTGCTTATAAAGATATAAGATGCTAACAACAAATACCTTTAATTTGCATAATGTAGTGATTGGGGGAAAATAGCAATATAAACAGCCACCCGACTGTTATGATAAAACAATCACTGAGTTGAGTTAACGCTTTCGCAATCTATGCCAGGAGTAATACGAAGTACGGAAGGAAATACAAGTATATACGCGACTGGTTTTAGACTTCTCTAAGCAGGACCACTCTGGGTGTAAAGAGGGGTGATGGGGATAGAAAGAGAATTCAACGTGAAACACACCAATATTGTGGCCTACTAGACTACCACGGTTGAATGTAAGGCTCCATAGGGGCGATGGCAATGACAAAAGGGAGAAATGAAAAGAATGTCTAATATATCCTAACGACGCGGATCCCTTTCTTCCTCGTAGTTGTTATTTCAAGGAAATTTTCTTAAATTGTGGACGCCCTGGTTGAGTCTTTGTACTCAAAGATCTTTATCGAAACAGGCAAAATTAACATATTTCCAAGTGTGCAAATCAAGTGTGTACTCCTCACCTTAGCGACCTTGACACAAATTCACGATATATAAAATAGACAAAATTACCACATTTTTTCATGTTTTGAATGTAGCTACATAAATGAAGGCTGCTTTCCACTTACGCGTTTTTTATACGCACGTACACGTAAGGAAAATTTTAATTGCTTTTAAATTTTTATTATTTAACATCTAGGTCAAACTTTATAATGCATACTAAAATATGCAGAGATGAGATGATTTTGCTAAAGAAAAGGGACATGACGAAGGTCATGGTGATTGAGATGCATATTTATTGCTGCCGAGCCTCAGCGAGGCAGCACACTATTCTGGACGTACTGAACGTACTGATGTTTCTTCAGAGTTTACTCGACCCAGGCTTTTGTGCGCATTTATGTATTGTCGAAATTTGGATTTGATTCTGTCTGTCTGTCCGGAAAGATTTTTGTTCCGGGGGAATAATTAAGCGTGCGTATGTTTAAAAAATTAAAGGGGGGACGTACGGATTATATCTTCTAAATTGTAATTTGTAACGCGTGTGCAAATATCGATGTGCTGGAGTGCGAATGCAAACTGCCAAGTAAGTATGGTTTTTTCCTTTCTGCCGATTCCCATCAAGGTGATGAACTTTTTAGTATTTACTCGAGAGGCAAACAATGTGCTTTTATTAGTTTATCGGTGCTTCTTACGGCCCGAAATTTTCCCTTATCGTCGTGGTCGAAGATTACATTTAATAATGTCTTATTACAAGGGAACAAAATGTACATAAAAGCTCTTAATAGGGGCTTTATAGTCTTACCGTCAGGTGTAGATTTTTTGTCTGTGGAAAACTTACCAACATATGTTAGTATATCAAAGGGAGAAAACTGTATGTAAAAGCTCTGAACTGACACTTAGTTCTAGACTGTACCAGTACAATTATGTTCATTTAATAAGTCGACATATCGGCTGTGTTTTGTCATAACAACTACAGATAGATGATCTGCCCGTTTTTTAAAACCCTAAAGTCATCAGCATGACTTTGCCCATGAGGCTCAACATATACTGGAGGGACACAAAGGATTAGCCCAATCATTGTACATGTTAGAGACAACTGAACACAATTTTATGCGGCAAGTCCCATTGAGAGTCTGAGAGAGTAAATAGTATTTACAAATTACAGACACCAATATTTGAGAGTTGAGACACAAACAGTGTCAGTAAAGCATGAGAGGGTAATCATACATATTTTATGAATCCGCCAGTATTTTATGAATGATATCTTTCCTCAATATTTGTAGATGTCTAGATCATGTGCAATTCACATAATGCTACCAGGCACTGCAATTAATGTTTGCCAGGGTGAATTAGAGCAAGTTTGACCTATGATACATGCAGACCTTAGTTAAATAAAGGTGCATGGTGAATACTTTGTTACCTTCAATGCATCAATGGACATGAAACAAAAATAACAGAGTAAACTGCAGTAATTACAAAACGAATCAAAGTGTTTAGAAAATGCAAATTAAATTATGCCCAAATTTACTACATTAGAATGTAGAAAGTATGATTAACTTTTACCTCAGCCTGTCATGTATGTAAATATAAACGTAATCTCACACCAATCCTGGTTAACTCGAACAGTTTTTCTTGAGAGTTCGAGTTAGCGGGGGATATATTTACATATAGATTGTTACTCTATTGAATATCAGGAAAGCTTATCAATTAATACTTAGGCATCATAGATCTGTAACTTCTTAGTCAGTTTTATCTTGCCAATAGCAGTTTTATAGTTGTTATATTGAATTTGTTATATTTTGTAATAAATTATATATTTGTTCAAATGTTTACATATCAAAGTTTTCCTTATAATCATATATAATCAAGTATGATTAACTGTATGCTGCTGGTTCTTTTTATTCAAGTTATGTTAATGAATCTTGTTATTGTGCCCTCATTAATGTCACACTGTTGCCCTTGTTTCTGAATAAAACTGTTATCCGTAAAATTCATCTGAACATTTAAATAAAGATTTTTAACTTAGCACTTTTGAGAAGTGTTTTGTCTATTTTAGGCAGTTGTTATACCACATTTGATGCTAAGTTGTTTGAAGACACTTCCACGCTGCTCCCTGGTTATATTGTAAAGATTTTTCATTCAGATCTTCGGCAGCAATTTTTCCTTCTGATAAGAACGTCTAGTATATTGTTAATAAATATCTATTCGCATACGAGCAAATTTTACTGCATCATATGCATGCATAAAAATGCTTATGGCAAACATTTACACACCTGTGGGTCCCAACAGAGTGCTTAGGCATTCAAACTCTAATACGTGATTTCAAAGGTTTTCGTTTTTTTTGGGACACCCTGTATAAAAGGATTTCGACTTTAACGTGCGTGTACGTGCGTATAAAAAACGCGTAAGTGGAAAACAGCCTTGAGGGAGCAGAACTAATTAATCCCTACATGAAATGATGCATTTAGCTGATGCAAATAGAAGTCGACATGGCGTCGACTGATGTCCGTCAGGCGGACCTTGGCACATCGGGAGGGGGGAGAGTAGCTGGAGCTTTGGGGAAAAGTTGGTTTTAATGATCTGGGTACGAGGATGATTTAAATGCAATCTCGTTCCCCGAGCCCGCGATTCCTCTGGCGAGAAAACAAAGGCTCTGGGATAATCAAAATCAGAAATGATTTTGATTGGTCGTTCACGCTGTTTCAATGTTGGAATACAAAAAACCGTTGCAAACCGGAAGCCAGGATTTCTGGCCAGAGGAATCGCGGGCTCGGGGATGCAGGAAAGGTTTGTACTTCGTGCCAGGCCTATATACTACGCGGTTTGGTCAGACGGATTGATACACGTTTTATAATTTATTCAATTTTATTTGTACATCATTACGAAACTTTTAAAGCATAATAGAAACGATATCATTGAACAATCGAGTATTTCATATACAACTTCTGTGATAAACGTATAAAAGTTCGAGTTTGTAATTTTATATAGCCTTTGTCTGTCCTGCAAAGTTCAACTATTGCCGTATCATGCAATAATTTGGCTTATTTTTATACAATTCCTATAGTGGAACATAAAATCCTGTCAAGATTCTTAACAATCTACCCTTTCGCATTGTAAAAGCTTTTAAAGTACGATTTTTTTGCTGAAATTTACAGTTTTTAATGTGCCTGAGTAGTCGCACTCAAATGAGTCACCATGCAATTGTTACCACAATTGATAATCCAGGATCTCTTTTAGATACAAACGTGCTAATGCATTATCTTGAACTGAAGTAATCTTTATTTTACTTTACTTTACTTTAAATATCTTTTAAAACGGGGATTTTTATCAGGGGCTGGAGCAAATGCTAGACTTAACAAAGTGGTTAGGGGCCTTGCCCTTCCCCAGGCTATATGTTAAAAAAGGCTCTGTGATGTTCATTCGCTGTTCAGTTTTACCCAGGCACAGTAAGCTACTAAGAGTACGAATTACTGCTGTACCAGCTGAAACTAGTTTATATTTCCTATTTAGGTAGACATGGAACCGATGGTTTATCAGTCATAATGATTTCATCATTTTCATGGCCTTGCTAAATCAAGGTAGGAATTTGTAAAAGAACTTTTAATATTTTTACCAACGAGGACTCGTTTGTTTTGTTCAGCAAAAACTGAGTGTATGGATGAGAATGCATTCTAGGTCGGTATATACATGCATTCTGATCAAATCTACGTTTGCTATCTGTTTCGTTGGGGGTTAGATAAGTCATACTTCCATACCTCTCGTGAATGAATTCACTTAAATATCACAGCTTAAAACATGAATAATAAACCATCTTGTCCAGGTTGTATATAGCGTGCAATTGACGCAAATTTTTACTGACATACTGAAATACTTTCACATTTATCTAAAAATACTTTACTCCAGGAGTTTTATTCTAATATAGACCATATAGACGTTTTTAGCAATCCATTTTCGAATGATAATATACTCACTTATCGTATACACAAAACCTACATTTCAAATTTCTTGAGAAATACATTTAAATTGGATATTTTGATCAATTAGAACCTGCTGAAATCTTGTCATTGAAGCGGTCACATTGTTTGTATGCATGCATGATTCAGGCACATCAATGCCAAATGGCCAGCATTTTATCAGTTTTGCCATCTTATAAATATCTCAATTATTTTAATACTTAAATAAATAAATTATACATTTAAATAACTACGATGAGATCTTAACAATTCATTAGCCTTACGATCCATTTCGTTTCGGCAGTTTTAATGGCATTTCTAAATACATCGAACCTTTATTCTTTAGTGAGGTCTTTGAACCTTTTTTCGGTCTGCCTGTTTTACCTCCTTTCCCGTAAAAAGCCAACAACCATGTTTGATTGAATTCAGATCTGTACGAATGGTACGAATCTTTATTCGGAATTCTGTGAAACACGCATTCCAAATTATTTGGTATTTGTTGGACTGTCTAAAGGCAAACAATAAGAACATATGAGTTATAGAAAACATTTAAAATAAACCGAGCGTGTTCCAGTTTTCCACTCGTGAAAAATAGGTTAATAGAGAGCTTGTAACTTAGCTTGGTGACTGCCTGCATAAGTACACTCACAGCCGTTCATGCAGTCGTTAAAAGAACGATTGCAAATGCAGGATTTACTGCTTGCTCAAATACATTGCGGCGACTCCCTTAACATTACTGCCAAATATCACAAGTTTTATTATGTAAAACGTTGATGATTGGACGAGATTAGTGAGAAGGTAGTGTGGTTAAACACATGCAACCGCGGTCGTTAGCGAAAAAGCCAATTTTAAGGTCTCTTATAACGTACAAGTTGCATGCCCTTAGAAAAATCTGTACCAAAATCCGAACCTACCTTCAATTCGACATTTCCCGATTTGGTGTTGTGGCAAACGTATTTACCGTTAGGATAGCGTCTTATTGCGAGCATCGTGGGACCAAACATGTCGATTTGTAAATAGGCTTAAAAAAAAAACAAAACAGCGTTTTAATATGTTACACATTTTAAAGTGGAGAGCTAATTCTTCAAATTTATCTGGTATTGATTTGATTAGTTTCTCGATGTTCATATGAACTATAGAATATATTCACTAGTCACTACAGAGAGGTTGTATTTGTCCGGTAGCTTTTTCGGTGTAACCGTAGAGCACCATAGCGTTGAACTGTTAAAAAGACTTCAAGTCTTATCACTCGAGGCATAAGGTCTCAAACGGTGTAAGCCTCGCGGCAGGCGTGGATGGGTGGATGTTTTTCAACTATGATATTTTAATAGTTGTTATTAGCACCACAGAAATTTACTATTTCAAGATGTCGTTGGAGCTTGAAGAAGCGTAACAAGTGGCTCTCAAACCATGCGCTATGCCGCTATCATATGGGCGTTCCGAAGTTGAAAAGAATTCTCTCAATGCTTCAACGCACTCTCTTCCCTCATGACTATTATACCTGAGCACAATTTAAATCACAATCACATGCGTATGAGAGCAACGTCTTTTGGAAAACAAAGATACTCGTTTATAACAAGAAATGTTGTTGTAACAAAGTTAAATCTCAAAAAAGTTGGCTCGATTTCTGCCGGAGGGCCTGAGACCTAGTTACATTCCTCGCGACGTTCCCTGTTGTCTTATAATCATTTGCTTTACTTTCGTTTAACTGGATAACCTTGAACCTTCAATTCTGCAAGTCTTACTAGATTTTAGAACTTTTCTAGTGTCTTCGATGAAACTGTTTCCACCAATGATCTTAACAGGCCCTGAAGGTATATTGCTCGTATCCTTTAGACTTGGTAATTGTCATGTAAATTTTTCTAAGGAGCAATTGAGAAATCTTTGTATAGTAATTGGGGCATATTGTGCACTTCGTTTGAGTAATACTTTGATCGCTTTCACAACTGATCTTTAAGTGCACGATTCTTTCATTCCTTCACGAGTTCACAGCCAATATACGATTATGTGTGTGTTTTTTTTGTATTGGCAGAGCTGTTAGGTTTGAAACCACTTTGAACTTGAACTGAAGATTTTGAAAGTAACCCAAACTATTGATTTTTGCAACAACCCACATCCTACGGTGGTAAATATATGCTTGTAATGGCGAATGATATTATATTATCTATAATATGCATTGAATTAATTCTAGTGCAACGTAGTGCACTATAGAAAAAAAATACAAAAAAATACAACACAGTATTTGTGTACAATTTAAGAAGATTTCGAGTAGTTTTGGATTTGGGAATGGAATCGCTTTTGTATCTGAATTAAATTTTATTCGTGAAATGAAACTATATAAGAAGATTTCTCTTCGTGAAAGGTCGCTATGAAGTAAGCCAAGTTGCAAGATCATCCTTTGACGCATGTCATCGAATTTGACGTCAAATTGTCAAGTATCCAAAACGAGGTTCTTCAAGATTACGTCAAGACGAGGACTATTTCACATCCCTCACAATAAATATACAAGTTCTTAAACAATTCGCAGACTTCCTCAAAAACATGCTAAACCCTATTTCAATTTCTATGTCATAATGTCATAAACAGATTCTGTGAGATATTCGAAGTTTTTTCAAGTTGCTTTTTTAGTCAACTAATCCAGATAAATCCGTTTTTTAATCGCGATAATTGCCCGGGATTGTTGTTAATCTCTAGCGAGATCTGTCTTCGGAATGTGTTACCCAGTTGGGTATTGCCTTCACGCAACTACGCTCAATTGTGGACAGGAAGCACTTTGTCACTTGGATGTGAAGCAAAGAGGGGTCGGGGTATCAATAGAACATGGTTGTGTTGTAAGGTCTGTTTATACAGATAGCGCCTTTCCGAAAATAGATCGTTTTATATCCGCGTCTGTTGTTTCTCAACTTCATAACAATCTCAAGGCAACACGGTGTATGCAGAAAATAATATGCCAGTCGTCTGTTTAATCGGATTAAATTAAATGACAATGGTTGGCATTGACCTCGGGGCAAGGTTAAGGCGAAATCTGTCAGTACGTCGGCACGTAACAAGTATCACAATTACCATCTTATGAGCGTGGTTGAAGAAACGGCGCATGCGCCCTTGGAATCTCGGAGGGTCACACGCCTATATTCTAAAAGATCACTGACGCTCATTTTTGAGGGTGACTTATAGAAATTGTGTTATTGCTGACTAATAAAAGAGTCTTTTCTCAATCAATAGCAAGATTTAATGTTGAACATTCAAATTCATGAAGCTTTCCTTCGTTGTCATTGATTCGCTACGATGTAATCAAGATCTGCCACTCAACGAGTTTGAGTGTAAGTGAGCTTTTAAAACACAGGCGATGGACATGCAGAATAAATACCCTTAATTCATTAATAAATTAAACAAAACTTTTAATCTCCTAACACAGTGTGTATTTACGTTGCTAATGGGTCATCGGAGAAAGAGCAGATTGCAAACTGACAAGACGTTTTGAGGATACAAAATCTTCTAGAATAGTTCAGAACAAGAAGTGTTGGTCTCAGGAGCTTTGCCCCCTTGCTGTTGCTAAAAGTTAGAAAGGGGACCAATTCCTCATGATAATGATAACGTCAATTACAAGGCTATTCTATTTTTACAATCCGCCAACAAGCATATGATTTCTCAAAGATTTTTTTCGCTTGATCCAATTCGTGTCGGTAAAAAGCCACCACTCTAATGAAGTTCAACTTTCTCTTTATATTCAACAATCTTTTGTTAAAATTTTGGCATAACACCCCTGGTTATGAACTGATATACTTTAGAGATGGGTATTTTTTCGATGCTTTTTTTTAACACGATACATTCAATCTGCACGATTTACGATTATACTTACTGTCAGGATCGCTTTGATTAATTGATTTCACGTCAATAGCTGTAGTGGTTATTCTGACATATGTATCAGTGAGTCTGTTATATAGTTGAAGATATTTCAACTGTGGTTTGCTATTAACGTCATTCAGATATACTTTCGACAAATCCTGAAACACATAAAAAATATTTCAAAATATCGGCCTATGTTTTGAAGAGGTAGCTTGTAGGCATCCCATAGAGTAAATGGCCTTTAAAATGCGCTATTATGATAAAGTTTTAGTATCAAATGTGGTATAACAACTGCCTAAAATAGACAAAACACTTCTCGACGTTTCGACATGAGGGCCTTCGTCAGGAGAGTTAGTGTGAATGTACTAACTCTCCTGACGAAGGCCCTCAGGTCGAAACATCGAGAAGTGTTTTGTCTATTTTAGGCAGTTGTTATACCACATTTGATGCTAAGTTGTTTGAAGACGCTGCCACGCTGCTCCTCGGTTATATTAAAGTTTCACTAGTGGTTTAATATAAAGGCCTTTCTTGTGTCAAATGGCTGTTAATTTAACAAATCTGCATAACTTTGAGAGAGAGGAAGGTGTTTAATTGAGCAATTGTAGTTTTTGCTGACTTCTCTTGTGTATACGGAAGATTCTGAAACTATATAGTATTCTTTGAAAGATTACAAAAATGTTTCGCATAGAGAAATGCCATGGTGTAGTGGAGGAATGTTGAGCAGAAATGCCATGGTGTAGTGGAGGAATGTTGAGCATTTGCTTTCATTTCAAAAAGGTGAATCTTTGTCTACTGTTTTTGAGGAAGTACAAATTCAACACTCTTAAAGGTCGGAAAGGTGGCGGGAAACTACATATTGGCCTGAGAGTCGCAACATGTTTATTTGAAAAAGGGAGAGGCTTTCGTGATAAAGATTTCTTCATTTTTTAAACTAAAAACTTTGTGGTGTATTTTTCAACAAGTTGCACACGTCAATGCAAGTTATATATATTTCAACAGTCGTTAGAACAAACTTTGATAAGGATATCTTTAGATGCTGTTATATCAAATCCCATCAGTTTTAATCTATATAATTCGCACGACAGCGTTGTGTCAGGTATTGAAATAGCAATACGCCTCACGATTCAATTCGGCTTTGATTTGCTGTATATGCACACCAAAATCTTCTCCGTAGGAAGTCTTAGTTACGGCTTTTCATAAAACTATACATTTGCGAATTTCTATGAACGATTATTTTTGTATTTAACATGCAGAAACACCCCACGTAGACACATGGGATTGTCTGAAAATGTAGTCAATTTCCTATTGCAGACAAATTTAATTAAATTTTTTTAATCCAATGCATCCCCCAAGAGGTATTCTACTCTACCACGAACTGTTTCAAATGCTGGTAGTCGGGCCACAGGTTTATCAGTGATTATCTGATACATGCTTAAATATTGTGAATTCATTATTTGTATTGTATGTTATATCACCATGGTGTGATTCGCTATGGCGTGACTTGATAGCTAATCTAAGCTTGTGTGCTCCAAATCCCAACCCACTCATTTAAGTAGTGCTAATGAATGTTTGCATAAAAATATCATTCCTCTACGATTCATCTGGACCGTGGGCAAATTCAATATGTTTTTGGTTGACATTGACGAAGTACTTATATAGCATAGTTTTTTTTCTTTTAATTTGAAAGCTTTTTATTAATTTCCTTACTCGTTTTCAACAACTTGAAGCTAAATAATGCAATCTTAATCACATCAAACTATACTTGGAATGCAATTGATGGTATGCTGATATATATTGTGCCTCAGGTCAATATGTCGATGTAAGTTGATAGATAAATGGCACAGTATTATAGACACCATATTAGCTACTACAATATACCAAGACTGGTCACGCATCTGTTATGAATCCATTGATTTAAAAGCGGCGAGTTTGAATGGTCCTACTTAAATATGTAATCTTCTATTGTTGAGATGTCTTAAGGTCTGTTTCACACAATCCAATTTTGTCGGATCCAAATTACTTTTGAAGTATGGAATGTAGTCTGTTATCGATAAAGCAGCACTGCAATATTTTTAGTTTTCTCCCATGCACATTGCAATTATAAAGACTGAAAAACATGCGTCAAAAGATGCGTCAAAAAAAATTGGATCGTGTGGAGAGAGCTTAAAGTCTATACGTTTCTAGTAGTTGCTAGAAACTTCTAATGAAATAATGAATTATCAATGACCTGTTCTTCAGATCTAAATTTGTGATTGGATAATTAGTCAGGACAATTGAACATGACCACTATGCCATTATGCCGTCATTTAAAACGTTTCACAAGACACAACCAATATATTTGCTGCAGCCTTTATATTACTTTATGAAAACGAAGAGATTTAGCTTTGCTTAGAAATTTCACACATCTATTAATCCGCGATGTGATTACGAATATCATAGCTTGAAAATCGGGTCACTGAATTAAAACAGGATGCCTCCTTATCCAGTATATAGCTAATTTAATTATGGTTGTCCTCCCGAAACGTTGAACTCTGAACGCGAAAGATGTGATTATTTAATGTTTTTTGACGGGTGGAAGAGAAAAAACAGGTTTTCAAAGAAAAAGGAAGATGATATAGAACAATGGAAACACTCTGGTAGCAAACTGGTTTCAAAGCCACAGGCGAATTGTTTGTCTCTGAGGGTCTAATAATAGGTGACAGCCGTCTATTCCTCGCGCATTGAGTTAAGGTTTTCAATGACAAAGGAAACATTAATGGAATTTGTTGTTGTATACCATGCAGGGCGTAGTCATGAAAATCCTCACTCACTCAACTAACCCAGATGCATGGGCGGCCGCATAATACAGTGGTCTTTGCATGGGGTACTTTGGAAACAATTCAAAGATACATACAAATACATTGTTTTTAAAGAAATATACAGTTACTTACAATTGCTGGCGACGAGTTTGTTGACGTCAAAGTTGCCCTGTAGAATAAAGTTATTATAAAGATGAATATTTTGTTGTCAATACTGGGGATTATATATAAATATCTTTAAAAATGACTGGGGACTCGTAGTGGACCAATTTATTAATGCTAGAACGCACGCGATTTGTTTTCCGGGCTATTTGGAAAGTGACAGACGCCGTCGGAAGAATATATACGGCTATACACGCTTACAAGACCCCCGCGTTTTGTTTTGTAATTATTATACATATGCATGCAATGGTGGATATCATAAACTGTTTTAAAATAACGTGCCATTTCCGGCTCTTATTTTGAGATGTTTACTAAACATTCTTGTGAAAGATTCCAGGCTAATCCTCTTAAATTCAAACATACTATTCGACGTAAAGGACTTGTAAAATGTTATTCTTTACACCACTCTGATTTCATTGTGCACGAGACATTTTTCTATACAGCAATACGTTATAAGACTTCAAGGTGAATGCCATTATGGGCGCTACAGCTATTGTAACTTCAGGGAGAACGCTATCATAGAGTCATAGACAGATTAAAAGCCGTGTGTGCATTTCACATGGCAGAATGCATGTCATTTGGCAGTTGTGCGCGATTTTTTAGAATTTTTCAAGCAAAACATGTTTGCCCGCGGGTCATTGGAAGCATTGGCAGACAGGGATTAGCGAAAACGCACTGCCGCATTGTAATTCGGCGAAACCTTCATCATCTGCGCTTTTTTGCTTCTGAAAACTAGCGTCAATGCGTACCACGCAAATTTCATTCGCCGTGTTTTATTTTCTTCCCCATATTCCAACGAGATGAGTGATCTGATAAAGCGCAGTTAATGCAAAGTAAACTGTCTTTTTTTTTACTTAATTCGACTATTCAGTTTAAAACCGCAAAACACGCGTGTCTTGAGAGGAATTTCAACGTCTTCAGCTTGACCAATCTCTCGCATGAGGGATTTCAGTATCACAAGAAATGCTGTCAGTTCAATATACTATCGCCTGCCACAAAGATTTCGTTTTCGTCTTATTGAGAATCTGTCTCGAAAAAACACGAAACATTTGGCAAATGCTTATATTACGTCAGTGCTCGATCCGTCGGCAGTGCCGTGTTGTGCCTCTTTCATTTCGGTAAAATCTATTTAAATAACAGTATTTTCAAAGCCTATTTATTAATTAAGCAAAATTTAAAAATTGAATATTCATTTCATGCCAACAAGCAACAGCATATATGGCTGAAATCAATGAACTTTGTTATTGTCAGAAAGACGCGGTTATAAAGATGTTTAATTTCTCAAAAGTCTTTACACAGTTTTCTTTGGCGAATAACTTCCCATATTTTCAATTGACTACGCTTGTTGCATGACGAGACACGCTGTTTTCAGTTCAACACGCATAAAAATCTGTTGTGTTTTTTTTTTATTTTACCATATTGTGTATACCATGGTTAACCATGCAACTGTTGAAAATAGTCGCAATGCTTTCATTAGAGTGTGTGGCAGTCTTACATAGTTGAAACTAAAAGAAGTGATTATGGTTGTTTCTATATAAGTACATTTTCAATTAGTAATAAACACTGTTCGCTTTCCTAATAAACCAATATGGAAGCAATTTCACCCGCGCCATATTGGCGATGAAGCTACGTTGTTGCATGAATATAGCTAAACCATGTCAAACTTTATACATATCGCATTTATGATTTAAATTATAAACGTTCGCATGCAGGATTCATCCGAACAGGATGTTATTTTGAGGTTTTGATCTAGTCTATAAAAGGTTGATTCTGTCATCGCGGAATAAACTAGGAAATCTAAAACACCTTTTATTTGATCCGTACGCAATATTCGGCAGATATTCTTTGAACGCGATATGCGGGGATATTTATATAGGAGAGGTCAATGTCACGAACGATGCGAATTCCAGCAAGTGCAGGAAGCTATGAATTGCTTCCAAGCATCCCCGCAACTATTTCAATCTTCTAGACATCGCTGAAAATTAGTGAAAAACATTTTTTTCTCGAAACGTCGAAGAATATTCCTGTTCAAAGTGTGGATCTGCCAAAATGGCTTAAAATATGTATCTCGCTACTTGAACTGGAATCTAAAACCTTCAAACAGTTGGCTATTACCTTGTTTTTCTCGCAAGAATTACACCAAAAACGGAATTTTGAACGCTTTAAGCAGCGGTCTCTGGCCTTCTACGGATAGGTTGCCCAAAATTAGAAACGTTGAGTTCCGATATGTTAAAATTACTGCATTTGAAGAATGTTTGCAGGAAAGGTTTCATTATCTAATATATATTATGCAATGTTCTGATTGCGCGTTTACTGTAAAAAGCTTTTCATAAATCTCGTTCATCTGAATTGAATGTCGACGTCTTTGTGCCTTGTGAAAATTTGATTGCAAAAGCTCTTTAATCGAAAGAAAATTACCTCATCTGAGTTGTTTAAAACTGCCACAAAATATATTAAGTTTTGGGCTTCAACGAAACAAACTAACAGACTGGTCAAATGCGCCTATTGCGAATCTAAATAATTTTAGGTTTATCATAGATTGTGAAGGGTAAAAAGTCCTTCTGAATGCTAAAAAGCACGATGTAGTCCATATATTTTCCTCTTCCACATTTCCGTTATGGCAATGATTTATTTAGGATACAGGCGACGTCTACGGATCTACAAGTATCCGAGATAAGTTTCTTCGAGTATAGCCGTTGGCAGAGGACGCTATCATAAAATGTTATCACGCTAAAGATGACCCGAAATTTATCGACTTAAACTTAGCCAGAGTTGAAGAAAGGCTAAGTACCATAATAAAATTTGATTGTATACGTTTCCTGACGCAGCAAAAGGTAGCATTAAAAGGCATAATTTGAAAATTGGCATGGTCAAAATATCTTTCAAAGAAGTTTCCTGTTGGCATAACGTTTCTACTAACGCTCGAACAGTGTCAAAAGATTGGCTGTATGATCCATGTTTGCTGGTTATAAATGGTATATACTTGCGTGGAATAAATCGCATATACTTGAGTAAATTTATCGCGATGGTAAACGTCGGTTCTTAGTACACATTATGTATGATACTTTCGTAATGGCTTCTCATAAGACCAAGCATTAAAGACAAAAAAAATATGATGAATTGAAGGCTTTTTAACTTAGGAGAACAGGTTATCTTTGACCATCAATAATAATGCGATTAGAGCATTCTATGCGCCGCCTCGACACATTTCCTAGGATGGTTTAATTTGTATATTTATACGTTATTTTGTATACAATCAGCGAGTGGCCTTCCTCTGAAAACTGCTGCTGCAAACTCCCACTTACATATCACATGCTTTAATGAATCGAATCAAACTCTCCCGTACAAAATGACGCATTATGGACGCTTTAAATCCGACAAACACTCGTTATTAGCGACTTGTGCGCGTTCAGGTAACATGCGCTCGGGAACGCCAAATAATTTTTCCAATTACTCTTCTGATTTTTAAACATTTATACTTCGTGCTTTTAACACATCTGAAGCTCGTCAACACTTCAAAGTAAACATATATATATATTCCACTAGGTTGTCGAGTGCTTTTGTGTCATTATGATTTCCACATTTCTGATTATTTCCCTCACGCAATCTTATAAATGCATGTCACATAATATATATACAAATTAGTAACATTTACTTTGCACTTTGATTTAAGCAAATAGGTCTTTGTACGCGTGACACTTCGCGCTGTTTATCAACTTCGTACCGTAATGGCAAATAAAAAGGCGACGAACTTGACATGCGATATCTGTGCCGTAATAACATGGAAGCGCTTAGACGATACGGGGAAGAAACTTTGTTGGAGCTAAAGTTCGTTTATGTTAACCGTCGGAGCATGAAATATAGGTAGACAGTAAGTCTGGATGACTTGGTATGAGATATATGAATCTAAAAACACCTTAATAATGCAACCCAAATGCATGGAATTCATGCGTGGATTTCCAACTAACACATTGCTTAATATACTTACGTTGTAACAGCCAGCATCACAAACATGATTCCTTGAATCTTACGCCGTAAATACATGGCGATGCTTAAAATGGTATCCTCGAGTCTTTTGGTATGATATAGCTCTCGGTGACAACACGCGGCTTCTATGAGCTCATAGCTCGCGCTGCGCTTTTTATAATAAACCAGTAACTTAGCAGTTTATCTCCGTTTCGGAATGGATCAAGTTTATGGTTCATATATCCGTTGTTAACATCGTGCGATAAGTAAACATCTCAGTCAGAAGCTGTATTGCTGTAAAATATCTCAAAATATAACAAGAAGGAAATCTGCTGTGAAACACGTCTTTGCTATTATTGCACTCCGTATTCACGAAACACTCAAACGATATTGACGAGGCAAGTCAGGCAACCACACACAGAATATAGATTTGGTTACAAAGCAGTTATCACGTGGTTTGACACTTCTGACTATGCCCGCATTCTTCAATGTGTCATAAGACGAACTGAACCAGATGAGAATTACCAAACAGATATTTGCAGTCTTTTTGTAATCTCGTAAACAATATCACTGAGCAGCTATACGAGGCAAGTTGTTGCACGCCTCAATTGAGTGTTCTGAATTGTGTTCTGATTACGTATTTTGCTCCTCCCAAAAAATCGTCCCGTTATGCCACGCTGTGATAATCTCGCATTAATGGCAAAACCAGTTTTGCTCGATATATTATTGCCTGTAATTTGTTTGAAAGGAATTGGGCACAAAACGATGTTCACCTCAGCTTCAATCAATCGTCCTTGATGTCACTCTGTACAACTGACTTAGAAACAACTATTGCCTTGTGAATTTCGTAACAAGAGGTCGTTGAACGCTTGCCTTTTGATACGTGCCTGCATGTGTTTATTTAGACAAACTGTCTATTTGCTGATATTTCCTTTTCGAGAAGGCACCTTCTTCCCAGATTTATTACACCTGTGATTGAAGAAAAGCAAGAAGAATCATTGATCTTCATATATGTGTATATACCAAACTACTACCACGTGATTACTTTGGAAGTGTAGTTCTTAAAACATTGCAAGCAAAAGCTACATTGCACCTTTATAAACAGTATGTTAATAATAGCATTCATATTTGAAATATTATATGCCACACTTTTATACATAATTAACTTTTTAGGTCGGTATTGATCATCTCTCGATAATGAGGTTCTCAATCCAGGCCTCTCGTACGAGTTGAATGTTATCGCGTCGTGTCCACATAGACCTACATAATCTACCAGTCGTTTTTGTGACCTTACTGATATGTGTAAGCGAAAACAACTTTTAAAATACATCATTCTGCACAAAAGCGATCGTCAAGGTTCATAGCCCAATAACAATGTGCAATTTAAGCACTTTCGTTTTAATGCATTAGCTGTCAATATGTTTCAACTGACAATTTACTTTCGTTATTCATATAAGAATGGAATCGTACGTCGTATAATAGATATCCATATCTAGTCTTGTTGGACCGGTGTAAACATCTTATTGTTCTACAGCTTATACCTACTTTAATCTTTTCATCATCGCAAAGTGTATCTATTTTGGCGTTTTCAATAGCCACTTAGCAAACAATTGCTATAACATTTTAGACCCTGACGGGCAATCATTAATTGCGATAAAGAATCTTTTTTCCGTTTACGAGAGGCCACTTATTCAGAGCCTAAATGTTCATGCAGCGCATTTTTCACGCCACGTTCTCGGTGATCTAGCGTTTCAGGCAGAAAAATACTGAAGAATGACGGAGTAAATAATTATAGAAATTGTGGGTGGGCAAGATTCTCAAGGGAATGGTGTAGCAAGTGTTGTGAAGGTTACAATCGGAAACTTCAAAGTGTTGGTGGACGCGGATGGTTGGTTTACAATAAAGCAATATATACCCCCCTGAATCTGGGTTAAGCATGTTACGGCTAGGTTCGTGGGAGCTTGCCGATGTGTCAAAAATAGAGCAGACGAATTGCCTTTTTTTCGCAAACACTGATAGCCCACTTTAGGAGCTTATTACATTTCAAATCGTGAAAAACTATTATGTTGTCTTAGCTAGAATACCAGAAATTTATGACCTGGTTTGATTTGAAACAGTCAGATATGAATATGATAGGGAAGGAAATCTTGTAGAGATGTTCTTGTTGTGTATACGTTGTAGGTTATTAAGTTCCACAACGGGAGGCCTTATTTAGGGAAGTTTTCCCCGAATCCACCCTTGTAATAAGAGATGGAGTTGGGAAGACTGAATTCGTGACGATAAACCCAAATTCGTCTCTAGCCCAAAGAGCACTTGTTAATAGGTATTGATAAATTGTATACATATATACTGTATATTGATAAAAAAATACACAAAAAACAGCCATTTTGTGTCTGAACTTTCCTCATAAACTTCTCTTAAACGTGAAGAGGGAATGTGGGCAGTACCACAGTATTCGTGAATCGTGATTGAACTCTCGGTATGATAATCTTTCATTTATTTGGATCCTAAACACGCCTCGTAACCGAAAGAAATGTTTTGTTACTTTGACAAGAATGATTGAAATTTCCTTTCTGATCGTCTAAAAAGGACAGGTATATTTACAATGGCTGCATGCCGCCGACCAAATTTAGTCATTAAGTAGGAGTGAAGGAGCCAAACCTGAAGGATTTAACAAGGAATAACGAGCCTTACATGTCTTCATAGTCACGTAGATGATATGTGGATTTTGGCGATATTTCCAGCATTATTTTTTTGCGGAGCACATGCGTCATGTTTGTGGGAATTTCGAGGATGAAAGCTCTCATATGGGATTCAATACGATTTATGCATGATACTGAAATATGGGAAATCCGTTTTGATGGAACGTGGGAGTGTTAATGATGCTGGCATATGGACTCTGGAACCATCCCAAAGTACACGTCTCTTGAATGTGGAGGTGCAATAAAGGAATTGTCCTACACTAAAACTCTCTGGTTTATGTCTGTACCACTTGAAAATGTTACCTGAAACGTGGGGGTCCATTGTGGGCAGCATTACAAAGCAGTCTGCCGAAGTTTGTTTCCAAATTACCTCGATAAGATTATCTGTTAAATACTAACATGCAGGGACAGCGATATTTAATAGTTGTCTCAAATGAACCGCTGTGGTTTGAGTCTAAGCGACATGCTGAAAATCTTTCCTCACAGTCGGGGACTAATTTTAGGTAGCATACTAATATTTTGCTGTGGTTTCTGAACATGGGGTGGATATCTAATATAAGGACAGAACTAGTCTTAGCGTGTACCAGTCTGACCTTGCATGTGATTCCGTTCTACGTATCGCATTTACGTCAAGGCAAAAGCGCAGATTGGTTTAATTTTGACGAAATGTCACACATATTTTATACAACAATCGGAAACGATAAATAGTAAATCTTGTAAATGTATTAATATGGTCTCCGGATTTGCACCATTCATTCATGGGAGATAGTCGGTTTAGGTTGAAATATAACGGTTTAGGTAGAAACAAATAAAATAATTCCTAATAAAACAAGGAAGGTTTGTTTACTCATTAATCCCTTGCCACATGATGGGGCTTCAATTTAGTTTTTAAGCGTTTCTATTTTGAACTGTAAAAAAGAGATTTGTTAATAGAAATGAGTGCATGAATATGATATTCTCACACGTAGCCACTCTAACTCCCAGTGGGTAAGGTTATTCAATTCTGCCAAAACACCGCTTCTTAAGCAGAGAAGTCAATTTTTTTCAAGTTTTGATGAAAGAAAACTTTCATTGCCATTCAAGTTAAAAGATGTTTTCAATTGATAAACTGATACTTAAATATTTCACTCAGTAGCTTTTGAATACTATTATTATCCCTATAATTCCCGATTTTACTCCTATATTTTTTATTGCATAAACGAAGTAACATGTCAGTAATACACTGACGTCTTGTATGCTGAAATGTCTATTTATCAGTCGCTGAAAATATTCTTCAGTAACATAAATAATATATTAATTATGGAGATTAGGAAGAAATGTCTTGTAAAGTGTTGCATGCTTGAACTTTTATGTTCTATAGAATGCTACTGAATTGTATTTACTCTTTCATGAGATTCCAAAAGTGCTTTCTGTTTCATTTAAACCACATGCGTTAATCCTGTTTCAAAAAGAGCATTGCGAATTCGCGGTTGTAGATAACTGCGCCAACATTTAGACTCTGACAATGCGTCATCATCTAGAAACTATGTTAGGAATTGTTGAAACTCTCAAGAAAAAAGCCCCGTGCAACTTGGCATGTTATGAGAACGTTTTACTGTCACCCAGGGAAACCAGGCTGAACTGCTCAGTTGCAAATTCCTGTGATGGGAAATTATTGCCCTTTGCATGCCTGTAGCTCAAACACCGGACGATAAAACTGAGCTAAAACTGGCAGGGCGAGGCCTACTTAACAAGTCTTTATCCAGCAAGAATTTGTACTGTTTTGGTGTTAAAACAGTTAGAGATTTAGAATATATTTTCTAATTATATCACTGGCAAATATCGACTGATATTCCTGCATAATTGCAGGATGTTGGGAATTTTTAAATTTCCTGCAAAGTTTCTGGCGATGGGAAATTATTACTTGCCTGAAAATCTTACGACAAATCAAAAATACTTACCAGATCTTCATTTTATGAAAATATAACTGTTATGTCCTGCTTCATGAGTGCAAATTGTTGGTAACCTTCAACGTTCAAATGCTCCATCACCTCCATGCAAATGCTTTGCAATCAGTAATGGCAACGAAGAAAATTGATTTGATTATACATTCACAAACAAATATTTAATCACTCTACTGTATATACAGTAATAAACTCGCAACATTTTTGTGATAATTGATCCTAATTGAATAGAATTGCAACTTGGCGGATATTTATGGAAACCTTTAGTCCTAAATCGAAACTCAGAAAGAATGTGATGCAGTTGATAGGATATGTTTTTATTAACTTATACAATAGTGAATTGGTCGTAAAATTTTAATATCGCTTTTAATTTCATTCCTAAAATTGCTGAACATGCCGGGGGAATTTTAACGACTCATTTAGGTTGGCTGTAAAATTATCTAGAAGTTATAAATTTTTCGAAAAATTTTGAGTATTTCTCCTGTAGACAAATTGGCCAAGATAAGCATTCAGTATAATTCAATGCTATAACAATACTATGTGTCTGATAGTGGTGAAAAAAAAGTGCAGATGGATTGTGGAATATTTTGTAATATCAAGTCTATAGCTTGACTTAAAGAAAAAACGTCGCATACATTTAAGTTCCGGTTCTAGACTTTTATGCAGAGGGTTGAAAGTCTTTATAGAAGTTATATGTATTTATTTATATATCTATATATAGTTATATTTATATACAGTTATATAAACGAGTGCAGTTTTATATCCGTTCAAGCCTCAATCACGTCAACTTATTGTTCTTCTGACGTAATTCATACCTCTTGACGTATTCGCTGTGAATTATCTTAAGTGATCTGACACTGGTCCAATGAATGCACTTGGTGTTGTTGGGTAATGGTTTGTTATGCACTTTCCTTGTCCATATCGTGTTTATCTTGATGATAGGGTATTAAGCCTGGGTATTAAGAACATCAAAACTTCACTGCTATATATAAAGCTTCTTCTTTTGCATGAACGACTTAAAAAAAAAGATACACAAGCATATAACTGTTATGGCGGATGCAATTATATCTTTAATCATTAAAGCAATATATGCATCCAAACATTCTCTTTGTGACGCTTGACTAGTATTCATCGTTTTCTTTTTATTAGAATCATTCAGCGCAAATTTTACTAAACGTTTTTCTTAAAATATTAAACCGTATAAGCTAGCTCCAGTGAGTGGGATGATCATACCTAATTTTAGTGTGCAATGATAACCAATTCGTGCAGTGATAAAAATAGAATGTGCAGTGATAAAATAAGATATGTGCAGTGATAAATGGTATTTTCTCAACAGAACTCACTCTGTTGAGACGGATTCGTCAGTAGTTGTCCCCCCAAAATGCTGGAAATCAAGTCATAGGGACTTGAAAATACAGGAAATTTTCTGTGGCAGGTACTGCAGACCCCCCGTCCTAGGCCTACATCCCAACCATCTTTAAATTACCAATTTCCAATTAGTACCAATTGTATAATCTACTATACCCGGTACTATACTATTGTAATCATATGTGCAGTGATAAAAAATTCTTAAAATTAGCTATGGGGATGATGATAGTTTACTGTTTGTTACCAATTCGGTTTTGTAAGAAAAACAAATCTCTTGCCCTAGAGATAAAGGCAGCTTTTCTGTTCAAATTGGACCTAATTGTGTGTCTGACAGTTTTGTGAAGGGCAACTTCAATTACTCATAGTATTAAAACATTCGATTTTTAAAACACGGTCGGGTTTTTCCTCTAATTTCATTACATAACCTTGATCATGAATCATGATGCTGGCAGAAATTTCTCATGGCACCTCATTTCCCCTTATAAATATGCAGTTTTTTATTTAACTTGCATGACATCGTAATTGCTGAACATAATTCCACTGTGTTGAATGATGTATCAAGCTGGTTATGTATGCTTGTGATAGGAAGGCTAAATTAGAGTATAAACGTCTGAGTGTTATAAGGTCGTCATAAATAAAAAAATCCAATGTGCTATCAGTATCGTTTTAAAAATCCGTAGAAATGACCAGTGTTTTTCACTAAGTGTTTTTCATCGTTGCTATTACTCGGCAACCGTCCGAAACGTGCTGAGACCGAACAGTCTCTTAGCAGGAATTTCGTATTTTATTACGTCATGACCGCATATCAAAACCACATTTATTTACGATGTATAGAGTTTGCCCGTCATCACATGTGGGTTCTGTTGAAGAGATCATACGTGATGGCATAAATCATCTTCATTTTCAAATTAAATCTGTTCGCAGTCAGCACTGGGACACTGGCCTAGCCTTTGATCGAAGACCTCCATGCAATTCCACTTAATATCATTTGCATTCCACTGTGATTCCACGTCCTTTGATTCACGATGACAAAGTGAGTTTGATTGGTAAGAGCACCGATGATTGGAGGAAAATGGAACCAAATGAGAACTCTTTGTTCAAAATACTTTAAACTGACGATTGTTAGTCTTGTGATTTAAAAGCGAATATTCGGATTCTTAATGTTCAATCTTTTGTACACAAGTCGTTTCTAGCTCAGCTAAAGCAGCTGTTACATGCGCAAACATTACTTAGAGCGGTTTACCTTGGAGTAAGAAGCCAAATTGGTACAGTATAGATCGATTAAAGCTACTTGAATTGTCCTGCCTTTTACCAAAAGAAATTCGGACGAGCTGTGTATATTCCTGCATCTCTGAGATTGTATTTCAAGGGGAAAGTGATTGACCTATGACCATCCACTTCGCAAAAACCTTCGTTCAAAAACATATTTTAACGCTGTTTACCTTTCCTCTACCTTTGATTTGTTGTTGTTTACTGCAAAACTTGTTTTGTGGAAAATCTTGGGAAAAGAATGTTGTTAATCGTTTTGTTTTACGACGTATAGAATTGAATAACAAGGAACAGGACTTCCGAATGACGTAGAGGGTAAATTTAGTGTAACTTTAGAATATTTACCTGCATTCAGTTCATCGTCAGTAGGTCGGATACGTGCATGGCGTATATGAAAGCATGATGATTAAACAGTCTGGTTCCCAGGGTTTTCATTAAAAAGGGGAGACCGAAAAAGGCACTGGAACGTGCCGCCACTTGAGTTCGAGTCAAGCTGGCGAAACAATTTACTGGTGGAAGACACCGCGATATATTCGAGGCTCGTTAACACTTGCAATTTTTGCTGCGACCTGACCTGACCTAACCTGTTTGTATTGCTATAAGTGTATTATTTTATGACTGCAGTAAGCACCGTTTACACTTTTTGCTGCGATTTTTATGTGCGATTTTCTTCTTTTGATAGATGTGAACGAGTGAATTAGTTACTGATGTTCAAATAAGATCTCTTATACGTCAGAGCATTCGTAACTAATTACTCGTTCACATCTATCAAAAGATGAAAATAGCACATTATATAAAATCGTCTGAGTCATACTTTGTGCATCACTAACTATATTCCAGTTGGGAGTTGTTGGCTTCTCGTGCTTCGAGGGTTTTGCTTCTTAAAAAACCCCATAAACTATGGCTTATTTATTTGTAAAGGACCATAGGCCAGTCTCTGAAAGGGGTGTGGGGGTTATAACCCCCCCCCAGTCTAAGAAATATTTGTCGACAAGCAATTAGCTAAAAGATTAGTCAAAAGTGTTTTTTGTAAATGTTGTCAAAAAACATCGTCAAATTAGGCATACAGTCGGAAAATAAACAAATTCTTGAGATAATTTTGAGATGAATTTTTGCACCACCTGTCACCTAGGGTATTAAATCTCAACAGAAGGGATCGATTTTTAATCAAGTCATTACCATATGAAGGTGTAATTAAGTCACTTTTCGAATGATAAGTGAAAACTACCTAACTGACAATAGCTTTAAACCGAGCCTCGGTTTCAGACATTTAAAAAGTGTCTATTGAGAAATCAACGTACAGAGATGGTACACACGTTCAGGGCCGTCGCTAGAAGTAATAGGCATAATAGACACGGATATGGTACAACGAACAGACACGTTCAACAGACAGAAATGGTTCAATAGACAGACATGGTACCACGGACAGACACGTTCAACAGACAGAAATGGTTCAATAGACAGACATGGTACCACGGACAGACACGTTCAACAGACAGGCATGGTACAACAAACAAACACGTTCAACAGACAGGCATGGTACAACAAACAAACACGTTCAACAGACAGGCATGGTACAACGGACAAACACGCCGTTCAATATACAGGCATGGTACAACGGATGCAATCGTGTTTTTAGAGCCTTAGATCCTGGAACACGGAACACTGCTCTTTGTATCAAACGAATGTCAGGCTCTGGAAACTGAACATCTTCGTTCCCAGGTTTTCGTTCCCAGGTTTTCCGCGTACACACACAGAAAACCTGGGAAGGAGGATGGGAACGAGACCAGTCAACTCAGACCAACACAGTCTTAGGCTTTGCGCATGCAAGGAATACTAAGTTGTTAAGGCCCGTTTACACTTTTGCTGCGATTTTGTGCGATTTTCTTCAGATGGATGTGAAAGAGCGATTTAGTTACTGATGTTCAAATAAAACCTCTTATAGATCAGAGCATTCATAACTAATTACTCATTCACATCTATCAAAAGAGGAAAATCGCAGCAAAAATCGCAAATATAAACGGGCCTCTGTGAGAGAACGAAAAATCATTGAATACAATATTTTTGAATATCTTTTTATTGTTGTTTTGTCCTCTGGGTCGATAAGTTTTAATACAACCGCGTACATTTAACTCTTCATAAAAATATTCAAATATAATTTACGTCTAATAAATTAATAAATAAATAAATTATTATATAAATATACAGCTATAATACACATATGAATAGACTAAGTACAGTGGTTCCTTCTAAGAATTACGAAGGTATTCTTTCTTTCATCATCAAAGCTGCCTTATGGTGTGATTCTGTCTCATGACCTAGTCGGGGATAACCGTTCCTCTTAAAACCCAAATATCTCTTCTCATTGCTGGCCAGGCGAAAAGTGGTATAACCATTGTCTTCCATTTTCATGATAAACAAACACTGTTTTTCTCTGTAAACTTTCTACAAAATTTATAGAGACACGTTAATTTTGCTATCACCAACTTATCCACAGATTATATCCACACAGATTTCAGGATTTATATTACTACAATCCAGAAGACGGAGCGCTGATTGGCTGAACCTCTGGGTGTGGCAACTGTAAAAATTACCTTTGAGATGACTCGCCCTGTTTTGTTCATACACACGTATCTCTTGCTATGTTTTCCTTGAATCTTGAGCTGCCCATCAATACTCGTGGTTGTCAAAATAAGTTCAGCTAAATGATTAAAACAGAAAAAATTATCGTATGGTACCTTTAACACAATTAGATACACTATTCCATACGTGGAGGGGATGTATTAGAGTTTGATAGTTCGCTTGAAATGCATATAACACGATTAACTTGAAATATTAGTTGGCGTTACAAGACACCAACATTTTTTTCTCGGAGCGAATCTGGACTGTGGAATGAAATTAATGGCGGATGTCCGGCCTCGTTCGGCCTTGATGGACTTTTAAGGAGAACAATTGATAAATAGTTAGTCAATCCGGTATTAAGTCAGCTTTGTCCATTAAAAAGTACTTGTTGAACAGTGGTCTGTACTTTTTGACTTAAATGGCATTAACCTTAATTTCATTTTGAAATTTTTAACTGTTAAACATATGCAGTTCCGTAGAAAACATGAAGACTTCAAGCTTACCATATTTATCAGTTTTGTTTGAGTTCGCGTGGATTTCTTTTGAGGTGACCTTTACGAACTGTCCCGTGTTGAACGTATAAAGAAAATACTGGTGGGAAAAGCGCTTTTGTCTTCTTAACGCTGTTCTTAAAAGATGTTCTTCTTTGGATGAAATAGTCTGTGAAAAAAAAAGATATAACTTCTGTTTAGTTCTGGGTCTTGAAGTAACAATACGAATTTATTAAGAATAAGAATAATATTCGGTAATATGACGGGTGTATCTTTAATGACAGATGTTATTCTGTAAAGTAGTATACTGGTTAAGTAATGTCACGCTACAACTCAAATTGGTCCGCCATATTAATACAATACAATCGCTACTATAAAGCCAAACACTCTTGTTTTCAGCTGCAAGAAGTTTTCATCATGGATGCCTATGCTGAAAACTTTCCACAACAGTTTTGCCGCAAGGTTTTTAGCAATAACACTCAACGGAACATTAATTATCCAACCTAGCTATCTCATTTTAACAGCCGCCTCTCTAAAAGGGCAGCCATGTCAGAATAAGACTATTATAATCTTAAATCCTTTCGTGACGTGTGTAGATAAAGTAGGGGATTTAACCGAGTGGCAACGGCAGCTGATGTAATCTTTTGCATCCTGCTGTAACACATACTACTTTAACTTAGTACAGTGAGTGCCACACTTCAGCGCCATTAAGTCCAGTTGCAAAATGCAGGAAGTAATGGTTCTCTCTTATATCGTAGCCATGGAGATGATGTAATCATCGTATGGTTCACACGCAAAGTGCAGATATAATGATAAGTTGATAAATACATGTGAAAATGCACTTAGGTAAAAAAATGATCTTGAACATGATTTGAAGAAGACATAGAGCCCCTTTATGTGCCTCTGAACGCCGATATATCGCCGATAAACTATGAGCTGAGCTGAAGGCTTTATAAACACTTCCCGAATTTGTTTTTCCGGCGAGCCAGTAGAACAGCTCTATGCGGTAACAATAGATTGCCTTTGCCAAATTCATTTTCAAACTATTGTTTTTGGATGCATTCAATCCAAGTTTGGAAAGGGTTTATCATTCCGCTCATTTCAACACTAATCGTCAGAATATGTTCAGCTCTAACACATATCAACTAGAAGTGATTGCTTATCGTAATTACTCTCGACCCAACAGCTCAGTTTTTGAGCGAACGTCACTGTGTGTGGCCGACAACGTCCTAGCTGGGCGGTTTGTAGCAAATGTAAGCTAGACTAGTTAATTAAATTCTCGCGCCGGGCCCCATTCATATTAAGGGAAACGTCAATTTTCAATTGAAATGAATGGGAAACCGGTTAATTGTTGATTTCATTTGTTTATTTGCACCATTAATTGGTCGAGAAAACAACAATTTCAACTCATTATCGTCGTCGGAAAAGCTGTGGTAGTTCGTGTGATCACAATATTCATGACATTTTAATCAGCTTCGTCTGAAGCAGCCCATGCGACAGAAAATCAGTCAAATTGCAGACAAAATTCACTTTGATATTAAACCGGTCAAGTTGTTTCGGGACTTTCATCTGTGAATTCTGACAGTAATTAAGTGAATGCATTTCAAGCTTTCGTCACAATCTAGGCATCATTATAGCCGTTTCTAGGAATTCTGACAATTTTCAAAACTTTTAATTAGAGCTTTTTAGGAATTTGAGTCGCATTTGTAATTCTCATTAAGTAGGAACCCTGTACATTGCAAATAAAACAAATTCCGTCATGGGAAATTCACCATATTGTACATTGTGTAGTACCCAAGTTATTGTATGTAATTTTATCCCACTGTTATCATAGAATATTAACAATAATAATCATATTACTCTATCTTTGTATAGTTTTAGTATACCACTCAAGACGTGTTTTGAAAGGCGCGTTCCTAGAAAGGAAGTTTTGACTACGACATTTACAGACAAAATGAAAACATTTTTTTATCACAAAGCTGTGGGATAAAGGTGTGTTGAAATTTACCGATTTTTGATATGCAGTTTTCGTTCAACTAAGATGCATCTGATCGCTGAAGCAGCTGTTATTAAACGGCAACAACGCAACGCCTTACACACTTATCATCGCGCATTCTCAAATTTCATCAAATTTTGTGAAACGTTTCAAAACTAAGTGTCATCATCGTATCGAAACGACTATCTCTTGTCTCTTGATCTCATGACCTCAATTACATATTATCGTTTCTCAAATTTCGTCACGCAAGCCAGGTGTTTCTGGGGTCTGTGGAAAAACAAACACCAATTGATTCTTCCCTACCTTAGCTGATCTAGTCCTCGTTGAGCCGGCCAAAGGCATCGTTGACACTCTCCTGCAAAGATTTAACAAGAATTCTAAATAAGTAGTTAATCCTCAGATATTCCTCTCGATAACACGATTAACGGCCCCATAGCCACTGGGGATTGTTCTAGAGTAATTGGGAACTCAGACCAATAATGTAATTGATATTGAAGTGATATACCTTGTTTGGAGGTCAACGCAAGACGAATGACATGGGAACTTTGAATCGGAATGCAGGTAGTCAAAATAATACGCTAGCGAAAGCCATGGGCAGTGCAAAAAAAATGATATTGTTGATTTGGTTAGACTGCTTGTATCAAAAAGGAATTGCATAGTTTACAATTTCAACATGTAAAAGCTAAATAGGAAACACCGTGTTTGCACTCATCAGCATTTCACTAATGACCATAATATAATGACTGTGCATATAAGGAACTGATTCGAGGTGTAAAATGTCGTGTTAACCTTAAACGACTGCGCTGTCAAGTCGTGTCAAACGAGACAAAAAGAAACACGGCTTTAGAGTCGCTTTTTCAGCACATACATATGATATCTCGTGATACAAGTAGTTGCTTCGCTAGCAATCGCCTAATAATACCATCCAGGATAGATTAATTCCCTTTCAGCATGAAATATAAATACCTAATATGATTGCCCTTTAAAATATGCACACGCAAGCAGGAATAAACAGAAATTTGAGTGCATTGATTGCATTTGTTCACTGTAAACGCATATTCGTATTAATCTTATAGGCTCTTTCAGGAAAAAAAATAGTTGCATTCGTAATCATGTGCGTACACATATGCTCGTGCCGTGTTTGTAAAACGTTTAGGTGATAAATTTAAAAATATTGACAATATTATAGCGTGGCATGCATTGTGACTATTTCCCCAAATACTTACGTTACGAGGAACTGAAGATAGAATGCGATTATAAGAATGATAAAGTTCATTTTCTTCTTGCTGTTAAATAGTTACGTTCCTCGTTGTACACAGACGACTGTCACTACTTGGTGTATATTCCCTTGCTGTTGTCAGACTTGCGACGCACCGTATTTACTGACTGACTACGCGCACAAGTGCGTCTTATTTATAGCATGCGTACAATGTTTGTCTGTACCCGCCTGAATAAATTGCGTTAAATGCAAATCAGGAAGAGGCTGTTAACTGTAACAGCAGGTGGGCTTCGTGTGAGAGAGATTGGACGGGATAAAAAAGAGCAAACCGCTTTTTAATGATTAGATATTTAGATGTTGTCCAACAGTATGAGATGAAACAGCACCGGTCAGGAAAGCACACGATAGAGCAATCTAATCAATCTTCCCAGCCCATTTTCCCACGGTGAGCGATCGAGACTTGAAGTTGATTATGTTGCCTAATGCATGTAAAAATAAAAATACCATTTCGTTGCCTGGATTTCCTGGGATTATCAACCTCCTCTACTTGTTCTCCGATGTTTTTGACATATTTTTAGCAAAGTCATTGTTGGTGCTGAACACGCCCAGCGCTCCGCAACGAACTGTTTTGCGCGCCTTGTGTTCCTGCGCTGAGAACAACCCCTAAAATACACTGCGCAAAAAAAACAGGAAACTAATACCAAAACCAAACCCAACATCTCAGAACATTCGGAATGCATTCCGGAGCAAGTTATTTGCAATGGCTGACGCCTGATGGCCGAATTTCAAGTGTACAATTTAGACACGAGCGCAAGGCCGAGGAAGTTTTCATTTCTGTGCACTTCTATTGGCGCGCTGGACGGCTTAAACCACCAGAACGGACGTCTCAAAGTAGACTCAACGCTCTCTGTTTTTTTTCATATGACAGGGTCATAACAGGGCGCCCTAAATCAACTTCACTGAAATAACAGTGGCACACAACTAAATAAGGCTGGAAATTTATAGCCCATAATCATTCATTGGTGTTTGTCTTTCACGAGTGAGGCTTAAGATTTTCCAAATATCTCATGCACGCATGAGAAAAATTCTTTTACTACTTTGATCTTGGAGACCGTTAGCGCGCTCGATATTATTGTTTCGTGACACACATTCGCTCACGTCTGTTTCATTTACGGTCCTGTCGCGGAAGGACGGGTGGAAATGCGGATTCGATAACTCTGGTGTTTTCTGAACGTTTAATTTTATGAAATTCCTTGCACGACCTGAATTCTAGCCATGTGGGCGTTGATTTGTTCACTGAACTGCCCTGACCTAGAAATAGGCACAGCGATCTGTTAAACTATTTCCTTTAAAAAAGGCTGTTCAAGGCCCATAACCCGAGGTCACCTCTCTTTTTCCGTCTTTGAGTTCAGCTCTTTGTCTAACTCCACTAAAGCTTAAAGATTCATCGATTTAATCGAGGCTGTTCAAGGGTGCTGTACGTGATGCTCCTTTAAGAAGTCTTTTGCTAGCCATAATTTCTGCTTTCGTTCGGGTAATATGTAAGGTTAATTCGACCTGTGTTCCAGTCTCGTAAATATAGCCGTGATCAAAGAGATTCTCGAAAGTTGTTAAAGTTGTTATCTTTGCAATAGCTAAGTGGTGTAGGTATTCACATTAAATTATTTCGACATTAATCAAGAGCTTTTCATAATGCCCTACGAAACCGCCAGAAAGGTGTGGGAATTTGTCTTCAACACGATAGTGCAACTGCGCGCACTGTCCAATGCCCGATGTCAAAACCTGCTTGTCGTAGTTTGCTTTTAAGTGTAAATTATATTATTCATGTAAAATTGTAATCTGTGGCGTCGTTACAACTTCACGTTACTAAACGTAGATTATAACATCACCACTGTTGGCTGCGATTCGATAGTTTCGATGTTGCACAAACATGCGAAATCACATAATTGACATGTTTTGCGCGCAAGCTGTTGTCACGAGTTTTGCATAATTTGCATTCATCGCGTGCAATAATAGTCGTGAGCAGGGCGCCTGGTCATGAAGCATTCTGGACTTATGTATGAATCGCGGTGAATTTACGAAATTTTGAGCGCGAAATAGCAGGAACAGTTGCGAGCAAAAGTTTCATACGATATATTTTTACTCATGACTGAATATCTTTATTATCGTTGTTCTCAAAATGAGATGGAAGTATTTATCAGCACGAGATCACTTGATTGTATCAGTCAACATTTTAATGATCGATATAAAATGATAAATGCTCTTCTATGAATTATGCTGTTTAATAATATTACAATTCAAAACAATGCGTTGTGAACTCATCGCCAAAGGAGGCTCTTCCGAACGATCTACCACCATCAAGGTAATTGCTGTCACTCTTGTGAAATTGTTTTGACAGTTTAGAAGACACTTTCGTAGGAGTATCGAAACCTTAGGATCTCTTAAGATGTCTTAGAACTTTTGGGGTTGTTGCAAAGTAGTTGTGTGTCAGTCTTAAGACAAACTAACCGGTTATGAAACACTCATAGTGTGGTTCCAAGTGGTTTAAGGTTTCCACATTGCCACTGTCTAGTTCTCCCGAGAACTGAGAAGTTCACACAGTGTTTTGCTCTGCGCGGAGAGTTCTCACTCTAGTTTTTTTCTACCTCGCTCACTGCCCTTCAGGCAGTAATCATTAACGACCATTGTGTTATTACTAGTAAAGGACTTCGAGTCCTATCTCAACATATCAGCCAGCCTTTGGGCGAATTTCTAAAGTAAATAAATAATCACGTCTCTGAGTACTTCACGGAACAAGAATCATACCCACAAGAAAACGACAGAAATATGTCTCGCCCCTGCTGGGATGATCACAAACTCTATATTTTCGCACGAGTTTTGTTGCCTTGTCTGTACTTTTTGACAGGTTTTTTTTGGAATTGTAAGTCCGGAAAGTAGAATCGAGTTTAGCGGTTCATTTCATTTCTCAGTGTGAAACAGCGCGCATATAAACACATCGTGAAAATTCATTAGCACTTTCAGCGCGACCGCAAATGATCTGTGCAAAAATTTCTCATAGCTAATACGTGTTCGTTGTTTAGTCGAGTTGTATGCCTGCAAAAGTTCTCATGAGAATTCATGCGCAACGTGAGATTGACGGGGGCCGAGCCCTAGAGAAAAAAACAGCGATGACTCGTTTGGTTTTTCTAAGCCCAATACTCAACCGCAACGCGATCTCTCCCATCAGAAGCAAAACAGTCACGGCCGGTTGGGGATAACCATGGAATTGGTTAAACTCACCACAATACCCCGCAAGCAATGAATGTATACACACAGACTTACAGACACCTGTGTTTTCATAGCATTCTCACAATGTCATCGTGATTAATTGACATCAAACTGGCTGCGCAATATCCAACTATCTTTGTAATTAAAATCATTAAAATGAAATCACAAACAATGTTTTCTAAATTTCCGCGTATTTGTAAGTTGTAAGCATGCCTAGACTGTCGCGTGCTTTGTTTTTCTTCCATTTAAACAACTTAGTCGATAAAAATACATTTCACCACGCAGCGTTGCCGAAATGCGTGTAGGCGGTTGTTGAAAAAAAACCGCATTTTTAAAACGCCCTTAGTGTATTTGTTCCGGTCGTGCGTGTACACAGACGGTTCAGTTTTGCCTTGTGTATTGAGGTCTAGCATTTTTGGCTCGAGTCTGTATTACGAACTGTGCAATATATAGCAAGCGAGACGTATGGTGGTATACTTCCTTCATTTTTTTTGTAAAAAAGATTATGTCAGTTTGGCAAAGTCTTCAATGAGGCTTAGAGTAAAAGCCTTTGCCAAGTTCCCTCTGCACGCAATAAACTAGTTTATTGTGGTTATACACGAGCTTGGTAAATATTCTAATAAATTTTTGAGGTTTTTCTTAAATCTTGACTCAAACTTGTCTGTTTCTATAATCCGCAACTTCTTTTCCTATAATCCTATCCAGTCTCGTTGAATTCTTCATTCCACGGTTGAAAACTATGCTGCCCTGCTCGATAGGAGTGATATCATGTATAACTTCATGCCGAAATATCAGCTCAAAATGGCTCTCAGTGAAGTGGCAGGGCCATGAGTTTTTGAAAGTACAACGACCTCCTCTGAATTTGTGGCCTTAATCCGAGTCACGGGACGGTGATCAGCGGACGTTTTCGACACATTGATGACGTCAATGTCTGTGGTAGAGGTAATGGCCGATATTGCGGGTAAACGAGGGAAGGATTAAACCTGTGTGAAATGTTTTTGTTGTCTAGCTCAGTCCTGCTTGCTTTTTAGAGCATAAAGCGATAAAATTTTTAAACACACAGATACGGATACGAAGAGAAATGTCATTTTAAGAGTGCTGAAGTTTAATCCTCGTATCCGAGTGTATTGACGTCGCTATCCATACATTTTTTGAGAGGGACCACGGCTAACGTTGGGCTACAAAAATACTAGTGATAGAAGACATCTGATTTGTTCAGCGAATTAGTATTCGTGTTACAAGAATCCAATGTCAGGCCACTCATTACAGCGCCATAGGATCAAGCATACGGTGTCTATTTCCTCTTGTGCTTCGATGATAAATTATTATTAATGAGTTTGAAATGGTTAAAAATGCAAATCATGAAGAGTTTTATGTGGTAATTAACCTTGGCCAAAAGCAATCGCGGTCTCTGATAATGATGTTTCCAACTGCTAGACATGCCGCTAGGAGACTTTTTTGTTACAATAAATGCCTCTTTTGTGTTTGGACGATTTTCGGGCAAAGAGCATGTGACAGCTTTGTAAATCTTGCGAAGAAAAAAGATCGGAAGATATTAAGTGCTTAGAGTTCTTGCTTTGATACGGCTTATTTTTCATTCAGTTATATCCTAAGCACTCTCAGAAGATCACTGAAGTACGTAGCAAGCTTTACATCCATGCCATAATTAGAGACAGGTGCTTGTAAGCTAATTGTTCGTGTACTTGGGCTTGAGATGTTTTCAACGCAATCGTACCGTTTCCACTCGATGCTATAGCGAGTTGCATTTGCAGTCGATGGGAATCAAGTTTTAATCAAGTTAACTCGCGTCTGTGACCAACTGCGAGCGGTTTTATAAAAGCCCCTGCAAACTCGAGACATTCGCAAGTGGTTGCACGCGAGTCAGTAACGAATATACTGCTCTCCTCTGGGATTGCGCATCACACCGCGTGATACCCACTGTGTGGTGATTAGTTGACAGCCTGACAAATGCGCGTCTTATCAGCATAGGGCGCGCGCATTAATTAACCCAGCGCGGCATCAAACAATTCGCGTCGAACATGTTCTCTGAAGGGGGTAATCTAAATGCTAATATTAAGACGCGATGTGGAACTGTTAAATAAACTTTGTCTCCGTTTGCGGTTGGGATTTTGAAAATTGAATAATCGTTTAAGACATTAATCGCTCTTTAAAAGAACATCGAACAAATGTGATTAGTTTTGCTTATGCAATTAGCGATAAATATGTATCTGTGCAGCGATGTTTATTCTGCTGTTAACTTTTAGAACAACAAAGAGCTTTCCTTTAATTAAAGCCAAATTTAGGCTAATTTTTAGGGCTAATATATTCACCAGACGTTTTAAGATGTTTCATTGTAAAGTTTAACAAAAATAGAGGAGCATGTTGCTATTAAAAACTCTTCCGTTTGAAAAAAAACGTAAATTTTTGAAATAAAGATAGTTAGATAGATCGATTGATAGTCGAGATGATAAATATTGTGATAGACAGATTGAGACAGATGGAGAGCTGTAAGGTCGAGAACTTTTATTTAACACATGGTAATTATATTAAAAGCTATACGTGGGAAATTAGTACATCAATAAATCTGATCTATCTAGGTCGCAGGAGCAGTTCACAGGCATACTTTCCCACCAAATTCTATTTACATTTTTTGCTTACACATGAAATGACGATGACACTAAAGATAGACGCGCAAGCTGCGGATTCAAGCGCGGACTTATATGTTTTCATCGTTGACAGAGCCAATGTAGGGGAGCTAGGATAAGGAAGTTGAGGTACTACAGATAACAAGACCACAGATCATTTTGCCGGCTGTATGGAAATCGAATTCGCCTCAAAAGCGCAGCACGTGTGTCCGGCTTATTCTTGTGTTATTCAGGTTTTTCCATCGATGACTCGCATCATGGCCAGGACATTTTTCCTTCTTGATTCAACAACATCACCGTTCACTATCATTTCGTCCAGGATCATGTGAACTTTATCAATATGACACATTATCTGAGAGGTCAGGTTGTTAAGGAAATAACTTGAAACGTAGTGAAAAGAAAATGAGTTCAAAGTATAAATTTATTCACTCCAGTTTTGCTGTAGAGATAAAGCTGGTCTCGATTAAGGTAACTACACTCAGAGGAGCAAAAACGTGCTAAAACGTTTCCTTAATTCTTTCAAAATTTGGAGTTCTTCCGTTGCTTCAGTCCAGGACAAAACATTAAGAATCTTTTGTAAAACTGTGGCTATAAAGGATACATGCATTTCAGTCTAAAAAAGAACAAACGAAATAGCAAATTTCTTTTAGAATTCACCCGCTAATCAATATGATAAACTCAATATATCTACAACAACATCAACTTGGTACTTACAACATTTTTAAAATAACTATTAAGGGTTTCTACGATGTTTTGGATAAACTCTGAGACAGCAAGTTCGTTCTGAAATCGGTAGAAAACAGTCAAAACACTATATTTAGATCATAGATACTCCTTTAAAATTTATACTTCTGGTTCAATTTATCCCTTATTTATAAATGGATAGTATCTATTTTTAGTTTTGGCTGCTTTAAGCGTTTCCCAAAACGTGTGCGTACGCACGAAAAAGTTTCAAACACTTTAAACTTTACACCGCTTCTAAAAAAGTAAAAACCTCGACAAATCTACACAGAAAATGATACTTAAAACTAAACACTATCGTTTTATTGTATTAGCTTGTAAATGAGTGAAATTTATAACGATTTTAACACCTCCATGAGTACACGCACGTATGGAAATCCTTTCGTGCAGTTTAGCCTCAGTAAGCAGTCAGGTATTCACGCGAGCGTATTAAGACTGTAGGCCCCGTTAGGGGGACAATCCGTAATCCTCTGTATAAATACCAAAAAACATCCCGTATCTTATTTTCGAAAACTAAATCTTCAAAATAGTTCGAAAACTAATCTTAAAAGTTTAAAATTAGTTCGAAAACTAATCCTCAAAATAGGATGAAACAGAGATACGATCTATTTTTCACAATGAATGAGGCTTTGGGCTAAATACCAATTTTTTTCGAAAGTAACGATAGTGTGGGTTGTCTTTTCTGAACACTCTTGGGTCGTTCTTACGGTAAATGAACTCTTCCAGGGCTAGAAAAGATCTTAGTCAATGTTGTTCTTGATTTGTTTACGTGTTTCGTGATTTGTAAACGCGATCTCATAATTCTTATTCATTTATTCATTCAGAATTAAAAGCGACCTAGTGTCACATATATCTGCCTTATTTTTCTAAATCTTGCTTATCTCTCCTGAAGGTTATCTTAAAGTTTAATCTTAATTCACAATACCATACAAAATACCAAAAATAATCCATAATCCGCAAACTCCTACAACAGGACCTCATTAGCACAAGCACTTAGAGCGACATCATGTCCAGGCACTTAACATCCACAAGAATTAACGTTAAAAGTACACTTCACCTCGTCCATATCCACTCCAGCAACAAAATACAACGAGGCATATCGTCTATAGACAATTTTATGATCTTTGTATTCCATAAAAGTACACTAAAAAGTTGAGATATTTGAAATTACAAAAAAAGGTAGAAGTCTTTTTTACTTTCCTCCTCCTGGTTTTAACCAATTTATGACAAAAAAACGGTCATCTAACTATCAAGTATCAAGGCCAGGATTTTCTCCGCGTGGAGCGTTAGCAAACATTTGCCGCATATTATAACAAAAGAGTTCAACCTGGTCTGCCCGACGCTGCAGACATTTTCGACCGATTTCTGCTTCGGTTAAAACTCTTTCCTCTCTTTCAAGATCTACATAATACTTCGAAAAGCGCGTTCTACCTTCTTTGGTTAAAATTAAGATATATCGAAACATTTTACGTGCAATTTTCGGTGTTTTTAATCTGTTAATATTTTTCTCTTTTATCCATATTCGGCCGCCATGTTTGAAGCCGCCGCCCGCGATCAGGCGGAAAATTTCTTCGGCTTTTTCATGTAATCCAAACTATTGGTTTCCAGTCAATATGGCTGTTCGAATTTCACGTTTTTCTGGCCTTTTGACTATTCTCCGTCAAAACAACTCGGCATTTCATTGTTTAAAAGCGTACAAAGTAAGTTATGTTCATTTAGTGTTGATCTTTTATTTCACTGTACCATTTTTGTGTTCCTGTTTGAATGCTTTTGTGGTTAAAGATTAAATCATAATTCATAAATCTCTTTTTTAACAGCCAAGTTTGAAACCGCGTGCAGTGTTTGTATGTGTTGGAAGTTGCAGTACTTACGAAGTAAAACCAGAAAGATTGGAGGAAATAGCGAGATCACCAAGTGGATGGGTACCCCCACAGAGTATGTAGGAATACAGTTAGTTATTTCAAAGTCACAATAGTCAAACACCCTCTATTGAAGTCTGAACTCTGAAGATGTTTGTTAATCAGTAATCCCATCTCCTTATCCCAGAACCTGGATCAAAACCTCTTGTTTACTGAACCTTGTCCAAAAGAATGCAGTGTTTTTGCTTAAGAAGTCATGAAAAGCTATAGGTCACTAATCTAGCAATATTTAATTTCTATTTTTCCATTACCATTATTATTTGTCACAGATCCACCTCCATCCTTGCCGTTTCAAATCAGAAGATCAAAAACAAACAACTTGCCAGTTTATGTTGATAAAAAACGTGGAGGAAGTCTAGTGCTAACGGTCATCAGAAACATCAAGGGTGATTTAAATGTGGGTATTATTTTACTCCCTATGTTATCACACAACATTGTAAATAATTTTAAATAGGTTTTTCTGGTTTCCAGGAACTTGTTAAAATGTTAAAGAAAATGTTAGGAGAAGATGTTCATTTTCAAATCAATGAAATAACAAGTCAAGTGAAGATAAAAGGTTATCACAAAGATGCTGTAGTAAGATTTTTAAAAGAACATGGATTTTAGCATTCAGTCTAACAAATAAGGACAAAGATATATATCAGATTATTTATTAAAAACAAAGGTCACATAACCTAATCATGCAAGCAGGCATGGGCTTCACACACAGCAAATATGTAGATGAAATATACAACTTAAATTACACATTGTTTACCACTAGATATTTCAGTTTAGATTACCTTCTTACTAGTATTTGACATCAGTTCCTTGTCAATATACATACACAAATAATACAAAAGTACAATTGAAACAGAAACAACACTGAAACAACATTGTTACAGTACTTATATTTACATCCAGAGTGAAATAGAATTGTATACTGGTCAGTTAAACATAAGAATGTACAACAAACAAAGATGATTGGATGGTTAGTTGTGCGCTTAAGCGTAAGATGTGCCGGTGCGTTTCGGTTTCCAACTGACTTCTTCGACACGGATTTGCCTGACGCGCTTGTAATAGATGAAGCTGTCGATGAAAAATAATATGACCAAAACGAAGCCAAGAATCTGAAATGAATATAATAGATTAATACTGATAAGCGAGTGTCAAATATGACATCAGGAAATAATCATTAAAGGTTCCTATTTCACTGACCACACAGAGAATAAGGAATCCATCAGCAATATCATAAGCCCACTGAGCCAGGAGTGCTGAGCCAAAGAAAAACAGAAATAGGAAGGACAGGGAATAGCTAAGCATGAACACAAACAAGGAGTATTCTCTTTGCCATTTTCCGTACACCTTGCTTGCACACACACCAACACCATGAACCACCAGGATGATCAGCAACGAGGTCCAGCATAAACCAGCCACAATTATGTAGAAACCATAACGTGAAAACAGGCTCCAGTCATCAAAGTTGAGAATCAGAATGAATGCCAAAAGGGACACAATCTATAGAAAGATGCATGGAATTAAGATAAACCTTTATAACTATTTTCTTGATCAGACCACAGGCAAATAGAAGTCACTGTCAAAGACCAATTTTTTAACTGTCAGAGATGTGAAAATATCAGTTAAATTGTATATTTTATGAGATCCTAATCCTATGTGGTTATACACAATGTACAAATGTACAAGTACCAAAAAGTGAACCAAGGAATAGGGTAATGATTTTCTGCATGAGGCAATCTCTGTTAATAGATTATATTGATTGAAATGCACTATGAATAGTGTTTATAACTTTATATTATGGCGCACAAGAAACTTACAAATTCTAAGATCTTTATAAGACCTTCCAAGCTGATGAAATACTCTAGCCAACGCGTTGAGCCAGCCATACGGACGTCAAATTCCCTTTGAACCGATAAGAAATATAAGTAAAATAACTAATATTATATTATGTTATAGGCAAAAGATGATGCCATACATTGAAATCGTACTATATAACCTTAATACAGGAAAAAACATTAATTCACTAAATCCTATCGCATAATACAACAATTAGAACTTTATTTTACAATCTATACTTCGTCAATAAACATGGATTGAAACATTGTAAAACAACGTTATCGAATGTAAACACATTCCATTCTCGAGTCAATATGTAACAATTTTCTAACAAGTTTTTCTGCATGTTCAAGCCCAGAGATGTCAATTCAAGGCAACAAAAAGCACAAAATGATAAAAAATAAGTCGTACTTACGTCTACAACCCCACTTTTTCGGCCGAATTTAAAGTTATTCACGAAAAACCAAAACAATTTTCAGATACAAACTTTTTGGAGAATCTCACGATCGGAATGTTCTAATCGCCTCGCTTCAGTGCTTCGCCTGAGAACACGCCTGCTTTGAGGGTGTGCGATTGCGGCTAAGCGGGTCCGGCGGGCTACATGTAAAAACGAAACTATATCAATTTATGTCATTATTTTGACGTATTGTTTCTGTGTTTATAAATTATGGTTTAATTTTCTTTAGAACTTCTTTTTATCAGGATGTCTTCTCATGAGGAGAAGGGTAAGTAGACATATGAAAATTTGAAATAAATAGCATCAATGGTGCAGTGAAATATACTGTATGTGTGGTTGACAAGTTGTGTTTTATACAAGTAATTAAAATTTTTGAAATTGCACACATATTGGTGGATTTCATTATTAAGCATTTTTACTGAAATGTTTCAACAATTGTGAAGTAAGTGGACAAGTGAGAAGGAATTGCACTGGATGCAAAGCTAGAGCATAAGTAGTGAAAAACTAACCAACTTTGATTAGCTGGGTCTCTCTTCATTACATGTTGGCCAGTGGCCACCACCCGCACGAAATCCAAGAATATGCATTATATATGTTGTATGAATACTAATTATGAAAACTAAACAAAATACTGTTTAAAATGTATTCCAGAAGCAGAGGCAAAGGGCACAGGGGAGAACAGCTCAGATGCGACCAGTAATGCTAAGGGTGCTGAAGGTGCAGAGGGAGATAGTTCAAGTGGTGGTAAATATCCCCCTTCTTGCTACTTTCTTCTTACATCCCTCTTCTTACATCCCTCTTCTTACATCCTTCTTCTCTTCTAATATAGATTCAGTACATTTAATCCTGCTTGCTTTATAGATCCTGATCTACCAAGCTTCCTTCAAACTCTCTTTGCAAGATTGGGAATAAGCAAACCTGGTGAACAACAACAGAAGGAGCCTGAACACGAGCAAGTTCTTGATGAAGTTACATTTGAAGGAATTGCAAAATACATTCAGACGGGAAAATGTATGATCATAGAACGATGCGAAATACACTATATATATATTAATTTAGGCTGCTCTGTGAAAATGAAAATCGCAACGGAAATTGAAAGCGAAAACATACCTCTAAGTTGTCATCCCTTATTCGATGCAGTCTAGCATCACTCCAAAGACGTTTGACGATTCTATGCAAATTAGAATGGTCAATATGGGGTGCAATTATTGTGACCACCTTCAAATGCAAACTTTATATGGTATTCATCAATTTAAAACATTTCAGGTCAAAATATAGTAACAATGGCAGGTGCTGGGATTTCAACTTCAGCTGGTATTCCAGATTTTCGAAGTCCAGGAAGTGGACTCTATGATAACCTACAGCAATATAATCTTCCGTATCCTGAAGCAATTTTTGATATTAGTTTCTTCAGAGTAAGTGCTTGAAGTAATACTAGTTTGTAATGATCAGTCTCTATTAATGACAACTGACGGATTGTTTTTTTTAGTCAAATCCTGAACCTTTTTTTAAACTGGCCAAGGAATTGTACCCTGGAAATTTTAAGGTTATTAAAATTTTTAGTATGCATTTCATTAGAAATTTTATTTCATGTAAAAAGGCAGTCAGGCAGATACATTAATGCTAAAGCCTGGTATATATCTAGGTGTCTGTTATCAACTGGCATTTGGCATTGACTGTCTAGTTTAGTGATGTTTTGGTGTATTGCCAGTAATAGGTTATTTATAATATATAACCTTACTTAATTATCATGTATATATTTTTATATCATTAGCCAACAACATGTCATTATTTTCTCCATTTACTTAATGAAAAAGGATTGCTCCTTCGCCATTATACTCAGGTAAGACGGAAGCAATTTGCATTCAACAAATTCCAAAACCTTTCAAAAGTGAATTGCCTGGATCATTTTAGAACATCGATACTTTGGAACGGATTGCTGGTGTTCCTGGGGAGAAACTTGTAGAAGCTCATGGTACATTTCACACAGCGCACTGCTCACAATGTCGCAAAGAGTACACGCAGGAATGGATAAAAGGTTAGTTGGTTTGTAATCTTATTAACGAAAAACTATCTGCAAAACATTAGGAGAAATATTGGGCAAGCACTCAAGACACTATTCAAGACACTATGGTCATTGCTTGTATTCATTGGTGTAATTTTTAGATCAAATTTTTGCTGACAATATTCCAACATGTGAAGGTGATTGTGAAGGTGTTGTTAAACCAGGTGTGGAAAAGTATTTCATGCATCAATAACAAGCCACAATAAAAGGAATATATCAAGAATTGCCATTTAATTTAATTTTTTAGATATTGTATTTTTTGGTGAAAGCTTGCCTGATCGTTTTTCACGACTTCTTTCACAGGTTGGTCATTTTTCTCGAAACAGTATTGTCCTCCTAAGTTACAATTTCTTAATTCCCTTTCATACCATATTATACCAACCCATATTATACCAAACCATATTATACCAACCCATATTATACCAAACCATATTATACCAAACCATATTATACCAACCCATATTATACCAAACCATATTATACCAACCCATATTATACCAAACCATATTATACCAAACCATATTATACCAACCCATATTATACCAACCCATATTATACCAAACCATATTATACCAAACCATATTATACCAAACCATATTATACCAACCCATATTATACCAAACCATATTATACCAAACCATATTATACCAAACCATATTATACCAAACCATATTATACCAACCCATATTATACCAACCCATATTATACCAACCCATATTATACCAAACCATATTATACCAACCCATATTATACCAACCCATATTATACCAAACCATATTATACCAAACCATATTATACCAACCCATATTATACCAACCCATATTATACCAAACCATATTATACCAACCCATATTATACCAACCCATATTATACCAAACCATATTATACCAAACCATATTATACCAAACCATATTATACCAAACCATATTATACTACTGTTCACCATATCATATCATGTTATGCATATGTATTTGTATTTATAAATTTTAGCATAGTTGGATGAATAGCCATGTAATGTGGAGATGCCTTAATAAACCATTATTATTATTATTATTATTATTATTATTATTATTATTATTATTATTATTATTATTATTATTATTATTATTATTATTATTATTATTATTATTATTATTATTATTATTATTATTATTATTATTATAATTATTATTATTATTATTATTATTATGCCATATCTTACCATACCACACCATATCATATACCAGTATGTCACTATGATACCATATACTGTACAAAAATGATACCATATACCAGCCCACCATGCCATACCATACCATACCAATACCATGCCATACCATACCATGCAATATTACAACAGCATATACCATACCACACCAGACCATGACATGCTACTTCATATTTGGTACCAATATACCATACTATACCACACTATGCATACAACACCATATCGAACTAAAACTATACCATACCACACCTCATCTCCAGGATATGCCAAAATGCGATCTGTTAATCATAATGGGAACCTCGCTTAGTGTTCAACCGTTTGCTTCACTCGTTGATCACGTCACGGAGACCACACCACGTCTGCTGATAAATCGGGATAAATGCGGACAAAGAGGGGTAAGATTTTATTACAAAGCAGGATTCCACTGGGTAATATAAAATACCACAAAATTGCTAACAGTTTTATTCAACTTTTTGTCTATTATTATTAAGGGGGACTTTTCTTTTATGTTTGGTGGTGGAGGATTGCAATTCGATCATCCAAAAAACTACAGGTAAAAAAATTGCAGATTTATTCCAGGTTGTTTGCGCTTCAGGCAAGCGACTGTGGGCGAGCAATAGTTTCTATTAGGCCTGTTCATAGTTCGAATGATTGCGAAATAGAACGATAAAGAAAGTTTTTTATTCAAAAAATGAAATGAAAAAAAGTGAATCAGAATAAAAAAATGTTTTCGCTTTCAATTTTCGCTGCGATTTTCGTCTTTTGATTGATGTGAACGAGGGAGTATCCAGCTTTCGTACAACTAGCCCCAGTGACGTATCCATTAGATTGGACAGACACAGGTAAAACCATTAACAAACGATGAGTAATAGTAATTTCTTTTTGAAATTACAGAGATGTGGCATGGTTGGGATCTTGTGATGATGGCTGTCTTGCGTTGGCAGAATTACTTGGATGGAAGGTAAGGTTTTCTCATAGATATAGATCTCGTTTTGTTTTCCTTTCGTTTTTCGCTTGTTTTGTAGCTTCGCTGCTTCTTTATATAGTTTAAAACTCTGCCACAGCGGTTTCTATGATGTGCGAGGATATTTTCTGCAAATTTGAACGCTTCTTTTTCATAACAGGAGGAGCTTGTGAAACTGGTTAAAAATGAACACGAAAAAATTGACAAGATGGCAGGCAAAGAAGACAAAGAAGGGAAATGTGATGAAGCCAAAGCATTGGGCGTTAAAGACGAGGTGAAAACGCAAGGTGAATGCGCAGATAGCCAGGAAGTTGACGAGAAACGATGTGAGGAACAGACTAAGGTTAGTGACACGGTGAACGTGGAGAAAAATGATGTTGAGGATGGTAGTAAGTCAGAACCAAGCACATGAGTATATCTGTTTTAAATTATTTTAAACCAGATCCATCTTTGCTGAAATATAGTAGTCTTTCAATACCTAAATTGTTAAGCCTGGTTTTCTGACAGCATATATAGTAATTTATCGGTGATGTCTATTGTCGGTTGCGTGTATTGATACATAAAATGCTTGTCTATCCAAAGAATTATCTACTTCATTGATCACCGACAGTAGATCGTAGAACATCGCCGAAGAATTACGACATATGAAAACCAGGATTAAATATTTGAAATATAATCTGCCACGCAAATCACCGCATACGGGGAAAGGTTGCGCAATAACTTGTAACCTACTCGACTTATCCAATATAAGTACACCGAAATTATCATCTGTTTTTAGCAGTTTTAAACAGGAATCCTAACAGGAACTTTAGATAATATAGCGGGAAATATATTCCGTAATTACGCCAGAAACAGTCGACAGAAATCTTTATACTGTTTATTAATGAAAACATTCTCATAAATTAGGTGCAGTCTATGGTTATTCCTACCGCACAGTACATAGGCAATTGCACTGCACATGAATTTAGTTTGGTAACTATTATTAGGGAATTACTTAAATAATAATAATACGATTGATGAGTCGGGCAATAATCAGCGTGAATTTGTTAAAATTAGTTAGAAAATGTTAGAGTTCACTCGTCGTTTGGCAACCAATTTAACCATTGCAGAAATTCTGGGAATGATATAACGCCATTTCCGTCTTTATCAAGCGATTTCTTTGCCTCGTCAATCTTATCTCTTGGACAATTGATTGCAATCATTAACTGTCTGAATTCATTCTCGTCAATTGACCCGCTGCCATCGGCGTCAAATTTTTTAAACATTTCAACAGCCTTTTTCAGTCGATAAAATCTGGAAACAAAAGATTACAAATAAGTTTGCTATTCAGCCGTGCTTTGAATCGTCGAATGCACTTAGACAATAGATAATGAAATGATAATAATGGATATAATAAGACCAATCATATTATCATAATACTATCCATGTATATATCATCATTGTATACATTCTGCAGTATACCTTCAGCAAGCCTATATAAATTTTATTAATTTAACCAACGACAACGTAATTCGTCGGCACAAATGATTCTTACTGTAATGGGGAACGGGAGTCGCCCGGAATCCCAACTGTCACAACAGGTTGCAGTTAATTTAAATTTGAATATGATCTTTTATAAACCCTGCATATTTTAAATATGTTGACATTCTAGAGGAATGATAACACGTATCTCAATTAGAAAGATTTCGGAATAAATATTGCATTGTAAAGAATTACGTCAAAGCTATTGACAACTGCGGCTTCTGGCGACTATGAAGAAAGTTTGATTGATAAATAGATCAAACATTGTAATTAAACTCAAAGTAATGAATCATCAATCACCTGCATTTATCGTTGGCATTCTGAAACTTCTCGCCGCTTGTAAGCCACTGATGCAATTCTTCAAAACTTACTGTCTGGTTGCCATCTTTATCCAACATCATGCTGTAGGCTTCAGCCTGGTCCTTTGTCATACCTAAATCACCTTGAAATAGCCCCCGAAGTTCGGTTTGATTAAGCACTCCACTCTTGTCCTTATCGTATTTCATAAATAGACTACGAAGAACAACTTTTGGGACGTTTTTGTCAAAATAACTGGTTGCACCCATCATTGGCGTAGCCATGTTTGCGATAGAAAATATATACAATGAAAGCTGTGAGAGGAATTTCACTTGCGAATTATTCGCTGCAATCGCGTTGTCCAACACAAGCGGAAGTTTGGCTTGGTAGGTGGGTGTTGTTGTCGGTGGTTTACATGCATGAGTATGATAATATATGTGTGAAGTGTCAAATATATCAAGTACCCAGCCATATTAAGAAGAAAACTTGTTGTTTGGGTCGTGTGAAGTAGAATCGTGTGAAGTAAAAAGAATATATTATGGAAAGATTAAGAGATGAAATATCGTAACTTTTCAAATCTCATCAATTTTTTGAAGAGCAATATAAACTGGGTATTATAACACCTTCGTTCCCTGCGAAATGAAAGATTGGAAGAAGAATTTGAAATGAATGAAATGTCGGTAAGGGTGATAAGAGAAAGATCGGCGATAAAAGTAAAAAAAGAAAAGCAAGGGGTTGGTTTAAAAAGCAACTGCAGAAATGTCTTAATAACAAAACGGGGGCGAAAACAAATGAGAAATATTGAAAATTTTAATGAATTGAAATTTGATATGGTTACCTTGGACACCGCAACGCACGTCGGAACATAGTTCGGAAGAAGATGTCACTCCCGACGAGTTTTATTAGTCAAGGATTGATCTTGAAATGTATTCCACTGTTGGTGTTTTAGTAAATATTCATCAAGACGAGCTTGTCTTGTTTGAAAATGACTAATGCGACGTTGGATTTTACGGTTAATAAATGGCGTGAAAATCTCGTTCGAGGAAAGGACTTTGATACGTGGGGTCAATTCGTAGAGGCCAGTGAGGAATATCATAGGTTAGTTGTGAAGATGTCTGCTGTTTTTTGCAATGTAATTTGCAAAATATTGTTTACTATTATGCAATATTACAACATTAAGGCGTGTTATAAATTTTAATTCTTGCACTTAAAGGATTTGCTATTAAATAGCATGTATCAATTTGCAAGTTTTTTAGCAAACAATTAACGTACGTCTCTCACGAATCAGAGAGATTGTTGCAAATTTGCAACTTTTTAGAGACCCCGTGTTGCAATAATTTATGAGAGTGCTGTCCTAATATTATTCACATTAAAAATTTATACATTTGTTACATGATTTATACTTATTTGGTACATTTTCATTAGGGCAATGTAGTCGAGTCAAAATACTATGGTGTAGCATTACAAATTAGATCCTTCGTGATAATCTAGATGTGATAATCTAGATGTGATAATCTAAATGAATATTTATTGCTTAACTTGCCCATCATGGGTTTTTTCTGTGTGTAGATTATCTCGACAACTTTCTAAGCAACTTGCACCAGAAGAAAAGTTACTCAATGTTGAACAAAAGGTCTAACATTTATATTATATACAATATGTAATTCCAGTAATTAGCAATGAGCTGAAATGTATACTCCTTTATATGCCAAACCTTTTTACTTGTCATTGGGAGAGTATTGTCAGACCCAGTAGGTTATTAATGCCTTTATATTTCTACTATTGATGCTATGATTATTTGGCAGGAAATAATTGCAAAGGTAGCTGCCTGTCTTCATTTAAGAAGCAGATTCCTGCAGGTATTCCTCCATAACAATTTTACAGTCCTGTAGTGTTTGTGTTATTCGAACACCACCATTATTGCTGCACGATTGCTTTTAGAATCTGCAAGATGAAGAAATCACCCTTGATGACATCAGACAACTCTGTCTGGGTAATTATTTATAAACAATGCAGTCGATGCAAGACTTTATTGCTAATATGTGCTTCAGCTTGTTTCATGATCAGTTTTAGAAAACATCTTGTCAGAAGAGAATGAAATATTCCCAATTAAAGTCGACCTTCCTGAGCCAGTGTGAGTTATATAAGTTAATATATAATTATCACATTCATGGCATATGGCCTTCTATACCTACATAAACATGCAGCATTGTCATTTTATTTATATGATCTGGCAGCTTTCAAACAAACAATAATTTAATTTTGGAAGAAGAAGTTCAAAAGGATCAAGAGAGCTCAAAAGGTGGCATTTGAAGCCTTACTTTTTTGCATTTTATTGCAGTTTGATTATAATTTCAGTATTAAAATGTAAACAAATACATTATCTAGATCTTGGTAAACTTCTACCCAGAATTCCATACAAGAAAGGTTATCACAGATTAACGATAAAAATAGTTAAAATTGGATTAAAAGATACTTCCGAATTTATTAATCCATTTATCACCGTTTCCGTGAAAGGTATTTTTTCATTCAATGTTTCACTAATTCCCTCAAAAACACACTCTTTTGACGTATATGGCGGCGCCAATCTTGTGCGTGTCTGATTTTGTTTAATTTCGTAAAAGGTCCGGATAATGTCGACATTACCGTTCCACAAAACACTCCAACGGCAAAAAGAAAAGAAGACCGAGATATTCATTTTGATAGCAACGTTGAACTGCAAACAGCAATAGAAGATTTACCAGAAGGTATGTGCTTTCAGTGTAGTTATTTTTCCTGGTAATGATCCTTCAACTACTCGCGATCAGAAAGTGAAAGTATTAAGTATGTCTTCTCTCACACAGGTTCAGCGATATTTTTTGAATTTTACCATTTTAAACCGAAGAAGAAACGAATCAGTACCAAATGCTGGACATTTATGGAGCTGGACGAGATACGAGCTGGTTCGGCATGTCTTGAATTGTAAGTAAAAAGTAAAGTACCTGAAATCTTCGACAAGATTGTATGCGGAGTCAGTGGACGGGCAAGAGCCAAGATTTATCAGAAACGGCCGGGCTTTATAGTGAAAATATTCTATTCCTTCCAGGTATAAAAAGCCTACAAATTTTGGACGAAAAAAATTCAGTCTACTCACAATAAAAGCACTGTATCTACACGTGTTTCTCGTTATCCACGACGATGTTGAATGAACTGCATTTTGCATTTTGCATTTTCCGCTGCTAAACAGGTAGAAATTCAACTTGGTAAACGTCTAAACGAAGTGCACTGTAGTGCACTCCAGACTCCAGTAGACATTACAAATCGTACACCCAAACCACACACAAATCTAATTGTAAATATGTTCTATCAGTACCTACGATAAACTAGTATTTAACAACTAAAAATTGCTTTAAAGTTTTTGTCGGTCTTGCTAGTAGGGATAAAGTCGTATTCCTTAAATATTTCTGGTTTTTAATTGTCTTATAACCAGCTTTCTTCATAACAAGTTTACAGTTATCTTCAACCGCACGAACTGTGTTCATTGCAATCGTACTTCTCCAAAGATTAGCTTGTTTTAACGCGTCTCTTCTTGTTGTTCTGAACGGTTCCGAGTTATCAACGGTTCCTGACCATCTCGTGTTCTCTAGAAGCCACGATTTGACGTGCTCTGTCATGTTCAAACCTGTTGCTTTGAAAACTTTCCTCACAGCCGAGAAGATGTTCGCAACCAGATCCTCGTAACGCAACAACATGTAATTTTTAGAAAATTCCGAAGACGTGTTTGTAGCAAACTTGAAATTGTCGTTCATACGATTGCAAAACTCTCGGATCTTTGCCAAAGTATCGGAGGACTTGGAAATCCAACCAAGACGTTGACGCGAGGCCACGATAGCGCGAGGATCGCGTATCAAGTGTATGATTTTGAAATTTCCTGAATTGCTGAATTGCTTGAAAATCTCTTCCAACATCATTCGGTCTGATAATATTTTAACCGCAACTTGTTTATGACGTCGACACACAGCGCTTGTCTTCATTGGTTCCAAACGGTTCGTACAAGCGCCCTGTTCTTCAATGTGTCGACTTGAAATCTTCGACTTGTCTTCACGCGGTTGGCATAAAGGTGGTGAGGACATAGCTTTGCTCGAATCCCTAAAAAGTGTCGAGGCAAACCCTGGATGGGAGATAAAATATAAGTACAACTCATGGTTGGTAAAGTTACATCGAAAGCAGTCCCGTAGTAGAGTCAATGAGTCGTGTTTTAGCTGTGAAGGTGTCTTAACTCGAAGTTTGTCGAGTATCGTGTACATGTACAACGGTTCGTAAATGTAAAACGCGTCTTGATGCTGGTTGAACACTTGACCGAGGAAAGAGGATCCCGAGCGTGCTGGTGCGTAAATTAAAACGTTCCGTCGCTGCGTTTCGTTACGCTTGGCTCCCAGATCGTGCAAAGACCATAGGCACGCGAACAGCAGGAACAAAAAGACCACTGGGATGACTACAACAAATCGTCTTTTACTGTCGGATTTCGTTCGCGCGAAAAATACATCTGAATTCGTCGCCATTTTGATCGAGGTGATCTGATGTCTTGCTTCCTCATTGCAAGAGCTTAGCATGATCTCAGTATGTTGTTTCTTTCCTACCGTAAATATTTACACAAATGTTTTTGTTTACATATCCACACTTGAAAGATTCGTATGACAAGTTGAAATTGAAAAGGCATCGTTGATTACGGAGGATCAAATTGTGGCAAAAAACACAGGCGGCTTGAATGATCTCGTGCCTACGCCAATGGCTATAATGATCAGTTCACGCCGAGTTTTCTTTGTTTTATTGCTGGTGCTTAGATATCTTTCGCACGCATGACGAGAACACAAGCGAAGCGTTTGACACCTAGTGGTTTCAACGCTTTCGTGCATCCAATTTTGAAAACTAAAATTTACTTCCAACCTCGAAGCGTGCGGCGATTGCTCGGAAACTAATTATGACGTCAAACGGTTCGAACATCTTAATTAAGCCATTTGTAGTGTTAATTGAAGACTAATTAGAAGAAGCGAGAGGTATTCATTTGAAGATGTTTGGTACAAGAGCGCAAGGAAAAGTGTACAATTTTGTCCATGCAGATGAAATTTGGTATGAAGATCTTACAAGTGCGATTCGTTCAACGTCTTGAAAACGTTGTACATTATGTCGAAATTTTAAGGCGTCTTTTATTATGTGCTTTTTGAAACTTTGCAATGAGAATATTTCTATAATTCTGGCTTTTTTGTAACGCAGGAAGGATCATGTTATACGTGAATTGCAGTCGCAAAAGAAATGGACCGAACAATGGGGATATTTGTTTGAAGAATATCAAAAGGTAGCACATTCTTCTTAATACATACGATCTGGAGAAAAGTTGATCTAATTTTTGCCATGCGCCAAGAACTTTGTGGTCCACATTGCAAAGCTAAAGATATGTGTGCAAATGTGCCAGAAACACGTTGTTTCGAATTTCTTCTTTATAGCTTCAAGAAAATTTGCTAAACATTGGCAGTGAACTTGAAGAGGAGTTGGAAATGAAACAAGCGCTTGAACTGGCACAAAATTTAGAGCAGAATTTGGAGTGCAGTGATCTGAAACTCGAGGAGGTTGAAGGCATCCCGCTTGTAGCCAGACAAGGTCTCGCGGATTGCACGGTCAGAAAAGATATATCGAGTCATATTGCAAGATTGCAAGAAAATGCCAAAGGAAAGAACGATATTTTAAAAATGTTACAATGGCCTCGCGAAGGTGTGATTTAAGTTCGTTTGAAGAAGGGTAGTGTTTTTGGAACATACTACAAGACGGAGATAATTTGGAGGTTTTTTGTATGTAAATACGTTTTTGGCGTTGTAACGTGTTAAATAAAAAGTAAGTGTATATTCCCGTAAGCCAAAATTTTGGGTTTTGTTTTTTTTTCTTTTCTGCGCAAAAAAACCGCGTTAAACTCGTTACTGCGAATAAAACAAATATATTCGTTTTATTGCGAATAAAACAAATAATGCTTTATTAGCAACCTATTTTTATAGTTGAAATAACAAATTTTAATGATTGTATAACAAGTCTTAACTATATTTTGTTTAGTGCTGATAAGAACAGAAAGTTAATTCTGGTTTACCATTAAGTCTAAACTTAGGCATGGCCAACCGACCACAACTAATGCAGGTTGTAGAAAAATATTCAAATGTAAATGATCTGACTGTTCATTTTTTGCGATATAGGAAATGTATTTAATTATTATTTATTATCAAATGTTATGTTCTGTTAGCTGGCAAAAAGGTCCTCAGGTAGACGTGAGTTAAGGTGGCTGTGTGAGGCTGGAGGAAGACCTTGTGATGCATCCTTAGAGAGAGAGAGAGCGACGTCCTAGTATCAGTCTATGGTGATGTGCCTCTGTCTACAAGCACAGGTTCCTCTGTTTTCTTCGGCCGACCACGCCCTCTTTTTGCTGCTGGTCTTTCCATCTTGGCTGGTTTCTCTTCTGCTGTCTTACCCTTTCTACCTTTAGCAACTGTTTTCTCAGAATTTGAAGATGATTCTTGACGATCGGGTGATTCTGTTGTTTCTAACTTGGATCTAGATGTTCTTCCAGGCACCTTAGAAACCTTTGGCTTCCTAGCAGCTGCAGCCCTTAAGGGCTTGACAGGGCTTGCCACTCTCTTATTTGATGAGCTTTTGGCAGGGCTGCTTGGTTCTTTTCTTGAAGACTTTGATGCAGGTTTGCGACTAATTGGTTGTCTGGTAGGTTTTAATGGTGATGCATTGCCTTCACTGTCTTCCTGAAATGAATAGAAGCACTTTCAGTCTGTCATACAGTTATGCATGGAGGCATTAGATGGCATTGTCCCACATAGCAGTGCTGAGGAGTGGTCAGGGAAAGATAGTCTTGTTAACCTATTTGCCGCAACCTATTCTATGCAAGTATTATTAATCTTATTTATGTACCATTTCATTTGACCAATCTTCAAATGCCTCATCATTTGAAGCACTTGAACAGTCGTCTGTTTTGAACTTTACTGTTTGGCCATCATCTGGGAATTTTCTTTTGCGAAGTCCATCTTGAAATATTTTTCTTAACTTGTTGTAATTGGGTGTTTCATCATACTCCAGTGTCGCAATTGATTTGAAATATTGTTCCAACTCATCTGAAAACAAATATCCTTTGAATTAGTTTCTGTGCCTCTTTCCAACTTGTATGTTTCGTCATTACCGATTATATTACCAGCTCGTTGATCTTTCAAGCATTTTCTCAAAGATTGTGGAATATTCTCCATTAATCTATAGAAGAAAATACAAATTTTCTGTTAGGTAACAACTGGCAGATAGTCCACAGTGATACATTTTGGTACAAAATGGCTAGCATACAAGACAAACTGCTGCAGTGTACCTTATTTTTGAATTCATGACATAATCTTTATCATTCAAATTGTCTTCCCATGGCAGTTTACTACACAACCACTGTAACATGACGTAGCCAAGGATTTCAAGGTCTGTTCTTCGAGAAGGAGCTACGCCCTTATGCGCATCTCGACTTGTGAATTCTATAGTCCCATCGTGCTTTCGCTTGGGGTCTTCTTTGTATTCTTTATGGACCCCGTCCGTATTGAAGCGATATGCTAGACCATAATCCAGTAGAAATACCTGTTGAATGAGATCAGTCATAAACCTGAAGGATGATATAGTACCTAACAATAATGGTCAGTACCTTTTTACTATATCCCATCATCAGGTTGGAGCCTTTGATGTCCGCATGGACGTAGCCTTGTGCATGAATGTATTCAAGGATATCAATCTACATATGAAAAGTCTAATGTAACTTAAAGTAATGTATAAACAAGTGTTGATGTCTCAGTTGATAGTGTTTCACCCTGTGTTGAGAAGAAACACATCACTTACAATGCGAATTGCTAGGGTGAAGGCAGTTTGGATGTGAAACCGCTTGCCATATTTTGCAAATATCTGATCAACATCATCGGCAAATCTCTCCATTATCATGAATCTATATTTTGAACCACCATTTTCATGTCCCCCTGAACCAATGTATGCTGGAATGCCCAGAAACTTCAGTTTGTGAGAAGATATCCATTTGTTAACTGAAAAATGGATTGATGGTATTTCATAAGAGGTTCCACATAGGGCAATTTATAATACTATAGCCTAGCTGGCTGGCTGCATGGTGAAGTTGATCAAATTCTCAACAAAGAAATTTGTGTATACTTGTTTCTTCCTTAGCAGCTCGCTGATAAAATGCAAGTTCTCCAAAAAGTGGTCCATTAGAATGTGGTTCCTGTGTGTGAAAAAACAATTCTGTGACTACCATTCAATGGTTTGGTAATCTTCACAATTAAACATTTGATTGCAAAACTTACAACTTTTGCAACATAAGTTGCTTTGTCATTGACAGCCTTGTCTGTATCAGGTGATGCTAAGCAACAGAAATTATTGTAAATATATTCAGAAATTATGTTGAGTGTGGTGGCAGTTACCATGCCAAACCCCCCCCCCCCATTATCTTTTATTCCTGTTTTTAAATTCCTATAGTGTATTCCAATAATTTCATATTTGAACGACAAAGTTCTCTACCATAATACAAGGCACCAAAGCCTCCCCAGCCAAAAAGATCGCCCAATCGCCATCGTTTCTTCAACAAATCGACCAGCACCTCCCCGGGTTTGAGGTCTGGCATCCCTTTTGGTTTTCGTGGCTTTTTGACTTTTTCTTTTGCAGTTTTAATTTCATTTGCCGGGGCTTTTCTTTTACCACGCTTTCCTGCAGCTGTACTCATCGTAAAAGGTAAAATTACGGCTCAACTTCGATAAAACTGCAGTTTATAGAACTATGATAACAGGAAAGAAAATTTTGTTTTGAATGTTTCGAAACAAATATTCCGTAAAACTTTTCGCGCCAAATGACCTACATGCCTGGAAATTTAAATATTTAAAATTAATTTATTCAAGTTTTTCTTTTAAATTCTGAACTTTGAAGTGACTTATTTCTCCTATTTTCATAATTTAATAGAAGCATAAGCGTAACGAGTGAACCATAAGGCGGCAGGAAATATGATGTTGCTTTCGTTTCGCAAATTACAGACCATTTTTGTTTTTAAAAAAGGTTCAAAGCGGAATTTTTACGTTTGCAAATCAGGCCGAAGCAGGCAAACGCCCTTAGCTCTCATTATTCATTCGGTATTCGGTAATTTCGGTTATTCGGCGCGAACCTCGAGCCTCGAAGAACAGTGTTGCCAACCTTGGGATTTTATCCCAAGATCTTGGGATTTTTTAAGGCTGTTGGGATTTTTTTGGGATTTTTATTTTTTTAATAAGACCTTGGGATTTTTCTTGGGATTTTTTAGAATAGAGACAAGATAATGTTTTAATAATGATAGTTGTAATACTGATTAATCTGCCTGCTCGGTATAACTGTTATTCACTAAATATTTTAATATACCATACAGAGTATACAGCAGTTAAGTGATGAGATCAGTGAGAAGGTTTCTTCCTATCGTTTATACTTTATACAAGACCAAGTATTTCGCCAGGCTTCGGTTAACGCGCATGGCTGAACACTTCGCCTGATGAGGGGACCTGGGAACTAATGAAAAAAATCTTGGGATTTTTTTGGGGGAAAATAGGGAATCTTGGGATTTTTTGGGAGCTATATTGGGATTTTTAGGAAAACTGACTTGGCAACACTGTCGAAGAACAAAGGCTTGCATGCAGTAGAAAATACTGTGATTTCCAGTTGAGCGTGGAATTGCGAAAGTTTGTTCGTTAAGTTTTGTAGTTTGAGAGCAATGTTTGTAATATGTATCCTTTGTTAATTGTGGAAAGGCAATTGAGCATATCTATAGCTCAAAATTGACTTTTGAAAATCAAAAAAGCTGGTGCAAGTGATGCCGAAAGATATTTGCATTGGCACTATGGAATATATGTACTCTGGCTGAATTCTTTTCAATGAAGTCCCATATTTACACGTAAATATTATTTATCTGAATTTTTCAAGTTGTTAACCGTCTTTTAAATCTGTTTTTTCAAAAAATATCAAAGCAAAGAGTGTCTAGTTATTGCTAATTTTAAACCCGAAACTCAAAACTAATTATGGCCATGTCTTTATTTTTTGTCTTCAGAGTTCCGCTAAAAGACTCGTGTATGGTCATAATAGTCACGCATAAGCAGCAATTTGTAAACTTTGTGTGAAAAATAGTCCAAGACAAGGGTGGTGAAGTTGTTTTTTTATAGCCAAATCGCTAAATACGCTGAATTGCTCGTCGTATTTACCTGCCATGTTCGGCATGTTGTTGTTGTTCATTTCAAGTACACAAAGTTTTTTAAGCTCCTATCATTTCGTTTTCACATTTCTATTAATCCCTAGATATTTGTTAATTCATTTCGTCTTATCTCCTGGAGATATATTGTATCTAAAGCGTGTATTACATGTTTTATAAATTCAAAAATAGCTCAGCCAGTGCTAAACCATTGCACAGCTTTCCATACCGCAAGCCCTGCACTCCTCAGCTATATTTTTTACTGTTTTTGCCAGCATCAAAAAATTTCAGAAACCAGTTCTTAGCTCAAAAGATCTACTTCATCCATCTTTTTAAAAATTTTAAGTCAAATGGGACATGGCCCTAAAGGTTTTGTTTAAATCATGATTTGTTTGTCAAAAATTCGATTTTTCTATCGATTTACTTATTAAATTTCAACATGACACTTGGCGAGCAAGTTACGCATGCGTACATTAGGCAAAAAACCGTGTGACTCGATTTGGCTTCAGTGACAATCAGTGTCAATCAGTGTCATATGATATTGCTTATTTTGAAACTATAGCGACAAAACTTCACGCTCAACTGGAAATCGCAGTACTTGTATTTGAAGTCGACTTCGTTCAGGAATTTAAAGTTTTTCAAGGCAATACTTCTACATCGGGTAAGCTACACTTCTTTCTGTGGTCATGCACTTTATCATGTATTAAAGTGCTCTATTGATATTTGTACATTCATCGCTTTTGTACGTGTACAATATTTGAGTACATGTAGCACGGAATCAAATGTTTGCGTTTAAAAACACTTTAAATTTCGCCTTTCGTGTATAGTGCTAGTTTACAAGATGTCTACGCCTTCCAAAAAGCATAGAGATTTCGTTTGCGGGCCAATGGGCAATAAAGCTGTTACCAAGTTAGCCGGAATAGGGAAGGTTCGGGGCGGAAGGTTAGCTGAAGCTGGTTTTGATAAGGCGTCTGTTGTGCTAGGCCAATATCTGGTGCTAGGAAAAGACGAGACGAAGTTTCGAGATTGGATAAAAACCACAGCCGGTGCAGATTCTAAACAAGCAGGGGACTGTCATAAGTGTTTGAAAGAATGGTCCGATAACTTTTTAAGTTAAACATTAATCCTTAGTTGAACATTGATATTTAGTTTATTTTTGCTACCTAGTTGACATTTAAACTTTGTTACTCTCTGGGAGTAAAGTTCAAACTCTTGAGCAATTATGTAAAGAACAGACATTAGAAAACGTCAAATAAATAAATTTTAAAGCTTGAGTATGTTCATAGGCGGCCCAGACTTTGACTTGCGCGTGTGATATTCGCGCGTGTGATATTCGCGCGTGTGATATTCGCGCGCGTGTCGCGCTTACGTTGTTTACGATGGTATGTTTGGTACAAAAAACATTTGCAACAAAGCAAATTATTACTGGATCTAGCAGTTAGAATGCTACATAATATAATACAACAATTTACATTCTGTATTGTTATACAACACTATATCTTATTTAACTTTTCTAAGTTTGAATTTTCCTTTTTGTAATTGTGCTATGTAAAGTTTGAATCTGTCTCCATGGGGCTTCTTAATCCAAACCTATAAAAGATTTTTACAGATTGTTTACTCTGCAGTTTTGCAACTTGTAGCAACACTTGTGACCAAAATTAAGCAAGGGTTTGTGAAATGAATTATATGAACTACTTTGAACTTGATTTCGTACCTCTCCAGTGTTGATTCCTGTAATGGTAGCACTGGAAAAAAAATAGTTTGTTAATCAAATGATACCCACTGGGTTGGTGAACATGCTTTGGTGCTGGTAATACAATTCTTGGGTGCTATGGACCACCCTATCTGAGGTAAATCAAGATCAAATAAACAGCACCTAACTATGGCTGAATAGAAGAATTTTAAACATACTCTACTGGGGCTCCTCCTGGCTCCTTTACTTTCAACCTTGACATGATTGGCTTTTAGAAACCTGGAAATTATTTCTTTTACCACGATTTCCTGCAGCTGTACTCATCGTAAAAGGTAAAATCACGGCTCAACTTTGATAAAACTAAAGTTTATACAAACTATGATAAAAGGAAAGGAAATTTTGTTTTGAATGTTTCGAAAGAAATATTCCGTAAAACTTTTCGCGCCAAATGACCTACATGCCTGGAAATTTAAATATTTATAATTTATTGAAGTTTTTTTTAATTCTGAACTTTGAAGTGACTTATTTCTCCTATTTTCATGATTTAATTGAAGCATAGGCGTAACGAGTGAACCCTAAGGCGGAAGGAAATATGATGTTGCTTTCGTTTCGCAAATTAAAGGCTATTTCTGTTTTTAAAAAAGGTTCAAGTGGAATTTTTACGTTTGCAAATCAGGCCGAAGCAGGCAAACGCCCTTAGCTCTCATTATTATTCGGTTATTCGGCGCGAACCTGCGAAGCTAGAAGAACAAAGGCTTGCATGCAGTAGAAAATACTTGCATTCGAACTTTCGAAGTCGACTTTGTTCAGGAATTTAAAGCTTTTCAAGGCAATACTTCTACATCGGGTAAGCTACACTTCTTTCTGTGGTCATGCACTTTATCATGTATTAAAGTGCTCCATTGATATTTGTACATTCATCGCTTTTGTACGTGTACAAAATATTTGAATGCATGTAGCACAGAATCAAATGTTTGCGTTTAAAATCACTTTAAATTTCGCCTTTCGTGTATAGTGCTAGTTCACAAGATGTCTTCGACTTCACAAAAGCATAGAGATTTCGTTAGCGAGCCAATGGGCGATAAAGCTGTTAGCGAGTTAGCCGGAATAGGGAAGGTTCTGGGCGGAAAGTTAGCTGAAGCTGGTTTTGATAAGGCGTATGTTGTGCTAGGACAATTTCTGGTGCTACGAAAAGACGAGGAGATGTTTCTAGATTGGATAAAAACCACAGCCGGTGCAAATTCTAAACAAGGAGGGGACTGTTATCAGTGTTTGAAAGAATGGTGCGATGCCTTTCTTTGAGACGTGTTATTAAAACACCCTTAACTTAGAATTAAATATATTAAGTTAAACATTAATCCTTAGTTGAACATTGATATTTAGTTTATTTTTGCTACCTAGTTGACAGTTAAACTTTGTTACTCTCTGGGAGTAAAGTTAGGTTCATGTACATTTTTCATTTAGACATATAATTTATACAAATTTTAGGATAAAATACACTGGGGTTCAATGGCAAACTCTTGAGCAATTATGTAAAGAACAGACATTAGAAAACGTCAAATAAATAAATATAATTTTAAAGCCTGAGTATGTTTAGTACAAAAAACATTTGCAACAAAGCAAATTATTACTGGATCTAGCAGGTAGAATGCTACATAATATAATACAACAATTTACATTCTGTATTGTTATACAACACTACATCTTATTTAACTTTTCTAAGTTTGAATTTTCCTTTTTGTAATTGTGCTATGTAAAGTTTGAATCTGTCTCCATGGGGCTTCTTAATCCAAACCTATAAAAGATTTTTACAGATTGTCCACTCTGCAGTTTTGCAACTTGTAGCAACACTTGTGACCAAAATTATGCAAGGGTTTGTGAAATGAATTATATGAACTACTTTGAGCTTGATTTCGTACCTCTCCAGTGTTGATTCCTGTGATGGTAGCACTGCAAAAGAAATAGTTTGTTAATCAAATGATACCCACTGGGTCGGTGAACATGCTTTGGTGCTGGTAATACAATTCTTGGGTCGGTGAACATGCTTTGGTGCTGGTAATACAATTCTTGGGTGCTATGGACCACCCGATCTGAGGTAAATCAAGATCAAATAAACAGCATCTAACTATGGCTGAATACATTTAAACATACTCTACTGGGGCTCCTCCTTTACTTTCAACCTTGACATGATTGCCTTTTAGAAACCTGGAAAATATTTTACAATGGAATGTTTGGAAATTACAGAAAATATTTTGTAAAGGCACTAACATTCCCATACATACCATTCTCCCTCATAAAACAGTTTGCCATCTTCATATTTTGCACTGAACGGGCATTTACTATCTCCAAAAATGTTGCCTAAATAATAGGTATATTGTGAAAAACTTCTTTCTGATATTTACTACAACATATTTCAAAATGGTTAAACTTGTGTATCGTTTATACCTCCTTGGCCACTGTGACCTGTAATTAACAGAAAGAGGATAACAATTATAAAATTTTATGGACTGTTGCTTCTTAAATGAAATGTATTTTCTGTATTATATTTTTAAGAAAAAAAGCATGCTCTCTTACTTTCAGATTTTCTTCTGGATAAAGCACCTTTTGCCTGTTAGGATACAAAAGTAACTTTTTAGTATTTATGTGGCAAGCATTTACTTGCATTTCACCACTAATCTTACCCTTCTGATAGCAGCCCAGTCTTCGTAGATGTCCATATCCCTGAGCATGTATACAATATAAGGACGTACATTATGTTAAGGAATATATCTTAAATACTGAATCACAACATTTCCCTGGGTTTTCCAATGAATATTATTAAAGTATATACAAGATTATGATAGTTGAAAGGATATCTGTAACCGTAACAGGTTTCTTTCGCTTTTCGCTAAAGAAGCCATCAGAAGATTTCTTGTGTTTCTTTACGCTGTGAGATTCTAGCCAAATATCTGAAACCAAGCAGATGGTAAGATATTAATTTTTTGTAAGCTTGTGTAAGCTCAGGCTTTTCATGTTTTTATTTCACGAGAAAGGTCTATTGGCACATTGTTCTTACCAGCACTGATGTCTGAGTTATGCCTATCTTCTTCCAATTTTCGAATCTTTTCTTCCAAGTCAACACGCATGATTTCCATAAGAGCACTTTTCTCACTCTAAAGCAGATAGTTTAATTTTAGCAAATTGATTGGTTTCTTTGAGATAATTTAGTTAACCAATTGTTCTAGCCTATAAGTCATTTCATTAAATCTATATTAGTTTACTCACCTCAAAATACTGTGATGTTGCCAGACCTTCAGCCATGTATTTATTTTCTACATTTTGTAACTAAAGGCAAAATATTTAATGATTCATCTAAAAGTTATAATGCTAATCTCACAAATTCAGTAAGACATGCATAAACCTTTTTTACTTACTTTACAATCCTTCAAGATATCTGAAAAGCAAAGATTGGTAAGTGTCAATAATCAATTCCAAAGGCATAGCCGAATTATGGTGTCAAACATGCCAACAGAATACCTGCTACGTCTTGTCGTACTTTACACATATCTTCCAGTTTGAGTAATGGATCCAAATATTCCTTTGCAGTGTCTGCAAATGCATTGAAACCATGCTATTTTAGTAGCACCATTGGAATCATAATAGTCAAAGGTATTACAATCATATTTACCTTCTTGAACAGTTACTAGTTTCTTTTCAATTTGACTTATTCTTTCCTTATACAATCTGGAAAATTTAGTAAAATGATTTGCTTGATATTACCATGAAATTATCATTAGGTATTTTGAAAACAATTAATAAAAACATACTGCTCTTTGATATCAACAAATTGTTTTTCCAGTTCACTCATTTCTTGAATGCATTGTTGGCGTCTTTTTTCATTTTCAATTTCGTCACCTGAGGTGGAAATTATTGTAAGACCATTGGCAACCGTATGCAGACACAAATCATTAATATTTAGTACTATGGGGTGATTATAATTAGTTGCAACAGATGATTGCATTGTATATTTCTAGCTACAAGACTGAATGCTAATTATTCTTTAATACGTTGCTATAGGGCGACTAGGTTTATTAGTACAAGATGTGCATTGGCGATTAAGATATACGGAACGTGGTCTTATAACCCAAGAATACAAAGTTTCAAGGTATGAAAAATTTCATCAACCATATTACTTAGCAATCATTCATTATCACTCCAGTTCTACAGGCATTTGCGCTCAGTAACTGGTGAATACGAATGTAAACTGTAAAGGTCATAGAGTCGGGTAGCGTAAAAATATCGCTCTTCCCACACAATATAACAGAACTCAAACATACCCTACAAACAAATGACCTTTATCATTCATTCTAAGGAAGAAATTTAAAAAAACCGACCTGAACTTGACGATTCTTCCGACCCAGACGATGTACCATCATCGTTCTCCTCATCATCGCTCATATTTTCATCTGCTGTCATATTTCGAGCTATTTCATCTTCGCCACTCTCTTCCCCGTCAATTTCGGGCATTTTCCAAGAAGGTTGTCACAGCTATTAAAGTCGGATATAACCCAAATAAACCAAAATTTATACAAAAATAACAAAAAATCGCGCACATAAACAATTTTGATTTCGAAATGTGTCTGCGATTAATTGATGACAGCGGATGATCACATCAGTAACATGCCCATACTCAACTGTGCTCAACTGAACTGTATCACTAACTGTATGTATAATGATATATATATGTATATTTGAGGTCAAATTGGAATTTGGCATATTTGTAATTTCTTGTTTGGCTGGGAGAAAAAAATTCCCATTAAATCATGTAACCTTGTAAAATTAATTCATTTTATGAGAAATGTTACCCTCCCTCCTTGCACACTCTCCTTGGTTTGCCCATGCCCCCTATTCTTGTGCTTTTACTATTGTTAAGTTGGTTTGTGCACAGTGGTTTGTGTCAGGCTGAAGTATCATGGTATGCTCAGTGTAAGTCATGAGTCATCTTTGAAAACTTTCCGCAGCAAAAGCAATTTGATAAACAAAACCAGATGGGTTTGCATATATTTCTATTGCAATGCAATATTACAATCTTTTTGTCAATATCCAAAATGATATGATTCCCATTTTTGCAATATTCTGATAATTCTATTGACTGGCAAATATTCTAATTTGTGTTATTATTGTCAATCATTGTTTTATTAATTGCAACATCTTCATTGCTTGTTATTTCTGGGGAATCAGCATCACTGTCATCATCATCGCTCTCCTCATTGTTAAACTCATCGCAGGAATCTGAGTCATCAGAATGGATCACCAAATATTGAAGATGATTTGGGTTTACAAATAAATCACTGTCATCTGTTTCGCTTTCATTGTCTGAACTTGAATTTTCACCATTTTCTCTTTCATCCAATCCATCCTTTATTCTACTGCCATTTGCTGTTGGTTCATGATGGTTAATTGGCTCAAATGCTTTCTCTTGAAACTTCTCAGGCCTGGAAATTGGGATAAGTTAAACAACAAGTTATATTTCAACAATTGGTCATCACAAGATATTACAGTCTGGTTCATTCAACCTACAAATAATGAAATTTTTTAGGTGGTTTGTTTGCAAATATTTAAATATGCTCACCATAATCCTTCCTTTTTGAGGTGTTTCACTTGTTGGGGATACAATATATGCACTATTTCTGCACACACTTTATTACCTTCTTCAATTGGATCAACAATCACAAAGTCTCCTATTTCAGAAATAATCCAATGACATGTTTACTTCATTCATGATAGGAAGAATATAATGAATGTAATTTTGACATTAATTCACTTAAATTTTGCTAATACCTCGTTTGATCCATACATTTTTTCTGAATTTTGAAGGCATGCTTATCAGGAAATGATTGCCATTTGGTGTTTCGGCTTCATGCAGATTATTTCCTCTGCTCCCAATTATCTGTTCAATAAATATACTTCAATTAAAGCATGCTCATTTAAACCATTTTGAGATTATAAACCATTCTGAGATTTCTAAGATTTTCATATTTTGAGTGGATATAGGGGATATTTTGGTCATAAATATGGACTTATAGGGATATCACTAGGGTTATTTATGGATATAAATTTCAATGGAAATAACACGTTCAGCCAAATAAAGTCTATTATTGTTTTCAATTCTTTAAATCTTGAGGTACCTTGACGATGATTTGTTTTTCTTTTGGCGTTACAAATTCGTCCAGAACCTCACGAGTGACATGCTTTCTTTTCGTGGCTTTCGACATTTTCAACTTGCTATAAAACTTCTCACGAAATCGCTGTCCTGTTGTTCTGCTCGGTCGAAATTAACAATAACACCTCGGCCGGAGAAACACGCGATTTCTTGATTCCTAGTTAGCCATGATTGCGAGTTTCATGCACAGCTAGTAATAAACTCCAAAATAATACGATTCGTATGAGAATTTGAATGAATTTAAATTGGAAATGTTTATCAAAGCACCAGCCATTTCTGTCGATCGTCACTTGTTTCCAGGACCTGCGATGTTAAGTCAAAAATTAGGGAGTCCGTCTCCCTCCTGGTTTTTATGAAAATATTTTCGGTTTTCGGTGCGAATAAAATAATTTTATATTGTGAAGTGTGAATTATATATAATGATAGAAATATAAAATTAGCGAGGTGATATCACTCCTCTATGATTCTATGTCTCTATCTCTAGGTGTTGAATTTGGTGTTGAATATTTAAAACAAGGCGAACAATAATGCATTGTTTGGGATCTCTTGTGTCCTTGTTCTTTTGATAGCATGAAAAAGGTGTTTGGCTAATTTGTTTAGGTAAACCGATTTCCATATGACGCCGACGTCGGCAAAGTATTATTGTCGGTGATTATTGATGAGGTGAAATCGTTTGTCTTTCTGAAATCATTTTCTCCTCAGGTCGGCGTTGTATGGAAACGAGGTTTAATGAGAAGAGTGAGAAGACACAATAGATTAGCAGAAACAATAGATCCAGCAATAGAGGTTGTCCAATCACAATCAGCCGCGTGCGAGGTATTCAAACTGGCAAGTACATTAATTGAGATTTAAGAGGCTGTATTCGAGGGAAAGCTCATATATTCTCAAGTCTTCAAAAAACAAAGATCTCAATTTCTCAAGTCTAGCCGGTCAGAAGAAATAGAAGAGTTTGTTTGGGAGAGAAAAAGCGCTAGTTTGCTTGTTTATTGCATTAGTTCAAATTGTTGTTGTCTTGTTGAATTTGAATAGCGAGATTAACAGCTAGCTAAGGATGGCCGAATTCTATCAAAATCCATGCTGCATCTTTTGGCTTTGTGCTTGCTTGAATACGTGTTTATCGAGTAGAAGTTAACACGAGTTTGTCTTTTCTTTCTTGCTCCGTTTTAGAACCGGCGAACCGCGTTGGAGTAAAGTGCAAAGTATTCAAGAAATCTCGGACCGAATTTTAATGTATGCAGTTAATTCAGTCCTTGTTTGGTGTTCATAAAGAGTGTACTAATGTTCCTGCATGGAGCTAGGTTTTCTCAACGTGCTTATTACGCTTTTATTTCATTCAGATCAACACACCGTGGTACTGAACAAGAGATATGACATTGGGACATCCATCGAATGGCACAAACAAATACAAAATCCTAAAAATTCGAGTTTAAAGCGATTGCATGATTTCAGTCCCGGCCTTAAAAACAAAAATGTCGTATTTGATACATAAACATGATGCCCTCTTCTGTTTGCCTCCTTCATTTTCAATTTTCGAACTACAGTTTTTGCATGTTCTCTCAACCCCTGGGTTAAACTGGTCGTTTCAAGTAAGGAGTAAATACAAGTGATTTGGGCCCGATCACTTCTATTTTCTGGATGCTTGAACGACGATAGTCCGGCAAAAATATCTCGCTTTCAGAGCGCCTAAACGTAGAAATTACACCTTAGCGGCTACAAGGAGATAACAAACAGTTGAGTGCTCTTGCATGTCTAAGTCTTTGAAAAAATAATGCAAGTATCCATGACGTTAAATCTTGCTTCCAAAACTTGATGAAACAGAAAAAATTACTAAACAATTTCTGTGCATGAAGAGTAATTTCTTTCAAAGCGGGCGTTTGTATTTGAGTGTGCATCCGGTGGCCATGGAAGAAGATGGAACTACAATGAGATATTGAAGGTTGGTGCAGATGTATACGTACTATTATTACTATAGTGTCAAAGCTCGGTGTCTTTCAGTTCAGAACTTATAGATCTAATGCATGATGAAGAGTAAGATGTAGTTGTTGTTAACTTTCATGGTGCTCTAACTTTGAACGCATTTTTACACATTGATCTCAAATCAGATGTTGATGGACCCGAAGACAGACGTCGAAGGACCCGAAGACAGATGGTGAAAGACACGAAGACAGAAGTTGAAGGTTGGTGCAGATGCATGCGTACTATTATTACTATAGTGTCAAAGCTCGGTGTGGTTTTCAGAACTTCTAGATCTAATGCATGATGAAGAATAAGATGTATTAGTTGTTAACTTTCCTGGTGCTCTAACTCTGAATGCATTTACACATTGATCTCAAATCAGATGTTGATGGACCCGAAGACAGACGTCGAAGGACCCGAAGACAGACGTCGAAGGACCCGAAGACAGACGTCGAAGGACCCGAAGACAGATGGTGAAAGACACGAAGACAGAAGTTGAAGGTTAGTGCAGATGTATGCGTACTATTATTACTATAGTGTCAAAGCTCGGTGTCGTTTTCAGAACTTCTAGATCTAATGCATGATGAAGAATAAGATGTATTAGTTGTTAACTTTCCTGGTGCTCTAACTCTGAATGCATTTACACATTGATCTCAAATCAGATGTTGATGGAGCCGAAGACAGACGTCGAAGGACCCGAAGACAGATGGTGAAAGACACGAAGACAGAAGTTGAAGGTTAGTGCAGATGCATGCGTACTATTATTACTATAGTGTCAAAGCTCGGTGTCGTTTTCAGAACTTCTAGATCTAATGCATGATGAAGAATAAGATGTATTAGTTGTTAACTTTCCTGGTGCTCTAACTCTGAATGCATTTACACATTGATCTCAAATCAGATGTTGATGGAGCCGAAGACAGATGATGAAAGAACCGAAGACGGATGATGAAAGAACCGAAGACGGATGATGAAAGACACGAAGACAGAAGTTGAAGGTTGGTACAGATGCATGCGTACTATTATTACTATAGTGTCAAAGCTCGGTATGGTTTTCAGAACTTCTACATCTAATGCATGATGAAGAATAAGATGTAGTAGTGCGGTTAACTTTCCTGGTGCTCTAACTTTGAATGCATTTACACATTGATCTCAAATCAGATGTTGATGGAGCCGAAAACAGATGATGAAAGAACCGAAGACAGAAGTTGAAGGTTGGTACAGATGTATGCGTACTATTATTACTATAGTGTCAAAGCTCGGTGTCGTTCAGAGTTCAGAACTTATAGATCTAATGCATGATGAAGAATAAGATGTATTCGTTGTTAACTTTCCTGGTGGCTGGTGCTCTAACTTTGAATGCATTTACACATTGATTTTAAATCAGATGTTGATGGACCCGAAGACAGATGATGAAAGAACCGAAGACAGAAGTTGAAAGACACGACGACAGATGTTGATGGATCGTCGCAGGATCAGATGATGGACGACGAGACGGGTGTTCAAGTGGAAGCTAATTCAGGTGCACTGATTAAATTGATGCATGCTTAATGTATGTGCATGGTTATTCCGGAATTGATTCCTGATGGTGGTCTAACCTACTACATTCACACATCAAGTGACATTTCACCCTTTTCGACAACGCATGATAAAACGACATATTTCTCAGTCACAGCTCTTGCATGCGGGCGCTTACAAACTTTCTCGATGAAACATTCCTAGTTTTGTCACTTGCGTGTGAATTTTTGCGATGGTGGTATTATACAAAAATATTCTCTTTTTGGAAAATGTCAAAATTGTTTAGAAAAACGATATAAAATTTTTGCGTATACTCGTAAATTATACAAAACAATAAAACAATTGAATAAGGCAAAAGTATTTCCGGTTAAATATTGATATTTTTGACCACCTTAACGACTGCGGGTAAATGCATGATGTCTTTAAATGAAAGTAACTAAATGCAATTTGCATTTATCATATTGTCGAATTCGTATTGGCCTAATTTTAGATTAATACGAATATAATCGCGAGTTCTTATATGATTATATAAGTTCTCTTTTATAAAGCGAGCGTTTCAAAGAACCGTCCGTCAGTGGCAACAAAAATTAAACATTTGAAGTTTGAAATGAGGAAAAAAAGGACTATTTCATGTTCAGACACGTACAACACTCTTCTGTTTACCTTGTTGATTTTAATTTTTCGGGAAATAAACATAATCTAATGATTTTGACTATATACTTTACCATACTTATATAATTGACAAAGTTTTTATAAGAATACACCTGCTATATTACATGATTTATTGCACTGCATGATAACTGGACTCCATATAAAGGAGGGTATCTGGGGGGTATGGTGTTGAGCTGTAGGTTAATATTGTATAGTACCCTCTTAGCTAAAAAGCTAATGCATTTTGACACACTTACTATATTGTTTAACTCCTTACACGCGCCACCGTCGAGATGCTGTTAAAGAAGAACGCTGTTCTTGGTAAAGGAGTTTTGTTTTTGGTGAAGAAAACTGTTTTGAATGAAACAAGGAAGCAAGTGAGATACTGTTTACCAAAGGTAATTATACGGTGCGAGAGGTAAGGGGATATTGTTGATTCTCGTAGTGATACACCTGATATTAAGTAAGTTGCACGAGCCCGATTAACCACATATATAAAGATAAAAAATGATGCATAAGATGCATGAGGTGCATGTCTTAATAGAAGAGTGTTGTTGTCTACATCAGTTTGAGATGAAAAAGCATGCGAGTCGTGAATATGAATGCCAGATTTCGTTTGGTAAATGAAATAATTTTTGTTGCTATTGTCGGACAAAGCGCAGTTTGATTGATTACTAAGAGCCGGGTGTTTTGCAACGGACGATATGCTGCGCATTGCGGACGTTAGACCACCACCAGGATCGCATTGATGAAGCTCAAGAATTGCGCATTGCAATTCCTGGGACTCGTTTCGGATGAGCGGAACTCGCACGGTGAACTATATATAAAAACTGAACTGTCATGTACTTGTCTCCATTGCGGACAACTTCTAATGAAAATATCAAATTCTGTGGAACGGCAAATCTGCTGTTAAAGGTAACCTGAAAATCAGGTTACCTTTGGAGGGTTTTTCTCCGGGCACTCCGGTTTCCCTCCTTTTCGTTTGGCTTTAAACAGTGTCCATTGCTGGAGCTGAACTCTATTGCACCAAGGTTGTCGAAAAAGTGAATGTTTGGCTTCTGGGTTCAAATCCCAGAGCACTGTCATATTAAATCAGTAAATCTGTTTCGCTATCAAGTTCTCAAGATCTGATAACTGAGTCTCTATCAATTCAAATTCTATCAATATCTAATTTTATGCAATCGGTTTTGGTTTGGGGGACATCGTGTCTCGCCGTATGCATATTCCTGCGAAATCAATAAAAACCTCGACCAGATTCATTTATTTCTAGTTGTATTTTGCATGATGACAAGCTTGCCGAGTAATCTCAATTTGACTCTCAGCCAATGGCGGTTTATTTTTTGGCTACGTCAATTGCACTCTTTTTTTTTTTCGGCTACGTCAATTGCACTCCAAAATATTAGCAGCCCACTAATCACTTTCATAAGTCTAAACAAAGAAAAGTCAAGGTCGGCATCCATGTCACGAAAAAAGATACCAGTACGTGGGCCATGCAAACCTCGGAAATACACTTTGCGTCAGAGAACAAAGTTTCAGTCCAGCTCACGTATAGGGAAGAAAAGAGTTGTGTCTAGCGATATTACTCGTGGATATTGGATGAAGGGCAAAAGAGGTCATATATCAAAAATTAATCTACGGGGATCTATTTTGGCTAATGTCTGGAACCCATGCTGGGCTTTTCGGAATAGCAAAAGCAATTTTGGTCATGCGCAAATTAGTGGTTTATAAAGGAAATTTCGAAAATGAGAATGGCATTTATTAAAACTGTGACGTAAAAATTCTTCATAATTTATATATATATATATATATATATATATATATATATATATATATATATATATATGTATATATATATATATATATATATATATATATATGTATATATATATATATATATATATATATATATATATATATATATATATATATATATATATATATATATATATTGATTAGGAATGACTGCATGCCTGATTCACGATCAGCCAGAGTGTTTACTTCGTTTTGTATCCTTTATCAAATTCATCCGTGTATTTTGGCTTCTTGATATGTGCAGCAAAACCGTAAAAAGCGTGGATAGTATTAAGCAGTGGGAAAGAAACCTCATATAATACTATAAGCTTTTCGGGAGACAGGATTTTGTTTTCATACTGCGTACGTTGTTGCGGTGACGCGGGTTTTCCCTGCAGATAAGATACAAAATGATAATTATTGTGAGAGAAAAAGCAATATGGCCAAGGTCATATTAGAGAGATGCGTGGTGTGACGGGAATCGTGCGGCACTGTATATTGCTTAGCCTTGCGCGTTGTCGTTGAAGTATTGCTTCGCCTACGGAAAAAAAAGTCCTTTGTTTTCGACATGGTCAATCGCATTTGGAGGGGAACTGAAGAGACTCACAAAGAGCACTTGAGGTTTCCTTGTTTTGACGGAAAATTATTTCTAGAATTGCGTCATGATCCTGTGAACGGACAGACGACGATGTAAGTTCTATGTCGTCCGCCAATTTTTTTTTAATCATTTTAGTTCCAAATTGTTCACGTGAACATGAACTGATTTACACGTGATGATGATGATTAGGTGGATTTAATTATTGATCGTTATATTACTTATATACTTCTAATCATTGAATTTTTTCCCTTCTAATTGGAAATAATGTTACAATGTGACCAACGATAATAATAAGAACTAATAAGAACTCGATATCGCTCGTTTTCTTGAGGACAAATTTTGGTGATATCAGTGAACCCACGTGTCGAGCACATGGACACTTCATGGACACTTCATGGACTCTACGAGACCATTATCTCTCTGTGCTTATCAACATATCACTAGGCGTCTCGTAAAAAAAACTCGAAACCGCCTGTTCCTTATTTCATATGATTAAACCCTCGTTGTACTTGACAACTACCGCAGTTCATATCTATGCACGTCTGTGTTACATCACACAATCACGCAATTTTCTGACCTTGACTGGCTTGACAGCTATCGTGCAAACATTTAATTTTCTCACTCAATATAATATGCGAGTGTTTATCGTCACACAAAAATAGAGAGATGTCTATCGGATTCAATAGTGTATCTGTCATTTGCTTCATTTGCATACAATCAACTTAGATTGCCCGAAAGAGAGATTGACGTGAGTCGTTAAAACCACAAGCCCTGGTACCAGTTAACTTTGAAGTTGGACAAGCGATTTGCGTAAACTCTTACTAGATTAGCATTGTGTTGTTATTCTATCGGTGAATGAAGTTAACGGCATATATCCGACGTAAAAATCAAGTAAGAATTTCCTATAGAGTATGCGGCCTCTTTGTCTATATAGGCTTTGGAGTTAGAATCTGGGCGGTGCCAAAATATGCGCTGTGTGTGTGTTTTGTTCAAATGCGCATCAGCTGTTTTCATCACTATTTCCGGTATTGAATATATTTGAGGAGCTCCCCTGAGCCCAAAGCAAAAAAATTATTTTGGTGTTCAGTGTCAATTGCGTCGTCGCCTTTCTCGATCGTCTCGACGTATTTGGACAAGCGATGATTGAGTTTGATGGTTTGGGCGACAGCGCAGTTAGCTCCGCGTATTCAATGGAAAGCATTGAACGAGACGAATATTTGGAAAGCGTTGCTTCGACCAGCGAAAAATTGGGCAAGAAAATGCTGCATCAGCTGAACGAATATCGTCAAAATGGAACGCTTTGCGACGCGAAATTGCGTTTAGAAAACAAGGAATTCGATGTCCACAAAGTCGTACTGTCCTCGAGTTGTCCGTATTTCCAAAGCCTTTTCACCACGAACATGAAAGAGCGAAATCAAAGTGTGATAGACTTGAAATGTCCTGTCGATTTAGCCGACGGTATGAATGATTTTCTAACTTTTTTATACACAACAAAGGTGGAATTGAACGAGGCGAATGTTGAAGCTTTGATCGTCGCCGCGGACTACTTCAATGTTGCAGAGTTAAAAGAACTCGGTTGTGGGTTTTTGCAACAGAATGTTAACCTTTCGAACGGAATTGCATTGCACGATTTTGCTGGAAGATATCATTGCGAGCCTTTACGTGAAATAACTCGGGATTTTTTAATTGAGAATTTTACTGCAATTTCGCAAAGAGAGGAGTACTTGGAAACCGAACCAGCGCAGTTGGTAGAAATAGTTTCAAACGATGAGTTGGTCCTGTTTGCCGAAGAAGAACTCTACGAAGGGATAGTACGATGGACGAAGCATGATTTGACGAACCGTTTAGGATTTTTCCCTGAGTTGTTCTCCCAGGTTAGACTTCAAGATGTAAGCAAGACTTACCTTGCCGAGACCATTGCTAAAGAGAAATTGGTGACAGACGATCCAATTTGTTCTGATCTTTTGATGCGAACTTTATTGGAATGCTATGTTATTGAAGATACAAAGAGCATGCATCCTTCTCGCTTCTACGACTGTGTGTTTGTGAATGGAGGGCGAGTGCCCTCTGGAGCTACAGCATCATCTTACCTCTATGTTCCTTCTCAGAACACATGGTTCAAAGTTCCTTCAATGGGCATAGTGAGGTACAGCCATGGTGTGGCTACCATGCAAGATGATGTCTTTGTGCTGGGGGGATACTCCAAGTCTGGATTTACGGCTGAGGTGGAAAAATTCAATGTTAAAATGAGGAAATGGTCAACCATCCAACCTTTACCAACCCCAACAAAGGGGATGGCTGTAGCTGCTGTTGGTGATTCGCTTTATGTTGCTGGTGGAATAGTTGAAAATGGTATCCGACTTGGTATCCTGAAGCGATATGACCTTAAGACAGGACGCTGGGAGGAGAAGGCACCTTTGCATGTTTCACGGAGTGGTGCGAGTCTTGTCAATGTCGGCGACGCCCTGTATGCTATTGGTGGAAAGGCAAGTGATAACCAGATGTTATCATCCATGGAGCGTTACTCGATTGAGAATGATACCTGGGAGACCATGAATGAGATGTCAAACAAGAGAGCTTATGCTGTTGCTGCATCTGTTGGCAATGGCAACATTCTTGTGGTTGGTGGCATCAATGAAGCTGGTGAGGTTGACACAATTGATCATCATCATGTGATTGTCGTTCGAATGTACCTACAAAGCTGCGAGATGTACAACTCTGCTGCCAGTGTCTGGTTCCCTGTTGCAGATCTTAGTGTCCCACGAGCCTTCGCTGGCATTGCCGTTAACGGTGAGAAAGTTTATGTCTTTGGTGGGGAAGGTACTGCTACAAGATACCACAATAGTGTTGAGTGTTATGATTGTGCAAGTAACAAGTGGGAAGTTGTATCGTACATGCCAGAACCAAAGAAATTCTTACAATGTTGCAAGCTCATGTTGCCACGAGGAATGTTCCGAAACCTCCCAAATGTAAGTCCAAGCAATTGACACAGTGTGAATGCGTGTTGATGTCCACTTGACCAAGACATTGATTTGAAGTGAAGGAAAATTATTGGGAATGTTTTACATGAATTTGTTGAATAAGCCTTTGTTTCCAGCTATGTCCATTACATTCTCAGATAATAATTAATAACTTATGCTTTTTATTCATAACAAATTTTTGGGAATACGTACAAGTAATTGAACACAATAAACAAGTAATTGCAATTATTATAAAACAGATTTAGTTAGGAATTTTTTGATCCAACTATATTTCTATATGATTTGTAAAAGTTGGGTTTAGTGGATCAGCTTGAAATTGTTTTTCTAAGCATCAAATTGTAAACCTTAATCAGAAAAACCAATCACAAAGCACTTTAAATTAGGCAGGTCCTTACATGAAAAATGAGCTGAACGTTTGCACAATTTAAATTAGGATTACTTCATAAAAGAATGATTGACAGTACAATGCAAAGACATTTGACATAGTCAGCTTTAATAAAGCAGGTGATAAGGTTATAGCAAATATATATATAAATAATTGGGTGTAATTTGTAAAACTGGGGAATACCAAATAGGAGTACACATTGTATGAACTTATAAAAGGAATAAAGTATTTTTAATTGGTTTGTGAAGCACTGTTGATTTTAATCAATTTTTCAATAACATTGATAGTGGATAACATTAAAAACTAACTTGCATTAGGTAAAGAAAAGCATCCACATATATCATGTTATGGGAAAGTTCATTATCCATCAACAGTATGATAATATATATCTTACGACAAGTATATTTGTAATTTAGTGTGTAGCAATAGCCTGTAAAAACATATTTGTAGAGCCTTTGGACTGAAGGATTGTATAGACGACATTAAGAATAAGGGTTATTTTGTAGAAATGTAGATAGACTTATTAAAATATAAGATAGCAGGTGACACAAGGAAGTTGTACATTTATTAATCAACTCTACAATATGAACACGAGAGGCAATCGAATTAACATGATGAAAAATGCAGTTTACTGCCCATCAGCAGAAGAATCGTTGCTTGAGGCTATCAGATTAGCCAACATATTTTCCGGGACTTCTGAACCTCGGATATGAATATTATAACAAGTGTTTTCTACTTTCTTTAAACTATTTTTTAAAACTTCTAGTTTCTTAGAAAGTCCTCTTTGCTGATTTTCAAACATGATAAATTCATCATGTATGTTACGCAGCATTTCACAAATTTCTGTCGGCGTTTTGAGGTTCCCCTGGCCAACACTGTTTATAGCTAGTCGCATAAGCTCTCCAGTGAGGTCTGCTATTCCAAGGATGTATTCTGCAGGGGGGATGGGAACCTGAATGGTCTGACCAGGAACACCGGGGGCCTGTGGTGGTGCTGATCCTTCAGGGGGGTTGAGGACCTCTTTTTGAACTTCCTCTGATGCAGTTTTTTCACCATCATTTTCAAAGACGAGTTCTTTGCAGATGTTTTCAAACGGAACGAGAGTTTTGTGCTTGAGGAAATGCCAAAATGAGAATGCTTCGACGAACTCTTGCAAGCCAGGTGAATAAGCTCTTATAAACTGATAACAATCCTCATGTAAAAGTTCTTTGGCAATCTTTTTGAACAACTCTTTGATCCCAGCAAACTTTCCTGCTGCTTCTTCTAAAGTTTTAGCTCGCGTTTTCTCATCCAGGCAACGATGTAAGAGAAAAATAGTTCGTTTACTTTGGATTGTAATATCGCGACTGCATTTCACTATGCGCTCATATTTATCATGACGGTGATCTAACTCCTTTTGAAAAGTTTGGAACAGTTGTTGGATAGGTGAAGGTTCTTTGTGAGGCTTTTTGGCAGCCGTTTCGAGCGACATCGCCGAGCAATCATCGCTTTTCCTTTGTCTTTTTTGTCCCAATGTCGCAGTAGTTGCCATGATTGCGCTTGACCATTATATAACGGAACGGTTAACCGCTGACAAGGATTTTTCTTATAAATTTAATTACTAAATTCTGCTCGTGGGCTCCTGCTTGCACATTCTTCTCCAAAACAAAATGAGAAAATTTGCAAATTTGGACAGCTAGAAATGGCTAGTTTTGCGCTCATTTCTTTGGAGAATAATTACAAGGTTGATATCTCTGAGGGCAAAGTAACTGTCGGACGCGGACCCTACCTCAAGGTGGGTTTTAAACACACGTTTATTTTCAATTTTGTTTGTTGTTTTGCACGCAAGTTTACATCGAGTGCTCGAGATTTTATACATGAAAATTTGTTTGTTTAGATAACAGACAAACGCGTCTCCAGAAACCATGCAACTCTTGAGGTGTCGGATGCCACATTCACCGTTCTGCCAGTAAGTTTTCATTTCATAAAACGACTAGAACAAAATAGCTATCAAGTAGTTTATATGGGAAAAAATCTGGCTGAACTAAAAGACTATGGTTTTAACGAGGTACTTAGCAACTAATTATCTACGCAAATGAGCTGATTTTCAACGATAATCGGCTTCTCTGATGACTTTGCTGCACGCTATTACGGCAGCAAGCTCTAGGATCCAGTTACATGTAGAGATAATCAAATTTCAACCATGTTTTTCTGCAACTTAGGTCACTGGGTGAGGGCCAGGGGGGGAGATGATGTTAATGTATTTTTTACGGGAGGGATGGACGAAATTGGTAGAGTTATTGTAATGTGCGATTAATAAAAAAAGTCCATAATTTTTATCTAAAATGCAAAAATTTTAAAGATTTTTACTGTACAGTAAATGTACATTGAGGTCATGGTCTCTTTTAGACTCACACAAACCCTACTTTTTACCAAGCGTGTGGAGATACAAAATTTGAACCTCTGGCAAAAGATGAGGTGAAAAAACTTCAGGATGGCGACTGTATTTCATTCTTGCCAAATGACCTCAAATTTAAAGTAGAAATCAGGGACAATGGTAGCATTAAGAAAGATTTGGTTGCTGAGGAAAGTCTTGAAAGCAAGAATACAAATGCTTCTGATTTGAACGATAATGTGCTTGAAACTAATAACAAGGGGTCGGATGACAAGAATTTAAGTGCAGAAGGTGAAGAAAAGAATTTGGAAACCACTAAAGGTGGTAGTGAGGTTGGCCAGTCTCCAGGTGGTAAGGTGTGCAAGTCTCCTGGTGATGAGGTCTGCCTGTCTCCTGGTGGTAAGGTAGAGGTGTCTCCTGGTGATAAGGTGGGGTTGTCTCCAGGTGGTGAGATGGGCCAATCACCTGGTGGTAAATTGGGCAAGTCTCCTGGTAGCGAGGTGGACCAGTCTCCTGGTGGTAAGGTAGGCCAATCTCCAGGTGGTGAGGTGGACCAATCACCTGGTGGTAAATTGGGCAAGTCTCCTGGTAGCGAGGTGGACCAGTCTCCTGGTGGTAAGGTAGGCCAATCTCCAGGTGGTGAAGTGGACCAGTCACCTGGTGGTAAGGTGGACCAATCTCCTGGTGGTGAGGTGGACCAGTCACCTGGTGATAAGGTGGGCCAAACTCCAGGTGGCGAGGCTTCCAAAAAAGAAGACTCACCAGGATTAAGTGATGATGCAGAGGAATCTGACGAAGACTTTGATGAAGATCATGATAAGATGGAGGTGGAAGGGACAGCTCAACCTCTAAACAAGAAACGAGTTTTACCAGGCTGGATGGCAAAAGGTAATAGTACTGTCTTGTTATGACAAATTTGAACCATTCATTTATAAAATCATTCATGGTGTTATTGTGTTCATAAATGTTTCTCTTGATGATGTCAATTCATCCCCTTTCTAGGCAAAGAACCCCAGGAAAATTCTGCGAAAAGTATGTAAAGTTTTTTCCATTTCTACATACCTAATATACTGCAAAATTTTTAAACTTTTGTTTTAAACTTTTTATTTGACATGCGCAAATATCTGTTGTTTTTGTTCAATTTTTAAAATTTAGCTTCACTCTATATATTTCCCCCTTTTTATGTTACCAGTAAGCATAGATTTTTATGACCCTAGGCGCAAATAAGGGAAAGAAGGTCAAAGTTAGTGCAGTTGAGGAAAAGGTGGACAATGATATAGTGAAGTCAGAAGATGTTTCAAAGGAAAATGATAAAACTGAAGAAACAGAACAAAAGGATGACAAAGAAGAAGTTCCAGCTGAAAAGGATGATCAGGAAGATGCAATAACAGAGGTAGGAGGCAACTAATATTTAGAATATTTCATTCAAATATTTTATTTACATACAACTATTACTCCTTGTGTGCCATTGAAACAAAATCCTGACATATTTCCAAAGGGAAAAGTATTGGAGCCAAGAATTTGGGGGAGGGGGGTTTCGAGAAAGTTTTCTGGACATGATTTCAACATTTTAAAATAACATGCATAAAATTAATCAATGTGTCATGATATATTTATTAATAATATATATAAAAGTTTTACTTGACTGTGATTGGTTGATTTGAATGCTGTCAATCCTAAACAACAGTGCAAAGATGAAAAATCTGAAATAACAGTGCAAAAATCTGTAATCACATGCAATCACTGGAGACAATAAAATTATATTGTCTTGTTCTGGAAATACATTAATTCCATTGGTGTAGCCGTGCTGGAACTATTGCAAAACCTATCTTTGCTGAATCACTGACTCTTCCTTAGGAGGAAAGCAAGAAAAGAAAACGAGATAAGAATGAGGATGTTGAACAGTCAAGTAAAAAAGAAAAGAAGTTACCACTTTGTCCTTATGGGGCCCGGTGCTATCGGTATGGTCATCATCATTTATAAATATTTTGTTTTCTGACGTAGTAGTTCCTTAATTTCGCATGAAATACACCATAACACAGTCGAGAATTTGCAATGAAAAATACATTGAAATACTTCTGTATTCAACAAGATAGTGTTTATTTGATCTCTCGTAGGTCAAGTTAGGACATTATGTTAGTTGTATCAATGGGTAATGTGGGAAAATGTGTCGCTTTTTCTAGGAAAAATCCTGTTCATTTTCAAGAATATTCGCACGAGCAGGAGGAAAGCGATAACGAGGAGAACTCACCAGATGATCGAGCGGAGTGTCCCTACGGAGAATATTGCTACAGACAGAATCCACGTCATCGCAGAGATTACAAGCACACACCTCGTAAGTTGCGGATTGTTTATTCCCGTAGAACGAAACTTTGCGAGTTTACACGCGTAAAAACGCACGTGTTTTCGTGTGCACTACATTTTGCATAGTTAAACCCTAGTTAACTCAGATATACACAACTCTGTTTGGCCAATTCTGTCCTTAACTATAATTAAATATTAACTAGTCTTTTATACAACTGACCCCTGTCGGGTCTCAGAATAGCCATTGAAAGCCTTAAACTAGTTGTTTTATATAATCGATGAGTCTTTCACGCTTTCGTGCTATTTCTAACATTCAGTGTCGCTTTAATAGAACCGAAGACACGAGAAAGAAAAGCAAAGAAAAAAGCAGGTAACTTTTTTCTAAGAGGCATCTTGCCTGCATTGATTTCTGCCATAGCACTGGCGATTGTCGAGTTTCTACCTAACCTTTGCACGTTTCACTAGGCTACGGAAAAATCCGAGACAACGACGAAGATGCTCCGAATGATTACGACTTTGACGATAGTTTCATCGATGACGAGAGCAGCGAGAGTGATCACGAAGCGTCTGACAACGACAGTGATTGGCAGCCATCGGGCGGTGACGATGACGATGACGATGAAGGCGAGGGTGAAGATGTCAGAGAGCTGCTGACCGAGGCAAGAAATTTTACAAAAAATAAGAAAATGATGAGGCCGACTTGAGAAACCACAACGCTAGGGCGGTTGTTTAAAATAGTAGTTGAAAGTTAACGGTGTTTATAACGGGAAAGTTAGCTGAATCGCAGTCAGATTTTTTAAGGAGGTTACCTCGAGTACGTGGAACCGCCATGTGGTGTATGGAAAGAAATATCGTTTAGCCACTCTCTGCTCTGACTTGAATTAAAAAAAAGTAACCCTTTGAAAGTTACTCACTCGAAGATCTCCAGTTAAATTCAAATACGATTTTTATACAACCGCCCTTAGATTTTTATTGTATAGATGTATTTAGGACGGTTGAATAACCGTTATATTAGAGCCGATGTAGTTTTATCAAATCTATGTAGATTTTAGTGTAGTTAGTTACTATCAATAGAAGATTTCGAATCGAAATTCCACTAAAAACTCTTTGATGCTACAGAAACGCCAGTGTTGAAGTTTGTTTCTGCTTCTGATGAAGTTTTCTTTTATGGAACATGATACGCAGAAAGCTTTTTGCAAATCCATCGAAACGTGTGCGCTTTTACATGTCACACTCTTGCATGGTAGGATTTTATGTTACCTGGTATAATCAATAGAAACATGGTCTGAAAACTCTGCTGTTTCATGTTGATTCAAACCTGAGCATGCAAGGCAGAGGCAATGCATCACTTGCATAATATAAAGCAGTCTAACCACACCACTTCCCCGTCTCTGTTTCTCCCAAGATACTCTACCGTGGTTTCGAAGCAAAATTTCAAAAGATTTGTGCACGATGTAGGCCGTTTAAAACAAATTTTTGCTAATAGTAGAGGCCTTAAAAGTTTCTTGATCATGTCTTCATATAGAACATGTAATAATTTACGCTTTTAGAACACCGTATATAATCTGCTGCGTAGAATCCTGTATCAGCGAAAATATATATAGCATTGTAAAGATATAAATGTAGATATTAAAGATTATCGAGAGATCTGATGTCGTTATGCCACGGATCTATATAATATATGCTATAGATGCATTTCTTGTCCTGTTTCAAATTATTTTTGTTTGTGGAAGCGCTTGGCAAAAGCTTATATAAGCTGTGCAGTATATGCAAGAAGAGAAAGTAAACCAGTTAGAGAAGTTCTTGCATGAAATATCACCGAGTCATTTCATATGACATGGGGTTTTCGGAAAGATTTTATCTTAATTCAAATCTTAATACAAAAATATTTCTCCAGAAATGGAAAGATTCCTATGAAAATTACCCGCATTTATTAAAACTTACAAAATCATTCTCTAAACTATTACATAGATTTCTCTATACACTAATATACAACTATTTCATTTCTACAAAAAAAATTAATTTTCACTAAAAAATAACTTAGAAGTTGCTAAAACTTCCGTCTTCAGAGCTGTCTTAACAACTTTCGTTGATTGCCGACAGGATTCTGTAAAAGAGATTCAAGTTGTTAAGAAATGAGGTCCAGGAGGTCGCTGACAAGCAGTTTTCTTGACCATTACAAGAAGTTTGAGTTTTTTTCAATAGCTTACTGTGGCAAAGGTATCTTCTCTTCACACAAGTTAGCGAGAACATAAACATGACGTAATGCAGCATCACTCTAGAATGAATATGCAAGCAATCATTTAAATGTAATACCATTTTGTTGTCTTCAGAAAAACTTTATTGTATCATATAGCAGACTATAGGTTTGCTCCTGCATTTTTGCACGGGGAGTAATGACGATATAAGGAGGGAAATCAACAACCAACCTTTCCCAAAGCAAAGCATTTCTCATGGAAAGCATCTACGACTTCAGCATGACAATCCAGCTCGGTCACTTTACCAGAAGATCCTTCCAAGACCCTGAATTTCTGTTCTTCACCGTGGGTCGCAACTTCAGCAATTTTTTCCACAGTTTCTCTAACTCTTTGTCTTTCCTGCAAACCAAAATTCAAATCATTGTTCCTTAGATTTGCACCTGAGGGTAGGTGCGCTAGAAGACATTGTTTCAGAGCCATGTTTTCCACAAGTGTACAAACCAGAAATGGTCGTATTCCAGCAAGTTGGGAACCGGTAAACATTATTTCCTAGCCATGTCTACGAAACAACATTTCCTAGCTAACATACGTTTCCTACAGGTGAAGAAACATCTCAGAGAACTCCACTTACGCGAAGAAGACTTAGCATTTTCATTTCAATTTTCACTTTTTCTGAAGAGGATGCCTTTTCGAGACGATGTTCGAGAATGGCCATTGGTACTTCAGGGGATGGCACCGCATCGTTCTGAAAAGTCAAAATTACCATGATATAAAACACATCTATTACTGAAAATATTGGAAGGTGATAAGAAAGAGGAACGTACAGTATCATATTCGTTTGTATCTTTAGCTGGCAACCAAGATTCTTTGCCTTCTCCTTGGAAATCAATGACAGAATCAGCCGACATATCCTACAGGAGTAAGGTGAGATTATATAACTTGTAGTACGCCTGAATGCAGAGTTGGAACTCCAGTAAACGAGAATCTCGAACAGTTTTAAAACCTAGTGTAAGCAGACAAGTTTCGTGAAATATCAGTATCGTACCATATAACGGCAGGCCATGATTTATATATATAGTGGGAGAGCATGTTTGTGAAGAAAACGTGACTGATTTGTATTAATGAATTGGAAGATATTTTGCTTCAATTTAATATTGAAAAGTGTCCCGTTTACAAGAAGTTTTACAGAATCGTAATACAGTATAACACTTAATGTGGGGAAAATTATCCTCCGGAGCGGATTAAACAGTATCAGTATGTGGTTTCTTTTGTGCTTAAGACAACTAGTTTTCATCGAGAACACACGGATAAAAGAAATTTTCTGCCTGATGCGGTCCGGAGGATAATTTCCCTGACTTGAAATCATCCTTTAACCAAAGATGACATCCGGCAGACCAACCTGCTCGCCGTATTCCTGAACATGACTTTGTGTTGTCCTCTTTTTAACCTTTAGAAATTGTTGTTGAAGCGTCTCCGAGGTTAGATTCGACTAGAAGATGCAAAATATTGAAGTACAACATCAGAGATACGATTCAAGATGCCCATGCACAGCAGGTTATCGTCTCATTCGAGGTCTCATTGCTGTCATTTCATGACTTAACAACGACCAACCTTGTCTGAATTTTCCATCCAGGAAATGCTATAGAGATCACCGAGGTAAGTATCTCTTTTGTTGTCCCAGTAGTAAGCGTAAGATGATTCACGCGGGTTGGCGGCGGTGGTCGCAAAGACTGAAAGATGGAAATTCAAGTGTGATTTAAATCAGGGTCATACATACATATGCAGAGTGTGGAAGGGGTGCCAACCCCCCCCAGCTCAAAAAAATCTATTCGATTGTATTTTCAAATCGCATGGGCGATTTTAGTCGCGTTTTTCTTATTTTGATAGATGTGATCGAGTGGATAAGTTATGGATGTCAAAATAAGGGCACTTATACACCGAGTATTCATAACTATCGACTAGTTTGTATCTGTCAAAAGAATGACCAAATTGTCAGTTTGAAACGGCCTCAAAATCAGTATACTTACCTTTGATATTATTAGGAAGTCCTCCGTCGGCGAACATTGATCCTGATTCACAAGCCTCTACGTAAATTACCATCTGGGGAGATGTTTTGGAGGTACAGTAATTAGAGTAACATTTGTATCATTTGTATCGGTCCAGCTACACCCAGATTTAGGGCTAATGTAAATTTCATGTCTCTTTGTACCTGTTTATACTTGTTTTTCTGGTGCATGAAATTTATGGCTTGTAGGAGCTGCTTCTTCTTCAGCTACACGAAAAAAGACATGGTTTCTTTAGGCATCGCTCTAACATCATTAAATCGTTAAAGCACAAAGAATATCGCCTGTATTCAAAAAGCCCACTCACACTCGCCCTCTTTAAGTGTGACATAGAAATTTTGTTATTACTGATCAATAAGAAAGTTATTTCTTAGTCAATGAAAAGAATTAAGGTTAAACACTGAAAATCAAGCTATTGTTTGACTGCAAATACCATCAAGGAAAAGTTATATGAGAAGATTGAGATCTCCCACTAAATAAGTTCGAGTGTGAGTGAGCTTTTAGAATACAAGCGTATACGTTCTGAATAAGGTTGAAATACTCACTGGAGGAGCAACGCCGGGGAAGGCAACCAAGCCTGGAGCTCCGTGATCAGCGAAATATACAAAAACATTATCATCCGGGCCGCTAGAATGAAAAAGAGTACTCAGATAGGGCCGGTTGAAGGAAGACTGGATAGCGCTCTCCGCCAGGTAATGGAGCAGCCAGATTGAGATTCCTTTCAAGTTTCAACCCTTGTAAAAAATGCTTGATGAACTTTAAAACTACAGATTTTAAGCTAAAAATTATCGAAGAGGATCCCAAATTTACGATTACTAAGGTTTATTCAAAGTTATACAAAACAACGGGCAATTTTAGAGCGATTAAAAAAACGCTAACCGGTGGATAGCGGTATCCAGCTTTCGCACAATATGGCATCATACAGAATCATAATATAGAATACTATTTTCACTGAAACCCTACATTCGATATCCGTTGTTGCAGCTTGTGTAATACAAAAGCGCTACAATATACAGGGTGAAACAACTACAATGTCATGTTAGAAATTTAAACCCAGTTTGAAGTTCCAACCTGTCAATGACTTTCCCGCTGCCAATTCCTTGCACAGCATCTTTATCTCCTTTTAGAACACTCAGAAAGTTCTTCGGAGTGACGTCCTGCGAAGAATAGAAGGTAGGATTTATATATTAATAAAGAATTCTCAAAATTGAAAAAGAAAATCAGGCGAGAAATTTCGTTCGAACTGAAAATTCCAATATAGTGGAAGAGCGCTCCAATACCTTTCCGGTGTAATCCTTTGGAACTCCGTGGTAAACGTCCGGTCCATTCGGCTAAAAAATATCTTTTTAGTAACTTGAAATGACATTTTAACGGGCTAACCTGGGTTCGGGCGTGCATGGATGGGATCTCATAACTTCTGATAACCAATTGGTTATAAATGATTAATAAACGTTATCATTTCCTTGGTGAGATGGATTAGAGCAACTTACTCACCATGACTAAGTGATACCTCCCCCTAAGGAATGGTTTGATTATTAGGGACGCACGTAATCAGGATTAAGCTATTGATAGCGTCAGGGCTCAACTCTCAAGAGATTTAATCCGACAGTCATTCATGGGTTATTCCCAGTTACCTTGTTGATGATTTTACCAGGAGTTGGGTTTGCGGGATTCTGTGCTATATCATCGTACATCATCACCACGATGTTCTCGTCAGGAATTTGATTTCTGTGCAGTATTTGATACGCGTGACAGATGTCAGCCTAGAATCATTCATTAAGTTAATTGATACATTCCCTCTCTCTCCATATTGTCAGACCCGTAAAATACATTCCAATTCTCTTTTAGAGTTCTGTCTTTGCTCTCTTCAATTTGTCGTAAAAGCAAAGTATTATGTAAGTATTACTAACGACGAGAGTTTCTTTTTTCTAATGAACCTACCCCGAAGGCGTATTTTCATGTAAGACTTAGTTAGAGAGTTTTAAATTTTAGGGTTTGAACCACCTGTTAATTAAGTCACGCGGTTCGACCATGGGTACAAGTTTGCTTACCGCTTAGGCAAATTCAGATGATAAACGCCATCATTCACGCGATCGTGACCTAAATACGAGGTCTTAATCCGTTCTGTCAGACATACCAATGTCCCCATTGCTTCATTTATATCGTTATTCGACCACATATGTATTTAATATGTATTATGTTCCATCGAATGTATCATGTTCTATGAAATTTCCACGGTGCCCGTTTTATGCCGCCATTGATGATATTAATAAAGAATTTCTCAAAACGAAAGTGCTAAGTTCTAACTTTTGCCAAGAAGGCTCCACATCGGCATTTATCTCGTTTCGTTTCGACAATTTATAACTATCTTAACCAGCCATGCCTCAAGTGAACGAGCGAAACGACGTTACGTTGTAAATTTTTTGACCTCTTGTCGTCGAGTTAAAAAAACATCGTGGATTTTCAGAGGAAGAATATTATTTCCTTGTTTTATAAGTTTTGTTGATTTTTTAAAGTTTACGTGACAAATAGTACTTGAAATTGCTCAATTAGAACTATTTATTCCGAACGAAATAACACTGATATGTCGACATAAACCCCATATTGACACACACACAAACGGAGAGCGTTATATACACTTTACCTGATGTCTATAGTTATCCCATGTATTTGAGCCGGCTATAAGCAGACCCCATGTCTTGCTATCTACATTTCTGGCTAGTACAGTCACGCAAACCAGTACCGCGATCACGCAACAAGCCGACTTCATTTTGTCGCAAAAGTTTCAGTGGATCCGCAACAGAACAGCACCGCCAATCGGATTGTGATGGTTGTATTTGAGCTGTTGAGGATGCTTGTTTGCTATGTAAATGATGTTATGCTCGTGGTCTTGTGACTATCACGCTAATGCCCTTGACTGCACAAATTCCCGTTTGGATTGGCTGCCCACGCAGGAAGATCCGGTATATGCACGTGAGAAGTGAGATGATGTTACATAAATTAAGTAACGTGATTGGGTTAGGTTTGGCCGTTTGGGTTACTTAGAAAAAGCTTACCAAACTATTCAGGAACTATGTCTATATGGGAACAGATTAGGCTTTTAAATTTCATCATCCAACCTAAACCACGCAACTGACGCAAGCTACATACTAAAACTACGTAATGATTGTAATGGAAGTGGTTCTTCAATATGTCTTAGTTGTGATGATTGATTCATTCGTTTGACGTGTAAATAACGCGAGCATGGGGGCTCATGTGTATTGATAACTGATTATCAATTATACTCTTATAAATTTTAGGTTTGTCAGAAAGGCAATTCTTTACGGAAAACATATCGAAAATTGAAGGTTAAAAATCCATTAATCATTAGGCAGTTGAGTTTGACACAATTTTTTTAATTGTTACGCCACAATGCGGTCCTCTGACTGAAAATCGTATTTTGAAGTGTGCTATCTAGTAATCCCTTTCTCAACGACAATCTCGTATCCAGGGTGGAAGAAATACCTGGGTATGAGGTTACCCCATGGAATGTCCCAACCACCATCCATCACCCTTGTAAAAGAAGACGAAGTTTTTTCTTGTCTAACATGACGTTTCCTTCGTTCAGCCGCATCCATAGATATACCGCGGTCGTCAAAACACTTTGTTGCCAACGTTGTCCCAAAAAAGGATTTGAAAAGTATTTTTGTTAAAACAAAACAATTCTTAAATCTTTTATAATGAAAAGACTTTATTCCGGCTAAAGAAAAAGACATTATGGTGAAGTACGGCATTGAAATATTTGGCAGAGTGAAGCCAGGGAAAGGTCGAATTGGGGTGAGAAATATAACGTGTATTTTAAAAATTGTATTATGGGACATTCACAGTTGTCGTTTCACAAGAGTAAATAAACTATGTGTAATGAAATTTTCTCTGTAATTCACCACGGTATAATGATGATTCTATGCAATTGGAAACATCTTCAAGTGTTTTATATAAAAATATCAATAAATAGAATTGTGATTTGAGCTGGCTTGACTGCCTTGACACATTTTATTCTAGCAAACTAGCCTAATGCAATAGAATTTCAGATGGCCAAAACTAGCGTATTTTTTTACTAGGACTATGATTGTGACGAGGGAGATGATGGCTATTCCTATGTCTCTTTTAACATCCCAAAAGATCTTGCTCGCGATTTTATCAACAACAAGAAGGAAATATATAAATTCAGGTATTGTGATTTGAGTGTATTATAACAGGTGGTCCACTCATCAAAGATGCACCAGTTGATGTAAATGAAGTTAACAGAAGTCTTTAGACTTCTTTGACTCTAAACTAATTTGTCTGGACATAGCCTGATGAATTTAGGACCATGTCGGAACTTATTCTATTCCCTTGTTTATATGCTAATATATCACACTGTTGAGGTGAAAGTTAGATGCATGTTTTCATATGGGACAAATTAGATCGATCTGAACACTCCTAGGTTCATTTACTCCAGTAGGAAATAGTCTGAGAGTTTCAATGCTAAACTTTGAGTTTTTGATAGTTTTTCACTCAGATTAGATTGCTGATGGCCTGAAAGGGTCCAAGTTAATGGTAATTAAGTTTAACTTGTACCATTCCTTTCTCAGATTCAATAAGGCATTTGACAGAGACACAAAACAAGATGATATTTTTGAACACGTAGCAAGAGGCGTTATTGACAAGTATGTTGACTTATCACAAAGATTCATTACTTAATTTTCACGACAGATGTAAAAATTTAAAGATTAACGTAATTTATGATGACATTCAATTTTTGCAGTGTTTTATCCGGCTATAATGGAACAATCTTTGCATATGGACAGGTAATGTCTCCTGTTAAAATGATAATATCAATCATATATGAATGCCCATTCACAATAATCTCAGTGTAAACAGATATGTTATGGAAGTACCAAACTTGATTGTGGAATGCTCTCATTCCCTACCCCCTCTCCCCAGGGCAGGGGGGATCTGCCAAAGGCAAGAGATACTACAAATTTTGAAATTGTTTAACAAAGCTATTATCGATCATTATCTCTTGTTAATCAATTGCGCTGTCCTTTGTCATATGTACAGACGGGATCTGGCAAGACTTTCACAATTACTGGGGGAGCGGAGAGATATGCGGACAGAGGAATAATTCCAAGAACCTTGTCATACATGTTTGAATGTTTTGAAAAGGTAAGTGAACCAGAGGTCAAAAACTCTGCCCCCCAGTGGCCCCCTCTATCCCTAAGTAAGGTCAAGAAATATGCGCAACCTAGTTCCCCAACACAGCTCCCATTTTGACTGTAATTTTTCCCATCAACAGAACCCAGAATATGTTTACACATCACACGTTTCTTACCTGGAAGTCTACAATGAAAATGGATACGATCTCTTGGACCCAAAGCACGAGGCGGCTAAACTTGAAGATTTACCGTAAGTTACGACGATCGAAGCGGTCGGTAATGCACTGTGAATGATATAAAAATAGATCCAACGAAAATTACTTTCGACGTGTAATTCTTGTAGAAAAATTGCTTTGATGGAAGATAATGACGGAAATATTCATTTGAAAAACCTCTCTTTACATCAAGCGAACAACGAAGAGGAAGGTATATCAAAATTAGTCTTTGTAAAGCAATTTTAAAACAAGAGAACCTTTGAAAACATAATCTAGAAGGATGTATAAATTCAGCTGTTAGGTCAAGTAGACTGTTTCTCCGCTTCTAAATTAGGGAAGAAAGCAGTTCTCTTGAAAACGTTGGTTGAAAGGATCGAGACACTTTTATAATAATCATATATACCCTTGTATCTTAGTTTGGCTTCTAATATTTTTTATTAAACCTTCTGTGATTCAGTGGTTTATTAACATTTTTTGTCGATAACATTTAGCGCTGAACTGGTTGTTTCTCGGGGACACAAATAGAATGATTGCGGAGGTAAACGAAGAGTTATTTGATTCCACTTGTTAGAACAGTCTCGGACTGTTTGTTGCAACTAAACAGCAGGCTTTTTCTAATGAATTCGTTTATATTCTCTCCAGACACCAATGAATCAAGCATCCACAAGATCCCATTGCATCTTCACGATTCACATTTCCTCCCGCGAGCCTGGGTCAGCGACGTTAAGAAGAGCCAAGTTGCATCTTGTTGATCTGGCTGGGTAGGATGGATTTGAAAATATTACAAACGGCCGTGCATGTGTGTGTGTGTGTGTGTGTGGAATTAATCTAGCAAGCATTCATACACGATGTTGCACTGTAGATGGAATCATGGAGACAATGTTTTCTCGTTTTAGTTCTGAGAGAATTCACAAGACTGGCGTTGATGGTACGATTTTGACCGAAGCAAAATACATTAACCTATCACTACATTACCTTGAGCAGGTTTGTACCGAAAGCAACGATTTAGGGAATCTTTAATCCTCTAATCCAATCCTTTAAACCTTTAATCACTTCGCTAACACCAGTGGAAAAATTGGGAATTCATCGAAAATGTATAATAAATTACGATGATTCGACATTATTTATCACTGCATGTTACTTCAGATCCATGATCCATCCACTTGCATTCAACAGGTCATCGTCGCTTTATCAGAGAAATCAAGAACTCACATTCCGTATCGTAATTCCATGCTTACTTCAGTGCTGAGAGACAGGTTGGAATTTCTTGCAAGCGTTGAATCAGTGTTACCATTTCATTGGATAGATTTTCCTAATCGAGCAGTTCAATTCAAGATATTCTTTGCCTTGTAGTTTGGGAGGAAACTGTAGAACAACAATGATAGCAACTTTATCAGTTGACCGCAAGAATATTGATGTAAGTTATTGGGGTCGATTAAAACTGGTTGATAGGAAACGATTCGTTGTCATTTATGTGTGGTTTTCTTCAATTTAGGAGTCCATTTCAACGTGTAGATTTGCACAGAGGGTGGCCATGATAAAGAACGATGCTGTTTTGAACGAAGAAATTGATCCGAAACTTGTACGTTTGTGAATCATATATCTCAACGTTTAAGTGAAGATTTGAATCTCGACGTCTTTCAGTCAAACGGGGGATGCCTGTCATGGAAATGATCTTGTTCCACCAAGACATCCATTGCACTGACGTCGCAACCTCTACGAATGCTTTTCTATGTTTTCACGAATCGCCAACAGTGATCCTTTTCTTTTATCAGATGATAATCAAATTGAAACAGGAGATTCAGCAACTAAAAGACGAACTATCAATGTCGTCTGGAATGGAGTACAAGGGTGAACTGACGGAAGAGGAAATTGAAAGGTAAGAAAACAGTCAACTCATTGTCGTCACTTTTCTTCGATTTTTCGAATGTCTTCTTCCCCCACCAGGTTGAAATACATGATCAAGACGTATATTGAGGACAAAGATCCCGAATCCTCGCTGTTGGTTGGAGCTGATATGAGGAAGATCAATTTGTCGTTTAAATTGTTTAAGGTAACCCAAGATTGCAATCATGCAGTTCCACGGGAAGTTCAACCTCCTAAACTGAGACTCTTTAACCCTTTTTCAACCATCATCAATGTAGGGTCATGTCCTAGACAGAAAGCCAAGCAACTCTCCTGATACTGCGAGGTGAGTTGGTGTGTAGTATTTCGATAGATTTATCTACTTGGAGTTGTTCACACAATCCAGTTTACTAGATCAGTTTTTTCTCTTGGAGTTGTTCACAAGGTCCAGTTTACTAGATCAGTTTCTTCGCTTGGAGTTGTTAGACAATCCACTTTACTAGGTCAGTTTCTTCTCTTGATGTATCTGACTTTATACCATGCAGTCAGAACAACAGGGTTTGCCTCAAATAAGCCAATCACTTACACTTCCTGGCGGATTCAGTAAATTACATTTGCTAAAAGGATAACTTTGTTGGAATTCCCGCATGCTAGACAGTTATAGGATTTGCTATCATCATTTTGCATTGTATCCTGTTCTTCATCGTGCAGGTCAAACGGTTCGCTACAGCGGGACAATTCATATCTCAGTGATCAGAATGAAGCAACAAAACTAAAGGAATTAATTCATCAGCGAGACAACGAGATTAGTATCCTTTATCGCCATATTGAAGAAAGGTAACCTGCTATATTTATTATTGCAAGTGAAGCAAGCTGTACTGGCTCGTATTCTGAGATTCTTACTTTATCTCAAGCGAAATGTTTGGAAACAATGTTCTCGTTGTTTCAAAATGATACATCAATTTTTATTTTGTTTCAAGTCACCGCATAATACTGCATAACGTAAATCTCTTGATAAAACACATAACCAACAAAAACAGGTCATAAAGTCCGCTAACTCCGCTTCAGGCGAACAAAACATTCACTAAAATCTGATTTCAACGCATGTTAATTGGAAGCAATAAAACAATGGTTGCAATAGTCGCGATAACATTGGTCAACATCTTCAATTAACATGCATTGAAATCAGATTTTTTCGCAAGTTTGTGTAATATTGTCTCTCGTGTAACTTGGCCTTCACGCGAGGTAATGCAACATCAAGCAATCTATAAATGCTGAGATATATCGTATAAAGCCGAGATGGTTAAAATTAAGTCATCGTGGCAGAAAAAGTCTCGTATTTAACAGGGTAGCACCCTGCTTGCCTGCCTAACGTGAGCCAGGTCCCTTTCTAAGGGATCGCGGACTAACTCCTCAGGTGATTCCTGGTGCCATCTTTAGTGTTTATTCAAACTGAGGCAATTTCCTAGGCTTGACTTTCAAGGATCTTTTGTTTGTGGCAATGAAAGCTCGAATGTTGGAGAATTTCAATCGATTGAAAACTTTGAAGATTTAAAGGACACGTCGCAATGCCACCCTACCGGTCCACTTATGTCCTGCTGTGTATCCTGCAAGACATTGATATCCTACCAGGATTATATTAAAGTGGATGTGAAACAATCTGGGTCCTATCACGAAGCAGAAACCGAGAGCTTGTATCTCGGAGGGGAGTCTGGGTCGTGGTTTATACAACAGCTCGATTTGAAGTCTTTGAAAACCCTCGCGAAATTGAAGCTGGAAATGGAAAACTACACCGTCAAAGAGTTGCGAGATTTGTATCGCAAGTCACGCGTGGCGATCCTCGCAAATTTCACGAATAATCGTCACGTCCACGAGGAGATCATGCGCGAAATCGAAGCATGCGCAGTGGTGAAGGCCGGGGAAAAACGTCGCCAGAATCTGGAGACGAGACGAGCCTCGTCTTTGGCAAAGTACAATGAAATATTGAAGGAGTTTCATCACGCACACGAGAGATTGATTGATATAACACAGATGAAGTTGGAGGCGGAAGAGTTACACACTTGTTTAATGGAGCGATTACAGAAGGCTAAGTTGACACATGATAATATTGTAGCCCAGCATTCCCGAGAGTTTAAACCTCGTCAACAAAGGGAACGAAAAAACTCCATGTAAACTGAATTCGTGCATTGAAAAAAGTGAAATGATTGTGTCATGCCTGTCAAAGGAACTTGGCTCATCTCTTTGCAGGTTGAAATCTGTGATTCTTGTTGAACACTAGTGAACTTTTGCAGTCTTTGAATATTTTTGCAGTCTTTATTGTGAACTTGGTATATTTTACAAACCACAATACTAAATCTATAGACATAAATTTTCCTTTCTGTGATTTTCTCTTTCATTTGTGTCCATTCTCATATCCATTTCTACAGCAATCTCTGCTCCGTGATGAAGAATATCTCTCTTAGTGAAATCTATTCTAGTTCTTCCCCTAACAGTCTTACGCCTTGTCACCGCCAAAGATGCAGGTCCAATCATCTTTGCGGGCAGATAATTTAAACCGGCGTATCGTACCGAATCCTACCGAACATGTATAGTAAATCTGCTTTGTCAGTCACATGATAATACCTGGTACTTAACCATTTCCTTTTATCTGCCATTTGAATCTTCCATCAGTGTCAATGTACACCACTTACCGTGTCGAATTTCACTTTTCCTTAATGTAATTCCCTTTTTCTTTTGATCATTACGTCGTAAGGGCAACATCAGAGCCCTGAAGCAAAGACGTTCCTCCCCTCCCCTCCCCTCTCCTCTCCTGAAATGATGCTTGTCAATTGTAGGTTAACCACCAGCAAGGGACTGGTACTCGACATAGACAATGGCACGGGAGCAATGACAAACCGAACCAAGATTCTTCCCTGTGTCGGATTCTTCTTACTAAGATTATCCTTCTTTCATGTCCTAGCCAGAGTCTGATCTAATCTTCAAAACTAACCTTGTACAAATGTGCTTTGGTCTATCTGTGAAAAAACTCTTAGCTTCATTACTAATTCATCTCATCTTTCATTGTCTATTTATTTTGGCACTCGTCTATGTTCTAAACTTTCCTAATGAACAATGATATCCCTCATTTCCTCGATCTGGCTCCTTAATTTATTGCCTGCCTACTGTTGAATTGTATGACTCTGGAGCTCGTTAAAAAACCCTCCTTCAATGAATCAGCGATACTCGTGAATCTGTGACAGTTCACATCATTCTCGAAACGCGGTTTTCCTCAAAGTCGTTGAACATGTCATTTTGCTGCCGATTAAAGCGATGTACGTCAGCTGTTCTACGCTTCTTCCATTTTTTTTCTTTTTACTTTCATTCTCATCACGAAATCCTCTCTCGATGTATCATCAGCCAAAACTACGATCATTGAATTCCATCGACCACCTAAGAAACAACCTACGTACGGAGGACCATCAATTTTAACATTATGTTTCGTACCAGATATCATATGTTGATTCATAACACGATATAATGATGAACTGGCAAACTCGCTAACACAACGGCACCTGCCCAACACCTGCTCAATTTCTTGCATTCAGTGTGCGACGTTCATGAACAACAATCGGTCGCAGCTTTGGAGGAGGAGTTGAAACTTTGAGCATGGTTTAATTCAGTCCGTATTGTAAATGATATTTAGTCGTTTAGACCAGGGAATTTAACCGAATTTATCCGCCATAAAAGACAGTGAATTCAAAAAGAATCTATTTTGGTCAAAGAGTGAGAATACAAAGTTATAACAACAGATGTTGCCATTTTTGTAGCAGAACATGCCAGATATCTTGATGGACATTTCTTGCAGGAAAACAGATTTGTGTAAAAGATTTACCAGCCTGCATTTGCCTTCATCGAGGAAGAAGCCAAGAAGAAAAACTCGATTGAAGAAACCCCCGCGAAGGCTTAGATATTACTCACTTTGCGGTTGGCCAAGCAACGCATAACCTGTTGCATTATAAACTACCATAAACAAAACATGCAAGCTCTTGAAGCAAGATGGACGAATTAGCTGCATCGAACGAACGCCAACAGGACGAAGCTCAAGAGAGTTTCCTGAATTTTGAATTCTTTCGCGACACTTGGGTGGGACGGTTGAAAATCGCTGAATTAATCTTCGGTCTTCTCGCCGCGGCTCTCGTTCCTGCGACCGTGTATGGACACGGCGCTGGCTTCGGTTTTATGAGTTTTGTCGCGTGGACCGCGTTCATTTGCACGCTGGTTGACTGCTTTCTTCATCTCATTCGTGATATCTGGGAGAAGTTGGTGTTTGTTCGTGATCACCCGGAGATCTATCTAGTTCTTTGCGCCCTTGGAACGCTTGGACTTTGTCTTGGTTCTATCATTGTGTTGGCCATCTCTACGTACGCAGAGGACCCCAACATGGCCAGAGCGTCCGGATTCTTTGGCTTTTTCCTCATGATAGCCTTGGGTATAGAAGCGTTCCTGCATTTTCAGAGTTTTAAGCGGACATTGGAGGAAAGAAGAGAGAGACAGGAAAGGTCTGCTACCCACACTGAGGAAGTCTTTACAGATATCAGACCTGTTTCATGAAAACTCAAAATCGCAAAGAAAAGAAAATACGTTTTGCCAACATCTAAGCATTTATAATAACGTTAATAACGTTATAATAGGGCCATTTATACGAGGCAAAAAAGTCGCGACTTATTTAAGACGCGACTTAAATAAGACGCGACCTGATATAAATAATTAGATCATTTCTTAGCGTCCTAATTCTGTATTTAGCGTTTTTGCCACTCCACGTAATTCTTGTTTTTTCTGGAGTTTTGCTCTTTATGGTGTCAGCTTTGCTTGTATTTTCCGCCATTCTGATTTCTGACTTTTTCGTAGTCGTGTTCACGCACGCGTTGTTTTTTTAAATTTAATTAAGACGCGTCTAAAATAAAAAAGGTAAAATCCCTGTTCTTATCTAAGTCGAGAACAAGTATTTTGTATCGTTTATACGACAAGGTCGCGTCCTATTTATTTTAGTCCGGCGTCTTAAATAAGTCGCTACTTTTTTTTTCTCGTTCAAATGGCCCTAATGTTTACATTTTACAACTCTACGATATGTGCACAAATTTATAATCAAACTCTGTCAATAGAATTTATTGGAAATTTCAGTAACAATTTGATAACTAATAGAGTTTTAGTAACATTTTATGGCTTCTATAAGAGACTAGAGACACTGTCTGCAATAATGTATATTTCATGAAGTTCCGAAAGAGCGAATTTAAGCAATTTTAGGATTGCAATTTCTAAATTCACGAGCCCGCGACGTTTTCCGTAAGAAATCAAGAAATTTACATTAACAATTGACTTCACCACCCCTGAGGGGAATTTCTTTCTTCTATTGTAACCATGTGATAATGAGTTCCTCTTTTTCCCTGAAGTTGTTAATTTTACTATTTCCTGTTATTATGAATGATTAATTGTGATTTTTGACACTTCACTCGATGCACGCAAATGCTAGGGTTTAAATAAGGGTCTTAAGTTCGAGTGGAATTATACACACTTCAAATTCAAGCCAGGAACAGTTGATGGAAAAAATGAGTCAACTATCGGTCGTCCAATCGAACCTACGCTTTTGTGATGCCGGTGCAATGCTCTTGCCACTGAGCTACAGAGGTAGCTGACAAGAGCAAGCGTGATTAATGTGTATAGGATGGTAATGCCGGGTATAGGTGAAGGTAAATCGATTTGTGATTTTTGGCACTTCACTCGTTCCACGTAAATTCTAGCGCACTTCAAATTCAAGCCAGGAACGGTGTATTATGAATGTTATATTGATCTAAGCTCTATATTGGCAAAAACTTACTTCAGAAAGAGCGTTATCTAGTCGTGCGAAGCACACATTATCAAACGAGAAAGGAACATTTTCCTTTGCTTTTATTTTCACTAGAAAATTTTCCTAAACAGTTAAGGCTAAACTACAAGATCAATATTATGGGGATGTATTTTTAAGTACCCACTTCAGAGTGGTCCAATCAGAGCCTGACAATGCTTCTTTCAACCAATGAGAGTATCGTTTCGCAGTTTGAAACCTGACCAGCTGCCGGATAAGATCGGGGTTATCCCAGCCTACACAAGCAGGCTCTCTGTTTACGTCAGAGAAAGAAGGCTCAGCTGTTGTCGTGTTGATTTACTTCATCTGTTACAAAGCCTTCAAAATGGACGGACCAAGAAAAGAGCCGGCATCGGACACTGACGAAGACAGGCCCTTTCTTGATTTCGCTTATCTAACCTCTTCAACGATAGGCCGTTTCAAAATAGCAGAGTTTATTACATCTCTGCTAGCTGGTGCTATGGTGCCGAGTACAGCTTCAAGACATAATGGAGGTTTTGAATTCATGAGCTTTGTTGCTTGGACTACATTCATCAACGTGGTTATAGATATTATCCTTCATCTTGTTCGGGTCTGGGAGAAGCTATTGTTCATTCATTCATACCCACAAGTCATGGTGTGTCTATGTTTCCTCGGCTCCGTCTCGCTTTTTGTCGCTGCCCTTGTCGAGATCGGCATTTCGAGATATGCAGGAGTTCCGGGATTAGGTTATGCGTCTGCGATATTTGCTCTTGTATGCTGCGCGTTGCTGGCCGTGGAGTGCTATTTACACTACAAAAGTTATCGCGAAAAACAGCAAGAGAGGGCAAGAGAGATGACGACAACCGCTGAGGGACAGGGTAACATTCATGATCCAAACTTTTACTAGATATTGACAACTGAGTATAAACATACTGATCGAGACAACAATGACACAAATATGAATGACACGTGTGTCGTTTTGTCGCACAGCAGATGGTTACTGAAGATATTTCGCTTTTACTTTAATTTGCAGTTCTGCATATATTTGTCAGTAATAAAAGTCTTTGCTATTCTTTGGTAAACATATGTACACATACTGTAAACATTGATTTTTGAGCTGTCACGTATATACTTCAATGAAATATGATAGCATGGCTTTTTGTCAAATATTTTATCAATTCATTCATACCGCCAAAATAGAAGCGTGATTGCAAGTATCTCTGTTGGGGAGGGGGGGTTCTGTTGGCTGCCAAATATACTTTGTACACCATTCGACCCAATTTTGTTACCAGACTCCAGAGATTTGACTTTTGCGGCTGATTGATCATGACCTCACGTTAAACTCTGCAACGGAAAGTTTGTAGAGTGCGTTTAAGTTTTTCTTTGTATCGAAACTAGAGATACAAGTTTACGAAGATTCTTGATAAAGGCGTAACTATGAGAAGAACTTATTTAGGCGGAGTAATTATTTCGGATTATTTCAGGTTTATACGGAGAATTTGTCAGGTACTTGAAAACTTTGAAGACCAGAGTTGAACTGCATGCTGTTGTAATCTTGTTTCTCCTAATCACGAGATGCTGCATGGAAAGTCGCTCACTGCTACACAAAAGAATAACCAAAGCACGGCCATGCTGACTGAACTACGCCTACGGTGTCTCAACACGGCTGAGGGCCATTGATAGGGTATAGTTTCACCTTAACACAATCCGTTAGATATCTTGGTTGGGATGTTGAAACGGGAGCGAGAACGTGTTCAAGGGAATTCTAAGCCGTCAAGTAGTGAAAGTATTTCTCATGAAAGAAGTAAAGAGAGAATAAGCAGAAGAACCCAACCAACGTCTTCGAGCAGTGAAGTATCATCCGATAAACAAAGACAGACGCTTGAGGTGAGTGCTCTGTGCTCTTCAGAAAGCTGGACGATATCTTTTCCCTTAGACTGCACGTAGCCCTTCTCAGTTGAAACGGTAACATGGGGCAGGGTTGTTTAAAAGCAGGTTAGCTTAATTAAGTTAGTTAGGATTCCTGGGTTAATTGAAGCAAATCTTTACATTAAATTTTTTAATCGCTTGTTTACAAAGTTCAATATCTTTTTTCATTAATATATTTTCCGGGCCGACAGAAGCCATATATTTTTTAAAGGTTTTAAAACAAACATCTTTAAAACAAACATCGGTTCAGAAGCACTTAAAACTGGCATGTTGTAAAACATGGACTGGACTAGACTTGTAAACTATGGACTAGACTGGACTGGACAAGTCCATGTTTTACAAGTCCATGTTTTACATGTCCAGTCCAGTCCATAGTTTACAAGTCCAGTCCATGTTTTACAACATGCCCTTAAAACTGGCCCCTGATGTCGTGAGCCAGGATTAGTTGATTGAACTGCATGTGATCGGATTTTCCTTCCATTCTTGCAGGAGCGACAACAACCTGTGGCAACGAGGGAAGAGGCGAATGGACACTCCACAAAACCATCACAATCGCAACAAATGAAAGGTAAAGACGACTAATCCTAACAACGATTCCTAATCTTAATCAACATCCTAATCTTAATCCTAAGTTGCATCACAATACTAACTTGTACTAAACTTACTTGTAATCCTAATCTTAATCGACATCCTATTCTTAATCTGAACTTAAATCATAATCATAATACTACCCTAAACTTACTCGTAATCCTAATCCTAACCATAATTGTACTTACAATCGTAATTTTAATCCTAATCCTAACTCTTAATCCTAAACTCTCCCGAAAATGCGGCTTTCATATATTCCAACTTACTACTCAATCACTATCTCTATGAAACAGATGATATGTCCCAGGGGAGACGTGAGGCGTTTGAAGTGTTTCGTGCTGACTACCCTCACAATTCCAACATTGAAGAAAATAAACGAACACTGAAACAAAGGTAAGTTGCAGCAGCCACTTCACGCTTTCTGTTCATTTCAAATTCCTCTGTATCTCAGTGGCAAGAGAACTGCACCGGCATTGCATAAGCGTAGGTGCGATTCCTGCCGGAAGACCGATCGATAGTTGACTAAGTGTTCCTGGCTTGAATTGAGTTGTGTATAATTTCACTCGAAATTAAGACCCTTTAAAAACCTTGCTCTTTAAATGAGTTCACTTTTCTTACCAAGATTCCGGTTATATTCTGTTTCGTTAGATACGGTGAAGCGAAGACTCTTGGAGAACAGGTCAACAATTCAAGGAAGAAAATAAGTAAGTAGTTACTTTGTTTTTTACGATTCAAGTTTGGGCCTTTTAAGCTTATTTTATGACCTCTTACTCTTTCCTCCACAGATACTCTTAAAACACAAATTGAACAGCATAGAATTCGTCGTTCAATGCAAGGTAAGTATTGATATTTATCGGGCTAACTAATGCTCATAGTTTTCTATTCCCTAAATATATTCAACATGAATGAATGTTCGCTTCTTCGAAAGAGAATTTAGTTTTATACATTAAAAACAACAGAATAACGAAGTCTTGCATTGTTTTGTAGTGGAAGACGATGGCCAGAACGATGAAGAGGACAGACTGCGCAGTGCTATCGAAGATGAAAAATCCAGGTATTTTTGAAGATCGATGTAGATAGATCTATAAGATTAAGATCTATGTTCAAAGTTAGGGTGAAGTTTAGGATTAGAATTATCTTTGCGATTAGGATTAGGGTTAAACAGTTTAGGATCAAGATTAGAATTAGGATTTGCTATTAAAATAAGATTGTGATTGGAAATAAGATATTGTTAAAGATGATAGCCAAGTCCTTGAGGATCGCTGCTCTGAGATTAAACATTACGAGAATGAAGAGTTTTATTCATTTATAAACTACGGATTGCCATTTGAACCCAGATATACTGCGGGATACCACTTGCTCACACACTCATCGCCAATGATAACATCTTGTTTCAGATACAAGGAAGCGTTCACTCGTCTGCGTTCACTGAAAACAGAAATTGAACACCTGCAGCATCTCCTGGAAAAGTTCAAGGTTCAAATGCAAAAAGATTTCGAAGTTTGGTGGAACGAGCAGTCGTCGCTGCCTCAGAGAACGCAGAGTAAGAAGGTTGCCTCTGCGTGGAAGACACCCACACCCCCCTTATCTCCGATTAAACCCCAGGAAAACCGCCCCCGTGCGTCGACCGACCCTCGTACCCCGGGTCGGGTAGGAGGGGCTGATCACTGGAGAAACCCTGCTGGATCTGAGGAATCTTCAAGAGAAGATAAACGACATTCCTCTGCAGAGGGAGGAAGATCGATGAAGAACGCTTATGAAGATGCCAAACGATACAGGTAATTTACTATTTACCTCGTTCGTTTCGTTGACAGCCGGCTCATCAGTTTCAGCACGAGCTTCAGCCTGGTAGAGTAAGAACGTTTAAGTTAGACCTGACAGTTCAATAGGTTGCAATGGGATGCTTATTCTATCTCAATCAGGTATAAGTGTAGATCACCCACCATTGGAACATGAGCTCTCTCAACTAATACACTCTCATCATCAACTCACATGAGGTCTGTTTCATACGTCGAACTTTTCATGTGCCGAGTCGAATGCAAATGAACTTAGACACTTAAGACTTTTGCTTATTGACATTTGTTCGACGTCTGAAACAAGTCTAATGACTCAAATTCACTCTGACAGTCAATCTAGGTGGTTATGCTTGAGTAACAGTCGTTTTTGTTTTATTCTTTTTCTCGTATTTGCTTGTCATTGCTTGCTTTTATTCGGAAACTCTTTGCTGCAAATTCTATTATTTGAATTTCCAGTTCATCGAATGGAAAAGCGTCGCTGAATTTAACTGGTGACAGTCAGGCAGATGAAGATATTATGGCATTCATTCGAGCAAGACAGTCGTTACTCGACAAACGGCGAGGTTAGTTTGCAGTGATAAGATCTCTTGTTTGATGACAACCCTAACCCTATTCTAAAGACTAACTCATTGATCCCTCCCCCCCCCCCGCTACTGACTGACGAGTTGATCACAGTTGATCACGAGGTCCAAACTGCTTGCGCGAACGACATCAACCGTTTGAAATGTAAAACAGTAAAAGGGGCTCTGCTTCGGGGCTAACTTCACATTTTTCACACGTAAACTTGTTTTTTCGCTCGTCTAGGCTCCAATCATAAATAACATCGGTCTAGTTCAAGCTGTAAATAACTGAACATTCATATCAATTTGAAAATTCGGAACGCAAATACTTTTGTCGGATGTGACCAAGCCTACGTCATGGTGCGTTAACATGACGTCTTTAGCTCTCCGTAGAGTGCCACTTGCATCCTTTGCCAAGAGCCTCAAGTACTTCTCTAAATTTTCTCTACCTTTTGACTGACACTATCCTGTCGCATGGTCGTATGCAGAAGGTCCAGGCTAGTCTATTTCTACAAGATTAAACGTCTAGAAAGTACTATAATCAGCAATACCCAGCAATACGAACGTTCATATTGAAATCATCGTATCACGTCAGATATTTCTAACAACGTTCAGCCGTTGGCGGGAAAGGCGCCTGGAACGAACAGAAATACATCATCGAATACCAGCACTTATCAATAATCACAGTATATCATATTTCTATCACTACACTATACAATAGAAACACTTTACTACAGCGATATGCTTGAAATAACATGACGTACTGGGGACAGTGAATAATAGCGAAGAAGTAAAACTTTCATAAATGTCAAAATGAAAGATTGAAAACTTTGTCTTTGCATTAATGTGACTACACTATAGATTTAACTCTATTCCCTCCTCGAGCGTTTATTATAAAGTGCGTTCCTCTGATATGGAAACTTCAATAACATTTTTTCGTTTTGTCGTTAGCGTCATCCATACATTTACATTGACAATTCAAGTTGTTCCAAAAACAGACTTCAGGTAACGCACGACAAAACACGCCAGTTCTGAAGCAATTTTTACAACACTCCTGCAATTTTTTGCATTTGCATTCATCGTTTATCACAACTTTGCACGCCTTATAGCGAACATCGCAAAACGGGTAGTGTTTGTCTTTCAATATTGGCATCTGAAGTTTTCCACCATTGTCATCAAATTCACCCTGGTAAGGAAAAGCAGAAAACATGGTGACTCATTCCAATGGATGATCAGTTAAACAACTGTGGTTAGCGAATACTGTTTCAGAGTTAGCCTTGCGGACTATTGTATACTACCATGAACACAACATATTTGCGAACTTTAGGTTAGATAACCAGGGAGCAGCGTGGCAGCGTCTTCAAACAACTTAACATTGAATGTGGTATAACAACTGCCTAAAATAGACAAAAACACTTCTCGACGTTTCGAGCTGAGGGCCTTCGTCAGGAGAGTTACTATGTTTTATGCTAAGATATTTTTAAAGATCTTTACCTTCGTTTTTTCAAGAAAATCAACAACGTCTCCCCTATTATCAGTCTCCTCGTCCATTTTTTCATTCCCAAACGAAGCTCCTTGTACAAAGGCGAAAACACAAAAACCTACTACACAGATTACGGCCTTCATCTTGTTTCTTAAATATCCAACTTCAATCGCTACAGACACTTGCAAATGCTAAGAGACGATTGATATTATTCCGCGCAGATTATGTTTTATATGCGCGCACCTCGTGCCAACACAAGAGCAATATCGAATGTTTGATTGATTTAAAAATCATAATGGCGTGTTTAATGTTCATTAAGATTCTTTGGTTGCATGTCCGTCGTGAAGGTGTTGTCTTGTAGCTCGTTTCCTCTGGTTTATATTGACCAGGGGAAATAAACGACTCATTAAACCGTTTTAATTTAAATATAACTCAATGTAACGAACACTGAGTGTCCTTTCACGTAACGCCGGCGAAGAAAATTAGATAAAACCTTTTCATTTCATACAAAGATGAAAACAGCAGAAATAGTAAAACTGTAAAACTTCAAAATTTTCTAAAACAAGTTGTGTAATAAATATTGAGGGTCGAGTTTTCTTCGAGTTTTCTTCGAGGACCACTCTTCAAAAAACAATTTACAGTTCATGCTGGCAAACACGTTCATCCTAACATTCCAATCAAGCTACACAAACATAACCATAGAAACTATGTTTTGGTTTCCCCTAATTCCAAATATAATTATCATCGCTCCTCCCAAAGCTCCTCTTCCTCAGTTTTCTTTGGGTTTTCTCCACCAGAGTAATCTTCTATTGATCCCCGTCCAAAATGCTGTCTTTTTCTGGGCGTTTGTTTCGTCGCCGCGGGAAATCATGGTTACTGAAACAGGATTCAAAACTGGCTTTACCTGTTCTGGTCGTAGTTCAGGGTCGCTGCGCGATCGTACTTTGGTCTTGTGATATCTCTGGCGGATGGTCGCACTAAATCTATTGACGAGAGATTTGAGGATTTCGTATACCAGATAGATTACCAGTACCGCTAGAACGAGTATCAATGTCACTCCAAAATCATGCACAACTTTTACTGCTGTAAAAAACAGATACACAAGAACCCAACCAGTAAACGTTCTGTAAGTTTTAGCATCGCCAAAGGGCATAAACTTGATATATTTCTCTTGGATGTTTCCCATGGTAGTGCTTATTCTTTTCAACAGGCCTCGACGTAATGCTTTACACAATCCCTTGGTTAATAAACCTTTTACTTTTTTTCTTATCGATGGTTTGAATGAGTCATACATCATATTAGGCTCATGGTAGAATTCTAGATCAACCTTCATTATTTTTACCATACATTCACTTGTGTAGTTTATAAACCCCATGTCATCGGTGAAAATCGTTACTTCAAAACCTAAAGAGGCGTTATTAACCTCCAATGACAGTTCACCGTCGTCTCCCAGGGCAGGCCATGCGCTGTATTCCCAATTTGCATCGAAATTTGCATTGCCGTTCAGGAAGGAAATGTAAACACGAGACGTGTCGTTGTAGTTGAATTCCCACAGATTCGATATGTCGATATTTGAATCCTCGATGGCGACACCGCTTAGCTTCATCTCGGTCAGATTGTAGCTGATTTTTCCAAAGTTAAGGAAACCTTCGACCTCACCATTATAATCAGGAAATCTCATGTCATTTAGAAGCCAATGAAGAACTCGCCGGTCGACGGATAAAATAGTCTTTCGTAGCAGGAATAAAAATAAATATATCGCGATAATAGCGACTGCTTTCGTCGTGAAAATATTTCTCAACCACATTCTGTTGACAATGATTTTGTGATTTTTACATGAGTTGGTATGAAATGTAATTTGATACTTTTCCTGTCACTCTATCAACTGTCTCGTGATGGTCGAACTAACCGCATGACATTCTTGTTGAACGATTCGGAGGGAACGTTTTCAGAAAATATCTAAATTATATTTATCATTGTTTTTTAATGTTGCCTAACAACTTAATACATATTTCATAGCCTAATACCAATGTTATTCCGTTAAATTATAACCATTTTAATACAGAGCTGACGTGCATGTGCAATATAGAATATCGTCTCAGTTAAACACACATCGCAGACTCTCTTTAACTAATTTACGCAATGGCAAGTCATGTGCTTTACCTATGGCAAAATATGGCGGGCGAAAACTTGAAGTCATAGACGAGATTTATTTACTAAAATTGAAATGGTTTTTTTTCGTGTTGACGTCCTCCGGTTGTGTGGAGTACTATGTTCCTCACATAGCTTATAACGATGTAAACGGTGGTCCTCGGTGCTTAGTTTCTGTCAGGCTACGCTTGTGTTCCGTATGTCTTTGTCCAATCTTGAAATATCTTCAACGTCTCTGGCGAAACGCTCGCACGAACGTTTTTCATAGAATCGACAAAATCCGATAATTTGATGTTGCGAACCTATGTGTGGAGAAATGTGGAGATGAAATATCTTGTGTCAAAAACGAACACGTTTTCAGATTCCCTGACAGGCGTAGTTTGGTACCTTATTTGCAGAAATAGTTTGCAACTCGTCATGATTCATTTCTAAAAACAAACGAGGTATTATTCATTAGGGGTTCTTGGAAATCACCATCAACTTCACCACCATCATTTTCAGTCATTCCCAATGCTTACCTCGAATGGGTCCCAATGCTGCATCTCTGGCGAGAGCCGTCAAGTCACTTCCGGAATAATTTTCTGTCAGCCTGAAAATTTATAAATAACAAATAAATGTGTGAAAACTGACAACTATAGGAGTTGCCTAAGCATTCACCCTGTTTCCTGTAAGAAATGTTTCGAGAAGGAAACAAAATTTTGCAATTTGAGAAGGAATCTTACGTGGCTAGTTTTTCCAGCTCGCTGTCTGACAATGGACTGTGATGCCTAGTCAATAGTTTTGCAAGCAGAGTCTTTCTTGTCTGATGAAAGCAAAGAAAATGGACTTTCTGTTAACTTTGATATTGTCCGGGTTTTGAAAGACACATGGCTGGACTTTTACCTTGCTGTCAGGCAGCGGTAGGTAGACTCTCTTAACCAATCTCCTAATGTATAATGTATAGGAAGAAAGAGAAATTTAGGGGCAAAATATACTTGGGAGAGGCATGTACTATTAAAGCGCCAAAAAGTGCATTGACTCGAGTCAGTGTTCCTCACCTCAAAGCAGCGTCATCGAGTTCTTGCGGTCGATTTGTGGCGCCCATCACCAAAATACGTTCATTCTCTCCGGAGGTAAGCTGTTAGTTGGATGATAAGTTTGTGGTAAGCTCATGCAGTTTGTGTTGGATAGACCGGCTCGAAAAGGCCGTAAAAACAGCATGGCAGATGCCTATTTAGGCTATTAATACCATCCGAATTGACTTACACCATCAAACGCCAGCAGAAATTCTGTTTTTATCCTACGACTGCTCTCCTGTTCCCCTTCTTTTCTCTCACAAAGCAGCGAGTCTATTTCGTCTGAAAAGCATGCAAAAGTTTGATTACTTTTAGAACATCTTCAGGACTAAAAACAACCGACTTTATTTCAAAGTAAACCCGTCTATTACAAGAGGACTTGGCGCGTAAATTATGAATAGGTTACCGATGAAGATGATTGACGGCTGTAGCTCTCTCGCCACAGCAAACAGCGCTCGTACAAGTTTCTCGCCTTCCCCAACCTATGAAGACCAGGCATTTTGAATATTCTCTTTTGGTTCTTTTGGTCGCTTGTACGGGGCAAAATGCAGCACAACGAAAACTCACCCATTTTGACGTCAAGGTGGCAGCGCTGACGTTGAAAAACGTCGCTTTCGATTGATGGGAAACAGCTTTTGCCTGGAAAAAAGAACCAATGGAATATGCAGTCTCCATATCGAAAATCTTAGTAAAGATTGTTGTATGTGTTCTGCAGATATCGTACCAACATTGTCTTGCCGTTTCCAGGAGGGCCATAGAGTAGCAGACCGCGGGCTGGTGCTCTTAAACCTGTGAACAACTAAGACGAAATAAAGAACGTTTAATTGCTACAAATCTGTAACAACATCTGTCCTGATCTATTAGTCATATTTATTCCTACCTCTGGTCGTAAAGCTGGTAAAATGACAATTTCCTGCAGCAATCTTTTGGCGTTTTCCATTCCGGCTAAAAAAAGACGGAAGATCATACGATGTGATATATTTAGAAGAAATGCTGTTTGTGTATCGAATGAATTTAGATTGAAGATATTCAATGAAGACGTTCTATTTTACCAACCGACATCTTCAAATGTAACGTCAGGAGAGCTGGAAAAGAGATGAGGGGTTTATGAAATTGGAAGCAAGTTTATGTTGACCTTGATCTGCATTAGGAATATTATATCATTTCATTTGAACGCAAAGTCGCGTTAATTTAATTATTATTAGACCATTAGAATGGGAATTCATGAAACAATTGAGCTATTATAGCTATGATTACACACGAGGTGAGTTTTATTTCATTTTTGGTTACAACTTTTACTAACTTTTGAACTACTTCGTCCAGGATTCTATTCGCAATTTTTGTGTCAATATTTTTTAGATATGACACTTTCCTCTTCTGATCTTTCTTCAACTCGTCCATAGAGTTGACCGAGGGCACTCGTGTCATTCTGCTCGACTAAAAAAAAAAAAATTAAAAATACGGTACGGCAAGTTAATTGCTGGTTGCTTATTCTTGGGCTATGCGCAAATATATTTTGTTTCCTTCTAAACTGAAGCTGGGCAATATTCCACTCTACCTCTGGTCTTGAGACAGGACGTCTATTAAGCCTTGGACTTTGAGATGGTTTTCTTTTGTCAGTTGTTGTTTTTGCTTGATTGCTGTTGCTTGTTCTGCTAACACTTGGCCCATTGGGTTGAGGTTTTTTGAAACTCTTTGGAAGACTTATTTTCGATTTAGATTTTACACCTGATCCTTTGCTGGCATCATCAGACTGTGACACCAGAAGTGCAACTGAATGAAATTAAAAAAAATGGATCAGAAGGTGGAGATATTGTTTTGTTAAGGTATGTGACTTATACCAACCAAGTTCATCCATTCTCATTGTTGTGCTCTTCAGGTTTTCTTCCATCTTACTTTGCAGGTTTCTCGCCCGATCCCATTCTTCGCCTAAACAAAAATGATTGCAGAGATATTGGCTGGCTTTACTCTCCCATTTGACAGAGTTGCATGCTTGCTAAAGTGCTTAGAAAAATCTGGGTAAATTGCTTTTAAATACTATATTTTCTTGTAATGGTAATGTTCATATAATGAGAACTAGTCTATTAAACATCAATACAATAGAGTCTTGTTGTTCATATATGGTAGTGGCTATTTAGGGAAGATATTATCTGGTTTCGAGGTGTTTAATACATCCATACCTTGTCCATCACATTGTATTTCTATTCCTTTCTTTAGCTCCTCAATTCCTTGTTTATAACACTCAACAGCTCTTTCTTTGGCATCACAGTTTCCTGAGGTAATGTAAAACAGTAAAAGTTTGCAGATTGTGCTGCTAATAAATCATTATTTAACTCTCAAAGGGAAAACATGTTGGGTACTACACATTGATGTGAAATCTCTGCTATCATACAAAGATAATTGACACTGAATAATTAACTTATTAAACATTAGATTACAAATTTAAAAAATATTTTAAAATGTTATAAATAAATAATATAAATATTATCTCAAAAAATATTATAATTCAAGAGATAATGAGATTAAAACAAAAATTTAAATCTCTTTTGCCTTGGGTGTACATTTAGTGTATTTTTAATTTTTAAATTATGTGAAGAAAGAAATTGCAATGAATGATAGGTATTCAATTACATTGTTATTTTGTACAAATTTTTTACAAATTAAACGATCAAACCTACCAGCAGATTCATCGATTCTCAAAGCTTTATCAATATAAGCATAAGACTGTTTATGATGTCTTCTTATATCCACTATCGAAGGCGGAATAGCGCCATTATCACCATTTGGTTCATCTTGTTTCTTCGATGACGATCCTTTTCCACCTTTGGACGCCATTTTCCCCCAGAGCCGGGACCAAATTAGAACGTAAAACAATTGAAGTATACCATAAGAAAGTAATTGCAGAGTAAATAACACAATACGTACAATAGATTTTCCAAAAATTATAATATTACTTTCCAATTTATTTTTGTTTTCTTTTGTCATTGAGACGATTTTGCGTATTCAGCAAAATATCCGAGAAACTTCGTGTAATATTGGATATTATGTCTTCATCCCAAATTTAAAATGTCGATTTTGACGTAATGGTGAAAACAAATCCTAGCGAAATGCTAGGATTGCCAGTCCTGGCTTTGAAAAGGCCCCATCACGAAGTAGAATTGTTTGATTTTGCTTTCCAGAATGACTGTGCATTGGTTATCTCAAAGAGGACGTCCAGGGACTTTCTCTGTTACGAATTAGTGAACGAGTTTTTGCAAAATGAAAGTGGAAAATGGACAGTGGTTGTATACGATGATAATTCAGGTCGGTAATAGGTTTTTATGGCAGTACTAATTTCACAATTTGTTAGGCATAGTACATATCTATGCATTATCCCATGTAAATGTAAATAAAGGAAAATGATAATGACAGGTGCACCTCCACAACTAACCCACCTCCCTTGCACAAAGTATACCCCCCTGAACATCCTGTAAGCTATGTGCTTCCTCCTCTCCCCAGGCCAGACCATATCATGAAAGACCATTGATGTTTTCTTTTTCTTGCAACCTATCACTGAAGGTTTGGATGTGAAGCCATTGCTCAAAATATTCAGGAATTTGATGCCACAAAAACCAGTACTTTCTCTCAATAAAGCATCAAGATTATCCCAGGAGACAAACTATGGCATCTTGCTTACCTCAGCAAATCACTTTGAGGATCACCTATCAAGTGGCTATGTTTGTGCAAATGAAATATCTGTGATCATACTTCTTACCACCTTACAAGCTGCTACAGCAATCCAAACTAAACCTAAATTTTTGGAAATGCTTTGCAACGAGCATGCAAAACCAAGGATAATTGCAATGGTACAGTTAGATCTATGTGAAATCTACAATGCATTAGACCTGAGAACTGAACTGGAATATTTCGAGAGCACATATGATCTGCAAATTTTTATCTCCAACGATCTTTTAGCAATGAATGCTTTTGGTGAGGAAATTTCAGTTGAAATGATTCCATTCAGTCCCAAGAATCTAAACAAAATAGAAATAAAGGTCTGGAGAATTTTAAAGGATATTTCAAACTTTTTACAAGATGTAAATGTTCCAGTGGTCTCTAAATCTGTTGAAACTGTGAGATCTATTGTCTCGTGGGCAGTCAAAATTTTGACAATGTTTGGTCTGTGGAGCCTGTCATTTACCCTAGAAACCATCCAAAATACTTTATCAAAGCTATTGAGTAAAGAGAATGACCAGCTTGTGGTATTAGCCATTGAAATGTGTAAAAGAAGCTTTGATAATGTTCAGAAGTTTAATCTTGATCAATCTGGACTTAAACCAGCACATTCAAGGTTAATGTATGAAATTCTCGACCAGCTCATACCATATAAAGTGCTTTGTAAATTACCTGCTATTATTGAAAATGAAAGTGATCTAGGTTTATCTGGTGAACAGAAACCCAGTGCATCAGATATTGAGATTGAGAAATGGCAGACGTTCACAGAAGATTGTGAAGGAGAAGGCAATTCTTCAGGTAAAGTTGTTGACAACAAATGTCATCCAGCTGAAGAGAAAGATACGAATTTTCAGCACAAAGGTGCAACGATTGATAACAGCTTTTCAAGTCATCCCGAAGTTGTGAAGAAACAACTGCAAAAATTGAAAACGAAATCTCAATTTCACTGCATAATCGTGACCAAGTCAAATTCTCACGCGCGGATGTTAAGTAAACTTATCAACTATATGTCGTGTTCCAATCAAAAGTACGGCTTCCTCAAGTCCGGTTGCGTGATTCACTCGAAGAACGGCAATCCTGATGAAGAGGAACGGACGGAGAGTGTTTTACAAGCTGTGCTTCAGGGAATGGTCAATATCCTTGTGACCACATTAGAACTATGTGCGGATCTGAGTCTGACCACATTCAATGTACTGATATACTTTGGTGTACCTGGCAGCTACGAAGAATTTTACAACATTAAACACAAGATAAAGGGTTTAGCACCGAAATTGATGTTGGTTTTTGATGATGATAAATCCAACAAATGTGAACGGAATTTAAAGGTAGGACTGTCTCATAACGGTATTATTCTCAGGGAAATGAATGTGACGGGAAAACTTCCTAGAATTAGAAATTTGAGATCGCTTTTTCTGTGTTCTAAACGATGTCGATGAACTTTGCAAATTTGCAGGCTGTATTTTCCACATTTCACAAACTTTCGCAGCAAAACTTTTTTAAACTTTTTAGCTATAAGAAGATGTCTTTTATGACTGAAGTGTTACCTTTCATTCGTTCATTCCACTGCAACTCATTTTATTTTCTTAGGTATTCACTGATATCGAAGCGGAGTTTGCCAAAAGTGTATCTGACTACACTCTCCAAGTGAAAAAACAAGAAATATTAACGCGTCTTTCCGAAGAACAACAATGCATTTACGCACCGTACGGAGACAATGGTCCTTCGGTTTCTATGGAGTCCAGTGTCCATTTAGTTAACCGGTCAGTTCTAAGTTCTTTTAGTTGTTATCTTCAGAATACACGATGCTGATTAGCCATGCAATGAATGATGTCACTAACTGCAGTATCTAACTTTACGTACAACTGGCCCCTGGTAATCGAACTCAATTCGAAACCATTAATCACTTCCTTTCCTTCTAGATACAGTCGTCGTATCAGCAGAGGAGATTTCTGCAATCTCTACGCCAAGTTTAAGACTGAGAAGAAACATTTGAAGCAAAACGTTGTCGAATTTCTCACAAAGCTTTACCTTCCATTGGGCAGCTGTTGTAACATTGTTGAGGTAATGAATGCCTTTGTAACAGTACTTATTTTTATGGTACTTGTTACTGCCTACAAGTCTTGATTAGTGCATGGTTTTTACTTTTTACCAACACTCAGAGACAAACCTTGGATTACAATAGTTATCCCAAGATGTACTGATATTCGTCCCAATCCTATTCAGGGATCCCCAGTTCGTGTAACGGGCGGCGATGACCTGGATACGGAGGCTGGAGTGATAAAATCTCGAATGCTGGCCTCCCTGGAATTCGTCAAGATCTTGCATGCGAATGGTAAAATGGACAACGATCTTGACTTGATCGAAGAAGTGTACGTTGATGCTAATGATGGGAACGAACAGAACTTTGAACTGGAGGACGAAGGCAAGGGGAGAGCTGGGACCAATAAACGAAAGAGAGCATACGGAATTAAGGTGATAGTCGTACGTTTTAGTATATATTCCAGCCATTGAACTCAAGTAGATGGAAGGCTACCCTATGGTAATCACGTGTATGCTTACGTGAAGCGAAATTTGACCACGAGACACGCGTGGTACTGCATGGTATTTCATGGTGTTTATGTTGCGTGGAGGGACTTGGTTTTAACCGGATAATTCTGGTTGCTGTGGTAACCTTCCATCTATTTCTGTTCAATGATTCCAGCTGATCATCTGGCGGAAGAAAGATCTGGATGTAGCAACACAATAGAAATCCATTCTGCTTCATTAAATCACCAGCAACATTGTTGGATCATTCGTATCTTTGATTGAAGTACTAGCCCCAGGCTTTTCTCGTGTTTTCAAAAGCACCTGATTACCATACACAGCGTGGGTCGTCTCAATCCTTTCATCTTATCCCAGGTGCCATCGTTTTTTGAAGACAACATGCCTCGCGCAAACGAGCCATGCTTTTTATACAAGATCGAGTTTCAAGATCCTACGATCTACAAACACTCCAGATCTGGGTCGCTGCAGAGTTTATCGGAGCCTGAGTTCGAGTTAGGGATTCTTTCCAGGAAACCGCTGCCAAAGGTAGTTTGAAGTTACTTCCGGTGAGGTGTCGATAACCTCGTCGTACCCAGGGCTCGCCTGGGTTGCAAGCCTTGGGTACGGTAGTGAAATGTCCACATTATTCGCTTTTTAATTAGATTCCACCCTTCCACAGTGTTATTATTCCACAGTATTCTTTTTTATTAGATTCTGCCCTTCTTTGTTCACACTTGCAAAAGCGACGTAAAAGTGTCACTCGAGGTGAGCGGACCAGTAGCGATTGATGAGATGACATTGATCTGCGCACGATTGTTTCATCACTACGTTTTTAAAGAGCTACACAAAATGGACCATCAGACGACCACGTTGTCTGAAAACGATGGGTACCTTGCTGTTCCTCTGCTATCAAAGAAAACGAGACCATTCAATACACACCCATCATTCACACAATCACGAGTAACTCCATCAGAAACACCTCAATCGCCACAAACCACGGCGATATCTTGTCGTGATGGCTTCGAGATTCATCACAAATTTCTCAAAGAGTTTTCGAGCTTCTTTGAAAGCGTTTCCGATCCTAACGTGATCCTAAAGTCCTCTCCACCATACAAGGATTTCGGGTTTTTTCAAAACAAAATCGTGCGACGGCTGAACGAATCGGCAACCCAGGCTCACTACACGCGATATTTCGTGGTGAAAGTATGCGATGATTTGTCTCCCTCTTCACCATTTCCCGATGAAGAAGTGGCCGCATCGTTTGCAGAATATTATGACAACCGTTACGGCATTCAAGTTTGTCTTGAGCAGCCATTGCTGTTGGTCCAGCATCTTCCAACTCAAGTGAACTTTATTTTGCCACGTCTCAGACATTCCGAGGACACCGAAGTTATCCCCAAGGTTACCAAGAGAGAGATCCATTTGATTCCCGAGTTGTGTTCCATCTTACCCCTGTCCGCATCCGCGTGGTCCCTCGCTCGCTTTTTTCCCGCGGTTGTGTGCAGGCTCGAAACTTTGCTACGGGCGCACGAAATGAAGATGAAGATTTTGTCGGGGACTGGGATTAGGGCCAATGCGAGATCTTGGAACGAGGAAGGAAATTGGGATAATGGAAAATTGCTCGGTTGTGGTAACGCTGTGGAGAAGAGTCTTGTTGGTGATGGTAACTGTGATGGTCATGACATTGTTGGTATTGATGACGATGGTGAACTTAATGGTGGTGCCAGTTTTGGTCCGAGCATATCTTCGGTACTCCACGCCCTCACTGCGAAATCAGCCGGTCAGCAGTATCATTCGGAACGACTTGAGATACTTGGTGATTCTTGCTTGAAACTGGAAGTGAGTTTAGATCTATTCCTAACTGACCCGGAGAAGGATGAGTGGACGTTGTCGGTTTATCGGAAGCAGCTTGTTTCGAACGATATGTTATCCACTCAGGGGCGTCGTCTAGGAATGTCTGGTTACATATCGATCACTCCCCCAGACTTAACCAACACATCGCTCCCCCCTGGCTTCAACCTCAGGCCAGCCAACGAAACAAAGCGATCGAAGAAAGAATCGTTAAATCTGTACAACCACCAGGTTCTGGGAGATAAGCACGTGGCGAACTGCGTGGAAGCCCTGATCGCAGCAACTTTGCTTGGCTGTGGTCGAAATGCCGCACGGCAGTTTATGATTTGGCTGGGCGTCACACGATGCACCTTCTCTGAACTGGATGTATTGTATCGAGGTCTGCTGGTCCAGACAACCGAAAGAGATCAGGTTCATGCACGTAACTTGCAAGAGAACTTGAATTGTGCTGACCAGGTTAAATTTGATAGGAAACTTTACCAAAATTTACCAAATTACAATCGCAAAGGTACAGATGTTAGAGCAAGAAAAGAACACGAGATATTAGCTGATGCACGTTTAAACGATGAATGTAACGGCCTCTTCGAAGAGACTCCTCTTACCTCCGCTGGTCTTGGTAAAGCAAAAGACGGTCACGGAAACTTATTGAAGAATTCAGACACGCACCTGAAGAACGACACTCCAAGAAGACCGATGCCAAATTTCGACCATATTGAAAAGGAACTCGGGTATTGTTTTAAAAACAAGCTTCTTCTTTTACAAACGCTAACACACAACACTTACCCGAGATCCTTGTCGCTCGTCTCGGAGACCTACCAAAAGATGGAGTTTTTGGGCGATGCTATCCTCGACTACGTTATAACCCTGTATCTTTACGAACATTTTCCCCATCTCACTCATGGCGATGTCACAGATTTCCGTTCTGCCCTCGTCAATAATTTCACTCTGGCTTTTCTTGCCGTGCAGAAAAACTTGCATCAATCCCTAAGGTATATGTCGCCGGCGTTGCTCGATATGATTGCTCAGTTTGTTGAATTCCTGGAAAAACAGAAACTAAAACAAGGTGCTTCATGGAAGGTGAGAATCTATGTTTACAAGACTTATTATAGCATTAGTTTTCATAACAACTTTTTTTCAAATATATTTCTCACCATATACTGCTTGTCTTGCTTTCTCAAAACGCCTGATCAAATGAAACCACACTTATGTTCTATACTCTCAGACATCAATCGATGCATTCGTGGTCAGCATGCCAGAGGTGGAAGAAAGTGTAGTGGAAGTTCCCAAGATTTTAGGGGATGTTTTTGAAGCTGTCGTTTGCGCGGTGTTCTTGGATTCTGGGATGAATCTGGAGCTCGTATGGAGGGTTTTTTATCCGATGTTTATGCCTTTCATAGGTACGTTTGAACTGCTTGTTTTACGTCCTTTAGTACACGCCAAAAAGTGTTTAATCCGATGTCTGTAAGCAAGGAAAAGTCGGTTGCTAAATACACTTGTTTTGAAACTGAAGTCAACAGTCTCTGATAGATTTTTTCCAACTCATTTGTATAGTCTCGTTTTGTTTCTAGATTATTACAAGAATAACATACCTCGGTCACCCATAAGAGACTTGAAGGAGAGTTTTCCTGAAAGCCATGAAGTGGTCTTCAGGTATGCGGCTGTTGGTTGCTACCGTTGGTCATTATTGATCATGGATTTAACGTACTGCTTTGAAAAGATGCCACGATACACGAGGCTAGCGGACTAACCCCTATCCCCCCCCCCCCCCCCCCCGCCCCTATCTAAGTCATCTAACATTTTCAACACTTGCTTCCTAGTTTGGCTCGTTTGACGCTGTCAAGAAAGTACAAAAGCAGCGTCGATGTTGTTGGTTATGGCAAGTTCGAGGCCGTTGGTCGTACACCGAAAATTGCGAAAACAAGCGTCGCGAGGAAGGCGTTGGAACACATACGTAATGTGAAAACGGGTAAGATTTACTAGAAGCATGAAATGCACAAAACACGTGGGACATGATTTTGATTGACATTGCTACCCACTAATGCTACCACAGTTTAGGTAGGCTACCATTTGATATGAATATTATTTTAACGACAACACAGACTTTTTAATGTAATTATATACACAATGTTTATTGTTCATTCATTTTACACTATTGTAAGTATTGAGTATTGTACAGACAACAAAAACGATTCGACAGATTTTTTTCTGATGATTACAAAAACAATTGAATTCATTGTTACACACAGACACGATGGTGGTACTAATGTTTACTAATGACGAGATATCTGTTATTTCCTGTGCCAAATGATTTGTGTCGGAGGCCATGCTGTTGACAAATCGTATGCACAATTGCTCGATCTTCTTTAGATAAATCACTTGAAAATCGTAACTCATTTTTCTTATTGTCCATGATAAAATTCCTAACAGTGTTCTTCACTGAGTTTTTATTAACTGACCCATCACCCGCATCTCGACCAAGCCCCCGCCTACCTTGTGTTTCATCTACCAAGACGGGATCTGCCCGACCCTTCCCCTCTGACCCCAACCCCCCACCGGTCCAACCCATTTTACGTAACATTTGACTGCCAAGGTTATTTTCGCTGATTCGTGGGGCGTCTAGCTCCCTCCCTGTTGCCAAATGATCTTTCTTAACAACCTGAGCTTTTTGATGTAACACCAGTTCGTCAACGACTGGTTGGCATGCTCGCAATATTTGGACCGCCCGTTCTGCGCACTGACGTTTCGCTTCCTTCTTGTTTGCTGCTTCTCCTGTTGCTATCAAAATATCATCAATAACAACCGCACAAGAGAATTGCCCTTGTTTTTGACCCAGTTCCTGAAATTCTATCCTCTTTTTAGACCTGTGAGCGCTGCCGTGCAACAAACTTATCGGGTTCTCGGGCCCCGCCGAATCTCGGGCATAAAGTGTCAAGCCTTTGATGATTGGCTTTTTCTTTCCTTCGTCTTGTTTGCGTTTTATTTCAGCAGGAATGTCCATAGCTTGACTACAGCTGGACTCTAAATGTCTAACTCTTTCTTCTGTTTGTTCAGGGTAACGACAACCTAAAAATTTCATATTTGCCCAAACCATAGATAAGGCTTCCAACTGCCCGATAGGAATTGTTCTTCGGTGTGTTTCGATAAACTCTCTTCTGGCTGACCATTGAATGTCGTTTTCCCAAACACTTTTTATCACTCCTTGACGGTCCGCCATTTTGTATGGTTTTGTCGAAGAGACATTCTGACGATGGTGGAGAAGTACGCGCAAAAAATATCCATACCCAAAAACTTTGTTTTGGTTTCTAAAAGAATAAAAAGATATTTTAAAAACCATATTTAGTATTCAGGCTCTCTGGTAGTTTTAATACGTTTATCTAACTATATATATTGAGAAATGTAGATGGAATAAATGAAAATATGCGATGTTTTAGTAATTGGCTAGTGTAATTTTCCAGCATTTTTTGTCGATGTTTAGGGGAATTGATTACCTTCTTTGTTACGTCATAGTTTGTTTTGTTAGTAATTTGATCAAAACAAAAGTAGTTCAAAATTGAAAACTCTTCTTCTTCTTGGCTGTTTTAATGTCATGATGTTCATTAGATCTGGTTTGTCCTGGTTTACCTTTGGAAAACAAGCTACAAATTGTTTTAAGCAATGTGTATTTAGCAGGTATTTGTACACTGACTGTCATTCCTGGCAGTTGATGAAGCAAAATCATGGATATAAACTTTTGCAATGTGGGAAAACAAACTCTTGCTATGGTACTGGGAAACTATTAAATCAACTCAGCACAAGGAAAACATTTGGATTGTTTGAATGTGCTATTGGTCAACTTGGTATGCAAAAAGGTTGCGATCAACATCACAGTATTTTGCAGGTGGCGAGTTTTAGCACAAGTCAAAAGGAAACTGTTGTTCCCAGCCCAGCTGCTGCAAACAAGCATTGGGGGCCATATCTTGTGCATAAGATTCACAATTTGGAAGAATCATCTCGTTTCCATGGTTATTCGACATTAAGGTGGGGTGTGTCAATAATCACAGTGACGCTGGTTACTATTTATGTTTTCCGAGATCAGCTGAGAGACAATGTTGCAGATGAAGTTGCTGACGTTGCATCTCGATCATTGGGTAGGATTCCTATTTGGAATTTGTTTCTTTTGTGTGGTGCTATCCAGTGACAAAGTAGAATACACATAAATGAATTTTGTTAACCAGGTTTTATACTCTTGTTTTTAGCTGATGAGAATGTGATATTGAAAGCACATGACATGACAAAGGGAGTTTTAAAAAGGCTTACAAGTGAAGAGGACACAACTATATTAGTCAGTGAATTTCTTAAAACAGTGTTACAACAGAGTGAAGTGCAAAATGTGGTAGTGTCATTTGCAACAAATGTTCTTAACCATCCCCAAACTCAAGAGAAACTGAGAGAAGTTGTGAGGAATACATTGCATAGCACCCTCAACAACACAGAAACTAAAGATATGCTACTAGGGTTTATAAAAAGTTTAATTGAAGACCCACAGACCAAGCAGACTTGCAACATGTTCCTGCAGTCTTTGACGAAAGATCCAGATATCCAGAAAATGGTTTCAGAGTTTTTTAAAGGTGTATTGGCGTCGCCCGCATTTCAGAAAGAGGCCATTATGTTGGGACGAGAAGTTACTAACAAGATTGTGCACGATGAGGACTTACAAAGACAAACTGGTGATGCTCTGTGGAATGCAATGAAGCATGGTGTAACTCCTTACTGGTTTCGTGCCCAAAAATAACCAGCTTTTAGGTCCAGTACAGGAGTACAGGAGTAGATATCATAGCAATTTGTTTTTCTATTTATATTTTATATAATTATATATAAATGTTTATAAATGTTTAAATACATATAAATGTTTTGGTGTCTTTTTGAGCCGTCTAAAGTTACAAGGATTTGGTTTAAGATTTAAGATAAGTTTGGGATTAGGACTTCTTAATCCACCTAATAGTGTACTATAAAGTACCTTAAATACCGGGACTATGTCCCTATAATACAGGAGAAAGAACCCCACAAGTTTGATAGGACAATGAATGAGATGTAAATATCAATATACCATAAACATCATCTTTGTTCTTGTATTGTATTGATCTTTTCACTTTTGAATACCGACGTGCCTTAAAAATGGACAAGGAAGACAGGCAAACAGGCATTTATGCCGCTGAGAAAATACTAAAGAAGCGCAGGAGAGAGGTATATATTTTAGTACTGTATATAAAAAGGGAACAAGAATCTGATACGTTGTTTTGATATCTTAAATTTTATACAATTTAAATGCTTTACTGTCTCTATTCATTAAATCCTTTCAAGCTGTTCATGTTTCTTTGTCTTTGTAGAACAAAGTCGAGTTTTTAATAAAGTGGAAAGGATGGTCTGCAAAGTAAGAATTTTATCAAACCAGATGTTTGCAGCGATTAGAACTACGCGTTTATAATGGTCGTGGCTTTTTTTTGTCCTAGGTACAATACTTGGGAGCCGAAGGAAAACGTCCTTGATCCCCGCTTATTGCTCGCTTTTGAAGAAGCGTAAGTAGTCTAATTTACTTCGGAGATTCAACAGTAGCTAGTCGCTCTATATCAGATGTGTGAAAATATGTTTAAAGTATTTTTGTTCTATGTCTTGTATTGAACATAAACATTGAAATACGAAGTCAATAAAAGGTTTATATTCATGAAAGAAGCAGTCCGCTTCTAATTTGAAACCTATTTGCATTAGTACATTATAATTACATCAGCAATAAGATTGCATTTAAATTTAACTGTTTTCTTTGCCTCTTGACATTCCAATGTAATACTTTGTGAATTTGCTTCTTTTGAAGTTTGAAAAAAATTCGGTTTGCCCTAACCCAAATTCAATATCTTTACTGTAAGCTTTCTTTGGCAATTGCAGTATTTTTGTACGTGAGCACCTGCTCATCAATGAGATGTGAAAGACAGATACTAAGAAATTGAAATGATATTTTCAAGGTCATACAGATGTTTGTTTTGAGTGTAAAAACTGCATTTGTATAACTAGTTTTACAATATTGTAATATTTATGTAATTTATGTAAAAATCCATACAATGCTTGGTTTAAATTCATGCCTGCTTAATATTTTTTTAAGTCATGAACGAAAAAGAAAACGTGGGTTTGCAAAGAAGCCACGAAGAGCTGAGGTAGGTTAGCCAATTTGCTGTCATTTTGCTGTCTCATTGGGACATTTTAAGGCCAATATGGATTTTTATGCTACACAGGAAACAATTGGTCATGAATGATAGACTTTAATCAAGTACTAGGTCAAAATACAGAGTCAATTCCAGGCCTTCTTGGCAACCAAATTATTAACATGCTGCTTGACATTCCTAAAGTATTAAAAATGCCAGCAACAGCATTGGTCCCTCCTGAAATATCTGAGTGCCTTCATTGCTAGGATTTTGATATTATCAGAGAGTTAAGATTGTTTTGGAGTGGGTAAAAAAAAGTTATGACATTCATTACCTAGTATTATTAGTTTTACTATTAGATTATACCAAGTTTTTTTATGAAAGGAAAGCCTTGGAGATATTGGGTTTATAATTGTGGTAAATAGGTTAGCTATTGTGTAACCCAGTATTTGTCTTCTATAGGACGTACCTGAAGAAGTGGATGAAGAAATAATGGAGCAAGAAGATGTCAACTCTTTAACTGGTGGTGAAACGGATAATGGTGGGGAAGAAAGTCAGATCTTGATAACTGATGTTCCAGGACCAAGTAGCTTAGCTGCAGGGCCTAGCCATGTAACTCCTCGGCCTAGTCACATTGCTGGTCCGAGCAGCTTAACCGCTTCAGTGTCCAGTCACATTTCACTTCCAAGTCATGTTACAGATCTAAGTGATGTTGCCAGTCCTAGCCATCGAACTCCAGAACCTGCTCGTGTTGCAGCTGTTTCAGATCCTAGTCTTATTCCTGGAACAAGCTATGGTGTTGACCCTGGTTCTATGACTAGCACTAGCCATGCTGCTGAACAAAGTCTTGTTGCTGGTGGGCCAAGTTGTGGATTTGAAATTGGGGAAAATGCCAAGCAGAAGCTGGATGAAAGCGGTGTTAATGCTCCGGAGGGAACAGATGTTGCAACAAAACATGAAACAACTATTGTTCCTGACACACAGAGTGAACATCCATGTTTGGAATCACAAGAGATTCCAAGTTTCGAAACAATACCAGAGCGGAATTGTATAAATTTAAATGAACCTTTAGAAGCAGTTCCAGAGGAATTGCCTACAGACATTTTTGATAACTCAAGTGAAAATGAATCTGCTGTTGTTGCCCCACAGACAGAAGAGAGAGTTGAGGTAGTCCTACCAAATCCAAGCCTTTTGCCCACCTCGAACTCTGTTCCCAATTTAGAACAGAATTCAGCTAATCTACTTGCCTCTGCATCCACCCTCGCACCCACTCAGCATGAGAATGGGGGATCACCCCCTGATTCCCCAGAGCATGTCAAAGATGGGCCTCCCCTGGCACCCATTCCCAATGAGGAACAGAAACTCAACCCGGCGACCATTTCCCACGCTGAACACAAACCTCCGGAAGCTGTTTCTCAAGTGGAGAACAAACCACCACCAGCACCCACCTACCATGTAGAGCATAAACCACCACCAGCACCCACCCACCATGTGGAGCACAAGCCAACCCCAGCATCAATGCCACATATTGAAAGCAGACCACCGCCAATTAGCATTGCGGAAAATAAATACCTAAGAGCTAACAAGGATGTTGAAGGTGTTGACAAACGGTTGGCTGAAGTTAGCGACTGCCCTAACCTCAGTCTTGTGGACAAAGTTGTAATCACAGATGTTACAACTGCTAAAGGCACAATAACTGTCAAAGAATGCACCACAGATGAAGGATTCTTTGGAAATAATGTTCCTGCTGAACAACAAGCACCAACTGCTAATGATGGCTCATCTTTGACTTAGAATTTAAGAAGCACTGAATGCAATTCAAGCAATGAAATTGTGATAGAATATTTTGAACAAGAAACTTGAACAAATAACGAGCATTACCCAATGCAAGTGAAGAATGTAGTATAGTCATTTTAATGTACAAATATAATATTCAGTTAGTTTGTGTGGGTTGAATTTATCATAGTGATGAGGTCTGTTTTGTTTTTGTATTGGTCCAAATAAAAAATGAAAAATAAAAACATATTAGTCAATTCCAGTGTAATTTTTTTGTGAGTGCTTTAATATTTGTGTGCAGTTTTTACATTTATGAATTCAGAAAAGAAAGTGAAAGTAATTTTTGGTGTAAGATTGAATTTTCCATGCTGGCCGATGCAGAAATTCAACTGCAGGAACATGGTCAACAGCTGTCATATTTGGGGGCTCTCCTGTGTGGCCATGCATGGTGTTTTGCCTTTGAAGTTTGAACTATACCCCACCTAATAAGTCCCTAACTGTAAGCTATTCAGCAAAATTACTTTCAAATTATATTCAGCGCAATGCAAAATAACAATTTCTCATAAGCTGTAAAATACATGTATATCATATTGCTGTGTTGGCTCTGGTAGCCACGTGCGAAGCCTTTTACATCACACAACGCCCAAATACGACGTATATAAAACGCTCTCAATATGCAAATATCAGCGAGCGTTGGTGGTGTAAAGGCTAGCATTGCTGCCTTCCAAGCAGTAGATCCGGGTTCGATTCCCGGCCAACGCACTTTTTACGCAAAGTTCTTTTTTGCCCAAAGAAATTGTGAACGTGAAATATCACTGAAGCAGTAAAAACCTTTTTGGTAATATAGGGCGCATAGTTTATTCTGAAGGGCAAACAAACACTGCCTAAGACAGTCAAGTAAAAGATTATCATGACGCCTCTCGAATTAAGGCAAAGAAAGCTTCTCGACTTAAAAATTTACATGAAATATTAAACGTAGAAAGAAAATAAACAATGAACACTTGTTCTTCTTTTATGTTTACAAATACAAACGTCACAATAACATTGCGCAATATTTTGTTAGTTTCCAGGCTCTGATACTGAGAAATGTTTTTAAAACGTTTTATGGTTTTTTTCGCAAATTTGCTTCGATTAGAAACTGCAAAATCTCTAAAATAACTGTCTATATGGGACTATGACATTGGATCTTGAACACTATTGTCTCACTGAGGTAATATCTCTGTTGTAAAGTGTAAAATTAAACCGAGTAACGGAGACATCATTGTTACAAGCTTACAATATCTGGATGAATTTGTCAATCATTTGCTTTCCTTTCATGTAGACGTTTCCAAAGATATATTATGTTCCTAATTTCATAACTGAAGAGGAAGAAAATTTTCTGTGCAAACAGGTTTGGAAAGTACAAGCTTGTTTTTAAATATTTTAATGGCACCCTGTCTCACCTTTGTGCAAGGGTGAAGGGTGTACCCCCCTCCCCTTCCATTAATTAACACTTCTTCCCGAAGTGTTTCCAGTCGTAAACTGTTATGCTATTCTTCATTACCTTAGTGGTATATAATACTGTTTGAAGGTTTATGCTGCTCCAAAGCCCAAATGGACTCAACTGTCCAACAGAAGACTCCAAAACTGGGGTAGGTTTTATACAAGTGTCCTAGTAAGCATAAGTGCCCCCAACTTAAGGCTGCATGATCATTCTCACTGTAAAACTTGCACGATTGTCAAGCATCACATTAAATTCAGCTTGTATTGATGTATTTGTTCAGTTGTCATATGTATTTGTTTGTTGTCATAAGTATTTTTGCATTTTTAGGTGGTCTACCTCATCCAAAAGTGAGGAATTGTTCATTGATTATCTGATTTACTGATCCTATATGATAATTAATCAAAGCGAAAGAGTTTGTTTTTGAAACCCTTCATCTCATTATGTTGTTATAACACTGACTTTCTTTGCATTTTCTTTTAAGGGAATGATTCCAGAAAAGTTGCCTTCGGTAAGAATTTGATTGGTATACATTTCAGACAATATTTTTCAAAGTTTGCTTTGCTATATATAAATATACATAAATACATGTATTAATGTACATTTTCTATGTTTTCACTTTCAAGTGGTTGTCGTGTCATGCAGAAAAATTGGCGTCACTTGGCGTATTTGGGAATCACATCCCCAACCATGTATTGGTCAATGAATATACCTCTGGCCAAGGAATCATGGTAAACGGTTTTCCTGTTTTTGGCTGTTCTATTATTTGAAAAGTAAAAATTCAGATCATTTGAATTATTTAATATTCATTTTCAAGTATTTCAATTTCTCTTGATTTTATCATTATAGCCCCATGTGGATGGTCCATTATTCTATCCTGTGGTAACCACAATTAACCTCAAATCCCACACATTATTGGATTTTTATCACCCTGTGGATGAGAAATCTCCAAATGAAACTGACGTAAGTTGTCACTTTGAGTTGCAGCACACATCAGGGAGTAAAGCAACTGAACTATATTATTATACTGTACTGTATCTGAAGAGGAACGTCTGTGGAGGAGCCTGAATATGTTCCACCCTCTCAGAAAATATTAGTAGATATATATCTTGGAAGCAGTTTTACAGTAAGGGACTGGTGGTAGTGTGGTTGACAATGCACAATGGGTCTGTTAGGAGGATGTAAGCATTATTTAAAGCATTTATCTCCAAAATCAAACCTATTATCATGCAACTCAAATCCCATTGTACCAGTCTGCTTCTGCAATTTGAAAAGTTAACTTAACTGGAAGCGTTCTTTTACGCACAAGTCAACCTTGGCAGGCAAGCTAAAATCTTGCTGAGAAGTTTCCACTTCTTGTAGAAAAACGACCAGCAAGACAACAGCTCATTGGAAGAACGTCATTTTATGTCTCTGTTACTGGAACCAAGGAGTTTGAACATTTTAACAGAAGAAATGTACACAAAATATCTTCACGGTATTGACGAGCGGAATGTTGATATTTTAGATGATAAAATTATAAACCTGGATTCATGTTCCAGTATCAATGAGAACAACAGATCAGTGTCGCGAGGTACACGGGTCTCCCTAACAATACGTTATGTTCCTAAAGTTTTGAATGTCAAATTAAAATTTGGAAGAAAATAAGGGACACTGATTACTACGCGATAATTGATCAGTGGACAATCCCTAACAGCACAGAGTTGGTAAAAGTCTTCAACCTTCCTCCGAGAGGATTTCAATCTTCGTGAGAAGATCTTCTTGAGATGATGCAATACCATTGCCCTTAATATCGTTTTGCAAATGAGCTGGAAAATCTTTCTCAGTAACTCAGTTACAAAATATTAGTTTAACTAATTAATTTCGCTTACATTATACTCAGACTATTGACCACCACGGCTTTAGTCTAAACCATTACTAATTTGCTGTGATTAACTGTTCATGTCGGCAGTTGGTACATAGACATGCAAACGAATTGGTTTAGTTTCCTTTAAGTCATTTCCAACAGTTCTTTGACTACATGTCCCACGATTCCATTCCTTCCTCTGATGAAGTGAAGTTGATTGATCATGGTGTTTGGTGATTTTTTCAATTTTCTCACTCGCTGTGATGATATTGTCCACAGCGATGGCTTTTTCGTGAATTTTCTTTGCCATGCCGCGTATATTGGACATTTCCGAACGAGAATAAGCATTTTCAAGCGAGCTTTCGGAACGCCGAAATCTTCTAGGATCGCGTTTGGGAATTGCCATTTGGCTGGATGCTCTGCGATTCTCTTCGCTGGCGTTTTTAAATGTAGTGTACAAAGTTGTAAAAGATACATCCGCTGAGGTCTTTTTTTGCCTTTCCTTGTTAGAATCGTAAAATCTTGTTGGTGAATGCACTTCGTTCTCCCTTGATTTGGCTAAAATAGCATTGCCTTGTAAGTACTGACCCAGCGTCGGATACATGCTTGTTCTGTATGTGATGTCACCGGATGAAATGCCTGATTTTTCTTTTCCCCGACCCAAGAATTCACTACGTTTACTTTGCGTAATCTCTTTGTTTATTTCGTATTCTGTTTTGTGTACCAACAGCGAATTATTCCCACAAAAAAAATGGCACTTCGCATCCTCGGAATTAACCCAATCATTGGCAGTAATGTTTTCGAAATGCTTTCGCTCGCTGATTTGTCGGATGATCTGCCGTGGTGTCATTATACGAATTCCTGTGTATCACACGCGAAAACTCGTTGGAAAAACTTCGAATTCAAAAGTTCTCAATTCCGCTTGATAAATTGCTCGGGCTTTTCTAAATTCCTACTAATCCAAAGTTCTTTTCTGCAAACTCTTGCCATTTACTGGGAGATAAAGACGGTTATCTCAAACAAAACAAATGTAAACACTGTGGTTACTTGGTCTACGCTCGTTTATCATGCATTGATAAATTTGAACAATAATGTCAAAATCTCGTTCTGAGGCTATTTAGCATATATCTAATGAAAACAGGTAATCTTTCCTTCGAGATAAGTATTGGAAGTTGTGTTTTATTGACGATTAATTTTAGAAGGTAAAATTTTGAGAATATCTGAATATTGGGTTGTTAGAATACGGAGTGCTCCAGGTAATATGACCATTCCTTGGACTCGTTAGTAAAACTAGACCAAGCTGGGTTTCAAATTAAAAGAACAGAGACTTTAATTACTGGCTACGGTTAATCTTTTGACTTTATTTTTCAGCTGCGTCTATTTAAGTAGTATTTGGCATAATATCCAAATGATGAGAAGTAGGTCTGTTTTCAAATCATATTTTGGTTATTTCGCCATTGAATGGTGTTTATGATTGATCAGATGAAATAGTTATGAAAACTCTCGATAAAAGAAGTGAAGAAAAAATTGGCAGAATACACAGACAGTATACCCCTACCAACAACACTGAAGTTATATTAGAAGACAAAAACAAAAATGATTCCTATATTGAAGTTGCCAGCAAGTGTTTTTGTAACACATGGTTGAATATTTCGCTCTATTTGATCTGCTGTAAAGGCCGATATGTGGAGCCATAATAATATATGTTTTGATATAGTAGGCAGTGAAAATTACCTCCTGACTTGTTATTTGATCTGGACCGCTCATAGGGGGCAGCGCGCATGACCGGTCGTCCACTCAGCGTTATAATTTACTTCAGCCTCGTTTGCACTACAGTCCACACTCAATTCATTGGCAGGGCACGGCTAAAATGGGAACCCGTACCAATTTATCCTTACTTGTCTTGAACTGGTGGCCTGTGCACAGATAAATTTTGGTATTGGTACCACTTGCAGCCTTGTCAAGCCAATAAATTCGGTGTAGTAAAAAGCCACCCATGGCAGTGTGAATATATTCCGTTTCTAGACGAGACTCGATTGAAAAGTCGATAAAATGTCGGTGAGAAAAATAGCCCCAAGTACATTTTTGATCATTAAACATAAATAAAAAATACTAGTGACTGAGATGCTGGGAGACTGGGGAAGCTGGGAGAGGTGCCCCTTCTTGCTTTTTACCAGCAGGAGGAGGGGGCGAAGGATGCCCACATTATTGCATTGAATTGCGTGAATAGAATTGCTTCAGACAATGCTGGAAATAAAGCCGACGAGCTTCAAGGATGGCAAACACGTCTTGCGGAAAACCCCCAGGCACCGACATAGTCTAAGAAAGTAACACAACGAGACAAGCTCGAACTGTCTGTTTTTGAGTCTCAAGTATGCGTCAATAAGAAGTGCCCTTTCACGAAAATCCGCCTCTTGGTTTCGCATCGCTGCGGCTTCCCTGAGTCAAGGGCATTTGAAGTTAATCACATTTTACCGTACGCCTATACTATTTCCTCCAAAATAAATATATCACCGGTAAAAATACATTTGAAATATTTTGCGTCGCTTTCTGTCGTGAAGCCCCATAGAAGGTTGTAGTTGTGGCCGGAAATCGTCTCGTAATATTTAGTTTAAACACAGCTGTGATTGGCTGAGCGGACAATGAGGCGCGCCATTCATGGTGAGAGTTTATATCGACAGTCAACAAGAAGAGTAAAATCGTGTATTTTGTCTGGTAAAATTTGATCTTTGCTCGCTTTTGAGCGCCGTTTTGAAAGGCTTTGACAAATAAACGGATGATGATAATAAAGTAAAGCTATCTGTGGGTTAAATGGCAAGCAACATCATGGGATGTTTCGGCGGCAGGAGCAAAAACCGTGAAACGAAGAAACGAAAAATTCGCTATGAAGGGATTGAAATGGGCGGCAAAGTACACACATTGGAGTGTACGACGCCGATGCCTGAAGAACAAGAACTAAATGCTATGTTCGCCGAATTGGTGGTAAATATAAGTGATTTATGTTAGAATTTTAACCAAGTTAATGCAAGTACTCTGTGTGTTTTTGTCAACATTCGATAATAGTTCTATTACAATGTGAATGATGATAATTGTTCGAATCTTTTTTGTGGTGATATTCAAATTTATATGAAGCATTTTATACGAAAAAAAATATTGCCATTAATACTGCCACAAGACAATTACCTATATGTTTAATAAGTGCGTGGTATGGTGTGGAATTTATAATATTTCTGCCATTATTTTCTTTTCAATTTCACTGGCGAATTCCCGCTGGGACTCAATAATAAACTCAATAAACTTTGAGATAAACTAAAGAATACGATAACACGGATAGTTTATGTAATCCCCACTTCCGTCAGTTATCGGCTATATATTTGTGAAAGTGGGTTTTAAAATAATGTGAAAATATTAGTACGTGGATAGTTGGTCTTCACCCTCTATATGGGAACAGAAATACTCTATGTTAGTGCGAAATTAGCACGTTTAAAAATCCCCAGTCGTATGTGGTAATTTGATACTTCGTGTTAATATTTGATTCTTTCTCAAATGCAAGTCGTTATTAATTATTTAAAGCTTGCATTGAAAGAGAATTGAGTTCTGTGTGATACAATATTATTGCATAAATGATCTTATAATTATTTGTATTTGACAGACAAGAACTGTCACAGACTTTATGCAATATGCTCTGTTGTAAGCCTTGCTAGTCATGTGATGGTACAACAATTTGATATATATGAGATTAACTTACAAAAACATGACTGGTTTATGCTGAACAAACTCTGCGAATCATGTTGACTCTTGATGTTGAAATTGGAAAGTGTAGGACTTTCATTTCTACCTTGTTTTGCATTATTTAGACAATTAACTTCCTTCAATCCAACTCTGATATCAATATATATTTTGAGAGCTCACTTTTGTTATATTTTTGACAAATATAAATGACAATTCTCTATTTATACTGGTACTTATAAATTTCAGCCGACAAAAGTCCACCAAAGTTGTCCTAAGTTTAATTTCAAAGTTTGTGAATTTGTTTTTTTTTCAAAAAAAATCACAATCTGATTTTTTTGAACAGACAAAGCTCTTTCGCTTGAAATGTTTCCTTTGTTAGATTGTTCATTGCAACCATAGTTTTGGCAGTTAAAGAATTTTGATTATCTCTTATTAAAATGAAATTTCATCTAGATATTTCTAGCAAATGCATTTTTAATTTTTTCTAATCATACCCTTTGTTTCAGGCAATTTAAAGCCAGGCATCTTGCAGGGTCACAAATAAAAAAATGTCAAAACTATGAAATGGCCAATCTGATGTTTAAACTCTGCCTAAATATATCTTTATGCAGATATTGCCTCAGCAGACATGCTGAGTCTTGGGGTGAAAATAAACTGAGACCACAAGTTGGCAGCTGGGCTTGTTTAATTATTGCCAAAATATTCAAACCTTGCCTGGAAATATGAGAGAAATTTGACTTGATAACTATAACTGAGAATTTTTGCTTTTCTGTTGATAAATAAAATCAATTGCCATTAAAGTAAGACACTAAACTTGGCCCATCTCATTGCTCTGACAGCAAAAGTACTTAGAAAAATATGTAAAAAAAGAATTTATTCATAAAAAGTGGATAAAGTTAGATATTAACCTATTAAGTTTTTTTTTCAATCCAACTCAGTCCAGATATGTTTACTTATGTTGAGTGTTATGGCCATACAAAGGCGGAATATAAAATATTGAAATAGAAAGTATAGAGTTCCTTTTAATATTATAATTAGCGAATTGAATTTAGACTATATTTTCTGCCGTCCAAAATGTTGTGTAACTTAATTTGGTAATAAAAAAGTTTTAAATTGGTGTTTGATTATAGGAAGAACTGGACTTAACTGGAGAAAATAAGAAAGCAATGTTTGATCTTCCTGCTGAGAAAAAATGGCAACTATATCAATCAAAGAAAAAGGTACTTGAGATATTGGCCTTCAAATGTAGCGTTAGGATTATGTGTGCTATTGCTTTTATATAATTATCCCTTTTTAAAGTTATAACAACTTCCCTAGAGATTACTTTTACATCTTAGTAAAAGATATTCCTTTACACATCCTGGTGAACAAACACTTTAAAACTCCACTTGTGATGATTGGCAAAATGTGGTTAAATTGACTTTAACTGCCTAATAAAATTTAAAGTGTTCCTGTTATGAAATGTATAAGTAATTAATATTGAGGATGTTGGCAGGGACACGTATGTTCTTGCTGGCTGCTTGAAAACTACGTCATGTCATCAAAATATCCGATTCTAGGCTCTTCTGCATTCTGTATCACTATTTGCCCATTCAATAAAATGAATATTTTTTAAAAGAATATTATGCTATCTTTCAGGATCAACCTAGCTCCACGGATTACCCAGAATATTACATTGATCGCATGTCAAGCCTGAATTCTGTAAGAGTTGTGTTTCATCATGTAACTTCAATTCTGCATGGTGTTTTTGTTTTTTTGTTTTTTTTTAACATTTGCGCCTGTGAGCATCTTTCTATGTAACTGGTGCATAATAATTAATTATTAATAATTAATTATTATATTTAGCTGTACTTCTCAAAAAGTGATGAGGAAATTGAAACACGAACTAAACTTGTTGATGACCTAAAGACGGCATTAAGAACGCAGCCAATAAGGTTTGTTCCTGTGTATAAGTGTTTAGATTTAGTATGACAAGTACAATTTCAAGCAGGTAGAGGTGGTAATTTCTTCCAAAACCACTCTCACAAAAAGCCTATGTTCAGGAGGGTGAGTACATAGAAAAACTATTCATTCACGAATGATGTATGTACGTATTAAGATATCCCCCACTCCAAAAGTTCTTTGCTTCCCAAAAGTAAAAAGGCATTGGTTAGACCACTGTGGTCAGTTTTCAAGTCAGTTTTCAAGTTAGTTTTCAAGTTGTGCTTCTCACTAAATAAATCAAATGATTTTTTTTAGTTTTGTGAATGATTTCATTGAGAAAGAGGGAATACAATGCCTCTTGGAGTTTCTGAAGAATATGGACTATGACACATGGTGTGTACCTCATATGGATTTTAATCCATACATCCTAGGGAGTTCTTGTCTGCTGTATTAACCACCTTTTTTTAAATCTAGTGAAAGTAAGATCCATACTGCTGTTATAGGTTGCTTCAAGGCTTTAATGAATAATTCAGTAAGTGAAACTTCTAATCTGTGGCATGATTGAAACTTTAGAAAGAGTTCTGAATGCGTACGAAATGCAAACTTGATGTGTTGAAATTACTACTCTCTCTTCTTGTGTAGCATGGGCGAAGTCATTCCTTGTCTCATCCTACCTGCATTAATACTATTGCACAAAGTCTTAGAACAGAAAATATCAAGACTAAAGTTTCTGGTAAGAATATACACACATATTGTAGTATATCTTAGTATTCTCCTGTTAAAAGTAATACATGAAATCTTGGCTTTTGTGCTTTTGTTTTATTGTATCTAAAGCATTTTCACAAGCGCAAAAATTGCTATCCAGTCGATGGTATTTTCCAGCCTTCGCACAGCAGCGCCCCAGGTCCTTGTCTGCTACTTTTTTATCTAAAGCAAATCCACTTCTAATTATTTTAGTCCTGGAGATATTGGCTGCAATATGCTTAGTCCCAGGTGGTCATAAGAAAGCTCTAGAAGCAATGACTCACTATCAGGCATACGCTATGGAAAGAACACGGTTCCAGGTACTTCCTTGCGGGCTTCATATCAGTCACTTTCAGCTGTGTTAAAACTGAATGATTTGATTTCTCCCAAACACGATCTTTGTTTCTGTTTACCCAGAGTTTGATGCATGATCTCGACAGAAGCACTGGCAGTCACAAGGATGAATTTAACTTGAAAATTGTGATAATGTCTTTCGTTAACGCCTCTCTCAGATACGGCGCTGGTTCGGTAAGAGTTCTTGGATAATCCTGGGTTTTTGTTTTTGTACAACTGACATGCAATTAAATCGTATTCTCTCTCGACTGTAGGATCATTTAGAGTTTCGTATTCATTTGAGATACGAATTCCTTATGCTTGGTATCCAGTCGACGATTGAGAAACTGCGGACAATGGGAAACTCAAATCTGGACAGGTACTTTGTTAATTTCATTGTGAGCCCCCTCTGGACATGTTTTAAGAGAAGAATCTCGCGTGTTGCAAGCAGCAGACGGTCTCGTTTGATACACATGGCTCGTGCTTGTAACCCATGATATATTTTTAGGCATTTAGACTTCTTTGAAATGATGCGTCACGAGGATGAGAAAGATTTGGCAAAGTTCCTCGGTGCTGTAAGTACCTCTCGATTGGGTGTTGCTAAGGCTGGAGTACGACGGTCTCAGAGTGCCTGGCACTTGTTTCCCTGGTATAGCTAAGTGCTTGTTTGAGCTCGAATTCTGAGACGATGCTTGCGATGGAATTTGGCCTCGTTGCCCGGTTCAAGACATCCTCAGGATCCACAGAACTCCTTAAATGTACCATGGTGTACTTGCACCGAATTCTCTTGAATAAACGCCCCACTCGAATTAACGCCTCACTTGGGTAAACGCCTCCCTAGAATAAAAGGCCAAACAGAAGAAAAAAGGTCAAATGCTTTTTCATATTTTTTCTCAGCAAACGATAGATTTGAGGAGTTCTACGAATATGGTTGGTGTGATCAAACAAAAGATCGGTCAAACAGAAGCATTCCCTCACTTTCTCTCAATCCTTCAACATCTTCTTCTTTTTCCAAGTAAGTTGCTGTTTGTAATTAATGTCCTTCACCGAGTATGGTGATTGGAGGGTATCAAAAGTTCAAAAGGGCGTTAAAAACCTTTGATTTTCTTTCATTTCAGACGACAGCAAGACGGCGCGGAAGATCTGGGATCTCACGGATAAGTTGGTTCAACAAGTCAGCATACAACGAGAAGACGGTGAAGATCCTGACGTGGCCTTGTTAAGCCTCAACGTCAATCGCATCCTCGAACTGTAAGTTCACAAATTTAGAAAATACACGATACTCATTGGTGATAAACATGAGTTCAAGGTCTATTTTCAAGCATCTTGCTTTCTTACGAAATTGGTTTCTTTCTGACATTACATGGCGTAGTAGGTTCCATGTTTATCTGTTTTGTGAAATCTGATGAATATTTTCTTAAATAGCTTGGCAGAAGACGAGGAGAGGAAACGTATTGAGGACGAAGAAGGTTTGAGTGGAACTCTAAAATTAATGAATGAAGGATATGAAATCAAATAACTAGAGACTTTTGTAGTCATTTTCTTTCTGTCTTGCTCAGATTTGGAAGAGATGCGGGACAAATTGGCGAAGCTTGAGAAAAACTTGGAATCAACGACTCAAGAAAAGGTCGGGTTTTGTCCACTCCATAAGACAACAAAAAATCTGAAACTGTCGTCCATTGCATGGCTTTGCAAGCTTCTCGAGTTTAGCTTTTTCCGAGCCTACTATGTTGTATACTTCCATCTTTCGCAGGACGAAACAAACGAAGAAATGGCGAAGCAGAAGATCCGATTAGATCGTGAAATAGCGGAGAAAAATGAGGCTTTCGATAGAGTACGAGAGCTTGATGGCAAAGTCAGCAGTGCAGCCACGTTGGTAAGCACTGAGGGTTTTGTAACCCATTTGGTCGAATGAAAACCATGCTGTAATGTAATGAATCTAGGAAATCTAACGTAACTCGGTGTTTTTTGATGGTTTCAGATCGACGCTCATCAAAAAGTCAAGGAAAAACTTGAGGAAATCATAAAGAAATGCGGTGGAAAAATCCCTGAAGATTGCACCATTGAACACTTCGTTAAAAACAGCACCGGTGCTCCTCCGGATATTCCAAACCTTCAGCCGTCCGGTGGGCCACCTCCGGCTCCACCATTAGCCGGACTACTCCCGCCTGGAGCACCACCACCACCTCCCCCTGGCGGAGCACCACCCCCACCACCCTTACCGGGGGGAGTACCTCCTCCACCTCCACCACCCGGAGCGGGTGTACCAGGTAATGTCCCCGAGAGGCCATATTTGATAGAGGATATTTTGTTCTGTGTCTTGTCATGATGTAGCTTGTTTATTTTGAGTGTGTATTGCATTGTTAAAGATTATGCTGGCCCGCTTCGTCTGTCCTAACTCTTAAATATACTTGGATACACTAGCAGACACGGAATTTCCTCGGGAACATTGATAAGGCAAAACGTTTTCCAGAAACTTAGTAATCCTAAACGTATTATTTTCGTAAATAACCACGCAAGCAAATAGACAAATTTCGATAGAAGTTGATATTTTTTTCGTACCTGGCTTGACCTTTGACCTCATAAACTATTACATATGCATAAAATCAAATTCTCTAAAGCAATAAGTAGTTCAGGTGAGTGAATTACTAGAGAAAACTCGGTTGGCGAGGCAGACAATTAGTCTGTTATCTTGTGAGTATTGTGGTTAGCGAGGAAGGCATACATGCAGTTTGTGGTCTCGACATACTCAAGTGTTTAACCAATTTAATAAACGCTTTCAAGTGTGAAAGATATACACTCTCAATATCTCAGTATCTCATGAGAAATTTAACGTCAAAGTGGGACTATTTTGTTCACGTTTATTACCATGGTAACAAGTCAATAATGCAGTGGTAATATCCTTTGTATTTTGACCGCCATACTACGTCTTGTCCCTCTAGGTCCTCCACCACCACCTGGTGCCCCTGGTTTACCCGGGATGCAACAGAAGAAAACGAATCGAAATACACCAAAACCTTCTCAGCCGCTCAAGTCGTTCAACTGGTCCAAATTGCCTGATGTAAGTTTTAGCTTTTACGATTTTCAAATGTTTAGACGACTTGCACTACTACATGAGTACCCATGCTATAGTTAGTGTTAGTTGATGTTGACGTGTCCATTTCGGCCCTGAGCTATAACTGAAACACTGGGACATGATTCTGGAAAATACTAGAGTCACTCGGAGTTTTACAGCTTGTGAGTACGAAAACGTTTTCTTTTTCAGACTAAAATCAAAGGAACAGTTTGGACTGAGATTGATGACTCCAAGGTTATACAACATTTGCAATCCTTATTATAAATTTTTTAGGAATGATTAATAATATCTTCTGCTTGATTGTTCAGGTGCATCAAGTGATGGACTTCAATGATTTTGACAGAATGTTTTCAGCTTATCAAAAGAATGACCAGGTAAGCTAGTTACCTTCTTCGGCTTCCAATCAAATAAATTTTGAACAGAAGCTGTCAGAACGGAAGAGCTACAAATAGGATTTTTTTGTTTCTTTTCTAAAGACTGTACAGGTCCCGAGAATTTTGTCCGTTTCTCATTTTAGAAAGATGGACCTGATGAAAGATTTGCTTCTCAATCGAAGAATAAAGAGTTGTCTTTGATCGACAGTCGAAAAGCTCAGAATTGCCAGATTCTTTTGTCAAAGTTAAAGACATCAAACGAAGATCTTGCGAAAGCTGTTCTCTCAATGGATAAAGACCAAGAGCTCTCCGTTGAAATGTTGGAACAGGTAAAACTCAACATTACACGCTATATCACCGTTTATCATTTCAAAGGGCCGCCTTGTCTTTGAAGCACCCTTTAAATCTGCAACTTTTCTATTCTAAGATGTTGAAATTTGTTCCTACGACGCAAGAAAAGAACCTTCTCAACGATCACAGCAAACAAAAAGACCAATTTGCCAAAGCGGACAGATTTTTGTATGAAATGTGCAGGTATACAACTAGAATTCAAGAATCTATTTCATCCTCAACCGTACGGTCTTTCTTATATTGTATTATTTCTAGAATTTCTCACTATGAACAGCGACTGCAAACACTTTACTACCTCAAACGTTTCCCAGAAAGGATGGGGGATATTAAGCCGAAAGTCAAAGGTACAGCGTCCCCTCTCCCCTGGCAAAACTAGAATTCAACATAGTTTGTTTTGATTCTAAACATGTTTTTTATAAGTTGTTTTAATTTGGAGTGTTCAAATGTTGTTTTTATTAGCTGTGGCTGAAGCATCGAAGCAGGTTTTCCGCAGCAGGAAATTCCGAGATTTGCTCGAAGTCGTTTTGGCGTTTGGTAACTACATGAACAGAGGGGCCAGAGGGAATGCTGCGGGTAAATGTTGATAACTGTGGCTATAGTTGTTGATAACAGTGGTTATGCACGATTGTTTGTTAAATTGTAAAATTGAAACCATTGAAAAGTTTGTTCATGTACTTCCAGGCTTCAAAATCGCCAGTATCAACAAAATAATGGACACAAAATCCAGCTCAAATACAAAAATCAATCTACTCGACTATCTTATAATGTTACTGGAACAAAAGGTTTGTCACCATTCCCACAAGAGACTTTTCCCCATTACTCCAAATCAACACCTTGAAGGAAATAATAAAAAAATCACTCCAGTAAAAATAATATATAGCTCTGTATTTTGTAGTTTCCCACCTTACTCATGCTTGAGGAAGAAATGGGTGACGTCAGAACAGCGGCCAAAGTCAGGTAGGTGTTGAACTCTAGATTAATTCAAAAATATCGTTGTATTTCCTTGCTTTTATTAGTTTCAACAATCCTGAAGTTGACCACAGCCTACTATCTGCTCTATGGCTGCTTGGGTCGTGTTCATGCAGGTTAACGGTAAACACACACGTTTAATTATTTTCTTCGTGTAGTTTACAAGAGATGGAAAAAGATGTGAAAACGTTCAAAACAGAACTCAAAGCAGTTGAAAAGGAATTTGAATACCAGACGAAAAAGAAAGACAAAGCATTTGGTGATAATTTTGTTCAAGACACAGGCGCGTTCCTCACGGCAGCCAAAGCTTCGTTCACAGAATTAGATAATTCTTGGAAAGATATGAAGACCAAGGTATTGATACTAAAATGTGACACATGCTATTATGTATGAATGTCCCAGTGTCTAAATCTTGTTTACATAAGTTTTCGTGTTTTTTCTTAGTACGATAAGTCAGTCGTTGCTTTTGGCGAAGATCCCAAGACGATCACTTCAGACGAGTTCTTTGGCATTTTTAATACCTTTTTAATATCGTTTGCAGTAAGAATTGATTCTTGGGTTATAAGAAACCTATTTTACTCTGCGTCGTAACTCGAAAACAATGCATTATTTGGTTTTGGATAAAGTTGAAACAAGCTTTAAATCATCGTTTTGAAATTTTAGGAGGCAAAGAATGAAAACGAAAGGAGAAAGAAGAAAAAATTGGAAGAGGAGAGGCGTGCAAGAGAACAAGCTCAGGTAGAAATACTCTCCATCGCTTCAAGAGATAAATTCAGGGCGATGAATGAATGTTTAAAGTTCAATTGATGATTATGAATGTTCTGTTTTTCTGTCTTTCGCAGCAAAAGGAAAGGGACCGACAGAAAAACGTGGCGAAGAAAATCGCAAGCGGAACGCAAGAAAACACGGCAAACGTGAAAGAGGAATCTAACAAAAGAGGAGAATTCGATGATTTAATTTCCGCTTTAAGAACTGGTGACGTATTTGGGGATGACGTGAAAAAATATGGCGGACGTAGGAAAATGAAGGGGGAGAAACCTGCTCCTAAACCTCCTACGAGTGCCGGCGACAGAGAACGAAACGTCTCAAAATTCTAGGCTAATATCAATTCTTAGAATGAACTTAAACAAAATTCTAGATAAAACAAATTCCCGTAATTTTAGAATTGGAATATGTCATCTCCTATAGGGCGACTTCTAGGAGGTTTCTATATAATATGCGTCCTAGAAACGGAGGTTTTCCAGAAAGCCTTATTCGGTTTGAAGAAATCCCTTTCTAAGAAAGTTGGCACACTTCTAAGAAGCAAGCGTTTCGAAGGACGGCGTGAGTGTTCACGTGGTGATGATTTGCATTCCAATGAAGGTGTTTCAAAGTCGTCTGCTAGAAGTTTTAAACGGTCCTACAAATGTTACCCATTAGTTCAGACATATAATGTAGGGATGAATTTGACTAATCTGAAGCAGTGAAATTTGGTGTTTGTATAAAATAGCCCATTATTATATTATTTGATTATAAGTGACTATGTAAATCTTCAGTGATAAATTCAACTATTTTGCGTTTTAACTTTGTTTTCTGGTTCTCGCGGTATGTCGGTGAGACTTCGTGCGACGTTCGTAAAGGGATCGGAGAACGACACCGACACACCGTGTAATGTGATTAAAGTACCATTGCTATACACAGCGATGTCAAGCGAAAACCTTTGACCACGAGGTTTGATTTTAATTCCAATTTGTACTACGTCGAAAGTGCTGTGAAAACATTGAAATGGAGAAATACTTCATCGATATACAGGTTTGTAAACTGTCCAGATTTCCTTGCAATATTAAGGCGTATTTGTAGTAATATTTACATCCAAAGTTTCGTTGCCGGTGTCGGTGAGAAGGGAATTAACCAAACCATAAATGTTTGCTACATATTTAGTGAACGTAGTACTTCGGTCATCAACGTATAGTTTGAAATTTGGTTGTTTTAACAAATGGCAGTGTTTTGATGCATATTTGTGCAGCATAGTGATTAGTGTTCTTTTGCATGGAGTTCACAGCGTGTAGAAATGGTTTAAATTTGTTTGTCGCTCTATAAACTCCCGCGTTCGTATTTTGTCGACATGACGAGTGTAACTTGTGCGCAGGTATTGACCATTTGAGCTATGGAAATTTTAGCAATCCATGTAATCAGCGTTCTTGAAATTCATCCATGTAAGGCTCAACTTTCCCGGAAGTATTCATTTTTCCCCGCTAGGAGTTTCAAGATATCAAATAGCAGTATCAAATTTTATTTGCCTTTGAATTAACATTATTTTAAAAGTATTACTGAATTTCCATGGCTATGAGCACAAAAACATATTATAAAAGTTTAAAAAGTACTGGGCTGTTAGGGCGTTAAAATTCTAACAACCGTCATTTTAATAGTTTCGATCGTATACTTTGCAAGAAAACGTTCTCGTTGACTTTCAGTAATTTAGAAACGCAGAGCCTTTAATTTTTCTTCGTCTGGCAGAGCAGAAGGATCTGTAGAAAGCGCATGTTCGATGTATTTATAAGCAAGAATGACAATGGTTTCTTTTGTTCCACGACCAACATGTGACATGACACCCACTTGTTTATCCATGATAATGATTTTGTAATGTAGCTCCATACCAACAACCTTGTTGCCACATCTCTTAATCTATAAATAAAACAAGGTTAGTTTATGGTCTGTAATCCTTCATTAATTTTATCACACGCACTTCTTGCACAGTGTTCTGAATTATCCAGAACAGTAAATGGAGCAGCCCTCATATAAACCTGATAATATTATTGCGGCCAATCTTAATTTCGGCCAATCGGAATAAATCGTGGCGCGTATGACTGTTTGTGATCAACTCCTCAGCAATTGGCGTTTAGCGGCTCATTCGACTTCCTGTTTTTTTTTGGCCCGTATTTACAAAAATTGACAGTATTTTGATCTAAAATATTGTAAAAAATGCAATAAAACAAGGAAAAAGTTCAAAATAATTCAACGAAAACAACGCTCTTAATATAAAAAGGTCCCTTTGAGTCGAAATACCGGTTGCAATTGAAAATGGAGATGGCTAATCTTTGCTAGGATGGTAATTTGGCATCGACACGTCCCCCGAAGCAAAATTGTACTCCGTTGCTGCCCAAATGACAAAAATAAAAGCATATTGAAAGTTTACAAGCTTCGACGGGGCTTTTCTGAGTGGATAACGGTGGAAAACCTTGGTATGTGTTGATGTTTTAAATGTTTTCTCACTCCTCAAAAAGCTCAAGACGCCATTTTAACTACATTTGGAAAGTTAACGATGCCCTTGAGGATGATTAACTTTAACTACATTTTAACGCTAACTACTTTTTTATACAGCTAGCTTAACTACGTGATTAAAGTTAACGACGTTTAAACTACAAAAAAAGTGGCCCTCATAATAAACCTCATAATATTATTGCGGCCAATTTCATTTCGACCAATCGGAATAAAACGTGGCTCGTATGACTGTTTGTGATCAACTCAGCAATTGGCGTTTAGCGGCTCATTCGACTTCATGTTTTTTTTGGCCAACATCAGCTGTGGGTGTGTTTAGAATTGGAGTATGTCAATTTTAGAATTGGAGTATGTCAATTCCTAAGGTCTTCTAGGAAGTTTCTATATGCCTCCTAGAGACGGAGGCTTCCCAGAAAGCTTAACTCGGTTTAAAAGAACCCTTTCTATCTTTTCTGTATACTTGATCAAAACTAAACGACTGTATGCATATTCTGTGTACTCGATCAAAACTAAAAGACTCGATACGCATATTCTATGTACTTGATCAAAACTGAAAGACTCGATACGCATATTCTGTGACTTGATCAAAACTAAACGACTCGATACGCATATTCTATGTACTTGATCAAAACTGAAAGATTCGATACGCATATTCTGTGACTTGATCAAAACTAAACGACTCGATACGCATATTCTATGTACTTGATCAAAACTAAAAGACTCGATACGCATATTCTATGTACTTGATCAAAACTAAACGACTCGATACGCATATTCTATGTACTTGATCAAAACTGAAAGACTCGATACGCATATTCTATGTACTTGATCAAAACTAAACGACTCGATACGCATATTCTATGTACTTGATCAAAACTGAAAGACTCGATACGCATATTCTATGTACTTGATCAAACTAAAACACTCGATACGCATATTCTATGTACTTGATCAAAACTGAAAGACTCGATACGCATATTCTGTGTACTTGATCAAACTGAAGACTCGATACGCTATATTCTATGTACTTGATCAAAACTAAACGACTCGATACGCATATTCTGTGTACTTGATCAAACTGAAAGACTCGATACGCATATTCTATGTACTTGATCAAACTAAACGACTCGATACGCATATTCTATGTACTTGATCAAAACTAAAGACTCGATACGCATATTCTATGTGTACTTGATCAAAACTAAAGACTCGATACGCATATTCTATGTACTTGATCAAAACTAAACGACTCGATACGCATATTCTGTGTACTTGATCAAACTAAACGACTCGATACGCATATTCTATGTACTTGATCAAAACTAAAGACTCGATACGCATATTCTATGTACTTGATCAAAACTAAACGACTCGATACGCATATTCTGTGTACTTGATCAAAACTAAACGACTCGATACGCATATTCTATGTACTTGATCAAAACTGAAAAGACTCGATAATATTCTATGTACTTGATCAAAACTAAACGACTCGATACGCATATTCTATGTACTTGATCAAAACTAAACGACTCGATACGCATATTCTATGTACTTGATCAAAACTAAAGACTCGATACGCATATTCTATGTACTTGATCAAAACTAAACGACTCGATACGCATATTCTGTGTACTTGATCAAAACTAAACGACTCGATACGCATATTCTATGTACTTGATCAAAACTAAAACTCGATACGCATATTCTATGTACTTGATCAAAAAAACGACTCGATACGCATATTCTATGTACTTGATCAAAACTGAAAGACTCGATACGCATATTCTATGTACTTGATCAAAACTAAACGACTCGATACGCATATTCTATGTACTTGATCAAAACTGAAAGACTCGATACGCATATTCTATGTACTTGATCAAAACTGAAAGACTCGATACTGACGCATATTCTATGTACTTGATCAAAACTAAACGACTCGATACGCATATTCTGTGTACTTGATCAAAACTGAAAGACTCGATACGCATATTCTATGTACTTGATCAAAACTAAACGACTCGATACGCATATTCTATGTACTTGATCAAAACTAAAGACTCGATACGCATATTCTATGTGTACTTGATCAAAACTAAAGACTCGATACGCATATTCTATGTACTTGATCAAAACTAAACGACTCGATACGCATATTCTGTGTACTTGATCAAAACTAAACGACTCGATACGCATATTCTATGTACTTGATCAAAACTAAAGACTCGATACGCATATTCTGTACTTGATCAAAACTAAACGACTCGATACGCATATTCTGTGTACTTGATCAAAACTAAACGACTCGATACGCATATTCTATGTACTTGATCAAAACTGAAAGACTCGATACGCATATTCTGTGACTTGATCAAAACTAAACGACTCGATACGCATATTCTATGTACTTGATCAAAACTAAAGACTCGATACGCATATTCTGTACTTGATCAAACTGAAAGACTCGATACGCATATTCTGTGTACTTGATCAAAACTAAAACTCGATACGCATATTCTATGTACTTGATCAAAACTAAAGACTCGATACGCATATTCTATGTACTTGATCAAAACTAAAGACTCGATACGCATATTCTATGTACTTGATCAAAACTAAAAGACTCGATACGCATATTCTATGTACTTGATCAAAACTAAAAGACTCGATACGCATATTCTATGTACTTGATCAAAACTAAACGACTCGATACGCATATTCTATGTACTTGATCAAAACTGAAAGACTCGATACGCATATTCTATGTACTTGATCAAAACTAAACGACTCGATACGCATATTCTATGTACTTGATCAAAACTGAAAGACTCGATACGCATATTCTATGTACTTGATCAAAACTAAACGACTCGATACGCATATTCTATGTACTTGATCAAAACTGAAAGACTCGATACGCATATTCTGTGTACTTGATCAAAACTGAAAGACTCGATACTGACGCATATTCTATGTACTTGATCAAAACTAAACGACTCGATACGCATATTCTGTGTACTTGATCAAAACTGAAAGACTCGATACGCATATTCTATGTACTTGATCAAAACTAAACGACTCGATACGCATATTCTATGTACTTGATCAAAACTGAAAGACTCGATACGCATATTCTATGCATGTACTTGATCAAAACTAAAAGACTCGATACGCATATTCTATGTACTTGATCAAAACTGAAAGACTCGATACGCATATTCTGTGTACTTGATCAAAACTGAAAGACTCGATACGCGCATATTCTATGTACTTGATCAAAACTAAAGACTCGATACGCATATTCTGTGTACTTGATCAAAACTGAAAGACTCGATACGCATATTCTATGTACTTGATCAAAACTAAACGACTCGATACGCATATTCCGTGTACTTGATCAAAACTAAAGACTCGATACGCATATTCTATGTACTTGATCAAAACTAAAAGACTCGATACGCATATTCTATGTACTTGATCAAAACTAAACGACTCGATACGCATATTCTGTGTACTTGATCAAAACTAAACGACTCGATACGCATATTCTATGTACTTGATCAAAACTAAAGACTCGATACGCATATTCTGTACTTGATCAAAACTAAACGACTCGATACGCATATTCTGTGTACTTGATCAAAACTAAACGACTCGATACGCATATTCTATGTACTTGATCAAAACTGAAAGACTCGATATTCTATGTACTTGATCAAAACTAAACGACTCGATACGCATATTCTATGTACTTGATCAAAACTAAACGACTCGATACGCATATTCTATGTACTTGATCAAAACTAAAAGACTCGATACGCATATTCTATGTACTTGATCAAAACTAAAAGACTCGATACGCATATTCTGTGTACTTGATCAAAACTAAACGACTCGATACGCATATTCTATGTACTTGATCAAAACTAAAAGACTCGATACGCATATTCTATGTACTTGATCAAAACTAAACGACTCGATACGCATATTCTATGTACTTGATCAAAACTGAAAGACTCGATACGCATATTCTATGTACTTGATCAAAACTAAACGACTCGATACGCATATTCTATGTACTTGATCAAAACTGAAAGACTCGATACGCATATTCTGTGTACTTGATCAAAACTGAAAGACTCGATACTGACGCATATTCTATGTACTTGATCAAAACTAAAAGACTCGATACGCATATTCTGTGTACTTGATCAAAACTGAAAGACTCGATATGCATATTCTGTGTACTTGATCAAAACTAAAAGACTCGATACGCATATTCTATGTACTTAATCAAAACTAAAAGACTCGATACGCATATTCTATGTACTTGATCAAAACTAAAAGACTCGATACGCATATTCTATGTACTTGATCAAAACTAAACGACTCGATACGCATATTCTGTGTACTTGATCAAAACTAAACGACTCGATACGCATATTCTATGTACTTGATCAAAACTGAAAGACTCGATACGCATATTCTGTGACTTGATCAAAACTAAACGACTCGATACGCATATTCTGTGTACTTGATCAAAACTAAACGACTCGATACGCATATTCTATGTACTTGATCAAAACTGAAAGACTCGATACGCATATTCTGTGTACTTGATCAAAACTGAAAGACTCGATATGCATATTCTGTGTACTTGATCTTCGATCACTAAAAACTCGATACGCATATTCTGTGTACTTGATCAAAACTAAAGACTCGATACGCATATTCTATGTACTTGATCAAAACTAAAACTCGATACGCATATTCTATGTACTTGATCAAAACTAAAAGACTCGATACGCATATTCTATGTACTTGATCAAAACTAAAAGACTCGATACGCATATTCTATGTACTTGATCAAAACTAAAAGACTCGATACGCATATTCTGTGACTTGATCAAAACTAAACGACTCGATACGCATATTCTATGTACTTGATCAAAACTAAACGACTCGATACGCATATTCTATGTGTCTGACTCGATCGCAATTCTGATCAAAGACTCGATATGCATATTCTGTGTACTTGATCAAAACTAAAAGACTCGATACGCATATTCTATGTACTTAATCAAAACTAAAAGACTCGATACGCATATTCTATGTACTTGTACTAAAGACTACGCATATTCTATTCTTGATCAAAACTAAAAGACTCGATACGCATATTCTATGTACTTGATCAAAACTAAAGACTCGATACGCATATTCTGTGACTTGATCAAAACTAAACGACTCGATACGCATATTCTATGTACTTGATCAAAACTAAACGACTCGATACGCATATTCTATGTACTGGATCAAAACTAAAAGACTCGATACGCATATTCTGTGTACTCGATCAAAACTAAAAGACTCGATACGCATATTCTATGTACTCGATCAAAACTAAAAGACTCGATACGCATATTCTGTGACTTGATAAAAACTAAAAGACTCGATACGCATATTCTGTGTACTTGACCAAAATTAAACTAAACGACTCGAAACGCATATTCTCTGTACTCTATCAAAACTGAAAGACTCGATACGCATATTCTATGTACTCGATCAAAACTAAACGACTCGATACGCATATTCTATGTACTTGATCAAAACTGAAAGACTCGATACGCATATTCTGTGTACTTGATCAAAACTAAACGACTCGATACGCATATTCTGTGACTTGATCAAAACTAAACGACTCGATACGCATATTCTCTGTACTCGATCAAAACTATATAACGACTCGATACGCATATTTTATGTACTTGATCAAAACTAAACGACTCGATACGCATATTCTGTGTATACTTGATCAAAACTAAAAGACTCGATACGCATATTCTGTGTATACTTGATCAAAACTGAACGACTCGATACGCATATTCTGTGTACTTGATCAAAACTAAAAGACTCGATACGCAAAGCTTCTTTTGTATTCATTTCAGTTATAATGGCGTTGACATTATAACGTTGATAGCCGCCGCATTATATTTTGTAATAACACCTTTGTTTGGTGTTTTGCATTCACCAAATACAGTTCAAAACTTAGTTCACAACATAATCTAAAGAATAACGGTAAAATAAATGGATTTTGAGTGGTACGCCGAAAAGAGGTTTTGAGCGTTTTCCCGCCAAAATACGCGACATAATAAAAAATCTCCTCTTAACACGACAAAAATACGTATCGTATAGGCCTGAAAACATGCTAAAATGTTTATTTAATACGTTATTGACTTCTTGTCATAGTACAATTAAGTTTCAGAGAAACAGAAACGCAGAACATTTTATGTGTTTAACACTCGTACGTTGATATTTTATACCTTTTTCACCTGATTCCAGCGTTGTAATTCTTTCATCGCTTTGCTGTTTTCAAACACATCGATCATCTTCCCGGCATGTTCCGAAAGAAATTCTACAGCATTTTCGCCCTTTACTATCCCACGAATATCTTTGGTGATTTCTCCTTTGTCTGTTAGATCACTATATCTCATAACCACCGAATTTTGATGCAACTGTATTTGTTCCATGACATTTTCAGTCACTAAACATTTTTGTTGGTCGACTTCCGCCAGCATTTCATTTAGTTGTCTTTTTATGTCGATTTGGCTTTCTTCTGTCACCTGTTGTATTAAGGCTGTGCTATAGGATATTCCCATCTCAGATGTTTTGTTTGTGAGAGTTATTTGCTTCGTTCTTTGCTGCGAGTATACTGCTCGTGGTCTGGACTAACTATGAAGTAGAGGTAGGCCGATACCAATACTAAATACTCGATCAGTGGCGTAACTAGAACGATAACTTCTCGATTACACAATGGAACAGCCCTCATATAAACCTCATAATATTATTGCGGCCAATCTTCATTTCGACCAATCGGAATAAAGCGTGGCGCGTATGACTGTTGTGATCAACTCAGCAATTGGCGTTCAGCGGCTCATTCGACTTCCTGTTTTTTTTGGCCTTAGCTGTGGGTGTGTTTAAAACCAAATTCCCAAAATTTTAGAATTGGAGTATGTCAATTCCTAAGGTCTTCTAGAGAGTTTCTATATGCCTCTTAGAGACGGAGGTTTCCCAGAAAGCCTAACTCAGTTTAAAAAAACCCTTTTTTGTGTACCTATCTTTTCTGTGTACTTGATCAAAACTAAACGACTGTATGCATATTCTGTGTACTCGATCAAAACTAAACGATTGTGCATGTGCATATTCTCGGTGTACTCGATCTAGTTGATATATATCGAAATTTAATAATATATTATTTTGCTAAAATGGGGATAGGAATGGATACCCCGACTCATCATTCCCCACTTAAAAATAGCCTTCGTTTCGAGTTAACCTGCTCTGTTTTTGCAACTGAAAGCACAAGCAAAAAACGCTCCTTGAATTGCATTTAACACGACCAAAATGCGCATCGTATAGATGTAGATGTAGAGATTTAATAAATTCTCCCTGAAAGGGTTTTTCAGAAATTATTGACATTTAACATGCATGCAGTAGAGGTTTCATAAATAAGCTTTACAAAAGCATCTTAAAAATTATCTTAACTATGTACATAATTTAGTTAGTTGTGTTAAATGTTTTCTTAAGCAAATGTTTTTTCAGTGCTGCTTTAAATGTTTTGAGGGAACAGCTGTCTTTCAGGTTCTTTTCTAAATTGTTCCAGATGTGGACAGCTCTATATGCAAATGTCCGTTGGCCAGCTGCAGTTTTGAATTGTGGTATTTGAAGAGAGTCGCGTGTACGAGTACTACGGTTGTGGATTGATGACTTTTTTATCAATTTGTTACAAAGGTAGTCGGGCGTTGTTTAAACTTTAGTACGTCAAAATAAATAGTCAGTTAGTGCGTCTCTAAAATATAGTAATTTGTCCACTGGGAGCCAATTTAATTCACGTAGAAGTGGAGTTACTTGGTCGTATTTCCTGGATTTTGTGATGATCTTACATGCAAAATTCTGGATCGATTGGACTTTCTTTACGTTGGTGGCAGATGTGTTCGACCACACCGAAGAGCAATAAAGCATCTTGCTGATGACTATGGATGAAGTGATTTCCGATAGAGTTTTTGTGTCGAAACTATTTTTAGCACGGTTTATCTGGTATAATTTGTTCATACACGACGAGACTAGTAGCGAGGTACGATTGTCGTAATTTAAGTGACTATCTAACGTGACACCTAGCGAAGTCCACTGGTCTAAGAGATTTGCCCAAGAATGATACGGATATATCTGTAGGTAGTCTGTTCATCAGCTGCTTTGTTCCAATTATCATGAACTTAGTTTTCCCCGGATTAATTAAAAGGTGGTTTTCGCAGCACCAACTTGCGACTCTGTGTAGGTCTTGTTCGAGATTTGTTCAATTCAGTACTTACCTTGACTTCTTGTCATAGGTACAATTAAGTTTCAGAGAAACAGAAACGCAGAACATTTTATGTGTTTAACACTCGTGCATTGATATTTTATACCTTTTTCACCTGATTCCAGGCGTTGTAATTCCTTCATCGCTTTGCTGTTTTGAAACACATCGATCATCTTCTCGGCATGTTCCGAAAGAAATTTTACAGCATTTTCGCCCTTGACTATCCCACGAATATCTTTGTTGATTTCTTCTTTGTCTGTTAGATCACTATATCTCATAACCACCGAATTTTGATGCAACTGCATTTGTTCCATGACATTTTCAGTCACTAAACATTTTTGTTCGTTGACTTCCGCAAGCGATTCATTTAGTTGTCTTTTTATTTCGTTTTGTTTTTCTGCTGTGTCCTGTTTTATTACGTCTTTGCTAGACGATCCTCCCATCTCAAATGTGTTGTTTGTGAGAGTTATTTGCTTCGTTCTCTGCTGTGAACTGCTCGTGGTCTGGACTAACTACGAAGTAGAGGTGGGCCGTACCAACACTAAATACTCGATACCACCGATACTGGGATGGTTGCGATAAAAGGCGGATCCGGAATGCGGAATTCATACCGAACTCTGAGTTGTGCTCAGACAGATAAGTTGAACTGTTTAAGTCATATTATGTAGTATTATATATCAAAAGTTATAAGGACGTTAATAAATAGTATTAAAGAATAAATGATTGAAAAGTAAGTAATCGGTTTCACAATCTTTGTTGCGAGCAAATTGAGCCCAAAGTGCAGCCATTAGTTATTAAAAGGACCGGCTCGTTCACCTGGTTCAGACGGTATTTCATTTTAAGAAGCAAGCGCGCGTGACCGCGTGAGTAAGGACGGCGTGAGTGTTCACGTAGTTATGATTTGCGCTCAATGAAGGTGTTTCAAAGTCTACTAGAAATTTTAAACGGTCCTACAAATGTTACCCATTAGTTCAGACGTATAATGTAGGGATGAATTTGACTTATCTGAAGCAGTGAAATTTGGTATTTGTACAAAATAGCCCATTATTATATTATTTGATTATAAGTGACTATGTAAATCTTCAGTGATAAATTCAACTATTTTGCGTTTTAACTTTGTTTTCTGGTTCTCGCGGTATGTCGGTGAGACTTCGTGCGACGTTCGTGAAGGGATCGGAGAACGACACCGACACACCGTGCAATGTAATTAAAGTACCATTGCTATACGCGGCGATGTGAAGCGAAAACCTTTAACCATGAGGTTTGATTTTAATTCCAATTTGTACTACGTCGAAAGTGCTGTGAAAACATTGAAATGGAGAAATACTTCATCGATATACAGGTTTGTAAACTGTCCGAATTTCCTTGCAATATTAAGGCGTATTTGTAGTAATATTTACATCCAAAATTTAGTCGTCGGTGAGAAGGGAATTAACCAAACCATGAATGTTTGCTACATATTTAGTGAACGTAGTACTTCAGTCATCAACGTATAGTTTGAAATTTGGTTGTTTTAACAAATGGCAGTTTTTTGTTGCATATTTGCGCAGCATAGTGATTAGTGTTCTTTTGCATGGAGTTCAAAGCGTGTAGAAATGGTTTAAATTTGTTTGTCGCTCTATAAATTCCCGCGTTCGTATTTTGTCGACATGACGAGTGTAACTTGTTCGCAGGTATTGACCATATGAGCTATGGAAATTTTAGCAATCCATGTAAATTATCTGACTGAAGTTCAAACAAATTTCACCGCGTTCTTCAAATTCATCCACGTACTTTGTGAGACGATGCATTTTCTCAGAAGGGTCAACTTTCCCAGAATTGTTCATTATTCCCCGCTGGGAGTTTCAAGATATCAAATAGCAGTATCAAATTTTATTTGCCATTGAATTAACATTATTCTAAAAGTATTACTGAATTCCTATGGTTATGAGCACAGAACATATTATAAAAGTTCAATAAGTGCTGGGCTGTTAGGGCGTTAAAATTCTAACAACCGTCATTTTAATAGTTTCGATCCTATACTGTTGCAAAAAAAACCGTTCTCGTTGACTTTCAGTAATTTAGAAACTCAGAGCCTTTAATTTTTCTTCGTCTGGCAGAGTAGAAGGATCTGTAGAAAGCGCATGTTCGATGTATTTATAAGCAAGAATGACAACGGTCTCATTTGTTCCACCAACAAAACGAGACAAGGCACCCACTTTTTCATCCGTGATAATGACTTTGTAATGTAGCTCCATACCAACAACCTTGTTGCCACATCTTTTAATCTAATAAAACAAGAACGGAGGGATTTATTGACTTGCTCTAGGCGTGCTGGGTGAGGTGGTAGCTATTCTTTTCAACTACAATTTTGCTGCTAAACTACGCTGAATCCAAATATTTCCAAGTTCTGCAATAATACGGCTGAGTATTTTGATTAAAAAGTCCTAAAATACTACCCCGCCACCCACCATAGGGCTGTTCCATTTATTGTTCGAAGCACTTCAGATTTCAGGAGCAGTAATGGAGTGGAACAGAACACGTAAAATTTTCACATGTTTTAAAGTGATGTAACAGATAATATGTTTAACTGTGATGTTATGTTGACCTTATTTTAAGACTTTGTCGTCAACCATAGACATATATCTATTTTGAGAAATGTGAAGGCTATAGTTGTGAGGTTCAATTTAGACATGAAAATACATGAAAACATTATACTGTGTATTATGCGAACAGTTATAACTGTTCTAGTACTCCTCGACGTGCATAAATTTCCGTGTTTCCATACAGTTTTAGTATACACCCGACTATTTTCTATTACAAATCCTACATTCTGATTGGCTACTCAACCATTGTTTATTCGTGATGGTGAACGTTTGGGAAAAATTCGCTCGCGCGACCGTATAAAATTAAATTAAATTATTTAAATTGATTAATTAAATTATTTTTCGGTGTAATTGCGGTGTATCGATTATTTTCTCGAAATTAATATATCTAGGTACAGGGTGTATACTAAAACAATTAGACAACTCGCCTTCGTTGTCTATGAGCGAATAGACAACTCGGACTCGTTGTCTAATTGTTAAATAGAAACACTTGTGGGAGTTTGAGAGAACTCGGAATAATCAGTGGTTTCCACGTTATTTCGAGTTCTCCCAACTCCCACAAGTGTTTTTATAACTGTATAGGAACCGAGGAAAAAACGTTTCTATTTCTTTTATAATATAACTCCAAAAATATTTTTTACAAATATTAGAATTTGATTCAATTGCAAATTCTCATTACATCGCTTCGCTTGTCAAGTTCGGCAGGAAAAGTCCCGTGTTTCTATACAGTTATAAAAACACGCTTCTCGACCAATCAGCACGCGCGTATTATAAATGTTGTATTATAAAATAATTAATAAAACGCATGGTTAAACGCATATGTAATAGACTGCACACTGTTCCAGCACAATATGTGCATCCAATAATTCCACCATTACACGCACTTCTCGCACAGTGTTCTGAATTATCCAAAACAGTAATGGATCAGTCCTCATATAAACCTCATAATATTATTGCGACCAATCTTTATTTCGGCCAAACGGAATAAATCGTGGCACGTATGACTGTTTGTGATCAACTCAGCAATTGGCGTTCAGCGGCTCATTCGACTTCCTGTTTTTTGTGCCTAACATCAGCTGCGGGTGTGATTAAAACCAAATTCCCAAAATTTTAGAATTGAAATATGTCAATTCCTAGGATCTTCTAGCAAGTTTCTATATGCTTCCTAGAGACGGAGGTTTCCCAGAAAGCCTAACCGGTTTAAAAAACCCTTTCTATCTTTTCTGTGTACTTGATTAAAACTAAACGACTGTACGCATATTCTGTGACTTGATCAAAACTAAACGACTGTACGCATATTCTGTGTACTCGATCAAACTAAACGACTCGATACGCCTATTTGATAAAAACTAAACGATTGTGCATGTGCATGTGCATATTCTGTGTACTCGATCTAGTTGATATATTTCAAAATTTAATAATATATTATTTTGCTAAAATGAGGATAGGAATGGATGCCCCGACTCATCATTCCCCTCTTAAAAATAGCCTTCGTTTTGAGTTAACCTGCTCTGTTTTTGCAACTGAAAGCACAAGCAAAAAAACGCTCCTTGAATTGCATTTAACACGACCAAAATGCGCATCGTATAAGCTGAAATAAGAAAACATGCTAAAATGTATATTTAATACGTCATCGACTTCTTGTCATAGGTACAATTAAGTCTCAGAGAAACAGAAACGCTGAACATTTTATGTGTTTAACACTCGTACGTTGATATTTTATACCTTTTTCACCTGATTCCAGCGTTGTAATTCCTTCATCGCTTTGCTGTTTTGAAACACATCGATCATCTTCTCGGCATGATCCGCAAGAAATTCTACAGCATGATCGCCCTTGACTATCCCACGAATATCTTTGACGATTTCTCCTTTGTCTGTTAGATCACTATACTTCATAATCACCGCATTTTGTTGCAACTGTATTTGCTCTACGATATTTTCAGTCACTAAACATTTTTGTTTGTGGACTTCCGCAAGCGATTCATCAAGTTGTCTTTTTATGTCGATTTGGCTTTCTACTGGCACGTATTTTATTACGGTTTTGCTAGACTCTCCTCCCATCTCAGATGTGTTGCTTGTGAGAGTTATTTGCTTCGTCTCTGCTGCGACACTGCTCCTTATCTAGACTAACTACGAGGTAGAGGTGGGCCGTACCAATACTAAATACTCGTTCCCCCCATACTGGGAGGGTTGGGATAAAATGCGGATTCGGAGTACGGAATTGCGGAAACGGAATGCATAATTACGGATACGGAACATATTTTATTAAACATGGAGATTTTAACAAACCTTTCATTCATACCAAACCCTAGTTTATTCTATGGCGCTGGTCGTCTGTATGCTAAGACCACCCATCATAGGAGTTGGACTAAATTTTATTAATGTATTGACCGTATAATTTTTAATATAATATTAATATTTTGATCATAATATTAATCTTTTGATCATAATTGACCGTCACAAAACACAAAGGGAATAACGAGTAATTAAAGAACCGAGCCAATGACTGTCTTGTAAGGGAAAATTCTAACTTTTGCCATTAATATCATTAATTAGTTTTACATTCTCTGTTTAACATAACATGACGTTTAATGAGTATATGTTGCGCGAAACTACTGGGCAAAGTATCGTACTTCCGATGCCAAAAAAAGTGTCGGAGGTTGTCGGCATTTCCGATACTTATAATAATAATGATAATAATAGGTTTAATAATTAATACAATATATAGCAAGTAACTAATAATACTTAAAAGTGATAAAACTTTTACAACGATCAGTGTTTGCATAAATCTTAGGAACATTGTCAAATCTTAAGTTATAGTTGTGCTCACTAGGAGTATTAACTTCATGGCTGAAGATTCGTTCAAGCAGATTATTGCGTGACTGAGTTCGTATTTGTTTAGCAAATTTCCGACAATGATACACAACTCGAGCACGTGTGAAATTTTTGCGGGTACCCATTTTAGCTGTGACGTGTCAAAAAATTGAGGGTAGTGTAATCTGGAGCCGGTTGTATCAAGCCCGTTTAGCTTAAACGGTGGATAATTTCAAAATAGAAAGCGAATCTGCCGTTTTATTCAAGAGGCAAACTAAATATTTTTAACCCTAATACAAAGATACTGTAAGAAATACATATTCAGGGCATAATATTCAAATTGACTCATTCAAGAGAGATGTAAGAGTGTTATTTAATTTTGACTTATCCATCGTTTAAGTTAAACGAAAATTTTTTTCGAGGAATTCAATTCATCCTACCTTGATTATAATTGACTATGTAAATCTTCAGTGATAAATTCAACTATTTTGCGTCTTAAAATTGTTTTCTGGTTCTCGCGGTATGTCGGTTAGACTTCGTGCGACGTTCGTGAAGGGATCGGAGAAGGACACCGACACACCGTGTAATTTAATTAAAGTACCATTGCTATACGCGGCGATGTCAGGTGAAAACTTTTAACAACGAGGTTTGAGTTTATTCCAAGTTCTACTACGTCGAAAGTGCTGTGAAAACTTTGAAGTGGGGAAGTATTTCATCGATATACAGGTTTGTAAACTGTCTGGATTTCCTTGCAATATTAAGGCGTATTTGTAGTAATATTTACATCCAAAGTTTCGTCGCCGGTGTCGGTGAGAAGGGAATTAACCAAACCATAAATGTTTGCTACATATTTAGTGAACGTAGTACTTCAGTCATCAACGTATAGTTTGAAATTTGGTTGTTTTAACAAATGGCAGTGTTTTGTTGCATATTTGTGCAGCATAGTGATTAGTGTTCTTTTGCATGGAGTTCAAAGCGTGTAGAAATGGTTTAAATTTGTTTGTCGCTCTATAAATTCCCGCAGGTTTGGATCCAGCACTAGTGCACTAATTTGCATTACAAAACAAAATGGCTATTTTGAGAGTTTTCTTGTGTCATGCAAACTAGTGCTGGATCCACCCCTGAATTCCCGCGTTCGTATTTTGTCGACATGACTGTGACATCTATGGCTGAAGTTCAAACAAATTTCACCGCGTTCTTGAAATTCATCTATGTAATTTGAGATGATCGGATGCATTTTCTCGGAAGGGTCAACTTTCCCAGAATTGTTCATTATTCCCCGCTGGGAGTTTCAAGATATCAAATAACAGTATCAAATTTTATTTGCCTTTGAATTAACATTATTTTAAAAGTATTACTGAATTTCCATGGCTATGAGCACAAAAACCACAACCGTCATTTTAATAGTTTCGATCGTATAATATTGAAAAAAAACGTTCGCGTTGACTTTCAGTAATTTAAAAACTCAGAGCCTTTAATTTTTCTTCGTCTGGCAGAGCAGAAGGATCTGTAGAAAGCGCATGTTCGATGTATTTATAAGCAAGAATGACCATGGTTTCTTTTGTTCCACGACCAAGATGTGACATGACACCCACTTGTTTATCCAAGATAATGATTTTGTAATGTAGCTCCTGACCAACAACCTTGTTGCCAACTACCCTAATCTATAAATAAAACAAGGGTTTGGTTAGGATCACTTTTGACTTTTATTACCACTATCACGACCTCACGCTGACCTGGTTTGCTTGTCAGTGGTTAGTGTTTTCTATACTAATAGTGGTGGTGGTCATTAATCTGCGGTGGCAGTCAAATCTGAACCTCCCAATTATGTTCACAGTAGTGTAGTGTTTATTCTTACATGTTTTTATAGTGTTTTAGGCCTGTAAAATTAGCGTATTGTCTGTAATCCCTCGATCATATCTATATGTGTATATATCTTTAAATATTATATGATTGTAAAGCAAATAAAAAAAAACGAACATGAACAAAAAAAGACTTTAGTTCATTTGCATCAGGTTCGGCGCATGAAAAGTTCGACGTCTGAAACAGGCCTAACACTCGTACGTTGATATTTTATACCTTTTTCGTCTGATTCCAGCGTTGTAATTCCTTCATCGCTTTGCTGTTTTGAAACACATCGATCATCTTCTCGGCGTGTGACGAAAGAAATTTTACAGCATTTTCGCCCTTGACTACCCCACGAATATCTTCGACGATTTTGTTTTTGTCTGTCAGCTCATGATATGTCATAATCACCGCATTTTGATGCAACTGCATTTGTTCCACGACATTTTGAGTCACTAAACATTTTTGATCGCTGACTTCTGCAAGCGATTCTTTAAGTTGTTCTTTTACGTCGGTTTGGCTTTCTTGTGGCAGGCATTTTATCGTAGCTGTGCTGGACGATCCTCCCATCTCAAATGTGTTGTTTGTGAGAGTTATTTGCTTCGTCTTTGCTGCGATACTGCTCGTGGTCTCACTGGTCTGGACTAACTACCTAGTAGAGGTGGGCCGTACCGACACTAAATACTCGATACCACCACGATGCCAAAAAAAGCCTTCCGATTCTTAGGATTTGTACAGACCGGTATTTCATTTTACTCTCAAACTAATTTCAGTTTCATATTCACTTCGTCGTCAATCATGAAATATAAGCCCGGTTTACCTTACGCACAAAATTTGGCACGACACAGCTAAAATTGGTACGCGCGTACAATTTCATTAGTGCTCAGATTATTAATACACACCTCGAGCACGTGTGAAACTTTTGCGGGTACCCATTTTAGCTGTAACGTGCCAAAAAATTGAGGGTAGTGTAATCAGGGCTATAGACGTTAGTATCGGTATCGAAAAATTTTTTCGAGGAATTTATCCTATGGAATAAATAAAGTTTGTATCGTCTACTAGAATGATCAGTGGCGTAACTAGGACGATAATTGGGGGGTACCACGTTAGAACGATAAGTGGGGGGTACCACACTAGAACGATAAGTGGGGGTACTACACTTGAACGATAAGTGAGGAGTACCACACTAGAACGATAATTAGGGGGTACCACCGATGCTGGGGAAAGTTAGATACTTCCGTTTCCAAAACTGAAAATGATTGGCATTCATCCGACACCTACAAACTACAAGTCGGTATTTCATTTTGCTCATCAAATTGATTTCAGTTTCACATTCACTTCGTCGTCAATCATGAATTCCAGTTTACGTTACACAGAATTTTTTGGCACGACGCGGCTAAAATTGAAACGCGTGCACAATTTCATTCACGATTTCATTAGTGTTGTATATATTACATACACAACCCGAGCATGAAATTTTTGTACCACATTTCAGCTGTGCCGTGCCAAAAAAAACGAGGGTAGTGCAAACCGGGCTATGAACGTTAGTATCGGTAACGAAAAAAATGACCAGTATCGGTAAAGTATCCTATCGAATGAACAAAGCTTGTATCGCTCATCACTAGAAAGCCTTATTCGGTTTGAAGAAATCCCTTTCTAAGAAAGTTGGCACACTTCTAAGAAGCAAACGTTTCGAAGGACGGCGTGAGTGTTCACGTGGTGATGATTTGCATTTGTGTTTCAAAGTCGTCTGCTAGAAGTTTTAAACGGTCCTACAAATGTTACCCATTAGTTCAGACATATAATGTAGGGATGAATTTGACTTATCTGAAGCAGTGAAATTTGGTATTTGTACAAAATAGCCCATTATTATATTATTTGATTATAATTGTTTATGTAAATCTTCAGTGATAAATTCAACTATTTTGCGTTTTAACTTTTTCTGGTTCTCGCGGCATGTCGGTGGGACTCCGTGCGACGTTCGTGAAGGTATCGGAGAACGACGCCACATCGTGTAATTGAATTAAAGTACCATTGCTACACACAGCGATGTCAAGCGAAAATTGACCACGAGGTTTGATTTTAATTCCAATTTGTACTACGTCGAAAGTGATGTGAAAACATTGAAATGGAGAAATACTTCATCGATATACAGGTTTGTAAACTGTCCGAATTTCCTTGCAATATTAAGGCGTATTTGTAGTAATATTTACATCCAAAGTTTCGTTGCCGGTGTCGGTGAGAAGGGAATTAACCAAACCATAAATGTTTGCTACATATTTAGTGAACGTAGTACTTCAGTCATCAACGTATAGTTTGAAATTTGGTTGTTTTAACAAATGACGATGTCCTAGCAAATTTGTTCAGCATTGTGTTCTTTTGCATGGAGTTCAAACTTCAAAGCGTGTCGAAATGGTTTAAATTTGCTGTTTGTTGCTGTATACTTTTAAAATTCCCGCAATCGTATTTTATCGTCAAAATGGTCATCACCATATGAGTTATGGAAATTTTAGTAAAACACCTCTGACTCAAAGTTCACCTCACTCCTGTTCTAGGGGGCCTCCAGTAGCTCTTTTAGCGTGTACATTTAATACGAGTACATGTGATCATATCTTGATATATTAACATTATTTAAAGAAATTTCTTATTTTAAAGTATCTAACTATAATAATACCAAACGAAAATTATATCCTGTACTTTTGGTGTAACCCCACTTTCACTAAATGTTTCTGTAATAAAATACACTTTTCGTCGCCATATTCAACCCAACAAAAAAACATCAAATTCATCTATACAGTCAAAGGTCTATAACTTTTATATCAACATGTTATATTAAGTCAAGTCTTTTCTAAATATATTTTGAAAGCACGCTTCTATCAAAAACCTCGTTTCACGCAAAGTAATTCACTAAAGGCAAGGAGTAGACGCCTTTATCTCAGTTCAAATGAAAACCTTTCTCCTTGGTCGCCGCCAAAAGTTTCTCTCGTAGTATTTCCTCCGATGTGTACTCTGGTAACTTTAGGTAGTGGACACACGTGTTGACCGAAGGGTACGAGCCATCCCCCTCGCCTTCTTTCCGCACAACTGTCAAATGTGGGTGGAGGTTAGCCAGCCCCCCTGGGGGCAAGGATGAGCAGCCGGTTGTGAACTGAAGGAAGGCCTGGGGAGACAAACAATACATTAGTAAATCAAGAATGGTATAAGGACGACTGCAGACAATATGCCTGCAATTGGTTGTGTTTCAATTTCGTCTGCAAGGTAAACACCCACCTTCTTTTCATCTCCGCTCATATTGGCAAGAACATTAACGAATCTCTGATAAACCGGGCTGTCACGAGTGAAGCCGTATTTCGGTTCAGTGAAGCTCACAACATCCTCTTTGGTCCAGTGAGGAACCTGCTCACCGCTGATCATCAACTGAAGTTCCGAGGGAGAGAAAGGTTGAAGTTTCTCCATTGGAAACACTTTGTTGAAACCATCTGTAGAGAAAATGATCGTGATGTTGATATAATCTGAGCCAGTGTTTCTATTATTGAGTGCAAATAGAGTTTGGCAGTGTCCTCTCGGCAATGGATGATTTACTGGACTAAAACTAGTTACCTCTAAAAGCATCCATTTGTTTCTTAATGCCAGAGTAGAGACAGAAATCAGTCATCAGGTGCACATACTCTTCGATATTGCCCAATATAAGAGCCTGGAGAAGGAAAACAAGATCATACAAAACTGAAACGAAGTTTGGTTGCAAATAAGAAACTGAGAAATTTCAAGAAATATACGGTCTGAGCTTACTTGTTCCTCTGCGTCTGGTTTCAGGTCAACAGCTCTGTATTTGTAAACTTGAGATGTTGGAAAATATTGGAAGGTCAAACTGCAAAAAAAACAATTGGAAATATCCTAATTAGGTGGGTCTGTTTTCCTGGGAGATGTGATCACAGTAGTATTCTGATATCAACCAAGATCCCTTACTCACCCTAAATCTTCCACATGACACGTTGCACCAGTGGTAGTTGTGAACTGCAACGAATGCAGCCTCTCCTTCTTTTCTTCCTTGCTCAATGAGCCATCGTTTAAAATTTCTTTCTTTTTTCTCGCCAGTTCACTCAACTGTTGAACAAACGCTCCTTGGTGGGGGTTGGTCGATTCAAGATCACTCTCGTCTAGAAGACCGCTGAACCAGTAGTAATTGATTGCAGGCTCGTATGGTTTCTCGGTCTCAACCTCCTTGGGTTGCTCTTTAGGCAAGTCTTCTTCGATGAGACTAGCTTTAGACAGTTCACATTCCAGTTTATTTATATCGTTCTCATCGTCCTCGACCTGAAATAATAGTGAAAATATAACAATATAAAATGTTGTTTCTTAGTAAATAAAGGTCACAGTAGTGACAGTACCATTCCATACAGTACCTTTCTAAACTTATCTAGCTCATTTGTGGTCAAATTTCTAACTGATTCTCTTTCCTCTTCGTAACTACACGAGTCGTCCAATCCTTCTGCAAGCGAGAGATGGCTCGCGTGGCCGTGAGTAGTCGGGAGAGTGGGCACCATGCTGTTGTCTCCGCCACCGTTGCACAATAATTTCAAGAACGACCGGGATAATGGCAGGTCAACAAGACGATTGTCCTGAAGAGATTTCGCCAGGAAAATTCCCAGAAACGTGAAGAGTTTGCATACGCGATCCATCTCGCTGCTATCTTGGGGTAGAGGTGCCGGGAATAAACCTCCGGCCCTCTGGATGTAGTATCCCGGAGCTCGAGTACCATGACCAATATCAACCTGAAGAATAGTAATATAGTGAGAATTTGGGAATTAGGCCTTGAAACCAGGCCTTGAAACCAGGCGCATTGCCTGACAACACTTGAAAGCAACTTTTTACCTCCTGTTCCATGTTATCATGTGTGTCGTCATCACAGATGAATATCCCCAGACTCTTCTCCTGAAGCGCGGCAGCAACCAGGGAGTAAAACTCCAGTGTTGGACCGAGACCAGTGCCTTCCTCTCCTTCGAACTCAAACTGAGAAAGAAACACATATTAGTAACTTACTCTGCAACGCTACAAAAACACTTCTGAGGAAGCGAGGAGTTTTGAAGTCATATTGGAAGTGTTCATAGCTGCTACCTACTTCAAGTATCGCCTTTCTATCGCTGTGGAAATTAAGCACCCTGACAGCTGAATCAAGAAGCTAAAACAAAATAAGGTAATATTAGAGTTGACTCTGTAAGAAAAACATCGCCAAACGAGAGAGCTTCTGTTATACATCACTATACACCATGATTACTAGATAATATTTGAGACTGGTTTCCTTACTCCATCATCTCTGGAGATTCGTATTCTCTCGTGCTTTAAGCGACCAATGGAGAACTCGTGTTGGTCCTCTCGCCGTGAGCTCGGCGTTCGTGATCGCTCGACAGCCGCATCACGGGATGTCTGCAGCCAAATGATTGTTCTGAAATACAGGATGGTTTGGTTAAAAAGTAGAAATCTCGGACAAGGTACTGCAAGTCACTAAATGCGTGTTTAAATGCGAGTGATGACGAAAGGAAAGCATTAAAGTGCGAGGCAAAATCCCCTATTTCCCAAATCTCCAAGATTCCCTAACATGTTCCCCTTGTTATGATTTTAATTTCGTACCTTGCGCAACCAAATGCTGTGCTGTTGAAGTACATTTGTCTGGTATCGAAGGGGAATAACATGGGGTAGGAGCTCATCACTGCCTCGCACCAGTTTGGAAGAGAACCGCTGCTTGACATCAATGGATCCTGAAAATATATAAATCCTTTAAACGAAGAGTCATGCATATAACATACCGAACCGAATCTACTTGCTTTTCACGGACGTTCGAGTGATGAATCTAATACCAACATAACACCGGTATATCTCAGAATACGTTTTCCAAAATGTATCCATAGAGAGATATATATGACCATGCATGCTGAATTCCTTGTAGAACTTTGTTCTATTTCCATCTTTTTACCTTAATTTGTTGAACTAGTTTTGTTGTGATTTTCTTGCTGTTAAATTCATCAGAAGGAATGATGAACCCGTAATTCGCATCAGCTACAGAAGAAAAATATATCGTTTTAAGACATAAAAGAAAGAAATATACTCGTTTATAACATTCTCCACAACGTACCATTCTCTCCAAATTCTTCCATGGAAGTTGTAGATATTGAATAGAGAAGTCTAATGAGTTTCAAGATGTCTTCCACAGAATCCAAGCTTCTGTTACTGCCGACAACGCTACTCTGGGAGGAGCTGGATTTTCTTGCAATAGAGCTTGGTTCTCTGGTTGACGTGGACGCGCTGCCGCGTTTGGATACGTCAGGTGTATATAACTTGCAGAATTCCTGAAGTAAAAAGTCAATGTAATTCAAGAGGAACTTTAAGTATCGAAATCATACGGGGTATGTGTACATACAGTGTAGGTATACTGTAAGCACCAGCAAAAATTGTTGTTTGTCTGTGAACTATCTGGTGGTCTACTGTAGGCACCATTGTGGTTTGTCTGAAGTGGCTAAAAAAAGGATTATGTAAAGCTTGTGTACCTTATAAGCAGACACGAGCTGTGAACAATTTCTGTTCTTTCTAATGGTTTTTGTACTGCCTGTGAGCTTCCATTTTCTTAAGAAAGCCGAGTCGGCGTGTTCTTGAAGATAATTGATGAGGTCACACTTGGGCAGACTGTCTGTACCAAGATGACTCACCACATATTTCACGCTCCAGCGTTTCTAAATGAAAACACGAGGAAAGGCTATCAGAATAACGAAGATTAGTTTTATACATTAGATGGTAACCTAGATTCAGTTCATTTCATATACAGTTGCCTGGTATCAACCCCCCACCTACAGAAGGCGATCGACGGAGGGCCACACCCTCCCTAGACATTCTTAAGAGTCCTTTTCTCTTGTCAAAAAGGCACGTTTTCTTACATTTTCATCTAAATCCTCTTCGCCACTATCACTTGAAGATTTTCTAGCCTCGCTGAAATCACCAACGCTGTTGTAGACCACCCTAAAATTAGTCATGAGTACGATGTGTTTTTATGTTGATCCTTTTTATACACGACATCAAAGTCGAAGATGCTTTCACCATTTTTCTTATAACTTACGTGTACGTTGGCTCCCATATTCGTCGAAGTCGTTCGATTTTCAGTTTTCCCGACAGTAAAGCAAGTTTATGAACGTAGGAAAATATGGTCGATTTTGGGTCATCAAGAGAAAGGGACACTTCAGGCGTCTAGATTGATATAAACATGTGTTAGTGGACCTCTTTTCTGAAATAAACTAGATACACGCTGATTTAACGAAGAGGAAACTACAGAGTAAGCATACCCCAGGTGTTGAAGATGATTTCAAGACAAGCTCAATTTCTGGATTGCTGTACGTCTGACCATCAGGTGATGCAAGAGGTGAGTCTACCTCCGCTAAAGTATTTCAACAAAAATAGTTGTTAGGACTGAGGAAAGCCGTCTACAATACGTCAAATTCAAAATCAAGTGTTCGGCATCTCGCCCAATTATCATTAAGATCATCTCGTACTCATCCAATCAGATTGCAGAACTCGCGACTTACTTTCCGGGGGAACTTCAATGTCCTGTATCTGCTGTACATTGCTACGTCCAGGTCGCGGGTCAAAGGCGGGAATCAGAGCTGTAAATTGTCGCTTCAAACAGAAATCATCGTCCCAAGAGCGTCGACTACGGACGTTTGTGTTCTGAAGCTCACTTTCATCCATCTACCGGGATAATAAAAGGGATTGGAACACGAGTCTTTATTTATCCTTATATTTTATCTATCTCGCACATATCCATAGCTATAAAGTTATCCCTAGGTGTACATATATATCCTCAAATTCACCCTCAGATATGCCTCCAATATATCTCCTACATGTACGTATACATCCCAAAATCTATCCCTAACTATCCCTATATACCTCCTCAAATTCATCTTCGTTCTCCTCGTTATCCTCATCATCGTCGTCGTCATCGTCGTCGTCGTCATCTTCGTCTTCATCCGGGTCAGGCATATCATCAGCATCGTCTTCGAGTTCAGCCAATAACGTGCTGTCCATAGGAATATTTTCAACCTCGCTGTCTGACGTTGGGTTACTGCTTGCAGTACTCGTGGTGCTCGCCACACTTCGCCCACTACAAATATCAAGGCAGTGTAAAGGTACCTCGCACTTATATAATACTATTTATCCAAGAGAACTTCGCTATTGCCAGTGTTGAATCATTGGCTTTGAGTTTTAATTAGAAGTTTACAAAATACTTTACCTCGTCATGGTATAAATCATGCTGGATTGTTTATCATCTTTTGACGTCGCAACTTCAGAACTTTTCTCGTCTGACGTCATCGATTTATCCGAGCTACTAGTCTTGGTACCAATCTCCGATGTCGACGAGGTCACGGTGATATCACCAGGAGTGAGATCTTTGGTATTGCTACTTCCATTCCTGACTGACTCCAAGAACGCCACAAGTCCACCAATTGTACCGAAAGGTTTACTAGATTCCCCTAAAGTCGGTGGCGATGCACGGTCTATATCTTTTGATGTACCCGAAGTGTCACTAGTATCCTTAGATGTAGCTGAAGGACTAGCAGTGTCCACAGCAGTTTCTGCAGGATTTGGATTTTCTTCCAAAGCTGTAGCAGAGAGTTCTGAAGGTTTCTCCGTTTCTTGACTAGCATGAACTTTGTTCTCTGGAGGGACATCTGCAACCTCTGTACTAGAAGGACCTTCTTGTGTCCCGGAGTGCTCCCCACGATCATCCTTGGCTCCTGATTGTTCAGCTTCCTCCGCGCCTTCTGCACTCGATGTTCCTGTGACTGTAGTTGCAGTTGACTGACCCTCAGCCTTTTCCTCCACGGCGGCGGGAGGTTTCTCGCATTTTGCAAGGTTTTTGACGTTACTGGACAAAGTCCCGGCCGAGACTGGATTTGATTCAACCTTAACAGTGACCCCGACAGAATTGCCTTCGCCAGACGCGGGATTTTTAAACCTATATTTAGCAACCTGTGAATACAAACTGCTTGGTTCACCAGCAAGGTCCTTCATACCAGCTCTCATGTTCATTGCTGCATTACGTAATGCTACTGGAAGGCCCTCGGCCCAGGCTACCTCGACCCAATCTGAAACAATTATAGCAATTATAAATTTGTTAAAAACTATTCAAAAACTCGTTGATTTGCGAGTAACACAAGCGATGGCAAATACTATTGATCATTTTTTCTAACTACGCTTCACAGATTTCTGTTTTTCTAGCTCAGAATCTGATTGGTTTACTTGGTTACCAGTCTCTTACCGTCAGACAGTTCTCTTGCCCACGCCGCTTCAAGACTAGGATCCAGGGCCTCTCCTTCTTTCCATTTCACTTCCAGTCCTCGCGCAGCTTTTCCCGCAAAATGTTTCAATAGATTCTTCATCCGTCTTTGTCGCTTCACCGCGGACTCTTGTTCACGCATTGGTTTTCCTATAAACACATACATACAAAGATTTGAAACAGGTTCTTTATAAATTTTTCAGCAAATTTATGAAGAGAAAGAAATTACAAGAATATCCTCACCTAATGCTTCTTCGACAACACTAACCACGGTACCATAGAGTTCAAAGCCAGACAATGAGAGGTAGTGTGTTTGATTGCTTGCATTCTTTCCATTCTGATGAATACGAATGTACCTCCATCCTTCAGTGTCATCAGTCGGTGGTTCCAAATGCCACGTGGCCGTGGAACTGAGGGAAAAACAAAGAGGTGTTTGTTGAGAAATTATCTCAATTCTGGGCCGATTTTGGTCATGAACTTACCCTGGTTCAGTCAGCGATGTGTCCTCAGCGTGTGTTTTCAATGTTGTCCACGCTTTGTTGTCCTTCGAGATTTCGATTAACCAATTTCGTAACGCTGACCTGAGGGGCAATGAGGAAATGAATGAAAACATGCAATCGATTGAAATCTGAGAACAAAGATGCAAAAGGCAAATAAGGGAAGGTAGAACGCTGAAGGGAAACCAATCTTCGTGTATTTCATGAAAGCGTTGGAGTTGAAAATAGGAGAAATGCAAAAGCAAAGATGAGATGAAGATAACTGGTAGCATATCACGTACCTTCCATATCCACGAGCATGGCGTAGTGTGTACGACTTTGGAATAACAAATAACCCCAAGTCGATAGTAAACCAAGCATTCCTGAAAAGAAATATTCAAAGAGTTGTCTTAAGCCATATCATCATAACTTTCTTGAGCAGAAACCTCAAGACATACTTGTCGTCGTTCGTGTGACAGTTCAGGGCGGCCGCGTCCCTGCTGACGACATCCTCCAGCTTCCCATAAGGCAATGCACGTCCTTCAGATGAGCTCACAACAACCAGACCAACAGAGGCAGGATTCACCCAATCATTAGTCGTTCTGGAAAACACAGCAGAAGTTTGAATTTTATGGTGTCAGAAAAACCCCGGACCGAATCGATGGAATTATTGACTGCGAAATGTTTGAAAATTGTCTGACTGAAAAAAGATCTGTATCATATAGAGAGAAAATATTCGTTTAGATCCGTTACAAGACTACCTTCCATTAGTGCCAATCCAATAAAGAATTCCATTGTCGTCGAAGTCAGAGGTGTATGTGAAAACCTGAGGAGAGCACTTGACTTTCTTGATGAAGGAGAAGGTATTGCGATCGAAGTCAAACCATTGTTTGGCAACCTAGACAGCGACACAAAATAAAGTTAAAAAACAAGTCGATTGTGGTCTTCCGTCGATTTAGGAACATAAGTAACAAAGTAACATAAGTAACAAAGAATTCGACACTTCCAAACAGTTGGTCAGTTTACAAAACCATGTCCCAGGGTGAACAAGCCCTGCATTGCCGAATCGACACTTACCATTCTACCAAGATAGTTTTTCAGAGCTTCAACAGTCGTAAGCGGCTCAATCCTGAGATTTCTGCCGGAGCGGTCAATCAATCCGTTCTCGCCAGGAGCTCGGTCCAAACGGAGCCGAAGTCGACGAGTCAGAATCTGGAGTCCACTTCCCATGCTTTCAAACGTATGCACAGGTAACCTCTCTGACATCTCCAACACAGCTATCAGCTTGCGGATTAGAAACACTGCCGGTGAAACCGCTTCGAAACTAACAAACGAAAAATGGGTGTCAAAACCAAGAAACACGAGCGAGAGTTCACAAAATATTTTGCTAAATCGCATACTTTGTTGAGCAGAATAACAGTTTATTTCATTGGTTTTCTAACCTTTCAAGATGTTCAGTAAAAGATTTTACAGACTCTCCAAAAGCCAACTTAAACAGCTCGATTCTTTCATGTGCCTTCTGGATCATAATGTGCCTCGTTTCCTCGTCATCTGGTGCTCGTGTATGCTAAACACAAATGATTGCAGATATAACCACACAGCACATTTTTCGTATGCTAAACACAAATGATTGCAGATATAACCACACAGCATAGTTTTCTTATGAAAGTCCCCATATGTGGTAGTATAAGCTATACTCAAGATTTCCAGATTCTTACAAGGAATTTTAATGCCATATCTTTTCAGTTTCACCTCTAGGCATGGCTACCTGGTTATACATTTGGCTGATCGGAATTTCAGCTCAAACCTATATGTCGAACTTTAGAGACCTCTAGTCTCCATATTTCATCTCCCTTTTCTTTAGTAGCAACACTGTAGCAGTAAGGAACAGAGCATCCGGTTCTCTGGAAAGAAAAAGCGATCTCTTACCTGACTCAAGCAATGTAACAAGGCTCTCACAACACCACTTGTCTGCAACTCGTACGAAGAAACAGTTTTATCGTCCTTAAGTAACTCCAAGAACGTCTTCAATACTTTTAACATATCCTTCTCCCACGAGCTGTCACCATTCAACTGCAATTGAAACATTAAACGGAGGATAAAATTAGTCAGCTTCCAAACGCATGTAAAAAGTTTGAGTTTTGAACAGTTTCCATGCAAAAACTTACATCTAGATTTTTCTCGTGAGCGTCACAACAGGCGTAGAGGTTTCGTACGATATCCTGAAGTTTTGTGACAACTTCCCTGGGACTTGACAAAGCGGTCTGGAAATATTTCTCCTGCACCTCGCGTGCCGTTGTCTTTACTTTCATTTTAAGAGCTTCAGCTTTTGAGACGAACTTCTTGCCCGGCTTACCACTCCACCCTGACGCAAACTCTGCTCCGAGAGAGGTGTCCGCCGTGAACATGTGTTTTGTGCCGCGATTCGACTCGAACACAAAGCCAGGCAGATCTTCACAGAGTATCGTTGTTTGTTGTCCATCTGAATTGTATATTGAAAGTTCGTTCTCTTTCTGACAAGCAAACGACCAGTTTCCTACGAGCAAACTGACTGAATTGGGACTCGATAGGATCGGTTGGCTGACAAGATCGGACTTCACTTGACCTCGCGCGCGTTGTAATTTTTCCAGGAATTCACCACGACTTTCTAAGATTTAAAAAAGATTGTAAGTTGGGCGAAATTGGAATGTATTAGCCGATAACTTCAAGGCGTAAAATTGCACTTGCAAACAGAAATGGTAAGCCATTGGAGGCTTGAAGTCAAAGGAAATAGATTCAGAAAATTTCGGGGTTACCTGACGAATCTGAGCCACCTTCTGGGCTACCACTGGAGTACATGGTAGCCAGTTTATTGTCCAGTATAAATCTAAACCATCCGTTACTACCATTGGATAACTCAAGCGCGCATGACTCGTTCCAAAGATAGAGGCAATCTCTGCTGCGTATTAGACACCAGTCTCTCCAGTGATAAGGCTGGCCCTGGATTATCTCACTGGCATCTTCCTGCAGCGATGTGGACTCCTGGAAGAATATCAATCAACATTTTCAGAGGTGAAGATTATTAGTTGGCGTGGAACAATCACTGTACTATATATAATGCTGGATCAATCACCGTACTATATAATGCTGGACCAATCACCATACTATATATAATGCAGGACCAATCACCGTACTATAATATATTATGCTGGACCATATATAACGCTGGACCAATCACTGTACTATATATAATGCTGGACCAATCACTGTACTATATATATAATGCTGGACCAATCACTGTACTATATATAATGTGGACCTATCACCATACTATATATAATGCTGGACCAATCACCGTACTATTATATATAAGGCTGGACCATATATGATGCTGGACCAATTCCTAACATGTTGAATATTTCATGTTAAAATCGTTACATTTTTGCTCAAGTTAAAACATAATTTCAAAACGAAAAACTGAACTACAGCCCCCTTAACATATCTGTCGTCAACAAACCTTATCGCCTTGGCAACTGGCCGTACCATCAATCTCGTCCTCATTTCCCTCATCGTCTTCATCATCCAACAGAGGCCCGACCATCTCGGAGACTTTACTGATCACTCCGAGGCGGGCAAAATGCTCGATAAAAATTCCGTTTTCTTTCTCCAGGAGATCCTGGATGATATTCAGAGCTGACATATGACCGTCGTCATCATCCTGAAAGATAAAACGCTTGCGTGTAAGAACAGAAACATGGATTATACGGATATATCGCGAAAGATACAGTATCTGTATCTGGTTCCACAAGTCGTCCTACCTCGTTCTCAAAAACGGCTGCAATAACTTCCACCAAACCGGATGCAAAACCTTGCGTCTTCGCCAGCTCCTGGAGATTCTCCCCTGTGCTGTAGAATATCATTTTCCTCGTCAAACCAAGGACGGCCTTCTTGACAGAACTGACCATCGAGGTTTGGTAGGATTTTATAAACAACGGCAAAAGATGAATGATATAGGACGCAGCAGTCTTAGGATCTGGTGTAGTGTCCGTCGTCTCATCCTCCTCTTTCTTTTCCTCGCCTTTAGATTTCTCTCCCCCGGTTTCTGGACCTTTACCTCCGTTTGTGTTGGCACTGTTGTTGAAGGGTGTCATCCAGTCGCCTTGGGAGGAGAAAGAAAGGATGTATGAATACACTAATAGAGAATGCGGTTTTCTTTGGGATCCCCTGAGTGGCAGAGATTGTGGTATAGAATATAATAGCTGAACTTCTGGTTAGTTCTTACTTGGTGATTGTAATATTTCCAAGACTTCTCGATGACCTTCGTCGTGTCTCTCTCTCGCTTTGTCTGCCGGAGTTTTGCCATCTTCATCACGTAACTCAGGATCTGCACCATTTCGCAATAACACCTAAAAAATTGCCGTATCGGAACTAATCTCGTTACAAGGGTTTCGAAATAGCTTGTGCTTTTTTTTCTCTCCAGAAAAACGCCTTTGAACTGACATCGCAGCAAAATTTAATTCCAAACAGGCCATAATTTTAACTACTTTTAATACTGGTTCATATAGACCCTACGTACCTAATTTTAATTACTTTACTGGTTCATATAGACACTACGTACCTTCGCTATGAGGGGTCTGCCAAAACATGCGGCGTAATGAAGTGAAGAAGACCGCTGTCCTCTGTTAACGTCGGCGCCTTTCTCACAAAGATATTCCACCTGAACATGACGTAACAAAGGTAAGTGGACATGATCTCATATGCGACTGGTGGTAACTGGATGTGTTCTCAGTGCATGTCAAAAGAAAATACGGAGAAAAAAAAATGCGGTGGCCTCATTATCATAAGATACGTCTTATGTATATCATAAAATTGGCCTCTTAAAAATCTTAAAAAAGAAAAGTTTATTTTTTACGAGAAACGATAGCTTTCTGTGAAAAGGAAACCTTTCTGTTATTTAGGCTGACAGGTTCTAAGGAAAAATTTTCCTAATCCCAAGCAACGATTGGTTATAGAGTGTTTACAAGCGCGCATTCTAAACTCTAATTATCACTAAAATAGAGTTACCATTTCCAACGTTCCAAAGGCAGATGCCCAGTTCAGCAGGGTCTGACCAACATCATCCATAAAATTCACTTCAAATCCCCCTAAAATGTGTGTAAGAAAGAGGCAAAAACGGAAGTTAGTGATAGTTCTTTCACAATGATCTTTGCTTCGCTAATGTACGTCACTACCATCCTAAATCACTTAATCAACTGAGGTTAACCTACGTCAATGGGGCTATCTATATCTTGAGGTATACCACACCCCAAATTGAAGTGTACAACCCCTCAAAAAATATTTATTTTTATTATTCATAAATTTTTTTTAACGCCATCTGATTTAATGCCACTTCTTTATTCCACCCACCATTCTCAATGGCATCAATGAGGGCATCAGTGTCTTTACTTCTTATACAATCAATCAATTGTCTGTGAGATCTGTCTGCCGTAGAATCAAGTCGCTTCAGACCAGGGATTGTTCCAGGCGTTGACAACAGTCCAGCTTTGGGCAAAGCTTTTCGACCTTCGAATAACAGGACCAGCAAAAGATTGACGAATCTCATTGTGTCCAGTATACATCTTTCATCTCCTTGTAATGCTTTATCAATGGCTTCCGGCAGTTGTGAATGCAATAGCAACTAAACAAATGAAAGTATACAACTGACTTTCGTTGTTCAGGATAAGGGTAGTGTTGTCACATTTATATAATTAAAATAATCTGGGTGGGTCCCCCTGCCCATTCCTTCCCAAAGTTGCACCAATGTGAAGTGCCTACCTCAGTTATAACAGGCGAACCACGGCACAGTGTTGATAATAAACTGATAACAGTTGTAACAGAAGGACTGGCATTTTTCGGGTCTGGAGTACTGGTGGTAACACTTGGCCTGTCACTTCCTGAAGTTCCAGCCTTGGCAAGTCTTTCCAGCAGCTCCTCGATTAAGCCATGTTTTGCCAATGGAGCAGGATCCATGCCTCTCCGTGTAAAGCGATCAGCTACAGACGCAAAGCATTTTAATGCGCTGTCGGATACCTGTTTGAGAAAGTGAATTATTGCCCATTGGTTTTGAATATTGTGGAGATGTTTTAGAGTAAATACTGTGCTATATACTGTATCAGTATAATATACTGTGCAATATACATATCAATAAGTATTATATCACAGGTACTCACAAAGGCATCATCATGCTTTAGTAAGGTAGAGAGGGAATGAACACAAGTCTCAAGGTTTGCATCTTGCGGCTCCATTCTGCTGCACAGTCGAGACACCACAGACATTGAGGAATGCAGGGTATCTTTATGAACATGACTCCCAAAATCATTGATAAATGTCAAAGTACATTGTAGGCCACCAGCATCAAATATTGCACTTGTTTCACGAGTACACATCAACTCTAGAACCTACAAACATAAATCATGAGAATGATTTGTTGACTTCCGTCATAGATCACAGCAGTAGAGTCATTCTAAACATACCTTGACACATTGCTCTGCAAGGTCTTTACTCGTACGAGATTCCAAATCAACTGCAACCAAACGATTACACAGCATTTTCACGGCTCCATCTACGGACACAATCCGTCTTGTGCACTCGGCGGAAACATCTAAGTAATATGTGATGGCTCTTGCGGTCACCTCCAGGACATTTTCTGGAGCACTTTCATCCAAAAACACCCGACACAATGCTGGTAAAAACACTCTGGGTGGACAGCTAAAATGGAAAATGATGGTGACTTGTAAAAATAAAAAACTGACTCATCAGAGGCATGAGTCACTCATGCCTTTGAAATCTTCCCTTGATTGTGTGATTCTGTTATTTGGAACCTCCTAAAAAAGCCATCTATTGCTATTTGTTGGGCAACTCTTAAAAGGAAAAGAGGAAATAACTTAATCTTGATTTTGGTTTCAATATCAACATGTATGACAGGAGTATGTGGGTTCATTCATACCTTTCAAAACACCTATCAACATTATCAGACATCAACAACAGCATACACAACTGTTCCAGAGCTATTAACTGCATGTCTCTTTCCTCTCCATGGCCCATGCTAAGCCATTCTAACAGCGTGTCTGGATCGACATCGACCATTTTGCCGTTGTACAAAGCACAGATATTCGTAGACACTCAAAACACGCTCAATCTGCAGTAAAACTATACACACTTTTGTTTATCACTCGTTCAACATCTAGTATCCATTTCGTGGCAAAACGTTGCCTCAAAGCTTCAAAATCATTGATCCTCTCTCATGTCGCTTTCAAGTACTCATTCGCTTGCTATATACGTCTAAGGAACTATATTTCACAAACGGATGTAACCAAATATTGTCGACGAAGCGAGGTTTTCACTTCATATTTAACTGTTTTCTGGCTTGATTTAAATAATCTACGCCGCTTTTTCGTCCAGATATGTATGTAAAATAACCTCCAGGTCTCTTGGGATGTCAGGGAAAACCGTCAAATGTGTAGAAACAAAAAAAATTAGAATAAAACACTAAAAACAGCTTTTAAACAAAACAATACAAGCCGGTGTGGTCTTCCAAGCACGCAATATTAATTAGATTGCATCCATCAAAGCGCGATCAAAGTTACTCTTCTCTTATTAATGGGCATCAGTATTAATTTAATGAAATATCGTAATTTCGTCTTATTCAGCCATCTTAAAAAATAAATACTGGGAAAAAGGTATTTGTATTCCCTTCAACATTGTAATTTTAGAGTTTTTTTGAAGCATTTCAGAGCTGTCTCTCATCATTTTATACTGGAAAATGTAAACTAATTACATCCAACTGAGTGATGGGTTTTTAATGGAGACAGGACAGGTTAATTCCGGTACTATTTTCTGCAGGCTCATCTCAATATGTAGAGGACAAAGTGCAAGATCAGCATTATTTCTGTCAGTCGTTGGCCGATATACTCATTTACACAGTTTATCAAATTTTATTTCATTCAATGCAATTCTATAAATTTCCGCATATCAAGAATGTCTATTTTGCAATTTTTACTTTCGACGAGTTTTCACAATAAAACCCCACTTTACCACAACTAGCCTATTCAGCTACTTTCAGTTACTAGGCAATAGGAATTGCTTTTCCTTAGTGGAGTTGTGCAACGGAAGGTTATCAGATTATGGTAATATTTATGTCATGTATGAACATGCGCCTGCTTTTGGCACCTGGGCTGTGCAGTCGTAACAGGCCCGCCTATGTCGGGTGAAAACTCTAAAAAGGTCGATTATATCAACGTTATATAATCATACTTTGAATAGATCATACTTTTTCTTTTCAATGAAAAGCTGGCTAACCAAATTACGATAGCATCTTCCCAAGCACATGAAATTTTTATGTGTTTTTGCAATTTAGGATATATGTTGCTTTTACTTGTGCTGTAAGAAATGCTTTGAGTAGTTTAAATAATAAATTTGGACAGTTCCTCGTTGTCTCATTGAGTTATTGCCAATGGTTGGTCTCGAGCTAACTATCACGTAAAAAAACCTGCCATGTATAAATATATATGAATTCATATATAAATATATATGAATTAAATCGCAGTCTAAAATTAGTCCAGACAATGACATGGTACTCCGTAAGGTAAAGTCCCCCGCCGAATTAACTAAAACGATTTCAAAGCACACCTACTGAGGAAATAATCATATAACCTCCCATGCATAGCGCTCTCATTGTATGTCATTATATGGTCATATAACTCATATTGTTTGCGTCGTTCCGGAATACGGCGATAACTATCCGACATTTAGACCTCGTGGCTTCGTGACGCGTTCGGGAACGTTCGCAGAGTCATCGCATCTGCTCATCATAACTAAATATAGCTGGAATGCTGACAATGCCAATGCTTCAATAATACATACCGAAAGTATGAATAAAAAACCGCACTATTTTATCCACTTCTTTGTTCACAAAGAAATTTGAATATATAGCCGCCTCACGCCCACCAGAGGTCAACTATAAATCTCAGCCGTATTGCTGTGTAATAGAACATTATCACAGATATAGCCACGGAAGAAAAGTCACAAAATAATAGGCGGTAATTGATACAAAAATTTATGGCAGCTTGGAGACCTTATAGTATGGTGAAAGGGCCAGTTGAAGTCGACATCTCTTCAGTAAGTGTTCACAAGATTCGTATATTTATGTCTGTAGTTTTGTAACTATGTACTCATAGAAACATGGCCACACGTGGCGTGAAATATTCAAGGCAAACTAGTGTAAATTTAACATTGATTTATTGCTTGGAATACACTATAGTGAAAGAGGTTTCCTGCATAACCAAGAGAAAATTAAACAACCATATTGTTTCTCTGGCAAGAACTTGTCAGTGGTCACCCATCTTGTGATTTTTTAACATTGCCCTATAAACCATCTTAACTACAGTGCCAAGCAATAGGCTGAATATAAGTGGGGCCAGCATATTATATGGTAAAATTAACAAAGTTGCACTAGTGTGCCCACAATATAGATATTTATTAATTCCCACAGACACATATATAATATAGATATAGATATATATTCAGCGAAAGCATGTACAATGTAATTTATATTTAGATTAGATAAAATTTGATGTAAGACATATTTTACTTTGATTTCCTGTGGTCATTATTGTTATATGTTTACATGACTATTGACGTTAATTATTCCTGTTCTTATTTTTATTTTTGTCTTCAAAATAATTTTAGCAATATTGATGTTAAAATTTTGTTAATTCTCTCAACTTTCCAGTAGGATCAACTGAAGAGATTGATAATCTATTTTCAATTTCTCATTTTCAGACTTCCAGTGAGGGTGGGAGTTCTGCACCTAGCAGCCCTATATCAGACGCTGGGTCGTTTATCGTTCAGCCTAAAGATGATCTTGTTAAGAAGGAGCTTAGAGATGCAATTAGACACAAACGGTTGGCGAAAGGTCTTGAGGAACTGCCTGAGATTGAGGCCAAAAAGCCGAAAACAGATGAGGTATTTTTATATTCAAATATGTCTTATAAATCCCTTGATGTGGGTAAATTTTTACATAATGTAAATGCACATCTTGTGGGTATTGTGACTAGTTTGACTGTTCTTCATAGTAAATCTTGTTGTGCATATATACCAAAGCACTAAAAACTTCCTCTGTGATTTAAGTCTCTTTGTAGCCATTACATTTCTTACAAATATGGGCTGTTTTAAACTAAATCTTCCTGGTTCGTCTGAAGTCACCCCAAGCAAAGGGGAAGCATGCACAAGTGGTTCTCACAATCTCACATACATGTATGTACAACATTTTAATTTCAGCTCACACCAGAGGAAGAAGAAAAGCGAAAATTAAGAAGAGAGAGAAATAAAATGGCCGCCTTTCGATGTAGACAGCGACGGAAGCAACATATTGTGGAATTAGAACAGGTAACTGAGGATCTGAGTGAATTCCCTCCCAAATATTTGCAATGCTGAAACAGACAATATGTAATATTCAAATGATGCTACATCCATATTTATCGAAATTCCAATTTTATTTCCTGCAGTCATCTGTTTCCTTAGCAACAGCAATTGTAATTATGATAATTATCATTCATTTCAAGTGACTAATTTGTGTGCAATGAATGTACAATATCTTCTCGAAAGATCTATATTTCAATCCAAACATTTTCGTAATCGTTATGGTTGCTCTTGCCCACGCGTGACTCGCGTGGGTTGTTTTTAGTTACAGCAGAGTTGTATATATGCGTCGTTCAGCAATCTCACAGTCACAGCAAACGCTTTTCGACTAAAAATAACATAATAATGCATTAATAGAAAGACACATGATTACAAAGAAAAACTGAGTTGCTAAATTTACACTTGATGTGAATGAAAATCTTGCAGTTTCGTTAAATTGAAATCGTGAATTTGGGTGAATTAGGCAAAACAAACTAGTGTATGCGAAGTTCGCCTGCTTATAGCGATTAAGCCGATTATCTTTATGTTTACATGAGATTATATACCGAAACACAGACGGATTAACAGATGATCCGTCAGGTTTATCCCTTCGTGGTGTAATCTGGAACGCTTTCCCGCGATTCAGGCTTGCCTTATTGCTGCTATATCGAGAAGTAGAGCCCAGAGCTAGAACGTAGGCCGTGCTAGAAGGGTGTAATATTCCAGGTAATGACAATGATATTTCTGTTTAGGTGACAGAACAGATCTCAAACAGCAATGACGACCTGGAGAGAGAAATTGAAGATTTAAAAGAACAGAAAGAAAAACTCGAGGAAATGTTACAAAGTCATTCTTGCAAGAAGGAACGGAACACTTCGCGTGATGAAAACAAAGAAAATAATGGCAAAGATGATTGAGGCAGAGTAGAAGGAGAATTTTAGCCAATTTTGGAAAGCAACGATGTGGGCTTTCCGCAATTTGATGTTTATTTGCATAAAGTCGCCAACTCCTTTAGGCAAATTCCACCTAGAATTTCATCATGGTCCCACCATCATAGTCACCATCAGAGTCCCATGCGCGAGAATCGAATCCATTCATCAGTAAATCAATTCCAAATGAGACCGTCATTGTCTTTATGAAAGGTTCGCAAAATAGACTCAAACGACTAAATCAGCGCGTGAAGCGGTGTAAAAAAGCCGTTTTTTTATATATAAAAATATATAAAATCGTGTACATTGTGAATGTAACATAGATTATATATTAGATTTAAAATAAAATACTCCAAGTATTGATGACATAACACTATATGCACTATATTATCTTTCTTGAATATTCGAAGGATGCTTTATTATTCCAAAGTAGTATTTCCGCATTTCATTGCCTATACAACAATCAACATCGTACGATTTTGGACTTCCTCATCCACAAAACAAATTCACGAAAAAATGAAGGCTTTTTAAAGACGAAATCTAGTTTACGGCAGATTTATTCGCGCCTTAAAACTAATCCGTGCCAATGGCAATGAATAGTACAAACTCTTTGTATACTGAACTTCCAAATTTTTGCTGATGTAATTATCTGAGTTCGTTTATATTATTTATTTCGCGAGATATAAACGCCAGAAGCTAAGACAAAGGAAACAAAGCTGAACATCACAATTAAAAATAAACGTGTCAGCTTTACTTTGCTTTTTTGGCAGACCAACAACTATTAATCTGATCAGCCACCTGTATGACCTCAGTTATCATGTCCAAAAATAGTTTGCCAACGAATTGTAGGGGGAAAGTACAACCTTATTGTTAGCGAAGCGAAGTTTCGTTTTAATTTTATCATGGACACGACAAAGCTTTTTCATCCAGTAGTTCTGTTTTTATTTCTTGCGAGTGCGATGTTGAATTATGCAGGTTCGTATCATTTGTTTATAGACCAATTACTGAGATGTGTATAAATATAATAATAATAAATTAAATATGCATGCCCGTAGTCTATAATGATGTATACTACTTTCTCGTTTCCTGTACAACTGAAGCCTGTTGTATAAAAGTCTAGCTATTAACTGTAGTTAAGCAAAGAGTTAACCAATCAGAGTCGTGTGTTTCGGAGTTAACTAGGATTTAACTATGCAATTTAATAATTTTATACAATCGGCCCCTGCTCTTTGAGTTTAACATTAACCCCAAGCATGCAACAGCCACAAGTAAACAAGTATACTGTTCTTCCAGTTCACGATGTTTTGCCTTGTACTTATAGTCATAACTTGTATATTTCGACTCGTCTAGAAGGTATTACTTTCTAGCAAATTATTCATAATGCGACACACTAATACGTCTTGAACTAAATGTAAGAACAGCTAGTGTGTCGGGTTTTTGAAAAAGCCAGCTGGAGCTAAGCCAATATCAATCTATATTTTCGCGTTTCCCTTTCGTTTCAGCCGTACTAAAGCCAAAGTTTGCATGCGGTGTGAAGCCAACTACTGAATATTCTACTAAAAGGATTGTAGGAGGGGAAGAGGCGGTCGCTGGTGAATGGCCTTGGATGGTAGCAATGTTTCATAGTCAAGGACAAGGACAAGAACCTTACTTCAAATGTGGAGCGACTTTGCTGTCTGATAAATGGGTTGCAACAGCTGCTCACTGCACTCTAACTGTGCCTCAGATATTTTCTGTAAGTCTTCTGTAAGTCTTAAAACTCCTCTCCCAAAATGAGAACCCACTTATAGTTCCAATGTTGATGTGAATACGTATACTTTTGCTTGACTTCAAAGCTTCAGCTTATCGTGATCGTGTGTGTATGCTTGCCATTTGATAGAATCAGTAAAAATGTAGCGCTTTGCAATTTATCATTACGATACAGTAAATCGCAAAAATTTAATTCCGACGTGTGAATAAGCGACTCTCCTGAGTTCTGACACTGATATTTGGTTTAGGTTAGACTAGGGGAACACGACTTGAACGTGAAAGATGATTTCGAACAAGATATCCCCGTTTCAAGTGTCAAAAGCCATCCTGCGTTTGGTATTGGAGCGAAAAATGTGTCGGGAAAGATTGCTCTGTATGCTGAACATGATATTGCTTTGTTAGAGTTGAGCAGGCCTGCGAGAATTGATGCAAGAACGTCGCCTGTTTGTGTCGATTCAGGCTCGCCTGAGTTTAGTGAAGGTAAGGTGTCGGTGGAACCCAGGTCCTGGCGTTGACGCTCTACATCATATTGTACCCTCTGATCTCATGATATTTTAGGCAAGAGTTGTTATATCGCAGGATGGGGAAACAAGAAGCTTCACACAGCAACGGAGCCGAGGTTACTTCATGTTAGCGTACCGTTAGTCTCCAAAGACAAATGTAACCAGATCAAGTCATATGGAGGTGTAATTACCGATAACATGGTCTGTGCTGGATTTGAACAGGGGGGAAGGGATACCTGTGAGGGAGATAGTGGAGGTATTTATACACCGCTGATTATGCTAATTTGTAGCAGATTTTTATCGCGGCTTGTTCAATAGTACAATTTATCAGTTACTGTCCTATTCTCACACCCTAGGTCCACTGCTATGTGAAAACGATGGAAAATGGTATTTACATGGCATTTCATCTTTCGGACATGACGCATGCGCAATCGCATACAAATACGGTGTTTACACACGTGTGTCACAGTTTAAGGACTGGATTAAGAAAGTAACGGGTATTGACTGTTAACCATAGGATATGAACAGTGAAATGGGGATATCAAGGCAGGATGAGCTAGGCGCCGACAAAGCCAACAGATTCAGTGTGTATATCCATCAATACATTTAAGATGAATTACCAGCGTAGAAGGAGCCGATTATGCTGTGTGTCTTTCTAAAGTTATTACAAATTTCATGTGCTTTACTTTTACATAAAAAATCTTTTCAATGCTAGAGTACATGGCGGGGTTATACTATACTTGCATTGCAATTCTACTCCTGATGCACCTAAAGTTGTCAAATACGAACATTTCTTACGATCTGCTAACGTTTTCTTAGCATTTCGAACTCTCTCTTTACAAATTAACATCCTCAAAATTATAATTGCATTGCGAGTTGCAAGGAAAATTGAATAGTGTAACAGCGCCTTACAGCAAAACCTTGACTTTAGCCGTATGTAATTATATACCGAGGATGCATGATGTAGCGCCGGTGATTGAGTTTATCGCAAATCAAAAGTAACAGCAGGTTGGATTGTTTCTAAGATCGTTATATGACCGCGCGATGACCAGGTACCTGCTCATGTGTTTATCAACTCCCAACATTTGAAGGTCCGCTTTCGCTTTGAAGTTTCCCAAATAACTTTCGACTGATAGCTTTTTTCCGAACGGTAAACTTGAAGCTGGCAAACATGGAATAATTCAGAACAAAAAACGCGCGTTTTCCTCATGATATATGGTGCGTTGTTACGATTTGGAAAACCGGTTCATTTAATGGTTTTTGATCAGACAACAGCGTGTGTTGACTTGCTTTGTGGCCGGCGAATTTCTTCCGGTCCTATATATAATGATTTTTAATGAAATTGATGTAAATATGCCTGGTTTGGAAGCTGTTTTTGAGGTAAGTCGTTCGTGTTCTGATTTTAGAGTTTGTCTATACGCATTTGACTAGATTACGAAAGTTTTTAAAACACTTCTTAGGCTATATTCGTCTTGTAGTCAAAAAGGCTTGATTTTTTTACCTGAAACGCGTTATCATAACAGAGCAATATAACGTATGAAGAACTATGACTAAGAGTGTGCAAACTACAAGGCTCAACCAGGGCTAAAAAAAATGACCGACAATGACAATTTAGAACCATGTGATCAGGTGAATGGTACGCTATGTATAATTATAATAATAAGAGATGACTTTTCGACGAGGTTTTCACGCTTATAGTGATCTTTTAAATAAATTTACTCTTTTTTCTCGCCAAATTTACTTCATCAAAGAAGAAACTGATTTATGGACTTATGGTCATATATAGATCTGCTCGTCAGGGAAAACTGTCTGGCAACTTAAAATATCAATGCTTTATTCATGCATGCTATAATGGCGGAACCGTATTAGATAACTATATACACTACTAACTGGTAGTGTGTACATAACACTTAGCGGCAACTTCATTGGCATTTTTAATATGGTTGAGCCGAATTAGCCTTTCTCACGATGACGAATGTGCCGCCATTTTTGGGGTACTTTTTTTTAATTGTGAGCGCAAGACCTTGTCAGAGAGGTTGCTTTAATGGGTTCAAATGGTCTATGGACTCTAAAAAAATGCTTCTTACATTGCTATTATTGTTTAAACGCATTTAAGAAAATTGAAAGTATCTCAAAAATGGCGGATATTTGTCATCGTGAGAAAGGCTAATCGGCCCAAAACCGTGTATTTCGATTCTAACTAGTAAAATGTAGTTACACCGGGCAGTCGGGCACCAGATAGAAGACATAGTGATCCTATGGGTATATAGTGAACTTTACATACTAACAAAACTCTAACATTTTTCAGCCACCAACTTCGACGATGCCTGCATTCATTTATCACGATGTTGAACATGAACGCGTCAGCAATCATGACGTCATGGGTCACGAGGTTCTCAAAGACGATGACGCCCCAGTAAGATTGGAGATTCGGCAAACCATTGAGCCTGCAGTCAATCACGAATATATGTACGAATATGGAAATGGTAGTAATGCGACAAAGTCGGTATGAATATATTGCTATTAGTTATAGAATACAGTTTATTCATCATTCATTGGAGATCAGTTTCCAGTTACGTTCCCCGTAGTTTACGACAGTGAACTGTAATAAAACCTGGAACGCTAACTTGGCCGCCATCTTTGAAGCCAAATTTGAAGGTAGTTTTTGAACGTTTGAGACAGACGTAGAGAATAATTATCCAGGAATGTCTAGAACTATGTAAAATACAATCATTTGCTAATTTTTACAAAAATTGAACGAGAAACAGAGTCAAAAACTCAACCTTGGTTTCGACCAAGTATAGCGCTGAACTATAGGTGTTAGCATTCCAAAATTTATTACAGTTCACTGGTTTACGATTGTTGGATATTTTCATTCTAGGGTCAGGTGGAATATGAAGATGCGGAAAAACGTCGTGTAAGACGAGAACGAAATAAACTAGCGGCCTCAAAATGCAGAAAAAAACGCAAAGACCATGTACGGAATCTTGTTGAGGTATAAATGTTTTCTCTTGTCATTTTGTTCGTGTGGTTCATTGCAGTGTTAGTAGTAGCAGCTAATGTGGTTCGTGTCTGAACTGTATTGTGCTCTTGTTTACCTAGTCTTATGAACAGTTAGAGATGTGTAACAAAAATCTGGAAACTGAGATTGAGAAGTTACACGGTGAGATCAAGGAGTTGGAGAAAATGCTCGACACACATCCGTGTACTCGTTTGCTTTATACGGAGTCTGGGAACGATGTCTTACAGTGATGCGCAGTCACGATGCGCACTCGAAATCGTGTCGCACACACACACACACGCAACTAAACTACTACTTCGCTGTTCTATTGATGGCTTTCCTTCGCGTAAGAATATCTTTATCGAAATATTTGACGTAGACCTGACCTCAGGCAAGGCTGGACCGACAAACGTTGTTCAGTACGCCTCGTAGTTAAAACATTCAAAAGTGGCTGGTCCAAAAGACTTACAAAAAGCATTTTTAACGGTAGTTTATTAACGGGTCGTATGGTGATAGATTTTCAGGATATTAAACAAGTCGACCGTAGTTCTAAGACGCGCAACATTATTACAATAGGGTAACCAATAAAGGTTACAAACTCTCGATATGACTAAATTATTTTGCTTCTAATGCTAAAAGGCATTATAGGACTAGGGAGAATGAGACACGTTGTGCTGATGAAATTAAGGTCTGTTCACACGATCCAATTTTTGTTGGATCCAATTCACTTCTGACGTATGAAATATAGTTGGTTATTGATGAAGCTGTAGTACATTGGCTTCAGTGGATTTGCTGCTGATATACATCGCCAGACAACAGACTATAAAACATCCATCAGAAGTGAATTGGTTCCAACAAAATTGAATCGTGTTAACAGAACTTAATGATGCACTAACGTTGTAAAAGGGTAGCGTCATATCTTATTTTACCATAGTTAAAATTCAACTTCACTTTAAAAGTGAGATGTTTCTTTCGGTTCTTTATTTTGAAAACAAGAAAAAAACAATGCTCAACATAGAATGAGAGAAATTGGGTTTCTTCGACTTTATTTGTCCATATTCACTGAAGCGTGATGGCTTCTTTTTGTGCAAACGCAACCTTGAGCTCTGTTCATCTGTGATTGGGCAAACCTGTGTGTTGCCACCAGAAGGTTAACAATTTCATGATTAAATATTTACGCCATCTTGGGATCACTGTATAACCTTGAACTTAAAACCGAGTCATTGAGCAGTGATTCAGAAAGAATAAAGATGCGTTGATAATATTATCGGAGCGAGATCTCTTGCCGTATTTGTCGGTAAAGAATCATGGATCCTTTCCACATATTCACTCAGGTTTGTGGCCTTAAGATAGTTATGTACTGTATCTCGTATGAATATTTATCAACAAATGATAACTATTATGATAAACAAAGTGAAAAAGTACTTCAAGCGTGTAAGAGTTTAAACGATTCCTCTTGTGAAGGCACGTTAAAGTGTGTTGTGAAACTAACGTATATAAACTCCGTTCTCTGAAGGTAGAGATAATTTGTATAATTAGAATGACATGCATCCAACAACCAGTTGACTGTCGTGAAGTGTTTCACATGATGTTTATTTGTATTAATTATAATTAGAATAGTAATTATTGAGTTTTAAAGAGTTGGACATAAGAGATTTAGACATAAGTAAAAGCTGATAAATGTTCATCTTTGAAAGAAATAAGATGACTCAAGTTTTATGTTATTCCACCTGTTTAATCCTTACAAAGCCATGATTCCCGAATGTTCCAGGTGGGGAACTGATGGAAATATTACATGAACATGATGGATATACAGGGTCATGCCGGGAAACATCTTAAAACATCGTAAAACGAGCTTGATACAACCGACCCCAGTACTTTTAAACAATACATCTTTGTTTTGAAGCCCACAGGCAACCTGAACAACCATGGCATTCAGTTACCCTACCTTGGACCACTGCCTACAGTTTCAGCGCCAGAAGTTGAGTTGGAAGAAACCGCTGAAATTCCGGTCAAACTTGGGCTGAGGTTCGCGATTGAGTCCAGGCGATTTGCGAACGGTTTGGACATCCCGGAGATCGAAACCAAACCAGTGAAAACAGAAGTAGACGTAATGATTATTCGTTGTTATTCTTGATTCCTCTTTTGTTTCCTGGTGAATATAGATTAAATGATTACTTTACTTTTAAATTTGCCATTTTAGCTGACCGATGAACAAGCGGAAAAGCGAAAAATGAGGAGAGAACGAAACAAGATAGCCGCATCAAAGTGCAGATTAAAACGAAAAGCACAAGCAAGCAAACTAGAACAGGTTCGTTGATTTATTTTCCTTGGTCTGTTTGTCTGAAATGTTGTGTTTACAACGCCATATACCGCACCATTATATCGCGTTATCGTCTGTATTTAGAGCTCTAAAGAACTGGAGACAGCGAATCATGATTTGGAAGTATTGATAAACGATCTAAAGAGGGAGAAATCAAGCCTTGAAGCTATGTTAGGCAAGCATAAATGTTTGTTAAAAACACCCTTAGAAGAAACAAGAGAACATTAGGAACAGAGAACTAACTCTGCCTACACAAGTCTACCTCCGTGACGTATTTGCGGAAAAAAAGAACGTTTCTTATTGGTCGATACAGCCAGTTGCAACCAATGAGAAACATGCCACAGCGCAGACATAGGTCCAAACATGCAAAAAAACGTGACAGCGGAAAAAATTACCCACATGCACAACCCGGGTATTAGGCACAGTTTAAAATACTTTTTTTACACAATTTTTTTATAACGTAATATTTTTATGAATCTACGGCATGACAGCATTACTAATATGGTTTAATTTATACGATGTTTTTGTAATCTGGGTATATTGCGGGCAATATTTATGTAAGGGAAAATATTTTGGTTAATACCCAGGGGCCGGTTGTTTGAAAGGCGTTTAGCTTAAGCGGTGGATAAGTTAAAAATTGAAAACAAAATTATCTATTTATTGAACAACTGAGCTGAAATATTTCGATGTAAACAGCTCAATTTTCATATTTAATGCATATAAGATGTAGTAGGTTCAGTCATTCAATAGACCTGAGAGTATTTTTAAACTTTAGTTTATCCACCGTTTAACTCAAACGAACTCAAACGCCTTTCGAACAACCGCGGCCCCAGGTGATCTCGGGCTTATTTTTAAGGAATTAGCGAAAGGTTGTCACGGGATAGAAATCCATTCTCAGTGCAGTATTTTATAGGATTATACCTTTTCTTATTCTTTATTAAACGTATAGAAATTTTGTAATAATGCTTAGTTATAGGAACCAAAGTTCTGACATGAATTCAAACCGAAATCAAGTGTATTTCAAGAGATATTAAGTTGTTTTGACCAAGGAATGGATTTTTATTTGACAACCAGTCTAACTCCTATTTCATCATTTCAGAAAACCCGGATTTTACAAGTAACTAGCTTTTTATTATATAAGCGGTTTGTAAATGTATATTGATAATTTATTTTTTTAAAAAAAAATTGTCATCTCTCATTCAAAATGGCGTATTCGACTATGGTCGAGTGTACCGGAAAACGGCGTATTCGACCATGGGCCAGTCCCCCGGAAAATGGCGTATTCGACCATGGTCAAGTCTGCCGAAAAATGGCGTATTCGACCATGGTCGAGTCCGCTGGAAAATGGCGTATTCGACCATGGTCGAATTGGCCGGAAAATGGCGAATACGACCATGGTCGAATTGGCCGGAAAATGGCGAATACGACCATGGTCGAATTGGCCGGAAAATGGCGAATACGACCATGGTCGAATTGGTCGGAAAATGGCGAATACGACCATGGTCGAATTGGCCGGAAAATGACGAATTCGACCATGGTCGAATTGGCCGGAAAATGACGAATACGACCACGGTCGAATTGGCCGGAAAATGACGAATTCGACCATGGTCGAATTGGCCGGAAAATGACGAATTCGACCGTGGTCGAGAGTGACGGAAAATGACGAATTCGACCATGGTCGAATTGGCCGGAAAATGACGAATTCGACCATGGTCGAATTGGCCGGAAAATGACGAATACGACCATGGTCGAATTGGCCGGAAAATGACGAATTCGACCATGGTCGAATTGGCCGGAAAATGACGAATTCGACCGTGGTCGAGAGTGACGGAAAATGACGAATTCGACCATGGTCGAATTGGCCGGAAAATGACGAATACGACCATGGTCGAATTGGCCGGAAAATGACGAATACGACCATGGTCGAATTGGCCGGAAAATGACGAATTCGACCATGGTCGAATTGGCCAGAAAATGGCAAATACGACCATGGTCGAATTGGCCGGAAAATGGCGAATACGACCATGGTCGAATTGGTCGGAAAATGGCAAATACGACCATGGTCGAATTGGCCGGAAAATGGCGAATACGACCATGGTCGAATTGGCCGGAAAATAGCGTATTCGACCATGGTCGAATTGGCCGGAAAATGGCGAATACGACCATGGTCGAATTGGCCGGAAAATGACGTATTCGACCGTGATCGAGTCCGAATTTAAACCTATTGTTTGTGGAATTTTTGTTCAATTTATGGAAATTCCAAATTCAAATTTGAAAGTGGAAGCACTACGATATTTTTCAATATTTTGAATTTTGATAAAATGGTAGGTGAAGTTTCATTATTTTTTCCTTCTTTATGCTATTAAGGACCGTTATCATAGCGATACTGATTATCAGATTCCGTTTGTTTTAGGGTAAAACGAGAAAAACACGAAAATTTGCCGCTGTAAAACGAATGATCTCTGCCAATGATCCTAGGATGTAAGAACTTAGAACTATAAACAAATATTTTGAAGTTCTCGTTATATATTCCTGTGTAGTAGATCACTATATCTCTGTCTATTCTCAAAACCATTCATCCTAACCTACAATCCAGATTTCTCACTCTTACTGGTTGATGCTAACAAGAACCATCTTCACTTAATTGGGACAAATTAGTGGGCATTCTACAATTAGGTCAATCATTCTTTCAAGCATGCAGTATCATCTAACATTCAATTTATCAAAACTCAGAAAAAAGCCAGAAAATGAAAAGAAAACGAAAAAAAAGAAAAATGATGAAGAGGAAGTAAAACACATGTAAGAAATGGTAAATTGTTTTGCAGTTAACACATAAGCCCATGAAAACCTAAGTAGCAAAATTCCTGTCATTTTGCATACTACACTATTCATTCGAATGTTTTCCCACCATATAGTGATCAAGTTTCATCAGCTTTGTTTTTTCAATACAACACTCAACTTGGACCACCATTCTATATTCTTGTTGATACAAATTTTATTAATTTTTCAATCAAAAACAAACTGGATTTATTTCAATCCATGATGGATTGCCTCTATGCTAAATGTAAGTTTTACTATCTAGAAATTTACATGGTATTACTGTATTGAGAGGATGGATTTTACAGCGCTTGGATGCTTGTTAATTTCTAGGTATACCGTGTATAACAGACTGTGTGATGGGGGAATTGGAAAAAATGGGAACCAAATACAGAGTAGCATTAAGGTTTGATTTTTTTTAAATAAAACTTTCTTATATTGATGTCAAATGTGGAAAGCCTGATCCTACATAAAGTTTGATTGTCTCATCATACTTCATGTAATATTGGGATTTCTCTGGTTGATATGATTATGAAAAGGTCCATTGTCAAAGGTCTATATTCTATTCTTGAATGTCCACAGTGTGCTGTACTGATATCTAATGTTTGGTTTCACAGGATAGCTCGTGATGAAAGGTTTCAAAGATTACCATGTATGCACAAAGGAACGTATGCCGATGACTGCCTTGTGAATAGGGTCACACAGGTACCATGAAGATAACATCTGTAATGAATGAATTCATATGCACAAATTGTGTAGAGTGGGATGTCACATGTAGAGCTATAAAGTATAAGACTATAAGTTTATTGCCTGCCCGGTCCATATGTAGTTTCCAAGTCCTGCCTACCTTAGAATCTTATTCCACAGCCAATAATCTCTTATTCCAGCACAAGTGCTATATTGTGGCAACATGCGACAGAGATTTAAAACGAAGGATAAGAAAAGTTCCTGGCGTCCCAATCATGTATATTACGCAGCACAGGTACTGTATGAAGTTCACAAACACAATTAGTAGGTCAGATTGGACGACCTGTAGTACAATGTCTGTATAACATCTGCTACAACAAACGCCGCAACTCAATGCTCCAACTTTTCCTATAAAGATGAACCAATTTGAACACAGAATCATACGTTTTTTTAATGCCGGCGAAAAATATTGTTTCTCATTTTCAAACCTACATTCTTCCAGGCAGCTTTGACACAATTAACAAAGTATTTTAAACTTGTAATGAAGAGATAAAAGTATAAAAGATACTGATTTTAAGATTCCGTTTTGTGGTTTAGGTTTTCGATAGAGCGCATGCCGGACGCCTATGGAGGTTTGTACTCGCACACATTTTAGACTAAAAATTCTGTTCTGCATTCTGTCGTTCCGGAATTCAAGAGGATATCGTACGTAATTCAATAATTCTCATTTTTCAGCTCCGAGATTGTAAAACGCCCGGTACTGACTGAAAAACTCTATGCTCTTGGACTTTTTGAAAAACTCTTGGACTTTTTGAAGACGCCGTTTTACAAAACGGAAGATCGGTGATAAAGATGAGTTTTTTCTATAATTCGAGGAGTTCGTTTCGCGTCAAGCTGTTGTCGTTTTAGAAGTGAAATGGTATGAAATTATCAAATGCAGCATCGAACTCAGGATTGAAATGCATACTCTGCTTATATTCTACAAAAATATTGGCGAATAATGTGACTCGTATAGTTTAACGTGACTTGTAGTCTTATAACCAGCACGCAACAAACAGGTATTTAATGTCGGTATATTTGAAGTACGAGGCATGTTTAAATTAAACAGAGAACACCCTGAAGGTGTGAGTCTTATTGCATTATCAATCCTACGGCCGGGCAGGTGACCGCGTTAGTTTTATAACCCGTAATCATATTAAAATCATATGCTATCTTGATCACCGAAAATATAAATCTTTAGTCGAAAACTGCCAATTGATGTGAATGTTAAATCTCATCGCTTGGAGAGTGCTCGAAATCTATCTCCGGGATAATCTTGTCAACTCGCAAAGCATTCCCAAAAAGACTGTCTTAGCTTGTATACTAGCGAGAAGCAGTTACTGCGTCAATAATTGTTACAATTATCGCGCGAATTACCATAGCAACAAGGCGCTCATTAGTGGAATATATGAAAAAAATGGATTTCCATCAAAAACACATGAAACCGTACGATGGACGCTAAGGTATGTACTATACTACTCGACCTTAAAAAAATCACAATGTGAGAACATCCGCGTTTGTGAAGTTGGCTCGGTTATTGGTGAGATTCGAGAGAATTGAGACTATCTGGAAGGTTTTTACAGGTTTCATTAAGAAACGTCACCAATTAGAAGTTCAATCCTAGTGATGTCTGCTTTTAATATTTGTATGCGTGGTGTACTGTGTCTGTGTTCGGGATCACTGCATAAACCAAATCTCAAGCAAGAAACGTTTTACCTTTCCTCGCGTTTCTCATTATGCCTAAATTAACCACATCGGGCAGTTCTAACCATCGGTTAAACCGGGAAAATATTTTTTGTACATCTATATACATGCTCGGCGCAGCAAATATTGAATCCATGCATTCAGATATTGCTCAGGCGCGAAAAAAATAACGAGTAAATAAGGAGATTATAGAACAGTTTGCTGGTTTCCGCTGGTTCCGTTTTGTATGTATTAAATGTGAGAATTTTCGTTTCTTCAACCGCACTTGAAGAGATTGTGTATAAAGTTCAATCAACCCCTTTAAATATTCTGAAGCGCACTTGAATTGGAAATTGAGAAAAAAATAGTTAATTTAAAATATTTCTGGACTCTCGTCTTGTAGGATTTGGAGGCTGCAGTTGCATTGCCAAACGAGGATCTCGTCATTCCAGAAGAGCGCGTTTCGGAAACCGATTTGCTTGAACCTGAAAATGAACCTGCTGACGAACTTCGAAATAGCTCGGAATCTCTCGACAGCGGCTGGGAGACTGACTTAGAAATTGAAGGTAAGATCAGTTTTATTTTATCTGCCGACGATGCATTGGATAATGTAAAACCGCTTCGTATGAGTACAGCTGAGTTCAAACGAGTTTCGTGTATATAAACAAATGGATTCGTTGCGGATACGGTGCGGCCCTCACCTCAGAAAGACCTCGTACCAGCCTGTATCTTATGCGAAGCTGAAGGAATGCTGCATTCAGAGATGCTGGAAATTCATTTGTCTGCTGTCAGCTTGCTAAAGAGCCGTAAAAAAATACAAAACCTTGGGCCCTTGAGGCTTGACTCATCGCGGCAAAACAATTATTTAATAACACTATACACAGACAGGCACAGGTGATAGACGGACACTTAATAACTAGCTTTTGTCCCCTGTCTCGACGATACCGACGTGTATTTACTTGGAAATTATACAAATTACAAAAAAAGTAATACAACTTCCACAGTTTTGCCTTCGGTTTTAAAGTTTCAAGTAATTTCTCTTTGGGTGAAGTTGAAGTTGGAGAACTTCGAGATTAGATTTATATTGCTTTCAGACTCCAGTGTTCATGACTATTATCCCAGACACAAATTAAGTAGAGTATTTTAATGAATATTGCATTCAACTTTGCCCCTTATTTCAGAACCGGCAAAGACATTCGACCCGACCGGCAGAAGACTCTACCTTTCAGCATGCGCGAGCATCGGTGTCACTCCAGTTTCATATTTCCTCCGACATATCGAAGATAAGGAAATGTTATTACGTCATCATGGACTGGGACCGAAAGGCGCAAAAGCCATTGCTATTGCTCTGGTGGTGAGTTACCAATTAAGCCTCGTTTTCATTTGATCACGTCTGATTAGACAAAGTCATTGTCGGCGATGTGAAATAGTTTGGCGAGGTGGTGAAGTCATTCCATAGTCCCCATCTCAGTACTAACGTAATGTATAATGTTTCTAGAGCAACACCACTATCGTGACTCTGGATCTCCATGACAACAACATGGGTGACGATGGCATGAGGTATATTGCAGAAATGGTCAAAGAAAATTGTTACATCGCTTCATTGGTAAGTCACTTTCTTGGGAAAAGTCACTTTCTTTTTCTTCTGTCGGCTGAGCGCACCATAATTTTTCATTATAATGAAATATAACCGGGATTTCTTAGGATATCTCGTTCAATAAAATTGGTCACATCGGCTGCGTTGCGCTCTGTGATATGTTAAACAATAGCGGGATAGTTCAGGATTTGAACGCGTCGAATAATTTCTTCGCCGATAAAGATGCTGCTTATTTCGCCGAAACCATTAAGGTATGTTGCTTCAATTTCTTCCACGTTTTTTTTCTCAAATGGAACTCGCATCGTGTATAATCGTTTCCCTTCCTTCAGGTGAACGAAAATTTGATCACACTTAATCTTAGTGGAAATCAATTTTGCGAAGAAGCCGGAGTAGTACTGGGTCCTAGTATCAGTGAGTTACTTTATGTTTTAACAACCGAGTGATTATCCCATTGGATTATCCGTAATCCTGGATTAGTTTAAGCTGACTGATGAGCAACATTTATGCATGTTAATAATGTCTATATCTCAATCCCACAGCTGCAAATGATTCCATCGAAATTCTCGATTTAAGTTGGAATCAAATACGTCGACGTGGCGCCATTGCTGTTGCCGCTGGCCTCAAGGTTTGTGTGTTAGGCACCTTTTGTAACTTTCGTATTGACCGTATGCAACTTTTCAGACGATAAATTATCTAGCTGTCAACTTAAATAAATGATAAATATCGCATTTTATAACTGCACAAGTTGGTTATATCATTGACCCTCAGAGTAATCTCTGGTAATAGTGTTAATTTGCCTTTAATAATGACTGTTAAACGTCAGAGTTATGATTTTAAGACAACTAATGTCAATCCTGGATTGTTTTAATCAAAATCTGCGGATTTTTTTCACAGACTAACTGCACTTTGAGAGTTTTGGATCTTTCGTGGAACGGCTTCGAGGATGACGGCGCACGTGCGTTATGCGACTCAATAAGAGGAAATAATACGCTCACAGAACTGAACATCAGAAACAACAGAATAACCACCATCGGGGCTGCGCACATTGCAAGAGGCTTGGAAGGAAATAATACCTTGGAAATACTGAAGGTATTAAAGCTCGAAGAGCCTAGTTTAGGAATGACTTTGAAACAAAGTCGGAAATATCACTGGAGAATTGTTGTCTTGTTTTTCATAACGTGTTTTTTCATGTTTTTTTCTTATACATGTTTTTTCTTATACCCGTTAAGATTGGTCAGAACCCCATTCAAACGGCTGGTGCTCATTCCATCCTCTCGGCGATTAGAGCAAAAGCCGACAGCGCCATACAAACAATTTACCTCGAGGACATTTATTTGGACGACGATTTCTTTGTTCTATTGGAGAGTTTAAACGAGCGCAAACCAGTGAAGATTGTTGGACGTTGCAGACCCTCGGAGATTGCACCTCTGCGGCAAATAAAGCAGTTCATCGCGAATAATTACGATCGTTGGTTCGAGGTATTCGGTGCTTATGATCCAGATGGTTGTGGACTTGTTTCTAAAGCTCAGTTCATCGAGGGTTTGAAGGTTAGTTACCAAACTTCGTGTATTTGTGATTCCTCATAACTATTCACCTTTTAATGCACGACAACTGTGTTGGATGCAATAAGAACAGTTTTCTCAGTTATTTTTATTTCTTTTATAGGAAGTAAACTTGACGTTCGACAAGGGTCAGATGACCTGGTTATGTATTTCTCTAACAGAAGATAAAGCTTCGCAAATCAGTTACAAGTAAGTTTGAAAATGAACAAGTAAACTAAATTTTTATTTAACTGCTGATTTATGCTTTGACATATAAACTTTTGACATGCATTCAAAAATGGTAGTTTAACTTTGAATTTCCATCGTACCAAAATTCACACGGAAGATGTTACATATCAAAATCTAAGTTAGCCCTTTCTACATTGAATGGGGTTATTATACTTTATTCGGTTTCGGTAGCCCTGGTAGCAAATTTTGCTTCGTTGTATTTTAGAAAACCGGCTGAGAATGTGAAAAAGAAAATTCCTGCCTCAGCCAAACCATCGCCTAAACCAACACCCACCAGCGCAAACAAGATGAAAAACAAGAAAAAGCGATGACAGGATCTATTAAATTAACAACTCCCTTCTGTTAATGGTGTCCCATCCTTCAACAGCAGACTCACACTTATCATAAATTTGTATTATAATGCTTTTAATATTGAAAATTCTGTCCAAGTTCTTTTATTTACAGAAGAAGCTGCTGTTTCTTTATTTTTTTCAACTTTACATTTAGTCCCAGAGTTACTGTTTTCAAGATAGGATCAAAAATTATAGATGGTTCGTGTGAAAATACAAATGGATTATCAACTATTATGGTAACAGTTTGGGTGAGCGTGTATGTGGTTCAAATAGCAGTTATATTTAAAGAGGTTGTCTTAAGGTAAATGTTTTGAACCACTTCTAATGTGTACCATTTAAATAAATATATAAATTTCTCAATAAATATATAAATGTCTGGGGGAAGATGTACTAGTATCCCTATCAGTCCATTGTAAAAACACGCGATGCTATGTCATCAATCAACCAATCAATACCACACAGTAAGTTCTCACCAGTAACTGCGCTGCACCATTGAATTTGCCAGTGATGAGTTTTGATTGAATCAAGCTCTAATATCTGAAATCAAAACAAACTGAATGAAGACAAATGGTATTTCACTAAGAATGAGTATCTTTGATTGTATAACATGGCTGAAATGTGGTATTATGTCACTATTCCATACTTCTTTTATTTCCTCGGCTGTTAAAGCACCAGGTAGATCTTGTTTATTTGCAAAGACAAGAAGCGTTGCACCAGTCAATCGCTGTGTTAAACAAAATACAAAGATTATGAAAGCAAATGTTTTGATGCATTAGAAACCATTCTAGTTCAATTTGTCTGGTAAATATTGACAGCACTGAATCGCCCAAATTTTCTGACACTCCTGAACATTTTTCAGTATTACCTCTTCCAGCAGCAATGATTTCAATTCCTTTTTACAATCTTCTAATCTTCCTTTATCAGCACTGTCGACCACCCATATCAAACCATCCGTACTCTCAAAGTAATTCCTCCAGTATGAACGCAATGATTTCTGACCACCAACATCCCAAATATTCAGTTTGAAACTGAAATATTACAAATCAAATTTAAAAACCTTTCAATATTGATGGTAGAATTCACTGACATCAGAGGGAGCTTGTCGGAGTAAACTTCTTAAGTTCTTCTATTTACACAATAATTATGGATTTTTTTTTAAAACAACTTATATTCGTCCTATAATGCTTTTTGTTTTGCAGTTAATAACATGAGTATTGAAACATTACTCTCTATGTTCCAGGGTTTTAATGTTGAACCCTAGTGTCGGGGAGATTTCATCAATGTCTTCACCATTAAACTTTTTTAATATTGTTGTTTTGCCAGCATTATCAAGACCTCTGAGATTTAGTTAAGTTCAGGTAATCTCAAAATACGTACAACACTAGATTGGATAGCTAGACATATCCAAACTCAAACTCTATTTGCATCAAGTTATAAACCTTTTTTATAAAAAGCAAAATTAAGGATACAACATTAATAACCGAACTTCACGTTCTTTTTGTTTCATCTTTCTTAAAATTGTCAAAAGACCCATACCGAATGTATTTTAAATTTTAATTTCTTTTTTTTCTATCAAAAGATTCATTTTTCCATGGTTTTATTTTAAAATCTAGTTACTTCATGTATTTTTATTATTGTGTATCTTTACACGATAATTTCAAGATGGCTGATCTTCCTATTAAAGAAGAAAAGCCGAGTTTATCGACAGAAGGAGATGATAAAAAGCCTCATGATGGCTCGAGCAAGGGAAAATCGACCACTGAAAGGGTATGTGGTATTTCTGAATGTCTGCGACTGTGCTTTGTGTATTATTCCGTGCAAAATACTGTGTGCCTGCTGAACTGAATTATTCTGAAAGTTGAAACAAAGTTGAAATAGGCAACTATTTCCAATTTATAGGTTATTGATCTTTTAAATCAAGCCCAATTGGCGAAAAAGGATAACAAATTACACTACCTGAAGCAAGTTAGTAGTCTCATACACTGTAGTTAGATTATCTGAAAATACTATAGAACTCTGCCATTCAGGCATTCACTATAAATGAATTGAACATGATATATTTTTATAGGTCCAAGAACTGATTGTTAACATGGAGCCAGCTCTTCTGGACAATTTTCTTGATGTACGTTGGTGAGAATGTGGTAATTACAACCATAATGTTATCTTGAATTATCTTGATTCGTTTTCCATGAAATTTTTCAGGAGATCCTGGTATTTCAGCACGACCAAACAACAGAAGTCAGAAAATTTGTGCTCGGATTTATTGAAGAGGCTTGGTAAGACATACTGTTATGAACCAGGGGTTGCATAAACTGATGAAAGTTTCTTACAAGTAAAAACTTTTAAACTTTGTTTAGTAAAAAAGATGTGGAGATATTGACAAAAGTTATCCACACAATTGTGCTTCTACTCAATGATTCGAATGTCATGGTGGTGAAGAAAGTCATGCTGTGTTTAACGCAATTGTATCGCTTGATGCTTCAGGTAAGGAGTTTCCCAAAAGCAATCTTGTTCAGTTCAAATTATTTCTATTTCAAAATATTGTTTGGTTTGGCTCTCCTAAATTATCACCACTTCCCCCTTTCTCATTTATGAACAGTTTATCAGCAAAATGAAGGTCATTAATGATGACTTGAAAGCAACTTGGGAGGTACCAGAATTGGCATTTTCAAAGCATATTTTTTGACATATTCTGTTTCAAAGCTTCAACCTGTGACATTCTCTTTCTAGATTCTGTGTATGTTGAAGAACCAAATCATGGGTAAAATACAATCGGATAATGATGGGTAAGCTTGAATTTCCCATGCAAAACAACAAACAACATGTTTTGTAATTTTTGCACATGGTATTTGTTTAGTATTCGCACACATGCCATCAAGTTTATGGAGATGGTGATCCTGACTCAGTCAAACAAACCAACGGTATCATGCCAGCATTTTGAATTATAAAGTTATTGACAAATATAATAAATTTATCATTCTATTTCAATCAAATAGGAGATGAAAGATGATGAATCAATCTCCTTGGATGTGGTAAGAGTCTGAATTCTTGTTCTAAATTCTGCATTCCTCGTCAGCACCTAGCTGCTTTCACCCTTGCCTGTATGCGGTGACACTAGAAATGGGGTCAAGCCTGAAATAATTTTCTGCACTACAGATTCCTCGCAATCATCCTGTCTTGAGCATGACTCAACTTCGTGAGGAAGGTGGAACAACTCTTGAAGCATTGCTAAGTTTGGTTGCTTCTCCAAATATTTCCAGGTAAACCATCATCCTTGTGTCAGTTTCAAACAGTTTTTGATGCAGGCATCAGAGAAGAGGGATGGAGTCTCAAAGTGGTTGCTGTTTTTCTTTCTAGTGTAAATTTGATGGCAAGCATGGGAACTCTGGCTGCTATAGCTAAACAGAGACCTGCATTTATGTCATTGGTTGTTGAAGCATTCGAATCTCTCCACGGTAATACCTTGCGGCAGCAATAACTGACAATACTTTACTCTATCTAACAGCTGTTGATTTTGACCATCTTTGAATGTGTTAAATAAACTCTTCAACCTTTGTTTTGTCTGAAATGTTTCTAGCAAACCTACCTACAGCGTTGTCCAAATCCCAAGTCAGCAGTGTTAGGAAGAATTTGAAGGTTCTCTTAGTTCACAGTTTTAAATTGCATGATAATATTAGAAAGCTTTTGATTACATTGTAAATATTTGGTTTTATTGAATATTGCTTGAATATTTTTGATTTAGCTTCATCTGATGAACCTGTTAAAGAACGCTGGAGCAGGTTCGTATGTTACTTGTAAAATGCGAAGTTAAAATTGGTTTCCTAAATCAAAGTTTACACTTGCAGTTTCTACAGCGTGTCTAACAGTGACGCCTAATTTCTTTTGAGACATGTGAACGGGTGGATGTGTTATGTTATGATGTATGAGGGCACCTACAGAACAAAATATAGTTAGCTCTTTCCCCCGTTAACATCCTTCAAAAGAAGAAAATCGTGCATAACTACTTATCTCTACATTTGATTTTTTAGTTGAATACTATCCTCAGATAACGACATTGCTTACTGATCTCGGTGCATCACAAAGTGAGGTAAGACAAACTGGATGAACCTTTGCTCTCGTCTTCATAAGTTCGTTTCACACTGAACCTGTTATTATAACTCGTATTGTGATTTCTTTAGATGCAAAAGATCTGGCAAAAAAATCTCACAAAAGTCAATTTGGATTCAATTAAGAGACCAAGGTAATGTTTCACAACGACGATTGTATCTCATATTGGACAACGTCGCTAGCAAACTCCGCATTCCAGTGTCTTAGGAAAATCTGATTCTGTTTTTCAGACCAGAAGCATCGGCAGAAACGGAAACTTCTGTGGCAAAAAGGCAGAAGGTTGGAAATGCAATCGTTTGCACTAACTAGGAGTTGACTAAAAGCTTCAAATGAAAATTCCTAGCAGCTTGATTTAAAAAGTTATTTTAGTAATCTACTATTACTCTTATCTATTTTTCCTAATTTGTAGTCTGAATCAGGAGACCAAATGACCGTTCTTCAAGCGATTGAGATGACAAAGGAAGACCTGATACCGAGATTAAAAAACGAGAGAGTCGCAGAGTTGGTGATCATCAGCATGCTGGGGCTGCCTGAGAGAATGCCCGCCAATTTCCAGGAGACGTACACACCCATCGCAGCCGCAGGTGGTACGGCGCAGGTCAGCCATCTCGCCAGGCTGATCAGTTCGCAAATGACGAATGCTGGTATTGGTGTTGGAGCTGAGAAGATGGAACAGTTGAAGAAGGTTTGGTTTCTGTTTGTTTCAACCCTGGACCCAATACGATGATGTTTAAAACAAAATATACCGTTATATAGAATGATTGCTACAAACTAATCTAGACTTAAGAATCACCACTACTAACCATCATCATCATCCAACAGCATCAAATAGAATCCATTGTTACATATCCATCGTTATCATTCATCATCAACCGTTTACCATTATTGCCCATCTTTTCAGGCACGGATGACGGAGAAAGCTCAGCAAGTGCTGCCGATGATGGTTGTACCAGAGGAGAAGATGGAGGCATCAAGTGTTATACCTGTGATTGGTGGTAGCAATGCACCTGTTGTTGGCAGCATCAAGAATGTAATGGACGAAGATCCCAGTATCTTGCAAGTGAAACAAGAAGACATTGGAGTGCAGGAGTCTCCTTTCCTGAGAATAATGGGTTGGTGGTTTTATCATACCATATTGTACCATGCACCATATAATATCATACTAAGTCATGCTAGATCATGTGATACTATACCACAGCATGTGACACCATACCACACATTACCATACCATATGGTACTATACCCCATCATGAAATACATACCATACCATATCATACCACACCACATCACACCACACCATACCATACCATACCACACCACATCATATACCATACCATACATTACTTTATTCACAGAAAAAAGGACCCCTTACTCTATGTCTAGTCGCATCATTACAATTAGGAGAAATTCTGAATTTCACTCATTTTATTCTTTTTAATAGAACACATTAACAAAGAAAAGGGTCAGGTTAAGAAGGTAAATATGATTAAAATCTCCGCTGTATATTTTTCCCAATCAACCCTAATTCTTCCTCTGAATTTCTGTCTCATCTAACAGTTTTGCTTCAAATTGTAGAGCTCAAAGTTATCATCATCGGCCCAATCGGTGAGTCTTGTGCGATCACCTTCGTAATTATAATATTTTTCCTCTTCCCTAGTTCAAAGGTATTTCTCTTGCCTTGATATAGCGACGTAAGATCAAAGCTTTCAAATTATCTGAAGTGAAACGAGAATTGAGTGAGGAGGAAAAAGATAGAATGATTCTCAGCGCCTTTCAAAGGATTCTCGCGGCTGAAAGTAAGCAAACTGAGAACTCCATTTATACCTAATACCAGTTGGTAAAAGGTTGAAGTCAAACTACAACTGCTCTAACTCTTCTTAAAATGACCGACAGAAATTGTCATCAAACCACCAGAACTCATATTACTCGTGTAAAGCTTTTAGATATGAATTGTGAATATGTTGTATATACTAATCAATGGTTCTGAGGGTCTTAATTTCGAGTGGAATTATACACACTTCAAATTCAAGCCAGGAACAGTTGATGGGGAAATGAGTTAACTATCGGTCCTCCGGCAGGAATCGAACCTATGCTTTTGCGATGCACGTACATCGAGTGAAGTGCCAAAAATCATAACTGATTTACCCATACTAATCAATGTACAACTAATTGTATGGAATTTTGTTTTTCTCTCAGAGAGTTGCATTCAAGGAGGCAAAACTAAGGTAAATTTCGTAGATTTATTTCAATACTGCATATATATGATAGCCATGCAATGTAGTGTAAGAATTTGCTGTGTTTTATTTCTGGCTGTGTAGGAAAGATTGGACATAATTGTTGGTTTAGTTACCCAGTTTGGAGGTGACCTTCGAGTTGGTAAGATATATCGACGTTTTCTTGTTTTCCTATTGCCTTCTCTTTAGCGGCGTGAGAGATCAGCTTTTCATTCCTTTCTGCCGCTTTGTTTCAGCCTTAAATGACTTCATAATGGTTGATCCTCGCACGAGATACGAGTTGGCGAGTGTTTGGATTTATCAAGAGTTTCTGGCTGAAGAGGCTTATCGGGAGAAAGTTGAACAAGAGTTTCTAGAGGGAGAGGATTTAAGCGAGGAACAAATGTTGGTGAATAATTCTTACAACGAGAGCTTACTGGCTTTGTTGCATGGTTTCAAGGAAAGACTGGATCCTAAGGACAAGTAAGTGATGGTGATGGATGATAGTGGTTGGTAATGGATGATGGTGATGGATAATAGTGGTTGGTAATGGATGATGGTGATGGATGATGGTGATTGTTAATAGGGATAGGGAATGGATGTTGATGGATGATGGGAAATAATGATAGATAATAATGAATGATAGATGACATTAATGGATAGTGATGGATGATAGGTGATGATGATGGATAACTGTTAATATTAGTTATTGAAGAATTCAGATGATAGTCTGTTAATGTTCATTCTGTATGATGGCAACCCCCATACACCAGACTCATTTGTAGTTATAATTTTTTAGGTTGATAAGTCGTCTTTATTTGGAAGCACCAAGGTTGACCGATGAATCCAAAATATTCTTGAAGGAATATTGCGAGGATCTGGTATGTTGTGAGGTCGTATCTTATCTCCATCAGCAGTAAATCTCGCATCATCACCAAACCTTGAGCTTTCTTATTCTCCTAGGACCGAACTCAGATCGGATTTTCAACCCTACGAGAGCTCATTCTTCAGAGACCAGCAAACCAGTCAGACTACCTCAACCTACTCCTTGAGCTCTCCTCTCACTACAAAGAACAAGTAGGTTCAACTGTACCTTTCAATGATCACCACACGAACAGTTACATAGAGTTCGTTTACCAGACTTTCATTTACAAAGCACGCCTTTACAGCCAATTTTTAACCCAGGTGAGAGTTCAAGCAATTCATGCAGCGAAGAAACTTCATCCCCGCGAAAATCTTGCAGTAGAAATCGAGGTGAATACACTTCTCTTTTTAGTACAGTTGTTGTATATATATCAGTAGTGGTATATATCACACTAAACTTAAACTGCTTTGCTTTTTTTGTCCCAGCAATACGCTCTTCAGTCTTTGAGGACTCTTCTGCTTTCAAAACCACCAAACCCAGGTAAAGCTGTGGAGTGATATTATTGAAACATCCCAGAGCAAAAACTTGAATCATAAATTCGGACTTATTTATTTCACAGGACTCATTGAATGGACAGACGAGTCGATAAAACTTTGTCTCTATCTTTATCTCGCTTTACTTCCGTTGAACCACAAACTGTTACACGAGTAAGTGTTTTATTGCATTGTGTGTTTGTCTAGTGCTTTAGATCTACATTTCTCGTCTTTTGCTTCCGAATAGACTGGCCTCTTTATACACTGAAGCGTTACCGCTGGTGAAGCGAACGATTTTAAGACATCTTGAACATCCTGTAAGTATTTTCACAAATAACTTGTTGAAGGACTCGAAAGCATTTCTCTATTTTCATGAGAAGGAAATTGGTGAAAGGAAGCTTGACTGTATCGTATCTTTCATATTTCCAGGTGCGATCAATCGGAATGAACTCCGAAGAGTTGCTAAAACTGGTTGAAACTTGTCCAAGCGGAGCTGAAACTTTGATAACAAGAATATTACATATTATTACCGAGAAAGGTTTGTTAAAATATCATGTATCTTGATTTTACCATAATCAAAAATCATGCCAAAGGAAACGATATTCCCTGTAGAAACATGGACCTACACGTAATCTCTGTCTTTATCTCCCCTTGCATCCTTGGAAACCACTACCTATCCCTGCATATCCTCTAGTACTCAATGTTTTGCATTTCTTCTTCAGCCTCACCCTCGCCAGCTCTGGTGAAACACGTCAAAGATCTGTACCACAAACGTGCATCAGATGTCAGAATTCTTATTCCGGTTTTGACGGGTTTGGAGAAAAAAGAAGTGGTTGAAGTTCTTCCAAAGTTAATCAAACAGTCTCCAAATGTGGTTAAGGAGGTGTTTAACCGTCTGCTGGGCTGTTTTCACGGTATGCACGACGTTTATGATTTACACTGAATTGCTCTATCGGTTCTAAACTGTTCTTTTTTTCCCCTAGGCGATTCAACGATATCCAGTGCCAGTCCACTGACCCCCTCGGAATTGCTGATCACCTTACATAGTATTGAAGATAAGGCTGATATGAAATCGATCATTAAAGGTAAAGGTATTTACACTGTGCGATTTGTCGTAGACGATTCTTACCCTGGCGTATGTGAACGTATGAACAACACGCACAAACGTGACACTTTAAATTTCATTTGAATGAAGATTGTGGCATAGGCACTCTTTTACATTCGTCAGAATGATACTTGCATGCTACTTATCGTGTAGTCTAAAGAAGCCTTAAAATATACTGTTTTCCTTGTATGAATGCCACGTAATGTTTCATGTAAATACTTTGCCTGTTTTGGAGATTAAAATAGGTTTATCCTCTGATTAATTTCGATTGTTTTAGCCGTGAGTCTGTGTTTTGGAGAGAAAACAATCTACACTCAAGAGGTTCTGGCGGTTGTTCTTCAGCAGCTCATGGATAAAAATCCTTTGCCAACATTATTTATGAGAACGGTAGGTTTTGTTTTCCACCAGCCCCCCCCCCCGTCCTAAGATACAATAGTTTAAATACTTCAGAATGATTGAGTTCTTTCTCCACAACCCTTCCAAGCGCTGAAGAAATCAATCAAAGATCAATCTGAATTGAAAGGTGACGAAGGCCCTGCTAAATACGTGCGTGAATTTTATATGTTCCAGGTCATTCAGTCCCTAAGTGCCTGTCCTCGTCTGGTTGGTTTCGCTATGAATATTCTTTCAAAACTGATCAGTAAACAGGTACATCTTGTGATTGAACTTTAGCCCACTCCCCTTGGCCTTCTCGCTTTCGCCTGATTATTTTGGGTTGACAGTTAATCGGGCGTTGCAGGTTGCGTGTGGTGAAGGTTAATTTCATTTTTATTTTAATTTGCAGGTTTGGAAACAGCCTAAAGTATGGCAAGGCTTTGTGAAATGTTGCCAGGTAAGTATAGTAAGGTTCGATTTGGAAGCTGAGGATTTTTGCCTGAAAATCAACGTTGCTTCGCACGGAATAATTTTTGATAATTTATTCTCTCGCTTAATATATTATAATTTATATTTTCGTAGATGACGAAGCCTCAATCGTACCCAATACTATTGCAGTTGCCTGCTAGACAACTGGAGAGTGTTTTTGAGGTGAGATACATCACCTAGCCTTGTTTAGACGTTGTTTTGATTTTTATATTCATTGGAGGAACGAACTAAAAGAAAACTTTTTCGTTTTATCGTAGATTTGCCCTGAGTTAAAAGATCTTCTGCGCACGCATGTCGAGCAATTCACCCCGCACCAGGTGGGTAGAGGTGTTTTATTACAGACTAAACGTAGTTGTTTTTAAATGACTATCCAGTTTTATAGCGAGCTCTATGTCAGATCTCAGGCCTCCCGACAAAACTCGGTCGATGTGAAACGCGTCTTCACTGGACGAAGATCTGTAGTCCTTGATTTTGAGTTATCTTTAATCCCTTTTTAGCGAGCTCTAATCCCTCGCTCCTTGATTTTGAGTTCTCTTTAATCTCTTTTTAGCGAGCTCTAATCCCTCGCTCCTTGATTTTGAGTTCTCTTTAATCTCTTTTTAGCGAGCTCTAATCCCTCGCTCCTTGATTTTGAGTTCTCTTTAATCTCTTTTTAGCGAGCTCTAATCCCTCGTTCCTTGATTTTGAGTTCTCTTTAATCTCTTTTTAGCGAGCTTTTATCCCTCGTTCCTTGATTTTGAGTTCTCTTTAATCTCTTTTTAGCGAGCTTTAATCCCTCGCTCCTTGATCCAAATCCTTGCCAAGGATGTGAAGCAGGATGAGGCCAAGCCAGCCACGAAAGAAAAAGAAAATGAAAACGAGGAAAAAGCGGAGGAAAAAGTGGAAGAAAAACCTGAAGTGATTGTTAAGAAGGAAAAAGAAAGCCCGGGGGAAACAAACGAGCCACAAATTAAAGAGGAGCCCCAATCACCTGAGAGGGCTGCAAAACGACAGCGTACCGAAGATGCCACGGCGACCGAGGAAACACCGACGAGGACTCTCCGATCTCAGAAACGAACACGAGACGCCGAGGCGGCGAAGGAAGAAAAACGACCGCGTGAGGCTGAGACCAAGGATGGCGAAGACGATGAAACTGAAAAACGGAAAAGTAAAAGGAAAGGGAGATAAAAGAGGTGGAAGCATGAAATAGTTGGTCAGGTAGGATGGGATAAGGTAGGATAACTGTACAGGACTATCTAATATCTATCAGCGTACACGATTGCCCCGGTAGAGATATTTTTACTGCTTGTGGAGAGCTGTATGTGGTCAGTGCAAACTAATTATTGGGAATGCTCAAATTGTACTGCAATTATTGTAATAATTCGCGAGACTGGTTCTTATGAACCGTAAAACATGCAGGAAAAAGAGGACTTGAACTATTATGACAGCGACTTTTGTAAATATATTGTTTGCATTTGCATCAAATATTATGGATGTTATCCAGCCTGGCCACGCTACTGGCTGTAATGCATCATATAACACTGCTATATTACTCTACAGGCTTTAAAAGTCTTCATCTTTCTTTAAAGCGCTTCAAATTTTTCCTTGCATTTTCAAAGCACGCTTCAGGATTTTCACTTCATCACTTGTTCTCGGAAATGGATGTTCGTCATCGGCTTTATTCGCCTCGTAAATTTTCCATTCTTTCTTGTGAAGCCGTAATGGTTGCGTCGACAGAAATCCAGGCTTTTTTAAAAACTTGAGCGCTATCTCGGCCATAGCAGAGAGTTGGGTTACGTTCTGCGAGTCTGCGATCATGCAGAGGTCACTCGTAGGAATGCATGCCACCGGTTCCCCGTGCTGACCCCCCGCGCTGACCCCCCGCGCTCTCAATCAGGTCAGGAAGCAAGATAATTGAGGCCGCTAGCGAACCTGTAAATGAAAAATTGTAAAACTTTATTTCGGGAAAGAACCAACAAGTCGACAATTACGAGATCTAGTAGAAAAAACATCCAAAGGTTAAACATCCTTAAACCATGCAAGGAATGATTGAGTTGGGTTTTTTTAAATTATCAGACCAATAAAAATTTTGAAATATAACCACAACTCATTATTGTCATATATAACTCGAAGATTGGATTTATAATTTTTTAATAGTCTGACGATGTCTTTGAAATAAAGACGAAATATCTCTGTCTTTGTTTTTACACTCTTGTTTATCACGATCCGAACACAAGATGTCTATCTTCGGAATCTGTTTTATTTTGTATTTTCTTAAATTGGATTTCATAATCATGTTGTTGAATCTTTCTAAATATGCTTTGAATGTATTGATAAAAAACGTTGAAAAAACGTTGAAAGAATTCCTGTCTGCCCATCCCATTTTCATGGTGCTTACATGGCTAACAATTCTCGAACCAGTTTCTTCGTACCTAGGCCTTCCATGAACCGAATTCCCGTTTGACTTGTCTGCCATATGTTCCCTTTTTGAACGAGCAGTTCCTGAAGGTTTGCTTGAGAGATTTGAACTAAGGTCATGGCTGAAATATGCCACTCGAGAAGGTAACTATTCAGGACGTAGTGAAACTCATCGGACATAATCGCCACCGTAAAACCACAGTCGATGCGGCTCATGTTGTTTAGTGGTTTGTAGAAGACGCTTTGGCTTGTACCGTACAAACGATCTTTGGTCAGCTTCACCCAAGCATCTGTTTTTACCAATGGTAATAGTTGTGTTCTGATTTCCTCAAATGACGGAATCTCTTCATATTCTATCCTCATGTCAGTCCCAGAATCAAAACTGTTAAGATCAATGCTTGTATTCAAAACTTCACTTGCCATTCACTAATTTCTTTATCGAATTCTCCGAAATTATTCCTCTCTCCTTCAACTCTCCAATATACAGTCCAGATATGTAAGCAAGCTAATAGACGCTCAGCAATCTCGCACACGCGATGAAAAGTCTAGACTCGTATTTTAAATGACTTAACCCGAATCTTTATGAGCCTAAAAACATGCAAAAATGCTCATATTTGACAGTACGCTAAACAGACTGCCAAGAATCCCAAACATGAAACAGATAAGCCAGTTTGAATTGCGTAAATCTTATCTATGAAAGGTATTATCCAATGATTTTCTCGCATTATCTGTCAATTTAACCGTGACATACTGTTAACATCTGTCATGACTATTCAGTACGTTTGAGAGCATGTGAGCTATTTAAATATCTTCATCCCAAAACGGCAAAATTGTATGTAAAAGATTAGTTTAATACGGTGTTCTCTCAGTGATAATCAATCATTTTTTTTCTGGGGTTCCTCGTTGAGCATCTTAGGCCACGTGACGGGGCGAATTTGGGACCGTGCTGGGGTTCGTCTAAATTCCTCGTGTGAACTCGTAGAACTGGTCAAATTTTCATCCATTTTTATCGTGTGAACACCTGAACCGGACGAATTCTAGCACGGTCCTAAATTTGTCCAGACTGATCTTTTATTTTTACAAAAAACACAGAAACTTAGTAATAATGTAGACATGTATTTATTTATAAATAAATATGTGTATCTGGGTTTTATTATTTTTTATTACATTCGTTTTCATTTCAAAATCTTTTTCACATCTTCGGCCGCCTTAATGCCGCTTTCTAGCGCTCCACTGATTGTCGCACAGTCCCCCGAACCGCGCGTCGCCTCACCTGCAAAGAAGACGCGATCAGACACGGGTTTCGCGAGAATCTCGCGCGATCCACGCGCGTGAACCGACGGTGAACTGTATGCGCCACGTATGAAGGGGTTCGAATACCAGTGGAAGTAGACGTAGTCGATGAAAGAACTGGTCGCTGGAGTCTGGTTCTCGCTGGATCTGTTGGGGGAAAACGGCAAAAATAAAAACAAACTAAAAGATTCCTGACTCTCTAAGGCCATCATGGACCATTTCACCTACCTAAACATTTCATCCAAATCTCGAAGTAGTATGCCCTTCACTTCATCTCCAGTCATATGAGCCTTCAGTCTTGCATACTCAGCAGTTTGAAATCCAGTTACAACATAGTATTGATCACCAGTCTCCTCATTCAAGACATCGTACATCCACAACTGACAAATGTCGGACACACAGTTGAACACCAACTTCATGTTTTCGGGCCAAAATCGCTCCTTGAAACGACAAACTATCTTCAATCCAGTGAACATTTGAAGCTTTTCAATTGCTAACCGTTTGTCCTCGGGAAGTCGAGGTTTAAAATTGATGTCCTGGTCTTTTAAAACAGTCAATGGAACACAAAGGATTACTGCTTGTGATTTTAGTTTACTTCCATTGTGATTAGTTACGATGACCGTGTCAGCCTCGTAATCAATCTCCTTTGCCTGCCAGTCCAGTTTTATCTCAACCCCCTCGCATCTTTTGACGTAGTGTTGAATTACTTGTTTATGAGAGTTCTTTAATCTAAATTGGACAAAAGAACTTCTGTGAATCCATGGACATTACCACGCTTCAAACGCGATTTATTCAAATTTCCCCATAAATGAAACCGCAATACTTTTAAAACAGACCTAAAATTTCCTGGTCCGCACTCCCAACCGTTCTGAAAGTCGCTGTGTTCCTGCGCTCCAAACGAGTCCAAATTTGCCGCTTCTGTTTGACAGAACACCACATCAAAAACATGTTGTGATTTCCTCTCGATCTTGGGATGTCTGGCGAAGTATTCTGTCGCTGTCATGTCATTCTTTGCCGCATCACCCCCGGGCTTATTGCTGTAAACAAAATCCCCCCACGCCATGTACGCTGCCAGAATGTCGGGTTGGTTTGAATGGTACGGATACATTTTACCATCAAAGTAAATCCACTCTAAGCCATTCTCAGCTTCATAATCAAATAACTACACAAGATAGGGGATGTTTTATCAGTCTTGTTTTTTGTTACAAATTGACAGCTACTGGTATTTTTATTTGTGTATGCAACACAGATGTAACTACCATTTCCATATCCCATTTATTCTCTTCTGCCAGTTGATATACTTTGGTATAACAACCATGAATAATTTCACCACCCATGTCCACTGGAGGAAAACCATGATTCTCAATTTGTCTCACTCTTCCACCTGTGAAAATTAATTGAAACAAATTCACCTGGTAATCATTGGCTAAACTCTATGGATCATTGAACATTAGAATTTAGTTAATTATATAATAGCCTTAATAAGTAAAAGAATGGTTCATTTACTTATGTATCATTAGAAGATGATTAATCATCTTAATGTTTACTAATGCATCATTAGAATTTGGTTAATTAGCCAAATTATGCAATAATAATATTTAGAATATTGATAGCTTTAATTATTTTATTTATTGGAGTGTGATAGTACCAACAAATCTCATCTTTAAAATACAGGCAACTGACCAATAATTCATTGAGATCATCATTAATTAGTGTAATTACCCAAGTAGTTATTGGCTTCCACAAGAATAACATTGAGACCTGATTGGACAAGATTTTCGCATGCAGCCAGGCCTGCCATTCCTCCACCAATAACAATGACCTGGGCATGTATCCTATCTGAGATAACATTACAATACCACTAGGTGAGGGGAAATATCTCACTTGGCATGGGCAGGGGATAGTCTAGTGGCCGATAATCCGGACTATGGGTGTTCATTTTGAGTGCAAACAACAGCACATATATCACAGAACTGCTACCTTCGTTTTCTGTCATTTTGAGATATATATTCCTTTCAGATATCCCTTCCGATATTTATCCCTATTTACAAACTACGAAATGTTCTTGAAAATATTTTAAAGAAAGGTTTATAACCACGAGGTTATAATATAACCATAACACATTTAGTTTTATATAAAGCGCTAGATTGTAATCAGCGGGCCGCGGACTGTGGAAAGGGGGACTGAAACTAAAGTCTAACTTGTTGTGCAATCCATAGAGATTATAAATAACAGTGTTATTTATAATCTCTATGGTGCAATCAGTGTGTGCAATCCACTGAGTGGTACGGGTACCATTCAGTTCACTGGTGCATTCTCGTAACCATGTCTCGTAACCAGATACTTGTTATGGTGAATTCTACAGTTTACTCATCGGAGGCAATATAGAGTTTGATCTTTTATAGTACATATACAGCATAATGTAGACTTGCTACAAGTCGACTCTTTAAACCCACACGCGAGTTTGAGCGACCGAGCGTAGCGAGGTCGCGAAAGCGAGGGAAGGAACGCGCCCTCGCTTTCGCGACCTCGCTACGCTCGGTCGCTCAAACTCGCGTGTGGGTTTAAAGAGTCGACTTGTAGCAAGTCTAAGCATAATGCTGACTGAGCACTTCTTACTAGTATTTTGAATACCCCGGCGCCCCGCGCTGCTCTATAATCTATAATCTACGGCAAGACACACAGCCTACAGGCGCAGCCAGCCACCTACTGTTGAAGGAAATTTTGCGGAAATAATTTGCATAACTTTATAGCATTGTCTCCATATTTTCGCCTGATATAATTTCGCGTTGTATTTGCGACTCAGCTGAGAGGGTTGGCGGGAAAAACGGTCAAATATATCAAATACATTATCAAATATTTATAGAAATAATGAATTATATAAGCATGAATAATAAAATGTTCCCATGATAAATGATATAAATAAATTTATGCTTATGTTAGTTATGTAAACGGCATTGTCCTTATAAATTATGTACACCACCTACCCACCCCTCCCTAATGATGACACATTGGCATTTGGCAACCTCCTGTTTTGAAAGTATTTTTATTATTTACTTGTCCTTTGTCCTTGCGGTCGAAAACGTAGATGATTTCCTTCCGTAAAACTGTATAGTTTAAGATGAGAATACGCAGAATCGACTGGCTTTGGAATCGAAACTCAAAGCGGTAACGATGGGCATTTTTGATAGATTTTATAAAAGGATGGGAAATAACTGTTCAAGAAAGCCAACATATGATTGTGCTGTAATCAACGATAAGGTAGGTATTATTATGGTATTGTTTTGTATCCAAAATCCAATGATCTATAATATTTATATGTTGTGTCAGCATAATTTGTCTATTCATATTACTGTCTGTTAAAAAGGTTTTTCATAGGCCTGTTTAAACATTCGTATTCAGCAATGAAAGATGTTTTTAGGGAATAGGATTTCAAGTTGGCATAAATAAAGTTCAGACTTTGACGACAGATTTTTAATAGATTAATACAGACTATGGATTATGTATTATTTAATCCTATGATGAAAAGGAGGTTATTTAGCTTGGTGGAAATAAGGCTTTATAATATAAGGCATTTTCACAGTCTGCTAAATGAAATAGATTTCGTGTATTTTGAAAGAGATTTGTTAAAAAATAAGGGTTTCAAGACATGCTCTTACATGTTTCCAGGCAGCCTAATTGTGTCCAGGGGGTATAACTTGTGTAATATAGTTTTGGATTTCAAAGAATCCTATGGTTGTGAAACAAAGCATTCAATGCAAAGAAAAATATAATACTTTATTGCAGGTGTTAAAATCCACTGTAGTCTAAATATTATGTTATCTTACAATAATATATAGGATGAGAAACCAAAGCTCCAGTCACCACCAGGCAAATTCAGTAAAAAATCATGTGGCTTTGGTCATCGAAGACTTGGCAGTACTGCATCAACAGTTTCTGGTGATGATATCAAACTTGTCTGGGCCAACAGTAAAGGTATACAAAAATTGTATCTAAATACACAGATGGACTGTTTAAACTATCTAACCTTGGGATGCTTAATTAAGGTTATAGGTGATGAGTACCCCCAACCTTGAAACAAACTCCTTCGCTCAAAAATTGAAGGCTTTCATCTGATGTTTTGATCGACATATTTATGGACTTACATTGTTGCCAAAAACAGTCACATTGTAATAATATTAATTATTTATTTTGTCTGTTGCTACAGGTGGTTATTAATATTCATTTGAAGTGAAACTATAGATACCTTAGATGTGGCTAAACTAATTAAATCCATCTGTGGCAGATGAGTGTAGCTCTCTATTACTCCTACAGTATGAGTTTTCCAAAGCAACTTGCTCTAAGGAACAAAATTCAAAAGTGATAACCGCCATCTTCTATGAATGGCTTATTTTAGTTCATGATTTCGTTTCTGGATAAGGTTAATCTGATAATTCTTTAATTTATTTCCAGACAGCAGTAATTTTTTTGATCAACTTGGTGCCAAAGATATCTTTAAACGGTTCAATAGTTTTCTTGAAAGTTGGAAGTGTTGGCAAGATGATGAACGAGAGTGCAAGGAAATGTTAGGATTTGACTTGGAGATGAAGCTTGTTGATTCTTTGTGTGTTATTCCTTCAGGTAATTCCTACAATCCATATCAATGTCTCCTTTTTAACCCTAGCAGAAATGTGTAGCAGTCAAACTCACAATGTGCTGTCAATTCAACCAAACTAATGATTGTTTTAAACCATTTTAAAGGTATGCGTCTTGGTCTCGGGTGTGGGAGCTCAACAGAGGATTACGACTTTTATCTTGATGTTGACCCAAGCATCCAGTTAAATGAGATCAGTGAATATTTATTAAGTACTTTTCAAAAAGCAATTGATATTTTCAAATCGCTCACAAAACAGATGAAAATCCTGATCGATCAGGGTGATTTGATTTGTCACGATTTGACGAAAATTCTTCATCACCTGGAGAAGTCTGATGTTGCTTCATACCAGTTGCCACTGGGTATGCAACAGTTGGATAACCCTGAGCAACTTAAGGAGGCTTTGACTCTTGTTAAAGGTGCTGTGGTGACCTTGAAATCATGTGGTTCAACAATAACAAACTATATCATGCAACATGGACATAATGTTGATACAGTTGTCTCAAACAGACAATCTGCAAATCCAACATTGGTGATATTTCCGAGAAAAACAAACGCGAGGGTGAAAGTACGAGAGATGAGTGATGAAACGTTTGTGAAGTTGAACCAAGGAGAAGACGATGAGAAGTATATTGAAATTTCTCTGAAATAAAGTGAGGGGAATAGCTGAGATGATTTATAAGAAGGAAGGTAGAAGGCTGGAGTGGATTGTACAAAAGCTGGGTAATGTTATCAACTGGATAGTGGTTTTTTCAATCTCTCAGTAATTTCTCGTTCCGTATAGCTTTGATTAAACCTTAGTATACGTAAATTCAAAACTTCAAAGAACAAATTGATGATCCTCTTTCATAACTGTCAGCTCCAAATCGATAATTTCATTGCTTTTAAGGTGTCTACAGGGGTTGAAAAAATCACTATCCGGTGGATAACGCTATCCATCTTTCGTACAACTGGCCCCTGGTTTTACCAAATGAAAAACATGAGAAGATATGTAGCAGTAGCAATTTTTTATTTATAGTCATTAAAGCAAGGGACTTGCACAGAAAAATATTGATAATGATAGGAATTTTCTTAAAGTATTAAGCTTGAAGACAGGAACTTTAGTAATATATAAAAATCACATGGGCATTTTGGTTGTGTAAGCAGTTGTGTCCTGTTGACACATAAATAATTCATAATGCTTCAGCTTATAAATCTTGATGTATTGTACAAGCTAATAAGGGTCAGTAACCAAGCTGAGAGTGGTTGCATAACACTGTATGGCAATTGTACTGGTGCTTTTGTTATATGGTGCTTGTAAAGACAGACCTGACACGTTTAGGGGGGCTGGTCCTCCTTAACCTGCAAGCAGGGTGTCAATCTTTACAATACCTTTAGCTGTACTTTAGCGGAGATTACAAGCTTGTTGCTGTCAGTTAGGGCGGTTTTCCACAGGCGGGAAAGGTACTAATGTGAGAAAAACAAAGTATTATTTCGTTTCGCGCCGAAAATTCCGCTTTACACGTAACCATGGTTTGACAGCAACGCATGTGTGTTTATTAAGAATATATAAATATTATGACGATTATGTTAATTATCGGAAATTTATTGTAACTAGAATTAAAACGTTCAATGGAATATATTTGAAGATATTAAATTTTTCGGCTCAAGTCTGATCATGTGTTTTAGGTGCAATCTTAACTAACGTTAACTGATGGAGAACGGTCGAAAGATCTCATTTTTTAACAACGCGTTTTTTACGCGTCATTAGAAAAGAATAGCGCGACACGTGCTTTAAAGCATGTTTATCTTTGTCTTAGTAACCTTTATGGAGATAATGTCAAGTTCAGCCAACCAGGGTATTTGCTGAAATATATCAAGGTCAGCAAGGGTATATAGGCCTGGGGACGGGTTTAAAACAATTACAATTTACAAGAACAGTAGATTAAGCCTGTGTGACTTATCGCTTAATACATTCAGCTTGAATTCGTTTTCAAATCAACCGTCCACGATGAGTTCAACTGAGCGTATAGTGTTTTATTTGATGCTCTTTGTGCTGTGGCTTTCCGTATTTTCGGGATCGTCACACGAAGTTGTCAGAAAACTTCCGCGTCAAGTCAGTCCTCCCAAGCGGTTGTTTTCGTCCAACTCAAAGGAGAAGAAAACTGGCGAAGCCACTGAAGTTCCAACATTCTTCAGCAGACGAAATAAAGATGGGAAAATCATTAATGCCTTCGAGAAAGACGCTTGGTTTGACATACACAGCAGACAATCAGGTTGGTAATTTTACATGCATGCAGGCAGGCATATATACATAAGCACTCGACGACACTCGTCAGGTGATTGTCACAAGTAATCCACCTTCTCGAGGACCTCGAGGAAAAAAGACGAAATCCGCTGAGAATAGCTTGACGTATAAAGGAACCTGAAACCTCCGTTGATTGTTAAAACCTAGCCTGAGGCAGAAGAATAAAACCTGTCTAGTTAAAACCTGACTTGCATGAAGTTATAAGTCTGGGTTTTTGTCTACTGTCTAGGGTAGGGTCAACACCGACTTCAAATTGAGACCTCGACTCCAGATCCTCGACCCTCGACAAAACCCAGACTTGCCTATGTGAGAACGTTTCGAAGAAGCTTATCCATCAATCAATCCAGAAACCAATATCTAATTAATATTAATCAGTCTAATAGAACTCGTTTCCAACTATACCGGATTCGCATTGTTACGACATCAAAATGAGCCATGACAAAGCGAGTTTTAACACTGAAATTATGATAGAATGATTGCTTTAACATGATCTGCCAAATGAAAAAGTTCTGGGAACAGAGATGCCGTTAAACAATTGATATCGTGACCATGCGAATCCGGTATAGTTTAAACGGTGTCTTAATACCACACATGACTCAATGTGTTTTTAACTCGCTAATCTTCTTTCCATTTCATTTCCACCCAGGTGAATCTAGTCTTGATACAAAGGCTAATCTCACGATCGACCCTTCGTTGATTAAAAATAATGAAAATATCAGCGTCGTATGGGAGGGAGTTACGAATCCTACAGCAAAAGACATCATTGCTCTCTATTGTCCAGAATACTCGAAAGACAACGAGTACATCGATTACTTCAACGCTGATGTTTCTTCAACGTACGAGCAAGGTCATGGGGAACATTGGGTACAATTGGTCAACTTTCGCGCGGATTGTGAGATGCGATATTTTCGTAATTATTCCCAAGACCATCAAGAGCTTGTGGCAACAAGTAATATCGTGAAGTTTGAAGGAGGACCCGAACAACCATTGCAAGTCCATCTCGCTTTAACCGGAGATCCAAGCGAAATGAGAGTGATGTGGGTCTCTGGAACAAGTAATCAAACTCAAAGTTGAGAATTTAAAGTGTTGAGTCGGGAAAACACCCAGAATTTATCCTAAATTCCTTTTCTCTCATTTTAAGATGTGACACCAGTTGTTAAATTCAGCGTCGACAAGTCTCTCAGTTTGGTCGCTGAAGGAAAAAGTCAAACGTATAACGGAGCTGATCTCTGTTTTCTCAATGGAATGTTTATTGACCCTGGCTATATCCACGATGTCAAACTAACTGGATTGAAGCCGTACACAACTTACTATTACTCATGTGGGGTTGAGGGTGTAAGTTCTTGTAAAGAATGTACTTCGACATTCATCACGAAAATTCCTAATGACTGACTATTTTATGTTTTCCTATTTAGCATATGAGCGAAATACGTTCCTTCAAAACGGCCCCCCCTGTCGGCTCTGACGTGTCCTACAAGTTTATTGTTTATGGGGATATGGGAATGTCTCCGGCTGCCCATGCTACCGCGAAGTATGCCTTCAGAGATATTATGAACGGCTATGAATTTATTTTTCATCACGGAGATATCTCGTATGCCAGAGGATATGTAAGTAAGATTAGTGTCGTGTCGTGCAGCTCACTGTCTTTTAAATAGACTGGAGTGTGAAATATAGTGGGTTAACTTTAAGGGTTGTACATTCGATTTCACTCACTTAAATTTGCGGGTGTTTCAGGCCTACATCTGGGACCAATGGCATGCGTTGATTGAACCTTATGCCAGTATTGCACCATATATGGTGGGGATTGGTAACCACGAACAGGATCATTTAGACGTCTCCGACAAAGATCCGAGCAACGTTACCGGCAACGGTTGGCACCCGTGGTGGGGAAACTACGGTGATGATTCAAACGGAGAATGTGGGGTACCTATGTTTCATCGCTTTCATATGCCCGAAAATGGTAACCACCTTTGGTGGTAAGTTCAGATTCATCTAAACATGGCTCTAAAAGCATTAGCAATACGACACAGTTTCCGGTTGTTCCCGAGATAGAATAGATCTCTTTTTAAGAACAGTTAAAGAAATGCTTAGTTACAATCAATTGTGTCAACGTAGATGTTTAATGAATCGTATTTTATATGCCCACTCAGGTACAGCTACGATTATGGTATGGTTCATTACATTATGATGAGCACGGAACATAACATGGGAGTCGGATCAAGACAATATTCTTGGTTGGAGAAAGATCTTATGAGTGTCAACCGCTCCAAAACTCCTTGGATCATTTTGGCCGGGCATCGACCAATGTACACCAGTGAACTCGCTATAAGTAATGATATTTCTTTCAAACATTCTCAAAGTTTTGTCATTCACTAATGGCTCTGTTACACGGTGCAACTCTCTTTGCAACTTGCAATGCAATTCTAGGTGTATATTTGGGAACAACGAAACTTTTGTGTTTATTACACTTCATGCACTTTTCTTCTGCAAGACTCTTCACTAACATACATTTAGTAGCAATAAAAGTTAAAATGACACGTTTTCCTCCTATTTTAGGTGATCTTTTTGTATCGTACGGTATGCAGCATCTCTTCGAAGATCTCTTGTACAAATACCGCGTTGATCTGGCACTGTGGGCGCACTATCACAGTTACGAACGCACGTGTCCAGTTTATAGGAAGAAGTGTCAACAAGATGGGATAACGCATATCACGATAGGAACCGCTGGGAAGGAGGAGGATACCGAAAGCTATGAAAAGGAGGACTGGTCACTCTTTCAGCGTAAGGATGATCCATACGGTTACGGTCGTGTGACGATCGCCAACCGCTCGGCTTTGCATTGGGAGTACTTCGTGAACAGCCAGGATAAGGTTATTGATGATGTTTGGTTGAAAAAACCAAAGCATGTAAGAAGCAGTACACATGAGCGTGACACATTATTTTGATTTGTAAGTTGTAACATGGTTTTTTTCTGTAATAGGTCAGTAGCTTACAGTTGATGACATAGAATTAATATCTAATAAACGCTCATGCAACTCGCAAAAACCATTCCCGGGGTGCGACACAACGAACACTGCAGGTATAGCATTCTCGGTTAACAATTTACTTTTATTTGAGAACATGCAATGATGCAAATACTGATAACCTAAATTCATGCCATATTCAGACAGAACATTGTATTTTTATTAATAAGAAGTATATGAATTATATATGTAATAAGAAGTATATGAAGGCTAATCGGGATCATGACATTATGTAAACAGCCCCTGAAGGTAATTTTCGTTCTCTGCGCGGACGAAGAGCGCTTTGCCCTTGCGCGGTAAAAGCGAACGTAATGGGAAAGAGCCCATTCTATGTCACTTCGTAAACGTATATCTCGTATTTGAAACTAATGCATTACTAAGGAATCAAAATTAAAAGAAACCTTTTCGTTGAAACCGGAAGGATAAGTGTATTAAAAAAAGTATTTACACTGGTAATAAACATACAAAAAACTGCAATCCTATTAATCAAATGTCGCGTGTTCAAGTCCCACCATGGTCACTCAGTATAATTTTCAGCTCGCCGGCGGTTGGTAACTTAGAGTAGCATCTTCACAATATCAATTGAAACCTGAGATGTTTCATTACCATCAGTAATACAAATCACAGTACAAATTAATGAACATTTACAACTCTTATGCAAATTTCATGTCACGTTTCTGTGAACGGGCTCTTCCGCGTGAGACAAACATAGACGCCAAGCACATCAAATTAATTATTCTATCAAACAGACCTCACCGGCAGCCGTCACAGGAAAGAAAACAGAGTGTGGCGCCACATATGACCGTAGTTATGCGGTGGTGCTAATGGCGACGTACTATGGTATAGCATTTTCTCTTGCCCTCGCTTGTTTATTTTTTAATGCTGACGGGGGAAGAGAGTTAGTACCGACGTATTTTGGAAGAAAGTATAAAAATGGCAACTATATTGACGCAACTATCAAAGCAAACTGGTTTAAAATCACTCTGAGACCGGTTACCTCAATCCTACAAAATTCCGAGGCAACGCTGAATGTTGAACCGCCTTTGGCTAAGAATGGTCAATATGTCAAGGTGACATGGAAGGGAGTTCAGGGCGCCACAGCAAAGGATATGATTGCTTTGTATTGCCCTGAGAAGGCAAAAACCAACGACTATCTTGACTTCTTTAATGTAGACGAATCATCGACCTACAGTCAAGGCTATGGTGAATACTCCGTACGAGTATACAACGTAAGAACGAATTGTGAGATGCGGTATTTTAGGAATTATTCCCAAGGCCATCAAGAACTTGTGGCAACAAGCAATACAGTGGTTTTTGAAGGAGGTCCCGAGCAACCTTTACAAGTGCACCTCGCTTTAACCGGAAAGCCAAGTGAAATGGGAGTGATGTGGGTCTCTGGAACAGGTAAGTTTATACTCTAGCTGTTGACGGCAACACTGGGAAGACTGGGAAAGTGGCGTTAAGTTTTTTGCCATTTATGTCTGATGTGTTTTTTTTTCATTTTCCCGCTGGGTTTCCCAAACGCTTTATGGCAACTTAATTGTCATCGAATGAAACTAAGACAATAGATGATAATGTGTTGATCACATCGTCTCACGGAATATCAGAAAAGATGTATCAAAAGCTTTGTTTGCACAACAAGTTCAGGCTTGATCAGGGTCACAAGTTTCGGCCTAGCTATAGTGTAAACATGGCTTTTTATCAAACTCTTAACTGCGTGTCATCAATGACATCATGCGAACAACATCTCAAATCATAATTAGTTGGGCGGGCATTAGGAAGCTGCTATCCTTTTGACGCAAATAACTTTTACAGTGTGACAAATGTAAATTATAGTGTTTACACGTTTTTTACAGTCAGTAGTATTGTCTTAGGCCTGTTTGAGACGTCGAAACTTTTCATGCGTCAAATTAAAGGCAAATAAACTTAAACAAAGACTTCAGCTCGCTGGAAATTTTCTCAAAAAGTTCGACGTCTGTGGCTGCGTTCACATGCAGGAGCCGTCACTCGAGCTGGTTAGGTTTCCTCGTGTGAACAGGTAGAACTTACCCAGTAGTGAACTCTTCTAGTCTTTTTAGAGTTCACTGGCAGAACCAGACAGATTCTATTTTCATCCATTTTTATTGTGCGAAAAAACCAGAAACGGACGAATTCGAGTATGGTTTCAAATTCCTCCCGACTCTCGTGTGAATGATTACTGAATTAGCTGCGTTCAACCTTACCGAAATGCGTCGTATAAACCATGACTTACTCTGGAGTTCACATTTGTCCTGATTCTGTTTTGTTTTATGAAAGAGTTTGTGGTATTATCGGATTGTCTGTTTTATTTCAGGCAGACAATACATTTCATACGCCAAGTGATCCTCAGAAGACCGCATCCGGCTGCTCTTTGTCGATTACGCTCGTTTAACACTTGCAGTAATTCTTGCCACGATTTTATGTGGGATTTTCTGCTTTTGATAGATGCGAACGAGTGGATAAGTTACAGATGATCAAGTAGGGCGTTAATACTTCAGGGCATCCGCAACTAAATACTCGCTTACATCTATCAAAAGAAGAGAATCGTATAGTAAACGAGTCTTAAACAGACAATGCAGATCCTGTTTTAGAGGACTCCTCTGAGAAACAGACTTAATTTGGCTGACGGTAAAGAACAGCGGAAATTTCACGCTATGAGTGCTTGAATGTCACGTGGAACCGTTTCTATAGAGATCTCATGCTTAGTTGCGCTTGATATTTGTACTGAAATATTTCAAAAAGCGCATAGCCGCAATTCTAACGGTGAATACCGCGTCCACAAAAAAATCAGAGGAACATTTTTTGAAGACGGGAATGATGTTGTGTAGTCACTTTTTGTTCAACTGTGGCAAACAGGCGAACTCTGGGGCGAACCTTGGTTTTATTCCTAACTCTACCTAACGGCCTCCACATCACCGAGTTCAGCTAACCGTCATGATATTTTTGTCTTTTGTTTCAGACCAGACACCTATGGTAAAGTTTGGTCGTAGCAAAACAGAACTTGATTCAGTTGTTGAAGGAAAGTCCCAGACGTACACAGCAGATGACTTTTGCTCACTTCAAGGAAAGTTTATCAATCCAGGCTATATCCACGACGTTCTTCTTAGTGCTCTAGAACCATCTACAATCTACTATTATTCATGTGGCATACCAGGGGTAATACTAATTTTAATGCAACCTTATCTAGCATGCTCCTTGTCCACCTCCCTAATTTTCGCCCACCTTTCTCCTCCCATCTTGCTAACCACCCACCTGCCCACACCTACCACCTATCAACCATCTACATACTCACCCATCTTTCTCTATCTATCCACATTTTGTTACCTACCGTACCAAATTAACCCATCTATCCAGTCAGTCACGGACCTCTATATTCCTATCCACCCTCCTATGTAAAGTCGTAAACCTTTCCACTTCCTTGCAACCAGTCTTCCTTGCCACCCTTACTCACACGCCTCATTTGACTAATTCACTTTTATTAAGTTCAACGAACTAACATCACGACCCTGCTTTGAACATTTGCTAACATTCTAGTTTTTCAAATTTCAGCACATGAGTCCAGTGAGATCATTTAAGACAGCACCACAGATTGGTCCTGATGTTGATTTCAAATTCATAGTATATGGTGATCATGGTATATTGCCAGCAGCCGACAGCACTGCCAAAAATGTCTTGAAAGATGTTCAGAATGGCTATGAGTTTATCTTCCACAACGGAGACATCTCCTATGCCCGAGGAATGGTAAGATTGTTTGAACACTTCGGTAGTTCACGTATATATGGCATACGCTCAGTTGAATTCAGGAAAATTCATCACCCACTGGCACCATTTTTATAAATGTATTCGCGGCATTTGTAAGGTTTTCCATCGTATAATCAACTTGCAAACTCTATACGTGTGTTGCATTAAATGATGCAGTAAAATGCCGAGTATTTTAACTAAAAAGTACTATACTCGCATGGAGCTCGTGACTTGGTTTTTGAATGGTTGTAATTTATAAAAGAGCGATAAATGGATTAAACATAGATAAGATTAGATAATGAATACATAACGAAAATCTCGAACATTTGTCTGTAAAAATGCTTCAGTCTCACTTTAGATTTATTTCTTGTTAGGAGTACATTTGGGAGCAGTGGCATGCGTTGATTGAACCGTATTCCAGTATAGCACCATACATGGTAGGTATTGGTAACCACGAGCAGAATCATATTGACAACTCTGGCAAGGATCCAAGCGGGGTAAAAGGGGATGGTTGGCATCCATGGTGGGGAACGATGGATGATGATTCACATGGCGAGTGTGGTGTCCCCATGTTTTATCGTTTCCACATGCCCGACAACGGAAACTATCTTTGGTGGTAAGTGTTCAATTTGATCATAATCGGCACAAAGTTCAGTTTTCAGCTTTCATTTGAGAAATGAAGGTATTCCTGTACAAAATAATAGAGTTACTCAAAAGTTTCAAGCACAGAAACTACAAAAAAATAAAAGAAATGGTTGCTCTAGTTTCTGATTAGCTGTCGGATTCTTGTACTGGTAGTTTTAGTATTTTCTTTCGCAATAGGAAAACTAGCTGAGTTTAGCAAAGATTTTTATGAGTCTTGAGTAACTAAATGTTCGTTCCTATATAGGTACAGCTACGATTATGGTATGGTACACTTCATCATGATAAGCACGGAACACGATCTAAGTCCAGGAACAAGACAATACAAGTGGTTAGAAGAGGATTTGAAAAGCATTGATCGTTCCAAAACTCCTTGGGTGATCCTTGGAGGCCACCGACCAATGTATACAAGTGAGATTGATCCAAGTAAGGATGAAAAATGCTTCCCATTCCTGGGTTATTACTTATTAATAGTTATAATTCCTGAAAAACACATATTCCATACGTATCGCATAAGAATGTTAAATATATGTACATGCAATGTTAAATTCTTTTATGTTTTGAAAAATACGTATATGTTTCTTTAATTTTTTTTATCGCAAATAGTAATGTTTGTTGTTTTGTTTAGGAAACTTCATTGTGGCTTTAGCATTTCAATTCCTTTTTGAAGACTTGCTGTATCATTACAAAGTTGATGTAGCGTTCTGGGCTCATTATCACAGCTACGAACGGACATGCGCTGTGTATAAGAATCAGTGCGTTGACGATGGTATCGTGCACATTGTGATTGGTACGGCAGGAAAGGAAGCCGATTGGCCGCCTTATCTGCCTCCTGATTGGTCCAAGTTTCGTCGCCATATTGATCCGTATGGTTACGGTCGTGTCACGCTCGCCAACCGCTCGGCTCTGCATTTCGAATACTTCGTGAACAGTGAAAATAAAGTGGTAGACCAAGTGTGGTTGTACAAGAATGACTAACGTTGAAAGAAAACGCTGCAATGGTTGTCGCTGAAAAAATGAATGCTCATGATTGGTACTTCAACCCAGATGGTATATTTTAAACCGAAAGATATAGGAATAATAGGATAATTTAATTTTTATGGAACATAATTAAATTTTTAATCAATATATTGTAATTTAACTAAATAGGAAGTTTCAATACGATTGGTCCAATTTATTAAAAAATGGGACAGTAACTACCAACGAGTTTGCATTTACCTATGACTCCAGTTCAAAGAAATATTGCAGCACAGTGGAGTGAGACCGAAAACAACAGTCCACCCCCCTGGAACAAGAATATGGCTGATAAAAGTGAGGATCAAAGTAATGAGGACTCTTTAAAATTGACGTCTGATAACCAAAATAATGAAGTTTTTAAAACAGTTACACGCAGGAAACGTAAGAAAGAAACGAATGAAGATATGGATACATCAGTTAGCACAAAACGACCAAGTTTTCCGCCTCTGTCGGGCGAGAGTTTGACGGTATGTGATGTTATTGCAAAGAGCATTTTCTAGCACGTGGGCTTATTATTGTGTTTTCTATATTCTTACTAGAGCGGAGTTGAGAAAAGAAAGGTTCCTGTGCCACCCAACAGATACACACCTTTGAAAGACAACTGGATGAAAATATTTGAACCTGTTGTAGAACATTTACATCTACAGATACGATTTAATCTTGGTTCAAGAAATGTTGAAATTAAGGTAGCTACAGCCTACGCTATAAGCTGAAAAGAGTAGAGAACGAAGGTTATGTTGTTATTTCATGGCAAATTCAATGTTTTCGTTTAGACTTGTAAAGAAACTAAAGATTTTGGTGCAATACAAAAAGCGGAAGACTTTGTTAGAGCGTTCATATTAGGTTTTGAAATTGAGGTGAGATGAAATTGATGGTTGATAAGGTTTGGCTCATCAGGGGAGAAAATTTGGGCTTTCATTGTGTGGCCCTAATCCTAACCTGATCCTATGCCAAACCTAGTTATCCAGAGTATTCCCGATTATATAATGGTTATGTTACAATTTCGTGAGGGGTTTGGGGTTTAAAAAATGATTTTGTGTGCGTAACATGCGATAGTATCATATCGTATTGTTTGCAGTTTCTGAATTTAGTTATCCAGTTTAATGATGATCCCTGCCATGCTAATTGTGAGAGTTGCTAGTGTTGTGAAACATTTACAAGTTTACACGTAGTATGCTCTATGACATCACAATTATCTCAACTTGTTCTGAAAACTGGATCATTTAGTTGATCAGTTACTATTACTTCAACTATTCCACCCAAGTAAATATTAAAAATATCAACATTGTTTCATAGGATGCACTTGCATTGATAAGATTAGATGACTTATTTGTTGAATCATTCGAGGTTACAGATGGTAAGTGATATACTTAATGTGGTGCATTCCATCTGATATTGATCTTTGATTTGTCATGTTTAGTTCTCTGTGTTTTGCAGTCAAACCATTAAAAGGAGACCATCTCTCTCGTGCAATTGGTCGTGTGGCTGGCAAAGGAGGGAAAACAAAATTTACTATTGAAAATGTCACCAAGACACGTATTGTTGTTGCTGACACGTAAGTACTGTCAATCCAATCAGAAATACAAAGTCAGGTTTGCTGAGATTTCCATTGTATTTTACAGGAAAATACATTTACTAGGGTCATTTCAAAACATCAAGATTGCAAGGACAGCAATTTGTAACTTAATCCTTGGTGAGTTACATTTGGTATGATATTTGCTATTCATGTTCTCAGAAATTCTTACAATGTTAATGATATTACAGGTAGCCCACCGTCAAAGGTTTATGGGAATATGAGAGCCGTAGCAACAAGGTCGACCAGTCATTTCTAAAGTTTGACAAGAAGTTTGATGAGATAATGATTTTCTTGGAAAGATCAATGATACATTAAAGTAACAAATACAACAGGTTTCAATCATGAAATTGATGTTCCAAGAATTGGGGAGTTCCGGCAAGCATAACAGAAAATCTCTATAATGATCTTGTAAATATAATACATAATGTATGTAAAAGATGAAATATATAAATGAATTGTGGAAACAAAAAAGTAATTGCTTGGTAATCAGCACCTTCCCCTCACCCACTGAGCTATATTATATAATAAATCCTCAGTGAAATTATGATATAGCTCAGTGACCTCACGTGCACCTTATTTGAGTTCACTGTTTGACTGAAAGGCGCGGGGGAACATAGGGGATTTTAGGGCCCTCTATAGGTGAAATTAGGTTATTTTAGCCAAAGTTGGGGCTAAAAAATGGGTTAAAATTGACAGAAATTATTTAATTTATTCAGGCAATGTTCGGTGCATAAAGAAGCCAAGAAGTGTTTTGACCTTCCATATTCTATAACGTTTTATGTGTGATATTGCTGTAAGCTTTTCAACAAGCAGGTGTGAATTTTAAAGACTGCTAAACGAAAATTGATGGCTTTGAACGGTATGGTAAGTAAAATTTCCATAGAATGTACTTTACATTAAATAAATACTTTTTTTAATACAGTGTTTTATAATATTTAAAGTGTGCTGAAGTTTTTTATATAAAGTTTTGTGCAATAATGATACATCGCTTTAACATTGATACATCGATAGTGCATAATATTTCCTTGTTTGTGTTGAATTATGTAGGATTCTAACTCGGTTCGTTTTAAAAAAGAAAGTCCGAGGTGTGTATATATAGTGTATACAATGGAACTTGTTTTCCCAGTGTATGGCTGCTCTCATGAGGTTGCTGCAGTGAACCGGTTGCTCTCTATCAGTTGCCTGACACTTGTGCTTTTTTAATTCATTGTTTGCAAAATTTTGATGCTATTTCATCCAGTGTGTGTATTGAATTCTGTACTCATCAAAAACTCTGTGTAATACTAGAACATCGCAAAATGTCCAAAAGAAGCACAATTTCTTTGATGATGATGATGATGATGATGATTTTGAGACGTTTGATGGTGACAAAGACTTTGAAAAAATGACTGGTTCATTGACAGCCAATGCAAAAACAGATGATCCTGCTGAGGATGAAGAAAAGATGGGAGGAGTTGCTTGGGGAGGAGTTGCTTATAGCTTGACAAAAGGTTTGAATTTTTTTATATAGAAATATAAGAACTGTCTGGACAATGTGATTTGATATGCCACGAATCTTGGACCTGGTTGAAGCAGTACAACTTTTTGAAAACATGTAATGCCCACTTTAACTATGAAGCTTTGTATCCTTGCATTTGGGTGTTGTGTATTGGAGGGTAGAACCTTTCCACATAATCAACTTGCTTCATTGCTATGACAAGTCCCCTCGGGTCTCGTTTGGTTTGGGATAAGATGTGTCCCCTCCTTTACAGTTAAACTGCATGACTGGGGCATATGATCCTTGCATAGAAAGCTGGATTTATCCCTGGATTCTTAATTACATATGCTATTATATTCATAAACAAAATATTTTCTAACAGAAGATAAATCAAGTGTTCCTGTCAAAACTCCAGAGAAAGTGACTGTGCCTGCCAAAGCCACTGCTCCCAACAAACAGAAGCCCAGTTTGAACCCAGGCACTCAAAGTAATTACAAATATTAGCCATTCTTTAATATCCTATGTCAAAGTGTAAATCTCATGCAAAGTTGATATATAGGTCTTGATCATTAATGAATTAATTTAATTTTATTTCTAAGCCTTGCATGATGATAGATATTCCACCTTTGCATATTTGTCTCCACTGACAAGTAAACTAGATCCTACTGTACTATTAGAAAGAAAATAAATGCTATATTTGTGCCCAGATAATGCAGCACTTTCAAAAGATTTTTCTTTGCCATTTAACAATACTATAGGACAATCGGGTGTAGTTGACCCATTTCATGTTCGGGATCAGATAAGCAAAGGGACAAAGTTTACGTCTCAGGTGATCCAAACTTCCACAGTTGAGAAATCAGCCACAACAACAACAACAACCACAAGATATGATGAAGCTAGTACAAGCTCGATTGAAAACGGTAAAATACTATATTTGAAGTATTTTGAAACTAAAAAAATAACAAGAAGTAACAAACTTAACAATTTCTCACAGTTGTCCAGAGGGCAAAATCAGAGATGACGGATGCTGAGAAAAAAAGAATGCAAGCGGAAATTAAGGAACTACAAAAAACTGTGTCTGTAAGTCATTGTGTAAGACAAAATGTTTAAAAACATTCTTGCATGTATGAAACTTTGTATGACACTTTGTATTATGTATGTATTTTCAGACTCTTCGCAAACAGCACAAAAGCGCTCCTGAGCCAAAGGAAACTGTAAAGAAACTCATGTTAAATCAGGTACAACCAATTTATGGTGATTGCCCTGAATTTTGCTATCTGTGAGTGAGAATTCACATTCTTCTGAGATTGCCTGCATTGATTTCAAGCTTTATTTTGTGTGAGCAAAATCATAAAGTTTCTATTAGCCAAACGTTTGATATTTCCAGCCTTGTGTTCTGGAACTCTACAAGTCACTTGATAAAAAACTCTCTCTCCTGGATGAAGCAATAAAACTCGGTGATGGAGATGCATTAATTACGGTACAGCCTATTAAGTCACTCATTTATCATTGCCTGACTTAATCTAATATATTTCCTTAATCCTCTATGGCAATTGAATGAATGCTGAGTTCTTCATATTCTTTCAGGTCATTCTCTTTATCAAGAAAACGGTGAAATATAGTAAGGAAAATGTTCCACAACAGCTTCTTGCACTTTTTGGAAAGTATTGTAGACTTATTTGTAGTTGATAGTAATTTTCTTTGATTAGATCTGTTTGTGCGAGAGATTAGCAAGCGGCCTGTTGCCATAAGACATGTTATTTCGTTCATGAAAGCACATTACGACTACGAGGAACTAATCAAATTATTGAGGTAATGTTCAATAAACTGCCACGTAAATTTACTCAATAATAACTCTAAGATCATCTTAGCTTTTCGTGCGTGAAAAATCTTAATTTTCGCTGAGCCTTTTTGGAGTGAGCAAATCTTTTGAGATCCTGACATGAACACAGATAATGTGGCGTATTGTACTTGGAATCGTGCAGTCAAAGATGTTTGTAATTTTCGTTTTTAGACTTTTGAATAGAAAGGAAGAGGCGATGGTAAATAAATGTTTCTTTGTTGTTGCTACTTTAAACTCGGGTCCATGCTGCAAATTTGAGAAATTTTGCGTTTTCTTGCAATTGAGAACTATTGTAGAGATAATTTGCGGTAAATTTCTTTATTCAGATGTTGGAGTACAAGAAAGCTGTGAGTTTACCAAACGCTGATTCACAGATACAAGCAATCAATGCATGCCAAAGGTGGGAAATGACCTACTGAGGTCAGGGACGTATTAAACTAGTATATTTCTCGTAGGTTAATACTTCTCTGTTTTGCCTGTTTTAGAACGTACGAGAATGCACCCGAATTAGCAAGCGTCGTCTCAATTCTGAGCGAGAATCAATCTCTTTTGAAGAGACAGATCAGAATCGAGGTGAGTCGTGAGATAGCGTTTGTGGTAAGAAATATGAAAATGAGGAAATATCGTTTGATATTTTTCACTCGTTTTCGACACAGGTCAAGGATAAAAGGAGTCAAGGGGATCTAAAAGACACGACCATGCGACTTCATCCACGTAAATCCATCACGTCATCACCCTTGATTGAAACGTTGCATTATTGTTGTTATTATCACTACGGAAAAGATGACGTAAGTCAGCCAATGTTAGATTGAATGATTGATTGAAGTATAGCTGTATAAAAATAACCCTAATTTTGTTAATGCTTTCATTTGCTGCGGGTTTTCCTAGGACACGCTTGGCCCTGATTCCCTGCAGAAGGAATTTAAGGTACAAACAAGTGAATAATGGGGCAAACAAGAACACTTGGGGTTCCCGAATAGACCATAATGACGTCAAACCAGTGCGTCAAACACGAAACTCTGGTATATACGAAATTGGTTGGCTGTATCGGAATTTACCTGATGAAGATTTCTGGATAGCTTTGATCCAGTGATCTTTTTCAGCAAATGATTAAGCTCCTTTTGATGCCAAAAAATACCATTCACACGCGAGTGAAGAATCTCATGAAAACCCGACACGATATTTTATATTAGCTTACAGATAAACAGTTTGAATGGACAATGATTCGCGCTAGAGCTGAGCTCAAGAAGTGGGAAGATCTGGAAACATTGTTCACCTCCAAGGTATTCTCGCTTTACGAATTTTTTGACCGTGAAAAATCATACGAAATGCAAAGAGCTTGTTTGGAAATTTCTATCTGTCTTTTTGTCGTTACTTTAGAAATGGTATGGCACCAACAAACTAAAATCTAGTTTAGGGTTTGATAAAGTTGTTGGAATCTTAAAAGAGAGCAATGCTCCTCCAGATGTGAGTATTAGTATGATACTGTAATTTATAGCTTATTCTTCATCTGTAACCAAGATAGTTTATGTTATATTTAAGTCTTTTTCATTTTAGATTTTAGGCAAATATCTGGAATTAATCGAAGACCTTGAAACAAGGCTGGCCCTAGCTACAAAAATGCAATGCCATAAAGTTGCTGTCGAGGTGAGATCCCTCCGTGAATCTTTCCCGTTTTACCTTCTAATTCCAACCGCCTGGATTGATTTGTGTTTTATAGACCATTGTAAATATGAAAGATAAACAAAGATTAGACGATTACAGAAAAAACTTGGAAAGAACTCATCCCGTTCAAGCTCTCATCTCACGCTACCTGCAAAATTCTGTAAGATGCCTTGTTTTTTTTGTCTTATTGTGCCGCGAAATGTGTACGTTTTCCCAGATTTTCTCTCCAGATCAGAAAGAATGGAGATCAGAAGTTATTTTGCGCGTTTTGGAGCTATTTCATGATCGCATATTTTCGATGTCGTTCCTTTCCTCGCGCAGTCCGTTTGGTTTTGTTGAATAATGCTTTCTCAATATGTACCTTTCCTTCTGTTTTGCAAATGTAGCAAATCAAATGGAAATGACAATGTTATGGAAGGTGGTGTACACGTGTAAGGTATATGTACTTGTACAAGGTAAGCCTGGGTCGCGTGGACAACAGAATTGTATCATCATAGATCGGCACAATGCCAACAAACCCATTGCTTTAATTGCATTAGTTGGACCAGATCAGTACAACTGAAAGACGATTTTGTAGCTAACTAACAATTCAAATTTTTATGATTCAACGTGAGACGGTATAATTTGACGAATTTTTTATTAATTTATAGATTTCAAATTTATCATACAAACTGTACAAATATAGAAATAGGAAACGTCTATCATTTTATTAAAAACATTTTTGTTGTAGTTGTTGATCTGTATATATAACGTTACGACTTTAGCGCTGCCTTTGGAAGCTTCTTTTTTTGATAGTACTTCTGGCAATACTCTGGCTTGTATTCCAGTTAAACAGATAAACTTTTTGAGATCTGCCAGCATAGTTTCAATATTTTCCATCCTCTCCACAAGTGAAGAAAAGTCCATGATTTTGTCCCATTCGCTTTATCGTTTCTGGCATTGGTGTTTGGTATGTCTTAGCATAACTTCCTGGTCCAGGTGTGTTCTGGTTGAAGAAGAAAAAGAGTTTCAAAAACATTGATACTGGGATTATTAGAAACAGTTTTGGGTTGGTTAATTGTTTTAAGTTAAGATAACTCAAGAATTTGAAATTTATTTACCAAGTAATGGACCTTTTGAAAACGTGGTGTCCTGGATTTGAAAGAAGATGTCATGCCATTTGTTTTTGGCAGGCAAGCATCTTTTGATGTACCATACTGCCCTGGAGCTGGACCACTTTTCTAGGAAAGTAAATTAAGGTGAATATTCTATGATTATTCATGTCTACTCTAAGATTGGAATTTATGCACTGCACTTACTGGTTTAAAGTAGACAGTTGGAAATCTTGAAACTTTTGATTTGAAAATTGAAGATCTGAAGGTCATATGGTAGTTGGTTTAAAATAATGGCATTTTTATGAGACTGGTAAAACAACTTTTATTAGCATACTTTGAAGCCTGTTTTTCTTCAATTTGATATCCCTTGTCATAACTTGCAGGACTAACATCACTTGAGAACACGTCCTGTGGATTTTAAAGAGATTGAGTGTGAAGATCTAATGGCTAGTGCTATCATAGACAAAGTCAAAAGTTCAAAAGTAAGAATGTGTACTTTATCAACTAATCCAGCCACCCCAGGTCCATGGAATCTTTTTACACCTTTGAAACTTGCATAACATCTCCTATTTTTTAAATCATCCACAAATGTTTGATATTTATACTGTCCAGGCATCAACATAACTCCCTTTCTTGATGGATCTGCATCTTTCTTTCTACCTTGATCTTTAAATGTGTAGGATTGTGGAATAACTTTCTTATTCAGTTCTTCAATGAAGTTTACAACTTTGTATGTTCCTGGGTTTGGTGTATCCTGTGTCAAAGAAGTAGTTGGTGGTAAATCTATCATTTAACCATTCAATCTGATGGACACTAAGTTGGCTGGTTCATTCAAACCTTTAAAGTCACCCTCCACCACTGGTCTCTATCAGATGCTTCCACATCAATTTGACTTCTTCGACTGGTTCTACCATCATTCTAAGCAGAGTTGTATGGTAGTCATGAAGATTCATCACATTAATCTCGCATAATTATCCATTATTGAACATAATTGCCAGTCAATAATAAACTGAACTACTGGAGTGTACCATAAGACCTGGCATGCAAATGGTAAAAATGACCGGCTCTACGTGTTTACACGAGAAAACTGTACGAATTTAAGCACGATCTCAAATCCGTGCTGTCTTATGTTAGCGTAGCCGAAGTCTCTATAGTTTTACGGCAAAAAGGCGGGCAAATTATTTTATCTTACCTCGGTTGAAAACCCAGTATTTGGCGTATTAAATTGCCTTGATCTACTCCGCGATCTCGCTAAAACATCGGTGGCCATCACAGAAACATTTGTTGGTACATAAAACAATAAAGTTTGACAACGAAACCATAGCAACAGTTTGTTTACAATGTTACATGTGCCAATATTGCCCTCGTATTCTAATTAGAATAATTAGAATTAATTAGAATACTGCATTAGCGACTACCGCCGAAGGTGCTGCGATTGTTTCCCGAAGATGAAAGTGGCGAAGAGTTGTGAAAAGTCAAAAGTGAACAAAATTCAAAATGCCGGACGAGTTTGTGGATTTGGAGCTGCAGTGGAAAAGTCGTTTGGAGAAGAATTTCAATGTATTCACAGTTGGAAAGATATTTAAGTAAGAAAAATGTATTCAAACTGGTATTAGCCGCATTAACACATAATTTACTTGTATATTTATGGTGTTTACTGACTTTACTCTTGACTTCTAACTAGCCTTTCCAATGATCATCTGGTTGTGGGAGGTGAAGATGGAATTATCAGAATATACGACTTACCCACAATGAAACATTCAGCTGAGGAAATCACTTTGAAGGTAGACTTGCATTCACCTACAGTTAAACCTTGCTAATTCTAAGTGAGAAAATTCACACATTAAGCTACAAAAGAGTTATATTAGGTTTTGGTGTAAAACAACGTACTTTAAAGCTCAAATATTTTTTCTTTATGAAATTCAGGAGTTGATAAAGTTGGAGACCAAAGGAGGACCGGTTCAAATTTTATGTCTGCACAACATCACAAAGTTTGGTTCTGTTGATTTGATTGTTGCTGATACAAAAGGAACTCTGACGTTCTTTGGAAATAAACAAATTTTGTACAAAATGGCAATATCTGAAGGATGTATATCTGCCCTGACTGTTGATATCGATGCAGGTTGGTTCCAGGGTAACCTTCCACTGATGATTACATAGTTAATGTACTATCTAATAAATTATGCCATAAGCATTGCATCCTGTTTTCTTTTAGCGCAAAACTTGTCAATAGTTTTGGGAGACCACGAGGGAAATGTAGTTGGATGCTTACCTCACTGTACTCAATGGAAGTTGCGATTGAGTGATTTGATCTCGTCTAACAAGGTAAGCTTTCGGATTAGTTTAATGAATCTGATTTAGTGACAGTTTTAGAGCAAGACACAGAAGGAGCTTGATGTGGTAACTCTGATATCAGAATTACGTCAGGTTTAACTATAAACTTGTCAAATTTTCAGAACTCCAGTGAGGCGATGGTGACTTCTCTTCTTTCCATCAAACTCCCTGTCAGCCCGTCGCTCGTCAGTAACTACGTACTGGTTGCAGATAGCCACAAGAACTTGTATGTTTTGCAAAATGGAAATGTCGTACGCACTTTGGATATGCCTTCAACCGTCAGCACAATGTGTGTGGGATACTTTCTTGATGGACTGGACACCAATACGCCACTGTCACCACACTCCAGCGTAACCACAAGGACAGGTACTCCACACCAAGTGGCATTAGGGATGATCGACGGTAGGATATTCATTCTAAACAATTTCAGTTTGACCTTATATGCCAACATTAAGCTGTCTTTGACAAAGATAGTTGCCTGTTCGTTGGGTAAAACCATGGACACTTTGTTGTGCTGTGGGTACTTCAACTCTATGCTGGTTTACCACAATGGTAAACGTTTGCATAAAGTCAGGACCGATGATTGGGTTAGCTCAATCAAGGTTGTGCCCAGTAGGGGTAAACATGAACACTGTGTATACCTGGGGACATTGGATGGTACTATTCAGTCGTATGGAATGAGTATGTTAGCTAGATAAAATGATGAAAGTTTTACGAAATGAATAGTTTTATTCAGGATACATATCATGAAGTGAACTAACTATGGAAGTTAATCAAAGACAAAGCATATTTTATATGCATTGCACTTTGAAAAAATATTATTATGGCTGGATCAGGCCATAGCGAAGCAAATTCTTTATTACGACAAACGGAAAATGTTCTATTTAGAATTCGTTGCAAGCCGCTTTGTGGAAAAAGTTCTGCGAAAACTGTATGCGGCTGACCTATGCTTATAGCCTTATATTACACAAGCGCGTCTTGGAAACACAAGACACCCTCGCTTTCATAGAACGCAGCGTTAAACGAAGAAGTAGTCTTCTTTTCACCGCAATACACCAGAATATTGTATGTTTTGGGCCCTCAAAAAAAAACACATTACGATTTAAATTAAAGATTTAATTTAAAGACAATTGATAAAAGTGGTTAGCGTCTATAGCTTAATAAGCCAATAATCCCAACACATTTCGTATAGAGTTTTCTCAAAGCATTCAATAGGAATATGAGTTACTGAAAGTTGCAACGTCGGTTCACATGTAAACACGTTCAATGTATGTAAAAACAGTTTTTAATTCATTACTCAAATCTCACTTTTTAAATCTGGTTTGTTTTTTTATGTGCGTGTGACGCAAAAGTCGCCGCATTAAAAATTAACCGTGACAAATCCTATCCAATTGACCGCAATATGCTGATATTCCATATCAGCCAATAACAGAAATGAGAAGCGTATAACTGTGCCTGATTTTATGCAGGACTCGTGGTTTTTCATGATTAATCCATGAATTGATATTTTCTGACGAATCATTCCGGTGTGTCCTGTCCGCGAACTTCATCAATATTGCATCAAAGTCGGGTATTTTTGACAAAGATTTCATGTCGTGTTCTTACAGTTTTCTCGTGTTGTTTTCGCAAGGGATTTTTTCGATGTTATAATGGTTTTCAAGCCGGATATTTTAAAAAAACTAAAGGCGGGAAACGTCGTTTAATGGTGAGAATATTACGAGATATGGTCAGTCGAAACATAACTTCACAATTCTTCTGGGCAGCTGGTGAAACCAAGGAGTGCTTAATCAAAGAGGAAAATAATTTAAAATGAATTCAAGCGCTGAACCGGAGGAAACATATGAAGAAAGCGACGTTATTGACAAACAAACTGGTATGTATACTTTTCATCTCGTCTCAAACTAGAATTGGTTGGTAATTTTTAGTAGTTTTAGCTGCCCGTCAGGGTGATTCGTATCACAGCAGTCGGATTTTAATGATCCCACAAAATTCGGTTGAGTGTCCGGACTTCTTTGATTCAGAGGAAGTCAAAGGGTTCAATTGTTCAGAAAACTATATAACAAGAACCGATTTCATTCCACAAAAAACTATAATCCGAAAAGAATATAGGCCCATGCAACGGCGGCAGGCAGGCAGTTTGAAAACTCGTATAAAACGAAAACTCGTAACTTCAAGATCAAATTCAAGATCATGATTAGTTATATTTGAAGTGAATCAGAACGCAATTACTCGATAGGACAACTACGTTTTGTTTTAAGTTGTAACTGATCGTATCTCAAGTTTATATGACCTTTCGTAGGGCATTGATTTCGAAGAGAAAAATATAGCAAGTTTTTTAACAAACCTTCGCTCCTTTGATCTCAATAGATAACTGTGTTGCCTATGTTACTGCATTTCTTAGTATTACATGGAAAACGTAACTACTGATTCGTTTTTTCTTCCTAAAACCTGCTGAAAGTCTGAAACTTTCGGAGTTTTGCATTACTGGGTTAATTTAGACGGATTTTTAAAGCCCAATTGTTTTGTTATAGTGAAAAATCTATGAACCTGTTCAATATCTGATGAGTACCTTCGGCTTCAATTAGGAAAAACAAACTAATGCCGCCATTTCTTATTTCTGTCATTAATAATTTCATTCCCATGAAATCTGTCGACATTGTCATTCCCGCCCTCGCATCAAGCTAGCCAATGAGAGCGCTCGGTTTTGAACACCTTTGGCCCGCAGTGAAAACTCTGTTTGTACTTTGTATGTCTCATTGTTACAACGCTCCGTCGCCTAGCAAAATCTCGTTACAAACATTGAATTACTTTTCTCATTCGAGCGTAACCTCGTTTGCATATTAAAAGAACTAGCGAAGCAATTAGTTGCATTGTGATGGGCTGTCCAGCTTTTAGTTTTTCACTGCTTGTAAATTAGACCCAATTCCACTTCTCGAATTATCGTTTTTCATCGGGAAACCCGAAGTGTGCTTCTCTCTGTGCTGAAAAGGGGATCATTGTAACGTAGTGGGGAGTCTTTCGTTGAAATATCTGTGGATGTGTTCGAGGATAAAGTTTGCTTTGAAAAACTGTGGTTGAACAATCTGTGATACATGAGCGAACACACGATTTTCCTGAGTGAACATTTGATACGATCAGGATAATCTGAACTATTCAATCTTCTGCGTCTCTAAATGACGTGCTTCGTGTGAGATCTCGCGTCGAATTATGGAGTATAGATTGCGCGGGTTCATGAAACGTTTGTGTCTTGATTGAGATGAAGACGAACGCACCGAAGACGTCTGGAATTCCTATTGTAGACGGTGATGATGACGACACGAAATGTAGGTAGCTTATTCCTTTGCAAGAAATATCATTTTAGAAATCGACATATCTTCATCTTGTGTTATTAACTGGGTTCATTCGAGAGATACTGTGCCGGTGTGACCCGTCTCTCAAATGAAACCTTTAGTTGTATGTTGTGTATTGCTCAGCGTTGATTCGTCCGTCTAAAGCTTTGTGAATACTGCATGTGCTTGATGTTGTAGTCCGTGGACACTGTATTACTGTTACGACGAATCCATCCCAAGGCAAACAAGCTGTAGTCTTTTATATAAAGCGTCTTCGTTTGATTTTATAACCATTCAGCTTTGGCTTAGCATGCAGCAAATTTCGAGAAGTAAAAGCCGGGCGCGCACACGCAAAGAATTACATCGACTTGGATTTAAAATTTTATTAAAACGAAATACGGTCGGTGGAGTTTTTCATTTGCTATGTCAATTGTCAAATGCCATATCTGGCACGCGCCCTACTTATATTACATATTCTCATGCCTCATAACTTTTAACCAGGAGTTTTGCGTTTCGTCAATGCATGTAGGCCTTGAAGACAGTGCAGTTTCTCCCTTGAGTAATTTAAAAATCAATTCAAACTCAAACGCCAGTTTCCAGGCATGTGTAAAAATCACTATGACAAAACCGAGACTGCATGAGACATACGTTAGACCGAGTATAGAGATGCCTGTGTATTCGTGTTATACGACGTTCCTCATGATTTTTAAAGTCCTGTCGTGTTTACGCTGGGGTCTCCAATGTTAAATAAGAATAGGCATGTTCGTTTGTGTTTGCCTATGATATAATATACATGCATACAATTGTTAATCCGTATGACAATTTACGAAAAAGTTTTAGACTAATTTACGGCTTTGTCTGCCGAATAATAACTGCCGAGAATGTCCAAGTTTTAGTGATAATATTGTACAAATGTACATATGTTTTGACAGACTTTTCTTTGGGCTTTACGATTCGTAAAAATTTACACTTTGGTCTTTTATTTGATCACAGTTGGATACTTTTAAATTATTTTTCCATGGATGAATTGAGTAGATAATTGTTTGAACATGACTTTAGTTATGCAAAAAGTTCCATGATTCGTTTTTTTACCGTCGGTAGGAAGGACCCTATTTTCAGACAACGAACTATATATGTGAATATAGTCGATGGTTTTGAAATGTGTGACATATAATCCTTGCTGTAAGATACGTTTAATCTTTTCAGTCTTTTGATCCAAGAGGCAAGATCACGTCTTACTCTTTGCCAACTGATATATAGATAAAAACTTTTTACTGGATTGAGGCGCATCACGTTGCCTAGACAACCGCCTACACATTCTGAGATTTCTTTTGTAAATATTTATACATAAAGTTCCGTTTAGTTCTGTTCCAGTATCACCTTATGCTCCTGAAATTAATTCACACATGCAGACGTGCTTTCATCCCTGATCTTATGATGGCTTTGTGGAGCCGAAATAGGTCGAGATGATGAAGCGTGATAGGTGGACGACTAACACGAAAAATCGAGCGACCATAAGTGAATATCCCCCCCCCCCCTTTCTTGTAACCCAAATATATACGTGGGTCCTACGTTAAGATATGAGGGAATTGAGATCCGCAAAACCAATGAAGGGGTAATCTATACCGCTAGTGGGCATGCGTGATGTCATAGAACAACGCCTTCCTTCTTCCTTTAAAACAAAATCCTTTTCACGACGTCAATTTTCCTCCCGATTCGACTGTTCACTTTTTTTCCCGGCGATCTTAATCTTTAACAATTCATGGACACTTTGAAAACGTTGTTCCAGGCTTTTCACAAGCAGCTATTGCGGGAAAATTGTCGTACCTCATGAATAAATGTAAATAGCGTTTAGTGTGGGCAGATAGACAGCTGTATCGCTACGTTTTGAAGACGTTAAATAGAAATCGTATTTGTCTGTATGACTGAAAAGATTTTCATATCTACTTTCATGTAAACGGACATTTCTGAATGGAAATAAAATGTGAGTTTAATTCTTACAATCTTTATCGTCGCATGAAGTGTTCTAGGAGTATGTATGGAAATGTTTAGCTTTCCTTAGTTTTGACGAAATACAAACACGTTTAATTGCCTAGAAATATGAAAACTCGACGAAGTAATCCACTCGAATACTACTATAAATCATTTGATTGCAATTTAAGAGATTTGATGTAGATTTGTACGTTTTAATGTGAAGGTTAATGTCTATATATGTCGCTAAATTTCTGGATAAAAAATTAAAACAGGTCCTTTCAAGATCATCCATCAATGCTGTAAATCGTTAAAGCATTTGCATATTTATATCTGAAAAGTGACGATATCGAATTGAAATTTATCTCATTTTACTCTCCAAATCCACATAAGTTTGTCTCTTATGGTGTATTGTGTTTATGTGCGCGAATTCTACCGAATTTCCAGCCACATAAGTGTTTAAATTCCACCTGCTTTGAAAAACTATGGCAGTCACAACTTTGATCTCTTTCATGAATGATTAATAACCGCTTCCATTTTGTTATTAACAATGGCGGACGAAGCGAGTTTCTGACTTCACGCTCATTCGATACACCATGTCCATATGTTAAAGCCACTCTAACGAAGCGACGTGAGTTTTTCGCTGAGAATGAAGGAGCAGGTTTCCGAAGACGTTTTCTCTTAATGCGTAGGTTTTTCATTATAAATTGTTCTGACTTATTTGAATATTTTAATGTTAAATTCTACGTTCAAATAATTACTGTGTATTTCATTAGGACTTAAGATTTTCGTGCTTCGTTTCTACGCCAAAAAAACTAGATTCTCGTGTGTACTTTGAATTTTATCACTCGAATTGAGGATATCCTGACCTTTTCATAAAATTGCTATTCAATTCGTTTGAATTGTCTTCGGAAGTATTTGTTTACATTATCTATTAATTTTATACGTAACTATACGTTTAGTTCCTCGCCGAAGTAGACTTCATAGAACACTTTTCTCCTCTGAATATGAATTTAAAAATCTATTCCATGTGACTGTGTCGTCTTTACCATTTTGCAAAGAGTTTCGCGCGTAACCGGCGTAATATTTACTCATGCCTATTCAGTATTCAGAAATCTCAACATTCATCCTTGAAAGTAGTATATCCCCTCTCTGTATCAGACGATTATCAATGATTCTCGTATTTGACTCTGACTCCTACGACGCTACACTTAAAAACATGTACAAAATATCTTGTATTAAATGGGGCATCGATGGACACAGATATATATGTCCGAACCTATGCTATCATTGTGATATGCTAACAATGAAAAAGTGTTATTATCAAGATGCAGAATTGAGTTTGTATGCGAATAGTCTCTGATTTCAAGAGACCGTTCAACCATCTCTTGAGATGTGAAAGAATAATATAAAATGAAGTGTCCACATGAATAGACGACAATGATTTTGGCATAACTCTGGCATAACCTTTTACAATCATGTTTGTCCCCATTAGATTTCATACTGTTTTTTTTCACTGTCCGTTCTCGTCCAATTTGTTTTCGATTGATTAGTTCATTCATTCTTTTTCAGTTCCTACACCGGCTATAATATTCCTGTGTGTGATTGCTGGGGTAATTATAATACTATTTATCATCTACCAAGTGGTAAAACGTGGCTTGGTATGTAATTTGGAGCCCCCTGAACGACCCGACGATGAGGAATACGAACCTATGAAGTCAGTCCCGTATGAAACAGAGACAGACGATGATTATTTTGGACCCAGCTCGAAAACTCCCAGCCGCAGAAGCAGTTGTAATACTACGAGCGGGAGCCTTAGATCCGATGGGGACTTCGGTGTAGGGGATTTGTACGGCCGGGGAAAGTACTCTGACGGAACTGATGGCGTGGATTATTTCGCGTATAGTCCCGGTACTATGCGTCGTATGATAGGCGGGGAAACCACCCCTCGGGGTTATGATCCCAGGTTACAACCTGCCGGCGAAGAGCTGGTCAGTGTTGCCGGTCGGATGCAGATATCTGCGAGTTATGCCCCCACTGCGAATAAACTTGCTGTTAGCATTTTGAAGGCCGAAGATTTGCCGACGAAGGAACGAGGAGGCCCGAGTATGGTTCAAGTCCGCGTGGTTCTCCTCCCTGCAAAGAAACAGAGATTTAAAACCAAACCTAAAGCTTCGAACAATGCAAGCTTCCATGAAACGTTTACATTTAGTCACGTGACGCAAGAAGAGATACGGTATGGGTCGCTTAGGATTCGGGTGTATGGACACGAGAGGATCACGCGGGACCGTCTCGTGGGTGAGGTGAATATGTCGCTCTCGGAATTTGATTTAGAATCCGAGTCGGATACTGTGTGGAGGATGATCATTCCGAGAAGCCAATTATCGGTAAGAGTTCTCGGAATGTTTTTGAGAAATATTAGTGTGACTGACTTTTTTGTCATTTTACATTCTTTAGTTATATTTTACTAGAAATATTTTACTTTAATCCAGGGTGCAGATTCTCTCTACGATGTTTCAGACTCGATGAGTATTGGATCGGGTCACGGGGGTTCTACGTCATCACTGGTCGCAGTGCATGGTGGGACACCTGAGCTCCTGGTCGCTCTGTGCTATCAATCTCTCACTGGAAGATTGACGGTTGAGATTCTCAAGGCAAGCAACCTGCGCATGCCAGCCATGCAGCGTGCTCCTGGTAAGAATGCTTACGTCACTGTCACCATAGAGATTATGCGGAGATGCTCAAAGGATTTCCACTTGCGGAGGAAATATTCGCAACGAAACATTATCTCACAAGTGGAAGTCCAAGCTTCTCAGCATATCATTAACTGTTCTGAAATCATTGTTTTTCACTAAAATCAAAACTTTCCACGCATTGCTTGTTTACCACCATTCTTCATAGCCTCAATTTCAAGGTATCTCCCAACCCCTGATAAGCAGGGTTTGCGAAGAAGCTCAAAACGAAATTGAGTCCATGTTCTAACAATACAACACTCCACCGCAATATATGGTTCATTTAACCATTCATTCGTTCGTTCGTACGATATTTACAAAGCCACTTTCAAAAGTACGATTCTGGCTTTCCGTGTTTACAGCCAACAATGAATTAAAACTGTAAAAGATCGTTTGCGTAACGTTTATAAATTCACCGTGTTCTACTGCCTTGAGTCAATTCGAATACGGCACATCCCGGGTACAATACCCAGGGACAAAAACCGGGTACAATACCCCGCGTACACGTCATTTGTGTCCTGGGAAACAAAATCTCAGAGTACGCCTTTTTTCTGTATGAGAGTGTATTTTTGATGCTTTCAGTGTTCATAAGAAGGTGAGTTACATTTTTCATGTTTTGTGTATGAAATTCAATGAAATTCTACTTAGTTTTAAGGCACCTAAGGCAATATACCCGGTGACCTGTGCCTGCCTCGAATTGACTCATGCGAAACACGGCCGTGACGTGTTTATTTCGTCGAATTTCTTAGACACTTACGTCAAAGTTGTGTTAATTTCCCCGATCGGTAAACCCGTTGCCAAGAGCAAGACGACGATACGACGGAGCATGACCGACCCGGAGTACAATGAAAGCTTCGTGTTTCAAATGTCTGAGCGAGATTTGGCCGAGGTGACGCTGCAGTTCTCCGTCGTGGCGATCTCTCGTACGCGCAAGAAAAAAGAGATCGTAGGTTGGTTTCATTTAGGAAAGAACAACAGCGGACAAGAAGAGACATTACACTGGAACGAGTTGTTACAAGCGGAAGAGAAGAGTGTCAGTCGATGGCACGTTTTATTTGAAGACATCAAAGAAGTTCGTTAGCTAGCTAGCAATACGATATGATCAATTATCCGATCACCGAGAAAATTACGATGTATCGGTAATCGATAGATTGATATCATACAAGTATCGGTATCGTTCGACGTTTCTATCGTTTGATTATGAAGAAATGGTAGAAATTACGTTGTGATTTTCACTTCGCTATGTTGGTGAGTCTGCTGACGTCAGATGACGTAGCGTCATCCCAGAAACGGCGCAGCAGTCTGAAAACGAGTCTGATACTTCAATCTATTTCAATTGTAATTTTCTTTCATATAAGTCTTGGTGAATTCCTGTTCTGTCCTTAGAAGTCGTCAAATTTATTTTTTCAACGTCAAGAAGAATAATATATTTATCGCATATGTTAGCGTATGAGATATTTGTACTGTCATTTAGTCAGTTGGATCAACTATTTCGACTCTCTCGACTGCAAAAGCGAAAATTTTTTGAAACATATTCATTTATTTGATCCAAACAGGTTAGCAAAATACTATATACACTAGTCAAGTTGCAGTGCAATGATACAAAATACCCCATCTATTGAAAATATTTGACAGCAAACGTCTAGATAAAAATTATATAAAGGGGGTATCACGTATAGTACAATGTGTATAAATTTTATAATTCCAAATGTAATGTTAATATTATGTAGAGAATATAATTATAATAGATCGTTACAATCATCGTTCTGTCGAATAGTATTTTTGCATAGAGGGGACAGTTTGGAAATTTTTAATGGTCTGTATCAAATCTGAACTATAGCGAGTGGGGACCTGAATGTAAGTATATCATTTCAAGTGCATGAATAATTGAATGTATTCCAAGCTAGGACGAAGAAGGAAACAAGATAAAGTTATAAAATGAAGCATCTCAGTTTCTATAAACGCCTCAGTGATGCATTCACCTCATAGTTGCATCATGCATTCATACAAACACACACAGTCCTTGCTGCAACCCTGTTGACGTGTTGTGCGACAGGCTTGCTTTGTTGAGTGGGAACAAGCAGTGCGAACACACCTTTAAAACACCCCAAATTACTACAAGTCTGCACGATACAGGCTTGTTACTAGTTGTGTGTTATACAAATTTCAGAAAAACGTCCATTTTTTACTTCAATTTTCTTGATTCCAGACACGTACGTCAAAGTAGCGATGTTCAACTCAATTGGTCAGCAGTTGTCGAAGAGCAAAACCTCCATACGTCGTAATATGTTTGATCCAGAATTCAACGAAACATTCGTATTTCAAATCATCGAATTCGAGCTTCCCAGCGTCAGTATAATGTTCTCTGTGATAAATATCAAGAAAATGCGAAGAAAGGAAATCATTGGATGGTTCTCCATTGGACACGATAGTACTGGGGACGAGGAGGACGCTCATTGGCGGGCTGTGATGAACGCTCGAGGACAGCCAATCAGGAGATGGCATATACTTAGCTCCGTCGATTTCTGAGTTAGGTAAATTTGGAAATGAACGAGGTCGCCAACTTCTGCAAAGAGGATGGAATTCCTAAAGTTTGTAAAAATATACAAGAATAAGCAGTGAAAAAAGGAACAACAACAACATACGCAAGACAACAATTATAAGAAACAACAATTATAAGCAACAATACAACAGTAAACAACAGCAAAAGCTGTTAAAGCATAGGAACAACAACAACAACAGCCGAAGAAACGACATGCAAATTGCAACGTAAACAACAACAACGTAAACAGCAACAACATCAGTGAACAGCAAAATATCAATCAACAACAAAACAAGCAACAACAAGGACTCGAGAATTGACAGGGAATCGTTTTAAAGTCATCATTGTTATTATTATTTATTATTATTTATTATTATTTATATTATTTATTATTATTTATTATTATCATGACATGAGCGACAAATTTCTTGACTGTAAAATAATACCGTTATATATACCTATATCGCTGTAATATATATCTTAGAGATTAAGATGTTTTTATCCGGGACAAGCGCCTATACAAGATTATCGAAATGAATTTATTATTAAATTATAAATCAACATTATGCTAAGTTTTGTTTCTTTGTGAGACATCAACACGTACAAACAGCATGTGCAAATATTAAGCATGTGATAATGGACGTTCAAATTCGACGTTAATCGACTTTCCCGTGGCGTGCGTGACGCGGTTTGATGAATGGTATATAATTTATTTGACAACACTCAACTTCGCTTTTCTTGCAAGAATGATTATAGCTCTGGTAAATACATTGCATTTAATTTGTGCATTATACTTTTTTTTATTTTTGCACCAGGCAACGTTTAGGTTGAAGTAGACTCCGTTTGGGATTTCTATGACAGTCGCATGAAAAAAAAAGCGTTTTAAATTATTTATTTCTTTGTTACTTTTCATTGACGTTGTATTTTCACTTGAAACCCACTTATGTCGCTGGCCTTTTAAGCACCGTTTATTGACTATATACATGTGTTTTGATCGCCAAGGAATCTGACTTCATGTTTATATTAACGGTTGATCTATCACCTGCAAAATTCCACGCTTGCAACCACTGGGATCCTGTGACGCAGTTGTACTTTTGAAATTTGGAGTTTATCAACCTGTCGAGCTGTATTCTCGGATGAAATACCTTCTTGTGATAACCTTTTGGAATGTCAAAGGATTATACGTATTGAAATTTTAGCAGAATTATGGCAGGTATTTATCACAATGTAAATTATCTTTTGTCATTCTACCGTACTTCTATAAAGCACCTGCTAAAATGTTGTTGAACTTTAGAGTTGATTATTTCATTTCAAACTAACATAGTTATTAAACTACATTAGAAGGAAACCTATAAAGGCTGTATTTGAATACCCTGATTGCATTGGTATACAATATACCACCCATATACAATATGTCTACTCTCTTTATATTTTATCAACAAGCACGATAAGTTAACGGTTGCTTCTATCAAATTCATAAATTAAAGTAATCTATTTGTTTCTACCCAATTTGCAACATAACTTATACAAAGTCTAAAGTCGGAGTGAGCCATTCTGTCATAATATACGAGGTAAATGATACTCAACGAGTTGTTTTTGTCAAAGACACTATGTTTAAATTAAATTAAGTCAGTACATTCAACTAATTGTAAATTTCATTTTCTCAGGTTGATTACACGAATATATATAAATAGCCTTTGTTTTTATTTCAGTTCCAATTGCAGTCGTTGGCGGTGCGGCTGTGGTTGTGTTGATAATAATACTCATAATAGTCTTCATAATATTACGTAAGAGGAAGAAAGCTGCATTGGACGCGGGCGAGAGACCTGCGAAGGGAAATTATCAAAAGCTTGAAAGTGGGGAGCTCGAAAGCGAGGCTGTCCCAGAGGGTGAAAATGTCGATGAAAGTGGCGGGAAAATCAAGAAGAAAAAGCGAAAAAAAGGCGCTGGAAAGAAAGGAAAAAGTAAACGAAAACAGAGCCAGGATTCGGTAGCAAGTCTTGAAGATGAAGCTGGACTTGGTGATTCCAGTGTTTTTACCGATGATTTAGCAGTTCCTCTGATAAGTAAACTTCAGTTTTCCGTTTCATATCATTCTGGAAATAGACAGCTTCTGTTGTACGTTCATCGCGGTGAAAATTTCGGCGTTAGCTCGACAACGAAATTCGAACTGCGAGTAACTTTGTTGCCCGCCAAGCGACAAAGACGTAAAACAAGATCTCAACCGTCCGGGAATCCAGTCTTTAACGAACTGCTCGAGTTTGCTGAAGTGGACATAGATGCGGACACTTTGCGGGTAAGAGTTTATAAACTGAATGAAAGACAAAGGAAGTTGATTGGAGAATTACGAGCCAACCTCAAGGCTGATTTAAGCCTGGATACCGTTCCCAAAGTCGAGCAAATTTGGAGAGAATTAACACCTGTTTCGGATATTCCGGTAAGATTATGTGTTATAGAAATCACCGCTGGCAAAATGGCGACAGCAATGTTTTGCATGCTTGTTTTCTGTTCAGTTGTTTTCCTCGTAATTTGAACTGATTTGTTTGCTGTCTTTACTTATAAGGACGATATCTCCGACACGATGTTCGTGGTAGATCCTGAAAGTATTCTCGCTGCACCAAAAGAAACGGTACCTATGCTGCAAATATCTCTTCAATACAGAACTATTACTGGCAAACTCACTGTGGAAATAATCAAAGCAAGACATATGAAGATACCGAATTTACAGAAAGCTCCAGGTATATAAAAGTCTGAATACTGGCCCTTGTAGTTGCATGAACAACGATGAGTTTCTTCGACGAGTCTCTTGAGAAAATTGAGAAAAGACACCTCAGTGCCTTGTTTAAAGTTATAGCTGAAAGTTTTCCTTCAACTACAACTTCTGTTTTGCCTACGCCGAAATATGAATTTCTGAAGTGTTGTTCTTTTATTCACAGAGGCCTTTGTTGAAGTGTCGCTGCTCAATTCTAACGGAGGTGAAATTTCTTGCGCAAGAACAGGGGCTTGCAAAGGATCGTTTCATCCCACATTTGAGGAGACATTTTACTTTCCTGCGATTGAGTTTGAACTGTCCGGATTGACCTTAGTCGTTTCTGTATATTATAAGAAATTTCGTAAAAAAGAACTGATTGGTTGGTTTGGCATCGGCCGTCAGAGTACTGGAGAGAGAGAACAATTACATTGGGATGAGATGATTGATTCTCGCGGGGAGCCAATCAAAGGCTGGTATGTATTAGGTCAAGTTTAGCTTTAAAACTGGATTAAAATTATCATTGATATATCCTGTATTAGAAACGAATATAATGAATAATTCAAATCCACGTATTAATAGGATATTTAACAGTTAAAAATAAATTTGTCAATGATCTGGTTTGACAATGACTTTGAAAGTCGAAATATCACCTTCAAATTCTTATCTTGTTAGGTATAGCTCATATCGTTAGTTTACAATATGTCATTTTTCGGAATATGTTTTTTTCTGGTTTTGTAAACTAAACGGGTTTTCTTCGCTCAACTTGATGTTTATTTCATTTAAAATTTACGCAAATCACGGCAGAAGTTGGCTGAGTTTCTTCATTATCAAGAGTAAACTGACAAAGAATTTCGTCTGCAGTGTAAATTGACCTTCCTGACATCACAAATAGGGAAGCCAAGTTTCTCAATTAACTGAAAACATCTGGCTAAAAAAAATTGCCATTCTCGAAATTGAGCCGGTATTGAGTTGCGTGGTATATGATGACATATAGATCTTTCCTGATATTGTTTTCATCGTAAGTTTTGAAAATGAAAACGAAAAGTGTTATTCCCCTTGTGTTTGTCTCGTGAAAGTTGTTCTTGTCATCGAATTTCATTTCTAAAAATATTGACCGATCCCTTTCGTAATAATTGACGTCTACGATAGCAAGATATTTTTATATCAGCTTCGTATATTCCGGAGTCATCTCGAACCACTTCCGAACTATTGTTCTTGACCGTACGAGAATATTCCGAAGATTATATTACGGACATTGTATCGTCTGAGGCGAAGTCTCACGATGTCGTTTTCCGATTAAGCCGATTCTTGCCCGAGCCTGTCCTATTTTGCAGATGTTGGTCGACATATGTGGTCTATGGTGGGGTATTATTTATCGTCTAAAAATAGTGTCGGGATTATGATCGTAAAAAACTCAGTTGAAATGAAAATTTAAAGCAGGTAAATTTAATGGAAAATGAAAAGAAAAATAGGATATATAAAACGAAGTTACGGCAAAATATGAATCTTCATTAAAAAAATAATTTCAATTTTATCCATGCAAGCCCAGTAATTCAAAACAACATACTGTCACTGCCGCACTCAATTCCACTGAATTCGTTTTTATTTTCAAAACTCAATATATATGCAGCGATATCTTCCTGTCTCTAAAGAACACTCCAGACACATGCGAAGTTCAGCTCTAAATTATTTCACCAACACTCATATATCATGACCATCCAAAAGACACATTATCACGATCATTGTGTATCAACTTCAAATATTTTTTTTACTTTGTGTCCCCGTAGGAATGGGTTTGTCGGTTAAACTATATTTATATATGTACGGATCTAAATTGTGAATTATTTGTATCTCTATATTCTATAAAAAACAAATTACGAAAAGACAAGACATATTGAGACTTGAGAATGAATATTTGAATCAAACAAGACACAGGTTGAAACTGAAAATTTTCGACTTTATTTCAAAGATGGCTTTGAATTTAAATTGTCGGCTTGAATTTAAATGGTGGTTTTTGGTCTATATTTTATGATCACGTTATCGCTTCGCCAAATATCATTTCTGACGTATTCTGTGTGAGATTGTGGTTGTAAACTTTGTCTCCTGACTAAAAATACACAGTAAAGTCATTCCAGTGAAACTGTGCAACACAGTTCAGGTTCTTTCTTTGAGTACATTTCACATGCAACATGCAGTTGAACTAGTATGATCAAGAAGTCAGCGGTGGGAAAATACTTTCTTAACCCACCTCCGTCGCTACACCTCCGTCATATTTGCGGTTAATAATATAAAACAGAGGAACTGGTTTATTTATGTCTGACCGCATCTTCGACACAAGCGTCTCCGTGCTTATCTTTTAGACTTGTATGAATTTCCCGCATTCGTTGTGAGAGATATCAGAATTTAATATCTCGAGAAAAGTGACATACGCACGCAAGCGATGTTAATATTTGCTGGCTCAATAACAGCCTATAAACAGATAAGTGAGATCACCGAAACAAGCAGGACATGCAAACAAAGCTCTTTGTACGAAAGCCTTTTTTGTTGTAGGGCGCTTTAAGTTTTGAAAGCTGAGGCGGATTCACGCTCATGTTCACATCTGTCCTTGCATTCACACGAGAAAAATCTGCGATCCCATGCCAAAAATGGGTGCGCGAGCCAAAAATTCAAGCGTGCCATGCGAAAACTATATTGTTCGAATACTAGGTATTGCACCAGCTGTACAAAAAAGGCTCTGAACATAATTGCTACCTTGTCTCTTCCGTGTTTGGAAGACATTAAAAAAAACCATCAATGTGGAATATCACTCCAGGACTGTCATCGGTCATCGCCGTTATTATAGTCACGAGTTTCAGGCGAGTTCAAATGTGAACTCTAGAAACATCGAAGGGCGTAGTCTCTTCAAGTCAGCGTTGAGACTCCAGTACGAAAGCATAGATTGCTAAAATATTGAACAGAAAGGTAGAATATATATCGAATGTTTAATTTACGTATAGCTATAGCGTGACAGAGTGTGGAATTAGCGTGGCCGTACTTGTTTTCCTGTAAATAAAGTGATTTCCCATGTCGACGGAAATGACTTCAACGATCATGGCGCGATACTGGCCCGACTCTTGTAACCATCACATCGTGCAGCCCAGCAACAATGCATTTGGAATTTGTTAAATATTGATACAGATCAAATAGGAAGAATAATTTTAGCAGCGATTGTCGAGGATTAGGCGTGTATCTATTTCTGATCAAAGCACGGATTAAGATTTTTTTCGCTTGTGGCTTGTTAGCATTTTTTTTCTCGTTGAATGATACCTGCGGGTGTGTCATCGCTGATCATATATAGTCAAATTTCATACATAATCGTTGACAATTTGCCATACTAATTAATTAACACCCCTATCCAAATTATCGATTAACGCTATGTCAGCCTACATGTATGTAAGGAAGGCTGTATATTCACTTTTTCAAGTTCATTACTTGAAGTTTTTAATGTTCTGAATGACTTTGCAAAGTATGTGGTTGGTTTGTTTCAAATCAGATTGTCTCTCGTGACTCGATTGGGGCGCAGAACGTGTAACTGAGTGACTTCAAACGACGTTTTTGGTATAACTTTCTACCGTATGGTCCGTGTTTCATTATGATCTCAACAGGCTCTCGCAATTACTGCATAAAACAAGTTATTTTCAGTGACACGAAGAGTAAATAAGATTTAGAGAATATTCTAAATACATATTTATCTGATCCATGACTTTCGTAACTGTTGTTCGACTGAGCGAAGGGGTGGTTCGATGTGAGTATGACGCAAATAAGCGCGCCAGGAATTTCACGCTTTTCCCAAACACATCCGTGGATAGATCAGCAGCGTGCAATATTACATGAAGGGTGATCAAATTACTGCCGATATAAGACGAATTCTCGGTTGGCCCTTGAAGTACAGTTCATGCATCATTACGCGCGCACACTTGGGCTAATACGAAACGGAATGAATATATTATAATGGCCGCTGATAAGGTAAGCGTGTTCCTACTCGTATATTCAATCGTTGTTAAGTCGTGAATGCACGTAGACGTGTTCAGTACAATATATAATATAATGCCAGCGAGTCGTTGCATTCCAAACGAATCTAAGCAATTATGTCCAACAAAGACGCCAAGAGAAAAATCAAAGCTTCAACGAACCTCTTCAAGTTGCTGTTGCATTTTCTCGATGGCAAACACCTACATTCGTTCGGTATTTCACAAGGAAACGCTAATGGTACTATATACTAGAGATACTACATCCTAATATAGTCAGTTGTTGACGTTTGTCGCGAGAGTGTTGTTGACCCTCGGGTTTTTTAACGTGAATATTTTGCTACTTTGTGTATATATAGCTAAAGAAACTCGAGGCGAGGGGACGGGCTGCGTTTCTTCATGGTGATGTCGGCGCTGCGACAAGATACTTCTTGCAGGCGTTGGAGAAACAGAACAGTCCTGAGAACAAGAAAACGAAGCCATCGACGCCAAAAGTTAAACGCGATAAACTGCGGAGTAAGTCACTAAATGTCCTGAACAATAACGATGAAGATCAAGTGTGGATAATGCAAGCCAACACACAGGAAAGACGGTAAGAAACGTTTTAAGCCATTTCACCAGAAGATGGTATATAAACACCATCATCATCATCATCACCATTTAATATACCAACAGCACACTGGGTTATAATTGATGGAAAGGTGCCATTGTGTCTGGAAAGTTCTTATCAAATTCTTTCCAATATTTCTATTCAAAATTAAAGGAATGATTTCTGTTGCTATTTTTGCATGTAAGCTGATACCATTGTAATGCAAGCTAGTTAAAATAGCAATATATGCAAGGTGAAGGTATTACCTCGCGGTGCTTGGCAGGTGATTTTAATCTGACCAGCAGGAAATCAGGAGATTTGCAAAGTTCATTCTGTTTTTAGGAAACTTTGTGTCATTGAGTATCATAATCTACTAAAAAGATTTGTCTGACTATTGCACGAGCCGCTCTAAGATCGCGAATTTTTTTTATGAGATATGGCTGTTACATCACAGCCGGCATAGGCTTGTTTTTTTTCGTTTTCTGTTTAGATTTTTCTCGAAAATTTGAAGCGGCATTTTCATCCTAAAATGATACATAGACGCAATATACCAATTCACAATTAAGTGTGTTATGTCTTGAAGATATATTTGATCCCACATGCCTGAAATATATGTCATATGGTGTAAAGGCTATAAAAATATATCACACGTTGAACTTTCACCCTCCAAAATAAACAGCGCATACTGTTTTAATTCTCTTAAAATATTTCAGCCATAGGCATAATTTTTACTACACTAAAAATACACTATAATACGACGTGGTTGGTGCGCGACAAATACAGTGGTTCTTTGAAGTTCTTTCACTTTATTCTATATTTAAAAGCCGCTAATGTGGTTTATTTGCGAAATATCCGTAAAATTTCAAGCCTTTTTTATTTCATACCAGTCTTTTGCTGATACTGGATTAGTTCACATAATGCCACAAAGCTTTCCTAATTCTGACATGATATAGCTCGATTACATTCTCATTGGTCTGAGTTTTAAAGCCGTGATTTCCTTTTTTCTTAAGTTAATCTCGACATGAAAAATAATTTGTTTATCCTGACCGGACATTCGCATATCGCTGCTCGCATTAAATTGTCGCTCAGCAACTTTATGCTTTCATTTGGTAAGAGGCAATTCAGATCAAAATTTATTAATTTATTATATTGTTAGTTCACAATAAGTAATAAGGCAGGAGAATGTTGACGTTCAGTCAATGTTGATTGTAAATTTCTTTCAGCACACATAATCGTTAAATTTCATTTCCGAATCCTATTATTTGTTTGACAAAGCAAGACGAGTTCTTGCCCGAAGCAAGACCTTTTCAAATCCATAATCTTTTCAATAATCCGGCTAAGCCCGGCGGCAAGAAAGTTTGTGAAGTATATTGCCAAAAAGGTTTTATTGTGTATCTAAATCAAGCGAAATTATATATGGTTGCCCTCCTCGTGAAAAATAGTCACGCGGCGGTGATATTTTATGTTCATTTTTTTCATCAATTATCCTTCCGTGCCGAACGATACAAAGATGCCTATAGCTGTGGTGTTTTCAACTGAACATGTCCTGTTTTCACAAAGATAATTTGTCATCAGATATTTTTTCACCCATCCTAATGAATCTAGAAGGGTCTGTAAAATATAACGCGAAGTTTATTCGCCATGAATGATGCATGCTTAACTTGAGATTCCTTACTTAGGAAGTCCGGTAAGAAATACTGCTTAACCATCGTAAATTATCATCAATTATTCGTTTCATTGTGTGTGAACTTGTTAATCTGCCGAAGTATGGTCCTCTATTAATCAGCAATTTCCTTGCAATTGCCGAAATTGATATTGAACGTGAATTAATTAATGACCAATTAAGCTAATGAGCCGTGTCTCGTTAAAGCGCAATTTGACCTTTGTTTATAGGCACGATATAAGTTAGAACGATTTCCTTAAATGCACGACTCTGCGACTTGATTGTATCTCAAAGTTAAAACTGTCATATCGGAATTCCGAAGGTTTGAGACATCTTTGATGTCCAAAAGCTTCAGTATTCTCCAATTTCAGGCGTGCAAAAACCTACGCTCGATCAAAAGTGATCCTCTTTTATGTCGCGCTTCCAACCCACGCTTTTTATCATCGAAGACAACATGTTTTTGTTCCTTTGCTTGTAAGAGGCTATGAATGCCAACAACACGAATCACAAAACAGTTGCTAAAAGAGCGAGCAATTTTTACACATAAAATACATAAAATTTCGATTTTATCTCCGTAAAATTGTTAATAGAAAACCAAATGTTCAGCCTTTGTTAAGGTTTGAAAGTCAGTTCTATATTTTCCAACGTCTATTCGAGTCAACGAGATAAGTTGGCCTCACCTCATTGAAAATTTTTCGAGTGTTATGTTTTGCGCCGTAGAAATGCTGCAAAATCCGGACGAGAGCGCAAAAAAACACTGTAAATTAGCACAAGGAATGCCAATAAATATAAAATATCAGTAATTATAATAGTTATTTTGTCTCACCCCTTCCTTTATCACGGCAGGAGGTTGCGACCTTTGTGCATAGTGAAAATTACCAGAAATCGTGCGTGTGTTATTGTTTGTTAAGATTTGATGCGATTTATCAGTTTAAGGCCATTGACCTTTCGTCGACGACATTCTATAAGGCGATTTGGAGGAAAATGAAAAAACAACAATAAAACTTCATTCAAAAGATAAAAGATTCGGTTTGGAATAAATGTCAGAGTTACGATTTTCTAAAAGTGACTCTCTTTCCTTTTTCTGACTTCTTTACTTGTAAAAGTGTAGTGCAAGCGGAAAGAAGGGTCGTTTCTTCGCTTTTACGCAGTCGAATTTCAGTCGAAACTTTAATTAAGATAAGAGTGTCGTTCCTAGGGTGAGCACAACGTTTGAAACGAGCTCATATTGTGTAAAATGCCTGGTTACGAAAACGATAGAAAAATAAATGGCATATTACCTCCGCAATTCTCTTTCCATTTGACAGAGTTGAAAGGGCCTTAATTACATCACGTCCGCCTGATACAATGCACGACCCCAAAAAGATATTTTATTTCCATCACGTGTATTGATCATTTTTGCGGTAATCAATCAATTCGAGATCTTAATAATGAACGAAGGCGGTTGGAATTCTCTTCCTGTTGTCCTTCTGTTTGTAAACACATTTTTTGGCAAGGATCTGGAATTTGGTCTCGAAAGCATTGCCAACTAGACAAATAAATAAAGGCTTCCACAGATATATAAATTGATTTCCTAAAGGGATTTTACACATCAAGATGTTTTCACCAAGTTTTGGTTTTAGATTGCAGAGTTCCTTCCGTGTTTTGAAAACCTGTGACCTCATGTAACATTCTTCTTTTTTCAGGAACAAGAAAAATGAAAAAGAGCATGGAAAGAAAAAGAAGGAAGATAAAGAAACCAGCGTTGAAATGCTGGATGGAATCGTCGCTGATGCAAATAAGGTAATTTATACATTCGATAAAACACGATAAACAAGAACGCAGGATGGCGTATGCATGCAAGATTTAGTTATACGTTACGTCATAAGTTTCAATGGTATAAAATGCCAAGGGCTTGATAAAGACATTCTTAATAATGTTAAAAGACATTCCCGGTCAAGTACATACTTGTAGGCGTTATAAAAATCGTCATTTCATATTTTACAGTTTTGAACTGTCTTTGTACGCATCAATGTTATTTCATACATGAGGAAGACTGTTTTTAAACAGTATTTCGTCATCGTATAACTGGAGAACGTTCGGAAGTCTTACGCTGTTTTTAAAAGAGACATTAAACGAAGTCTTTCAGATAGGATTTAAGTTCATGCCAGCTTTCAATGATAAGTTTTGCTCAGCAACAGTCGCACGGAAATATATTTATGTGGATTATGTCATAAAAGATTTTCAATGTTCAATCATGTTGCATCATTAATAAAAAGACAAAGAGCACAAGTATTTGAAATTTCCAAATTCAAGTTTATAGTGGGCTTTCAGTATGAGCGCGTCGAAACCCATCATGGAAAAATGTCCGAACTAAAAGAGCTTGATTGCAAGTTCAATTCAACTATCTCCTTCCTGCCTGTTCAGTTCAACTATCTTCTTCCTGCCCTGCTAACGTTGACTAATTTCGTAAACGTTTTTCCCTGTAGGCGATCCAATCATTTCCAAGCTACCCAATGGGATATCTGAGAAAAGCGTCGGCATTAATTCTGTTGAACCACTGGGAGGAAGCGAGACAAACGTACACAACTGGGCTGGAAAATTGCTCAGAGTGTGGTCTTCTAAAGTAAGTCGTGTTTTAGCCTTCGGGCAATCCCGTGACACGTTAAACAAACGTGGGTGATTTTTTTAACGTCCCACATTAAAAAAAAATTAACATCCCAATCCCACATTAAAAAAAAAATTAACATCCCAATCCCACCTAATCTTATAGATCAGCGTTGTACAACCTGAACAAGACTCATAAGATCACGTCATGTGCTGCTAATCTAGATACGAAGCAATTATCAGATCTTTTGAACGATAATAGGTGAGGTTTTATTCATGTTTCATCGTGTCAAAAGACCCCCACCTTTCATCATTCGCGCCGGATGATGACAGGAATGGACCTGTACTGCTTAATTTGTTGTTTCTGTAACTAGCAACGTCTATTCGAGGCTGACCATTCCATATGTTTATTTTCCAGTCCTTCACAAACACTCACACCGCCAAACCCAGCAGCAATGAGAAGACACAAGTTTCGGTTGCAAGGTCAAAGACGACTCACGAAGAAGATTTTTCCCCGAGAATCAGAGGCCCTTTCAATCCCTCAGATTCAGGCGACCTCTTTTCGTAGAAGAAATTCTTCATCAACAGACACTCATCTGTGATGAGGTTTGAAAGAAGGCGACAGACTAAATGAAGATGGCCTTCCGTTGGCAGATGTAAAGAGCAACGCGCTCTAACATCCTTCATCTTGGAAGCTTGTCGGGCACATCGTGTCAAGCTGATGTCTTTCGGGAATTTCCTACGAAGCTCTCGCTTCCATGATTTCTCAGCGAATGAAGTAAAGTTGAGTCTCAGAAGAAAAGTTAATCTCGAATCGTTCAAAGGAAGGAATGTTGTGGTGTGATGCAAAAGCGCAGTTACAGCTTGGACCTGCTTGTCAATCTTGCGATAAATGCTGACCACTGCAAGCAAGAAACAGGACATATATACGAACACAGTCTGGCGACAGCTTCTTCCTCTTGTGGCAAAAGAGCATTGTGACGTTCACCTGGATTACAAAGAACTTTTGTATTGATTTTGTTGTCATCTATTTAAATCTTAAATAAACCTGTTTTAGATTTGTTATATATCTGTAAATAGTTTGTATAATAACGAAATTATTTATTCTAAGAGAAATAAAAGCTTTTATATTTATATGTGATTATCGTAATTATTTAGGAAATCGTTCTTTTTCTGTTTTCCAAAAAAAGACGGGCATTAAAAACATCAGCAAATTATGCAAATCTGATAACCAGTAAGACTGGGTACTAACTAGCATTCTTCTTGCAGAATACTTGGAGTAACAGAGATTATTCTGGTTCATGGCCGTCTTGAAGAAGCACCACAAATGACTGACTATTATAACGTCTCTATAAGAAAGAAAAATAAACAAGTAAGTTGAATTGATAGGATTTGTTTTAAATAGATAAATATGTGTGCTGCTGTGTAAATAGTTTTTTTATATGGCCTCACATAAAGAAAATATTTACGGAATGTCTGACAGTCTGTCGTCTGCTATTTATAAAAGCCACACTGAAAGGCATTTGGTACAAGGTAACGTGTGTCAGTTGCTTGCCTATTTCCTATTATAAGATTTTGTCTGATTTCGCTGTAGAAAGTGATTTTTTGCATGCAATTACGTGTTCTTTATTATCATTAACTTGACTTTGCCCTTTCCTAAGGCCATATGAGGCAAACTTGAGGTCTTCAAATAATTGAAAGTAGAGTAAGAGGAGTGAGAGGACTAACATACCTTTGCAAAAAGAATTTGCATATTGAAATATTGTTTGGGAGCAGCAACATAGGAATTAAGCTGACACTGTAGAGAATACATAGAACAATTTTTATTTAGGGGTATAATTATGTATATATAACATCTCTAGTCTACCCACCATCTTATTACATGAAAGTGATGAAGCATAGCAATTTGTGCAATCAAACATAGCATTTGCAAAGAAAGTGACAACCGTAAAGACTTATTTTAGATGCAGCCTGAATAGTACGCAAAAGCTCGCATAGAAATAAATTTTGTAGGCACTCTACCAAGGGACACTTAAGAGCTTCATCTAGCTGAATGCCAATGGTGAATTAGGAGGATCTTGCTAAAAGGAAATATGCCATCATATATCTGCTCTTTCAAGCAAAATGTAGTAAAATTAATATTTTGTTACATCACCATTAATACTCATTGGTTTCCATAGAAATAAACATTGCATACATAGAAATACACATATACAAACATACCCTTTTCCATAAAAGAACAAAACGTTATTTTTTACATAGAAATACACATATACACACATACCCTTCTCCATAAAAGAACAAAACATTATTTTTTTTTACTCAATTTACAATGTTAGGTTATTTCCTTTCATAAATATTAACACAACAGTTTGCATATTGTACGCAGTGTTTGCAAAATAAGATTGTTCACCAGGCAATGTTTGTGACAATGGTTGTGATCATGAATGTGGTGCAATTATGCTGTTCCAGATGGTTGACTTGTATCAATTGTAGAATCAAACTGATTCTTATTCTTCAATAAATAACTTGCAAGATACTCAATTGGATTTGGAGGCCTACAAAAAAATGAAAAGAGAACAATTTTTATTTGTTCAACAAGGTGTGGCCTGGGTGAGGAATGTAAAGGGTGCATCTCAAGAGGGTGCCACTATAAACTCTGTTCTATGACAGAGTCTTAACTTAGTCTATGACATGCCTAACTCAGTGTGTTAGAGACAATATTAGCTGCATCCTAAATGAATATTAGAGCTGAAAGGTCATGAAAACTGGATGGTGGAGTTTATTTTAATGCACAACACCTTTCTTTTGATAAAGTTGACAATGCTTGAAGGAGGATAGGGACAACAGTTTGATCTAGATAAGCTCTTGTGGGTAGGGATTGTACATCAATTTTTGGTGTTCGTTTTTCTGCGTCATCTTTCTCTTTCTTCACAACCGCCTAATGGAAAATGAGACAGAAAGACATTGCAATGTCATAATGTATGCTTCACAATAGAGAAGCTATAGCCAGTCAAGGTTACTACTGAATACTGATACACACCTCAATTGTTGGGGTGACTCCTGGTTGGGGCACTTGGCTAATATTTGACGTCTATATAAAGGACAATGCATTTTACAAAATCAGGAATTAAGACCAGGGGGGTTAACTACATTTCAGCAAACATACAGGGGGGGGATTAAATTTTGAGATTTTCCATATTCACTTATGTTTTAAGTAATTTAGACATATAAACCCAGTACGCAAGTATACCTCAGTAATGAACGCTTTATTTTTGTCATTGTCTGTGTTTGAGGTACTCCCGTCCCCTGTCGACGTCTCGGGCTGTTTTTCTTGCGCTTTTTCTTCCGGAACTGCCGTCGCGTCAGTCATTTCGGCTGGAAATTTATTAAAGAATGTTTTCTAGGTATTTGAACTATCAAAATATTTAAATTGCGATAGATAAAAGGTGTTTTTTACCGTCTGTTGGGGCTAAATTGTCTGCCATCTTGGTTTCCACGGTGCTTAATTTCGGTCGGGACTGGACGGAAAGTAGCGGAAACGCGGGATCACTGATCTCAAAATTGACACTGGTGTGCCATTTTAGAGCTAAAAAATTCTATCAGTTTTTGGTTTTTCATGGCTGCACATCAAGGAAATATTTTTAATAATTGTGTGGTTTTAGCGTATGATTCTAGACATATACAGCATTTGGTAATATTGTAGGCACTTGACAACAATACAAAATATTGGCATATTGTGATTGAATCATAAGATGTGCATGAACAGAATTGAAAAGAAAAACTTTAGTGGCCTATTTATTTATATAAACGATGTATTTTTATATCAGATAATCTTGTGGCTGCAACGGTGGAAAAATGAACAGCATGTGCAATGCACTATCCAGCGAAATCGTGAGGCCAGTGAGAGGATTTCGGGAAACGCTCGTATTACGGAGGTTTCCGATCACTGACACATTTAAAAAATATATGCATATTGTCTAATTATCATTCTGCTTTCATAAGTATTGGTCTTTTTACTTGCTTTATTCATTTATATTGTTCTTTTAATACAGAATTCAACTTCTGGTAGCGATATGTTGGAAGAAGCGACGGTAAAGATTTTATTGTGTTTGATACAAGTTAATTTAATTAACCCCACGAATATCTATTCTATTATATTTGTATTGTACCAAAACCACAACTTTCCTATTTTTGATATCAAATAGTTTTAAATTCTTTCAGGAAACTACTAGATGCCGAAGTTTGCTTTTAGCATCTACATGTGTGCATTTGCTGTTTTCTATTTTTATTGAGATTATGTTGCAAGTCACATGATTTTGTCTATGTTACATAATTTGTTACATTTCCAGTTCTAATTAGGCCAATGATTTAGAATGATTTTCAACCAACCTTTTTTCAATTTTTAAACAAAGTAGCCATTATGTATAGAAAATACTAACTTAACAACAAGGAAAGTAATTGCCCTGTGAAATATATGATTAAATGCTCTAGTCCAATCACATCTCCAGCATGTTAGGGCCTCAAATAGAAAGGTTTTGTGGGGAAAATATGCAATGGGAGAGAAGGGAATCATGCTCCAAACTTGCACATATTTTAAAGCTTTAAGACAGAGTTGCCCAGGTTTATTTGGTTGCTAATTAATTGTATTTTGCCAGAAGGAAGAACGAACTTCATCTGTGGATTTGTCAACTGACTCATCTTTAGTCATTGATATATCTGATGCACTAAGTGAGAAAGACAAAGTTAAATTCACAGTTCACACCAAGGTATGAATGTAGAGAAACTTAGAGGTTTATGTCAGCTGGCGTAGCACACAAATGTTCATTACAATTAAATTATTAAATTACATTAAATTATTGTTTCTAGACAACTTTACCGGAGTTCAAAAGTAGTGACTTCTCTGTTGTACGAGGCCATGAAGAGTTTGTCTGGCTCCATGACAGATACGAGGAGAATGATGAATATGCAGGGATAATTGTAAGAGTACTCTGTTAATCATGGTCATGCTTTACAATTGTACATCTGTGGATTGACGTGAACATTGATCAATTACCGTCTAGATCCCTCCTGCACCACCACGACCTGATTTTGATGCATCGAGAGAAAAACTTCAACGATTAGGAGATGGTTGGTAGTACTGCAATATATTTATCAAAATTGTGTTGGCAAAACTGCATGTCTTTTGTTCTGCTGGTTAAACAGCAATTGGTAATGTAGGATAGCAACATAACTTTATCTTATTTTCTGTGTTTCCAGGTGAAGGGACCATGACAAAAGAAGAATTCTCCAAAATGAAAGCTGAACTGGAAGCGTAAGTGATTTGAAAGGCCAGATAGCCCTTAAAAGGAAAACAGCATGGTTGTATTAACCGAAACCCATCTTCCATTAAGGAATGTACTGAACTAACTTTTCCTTTTCAAACAGGGAATATCTAGCAACATTCAAAAAGACAGTTGCAATGCATGAGGTGTTCCTATGCAGACTTGCTGCTCATCCAAAACTGAGAAAAGATGAAAACTTTAAAGTGTTTTTGGAGTACAAACAAGAGGTACCCTAAGCAATGTAATCATATATCTTGAACACTGCTTGAAGTGAATTACCACTGATATATAACTTAGAAATGGAAGAGTATTTTATTTCCAATTTTTCCAACTCCCCTGAAGAGTATTATTTCCATGGTTTATTTAGTTGAGTGTTAGGGGCAAAAACAAGAAAGAGAAACTTGGTGGATTCATCAAAGGTTTTGCTAAAGGGGTGGATGAAGTTTTACTTTCAAGTCAGAAGGTAAATTGATAAAATGGTTGAGAATTTCTGTCTACTTATTTTGTGTTTGTGTTTCAAAACATTGATAATATTGTTTTGTTTTAGGATGCTGATGAGTTCTTTGAAGGGGAGAAGAAATTTTTGGTTGAATACCATAGCAAGTATGTTTGAATTTCAGTTACAAAGAGGCAGAATGGCTGTCCATGTTTGAATCCACCATTTATGAATTTAGGCTTCGAGAATCAACAAAGCAATCAGACAGAATGACAAGATCTCACAAAGGGGTTGCTGATTGCTATATCAAAATATCAACCTGTGTCACTGCCTTAGCAACAAGTGAAGCAACTGATTTTGAGAAGTAAGAGAAGAGCTCAGTCTTATGACTTACAACATCCTCTCAAATGCGTGTAGTAAAATCATCTTTTTTTCACTTATTTTGCACTTTTAGATTCTTAAATAAAGTTAGTGACACTTTTGAAAAAGTTCGGGTTAGTAGATTGTTGTTACAAATTGAATTGCAGAAGCATACTTTCCCCCCGCTAAAGAGCTTGCAAATGGCACAAGAATTGTCACTCAGTACCCTCAAGGGATACGAAAGTTAGCAGCAGTGCTCACTTGCTGATCCTGGTTTTACCTTTTCAGAAATTGGAAGGTCGTGTGGCGTCAGATGAGGATCTTAAGTTATCAGATCTGCTTCGGTATTACATGCGAGACACAGATGCAGCCAAGGCATTGTTGTACAGGAGGGCAAAATGTTTGTCAGAGTTCGATAATGCTAATAAGGCTTTGGATAAAGCTAGGGCAAAGAATAAGGATATTCCCAGTGTAAGTATTGGTGATTGGTATGTGTTCACGGTGATGTGGCATGATGGTGATGCATATGGTGTTTGTGATTCTGTTGGTGATGATGATTATGTTCGTGATTCTGTTGGCAGGTTATTTAGGATTCCAATCTTTGTTTCAGGCGGAAGCAGCACAGCAAAAAGCCAGTGAAAAATTTGAACGTATTTCTGAAGAAGCAAAGAAAGGTATGTCTCAAGATGATGGTGTTGTTGCCTTGGTGGAGGCTTAACTACAGTAGTTTGTTTAACTCATCATCGAAACGTTGTTTTAATTCTCAATCTCTTTTGTGTACTTTCAGAAATTGAAGATTTCAAAGTACGCCGTGTTCAGCAATACAAAAAGAATCTTGTAAGTCTTTGTCTGTTGAAGGCAATAAACTCACTAGTTGAGAGTATAGTGTGCAATATGTACATATTCGTGGCAATGAAGTCTCTGATGATATATACAGTGGTACTGATAGTAAAATCTGGAGATTGCTCCAATGTCACACCTTATTTAATGTTTTCTGCTGTTACTGCAGAAGAGAACTTGGGGAGGTTAAAAGCATACCATTTCTTGGCATCCTTAAAATTTTTTGTATCAAATTCTGTAGGTTGAATTGACTGAACTTGAAATCAAACATGCAAAGGTAAGCCAGATGTAAGATATGTTGGAGTTTTCAAAAAAAGATGCAGTGTTTTATTTTTGTACTGCACAGAAGTCTTAATTTGTACTTATAGCACTGTAATTTTGTTCATAGGCGCAAATCCAATTGCTAAAAAACGCGTTGACATCACTGAAAGACTTGTGAACAGCAGCAAGATAAGGAACTCTGATAAGAAATTTAATTTTAATTGAAGTATAGATAGTGTGAAAACATTGATCCAATGAATGTATAATATGACTATTGACTAACAAAATTGAAAAGTTGAAATGGGACCCGCATAATTGTGAAGTGTCATTCAAAAGTTGAATGAAATCTTTGTTACTATCCATGCAATTGGACAAAACTTAATCTTCTGACTTTAGAAGCAAATTTATGAATAAATGAAAATTGCGAATGAAACGCTATTTTTTGCAAGTGGAAACGTATAGTATAAAATTTCCAAATATAAGCAAAAATTTTTACTATTACAAAAAGAAGCCCCCGAAGTTTTTAGAAATTTAGGCGATATTTAGGAGAGCAATAGTATTCGTGACATTTTATTGTTAGCGAGAGAAAAAAAAGTCTCGTTTGCAAGATTATAACAAGTTTAATCCGATATTGTTGTTTTGATGTTGTCATGTTGCCAAAAATAGCAACATGGATTTCCCCTTTCTTATGTTTTCTTGGAAGAAATGACAAGAATTCGTTTGAAAAACTTCGCAACAGAAGATTTGCTGTAGAAAAAGAAAGAAATTATATTCTAGTTTTCCGGAGAATATGTAATCAGAATATATCTGGTGAGGTGAATTCTTAATGAATATTTTTATTCCCCGTTTATTGAATTCTGTAATAAGAATGCTTCGTTGTTTTTGCAGGTTTGGCCGATTTGTTTAATTGTTTACATTGTCTCAATATGGCTTAAAAACATAGTTTTTTTTCCAGATTTTCAACTATCAAATGGGAGGTTGGTAGTTCAAGATCATGTTAAAGGTATGTTGTTTTTGTTCGAGTGTAATTGAGACAAATTAAGTCGAAATCATTGTGATATTTCGTTCTGATTTACTGCACACATTAATAAAAATATTCTTGATTATGAAAGTAAAACTAAACGGGCCCGTTCCTGTTTTTTTAATAGAATATGATAAAACATCTCATTTTATAAATCCATTCCAACTGCAGCAAACGAACTGCTACATTTTCTCCTCCCGAAAGATCCAAGATATACATGTTGCTATCAGGGGCGGATCCGTCATTTATCTGACTGATGCGATATTTTGGACTTTACTGCATACCTCTGGGAGGCTCCATATTCCAGTATATTCCACCTTACCAAGATCGCAGATACCATATTCTGGTATATATTCGACCTTACAAAGGTTGAACATACCACATTCCAGCACATATATTACCACTTAAGTATAATATACATTGGTATCTTCATCAAGGAGGAAATCTAGTCTTCAATTTTGTATTTGCATCAGTCACATCAGTCTTGATCCGCCCCTGGTTCCAAAAAAAATTCAGGAAAAAACTTAGTGAAGCCCACAATTCTATGAGCTAGTAATTCTGACACTAAGACTGAAGAAATGCTGAAGGTTTTAGGATGGGTGTGGAAACTTTGTACAACTTTGACCCCATGATAACTAACCCCTTGGCTATACTGAATGTGTGCAGTTTTGTAATAGAATTTAGCCTATAACAGTGTTAACATTCTGTAGTTAGTCATTAAATAATATGTGTTACTCATATTCATTAGAACCCAAGTCAGGATATAGTTGTTGGTACTTGATATGGCTGCGAACAACTCATCTACAAACAAATTTGAACCTCGGGAATATCAGTTGGAACTCCTCGAGGCAGCAAAGCAGAAGAACATCATTGTGTGCCTGGGCACTGGAACTGGCAAGACTTTTATTAGCATCAAATTGATCGAACATCTGGCAAGAGAAGACGACATACTCAGACCCTTTTCCGAAGGTGCTAAGAGGACATTCTTTTTGGTCAACAGTGGTAAGTGATTTTAATGCATATATTGAGGTGACTAGTGTTATAGTGTTGTACAATTGATGCCAAAACAGCCATAGCCTCTTTCCTTCACATAGACTGGGCAAATTTTCTGGGTAATTCTTCTGTAAGACTATTTGATATACGACTTTTAATGTATCATTATCATCATTTCTATACCAAAGAACACATACTAAGTACCATTGATACTTAAACGTTGGTCTCATTGGCATTCTTACTGTTTCAATAATTGGTACCTAAATTAAATAACCTTGCTCCTTTTGATTTCTAGTTCCTTTGGTTTTCCAACAAGCGCAAGCAATTAGAGATCACACTGCACTCAGTGTCAAGGAGTTTTGTGGTGAGATGGGTGTGGATTTCTGGTTAAAATCCCAATGGCTAGAAAATTTTCAAGACAACCATGTATTGGTTATGACACATCAGATCTACCTTGACCTCATACAACATGCCAGATATGGATTCAGTTTACTTCAAGCTAACTTGTTAGTCTTTGATGAATGTCATCATGCAAATAAAAACCACCCGTTTAAAAAAATCATGGACTGTTTTGCGGATGTTCCACGTCATCAACAGCGAGGTCTGCCAAAAATTCTTGGTCTAACTGCATCAGTTGTTGGCAAGAAGGTGAAGCCCTATCAGATCGGAGATGAAATAAAAAAGCTGGAACGGACAATGAGAAGCATTTGTAAAACTGCGCAGGACCCATATATTGTAGAGAAGTATGGAGCAAAGCCTAAAGAGATTATGAGATCCTATTCATCTTCAAACCATTTAGACAGTGTTGCAATGTTTTTGGAAAGTGAATTCCATTCTGTTTTAAATCCTCTGGAGGCATTCTTAGAGAACATGAAGGTTTTAAAAGAGAGAGGTGGCTCTCAAGAAGTCATCAAAAAGGAGTTGGATGTTGCAAGGGCTGCTGTCCGTGAATGTTTATCAGCATTGGATGAAATTGGGATCTGGGCAGCATATGAAGTATCAAGGATGTTAGTTGAGGATTTGGGTTAGTATTCAGAGAAGATTGTTTGAATGTTATGCTTTTTAAAATTCAATTCTGTGTTTAATATGGATAGCAATTAGAAAGGTGTTGGTAAAGGTTTTATCATAGGATGTTTTCTGCATTTTGCACTGCAGAGTTCCCTGAATTAGGGTTTTTTCTGCATTCAAAAGTCGAAAATATCCCTATGGGTTGTGTGCATTAAGGTAGTTTAATTACCTGATTTCAGAAAGATTTTGTTTTAGAAAGATTTAGAGAATCAAAGATATATGTTAGAGTCTGAGGTGTCCTTGTTATATAGTTTGTTTGTGAACTCTTCTAGAAAAAAGAAGCAAAAAAGTCAGTTCTGGTTTATCACCTCACGCAAAGACTGCGGGTCTGCTCCTTCAGACAACAGTGACCAGTTTACGAGAACTTCGCTGGAGATACGACGAATTTTCCATAGCAAACATGAAAGGCAAAGAGAAAATTCAACAAGAATATTTGAAACCGAAAGTGAAGGAACTTCTGAATCTCTTTTCCAAGTATAAAGGTATTAACGTTTGCCCCGCACACTGCGGTTGCGAGTATTCTAACATTCCCTTTTTTACACTCCCGTCATTGAGGGTGACATGCATAGTTATACCTTAGTGACCATCTTAACTGGAGGGGGTAGCACCACCCCAAGGGCCCCACCCCCCGCACGCTACACCCCTGGTATTTATGTCTTTCTTTGTTAAGGTGACCAATCTAAAATGTGTTCGATCGTGTTCGTCCGAAGAAGGTACGCAGCTTGCGTGATAAGCAAACTGATCAACGCTCTGGCGTCGTCGGAAAGCGATGAATATCGACATCTCAGCTCAGATTTTGTAACCGGTCATGGCTCTGAGCTGCCAGGCGTTTCTGCAACGGAGATGAACTTTAAGAAACAGCAGGAAACGTTGACGAAATTCCGCACTGGGACGTTCAACGTGCTCGTGGGAACGAGTGTCGTGGAGGAAGGTGTGGATATCCCAAAATGCAACCTCGTTGTCATGTTTGATTTCCCACAAAACTATCGAGCGTTCGTTCAGTCGCGCGGCCGGGGTAGAGCAAAGGATGCGAAATATGTGATGTTGGTTGCAAGAGGTGAACTTCAGGGAAAAAGACTAGAGCAAGAGGTATACTACCAGAAGACCCCAGTCTTTTAAATTGAAAGGGCGTATTTCACCTGTTTCAACAACTTTACTTGTAATGTTAACGCTCTTTATGCTAAACCATTAATGTTCTTTTACAGATGTATCAAAGTGTCGATGATCATTTAAGAGAGTTGTGTCAAGCCGATCGTGACGGACCTACGGAGGAAGAAATCAACGAGGAAGTGAACGAGTATCCACTTGAAAAATACTTCACAAAGAAAGGTGGAAAACTTGACATGGGAAATTCCGTTAATCGTTTGTACAGGTAGCACACAAGTTTATGCCTAGAAAAGAGAATACTAGCAAGAAATATACGTACACGATTAATCTAATGCTCTTCCCCAGGGAATCCTATGATTTGCTTTTTCCAAGGTAAAAATATTTGGCTTTCCATGGGTAAAGTTTACCCCCATTCTTCGTGCATTTTGTCATATTTACCTATATCACCCCCATTTCTTCTTCCGTCCTCCCCCCTGAAAATACCCACAGGTCCGCAGTTTTTGTAAATAACTTCAGCTGTCTTTCTCTGTTTTCTCAAAGATACTGCTCAAAACTACCGTGTGATAGATTTACTCGCCTCAAACCAATTTTTACAATTCATGATGCGGATGGAATGTATCAATGTTTTTTGAAAATGCCTGGAAACAGTCATATTACTGGAATAATTAAGGTAAAGTTATCGATATGTGAATCAAGAACCTCGAAAGTACCCTTCAAAGGGAAATTGGTTATTTTGGCTACATATGCAATTCACAGTGGCAGGTGTTTTCGACATTGTTCACTGCTCCATGTGCTCCATTATTTAACAGAAAGTGATGGTTGTTAATTCAATATTTAGGGCGAGCCAATGGAAAACAAGGAGGATGCAAGACGTGCAGTCGCGTATAAAGCGTGCATTGAGTTGCATGAACAACATGGTGCTTTGGATGACCATCTTTTGCCAGTCGAGAGCAGCTCTGAAAGCGAGAGTGACGAAGATGACGTGGTTGATGGTTCTTCACAGCACAAAACAGGGACAAAGAAGAGAGTGAGATTACATCGTGTCAAGGTACGGTTGATCTGAATCTGTTTTTGGTTGTAATCTACAATAAACCACAGCCGTTGATATCAGCATGAACTGGGTATAGAAATATCCGGTATAAAAGAGGTCCGGTATATTGGTGGAAATCCGGGAAAAACTATCGTTTGTTCTTTGTATTTGAACTAACTGAAAAAGATATCTCAAAATTGGGGTCCAGTGTTTTCTAGTTTTTTGTCGTGAGGTTCTTTTTGCTTTCTGCCCAATTTTACCCCAATCATGACGTCTGATTTTTCAAACGTTTGTATCTAGACATCAGATCAACTGTATGGACACGGGACAATAAATAACACTAAAAAGCTGTACGTATACGCCATCAATATGGAGTTTTGTGAAGTTTACAACACCATCAAGAAGAGGCTATGGGACAGGAAGAATGTTTCCCTTGGGATTATAACCTGTGAAAGGTTGCCAGTTGATCAGGTTAGTGTATAAGAGGCTCTCAAGACTTGGCTTTTATAATGATGAAAGGAAGAAACATAAGTAGGGTTAACATCCAACCTCGGCATGTTTCTGAGGTTAGAAAGTACATGAAATGAAAAAGCAAACTCTCATAAATATTCCACCTTTTTCTTTTCAGTTATTACCGTTCCATCTGTACAACGATATTGGCAAATTAGAGGTGACTCTCGATGAACGCTGCCAGTTAAAAACGGTACCGTCTCGCAGACACCTTAATATTCTCGACTGGTTTCACAAGTTTATTTTTGCTGAAACTCTAGAATTGAAACTCGGCGCTTTCAAGAATTACGGTTGCCGTATTATTTTATTAAACTGTGACAATGCTACGACTCAAACTACACGAGCTGTTTCTACCAGCTCAAGTATCATTAACTTCGATGCAATGGAGACACTTCGAAAAAATGCGACGGAAAGTGACGGTCGTTTAACCTCGAACCCAGATCTCTGGGACTCGGTTGTCATTCAGGATTATCTAGGCCCAAGGAAGCAAGGACATCATATGGTCAAATCTGTAACTGATAAATCCGCCCTTAGTGCCTTTCCTGATCTGGAAGTTGCTGCGACGTTTCAGGAATATCATGAAGGAAAGTACCAAACCAAAATAAAGAATCTTTCCCAATCTCTACTGGAAGTTATTCATCATAGTCGTAATATTGATTGCCGGACGAATCGATACGGGAATCCCAGCCGAAGTAAGGAGATGTTTCTCATACCGGAAACATTACTATTCAGAACAAGTCCTCAATCGTTGACACTTCGCGCTCTTTTTCTCCCGGCAATATTATTCCGCGTCGATAGCTTCGTTTCCATGATTGAACTGCGAGATACAATATCCACGGAGATTGCTGCCAACTCTGCATACATACACAATACCCAAGAATCTCCACGGAAAAGATGTAAGCTCATGGATATCGGCAGTGCGGGGAAAAACCTTCATTCGTCTCTTGTAAAGTACTTCTCTCCATTCGAACGCGACAGTTCAGTACCATTACTCCAATTACTGGAGGCAGTCACGTGTGCCCGATCTAACGATGATTTCAGTCTTGAGAGGCTAGAAATGCTTGGTGACTCATTTCTTAAAATGGCCGTCAGTATTCATGTTTTTTCACATAAAAATCACAAAGACGAGGGCAAATTAACAAAGTATCGCACACGGCAGATTTCAAACAAAAACCTTTTGAAGCTGGCGATGGAGAAAGACCTCCCGAAGTTTATCAAATACATTGGCTTCTCTAAGCCGAAGGAGACTTGGCGTCCACCTGGATTTGCCTCCTGCAAGCAAGTTTTCGTAAACGGAAACCTTTCCTCTTCCAGCGATGATTTCGACGACGTCACTGATAGCGCCATCCGGGACCGTAACCACGTCATCGATGACGCCATAACACAGGAGATCCCGGATAAGAGTGTCGCAGACAGCATGGAGGCGCTTATTGGAGCACATTTTATACATTGTGGATACATAGGGGCACTGAGGTTCATGACATGGTTAGGCGTGGATGTATTTCACGAGGAGAACACTACGGATGAAGCGCTAAATAATAACGGACGCAGAGTATCTCCAACCCCCCAGGATCTCTCTAAGTATGCTAACTATCCCCTACAAACCCTAGAGATCCCCGCAGACGAAGACAGGGCACGATATAAAGAAATTCTAGCTAAACAGACCAAAGAAATGGCTTCGTTTGAGAGGAAAATTGGTTATACCTTTAAAAACAAGGTTTGATATGTTCATTTGAGGATACATCGGGCACTGCCGATTGCACTACGAGACTTAAATATTGAATTTTTGAGACGATATTCAATTCAACAACTTCAAAGTGTGTTAAACAGTTTAAGTATCTTTTTTAATCGTATATTCCTAGGTTTTATTGCTCGAAGCATTCACTCATCCGTCGTACAGCGATAACACCATAACTGGCTCCTACCAACGTCTCGAGTTCTTGGGTGACGCAATTCTTGATTTCCTGGTCACCCAACACATCTACAACAACTGTAAGAAAGACCTGACTCCTGGTCAACTTACGGACCTGCGTTCAGCTCTCGTGAACAACAACATCTTCGCTATTATTTCAATAGAAAATAACTATCATAAATACATCAAGGAATATTCACCCCATTTGTTTAGTACCATTGGTAATTTCGTGAAAGGTGTTGAACTATACAAAAACAGTCTTGGGACTAACAAGGTAGGAAAGTATAATGAACCAATCCTTTGATGTATGAGAAAATACTATCATCTTCGTTTGACCGAGTCCCCCGACATAAAGTGACCAGTTTTCAATAACATCAGGTGAGCCCAGATCCTTACGTGATCGCCGTACAGAGTGGCAGCAGTGATGTGGAATGTATTGAAGCTCCGAAACCTCTGGGTGATGTTTTTGAGTCGGTTGCTGGTGCGATATTTCTTGACAGCGGTCTGGATGTCCTCGAAGTCTGGAGAGTCTGTTATCCAATGCTTAAGAAGTTCATTGGTACGTTTTGACTTTGTCATAACTTTGTCATAAATGACCGCAGTACTTTTCGATCGACTACAAAATCGTGAAGATAGACAGGGTAAAGGTAATGTTACACGAAACAACTTTCAACAACAACTCGCAACGCAACTGAATATTGAAAGTCGTTTCGTGTAACATTACCTTATTAAGATTTTAAAATGAGCTGTTTCGGTGGCAATGGTAAAACCTCTGACTATGAAGTGTGATTTAGTTTTGTAAACCATGAAAACTGGCAATTTTGTTGTTACCCTGTTAACTGTAGGTACTTCTCGTGTTTTACTGACCAGTAAAATGTCTAGCTCTTAAACTCAGGTTTAGTGTCAGAGTAAAACTAGGCTTCCTATGATGCCTACCTGACACTCCATTACGGTTCGGGAACTAACTGAAAGATATTACTTCCTAATTGCAGATGAGTACTCGAAGAACGTGCCAAAAAATCCAATGAGAAGAGTTAATGAACTTGACGTGAGTGCGGAATACAGGTAAATGGGATTGAAACGAATTGTGCAGTTTGAAGCACAATTTAAAAATGTATTTTTAACAGTGACAATGTTTGTAACTGACAGTTTATTATTGTTATATTTCAGCCGGGCAGAGATATTAGAAGACGGTAGAGTGTCTAGTGTTCTTAAATTCAAAGGTCGCGAGTATAAAGGTTTTGGGATAAATAAACGAAATGCTAAACTTTCTGCTTCCTATAGGGCTTTGAAAACAATCGATGACAAAAAATAGTTAGCGTTTAAAAATTATTGGTATGCGGGTCAACCAAATAATTGTTTTATTTAAACGTAGTTTTTACAATATAATAAGTTAATATTTTGGGAATTTATAAATAGTTGAGATTGGGTAAACAATGCATTTTAGAAAAAAATAATTAAATTAATGAAAAAAGTTACGGACAATGTTCTTTTATAAACCACCCAGTGCCGTAACTAGAACGATAATTCGGGGGTTGTTAATTGATATAATCAGTTCTGCCCGACGGATTTCCATCGTGAGCTATTGCACTTACAAAAGAAATCCGTCGGGCAGAACTGAATATAAATCAGTATATTTACGCATCACGCCATTTACTCGCCATTTTCACGTTGCCTATGACGTTCACGTCCTTGTGCTAAATCACTCTAATATATGAATAACCCCCCCCCCCAATTATCATTGTAGTTACGACCCTGAAACCACCTGCCTTTCAGCGTTCTTGCAGAAACTGTTTGTCTTGGCCTTTGACGACACTTACGACAAATTTACCTAATTATTCAGCTAACCTCACCAGGGTTAACCAGATTACTGAAAAAAGAAGCCAAACATTGTTGTAGTCGGCCCTTTGATTTCCAGCTTTGTTTGAACTTTGAACAACAAATCAGCTGACCTCTATACAGTAGCTGAATGCAGCGTTATATTTTTTTCTAAGCGCAGGCTGCGACGGGCCGAAAATTTTGGATACAAATTTCAGCAAAAATTGCCCTAATTTTGGTTGAATTCGATTAAAAATTTTGAAATTATAGTTCTAACCTCGAATTTATATTGAAAATTAGAAATTAGTACTCGACTTCGGTCTTCGGAGTTCAAAAAATCCGATATTGTTGTTTTGATGTTGTCATGTTGCTAAAAATAGAAGCAGGTATTTCCCCTTTCAGGCCTTTCTTACGTTTTCTTGGAAGAGATGACAGAAATTCATTTGAAAAACCTCACGACGTGAAGAAACAGAAACAGAAAGAAAACTAAATGGAATGTTTTCCAGAAAATCCTTCCTATTTGACTAATAATTAATAAAGGTTTGAATATTCCTGCCTTCTATTAGTAAATTCCACCTTGTGAATTTTTTAGTCACGAAAGCTTGTGTAACAATTTGGTTTAAACTTGTATATAAATTTGCACTCCCGTGCGGGGTTTTTTTATTCCACTGTGAATCAAGTTGTGCTGTTGTCAAAGTACAGAAAATTTATACCCTTTACAATTAGTTTTAATTAAGGTTTTCTTAATGCACATCTACTTCAGGGCAGCACATCAGATAGTACATGATATGGCTGCAAGTAACTCGTCTTCAAGCGAGTTTGAACCTCGGGATTATCAATCGGAACTAATCGATGCAGCAATAAAGGAAAACATTATTGTTCATCTGGGAACTGGCACTGGCAAGACTTATATTAGCATCAAACTGATTGAACATCTGGCAGGAGAAGATGGCATATTCAGACCCTTTTCTAAAGATGTTAAGAGGACCTTCTTTTTGGTTGATAAAGGTGAATCCTGATAAACTTTTATCCATTAAAGTAATTGATCTTGATGAATAATGCATTAAACAGCCATAGTTTGTCTTAATTGAAGTTTAAAAATGGTAGAGCATTTTATATACATGTATGCATGTGCATTTATCTTTTTTGTTATATGTTGTTTTAATAGTTGAAGAGAGCTTGTATTTCTTATTTTTAGTTCCTTTGGTTTACCAACAAGCTGATGCCATTAGAAAAACACAAACTGCACTTCGTGTAAAGGAGTTCTGTGGTGAAATGGATGTGGACTCCTGGTCAAGAGAATGTTGGGAAAGTCATTTTAAAGAGAATCATGTATTGGTAATGACAGCTCAGATCTATTGTGACTGTATAGAAGATGGCACATTTAAATTAAACGAAGCCAACTTGTTAGTCTTTGATGAATGTCATCATGCCAAAAAAGAACACCCATTTAAAAAAATCATGGACTGCTTTACTAACGACCAAGATTATGAAAAGCAAGACTTGCCAAGGATCCTTGGACTAACTGCATCAGTTGTTGGGGGGAATGTGAAGCCTGGCCAGGTTAAGGGTAAAATAGAAATGCTGGAACGCACATTAAGAAGTGTCTGCAAAACAGCACAGTCAGATACTTTAAAGAAATGCGGTGCTAAACCTGAAGAAATTATGAGACCCTACTTATCTTCAAACCATTTAGACAGTGCTGCAATCGTTTTGGAAAAAGCATTCCATTCTGTTTTGAATTCTGTGAAGGCATTCTTTGAGGACATGTCAGAGGTTAATTGTTCTGAAGAAGTCATCAAGAATGAATTAAAAGTTTCAAAGGATGCAGTCTGTGGATGTTTAGCATTATTGGATGAAATTGGGATCTGGGCAGCATATGAAATGTCAATGGTGTTAATTGAGAATTTAGGTTAGTATGCAGGGAAGATTGTGTAAATTAGTGTACGGCTATTAAATGTTATTTAAAAATACAATGCTGTGCTGAGTTTCTTGCTGAACTTGCACTGTAATGGCTAGATCAACTGAATTACAGCAACTATAATGAAAGACTAATGGACAACAAAAATCTAAAACCTTATATTATTATATATACAATTTTTTTGTGGGGACAACTAATTTGGTCAATGGAAAACAAGCTTTAGAGTCAGGTGCATGCATCAGGACGAGATATATATTGAAAGTGCTGAACCTTTTTAGAAAAGAGAATCAAGAGAGTCTGTGAGAAGATTGCAAGTTTGCTTCTTCAGACAACAGTGACCAGTTTACGAGAACTTTGCTGGAGATACGACAAATTTAGCACAGCAAACATGGCAGGCCAAGAGAGAATTCAACAAGAATATTTGAAACCGAAAGTGCAGGAACTTCTGAATCTCTTTTCCGAGTATAAAGGTAGAAACATCTTTAGTCTAGCTTTTCAAGACATTTTGTCTTGGGTGGTGGGTATTCAGAGTGTAGTAGCACATAACCTATCGATCCTCGTCATTGGAGTAAATATTTTGCATAATAAGCATTGAATTAAGCTCCGTTAATTGTAATTAATCCTTAGTTGAGGATTGCATTGATGGAGTCACTGTATTGTTGTATTGTCTTTCTTTTTAAGGTGACAAATCTAAAATGTGTTCGATTGTATTCGTCCAGACACGGTACGCAGCTTACATGATAAGCAAACTGATCAACGCTGTGGCGTCGTCGGAAAGCGATGAATATCGACATCTCAGCTCAGATTTTGTAACCGGTCATGGCTCTGAGCTGCCAGGCGTTTCTGCAACGCAGATGAACTTTAAGAAACAGCAGGAAACGTTGACGAAATTCCGCACAGGGACGTTCAACGTGCTCGTGGGAACGAGTGTCGTGGAGGAAGGTGTGGATATCCCAAAATGCAACCTCGTTGTCATGTTTGATTTCCCACAAAACTATCGAGCGTTCGTTCAGTCGCGCGGCCGGGGTAGAGCAAAGGATGCGAAATATGTGATGTTGGTGGAAGAGAATGGGTCTCAGAGACAAAAGCAAGATCAAAAAGTGCGTTGTCGTCATGTTTCAACAGTTCAACTTTATTTGTTGTAATATCCTAAATTGTAAATTCACTTTTACAGATGAGTAACTATAAATGTGTTGAGGAACGTTTGAGAGAGTTGTGTGAAGCCAAACGTGACGGGCCTACAGAGGAAGAAATCAACGAGGAAGTGAATGAATATCCACTTGAAAAATATTTCACAAAGGAAGGTGGAAAACTTTACATGGGAAATGCTGTAAATCGTTTATACAGGTAGCACACAAGTTTACATCAGTTGCAGAAAAAAATACTAATAATTTAATTGCCTGACTTTGGTGAATTAGGCCCTGTTCATATGAGCCGGGCTGGCCCGCTTCGCCGGGCTGACTCGCTAGAGGCGAGATCCCGCTTCCTAAGTTTTTCTATATGTTTTTGAAATTTGATTCACATGGAAAGCGGGCCAGCCCGCTTTGGCGAGATCTCGCTTAAGCGAGGCGAGATCTCGGCAAAACGGGCTCATATGAACGCACTAGGCGGGCTAGCCCGGTAAACCGGGCTGAAAATCGTCGATCGCTTTCTTTACAAATATACCTTCATAGCATCATTTCGCCATTTTATATGTATTTGGAAACCAAAAGAACACAATACATTTCAAAAATTAACGAAATATATCTGCCCAAAACCGCTATAATCGATGCAAGCAACATTTTTCGATTTGTGAAGCGTCAACAAATTATGTAACGCTACCGGGCTAGCCCGCCTCATGTGAATAAGAAAATAAACTAGCCCGGCAAAGCGAGCTAGCCCGGCAAAGCGGGCCAGCCCGGCTCATATGAACAGGGCCTTAAAGTTGTGAAATTGAATAGTGGAAGCAATTACGTAATATTTTCAAAGTCGTATAAATCTCAGTAATTTCCAGGGGCCTGGCAGTAATCGAACTAATACTTTGGCTGTCTATTTTTTCCTGAAGATATTGCTCAAAACTATCGGCATCTATTCCTCTTAAACCAGTGTTTATAATTAATGACGTGGCAGAGAAATTTCAGTGTTCATTGAAACTGCCAAGGAACAGTGACATCATCGAAGTCATTGAGGTAGTGTAAAGGCCCGTTCACACGATCCAGCTTTGTCCGATCCAATTCACTTCTGACATATAAAATGTAGTTTGTTATTGACAGTACTGTCAGTATTGGTTTTTGTTGATTTGCTGCTCATATACATTGCAAGTCAACAGACTATAAAACATCCATCAGAAGTGAGTTGGATCTAACAAAATTGGATCGTGTGAAGTCCTTCGTGTGAAGAGTGACGATTACGAAAAGATGGCGAGTATTATACCACTGTCGACATTTTTATTCTCCAATCTAACAGAAGTCAAACATTCAACATTTAGGGGGAACCAATGAAAAACAAGAAAAACGCAAGACGGGCGGTGGCACAAGAAGCTTGTATCCAGTTGCATCGACTTGGTGCTTTGAATGACCATTTTCTGCCAGTCGAGAGCAGCTCTGAAAGCGAGAGTGACGGCGAAGATGACGTTGTTGATGGTTCTTCACAGCACAAAACAGGGACAAAGAAAAGAGTGAGATCACATCGTGTCAAGGTACACCGATATATAGATATTTTGAGTCAATCTGAATACCTTGCTCAGGGCATTCATTTTTAGCTATTAGCAATGGCATGCCTCCTTTCCTGTCCAATATTTTAAATTTTGCTTGTCAATCATGGCGTCTGACTTGTCAACCCTTTTTTATAGACATCAAATCAACTGTATGGACACGTGGTCACAAATAATAAGATGAATATATACGCCATCAATATGGAGTTTTGCGAAGTTTATGACACCATCAAGAAGGAAAGGTTATGGGATTGGAACAGAAAAAATGGGATTGGAATTTCCCTTGGGATTGTTACCACTGAAAAATTGCCAGTTGATCAGGTTAGTATAATAACAGAATGAAACGTTAATAATCAAAGCTAAACGCAACGCCAATGGTCAATATAGGTAAAAAAAAGCGAGTGCGAAAATGAAAATACTAAATTAACTTAACCGTTCTGTTTCACTCCAGTAATGATCACCACGTAATCATATAATCTTTTGGTTCTAGTTATTACCGTTCTATCTCTACAACGATATTGGCAAGTTAGTGGTCACTCTCAGTGAACGCTGTCAACTAAAAAGGACGCTATTTCAAAAACACCAGGATACCTTCAACTGGTTTCACAAGTTTATTTTTACTGAAACTCTAGAATTCAAACTCGGTGCTTTCACGAATTACGGTTGCCGAATTGTTTTATTGAACTGTGACGATGTTTCTGCCAGTTCGAGTATCATTAACTTCGATGCCGAATGGAAACACTTCGAGAAAATGCGACAAAAAGTGACGGTCCTTTAACTTCTGATACAGATCATTTAGATTCAGTTGTCACTAAGGGTTATTCAAAAAATGAGATGGAGAATCAAGAACGTTATCTCATCCTATCAAAAACTGACAAAACCCCTCTTAGCCCCTTTCCCGATTTGAAATTTAAAACATTTCAGGATTACTATAAAAGAAAATATGATATTGAAATCAGTGATCTGTCCCAATCTCTAGTGGAAGTTATCAGATCGCGTCGTGAGATTGATTGCCGAAAGAAACGGCAAGTACTCTCGGGGAAAAATACTAAGAAAAAAAATATCAAGGAGCTCCTGGTACCGGAATTATTAAAATTAAGACCAATTCCACAATCGTTGACACTTCGCGCTCTTTTTCTGCCGACCATATTATACCGCGTTGATAGCCTCGTTTCCATGATTGAACTACGAGATACAATATCCACTAAAATGGCTGCCAACTTTTCATATGTCGACCAAACGGCAGAACCTCCACGAAAAAGATCTAAACTCGATTGTTTAGGCGTGGATATCGGTAGTGAAGAAAGAGACCCTTATTCGTCTGTTTTAAAGTACTTCTCTCCATTCGAACGCGACAGTTCAGTACCGTTACCCCAATTACTGGAGGCAGTCACGTGTGCTCGATCCAACGATGATTTCAGTCTTGAGAGGCTAGAAATGCTTGGTGATTCATTTCTTAAAATGGCCGTCAGTATTCATGTTTATTCACATGAAAATCACAAAGACGAGGGCAAATTAACAAAGTATCGCACACGACAGATTTCAAACAAGAACCTTTTCAAGCTAGCGATGAAGAAAGACCTCCCGAAGTTTATCAAATACATTGGCTTCTCTAAGGAGACATGGCATCCACCGGGCTTCGCCATATCCAAGGAAGAATTAGTAAATGGCAGCTCTTCCTCTTCTACCGATGACGGCGCTAACGGAGACAGTAGCAACGTTATCGATGACACTTTAACACAGACGATCCCGGATAAGAGTGTCGCAGACAGCATGGAGGCGCTTATTGGAGCATATTTTATTCATTGTGGATACATGGGGGCACTTAGGTTTATGACATGGTTAGGCGTGAAAGTATTTTACGAGAAGAACACGCCTGCTGAATTGTTGAACGATAACGGACGCAGAAAATCTCCAACGCTTTGCGATATCTCTAAGTACGCTAACTATCCCTTACCAGATCTAGAAATCTCTGCCGACGGAACGACCAAAGGAATGGCTTCGTTTGAGAGGAAGATTGGTTATACTTTTAAAAACAAGGTTTGATATGTTCATTGGTAATTGTTATAAATTTCTTTCATTGGAAACAAGAAGATTTATGCTTGATAGCGAAGATAAATCGGGCACTGCCAATTTCAACACGTAACTTGAATATTGAATTTTTAGGACGACATTGAATTCAACAATTTCAAAGTGTGCTAAAGTATCTTTTTGAATCGTACATTTTTAGGTTTTATTGCTCGAAGCATTCACTCATCCGTCATCCAACGATAACACCATAACTGGTTCCTACCAACGTCTCGAGTTCTTGGGCGACGCAATTCTTGATTTCCTGGTCACCCAACACATCTACAACAACTGTAAAAAAGACCTGACTCCTGGTCAACTTACGGACCTGCGTTCAGCTCTCGTGAACAACAACATCTTCGCTGTTATTTCAATAGAGAACGACTATCATAAATACCTAAAGTATTTGTCGTTTCATTTGTTTGGTACCATTGGTAATTTTGTGAGAGAAGCTAAACTATACCAAGAGAGTCTTGGTGACAAGGTATTACAATGAGACATTGCTTTATACAGGATTTCAAAAAAGTATACTCTTTGAAAAAGTACCCTAAAGTAAGATGCGCGCAAGATTGTAAAAACCCCCCAGCTAAAATTAAAATTGATGCTATCTTGTCTATTCGTAAGAAAATTGGTATTAAAAGCCCTCAAAAACGGTCCCAATTTCGTTACACTGCGTCAAAATATATGTACTGTGCTGCATTTGCTATCAAAGTTTGAAGAAATTAGGTGCACGCCTTGGCCAGCGCCTTTAAAACAAGCATTTTCTACCGTTCACTTCAAGGATATTGCAATGTGGATAGCGTATTCCTTTGTTTCAAAGTATTTAGTTCAATGCGAGTGATCCAGAAAGAGAGATACGCGTCTCCTTTCATATGCTTCAGTGAATAAAAAGTACGTAAAGTATCATTCTTCGAAAACATTTTAGGTGAGCCCAGATCCTTACGTGATCGCCGTACAGAGTGACAGCAGTGATGTGGAATGTATTGAAGCTCCGAAACCTCTGGGTGATGTTTTTGAGTCCGTTGCTGGTGCGATATTCCTTGACAGCGGTCTGGATGTCCTCGAAGTCTGAAGAGTCTATTATCCAATGCTTAAGAAGTTCATTGGTAAGTTTTGACTTTGTCATAACCTTGTCATAATGACAACAGTACTTTTCGATCGACTACAAAATCGTGAAGATAGACAGGGTAAAGATAATGTTACACGAAACAACTTTCAACAACAACTCGCAACGCAACTGAAAATTGAAAGTCGTTTAGTGTAACATTACCTTATTAAAATTTTAAAATGAGCTGTTTCGGTGGCAATGGTAAAACCTCTGACTATGAAGTGTGATTTAGTTTTGTAAACCATGAAAACTGGCAATTTTGTTGTTACCCTGTTAACTGTAGGTACTTCTCGTGTTTTACTGACCAGTAAAATGTCTAGCTCTTAAACTCAGGTTTAGAGTCAGAGTAAAACTGGGTTTGCTATGGTGCCTACCGGAAACTAACTGAAAGATATTACTTACTAATTGCAGATGAGTACTCGCAGAACGTGCCAAAAAATCCGGTGAGAAGAGTTAATGAACTTGACGTGAGTGCGGAATACAGGTAAATGGGATTGAAACGATTTGTGCAGTTTGAAGTACAATTTAAAAATGTATTTTTATCAGTGACAATGTTTGTAACTGACAGTTTATTATTGTTTTATTTCAGAAAGGCAGAGATATTAGAAGACGGTAGAGTGTCTAGTGTTCTTAAATTCAAAGGTAGCGAGTATAAAGGTTTTGGGATAAATAAACGAAATGCTAAACTTTCTGCTTCCTATAGGGCTTTGAAAACAATCGATGACAAAAAATAGTTAGCGTTTTAAGATTATTGGTATGCGGGTCAACCAAATAATAATTTTGGTTTTAAAATATAATATAATAAGTTAAAATTTGGGGAATCTATAAATAGTCGAGGTAAATAATGTATTTTACATAGGAATTAATTAATAAATTTATTCGATTAGTAACAAAGTCAATGAATTCCGGCAATGTTCATTCATGTGCAATCGACGGTGGGAAGCCGCCCACACGCCAGCTGCTTCTAAGTGCCCGTGCGCGGGCGTCAACACCATATATGGCAAGCGTAGGAAGTGAATCAGTGATAAAACAATAATCAACACAATATGGCTCGATTTGAAATGCACAAAATTTTCAATTTGCAAATTATAAAACACTGAAAGATAATTGCTGTCGGTTCCATTGGTCGCCGTTTGACAGTTTGCACCTGTGTATGAACATATAACGCCATTCTGAAACGAAGAAAGTACTTCAGAAGATTAAATAACGAACGATCAAAAGCTAGCTAGCTTTGATCATATTTGATTGAACGCACAATATTACAATGGTTTGTAGAAACAGTATTTTTGCTTTGTTGCTCGTGTTATTGAACCTGCTCTCAGGAACTTCTCAGGTACAGTAAAACTCTTAAATCATGAAAGTAAGACGCGGTATTGTACTAACTTCAATACATGAAATGCGTGAAACGGTGAAAGTAGCATTCAAAAATCTGTCATACACATCATTTTAAGATTAGTGATTTATCTGACTGGTTGGGTTAAAAGTAAAGCGTTTCATCTACTACAGTTTTCTACCAATTTTACAGGTCTCGGTAATAAAACCACGCACTCTGTCCTCCACAAGATTGAAAAATCTTGCAGCGTCGATAGATTACGATGGATTTAACGATTTGCTGCGACCCATATTGAGAAGTCGTGTGCCTGGAACAAATGGCCATCATGCTGTAAAACAGGTAGGATTTGTGGTTTTTTGAAGTTTTCTGATGAATTTCATTGATTAGCAGTATTTCCTCCATCGCAAGTGAAATTATCTCGCTAGGACAGTAAAAAATTAGGTTAAGGATCGATTAGTTTCACAATATTTTTCCCATTGCTGATTGCTTTTTTTTCCCTATTGATGTTGATCATCTACACTACCGACACTCGCAGAGTCATAGGTTAGGAGCAACCAGACGTTTTTACCAAACTCACCTTTCTTATTTAAAAAACTATCCTGTGTAACTTAAAATAAACTCAAAGTTGCCCTAAATGTATCAAAATCCATGGAAGCTGGAAGAAAACCTGAATTATGAATGCTAAGATATTTAAGGAATGAAGAAAATTCAGTTGGACAGAAATGTAGAGTTTTAAAAAAATCAATGAAAATACTCGCTTTGGAGTGATTAGAACAGCATGCTAAGGAATTTCATAAATTGTTTGCTCTGTTTAAGACCAATGTTTTAAAAAAAAATGTAATCGTGTTTGTGTCAACACAGTATATTAAAGGCGGATTTTCACTTACAGCGAAATCGTTCGCTAGCTAAATATTTGCATATTTTCTTTTAAATTGAGAGCAGTCAAGTCGAACTAATTTATTTATGCTGATTTTGCTGTAAGTGGAAACCTGCCTTAATCTGCCTTGTGTGGCTGCCAAGGCAAAGTTTACACTAACCCCTGCCTCTAGTGATCAATAGGTATTCCAATTTCCACAGATGAAAATAAACAATACAGCAAATGCATTAGCATCTGTTGCCCCTTAATGAGTGATGCACATTCAGATGTGTATATAATCACTGAATATTAACCTCTGGAGAAAGGAGTTTTTATGCTATATAAAGTTGTTGTGATTCTAATTTACATTGTAAAATTGATTTATCTAGTATTTGGTCAAGTTTTTCTCAGACCTTGGATGGCAGGTCACTTTGGATGAGTTTGATAAGGACACAGTGATTGGTCCGAAACGTTTTACAAATATGATTGCGACTGCAAATCCTAATGCCAAAAAATTTGTGTTGCTAACCGCACATTATGACAGCAAGCTCATGAATAACAGTCAAAACAAGGAATTCCTCGCCGCGACAGATTCTGCTGTTCCTTGTGCCATGATCATGTCCATTGCAAAGAATCTTGATCTGGCTAAACTGAAAAAGGTGCATTAGCAGTATATTTTGCAATTTTTTTCCAACCAAACACTGTTGGCTAACACTAACCTAAAATTTACCGCTTCAGAATAATGACTACACTTTACAAGTTGTTTTGTTTGATGGCGAGGAAGCATTTATAAGTTGGACTGCAGATGATTCAATTTATGGTTCAACTCATTTAGCTGAAATCTGGTCAAAACCAGATGAAAATAATAATAGCCACCTTTCAAAAATTGTAAGTTTATGACAAGTATGGGAGAATATACCTTTGTGAGTGTTGCCAAACTGCTTCGGTCTTGATGTCATTTTATGTTTTTTTCTAGGAATTTCTTACATTACTGGACCTTATCGGTGAAAAAAATCCGAAATTTTATAGTGGCTTTCCAAAAACACATCGTTACTTTGAACGTTTGGTGTACATAGGTATATGAGAATGAATTTGTTCGTTGTTTATTCTGTGTTTTCATAATCAGTGTTGTGTAATGAACCTGCTGTTGTTTTGTTATCGTTGTAGAAAAGAGACTCGTGAAAGATGGCTCGATCTCACCAACATTTCAAAACTCGAATGAAAAGAAACAATATTTTGTTGAAGGCTTGCTTTCAGAATCACTTGGTATCGAAGACGATCATATTCCTTTCTTGAGAAAAGGTCGGTTGTAAACGTAGATTTTGTCAGATCCCAATTCACTTCTGACGTATGGAATGTAGTCCGTTATTGATCAAGCAGACCTGCGTTTGCTTTTGTTGATTTACTGCCAATATACAAGGCAAGTCAATAGACTACAAAACATCCTTCAGAAGTGAATTGGATCCGTGAGTTCGATTCACGAGATTAACTTGAAAACGTGTGGTTGTTAATGGTATTGGTATTATGTGGATGCGTACCAAAGTAGTTCCGTTAACCGTTAACTCATTTTCAGGTGTCCCAATACTTCATATAATTCCTGTACCATTTCCCGATTGCTGGCACAAGTTATGCGACGACGGTACAAACCTTAATGCAGAGACCATTCATGACCTGCTGAAGATCTTTCAAGTTTTCTTTAAAGAAATTCTCAGAGTTTAAGAGCTTTGCTAAATTACGTTTGGATTAGAACAATGGTTCATTTTAGGGGCGAGTAGGGTTACGGGAGGATATCTCAGGAGGATATCTAAGGATGATACGAGTACACAAGGCATAACGCACACACTGGTATCATCTTCATAGTCAGGGTTAGGGAAAAGGGCTTAGGGGAATGTGTTTTAGTTGAATACTCTTATCGGCAATTGTAGTATAAACATCTTTAGATGTTGCAAAGCAACAACTTTAAATTATTCCAATATAAAATAATATATTCAATATGTATAAAAGTTAATTTATATCTTATAAATTTTCCCTGCATATTAAAATTCTAATATTGGCTATTTTCCGCTGTGTCATAATCTGATGTTGTAATCGTGATAATGTTATGCACTCTGACGGAAATTATGTGGACATATGTGAAGATAATTTTATCAATACTTAGGTCACACCTTTGCTGCCAGCGAAACGTGCATTACATGGTAGGTTATTCGTTTAACCAGCAAAACGTGCGTGCGATTTTTCACAAAGACGCGAACCCTGTCCTTGGGTTATTAATAACGGTGCAAAGATTTGCTCTAACAGGAGTGTTTTCAAAGAACTCGTCCGTAGAATCGTCCTCTTGTGCACCAGATTTCTCAACTTTTTCCCCTCCGTTCCAGTCATCATCTAGAGATAAAGTTTTTGATAAATTAAATAAGTACCAAACTATTCTTTCTGTGGGTCGATCAAACTAACAGTATTATGTTGTGTAACTGTTTGGACCACAGCTCTATCGGTTTTAAGCTATTTTTTTTAGACGACTAATTACATCGTAGATCTACAAACTGTACATACCATACTACATAGGTACAGTTGAATATCTCATCAGCAATTCTAAAGTATCAGTTTTCCAAAAAGAGAAATCTCTGATACAGGAGAAAAGATATTTAGAGCTTAACGTACCAGATGAATTACCGCTATTATAAGTTTCATCAATATGGACAACACTTCCTTCCAATTCCATGTTTAATTTCTCGCGGATGTTTTTCGCTCTCGTTTCCCTCTCTTGTTGTTTAATAATCACTCCTTTCATGTGATTTCGACGATTCCGTTCATTCACAAGGAACTTTTGCTCCATCTATCGAAAGGAAAACTTTCTTCAGACATTGCTATCTACAGGCTACATGGCATGCACTCTCAGTTAACCCTTACTTTTAACAGAAAAGTTTTTTTCGACTAGCGCTTTGATTCCCAACGTTATAGTATTAAAGTGGTTAAGGCCCGTTCGCAGTCGGATCCAATTCACTTCTGACGTATGGAATGTAATTTGTTATTGGTAAAGCAGTACCGCATTGGCTTTGGTTGATTCGCTGTCCATATACTTTGCAAGTCAACAGACAATAAAGCATCCATCAGAAGTAAATTGGATCGTGTGGTTATTTATCAAAGGATTACACCAAACAGACGTTGTTTACTCTAAAGATTGGTTTAAGACAATACATCTTTTGTGGTAGTTGATTCCGTAGGTTATGCATGTTTTAGTATGACGTGTTTGCATTGAATAAATGAATGGAACTTGAAAAGGGCTCAATGAAAATTGAAAAGAGTTCCATTCATTGGTTGCACTGATGGTAAATTAATTTTCAATATGTAAATTCAAATTATTTCAAATCGCCCAGTTCTCGTTGAAACTGGTGAATCGCATAGAGAGTTTATTTCAACGGTGAGATTTCCAGCTTTTTCTCAATGGATAAACGTTGAAAGAATCGTAGTTAATGGAAGGAAAGATCTTTGTCGTCGTCATTGGGAACAAAGATAGTAACCGATGGTATTTGACGAAGTTTTATTGAGCAGGAGGTTTTATGGACAGTAGGAGCGACAGAAGCGAGGTGTCTGCTTTTTAGGTAGGTATGAATTTTCTAGCTTAACTAAATGCACGTCTATTGTGATTTCTGCATGATTATAACTTATAAGCCTTGAATTCTAGTTTTAATCCGGCGTTTCTTTTAGATTGTCCAAGCTCCTAGATCTACGGAAATTTGAATTCATCAGCTTTGCATTGAGGAATCCAATTCAATCCATAAGCATCGAACAAACCAACGGATGTTTTACAGAGCTTTTGAGACGTAAGGTGCGTTAAACACTTGAGGATTTACTTAGTTAAGCAATTTTGCACAAGTCTGCCCGGCTTTAACCTCGGTTATATAGTGGAGAAAAATGATGGTCGTTACAAGCCGGCCATGGATTTCCAATTCATTACTTGTCTCGAATATCATTCACATCTTAAGTAGACCAATCTATTCCACTTAAGCTTGGTTTCCATTTTGTCGTAATTCTCGTGAACAAGTCATTTTCACCGATGAGAATTAGTCCGGATGCAAATTTGTCTTTATTTCTGTATTAAAATCAGTCATTGTTGACTGCACACCAGTGAAATGAATATAAGTAATGTTATTTATTATAGTTCACTGCTGCACACAGTCCCCGCACACATAGAAATATTCTATCACATCAGCCACCTTGACATGTTCACGACATTCACGATTAAATGGAGACCAGGTATTACCTGTATTTGTGCGTTTTTTAATCTTTCGTACTCCCTTGCTTGAAAAAGATCTCGATTATGTTTTGACAAGGTGTCAGTCTTCCGTTGAAGCTCCTGTGTAAATAATTTAAAACAATTTCAGTTTTCATTCGGTCATTATAAGCTGTGAAGAAAGCCACTGAACAAGTCAACGATTCATCGATGTGAAATAGTCTGGGTTCTTTCTCATGTATAGACGAATCAGTCTCTACTCTCTATTATAGTCTCTATAACTCAGTGAAAAACGATCTACACTCTGTTCCATCGGTTAGCTGGATATGTTCATGACTAGTCTTAACAACAGTTAAGACGAAATGGCAGACCTGGCTGTATTTTAAAAAGAATGATTTCATATCTCTGATAATGATTCGATTAACATCATTCTGATCTCGCAAGCTAAAAAAGCTCGTTAAACCCTAATGCGTTTTCAGGACAGGTGGCATTTGAGGCTGAATTTTTGTAGGATGAAATTTCCTCTACTATCAGCTCTCTCGAAAGAGATTCTCAGAAAGAAATCCTGGCTGATCTTCACCTACCATTGCTCTGTTCTGTTCAGCTTGTTCTTGCTTTTTTCTAAGTTGTTCCGCAGTAAGCTGTGGCATTCCTTCAAGTTTCTTATCCAAAAAAAAAGAGTAAATAAAGTATACCGTGTAAAGCATATAAATACTTCGAAAAATCGTCTCCTATATTCTTTACCTTCAATCTTCTTGGAAACTTTCTTGGTGTTGATCGAGAATTTGTATCTACATCATTGAAATCAACATCAAAACGAACTGATTTTGGAGGTAAACCATATTTAACTCTCGGTAAGACACAATTACTTTCTTCTCTGTCTTCAAGTCCAGCCTCTGAAAGTCGACCATTGAGTGGATCGTTGTCAATTGATGTCTCATTGTTATTTCTCAAACATCTTTCCGATGATTTTGCGTGGAAATTTTCATCATTATTTCCATCGTAGCCTTCTGGATATCTTCCATTTATGAGTTCTCTGTCTGTAGGTGAAGTTTTTATACCTTCCAAAGATCTTTCGCTTTTGCTAAGGTCACTATCACAAGGTCTAACTTGTATCACTTTTTCAGTACATGCTGAGGTCTCTAATAGCTTGCCTTCAGAAGATCTCCCATGCTCGCTAAAGTCTTGCTCACTAAAGTTGCTCTCTTGAGGTTCGACATGAATTATTTTCTCATTAGATGGTGGATTGACCTTATTATCAGATGTGGAAACACAACTCCCCATATTTTAAGCTAGAATATCCGCCATACTGGGATATAGAAAACCCCAAGAGTTAGAGACGTATACCGATTCTGTATCAACCAGACTGTGTAGTGGCAGACATGTAATCGTTTGTTTTTCGTCTGAAAATTTGTAATGTTTACTCGAACGTCGTTAAAGTAATCCCATCCTGTCTTAATTGCGATTAATTAATATTTCTGTTGCTTGGTAACATGGTGTTTATCGATGGTAACTTGGTGATGGCTTGGATGTTAAAGGGATGTGATTTATATAGGGATATATGTTATAGGGGTGTGAACCTATTTCTATGAACTTTCTTTGCAGGATTGAAATATCTCATGCGACTTTTGGGAGGGCAAAGATACAGATTTATATTTCATTTAATCACAGTGACAACCGATTTTTACTTCCAGAGAAATAGTTCGCTATCGAAATATTTGCATATTTTCTTTTGAATTGAGAACAGTCAGGTTGAACTAATGCTGTTTTTTATGCTGTTGAAACTCAAAAGTAAATTTGCAAATATTACCATTTCTCTGCAAGTGGAAATCTGGGAAATGTGGGATGCTTTCTGATCCTTTTAATCATAGAGTATGCATAATAGTTTATAAACAAATGTCCAGAAAAAAAGTTGACTAGTTCAGTCTAGTTGTATACGAAGTTTAATAACATTTAACAGTTTGAAAGGTACATATAGGGTAGTCGAAGTTAAATAACACTACCAATTCAATGCTGAATGAATTGGCTTAGAATTAAACACTAAATAATTAATTAACGTAATTGGAAACATTATGGTTTTATTACGATTGAAACTTGTTTGGTTTATGAATCTTCAAGACTCTTTTTCTATCTTGAGATAAAAAAGATTCTTAATGAATCAAGTACAACTTGCAGGACATTTATTTTAAATCTAAACAACTTGCTTTTACACTCAATCTTCAATAGTCCATGATATTCTTCTCACAACAGTTACTAGAAGTCCCAGTCCACACCTAGCCTGATCTAAAGCGCTGCACCTGACACTCGTGACTTAGTTCAAGACCTTGATTTACAGTCTACAGTTTATCGAGCTAATCACAAATTACTCTTGATCTTCGTTAGGTTGTGATGAAAATCGTTCAATTCTTCTCTGCCGTAAATCATTATGTGAGGAGTTTGCATTATCCGTATTATCAGTGAAGTTTCTACCCTCGGGTATGTCTCGTGCTTCGCCGTTCGCAGTCGCCGCATTCTCGTCAAGCACCGCCCAACTCGGTCCAGGCACATCGGCAGTAGACGACGATACAATATTTTCAGCGCTATTCTGATCTCGTGTCGTGGTAGTTGTGACTGGAGCAGTACTGGCGCTAGCTGAGGATGGAAATCCCACACCAAAGGTTGGTCTAACAATAAGATAAATAAAAAAGTTATTAATCCGAGTGAAATAAGGATATTTAGATTAAAGGTATAAATTGTTTGATTCAAATACCATATTTTTTTCTGAGCACAACGGATGATTTACACATTTAGAAATGGGGAAATATTTCACTGTATAACTTTGCATTAGTAAACTAAGTATTTCTATTGTCTGAACAATCTGTTAGGCCTTGTATAACTTGCTTCACATTTCTGCGCTATCCAGTATTATTTCGAGATCAATGACTGCTATCTCCGAACAGCACCAATAAGAACAAAAATCCATAAGCTTACGTTCGTGTACTCGTCACAGCTTGTGTGTATTGATTCAACTGCGTTATCGCCGTGTCAAGCAACGAATGAATGTTTCTCAAAACTCTGATACGAGCTTCAACACTCTCGCGTTCCTCGCCTTCCATTGCTCTGAGCTCTTCCATCGTGAGAGAAGATGTGTCGCCATTTGAGGATGCTTGAGGGAAAGGAAATCCTGCAAAAACAACGATTTGCGGTAAGACCCGAAGACCACATTTCCGTACGAGCTGTGAAATAACATTCGCTTACCAAACATTGGTGGTGGAAACATGGGAAATGGCGGAGGAGGGAATGGTGGTAGTGTGCCTGGCATCTGTAAAGAAAAGATGAGGTTTTATGGTTGGAGGAAGATTGATTTTACTTGTTTTTTAATGGTGCTTTTTGGTAGAAATCTGGGTCAATATTGATAAGATTTACAATGGGTTAAAGAACCCATGAAATACTTGTATCATTTGGGCAGTTTTAAGCCAATCTTAAATCCCAGGAGAGCAAAGATTCTGACTGAAAAACAAATTCTACTAACTGGCATTGATGATGGCTGAGAGCTCGTTGAGGGTGGAGATGTCCCTTGTGTAGTGGGTGGTTGAGGTGGTGGGGGACCTGGCTGCACACCCGGGGGTGCACCAGGTGGGAACCCCATGGGAAACATTGGAAAAGGTGGGGGCATATGTGCTGCATGAGGTGGTATACCTAAATATACATGTTATGTGAATATGATGTTGACGTTTTGCAATAAAGGTTGCCACCAATAGTGGTGAAACCGCTCGTAAAGACGGATAATTTATTTGAGTCTCGAGCTTTTATTTAGAACCTTGACGATAGAATGAACCAGACCTTGCTGTGGAGCAGGTGGACCCTGTGCCGCAGGGCGAGCGTGTTGCGGTTGTCCCAAGACATCCAAACGACATGTCGGACAGGTTTGCTGTCGTTGAAACCAGGAACGCAAACAACTGATGTGAAATATATGATTACAAGGCAGCTTCTTTGCATTCGTTGTCATTTCTTCACGACATATAATGCAAACATTGTCACCGCTCGCCAGCTCTTCTTCCGTCGCATCGGGGTAGCTGGGGAAATACGTAGAAAGTTCAACGATAGTCGAAGAAATGAAATGAAAATGTGAAGGATGATTTGAAGTGGTAGACATTGTGTAGAGAGTTGAACAGAGATGAAGATGATGAAGACAAGATCTTGAGATATTTGATTGGTTCATGTTCCCTTCTCTAGCTGATCGCGCTCATGATTGGTTAATCTGTCAGTGTTATTACATTTGATTGGTTCATGTTCCCTTCTCTAGCTGATTGCGCTCTGATTGGTTAATTATGTCAGTGTTATCGCATTTGATTGGTTCATGGGAATATTGGAGAGGTTTTGAAATGACAACTTACAGAGTATTCATATTTAGGATGGCTCTTCGCGACATAATCACATCGCTGATCGACTTTTTAAACGACCTAAATACAAAATATTACAAAAATTTTGTTGGTAAAAAATCACACCGCCGTTCTGCAGAAAATATTCTATGACTCTTCATCATTGTTACCTTAATGTTAAATACATTGGTCTTATAGCGAATAATGGGAACGTGTGTACTCTTATCATGATGAACATAAATGAAACATATAAACTTGATTTTATGAAACCTGAAATGAAAAAAAATTGTAACAGTTAATCAGTTAAAAAGTTGCAATTTCATGTGTGAAGTGGGTTACAAAAGATTCCTACCCATCACAAGTTCGCTGTACAAAATATAAACTGCTTTATTCTCCCAAGGATTGACACTTTGCAGGTCAATTGTATGAAGGACATATTTCATAAAGACAGCCACGACAATAGTCAGTAATATGGCATACTAAAATAATAGAAATGTGCCGTTAGAAATTATGTGGGAATTGTGTAAAATTTGGTTCTATCAGAAGATCAGATCAATGGGATCTAAAAGAATGATCTATTATATTCACCTCAAAGCCAAAGACAAGTTGTGTTGAAGCACCACTGTTTAGGACACTGTTGTACGCTTTGTGTACAAAGAGGGAGTCAAGTGTACCCAGTAGTGTTAGCAAACCTGTGCAAAAATATTTTATTGAAGGATTGTAATTGCGTTGCATTAAGTCAAGATGTGTCATATGATGTATTTTGTGTAAAGAATTACTCTATTATTTAACTTACAAATAACACGAATGTGAAAAAGAAATGAAATCATGGGACTTCTTTCCATCTGTTAAAATGAAAAGAAAGAAAGATTGAAGATGTTTAAAAAGATTGAGCTTGATAACAAAATGAGGTCATGGTGGACCTACATATTCAATTCTGTCTTCAGAAAGCCAGTGAAAGCACTTTAGGAACAACAGCATTGTGAACTGGGCAACAAACAGTGGACTGAAATTATCTCGAAACACGGTGAACGCAAGACATGTTTCCGTCACAGCATACCAGGATCTCTCTATTAGATGCTGACAATAAAAAAAATTCTTAAATGAATCACATTCTTCTGCATAAAGTTTCCTTTAACCTCTCACTTAAGTACATACACTCGAACAGGTCTGTAAATTGTTGGGTTTATTGGTAATGTTGGTTAAAGTTTTGCATATGTCATGATAACTGTTGGTCTATTTGTTGGTGCATAAATATTTACCTCTGTTTCTGCTGGGCGTAGTTGACCGAAGAATACTTTACGAGAGAGTTGGCCAAGAAGTAGGACAAATACAAATGCTTGTAAATACAAGACCTAAAAAAGGATGAAATGAGGAATACATTCTGTACAAGTATTTTCATTGTGTCTTGAAATGCTAGCGCTTCTTTAGCAATGCTAATGATTTAAGTGGATTCGAACAATTGTTGCTTTGATCTGGTGGTTTGAGAAGAACTAATTAAATGAGTTGTTATAGCTCTGTAAATGGTAAATGAAGGTGAATTACCAATGCTGGGCTACTGGTCAGCTTGGATGTAAGACCTTTACTTGTCATTGCTTGTGCAGACACATAGCTTTGAGCATTTGGTCCATATAAACTAGTATACTAATATTTACAGGTCAATGGTTTGCACAGTGATTCAACAGACCAGTTCAGATGCACATTAACGACATCTGTCGACCACTAAGCCTGGTTCACAAAATATCCTAGGAATCTGGGATTTCCTTTGTCTGAGGTCGCTAGTGCATAAAATGCTTTGTCTATCAGGAAATTATATAACTGAACTTTGATTCTGTTCCGAGGAGCTACTGTGAACCAAGCCTTAGCATTGTCATCTACCAGAATTTGTCATCTACCAATGGCTGGAATCAGACCAATCAATGGTACATATGTGTTAAGGCACCATGAAACCCTTGACTTAGTCTCCTCCCCCCCTGGAGCCTGGGGAAATCTGGTTTCCCCTGCAACTCATGTCGACGTAATATCAATGTATTCACAACGAAAAGCGTTCACGACATGTTACTCGACATTAACACCCACCGCTAGACTCGGATTAGACTTTGTTATATACACGACTGAAGGATAAAACTGTCCTTTCTGATAAAAAGCATTTCCAATGACCAAACTAGTTAGAACGATGCTGCCAATACTCAGTAACAAGCCACGCATTTTGATAAAACTCTTGACTGCCAGGATAAGTTTTTAATTTCACATCTTCTCACCAACTTGAAAGCATCTTTTATTTAGCAGAAAATTAAAGAAACATCAAAAAATACGTGGAAGTTCTGATCTCTAAACAGTCGAATAAAATGTAAACACGTCCTCACATACGGGACTTTGGCCGTTGACGGTCTGCTCCGAAGTTGTTTCCCGACTATATTCCGAACAAAACACCTGCAAATCGCTGGGCAGTTCAGGCTAGTTAAAAAAGACGCAAAATATCATAATTTTCACTTTTCGTGAAACAAATGTAACATATTTCAAATAATTTGGATGCGGTCTTTGGCTTTCGGCTTTAACGAAGAGGGGGTTGAAAATGGTGTTTGGAATAAGTACCCGACAACGTATTTCGTTGCGAAATTTTTGGGAAACAGTTTGAAATTTGGCAATAGTTCGGTGTGAAAAAAACAGGGAAGTACAGAGTAGTTTGTGAAAGTCATGCTTAAGGAAGTCTGGAGGAGGCTGACGGATGATTAGACAAGTAGAAACCACGATCACCTTATTGTATTTATAATTTATTCGGCCTAAAATTTATCGGGAATAACCAAATATAGAGGTTTTTAACTTATTTGATTTTGATAATTATTCTCAAGTCGAGGATTTCCTGGTTTAAGGGGAAGTTGTGTGGTATAGTGAACGCGTGATGGGGCGTGCAAATGATACTGATGTTTCAGTTTGAGAACTGACAGAGGAAGGTGTGATAATGAGTACTGAGAAGTTTCGTGGAAAGCTTACAACATTCCTAGAAAGCTAAAAAATTCGTCTTTTAGTTATCTTGGGGCTTGGGCTTAAGTCTATTTTGTTTTATTTGTCGGCAAGACTTCGAACGAATGAAACCTATAGTGTGTCCTGTATCAGATTAATCGTTAATATTGTTTGCCAATAAAACATATTTCGGCATTCAGTAAACCACATTTTGCTTTATGCTGGAGCAGTAGTTTTCCTCACATCAACGTAAAAACTAAGTCATAAATGTACTACTGACTAATCTGACTTGCTCAACCGAGTTTATTAAGACAGTATCTTCTGTGCAGACATTCACAATATAGGAAACAACTCGCAGTCATGACGAATTCTCAGGAAAGTCCCAGACACTCACTGAGGACTTGTTGGCAATCAAGTCTGACCCATTTTCGCGCGTGTTCCTCTCCAGTCACATGGAAAAATTTAATTGTCTAAAACGACACAAAGTTAGACAGACTTCCGTGGGAAAGCGTATCTTGTGATACCGGCCCAAGAGAAACCGATTTCCCGTCGCCTATGTATGAATATATAATAATCCATTTGGAGCAATTATAGCCTACAGCAGTCAAAGCCAGAGGCTCAATTTATGTAAACTTTGACAAGATCTTGACGACCAGCCTTGCTGTGCTAATTCAAACTAGACCTTATTCAACCCAAAGCATTGCCTTCCTCAAACAGACACGATGTTAGACCAACTCGAAGGCTAGCTATTTTTGCCCACATGGCTACACTTTCAAACATTCCGGCCAAATATAAGTATTTATTAAAAGTAAACTGATTTTTCCGCTTTTGCCGTCCCTATGGGTCATGTGCTGAATAAAATTTTCGTCTGGATGTGAAAGTTGCCTAAGTCACACGAGAACATTTTCTTTGGCAAACTTTTTTGATATGAAAAAATTGACATCCGATCCTTTGTCTAAATGCATTTACCATGACAAATTCCTCCTTCAAAAATTCTCCATTCACACGGAGAAAAAATATGTTCTACATTTGTCAACGAAACTCGCCCTGCCCTGGTCAACCCGGCTAAAATTGATACATTTCAAGGGCTAGTTTTTTCATAACCGGAGATTACTAACAAGGAAATGGCTGGTAAACATAGTAAATAGGCAGAGTTGGTATTAGGATCCATATTATGATTAAATAAAAGGGAAGCACTAATGAAATACGGCGTGGAATGGTAAAGAACGGGAAGGAAACAAAATGCACATGTTGACTGTACAATTTACGATTGCAACACAATTTCGCTGTTTACAAAATTACATTATTTCTTTGAGCAAACCGACTAGTATGGTTTTTCCGGCGTCCTCCTTAAACGCAGTTCCTCTCAGTTGCATGACACCGTAAGTTAGTGTTTACAGTTCTGAACGAGTTAGGGCATCGAACGGAATCAATCAAAACAATCAAATCTCCCGGCAGATAATTGTGGAATACGAACACAATTAACAACGCGTGCGTCGCGCTATTTTAGGGGAACAAACACGCCCAGCTATGAGCAATGATGGACTCGATCACTGTAATTACCGGTTTCAGCCCATATATTGTTGCAACATAGGGTTCCAATGCCACTCTGGGACATGGAAATTGTCCATTTGCAGTAGAATTTAATCCATGCGAGTTTTTTTATAGCTCCTCCCGGTATGCAAGTAGCGATTAGTTTCCGCGGCAAATAACTGGACATTTTGAAATTAACTGAATTCTCTCAATTCTTGATTTGTTGACCCCAAAATATGCAGGAACGTAACAAACATTTTCTCATTCTGCAAGTCTCACCGCCGTTTGCCAGAAAGCCGGCGTGCGTGAGGTGGAACCATAGCGTTTCCTCAATTTTCTGTGTAATTACCTCCGAGGTTGCATGCATGAAAGCGTATACGACGCGTTGGGCAATGAGAGAAAATTCAAAGGTATAATTGCAGTTTAGCCTTGCGTATTTTTAAACGTTCTTCAGGAAGTCCAGAGAGGAAAGACGCCATTTAATTCTAATTATTTCACCGCAAGCTGGCAAAGAGTATTTTCAAAACCTAATATCAAGAACGGCGGTGTTTAGCCGAAGACGCACATCTGATATTACATCCAACCCCGAAACACTTCGGATTGTCACCCAGTTTGACGGCATCGTCAAAACACAACTCGAATTTCAAATATCAGCACACAAACTAGCCTGAGAAAAAATGTTAAACATTTCAAAGATTTGCGCATGTGGTCAATAAACTACTACATAATGTCAAGAGATAAAACTCGATAAACTATATATCTGTGTTCTGGCCAAAAACTCAAAGAAAGAATGTTACATTAGGTTCTCTTTATGCGACAAACACTTGATAAAAAGTCTCAAACAGAAGCTGGAAATTTGGAAGATGTCATTTTGACGCATAACATGGATAAGGGAACAAATATCAGCATTTCTTGTCCTCTATACAAAAATATTGGGGCCATTTAGACGGCCGTAGGGGAAATAGCTTGCAAATGATTTAAATACATAAGACACAATAAATGGTTGTCATACAAGTTATCAACGAAACCAAGCTACAGAATTATTTCCTACTTGTGAAATAATAATGAATAATACAGTTAATATGGGGTTGTTTTTAGCGGGGTTTTACTTTTTAGTTCTGTGAGCACTGTATAAGGATATTGCACACCCTTAATTAAGCATTACCATGCTTCGTATAGTCTTCATAACTTGTTCTGAGTTTGGCTGTGACATTCCTCCCCGAGATAACATACAATTCGATATGGTATGAATGAGCCAGCCATTTATATATAACCCCTGTTCGTATATGTACAGGTCTCGACCTATTACCCCTGCGCAAAAGAGGTATTGTTAAGTACATATAGACGGTGTGAGTGGTAGAAATTATGAGTATGCATGCATGTTTTCCTAATGTCAAGATTAAGAAAACGAATTGTATATATATATATATATTACTATTACGGCTTACAAATGGAAAGTGACAAAGGCGGACAATTCAGTCTTCAAATACTGCATGAGTATCTGCAACAGTTTTTCTCTTTCTAAGAATGTATTCTTTGTTTGTAAGAACTTTTTATTTCAATTTTTACAGACGAAAAGGCTATAGCGAGACGCCCACGGCTGAGAATGACTCCCAGCATGGAACACCTACTACGATCTTCATGAAGTTCACACAAAGGCACTGAGATTGATTGCATGAAGAGATTGAAGATAAGTTTTATGAGGTAAGGAAAGATATGTTGAATATATAGTTTGATCAGACCACTGGGTCAGACCGAGTATGCCACAACGAAAGCAATCGCCACAATGCAGTTGCCGGATTGAATTGGGCGAAACTAATTTACTGTGAAAAACACACAGTAAATTGATCATTCTATTTTAAAAGTAAAAACAAAACACAAATTTCCTGAAACGGCACAAACAAGTAGTTTTTTCCGTGTCACTACCGTTGACAAAACAAACGGTTTGATCTGCAAATTATGTCATCGAGTATCTTGGCACGATGCTCTAGACAACGGAGTTACGTTCTCAATATTGAAGTGGATAATGATGCTGGTAATATCACTCTCTCTGGTGGGAAACCAACTCTCCGTGAATCAGCTGAATTTAAACGATGACAACTTCACATAACTAAGAACAACCTAGAAAAGAAAAAAAAGGTCTATTCAAATGAAATATTTGTGCTTTTTTTGCAACGCGATTTGTGCTTGTCAGCATCAGCTATATAGTGCATGCATGGATAAGTGTAATTATCATATACAAAGGCAGATCGACGTTGCTCCAATGTTATTATAGATCAAAACTGATTTATGCAGTCTCAGTGATTAGCCTCAGTTACATTCTAGTCATTAGTCATTGCTTTTTTCTTAACTGTAAAGTCATCATATGAAACGAGACAACTACACAGACAACTTTATAATCATTAATGCCTGCAGAACCTGCCATAAAAATTACTTGAATTTGAGTTAATACCTAGCAATGCTTTACCATATATACGGTAAACTAACTGGCATCTATTATATTTCTGTCAACTGGTTATATATACTTAAAATAAGACCTCTACTTACTTAAACTCGTGTAGATATATTAACACTATAAAATTATACTGAAGATAAAGCCATGCAATCCGTTGTGAACCATCTTGTTTCCAATATCTAAATAAATGTCCTATTTCGTTGAGAAAATAATCCATTAATAACGTCCTTTTATTGAAAATCATCGCTGTTTTTTCCATTACCGTACTTAACGACACCTTTACAACAAATTTTGTTTGACTTTGGCAAATCTTTTGATATAAGAAAGTCATATCTGATCATTCATATTTTAATGAGTGCATTTGATTTGTGGTCTCGACCGTCTCGTTTGTGATGTAACTGATTTTATCCTAAACTCCCAGGCACACGAGCAAACAATATATTTGTCAGATGAATTTTGCAAAGGAGAATTTGCCAATGAAAACTTCGTGCTTTATGTTACTAAATACCCAGCATAAAACACGGTTGTTTAGAATGAATGAATGAATTAAACCGACACTTTGCATGTCACTTGGCTATATGAACAAAATCGCACAAATTTTTGGCAAACGATTAAGGATCTGCACTCAGGCGAGTCCCCCAACTGAAAAATAATTCCGTAGACATAATAGAATTATATAATACCTTCCGTATTTTGGATGAAAGCACTGAAAAGAGCCTATAGAGAAGTTATTGTGACATAATTATATATCGGGAGGGGCGATGCCTCAAGATTAATATTGTTTCCTGGATATATCAAAATATACAAAGATTTAATTGAAATCCTGTTGTTTGAGCATTTGTATGTTGTGCATTGCTTCCAGACGTTTTAGAATCAATTAGAGAAGTTGGTGGAACTGAAAGTGTTACACCCATTTCACTTTAAAACACAATCATACCTATTTCGAGTATAGACTATATGTTTTATTGAACAGCCGAAGGTGTCATTGATAAATATAAAGCTAACAATTGTTAGGACGAATACAGCGGATATTTCTAGACTTTCGAGTTTCAATGAACAGTGTATTTGTTTAGAGTATTGACTGGGTATGCTAAATTGTTATTGTTTTGATAAACTACGCTTTTACAGTGTTCTTGCGTTAATCTATTTTGCGGCGGCACGGCACAGCATAGTAAAAATTTCAACAATCTGTGATCATATACTAGTTAATGATATCCCCTTATATCTGCATTATTTTCAACTCAGCATCATTCGATGTGCCTCGCAAATCTCGCTCGTCTTTATAACAGCAACAACAGATTAAAAATATCAAATTGAATCAAGTAAAATACGTCATTGAAACGAGATAAGAACGCACAATCAATTCCCTATCTACCTGCATCAGTGAATTTCTGCCGTTTTGAGAAGCCCGGAAAAGGGCTCTTCATTACTTCAAATGTATAACTACAGAATAGAAGTCGAATTACACTTCTATTTTTAATTCTTTAAAATTTTATGGGGCCGGCAGCAAATCTTCACGTATACCTGTTTCGTAGTTCAGTATAAGCAGTTTAAAAAAGGGAAATAAATTCAACTCACACTGCATGTTGATTGAAGCGAGTATTACCGCAAAATATCGGCTTTTATGTACTCAAATCCAGAGTATACCAATCAATCCTCAAGACATCCAGTAAAATACCAGTTTTCATCACTTGATTGTAACAAATTAACGAACAATTGAATGTAACAATACTACTCAATTAGAACTGTGTTTCCCTTGCCATTTGAAGTTGCTTTTTGAACCTCGACCAGAATCGAGAGGCCAGTCTTTCGTATTGTCTCCTTAGGCTTACTATGCATGATTCTAGGTCATACTGAGGTTAAAACATTTCCCAAGATGTAACTATAGTTTTTGTATTCTGACTCATTTATATACAGTTTCATTTTCCTTGCCTGACTTCCCCGTACCGAAAATGGTGTTAGCTTTTCAGATCTTTTAAGAGTCAAGCGCCGATTTGCACAAGTTCGGCCATGCCTTCCGAATAAGTCTAACTAATGAGCCGAAAATTGGTGACAATGTCCTAATTGCGATCCTTGGAGAGTTTGGGATTTGCATGTTCTTCAAAAAAGACGAACTGCTTGCGTAAAAATGGGGTATTTTGGATATACGCGCTGCTGTTTCCCTGACAGTATATTACAAAATTTTTCCGCGTTGGCATAGCAAAATTGCGCGACAGTGAATATCGTTGCCTGCTTACTGTTACATAATAAAGGAGAAACATCACTGAATATTATCTCTTCGAGAGAGTTCACAAGTACGTTGTATGTCGGTATAAAATTGAAAGCAATAGTGCGGTGTTGACATGGCTCGAAATGGCCGCAATCTATACAGCATTAGAGATAATTTAGGCCGGAAGTGGAGACGAACTGTAGGAGACAATAAAGGCATGACCATATATGGCAATTCGAAGGCGCCGCTTAGCCTTATAAGGCAGTGAATTTACCAAATAAAGCGAACAGCCATCGGCACGTGTGTGTTATTTCTTCTTTCGTATAAAAGCTTTGAAAAAATGGAAAGAACTCAGAATGAAGTCGGCGAGTGTATCAGCCAGATTGAGATTGTAACTGAGACACAAGCGAAGCAAGGCAGCGAGACAGCAGAACAGGACGCCATCAATATGCATCAACAACAACTACACCGCGGAATTAAAAGAGATGTCGAAGAATTGCATAGCAGCTCATCAGATCATGATGACATTGAGGATACGAAAATCGGTATAAAACCAGGAAAGAAGACGAGAGGCAGGGTTAAAATAAAAATGGAATATATTGATAATAAACTACGAAGATACACAACTTTTAGCAAGCGGAAGACGGGTATTATGAAAAAGGTTCGTATGTGTTGTGTGTGTCAATATATGGCAATATCCTGTCTGCATTATGTGCAAATACCTTGCATTTGTACTTTGTATTTTGCACGTATATTCTGCACAATACTAGAGGTAAAAACAATGCAGTACTGTAAGTTTATATGTAATATCTTCGCAATTATCTAGGCATACGAACTTAGTACATTGACGGGGACACAGGTTATGCTTCTTGTTGCGTCTGAGACTGGACATGTCTACACGTTTGCAACGCGAAAACTTCAGCCTATGATAACATCGGAAAGTGGCAAAGCTCTCATACAAACGTGTTTAAATTCCCCTGATCCTGCAGTGAATGCAGTGACTTTGGATCAACGTATGTCTGCGACTGGCTATGAAGAGCCTGATTTATCTTATTCCTCTCACGAAGGAGTCAATGTTGACAAGGCAAGTTGTTTCATTTTAAATAACGAAAGTTTTAAGCTATATTTAGTGCCACGTTATATAACTTTTGCTAGAAACATTCTTATTTCTCCGTATATTCGTTATTGCTACTTAGAACGATCTCATTTTGCACATAAGCCATAAACTTCGATATTTCGTACATATACAAAGCAACATTTAAAGCGAACACGAAGCGACGCCATTGTGGGATATATTTCAAGCGGTGCATAACACTTCAGTGGTAATCGTGTGTGTTTTTTATACCTAAACCTTTGCTTGCAGTAGATTTGATGCTTTTACGATATTATTACAGCGCATGCAGTTTATTTCTACGCATAGTAAGTTTCGCTCATTCATATTTCGTGTAAGTTTGTTGAATCGGCCATATATGGCTGGCATGTCTTTATAAGGTAGCGTGTCGCAACAAAAGTATACCCATTTTTGGAAGTCAGGGTAAACTGTTGGGACTTTATACTTTTCCCTAAAACCGGCGAGCTTGCCCTTTAAATTTGTACAATTGTTTTTGATATCCGTATCGTCGCGTTCTGCCAGCGATTGTGCACAGAAATACGGCGCAATTCTCGAGATTTCGCTGCGGTATTTGGGGAATTCAAACATCGCGTCCCTGCTCGGACGAAGCCGCTGTGAGATTTTGGGAATTAGTCGGATTATGGAAAATGTACGTTGCTTTAATGTTTTTTAATCCTAAAATACTGCCGATTGCGGCAGAGAATGCACGCAAGCTTAGTGGGTTACTGTTTATAAAACACATTTTTTTTGAGGTTGCGTTGAGGAACGCTTGTAAACTCGGAAACTGCCCGTACTAAAAGCGAGCAAGCATTTCGAGAAAATTTATGGTATCCAATTTAGAATGCCGTCTATATTTATGTTCACATTTTATCTACAATCTTGGCATTTGAATTATGATAAATTACGATCATGTTATCTAAACATAAATACATAGCTTATACGCCGCCCTTTTCCGAAGCACTACAAACTTATAATAATATTTCGTCATATAAATTAAACACAAACCTACACAAAAATTGACGACACTTGTTAATGTTTATGAAATATTTCCCCGTAACGTATTGTGAACTATTTTATTCAGTTTTTAAATTTTTTGAATTGTATTTGAAATGCTTGCATGTTATGAAGAGAATCGCTGTTTTCAATAGCAGTGCATGGTGCTTTTGTATACCTACAGTATATATGCATAATACATTGTGGAAATTTGTGGTACTTTTCATGCAAAATATTTGGGTGCATTAATTTTTTAATTCGTCTACGAAAATTGTTTCACTGGTTTAACTAGCTACAGTTTATAATAGTAAATGAAATTAGATGGCAAATATTGCTGACTCTGTAAACCACCAGTCCAATTTATCTCGTGTTGTATGGGAAAGCAGTGTGGGTTGGTACCTTAGATCATTCACAGACAAAAGGCTTGGCAAAGAAAAAATCTTTTAGATACGAAGGTTGGCACTGCATCATAAATACCACGTAGAATTATGTGGGTTAATACTCTAACTACTCTGTCCTATTTAAAACCTTGATAAGCACATCTGCGTTCATTTATAATATTTCCCTGATGGAATGATAGTTCCTATCAACATGAATTCCCGGCTATTTTGGGGGAAACAGTAAAATTGAACAATTCCAAGTCAAAACCTGCCTTTGTCATTCTGGCATTTAATATAAAAGCATTAAAGCTTGCTTTGTGCTAAAGACAAAGTAAAAGGATGACTCCATTGTTAAATTTTCATAATAGCCAGTAGGGGTCATTGATTGTTACAGTTAAGATATTATATTTAACCTGTTTATGGTATAGCATGTGTAATATTAACTCATACAAGATACAATTGCCTTTAAATAATCTAGCAAGGTAGTATAATGCTTTAAGTTGTTACTATCTGCAATTTTTTGGATAGATTTAACCAAGAATACTTGGCATTTCAACACACAGCTGTGTACATCATTTATAGTTAAAAATAGCTAGGGTGGCATGTAATTAGCTTTTGATGGTTTTAGCACATCAGAAGTCTGGCCAATAGCCATGATTGGGAAAAGCTTGAACGAATGCCTTGATTGTAACATCAGGTTTATGATATTACATTTTATGCACTGACAATGTGAACTTCAGTTGTAGGCACAGTTAGATGATACAAACCCTTAATAAGGATAGAAATCACATGGCCTTTGACATTGGTTAATTTGAAAGGCTATACTCCTGTTAAGGATATATGTAATTATTGGGATGCACAGTTTAGAAAAGACTCATGCAGAGTTGTATTCAAATCTATTCCTTTGAAATCCAATGTGCAATCAACACCATTTAGAGAACTGATGGAGTAGGTAACTGTGGGGATCTAAAATGCATTGCCCCTGTTTGGTTAGATAGTCTATCCACATGCAGGCCAAATAATATGGCTATAACTAGTAAAACAGTCTATTACATGTGCTATTAAGTAAAAACACCAGCTTTGGGTCTAAAATCAAGAGTTCAACTAGTTGGTAATTGAAATAAGGATACATTTCGTGCAAAAATAAGTTAAAAAACCATAAGATGTACTTGTATATTAAACTCATTCTGAATCCATTTGTAATGTTGTATCAGTCAATTGACTGCTCCAAAGAAATTCTCAAACTCGAAAGCAATTATTGATGATGAAACCAGAGTTGCAAGAGAGCATGTCATAGTGTATTGCAATTTGACTATACCTAGAATTTGATGATTAGCAGTTAGAATTAAAAATGCTTTTTACACTGGAGGGAGATGAACTGTGATCTAAAATGCTATTTCGTTTAGTTATAGGACACAATTGCAGTATTGAGGTATAATTCCTGTCACTCAACCCTATTTAAAATCAATCACGAAGCAGACTTGTAAAACTCTCAACGTTGTTGAGTTAAATGTTGAGTTAAATGATAACTCGTTTATAAACTCTATGAAATACAAGGCTAGCAAGGTCGAGCCTTAGTAGAGTAGGTAATCGTTCAATTGCATCATGGACATGGCATCCTGCAGTTATATCCCATAGACTGTTGCAGTAGCTTGAAATTATTGGTGGCATGTAAATATGGCATAGTTGTCGCGCATTTTTGAGATATTTGTTGAGGTAACTTGGGACTACAAAGTGCTGTACTTGACTTGACTCTTCAAAAACACTCAAGATATTTTGTGTGCTCCTTTGATGTTACGAACTTGTCTGGACAGGATGAGAACGGTTTATACTTATTGTTAAAGTTCTCTTACATACACGCAATTCGCTTCACGATTTCTAAAAAGCCATTTTTATAGAGCACGTTTGAAACTGTCGAAATAGACGTTACATGCAAACAAACATGGGCCAGCCTCCAAAAAGCTAATATTACATAAAAATCGAGCAAAGTAGCTGAAATGCATTCAAGTATGCTAACGGTGTTATTTGCCTGAGTATCCTCGGCTTGTTCAATAAGATTTGGTTTTCTAGCCCTAAAGGGTCTCACTTGGGGTATTGCGTTTTTCGTCTCTTGTCAAAAAACAGCCCCTTAAGGCCTAACTGACCCAGGAGATCTTCTAAAACCAGTCTCTCCTATATGACGTGTTCATAGCCGTTACTATATCCGCTAAGCTTGCTACATCTGAGCTTAATTGCAGCAAATTTCTAGCGCTATTAAATCGTTAATCTTTAAGACAATCTCATGGGTTTGTAAGAATTATTTATGTATGATTTATTATTGTAATGTGATGGGCAATTTCATGACGTGTAATAAGGCGCACTTTATATAAGGCTGTTTTTGTTGTAAAGAAGAGTCTTTATTTCGTATGTCAAGTGCTGCTATTCCTTTAATGATATTTGTTATCGGCTACAAAAATGGAAGAAGTAAGTCGATTTACATTCGACTATTTCAAAGTGTAGCCATCAAATCAACAAGCTTCTAGCACCATAAAAAGAATTGCATGAGCACCATGCAACTAAAAGCCTTTGTAAACAAATGAAAGAAATTTTATAAAAGGCTCTAAGATGTCTCTTGTACTGAAACTGCTTTGAACCAAATTGGCAGATACATTTAGCAGTCGTGATTTTTCTAAACTATAAATGAAAAAGATTTCGCAAACATAGAGTCCAACTTATGTCGAATATATAATAGTGAACTATATCGCAGTTTGAGTAGGAAAAAAAATCTCTAATGTTTCATTGAGAGCAAGGCAATATTTTGATATGTTTTTGCCAATGTTGTTTTTTCGGTCCTGAGTAATGTATTCGCCCAAATGGAATTGGTATCTTAAGTATTTCAGAGACATATTCCCAGGATTCTTGAAACGCTCTCAACCAATATCGCAGCCTTGAGGAATATCGCTGGTTAATAATTCATCATATTCAACGAGGCGGCGTGCCTTGAAAGGCATCATTTTCTATTTTTGGGCATGATGTTTTATTGCCTCTCTTAAGTATAAGGTGTGGTGGTTACGCTTGATGACCAGGGTACTGGAAGTCAGGCGAAGGTGGTAGTTAAGCTTACTTAGGTCCTAATATTGATAACAATGTTGCTATGGGGATTTAATATTTATTATGATTACCTCTTACGTCTCTGTGGGTGTTTCATGCGTGTTTAGCCGGTTGGATAATTACGTAATTCTAACGTAGCGAAATTTGTTCATTTTAATAGTCTCACTAGGAATTCGACAGTACATATCAAGCAACCCATTTAAATTGAAGTACAATACCGTTTTTTCCCTGTAATATTGTCCCCTTAATCACAATAAAACTCGTACACTTGGTTCGTCAAAATACATAGCGGATTATATATTTAATTCTTTATTTATAGTTTGTTTTGATCCGTTCTTACAACGTGCCAATTTCGTAACACAGTTCAAAATTTGACGTGTTTTTTATATTTTATTTTAGGACGGCAAGGCGTCGATATTCTTAAACCAAAACATCGACTTAAACCAAACAGGATCAGGCTCAATGACAGGAATAACCTTACAATCCGCTGGTAACGGATCATTTCCCATGACAACGTACCTCCCCCCGTCTACCAGCCAGCAGTTGAATGCCTCGAAATCTGGTGTCCAGTCTCTTTCTGTGCAGGCTGTGCCAGGGGGAGCTTTTGCGACTATTTTCACCCCAGGAGCTACTTTTCCTAATGGAACGTATCAGCTTGGACAAGGCACACAACAGCCTTTGACACAGGTAGGTTTGAAAATGTGAAACTCAGTTTCTATTTTGTCCTGAATGTGGTCCTGTGAATTTCAAAACTTCGAGCTGAGGAAATATAAGACGATCAAAATGAGATCTGAAAATATTTTTAATGTTTGCTGAATTCTCGGGATTGCATCTTTGATTTTGTCAAACAATCATCACACAATCTGCAGAGTTTTCCACAAATTTTATCTGTTTTTTATCCCAATGGCAGCACGTGCGAGAAATCTGTATATTCTTCTGCATTTTCACATACCTGACTGTATCTTTTACTCTAAGGTGGTCAACCCGCAAGTTCACTTGCAACGAATGCAAGCAGCCACGACGTCCGCAAACTCGCACATGGACAATAACGTGACGTCACATAACCATCACCACGGCAGTCCCGAGCATCCTGGAGGGGACAGCCCGGGTAATGGGGGTCACATGTCAGGTGTACCCATCAATGTGTTATCCATGCAAGGTAGCGAGGGTGGACAGAATCATGCGGTGTATACAAGTGGGAATATGCCGCTGATGTACAACTCAAGTGGTATATTGTATGCAACGCCACCAACCACACAATCTACCATGTCTGATGGTGACTCAAATGGACAACCACACCATCTTGTAATGCAAGATGGTACAGTCGTTACCAACCAGGGGATACCTGTATCGTTGCAACACGTCCCTGGAACGCTACAGGTAATAATGAACAAGATTTTTTGTGCTCTAATTTCATATGTATGGACCACGGACCAGTTGTATATGTGCGTGGCTTACTTTGCCAAACAAGCCGTTTCCTATACATCAATGCATATACCTAAGTCCTTCTATGCCTATTTCTGATACAGGTTCACCAAGAGTACAGTAATTCGTTACAACACCATTCCAACGGTATCCATGACAACCATAATTCACCAGGCGACATGGTGAGCATGGTGGATCCCAGCTCTCTATCTGTGCACCAGGACGGTGCTCTGGAGAAGAACATGAATTCTCATAAGTAGCCGAGGACTCGTGGTAGGCGTGAGTGGGGATTCTTTGTTGTGATTACATAAAGTAATCAATCACTAAGGATGACCGGCGATCGACGCCCGCGTGAGAGGGCAAAACAATGAACGGTTTGTTCCAAAACAGCACAAGATATTAGATATCTGCAATGAAAGATTGCCTTCACCCTAGGAAGTTTAGACATGAAGTAGACTAACCCTTTCTACCGGAACACACGAATTGCTCTTTCTAACGGCCTGTAGTTAAGGAAAATCGACTGGTGTTGATCAAAGTTTATCTCTGCACCTAAATTCAGTCTAAGAAATCAACTAGCGTGAAGGAACAATGCCACAATCAAAATATTTGAAATATATACTATTTAATCATATATAATAAGATAATCCCACTCCTATGGAGTGATAACTAATTTTCGATCTTGAAATCACTATTTTGAGATTTTTAATGTGTTTAGAAACGGGAAATTTCGCAAACAATAACTTGGCTTCTCTTCCGGAACATCCGTGTTGTTAAACTACCCCATTGGCTAATAATATTCGTAGAGTGCGGTCCTATAGGACTGTACCTTGTGATCCTACAGGAACTCGTGACATGCGGATGGTTTCCTTATTTAGTAGATGGTATATAGGATGCAATTTTTGCGATGAAAAGCGACTAAACAACTCAATCTAATTTCCTCGTGTCAATTTTCTGAGAATATAGGAACTGAAACGTTGCCCACATTGTTCTCTGTTTCGTCTTAAGGACGTAATGATAATGATTTGAGATCATTTTGATGGTAAATGCAAACTATTGTTACGAGATATATTTATACACAGGCTACGACGCGTGCTTCAAATATTTGTCGAATTTTCGTGAATATCTTCTTCCGACCGGATCTCAATCGGCTTCCTATAAACCAAAATTATCTCGGCATATATGCGCATAATCTCCGTTGCAAGAAAGAGACCTCGGATTAACTGATATCACAAGAAAAGCTGGAGGGCTTTCTCTCAAGAAACTTCTCGTTTGTTACACACAGATTACTTAGTGCAGGTAATATCAAAACGTCCTTCGAAAATGTCCTTCGAAACGTCCTTCCCCACCCACTCTTAGGCCCACCGGGCGATAGTACAATGTTTAAACAGGCATATTTACAACAAACGTTGAGGTGTTGTCGAAACGGAAACTATCGCGTGGTACAAGTTAGAGAATTTTCGATAAAGAGCTTTGTGTAAGTGGCCACTTAAGAAGCACTTGAGAAAAGTCGTGAGAAGATAAACTATACAGGCAGTCTGTGACTTTGCCAACATCAAAAAATACCAAAACCTTCAATGATTGTGATTGTGCTCTCGATAATATTTGATGCATGATTTACACAAAATATCAAGAAAAACAGCGAGTAAAAATCTCTATATACAGCGGCACCACTGACGTTATTAGTTCGGAGTTCCGCACGAGAAAATACGAAACCTAATTTCAAAGACCATCTTTAAAAATAATTCTCAAACAAACCCTGGTTGTCAGTTACAGCGGTAATATATTCATGATTTCTCATTACCACGTTTTATTTGATCTGTTACATATTCCTACAAAATCATTACACTATATATAGCAGTTTATGCTGTGACCTTTTGAGGGTGGATCCTTTCAGATTTCCATTTATGGAAGCGTTTCTTATTTGAAGCACAATACTTGAACCGCTTTCGCATTTTAACAGGAAAGTTAAGCTCAGCGCTATTCTTGTTTCTTCTTAAACCTCACCCACCGTCTCTAATCTTAATGATGAATTTTTATATTTCAACATATGTTTTAAACAAAGGACTCGATTCATTGTTTGTTAAGATAATGAAAGTTGATATTTACAAATACAAATATCGTATTTCTTGCCAAGTGCCAATGGGATAGTTAAACCGTAATCATTTCAAAACAAACCCGTAATTATTCTACGACTGCTGTAGTTTGTATAATTTAACAATGTAGTTGAAATTAGACGAAAATGTTTATCAAGTTCAATGGTTGTTTATCAGCTAAAGTTGACTGTAATTTGTACAGGACAAATGTAAATATGAATTAACAAATCTGTAAATAGTCAAAAGTGTTATAATGTGCAGTAATTTGAGAATTTTTACACTTATTGTGTAATTGCAAATGTTTTCTATTAATAAACGATATTTAAAAATCTGTTTCGTGTTAGTATCTTCTTCTGGACGTAGTGAAGGAGGTTTTTAAGAGTTGATAATTAAATGACATCGATCTTTTTGATTTCAAGATTTATTGCCCTAATTTACATAGCGATCGTCATCGGTATTTAATTAGCAACAAGTGAGGCAGTTTTAATTGTAATATAATGGTCCTATCTCTTCGCATATTTCAAGAATTTAGAATGTTTCAAGTTTCCAAGAGAAGGTCCAATTCTTCAAATGGTGTTCTTATCCTTAATTCCTTCTCTTCCATCATGTCGTAGACGTCTTGAAAGATTTCTGGAAATAGCTTTATCGCATCCAAGTAGGTTAACTAGAAACAAATTAAATAGAGAAAGGTAATAAATCAATCAAGATTCTTTCCATTAACAGTCTAATATCAACTCTGACTCATAGAAAGATAACTGGATGGATGTCTGCTAACCTTCGACCATGCACAACACTGCAGGGACTGGTAGAATATTGCTTTAGCCTGACGTAAATCCCCGTTATCTGCTTCAAACTTCATGTAAGATCTCCAGACGGCCACACAATGTCTTGCGCTTGGATGATTGATGGCTCTCTCGTAAAGCGAACGCAGACGATAAATCACTCCAGTTTGGGACAGCTCTGCGTGGGTTGAAGTATAGGAATTCTAGGAAAATTCAAAGAAAACATTATACCCTGGCCTTAGTATTCCATGCTTGGCTGAAAAATTCATAATTCCATCCGTTGTGGACAGTCCTTTAACCAAATCTCTTTGATTTTTTGCTACTCAAAGCTCGCAATGATTACCTGAATTGTCTTTTGTCGTTGGCTTTCATAAAGAATAGCAAACAGCCAAGGAATTGGTGTCCTCGATCGGTCAAGCAAACTGTCAAAATATCGTCGTATTGAGTACGATGTACAAGATTTCAGCTCCAACATGACGTATGAATGAAGAAAGAACGGATTTTCTTGGAAAGCAGACAGCGACGATAATAAACTGTCGCGCAATGGCTTTACTGGAGAAACGTTATTTTTTGAGTGAAACTTCAAAAGTTTGCAGTAGAGGACCAGGATATCCTCTTCGTATTTCGAGCGGGATAATACCACGCCACCATCGTGTGTTCTGTTTGACCTGACAGCGCTTAGTGCAGAGTCTACAACGCTCTTAGCAGCAACTAGGCCGAGACTCCAATATTGAAAAAATGCATAACAGATCATAAAATCAACAAAGAACTCCTTTTCTCCCTGGGCAGAAACGATGTCATCGTACCAACTTTGAAATTCTGCAAGCATCAAAGCTCCTTTCTCTTCCAGAGCTTTGTGAGTCTTGAGTATTTGAGCTGGAGTTAAGAACTTCGGTACATTCCCAGGCGCTTTGTTAACAAGAACAGATATCGCTGGTAAAATTTTCTTCCTAAGATCCCCCATGTCCGGGACTTTGTCGTTTTGTAGTGCACTACCTAAACCCATCTCTAGTTCACAATACGACCTGAAATGCATAAACGTTATAAATTGCATTGGGCAGAGAAAAAAATACAAACAGATCTAGTTGTTTAAGAAACACACTCGATATACCTTACAAAGTGGTAGTACTCCATGGTAGAAGTCTTGTCTGTCATATTCAACGACTGTTCCAACAACGAAGTTACAACACCTCTTGCATCCATCCAGTTCTCATTCACCCACTCAACTTGAACAAAAGCAAACCACAACCTCAGGTTGTTTCGATGCTGTTCCAGCTTTAGCAACGATTTGGCAAGTTTTCGTACGGCTTTATAGCATTGCTTTCGCTTTTTCGACTTCACTTCGGACGCGAGAATATTCCTTTCAAAACGCAGCCAATGTATTGCGAGGAATGTCTGTAGATCTGCTGAGAAGCATCCCAAGGCCTGGTTGAAAATATTCCGGATAAACATTCGATACGCGATATCGTGATTTTCCAAAGGTCTTTCAAAGCTGTTCCAACTACATGCAAAATTTAGGTGGTTTCCATCAATGATTGATTGTATTTGTTTCTCATCTTCTATTAGCACGGGGAGAAGTCGTTCCGGCTGAACAGCGGATGATTTACTATCGCTAGAGGTTGATTGAAAATCGACGCGGTTTCCAAGAAAACACAGAAAGTAGCAAAGAAGTTGAAATTTGAGACTTTCATCCGTTAGTTGGAAGAGAACAAAACTGATGTCTTGGAAAAGGACGATTCTATCAGGATCTTCGTTTTCTTCTTCTTCATCGCTGGTCTTCTTTGGACGCCATTGTTCTGCTTCACGAGAGGACTCGAGTTTCAACCAGGAAGCATGTCTATCGGAATGGCTGCTGAGAATCTTTTCTTGCCTTGAAATTTCTTCTTGAGTATCATTTCTGGGAAAAATTTCGCTCAATGCGACAGGATGTGATGTTTCTTCTCGATCCTTCATCCAACTGTTCCAGCCTTGAGCATTTTCCTCTCCAAATCTTAAGGACAATGAATACAAAGAATTGTTTTATTTCGTATATCTTAGCCGTCGGCTTAGGTTCGTTAGTTTACAATCTCTATGTTCATTCCAATTGCTTCAAAACTATTTCTCAAATACCTTGGCACTTCGCTATCCCAAAATGTTTCAAAAAATGAAGTCATTGAACGTGTCTCCTGAAGGCCTTCTGGGCAAAAGCAGTTAAATTCAATCAAAGCTTGAAAGGCTGCGATAGCTTTCTCCGTCTGACCTTAAATTGAAAATAACCAGTTTATTGCATGAATGGAAGCATAAAACAAGAGGATGGTAAAAAAGCACGTACATTAAAATACAAAATATACCTGCTTGTTTTAGAAACTGACAAAATTGCACGAAAATTTCCACCATTCCGCTTTCTATATCATCTTCTGGTGAATGGGAGGTGAATTTGCCGCTCTGAATGGCCGAAAGTGTTGTGAAACACTTGGTATAGATAGCTAGCGTTGTTGAGAAGGTAAATGCAGAGAAACTAGACTGACAAAACATTAAATAATGCTTCCACAGCAAAGTTTTCTGAGGCTGAATGAACAGACGTTTCCTCCATTTTTCAAGGATTGCTTCGCTGTCCAAGGTTTGCGCGCAAACGTTCATACAAGCCACGATCAATTCAACACTGGATGGATTCTTCTCAACAGCTTTTTCCAGTACAGCTGCCTTCTTCTCCAATAACATCTTGCTAGATTTCTTCTGATCTTCAATTCCACTTTTGCTGAATGTGTTACTGGTTTGGTAACTGGACTGCGCTTGTTGTGACTGAAGATCAGCTAAATCCAACCACGCTTGGATATCATTTGGATTATCCCCGACTCTCTGGTTTAAATCTTTCGTTTTAGATAAGATTACTGAAACAGGTTGATCATTGTCTCCTGCAGAGGATTCTTTATTCTCATCATTAACAGCTACTGGCAACTCGAGTGGAACATATGAAAAATTGTTACTAAAACCAAAACCAGTCTTTCCAGTTTGACCAAGTAATGTTGAAGCGTCATCCGAACTTACAAAACTCCCCCAGTATCTTTGTTTTGATTTTTTCTTCTCTTTTCGACCTGATTTTGGTTCAATCTCTTGGTCTCTGCTTAGGCCAAGACATCTTAGTTTAGGGTTTTGATTGTGGAGTGCAATGTCCAGCCTGTACAGTCCACCAAATTCACGATTATTGTAGTCCGGTTTTCTGTGAATACGAAAGGCTTTCTCGACCTCCAATCCAGACTCTTCAATCCATATCGTCGAGGGAAGGTTTGTGAGCTTTGGATCGTCGGTAGATTTATGTTTTTTTTGCTTCTTATGTTTGTGTTTTTTATGTTTTGTCGATTTGTCTTTCTTGCGTCGTTTCCTAACGTGTTTCTCTTCCGTTTGATCTGATCTCGTTTCCTTTGATATTTCGTCTTCATTGCTAGAATGGCTCGATGGTGATTCGCATTCTTCTTCGATATTTGTGGGGATTTCAGTGTGATTATGAATGTTGTAGCTCGCGTTAGACAGCCAGTCAAACGATTCTAAGAAAATCAGTAAAATTTTGTGTCTCTATAATTTACAAAAATATCTACAGGGATATATATTGTTGCAAAAGATCATTGTTTGGTGCAATCTCGATGCTTTATATATGCAGTTTCTGATTAGAATATCATAAACATGTCAACATTATCGACTGTTCTAGTACTGCATTCGACACGCATTCGTACATTATATACCTTTTTCCTCACTGATGCAAACAGGCACAGAAGGAAACAAACCACTAGTTTGTCTAGCTGTATGTATGTCACAAGAATTTGAAGATATAATCGGGAACAAAGGGCTTTTTCCTGATATGTCTACTTTTTCATGTTCGTCCGCCATGTTTAGTTCCCAAGCCTCATCTACCTTCGCGCGATAATAGCAAAACGCGGGAAAAGTTCAAAAATTCAAAATTTTGCTTCGCTGCTTGCTTTTTGTTGTTTTTATTTTGCGGAGTTTTGCAGGCATTTTCTTTCTATATTATGCCATTGGAATAGTGTATTTATGTTTATTTGAACGTATATTATGAAACTGAAGCCGGTGTGTAAAAGTAAAAAAGCAAAAGTGTCTAAAGTACAAGATATCCTGGATTGGGTGGACGAGATGGGGCAGGCTCATTCGGACAAAAAGAATAATTCGCACGATGGAAACGTGAAGCGAAAAGGGGAAAAGAGGTTATTTTACCTCGGAGTCAAACGAAGAAGGACAAGGAGTCCCTTGAAGGAGCAAAACATAGAAACCTACAGAAACACTGGCGTTAAAAATTTGGCTGAACCAAAGAACGAAAAAATTTATACTGCATTGAGTTTGACCGAATATGCCAAGAACTCAGAAATGGTTGCTTTCTTTAGGTTATTTGGTAAGTAAACGGTGTTTGCTAACAGAATTTGCTTTCAAAAGCAATTTTGTCGATTTTATTGTTTTTATATAGCACTTAGTACAAAATTTATTGCATTTACACAAATGTTTATCACAGAGAAAAGGGAATACCAAATACCATGGCGGCCTCACTGGGTGCTGGGGGGCCTTCCATATAGCAATATGTTATATGTCGACGTCAATACAATACCAATACCTGACTTCAGGGACCGCGGAGCGTTTTTCGTATTGCTGGGGCTCGGCACCGCGCGCCTGCTAGGAGAGTCCGGGAAAATTTTGAAATATACATAGGCCTCTGAAATCGTAGCCTGCATGGCAGGCGGTCCCTGAAATCGGGCGAGGGACCGCCTGCCATGCAGGCTACTGAAATCGCCGCAAATGCCTCTCAAAGGATTATTGGAAAATAATACATACTATGTAAAGTTTCCAGCATGTTTTCCGCTCATAACAAACATTAAACAATATAACCTTGCTTTGGTTATGATGTCAAATATTTTGACATGGATAACCACGCTGTTTTAATGGTCAAATGCCTGTCCTATGTAAAGTTTCCAGCATGTTTGCTGCTCATATACAAACATTAAATAGTATAACCATGCTTTGGCTATGATGTCAAATATTTTGAAATGGATAACCACGCTGTTTTATTGGTCAAATGCTTGTCCTATATGTAAAGTTGCCAGCATGTTTGGCGCTCATATACAAACATTAAACAATATAACCATTCTTTGGTTATGATGTCAAATATTTTGACATGGATAACCACGCTGTTTTAATGGTCAAATGCTTGTCCTATGTAAAGTTTCCAGCATGTTTGGCGCTCATATACAAACATTAAACAATATAACCATGCTTTGGTTATGATGTCAAATATTTTGAAATGGATAACCACGCTGTTTTAATGGTCAAATGCTTGTCCTATGTAAAATTTCCAGCATGTTTGGCGCTCATATACAAACATTAAACAATATAACCATGCTTTGGTTATGATTTCAAATATTTTGATATGGATAACCACGCTGTTTTAATGGTCAAATGCTTGTCCTATGTAAAGTTTCCAGCATGTTTGGCGCTCATATACAAACATTAAACAATATAACCATGCTTTGGTTATGATGTCAAATATTTTGACATGGATAAGCACGCTGTTTTAATGGTCAAATGCTTATCCAATGTAAAGCCGGTTTCCAGCATGTTTGGCGCTTGTATTGCTTGTAAATTTTAGCTTGTAAATTTGAGCTAACTAAAAAATATTCAAAATTAAAGACTTATTACGGAAAAATTATTGGTGGGGCTAAAGCCCAGCGAGCCACCCTGCTCCGCGGTCCCTGGACTTTACCTGTGTATTAATACGCAAAATTAATGTTAACGTTATATTGGGTTATCACATGCAATTTTCTTTAAATAACCATGTGATTTGTCATGTGACAACTGACGTCACGTTCTTTTCCAAACTAGACGATGACCTCATTCAAGATTTTCTGTGGATGGATTCTTGTGTAAAAATATCCGACAAAGTAAGCTTTAATGTTGAGAAAAGACTACTTCTGTCGCGATAATCAACTTTAGTTCATATTTTTGTTTGCTTTATAGTACTTACTCGCAATGGTATACGCTTATTTCAAACGAGCAGAGTTGACCAGACGTGAATACACCCGGACAAATTTTTTCCTGGCCTTGTATGTATCCGTTGGTTTTTTTCATGTATACTTTCTCTCCGGTAATAGCTTATTGTAAATTGTTCATTTGACTGACATCGTTGATTCTCCAATCAATTCTTTAGATATTTAGCCAATGACATGGAAGAAGACGACGAGGATCAGAAATACGACATTTTGCCTTGGGCACTTGGCCATAAGTGGCGCGACTTGTTTGACGGCTTCCTTGCCAAACGTGATAAGTTATGGAAGAAAATGAACTACAGAGCTGTTGTAAGCCGGCGAACATGCGATGAGGTAATCATTTATCATGTAAACTTGAAATCTTGATCAAGCTTCATGTAAGTCAAGATCAGTTTCAGGATTCATGTTCTATACCAATATCGAACTAGGTCATGTCCATTGCACCAAGTCATCCCATTTGGCAACGAACGAGAAAGCCTCACCATGGTGGAGCCATACCTGAAAATTCATTCTTGGAAGAAGTTAACCTCACGCCGCGAGGCCCTGGTGCAAGTCCTTTACATTGCAAGCAATGTGAAGAATTGAAGAAACTAGACTCTGGTTCATCTGGATATTTATCATCACCACAATCCAGCGAGGTCTTTTTTAAAGGTAAGTTTGAAACTTCTATGGTTCTTCATATGGTAGTTCTACCATTTCTGTTTATTCTTGTTTATTCTTTTCATTAAGAAATCAATGCGCTGCATTTTATTTTATCCCTTCAACACTATCATAATGAGTAAAACCTGTGAAACATTTTCTTAATTGTAACAAAACTGTTTTTAATACTTTTCCAAAAAAGTGAATGGGAAAAGTAAGAGAAATTGGGAAACCAATGAAGAGTGACAGGAGTTGAGACGAGAGACGCAGAAGATTGTGAACCTTTTTTGTTGGGAATGAAGGAAATCGATCAAGTTATAGAAAAATTTTACCTGACCAGCAGCATTAATTAAATTTAGTGAATTTACTATGAAGAACGTATGTAATTACCAAAATGTTGAAAATGTACAAAAAATATATAGAATACAAGTTAATCTTATACATGCAGTCTTAACTATATCTGCTGAATTGTGAAAATCTATGAACGGTTGAAAAATATGTTCCATAATTATAATATAAATTGTACATATATATTAATTAAAAACAGTTTTGATATTCGATTATTTCTTGGTCTTTTGTTTTGTTTTCTTGGTATTAGATGTTCGTTGTCGTTTTGATGCCGTTCCGTGTGTATTTTCAGTCTGAAAATATACACAAAGTGGATCACTATGAAATAATTTGCGCAAAACTTCCATTCATTGCGTTATTTGGTGCGCCTATGCGGGTTTTTCGTTCTGAGTACTATACATAAACACATACCTTACGTTTTCTTTGCCGTTGGCTTTTTGGTTTAGATGTACTTGTTGGAAGTCCTACTTCTAAAGTACTATCGGGTTCGCAGACATTTGCTGATGAATAGACTAAATAGGTGTCTATAATCAAAAAAGGATAAAGTGAATGTTATGGTGCAATTAATTAAAATTTTCGAGAAATGGAAGCGTGCTTAACTTAAATAAATGCTGACTGGAGTCTTGAGAAAATAATTGTAAATATAGCCTTTAGTTTAACCTTCTTTTGTCTGATTCTGCATAAAAACAGGATAACCATTCAGATGTGAGCCTGCAAATGTCTCTTCGACATTAGGGGTGGCAAGTGCGTTTTCAAGAAAAACGGGGTCGTCCCAGTCGTATTCTTTAGATGAGAAAATAGGGCTGTCTGGATACAGGCTAAAAAAGATTAAAAGACAATATCGCTAGCAGACAAAAGAGAGTTTTATGCAAAGTTCTTTTATCGAAAACACACCTTGGAGTAACTTCGCCAGCCATTTCATTCCAAAACCCAGTGCACCAATCGATGTCGTCTGGCCCAATATCGCAGTTTTCAAATGAGCATTCTCCCAAAGTATGGGTTTTCAAGTCAGGAACAATCCTGTCTGACATGGTCCTGCCGTTTAACTCAAACAGGCTGCACAGTTAAAAAAATGAAATTGCCTTTTCACAAAGAATATCAGAGTAGTATATCGAAAATTTGTTTTTTTAAGTGAAATGCTTTCCCGCGCAAAAACGGTTGACGTCAGCGATGACAGCGAAGCTAGAAATGACTCGTGAACACTCGCTAAGCTTCGAGTGTTAGTTGATTGGTCGATTTTCTCCCCGAAATACTTCGGTAATCGTCGTTTCTATCTCGGAAATCGAGACTGTTAACCAATCATAGTCCTTCCTTTTTTACAAAACGACGTTTCAAATTTCAAAAGACATCTTTTCAAGCAACAAAATCGGCGAAAAAACATTTTTGCCAGCTTTTTTGAGTGCAGAAGCGTAAAGTACTTCCATATCTTAGTCAAGAATATGTTTTGCAGCAATCAAATGTGGTTTCTTCAAACTTTGTAAGTACAAAATGGTGATTAAACAACGCGCATATCTAGATCTCTTCAAATATTTATATGTCACAGACCAGATTTTAAAAAAAAATTTTCAGGTAATTGTTTTTGCTGGCCGCAAGACACTTAGTCTTGTCGAAAAGGAATGGAAATATCTCACGATAGGCAAACAGACATAGAAAAAGTACCAAATATACAAGTAAATGAGAAGTTGCAGGGAGAAATTCAAAATGAAACGAAAAGAAATGTAATTGAAGTAGAAAGCATCGTGAAAAAGGAAAAGGAGGACATGCAGGAAAACACATTAAGCGAGTAGGTGCTCCTTTAAAAAAGATAAATAATGCAAATTAAAATTGTGTTTGAAAAGTATTTTTGTAAATATCACAAACAGAGATATCTCAATTTTACCTCATGAATTGCAGGATCAAAGACGCCGCTCAACAAATCAAAAGCAGCAGCAGTTTTGGAGAGGTTCCGTCCATCAATTTAACGGATGAATATTCAAACGAGAAATTTACACAAGACCTTTTACAGTTCATTGGTATGTTATTCATTGCTATTAATCTATGTTTGTTGTATGACTCTATAGCGTAACTAAGCAGTCGATTGATTTCTTCAGAACATGGTAACAATTTAGAAAACTGGCATCATGGTAGTTACCATGGTAGTTACCAAGATACAGCCACGGATTCGTTCTCTCATCACATGCAGATAGAGAGTGTACCAATCGGTCCAATTCAGGATTGTATTGATGCTGATATAAAGCCAAGGGGCGAGTCCTCCTTAACCTTAACGGTTCTCAATTCAACCGGCACGGATGAAAGTTCACACCCCATGTCTTTTACGTTTGGTGAGACAAGCACACACGAGACTAATCTTATTGACCATGATTATTGTGCATATCCCAAAACGGAATATTCTGGCATGGAGAGCTACCATGGGGGAGTGAATAACAATATGATTTTGCAATCAGAGCAGGTAATGTTTCTGGAGGTACTAAAATACAATACACTCCAATGAAGAGGCACGTCAAGTCAATATGCTTTCGTTTTTGGCAGGGGGAACTAGGCATGGATCAGGAGAAGCTGCTACGGATGAAGAGAAGGAAAGAAAAAAATAGAGAATGCAGCCGTCAGTTTAGGCTGAAACAGAAGAGCAAAGAGGAGAACCTTAAAACAGGAAGGGTTGAGAAAATTCGAAAACTTGAAGAGCTAAGAAGAAGTGTGGATAATTTAAAAACTACCTTGGGAAAAGTGGCTGCACAATGCTGTTCCAAATGTCCAAAGACAAGAATGCTGCTCAGCCAGCACTCTTCTGTGAACAAGGAGAACATCACACCCAATTATATGAAAATTGTGAATTGATTAAACCAATCTCAGACAATTGAAGAAGACAATTGAATTAAATTAAAGTTTGACTGTAAATATAATTTAGACACAAAGAAAACAATTAATATTCAAGTAAAATAAGTGTTTTCCAAGAGACCCATACCAAGATTTTTTTGTTCAAACTATGAATCAGTTTAAAGATTCTATGAAATTAAAGTTTGCTAAAAGTTACCTAGCTTCATAATTATACTTCCATAATGTATTTAATGGTGTTTAACTGTTGCTGCTTTCACTGTTTGGGAAAAGAAAAACAACCTTTGAGCAAAGTCCAGCTTGTACTCCTTCAGTAAACACACAATTAGTCCTTTCTGATTCTTCCAAATCACCATCCGCATCAACAAATTCAAATAAATTCTTATTGCTGTTATTTAAGTCAGTCCAATGCCACAAAGCATAATGTCTAGATTTCCCTTGTCTAGCAATCAGGAACAAATGCTTTGTCCTAAATTCCTGAGGAGATTGTCCTTCTTGAGCATGAAACTGATAAATTGCTGTCTTGTTTTCATCCATAGGATCCATGCATATATCTGTTAAGATGGGATTTCTATCTTTTAAACCAACAAGGAACCCTGAAAGACAACAAAGTTTGCTTCACTTTCATTGGGGTAAGTGTAAAATTACTTCATACATGGACTCTAATTAATTGATTATGTACCTGTTAATACTGCCCAGTGTGCTTTGTGACCTCTCTTTAGACATGGTTCATGATTTCTGTCCTCATCATAGGGAAACACCACTGAATAGCCTTTGCATAAATGTTCTATCAATTTGCCATAATCATCAAGGCCATTATTATCAACTTCAAAGTTAAGCTTATAATATTTCTTTGCCAGTAAACCCATATCCTGCGCTGAGAACATCTCGCCGTGATTGGTGAAGCCGAGTACTTGGGCCACCTTAAGAAGGTCCTCAATTTCATTAGTAGATTCATGCTGTGAGATTCTTAGAATATTAGCAGCAAGCTTGAGAGCTACCAAGCCACACCTAGAAAACAGGAACAATATGGGAATGGTCCATATTTGGGAAATTTTAAAATATGCGAGGTCATTCAAGAAATATTTCCCAGAAGAAAATATACCATATTTTGGAATATTCGACCAAAGTCGAGTATACCTTTTTTCGGTACATTACCAAATTGTTACAAATATACACATATATGATAAAGTAATATTTAGATATATATATTATACTCAGATCAATTGACATACGTTGGTCCGTCTTGAAGAAATGCGTCAACATCGTTGTTATGATAGAACCAAGCTAAACCACACTCCTCTGTCTTGTAACGACCTAAAAATCGTTGACATGCATTCAAGGCGGATTCCTTCACACTTTTACAGTCGTCTTGGCCTATTAAAGTAGCTGCAGATTTCATAAGATTTTTTCCTTGTGCGTAGGGCATTTCATTTCTCACTACAGGTGGTGGTGGGGCTGTAGGAACGACTGACGTTCTACAAACTTCCTCAACTTCTTTTTCCTCCTCCATTTTTTTTGCCTCTCATTTGGGAACTGGGTACTAACCTGTGAATTGTTCATTCTCTCCAGGCTGCCTCGGGTTGGCATGGGCGTTGGCCAAACTCACCCTTTGTAATAGTTCAGACACAATATGGCCCACAATGAGTTTATTGTAATTCAGTCAAATGCATAAATCATAAGGTATCATTAATTTATTATCAGCGACTATACACGACTGACGACTTGCGTTCTTTGCTATGAGCTTCAAAGCTTCGCTCTCATGTTTCGTTAACCACTCTCCTTGCATGGTCGTTAACCACTCTCCTTGCATGGTCGTTAACCACTCTCCTTGCATGGTCGTTAACCACTCTCCTTGCATGGTCGTTAACCACTTTCCTTGCATGGTCGTTAACCACTCTCCTTGCACGGTATGCATTTCGATTCAATTTATCAAACGAATTGTTTTCACGCACCATTTATCTATATAACTGTTTTCATTCAAATTATTTCTAAATATTTTTGTTATAGGTTTCCAATGATGAGTGCATTAACGATACTATTCTTTTGTAACATGCTTTGACTTTCCGTCCTTGGTGGTAACTCCAGCAAAGCGTTGGCTGTACGCATGCTCAGTAATCGACTGCTGCATTGACTGCCAGTACTTGTGGCCAGCGGGATTGGATCATCGTTTTGCCATGACAACGATACGCGATGATACTCAGGTCGAGGGTCCAGGTTGACATCTGTGGAGAGCTGCGAGCAAATCAGGATAAAAATCATGTAAGTGAATGTAGCTGGTTATCGTCGAGGTAGCTAGCTTACCTTGGCTTTTATTCTCCGTAGATTTCCATTTTGAAATCCAGACATTTTTCTCAACGCAGGATAAACAAAAAGATAGAATGTAACAAGGGCTGATACTGGGTTGCCTGAAATAGTTAAATAACGTTCAATGATATTTAAAACAAACAAGACTTTTTCTTCCCTTCACCAATGACTATTTCGCATACCTGGTAAAGCAAAGAACAGCTTATTCTGGCCGTTATGTTTTAACGTTGCAAAGGTCGTGGGTTTCCTAAAACGGTTTCAATGTTAGTGACTATTTCCGTCTTGAATCAGTTTCAAAACTGCTCCCCAAAATGCCGGAAAATGATGTAAACCAACCCAGGCTTCATAAAAACTCGTCCAAAATGTATGGTTGCGTTCAGCTCATCCTGTAAGATCGGTTTCAGCAGGTCCTAATTGGAAAGCGATAAAAACTCTCAGTATGGAGAAAATCGAAACAGTCTTTGATTTTTCCTAACCTTTTCACCCATGGAGACTCCACCAGATGTTATGATAACATCAGCATGATCAAGACCTTCCATCAACTTTTTCTTTAAGTCTTCAACACTAAATACAGCACAGTTTCCATCAAGTCATATCTACGGTCAACTCCGAAGTTCATAAAATATATTTGATGCACATTTCTACGTGGTTGTAAACTTACGTATCTCTCGATATCCCCAAATCACGAACAGGAAAGCCATGTTGTTTACAAGCTCCGATCAATGTTGTCCTATTGCAGTCTCTTATTTGCCCAATTTTCCCATCAACTGTTCCCGGCTCCACTATCTACAACACAAAGAAATTCCCTGATTTGCTGTTTCCTAGTTGCTTCGATGTTGGAATGTCTATTTCTTTCCCTATACCTCGTTGCCAGTTGAAAGAATGGCGACCGTTGGTTTCTTGTAAACTGAAAGCTGCAAAAACAGAAACCAGACTGAGTGCAATCGATGTTGTTTCCAAGATTGTTGAGAATGTATGTACATGCACGCATGCTCATTACTTCCTGTATTCCAGCTGTTGCCAGCAGCCCCATTTCAGCTGGGCCCAGTAAATCTCCTTTGGATAAGATTTTCTCTCCTTTACCAATGTCAAATCCCACTGGCCTTTGAACAGATAAACGCGTGGTGATAATTGTACGATTCATTATTCATAAACAATTAAACATCACTAATGCAGAAGAGTGATAATATATCACTTTCTTTACCTAATATCTTGGCCTACACTTGGTTTCTTTAGTATTTCAATCTCAACTTCTATTTCACCCTGTCATAAAGGCGAGAAAGTGGACTTGAATTAGACCATAGCTGGTTGCTCATGCAGTTTGAGAGAAAATTGAACTGAAAGGATTGTGTGTCATAAACTGGAAGCATCGTCGAAAGCATGCATGCTTTATTTCCACAAAATCTCAAACCTCATCCTGGCTTTTAATCAATCTTGTATCCTCAACCTGGACCACGGCGTCACTACCCTGAGGAACAGGTGCCCCTGTCGTTATCCGCATTACAAAACCTGGACTCACAGATATCTGCGGCTATATATTTAAAACAACATATTTTGGTTCAGTAATTTCATGTATGTTTGAATCTTTTGAGATTGAACTGAAATTCAAAGCCTGGAAAATAATACCATATCACCAGCCGTCACTGGACACAGGACTTTACGAATACCAATGCCATCAGAGACTACAGTAAAGATTAAGACCCGGGATTAAAAAGTGCATTGAATCGATTTAAAATCTTCTTTACTTGGTGGGTATAATTTAGTACCGAGAACGGCGTAACCATCTTTCACTGACGCCGCGAAAGGTGGATAAGGTTCTTTGGCGTTGATATCTTTGGCCAAAATAAAACCAAGAACATCTAAAAAGCAATGAAAAGGACTCTCAAATAACGAAACATCACGATCACAGCAAGATCACGTCATTCACCGGTGAGAGCCATAAATCATTTGTGCTTGCATGGAGTATTCAAAAGTTTTAGCTTTATACAGCTTTATTTGAAAGATAAATACGTTACGATACCAGGTGTACATTTAGAGTTCGTTAACCTTGAATACCGCCGTTTGCTTCCAGAGGCTTGCAGACTGATACGTGATTTAAGACCGTCTCAACAGCCTTGTCCATCGGCATCAAAGGATACCTCGACTGACGGTCTCGTTCAGCAACTTTTGACAGATTATATCTTTCTGCAAACAAAAGTGTTCAATGAATATAACACCTCACTTTCGTAAGAAATACTTGCAATACAAAAACAAAACCATTATCCTACATTTAGCCTTGCTGTTCTTACGTTTTGTGGATTGGTCTTTATGAGGACAGACATGGATGCATTGACTTTGAACCTAAAAGATTTCACTTCAAATTCATACTCCATTTATCACATAGTTTGTCAATACATTACAAACTACGAAGGAGGGTCATTTACATTTTTGTCCGCAGTGTTGGCAGCGATATTTTGCAGTGTTTTATGGACGTGTTGAACATTAGTTTGTCTTTCGCAGAGCACATCTGTGAAACGATGGAAAAGCGAAAGAATAAAGGGATATTCGGAATTGTCGTAAAGCATTATAGAAATAGTTTTTTACCCAGCGCATGAGGCAATGCTGGAGCGATGAAGTTAAAACACTCCTGAGATCCTTTGAAACTTCCTGGCAAGTTGATTATGAGTGTTTCACTTCTGATACCACAGACTGGCCTGGTTTTGAAATGAAGAGAAAGTTGACCTTCGTAGTTATATCTGAGTTAATTAACTGAGTATTCGGTAATGGTCAGTCTAACCTAGATAACATCGCCATTGGTGTAACTTCTAGAGATTTGCTGATCATTTGCAACACAAGCCCGGGTGCTTCACGAGTGATGACACACTTGGTCGCCTAAAAATATGATCGTACTTTCAACACCGGTGATGTTCAAAACAGTCATAGTTCAGAATTCAATAAATGTAAAACTAACCTCGGGGGTGACATCTCGTGGTGAAAAACCTGTTCCTCCCGTGGTAAGGATTAAATTCACGTGATCAACATCAGTCCATTTTAACAATGCTGACTGTATAGTAACGTGAAACTGTGGTTAGGATCCCATATTTTCACACACGGGGAAAAACAAAGTGCTATTACGTACTATTAAAGTACTATATTAACCTTTATTTGCTCTACATCGTCTGGAACACATTTTTCAAAGACATGATTCACTGCAAGACTACATTGATGGAATACAATTTCAAAAAGTAACCTTGGTTTTCAATGGGTTATGATGTAACAACATGATTTATTATTTATGACATACCATCACTAAATCGTAATGATGGTATTTCATAACTAGTGACGAATGAGATAAAACTTCGGGTGTTCTAGTTTTGTGATTGTATCTTTCATCAAGAGAAAATGGTTCTAGGGTGTGGCGGTAGACCCATGTGGGGTGCTCAGATGAGATCAAAGTGTAAGTAATCGTAACACACGTGCCACGCACGCGTCGATGGAGTTACGGATCGAGAAAAGCTCTGGGCACGAAGGTAGTCAACCTGAACCTGAACGCAGCCCCCCTCAGGACTATATGTATGCTCTGGACAAGTCGTAAACTTCCACTGTAAACTACCTCGTATTTCCTAACAGCAATTTCTTCAAGTTTGGCCCACTTTTGTCGACAGCAGAGCCTCTAGAACAGCTATCACTGACTACATAGAAGTTAAAAATACCTCAGATACTCATTTGGCGATGAAAATATCAAGGGGAAACGTTCGAAAGGCAGGAGAATCGTAAACTAACCTGTTAAAACAGCCGCAGACATCGGTTTTGCGTCCACCATATTGGAAACCGCGTACATTGAGGTCTGGTAACGAGTTATGAAAAACTGGTATCACCACCTTAACTATATTAACCTATGGTATTGACCAACTTTTATTCTGTGGTATGGGAGAAAATTGTGCAGGATTTATTGGAGTTCATGTTGGTAGTATTTTTGATATTCATTTTCACAAGAGTAACAACAAATTATTACTAATGTTGATAATAAACCTGTAGACAAGTGACATACAATCCCTGACTGCAATACTTGTAGTGTGCCGAGATGATCTTGCTTTGTGCTGAGGCAATAAAATGCTGGGTAAAATTTCTTTTGAACTTCATAATAAGTGGGTGCCACCTAAGATTCCTGCCTGCTTTAGTATAAGTTTATCCTATATTCTTATAAGTAAATTCAAGAATTGTTGGTATATCAACATCATAGATTCTCTGGCAATCAAATTTCAGTCTGCTTATATCTATTGATGGCTTCATTGTGAAAATGAGCCTTGTTTGATGTATAGGAAAGCTGAAAACACTAAAACACTACTGAATTAAGTTAACACGAAAATCAACATCTCAAGAATCCTGAGGCACAGTTGATAGAAAAGAACTCAATAGATCAACCCTTTAAAACCCCCATCTTTCCAGCCACTTCAAATAAACACTCACACCAGCCATCTTACATTAGGTGCTGGAAATCATTCAGAAAGCAAAAAGTCTGATTATGAAAGAGTTTGCAAAAGAGCTTGCCAAAAGGTACTTTAGTGTCCTGTGAAAGCTAAGAACTTCAATAGAATGATATGTGAAACTTTTGTGCTTGACTCATTAAACTTTGTTTCTTATCAAAACACAGGCCATTGAAATTCTGCATCAAGGGAAAACGGCACTTGAGGCATTGGTTGTTGCGATCAAAATCCTAGAGGTACGTTTTTAATGGAGGTGTATATTTGTATATTTCATGTGGAATCGCTGGAATGTGGATTTAGAAATGTTTAATGTGTACAGGACAGTCCTCTGACGAATGCTGGTGTTGGTTCGAATTTAAACTTGGCCGGTAACGTTGAATGCGACGCGAGTATCATGGACGGAAAGACAAGCAGTTTTGGAGCTGTCGGTGCGATTTCAGGTTCAATAATCTAAATTGATATAATTCAATCTTCTTTAAACAAGTCAATGTGAATTTTTTTATAGGTTTGTGAGAATGTTTTTTTTTTGGATTTTAGGTGTGAGAAATCCGATTGTGGTAGCGAAGAAATTAGCTGAAGAGCAGAGTATCTCGTATCCATCAGGACGAGTTCCACCGATGTAAGTTTGTCCTTTTTATAATGTTATCAATCAGTGCTTGAGTTGATGAAAGATCATATATGTAGTTTACTGGATATAAGATTGGATTACTTTGCCAATAATCTTCACCCAACCGTTGATGACCTCGGTTTATACACAGTCAATAGAAATGGTTTTAACTGCTGTTTAACTGATGTTCGTCTTCACTTGCTAGGATTATGTGTGGTGACGGCGCACTGGATTGGGCTGTGAAACACGGTGTTATTGGAGTATCACGGAAGTCTATGATTACAGGTTATATAACAGCCAGTTAACGAGACTTTCAGTCTTGTTGTGTGAAGAAGGGTTTTTTCTGTTGCATGAGCAAAATATTCTTACTTATCTCTTCAGATAGTTCACTGAAATCATTCAATAAGTATTTCAAATACGCTGAAAACGACGAAGAAGGACATTTTAACTGTGAGATGAAGGCAAAAGGAAGGCAGAAGAAACGTAAAATCGAGATGATGGATCCAGTGAATCAGGTAACGTTTGTCTTGGAATTTCTGGCCGTTTAAAGTCCGAACAAACTTCTCTACTTTAGCAATTCAACTCTTCTTGCCATCATCTAGGAGGAGAATTTGCTGGACACCGTAGGAGCTGTGTGTATGGACACAAATGGCAATATTTGTTCTGGGGTTTCAAGTGGGGGACTTCTTCTCAAATCTCCAGGACGATTAGGCCAGGTATTGGTAATTTAATTGTTAAACCATACCCTATAAGATAGTTAGCATTTGCACTGGCATATATGAAACTTTGCATGGTGAATGAATAACTTAAATCATATTAAATTTGTTAGGCTGCTATATATGGAAGTGGCTGTTGGGCTGTGACTATGACCGAGGACACTCCAGTTGGTATAGCGTGCTCTAGCTCAGGTATATGACTCATTTATAGTGGAATCGACCGATCAAATCAAAAACCAAACATTGATTTTACAGCATTGGTTCTTGCCTGTTTCAAAAGAGTTTCTTAAGCCTTTCATTGATTTCAGGGTGCGGTGAAGAGTTGATAAAAACCTTACTCTGTAAAGAGTGTGCTGACCTATGTACTGACAGGTGAGATAGTAAATAGCTACTTATATCTCGTCATACAAGAGTGACGGTTATACAGTTCGTAATATTTCAAATGTTTCATCTTTTAGTTGTATTGATAAGAATGGAACGGCAGTATTAGAAGAGCTGTTGCAGAAAAAATTTCTTGGTAAATTTCTCCCTAAGCAAACAAATTCTATAAATATATTTGTATTATATACTAACTTCATCGCAGCGTATTTGGCGATATGAAGAAATATTTTTCCACCTGAAAAAAACTCCCAAATTATATTCCGGCGGTGGTTTTCAAGTTATTGCCATTTATCAGTACCCTAAACTTAATTGTTTTAGATTCACTCCGTCTTTCAAGAACCAATGAAAAGTCGGCGGGGATTATTTTACTAAAATGTAAAATTAACAACACACAAGGTTCGTTTCTTTTTCTTCATCGTTTCGAAATCCGACTTATGATTCGTGAAATGGATAAATACTGTTTTTCCACATCATTAAACATTTGACATATGTTATGGCTTTTAGACTCGCGACAAATGCTGGTGGATTTCTCTTGGGGTCACACAACGCGCACCATGGCTGTTGGGTACATGGGTGCCAGAGATGAAAAACCTAAGGTAAGAGATTCACTGTTTGGCGAGTTTCATCGCTTGTTACGCTGGTTGTCAGCTCGTGTGCGCAATCATCTTGTACATTCCATTTGGTTTAATTCAACCTCAAAAGCGCCTGTATTTTCATTGTATAGTTTGATCTGACAAGATTGGAAACAGATAATTCTCCACGTCGTTCAGTTTTGGTTCAAGGAATCGTGCAAACACAAGAATTATCAGCGCAAGATAAAGACGGCGAACTCAAAACAGCGATGGAGGTTAGACCATAAAGAATGTTTAAATATATATATCGCAGTGTTGGAAGTACAAACAGTCACTGAAGTTTCCTAAACTATTTTCAATTCTGCATGATAAGGGAACTCTATACATATCTGGAGTCAACTATTAAAGAATTCGCTTGCCTTGCAAATTTTTTAGCCAATCATTCTTCATCTACCTCGCATCTTTTGGCCAATCGAGGCTAATGATGTCGGCAATTGACATTCGGAAATACCATAAAGTTCTTTTCTCCAGCGTATAGCATTTTGCGACCAAAAACTGACCGCACAGCAAACTGAAAAAAGTGGAAAACACCGGAAGAAAATACAATTTTCCAGCTTATTTTAAGTATTTCTCACTGATTATATTTCTAATCAAGTTATCAGTTCAACAAAAATTGATGATAACTCTCTCGCTGATCTGATGGTAATATGGTGTTCGCTAACATGGGGCTGTGAAGACTAAAATTTCAAGCTTAGACATTCATTGTCCAGTTGTTTAAACACCCTTGACCGTGTGATATGCGTGCATCTGCTCGGCTATGCTGTAAAACTTGTTGTCTGTGTCGAAACCAATATTCACATGCTAGTATCGATAGCTTCGTGTTACAGTTTTTGGATTATAAAGCCGAAACTAAACGAAAGGAAGCTTTATAGCAAAGTTGATGTTCGAATCGATGTCAATATTCAGTCAAAACAGGAAACGAAGAATTTAACAACACTCTAATAACGTAGTTCATTACACCTATTAAAGGCATTCTCGTGCGAGCATTAATTCCTTTGTGTTCAGATGGGCAATTTTCGATAAAATCGTCCGTGAAATTTTAAATGCAGGTCATGCGGAAATGTCGCGATGAGGAAATGTGTTGTGTATGTATATTTAAGCGCGCGAGTGCAAGCTGGCTACATATAAATAAATAATATCGATTAGACTGGACTATAGCAGGTGTTTATGTCAACGATGTTTGCTCCATTATTCACAAAGTCCGTTTAGTGGGAACCTGCTTCATTGAAATCAGCGGCTTTGAGGCGACAATACAGCCACAAATATTGATTTTTCTCCAAACGCGGAAACAGTCATCGACAGAAACAAGGTGAGTGAATACTTCTTTTCGATCTAACTTTAGAAAAGTTCCGTTTTGTCGACATTTTTTCATCATTTGCATACAAGCCACGACGCTGTACACCGACCGTTGTCAAAAGTTAAGGGCTCTGATATTACGTTTAAAAATAATCAAAATATTTGGAGTTCCGTATGCTGTTCATTACAAAGATTTATTATCACCTGATGTTTTCTAAAGGCCGGAATTTCGAACTGTTTTTGTGGTTTAACGTGGAAAAATCATTCCGAACCTGCGTTGTATATTTAAAGTTTTTCAAGTTTTATATTTTTGTATTTTATCTTATCAAGCATGTAATTGTATTCCCGGCCGTAGAAACTCTCCTAAATGTAAAAGTTTTGAGGATAGCGCAGTTGATGGCAATATGAAATATAGCTGAAGTCTGTGAAAGAATTAAACAACAAACTCTTGGCAAATCAGCCGTAAACTGTGCGAACACATCCGATAGACATGACGCATCTAGCTAACGGTCGCACTCAGACTCAACAAAGACGGTTTTTACATGAAGACTCGCTTTCAACCTGTTCACCTTTCGAGTAATAAAATAAATGGTTTTTTTTGCGTGACACAACTATGCTTGGATCAGTAGACCAGACGATGCTGACGTGATATACTACTCTACAAGTCTATATACTCCATTTTATACATTTCTCTCATAGGATTATTTAGACACGTTGGATTTGTCAGGCCGATTTTTGGTGTATGTTAATTGTTAATGGCGATTGTTGGTGGTTCATGATATCGTCAAGCTGACGTGTGTCAAATGCTTTCAATGATCACCAACGTACATCAGAATCGGTACGACAAAGCGTTGCGTCGTATTAACGCACCTATACCGAATGAATTTCGTTTTCGCATTCATTTTTGGGTTTAATAGATGTATTTCTGATTGAACCAACCTCACCTCTACACGATAGGTTTTAATAACCTAAGATTTAAAACTTTAATGGAGATTTGTAGTTAATATAAACCGTTTAACTGCTTTTGAACAGCCAGCACTTTAAATGAATTTTTTTTTGTTCAGATAAGAATCTGATGCTTTGTGGCATCAGGGTGCGTCGTATGTCGGTCGACAGTTTTCTAGTATTGTGGGTCGTCTGCAGCACACGTATCACGTTGACATGGGACGCCAAAGTCTTCCAGCCTTATCATGAACACTATCTTTCCCAGGGAACATTTCATGGTATCGATGTTTTTACCGAAGACCTCAACAGCGCCACAGGACCAGAGATGTTCATGGAGAGGTTTTACATCTGCTATGATAGGGACGGTCGAAGGACATATTACAAGAAGCTGGACGAAAGTTATTTTTCAAACAGACGATTCTGGGTTATAACTGCTAAAGGAAAGTTTATCGCTTCTATGAAAACATGTTGAAGATTTCCGCATTACATATTCCTAACAGTACCATGTTAGCCTGCATAGTACCCTGTCAACAAGTGTTGCTCTCAGCGGAGAGATTACGCCAGTGTTGGTTTTATATTAGAGCAAAAATTCGTTGAATTGGTAGCCGAATAAAAGTTCAAATGTCCAGGAGAACTTGTCAAGATGTCTCAACCATCGAGGAGGAAAGAGGAGAATTCTTGAAATTTAAAAATGATAGCTTTATTTGTACATAAAAACACATTAAAGTTAATTCACTTAATTGTGAGGTTAGTTGTAATCGTGAAAGGGTCAATGTGTTTCATGAGAAAGATGAGACAAAACTGTTAATTTATTGACATGTTAATTATGTACAGTTATTGAATATGATTAATATATTCGTTTGTTTTATCTTGCTGTTTTCTTTCTCTTAATTTCTGGTTCATCTTCATCGTTGCTGTCTTCCTCTAATTCTTCGCCAATTTCTACAAACACATTTTGATTTTATGTTATCTTCCTTAGACCGCAAATTAAAATAAATATCTCAAAGCAGACCTGTTGTGCTAGTTTCCTTCAAATCTTTTGCTCTCTCTTTTTCATCGTTCACGATTTCAGTTAATTTATCATTTACCCTACTTTGGATATCACGCACGGAAGCAATAAAATCTTTCATAGTTGCACAACTCGAGCCATTATTTTTATTTTCGAAAACAAAAGTTTCTCCACTCCTGAAAACCAGTTTCGCTTCGGCCATATTTAATCACATTCGCTACGTCATGTTATATTCATTAACGTGGCTTCAAACCAAAAGCCTTCTCAGCTCAATTTTCCCAAGAAAAAATGCTTGAAAATAATTTGACAAACTTTATTAACTAACGCAAAATAATACTGTATATTATAATCATTACACTGCAGTATATAATTAGAAATTTAGCTTTTGTGCACAGCTTTCAAGGGTTCCCCTATGAATAGCAGAATAGACTATTCTATATGCTGCTTTATTCTGTTCAGAAATATAAACAGGATTTTGCAATATACAGCAGCTGTACATTGTGACTTGTGACATGTTTACTATTGCATCAGTCCTCTGCCTTGGCATTCTTGACATTGTGTTCATTCAAAGGTTTGATTTTCCAAACAGGGTCAGGAGAGTCTATATGTTGTTGAATAGTTGCATAAAGTTTTGCAGTTTTCTTCTTGTGAACGGCCATGTGTTCCTCCGGGTCGAGTGATAATGTCTGTTCAACGGAAGTAAAATAAAACAATTTAATTAAATGATTTCATAGTGTCATCAAATGATTGTTTGGGATTCATTTCTATCTGAATCAATCTGCTATGTGTGTTTAACAAGTTTGATTGATCATTGTAATCACAATGATCAAAATGAGGTAAATTTGATAAAGAAAATGCTGTAATAAGATCATATTTAACGACCGTTTACATTTGAATTGGTCATCAATTACCATTATCACAAATACCATTCACCATAGTGTGATAATGAAATTTCAATTTAAACAAATAAATATAAATATCCTCACTTCCATCATTTGCTCTTTAGTAGGAGAAAGAGCTTTCATTAAAACCCAACCACAAAACATAACACCTCCAACAACAACGCTGTTTACGACTACCTTCTGTATCCTAGCCGCCATATTGGACGTAATTACCCCCCGTTGTATTAATAAAATTATAATAATATCGGGGGGTATTTTCTTTATACAGCACTGTAAACACGGCGAAGCTAAAGATTTGAAAAACATGGCTTTAAGCGAAGCAGATTTAAAAGCGAGTGTGCATGAACCAGATGTTTCAACAAAGGACTTTATTATGCAGCAGACAATGTTGAGAATAAAAGACCCCAAAATTAGTTTGGACTTCTACACACGTGTGCTTGGAATGAGGTATTAAGAATGTGGCAATGTGCAAAACTAGATATCCAAGTATACGTACGTACGTTATAAACTATTTGTTTTTTGTATTGCATAATTTTCTCCAGGCTTCTTGGAAGATATGATTTTCCAGAAATGAAATTCAGCTTGTTTTTTGTTGGATATGAAAAAGCAGAAGATATACCAGATGAGCAAGATGCCAGGACAAAATGGTGTTTTTCCAGAGTCGGGACCATAGAGCTTACACAGTATGTAAATTTTATATTACCCCATGGTCCATGGGCAGCTAAGTCAATGTGGTACCGGTAACCGCATTAACTGTGGGCTGCCTATGGTTGGATTTAGTATAGATACCTGCATCCATGTATTTTATCCATAGCAAATCAACGGAAATGAATCATGGTGCAATATTAAAAGTGGTCATACAATTTTTTTGTGGTTTGCAGCAACTGGGGAACAGAAAATGATCCAGATTTCAGCTATCATAATGGAAATAGTGACCCAAAAGGATTTGGTATGTATAGCTACAATATATTGAATGTTTTTGACAGAATGCTTTAGGGTGATTTGAAGTTTTTAAAGCACATTCTGACTCACATTGTATTCTTTTCTATTCTTGAAATTTTCAAGGTCATATTGGCATAGAAGTGCCTGATGTTAAAGAAGCTTGTGAGAGATTTGAAAAACTTGGAGTCAAATTTGTCAAAAAACCGAATGATGGTATTATTTTTTTGCTGTTTAAAAGATACTAATACTTGCAATAATTTCTCACTTGAACTTTCAAATCACATTGCATAGACATATTTTAAAATTGTTTTGCAGGAAAAATGAAAGGTCTGGCATTCATTCAGGATCCTGATGGTTACTGGATTGAAGTGCTCAACAGCAACAATCTCGTTAAGCTAACTAAATGAGGACAATTAGAATGCAATCAACAAGGTACCAATTATAAATCTTGATTTGTGGAAGGTATGATAAAATATTTCATTCCCTAAGTTTACCATACATTGATAATATATGCTACATGATCAAAGTTCATTGTGATTTGATGGACTATTACATATACTATGTAAATCACACTGTTCAACAATGTGTCTAAAACAAGCTCTAAATTGATTGAGTGGACACAGTTCCTTTGCGTCACAACAGGGCAAAGCAGCAGGTATTTCATTGGCTAGTACTTGAACATAGAACATGCCAGATTTTTCATCATCACTTTTGCATGAATATAGAACAACTGCAATGTTTCCAGAAAACGGTGCAATGTTGGCCGTCCTAAACTGACGGTTCTTTTGTTTCCTGTAGTTATTTGCTAAAAGCGGTTCATTATCTTTAAATAATCCCATTAGACAAACTAATGGGATGATTGTTTCTGCATGGGAAAAGTGAAATATTGCTTGAGTATAGGCAACTGATGTCCCTAAAGATTTCACAACATTTTCTATTGATTCGGTTAGGTTTTTGAGTAATAAACAGCTCATATCATAGTTTATTTTATATCCATAACCACGTTTCCAGTAGTTTTTAATGTCATACATATACTCAATAATGTCCAACTCTGAATCATGCAGTATGCTGCATAATTGCCCATCGCCATAGATTGCAAGTTCATAAGCACATGATAAGAATATATATTGAATATGAGCAGATGTAAGGCCTGAATGGTCGGTAATATTTAGTCTCTTGGCAAAGGCTGCCTTCAAATTTGTCATCTCTTCACCATCCTTAAACTTATGAAATTCAACCAATGATATCTCTTTATTTTCTGACACTCTCTGTATATATTCCGAACAAATATCAAAAAATCTCAACAGGGGTTCTGTTAGGTTGGTGGTTGTTATAGCAACAGGCTGGAATTTTGAGGGTCCGAGCACACCTGTTCCTTCAAAGAGACCAAAGGAAAAAGCTGAGGCACTTTGACTGGTCCGTGGCGTCATTGTGCTGACAAAGTAGTGTTGTTCTCCTGAGTATTTAGGAGAGAAAAGTGATGGAAATTTTCTCCGTATTCTTCTTGAGATGTTATACAATTCCTCTGCACCAACTTTGGCGAGGAACTTATCACCATATTTGAAGCGATTGACCCATGGCATCTTTAAATTTCCATATGTTGTCTCTTTGTTGTGAAACTGATTGATGTAACCTGCCAATTCGTCCATTCCTTTTATGTCTTTCTTCCCAGGGTATCTTGTACCATGCCTGAGCACCATATTAAGATGCAAAGGAGAGCATCCGTTTGGAACCTTGACGATATCATGATTATCATCATTATATTGTGGATACCTTGATTTCGTTGCAAAATTTCTGCGTATATTACCACTTGCTTTGGCAAAATATTGGAAGCAAAGTACCGCGAGAATAAATTTTACTATTTCTCTTCCAACACACATGACACATGCTAACATGCACCTTTGCCTTTGCTCACGAAACATTTCATTTTTAATCTTTTTGTACTAAGAATTTTCTTTAGTGTTTAATACCCAAAGATGTGTAGAGTATCCACGCAGAACCTAGTGTAAAATCTTGTGGAAAAAACAACTTTTTATCACCATATTTTTGAACGTATAAAGCATTCAGATAGCAACAGTATTATTTGTCGAAATCCACGCGTGCATCGTGTTCGAGGATATACCACACGCGTGGTCTCCACGAACTTACCACGAAGCAGCAATAGCCTTTCTGGTTCAAATATTCTCTTCAGTCTTTTGAACGCTAAATTTCGTTCAAATATTCTTCAAACGGCTAAGACAGATATGTCGAAACGTATCCAAGATATTCTAAAGTGAAAGCTATTAACACTTTTCTTTATATTGCATTTTATTGTACGCCGCAACTGTACTGTAACTAATGTTTCGTACTTGTTCAAACTTGTCTTGGAAAGATAACTTCAAATCCCCTTTATCGGGTCCTTAGACTAACTGAAAAATTCTGAATATTCATGCCGGCAATTCATTCATACTCATTATTGATATTGCAGAATAGAGTTTATTTATAAAATATCCTGGTCATTTACAAGTTTTACGGATACATTTCCTTTGATAAGAAAAGAAACGGAAGGATTTTCAGGCATTATCACCCAACAAACTGGCAAGAATTGTTTTATAACATTCATGGAATATAAATTTGCGCCCAGTGACAGTGCAATACAGCGTTCATTTGAAGTTGTATTTGATGACGCCGTGCGTTATTTAGTTATTTCATGTCGAAAGGAGCGTCAGCTGGCTTTGAACCAATCCAAAGCGAGATAGAATCTTATTATTGAAAATTTTGATGAATTGATTAAGGCGTTCATTGTCAGCAAGGCGGGCTTTTATTGGCATAGTGCGAAACCTCTGTTTGTCAAAATCATCTCTTGAAATCTGCATATTATTATCGATACGAGAGAGCCTGATTTGTCCTAATCACTCGCCTTAAGATTTCGAGCACAAGCGAGCGAGAAGCCACAAACTTGCTGACGTATATTTTGCTGATAATGTTGAGACGCTCAGTCTTCATTTGTACGAGCCATGGCCGGAATTATTCGATAGGAAATTGAACTCGCGAATAATAACTGTCGTGTTCAATGCACCTGAGACAAAGAGCCGCTGGAAAGAAATAATTTGTCATGATGTCAGCTATGCTTCATCTCAAAACTCTCTCATGATTGACAACGCAAAGAGCCAAAGAAAGTCGTTAACATTCTCTGGAAAACTATGAAAGGTAAGAAGACAATCTCTGTTGTATAGTCTGGAGCCCTTCGGAGTATTAACTTCATCAAAAAAAAGCCCAATTCAGGCAAATTGCTGTTTCTTTCTCCGGCTAGACATATATATGAAAAATTCATGCTCTCACAATCGATATTTCTCCTCTCACAGTGCCAACAAATTTGATTTATTCCGCGCCAATTTGTTGTCTGTTTCGCGCATACAAATTACATGTTTCGTTTGGAAAATATACAGTAATGGTTTATTCACAAAACAGAACGGGTAAAACAGCGGGTATCAAGTCATTTTTTTTTTTTAAATATAAAATTTAAATGCAAATCGATAGTTTTTAATTTCAACATGCTTGACACCACGGCCTTATATTTGCTTCCATTCTTTCAAGTAATTCGTCTGTACCAATATTAGATATCTTTTTAAAATTTTATGATGGGAAAGGAATTTGTGAGACTGAACAGTGCAATATAATCACGGTAACAGTAATATACCTTTAAATATGTTTTTTATATGTTCGTTTTTTTTTAATTTCGATATTCGTTACAGTGTCTGCGAATAGACGTTTTTAATATAGAATATATGCTAACAATATTCATAAGATTTCGTTTATGTAAATACTATGATAGGTGGCCACGTTAATCTTGTATTTGCCAACTAAATGCATTCTTGTAATGTTTTCTGGGTAGCATCTCCATGCCTGAAGTATTAAAATTAATGCGGTCCGCGCTAATGTAAAAATATTTTAAAGTTGTAACAAAAATCTAATGCCATTTAAGATTTTGATTTTTATCTCAAAAAATAAATTTAATTCTGCTTCACAGTCCCACACACGCATGCGCGTTGAGTATACCACTCAGTTTCCCTTCATTTGGACCGAGGCTGTGGATGTAATCCGCTGGTCTCATGCATTCGGGTTTCATGTATGACCAATTATAGATCGTGCGATTAACCTGGTTTCACGTGATTTGTCACCAATATGTCTTGTAAAATGTACATTCTTATTCCCTAACCACGTTGGATTTATAGTCACCGGTTGTGCCTGAGTGTACCCGAATGCTTTTCACTTTTGTGCATAATTCTTACGAGTGAAATGTTCTTGTTTGCTCAGAGACCACAAATCCATTGAAAGCCTGAACAAACACAGATACATACTTTAATCCTAGTTAAAATTAATCCAACCGATCATATATATTAAAAATGATTTGATCCCAAATGATTTGATTTCGCGGGGTAAATATTACATTATACCGGATGGACCAATATATAGTATACCCACCACTCTTTCCAAAAATTCCCCCACAGACCACCGTAGACCACGGTGCGTTCAAATTGCGATGTATCTTATCCTATTATGTCAATTTCTGGCTGTTAATCTTACCTTCAAAGGAAAACATTAGACATTCCTCGACAGTTAAAATATGACCACATCTAAATGTGCATGCAGCGAACTTGAATAGTGTTTACATTTTTTCTTAGTTGATCCCCTAGCTCGATTTCTCATAAATATTTAACAACGCTAGAATTAGATTAAGCATTTTTACCAATTCTAATTTGAAATATTAGCATTCATAAGCTTCAGTGATTTGATACATCTTATTGTAGCAATTACGTTCCGCATTGAAGCCAGAAATGTAACACATAACATTGAAGGTTGTATGTAGACAAGTGTATTTGATCATATTGGAAATCATTCCAGGGGAACATTTTTTAAATCGACTAAGCTCGGTTATGTAATTGTATAATGACTAATTAAAAGTGGCTGGTGTTGATTCGATGTCATATTGGACATGAAATAGGGATATTTTAATGGCCTAGGTCAAGGCCGCTGGATATAGTAAGTATATTACTTAGTTTTATAAAAAATGAGGTGTTTATTTGTTGCTATTCGAAAGGAGAGACTTTCAGAATGCAGAGGTCTGTGGCGTGCATTCCTTGGAATGTATTGGACATATTGAACGCACTTGCATCTTGACTCACTTGGAATTTTGAGGACCTAATTTAGTTTATAAATATCTTGAAGAAAGATTACCAGTGTTATTGAGCAAAACAAGGACTTTGTAGATGAAAAACTAGGTACTCGATTTCTAAATCTCAATTCAATATCAGTTCCACGATATAGCATTGCAAAATCTCGGTTTCCCGGTAATGTGCATGCTTAGTTTGATGAAATGAGTACATCCTGCGAAAATTTTAATTTAGATTTTTCAACACGCTGATGTGTTTTAAAGACAGATGTTGTATAAAGATAATATATTGGATTATCACATCTCGCCCACATTGGATATGCCTGGTGTGTGTCCCCCAAATGACGCAAAACAAATTCTCTTCTCGTATCTAACGACTACTATTCCTATATGCACTTATGTCTTATCTAGATCGGCACTTAAAAAATTATATCTTAATTAGAAACTTATTTTGGCTACAGCGGTTTCACCCTCTTTTACTCTACTTTACCATAAGCTTTCGCTAGGCATTTCTTCGCATAGGCATGAGGTGGTTTGGGAAGCAACCCTGTAAAGTTGAAATATGAAATATCTCTCGAAATATCTCAGGGTATAGTCTTCCCCCTGGGCGGGAGGTGGGTTACCTCACTCACTGCCCTACCCCACAACAATGTATCCTTTATTCCTTGTTTGTAAGGCTTTAATTAAACACATGAATAGAAGTGAAAATATTCCACAATAATTGTCGATATTCGATTGTCTGGATAAATAATTAAATAATTAAAGTTCGGAAGAACAAATGTAGTAATTATCATGTCACAGAAGTGTCAGACTTTTATTCACACTACCATCCAATTATCATTTAGAGTATTGGGTTTAGAATTTTACATCTATTGAACAAAATAGTTTTTGTTTTGAGAAATATCGGTATTGTGAGAGAATTCGGAGTGTATGCCTTCTTTTTCAAGGTACCAAGCAAATTAGCTCATGTTATATTCTGCCGTGTTTTAGTGGCCCTACTGGCTGGTCTGGCTGCAGGAATTCCTCTGTGTTTTGTCGCGATTTTTTGTGTGTTCTACCGCTTGTACTGCAAACGAGACAGAAGAGAAGATAACATCATCCTAGGTCAGGGTCGTAAGCTTTGGAGGAAGAGTTACGAAGTGGTGGGCTCCTCGCACGAGAGCCTCTCGATTCCAAAACATGCACCAAAAGTCGTCTCGAAATTTGTCCAGGACTCGCCTCAGTTAAGCAGCACATCAACATCGGCACACATCTCTCCGATCGAGGATCAACTATGCCTTACCGAAGATGACGACGACGACGATAACTCGTCTCTTAGCAACTACAGAACGGCTCCGGACGAGCTCTACAGTCCCGAGTGTCCATCGGTCGAGTCTCGGGATACGATCGAGCTGATTTCGTTATCTCCGGTTAAAACCTCGTACACGTCGGAAAACCGTAGTGACCCTTATGTTAAAGATATCCCCCCGTTGCAGGAACATCGAAGGATACCGTCTATCAGGGTAGTGGACGAGAACAAGGATGTTCTGTTTAAGCTAGACGCTAAACCGAACTCTAGCCACAGAGAAAAGCGCCGTGAAGACAAAATTCCGTTGAATTTACCATCATCTGTGATTCAAGGAAATCGTCATCATCCCTGTTCACGGCCTGGCATGATCGATGTTTCCATTCTGTATAAACAAACCACCTGCGAACTGTTTCTTAAGGTAACTACTAAAAATATTGAAATGCTGCACCAGTTTAGTTCCAATTGTCGAAGTCTGTTTGATGAATATTATCAGTAAGACATATGCACTCCTGTGTGTTGCACTACCTTCCCTAGTTGAATTATTGCATTTTTAAACTCTTTTTTGAATCCTCTTAGGTCAACAAAGCGATAGACTTACCTGTGAAAGACTTAAGAAACAACACATCGTCCGCATTCGTAAAACTGTACGTCCTGCCGTCTCGTCGATATAATTACACAACAAACATTGTCTCGAAATGTCTGAATCCAGTATTTAACGAGAGCTTTGCTATTGGTGGCCTGACACTCATGGAAATATTACAATTGACTATTCAATTTCTTGTGATACATCACGAACCAATACACAGAAATATTATGATAGGTGAACTATCGTTACCGCTCGTCAATTACGAGTTTGTGGACGAGGAACTGACTCTGTGTCAAAATTTGAGAGAACACAAGCCCAAGCCGGTAAGTATAATTTTCAGAAATCTTCGAGGAAAGTTCAATGGTCAAAAACTGACTCGAGTTTCATTCCATATTTTAGGTTCTTGGAGAATTGCTTGTCTCTGTGTGTCATCAACCACTCGCCAGTAAACTGTCTGTGACAGTTGTACAGGCTCGAAATTTACCAAAGATTAGTAATTATGGAATTGGAGGTGGGATATGCCGGATGTTATTTTGTACAAATCTCGAAAGCAACGACAAAATTCGTTTTTCCCGAGGGTTTAATAGACACAGGCCTACGTAAAACATTGTTTATGCCACAACAGGCTCAACTGATTCACTGTGAAACATTTCCTTGGTCCTCAATATGCACTTTTTCCCCGTGAAAGAAAATATTTTTATCGAAATGACAAAGTCAATGTTCTTGCAGTAATACTCTCGTTTCTGTTCTTTTAAGATCCCTACGTGAAAGTGGAATTATTTTTTAATTCAAAACGACTTTGTAAGAAGAAAACGCGGACAAAAAAGAAGACAACGAATCCTCGTTTTGTTCAATTATTTACATTCGATCTTGAGGCTTCGTACATTGCTTTGGAGTCGTTGATCTTAGTAATGACGATATTGGTCAAAGATCCAGGGGGGTGTCACGAGAAAATCGGACAAGTCGTACTCAGTTCTCTCACAGGTGGCTCCGCCTTTGCTCAATGGAACGAAGTGATACAAAATCCGCACGTGCCGATCGAGAAATGGCAGATGATCCATGAATGATCTGAACGTGAACGAACACGACCTGACTAGGCCAAATAATCCTAGCGTAGCGTTGCCAAGCGTTACGAATATTTCATTGTTTCCAAAGAATCAAGAAGCCTCAGGTACAAGTATTGAATACGAGAAAAAAATACGTTGAAAATCCTTTGAGGCAAAGGACGTGCTTTTCATGATTGGGATATCGAACCCTAGTTTTCACAAAGGAAATTTGATTGATCGAGACGATGACAGATGGTGCAAAGAATCGTTGACCAATCCATGTCATGAGCATATTGGCAACGATCAGTTTTTATCCAAATGAAAAGCTACCTCCGCTTTGAAATCGATGAGATTTAATTGAAAGCTAAAAATTCAGCGTCACCATGTGAATGAGAGTCAGTCAGTTTACTCGAGCAGGGCCGAAACTAGACGACCAGTTGATGGAGGCGCCTCTCATTCTTCTCAATCACGCTAATGTGATTTCTTTTGATGACGGCGATTGTTGTTACGATATCCGAAAGTTTTTCAGTACGATATCCTGGTGAAAATGAATGCATGAATATATACACTATTGCGTCTAGTTTCCTCCCTGTATTCGAGTATAGAACCGGTGAATTTTAATAGTTTCATCGTACAATAAATAAATTTTCGTTGTTCATACATGACAACGATGATGAATATAAATTACAGAGTAATGAATTGTAACTATTTAAATTATCATTATTATTTTAGGATATTTAAATTTCATCAAAATTGAATGCGTTATTTTAACCAAATATATTTATTTTCCCTCTGATTTTGCTCTTACGTGTGAACACAGAGTAAACAATACGAATATCTTTTAGTTTCTCTGTGATGTGAATTATGCGCGCGCAGTCCTTGCTATAGCTGACGTCATTTTATTTTAGAAGATTCGTTTAATTGGAGGAATTCGTGTGTTTTGCGTGCGCATGTTTGCTGACGTGACTAATTGATGCGAAAAAGGCCATTGTCTTGTGGAAAGTTTTCATATCAAAGCGTTTTTATGGTAAAGGTGAGCAAAGATTCAAAACTGATTGACATGGAAATGTGCGAATTCTCTCAGCCCTGGTATCGTAGCGATGTGATATTGCAAGCTGAAGGACGTAAATTTCACGTTCATAAAAACACGCTGGGTTTGTGGTCGCCTGTTTTTGATGGTCTCATCAAAGCGCGGAAGACACCGGACGAAATTATCGAACTACCAAAGAAAAAAGCTAAAGAAATCTACGAGCTTCTGCTGGTCATCTACAACCTTCAGGTCGTGAACTCTCAAAACATCATGCATTTGTTGAAACTCGCAAAGGAATTCGAAATCGAGAAAGTGCTGTATTTGTGTAGTTCGTTTTTACTTGAAATAGAGAAACCTGATTTGAAATGCATCAATTTTCTACTCCTGGCCGAGCGGTATGGGTTGGAGGACGTGAAACAGCAGTGTTTCGAGATGGCTTCCACATTCCCCCTTCCTCAACTGAGAATGTCAGAGAAATTTAACGAACTGAGTATGGAAAGCAAATTTCGCATCACGGAGAATATGCTAATGCGTGAACAAGCTTTTGTCAAGGAGCTGAAGACGAAGTCATTTAAACTGTTGCGGACTGTTTATTTGACTGGTCACGAGAAATTTGTAACCGACATGCAGCCGAATGTTCGCCGGCCGTTTGTTTATAGTTGTCGTAAAAGACCTGCGCACACTGTCCTGAAAGAAAATGGTCGTATTTTACCGCGAGTCTATGATTTAGAGTGTGCTGTTTGCCGCGGAACCACGGAAAACTGGGCACGAAGAAAGGAGCAACATTACCCAAGGAGCAAAGATCTCTACGATGCGGCGTTTATGAAAGAAATGTTTAGTTTGTGTCATGCGCAAAGCGAATGCGAAATGACAGCTTAGGACCAATTGTATGTGAAGTACTTAGTGTTATTCAATTTAGCCTTGAAGTCATTGTACGATACATTATTAGAATATCTGTATGAATTATGAAATAATGAAGAAATTTTGAAATACAAAGGGTCCCTGTGATTTTATTTAATCTGATAGAATCCACACTATACTAAACTTTAGTACACTGAGAAAGAGGCAGCGGGCTGTATCGCAGGCTCGGGAGTAGCAGGAGTTCAGTGAAGAAAAGAAAGTAACTGAGTGTTTGCATTCGTGAATACTGCTTCTTTAATAAATTTTATGACTAGAAATATATTTTTATTTTAAAAATATCAACTTCATCAAACAAGATATGGACGAAGATGTTTTTGACGAATCCAATCTATTCACATCGTTTGAATCTCTGCAAGGCAACGATGAAAGTGTGCCATTGTTAAGTCGAACGAAAGAGGTGCAAAATGGTGAACTGGACTCTTTAAAGAGGGAAAATATGTTATTAAAGCGACTCGTACGAAAAATCGGTTTTAATCCAAGCGAAGATGAACCTCTTGCAAGCATTTTGTACTACAATGGCGCCTATTCAAAACAGGGAGAACTGGAGGATTTTATTAGACATGTTATTGGAAGGTCAGCCTCCAAGTCAGGTGTATCTAGTCAGTCATCATTTAGTGGGAAGAACGTATTGAGTGATGGATTCGCTGCAGGACTTGGACGGATCTCTGACTATAGCAAATTAGACCAAGGAGAGTTTGTGTATGACATAGAAGATCTACCTGTGGGATGCATTCAATATTTTCCTCACTTTTGCTTGGATAAATCTGGGTCAGATTTGTTGAGAATATTTCCATCACCTCCTCATTTTGATCGGGTTTATTTCAAGACCTTGCCAGAGGAAACAGGGAGTAAAGCCTCCCAAAGAAGGAAAGTTGTATGTTTTAATTGCGATGGCGACCACCGGTTGAATGATTGTCCTAAGCGTAGAGACCTTGCAAGGATCAGTATGAAAAGAAAGGAATTTATGGAAGGGAGAGTTAACGAGTCTCGTTATCATGAAGACAATAAGAAAGCTGAACAATACCAACATTTAAAGCCAGGGAAAATAAGCAGCGGATTACGAAAAGCATTGAACATGCTTGAATCTGATCTTCCACCATTTGTATATCGTATGAGAATGCTTGGATACCCACCTGCTTGGTTGCCAGGTAGCCATGATTCTGGTATTGTGATGTATGGAAAAGAGGGGGAAGAGGAAAAGGATAACAAAAGTGATCACTTGGACCAGGAGTATGTCCACTTTCCTGGATTTAATGTTCCAATGCCAAGAGGTAAGATGGTTGTTCTTGGTCAATTTTAATAACTTTGTACACCTGAGATATGTTACACATAGAGTGTATTTAGAGTGTATTTTGACCCTAAATACCTTTTCCAGAAATTTCTGGTTTGTTTTAAATCCAGGACATAGGTGCTGTTATACATAATGCATTATAAATGTTTTTAACCTTTTTAGAATGTCGAGATCTGGCTCAAGAGGTTCGTTTGCCACATATTCAGCATCAACATCTGTTAGATGTGAAGCCAGAAGATTGTCCATCTTGGTCAGTTATTGAAAATAGCAAACGTAAACATTCTGATGACGCATCAGGTCATGATAGCAAGAGAGCGAAGACTTCCCCTGAAAATGATATGGAAATTGAAGATGAGGAGGATGTACCTGGAAGCACCAGCATTATTGAAATTAAACAACGCTTAAACTCTGGGGCTCAGGAAAATAAGTCTTCACTAGTTCTTGACCTTGAAGATGGTGAAATAGCAGATAGTCCACGGCAACATGGCATGGTTGAGCGATGGTGGACGAAAGAGCCTTTGGTGATGCATTCAAAAAAAGGTAAACAAGAGATTACACCACCACCCTACCCCCTCAGACCTCTCCCATTACACAAGATATCTCAGATTCTGCCAGGAGAGATGAATCACATTTCATTTGAAGACCGAAGTCGTTGGTTAGATCCTATTTTTGGTAACTTGCAAGTAAGAACTGGCCGGTTTGATAAATTGAAAACAATTTTAGCATCTCGTGAAAATAAAAGAAAATCATTGTAAGAGGTTGAGTGGACTGTTGCGTATCTCTAGTTAGTTGTTAGCATTGTTTCTATAGAAAAGAGATTTCCTCATTTTATTCTTTGGGCCAGAGAAACAAAATAATAGAATGCTGCCTTCAATTCTGAGTTTTTGTCTGTCACACTTTCAGTAGATCTGCATGAGTAATAATAGTTGCTTATCTGAAACTGAATTGTCTTGTGTTCAAGTCTGAATATCTTATGCTTTTTACAAGGAATAACAAAAGTCTATGTCGCCTACCAAGAGAGTCTCAGTATTCTATTATTTCTTATCTCAATGGCCAGACTTGATGTAATATGAAATAACTCCACATTAGTTTTAAAGTCATGTTTTATTTGAAATGTACACTATATTTACAACTTTTTATCAATAAAATGATTTTAACAACACACTTCTTGTATTTCAGTTTATATAACACCAATAATAAGATAAAGAAATGAATTTAATTTAAAACCAGTTTTGAACCAGTTTATATTGTGACTAAACGTTGAATATTTGACTGTATTAAACAATAGTCTGTTGTCACACTGTAATGTTCTTAACATGATGGCTGTTTCGAAGATGAAACAATCGTTCTACATGCATCTCAACTGAAGAGCATCGTTATCTCTTGTTTTTTAGTACAAAAATATTAAACTAACCTAAAATCCCGTTACGCTAAATTTCTAAATCTAGCCAAAATCAAATAGTTCTTATTCTTTTGACAAGGTAATGTTTCACAGGTCGAACATTTCATGTGTCGAATCCAATGCAAATAGACTTTTTTATGAATCAATTTATTAAAACTAGCATTAGTTCGGGACACGAAAAGTTCGTTGTCTGAAATGGCCCTAGTATCTGAGAATTAAACCAACATCTCATTTGCTAACCTCTCTCAATTACTTCCTAATTACGGTTAATAAATACAGTTAATTACTCTAATTATTTACAATCATTAAATACTAATTGAATAATATATATTTGGATGAATAATCACGCCAGCGCGATGCTCGGAATCAAATTGCATACATATATAACAAGTATATTACTATATTTTCATATTGGAAATGGTAGGCACTAGGCACCAAGAAAATTCATCATTTAGCAGTGATAAATCTATGAGAATTGATTCTTTGTATTCGCTTCTTCGCGACGTTCCCGCGCGAGCTCCTGCGAGAAAATCCTCGCGGGTTCATTCTCACGTTTCTCTGGCCGGGGAAGGAATGCCGGGTGTGGGTATCGGAAATAAGTCGCCCCATTTCTTGTCGTATGTCCAAAACTAAGATTTAAAGATGGAAACGTCTTGACACTTGTCGTGTTTATTTTATCGTAATTGTAGCAATTGCAGCTTGGATTGGTACACACGGGACGCAGGGGGATAGCTGGGAATGGTGGAGGTTGGAAAGGTGGTATATTACGGCCAATGAAGGATATCGGTGAAGGGATGGGGTGAAATGATGGTCTATAAATTGTTTGTCCTTTGGTTATATTCTCTCCGTGTTGGGCCAGAATGCACTCGATAGCGTGTGCGAAATCACCCCCGCACCCTCTGAGCACTTCCTCCAGAACGTCTCGCTTTTGACTGGGAAAGAGCCTGGTGAGGATATCCATATACCTGGAATAGTCTTCAATTATGAGATCATCGGATTTCAGTTTCTTAAAGCTGCTGAATTCCTTGGTGTTTGTGTCTAGGGACCTTTCTCTCTTTATTCGAGCCGAGCGCTGTGATGTTGGACTCTCACGTTGGCTGTCTTCTAAATAATAAATGGAGTACTGTTTAGAATTGCTTGGAATATGAGTTGGGTTAGAAGTTTGAAGATCTGTATAAGAAAACTAGGCTAGATTGGTCACAAATCTCTCAAATTTGAGCTCTGTCATGACTGAGATATTGTTTCCAAGCAATATTTCCTGACGTTTGATAAATCATCATGTTTTCTAATCATGTTTCATGAAGGTGGACGAACCAGCAAACATTGTGTTTCGTATTTTCTGATTAGAGGGCAGACTTGGTGGGCATTGTTTCTAAATTTGTAACAATGTTACCTGGTTACGAATGTAACGTTTGGAAATAAAACAAGCAGGTACTTATATTTTGTTTGGTGTTTTCTCGAACAATTATGTATAAACAATAGATTGTTTATACTTTTCTTAATTAGCGACAAAACGAAGAGCATACCACGGCGTAATGCCAAGGTAACGGTGCATTGTAATTAGAAGCCAGCAACGTTCGTTATTTAACCGTTCATGTGGTTAAGTGTCACGACTATTTTAGGATGTGCAAACACTGCTTGGTATTCTAAAGTTCCTATCTTTTAAAATTAATTCCTTCAATTTAGACCCTTGCTCGTGAGTCCATTTTAACTAGCTATTATAAGGTATATTTAACCGTACTGTAGCCATATATGACATGAACCATCATAATATATAATAGTATTTTCAGTGTGGACAGTCTAACGTGAATGGTGACTTGCAAGGAATTTGTTACCAAATGCATTCAGACAAAAGATGGATTGCCTAATTTTTTATATCAAAGAAATTTTGGCAAAGAAAATTTTGCTTTTGCAAATAAAGGGTGCTTAAAATGCTCATATATGGTCAACGATCCACTAATGTTCCAGTGAAGAGAGTCAGACCTTAAAAATTGATTTTAGCCATATGAATTTTTGGTAGACTGTGGGGAATTTTTTTTTGACAGTGTGGATGAATAACCATGATATATTCCATGTGCATATTTCTTGAAAGTAGGGGAGCTTGAACCACATTACAATGTGCTTAACTTCGTCCAATCAATGACGTTATCCACTGATCTCATGCGAGATAAGCACGCAAAAGTTAGCACCATATTTAGTTTAGCAGAAAAACGCAGGCAAATATCTTTCCATTTACACATTTTTCTCGCCTTATCTTTGACGTGTCTCAACAGCAAAACCCAATGCTATATAGCAGACTTTGAAGTTTCAAATACAAGGTAAATAAATCTCGCTACAATTCTACCTAAAATGCTTGCAGGCAGCTACTTTAATAAACCTATCACTACAATTCTGTAAAGGGAACACAGACAGTTGCCGACCTCCATGTTAAACTTACATCTTTGCAAATCCCGCACGTAAAGTATTGCGACATTTTGCGACATTTGTATAAGTTAGTTTCCAATTGCATTGTGCTACACGTATTAATGCCTGCATGAATATTATAGTATATCACAATAGTATTCAAATTGATATAATTGAGTTTATATTGTAACATTGTTCTTACGCGTCTATATATACCGCCCAACCACCTGTCTACCACGCTGATATAAATATAGAACCTCGCTAACTTTAGAATAACTGCATGGCCTCATGCGGTTATTGTAGAATGTTCCTGAAGATATATTTGCAAACTTTACTAAGCACGTAACGCAAATTTACCCCTTCGTATACACATGATTCAAGAAATACAACTAAAATGGCTCTGGCATTGCGCATGCAGCACACTGTTCATGATGAGTCCTCAAACGTAATTAAAATGTACGTTCCTAAAACATAATCCTTTAAAACTCGTCGTTTACCTATGGAAATTTCTTATTGAGATCACAGAAGCTTTGATTGAGTGTAAATCGCTGAAAGTGTATCATTGCATGGCACATGTTAATATACAGAGTCGCAAATTAAGACAAATATTTCTAAGAAAATGTTCGTACTCATTGCAACCTTTAGATGTTGCATGTATGAATAATAAATGTTCCGTAATATTGTGGGATTTGAACAAGCCAGCGCTTTGAAAATTGCAACTTAAACGGTTACTTAAAGTTTAGATATTTCAATATACACTGAGACATTGATCGGTAGTGACAAATACGATATTTTAACCGTAACAAAGCGTGCATTGTAAATGGTAATTCAAAAGTTTAATTCGCCTTTCAATAAACGAAACAGTTTCCCCGAGATTTTCGACTTCATCGTTTGCGAGGCGAGTCAGTCAGCAGTATTCGTGAGTTTTCAGTCGTGAATTAGGACGATTTAACTCGGTATAGTCTATACCCCAACTGCAGTTAAGCGCTGAACGCATTGGCCATTGGCATTGTATTTTAATATGAACACGTTCAATTTTGCCTAAGAATATCTCTGTTTAAGACAGTAACATGGAGAACCTATACTGAAAGGCAGATTTGTTTGTTTTACTAACTATGAGAGTAAAAGAAAGGTTACAACGTGACATATTGGAATCTTCTTATTCTCAAGAGTTTTAAAACCAGCCTTGGACCTCTCGAGGTAGGGCCAAACTCTGCCGTGGAATTGGGCCAATATAACATAAAATGCTAAATGCTTTCGGGTCTTACCTTCTTGGACATCAGGAGTGGCTGTATCTCTTCCCTCACTTCCATTTTTTTCGCCGTTTTCCTCAAACTGGGTCGAAGCTGATGGTTTGTTGTTTAAGAACGATAGATCAAAGCTCTTCTTCAAGTCATTCTCCTGTTGTTGTTGTCGTCGCAAAGCAACTTGTGCGGCCATAACCCGTTGTCGTTCTGCAATGAGGTTGCAATCGGGACACGAACAGTCTTTCCATTTACAAAATCTCTTGTGTCCCTTGAGAATAGATATAACGCCGTGATTCCGGCATCTAGCACACTTCGGTGAGCGAGTTTGGTTCGATAGCATGCTCTCTGTTGTCAGGACATGATTGGCGGCCGAGATTTCTTCCATTTTCATAGTGGGTACTAAAGGTTGTGAAAAAAAATATCAAAATATTTTTCACCTCCCACACGATCGCGTGTATATGTGAGCGGCAGAATTTTCCAACGCAATATACTGTAATCGCGGTCGTGCTTGTCGTAACTTCAAGCACAAAATGGCAGTTGCCCAATACTGCATTCCCCTTACAACTTAGATAACTTTTTTGAAATTGAATACGAAGACGCCCACTCCATCAGGAGTGAAATAGTTACAATGTAATAGGGAGCTAAGAATAGCAATCCCAATTCAATTTTAGATCAGCGAACAAAGGGGCGGTAGCCAATTTTATGCTTTTAAAGTCTTAAGCTAATTTTGTACTTGCAGAATAGCGCTAAGAATTTGTTTAACCCTACCGAGGCAGTGTTTGTTCGTTCACCCTAGGTAGCGGTGGGGTATGCATACTGTATACAGGTCTGATTCCTTACTTGGACTTTCACGACATGGCTATTATGCAACCTGTAACTATTGTATCCTTTTGCCGTGGAATGCGAAAAATTTTTTCAGGCTTAATATATTCTCTCGGGAAAAATTGTATTATGCTGTAAGATGATCGAGGTTTCTGGAAAATGTAGCTTATTTTCCATGCATATTTCAACTATGATTCATCACTATTACCATGGCAGCAAAACACACAACAAATTGCAGTTTAACTGCCGCGATCGTTTATAATTTTGATTGTTTTGTCTCGGTCATGACTATGGTAATGTTGCAAAAACTATTCAGATAATTTGCGTCTTTATATATATGTATATATCAGTATTTAAACATTTTAAGCTTTTCTTCACAACCTTGCACACAAACTTTGCACAACTGCTGGATGCGCCTAAACTTTGCGAGTTAAACATTTAGTTTGTGTAGGCATACTGTTGCCAAAATGATCAGATGAGCGGCATTTGTGCTATTGTGCAATCCATATGAATGACTTATATAGGGTTTGTTTACTCATGGCGCCAGCTTTCCTTTCCTTCTGGATCCAAATCAAAGACGCGATATCTATGACACAATTGACGAGCAACGAAACACTGTACACTGTAGATAACGTTATTATGAAACGGATGCATGTGCTTAAAATGATCTTGGAAGAGTGGTGGAGTGAGCACCCACGACCGAGGGGAGTGCGTTGGACACGCGAGAGGTGGGATAAAAGAAACAGTTCTAAGTGTGATGATAGCACTCCCACAACTGCTACTAGACTACCTAGATGATCTATTGCGATCCTATCGCATTTGATTGCTTTCTTTTTCCTCGAGGGCGGCGGTAGGTGTGCGGGAAGACTAATTCAATTCGACAGAAGCTTGTCCAAATTCTCTGGAACATCATGCCAACTCATACAACATAATAAACTAACTGACACTCGTGTATCTCCAAAAGTTCATCAGCACTCATTGATTTGCCTTTTTTTCCCAAGGAAAATTAGCATCAGATGTCGCTCGTGTTTTGGAAATCAGAACATTTGCAACAAGTAATTCTGTGCCCCGAAGCTTACCTGCTTATCTCCTGACACTTCTAAAAAGCTACCCCAAAGCATATGGTAATATATTCCTTTATCATTCAACGTAATTCCGTGAAGCGTTGGCAGGCAGACGACACAACTGTCAAACACGCACGATGATTGGAGCTAATCGTTGTGAGAAATACAAGAATAGACATTTGATCGACTCCATGCGATTTTCACTATCGGTTCCATCTCGAATTGAAAAGCACTACTTCCTTTGATCACTACAAAATGCCAGGATTGTTACAGAGATTTGAGCAAATTGCTACATATAGATACATTTTAATCCCGGGCTGATCCGGCCAAGTTAACACCTCCGAGCATTTGGTGCAGAATTTTCAGATGACGAGATGTTGGCGTGACTATTTTTATTCAAAAAAACTGGAGGATTAATTTCACATAAGTGCTAAGCCGATTGAGAATTATTCCAGCTCAAATTTAATCAAGAGTTGCAAAGAACACGCTGTTCCACTGGTGAACGTGAATTCGTAGTCTTCGATATTTCATGGATAGAAATATTCGGATCCATTCATTTCGTGTTGCCATATACGTCAAGCTTTGTAAAAACGTTTAGCTTATTTGTTTGTTTGCAAATATTTGCTAATGATTTGTCCATTAGTGAAGATTATCAAGATTAACTAGGTAAATGGCTGACTGTTCTAAATTTTTCCTTATTTGGAAAATGTCCGTCCCACAAAACTGGGCCTATCTTATAATTCTTCGATTAAAGCACACTTAATACCGGGCCACATTCAGAATTTAGAATTGCGTTGAATGATAATGGATAGATAGCAGCTCTTAGTGACTAAGGACCTCATATTTTTTTCTCCTCTTTTGAAGGGGATCGCTGAAGGGTTGTTATTAAGTTGCACTTAAAATGATATTAATAAATTACTCTAACGTAATATCTCGCGCGGGGGTGGCACTGTAGGTTGATGCTTGAAAGATAAGAGATTAGATTTGCTGGACCTTTTTGTATATTCCAGGTCGTTTATTGTAAACCCTATTGGCCCACACTTATCAACGGCCCTCGTAAATACGCCAAAGCTATCATAGCTGTCTAGCATCGATATTGAACATACGACCTGGATACTGTACTAATTAGATTGATTCAGTTTTGTTAAATGTCACAGATCCGTCATACGAGACAGTTCATCTGCTCCAATGCTTTATTCTTTTCGCTAATGCCTGAAGGCTGGAGCCCGCATAAGTCGGGGGCGTTAAGGATTGAATTGGGATGAATGAACGATGTCCGTGTACCTTTGATTATATTGTGAAAGGCTATAGGAGAGGATAGAGGTGAATGAATGAATAAATGAATAAAAGGATAAAGAGTTTGGAAAGGCTTTTGCCGTCCCACAACACGGCCTGTATACATTAGACTTTAAAAGAATAATGCCTTGATTTAGACAAGGTGTAATTTACTTGCACATTCTGTGTGCAGACACATGCAATCCATGCCACGGAAAATGAAACTCGTTCGAACTTCGTTCTTTTCGTTGTAATATTATGAAAGCTTTCTATAAGTCTGGAATGGTTGAGAATATTATCGTATTCAGCTGTCATGCTGTTCTCGCTAATTATTCCAACTCATTGTGCAGAGATTGTGTTAGGTAATGCCAATAGATTTTGCTATCCAACCGTGAGATAATGCAGTGAGATAAAGACGCCACGCCGGCCGGGAAACGCACCATTGCTTAATACCTTTTATGAAATCGATTGAAAGGTTTGAACACGCGTGGTGAATATCTTAATCTCCATTGTAATGATGCCAATTGGACGCAAAATCAATCTTATGGTTACAAAAGATTTGAATGCTGCATTTTTTTTTTCCATGAAATCTTAAAAAATACATCTATACTCATGTATTTCAACCACGCAAACTCTATATATTTAAATATTTTCTGTTCTTACCTTTAAGATGAATCGTTTCAGCTGACTTTTTAACTTTCAGTTTTAACCTTGTTTTGAGGTGATGTCCACCGAGCTTGAAGTGTCTGTCTGAGGGTTTTACGGGGACAGCATTCATGTCTAACCTTCCAATTAATATTTAATCTTATTTTTGCATTAAGTTACCGCCTCATTTAACTAATTAAACACAAACGACGCTATAAACAATTTCAGGTTTATATTAATTAGCTTTAATGGCAATGCAAAAAAACAATAAAATGACTTCGACTGTTGACATTTAAAGAATTTAAGAGAAACTAATCGTCAGAAAAAGGGGATAAGATTGAATTCTTTAGCAGTGGATAATGCACAACAGATAAAGTTTGGCATTGAGGTTTATGTAGTTATGTTCACCTTGGAAGGCTAATTTGTAAGCTACCAGTTGTTGAAACAAAACAATCTCATTTGCAACAAAACGATTTTACCTTGACGCAACTTTTACTATCGCTCTCACACCTTTTACCCATGAAATTTCATTTCTTTTGAGAAAGAGAAAGTATTATATCTATCTAAGCTTATTTATATAGTTATATATCGTGTTTTTTCAGTTATTTTGCTTGTTTTCTGTTTCGTACGGTCAAAAGGCGTTGATTGGTATTATATCATAATTATAAATTTATATCCAAGAGGTTTACAGTGTTGCAATTTGTTTTCAAACCGACACAATTAAAAGATCAAAACTTTTTAGCCACAAGTAAAGCAAACTGATATTTTTATCCAAAGAGCCAACAGTATCAGAAATTATCATATCATATTTAGAGTAGGTAGTTGGAATAGATTCTTCCGTGGAAATATGTGGGCCATGTTGCTATGAATATTTCGAGCTAGAACTTTCAGGAATTAAAATTAATTAATATTTTTGGCTTTTAGTTGTAACAAAACCTTGGCAACAGTGCAGCACGCCGTTAGTTTCTATAGATAAGTCTAACCTGTCTAGTATTCTTTTATATGTGCAATTTTGAACTAATATACTAAATGAATATTTGACAACCGCCTTGTGACGTAAGCCAGCACAACACACAAAACATTGCCGTATGTCTTACATAAACACTGAAGGCCTCCTTTGAACTTTCGTGAGTTTATGATCGGATTGCAATCGAAACAGGTCGCATTTTATTGGCACAAAAAAGCTGTAAACATTTTAAATATAGTAGTTAAAATTGAATAGACTAGATTTGTTGAATTGGTAAACATTTACTCTTATCTAGTATCTAGTATTTACTATTATCTAGTATAACCAGGGAGCAGCGTGGCAGCGTCTTCAAACAACTTAGCATCCAATGTGGTATAACAACTGCCTAAAATAGACAAAACACTTCTCGACGTTTCGACCTGAGGGCCTTCGTCAGAAGAGTATAACTAACTCTCATATTAACTCTCCTGACGAAGGCCCTCAGGTCGAAACGTCGAGAAGTGTTTTGTCTATTTTAGGCAGTTGTTTTACTATTATCTAGTATGATTAGTATTTATATTATCTAGTAGTTACTATTATAGGTAAAGTTCGAACAGTTAACTTAAGCTGATAAATCGTTGCTATTTTTATGATTCATGTTTAAAGAAAATTAAATTATTATTTGTATTTTTTATTCGCATTCTTCACCTGATCCGCGGTTTTCAATTCGTATTTTTTTATCCGCGTTCCGTATCCGAAATTCTGGGTAACCAGGCCTTTTTAAAACACATGTTACGAAAATTAAAAACATTGACACAAAATAATGAAAATATGAACATGATTTGGAAAGAATGTTAAAAAAATATGTGTAAACAAGGCTAAAATCTGCACTGGAAAGGCCGTCAGTCGGGTGCATTGATATTATGACGTTAATTACCGTACGACTGCTACGTTTCTTTGCAAAATGAACGGGAAGTGACGGGCCGAACATGGACGAATCTTTTAATTTCGACGATGATATCACGGATTCAATGACCGATGAAGACTTGCAACAGCTAGAAAACGACGCTTGGAGAAAAATCGGAGCTGTTGAGGATAATTCTGTTGGTGTACCCAGGAAAGTACCAAACAATGGCAGTAAAACACGTCTGGATCCAACCAAAAACTCGGTTGCAACGACTTATAGAGTAGGATCACGATCATACACTCCAGTCACTCCTCTAACTAGAACTCAAAGATCAGGTGAAGTGAATACTACCATTAAAGGGCAGCATCAAGCCTCAAACATGACTCATCAGCTTCAAGATTCACAGTTACAGCAACTTGCAAGTCAGCTTCAGGACTATAAGATGAAAGTTGAAAAACTTGAGACAACTCTTTGTACAAAGGATGGTGAGCTGAAAGTGGTGAGAAAGAATTTGGATGCATGCCGGAAAGAGGTATCTGCGAAAGTACAATTGATATCAAAAATGAAACAAGAGCAAGAACAGGAAAGATCAGAACGGAACTCGAAGCAGGCGCAAGAGATTAAGATGTTACAAACACAACTATCTTTTCAGAAACATGAGCTTATGAAACAGGAATTTGATAAGCTTCAATCTCAGAATGTGTGTAATTCACAGAAAGTGCCAATTATTTCTCAGAAGGTGTCTGGTTCTGTGAAAAGAAAGGCTGAATTTCCAAGTGGAAGCCATGGGTTTGGTTTAGATAATTCTTTTCATGATTCTCAAGCAGCTGGTAGCAAGTTGGTGCCCCAAGGAAAGGTTCCTAGGCTAGAGAAATGGAATAAGAGTGTAAAGGTAGAAAAGAATGTTGGAAAACAGATAGAGTCTGAAGAAAGGACAATAAATGTGCCAAGTACTAGACCAAACACAAGCAAGACGGATGAGCCAAATGAAACAAAATCATTCCTTGTACCAAAGAGTAATCTTCATCCATGTTCACCATCAACTAGCAAGAATGTCATCTTACAATCAAGACTTACAAGTCAATCTGAGAAGAAAGCATGCAATCTGGCGAAGAAACTTGTACTTTCCTACTCTTCAGACACCTTTATTGAAGGAAATCAAGATCTTGAATCAATCAGCTTGTTGACTTTATTAAAATACCCCCTCAAGCACATTCCTGAGATATTACATGCTCATTCTGTTGGGAAAAAAGTTGACCAGTCATTGTCGCAGTTTCCAATCTTGCAGACCCAGCTCCAAGGGGCATTGTTGGGCAGTACAGATAAGACGTCTACAGATGAGGAGATTGACTTTGATTCTGGGAAGTACAACCTTGTATCACAGGGGATTTTTCTTTTGCTGGGATTGCCACATCTTGAAGAGAAGAATATTGACACTCTAGGTGTTATTCATGTTTTAGTGTTCTTGGAACTGTACATTTCATCGTATGTCATGACATGGCAAAAGAGAATTAAAGCTGGGATTGATCAGAACTGTGAACAAACTTGTCTTAGGAATTCTCCTCAAGCAGGCCTTATCGCTGGTGAGTCCACAAATGATAGTGAGGCTCAAAAGGCATTACATGATGAGCAGGATATGATCCTGGAAACACTACAGCTTCTGCGGTTGTTGTTCTACTCTGCACCTGGTCTTTTGAAATGCATCTTAGACAGGACAAATCCTAGGTTGTTTCAAGAGCATTCGACAGATGAAGATCTGGTCATTACGTTTGATTCAAAAAGAAATGTTGATGTGAAGGTATAATCAAGCTTTAGCTAGGTGGACTAAGTGTATATATGAAGTGTGAACATGAACATTACATGACCCTGAAGTTTCAACTCTCGATCTTTTCTAGGAAAACCTAAAAGAAGTGAAAGAAGAAGATCAAGGTAAAATCTTCTTATCTGAGACAAATTGACAACTCTTCATATTTACTGTCCAGACATACATCCTCTAAATCTCAATATGTATTTTCTAGTGTTTGAAGAAAATGCTGTTGGATCATTCCGTTCCCTGCTGCTAGAAAACTTGCAAAAACTTGTCAACCCAACTGCAGTAAGTTGTCATATATGATGCAAAACATACTGTATTTTAGTTTACCATGAAAATTAATGCCAGATACATCTTATAGGGAATTTATTTGTCCATTTGAACCATTATAAATCCCATATCTTTAGAATGATGGTTTGTTTCTCCCAGTATCCCATGCAGCACTGGAGGTCCTGGTTGCAATGACATCATTATGCGACTCTACAGATTTGGAAAGGTATCAAAACTAGTTTAACAACTATTAACAAATAACACTTAAAATTTGGTTAGAAAATTGATCTGGCTTTTTTTTGCACTTTTACAACTTCAAATAATAAAACGGCTGTCATTTGTTTAGAATGATTGTTCCTCTAAATCAATCGGGGTGTCTGGTTGAACTATTGGGAAAGGAAGAGTGTACAATCTCAACAGTATCACTTGTGATATCCGTAATCCGTAATTTTCTTCCTTGCAAAAATGTACACAAGATGTTATGCTCCAAAACAGGTAAAATGCTCCTTTCTAATCCTTAGAACATCCTTTTAAAACTAATTAGAATTCTTTTTAAACAAGTGGAACACCTTTTTGAACCTAACTAGAATTTTTTTGAACAATATATATTTTTCTTGATTTTAGATGACTGTATTTTACTGAAGATGTATCAATGTGCTTGTGATGAGGAAGATGATAAAGCTGACAATCATTTGAACACATTTCTCCTCCAGGTGAGGGCAGCTAGTGGTCAAATCAACAGCAGGCAAAAGAGCCTTTATGTGACTTGTAAATTGTTCAGATTAAATATGCCAGATAATTTTATTAAAAATTTATATTTCTACTCATGAGCAAAACAATTTAGATATGAACGAGCTTCTTGTACAACCAGCCCCTTACATACCACCGTTCACTTGCGTGAAATAATAACTTCTTTTTGTTTTATAGTTTATTCAATTTCTGAAGGATGTTGCATCAAGTCATGATGATTCTCTGGAATTTCTACTTCAGTCAGATTGTCAATGTAGTTTTGAGGTGTGTTTGTATAACTTAAAGTTCGTTTATCACAATTTTTGACCGACCGAACCTATAAACTATTTTGTTATATCATTTAGATCGTACGATGTCTCGTGCTAGTCTTGTATGATAAAGTCAGCTATCTCCTAGATTTAGAAGTCGAGAAAGTCATCCTGGATACAAGGTAAAGGATCGTGGTATTGTACAATCAAAATATTTCAGTGTTCTGTTTGCAAGGCGTCCTCGCGCCTCTAGGGACTCAGAAAAGCTCAGAAGGTATAGTGGAAAAACGTTTAATTTCAATTTCTGTCTCTTAGCTTGGCGCTAGTGAGAACCGGTGTGAATATTTTGGTGGTTCTTTGTACACACAGCTGTTTCGCACCAGGCCACAAACTTCACGTGGAACATAAGTTCACAGAACTTATTTATAATGCCATGACATTGTTCAAGAGAATCAGACCCCACATACCAGATTTTGAAGGTAGGCAATTAATATGATCTATTAAAGGTTGCAGCGTGGTACCTCCTTAAATATCTGTTGTGCAAAGTGGTTGTTAAAAAAAATAGTCACATCGTTGAAAGATGGTTGTGAAGTGTGGTTCAGCACTGCGCAATTATCTTCATAACAAGGAATTTAGATTTCTCGTGAAGAAAATATATTTGATATTGCTTGTAGTTAAACAATTATTCGTATTGCACTGTTCCACACTGCAAAAAAAAACTGGAAACACAAGATTACATTTGGGTTTTGAAATTTAAAATTTTGCTCCGCAGAAATAGCACTTCAGGATCTCCTGGATGTTGAAAGACTTGATGAGATCGAGTGGTCGTCTGGGTCTGGGTCCGAAACTGAAGACGAGACACGGATGTCCCACTAGAATTAGAAAGTTACTTTGACCGTGAACACAGGTAGGAGACTAATGGTACGGTCGTGATTTTAGTCCCTATAAATTGAGTTATGTAGTTTATTGTAGATATCTTATTGGATGCAATCCAGTAAGTGATCGGGAACCTAGAACATTGAAATTTCCATGAAAAATATTTAATCTTAATATTGTGATCGTAAGAAGGTTACGTGACACATTCAATCATATATACACAATATATCTGTCCGTGTTTAACCTCTCAATGCAATCGTTCATATAGAACTTCGTGATTATAATTATTGTCCGATAATTATAATCCGATAATTATTATCCAATAATTATAATACGATAATTATTATGCGATAATTTTAATCCGATTTATAGTCTACGACATGATCATTCCCAATACTCCTCATTCACCACCATTGTCCTCGTTGATCCTACTTATCCCATCGTGTTAGTGTTTTTTTCATATCCAGCGGTTATCCTATTAGCATTCCTAGCTATCCATAGTTTTCCTCACAGAGTCTAAAACTGTCTGATTATAAACACTTTCCAGTTCCCTCTCGTATTCTTGTCTCTTTGGTGCCGGAAGGATGGCCTTGCGTGATATGCGCATGCGTCCGGACGCTGGATCTCGGCCAAAGTACTTGACTCTGATTGGTTGGTTTACCTCTAGGCCCAAGGCCTCGTGGTTATATATCTAACGGGGGGAAAAAATATTTAGTGTGTCTTACAAGATCGTAAAGGATTCTCAGGAGTTGACAGACTGGGTATAGATTGTCTTACCTTGCGATGATCAAGTTGTGCATTATGTAACAGAGCAGGAGGCATGCCGGGTAATAGTTCAACCATCACACCATACGGTCTGTAAATTGAGTGAAATTTGAGCTCGGCTGGCGACGTGAAAGTGTGTTGTATGATGAAGGTGTTACTTCAAACTTAAGACTACATTGAGCTACATCGTTATGAGGTTTTAACTGAATATCACACAAGCACTGCTTACTTCAATTCAACGATGCGACCTTCATATATCGCACCATATTCCAACAAAGACTCTACACTCTAAATGAAAAAGAAAAACTAGCATCGACCATCTTCAAAGTCGTTTTAAGCCTAGTGCTTGAAGATTATTTACATCTCGAAGAAGATGCGTTCCAGGTTTCAGTTTCCATTTATACGACGACAATCCCAAGATTTCACAGGCTGCATTCACTCACCGGTTTATCTTCAAGTAACTCGTCTATGATTGATCTCGCTTCTTTCATAGCAGAAGGTGATGGCGCGAATATTGTCCACTTTTCCTCCTCAAGCATATCCACTGATACCCCTGAAACATCAAGTGAACATCACTCACGATCCCTAGCTGGGCAACTGTCAATACTATACTTTCTGTATGGCGTATAGATAGTCCGATACGACCCAATATATTGTGCGACATTTTTTTTTACATCCACAATTTTAACCCTCTTGAGGTGAGCCATGGGTTTATTCTTTTACATCGGCAAACCCACCCTTGAAATCAGGTTCGGGTGAACTTGTCATTTTACCATATGTGATTTATAGTTCGGTTCGTACCAGTGACATTTTCCAGTTGTTTGATGTTCATCCCCCCTGGGCCAAGAAACTGCGAACGTTTTCGTAAAGGAACATGGACACTTTCTAAAGTAGACAAAAAAGTTTTGAGAAGGAGATGTTATTTTTCCAGAAGGAGATATTATTTACGAAGCTGTTGCTAGCTTGCGATCAGCTAGATCTACGGTAGGGATGACACGTTTCATTACCGGTGACCGGACCATTTTCCTTAGGTGTTGACCTTGCTTCGGATATCACTGAATTCATAATATCCAAAACTTTCATTCTATCGTCTAAAGTAACAATTATCGTCAGGTCACATGGTATTAATGATTGGCGGAAGAAACTTAAACAAGGTTTCCTAACCAGTGGCCTTGTGTATCGCTTCCTTAACAATCCGGAGTGGTAACCCAGGAATCTTGAAATCTGCCTACAAGGTTATAGATATTGTGAGATTTATATTTTTGCAAGAATTATTCACTGGATGTTCGCATCAAAATCCTTCACTCAACCTGCAGAGCTGTGATACCATTACGAGTACCAGCCATTTTGAAATCCATATCTCCCAAGTAGTCTTCGATTCCCTGGGGAAAATATAGTTAAAGTTGAAGTTTTCACTGTGTTCATGTTGTTTGCGTAGCACGAAGTATCAGGGGGTCACAGGTGTAGAGATCCTGTGGGCGCTAAAAATCTTCTATTCAGAAGATTGTTGAAGGCAGTAAAAGAAACTTGCCAAAATATCTGTGAGCAACTTGTACTCCTTCACGTCATCATCCGTAGAATCTGAACTCGTCACCAGACCACATGCTACACCGGCCACAGCTTCACAGATTGGCACACCTGAAACAGTAGTTTTATTAACAATATAGCCCGTTCCAAATCCTCGCAAAGAAACCAGACGAGGTATTCAACCTACCAGCGTCCATAAGGGCCAAACTTCCCCCGCAGACAGACGCCATTGAGGAGGAACCTAGGATATGCAGAATAGAGAAACCTCAAATCGCATCTTCAGTTTTTGTGGTGTTGGTTCGAGTCAGACTTTGGTGTTGTATTAGCGAGAAGGGTTCCCCGTCTGCAGCAGTATTTGGAAACCAAGGTTCAAACGTTCTACTGCATGGGATGTACTGAGAAATCATTTCCTTACCGTTTGACATCATGACCTGGGATGTGAGTCGAATGGTGAATGGAAAACCCTGAGGCACGATGGCTGCTAACGCTTTCTCGGCCAGAGAGCCTGGGGGGGATAGAAAGTGGAGAATGAGTCCCAGTGCTATCGTATCGGAAAGGTTCAACATTGTCGATTACCATGTCCAATCTCGCGCCGTGAATTAGCAGCAGTGAGACCAATCTCGTTGTTTGAAAATGGCGGGAACTACAGGGAATTAAGATCACTCGCAATTACAAGCTTACAGCAACTACCCAATGAACCTCAAACGATGAATCAGTTTCATTTTATATTTTAGATTGATTTAGGTACCTCGTAGTGTAAGAAAAAGTGTTTGGCAATATCGTTTCTGGAAATCAGAAGTTTTAGGATGTTATTTTGAGGGAAAGGTTTACACAAAAAGTATTTCTCGATGTCCTTACCCGGCAGTTTTCTCGCGTCTATTTGACCTGATGACGGGACCAGCAGAGTCGAACGTCACGGTGCAAAATACCTGTAAAGTAATGTAAGAACTTGTTGAACTTCCATTGTTCGCAATTTGTTGGATGTCAGCTCAAAATGGATTTCACATTGTTAAAGTTGGTTAAAGATTATCTTAGTTAGAAAATTTCAGTTCTGCTATCATATTGTTGATTGGTTCATCTTCCTGGTATCTTCGACGTCAAATGTACCTGGGTTTCACCTCGTTTGAAGACAGCAGACCCATGAAGCGGTTTAAATAGATCTACATCACACGAAATTGGACGCAGTTGGTCTGATGTTCGTCCATCACATCTAAAGATGAAAAAAAATTTTAGCGAAGTATAACGCAACAATATTTCGTAAAAAGTTATGACAGTCGCAAACCTTCCTAAGCCAGTGAGAATGTTGTTTCTAAAAGTTTGCTTGACTATTTTGTTAAATATTTGCGCGATAGTTTGGTAGTCTTCGTCAGGAAAGTCCTCTGGAACAAAGATAAATCTTGTATAGTTATTGAAATCGTGACGTATCTTCAACAAAAGTACCTAAGGATCAACTGATGTACCTTTAATTTTTTCGATCACATTTTCTTGAATTTTTCTAATTTCCTGATCTCGTGGAAGCTATGAAAGAGAATGATTGCTCATAAACTAGACATGCTTGAGCCGGAACCGAAACAAATCAATATTTCTCAAGTTCATAAGTCGTTTGTACCTTTGTTAATGTTGAATCTAGAAATATGTTACGAATGGAGACTTCTGACAACCTAAAAAATGCCGATGTCATGATAAATCGAAAACGTTCTCGCAAATATTTCATTTGGTAATTGTTTTGTCAGAAGCTATATCGCTAGCCTTTTTAAGGAAGGTTTATTTTAAGGAACTTTTGAGGACTATAATAGTAAATGTTTGAGACATAAACGAGTATTTGGTAGTCGAACGGCAGAGTTATATATCCACAAACTGTAATTTAAACTGTAGCCTTACTCCTGAATACGTTGCATCAATTCCTCTGGATCTTTTTGAGTTGTGGTAAAACTCCTTTTCGCTTTTCCCACTCTGTTTTGTAGTTCTTTTAATGCATGAATTATCGACTGACACTAAAATAAAAGCTCTAAAGTAGTATGGCATCTTGTTTCATAGGATATTGCATTTGTATTTTTACCTCCAAATGACCTTTGGATATGGCTTCAATCATCCTAATGCTTGTGACTTCTTTACCGCTGCCTTCCAACATAACTATAATACAATGTTGAATTGAAGGGTAGATCAGGGTTTTCACCACTATTGCCTGTGAGAGAATGGATAAACCCTACCAACTCTGTGTTCACTACTGGCAATGACCAAATTCAAACTGCTTTGTTGTAGTTCTTGTCTTGTTGGGTTGATGACTAGTTCACCGTCAATATCACCTATACGAACTGCGCCTGGAAGTAAAGGCTAGTAACTGTTGCGTTTTTAGGTTTTATTCTGTGTCTATTTATTGATTCTATTTCAAAAAAATCCAAAACATATTGAAATAGCCATTTACCAACTGGACCATTCCAAGGAATATCAGAAACACACAAAGATGCAGAAGCTAAAAATGAATAATATTGTCATTTAACATCTTTTGTTGAACATGTTCAATGGAATGATTGAAATAATTACTAGAAAGTCCTTAAATAACATATTATTTTAAGAAGACTATTATTTGTGTGTTTCTAACCAGCATTAATGCCCAGAATATCTGGATTGTTCATTCCATCTGCTGCCAACAAAGTGCAGATTATCTAGTTAAAAACATTGTTGATGTTAGATTTTCTTGCCCATCTCCCTAAAGTTCATTTAATCATGCTATGCTACCTGTGTTTCATTTTCATAACCCTTGGGAAATAATGACCTCACAGATCTATCTGTATGAAGTATAAAATATATTCTATGATACAAGATGTGTATAGTCAGTAGATGAAAAGTAGATGCATTACTAGTAGGTAATGGAGTATGTTATTCAGGAATAGGTTACCAATAAGTCTTCCAGTTAAAATTTCTTTCTCAGTTGGACCAAGATCTTTTCTTTTATAATTACTTGGTATGAAACCCATGGCTGCGGCTTTCTCCCGATAGTCAACCTAATTAATTAATTCATTCGGTTGACTAATAAACTAATTTCTCCTTACATTTAAAGGTCAATATTAAGCATTTAGTACCGTACCTTCAAATTTACAAAATCACTTTCAGCAGGCTTTCGTGAACTCACAACAGTGGCAAGTACAGATGAATGACCAAACTATTGAATAATATATTGTTTGACTCATCATGTGAAATCTAGATGGCTCCTGTGTACCAAGCGTTGATGTATTTACCTTAACAGTTGCTGAGCCATCAGCTAATTGGGCCAGTGTTTCTGTATCAAACGTCAACTCCCTATATGAAAGGCTTCCTTAAATTAGGGCAATGCCATGTGCAAAAAGCCAGTGTATTCAAATGTTTGATTCCAAGCCACCCTTCTCTTCCAACCACTACCCCCATTCAGCCCCACCCCTCCCTCTAACCATAACTACTGCGAAACTTTATGCAAATTGTATTGATAGATTATTGAAATTAGGCTGCAAAACAAACCTTCCGTTAAGATTTGCGTTCGCTGTTCCATTGAAACGTGCTCCATTTCTACTCATTATCCTAATAGCTGTCGATCTTAGACTCCTAATATACCCATAAGATTTCTCATTAAAACGTGGCTGTCTAGTAATTCCATACCGCAAACATAAAATTGCGGCCGCCATGTTGTTCTTGCTGTCTTCTACATTATTGTACTTTACAAACGCGAAGCATTCTCATTGGTTGGAATAAAATTAGCGTCAAAATTGAACCAATCAGAGTGCGAGAATCAAAACTCGGAATAACGCGGTTATTCTTCTTTGTCGAAAGTAAACAAAATACACGGGGTTGGTGGTAAAAATGCTTTCTTTTACGCAATTTTGTACGAGATTTTGTGGTCCTATGTTGAAACAAAGTGCAGGGAGATACACAACTATTCTACAAGTGAGGTATGCAAAAGCTAAGATACTGCAAGACCTTCCTGAAAAGCCAAAGCGACCTCCAAGTACTTGGCTTTTATTCCTCAATGAACGCCGTAATGAACTACGACAACAGCCAGAATACGATGATTTGTCTCTAATGCAAATGACGTCGAAGATAAGCGAAGAATGGCGCAATTTTGATGAGTTAGACAAGGTACCATACCGGGAAAAATATGACGAATCGTTGGGCGATTATAGGCGACGAATTCAGGAATATAACAGAAATTTGACCTCGGATGATAAACGTATCTTACGCAGTGTGAAGAAAGATGGAAAACGAGATATACGTGCGTTTGAAAAAGAGTTTCCAAAGCCAAAATATCATGGGAATGGTTATATTTTGTTCGTAAAGTCTTGCCATGAAGAAAATCCGCGCAGAGAAGGTGAAGATGCGAAGGACTGGATTCGAGAGTGTGCCCAAAAATGGAAAGATCTTGACGGGGAAACAAAACTTAAGTTCAATGAACAAGCATCAATTTTATTGAGGCAATACAGAGACGAGATGAGAGAATGGAAAGATGAATATAAGGTAAGCATCTTTTTTCATGGTTTCGTTATAATGCCTTTGCAGCTTTGTGCATAGTATATTGCATAACTCTGGTGTGCTGAGACTTTGGGTGTGGCACTTCCTAACTCTGCAGTCTGGGGGGGCAGATATGAAGCAAGGTCTTTATGGGATGATCTATCACAAAGTATAGATTATGTATTTTTTACATGCATATTTGTTATCTTAGGAGTGGAAAAAAAGGGGTGCGTCTCACAACTAATGAAGGTTGAAATCTTTCTATCAAGATTCTTCATATGTAAGGAAATGACATTTGTAAATATCAGTTTTGTTTTTGTCAGTTTTTTTTCACACTGAACAAGCAGTTACCATAAGACAACATAGGGGTGGGTGCCAAGATAAAAGTAGAATAACTGTGACCATAAGTCATAGCCCTCAAAGATATATTTTTCTCTATATATGTACATCAAAAGTTCAGACTAAAATATTTGGTGAAAGTATTTTTTGAAAGGAATATTTTAAGAGTTTTGATTATTAAATGGTAGTCCACTATGCTTCACTTCTGCCTTCGATGGACCATCAGCATTCACTCTTCAGTATGGATATTTATCATTTTCAATCAGTTTTTTCCCTATATTACTTCCATTCATGCTCCCATTCATTTGTTCACACCATTTTCGCCAAGCCTGCTTCAAAGTTGGAATATATTGATACACGTCGTATATCATGGGTCATCTGGGTGTAAACCTTGTCTTCTTCGTTCAGCTTTCCTGGCGTTCCAAGCTTTCTTGCATTTTCTATATGCTTCAAAATATCCTTCGCATAAACCTCTGTTGTAATTATGAGCGTCTAAACACTTAAGGGAAGCCCTTGCCTCTTCTGAGCACGGATTTGTCTTCCTGTCTGTCCACCGACGAGCATTTTCGTCCGCCATATTGGTTTACTAGTTCCAGTCTTATCCGCGGTCCGCAAAAAATGCAAAAGATTATTGCATGATCGCTAATCTTAATCTTAATCGCTATGAATGCTAATTTGTGATGTCATAAATGTAAGGGGGGCAGAGCCGCAGAGGTGAGACGCGCGCCAGGAGCGAACAGTGCTCAGACTTGAACAGCCTCCAAAAGCCGTGTAAAACATGGCAGAGGACTCGAAAGAAATCCAGACGGTGCCTCGAACAAAATCAAGTCTATGGAGAATGGGTATCTCGCTCGGAGGTCTGAAACACACCCTGATAACTCAACGGCGACAGTCCACGCGTATCATCACAGATATGGTGCACAACATTGATCACGTTATAGAAGGCGATGGTAATATGCTGGCTTCTACCTTGCATTGGTTCGAGAAAGCAACGCACATCAATCGTAGATACTTGATCGTTGCTGTGTTCCTGTTTGCTGTGAGTTACCTCTCCTTGGGCCGCAATGCTGGCACCTTGTGCAACATATTGGGAATGATTTACCCTATCTATGCTTCGATCAAAGCTTCAGGTAAAAAGCCGCTGAAAAAAACTTCTAAGGCTATGTGCACACGGTAACGTTTTCAAGCATTTTCATTGATGTTTTCACGCCAAAACGGTTTGCAAACACCATCACTTTAGTATAGTCTATAGATACAGTTAGAGTTTAATATATTGATCATTTTACCCCATTGGATCTCGTCAAAACGATAAAAAAGACAACGACTCAATTCTCTTTTTTTCACTCATTTTTTTCACATTTGGTTTTTTTTTAGAAAAGTGCTGTAACCAGCAAAGGGAACATTGGCTTCGATACTGGATCGTCTACAGTATCATTAATGTTCTTGAAATAGCGTTGGAGATGTTCCTGGTTTGGCTTCCAATGTATTACCTGCTGAAGTTCATATTTCTGGCCTGGTGCATGGCTCCCATCACAGCCAATGGCTCTCACGTTATGTACGCGAGCATTATAAGACCCTTGTTTCACGAGCACAATGAGAAAGTTGAAAGTGCCCTGTCTGCTGTGACACAACACTTGACCGCAGAGAAAGAAGTTCCCATGTCGTTTCGAGAAGCTCTGAACAACGATGCCGGTGAAGGATTACACCAACGCTCCCTTTCTGCCGCGGAACAAGAGGACGAATGACGGACACAAAAATTGGTAGAATATTACCGAAATTTGAGATAAGTGGACCGAAGATGCGCAAAAACAACTAGAAGATAAGGCAAAACACATTAAATGGCTCTTGCGTTTTGAGATAAGGTTTCAATTTGTAAATCACCACAATTTCAAAACATCCAACCAGAATTGTGGCATTTCAGTGAAAGTCGCTTTCTGCAACGAAAAAAATAAATGCTCTCAAAATGGCATTGAAACGTTTTTATTTATTGAGTAAAAACACTGAGAGAGAAAGCAGATGTGTTCATCATTTTCATAGCCAGTTTTAAATACAAAAAGGTTTAAGAATTATTAACTAAACCATATGGCCTAAATCATTAATCCTAACCTACCTAACTAAATAAATTAAATTAAGCAGCTATATGAAAAAATAATCTTTCGTCTCATAAATAATAATTTGTTCTATATCCTAAATATATATCATACTGTTAAAAGCAAGAAACTTATAATTTTCAATAAAGTGAATATAAACTTTAAAAGTCATAATGTCCAGTCGTAATGTTAACTGTTTGTTTACAATTTGTTATATTTTTTGAAATATGATGTGCAAACTCAACTGGACATGCTAAGGAAAGGATAGGTTGATCAAGGTCCACATTGGAAATAGAATTGCAACAAGCAAAATTCCTGAAAACTTTAAACATGATGTGCCACCAACATCTTCACCATCGCGGTTTGGTGTGTGTTTACCAAGAGATTTCCTTGGTCCTGACTTCTGTTCATGACGTGTGAAAGTATTCGCACCATACATAGTTGATTTCCAGACATCAATGCAACTATCAACTTTGCTCCTCAACAACCAATTCATTTCAAGTATTGCAGTGTTGTTTTCACAAATGTGACATTGTCCAACCCATCCTGTCACCGATGCTCCATCTCTCCAAACAACTATCAGAGAAAATGTTGTGTTCGGATGTGCAAATCTACCAAAGCCATAAATAGCCGAGTGCGACTGTCCAGCGCTGCCTTTATCTCGTTCAACTGCTGTTCGGTATTCACCACTTATTATTCCACTTTCAGTTTGGTTAAGGATAATTTCAGAACCAACTCCATTATACCAAACACCACGTAGATCACACTTGTGTCCAATGGAATTTCCTGCCACAATTCTCAAATTTTCTTCAGGAGTGCCAACTGTTGTCATTTTTCTTTCAAAGACATCTTTTCCTATTAAATTTATTAAACTGTGAGACTGTATGTGTATGACCTTGTTTTTCTAGTTGTTAAAATTATACAAACATGCCATAATCCTACCTATCCTTGTTGACTTCCATTTGTCAAAACAAGAATCAACATGAGATCTTAAAAGCCATGATGTTTCCAACATTTCTTTGCCATTACACACCATGCATTGACCTGTCCACACTGTTGTTGAACTACCATTTTGCCAGGTGACAGAAAACGCAAAAGAAGAGCCCGGCTTGTTGTATGGTAATGTTCCTACAAAGATGAAACCAACAGATCCAATATACATCAATCACTCATTGACTATTATGAGCAAAAGCCTATAAAGATCTTACAAAAGTTGTAGAATCACAGTATTAAAAAGCCTGAGGGTTTTGTATTTGAAATTCTACCGAACATACCAAGTATATCATGACCAAGAAGTTTACCAGCTGACACACTGACAGCGGTATAGTATTGTCCTTGTAGTACACCGCTTTGTAAGTGATCTAACACCACCTCTGATCCTAGCTTGTTGACCCAACGGCCACTTATATCCCGACATAATTTCGCTTGTGAAACATCCAGAGTTAAACATAAAAGAAAGGAAAAAACTACTAGGCTAGACAGCATAATTTTATTCAATTGTAACTGTGTTTGTGTAGTGTTGCACCCAGTGTTGCCAACTATAATTTTGTAAAAATCCCAAGTAAGCGCCTGAAATATCCCGAGATTTCCCCTAAAATCCCGAGATTCTAATTTCGACCCCAGTCCTCAGCCGTGGCGCACCCTAGTACCCAGTCCGCTCAGTGTACGTTTATAAAGCGGTACTTCTCTGCATAACCGATTGTACAAATAGTTTTTATTGAGTGACTTTGAGTAAGTATTTTAAGTACAAGCGGACGAACCTTGGATTTTAATATGTTTTTCTGTCAATTTAACGAAAACATCTTTTCCCAAATTCCAAACTTCCCTTTCCCAAAAATCCCTAAAAAAATCCCGAGATTACTATTTGAGAAATAAATCCCAAAAAAATCCCAAATGCTTCAAAAAATCCCGAGATCTCGGGATAAAATCCCGAACTTGGCAACACTGGTTGCACCGCCCGTTATCCACGTTATCCAATATTAACTATTCATTAAATTGCGCAATATTGTATATTCAGACCTCGTGACTGATATGTACTGTATTTTTAATTTAATTCCCATTTACCGTTATATTAAAGTCCATTGATATCGATTATTTCATTATTAGAGCTATTAAAGATCATTGATTGTTTCCGTCATGTCATTTATAGTTATGACAGAGAGGAAAAAAATGCCACTTTTGCCAAGGAAGTACGTTTCCTTTTGCTAAGTTGTTTCTGCCCAGCCCTGCCCGATGCTGGCACCTGTTAGCCACACCTATAGCTTATTTAAACTGGTTGTTTTCGAAAATAAAGCTAGCAATGTTTACGAAGCAAATTGCCTGAAAAAATACTTGATTAAAGTTCATCGTTTTCGAGTCTGGTACGTCCATATTGAATATAGAGACTTTATTCTATACGGGCCTGTTACATTATCTAGAAATCAAAACGGAAGGTTCAAATTTTGGAAATTTATTCATTGATTCCTCGCAACGCGTTTTATGTTGGATTTTGTTTCAATTTGAGATATGACTGCGTTGTTAATATGACAAAAAATTGACAGATTGACTGAGGTAATAATTATTGTTATTAACCAGAGTTAAACAACCCGACCGGAAATGAGTTCTTCAAGCGACGGTAGACAAGACAACAATGAAAGGCTGAGCACTGACAGTTCTGATCATAGTTTTGATATTGGATGGGAAATGGCCGAGATAAACTACAAAATCCGCCAGGACGGTGGCCAAAGCACGGGAATGACGCCCTCAAGACCTTTATCAATGAAACTGTTCGCTTCTTGGGAAGTTGAAAGCGGTTCATCAAGCTGTGTTCCGCGGTGAGTGTTCATTACTAAATGTGGTTTAAAAGACTGTTTTGAATGTGCCAATGTGGTTGTATGACATTATGATCTTTATACAGGTCTTTGAAATATGAACAAAGTTATTGATTACATTAGTTTCGCCTTGATAAATGAAAATAAAAGCTGTTTTAAGCATTTAAAAATGGCAAGGTAGCAAAAATGTGCGTTTGTACATTTTTCAACTTTGTTGTTTGTATTCGGTATCCGATGTATTGTCGAAACTCGAAAATGAAATATTACATTGGTGTGCTTACTCAGTTTTGCTTTTAATGTGAATACGCTGGTAAAAAACTGGCTTTTAAATAATATAAAATGTTCACATCTGCTTTGGGCAGCGTGCTCATTGCTTAGACAATTACCGTATGTTAAAGAAAGATTTCTAATCACAATATAGAGCACGTTCACCATTAATGTGTTCACACATCTTGTTATCCTCAACGATATAAGATATTATTAACAGTCTTATCGTGAAATATCAAAGTGGCTGAAAATAGACGGCTTTAGAAAAACATAAGCATAGATATATGAAGTGAAATGACATATTTCCAAACTGATAATGAGGTCAGTTGTTAAAAATGGGTTTTCAAATGGGGCAGATTAATTATCACCGCTTATGTTGCACATGATCTGCGAATTTGGCAATTTGCCTTAGAATTGAGTATACCGAAATGCAAAATCTGTATAGAGGTAGTTTGAACATAATAAATATAATTTAAAAACTCAAAGATTGCCAGGAAAGTTATTAAATCTTATGCAAATCGGATTTCCAAACTCTCATTAGACATTAGCCTGGTAGCTAATTGAAGTATGGACTGACATTATTAAGTTGGTGAAATATTTAGAAACTTGAGATTAACTCATTTAAAATGTCTGGGTTCATTGCCAACTAATAGGAATGATTAAATGTTTTTATGTCTAGCAATAAACAGATTAAAATATTATTTATTTCAAAACATCGTCATTTAATGGGTTGGTCTACAAGAACCACATGAGGGTGGTTAGATAACAGATTCATGCTGTTAGCTAAGTGTTGAGTAACTTTTCCATCTATCTTGGGCCTTACAAAGCAAACATGTAAACTGCTGAGCCCAATTGTGTTAGGACAAAGCCTTACAGCATTTTAATTGTATTTTTTGAACATTGTCAATATTAAAAAAATCCAACAAATTCAACATGTGTATGCAATTGTGTGGATGAAGTGTTCTTTATATGAGTGCATTCTCTGAGATGTCTTTATTGACAATAAAATATGCACCTTAATGAATACCAGGTGGTGAACAAGCTTAATTGTTGCAAGTTGTAAGATGTTTACATCTTTAACAATCTCATTCAATATTTACATTTGCACATTAAATTATGATAAGTATTGTCTCTTGTGAACAATATAATATTTTTTCAATATTAATATGTTGCGTGATTTTAAAGCTTATCCAATTAGGAATATACCTAAAACATTCTAGAAACATTTCTTGCTTAATTTTCGCCTGTTTACCACAAGCATTATTTAATTAGATTTGTGGTCTTTTTTGTAAATGACATAATAGGCCATGATTACTGCTAACTGAAATATCCCTCACCTAATTAATCTTTAAGTATCAGGGAGTTATTAAGGATGAATTAGTTGAGACTGCATGTAATCACTTGCATGTGTCGTTTGTCACAGAAAATGTGCCATACATCGCTATTTTATCTAGTACTTTATTGTATTGTCCACTTTAACCTGTTAGCAGCAATGTTATAAATGCATGTATGTTTATTTAGAAATCTATTACTCTGACTATTGCCAGACAATTTTGTCAATTAATTAATAGACTATCAGCAACTAATTGTTTATCATTTGTTAATCTTGTCCTCAAAAAGTCATACACAAATGCAATTCAAGAAATGCCCTTGAAGATCACCATGTTCTAACTTCTTAACGTTGTAAACATAAATAGTTAACTTTTCATCTCTAGAAAATTCTGTATTTAATAGGAAAATCGTTTCTCTTATCAGCCTAACTACTCAGTCATTCCTAAGAAGGCTAGAACCACTGGGGAGAGTATTTTTCTTTTGACCGTATACAAACAAATATTTAGTTTATTCACTTGCACTTTGTAAATTAAATCACCAATTATGAACATAAAAAAATTCATCCATTTGCACATTACATGCCAGTAAGAGTTTGCAAGAGGTGACCTTAATACTAGCCTAAGCCAATATCACTGATCTCAATATGTTACTGGATTAGACGAATCCTGAACTAGGGAAACCATAGGGAAGTTCAGATTTGACTACCACCACTTTGCTAACTTTCACCTACCATCTCCAAGCGTGATTGGTTAATCTGATAGACATATTTGACTTGATTGGCTCATGTACCCTCGACAGTTGTGATGGGAGTAAATCTGAACTTCGTTCAAAGAAGCCTGACTTAATTAATAATCTGGATCAATGAAAGTGGGCAATTCAAAAATTTCCAAACAAAACTATCTAAACAGTAAAATGAAATATAGACACTCTAAAATCTAGAATATATATACACAAATAAGAGCTCGTGATGTTGCTATATTTTTTTTGCTGAAAATCATTATCCTGACAAATAAAGTTTGTGAGCACATTGCAATTAGTCTCACGATGATTTTGCAATTAATGACGTCGATATCGTTTTTTAACCGATATTGTGTGATTTGAGATGCTGTTTTCAGATTATGTTTTGCTTTGTTGATATTGGCAAAAGTTCTCACATCAATTTCGAGGCATCATAGTGGCGTAGGGCGGGCAAAATAACGACTTAACGGTCCTTCGATCAAAATACATCGATCACTGGATCATATTTATAGTCATATTCACATGCAGGCAAGACAATACACCTCACGACGATATGGCGCTTATGTTTTTGTATTTAATTGTGGTTTATGACATTATTCTTTCAAAAAAACGCATTTGTTCTTCCTAAAGAATAATTTAAATGTTATAATTAATTTATGTCCTAATCTTGTCACATCTTCAACGTTTTCTTTTGACACAATCCTTCATCTCAAGACTCGCTATTTTTGGAACAGTAAGCCTATCGTCCGGCTTAACTTCAGACACACGCGTCGTGATAAAATATATTTTAATCAATTTCAAATATATCCCCCATGATCATAAATTATTCTCAATTTTTCACTATTCACGTTGATGCAAATCTCGTTTAATTGCAGTTTATTCTTTACTGCATTACTGGAATGTAAAATTGTTGGCAACTCGCTTGATGGCCGCGGGTTATTCGCCTTCATTTCTTTAGTACACCAATCACTTTTGCTCTAAAGACGTGTAAAAATGCATTATTTAGGTCTAAGCATACTGAAATTAACATTTTTCAATCATTTTGGAAAGTTCCTCTCCTATGTTCAATCAAGGCAGCCGATTTTCGAGAGAATCCGTTGATGAGGCAGGTGTTCATCTATTGACCTTCTGCATAGATTATCTTCCATTCACTTCTGGAACATCATTTTGTGGGAATTTTCCAACCAAAACAAATCATTCTGCATTGTTGCAACTCTTTTGAAACACGCAAAATGCGGTAGTCTATAGTCAGTTTCACCGCACAAGATCAGTGGATGATGCCTGACTACGATTCCTAATGCATATATTCGTATGCGATATGGCTTTATTGATGTAAAAAACATTTTATGAGCAGACCATGGCGATCAATTATAAGCGTCATTCACAGTCATATTCTTCAAAAGGAGAGTACAATATCCAATGCAGGTAAACACAGTTATGATTTGAACCGAAGCGGCGGACTTATGTATTTTAGAACTATTTAATTTACAATCTTTGTCATTTCAAATAGAACCGTTGTTTACATATGTTGTAAAGTGGACCTTATGGCTATCGTGAGATCGGGCGGCAGCCCATGCATGTTGGCCCCTTGCGGTAATGCAGTATATGCGGACGAGGACTTTCTTCCCTTGGCCAAAACAACAGTTCATTTTCTAATATAGCTTCTCTTTGCAATAACTCTTACGGATGTTCGTTTACCCCCTGGCTAGGCCGTGTGGGCGAAGCCCAACAAGAAGCTCATAACACCAACATTTAAAGAGGAAATTTTTTTGCAATTTCTTGATGTAATCTGTAATAGAAAAATTTGAGATAGTGTTGAACAGACTTGATCGGTCATCACAGATAGGCAATCGCAATGTCCGAAGCGCTTGTGACAAAAACATGAACACAAAACTGTCAGCAAGCTTCGTCGTGTACATGGGCCGCTGGGAGGAACATTATCGGTACAAATCGAGCGATCGATACAGTCGTTTGTAATACCCAGGACGGGATAAGTATACGAACGCCTAAGTCGTCAATGGAAAATATCTTCCGAAAAATCTAACACTTACGCCATTTCTTTTTAAAAACGTTATTATAATAACTTACTTCCAAAGTAAAACTTCGTCAGACAGACAGTGGGAAAATATTTGATATTGTCCTTCAGTTGTTATTAGTTTAGTGGAATTTTAGGGCGCGCAGTCGACGAGCATGCGCAGACAGGGTAGTCGTGATGGATTCTTATTCTCACACGGAGTAGAATATTTGAATATATTGTTTGTCGGACTCAAAAAATGATGACTAAATAGGGTTAGGTCATTTTACGAGGGTGTGTAGTGAGGTATCAAAGTTGCCTCCGTCTTCGGCCTGCACTGGTTCCATAGGGGGCGGCCCCCTCCATAGAGCGAGTGCATGTAGAGATTTGATCAGATTTTATTCTCTCAGTCAGTTTCTAGTCCCAGTGTATTCACTCCTATGTTTGTTCTAGGTTGTTTTCAGTCAAGTTAACTCGCCTTCAAATTATGAAGAAGATGGAGACAAATCTAAACGATGTCGTTATTTCAGTGTCGATGCAGGTGGGACAAACAAAACTGTAAAACTTAGTGATTACTTATAGTTCACATTACTTCTAAAATATGCTCTAGTTGCGTTCTAGTTCAGTACGTTATGATTTCTTCCAGAATGTGTTCGGCATAAGTCTGAGTTGCCTGGTGTAGCTCCAAATAGAGGCAGGATGTCTGTTCTAAGTCCTACTAGTGATGCATCTTGTTTAGTCTATTTATTTTCACTCTTTTCCAGGGGTCACGAAGAGTTCTTCGGTCAAATGAAATCAATCTTCCGCCATCAGGATTAATCGATACTGACCTAGACCTGTCTTTCTCCCTGCAGGTAAGAGCACTGAACTGATAATAGACTGGATGAAATTACTATCCTTGAAATACGTAAACCAACATTTATCAACTTCGGTAGATCTGATTGATGTAAAAACGAGGACACTTCCCTTTCTCTTACAGTATCCACATTTCTTGAAGCGAAGTCGAAACAACGTTCAGATTATGATTCAAAGAAGAAAACGCTACAAGACGAGAGCCATTTTGGGTTTCAAGACTTTAGCTGTTGGCCTTGTCAACTTATCCGAGGTATAAACATGACCACTCTGAAGTTCTCGTTAATACAAACAGCCACAATTTAACTTGTGTGAATTATGATTACATTGTTTTCAAAAATTTGAAGCGAAGATCATCTAATATGAACCCCGAATCCAGCAGATCAATCGCTCTCACGGGTTGTGTGTCTGGAAAATCTTATCCAAATCTTCTTTAAACATTCATTCTTATCCGAATTCACCTTTAAACATCGCTTGGTTGCGCATTTAGTTCTGCACTGTTGTTGTTTTCAGATCCTGCAGTATCCTGTCAGTGCTAAACGGCCCCTCCATATGCACATGAAAGGAGATTCAACAATACTAGCGACTGTGACCATGACTAACCTCATAAGGTAAAAGAAAACGGAGGAAATTTTGCACCTCTTTCAATAGATCTTTCTAATCATCTCATCGAAGACGAAGTCATAAAAGAATGGCCTCTTTTTCCCCATTTCTACTAAATTTTAAAAATGTCAATTTTCTTCCTTTTTTTCAGTCAACCGGTCGAAAATGATTTGGATCGTGAATTACCTGAGCGAAATTCTGGTAGGTTCCCCTCCGTGCCAATGAAAATTACCATACTTTTGACAGGCATGTTGAAATTCTCTATATCGTAGATGATCGAGCATTAGAAGATAACTCAAGTGACGAAGAAGATGAATCCTACAGTTCAGATGGTTCTGACAGCGCTGGAGAAATGGAACCAGTTCAGGTATTTGGAAACAGACATATAGACAAACAGACTTGCGAAAATAATGGAATTACCGATTGAGATGTTGTTGATCAATCCGTTTTTTTTTCATTTAGGATATCTTAGGTCCTTCAACAAAGGGAAGAAAAGCTAAGTTTAGGCCGGTGAGCACAAACAGATACATTGTGAAAAAGCCTGCTTGTCTTTGCTTGCTTGAAATGCTGGGTCGGTGTTTAATATTGACGAACGTTGTCTCTGTTTATCACGATTCAGAATCAAATAAAGTTTAAGAAGAAGTTTATTGCACTTCTTAAGAAGTTCAGAGTCCCTGAGGAAGAGGTTTGTTGAGAAATCAGGAAGAAAACAATTGGAATGAAACAGAGCATTGAATTATGAAGCAATGCATGATAATCAAGAATCACTGGAAATTTTTCAAAATCCATATTACGGAAATAGTACGGATTCCAGTTGGAAATCGTATGAAATTTATAATATCGATACTAATTTCAATTTTCATACTATGAATATAGTATGGGTATAGCAAATGATCATATTATGGATTTCGTAAAAAAAATTTCAGTGAATATATGGAAATAGGAAATAGGAAATAGAAAGAATGTTGTATCATTATACTGAGCCATTTCTAAGTTGAGCGGGATGATAATTTCATTGAGGTATATGGTGGGTTGTGCAATGATTGTTTCAGGTGTTTGGTGAGGGTAGTCCTCGTGAAGCCGAAGGTGGTGATAGTATGGCTGATGATGTCATCTACCCTGAAGACTTGGAGATATTTGACAGTGATGCGGATAGCGACGTGGAACTTGGTGATAATGCCAGTATTAAATCACAAGATAAGCCAAAACTGAGGTATATGAGATGTACATGATCGAAAACTATGAACTGTATTGGGTATTGAGGCGTTTATGACCAAATTTACATCTGTGTTGTTTTCTAGGCCGTACTTTGACCGGGCAGCATCTGTTGACAGCATGTACGTCGAGAAGAAGTCGGTATGATATGATTCGTCTGACAGTTTTATTCATTTTTTGATTATCCTTTTAAATACCTTGGAATATAACAATTTCATTTTTCTTCCACAGAAATCTGGACAAGGAGTGAAGAAAATGACAAGATTTGACAGTGAAGAGTCGACAGAGGCCGAACATCCAACACAGGTGAACTCTTGAGTTGTTTAAAACCTGTTAAACCATGAAGCAGATCAAACATGACGTCCAGTTATATATACTCCTTTAACCTGCATTCACGCTTAAACAAAGACCACGAGACTCTCTATGACATAAGTTCAATTTCTGATGCCTCGCCCCTCGCTCACACCTGAAACTTTATGGGCCAGCCTCTAGTTTTTCTGACCCCACTCCCCTCTGTACGTCAGACCAAAACCTTTCAAGGCTTTCCTGTCCTTCTTGGAGAGTCGCATCACGTTGAACATCTTGTATTACAGGAAGTGTCATCACCGCACTCGGATTCCGAGCGCCACTCGGACTCACCCGCCGCGCACTCGGACACACCTCTCGCCCACAATCAATTGCGGAAGTTGAAGGACAACAGCAGTAAAACACGACGAAGTTTGTCGGTCAAAGAAGTGAAAAACAAAAACAAAGCGAAGCTGGAGAGAAGGAAAAGCGATCTAGAAATACAGGTGAGATTTAAGTTTGTAACCGCTTATCCGCGTTTTTATCTTAATCGGGACCGTTTAAGCTAAACGCCTTTGGCACAACCGGCCCCAGGCATATAAACAATCTGGTCGCGCTGATTTCCCCGACACTGTTACGGAAGTCTGCAACATTAGAGAAAAAAAATCCATTTTTCTTTCTTTTGCATCTACTATAGGACGTACCGAAGATCACAGTTTCGGAACAGCTGTCGTCCTGTTTCCCCCCGGATGACGATCGATTACCTCCCAGTATTTTGATGGTCAGTACCTCGGAGTGGCAAGGCCAGGTAGAGAATGACTTTGTGTTGTACGTTTGAGATAAACAATATTTTCAATATTATCACCTCGTAGAAAAGCTTCCCATGCACGGACTGTGAAATAATAATATGATAATAGTAATTTAACACTTATATAGCCCTATTTACAATGACAGATCATGCGGTAGCGCTTAACACATTATGTTCAATAAGAAATCTTACAACTCGAATATACAATATAAATTACAAATCTAAGATAAGAGTAGAGTAGGTCTATACATTACTTCTATGTTAAAATTGTTTAAAAAGGTAAGTTTTAAGTGATTTCTTAAACACTTTGCATGAGGTGATTATACCTGGAGGTATACCTGAAACCTCTGACTACGTTTTTATTTAGCTTTTGGCACTAAAATTGAAAGAAAAACAATCGAGAATTATTTGTACGAATTGTGACAGCGAAGTTCAAGATGTAATCGCTGCAATTCTTATCAAATATCAAAAATAGTAAGTATCCTAGTCGAACAAAATTATAGCAATATTTTCGCAATTGAAGTGTTTTCATGTTTTCGTGTGAAATAGTGAAGGTAGTATCCTAAGGTAGTATTCCACAGAACACGGTTAACTGAAGAATATTCTTGTATTTTTAGCTGTCATAATCATTCAATATCACCTCCTTGTTTGAAAATTGCTATCGCTGGAACAGAAGGTTACATCGGAGTTGTTTTAAGACCTTTCGTTGAACAATTTTCGTCCAAACCAATGTGGCAAAGTTATATAAGATTTCTTGTTATTCCGCTTGGTAAGTTTTTTTTTCGTTTAACACGTTGTCGACTTTGTTTTCGCGAACTGTAGTTGAAATAAACCGTCCTTCGCCAAGGATGGATAGAGTGTGCACCCTGAATTTGGTAGAACGATATTCCTTTTTCAGATAGCAATCATTCTGTTGGTAAATACATTTCACACGTCGATTCTGCGTACAGTTCCTTGTTTATGGACAGCATATGGAGGGACATCTTTGAAAAACCTGATTCAAATGCAGGTTTGTAACCCTGACTTCTACCCTAGTGCAAACACAGCTTGTGTTGTCAGCTTGTACATGTGTTAGTTTGTAGCTCATTTGCAACGTTCTTCCTCGATGTGTTGTGTAGATTTTGAGACGGTAAATCAACGCATCAACACGTACGTCAAAGGAGCGAATGTGACACACCATTTGCCGATTGCAGAGGCCCTTGTTAATAGACACGGGTAAGAATCCATTCTCTAAATTATCGTTAGCATCTAAATCATGTCTAAACGTTTACTCACGAATACATTCACAAATATTTTCGTAGATTTGACGAGGATTCTTCACGATTCATACCATTTGTTGGGGTGAGTATTTTCATCAATTTTCATCCATTTCTTTTGCCTTATTTATTCCTTTTTCTCGACCTAATCTCAAATAATTCTTTGTATTTTAGATGGTACGCATTGGTTGTGCTGAATTAGGTAGGCTAACTGCTCTAACAGATGCTGTGACTGTTATTAAGATATAGCAATATGTATAAATATGCTATGCTTATATATAAAGTATAACTGTGTTGTTCTTTCAAAGGTGAAACTGAAGATATTGTCAATGGTAACACTACATCGCCGAGCACATTACAAATCTCCAATCACAAAGACTCTAGTCAGAACATGAACATCTCCAGCGCTAGTCCTCCTAATGAATCCAAACTTGGATCAACTACGAACAAGTAAGTTGAAATTTGCAATTGAGTTTAGACTCTACCCTCGCCCATTCCCGGCATTACCATCATATGCACATTGCTCAGTGGCAAGAGCATTCATTGCACCGGCATCGCAAAAGCGTAGGTTCGATTCCTGCCGGAGGACCTAAAGTTGACTCATTTTTCCATCAACTGTTCCTGGCTTGAATTTGTAGTGTGTATAATTATTCCACTCGAAATTAAGACCCTTTAAACATCTAGAATTTACCAGCAGCGAGTGAAGTGCCTAAATCATAATCGATTTACCCTCTTTATTCGATGAATTTATTTTTTTTGAGAATGTATTTTTGTCTTACAGAGAAAGCAATCCTCAGAGTTCAACGTCATGTAATGAAGTTATGGATCTACAGGTGGACTACTGGACCGCTGGAGGAAAGAAAGAAGGCAGTAAGGTAAATAAAAAGAAAGATTTTCATAATTTAATTCTCCCAACTACAAACTCTGTACAAAATATACTCAATTTCGAAACTCAAAACCTGGCCTCAATGAATAGTCTCACGTGAAAGAGATGCTATGTAATTGATAAATTAAAGCTTTGAGATAGTTCTTGGTCAGTGTCATCTTTTACAGAAACGGTAAATTTCGTTTCTTTAGACAACGTTAAAGACAGCATTCAAATCATTGGTAGTGAGTAGGCATCATAACATCGAGGAACCAGGGACGTTGCAAATGATTGCCACGACTAAAGAACAGAATATAAGAAAAGGTAATCTCACAACCAAGTTTATTATTCTGCCATTTATGTTATTGGAAGGATTGCCTCTGGAATGAAGAGAGTCTCTCTCAAATGACAACAATAAAAATGGAAAAGAATTTCTAGTTTTAGAGTAGGTGGAAGCGAGAAATGTCCTTCGACGAATAATCTTTTTCAATCATTTTGTTTTCTCTTCTTCAGTTCATGCGAAGTCTGCTTTCGAGGCGATGATGAGAGGTAAAAAGTCAAAAGAACGAGATTCTGACGCAAAAGGTCCAATCGTTGCCAACGTTACCAAACTTGTCTGCACGTCAAAAAGTCAGAGTGATTCACTAAATGGTAAATGTTATTTTGATTGGATCTAATGATCACTGACCTGTATATGATACTAATATATTTTCTGGAGTGGTCATATTATATGAAGCACCCCAAATCTCAAAGGATCCAGGTCTTAACACTTGACGAAACCTGCTCTCTGAGGATTAAGTTATTATCTTCCTCTGAAAGATTTTTTCAATCTCTTCAGTTGTTATCGATGGTGTTTCCTGGGACGGTGTTAAATTCTTCAGTCTATCACCTCAATGGTCAAGACATGTTAAGACTTTTCCAATTGGTTTGATTGGTCCTGTAGAGACGTGTTTCTAGGAATTAAAGGAATCTTAAAAATTATGGAAATTTGGTACAAATCAGCGCTGTTCGTCCCCAAAACGGTAATGTGTCGCCTATTCAAAATGGCGCATCTGCATGATCGTTTGTAGTAATCAACTTGATTACTTGATTACTGGTTGTATGAGAGTCGGATGGCGCTATCCGCCGGATAGTGATTTTTGCAACCGTTCTAAAAATGCTTGAAGAGCAATATATTGTTAAATAGGTTACTCAATTTAGGAATACTAAGATTTAACCAAAGTTATACTCAAAGTTATCCGGCGATTTTAAAGCGATTGAAAAAACCACTGTCTGGTGGATAGCGCTATCCGGCGCCTTTCATACAACCGGCTCCTGTACTGTACTTAGTGTGTACGTGTGAGTGATTTTTGTTTAGCGACCGATGAAATTTTCTTTAAAAGAGAACACTTGTATTTGCCTGAGAATTTAAATGCGAGCGTTCTTTCGCCAATTTGTAAATCTAGTATAATGTATGATTAATAACGCAATACAGAAAATCATGCATTATAACATGTTGACATCTATGCAAGGAAATGCAATCATGCAGTCTCTATAATGACAACTTAATAGATCAAAAAGTAGTCTCTATAAAGTTGTATAATGCAAAAGGTCTATTGGTCCGAATATTTTAAAATTGATGGTTATCATGAAACAGTGTACATGTATATATTAAAAATTAGTTTATAATGTGAGAGAAATTCTATATATAGTAAAATATTAAAGTTGTAATATCTTTAGCTTGCAGAGAAGTGTTGCCAGCCGTAATTCTGTAAAAAAACTGTTTTAAAATGCTAAAAATTGCTTCCTAACACTAATATCTTTCATTTTACAGCATATTTGGTTACTTTTTGGAACATTGAAAAAGTCGTCAATTTTGACCAAAATGGTAAGCCTTACCCCTTACCGTTTTGATCAATTTTGACGACTTTTTCAACTGTTCAAAAACTGTTTTAAAATGCTAAAAATTGCTTCCTAACAATAATATATTTCATTTTAGAGCATATTTGGTTGCTTTTTGGAACATTGAAAAAGTCGTCAATTTTGACCAAAATGGTAAGCCTTACCCCTTACCGTTTTGATCAATTTTGACGACTTTTTCAACTGTTCAAAAATTGTCTTAAAATGCTAAAAATTGCTTCGTAACACTAATATCTTTCTTTTTAGAGCATATTTGGTTGATTTTTGGAACATTGAAAAAGTCGTCAGTTTTGACCAAAATGGTAAGCCTTACCCCTTACCGTTTTGATCAATTTTGACGACTTTTTCAACTGTTCAAAAACTGTTTTAAAATGCTAAAAATTGCTTCCTAACACTAATATATTTCATTTTAGAGCATATTTGGTTGCTTTTTGGAACATTGAAAAAGTCGTCAATTTTGACCAAATTGGTAAGCCTTACCCCTTACCGTTTTGATCAATTTTGACGACTTTTTCAATTGCTCAAAAATTGTCTTAAAATGCTAAAAATTGCTTCGTAACACTAATATCTTTCTTTTTAGAGCATATTTGGTTGATTTTTGGAACATTGAAAAAGTCGTCAAAATTGACCAAAATGGTAAGGCTTACCCCTTACCATTTTGGTCAATTTTGACGACTTTTTCAATTGTTCAAAAACTGTCTTAAAATGCTAAAAATGGCTTCCTAACACTAAGATCTTTCATTTTAGAGCATATTTGGAACATTGAAAAAGTCGTCAAAATTCACCAAAATGGTAAGGCTTACCCCTTACCATTTTGGTCAATTTTGACGACTTTTCCAACTGTTCCAACTGTCTTAAAATGCGAAAAATGGCTTCAGTAGACTAATATCTTTCAAAACACTAAATCGCTATTTAGTTTATAATTCTGCAAATAGGATTAACTAAATAAAGAACAAGAGTTTTTGATACGTGATGCTGTGGCCCAGTTGTTAAGGCTACGGACTACCAGGTTGCAAACCCAGGTTCGAATCCTGCATGGGAAAGGTTCGATTTTTCCCACCGAAATTATTCTTTAATTTAAACTTCATCGAAAAAGATTAGGTCAAATAAAGAACAATAGCTTTCGACAAATGATGCGGTGGTCTAATGGTTAAGACGTTCGTGTCTCAATTCGAGGACTAACGTTTCAACTCCTGGCAATGCAGCAAAATCAGCCTGAAAAATTTCGGTGTGATTTGGAATGTTTAAAACAGTTAAAAGACTTCTCTGCCTTTGCAAAAGACCGTAAATTGAAAAAAATTTGATATATAACAACCAAAAAAAAATTATCCCCTTCAAAAGTACCTGAAAATTGAAAGAAAAGCACAAGAAAAAAAAGTTTTAAAAACATGTGTCTTCTAAAAAGCCTGAAAATGAAGAAAGTCAGACGGAAAAAAATTAACAATTTCCCGCTTTTAAAAAACTCATGTTTACTTACCTTAATTTTTTTTCACGAAAATTTGACAGGGTGATTTTCTCGAGAGTGAAAAAATTTAATTTTTTTCACTTTTTTGAAATTCTCTAAGATTTTTTTTTTTACAAAGATGTATTTTGTCTTGGGCTACCTGTGTCTCGCTTGACACAGGTAGCCCAAGACATAGTACTTGTTTCGATTTTGTAGTTTTTTCTTCTATTTCTCTAGTTTTTTTTCTATTTTTCTAAATAGGAAAAAAAAATAGAAAATAAACTAGAGAAATAGAAGAAAAAACTAGAGAAAAAAACTAAACTAGAGACCACAAGACAAAAATCAAGTTTCTTCTTAAACTTTTCAAAAAACATTTAGAAAATACTTAGAGAAAAACATTAAGAAAAAACTAGAGAAAAAAACTAAGTCGAAAGATAGAAAAAAAACTAGAGAAATAGAAGAAAAAACTAGAGAAAAAACTAACTAGAAAAACTAGAGAAAAAAACTAACTAGAAAAACTAGAGAAAAAAACTAACTAGAAAAACTAAAGAAAAAAAACTGGAAAAATAGAAGAAAAATAGAACATAAACTAGAGACCACAAGACAAAAATCAAGTAAACTTTTCAAAAAACATTTAGAAAATACTTAGAGAAGAACATTAAGAAAAAACTAGAGAAAAAAACTAGAAAAAAAACTAGAGAAAAAACTAACTAGAAAAATAGAAAAAAAACTAGAGAAATAGAAGAAAAAACTAGAGAAAAGAAAACTAACTAGAAAAATAGGAAAAAAACTAGAGAAATAGAGGAAATAAAAGACAAGAGAAAATAGAAAAAAAACTAGAGAAATAGAAGAAAAAATAGAGAAATAGAAGAAAAAACTAGAGAAAAAAAACTAGAGAAATGGAAGTAAATACTAACAGGTTTAACTTAGAAAAAATACTAAAAAATACTAAGAGGTTTAATTTAGAATCGTCAAGTCACACAGAAGAACTTGCAAAATAAAAACACTAACACCATCAGACGAAAAAGGTTTATTTCTTAAACTTTACAAAGAAAAAAGTTAAAAAAAACTAAAGAAATAGAAGTAAAAACTAGAATAAAAAAAACTAGAGAGAAAAAAAAACTAGAGAAAAAAAACTAAGTAGAAAAAAAACTAGAGAAATAGAAGTAAAAAAACTAGAGAGAAAAAAAAAACTAGAGAAAAGAAACTAAGTAAAAGAGAAAAAAAAGCTAGAGAAAAAAAACTAAGTAGAAAAATTGAAAAAAAAACTAGAGAAATAGAAGTAAAAACTAGGGTAAAAAAACTAGAGAGAAAAAAAAACTAGAGAAAAAAAAACTAAGTAGAAAAATAGAAAAAAAAGCTAGAGAAATAGAAGTAAAAACTAGAAAAAAAAACTAGAGAGAAAAAAAAACTAGATAAATAGAAGATAATACTAACAGGTTTTTTTTTAACTAAGAAAAAATACTATAAAAAACTAAGAGGTTTAATTTAGAATTGTCAAGTCACACAGAAGAACTTGCAAAATAAAAACACTAACACCACCAGATGAAAAAGGTTTACTTCTTAAACTTTACAAAGAAAAAAGTTATCTTTATAAATCCAAGTTTTGAAAATTGTCATATAATTCATCACACTTCACACCAAAATATATGAATTAATGAATCTGGGTGCCTTTCAACTTTCTTCAACACTAAAAATAAGAGAAAATTCATCAAAAAAATAAGAGAAAATATATTTAGAAAAAAAACTAATACTAAGAAGAAATTAAAGAGAAAAGAAGTATAAGAAAAAGCCAAAGCAACTGTCAAAATCTTTTCAATTGTGAAAGCACACGGAAAACATGCAAAATCGAAACAACAAACACAAGACAAAAATCAAGTTTCTTCTTAAACTTTTCAAAAAACATTTAGAAGCAACTGCCAAAATCTTTTCAATTGTGAAAGCACACGGAAAAACATGCAAAATCAAAACACTAACACCACCAGACAAAAAAGGTTTACTTCTTAAACTTTACAAAGAAAAATTTCTCTTTATAAATCCAAGTTTTGAAAATTGTCACATAATTGATCACATTTCACACATGTTATCACACACTAAAATATATTAATTAATGAATCTAGGATAGGGCTAAAATAATTCAGGTTCTTCAGGGGTGCCTTTCAACTTTCTTAAACTTCATTCATTCTAAAGAGAAAAAGCATTTCATCAATCCTTTTAGGCAAAAAGTGGCAGCAAAGTTTGTATTTTCAACCTGACATCATTATTAAAAGATATTACTCATTATCTTACTTTAGTCATCTGTTTTATGCCAATTATATTTTTGCCATTTTCAATAAAAAGAATGTGTCACATGCATATAGTCAACCCAGACATATGTCACTATTTAATTTGAACACAGAAAAACTGGGTATCACCCTTCTGAGTACTACAGAATATAAATCACAGGGAAATCAGAAAATTTCTCCCAAGTTCTCCCACTTTTTCGTGGATATTTATTGTAAGACCACCACAGGAATTTTAGTAATCAGCCAGACTGGTTCAGCTGTTATAGCATTAAGTTTCATCATTGGTTTCACACATGGTGACCATAGAAGCACATTTCAATTTTATAGTTGTCATCTCAACAATGTAGTGGCTTTTTAAAATCAAATGCTGACCATCCATGACAAAATCAAATTACCTCTGTGAAGAAATCTTGTCACTTCCAATGTTCATCTGACAGTAAAGTTCATATCCACAGCTCATGTTGCACTCTTGACCAAGAAAAATCTTAAATATAGATATATAAATAAGACATGATTAATATAAAATTCCATTTTCAACTATCTTAACTATTGTCTAGTTTTTGGTCAGGTATTCTATGGTTATACTTCATCCCTCTACATATAACTATGGTTGCTATATTTATTTAAAGACCACCCCAGGAATTTATTACTGGTGACACATAGTGAGCATAGAAGTAATGTTAACTTAGTAATCTTAACAAAATTTGTGACTGCCTGACGATTTTCCAAAAAAAGATCCTAGTTGCAGCAAATTCTCCCTTATACTAAATAACAAAATATATACCCGGGCAGTTGATATGTATTACAAGGTCACTACAAGAATTCCAGCTGCAAGGCTAATATAACTTTTGAAGGAACAATCGAATTACCTTTGCGCAGAAATCTTGTCATTTCCAATGTTCATCTGACAGTAAAGTTCATATCCACAGCTCATGTTGCACTCTTGACCAAGGAAAATCTTGAATATAGATATATAAATAAAAAGACATGATTAATATAAAATTCCA